CAAGGCGATCGAAGGCCTTCTCGAAGTCCAAGAAGACCTGCACGCCTGGCTGGTGTGTGTCCTCCAGGTAGCTGATCTCCTCCAGGTGTGCCAGCACGTTGTCCCCCGCCCAGCGCTTAGGCAGGAAGCCTGTCTGTGTGGCATCCACCACCTGATTCAGCAGCGGCCCGATCCGGCTGGCGATCGCCCGCGCCGCGAGCTTGTAGTCGGTGTTGAGCAACGTGATGGGCCTGTAGCTGGCTGGAGACTCCCTGTCTGCCCCCTTCCCCTTGTACAAGAGAGTGATACGCCCCTGCGTCAGCGGTGGCGGCAGCGCCGCTTCCCTGCCGCCGCCGAAAGCTTCCTGCAGCATCCCTGCCAGCTCCAGCCCTGCCACAGGCCAGAAGCGCAGGTAGAACTCATATGGCAGGCCATCCAAGCCCGGTGCCCTGCCGCGCGGCAGGCTCCGGAGGGCAGTCTCCAGCTCTGCGACCGACACGCTGCCGTCACCGCGCTCTCCTTCTGCCGCTGCAGCTGCCTGGGGGGACAAACGCTTGTCCACTGCCTGCAGCAGCTCATCCTGGGCTGCCAGCGACACCGGCTGCGCCGCGAAGAGGCCTGCCGCTTCGTCGCCGCTGTAGTACTCCCGCAGCACCGCGCCGCCCCGATCCCTGCCGGCTGGGTGATCCAGGACAACCCGTGGGCTGTCAGGGGCTGGACCTGTCCTGAGGGCCATCAACTCTGTGCGGCCCTGCCGCTCCCGGGCCAGGTGGTGGAACCAGAAGGTGGACTGCTCACCGTAGAACTGCCATACGATCCCAGCCTGGAGTGCTGCCCCCTTAGCTGCCTCCACATTGAGGCCCTGCAGAAGGTGGTGGGCATCCTGCCATGCCAGAAGGGTGTCTGGTGCGGGCCGCCGGGTGAACGCCGCAAGCGCTGCGCGGCTGTCAGACTCCAGAGCCCGCTGAGAGGCCCGGCGCTCCGCTGCGAGAGCCCAAGAACGCTGCATGGCCATATCCTTGACCTGCCTCTTCAACTCCACCCACCTGCTGCCCTGCGTGACGCCCTCTCCGAGCGGGTGCGCGGCAAGATATTCCGGAATCGCTGCCGTAACGCGATCGCAGAATGGCTCATCGTCCAGAAGATGAAGGGGCAGCCTCCAGGCTGCAGAGCCATACAGTGTGCTGGCTGGAGCTGTAAGGCTCAGGCTGACCCCCAGGTGGTCTCCTGGATAACCAAGAACCTGCCCGATCGCTCGCGGCTCCCGGCTGACCCGCGCCCGCAGCGTCTCCGAGACCAGCCAGCGGTCGAGCCGGGCAGCTGACTGACCTGTGGTGGCAACGTGGGTGAAGGCACGACTGCTGGGGTTGAGGTCACGCCAGACATCGTAGAGCTGATGCTCAGTCTCCACGAGCCGCAGGCCGGTCCAATATCCCTGCGTCCGCTGACCGGGCTGCCCGGCGGCCATGTCCTGCTGGCCTGCAATGCAGTTGAAGTCCCCTCCCACCAGAAGGCAACGTGCTGCTGGCAGGCTGGGCAGCAGCTCCTGTGTGTAATACTGCTGTCGCTCCGCTGCGGCCGCAGGCGCGTACACGGAAGCTACCGTGTAGGGCTGGCCACAAAAAGTGAAATCCACTAGTAGGGTGCGTCCGGTGGTGCTGCAGTGACGCACCGTGATGGCTGCTGTGGAGGCTGTGGGTCTTAGTAAGACCGCTACGCCGCGTGACTGGGAGGTGAAGTGGCACCAAAACGCGGGCCCGCTCCAATTGCAGCGAAGCCCGGCAGGCCCCTCCTGCGCCCATGCTGTCCCCTCCTCTGTAGAGCTGTGGTGGGTCTCCTGAAGGAGGATTATGTCCCACCTGTCGCGCTCCAGAAGGTTGAAGAGGCAGCGCCTCTTGTCTCTGTCCCTGAGGCCGTTGACGTTGAGGCTGAGAAGGCGCAGGGAGGGCGATCGAGAGCGAGTCATGGCTGCGAGGGCCGCCGTGCCGGCGGGCCCCCACTGCGAATGCTCCTGGAAATCCTGTGCTCTACCCGCTGCCGCTCCTGCTGTTGCCCCTGCTGCTGTAGCCACCACTCTGTAGGCTGATGCCGCGTACGCGCTGAGCGCCACGGAGCCGGCAGCCCCGCTAGTGCGACCTGCGCCGCACGCTGCGCTGCGCGCGCTGCGGCTGCTCGCGACTCAAAGCCCGGCGGGACGGTGGGCCTCCCCTGCTGACGTGCAATGGGTGCTGCTGGGACCTCTGCCGGCTGCGCTAGGTCCTCCGGTGTCAGAGCCGGCAAGCCGTAGGAGTCGTCCGGCAAGCTGTCTGCTCCATGGATGCGACGCAGAGCATCGCAGAGGAGCTGGTGCCGCAGCTCCCTATCTGCTGGTGCATCCCCTCCCGACACGAGCGCGAGTGGTGCATCGCTGTGCAGCCGGCGAATCGCTGCCGCGCTGTCTGCAGGGGAGAAGTGTGTATGCCCTGCTAGCCACTCCAGGCACTCCTCGATACGCTCATCCGGGACGCCGCTGAGGTCCAGGTGCGGAGGGCGGCGGTGAGCCGTCTGGGGTGGATCCTCGGTATGAGGCAGATCCCAATCCATGGGGGTGGCTGCACCTGTATCGCGCACGCGCGATATCCTGCGTCGCAACTCTCGCTGCGGCACCGAGTATGCCTGTGTCTCCCACTCCATCGGTACCGGCGACGGTGGCGGCGGCGGCGTGTCTTCCTCCATGTCTCTCAGTGCCTGTCTAGCAGCAGGGAAGACCTGTGCACTTCGCGGAGGGGTGCAGTCCATCGGAGTAAGCGGCTGCGTGTCTCCAGCGGGGCGAAATCGCGGGCCTAATCGCGCTACACTGATGGAGCCAGACGCACCCAGGCCAGAGCGGTCGCCACCAGGCGCGCGGCTGGCTTGTACGCGGGCCTCCAGCTGCTGCAACTGGGCACTGGGTGCTGGCTGTATCGGCTGCGCCGCGGCTGCGGTGCGCGTGTGGGCCTGCGCAGCGCGCTGCCGCTGACGGATCGGTCGAGGCCCTGAGCGGCGCGACGGCTCCGGAGCTGAGCGCTGAGACTGGAAGGAGGATGGCTGGCTGGGCTGCCGCAGCTGCCCCGGCCGCGTGATATTGATCCGGGTGTCACCGTCGATGAAGAACCGCTTTGGTAAGCGGCCCAAGTGCCGGTCCTCATCCGGCGTCTGGATGTATGCAAGGCACGCATTCCCGTTGCCGACGCCATGGGTGCCCACTGCCAACGGTCCTGGCAGGTCGCCGAGGAATTCGCCGCGAACAACGTATGTGTCCCTGGGGCAGCCAGTACAGTCCAGAAGGGTCTGAGTGAGACCCGTTCTGCAGTACTCGTACGGCAGCCCGTGGATGATGATGCAGGTGTGCTGGCAGTGGAACCGCCCAGCAGTGAGTTGCACCGGCACCGCTACGTCTCCGCTGCCCGGCACTGCACGCAGCCGGACAAGCTGGTCCTCCGCTGCCGCATGCCGCGCCGCAGCTGCTGCCGGGACCGTGTCAAACCAGAGCTCCACGCAGCTGTCAGCTGCGCCGGGCGATCCTCGCTGCTTGACTCCCCCGACATGCGGCGCGAAGTGAGCGATTACTCCTCTGGTGACCTTTAGCTCCAGCTGCATGCGCTCCGGGCTGCCATAAGGAACCTCCTCCTGCAGCTCAAGCTGGCCCAAGGCAGCCAGTAGGAGTGGCTCGCTGTCCCCCCACCGGTCTGGCCGCGGCCGGAGAAGCCTTGGCCGGGGAGTGCTCAACGCATGGGCATCCAGGGCTCTCTGAGGCTCCAACTGCCATGACTTGATAGTCTGCATCGTGCTGATCAGGCTGGCCAGGTGGGGGACCCAAGTTGCTGGGCAACTGCTGCTGCTGCTGCTGTGCTCCTCTCTACTACCTTGTGCTCCCCTGTGCTGATTGCTCCTGCTGATTAGCTCTTTAGGGCGTCCACCGTCCGCCGAGGAGGTCTTGGGGCCTTGTTCAAGAGCTGTGGCAGCTCCCTACTAAAGGCCTTGAAAACCCCTCGGGAAGCCTACAAAAGAGGCTCGTGTGACCTCTTCCCCTGCCCCTATTTCCTCCCCGCACTCTTCCTCCCGTGTGACACTTCCCTCCTGCCCCTGAACCCTGTTTAGCTACCACTGGTTGTCAGTATGTGGAATGGTTTGGTGGCTGAAATGCATAAAGTACAGGCACAACTGTTTCAAGAATTCAGGAGAACAACATCGAATCCCATAATATGTGTCCCGCAGCGAGTAACCGTGGGGATAGTGGAAAAGTGTTAGTCGCTAGTGTAGAGTGAGGAAGGTGGCTGTGCGCATCTGGTCCAGTGGAGCTTTAGGATTTAGGATTTAAACTGCTGGGATTGTGAAACATAATGATGCATCAACACGCCGATCCGGCTGACTGGCTATGAAGGTAGGTCACGATAAGAAGTCGAGAGCAGCACACCCACCGAGTGCACAGGTGGGGATAGGCAGGAGGCATGAGTGTTCAAAATCCTAGACACCCGCTCATGGTGGTGCACATGAGACAACTCACAAGCACTGGATTAGGGACAACATACTGGCCCATCTTGAGGAGATCAGCTACTCGACAGTCACCCAGCAGCCAGGCGTCCTGGTGTTCCTGACGGCCTTCCACTGTTTCGACAGGGCCTGGGTCGAGCGGTGCAGCACTTGGCTTCGGGCCTGGCGCGTAGTGCTCTGTGCACCTCTTTTTTTTTTTTTTTTTTTTTTTAAAGGGGAAGCCCCCGCTATTACACAGGTGCCAGTCGCACGCTTCCCAGCACGCATGCAATAGGATATTTGGGGAAACCTGTCAGAGTTGGGGCACGCAGAGCACTCCCGCAGGAGGATAATGCGATACTTAAGAGAAGCGCAAGCATGAAGGCATATCACAGAAAGGCAACAGAAAGGCTCCTAGCGATGGACATGTCCCAAGCACCAGAGGGTAACCTCATCCCCAGAGGCGCACTCCAGCCCGCCGGCAACGCAACACCGCTGAGGTGACGTTGCACTCTGGCACGACAGCTGCCATGCACCCCGTCACCTGGTACCCTCAGGCCTTCCCAGTGGACCCTGGCGTCTTCCAAGGCCGTCCGCTGTCGCCGCTCCTTTTCGTGCTTGCGGCGCAACCGAGTGCCGGGCATGCCGGGCTCCTCGCGCCGCAGCAGGCTTTCCAGCCCATAAGGTGTCCTTTCGGGCAGCGAGCACCTGTCATGCACCATGCCGACGAAACCATCGTGCATGCGAGGAGCTGGACTCCAGCGTGGTCCTGCACTGCGCAGACACGGGTGCCAGGTTGCTGGGCCTGGGCAGCCACAGCCACTTGACCGGGCCAGATCCGGTAATCGGAGTCACCTTCGCAACGCCGGGAGGCAGCGTCAAGCACCTGGGCATTTCTCTGTCCACACAGCCAGCCGCTGCGGCCGCTGCGGTCGCAGCCCTTCACACAGCCATCGTCACGATGGTGGCGGCGCGAATCGTCTTGTCAGGCTTCCGCCTCAGCCTGCTGAGTTGGGGGTACGTCACCTACCATGCCACCCTCGTGCCAGGGCCACCGGAGCGGCTCTGTAGAGCCATCCACACCTTCGGCGCGGCGAACAGGCAGCGCAACAGCACACTTCCCGGGCAAGCAGACCTGCTTTCGCTCGGCAAAGAAGGGCGGCATAACGCTTGTGGACAGCCGAATTTAGATCGTGGCACTCCAACCCAAGGTGCTGGGCAGGCTGCTGGAGCCAGAGTAGCTGGCCTGGAAGGCCTTCCGAAGAAGAAGGCACAAGAGAACAGCCTGGCTGGCAGCTCAGGACCCCGCCTCGCTCTCAGCGCGCCACCAACATATCTGGCAGCTGGGCAGATTCCTGCTTGTCTCCAATTTTCCAGCAGAGCGGCTGCAGGCCTCGGGGACCCTTACCAGAAGCTGTGGCCTCATCGCCGTTAGAATCAACCAGACTCGCTCAGCTACAACGCGGTCCTCAGTGAGCCCCTATTCTGCAACAGGCTGCTCACAGATGCTGGTAGACAACCCCTCGCCTGGGAGGACTGGGCCCGGCTGGGCATTGTCAGGATCAGCCACCTTAACGACATGTTGCGTGACCCGGAGCACCAGCACAGCACGATCCGCGATCGCCTCCCGACCCTCCTCGAGGCCCTGCATGCCGCGTTGGTGCGATACTGGGATTTCACAAGGCCCTGGCACCCGCGCACCGGGAAACGCCAGAAGCCACAGGAGCAGGAGGAGAAAGCTCCGCCGCCCCCGGCCGCAGCACTCAAGCCGTACTTCTTCGGCCCGCACCACCCCTGCCCATCCACACACACACACGCTCCCTCACACATGAATTCTTCCTGGGGCAAAACAGTAGTCTCTACCGTAACAGTCGCACGAGTGTCAAGCAGGAATGAATATGAGGAAGGAGTATCACCAGCGAGACTGCTGGACGATACCACCCGCCGGAGCCCCGCCAGCACTCTGCAGGCGGCCCACAGCGAGTAGCACCCCGCCTTGTAAGGATGAACCTTCTTACAATATGTATGCTAGTCGCACACTTTCTAGTACACATGCGTAAGGATTTTTAAAACGTTCGGACCCGCTACCACTGAAGAGGGGCGGTAAGGGCGGCCCACAGTACCAAAGCTAGGCCTCAAACTGCAGTGTCGAAGCAGAGCTGCAGCCGGCTGTCTGCCGCGCCGGGTGACCCAGTGGCCTTAACACCAGGCATCTGCGGATGTTCCTGCCCTGCCCGAAGTGACCCATCAAGCCTCTGGTGACCTGCATCTACGACATCAACCTGCTCGGCCAGCATTGCTGGATCCCGTAGTGCAACATCCATTTCTTGAAGCTGGCCCAAGGGCAACTATCAGACACCCCTTCGTCTCCCCACTGGTTCGGCTGTGACCGGAGAGGCTTCAGCCGGGGGATCCCCCTGAGTGCGGAGCGCATGGGCATTGAGGGCCCGCAAAGGACTAGACGGTCCAATAGCCTTGCATCGAGCTGGTCACACTGGCCGGTAGGCGGCAGATTTGCTGAGGGCTCCTGCCCCTCTGCTGCCTGCTCTTCTGGAATATCTGGGAAGCTCCCTTGCGGGCTGGGGCCCGTTGTCTGCCGAGGAAGTTCTGGAGCCCTGTCATGTGCTCTGACTCTCGTGGCTCTGACAGCCCCCAATTACTAGCAAGAGCCCTTTAAATCCCTTGGGAAAACTCTCAATAGATGTGGGGTGAGGGAAAGGAGTGCACAGTGGCACAAACCTAACACCCCGTGCTTGGACATTGCTTGAAATAGCATACATACATCAGTGAGCTTTCAAAGGATTCTGAGAGTCCCTTGAAAGGCATGCGAGATAGAGTGATTAGGGGCTGTGAGAGACGATCCTGGCAACATTCTATCTTGACTCAAGATTCTTGAGCCTCGTTTCCCCTCACAACTGGCTGAGCCTGGGTGAGTGGGGTGACTCCAGTGGTACTGTTGTACAAAAATGAATCATCCAGCAGAAGGATACCCATTTCTGTGCGTATGTGTCACGACGATCCTAGCAACACGGTTGAATATGTCGACACTTGTAACTATTGGACGCATTTTCAATCGTCCTGCATTATGATCTTAAGAACTTGCGAGGTGCATGTAGCGCTCACGGCCGCAATGAGCATAAATGAGTACAGCAATCTAGCTGGACACAGTCAGTGCCTGATTCCATTGGCACCTCGTCCAACGTTGCCTCAAATGCAACTTGCCTCAAATGCAAAAATATGTGTTTGGCATCTCAACTTAGGTGCCCTATGGGACTGCCCATAGGCCACTTGAAACTAATGAATTGCTTGCAAGCAATAAAGGGGTCACCAAATGGGTCCTTGTAAGAGGGAAAGTCTACCATGAGGCCTGTTGTTCTTGGTGCGCCACATGGGGACTCGATTACACGATATGTTCATTGTTGTAATGCAGGTATACTCTTGGCTTATGAATCCACCTGCAAACGTGGCAAATTTGTCAAGATAGTATCAACCACAAAGGTCCATGGCTGCAGACGCGCATTGAAAGCAGGATGACACATCTGCACAAGTCAGCTCTTTGGCTCAGGCAATTTTTCAAACAACGCTTACCTGCATGGTGGGAACAGGCCATTCTTTGTTAACTCCGCCAATGAAGCAATGCGTTATGCCAACATTCCTGCTCAAGCACAGGAGGTCTGAAAGTGCTTCTTGACACACAGGCTGTCACCCTGCCAACGCTGCCATCATGACAGGCAGCTCATTGTCTTTGTCATGGAATGAAATTGAAAACAGTGCCAGCATGAGTCTGATAATCAATCAAGGATGGAACGTACTCACGACTGAAGTTTATGAGCGCATTTATCAGCACATCTAGAGCTAATTCGTCTGCTGTGCCGAGGTTGAACCTTCACACCACAGTCCAGTCACATCGATATTTGCATGAAGTGAAAAAAGGTGGAGAAATAAGTTTCCTGCACACTTCTGTCCAAGAGGTAAGAGGCGTCCTTACCAGCAGCGGCACCACTTGCCTTTGTGCTCAAGTGAGCCCATATCATGGAATGTGGCCTGGAAAGCTGAGTCGCTGTGCTCGTGATCATAATTCATGAAGCTGACTGTTTCATTTCCTGCATACATGGCCTGCGCCCACATGATCATACAGGATGAAAATGTGCGTGAGGCTGCCTATAACGTCTTGAGGCAAACAAGCAAAAATCAGAGTGTCCTGCATTCTGCAAGGCTTGCAGACCTGCAGGTTCATGGTGTTGTAACCTCCCAGTCGGCCAATCATGAACCATGACGACAGGACGGCATCCAAAAGCTCCAGGTCTTCCTCTGAGGGGCTTTGGTGAAGCTCAAACCATACCTGGCTCAGACTCAAAACGGCTCAGGTGACTGGTGAAGCAAGGAGCGGAGCAAAACTGGTCCCTGTCTCAAAATTTTGTCTGGTCAAGACTTTGCGAGTAAAGCATTCCTTGCGTGTATCGCCGGCAAGTTGTTACTGAAAGCAGACGCACACTGTGGGGCCACGAGCGTACCCATAGGCTGAAAGTGTCCACCTCCCTGAACTGAACTTGCATGAGATCAAGAGAGCCTGCAAGCAAACTTCAACCGTTCTCACAGTACAGTCTAGCATTGGACCATCAAAAATGTGATTCGATCTTCTGGCACCACCCATCATAGACTGGATGGTATCCCTTGCCAAGTTTTTTTTTTTCAGTGATCCATCACCTCTTGATGCAGGTTCTGCCAAGCCAACAGCTGGGCATCTAGTACGTGACCTGCGCATGAAAGGAGTCATAATGTCTCAACATTGTCATCAGGATTGCTTCCTCTTGTCAACGTCACCATCAGTTGTGACTCGCCTTCGATCTGGAGCAGCGGACATGGTCTGTTGCTCCCGCCAGTAGCACGATCCGCGTCTATCTGGGATATGACACAGATTTCCGATGTGTTTTGGTCGGAAGACATTGCGGGCTGTAAGTGTCTGAGAGCAGGTTGCAACTGGCTTGCATTGTTCAGCTCCCCGATACCCCAGCGAGCTGGCCATTGATTTCAAGCCACTGATTTTGTTTGTCGGTGCTTGAAAACTATTGATTTATAGTGGCCAGACGTCAGGTGACCCAAATAAACCGATGCAATATTCCAATCAAGCTGTTGATCTCGAAGGTGGCATAGTTCTGGCAAGAGCATAGACAATGCAGCGTCAAGGATCAGCTCACGCACCACTTCATAACGGTTTCAGAGATAAAGAGGCCTGGGTGTTGAATGGAAGCCTCATGAGAAACACAGCACGTGCATTCAGCTGGGTGCAGTTACTCATCTTCGAGTAATTTGTTGAGGCGACTTGTTCTCTGTTGCTGCAAAGTCTCTTGTCAGGAGAAAACGTTCAGATCTCGGCGTCTATGCAATTGCAGGTCAGCAGTAGTCTCTTGTTGATGAGCAGACGGCAGGCCATATAATGCAAGTGCCCTAGTGTTCAACAGGCACACTGTTCACCCGACGCTCGATCAGACAAAATGCTCAGATCCGCTGCAAGATGCCTCAGCGTATGCGCCGCGCATGCCGATCTCACTCCAGCCATTGTGGGCTCAGCCTTCTCAGATCTGGAACGATGCTTGTTGAGGAGAAATGCCCATCAACAGTCAGGCAGCGACGCCAGTGAAGCAGCAGGGCCTGGCCCGGGTAGTGAGGCGGAGGAGACCTTCCTGCAGCTGTACCGCAGACACAACAGCAGCCTGAAGCACCTCAAGGGGCAGGTCATTGGGGCGCGGGTGTTCAAGACAGACAGGCGATTTGTCTACCTGGACACAGGATTCAACAAGCACGTGAAGTACGCTAAGAAGGAGCTGCACCTGTCCCAGCTGGTGTCCAGCAGCGACGGAGGGCTGCGCACCTCTCCAGACGACTTCAGACTGGGAGACGTGCTGCAGTTCATCATTGAGGAGCTGGAGACGCCCTATGGGGACATGCAGCTTGCAGTAGAGCGGCCCATTGAGAAGGACAAGGTGGCTGGAGTCTGGGAGATGGTGAAGGAAGCGATGCACACAAATCAGCCGGTCATGGGCCGCGTGCTCAACGCTGTCAATGGGGGCTACAGCGTGGGCGTGGCAGGCATTGTGACATTCTGCCCATTCAGCCAGATGTCCTTCCTGACAGCGAGCAAGGTCGGGATGCTGCAGCCCTTCCTCGTGACCAACATGAACGAGGCCAAGCGCAACATCGTCCTGCAGGATGCCACGGTGCTCAGGAGGCGCAGGGGACCCAGGGAAGACCTCATAAGAGATCAAGGTGATTCCACCCACCCAGGCAATGTGCCTCCAGTCAAGCGTTTGACCCTAATCGTGCCAGATGTTCTCTGATGCAAGCATATCTCATAATTCGTAGATGCTGCTTTATCGGACCATGGGCCTGATCCTTAGTATTCACCACTGACGTTGCCGAATTTATCCCAGGTCGCCCAGCAAGAAGCGATGCAGACTAGACAGACGTGCACAAAGTTGGCTGGCAAAGGTAGGCATGCTGATCCAGCACTTTTAATACCTGCTGAGCATGGAGACTGTTTTGAGCCTCTCATTTATATATTGCTGTGTGACACTGGCCAAGGCTGACCTGTCTTTGCCGCAGGACGCATTACGGCCCGAGGATGCGTCGAGGATCAACGAAGCAAGACACTCTTCTGTTTGTGCAAGATGGGCCATCCATCAGAGTCAATCTTCACAGCGCGAGGCACAATTTCTGACAACCCAATGGCAAGAATTCAACTTGGCTGCATCTGCTTGTTAAAATTTCCTTCAGACCAGGGATACAATTATGGTCTTGAATGCATTGAGGGAGGAGAGACAGGGAGTGCCCTTGCCGGCCCTGGCCTCAATCTAGGAAACAACCTTAGCTTTAGTACTCTGTCAAATACTGCAACTGCAAATGCCAGCAATTTACTTTGTACTTTGCTATCTTAGAGAAGGAGGGATGCAGACACTGAAGCAGAGCGAATGCCAGAGTAAGTGGAAAGCCCTGCCAAAACAGTCACCGCAGTTGGCCAGCTGGCCACTCCACCGTGTTTGTTGTTGATGTAACTGTAGGTCTGCTTTTACTGTAGCTCTTGCTTGCTGGCTTGCAGCTGCAGGTACACTGGTTGGAGTACAGTGGATGTCGTCATGACCTTGATATATTCATACAGTAACACTATATATAAAACATCGATGCATGCTTGCAATTGCAATCAAGCAACTGCATCTGCCGATCAACATGATCATCATTGATGCCCATATGGCCCGGTCTAGGAGTGCATGTTGTAGCCAGCGCTCGCGCGCCGGGCATGATGCGATAAAACATTAATGTGGAGATCATGGAGCTGCAAGGATGAGCCAGAGCGCTCAGTTTGAGCTCCCCTGCTTTGCTTGTTCATCGTGGCCATGGGTTCCCTATCCTGGTATGCATCCCCTGCAATTTAGAAAAAGAAAGCAGTATCCATTATGGTTAAATCTCAGGGAAAGGTTTCCAGGAACGCCGGTGCACACGTGTGCCAAGACTTGTACTAGGCATTCCGGAGATTTCCTCGGTCCTCGATCCCTGGAGAAGGAAGGCTTCCTCAGTGAAGTTCGGTCATCTAGAATAAAACCAGCGGGTATACTGCAGCTGTCTGGATGTACTGGAGTCGGTGTGCTCTGTTGCTACGAGTTTCCGTTTTTGACATGCCAGTGCCTTCTCACGCTCACTGGTATCCCTCTACACACATTAACCCAACTTGAGCTTTAGATTTTTTCTGGTTACTGGGTACTTGTCGATTTCTTACATTGAGAGTCTGATGCAATTCCAGTTTCTGGGGTCACCTAGAACACTCAATAGAGCAGGCTAAGTCCAGCAATTATCAGAGACTGTACTTTGCAAGCTTACTTCCGTGGAGCTCTTTCTCGCAGACAACCATCTCCGATCCTTGAAGAAGATACGTCAGACAGTCTTTGGCCAGCTAGGGGGCTGGCGAGTGCCCTGCTATATCGGAATGGACTGTATAGCTGAGCGTGTCCCGGGTTCAACTTTACTATTGGAAACCCTCCCGAAGCAAGCAAAATATCACTGCGAGAGCGTCACAGGTTCCCTATAGGTACAACACCAAATTATATATTAAGAATCCAGGTGAGTAAGAGACTCGCCAGTAACTAGCCAGTATCTCTAGAGGCAGTGTTTTGCAGTCTCGTTGGTGGCCACATCAGCATGGGCATCGAAGGAAATACTTCAAATGATGCTCCCATTTGTAGCGCTTTTTTCTTGCAGCCCCAGAGGGGGTTGGGCCAATATATAGAACAAGATTGTCTTGCGCAGGGAGTCTCTCCAACGCTGAAGCTTGTCAGACAGCTCAATGCAAATGGGCGGGACTCCCATAGTGCTATACGAGGGAAATATTGAGCCCAGGACCGTGCACGTCACTGAAAGCTGTCCCCCAGCCATGTCGCGCGCGGGGACATGGCGTTTGGAAGACTTTGAGCTGCACAAACAGCTGTACAAAGGGAAGGCATCCCTTCTCTACAGAGCAACATGCAGGTTGTCAGGTCTGCCGGTTGCCTTGAAGCTCTACAGAAAGCTCAGGCTTTCAGCTCTAAACTGGTATCAGGTATGTGGGCTATCTGGACCGCTCGATGAGTTCTGCATTGTCCCTCAGTACACATCCATTAAAGTCTGTTAATCCTCTTTGTTCTCACAGGTACAGCGGGAGATCAGGATACACAGCCAGCTGCAGCATGAGAACATTGTACAGCTCTATGCAGCCTTCGAAGACAGTGACCATGTGTACCTTGCGCTGCAGTATGCAGATGGCAAGTCAACACCTCGAACCTGTGATACGAAATAGCATGTGTGATGTAGCAGTGTAGCTGCTGCCTTGAGCATGCCAATGGCGTTGTTGGCGCAGATCAGGCTGTGCATGTGCAGGGGGTGATCTGTACGAGGAGCTGAAACGCCACGGTGGTCACTTGAGCGAAGAGACAGTGGCCAGAGATGTCATCCGACCATGCCTGTCTGCTCTTGCATACCTCCACCTCAAGGTGTGTTTGTCTACCACATCCAAATTTCATTTTCATAGCTGAAGAGCTGACAGTGGTGGGACTTGGATTGATTTGCCAGTGAACAGGGCTTAATCTTGTGTAACATAGGGGTTCTTGTGGAGGGACTGCAAGCCTGAGAACATACTGCTGGCTGGGCCGGGCTTTGGTAGTGTAAAATTGGCAGATTTTGGTCTGTCCATTGATTCAACAGAAGAGCGCCCAGTGACGCGAGCAGGGACACTGGATTACATGGCCCCTGAGGTGTGCCTATGTTGCCCTGTCCATGGATTTCTGCTCTGCATCTCTTGATTCTTTTCATCAAATTCTCAACATCTATGTCTTTCGGTGCTATCAGCTAGGCCAGATCAACTCACAGTGGCATGCTGGACAGGTTGTCATGTGCCCTGAAAAGAGCTACCCACAAGAGAACAAGGAGAAAGCCTTGCTGGGCTACACATCCAGGTGAACAAATGGCAACCACACCTGTGAGACCAACTGAAAAGATATTTGCCTCTGTTCCTCCATTGTTCCCACTTGCCCAACCTCAGGTCCAGCGGTGCACCGCAGTGTGGATGCCTGGGCGATCGGAATTCTGGGATATGAGCTGGTTGTTGGGCATCCACCGTTTGAGAGAGAGACCCGCACAGACACCTACGAGCAAATAATGTACCGCCGGCCCAATTACCCTGCCTGGATATCAGAGGAATCACGCACGTTCATCAGTGCCGCACTGACAAAGGTGATGACGGATGCATCGAAGGAGGGACATGGCCTTGGATGTTGCAGTAAAAGAGAAATGCAAAGTTTTGTGTGAGAAATAGCTAAGACCATATGCAGCAAGTAGGCGAGTAGGTGTGTGGAAGCCACACTGAGGGTGCATGCTCGATTTTCTCGTTTGCGGCTGCAGTCTGCTCGCAAAAGACCCACGGCGGCAGATCTTCTGGATCATCCCTGGATTCTCAAGCACTGTCCGCGCACACCTGTACCAGCAGCTGCTGAAGGCCAGAACGAGGTTGCCAGCGAGAAGTCTGCTGTGTCTGACAGCAAAGAATCAGATGATGTGAAGAAGGTAAGTTGCAGCTCTGGGATGGTCAGACACATACAATATTGACAAGGAACTAAAGCAGCTGCTAGCAGGACTAAAAAATGTTTTGCCCGACCATATGGCATCTTTCTTAATTTATCATATGCATTGCTTGTGGCTTTACTTGCACAAAATTTTAGCTAATCATAGCAGCTGCTGGCTTTTGATGTGCAGGCATCTCCAGCGTCCTTCTTTAACATCATGGTGGACTGCAATGTTGCATCAAGCGATGTTGCTCCACCTGAATCCCAGCACTCAGCACCTGTCACGGTAACCCTGCAAGCATTCTCAAACACACTGCCATATTTCTTGGCTGCTGACTGTACCAGCGCTACCATGGCACCTTGTGATCTTTTCTGTTTGCAGGCCGCCGGCAGCGATCCAGAAATGGGCTTGCAGAGCATCTTCCAGTGGGCCAACTCTTCAATACAGCGTCTTACCTCGAGGCTTCTTGCCAGCACAGCTGTGGTGCAGGATCATGTTTTGTGGAGCGCTGAGTCCTTGCAGGTAGGTCCTGCACCATCTTGGACAATTAGCAACCAAATTCTTGCCCGTATTTAATTTACATTGCCTTGTGCAGGGAGACGCCACTGAAGAGCACACGCCGCCAGAGAGCAGCGCAGATGAACCGTCGACTGCCAGGCAGAGGAGTGCTTCGTCGGAAGGGGGTTCCCTGGCGACCCTGTTCTATCCACCCCTGCCAGACGACCACCAGAAGAGGAATGCAAGTGGCTTTGCCGAGTCGCTTGTCAAATCAACGGCCCTGCTGGAAGCAGAGAAGCTCAGGAAAAGCAGGGCAAGCGGCATGGATGCGGAGAGCGCAGATGCATGCAGCACCCCCACAGCGATCAAAGCGCACCGCGGATCCCAGGCTGCACCCAGGGAGGGCTGTCCTGGTGAGTCCGGAAGCGCAGCACCCAGCGCAGCTATTGCAGCGCTGCATGATGCAGTTTCACCCTGGAGTAGCCCCGCCCGGAGGCGTGGCCATGGCGACTCAAGCGGCAGTCTTGCATCAACTCCCCCGCCACGAGGGCCCATCAAGTTCCCAAGTTACAAGGAGGGCCGATTGTCATACAGCAGGGCAGGGGGTTCCGTAGAACGACAGCCAGACAGTCAATATTAGGGTCATGCACTTGCGTGTAACTCTCTTTATTCTACATACCATCAGGGGAGGCCGCCAGATACTTCTTTGAGAGCAGGCTTGATGTGATGATCAATATCACCATCATCGTGATCACTGCTGCATTGCATTTAGACGATGTTCTTATTCATAGATGTTCGGATAATCAACCGATATGGCAAGTACTGAGCCCTGATGGGCTTTTTTTAGGTCAGAAAATTTGCTTTGAATCAGTTTGAACATACTTGCACCCTATGGTTCAGGGACGCTTGCTCATGTTTGAGACTCGCACAGTTTGCTGGCTCTGTTATAACTGAAATTACTCAGTACACCTGCCAAATGTTGCTAGTTGAGATGCAATAACGTAATTCAAGGTAAACGATATCGATTCAGACAAGATGATTTCATTACAATGCAATTCCATGGCAAGAATCTGGGTTGTCAGGCTGCCATGCGCTCCAGAAGCATTGTGGTCGTTTTTGCAGCATTTACTGCAACTGCCACCTGTACATTGGCTCTGTCCGTCCAGCCATGGGGATTGTTCCAGCGCTTCAACCCAACATCCATCACAGTCATCCCAGTTGCCACGCTCTCTGTCAGCACCCTGACTTGACCAAATCTCCATGTGAAAAGCGCGGGTTGCAGGACAGCAGCCAGAGCTGATGGGTCATGTACATACACAGAATCCATGTCATAAGAATCCCTGCGACAGCAAATGTACAAGCAAGTCAATGTTGCAAGCACTTCTGCGAGCGATGCATCACTTGAAATGTATCCAGGTATGACAACTGTAGCTTCGTATCAGGAGTTTGGGGCTTACTTATGATACTTGAGGTAAAACGCCGTGATCTCTGACAAAAATGTTCCAAAGCGCCCCCTGTCTTGCAACCCTCTCAACTCAGTGCCAGTGAATTGACAACTGTGGGTCACATCAAGCCCGACTATCTTGATGTTGCCACCTTGCCCAAGCACGAAGTCGGCTGCTTCAGGATCTGTCAAAGCACAGAGATCTGTTTGTTCTGATGCTGTCAGCCTGAGAAACCACAAAGTGACATGGGTGCAGATATGGCGACTTTAGTTTTCTGATGGTCCGCCCACCTCCATACATGTTGGCTTCAGCTGCAAGCACCAGGGGACAATGTTGAGACTGCCCGAAAGGATCTTGCCAGATCAAATTTCACTCATAGAGTACAACAGAATCTGGACGATTACCTGCAGGGTTAACATTGCCATTCACGAAAAATGCTCCCCCTAAGACTACTATTTCTGCCTGCATGGAACAACATCCGCTTCTTCAATCTCAGCCCTATCGTGGCGACGGAAGCCACACAACGTGAACTCCGCTGAACAGCGCACCGCATTTCTTGCTACGCTGCTGTCAAGCTGCATTGCAATAGCAATGTTGGTCAGTGGCCCCAAAGCTAGGATACTGACTTCCCCAGGGTTCTCTCTGACTGTCTGAACAATGAATTCAGCAGCACAGCCGCTCCATTTTGTTCCCTGAGAGAAGCAGACTCTTGTTCACACTTTCAAACGCATGACATGCGCTAGCATGGTTCACCTCTTGCAATGAGACATGAAGCGAGCTCCTTACGGAAGGAAGTGACCTCTGCGATGTCAATGTTGATGTTTCCAAAACCATCAGTGCCATGCACAAAGTCTGCCACCCATGTCTTTGGTGTACCATTCAGTGTTACATGAGCGCCCTCGGCCACAGGCACCTGTGGGAGCAGCACAGCAGCATGCTTCAGCAAGGATTCTCCACCATTCTTGGTGTGTGCAACACTGAGCATCATTGCGGTGAAAGTACATGCTGTTCCCCTTCAAATCTAAGGCCATCACCTGTGTCATTTCAGCCAACTCCAGCAGCTTGAAAGCATTACGGGTAGCTGTCTGGGTATACACATTACCAAACACCGTTGTGAGCCCGATCACTTCAACCTCTGGCGAGTTGAAGGCTGCCAAGATTGCCATTGCATCGTCTGCAGCATTTGGAAGGTTTGTTCTTGAGGTGGGATCATCAAGGTACTGGATCAGCCAAGCCTCACAGATGTCTCAAACATTTCTGATCAGGGGGTCCCAGCACATTTCACATGCACATTGCATAAAATCAAGATTCATGGTCGGACACCGTCACTGTTGCTGTGTGCTGTGTCTCACCAACGCCAGGATCTGTGTCGATCAGAAGCTTCTTTCTCTGCTGCGTCATCTGAAAGAGGAATGATCTTTCCCTTGTGAGATAGGTGTATGCTCAACGCATTCAAAGAGACGTCACATTGTACAGAAAGACCCGCTGTACTCCCATAAGAGTAGATGGGGATCTCAAAATCTCACTGTCCTGCTTTCTCGCACAAACTGGATCAATGTCACAGATAGTACAACAGCACAACTGATCTCTTTTCAATGCGTTTGCTCGATCCTCAATACAAGCCTGGTCCCAGGAATCGCAATCACTTTCAGCCACGTGGCATCACATGATACCACGTGCTGAGATTGCCAGAGCAACCTTCCTTTTCGTTGCCCTGGGCTTCGCCAATCCACGAACGTACTCCTTAGACATATCGGAACAAGGAGGTCCTGTGGCAGCACTCTTGCACTTACACAGATCATTAGCAAAAAGGAATTTCTCAATAACATCACAATCCTGCTCCTCTTGAATAACCAGGAAGGGACTCCGAGATGGGTCGCGGATCAAGGCATTCCAAGAATGCCGGCACTATGGGGTCGGAGGCAATGACATATGGGGAGATGAAGGGTTTGGGATATGGAACAGTCTCGGAACGACTGGGAAAGGTGCTCAGTGCTCTTCTTCGTTTATCATTTGTCCGATGTATTTGTCATTCAACAAAAGCTGCTCAATATCTCTCATTCTGGATTGCAGGATGCAGTTGGCAATTACTACGATTGTCGCCTCACCCTTCAACCTGCGGTGGTGAGTGGACTTGTCTTCTTGTGGTCACATGAGCTTTAGTCCTCTATCCAACCCAGCAGGAAACTTTGCTGATACCTGATTGCTCCTGACCTGGACAAGGACCCGGTCTGCACGCCAGACGGATACCTCTACAGCAGAGAGGCCATTTTGGAGAGCCTGCTACAGCAGAAGAAGTCCAACAAGAGGAAATATGCAGTGTGGGAGGCCCAGCAGCAGGAAGTATTGCGAAAGGTACTTTTTCCCTGTTCCGTGTCGACACTTTGCGTATTCCCATGCACGCCATTGCAGGAGTTGTTAGGGTAGCAGCTTAGCAGAAGGTGCTTTGACAGGAGAGTGAAAGGGAAGCAGTGGAGGCACAGACGCATCTATTGGCGTTCGATCGTCAAAATCACATGGGAGCTTCTGATACGGTGGCAAGGACCCTTAAAAAGGCCATCCAGGAGGAAGCAGAGGCCATGCTCAGCGACAAGAAGGTTGTCAACAGTGCTGTCAACATCGCTGGCAATACAGAGAAGATCAAGGTACGCGGAAATCTCTGCTGTATCTGCAGCATAGCACATTTCAGGAGATGGATCGTCTCACACATGTGCGCTTGTGCTGACAACGTCCTGCTTCATGCACACAGGAAATGAAGGCATTCTGGCTGCCCTCAAAAGCACCAGAGGCCAATAATATTGTGGCCAAGCCAGACATGAACACATGCTGCCCAGCCAGTGGAAAGAAGCTGCGTCTGAAGGACTTGATACCTGTCAGATTTACGTGCGTCCCCGAAGCAGAGGATGGATACGCCATGGACCCTGTTACAAAGGACACATTCTCAAACGCTAATCGAGTGGTGGTACTGAAACCAACAGGTGCGTCATCACTGCGGCATCCTTGAAGTTTGTCTTATGCTGTTCTTCGTGCCTGTTTTGATGTTCATATGCAGAGAGTTAATCTGTTGATTGTAAAACACTGTCTGAGATGTTCCTTTTGGAGGGCAGGTGATGTGATGTTGAAGGAGACGTACAAGAGCTGCGTGCAGCCGGAAGGCATGTACAATGGGACCGCCATAAAGGAGAGCGATGTGATCGAGCTCAAGAGGGGCGGCACCGGCTTTGCAGCCCATGATGGCCAATCTGTGCAGGCCAAGAAGTTCTTTCCGCTGGGTCCAGGGTCAGGCAAATACGATTTGCGCGGGCAGCACCAGGCCGCCAGATCGCTTGGGGGTCTGTCCTTCCAGAATTAAGTTCTGTGGTGTATGGCTTGGCAGGCATGCATGCACTAAAGATGTGGCGCTTCCTTGAGCACACTATGACAAAGAGGTGACGACCAATGACCTGCTTGGGAGGGGTATCCCAATTCTGCCCCAGTTCATCGGTTGTGCGAGTATGAAAGATGACTGCGTACAATTCATTTTTGGGAACCTGCATCAATATGCTTGTGTGCAAGTTGTGATACCTGCATTCAATGGTCGTTTATCTAGGAGTGCAACAACTTGTTGCCTTGAAGGTGTCTGAATGGGAGTGTCCTGCAAGGCGCTCTTGTTCTACAAAGGTTCTCCACTATGCAGTGATCACAAGTCTCTGGAGGAATCATGCAAGAAGCATCGTCATGATATTGTGCACATGGGACTGCCTGCAAGATACCAGCAACTCAGGCAGACTTGAGATGTCCAAATCTATAAAGAGACTGAATCTCTCAACTAGACAGCAATGCTGGCAGCTTCATCATGACTCACTGGGATAAAGCCTGGCAAGACGAGAGCTCCGAGCTCTCGTTTCAGAATCTAGTTTATAGATATCATATGATCATAGCTATCGATATATCGGCTGCAGCTGTAAAAAGCTAGTGCTTGTGATGAAAACCTCATTGTAAAGCGTCTAGGCAGTAGCAGAACACCAGGACAATGACGGTGAGAGCATTGGGGAGCCTGAATTATCAGCAGTCTTGTGCATGGATTCCTTCTGGGGTTTCTCCTTCCCATGCATGATGAGTCTGAGGTGACTAACCCTGCTCTTGGCACCGAGAATAAGCGGACACATTTGTGCAGATCTTTGTACTTTACTTGACAGAATTTCTTAAAAAGAAAGTACCGGAGCAGACCTGCTGCAGCATCAATCGCGCCAGTCCAAGAAAACAAACCCGCACCTTCGTTTGACTGGATTGTTGACTGATTAAATCCCACATCTGCAGACATGGATCTATCAACTGTCATACGATTTTACATCGAAAAAATGCTGAAGGACGTCAAGGGCATGAAAGCTCTGCTCTTGGATACAGAAACTACACGGATAGTCAGCACTGTATATAGCCAGTCTGAAATATTGGAACAGGAGGTCTACCTCGTTGAAAAGCTAGATGCAGACCCTGGAGAGCAGCTTCTGCATCTGAAAGTGCGCCTCCTGGATGACCTTTGTTCCTCTTTGCAATACGATTGCAGGGTGATCTTGGTGGATGTCTAGTGTGTCTGACCCTTGCGACGCAGATTCCGTGCTTCTTTGAGAAGCTGACGTTGTGATTTGAATATTGCGATTTAAATGAGAGACCAAGATGCGCTGTTTGCAGGCGGTCTGCTTCTTGAGGCCTACACGAGAGAATGTCGCTCGCCTCAGGAAGGAACTTCGTTCTCCACGTTATGGAGATTACCATCTCTGTAAGTCATTTGATTGTGGTGCCTAGAGTGTGATATTGTATCTCTTCCAGGGCGCGAGGTAGCATCTGACGTTACTGGTCCAGGCGCCTTCACACTTCCCTTTGTGGTATGCAGTCTTCACCAACAGAATTGAGGACTTACGGCTCCAAGACTTGGCGGAAGTGGATCTCAGGGAAACTGTATTCCAAGTCCAAGAGTTCTTCGGGGACTTTGCAGTCCTGGACCCCCACCATTTTGCGGTCCCCGTTTTGCAAAACCATGTCACACTGCAGCCCTTCACATGGGACTATGGGAGGAGGTATGGACACCAATGGGCATAACGTCAATCTACGCTCTTACCTGCATGTCAAGCATTTGTGGAGCTTTTGCTTCAAGTACAAGTTCATGGACCTGATACATTGGTGCGCATGCCTTGTGCAGCACGGATGCAGTCGCACGGATGACAGAGGGCTTGGCATCTCTCATGCTCTCCCTGCGGAGACGATTTGCTGTAAGGTGCGTTTGGCGGGTCACTGTCACATGTCGACAATGCTGAGCAGTTCTAAAACTCCGGAATGTGGCTGACAAGTGTGGCTCACACAGGTACCAGAAAGGGTCAGAAATGTGCGAGAAGCTGGCCCAGTCCCTGCATCACCTGACCACATCAGAGGAGCGCGAGCTATTTGACTTTGGCAAGCGTGGAGGGGAGGTGGCACCTATCGTGCTGCTGCTGGACAGAAAGGAGGACCCTGTCACTCCGCTGCTGTTGCAGTGGACTTACCAGGCCATGGTGCATGAGCTCATCGGCATCAACACCAACAGAGTGGATCTCACGCATGTCCCAGGGGTGCGGACGCTCTGGCTTGCAGCAGCACCTTCAGTAGCTTTCTGATGCCTCGGCGTCGTCTGAGCAACCCGTGACCCTGGCAATGCGCGCTGAGCAGGTGAAGAAGGACTTCCAGGAGATTGTGCTGTCAGCGCGGCAGGACGAGTTCTACAGGAAGCACATGTATGCAAACTTTGGTGACATTGGGGCGGCAGTGAAGGACTTGGTGGACGAGTTCCAGAAGCAGTCTACCAGCAGCCGCAATATCAACACCATTGAGGACATGCAGAACTTTGTGGAGAACTTCAGCGAGTTCAGCGCAGCGCAGCGCAATACGGGGAAGCATGTCACGCTCATGTCAGAGCTGTCCCGCCTTGTGGACGCGCGCACGCTCATGCAGGTGCACCCATCGCTTTGTGTGATGATACTTTAGTGTGTACTCTTACACCCGCTGCTTTGTTTAGCATGAATGTGCAAGGACATGTGTATTGAGGGCTTAAAATGGGTGTGTGCAGGTGTCCAGTGTGGAGCAGGAGGTGTGCTGCAGCACAGGGAATCTGATGGGGCACTATGAGGCTGTGCGGGACCTCATCAACAGCCCGCACATCACTGACGATGACAGGTGAAAAGACTGGAGGGCAACTGTCCTTAATCAACCACTTTACCTGTGGTTTAGGCATGCTGTCTAGGAGGCGAGGTCATGAGATGCTTGAGCAGACTGATGCTGGTGCAGGATGCGGCTGGTGATGCTGTTCGCATTGAGGTATGAGCGGGATGGCCAGACGCAGCTGACAGATCTGCTGCAGCGATTGCAAGACTTTGGGCTGATGCGGCAGCAGCTGGGCCTGGTGCGCACGCTGTTGGCCCATGCCGGCGCTGACAAGCGCATCGGGGACTTGTTCTCCAACAGATCCTTCTCCTCCAGATTCGCCACCATGGCCAAGCACAGCCTGCGGGTGAGCAACGTGACCTCATGCCGTCACTGCGTTTCAAGCAGGAACATCTTGATCTCTACTGCTAGCAATCCAGGTGTCTTCCCATGTGAACGCTTGAACCCTCTCCATCTGCAGGGCGTGGAAAATGTCTACACACAACACACGCCTCTGCTCATCAACACTTTGGAAGCCCTCATCCGCGGCCGCTTGAAGGATACAGATTTCCCCTACATAGACAAGACGCACAACGGAGCCTCGCCTGCAAAGGTTCCCAAGGTGTGCATCTGCCTGGCATCAGTGAGGCGTCTACAATTTTGCATCATGTCTGACTCGAGTCACGTACACCAGGGAGATTCTGATGAAGTCTTTTTTTCTGGTGCAGTTGATTGTGGTGTTCATCGTTGGTGGCACAACCTACGAGGAAGCAAGGGCACTGGCAGAGCTGAATGCGCAAGGAGAGAGGAATGAGGGATGGTCTGCTGGCGTGAGAATACTGCTGGGTGGCACAGGCGTGCTCAACTCAAAGTCTTTCATGGACAATCTTATGGCATTCATGGCGCTCAACTGAAATAGCTGTAGGTCTGCATGTTCTTGTCACTCCAAACTGGAGTCCAATTGATATCCACGTGCCAGAGAGTTTGGATGCGATTGCTGTAACTGGACCAGCATGTAAGCCATACATGGCTGCCAAATGCATGGTACTCCGGTTTTGAACTGCTTCAATTCCTTCAACAGCCTTCTACAGTTGCTACCGTCTGAAATGCATGACATGAGTACAATCCTCAGCAGCAATGGAAAGAGAAGCGTTGTGCAAATCGACATGCTGCCAGTGGTACAATCTACGAAGATGTTGTTGCTTGGATCAATCTCAAAATATCTGGGTCATTGAGCTTCACTGCCGATTTGATACCATAGCACCAACAGTCCACTTGATCCCGAAGGGCTGCCACCGCCGTCATCTGAGTGGGACTGCACGCACACAACGAATATGCACAGTGGTCAGAAAGCAACAAGCAGCACGATAGGAATATTCGCTGGCACAGAGAGTTAATCTATCACACATCATATTGATCCTCTCTCTGTACCACCTCAGCAATGCCAGACAGACAGTCTCACCTGTCTGCTTCAAGCCTATTCCTGGCATCACAGTGCCATCTAGCAGCATTGTGAAAGGCTGCCTGGAACTCCTGCAAGGTGTTATATCCGCCATGGGACGCGGCCTCTGCAACAGCCGCTAAGCTAGTGCCTGGCGGTGCCTCAGCCGACAGAAGGATCTTTGCTGATATTGCGCTGCACTTCTTCACGAGGGCCTGACCACACCACCGAATCCCATCCTCCACCTGCAGAACGAAAACAAGACAAGAACTCATGCCTCCTAAAATATCTTGGACATATTGCAGACAAACATGTGGTGTTCATAGTACTCGAGGAATGGCACACCTGTTGCAGGATCTGTTGGCCGCGCTCCCTCTCTGCTGCGTTGAACACTGGCAAGGACACCAGCGGGCCAGCAGATGCGGCGTTCTCCTTTCTAACAGCTGGAACATCCTTGGCAGTCATCCCTGATGAGCATGCCGTGGCCTTGCGTCTCTGGAGCAGGTGCTCAATGCTCGTCTCTGCTGGGTGCAGCTCCCTGACTGGAAGTTCATCCTCTAGGATGATCACAGAATCAGCAGCATGCCGCTGGTTGCCCACGGCTGAGCTGGTGCTGAAGAAGGAGATGAGCAGCGGTGGAAGCTCTGCAGGCCTGCAGTGGCTTGTAGCAAGAATGAGCACTGGGTTCGATGGCGGCACCTGGAACAGCAGGTTCATCGTCAAGTGCGCGTTCCAAAAAGATACACTGCTTGTCAAAATTCAGCAGATGTGCACAAACGATCAACAGAGTCATGCCCTCGTATTCTTGACAGATGCTAGGTAGTGAGTAGGCTCACCTCCCTCACGGTCTGCTCAAAGACCATCCACAGCTCTGAGACACAGACCGCTTCAATGCCCATGCTTGCGCCATCAGCAGCAGCTGCACATGCAGTGGCGCCTTCAATGAGAGAAATCAAATGGCACAGAAACAGAGATGGCAGTTATGCTTGCATGGGCATGAACAGGCAAATTTATGAATGATGAACTGCATCCTGCCCACCTGATATTGACTCACAGGCAGTAGGCTGCACTGCTCCGTTCTGGTCAGATGCTTCTCTGCCACCAGCATTTTCTGCAGTATTGATGCCGCCGCCCTGGGCATCCAGCATACCAGAGAGGCGCCTGCCCACCAATGGGAAGTCCAGATCGTTGGCGAGCGGCATCGAGCTGCAGCCAGGGGAAGCAATGGGGCTGAAGCCCGCTGACAGGCGGCTGGGCGTGGCTGGCCTGGGAGACATCTGCGCCCTCCAAGCCCTGCTGGGCGACTCATTGCCCCTGGCCTCTAGTGACACAAGGCCCCTGTGCGTTCACAAGCACTCCTCATGCCCAGCCCACTTCTTAAGGCACTTGCAGCCTTGTTAACTCCAATTCAGGAGCCCAGAGCACATAGAGGGGTACCTGAAGGGCGATGACACGGCTGCAGCGGCGGAGCCATTGGCGAGCCTGGAGCTGTTCCTGTACGCAGGCGCCTCAGGTGACGCACACTCTGCTGCTCCCGCTTCCAAGGGATCAACCAGGGTGCGAGTGACTGCCCAGCCATCAATGCGCGGCAGGAAGAGCACTGTCAGCTGCCCTGGCGCAGCCCTGCACCATCGCCACAATGTGCATATGAGCGTGCCGCCTGATCAATGCATGTCTTGCCTGCACAGAGGGAGCCGTTCTCTGTGGTCTGTTGCTCGGCTCCGCTGTCAAATGTCTGTTTGGATGAGCATTGTCTTATAAAGCAGGGAGGAGGCAGACCTCTGGGCAGCCTGTCGCACGGTGGAGATGCAGCCGAGAGCAGAATCGCCGCAGCCAGCAATCACGATCTGCGCCAAACTCACAGCCGCCAGGTTGACGCTGCTGCCCAGCAGCTGCAGCAGTGCGCCCGCAACCTGCGGCTGTCCGCGCTCGCCCACGCCTGCAAGCAGCACTCGGAAGGGGCCGCGCACGTCCGGGTCCGCAGCAGCACTCTTCGGCAGCACTGGGGGTGTCGGCGCAGCCGGCTGCAGCTGTCCGTCCTCTACCACCCCATGCTGCACAGCTCCTGGAAAGGCAACAAATAGCGTATCTCACACCAAGTTCCAGCCTGAGCTCTGTGTGTGTGAAGCGAGAATGAGCGCGAGTGATCAAAACTCTGCAGAAGGTGTCATTTATTGATGACAACAGAAGCAGACTTTTGTGATGTCCAGGACTTTTTAATTCTTAAAGCAGAGCAACCACCTGAGGCGATGACGTGCTCTGCCGCCTTCAGGGCTCCGGCCTGCACCAGCCTGGTGCGCAGCTCTTCCCATACGTCCCCCTGTCCTGCATTGGCGCCGGCATCTGGTGGGTCACGGGCCTCCAATGAGCGCGCAATGCTGACCTCAGCGAGGCTTGCCGCGCTTGCGGCGGCGGTGGGCAGCGGTAGCCCACTCGCATGCAGCACACGCAGCGCAGCTGCAAGGCTAGGCAACAGGGCGGGCGCCAGGAGGGCCTGCATTGGCGCCGCGGCGTCCGCGGCCAGAGACGCCAGCCCCTGCCGGCGAGAGCAAGGCTCCGGAGCGGCCGCGAGCGCCTCGCGCCAATCACTCGCCCGCACATGCACCCCAGAGAGCACCGTCTCTGTATCCATGCTCCCGTTCGCGTCGCCTGGCACTGTGTGCGCATCCGCTTGCGCTCTCGCATCGCACGATGCTGCGCTGCTGCCTGCTGCATGTGGCTGCAAAGCTGCTTGCTGTGGCTGCGCTTGTCCATCCCCTGGCTCTGGTGCTCCGCTTGCACTATCCTCAGCTGCAAGCTGGCGGGCGCTGGCCCTTGTGCGGGGCGCCTGGCCTTCCTCCTGGCTGAGACTGGGCTGACCTGAGGCACCAACCATTCCGCAGTCCGTCATGAGTGATGGGCCGTCAGGGGTCCCGGACGCTTGGGCTGACATGGCCTGCTGCTCCAGCTTGTGCAGGAGGGCTGGGGCCGTGCGATTCACAGCAGCCATGACTGCGCCAGCGCATAACGCCTGCAGGTCGGCCCCGGCGAACCCCTGTGTTGCTGCAGCCACTGCCTGCAGGAGCTGTATGGAAGGTGGAGGCTCCCACCTGGCATACTACATCAGTCTCTCATGCAGATGCCTTGTGACCCTCTGACATATCCATGGGCAGTCATAGAGTGCAATTAAGTCCCCACGCATTGAACAGTCATTTGATAGTTGGCACTCGCGATCGCATGCCTGCAGGAGTAGACATCTTGAACACCATGCAAAGGACCATTTTAACTGGACACTTCCCGCACCTGCATGTGTGCACGCTCAGGATCTCCAGCCGGTCAGCAGTTGATGGCAGGCCAAAGTAGACCTCCCTGTCAAATCTCCCCGGACGCCGCAGGGCCGCGTCAATCGCTTCTGGCCTGATTGCAGCAATCCATTGGGAATCAGCATGGTGGATGATGTATAGGACATGAGATAAAAGAACATGGTGTGACCAGGCAAGGGCGCTGCAGAGTGGGCATCACCGGTTGGTGGCCCCTATGACGACGACAGCGCCGCGGTCGGCGACGCCGTCCATGAGTGCGAGCATGGTGGACACAACGCTGGCATAGATCTGATCGCTGCCGCCGCTGCCGGCCTGGCCGCGCGCCGGCACCAGGCCGTCCAGCTCATCCAGGAAGATGATCGCTGGCGCCTGCGCAGCCGCCTGCAACACGCACCAGGACACCCCTCTGGCAGCCTTGAGGTAGCCCAGTGCAACAGCCCATACGCTCTCCCGGGCAATAGGGAAACATGGAGTCTTCAACGCTGTGTGCAACAAATGGCCACATGCAGGCGCCCTGCGGTTAGCCGGACCTGCCGGAAGATGTATGGCTTGTGAGGAGGGTGAAGAGGAGGGTATCACCTCCTCGAAGAGCAGGCGCAGGGTGCGCTCGGCCTCCCCGCTGAACTTGCCAAGGCAGTCGGCGCCCTTGCGCGCAAAGAAAGCCACCGGCTTTGGCGACGCCCGCGCGCATGCCCCCGCCAGCGCACGAGCAGCCAGGGTCTTGCCCGTGCCGGGCTCGCCATGGAACAGGATGCCCCTGCAGGATGGCAGCCGCCTCAATCCAAGAACTCACTTAGGTTTCTCCATCTGCTGCGCCATCTCGTCCCAAGCGTGGAACCCAAATTCCTAGCGAGAACGGGAAAAAATAGCGGACCTGGGCGGAGAAATGCGCATGTGGCTGAAGAGCTCTGGATACAGCAGCGGCAGAATGACCATCTCCTTGAGCTGTTCCACGACATGCTGCAGGCCGCCCAGTGACTCCCAGCCGGGCATGCTGCTCTGCTCCCCAGGCTGCGGCCTTCCTACACAGCATAGCACAAGAGCGCAAGGCTCTTAAAGCTGTCTATTGGATCGCTGCAAGCTGTGAGAGCATATATTTGAGAAGTGCTCTCTGGGAAGATGGCATGGTCGGCGCTCACTGAGGATCACAGGGTTCAGCTTGGCCTTGTCACGCTCCAGGCGTTTCTCCTCCTTGCGCTGGAAGTGCTCCTCGTCGTCAGAGGACTCGCTCTCCTGCCTGCACACAGCGACGATGTATATTTTCTGCAATGTACCCCTTCCATGCTTTCCCTGTCTTAAGGCGTTATCTTTACTGGGCACAAATGGTCGCAGTCACATGCCCACCTCATCTCCATGCGCGCGCGCTTGTGAGCTGCTCGCGCAGTCTGGATGTACTCTTTGATCTCTTCCGCTCTCCTACCCCTCTTTCCCTTGGTTTGCACGCGCCCGCCCTGCTGGCTGGGGCGTCTTCGGACAGGATTGCATGGCGACTCAGGCAAGGCCCTGCATGCCGCAAGGGATATTTGTTCAGGTCCAGATGATCGATGCTCAGATGTGTTGTAGAATATCTTGCACAAACAATAGACAAAGGCTGGAAAAGTGAGAGAGCGTCTTGTGCATGCATCGCCCAAACCCACCCATCCTGTTCGGCCTCCTCTTTGAAGGCTGGTGCATGTGTGGTGCATGCCACAACGAACTGTGCAGGGTAGAAGGTGCAGCCTGCTGCCCTTGCACAGTGCAAATGGAAGGAGTGCGAGCAGCGCTCCACCCGGCAGCCAATAGTGGCTCCTCTGGTTTGACAGTGTGAGCATCTGCACAGAGACACTCTTTTGAAGGCCTGAAGACAATCTGGTTGTCTTTGAATATATTGTGATGCCGCTGTCAGTGAAGTGCACCAAGGAGCAATAATCAAGGCGATCTGCCCACGTTAGGTGTGTAAGAAATACAAAGCCTCCATATGCTTTCGTACCTCATTGCACGACCCCTCTTCACTGCTGCCTGAAGACACCGCAAGGTGCCTTGGGCAGTCTGATAAACCTCCGGGCTCCAGAGCGCACACAAGCGGTGGCAGTAGTAAGAGTTTGATCCCAAAGGTCCCAAAAGAGGACCCAAACAACCGCCTGCGAAGGCAGCGTCCTTCCCACAGAGGGCACAGCTCATGCTCATGTGATGGTGAGAATCCCCGGTGCGAAATTTGCGCTTGCAAACATCATCGTAGCATCAAGTGAGTGACAGGTGCAGTACATAAAACCGGCAACAGATGTGGGAGGATAATTCTCCTATTGGAACTGCTTCATAATCTTCCAACAAGAAGGCACTCCACATGGCCATCCACGTGGGCCCACATGTACATGATACATGCATGCGTACAGGCATCAGGCTCTCTCCACTAATTATCACCAAATTGCCACAAGACTGGTCATTATGCATTCGCCAAGGCACAACCCCATGCAACAAGGATGTCAAGTATGCAGTGTATGCTGGAATCCTCAATTGTTGACCACCCGCCCGAGCTTCAGAAGCTCAAGCAATGGCCCTCAAAGAGCTTGAGCTGAGTACATGCACTTGTACAGTCAAGCTGCCACAGAAGTCAGCCAACATCAAATAAACAAGACAACACCTCATTTGATCAAAATGTACTATTAATTCTGGTACAACAGATGTGCACAGCCAGCTCATATGAGTGCCATGCCATGCAGTGCTACACGGCAGGCAGGCCGTCTGAGGTTGGAAACAAATCGGGAGTACACACATGAGGCCCATGCAGCACACCCACATGCGCCGCGTGCAGATCCCAGGTAAGGGACTGCAAGTCATGCTCATATCAGCGCACAGCACACCGCCTCACATAATAAAAAGCCCATGTGCTGGCATTCATCATGGACAGGGTGTTGAAGATCAGCGTTTCATTCAGGTCGGTTGGGCAGCGACAGGCAGATATGGGGCACCAAGGGATTGCGTATAAGCCAAGCCCCATACAAGGTTGTCATCAAGAGGACAAGAAATCATTCAATTATATTCAAACTGCACTGCATCTGGTGAAATTGGGCATGGCCTCACTTCTCCTCCTCCATTGTGGATGCTGGCTCAATGCTACTGGCAGGCTCCGCAGTTTTGGGCCTCTTCTTGGCCAGTCTCTTGGCGACCTCCCTCGCCTCGATGTCCCTCTTCTTGTTCTCGTCGATGGCCGTGAAGATGGGCTCCAGCTCGTGCAGAGGGAAGTTCTTGGTGTAGGCGTCCAGCACCACTGCAACATCCGCAGGCATTTGAGCCAGCCAGGACTCTGAAGGCGGCCTGATGGCCGTCTCATGTGAGCATCCATCATGTCCAGAAAATTCTTGGGTCTTGCACATATGTTGATAAAAGCTGCTTTGACACACCTTTGTAATCGCCATGGGCATCAATGAAGAGAGCCCCCCTGCAACACACAACAGCTCGAGATACAGTACATCTGAAGATTGTATACAGTTCCGGCATCTTTTAGTCAGCACTTCAGTCTTGGGTTGATAATGCGGCGCACCAGATTGCCTCAAAGAGCTCTGCCTGCATGTTACATGTGACCTCCTCCTCTTTTCTGGCGAAGCACTTGCCAACCGTGGCCATCTTGTGCCACTCCAATTTTTTGCAGCCTGCATTCCATGTCCGCTCAGCTTACAACACCATCAGATGAGCCAGGCAATTTCAATGGGCAACTCTGATGCAGGTGGCCGACCAAAGCAAAGCACTGACTCTTTGGATGCAAAATACCATGGAGAAATATCGAGAAGGCAAGCTAACCTTCAGCGCAGAACTCCCGCATGACCTGTGATTGGACATCATGTCATAATACTGTTGCAGTTTCAGATCTAACATACTCATGTAAATAAAGGTCACACATCAACCCCAGCCGCCCAGGACAGGTTCATACAGTGGCAATTGTGAGCTCTAAGCTCTTGAGAGAGGGGAGGCCCAACAAACATGGGCATGCATGCAAGGTTCATCAAGAAAGAAAGAACTAGAGACTGGGCGTTACCATCACTTTGCGCCTGTCATTGAGGATCTCGGTAGTCTCTCCAGTGGATGATGCAAACACCAGCTGACTCACAACCAGCTGCATGGCAGCATCTCCTGCATGCACACCAATCAGAGAGTTGATGTGCAAGTGCAGTCCTATTCGTCCTGATGAATGATCCCACTGGTCTGAACACCTGTGCTGCTGCAGCACTACCAGCATGCATGCGAATGGCACATTCAAAACGGGCGAGCCTTTAAAATAGTGAGATCACACCCATCCAGCTCAGGCGGTAGTTGTTGAATTCTCCTGCTGAAGGGTGCAGAAATGCCTGTGCATGCACAGGGTAATACGTCAGCATGGCAACTGTGGACATAAAGCCTTGCCTCATCAACTCGGTATCCAATGATGGCATGCAGCCCTCTTTAGCTACATGGAATGTACATGGCATGCATCCATTGGGCTCTTCTGTGACAAGGGGGTACTTTTCTGCTCACATACCTGCCTCAGCAGCCACTTGTCCGTGAACTCGTACCTGCAATGCAAGACAATATTCCATTGAACACATTACACATTGTTTAAGGCTCAGCCCAGCACCTGAACAATGAGGAGGCTCTGGTGAAGGGGACCCGGAAAGCGTCACCCGAGATCTTTTTGAACCTTCTCCAGCTGCTTATCAGTGGGACCAAAAGCCATCCTTGCGTTTTCTGCCACGATCCTGCACAGAAGCCAGAGCATGAAAGCGTCAAGCAGAACAGATGTGTGGGACCAAGGGCCTTTCGTCCAGTGATAAAGACGATTGTAGAATTACTTCGTCTTCACCTGTTACTCTCTCTGCGGTCAGTCTGCCCAACGACCTTACCTAATGGAGCTCAGCACGCAAAAGCACGGAGCACAATTCTGATCGATTGGATTTTGCTCAGCGTTGACTGGGATTCACATGCATGCGATGCCCATGAATAATGAGGTCTCTCGGACAGTGCGATGGACTCAGGCTTCATTCAAAGATGAAGATTTCGACATCTTCCTGCACTGTGACCAGCAAGCGCTTAGGGTTGAGCTCCACTTATAGTTTTAAGAGAGTCCAGTGTTTGTACATCAAGGGCAAATATCTTGTGAGCATGCATGGGTGGTAGGCTTGGAAAGCTATGGACTCCGGACTTGCCAATCATCCAAAGTACTCTTACAACTTCCCACAAGATCGTATGAGACTGCCGCTGACTTAGCTGTTGAAAAGACTACACGTATGTGGGTTAACCTGCTTGTTACCGTCAAGCAAAGTTAAGTGTTGGCTGTGCTTGCACACTCAGAACAGGAATGAGGCTTAATAAGAGCAAAGAACGCCAGACATTTCATGCGTTTCTATCTCTACTTAATATCTTGCTAATGACAGCAGCCCGGAGTCACTTGTACCCAGAGGCACTCTCGGTTCTGCCATCGCTGTAGGTCCTCCTGTTCCTGAAAAGCTGTCCCGGCTGTTATGAAGTCCAATCACCAGCGGCAGCTGCGTGTCCTCTGAGGAGCTGAGAGAGCCACTCTTTGCAGATACCTCTGGAGAAGTACCAGCGTTACGTCCTGAGTTCACCCTCTGCATCCCCTGCACACCTGGCCTCACACCCTCTGGCACCCTGACCTGCAAGCCCTGCTTCTGCAGCTGGCTCACGATCTTGCGCGTCTGCTGACTGGCTGGGTCTGAGAATGTGCTCACAACGACGTGGAAGGGGCGCCAACCACTGGCAGAAAGCAAGCGGGCCTCTGCTGTCGCACGCCCCAGCAGCGTATTTGTGTTGGTCGACACTTCGTGTGGCCCAACAACCTGTCACGCACACCATTTCTCAGACACAAGCAGGACGAGCACAAAGAAAGGTTGACAATACTGCACAATCTCCTTTTGCCTGTGCATCGTTTGGCAGGCACGTCCTCATGGAGGTACAACTCCGCTACCTCATGCAGAGAAAGGGTGGCAGAGAAAGGGTGAAAACTGTTCTGACCTGGATTGCTACTTTCGGCTGGTCTCCCCAAGCCTCCAATGCAATGTCCACGGTGGGGAGGCCTTCCTGAAGGAAGACCAGGACCCTGTGCTTCACGCCCAGATTCTTCAGCGTGCGTGACACGCCGTCATGGGTGAGAGAGGGCACTGTATTTGCTGTGGCGCGCCACCACTTGGCAGCCGCCTTGTGCACTGGCTCCGGCAGGCTGACAGACACGTCAGCTGCCTGTGCCAGAGCTGAAGCCTGCAGCAGCTGCCTGAGAAGGCGGGGCTCCAAGACAGTTTGCTGTTTGTTCTCCAGCAGCTGGCTCATGCTCTCCACAAATATCGGCTGATTGCACTCGTCCAAGATGCTGAGGCCCCTGAAGACACAATCCATGTTTGCATAAGTCTTCAATGACACCATCTTCTTGGGAAGTGAGGTGCTCTGCGCTAATTGATGAGCCAGGACTTCAAGCTTCAAGCTTCAGAACGCAATGGTGAAACAGACAAGGCGCGGCATTGCTCTGCTCACCACATCACATTGCAGAGCTCGGGCGCAGTCATGCTGGGCAGATGCTGCAGACCAGCCTTGTTGATGGCTGCCATGGGCTCTGCTGGAACAGAGACGCCAAGAGATGCAAGGCCCCATATGAGAGCAGCCCAGTCTGAGGAGCGGAATGTACGAGCTCTGTCCTCATCAAGAACATACTCCAGCAGTGCCGCGATGAATTGCTTTGGTACAAAGCGAAACTTCACAAAAGCCCACAGGATGTTCATCAATTCCTGCAGCACACACAAACAAGCAGTCAGACAGGAAGTTACGCCAGAGAATAGACGTGCATGGGTTTTGTGGAGCGATCAAATTCTTCTATCACGCACCTGCGGAGAGAAGTCCTCGGCGTGGTCTGTGACATGCGTTTCTACTGCAGCGCAGAGGGTGGGGCTGTCCTTCTGCAGGCGCGCAAAAGAATAGAACATGTTTGCCACAGCCTGATGGCGGTACACGGACACGTCCAGCTCCAAGGCATGAGCAATCTGGTCCAGCAGATCGCCAGCAGGCGCATGGTCAAGCTTCCCATAGCCCCATGTAAGCATAGAGATCCCCTGGTGCAAAAGCATACAAATTCAGCATAAGCGGGGAGTGATGATAAATATGCAAGCAAGCAGTAGTTTCTCATACAGAATTGGCAGATGTCCACCTGCGGCTGGAACTCATGAAGGCGGGCAGAAGCAGCTGCTGCAATGCCATCAAGCAGAGCTTTGCCCGGGTTGTACTGCAGAGATCCAAATGCCCACACCACTGTGGACATGTCCCTTTCATTGAAGTCTGCAAGAAGTAAGCATGCATGATCCGCTAGACGGCGCAGAAGCTTGGGCCGGTTGTACTTTGCCTTGGCCAGGCTCCAAAGAGATTGGGCCAGTTCCTGTGCAGAACTCCAAAGTTAGACTCTTTGAACTTCTGGAGCACCCTCAGAATATGAACAGCAAACAATCATCATGAAGTCACCTTTGGCCCCAGCTCATGAATGTGCTGTTCGAGAACACTCAGGAACTTCGTGCATTCTGGTCTGCTTCGCAGCTGCTGCAGCTGCGATTTGGATAGGTTGACCAGGCGCATGAGGGCCAGAGAGGCATTTGCGCCAGTCATTATGGCGGCCTCCTCTGTCACAATGTCCAAGATCTCGGTGACACTCTGGCATTCCATCAACTCTTCATTGAGAGCGGCTGGAGCATGCACAGCCTCATGTGGATTTCTGAGTGGCTCGACAACCTCCTCTGGCAACCTTGGAGGCACACTTGCTTCCTGGGTGTGTTGCCGGCGTGGTGCACCATTGCCACTGGATCGCCCTTTCCTTGCTCTTAAAAGAACATCCCTGCTCCTGCAGACCTCTCTGAACACCTGCAACACACCAAAGCAGATTAAGCTTAGCAAGTGAAACCCACTTTGCGACGGTCTCCTCCCAAGCCAAAAGCCTTCTTACCTCAAACTTCCCTTGTGCATGCCTCCATGACCCACACGGAGTGAAGGGTAATCTATGGGAAGGTCCTGGATCACCGCAAGTACCCGTGACCCTGCACCAAGTGAGCGACATGAACCGAGGTGAGTCCTCTTTTCCCACCTCATTCAATCAGGCATCAATGCAAACCGAGATCATCCATGTCTTCTGTTATCGACTACAACCCCAGGCCTCCCTCTTTTATACAAGTGTGAAGAGTGCTTGCCTCAGACGGCTGCCGTGTACTAATAAATCCTTATGCATCCCTGTGCTCAGCTACTTGCTGTGCATACTCTCCCGAGCTAAAATTCAAACAAGATTTTCGCAGGCTAGTGAATGTATTCAAGAGGAGACTGTAGCCAACTTGATCAACTTTCAGTTTGTAGTAGGGTTGCGAGCTTAACTCCCTGTGTCCATGAGAAGCAAGGGTCACAAACTAGCAAGAAATTGAATAATCCCCTGGAAACAGGGAAGTGGGGGTTTAAAAAAACCCTAATCACATTGTCGGAAGGAAATTAGCGATCCTAATGCATAATCGATCTATAATCGAAATAGGCAGCTGTGTGCTAAGTGCTGTTCAACCTTTGGGACATCTTTTACACGGTGTTGCGTACACGGTGTTGCGAATAGATAGGCGTGCAAGGATCTCGATGTACTAAGTAACGATGGAAACATCTTCAGTCAATCGGGCCTTCAGTTGCGTAGTATATCTCGCCCAAAAATCAGTGGCAATGCGGAATATGGAATATTAGTCAGCTTCACTCTGAGGAAATAAAGTTGCATTTTAGAACACTGATCTCGATGGCGATGGCTGGTCCTATCGCCTACCTCAAGGAGGTCTGTCATCACGTCTACTCTGGTATTGCTTTTATTTTGGTGAGCTAGCAATGGCTACTTACCGCTCACTCTTTGTTGTAGATCCACCAGCCAACGGGCGTGACGCACTGTGCCTCAGCATACTTCACCCACGCTGAGCCTCGAACCCAGAAACACCCAGATGCACTTCCGGATTTGGTGGTCGTGAGGGAAACTCTCATTCAAATCTACAATGTCAGGTAAGAGTGCAACATCTAGACAGCTGTCCTGTGGCGTTCATCTTCCAGTGGCGTGAAGCAAAGTCCTGTCCACAGGAGGGATGCTGAGAAGGTGGGTGAATACTGGCTCACACTTGTGGTAGAGCACAGTCTGTCCGGAACGGTGCAAAGCATGGCCGTGCTCAAATGCCGCGCAAGTGGGAGACAGCGGGATGCCTTGTTGCTCGCCTTCAGGTGAAGTTGCATCACATTCAATCACTACCAAATGTGGCTAAATGCTTCTACAACGTCCATATTCTCAATAGTCATTGTAATTAACCTCTTTTGTGTGCAGAGATGCCAAGGTGTGTGTGCTAGATTGGGTTGTGGAGACACAAGGCATTGCCCCAACATCGCTCCATTCCTTTGACGGCGATAGGACATTACTGGGTGGTAGTACAACACACGGCCCCCACTTGATCACAGACCCTCAGGTATGCTTCCGGACATCGGGTGAATCCACTTGGATCTCAATTAACATGTCTGACTTTGATCTTTACCAAAGTGATACATGGATGGATGCAGGGTCGCTGTGCTGCCACTCTCCTGCATGGATGCCTCGCGGTGCTACCATCCATGGAAATTGAAGCCCTGGATGTGATTATTGAGCTGCAGACTGATCGTCAAGCGCTGTCCACGACTGTGGGCAACTCTTACATGCTGAAGCTGGCAAAACTGGGGATCTCAGAGGTAACATCTGCAGCACATCCATTATTTATTACTACTGAAGCAAGTGCAGCAGACGGCACACAATCTACATGTGGGAACTGGCCGTGGCAGGTGAGGGATGCTGTGTTCCTGCACCGCTACAGCGAGCCTGTGCTGCTGGTGCTGCATGAGACCAAGCCGTCCTGGGGTGGGCAGCTGCGCAACAGCAAGGACACCATGGAAGTCACTGCGTTCTCCTTGAATGTGGCCCACAAGCGGCACACGAGGCTTTGGTCCATAGGCAATCTGCCCAGCGATGCCTTCAAGCTCATAGAAGTTCCAGGCGGGGGCGGGCTGGTCATATGCCAGAACCTGCTGATATATGTGTCACAGGTGGGCATGCACACCGGTTATCCTTTGCCAGCGTTGCAAGTCTTGCCTGATTGGCCTAGGCTGAGCTTGAGGTGTTCAGATTGCACCCATCAATTCCAAGTTTGCTGCCAGCAGGGCGGATCCTGCTCTCTGGCTGTGAGCTCACAAGCGTATGCTGGAGTTGTGCCGTCCCGCATAGAGATCTCACCAATCCCTCAAGGCGTGGATGATCGTTTCAAAGCTTCCCTTCATGCTGCAAACCATGAACGAGTCGCTAAGCATGCGCGAGAGTATGTGAACAATGTCCACCCGGTAAGCCGTTACCTTCTATACCATTGACAGGATGCCCGTCCTACATTCTGACACTCTGGCTAAAGCATGTTGATGAAGCGCAGCTCTAGAAGTCCTGTAATGATATTGACCTCAAGCTTTTGCAGGAAGCTGCTGCGGCGGCAGCAAGCGGCGCACCAAGGGCGGAAGGTTTTGAGCTTGACTTGACAGACTGCTCTGGGGCGTGGCTGGCAGACAACAGTCTGCTTCTTGGGCTTGCTTCTGGCCAGCTCATTCTTGTGAATGTGCAGCTCGAGGGTAGCAAACGCCTGAAAGTGAGTGTTTCCGACCATGCACCACATCCTTCTCAGCACCACGTGTCTCTACACCGAAATATCCCTGTTCTCAGTATGGAGACTCACGGTGCTTGGCGGCATGTGCAGGTCTCAAAGGCACAGGGTGCGCCTCCACCGTCCTGCATGTGCAGGCTGGGCCCTGAATTGCTCTTTCTTGGATCTTGGGTTGCAAATTCTCTGCTGATTCGCGCCGTGCCAGAAGGGCAGGTAGGGGGTTGCAATATGGCAGAAACCGCCCCTCTTGTTTACTCACTGTTTGCGAATTATTATCACTTTGTTGATGTGTAATGCAATAAGGAAAGGGGTGAATGGCTTGACAAGCTTCTGCTTGCAGACTCTTCTGCTCGGAGGCCCAGAGGAGCAGGCGAGTGAGGCGGATGCTACCCATGCAAGCAAGCGCCCACGCCTTGACCCTGATGCTGCTGATCTGGGGAATGAGGATGAGGATGAAGTGCGTTTCCCAGTCCTATGTCCTTTAAAAACAGGAGATCTGTTTCAAACGGCAAGAGCAGGTCAATCAGATCTCAACGCCCAGAGATCTAGGTCGATCATCTTGAGGTTTTCTCTTGTGTGTCCCAGGTCTCCCTCATCTACCGCACAGATGCGCAACCGGCACTGCCGTCAACCACTGGTGCATCCAAGTACAGCCTGCAAGTGGTGGACAGCCTGGTCAGCATTGGCATTGTGCAGGATCTTGTGACAGGTAGAGCACACCAACTCATTATACATGCTATGACGTGCTTCTGCAGATTATTATAGCTATTGACACACCCGTAAGACTTCTAGAAAGTACAGGGTTTTGAAGTAATGAATGATGTCTTTCCCGTGCATGCATGCAAAATTGAAAGCACCTGGCTTGCACATCAGGGGAGGCGTCAACCAGTGCGCCACAGGAGTGGGTGGCCAAGACTGAGCGCGGACCCCCCAAGCTGCTCGCAGCCGTCGGCTCTGACAAGTTTGGGGCTGTGGCCGTGCTGCGCAGCTCGCTCGTTCCAGAACTGGTCACTGAGGTCCCTCTCCCAGGTGGGGCAGACTCGGGCACCAGGTTATCAAGTAAGCTTATAATTGAAGAAGCAGTGGAGCGTGGATGCATGCCCTGTCTGTTGCTGAATACATATGCGTGTGCAGGGGTTGATCAGATGTGGGCTGTGCATTTCCAGCCTGAGGGCCTGCCTGTAGATGACAGCCTCCTATACCATGCCTTCCTCTTCCTCAATGAGAAGAGTGGCACCAAGGTGCTGCGCACTGGCGAGGAGTTGGACGAGACTGACTCCTCGCAAGTCGACTTCATCCTGTCCAGCCGCACAGTCTTCGCTGGAAATCTCCTTGGGAACAGCCGCATTGTGCAGGTGATCTGATGTTCTTCTCAACCAGCAGGCCTGTTTGCAGAGGCAACAATGGGGCGAAGCCCAATCAGCGGCAAGAGAACAGTGTACCTTCACAAACAGGATGATATGAGGTTCTTATTTATGATCTTGGTCTTTGTCAGGGCGCAATTCGTGTGTCTGTTCTCCTGATTCATATCTCTGGACTACCTGGAGCGAGAATGTGTGAGTAGCTTTGAGCCTGAACATCTCTTTGTAAGCACCCAAGACATTGCTGTGCAGGTGCATGCGCGCGGGGTGGTGCTGCTGTCAGGATCCTCAAGGGTGCAGGACCTGCCTGTTCAAGATCTCATTGGTGTCAGCAACACAACCATTGTGGCGGCTTCCGTGGCAGATCCATACCTCCTCCTACACCTATCCAGCGGCAATGCCCTTCTGCTGTATGCTGGCGCAATGCATGGTGGGCCTCGTTCCGGCTACCTGTTTGCCTGTGCCATGCGTTGAGTCTGCTGTATACTATTATTGCGCTGGCGTGTGTCTGATGGCATGAACATGTTGCAGGTCAGCTGGCTGTGGCGCCCCAATCAGCCAAGCTATCCCAAGGCGCTGCAGGCATCACAGCATGCTGCCTTCACCATGATTCATCGCGAACATTCGCACTGCAGGCGCTGAGAGAACTGCACCCTTACCTTGAAAACAAGGGCGCAGCTGTGTTGTGTGTGGTGTGCCGCTCCGCTCGCATGGAGGTTTACTCTCTGCCAGATTTGGATCTGCTGCTCTCCATCAACGACATATCAGACGGGCCGATGGTGGCTCCCAGCAGTTCACCTCAAGGTGGAGCTCTCCATATTTCTTTGAATCCATTGCCTTTACACATGGCACATAGAGGGTATTTTAAAGCATTGATGTTTTGGGGCACTGCTGCAGACACAAATGGAGCGACGGGGCTGCCAAGTGTGGTGGAGGTGAAGATGGAATGCTTTCATCACCAGTCAGGGGGCACACAGGCTGTGAAAGACCAAGATCTACCGTTTCTTCTGCTGCTTCTTGCGGATGGCACTTTCCTGGCCTACAGAGCATTCCACACTCCACGAGGCCGTGTGTGCTTCAAGAGGCTCAGCCTGCCCGCGCATGCACACTGCCCTCCTCAGGACCGCAGAAGTAAAACCACGGCTCCGAGCAGCAGTATGACGCGCTTTGATGGCTTAGGGGAGAGCAAGGAGCATGTCAACAGGTGCGCGTATGCTGCGCTTAGGCAACTGAATGAAGACCCACTCATTTCTCTGTTCGAGATAATGTGATTGATCGGGCATGTGCAAACTGCAGCGGAATGTTTGTGAGTGGAGAGCGACCGCTGTGGCTGGTTGCCAGCAGAGGGACTCTTGTTGCACATGCGATGGATGTGGAGGGGCGTGTATCCGGCATGACCCCATTCCACAACATCAATTGCCCGCTGGTGCTGAACTTATTTCACCCTGTGCACACCTGTCCTGTTGACATCCTCAGTGCAAGGGTTGTGTTCCAATGCGGAAAAGCGGGCGCTCATGACCTTTCTACGTGGCTGACAGGGTTTCATCACTGCCTGCATGGCTGAGAATGACGGTGAGACGTTGAAGATCTGCCAATTGCCCATGCGCACGCGCCTAGATACACCCTGGCCGCTGCAGAAGATTGCTGTGCGAGCGACGCCCCACCGCTTGGCTTACTACGCTGAAGCCCGCCTCTACGTCTTGCTTGTCTCCCGCCCGGTGCGCCAGCTCAGGCCAGCTGTATCCGCTTTGCTTCAAGACGTGCATGCAGCCTTGCCGCTCTCTGCACAGTAGAGACTACTGGAGTGGTAGGTTGACTTTCCTTGCTGTCAGGTGCCTTATCGAGAACATCAAGAAGAGGCGTCTGATGGGGATCCGCATGCCTCCTACTCGTACATCTGTGCTGACGCAGCTGCCAAGGCTTCCGGCACTGAGCTTGGCGGAGAGGTACGAACCCCGTGCACCTATCCTCTTGTCTTACGCTGACCTATTCTGATGTGGAGTGACTTCCGTCTTCTGCTTTCGTCATGCCAGGGGGGTCAAATTGGCATGCTCTGCATGCATTTGCCCTTTTACGGCGTTGTACAATTTGCTGTCAGCTCACAGCGCCTCGGTGTCCTCAGGTGCGGCTGCTGGAGCCCGGCCGCTACCAGACTGTGGCGCGCCATGCACTGGACCCTGGAGAGGAGCCCTGCTCTGTGGCAGCGGACTGGCTGCGCAACGCTCAGACAGGCGCTCTCGAGCCATACATCACAGTGGGCACTGCCCTGAACTATGGAGAGGACTACCCCTGCTCGGGGCGCATCCTCCTCTTCAAAGCGACCAGAACGAGCACCAGCGGCGCTGAGCAAGCAGACCCCACAATTTCTTGGCAGCTCACCCTTGTGCATGCAAGGTATGCGTCCCTGCATTAGATGAGCTTGTCTAGGGTCACGGTACTCGCTTGCCTGTTGTGTGCTAGGTTGTTTGTGTGTTCTGAGGCATATTGGCCACGTGGTCGCACGCAAGCAGTTGCCTGATGCCATGTGCATGTGTGGCATGCAGTGGGTTCAGCCGCCCAGTGCAGGGCCTGGCTGTGATGGATGGCCGCCTGGTGGCCGCTGTCGGCAACAACATGCAGGTGATGGAGCTGCGGGGCTCCAGCCTCCACATGATCAGCTTCTTCCACGCGCAGCTCTTCATCACCTCAGTGGCGACTATCAAGACCTTCATCCTGCTGGGCGACGTGCACAAGGGGCTCACCTTCGTGTATGCTGACAAGAAAGCTAACTACACAGCCCTGACACAGCTCTCAAAGGTACCGGTGGCCAGTCGTATCAACAGCTCACTTGGTGTTATGATAAGAACAAGATGATCTGCTGCAGGCTATGTTCTTTAGCATTCAGCCTTACAGATCAGATTAAACGCTGACTGTTTTGCAGGACTACAACGATGTAGATGTCGAGGCTGCAGAGTTTCTTGTCAATGGGAAGAAGCTCTTTCTCTTGGCCTGCGACGCGGCGCAAAACCTGCGGCTGTTTGCCTATGACGGAGGGAAGGAACAGCAGGCAACCTGGCAGGGGAAGAAACTGCTGCCATTGTAAGCCTCCAGACCTGCATCCATTGCATAGCCTGTGACATGGCCATGTTCTCCTGCCAATCAGTGCATTTTACAACCTGAATGCCTTGGCGTGTCAACAGGGGAGCAATCCATGTGGGGCAGAACATCTGCAGCAGCCTCTCGCACCGCATAACGCCAGCCAGTGCGACGGGCGTGCAGCTGCGCGCGGCCGTGTTTGGCAGTGCTGCTGGCTCTATTGCGAGCCTGGCCCCTACCTGGGATGGACTGCCAGCGGAGGAGTTGCTTGCCCTCCAGAGAGAGATGGTCTTGGCTGTGCCTCAGGTTGCAGGCCTCAATCCAGTGAGCTTCAGGTGAGCAACAGATTGCCAAGCTTCTCGATTCTCTGAGCTTCCTGAAATGCTTCATTTGGAGAGTCATGGCTGCTTGCATGCATCCTGTCAAGAGTTTGATGTGGGCCTCTCTGTACTTCAGGCGGCGATACAAGCATGGAGTCAAGGCATTGGCCGGCGGCCAAAGCTTTGAGGCACCCGTCTCGGATGACAGAGTGCTGGATCTCGACCAGCTCAACCGCTTCCAGTGGCTCCCACTGACAGAGCAGGTTGCTCTGGCGGCAAAATGCAATCTGAGCAGGCAGCAGGTCCTCCATGCACTGAGAGAGATGGTCATGGCAATATCGACGTTTTGAGGCTTGTTGGTGCAGTGCATGGGGTGGATTTGGTCTGAAGAGATGCGGGCGTACACTAAAACTGATCCAGAACTTCTCAATGAACAAATATTTGAGCACATGTGCATGCGAGTCTTGCACTTCAGCTTGTTTTCCTCTTCATTCCAATAATTTGGTTGGTCATACTTGAAACAGAATCCTGATCAGAAACTTGTTGTGAGCTGTGAGCAAATTGAATAGAGTAACAACAGGATTATATGATGACATTCTGTTCTCAATTGTATGCTTGTTGCTGTTGTGATCGCTTTAAGAATTCTATGAAGCAAAGTGTTTATCGCACAACGACATGATGAGTCACACCTATTCACGCGTTGCACAAAAACCGTGATAGCCACACCGCCCAAGACCAAGAGACTGGAGTTTCACAGTTCCAATATCTGAAGGATCACCCATCAACACTGACTGTGAATGACACATAGGGGTACATCTCTGATTCGCCAGCCAACCCACCGGTTGCCCCAGCCTCGCCATCAAAGTACTGGCTTGTACCTGTTCACACGATCGCAGCGTTATAAAAAAAAAAAGGCAGAATGTCTGATATGGCTGTTGGACTTCCAGGTAAAAGAGCTACATTCAGAAAGAAATTCCCAATGATGAAAGACTTATCGCACCAGACGAGCCAAAGAGGGAGGCCAGAAGCTTCCGCAGCTTTGTTGTGTTCTTCTGGTTTGGTTTCAGCAGCACTGCCAGAAACTTTGGCGGCAGGCCATATCTGAGAATGCTCTCCACAAAGAGCCGGATGGCACAGATGTGGATCCAGGCACTAAAGGCCTGCAGTTGCCCAGTGAAACCCTCATGCTCACGATCAAAGACATCATTTATGATGCAAAGTTTCAAAAGCCGGCCTTGACATGCCTTCAGAAGTACAATTGGGGTCACACCTCGCCATATGCTGAGGCACTCCACTGTTCCAGCTGTGACCGCTTTGAGTCTGCATTGGCTTTCAAGGTCTTTGCTGCCTCGCTCTGATTCTCCTGCAGTTCTTGGTCGAACTCGTAGTCACGCACCTGCAGCAACCACAATCAACTTCAGTAGGGCTACAATTCATTTTCCACTGATAAGAGCGGAGGATCCTGTGTATATCAGTGTTAGTCATTCCAGCTGCAATTGTGCATCACACTTTGTAGATCCCCATCTGGAAGATTGATCACCTGATATCCTTTGCTCCTTGCCGCAGCCTTGAAGCTGTCTGCCACCCGCTTGAAGAGCGTCACGGAGAAGAGGCTGTAATCCTGGTCCTCAAAGATCAGCTTTGATGAGCGAGGCACCTGTAGAAGGAGGCAGGTACGGTGTGCATCGTCAAGACATATCTGTGCACTTGATCTTGTGTGCACTTTACTGCTGTATTAGGATCAGCAGCTGGGTATGTTCCAAAGACATATTCTGAACGAGGCAGATGGCACTCACCACAAAGTCGGAGAGTGTCTCATACGTGGAGAGCCACTCAGACTTGTCTTGCTTAGTGACAACCGCGAAGAGAGTGATCAGGTTCTCTGTGTTCACAGCATCGTCCGCCTTCACAAGACCAGTGAGGTCGCGCACGGCCAGCGAACCGGTCTGCTTCCTGGCTGCAGCTGTGACAAGTCCCTTGAGCTGGTTGTACTCACTCATCCTTACCTGCGCACCAATTTCATGCAGATTCGACTATCAAACATGCACTCTGTAGCCTCAAGACACCTCTGCAATATTCACGATTGCATGCATGGAGGGAAACTACCTTCAGGTCATCTTCCAGCCTCTGGATAGTCTCTGTGATGGCTGACACTGTCTCGCTAAGGGGCCGTCTGGGTGGGTACTTGGCCTCGTTCCATGAGAATCTCTCCAGATACTGGTCAGGGCTGACTCCCTCCACGCTCACCTGCAAGGTCAACCCTGGGATCATCAGTCTCACAGCACCTGGCAATCCTGGCATGTGCTTGCATGCCTACTATAGTATTTAATAGCATATGTAAATTCCGGTCAGTCAAGGTACCTCCTGGAAGTCCTCTGCACGTCCTGAGCCCATGTCAAAGAGCTGCCTCCTGATCTTGTTCACCACCGATTCGACCAAGGCGTTGACCTTGACCAGATCGTCGCTGAGTACCATCAGAGAGTCGAGAGTTCCGACACGGAGGTCAGGGATGGCAAATTTGAAATTTATGCTGTAGTCATTTTCATAGGTTGTTTTGTTCTGGACCAAGGTCCATGAGCGGTCCTCTGATTCCAAAAGGGGCAAGCTCACAAGCCAATACATTTTCCTGTGTTCTCAGACTTCTATTGTGGGCCTGTTATACCACGCATCCGTCAAAGAACGGGTGACCTAGATTGAGCTCACATCCTCGAGGGCATCCGCTATTGTACTGGTAGAGCGCAATGGGTATAGTTCTGGAGAGTCTGCAGACAACAAACTAGGACTTGCTCCCTTTTCTCAGCACGATCTGCATCTGCAAAAGTCTTCAATGAACTTGCTGAACAAGACCCTAATTTGAGATCGGTCGAGTGAATGCACCCTCTGTTGTTGGACACACCCGACCCAATTCCCAGCTTCTCTGAATCGAATGCACAGCATGTGCTGGACGTCATCAATCCTACTAATAAGTTGAAGGCAACAACTATAGTCATGATGTGCAGTTTGCACGCTCATGCGATGCATCCGTGGCGACGCCGGGAAGCGTGCTGGGCACGATCTACCTTTTTACGACACCTCATAATCACGCCTTTGAGGGTCTCGAGCAGTCAAATCTGCGTTGTTTCGAAGGTTAGTATTTATTATATCTACAAGAAGGGCTGAATTGCACCGCATGCTCTTTGCCTTCTTCTTATGAGTAGGGTGCATCTGACTGGACTGGACCGTTTGGTGCACAGGCGCTTCAGAACGGACATGCTGGAACAACTTATGCACAGCAGTCGAGCAGGTGTTGCTAGTCCTCCGATCCTCGAACAATTTCGCAGCAATGTTTCAGTCAAGGCTATGATTTGGAAGTTGTCAAGAGAAGCGCAGTATGCACCCTGGCATGCATATTGCAGGAATGACGACAGGGAGGAGATGCTCTGGCAGCGCCAGCAGCAGCTATGGGATCGTGAGATGCAGCGCTGGGACGCAGAGAGGCTTGCATGGACTGAGCGAGAGCATTATCTGCTCCAGCAGATAGCTGACCTCCAGGCTCTGCTGGTACAGGTCCGCTGTTTGCCATGTTGGCGCTTCTCAAACTCACAGGCATCAGTGCATCACAGCGGCTGACATACCGTCTCTGCAGGTGAGAGGCGCAGTCAGCAAGCCAGCAGTAGCATTAAACAGCACCAGCTCTGTAGCACAACCGCTGCAGAAGTCAACACCTGACAAGCCCCATGCTGAAGGACCGTCGGAACCACCACAGAGTCCAATCACATCCCAGCAGGCACTTGCCAGCAGCATTCAGGCACCAGAAAGCACAAGTCTGCATGAGCAGCAATACAGCACCTCCAACGAGCTCTTCAATGTCTCAGACCTGCAGGCGCTGTATGGACGCGAAGCAGCTGAGATGGGTGAACCCTCATGGGCAGCGGATTTTGCAAAGGCAATGGCGGCTGTCGATTGCACAGATGTCCTGGCTGAGGAGGCGCCCTTCAAATCCAGCCTTGTACAGGTTTGTGCAATGCGACTCGAGCAGGGTTTGACAAGGACATAAAAAGGGTCCAGGATGGTGCGGAAAATACTTTCTTGTTCACCAGGGGTATCACAGGCAGAATACTGGCAGCTGCACAGAATGATACGCATGCGTTCCTTGGCCAGGATAGTTTCAAAATTCAAGAACGTTTACAGATTGCATCACATCAGGACTTTGGCAGCCTGTCATGGCCCAGTATTAAAAAAAGGACCTGATACGCAAGTGCATCCATGAAGCTTACCATATCTTTATCTAAGTGCACGGGCCTGGTGCCCATTAATTATCCCTGACTGATTTGCGTTCATGTGTCAACAGAGGCAGCCACTGGAGTTGACTGAGGCGAATAACTTTGAGCCTGACCGTCCACTTCCAGAGATGGGCAGTCAATCAAGCTCCTTTACAACAGGTGGGCAAAAGACCTCACGTCGTGAAATACCTCGTGTCCTTTCCCAGGATTGTTGTGCGGTTGATGGTTGCATGCTGCCTTGACACTTCATCAGCTGTGTTTCACGCTGGCTGTGTGCTTAGGCGGCAGTGGAGTAGGGAGGGAGGTGGGTGGCAGTCCACCCACACTGACAGATGGGTCGGATGACATCTTCTGGGTGAATCAGCTGCACAGAGCGCTGGATGAGAGGGGGTTTGCCCCAGGAGATGAGGAAATTGAGATGTGGTTCTTTGGGAACCAGACGCTCTCAGCGTTGCTGACCTTCCAGGTGGGGCCCTGTTTTGCCTTTCATGAAGAATTTGAGACACAATGCCCAACGCGCGATTGCTACATCTGTGCACACGGTTATCTGAAAGGCTCAGTATGGGTGAGCAGGCAAGTGTTGGGCTACCAGAGACGGGAGCGTGTGATGAGGCCACTTGGAATGCGCTTCTGGGCCCTGAAACCATCCGGATGCGTCTCATTGAGGCTGCGGCCCTGGTGAGCAATATCTTTCCTCCGTCACCTGGTCAAGGTTGTGACGCGTGCTCTGACATGCCCTGCAAACATCATCACCTGTGGGGAACGTCCTTCTGGGCACTCACTAATCACATGCAGCATGTGCAGGATTTGTTGGGCGATGGTGGTGCGAGCCCCCCAGGGGCACCTGCTGGGCAGGGGGCCACCTCGAATGGAAGTCTAGGCTCACAGAGCTTCTCTAGTGGCGCTTATGCAAAGCAGGAGGTTCATGCTCCCAGCGACAGCGGGGCGAGCAGCCAGCAGAGGCAAGCTGCACGGCTCACCAGTTGGCCTGTCCTGCGGGAAGGAGAAGGTGGTGCAGAGGTGAGTCGACACATGTCTGGCGTCCAGACTGTTGTGCGGGAGTCTGTGTTAGCGGCATGGAGCAGCCTTGTTGGCAAGAGGCACCAGCGGATGAAGTGACTGGCTGTACTGCACAGGTGCATGGGCTGCAGATTGCCTTGAACAACAAGGGGTACTACTGCGGGGAGGATGACTGCGTCTGGTGGCAGTTCGGCATGGACACTTACAGCTCCTTGCTGACCTTCCAGGTGCGAGATGTGAACAGTGCATAGTTCATGTCAACAGCGTGCGTCTTATCGGTAAATTGGATTGCCACTCTCAACATGATTAGCAGCTAGTCATCCTGCACAGAATGCTTTTGTCGTATATACTCTGTGAGATTTCTGGAGTGGACTTCAAGTGTATTGAGCTAGCAATATATTAATGTACTGGTCCTGGCTGTATGACAGGCATGCAACGGTCTGTCGGAGACTGGCGTCTCAGATGCGGCCACATGGAAAGCTTTGCTGGGCCCCGATGCATGCCCCTCTGATGTCCTGGAGCTGAAGAGCGGTGATGACACGGACGACGATCTTCAGGAGGGTGACACAGTCTGGCTGCTGGGTGAGCAGCGCTGGGAAGTGCGCATATGAACGCTGTCAGTTTTGGGCAGCACCTGAGGACCTTTTTCGTTGTACGAGCAGTGATTCTCTTGCAGAGTTGAAGTCTTGCAATGCAGCAAGATAACAGTCTCACTGACGCATAGAACGTGAAGTTAGATAAATGGAGTGTTGCCATCGACAGACTCGGAGAATGAGTCTCCCCATAAAAGCTTGAGAGCACATTGCTGAACTTCACATGCCTTGTACACTCACATTCTGGATGTTTTCTTGATGAGCACTGCATCACTGACCAGCCATGGAAGCCTTAATTAATATGAGCAACTTCGGTCTATATCGGGCAGCCGTTTGTCATTGCATCATTGATCTGCGCCGGTGTTCCAAAGCAGCTGTTTGCAGATTCCCGCGCGCAGCAGTACGTCAGCGCTCCTACAAGGCGCCCAACAAGGTCACTTCTGTGACAATCGTTCCGGAGCCTGTTCCAAAGCCTATCTTTTCCACTAGGCACTAACGCTTCAACCCCTTTGCAAATCCTGTACTAAGTGACAAGATAAAAAGTGAATATCAACTTGACACCAGCAAAGGAAGAATCAACAAGACCATTCTGGCCACCCTCTCACCTGCTGGCCAGCAGACAATAGCACTCAGTACAAATGCGATGGCCCCCAGCGTTGGCCCGATGACTGCCAGCACAGACCCTTGTCAGACATCGGATGATGCAACCTCGTTCAGATAAAACCCCAGATAACTGTAATGATGTGATCACTGGATACCAAGTGCTCTTTGAAATGTTTGCGCATGGGATCATAATCGACACCTTTGCAGTGGCATGGGTTGTTAACTCCAGATCCGCATTGACAACACAAGGGAATGAATATCATCTTTGCGTATTACGTACGGGAATCATGGAAGACAATCATCCGATAGCGCCTCTTCACCATCCTGCGGACTTATAGACAGATTCGCAGCTTCCTCCAGCTTCCTATATCCTGAATAGGGCAAAAGGTAATGAGGAAGAGGAGTTGATGATAGTTTTCACAAGTTTGCACTTGTAAGCCAAAGGAATGCAGCTTGGCGCAAATGCAAATGTATTTCTGTTCAGTACTACCGCTCGCAACGCATAGCTTATACATACGGTGCCGGTACATGTATATGTCTTCATGCGTCGTCCCTTTGTATCATATCTTTGAATGTCGATCGTTGTGACAATGTGCACCTGCAATCCGCAAAACAGTGGCCAATCTACTTGAAAACATTGGCTGAGAGCCGCATAATGTTACATGCGGTTCAGACCCGCAATGCAAGTACTATAATTAGTCGTTGCTGAGCAGCTACCATATGCAAACTATGCAAATTGAAATGGAACGCATTCCCAGACTCTGATAGGACTGAAAGTCACTCACTTAGCAAAAGAAGCCATCTGTTGGCCAACTTGGCCTGCCATAATATAAAATGCCCACTGCAGTTCTGACAAAATCCAAAGTAACATGTCCACGACACGTCTGACAGTGCTGCGACCAGTCACTCTGGGACTCGGATGGAGTCTCCTCCCATGGTGATCCTTCGCCCCTGGCCAGCACAGAAACTCTCAGTGAAGTGAAGTGCATTGCGCTTGAGCAACAAGCACATCCCAAAGCACGATTGCAACCTGCCCACCTTTCCAGCTCCAGCGTTCTTCGTCTTTGCATTTTTGACCCCCTGAACATTGCTGGTAGTGCTGGAACTGGCGCTTGGCCTCCTTGGGGGTCTTCTGGTTGTGCGGCTCTTCTTGCCTCGCAGCAATGCTGCGCACACGTCACACTCAGCTTCAGACTCGTACCCAGAGCTGTCGTTCTGGATGCGACCAAAGCACAGCGCAACACTGTGGACGCTAGTCTAGAAACTACAGAAGAGTGACTACAGAGGTGCAGGACAAGAGAGAAGGCGGGGGATGTCTGCCGGGGCTCACCTGTAACTGCCCAGAATGGGAGCAGGCAGAGGGTCAAGGAAAGGGCTGAAGCTGTGTAGAGGGCGTAGGTAAGGAAGGGCTCCTTGGCGTACTTCGAGGTCAGGGCATGCTTCTTCATGTACCTCTTGATCTCACCCTTCAGATCCTGGATTGCTTTGTGAACCCGACGTCGAGCCTGTAGCACCTGAGCACAAAGGAAAACAACTCACAAAATTCCACTCAAGAGCAACAACGAACGACTGGGATCCAGTCATGCCGTGGAGATAAAAGAAGGTAGCCCTCTGCTGCTGAGTCGGGGTGGTCTGTCGTACCTGTGGGTGAGACAGCAACTTGTGTGTGGCTGCCTTAGTGGAGGCAAGTGCCTTCTGGAGCTGTGGAATGGCATGCTTCTTCACTGCCAGCTGCAGCTTGGACAAGGAGCCCTGTGCAGATATGACACCAATCAGCGCCATAGTGAAGCCTTCAATTATCAACTTCTGGATGTGCTCAAAGTGGCAGCAGCAGCAGTAGGCTGCATTATCATTAGAAAACTTCCTTAACGCGCAGCAAGTGCAGCAGCACGCACCTGCAGCTTGACCAAGTACTTCCGAGTCAAGGGCTTTGCGTCCTTCAACAGCGCCTGCACCTTGACCTGCAGCGCCTTCCAGAGCTCCACAGACTTGCTGCGCGCCGTCACATGCACTTTGCTGGCATGCTCCCAGGCATTGCTTGCCAGCGGCCGCACTGAATCAGCTCCCTGCCACTCAATTTAAATCAATTTCAATGGCGCTCGCATGGAGATGAATAAAGCACTATGCGGGTTCCTGACAAACATGAGGCGGTCTCTTTGAGACAAAATCTCATGGATTCTCCTCAGCATACCTTCTGGTAATGCTCTTCCAGCCACAGAGGCAGCCAATTCTTGCGTGTCCTGTGAAGGAGCTCTTCCAGACGAGCAGCTGAGTGCTCAGCTTGGAGCTCCGCCTGCAGTGAAAGATGTCACCACTGACGATGCGATGAAGCTGCTTATGGCAAGGCAAGTTGCTTGAATTGGAAGAGAGGCTCAAGAACCCATCGCTCACCGCTTGCAAGGCCTTCTGGCTGGTGGCGGCAGACTTTTCAGCTGCTTTCAGGCTGGCCTCGAGGGTCTTCAGGGTGGACTCTGACTTGTCAGCACGGTCTTGCAGGGTCTTTGTCGCTGCATGCAGCTCCTTCTGGAGCTTCTCAAAATTCTTGTTCACCTTTTGGAGGTTTGTCAATTCGCTGCTCAGCTTCTCTACCTCCTTCAGTGCCGCAGCCTGTTCCCACGCAGAGTCACTCGATCAGTGGTTCAAGAAAGCTTTGCATGTCCCACATAAATCTGTTGGGCACAAGCCCAGTACAAACCCCACCTTCTCGGCATCCAGAGCATTGATAGACTCCTGGCTGGCTTTCAAGGCGGCTTGTGCTTCTGAGAGAGCCTTCTCCTTCTCAGCCAAAGCCTCTTTTGCGGCAAGAGCTTCCTGCTCACAAGCCGCCCACAGATCATTCCTTCTGGCAGGTCACCATACTCGTGGTCAACTCTGAGGCAGATGCGCAAGGAAAAATTTGGGAGGAGACGATGAAGCCTCACAGATGCCTTCTTTTTGGATTCAGCAGCAGCCTTCTCCAGAGCCGTGGCCTTGTCTGCTGTGGCCTTGATGTGCTTGCCATAAGTCTCAGCCTTCTCCTCTGCTGCCTTCAGCTTGGCTGCAATCTTGTCAACATTCGATTGTGCCGCCTGGGACACGAAGACGATGAATCAGCTGACGTCGAGCTGGAGCTGACTGTTAACAAGGAGTCCTGTATCCAGGACTAGGTTGCCAGTGAGCTTCAAGATCACACCTTCGCTTGCTTCAGCTCACTCTTCAACCCGGCGATGTCTTTGTCTTTACTTCGGAGCTCTGACCTGAGGCTTTTAAGTGCAGGGTTGTCGTCGGCCACCTGCAACGCGACACGAGCAGTGAAGCTGATGGATTGAAAGAAAACCCTCGAAAGGCACCCTCGTAGAGAGACCGGTCATTTGCAGCGCAAAAGCTCTGCATGGCACGAAAATATGAATATATCACAGCAAGAACAAAGAGAACGTCCCAACTTGAGGATCAAGCTGTTCAAGGATGAACCTGATCAACTGAGGAGTCTTCAGCAGCAGAAGACACAAGCAAGGCTAGCGCTAAGAGCGCAGCTAAAGCCAATTCTTTCCTGAGAGCCATCACATCCGCAATTTGTTCGCCAAGTCGTGTTTCTGCCCAACTTTGTTCCCTGCGACGTCAACATCAGAACAGCGCGCCAAACTGGGCTCCATGCATCTGCCCAGAGGCTGGCCCAGAGACTGCCCAGTTGGCCCTGGGTGTAGAACAGGGTCACCCCCAGATGATTTCTCAAGGCGCGTGCCGACGCGCCCTTCTTCGATTCGGAGTGCCGCCAGCTTAAACGGGACGTCCGCGCCCGCGCGCGGTGCGGGGGCGATCCAGCCGAAGTGCGCGCGCTGGAGCGTGCCTACCACAACACCGTCCGCCACAAACGGCGCGCTCACCGGCTCGCGCAACTGCGCCGCCTGCTTGATGATTTGCACAGTGACCCCCGAGCCTTCTGGAAGCGGCTCAAGTCTCAGCAGTCTGATATACCTGAGCAGCTCAAGCCAGTGCAATTGTGGGCTGGCTATCTCAAGCGGGTTGCAAACTTGCAGTTGCCACTCATTGCTGAGCTGCCCCACTTGTCTTTCCCTGTCCAGCCCAGTGCTCCTGTTGCCCATGTTGATGCTCTCAATGCACCCATCTCTCTTGGGGAGGTGCTTGCTGGGCTCAAAAGTTTACACAATGGTCGTGCCACCGGAGTGCAAGGTTTACCAGCTGAGCTGTTTCGGTATGCAAAAGATGAGCGGGCGCCAGGCATGCCTCCTCCGGAAAATGTCCTGGCGCATGCTTTGGTGGCTGTGCTGAACTCTGCATTTGTGGCTGGGCAAGTGCCACCCTCTGTGAATGGTAGCCTGATCACCCCTGTGCACAAGAAAGGCAGCAAGCTTGACATGCTCAATTATAGACCCATTGCCGTTACTGAGCCCATCATGCGCTTGTATGCTGGCATATTGAATTCTCGTATTCTGAAGTACACAGAGGGGGCTGGATTGCGTGCAGCCACACAGGCTGGCTTTAGGCCAAAACTGTCTACGGCCCACCAGCTATTCACCTTGCAGCATTTTATCGACCGGCAAAACCATGCTAAGCAGCCCTTGTATTGTTGCTTTCTTGATCTGAAGGGTGCTTATGACAGAGTGAATCGGGTGTTGCTCTGGGAGAGTCTGCGTCGCCTGGGCATTGATGGCCACCTGCTCTCTGCCATTCAGTCTTTGTATGCCAATTCTACGGTTGCCATTAAGATTGGGAGCAGGAAGGGTCCTAGTTTGCCCTCTGAGACAGGATTGAAGCAGGGTTGCCCCCTTAGCCCAACGCTGTTTGGCTTGTTTGCAGATGGCCTGCACAGGCACTTGCTGCAGAGGTGCCCTGGGGTTGGCCCGCAGTTGCGTCCTGGCAGTTGTGTACCAGATCTAGGCTATGCCGATGACTTTGCTTTGCTCGCCACCACACCTGCTCATTTGCAACGCTTGATTGATGCAGCTGCTGAGTTTTGTGAACAAACGGGAATGGTCATCAGTGTTGACAAAACAAAGATTGTGGTGTTCTCTTCAAGTTTGCCAGGACCTTTTCAATGGCTTTGTGGTGGTGCGCCTTTACATTGGGTTCAGCAGTTTGAGTACCTGGGTGCCCTTTTTGACGGTGCCCAAGGCATTAATCTCACCTTTGGCAAGCTTCACAGGAACATGTGGGGTGTGTGGGCACAGCTCAAGCAGCAATATGGGAAGTTGCATTGCAGCATGTCAGCTGGCCTGTTGTTGCGCCTATATGATGCATGTGTGCCGCCGACTGCCTCCTACGGTTGTGAGGTGTGGGGCCTGCGCAGCCTTCCTGGTGGCGACAGCCGGCGGGGCCGGGCTGCCTTGGCCTCCTCTCACCTGAAAATTCTGAGAGACATTGCTGGCGTCCCCACCTCTGTGCATGGTGCCATCTTGCTTAAGGAGTTGAATCAGCAGACCCTTGATTGTGTGTGGTGGCGGCGCATTATCAAGTTCTGGAACAATTTGGCTGCCTTGCCTGCAAATAATTTTCACAGGCAAGTGGCCCTTTGATGATTGTTGGGATGCCATAACCCGTAATGTTAAGAATTGGGCTTGGGCCTTCATGCGGGGCTTGCGCCGAATTGGGTATGAGTTTGTTATTCGGTTTGACACCCTTGTTCCTGTGGAAGTTGATGCTGTGATGCAGCTGCTAGATGCGCAAGCACTGCAGGTTTGGGATGACATTGACATTTGCCCTAGGACCTGCCCGTCCAGCAATGCCACCTTGTGTACATATCACAGATGGTTTGCTAGGCCAGCTTGTGTGCGCCACCCTTGCCAGCTCTTACAGCAGCCTTTGAGTGCCCGTTGCTTGCGTATACTGTTGAAGTTCAGGATGGGTTGTCATAGTCTGCCCAATGTCTCGGGCCGCTGGGCAAGGATTCCCCGGCCCCAGCGTTTGTGCATGCGTTGTGCCCAGCAGGTTATTGGGGATGAGCGCCACCTTGTGTTTGAGTGCCCTGCCTTGCAATCTGTTCGGGACAGATATCCTGGGCTGTTTGGTGCAGCCATTGTGACGATGCAGCAATTCATGTGGCAGTTGGACATTGTTGGTGTTGCACATTTTGTGATGGATTGTTTTGATTATTTGGATGCTGCCAGTTCATCCAATCAGCCCTAGGCGGCTGGAGTGATGTAATCTTCCTTCCTTCCTTCCTTCCTTCCTTCTCCAGCTAGGAACTGTGCAGACTCGGCCTCATCAGATTTGAAACTTCAAGTTGAAAGAAAATGCTGTGGGCAACCAGTGGGCACATAGCAGTGCTGGCGCCAGGTGACACCGGTGCATATGTTGGACAACTTCAAGTTGTGACAGGAGTGACGGTCACAGGACGGTCATTGAAAGTGCACCGTGCATGTAGGCTCTGCAATATGGGAATGCAATGCAGTTACTTGCCTAAAGTACTGCTGAGCAGTACTCTTCATAATTAGATCATAATATCATGTTGCAGGTGCACCCTCTCGGAATGACCAAAGTTTGGTCACAAACTTCACAAACGATCAATCATTGATAGAGCGGACACTGTCTGGCAGAGCCTCAGCCTGCAAGCCTCTTTCATATCAAGTCTCGATATCAAACTCGGTGATGGAGATTGATGGACAATTTATTCAAGGTTTCAATGCTTCCAAGCACGTCAAATGCTGATCACTGATCAGCATTCGATGGGACATCTTACAAGCAGGTCCTGCACCCTTGCAATGACATCATCCACAAACGGCCGCTCAGCAGCATTTGTTGTGAGACAGTATGTCACAAGGTTATGCACATCTTCAGGGAAGTGGTCTGACTGGGGAAATGCAACCTGCCCATTCAGCACAGCCAGAATCAGGCTCCCTCCAGCTTCGTTCATAGCCTGCAGCAAAGAAAGCCAGCTTGCAACATGCTTTGAAAAAAATATTGTGAGACAAAAGTATATTCACAAGACCTCAATACCTCTATTACGACAGTACCGTAATGCTCAATTAGATTCATCCCTGCCAGCTGCTCAAGCAAGGTCTTTCAGAAGCACCCACAAATTTTTACATAGCAATACGCTTGCAGGAAGGGTACAGTGAGCAGCTGCCTCACCCGCTCAAAGGGAGAGATGCCATACATAATGAAGTAGAGGAGACAGCCCAGGGACCACACATCGACGCGCTCGTCCAGAACACACTGCGAAGGGACATCAAACAGCTCTGGCGCCCGGTATGGGGCGCTGCAGTGGGCCTCTGCATCCTCCTGGACCGACATTGCCTGCTGCCGGCTCTGCACCTCAACCCTCGCCTGCCGCGTGCTCCCAAAATCCTGTGCATGCCCGCCGCACAATAGTTTAGAATTGCTGTGGCGCAATGTGGGGCAACCCCTTGCATTCCCATCTGCGCAGAGGGTTGCCACTGCCTCGCATGATATAGATTGCCCTACCTAGATGTCAGGCTGGTGCCTAGGCCTACTGGATTACAACTTCTGCAGCGCCACAGTGCATGACTGCTTGCCTCTAGATTGACATTTGCACCTCTGCGAAAAATTGTGCACATGAACACGTGAGGGGTGTCAGGTGTGGCCGCACCATGAGCACTGCATGATAGCAGCTCCTGTTCCAGGCATCAGGCAGCTGCAGGGGCTCTGCCTCTGATAATGAGGCCAGGCTGGAATGCCGTATATCTCTTGCAGGAGTATTGCTGCTGTTGCTCAAGCTGGCTGATTCTCCAGTCTGATGCCGCCTGACCAGAACATTGTGCGGCTTGATGTCTCTGTGAGCAAAAGAACTGCGGTGCATGGCACGCACCCCGCTGCAAACCTGCATGGAAAGAATACCTGTTAGAACTCCAGGACTATGAGGCAATTCATAACACCACGTACCAGTGATGCTGAAATATGGTTTTTCCAATGCACGAGAGAGAGAATCCCTTTGTAAGTGCAAGAAGGATACCTGTAAGAAGATGCTCAGGACATCCCGCAAAGGCAACTGCGTGCCATCTGTTGAACATTGTGTCAAAAGATCCACAAGCGATCCTTGCTGCAAAATAGGATTGACATGTTGATCAGCGCTGATCAGCAAACATTGCGGCTCTTCAGGACGCATATGTTCTCACTAGACAAAGGTCTGAGACATAAATGGAATTACAGTTTTAGGTTTCAATCCTCTGATTTGAAGCGAGTGTGCTGGACTGCACCGAGTAGAGGGGGAACAGCATGTAAAAAGCCGACACGCCACTCTCCTCGTCCTCTACCTCCTTATGCTCTGATGCCAGCAGCGGTAGCAGATTTGGGTGCCTCAGGCTCTGCATGACCCTGATCTCGGTATATGCAAGCTCTACATGCTCCCCAGTGGACGTCAGCACCTGTATTTGCAAGCCAGACTGTGCACTGGACCTGTACTGCTTCTGAAGGCACTCCTTCTGGGATCTTGCCCTTATCTGGAAAGAGACTTGGCCCGGATGATATGGGTAATGGCTGTTTGCAATCATTGAAATGACAGTCAGCAAGGGATGACAACTCACTTTCTTGAGAGCATACTGCTGCGGCTCTGCCTGACTTCCCAGGCTGAGTATTTCCTCCACTAGATATACAAACGAATATCCTCCTTTCGCCAGCTGCGAATCATCAATATCAGTCCACATAATTGCCAAGAAGTGATGCAGGCAACTTAAATTTCACCCACGGCGAGAAAGGGAGGCGAGGAGCACTGCCCATCTTGTCAATATACTATTTAGCCCAACAACAGTACATTCCACGAGTCTCTTGGGATGTTTTCATGAAATTGAAGAGGCATATACGGATCGTTGCGATGAGCGAATGCTCGAACGTATGCCAAATAAGGAACTGCAAGGCGTTTTCTTGATTTCGTTTTTATTGAGTTTTCCCTTGTACTGATATTCGATCAATTATGCGTGGTTCTAATCGTACGGGAGTAAACCGACCTGCCTCAACACCTTAAAACGTCTGTTGCCCAGAGATACTTCGTCGTGAGCTGCTAACGGAAAGATGCACTGCCAGAAATTCAGACAAGCACCAAATGGATCCTGCAGATTCTGCATCGTTGATTCTGCTCACCAAAAGAACCAATATTAGGCCGATGAAATCCTAGTGTCACTTTTCCAAGACTTCTATGTTGAACGATGAAAGCAGTTTCATATCTGTCATCTCTTAGTCACATTGGTGATCAGGTTTGAAGAAGGTGATTGACAGCTGGATCAGGCTCTGCAAAAATTGCTCAGTCCCTGGACATAAGGCAACAGCTTGACCTTGAGATTGGGCACATTACACTACAGGACATTCGATGCAGATAGGGCAGGCCTGACTTGCGAGCGGTACTGGTATGAAAGCAAGACTTGCTCTCAGAGTAGGCTGCCAGACTTCTGAACTCACTGACTGGGTAAATGGCACGTTTATATTTGCTCATCCATCTTCTCTGAGGCTGTACTGCAGCTAGTAGCCTTCCCAAAGGCTTGCAAGGCTCCCTAGACAGACGAGGTCCAATCTATAGGCCACAGTATACTGCTACGTAGCTACAGCCATCAATGAATATTCCCATCATGAGACTGAGATGCAGCTGCTGTTGGCAACCCAAAGAAGTCAATATTGCCAGTATTGGTGCATGTGCATGAAAAATTGTGGCAGACACAAATGGAAGAATCACTGGGTATTGGCGTTGGGCGCGTATTGTGACATATTCGCAACTTGATTTACATGAGAGCTGCAACATAACAATTGTAAGCGCCACATAAAGGCACCACTCAGTGGCATCACGTGGCATGCAAGTGAATAGCAATTTAACACAATAATTTTAAATATTCCAGAATGCAACACAATAATCAATTGCATCGTCTCAAAGTACAATCAATGCAAGTTCCATGTATGGGAGATGCAGTGCACGCAGTTCACGAATTGCAGTACTCAACGATGCATAAATGAGCTAGTCTCAATGAAAAGCGCGTGTGGGTCACGCGATGCCGCACAATCAGTTTTGCAATGCAGTTGCAAGATGCCAGGCCACATTGACAGTGTCACACTGTCAAGCACTAGTGTACTGCTAGGCTAGCAGCATGCAGTTATGGGGTGAAAATAAGCAATATTCAGTCCACTCAAAGGTATCGACCACCCCAGCCTTTGCAGGGATGCCCGGCCTGATGATTCACGTGAGGCACCTACTAGGCTACCTGCTAGTAGCTCTGCAGCATGCGCCGTCCACCTTGAGTGGTTTGTGCTTTCCCATCTGAAGGTGGCTGGGCACTGGCGCCCATGGCGCGATAGGGGAACTGCGACCCTCCATCCCAGCCCGCTGTGCTCTGGATGGTGTCACGCACAGTGTCTCCCAGGACTGATGTGATCTGCGCAGTCAGAACACAGCACTTTAGTACATGAGCAACAGAGCTGTATTTTCATGGCATGCCTGAGAACAACTGATATTTTCAATCAGTGATGCACTGACACGCTTTGCGCATGCGTCGTTGAGCAAGGAGCATCTTCAGCGCACCGCGAGGTCTATGGGAGAGTTGAAAGGCCCTCCGTTGGCCGCCCACATGTTGTTCCACCCTGCAGACCATCACAATGCACCCAGTTCATCTCAAATTCCCCCTAACATCATCGGCAGATGTGCTCAGCATTCCCTCAAATATAGCCACAGTCAGAAAGGGGAGTTATTCGTTCTCAAAGCAGGCACATGTCAAGTACGGCTGTCAGAAGAACTCACCACGGGCAAGGTCGTAGAAGTTTCCGTCAGGATACTTCAGCTTGACACTCTGTATCGGCACCCTGCAGTGTGTTCAAATCTCAGACATGCTGGAGCTTAAATCCACATTTAAAAACATCTTCACGCATGCAGAACAGCTGTCTTGTGAGAGTGCAAAAGCTCTGCTTGGATGTCTGCATTCCTCTCACTACAAGAACCTGCAGCTGCAGCACACAACAGAGCAGAAGCCATCCCAATATGACACACTCAGCGGGCGGCAACAGGTCAAATAGTAGTCCTGACATGGGAAGTCGCACCTTGTGTTGGAGATGGCAAACATGAACCAGTAGGGGTTGGGGCTGCCACCAAAGAAGTAGTGAAACTTCCCTTCGCCCACATTGCAAGGAATGGGGTACCACTCGACCTTCCAGCGGCCGTCACCGTTCTTGTCCAGGTCAATGCTGCCGTAAGCGCACTCTGGACACCTGTACATTCATGCATTGCACTCTTGTTGCCCAAAACATGGGCAATTTCATCTAAACCTCCTCTTCACTGCAGGCTGCTTACAACAAGAAGAGTCTTTGCAACACTCTCAGGTACTCTTTGCAAACAATCTCAGCTTGCCTACATTCCGACTTGGAAATGCCTTGCACAGTGCACAGCAGACAGTCAGCCAGCAACCCACATTAGGAAAAAGCAGAAAGGGTACTCACACATTGTCGACCAGGCCAAACTGCCACTCAGAGGGTATGGGCAGCATGCCAATTCCAGCGCCCAGCCCGCGGTACATCAGGCACTGGCCGCAAGCTTGGGAGTTGTTGTACTGCGCTCGGTTGAGGGCGATGTAGGTTTGCACGCCCTCCCTCCAGCTCAAACCCTGGCCATGTAGACAGGATGATCCATCAGCAGACAATAGCTTTAGCATCTAACTAAAGTGGTTTCCACGTAGGCACTTGCTTAATTACTATCAAGTCTCTTTTTGCAGCTCGATTTGCATTTGGGCAGGCCATAGCAAGTGTGGGACACATTTCCTCTAGTGCTCCTCTAGATTGGGCGGACTAGAGACGAATGGGGCTCAGGGCCGCCCAAGAAACTCATATACTGTCCAGTCACATCATTGGAGATCTCTTAGAATGCTTTGGAGAGTATGCACGTTGACCAAACAGGCCTGCATGTGCAGAAGACTTGAGCTCCTCTTCACAATTCTTGCAATAATGCAGTTCTGGTAGGGTGAGCTCGAAGCTCACCAGGGAATTGGAGAAAGACTTGCCAAAGGCGCAGGCGCCCCCATCGTTCTGGCCATCTTGTTGGCCGTAATAGGTGCCTGACGCAGACATCTCTACAATCAAATCTGGAGTGGCTGCATAAGCAAGCATACAAGCAAACCACATGCGTGATTAATCATGAGCCAGCTGCTGCTTATAAGTCACAAGAGGGATGGTCAATGGCATGAGGGAAGGCACACCATCGCCGTTGTATCTCACTCCGCCGCCCTGAGGTTTCAGCATGGCTTGCCACTCAATGCCATCTGCAAAGGCAACAGGGAAGAGCAGCGTGAGCAAGAGGGTGCCGATTGCCATTTCCATGGCTGTGACGTTGATGCGACGCTTGGATGGGACGAAAAGCTTGGATGCAGCAAGCGAGACAGGCTCCTTTCCTGTAGCAGGCAGGCCTCACATGATTGACGATCGATCTCCTGCTGCAGCCATACCAGGGACCTAAAAGATCTCTGGCTCTATTCATGCATGCAGCAGATCTTCCAAAGACAGTCTTCGGCCATTTTATCCGAAAGCTCTTCGATAGCAACAGTGAAAACACGCTCTCACCCAACCCAAAGTCGAAGCTGTGGCACTGACTTTAAGCAGCTCTGTACAGACAAGCGCTCTCTGTCCTATGACGGGGAAGGAAAGCAGGCAAGATCAAACAATAGGTGTAGAAAGTCGAGCCCTGAGTTCGAGCTGTGACCGACAATTTTTGAATTCGGAAGCACGTCTCAGGCTCTCTGGCAATCGTTGGGTACGTACCTCCTACTGGTAGGAGCTGTGCAAAGCAACACTATACCCATCCTAGCTTGAGTTCATCTCTGATTTTTGTCGGTGGGTTCGTCGGCCGTTGGCGACCGTGACGGAAGTGGGTTCCTTACCTGTGCTGTGGTGCCAGACGACGAAGTTGGGAAGGCGCTCGCACTTGAGAACGACTGAAGGAAGCCAGTGGCTGTTGAATGTATGCCTGTGCAAATCGCCAGGGATACAAGTGGAGGTCCGTGATGAAAATAACAAAGTGCATGTTCGACTGCCAGAAGGAATTCGTCTGTCTGACTGCATGCGGTGCCTCACCAAATTTGGCTTCCTCTGCATGCATGAGACAGGGCACATGTCACGCTGATTGCTTGCCACTCGTCCATGTGCTTTTCAGCCTATCTCTACTGTACTACTTTTGACAGCTGCACATTGCCAGCTGGTGCACGGTTCAGAAACCCTTGCTACATTATCAACCACAAATGCACTTGCATAAGGGACCAGGTAGTCACCACTGGTGGGACTGGCAGTCCGGGGAGACCACTGCTTCACATTATTCCTCTCTCATCTGAGAGATACTGACGTACAAAATTCGCACATGAGCTACAAGAAGAAGGCCTGGAGTCTCAAAGTCTATCATAGAGCTATGATTTTCCCATTCTTCATTGCGTGCACATGTAAAAACAAAGAATCTCACTCTCTCACTCGCATCAGCGATTTGAATGTCTCAAACGCAAAATACCCAAGAGCTGCACTCGGCAGCACCTGCACAGAACAAGCTGGATCAGAATGGCCACCATCACATTGCAAGAAAGCTCATGCTGACTGCTTCCTGCACGAGATCCATCATCAGGGCACCTGAGCAAAGTCCAGATCAACATAATGCTGTCAGCCTTCATCAAGGCAATGATGAGAATTTAGAGTCATTCAACAGAGCGTGCCTGAATGGTATTGGGACCAACTCCGGCATAGAGGCCACTTAGGCCTTCCTTCATCCAGATCTCGTTTGCAGCATGCGAGAATGCCTTCAGGTTGGCATGGTTTACAGCAGCACGTGTCAGCTGACCGCCGCTGTTGCCCACTGCTGCGGCTGCAATCTGCTGCATGCGCCGCCTGATCACTTCCAAGGGATACACCTGCGCGATGCAACAGGGTGCGCATAAACATCTGGGATCTGCATGACTGATGGAGCGGACAACGAAAATAATTTGGGAGTGAGCCACTCACAGTGCTCTCTGCTGCTGCGCCCGCCAGCGCCCCATACAAGAGGGAGTGGGCTGCATCCAGTCTGGACGCCTGCTGGCCTGCAAGGCATGTCAATGCAACCACTTCAACACATGCTGCACCAGCTCCGATGCTTCAACATACGAGAAACAATTTCAAGCAAGAAGTGGAATAGGGCAGGGAAGAGCCAACATCACCCCACCTGTGCTGGTGGACACATGCTTGAGGTGCTTCTCCTTCAGCATGTCATACAGCCAGTAGTACACGGCCCCAGAGGGCACCATGGCCACCAGAGCAGGCGCGCATCCGACATAGAGTGCTGGGAGTCCTTCCTTGCGCGCAATCCGAGCCAACATGGCCAGATAATTCCCCTCGCGCTGACTGATTGGCGCGCTGAGGACTCTCGTACGCAGCACATCCAGCGGAAAGCAGCACAGCGTGGCTGTGATGCCTGTTGATTGCATGAGCAGCCCATCAGGAGTCAGCACTAAAGGTGCAACAGGACATGCAATCATGCAGCTTGCAACCCTGCACAGAATTGGTGCTAAGCAGTGAAAAGTGGAGTCGCACCAGCCAGAGCACCAGCTGCAAGCTTTGCTTCATTGCGGAGCTCCGGTCCGAGGGCCTTCACAAAAATTTTGCGGTACATATCAAAGCAGAAGAAATTGACGGCCTGCAGCACACTGCCACCATCATGATGTATCCAACATTTGTGTCTGTGAACAATTTTCCCTGTAACATGCTTGGCAGGCAGCTGAGTAGAGAGGCCATGCCTTATATGGCGCTGTGCGCAAGACATTGATACCTGCAACAGAACCAAATAGATGGTAAGAATCCCTACTTTGCAGGACGTCTTCATCTTTGAGCAATCTGACAAACTCGCTGATACATGTGCTCTGCAAGTGGTTGTGATCTGTGCAGCACCGTTGCCCTTCCAAAAACCCCCGATGCCTTCATCCTTAAAAACTCCTGCTGCAACTTGCATGGTGGTCCCAGAGCGGTGGTTGAAGATCATCTGCATCTTCACGGTCTCCATGGGAGCGCAGCATGTTCTGGACACAACAGCTGACAGCGCGCCGGCCAGCAGATGCTTCGCATAATTGAAAGCATCCCCTAGAAAGGCGCCATGATGCGGCTGCAGCGTCATGTCTGCAGAAAGCAGCAAAATAATGTTACAGGGCAACTCCGTCAAGTCTGCAAGACTATGGTCACCAGCAGCGCGCAACCAGGCCGAACTTGGTGGTGCTAGGTGCCTACCCAAACATGCAATACTTTTCCTCCTGACAGCGATCTTGAGCCGGTTTTTCTGACGTTGATTTTTGCCAGATTGGACCATCGCTGGCCATTTTGCCTGCATCCCTGTCTTCCCGTGCTGTCCTTACGAGGACCAACGGGTGCTGGCTGTCTGCTGCTGACAGTGGTTTCCAGATCGGCCATCAAATTGAAAATGGTATTCTACATTGAGATCGTTGAAATAATGAGCAATGGTGAAGGATGATGGCGCCTTAGTATTCGATGCAGCAGAGTCAGGTCCTGCACATGTCATCTCTTCAGGACGGCTGTCTTAGCAATATCAGGACCACGATCGTGGCCATAGAATATTTGACGAGAATTCGTGATGAAAATTTTTAGTAACCCATATTAACGTCTCTCCTCTCCTAATGCTCTCACCTCGCAGAGCTCGGTCTTAACGAAGTCTCTCAACGAGAACATAAGAATAAGGAATTACCAAGTTTGGTCCGGCTCTGGACAAACATGCAATCATGCGTCCAAGAGTCAATTAATAACTGGGGGAAAGCCAACGGGGAAAGGGCAGCCAAGCTGGTGTATTCATGGCTGAAATACATCATGTAGCCACGTGCCAGCACATGTCGGCAATATTGCATCCGAACACCGAACCACCATTGCGAACGCCTCTTTCCTTGGGCAATCAGCAAGTTTCAATCGAAAAACTACCAGTATATTCATCTGTTGACATATATCAGGCGCTGTGCAGGCGTGGAAGTCTGTTTGTGTCCCGAAGCAAGTAGTACCTAAGATTTTTCTGGGGTGCGGACGACAGAAGGGCCAGCAATAACTTTATAATTAATAGACTATCCAGTCAAGGCACAATTGTTACTTCTACGACAAGGGCTGCTTGGGACCCGTTGCAGAGGTTGCAAAATTTCTAAGGAAGTCAATAGTTGCGCCCAGCCACACTGTGTAACTCGGTGCGTTCACAGCATGGATGGAATTCGCATTTGATGTGTGGATGAATGATCCTGTTCGACCAGCCTTGTGGCTAAGATTCTTTAATGTCTATTTTTGCAGACATCTGACATCTTCTGCCTATCTCTTTCTCCACTGTCAGGATTTCCTTCAGTACTGTAAATTGCTCAAATACTCCTGAGACGATCTCGTACGTTCGTGTGCGGCTAGGTTTACATCGCCAGCGTCAGACATAGGGAAGCGGCAAGAATACAGGGGCCTCAGGGCAGCAGGGCAGCGCCAGAATGTGCCGCTTGATGGCATACATGGGGCCGCCAGTCCTGGTGGCAGATGTTGTTCTCTGGCCGGATAGATCCATCATAAAGCAGTCGTATGACGCGCGGGAGAGGAAAATGGACTCGAGCTTGCCCTCGCACCTGGCATATGGCAACTTGAATGGAGATGGATTTGGCATAGGGTGCGAATTGCGTCATGCCTCCTATTGGGCAGTTGCTTGCAGCTCCTCTTTTTCTTGCTGCCTTAGCTATGAAGAGCATCAATGTTAGATTGCAGCACATGCTGACGTGGCGCATGGCTGAATAGGTGGTTTACATCAGATGCCATGGATGGGAAACCTGTTGCAAGGGTGGATCCCACACCATGCGTCTTCACTTCCATCACACCAGCCTGGTGAGCATGTTAAGCTGATCTCGAAGCTTGCCACATGAGGTGCATCTCTGAGTTGTTGCCGTCATAATTGACTGCTGTTTCCATGGCTTATGACGTTGTGTTGTGTGGCCAGGAACAACGAGAATTTGGGGCGCCTTTCCTGCAAAATAATATCGCCCCTTGTCTTTGCCCACGTAAGTATTGGCGCCTTGTGCGTGCTTTGGCTTTGCAATGCACTGAATATAGCAGCGGTCTGTACCTGTAATCAGCATCTTTTGGGAATGTGGATGCAGGTCCGAGCAGCCATGCCAGGGATGCCGGTGTCTGAGCAGAACTGCCACCCCTTTCAGTGGGGCCGCTACATGTGGATGCACAATGGCATGGTGCGCCCAGCAGCTCACCCCAGAGAGCCGATGAGAGTGCCAGTAATGGGGAGGCTTGGCCACAAAAGTACTAAAACATGCTGTCCTGCACAGGTGGGCGGCTTCATGAAGATACGGAGAGCCTTGCTGTCCATTCTATCAGACGCAGCCTATGACACCGTGCAGTCGTTTCACTCTGACAGCGCTGTCTGCTTCTCTGTATTCCTCCATCACCTCCCCGACCTGACCTCGCAGCACCCTCCACATGTGCTCCTGCGCGCCATCGAGGTACTCACCCTTGACCCCTGTCTCACCGGAATTGGTTGCAAGGGAAGGCCAGCAATGAAGCGCACCTCGGGGCTTGAAGAAAGGACAGATCCTGTGGTGGGCTTCATTGACGGGTTCCCTTGCAGCCACCATGCGTCTCTTCAGTTTCCTCTGCTTGGCGCATCAAAGATGGAAGAACCTGAAGCTGTGGACCTGAAGGCGCACGATGACTCTCACATAAAACAGTTGACTACATGACGGGTGTTGTGCAGGCGACGTTTGCCAGCATCACGGCGGCGCAGGAGGCGGCTGGAATCACAGAGGTGTCACTGCTCAATTTTGCCGTGTCGGACGGCAGCACGCTAATCGCGACGCGCTATGTGTCCCACGAGGATGAGGAGCCGGCGTCGCTGTACTATGCTGAGGGGTCCGCCTTCCAGCGCTGCCCAGGTCCTAGCCAGGAGGCACCCGCTACGCCTGTCGCGCCCGGGCCGCTCAAGGGCCCAGGCGAGCCCGGCTGCGTGCCCTGCAGCCCCACAGCAAACGCCGCCAGCGCGCGGAACACTGCAGTGGCCGGGGAGGTGCGCGCTCTGCTTCCATCCCCCAGGGCATCCTGCTTGACCTGCAGCATACTAATATACTTCTCTGCCTGATGCTTCTAAAACAAGAGCACTCTTGTGGGCATCAGCGGGCAATAAAGACACTCGAGGAAGGTTGGGTGTGGCGGTCCCACCTAGCAGAAGGGATGCAGCAGCCATTGTTCAAGAATGGATGTGGATGGTGGCAGGGGGAGTACTGCTTGAGCTATGGGGCGGTGGGGACGCGAGTGGCGCTGGTCGCGTCAGAGCCCATCACCCGCCAGGCCGGGGAATGGGTTGCTGTGCCCCGCAACTCCGCTCTGATCATTATCAGTGAGAAGGTGATAGCACCTTTCTCACTCAACTTTGCACATGGGAGATGCCCTTGGTTCCTGTCAACACATCCCAATCATGCTGCAACATCTTCATCAGATGTCTGTCAATCTCCACAAGCATTGAATATCCTGTCTCATCAAGGGCGATTTTGATGTGCAGGGCAGCTGCATAAATGTGATGCGAAGTGCCATTGGGCCACACGGGGTGCACCCGCGCCAGGAGGAGGTTGCCATGAGCTTGGAGGCCGTCTCTGGCGCCGTGCAGGTCTCGGGGCGGCCCTGGCAGATGCAGCGGAAACGGCGGCGCGACAGTGCGACCCTCCTCCTACCCTAACTTTTTCCTAAATCTTGCAAGGATTTCTCACCCCTCATTAGTTGCTTGACCTGATTTCCATAAAGGCGTGTAGAATTTTAAGGCTGAGGTGCAAAGACAGGCCTGACTTGGACAAGGGCTATTATTGTGGTCGCCCAGATTGCAAGCAGGGCAGGTATGTAGCATGCAGTCATGCTCAGTGACCAATGGCTGACTTGTGGATGTCGCGTGTGCAGCGGGCGGGAAGCTTCAGGGGAGCGACAGCATGCCGGGCCCGTTGAAGATGGATGAGGGGGCGCGTGTTGTGACAGCGGAGGATCAGCAGCTGACGGGGCACACGGGCGCCCTGCTGTGCCTGGCCCTGCTGGATGACCGCCTGCTCTTCTCCTCCTCCACCGACCTCACCATCAAGGCACTGCTCAAGCATTCCTCTGCTAGCTGTGAATTCCACATGCGTGCATGCTCATCGCGTGTCAATTCAAATCTCGATGCAAACTCCCGGTATGAAGTGTGTGAGCTGTAGTCAATTGCCTTTTCGTGCAATACCGGCTCCAGCTTCCTAAAAGTAAATATTCTGTGTATTAAACCAATGCTTGACCTTCAGAAGGTAGGGAATGGCATGATTCTGCCACACTTTTTTGAAGCAAGAATTATGTCACCTGCAGGTGTGGGATCTGGCTCAGGGGAAGTGCATTCGCACGCTGACGGGCCACAGCCGGCCGGTGCAGCGGCTGCACATAGCGGGCGGGCGGCTTTACAGCATCGGGGGCCGTTCCCTGCGAGTCTGGGACCTGGCCACCTACGCCTGCGTGCGCGTGCTGCAGCAGCCGCGCGAGAGCGGCGCCCTCTCCGCGCTCGCTGTCGCCCTCGACGGCACCGTCTATGTCGCTGGCCAGGTGAGTCCTCTGGACTCTGAGCTGCATCACACTTGTCACTGTGACCCTCTGTTCCTGTCGATATCTTAATCCTTTGCCGAGTGCTAAGAACGATGCCGAGAGGAAGCAGAATCTGGCCATCTTTCAAGCGAAAGGACCTGTGGAGGACCCTTGCATTTTACAGCTTAAAAAATGAGGCTGTGGTGCATGCGCGCAGGACGCCTCGATAAAAGCGTTCCGGCCGGGGGACGAGGTGAGCACAGCGGCGGTTAATGGGCATGCGCCGGGGGGGCTGACGTTGGCGCGGGAGGCGCTGCCAGACGTGTGCAGCGCTGCAGAGGACGCGCACTGCGGTGCCGTGCATGCGCTCGCGCTGTGCGGCTCGTATGTGTGCTCCGCCGGCGGCGATGCCATGATCCGCGTCTGGAACGCCTCCACCCTGGCGCTCTTCAGGTGCGCTGCTTTTCCACTTTGCTCTTTTGCATGCCCTTTGCCTTGCCCTTAGAATGGCTTGGAGAATTCTCCTTGCCCTTCTGATGCCTCTGTTGCACTTCATGTGCCCTCTTGCATGCCCTTGATCGGCTGTCGGTTTGCAAATGCTCTGTTGCGGCTAATGGTGGTGTTTCTTGTGGTCTTTAATGTTGGGATATTGTGTGCTGGTTGGTGTAATTAGGGTGCTCCGCGGGCACAGAGGCAGCGTTCTCACGCTCTACAGCTGCGGCAGCCTGCTTCTCAGCGGCGGCCGGGACAACATCATCCGTGTCTGGGTGAGATCCCTGCTGCAGCACAGTGCTGTCTGTGCGCTTGTCAGGTCACGTCGGTGTGCAAATGCTGAAATTGACTGTCTAATCTGGGACTTGTGTGGCCCAGGACATGGAGACAATGGTGTGCAGACAGACGCTGGCGGGACACAAGGATGATGTGCTCAGCATCTCCGGGCTGCCGCCTCCGCCACCAGTATTCCCCACTGACACCAACTTATCACATGACACGCCGAACGGGCATGCAAAGGGGGGCGAGACATTGAGAGAGGTGAGTCCCTGCCCCAGAATTTGCTTCTGAGGTACCCTTTTCTAACACTTAATTGATATAGATTAGTGTACTGCAGATGCTTAAATTCTTCTCACAGCCCTGCTGATGATCGTTTTGGTGCACAGCTGCGGCCGGCCCTGTCAGCCATGGATGGGGCAGCACTGATAGCGAGCTCCAGTGCGGATGCCACCGTCAGGCTGTGGCGTTCAAAATGCTGGTCATGCCTGCGCATCTTCACCCTTGCCCCGACGCATTCCCCCTCCCCTTCCCTGCCATTCCTCTCAACCGCGCTCTCGCCAGAGTGAGTCACTCTCAGCTCGCACCACATTCGTCACGCCGTGCTGCATGCTTCAGAACATTAAGGCTGTTTGCACTTTAATCCCCATGTTGGATGTTACGGGGGTGGGTTTTGTCTGGAAGTGTGCTAGAGCCCTTTACAAAACAGTTGAGGTTTAGACGTGTTGCTGAGAGCTTCACGGTCATGTTTGCAGATACACAGTGACCGGGTCGGAGGATGGCATAGTGCGGCTGTGGAACAGCAGAGACATGTACGACAGCCAGGCATGCGGATTGGCGCCCACCTCCGCCTCAGAATCCACCCGGAACACTGACGGTGAGGCTCTGCCTGTCATGCACATGTGCAACGTCAGCCTCCCCTCCAGGGCCGAATGATACCTTGCTCCCTGTCTTCCATGCGGCATCTCGTGTGCAGCACCAGCCGAATTCGTCTTGGAGGGAGCTGACACATTGTCAGGATGTTGGGAGCAAAGGCTGCAGGTGTCCAGCATCATGGTGAGACATGCAGGGATTGATGAGGGCTGAGACTGCTAAAACTGGGGTTTTTCGAAAGCAGGTGCAACGAAGAGGGCGCGCATTGCGAGCAGCGCGCCGGGCGAGTGCAGCACGACGGACAACGAGGTGCAGCAGCTGGAGAGGGAGCTGGAGCATGCCCTTAGGGACTTTGTGCGGCTCAAAACGGTGTCCAGCGACCCTACCCTGCAGGAGGACTGCTTCCGGGGCGCCAAGTTCCTGGCCACCCTGCTCGAGTCACTCGGTGAGGCTTTTAATGTCATTCCTCTGTCTCACTTGTCAACATACTGATTGATTTGGCGTGATGACGTGTTTCTGATGCTGCATCGCGCTGGCAGCATCTGTGTCATGCAATCAAGCAACCAGGAGCGATTGCTATTGCACCAGTGCAAGTTTGTACTTCAAGATCAGCAACGACAAAGCCAGTGGGCCATAGGACAACCATGCAGGGCGATCGGAAGCAATTCTACAGGAATGTTGCAAGGGAAATTCAAGGTCGGGGATGGTTGCGCAGGTGCGGAGATAAAATTGAGCCGGCCGGTGGAGGACAAGAATCCTGTGGTGATTGGGCGGCTGGGGCGCAATCCGGACCTGCCCACTGTCACCTTCTACGGCCACTACGACGTGCAGCCGGCCATGGAGCGCGAGTGGAACACCGACCCCTTCGAGGTCGCCGCCATCGACGGCTACTTCTACGGCCGCGGCACCTCCGACAACAAGGCGCGCCTGATCGTTTGGCACCCCTCTGCAGTCACAAAGTAGCAGTTCTTCTGTGTATTTATTGCATGCATAGTATAAAAGGAGGGCATGCATGCAGTGGTTCGATCGATCGTTGGCACACAGTGACACTCATCTTGAAGTCGGCAAAAGATTGCCCTCTCATGCTCTGCCCGAGGTGTCTGCAGTGTGCTTCTCGTGTCCGAAGAATCTCACCTAGAGGAGGCTTCCCGATGGCTATCTTTGGTCCATACAGGATGCCAGTATGCTTGCATGGTGTTATGAAAGACTCCCTAAACAAGTGGGCTTGTTGGTGATGTGCAGGGGCCCATCCTGGCATTTGTGTACGCGGTGAAGGAGATGCTGAAGGAGGGGCGCGGCGCCAACGGGCTGCTGCCGGTGAACGTGGCGTTTGTGTTTGAGGGGGAGGAGGAGAACGGCAGCGCAGGCTTCCGCGAGGCTGTGCAGGCCAACCTGCACTGGTTTGAGGGCACCCAGCTCATCATCATCTCCAACACCCTCTGGGTCGGCGAGGAGGTCAGCTGCTCTGGCCGCTCCCACAAGCGCATGTTGCAGTGCCTGTCTGTCTGTTTGTGTGCTGAGCGACCAAGCAACGCACTTCTAATTGGTGCATGACTGGTTCTGCCAAGGGTTCAGAGCAGGGAAATCCGCATGTCTTTGCTGGTGCCTGACAGTTTGTGTTCTTTCCCTGAATGCTCAGTAGGAGCAGCCTGAGATAATATTGATCATCCAGCAAGGACTGTTTGTCATCTCGGGAAGACAGTCTCGGGCTGCTGTGTGCAACAGTCCGTCATGATCTGCTGGGGATCATGGGTGTGTAGTGTTGCTGAGCACTTGGCTTATGCAGGTGCCGTGCTTGACGTATGGGATGCGGGGGATGATTGCTGCAGCGGTGGAGGTGAAGGGGCCGGCCAGGGACCTGCACTCCGGCAACGAGGGCGGTGAGCATGCTATGCTTTCCCAGATCAATGCTAAACAGTTCTTATGTTGTTAAGACGCTTTTATATCCATTGCCAACTTTCGTGTCCATGGCTTTTTATAATTGTCGTCCCCTTGTGACGGGTGCGCCCCGCACAGTGCTGGCTCAGAATGTTCTATTTACTTTTAAAGCTGAGGCAGTGGGTGTGTTTTGTCGGCACGCAGGCGTGTTCAACGAGCCGCTGGCGGATTTGATGAAGGTGCTGGCAAGCCTAGTGGACAGCAGCAACCGCATCCTGGTGCCCGGGTTCCAGGCGCTCGTGCGGCCCAACACGCTGGAGCCCGCCCTCGAGCGCCTGGCCGCCTCCTCCGAATTCTCCCTCGACGGCTACCGCGCCGCCCTCGGCATCCCCTGCCTCGTGCGCCCCTCCCCTCCTGTACCCTCTCCCTTCTGAGGGTGCCGTTATCACTGTGCTGCAATTCTAGTCAGTTTGCGTGTTGCTGCCGCAAGCAGATTACCTTCTGAAGGGTCGCACTTGCGCACCGAATCGTTCATGGAAAGCCGGCATGCGCGCCAACACGATGCAATCAAGCGGCTTGCAGGCTTGTTTTGCAGCGCATTCCAATAGAGATGCCTTTGGCACATCTGCGAGCTGACTGTCATGCATGACTGTGTTGCTACCAGCGCATGCTGCAACCACTGCACTGCGACAATGGGGCCACTGCGCGGCTACTACTCCATGCAGCTACCGCTGCAGTTGTTACAAATAGGGGCCTGATCAAGCGCATGCATTGTCACAGGTAAAGGCTCAGAGCACGAGCGAGCTGCTGCGGGCGCGGTGGTGTGAGCCGGCGCTGAGCGTGGTGGACGTGAGGGTGGGGGACGACGAGGAGGGCGCGGGGGACCCCTTCTACCGCTTCGGCCCCACCCGGTTCTCCGTCATCCCCCGCTCCGCCGTCGGCAACGTCTCCGTTCGCTTCGTCCCCGACCAGGTCTGCTACCTCTGTCCCGCTCCTTCTGTCTTTGCTTGTAGATGAGAGCAACAGAGTGGCTCATCATGGGTCTCCTCGACCAGAGGCAAAGAGAGAAAGGGAGGGGAACCTTGCGCGGCAAGACGGTGCGAGGCAAGAAGGGGATGATGTGCAGTGGCTTCCTTGCAGATGATGAACTGCAGCGTCCTTGCATGTCATGCATTTGTCTGCATGACCTATCTCATGCATGCCAGCTCCCCGCTCTGTTCTTTGTGCCTGAATTCAGCGAGAGACGTGGTGTCTCCAGGAGGCGGGGCTGCGCAGAGAAAGCTTCCCCCTGCAAGTATGGAGGCACTGACGCATGGCTGTTTCCCATGTCAGGATGCGGAGCAGCTGATAGCGGCGCTGCGGGCGCACGTGGACACGGCGTTCAGCGCGTTGGGCAGCAGCAACACGGCGGCGGTGCGCGTGAAGAGCGTGGGGGACTGGTGGGAGGCGGACCCGGAGAGCAAGCTCTTTAAGATGGCCGAGCGCGCTCTGACCGCCGAGTGGGGGCGTCAGCCCCTCTTTGTGCGTGAGGGCGGCACCATGCCCGTGAGTGCCCTTCCCCAATGACAATAATGGTTAAGTTTGGCAAGAATGAGTGGTCCAATGGTGCCTCCTTGCCACAGACTATAGATGTCCTCTACCAGCCCCGCTCTTGCATGTTAAATTGAGCTCTGAAGAGCAGCTGTATACAAAAATTGGTTTGGCTTTTCGAAAGGGTGAAGAGGTACATTTTGTGGCGGGGTGAATGTGCTTTCAGGAAAACGTCGATACTGGAATTGACATGTCTGCATTCTTGGGTTGGCATTCAATTTGAAGCACAGGCACTGAAGAGGGGCTGCATCTTCACGATCTATGTGTCATGTTGCCTGGAGAAGATTTCTGCCAGGCAAGGAAGTAGAGTGCTGAGGCAGCAGGAAACGCTGTGAACAGGTGGCGTCAGCGCTGGAGAAGATGCTGGGAGCGCCGGCGCTGCTGGTGCCGTTTGGGCAGTCCAGCGACGCGTGCCACTTGGCCAACGAGCGCCTGCAGCGCATTAACCTCATCCGCGGCAAAAATGTCATCAAGAACCTGCTCTGCATGCTGGAAAACGCCTGATGTCAAAATGGTGAGGAGAGGCCAGCGCAGGCCATGCATGGTCCGCTATATGTCTGCCCCCTCCGGCCTTCATTGGCCAATTTTCATTCTGGGACAGGCCAAAAATCAGCCTTCATAATGGACCAGCTGCCGGACTGACCAGAGCAGTACCCTGCTTGCACTTGAGAATTTGCTGACCGCGGTGACGGTGGAAGTCCCTGGACTGTCCTGGACTGTCAGCTCACCTCCCGCGCACTTGATTACATGAAGTATTGTTTATATCTCGTTTGGTATGTACAGTAATGAGGGTCCGGTGTCCGCGCCACTTTCTCACTTTCTCACTATGACATCTTCTGTGTTGTACGAATTGCCGTAGCATGAACACTGTGCAAACGTGCATGCAAGCAAGATTTACGGGTGAAGTCATAGCAGCAAAGTTACATGTATGTGTTGATTCTCAGTATTGTGACAGTGAGGACTTGTGTGACCAAAATTTCCTTTCTGCGGAGCATAGTGGGTTTGCTCAGAAGTGCCAGCTTCTCCGATTGTTGTCATTATCCAATTAGGTGCAGCTGCAAGAATTCTATTCAAAAGCTGAAGCCACCAAGGAATTGTAATGATTAAGGCTGTCATGCAAGAAGGCCAACTTGGATAGTGACTCTTTATCCAGAGCATCACGTCATCATTCAGCTTTAAGGATTGCTGTCCTCAATATCTCCATGTGATGTAGGCCTTGAATATACCAGGATGCTGCCTGAATCAGTTTGGCAACCGCATTGAAGCTTTAGTCAAGCCACTCTGAAGAAAACTACAAAGGCTAACAACACAAACATCTCATGCTCGCAGTGCTTCAAGCGCAGTTTATCTGCTGCAGCTGTTGCAAGACCGTCCTTACTAACTAAAGCACCTCTGATAAACATTGCAAACAGGTATGAGTTCACAACAGGAAGACACAGAGAGCCACAGAGCCAGGGAACGACCCAGCTCAGAGCACAACTGCTTGTTTCAGACTCAGACTGCCTGGGATCCCCAGATTTGTGTCCAAGCCGTCATATAGTCTCCCAGTGCCGCCACTCACCCCAACTGCTTGTCATCAGTCCACTCTTCAGCTCTATCTTTCTCCAATTGTACAGTAAGAAATGTCAACGCGCGCAGGCACGCTGAAGGGATGGTGGCGCTCTCTTTAAGAAGCCAGGATGGCATCGACGTTGCAGGCTATGCGCCCCGGGTGCCTCGCGCAGTCCGGCGGCAAGGGATCCTTACCACCCAGAAGCAGCCGCACCTGTGTGACACGAGCAAATTCTCAGGCACACAAACTTGTCTCAGTCCTTAGCAGTTTCCGGGTGCCCCCACTGCTTCAACGCCCTGTCACTTTAATCTTCAAATTTGAACATGCCAGCTTGTCACAAATAGCTCAAGAAAGAGCGTGTAAGTATCCTGCTACGAGCATATAGAGTGGGGCAAGCAGGGCTCACATCATCCTCAAAGTCGATGGGGTCAAACAGGGATCCAAAGCACTTGCGGGGCACGCCCTTGCGGTCCACCAGGAACTTGGTGTAGTTCCACTTGATGTCCCCCGACTTTGTCTGCTCCTTCAAGAAGGTGTACAGTGGGTGCGCGTCCGCGCCGTTCACATCGATCTTGTCCTGTTGCACAGCTTGCACTAGTGAAAATCTGATCAACTTCTGAAGCCTTGCCAACACCATATAACATCTTGCACTGCCTGGTGCAAGATTATGTGGAGGCAACATTCCTTGCATAAAAAAGCAGCATTGGGTCAGTATAAACCTACCATGATGGGGAACTCAAAGCCAAACTTTTTGTAAGCAAACTCGCGCTCCCCATCTGAGGAGCGCGGCGCTTGCCCTCCAAATTGGTTGCATGGAAATGCGATCAGGTTGAACCCGGAGTCTCTGTACTTTTGGTACAGCGTTCGTAGACTACCATAGTTCCTGTTCTGCACAGGGCAGGAAGTATATCACGGACAGTCGCAGTACATTCCCGCTGAAGCAACTCAGTACCTGTAGCCAATGTAAGTAGCTGGTCTAAGAAAAGGGACAGTCTTTTCGCACCTGCAGACCTCATTCGCTGGCAATATTGAGGACGACAGTTACTTGTCCTTCAAACTCTTTGAGCGTCCTCTCCTTGCCGTACTGCACCACGGTGAAGTCGTATGAGCTGCTTGGGGAGGCTAGAGCACCTACAGGAACATAATGCCCATGGTCAGTACTCAGGATTGCGTTGCTCAGAACCCAAAGCTCCCAGATCATCTTGATCAAGCTCACATCTCAGGAAGCAAAACCACACCTGAAGGCAGAGCGAGCATGCCTGCAGCGCTTCCAGCGGCACCCAAGAGATAACGACGGGAAACGTCTGCTTCATGGGAGGCAGTACTTTTCACAACTGTGTGTCTAGAGAATCTTTTCCCAGAAGAACGCCGCTGCAAAAGCTGATGATCGACTCGGGTGCTGCTGTGTATGCACCGTGTGGTGCACGTCGCTGTCAAATTCATCCTTGTCTGAGTATTTTGAAGGGTCACAACTGATTGTCTGAAGCTTGGCTATGCTGGTTGTGATGTTCAGCCTGTTCAGGCATCTCACGTGGCGCTTTATGAGCAAGTATGTTTGGCATGCCATTAAATTTCACCTTGTATGTCATATTGTCTGTCTTGATTTATTGGCCTTGTTGGCTGACACAGATGCAGTGTGTCGCACTTCTCTCGCTTTTGCATGCTTTCTTGTTCAGCCAACTTCCTCAAGTGGCGCAGTAGCTTCAAGCTGTCCGCCAACCCACGCATGCATTTGAAAAGGTCAAGCTTCAAGCCAGCAGCCAAAGGTAGCAGACAGCTTGTATAGCTGCAGGAGTCCCTTCGGAGGTGCCTGTGCTTGGAAAGTAAATTACAGATCTGTCCATCAGCAAGCCATCAGAAGGCTTGCTGGAAGCTCTTGCCACTGCGACTAAATAGCCCCGCAGCGCAAAGCTTCCGCGATCCACATCATGATGTCCCTCTGACCTTCAAAAATACGAAGTCTGAATACCAAACTCACAACCACCTGTTGTGGCTGGGCTGTGCACAGGTCGCCCTCCAAAATAAAATAAAAAGTACAGCAACAATACTTCAACAAAGGTTTAGCGCCACCACTCGTGGCAAGGCAACACTTGGCAAGCGAGGCCTCACGGAAACACTGTAAATCAAACAGAGCCACTGAGACCATAAGACCAACATGTCAATGTACAGGACTGATCAAATTGAATTCGCCACCTTTGCAAGCAATTAGGCCCCTAAGGTGGGCGATGCAGTGACTGCATGCATGACAAACCTCCGGTAAGTTCCCTTGCAATATGCTTCCTCAGCATGGGAGCAGTAATCTGTCAGCTGCCTCCTACTCTCCATAGAATGGCAGGATTCTTCAGAACACTGTCAATGATATACTCAGACACCCGTTTCTGCAATGCAGAAGTTGCTGGGCATTTCAAATTCTCCAGAACAAAGAGAGAGAACCTGCGCTGGCTGCATGGCCTCATCGCCTGGAGACGAGCAATCTTCTCCTGAGAGACAGCTGCTGCGCAGGATCCTGCTCCAGTGCTTGCCGCTCGCGCACTTCTGGGCTGTTGAGACCAAAAAGGTTCATCTTGAACTTTGTGTCCCAGTAATTTGCCATCTCATAGTCCTGCGCCAGCCCCTTGCCGTGCCACGCCTCCTGCACCATGCACACAGCACATATTGAGCGCCAGAGAATAGAACACGAGTATTTACACGGAATTTCATCCCATGCTAATATGCAGGTGCCAAAAGGTTCAGCACGCTGGAGCAGGGCACATTAGAGCAAACACAGTGGCAGATACTCAAGAGGCTTGGGTATGCTCACATCTTCTGGGAGCCAAAATGTGCTGTTGGGGTTGAATGCCTCCTGGCCCACTGTGAAGCGCTCGTAGGTGTCTCCAATGATACCCTGCAGCGCAGTAAGAATGCATTCAATCTTCACTCACCCTCATCCGGAATGATAGTCTGATTCATCTGTGAGGCCTGGCAGCACAGAAAGAGTGACAGACCGCACGAAGCAAAGCATGCATAAGGTCTTGAGTCATCAAGAAGTCTGTTTTATGTATGTGATTGTTTAGCAGGGGGACGGACTCACGTTCATCTGGCTGTTTTCGGGTGGGGAGAGCAGGCTGATGTTGAAGTTGAGGTAGCCCTCCAGCTCCTTGCCGCCCTCATCGATTATTCCCTTGGGCGTGTGCCACAGCAGCACCTTGAGCACGTCTGCACGTTGACACAGCAGCCAGCTCAGCACCACTCGCCACATGAGCAAATCACCAATCATTATTTCCTAGGCTCTCCCCAGTGTCTCTTACTCATGCTCAGCAATACACTGCTGCACTGCTGTTGCTGCACAAGCCATGCAGGAAACCTTCATAGAAGCTTCCTTAGTGCTTGGGAAGCATCAACTTTCTTTTAAACACTGAAAATAGGCAATAAGATTGTAATATTGCTTGCGTTTTTGGATGAATTCTGCAGGGTTTGGGGTCGCACCAGTCTGCACAACGACAGCGTTACCCACGCCCGGCATGTACAGGTTCCAGGACATTTCCACGTCACTGCCGTCCTCAAAGCGCCACGCGTGCCTCTGGACCTTCTTCTTCTCCACCAGCTGCTTCTCATTCACGTACACTGCAGCACAGCTGTCCGGTCAGACCATGTCCAACAAAGCCCCCTTTCAAATGCTTAATGGCAACGGTGCAGCAGGTTACACCCTACGGAAAGGAACAATGAAATGCTATCAGGGGCGTACCCTTGGGCTTGTCTCCATCAAGCTCCATTAGGATCTTGTAGCTCTTGTACATGAAGCCAATACCCTGCAGGTCACAACAGCAATTCAGCTGAAGCACTCGATGGTCATGCCTGCTGATCCTGCTGATTGTGTTTGCTCTGCTGCAAGGCAGACGATGCCCAGAACATAGCAAGGAGAGCTACTCACAGTTGTCTACAATGCTGTCTGGTCCAGAGAGAGGGAACAAAGGACTGGCACAGGAGGCAGGCAGCGCTCACCATCATGTTGGTACCGTTGTGATTCCACATCTGGGCCAGCTTGAGCTTCATGGAGAGCTGGTGGTGCATGCTGGAGATGAGGTTGTAGGTCTTGCCGACGTCGCCAAAGAAGTTGAAGCTACGCCCCGAGAAACCCGTCATGATGGGGTCAGACTTGCCGCCACCGCAGCCCTGCACAGCCAAGACACACAGTGAGCCGTTTTCAATATCACAAATATTGCAGGAGTCCCACAGTAAACTGCGTAATCTCCGAAAATATCTTTAGAATCCAATGCTGAGCCGTCTCACAACAGTTGCAGAAGTCCCACGAAGCACCTGGATGTCTCATGTCAACCGGGTGAGTGGTGCAGGCAGGGGTGCAAATCTAGTGCAAGCATGCAGCGCTGCATGCGCGCGCGACTCACCTGTGAGCCGCAGTTGCCGTTGCCATTGCCATTCCCGTTGCCGCTACCGACGTTGCCGACCCCATTGTTGTTGCCATTGCTGCTGCCGGCATTGCCGTTGCCGTTGGTGTTACCATTGTTGCTGCCACTGTTGGCATTCCCATTGCCGTTGCCGTTGGCTGAGCCAGTGTTCTGATTCCCGTTCAAATTGCCATTGCCGGTGCCCTGGTTGTTGTTGCCATTGGCGTTGCCTGCAAGGCATTCACATGCTGGTTGTCACAGGTCTTCTCCACAGGTAACGGATCACTCAATACAAAGGCCTACCAAGACCAGCGGTCTGCAGTTTCTAGAAGCAACCACAGTTTTGTGCCTCAGTAACAAGCAAAAGACGAAAATTCCCTTCCTTCATACAGCCAAGCAGCTGTATGCACAACATTGCCTCGCTTGCCATAATTCACTAGCAATGGCCGAACGCGTTGGTCCGTGCCTGCTTCTACACCAACTGGAGTGGCATAACTGATTGCCAGAACAGCTGTGATGGGCAGACATGAAACCACTAAACGCTGATCGCTCAGGCGGGCCCCATTAGCTGCTCACCGTTCTGATTGCCAATGTTCCGGTTCCCATTGCTGTTCCCGTTGCTCCCTCCCAACACGTTCCCGTTGCCATTGGTGTTTCCGTTGCCACCTCCGATGTTGTACTGTCCATTGTTGTTGCCATTTCCGGAACTACCGCCTCCCAGTGTGCCGCCCAGTGTGGTGGCCGATGACGTCCCAGTCCTGGAAGTGCCTCCGCCGGAACTAGTGCCGGCTGGCTGAGAGCCAAGAGTCGTAGAGAAGGTATTAGCAGTGCCTCTAGTGGCGCCTTGTGCACCACCAGCGCTGAAAGATCCACTAGAGTATCCCGCCGAGGAGGACTGCCTTGCTCCTGCAGCTTGCTGTCTGCTCGCACCGACCTCCCCTGATGTCAGCTGTGCGTCCACTGCGGCCGTGGCACAGAGCACGGCCAGCAGACACGCCAGCCAGAGCGACATGATGCAAAAATTTGCTTCGGCCAATTTTCAGCCCGGCAGCATTGATCAATGTTTTGGGCTCGCGCCCCGATCAGTAGTGATCGATCTGATGGGTGACGAAGGAAGGTTTGTCACCGTGATGCCGCAGTACTTTAGCGCATTGTTGTTGCTGAGGGCCAACAGGGACACTCGATTACGCATCGAGGGTTTCCAATATCACCCACCTTGGAGGGAGATTGGAGAAAGAGGTATGCAGACATCAAGACAAAGCGAGCGCCAGGAGATAGGAGAAAGGGCTGCCTCTCAAGTGGCACGTCATGTATACACAACAATACCGTACTGTGACAATGATCCCCCGGCCCAGGAGCACTAACTTAGCATTAACATTTGAAATGAGATTCTTGCAAAGCCCCACCCCACCTTGCAATATTCATTAAGTGTCATCACCTGGAGTGATGTAATCTTCCTTCCTTCCTTCACCTGAAATTAAGGTGATGACACTTAATTTCAGCCATATCCAGACTGAAATCCGAGCCAGAGTCTGGATTTCAGTCCAGACTCTGGCTTGGAGCCAGCAGAGAGCAGAGTGACATTTTCCTTCAGGACACTTCGGTTGCAGCAAGTTGACCCGGCACGCAGATCCGATCTGAGTCAGCTTGTTTGCTTGCAGCAATCACTGACAGGCAACAAGATTTCATCGTTTGCTTTTGATGATATAGTTCCAGACTAAATCATCAACATTCATAGTCTAACCGCAGTGCTGTGTGGTGTCAAAGACCTAGGTCAACAAGATGCAAGCATTACTCTTGTGTGCGCCGCACTGTGAGGCATCTACGGGCTACAGAACCCAGCCTCCCATGATTGCCATGTGGCATGGGACATGTCAGATGAACTCCAATGACAGTACAACACAGTATTCCTGCAGACCACTGGTCATGGCATACAAGATCGGGGCGGACGCACAATTCTGATATAGATTAATCCCTCGACAGTGCTGTCGTAAGCAGGCCAAATTCACGTTTTCAAGCCCACTGCGGCCTCGAATTGGGCCTTGTTGATGACTGAAATGCGGGGGTTGGCCTCTGCGCGCTCGCGCTCCTCCCTGGTGTTGTACCCCCAGTCCACCAGATATAGCTGCCACTCTTGAAGCTCTGGCACCTTGCAGACCTGACATGACATACACCCACTAAGTCAATGTGCAGCACGCACCAATCTGATGCAGCTGGCAGGCAACAAAGAAGTCGCGCGGGAGAAAATGGTGTATGTTGCCAAAAGGACAGGGGCAGGCACCTTTTCGAGGGTGCTCAGCTTGTCTTCCACAAAATGGTAGGAAGTGCCAGGGTGCTGCTGCTGCAGGTCCTTGAGGATGTCGCTCTTGGGCTGACCAGAGACCGTTGTTGAGAAAATGTGGTCCGGCGAAATGGGCACCTTTGCCATGTTGTGCATCAGCGCCTCTGTGAAGCGGGCCTGGCAAGCACACAACATGCTTTACTGTTGGTTCTCCTTGGAGTCCTCCATGAGCTCAACTCTGAAAATTTGTAGCGGCTTCTTACTTGAGAGCTGGGAAGTGGCAGATAGAAGAGTAGCATTGGTTTAGGTAGACACCTGCTTGGTGGTCACAATGTACAAGTCGTGCTGCTGCATGAGATGCGTGAGGATGTCAGGCAGGCCCTCATAGATCTCGTTGGCATTGAGCCAGCCATCAAGATCTCTGGCTATCCACTCATCGCGAAAATCGCCAAACAAGTCCACCAGCTGTGCCACACAGCAAGTCAGCAGCTGTTGCAGCACTGTGCACACGCCTACATCTTCATGAAGTCCATTACATGAACCTGGCAACAATCAGAAGGACTGCCAGTCGTACCTCTGATCTGTCAAGCTGCCACCTTGCCATGCGATCTGGGAGGATGGTGTGCCAGTTGTTGAGAATATCCTCCTCAGAGTCACCTTCTAGCAAACACCTGATCTGCACCAGATTCTCATACCTGCGACCAAAGAAAGGTCTCCTGGTCAGGTTGTCTGATGCTACCGGAGTTCCTCGTGGGCAAAGCAAAGGTTGACACATTCAGTGATCTCACCCGGTTTCGACAACTGGCCGCACGGTGCGCATCTTCTCTTCAACCGCGGTCTCCTGGGCCTTGACCTCTGCTTTGGCAAATAGGTCAGGCCATTTTCTGGCTGATGCCTGGAAAGAACCAACCGATCTTACTAACGATCCTCAATGCTGATAGGATATCTACAAGTTACATCGTGGACATCATACCTGCCATGCGGACTTTGAGCTCTCCCCTACGCTGTTGCACACCACCCCATCAAAGTCCAATGCCCACAACGCCTTGGACATGTTCTGCGCCTGAATCACTGTCCTCTGTCGTGGGATAGATTGCTTATGATTTAGTCTAGGTGATATCCTAAGAAATGGGATTGCAGAACGCAATCCCCTCAGGCAACCAACTTCATGGAGCAATGCCGTGCTGGTGGAGGACATAAAGCAAACGTGTATGTGAGCTGTGCTCGGCCTAATGGGTCCTCATTACCATCAAATGAGTCTGTAAGTCTTTATCTATATTCAGTCAATCCGTACTTGTCATTTATCGGGTGACCAGAAAAGCAAATTGCGTCAGACCCCGGTCTCTGATGGCGATCCGTGGCAACCGCTTCAGCATTTTGGACAGCAAGCTCTTCATTCTTCTTTACAACCCGCAATCATGGATCCTCAGCAAAGGTGTTTGTGGGGTGTGCTGTGCCTGACCTTGGTCGCCCTCGCGCACGGGGCACCACTCCAGTCTCGCCTAGGATCAGACAGGCTGCAGAGCCAAGCCCCTCTGTGTGGCTCGTGCAGGTGGCTAGTCAAGTCAGTGAAATGCGAGCTCTCCGATGTAGACACACAGAGTGAGATTATTGGCATGATCCTGAAGGATGTTTGCCCCAAGCTTCCTGCTGATGCGCAAGAGGCATGTGGTCAGCTCGCACCTTCTCTGATCCCACTGGGGGTCATGTATATCCAGTCACTGTCAGCGAACGAGCTCTGCGCGGATGCCACCCTCTGTGGTGCTGCACCACCATTGAGCAAGACTGCCAGATTCGGAGTTGGTCAGCAGAACGACTTCAACTGCCCGATTTGCAAGATGCTCTTGATCACCCTCAAGCAGGAGCTGAAGAACCCCGAGAGCGAGAAAGAAATGATTGATCGTGCTCATCAGGTACTTAGTGGTTATGCTTAGCACAGCAGATCTGCCTTTGGCTCACTTTTAAATTTGCCAATCATCAGGAGTCTGTCTTTCAGTTGACACGCTGTTGCTGCCTGTCCGACTTCGAAAGGCCTTGTAGCTTTCATATTTCATTAATGACGAGGAGACTTATTTGTGTATGCAGGCTTGCAAGACACTGCCAATTGACTGGCAGGCACCCTGCACAGCTTACGTGGACCAGTTTGGTGAGTGCAGTGCAGCTCTATCGACCACATCAAAGCCTCGTTATTGAAATTTTGCAGTACCTTTGAACCATTTTCAATACTCCTATCCTGCTGCATGCCTGACTTGCGTCCCCTGCCTTGTGTCACAGGCGAGCAGCTCTTTGCATACATTGAGACCCTCGACGCCACGACAATCTGCACCAACTTCGGTGCATGCCTGCCGAGCCAGCTGTACTCCAACATGACCGTGCCATCGCTGCCCCTGTCTCTTGTTGCTAAGGCTGCAGACCTTCGCATCCGTGCCCATGAGCTGTCGGCCACCAACGATTTCTGTGACACCTGCAAGATGGTCGTCACTGAGGCCGCTGCAATCCTGGGCAACCTGGTAAGCTCCTATTGCCATTGCTGTAGTCATGGTGGCTGTTTCCAATTTTCTTAGCCCTCAGCTTAGTATCATGACGGATGATCCTGCGTTCTTCATTATCCGCTAGTGAAATTTGTGCATCTCAATTGGGTATAATATGTTCATGTAGTGCTAATGAACTTCTGTGATTGCAGGACACCCAGAAGCAGATTCTGGAGTATGCAAAGGAGGCCTGCCAGGCGTTTGGCCCCAACTTCAAGGACCAGTGCCTGAACTATGTAGAGCTGTATGGCCCACTGGTCGTCAACATGATTGTGCAGTACCTCAAGCCTCAGCTGTGCATTGACGCCGGCTACTGCCCGCAGCCCACCAGCCTGAATGGCCTGATGCGCTCCGTCTGATATGTCAGCCTTGTAGTGTCTTCAACTGTCGCCTTGCGAATGTATCCAACCCAATTACCGCTGCATGTAGTGATTTTTCATGTACTCTTGTGTACTATTATGTAGACCCTTCTTGGCCCGTGCATCTGCTGTTGAAGCCAAGTGGCGATCTGGGATAGTGTAGTATTAAGCCATGATCATCTGCTCAGATGAGTGATGTGATGACATGCAAGCCTTGCACTCATTCTTGGCAGTGATGACACACGAAGGCACCTTGTAGACCTGATAATGCTGTAAGAGCTCTTTGTATCTGAGGACATGGTACATCAATATCAATTATTTAATGTGATCCCTGCTCCGACGTGATTGAAACGTCGTCAAAGCTACTAGCCGTGACGGTCCGTCTCGAAGCTTTGCACTGAGAGTGATGTTGGGTTCATGCATTTGCTAAAGTATACATCATGTCACTTTATAATGAAAAAAATACTGTGCCTCATACACTGTACGATCAGTACACATCTTGCTGCCTCATGCGGACTCCTGATCTGCTTTGTACTTGGCAACGCTGCCTCCCACCCGAGCAACAGCACTGAACTCTGTGCGTGGCCTCTTCACGGTGGGGACCTTGGCTCCCTCACCACCATCCGTCCCGCCCTCATCTTCTGGCCTGCATCCCCCGCCACCTGCACACAACACGAGCTCCTCAAGAGTCAATCACGACTTCGCCTTCGCCAGAATCTATCACAGCGCAATCATGCTCATTTTCTTATCTTTCCACTGCTCTGCTTCCCTGCCACCGCTGATTCCTTTGCGCATATCACACGGCCATGCGCAAAATTGTGTTCAGGGCTGACCTCCAATTGCAGATTTTGCAGCCAGAGTAGCTGGGGGTGATCTAGTAAAGCAGGGCCCAAGGGCAAGGCTCGTTCCCGGCAAGCCAGGATTGAGATGCGCGCACCTGGAGTGAGGATGCGGAGCCGCTCTCCGGCGGCAAGCTCCACGTTGTTTTTGCCGCCCAGGTTGACGGTGCGGCCGTCGCTGGTGAGCAGCAGGTTGATGCCGGCCAGCGCTGAGCCCCCGCCCAGGATGCCAAACGGCCGCACCGCGCGCCGCTCCGACAGTATGCACGCCGTCATCGGCCGCAGGAACTCGATCTGCCAAACACATGCACTACAATTCAGCGCTCCTGCTCACCAATGCCACAACCTTCTCTCGTCTTCGCTATAATGGAGCCCCCTCTTTCTACTACAGAACAGCAGGCTAGGAGTGCGCCCCCAACTCCCAAAGAGTCGGACAACGAAATGTCCGCAATGAGCCTTCAGAACATTTGTCTGCACCAGCAAGAAAATTTGACAGCATGGTGACAAAACGATCCATGCACCTCACGCACGACGCCGTCGCCGCCGCGCCAGTGGCCGGCGCCGCCGGAGCCGGGGCGCAGCGAGAACTGGTGGAGCACGACCGGGTAGCGGCGCTCCAAGATCTCTGGGTCGGTGATGCGCGTGTTGGTCATGTGCGTGTGCACCCCCGAGCGCCCGTGCCAGCCGGGGCCCGCTCCAGCGCCGCCCGCAATTGTCTCGTAGTATCCCATGCCCGCGTCCCCAAACGTCAGGTTGTTCATGCACCCCTGCGCGCGCACCCGCCACCCTTTCTTCCCACGCCCTTCAGCTTTCTTGCACATGGTCCTTGAAACTTCAAATTGCATAGCTTCTGCTCTGCCCTGAGATTCTTTGTGGGTGGTTTCTGTGGCTTCAAAGTGCATGAGCTCTGCTCTTGCAGCCTAGTAAAGAACCAGACAATGCAGCACAACAGCCTGCATGGACAGACCGGCTGGCACTCTTTCTTCCGCAGCCATATCGTGTGCCTGTGTGCTGATCACAACTGGCTGCACTAAGTTGAAGCACCAGAGGCTGCAACGAGTGGAATCAGAGACGTTACCTGGGAGGCAGCAGCTGCATTAAAGGCCTTGAGAACAACGTCCGTCACTCTCTGGCTGGTCAGCACATTGCCGCCCACGACCGCTGCGGTCGGGGAGGGGCTCAGAATTGTGTTGGGCGGAATGCGCACTGTTATCGGCTTCAGGCAGCCCTGCACATCCAGTATATCATCTTGTTACACTCCTTTTCCTGCCAGAGGCAAGACATGTTTGCTGACAAGCTGTATGTAAAGGCTGCCGAGATTTCACTTGTTGGACCGGCCAGATCCAAGCAAGACCCAATCAATTGTGTGCACGGTGCTCAGTATTTGTACCGGCCCGGGCCACTTCCGGATCACTTCAGCACATCTTTACCCATACAAGCTGGTCTCAAGAAATTGCAAGCTGAATGGCTGACAGGTGATGCAGTGCATGGGTAGTGGGCTGGGGAGTTACCTGGTTGAGAGGGATGTCCTGGTGCACCATGCACCTTAGGGAGTAGATGATGGCGCTGTAGGTGACTGCCGGGGGAGCGTTCGTGTTGCCAAATACCTGCGGCCCTGTCCCCTCGAAATCAAACACTGCGCTGCCCTCCCGCCTGTCAATCGTGACCGCCAGCTGCACTCACAATGACAGCATCCTCATTGATGGACTTACAGATGAACTGAAATGATACAGGCGCCATGATGAAGTTTGGGGCCTCATCAAGGAGACAGGGTCATGTCTCGGCAAAGGCATCAAGGTTGACCTCGTCACAGTGAGGGCTGGGTGAGCCCGGGCCCCCTGCGCGAGGGTCTGGCATGGATGTCTTTAAAGTGTGAACATTGGAAGAAAGCGAGGTTGAGGGTGCACAGCTTCATGTGAGGAGCGTGGGGATTACTCTGATGGGAGTGCCATCGTCCATTTGGTCCTCGGCTGTGACAGTGCCGACCTCCGGCAGCTGCTGCTCCTCCGAAAATGCGATCAGCATCTGCCTCACCGCATCCTCCGCGTTTGCCTGTGCCCAGCACACCATCATCTGTTGCCACTAACTGTCACATCACCCTTCTGCCCTCTCATAACATTTTTTTTATTGCATCAGCAGAGTCTACGTTCTACGCAAGTTGCATGCAGTGAATATCTCAACGCATATGCAACGCATCTTATTGCTATAATTTGAGTGGGTGCCTTTCTGGTTGTGAATCTGTCACATGCATACTTCTGTGCCCCCAGACTTGGTGCAGCACCGTTAATGAAGCCGAATAGAATGAACGAATCGCTGATCTCATTGCTTACCAGTTTGCTGAGGCCTACATACAGAGAAACTTCATCTTGCTTCTGACAAAGGCTGACCTGGATGTGGTGCATGTAGGCGATGACAGTGGGCAGGCCATATTCTGCAATGAGCTCCTCCACAAGGGAGATGCCCCGGTAGTTGGCGGCCACCTGCGCCTTGAGGTCCGACAGGTTGTCGCTGAGGTTGCGCGTGCCGCTGATGCCCGGAATCGAGTCACCCAAGCGCCCCGGGGCCATCAGTATGTCCGTGATCCCCTCTGTCTGCGGTGCACCACACACAGACTTCCTGACATTTGTCTTCCGCCATAGCTGCTATGCTCGATCAGCTCCACCCTGGACATAGGTACTATCATCTACACGCAAGGTTGCCAGTTCTTTGCAGCATAAAACCTATCTCTCTAGTCCTTTGCAGAAAATGACCCGTGCCTATCTCTGTAGGCTGCAGCCATGCTGCCATGGGATCAGCGCAACAGCATTCTGAATATCCTCTTGTTTGTCAACATCAAGGATTTCGATTGCACTTCCCCTGGAAATGGCCCACAACCATAGAAATTTGAAGGTGGCTGCAGGGGGTGCGCCACCTGGAACTGCCCGCCCTGCACGAGCTTGAAGGAGAGGATGGCGGCGCCCTCCTCGACCAGGCTGTGGCTGTTGGGGGGCATGGATCCGGGGGTGATCCCTCCCACGTCCGCATGGTGCCCACGTGATGCCACAAAGAACTGGATCTTCGCATCGCTGAAGACTGGCGTGATGACTGTGATGTCCGGTAGGTGGGACCCCCCGGCCAGCTGCGGGTGGTTGGAGGCCAGCACGTCCCCCGGCTTCAGCCCCGCCTTCGCTCCCTCACCACCCGGACCCCAATGCTTGATCTGCGCATGGCAGCCGCACAATTATGATCTTCCTTACATCACATGATCTGTAACCATCCATACTTGCCTTGAAGTGCATCCGCCTTTGCCTTGCAATGGTATCAACTTACAGAGAAAGTCACTGCTACTGCCAATAGGGCTCGCCCCACATACATGCAGAAGGCATGCCGCCGATGAACAGACACAGGCTATTTCGATGCTTGAGGGTGCAACGTTTTGCATGATGTCTGTTGACTGTAGAGTCTGCGCTGTTCACTCTTGAGCATCAGGCTGCGGACCTGGTAGCGGATGGCCTCTGACATGGCGCCGAGGTGGACAGGCAGGTGGGGGGCGTTGGCCACCAGGGAGCCGTCGGGGCCGAACAGCGCGCAGCTGAAGTCCAGGCGCTCCTTTATGTTCACGCTGATGCTGGTGCGCTGCAGCACGCGGCCCATCTGCTCCGCAATGCCCATGAACCTGCACACACGTCGCTGTTGCCAGTCTCATGTGCAGACCAGGCCACCAACATTCATTTTCCAGAAGGGTTGCTGAAGGGGACGAGGCCATAAGGAATTGCTTGCAGAGGGTGGCAAATGCTTCACCTGTGGGAGAAGATTGCCAGCTGGATGGGGTCACACTCTGTGAGGGGTTTTTTTGGACCAGCCGCTTCCACTCCCACCTGGGACACCCATATGATTTTAACTAAATATTGACGCAAAGAGAAAAAGTCTCAAAAAGCTTTGATCCCTTTAAATTTATTAAGCTCACTGCAGAGATGTGAGTGCGCAACCTGTATCAGTATGTCTCGCCCGGCTGTGATGTGCGCGGAGCAGCAGGGCTCCACCACGACGGTGCTGATGTCATCAATGAGGACAGCAGGACCCGTGATGACATGGCCAGGCTGCAAGTCCTGGAGCACGTATGCCGGTGTGTCCTGACGTCCTCCCACCTGCTCAATCACGCCCACATCGACTTCATGCCAGCATGCATGTATTCAGCGCTAGTTTAGTCACGAAGCAAAATGAAATGAAGAATGCAGCAGAATCTGCCGCACCTCAAAGTATGCCGAGGTGACCCTTGCAGGAGCCGGCAGCGGCCCAGGTTCCCCTGTGATGTCCCCAGGCTTTGGCAGTGGTACAGCCTTGCCCGTGGCCCGCACTCGCACATCATCTACCTGCCAGCGATGATACACGACGGTTTTGAATTACATAGACTTATAGCAGTTCTGCAGCAGCATGAGGGACCCTCTCAGCGAACCTCAGGCCTCACAAGGGCATGCCTGAAAGGCATCAAAGAGGCACTGGTCACTGCAACAATGGCAAGGCTCCCTTGCAGACTACCCGCTCAGGGCTTCCAATCTGCTGTGAAGCATGAAGTTTATGATGATGGGCTGCCTACCGCAATGCCGCGCCCCTCGAGGATGAACCCAAATTCGCGCTTGTAGGCGCTTTCAAACGCCTCTGTATAATTGCCTTCCTCTGAGCAGGTGGTCATCACACCCACATCCGTGCCGTCATACCGCAGGTTCAAGAACCGCTCCACTGCAATCTGGTCTTCAGTGAAGCTCTGCACAGCCGAGTAGATAGTGAGAACTTGCCAAGGCATGTCCCTACCAAGCATGTGGAAGAGCACTTCATGACTGTGGAAATCCAAAAGCAGAGCTGTTGTAATGTATTGCCACAGCATGGCCACCTGATTGAGAAGCCTCTTGACAGCCTTTTGCTGCAGAATATCCAGTTTCCCTTCCAAGTCCCCTGCGCTGCTCGGATCGAGCTTGTCTGCTGAAGGTTCCTGCAGCCATGCAGACACTGCTCAGCCACATATATTTCACTGACCGTTTAGTTCCCCTGGCAGAGACATGCCAACGATGGCTTGCCAGCCCCCAGACACGATCCAAAGCTTCAGCAAAGAAGCCCTCAAAAGAGCCCAACACACCAGCCAGCCCACTGATTACACTAGCGTTCAAGAGCAAGACGGAACTAATACCGACCTGCTCCTCTGCAACCACATCGGCGAGGCCGATGCCGACGGCGCTGAGGACCCCGGCATAGCGCTGAACAAAGATGGTGCGCATGCCAAGGTTCTGCGCGATCGCGCATGCATGCTGGCCGCCCGCGCCGCCAAAACAGGCGAGGCAGTGCTGCGCCACGTCATAGCCCTTCATCTGCGTCAGCGCGCGAATCGGCCGACACATCGTCTCATTCGCCACACGCACAAATCCCATCGCCACCTGCGCACCCATAAAATCCCTTGCAGCTGCCCGACCACATAAAACACACCGTGTGAGAGAAGTTGTGGCTTGCACTCAATCTGTCATGCATGTTTACGGCAGTTCACAAATCAAAGCTCACTTGCAGCACATGGGTGAGGAAGTCTCTTCAAGTCTTCTCCCCAGCTGCAAAGCTTGCTCTTATCCATGGTATAACTGCATAAGATGAAGCGATACAGGTGCGCAGAATACTTGAAAATTCACAGCTGTCAATCAAGATCCTTGACTAAGGGCAGGCAAGAGGGCTTACCTCATCGACAGACTTGGCCGGCTGCCCAGGCGACCCTTCATTGACCTGCCGCGTCAAATCTTCCAGGGCCTTCCTAGCAGCGTCAGCATCCAGCGGCTGGTCCTCGTTTGGGCCAAAGATGTTGGGGAAGAAGTCCGGCATGATGCGGCCCAGAACCAGGTTGGCGTCTGTTATGGCCGCATAGCCGCCCTTGCGATAGCACACCGGGCCCGGGTGCGCGCCTGACGACTCTGGGCCCACCTGCGCAGGTACAGCAATGTGTGAAGACCAGCATGACATGCATTCTCAGTAGATAGGATGCGGAGATATGCTGCTGCTACGTTAAAGAACGAGTCAGACAGCTGGCTAACGAGGGCTTTTTATGGAACCTTGGTATAACAGACAGTCCAGTACAATTTACCTGCCTAATGGGGTGTGAGGCTCAGCAGCACACCTGAAATACGCCTGTCCTGAAGAACAGCCGGGAGCCGCCGCCGGCTGCCACGGTGTTGATGTCCAGCTGTGGAGCCTGGATAGTCACACCTGCAGCACAGCACAGCTTGGAACTAAACACTTCTTAATAAGTGTGGGTTTGTGGAAGGCTGACATTAATAAAGACCTTGAAGATGCATGGTGGAGTTCGTGATGGTACCTGCTGTGGTGCTCTCAAAAACATGCTCATATGAACCGGCAAAGCGCGACACATCTGTGGACGTGCCTCCCATGTCAAAGCCGATCATTTGCAGCTTTGCAGCTTCCTGCCCCTCCCACTGCGTGGTCAAGGCATACCCAACATACCTGCGCCCAACACTATGAACTCAAGAAATTGTGGCATTGCCCTTAGTCATACAGCAAACAGAGAAGCAGTTATTGTGCCCGTGTCTAAGCGCTGGCAATATATAGGGTCGCACCCGCCAGCTGGTCCTGACAGGACAGCCTTGTGGCCGCAGAAGGAAGACACTGGAGAGAGGCCTCCGTCAGACTGCATGAAGGACAGCTGCACGTCCTTCAGCCCTTCATCAAACCCGGACTGGAATGCTTGAATGTACCTGTGCAGCACGTGCCACCAGCCAATCAGTCTCTCGGTAGAAGATCACTAGACCACCAGGACTGCATAGACCCTCTTGCAGCTGGAAAGGAGGGCAAATATTGAATCTCCTGACCTCATGATATGAGGTGTGAGGTAGGCATCTGCAGTTGCAGTGAAGCCTCTGGGGACCATCTTCACCATCTGCATGACTTCAGAAGACAAGCTGACCTGCAATTTCACAAGCACTAGATCACTAGAGCACTAGTCTGCATTAGATACTCAAGCTTCCCAGGGATCTTTTTGCACAATTTTTTTGTAAGTCAGGTTTAAGCCACATGAGTACAGAGCAAAGACTTCGACAGTACCTGCTCGAAACCGAGCTCGCGTGCTACTCTACCGACAGCTGCCTCATGGTCTGGAAAGATGGCTGCATGCTTGAACACCACTGCCAAGCTCTTTATGCCGCCATTCAGGACAGCTTTGAGATTCCTGCAGCACAAAAGGGCAGCTTCGGACCCAACTCCTTTTGCATGCCAGCTTGGCTGCCTCACATGAGATTCTAAATAGCATGCCTGAAAGATGGTGCTTATGGCTTATGCACACCTGCGCACAGCTTCCAAGTCTGGTTCTTGCCGGATGCAGACAACCTCCCCTGTGACCCCTTTTCTGCAGGGCCCCCCAGGCGGGTACTGCTCTGAGTCGCGCTTGGGATTGCGGCCTGCCCGCTTATCTGGTTTCTCTCCCAATGGCAGCACCACCTAATCAGCACACGAGTCTCACACAGGGCAATGCTCCGCTGTAGGTGCAGACAAGACACATTTTGCCTTCAAGCCTGGAAGCCTATGGCTATATCAAGGAGCGCGCCTGCTCATCGACTTCGACAACCTGGGAGTACAGCACATCAGGCACACTGATCTCCAGGTCAAAGATTGCCGGCCTGCTCTGGTTGCCAATGTGCAAAAGGTCATGAAAGCCCTTTGTCGTAACCAGGCAGCATGGCTCCCCCTTCCGCTCCAGCAGAGCATTTGTAGCCACCTGCCCCAAGAATACACACAGCATCTTGCTTCAATTAGCCAGAAAGCTTTTCTCTTGTCCTTCATCAAAACTGACCAAAGATGCAGAGCCACAACACAATGGAGCGATACAGGTGTGAAGCTCAGCATGCATGGCTCCATTGGAGAGCAGCGGAATGGAGGATATTACAGTGGTGCCCATCCGAATGGAGATGATGCGTGAGGTGTCCAGCGGTTTATCCCTCGGGTGGGGCTGCCCTGTAACCTCCTCAAGTACCCGCCGGATACCCTCTCGAGGGGCATCCTTGTAGTTTGCAGGGTCCTCTGACAGCAGCTTCAGTACTCTGTGCGCATGTGATGATCAGGATGTCCAGCGAGAAGTGGCAGGATCTTCCACAAGGCATGCATATTTGTGTATGCCTCAATGACATAGGCCACATTAATCAATACAACCATTGTCCTCATAGCAATGCATGGAATTGAAATTGCCGTCAAGTAGACTTACCTCTGTCTCTTCTTACCGCTCTCTGTGCCGATCTGCAAAGCAGTCGACCTTCTTCGGACTAGTATACATACCTATCTTACGTCATAATGTGTGCAACAGAACTAAGCTACTGTGAATTGTAGTCAACAATGGTCACACAAGAAGTCAGCAGAATGTTCTACCTCTGCAAATACGTCAGTAAATGTGCCACCTCTGTCGATGCTGAACGACAGATCTCGGTGCACTTCCGCCATGCCTAACGGCCTCACAGCCCTAAATCCTCGGAATGTGGTCCTTCCCTTTGCCTGAAAGAAATTTTTATTGCGCAAAATGTCATACTTGATTATAACGGATCCATTCTGAAAGCCGAAAGGCATTCCATAGACTATTGTGTTATAGATCGATAGATATTGAGAAGCATTATTTGAATATCTGGACCCACGATGCACAACCTGCAATATTCTACAGACCAAATATAATCTATGAACAGTCAAAGACAGACTGAGAACTAGGCAATTGACAGTCCTCAACAAATTTGCCGCACGTCTGCAGCACGTGCGTTGATGACGGGGACCTGAATGGCTCCCATTCTTGGACATCCTCAGAAGATGATAACAGACCGAAAAGCAGCAGAATTTATTTTGTGCAGGTGGATTTAATCCTGCCCAATCCAGAGGAGCTGGGACACGCTGCATAAAACCGGTGAATGGATCTTGATTTGATCAGCCACAATACACTGGCGATGCTTTAAAGCTCGATATCATACAACAATTTACTCGCTCATATATATCTCCTCGTTGATCTGGTTTCATGCACGGGCGTCCTCGTGTTCCTTTAGGAACTCCAGAGGACCCGGAGAAAGCCAAGGCAAGCAAGCAAAGGGTAAGCGATCTCTCTGAGCTTGATCTCATATTCAAGTTGATCTGAGATCTAATTGATCATATTTGAGAGAAAATGGGCACATCCCACTTTCCGCCTGACTGAAGCTGGTGAATGTGTGCAGCTTGCGCTCTTCAGCAGACTGAGCAATGAAGTGCTATCGCGGCGAGCAGCTCGGCGGTATGACCCAGAGTCCCTGGCGCTGGCAGCGAAGCTGCTGGAGCAGAACCCTGAGGTGTACACTGTCTGGAACTACCGCCGAGAGGCTCTGAAGGACACCCTCCAGGTCTGTTGAGCGCCTCCCCCCTCATCAGCATCACCTGTACATCATATAGGGATGCGCAAAACATAGATCTATCAGCATGTCTTCTGAGAGCTTCTGTGTGGGCCTGCAGGGAGAGCATGGGTCTGAGGCAGCGGATGCGGCAGTCAAGACAGAGCTGCAACTGACAGAGACGGTCCTGCAGAAGAACCCCAAATCCTATGCTGCCTGGCACCACCGCCGGTGGCTGGTGGAGCTTGGAGTCGTCTCCCTCGAGCGTGAACTCAAGATCGTTACAAAGTGAGCCTTGCATTTTCACCCTCCCCACAAAAAACCCTTGGCGCGCTTACAAAGCACAGGGCTTTAGCATACAATCCTGCTGCCGTTGGAGCATGCTGCTCAGTCAAATGCAAGGCACTGCATAGAAATTGATTTTGGGACATGCCGCATTCAGTCAAAGCGCGAGGCATTGCACACAAACCTGCATCTCATGTAACATGCCAGATCTACTCTGCCCAGAATAGCATGGAACATCCAGGCAGTGCCTGACAGAATGCCGCCATAAACTTTCTGACTACTAGCCGGCACATGCGAGCGTGCTGCGCGCACATGCAGGCTGCTGGCTGTGGACGCGCGCAACTTCCACGGCTGGGCGTACCGCCGCTTCGTGGCGGACCGCGCGTGTGTACCGCCTGAGGAGGAGGAGGCCTACTCCATGGAGTGCATCAACGCCAACTTCAGCAATTTCTCCGCCTGGCACGCGCGCACCGTGCTGCTGCCCCACATTCACGCCGCGCAGCCCACCACCACCCTCGCCGATCTGCTCGCTGCAGACCAACGGCCCTCAGACGCTGCGCCTGCACCAGCCGCTGTTCCCGGTGTGCATGCACATGGTCTTCTTGCCCTGAACCGAAGCATCAGTGCTGATCTGTGACACTGCTGCATGTATCTCACCCACTGCTAAGTTCATACCGAGATCCAAACCATTCGCACGCTGGCTGCAGTAGCGCCTTGCTGATGGTTACCCCAAAGATGTCAATCAGTCAGAGCAACCATCTGGCCTTTTGACAGCAAACGCAAGGTGGATATAATGCTCAGCAGAGTGCTCATGGGTGCAGGTCCGATACCCCGCTGGGCGCTGGGGCAGGAGTTGGATCTGGTGCAGCAGGCGACCTTCACAGACCCGGAGGATCAGAGCGCGTGGGTGTACCACCGGTGGCTACTCAGCCAGCTCATGGCACATGTCCCTGCATCTGGCGGCAAGGGGCAGGCTTCGCAGCAAGAGGTGCAGGTGGGTCATTGGCTGATTCTGCCCTGCACCCAAATTTACGAATTCTGTTGCTCCTTAAGAAATATTCATGGGACGGATGCACACAATTCCTCAGTCTCAAGCCAATGTTGAATCCGAGAATTGAATGTTGGGAGGAGGTCAGTGCACAGACCCACTCCATTCAAGCACACGTCAGAAAGACTTATGCGCAAGACTTGCAAGTGGGCCCCAATTATTGACAACAAATGAGATTCCTGGTGTTATTGCAGGAAATAAAGGACGTGGTGAGCCGAGAGATCACTCGGTGCGAGGTGCTACTGGAGAGCGAGCCCGACAGAAGCAAGTGCAAGTGGCCCATACTGACTATGGCACGACTGCTGGAGCTGCGCTCCATGCTGGACAGCGGTGAAGGTGCGCTTGACCAATCGCATCCTTGCACTGCCCAGCCTGCTGTTGTCCAGACCTGCACTGCATTGACTGCATGCATGAGCAGGACCTCAAGCATGTGGGAGCTATGTTTTCTGCAACATCACAATTAGCATTACGCCTGAAGCTTGAAGGTTTTGCGAGGAGTGAGTGTGCTTGGCAGGGGTGGAGCAAGAAGGCTCTGCCCAGCAGCAGATCAGGGACTTGTACACAGAGCTGATGGAACTTGATCCGATGCGCAGAGGGTACTACAAAGATGCTCTTGAAGGAAAGGCAGCAGTGGTCACAAGGCCGGTGTAAAATGACTCATGGCTTCTGACAAGCAGAGTACTATCAACAAAGTGTTCTCCCATGAGGTTGAAGCTTCTTCATGCTGCATTGAGCTTCTCCACGCTTGGTGATCCGCCAATGGTGGAGAAAATGCCGGGGCAGGGACTTTTGGAAGACATTTGTAGACCTGCTGCTGGAACACACCTGGCCTTAAGGCTGATAAAGCGTGTAATTACAGGGCTCAACTGTGCGATACTGACGGCCATGGCGTTACATTTTCACCCTGCGAGGGAAAGTAAAGGGAGTGGCAACAATACTGCTGCAGCTATACCCACAAGGCTGCGTCCGCTTCTGGACTAAAATACATGCATACATCACAGCACGAAGTCTCTGCGATGTCATCTGTATGTGAATTTCCACAGAAAAGCCTGTGATTACTGTATGTGCCGCAGCTGCACATTGACCTTACAGGGTTCAGCTGCGGGATACTACACTTACAATGCCCACAAGCCAATTTGCAGACTGCATCATACCAGTCCTGGCAGAAAGCAGACGCAAGATCTTGGTGTGCACAATAATTTTGGGTGCGTCATTGAGGCGTTTCTCTAGGGAGCCTTCCGGTGAACGATGCCCGCTCCATGCTCCTCATATTCCTTCTTTGAGACCCACATCTGCTGGAACGAGCCCAGAGATGCCAGGATGGACCCCCCTGCACTTTCAATGAAATTCCTTGCTTGCCATCACCAGGTAGACAGCGGCAGCATCTTCACATGCAAGATTTAAAGCTTGACAATGACAGAAAAGAGCAGCAGCAGAGCTCCTTGTGCCGCACCTATCCACACGCTGAATTTGCGCTCCAGCGAGTTGGCGGGCGATGTCACTTTGACTTTGCAGTTGTGCGGCGCTGCCTCTGCAAGTTCCCTCTCCAGCCGATCCCTCAGCCCTGTGAACATCGCCGTGCCACCTGCACAGGAGATAAACTAGAGTGGTCCGCACATAGGCACTTGCTTGAGCAGTTCCTAGTCTGTAATCTTCATCTATCTGTAAATCTGCTGTTGTCTTGAGCTCCCCAGCCCCTGTTTTTGTAGCTCGATATACATTTGGGCAGGCCATAACACGACTGTCCCACCTTTCTCAGGTGCTCCTCTAGATTGGGCGGACTAATCATGTGAATTTCAATGCATGTGATATGTACTGCAACGCCATTTGTCAGGCCTGGCAGGACTGCAAGCCCCTGGATGCATGATCTCTATGAATCAGTCTGGCTTCAGCTCAGACTAGCATACCTGCCAGCAGGATGCCACTGTAGAGATCTCTTCTCAGCTCTGCATCGCAGCGGTTTATGCTGTCCTGCACCAGACCTGCAAGGCACACATGCACTGATGACAATCACAAGACCCAGCAGACAATGAGTCTGGCGTTCGAACGCATCTGTCTCTCGACAGCTTTCCATGTGCAATCAGTCACCTTGCATGCCCAGCAGGTCGCCTCCATCATACCCCTTCACAGTCTCCAGGCCAGCAAAAGTCGACAAGAGGCTCTGCAGAACGCAAGCACCCTCAATGTTGCCTTGATGGTCTATAGAGGATAAAGTCAGGCACTTCAATATTGCCTTGATGGTCTACAGAGCATGAAGTCAGGCATCTTGTTTACTACGCCCTTCAAAGCCACAAAAAGTAGTTTCTTGTGAGCAAGTGATAGCCTTATAGCATCCTTTGGCGAGTGATGTCCCACCGGGTTGAAGAGCACTTCAGGAACCTTGAAGCGGTCTGGGCCAACTTGTATCTCTTGCCCATCAGGCAGCTGCAGCACAGGAAAACAGGTGAGCCAAGATCCAGACTTGACAACTAGTACAGTCATGCAATTGCCAAACGTGCTGGAGAAATCCTGGCCTTCTTAGATCCACTGGATCACCTCATAGTTGACTGTGGGGATGCTGGCGTTTTGCTCTGCATCAAAGGGCCCATCTGAGACGCGCCCGATGCTCTCTTTGACATCCGCTGCAATCTGTTCCATGTTGAATTGGCGATAGCTGGGGCTCGTCTGAGGGAAGTCCAGGTTCTTCAACTGCACAGCACACAGGCATCATTTCTAGGATTGCTTTGGCTCTCCGAAATCCAACTCTACATTGCAGGGAAGCAGGGGGTACTATATTTAACTTCAATTTACTACCAAACTTTGTTAGATATAGTAACCCCAAGTGGGAAGGGGTAGTGAAATGAGGATAGCTCATGATGACACACCTCATACTGGCCAGAAGCGTTGATGCTGCGTTTGAAAGAGTAGGACGGCCTCACTGTAATGCCCTTGGACTCAACCGACTGCAGCATGCACTGCGTCAGCAGCCTGCCGCCGATGGGCGCCCTCGCTATCGACTTCTGCAGCACGTACCCGTCATGCACAGCCGACACTGCGCGCATAGCCACCACTGCCTCAGTATAGAAATGTGTTCTACAGTGCTAAGCGCAAGTGTGTGCAGAAACAATTTGCAACACACTGTAGCGGGCTCCGCGGAGGTCAGCGGTGAGATCATGCAGGAACATAATAAGAGCAAGGGAGATGGAGGGACTGACCTACAATGCCCTCATGGCCAGCATCCACTACCAGTGAGCTCTGTCGGCCCATGGCAAAGGAAGAGAGCACAGCGTTCTTCGCCAGGAAGACAGCAGGCGGCGAGAACTTCTCAAACAGAAGCTCCACCGTCTTCTCTCTGATGTCCTTTGTGTTGAAGGAGGGCTCTGCCAGCATTACAGGATGCTCGGCGGGATTTGCAGCGAGCCGATCACTGCAAGCATGCGCACATTTGTTTCATGTCACGGTGCATATTGAAAGATTAGGAACTGAGGCTTGATCAAGGCAAATCTTTGATGGTAACAGGCAGCAGCAGGAGAGCAAAGTGTGTTTTGATGAGATGTCACATTGGGTGCGCTCACTTGAAGATATGGCCCCAGATGGCTTCAATGGCATCCCAATTGTCATAGAGCCCGTTGTTACACGCCTGCACAACCTGCGGGTAGCACCCATATCTGTGTGCAATCAACAAATTCCCCACAAGAGCACGTTTTCAGGCGCAACCACGTTGCAGAGGACACAGGTTTGTAGTGATACTACTGGCATTGAGGCCATGGTTTGATAAGGCAAGAATGCTCTCACTTCCATGTCATCTTTCCTGAATCCCATCGCTTGCGATCCGACATGCAGCTTCCGTCCATTCTTCTCACCGCCGTTGCTCACTTCACTGCCATCATGCTCTCCTATACAGCCCACCGCCTGCGCAATCAGGGATCACAGTCATGCTGGGTGACATATACAGCCTAGGTATGATCGTCTAAGTGGTGCAGGTGCAATGTCTTGGGCAATCTGCACTGCTCTGCAAATGCCACAAACTTACATTAAATGCATGCTGGTTGATGCCTTGATCTACATTCATGACTCACCGCAGGGAATAGTGCTTTTGGGGTATCTTCCCCTGCGTAGCCAGCTTTGACTGTGCTGGATCCAAGGTCGATCACAAGGGCATTCACCTCATCTGCGAGATAAAGCGTGTCAATTTGTTGAATCTGCAATAACGTATTCAATTGCACCTCTAACATTATTTTTTTAAAGTAGGTTGTGAGCATGGTGCGCACCTCCACCATACATGTTGACAGTCCTCGACTTGGATAAGCTAGATCAACTTCCTTCGGTGAGACTGTCTCATCGTATATGTTACAAGATTTCGTAAACTTTTAACATATATTGGCACTACTGTTTCTGTAATACTTTCCAATTGTAATTGAGCATCCTCTTCCTTTGCGCAACTTTTGTTATGCTGCTTTGGCAACACCAGCCCTCTCCCAAATGACGTCGACGGTGATGAGAGGCTCCCTTAAAAATTGAGAGAGTCCTAAACAGATCAATTGTAACTAATTGAGCGCTGTAACTGGCAAAGAGAAACCTGCTCTCGCACAAGCTTGGACCTGCTCTGGCATGCACGAGGAGCCAGACTTGGCACAAGCCTGAATGCTGCGTTTCGGGCGTAACGTCTGGGCTTCCATCCACTAATCTTTCCTCAGATCGAGCTTTTGTCCAGGAAAGAACCTGCAATGGTGCGACAAAAGCAGACCGCCCGCAAATCCTGCGGAGGCAAGGCGCCTCGGAAGCAGCTAGCCACCAAGGCAGCCCGGAAAGCAACTGTGGCATCCACTGGAGGTGTTACAGGTGCTCAATTTCTTGTACTGGCCTCTTTCAAAGACACACTGCTATGGTCGTCGGAGAACTTGCCGATTGATCCGTCCGAGGATTGAAAACAAGCTGCAGCAGTCCGATATATGTTGACATGTGATGTTGCTTGACGATGTCAATACAGTTCCTCTGTGCTCAAAGTAAAGCGTGTCTGTTTATGGCGTAAAGCGTGTCTTTGCATCTTTTGCCATCTGAGCAGCATTTCTGTCAGGTGACTCCCTGCTGCAGCAGCACCCCATCTGAATGTCCTGTCGAAATGCCACATAAGATGCATACATATTACGGCTGGGCAATGAGGTCTTCCCTGTTCAATGCTGCCATTGGGTTCCTCTTGAAGCTCCCTCAGCTCATCAGTGAAAGGAGCTCACCTCACTTCCGGCTCAACACTTGAGAAAAGATTTGCTTGGCTGCTTTGTGTGCATGCAACACTAAGGCCAGAGTGGTCCTTTTTGACAAACACCCTGCTTTGCAGGAGCGCCTGTGGCCCAGCTGAGCGCAGACAAACATGCTCCTCAAGGGCTGGGGGGCCATGGCCTCACAGCGGCTGGTGGTGGCAGCAGTGGGGATCCTGTAGCAGCCGCCGCGCATGCGCAAATACAGCTGCCATCGCCGCAACTGAAGTCGTTGGGCGCTGCCTGCTTGGCAGGGGGAGCAGCAGGCGGGAAGATGGAAGTTATCAGCGCTGGCAGGAATTTATGAGATGCACTGTGAACATGCTCGCAGCGTAGCACTTTGCTACAATTACCGGTATCTTGGAAACATCTGGGGTCAATGGCAGATGTGTGCGGTGCTGGTGCAGCATGCATGCTGCACCTAGCTCATGCAGAAAGTATGTTGCTACAATTGTAGCCAAATGAGCTGGAATTGGGGACTGTACAGCTCTCAAGACAGCAGTCTAATAAGGCTGCTCTCTGGCTAGTGCCAGTTAAATATGTCAAGCTTGCTATTTGACACATAAGTACAGCATTGGACACGTCTAGACTACTATTTACCAGTGGTTTGGACACAGTAAGACTTTGTAAGGACATGCTGGACAAACTGCATTACAACTTGGATTGGACATGCTAAGGCCCTCACTCAAGCTGTCTGAGTCAGACACAATAAACAACATCTAAACATACATTAGACATGTGCCTAAGTTGCACTAGATCTCCAAGACATCATCGGACATATCAGACACTCAAAAGGTGTACTAGACATATCTGAAGCATGTCCGAGGGTGGCCCCCATCAGACACATCAGACACGAGTCCCCCTTCAGACATGATCAAGATGCCGTCGACCCTCTGTGGACAATGCCGGACAATCGTGCCAGTTCTCGGAGATCATGATCCTCACTGTACAGGTATTCAGCCAGTCCAGATACTGTACCTATACTGTGTTCTGAGATATTCAAGTGATCATCCGAGTTGTGCGAGATAGTTTCAGAAGAGCTGTTCTGTTTATTTTTGGACATTCCCACGTGGGAACTTGCAGCAGCGCAGAGAAGGGTATATACGAAGCTGGCTACAAAATTTCAATACCAATCTTGAGGCCCCAAAGTTTGTTGATCACACACAAGCATGCCGTAGCTGCTTGCGAGAGTTAGACGTGGGTGGAAAGCTGTCTGCTGCACAAGACTCCCTAGCTAGGGTCCCAATGTACAATATTCAATTGATGACGTGTAGAAGGTTCGCGCATGAGCCATAGCTTCAAGCATGCTCCTTAGGGAACTTGAGAGAGCTCACTATGCAACAGAAACCCGCTTTGCGATTGTTAATCCGTTCCATGTATATTGCAAAGATTTGTGGCACTCAATGGCGCACGATCAGGTCGTGATTGCTGAGAAAAACAGAATGGCAAACATATAAACGACCAAATACTGACAGTGACATATTATGCGCCCCCCCTACCCAATGAGATCACATCTGCACCATGAGCAAATTTGTCCAAGCACACAGCCAGCCGAGCGGAGGCATCTAGAGCTGCCCAGAAAACAAGCAGAGGGCGCCGTCCTCGTGCCCTGTGATCAAGCTGCCGTCCAGCTGAGTCAGCGCATTCACAGCACTGCCGCTGGCTTGCAGCTGCCTGTACATGCCATCAGGCCCCGGAGAACTGCCTCCGGCCGTGGCACGGCGCTCCCCCTGCTGCTGCCCAAGATCCCAGAACAGCACCTGCAGGGCAGACAGATACAGTACCTCTCACTATGCTTCCACCCTCAGTATTATGTTGTAGTGTGTTCCATTGAGCTCCTCTTCAGATCGTTGGCGCTGCATCAAAGAGCGTCACCTGTCCGCTCTCAGTGCCGAGCAGCGCCAGGTGGCCGTCGGTCTGAGCGCAGCGCAGGGGGCCGCCGCACGCCACAGAAGACAGGCGCGCCCCGCCCTTGCGCATCTCCAGCAGGCTCGCCAGCCCATCAGCGGCAGCCGCCACCACCATGTTGCCGTCCGGGGTCAGCCGCAGCCCGCCGATATAGTCCTGCGACACTGTCACCTGCGCGCACGCACGCAGCCGTCACTTGCATCAATTCTAATTGCTACAGCACTCCAACAGGTCAATCATAGACGTCGGTATGAAAAGGCTGTGCTGTGAGCATGGCGCCACAACATACGAGAAGTGCTTCTGCAACGCAAGAGCAGAGGACAGACACAGGCGCCACAAGCAACAAGAGAACCCGCCTGAAGTGGCACAAGGCCACCAATGCTGCTGCGATGACTGGAATACTATGACTAGAACACTATGAGCACGACCTTCTCGCCACTGTAAAAATGTGCACAGCCCTCATGATCCTCCCTTATTGACTTCTCCAGACATGCCGAGCCTGTGATCTGAAAGCAAATCTCACCTGCCACAGCGTCTGGCGGCAGCGCGCGTCCAGGGCCACGACAGAGCCATCCTCGGTGCCGGTGACGAGCAGGCGGCCGCGAGCGTCGCAGTCGGCGGCCCACACCCCGGCGTCGTGCTCGCCCAGCTCCGCAGAGGGCATCACCGGCTGGCCGCCCCACGGCGCGCGCCCCTCCGCCAAACTGCGCCCAATATTTGAAACGTCCATTCAGCCAATGCCCCAACGGGGTTTCAAAGGTTTGGAAAGAATACAAGTGATACCGGAATGAATAGTATTTAGAACGTCCGAATGTCCGCCTGGGCAAATGATTGCACAACACTTACATTCCACATTTTCAATACAATGTTCCATGGGTGGCATCTTCAATGTGAAGACTCGGATGTGATTGCAAGGTCATCTGCAAGAACATGCATGGAAAGAGATTACGTGGGAGGGGCAGGCAATGAGCACCTCCAGGTTTTGACGGAGCAGTCCCAGGAAGCAGTGATGATGTGGTCTGCGGCGGGCGGGGCCAGCACACAGGAGACCGCATCGTCGTGAGCGCCAAAGCTGCCCAGCGGCCGGCCATGCTGTGTTGCGTACACCTGCAGCAAGACCACTTGAAATTTAGCACATGCCAGTGAATACAAATGTGTCTGTGGTGATCATCTCAAAGGGCAGTCCCAAAGGGATTCAGTAGGAGAAATGTACAGAGAGCATGCCAGAAACAGGACATTAGAAGGGGATGCTGAGGTGAAGCGGGCACCTTGTTGTCGTAGCAGCCTGCGAGGGCGAAAGGGTGGCTGCTGAGATTGTCGCCCTGAGGATCCAGCAGGGCCAGGCATGTGCAGGGCACATCTGCCAGCTTGGCTGACCTCACCTGCACAGCACAGCTCCATGTCACTCGCACACTCATTTGCCCTTGAAGATGGGACGCAGACTCCTCCTTCTGTTCCTCTCTAGTCTATCCGCAAGTTTGTCACGCTGGAAGACATGCCACCACCACATGCAAGTCTCCTGTAATATGCGCCTTGACAACAAAGCGAAATTTTTCTGGCAACGAGCTGAGCACACAATACGTCACAAGCATATGCATCTTCCCTGAACATGAGCGCCTAAGGGACAACACATATTCCTTGCCGGCGAAAGGCTCTGCGCACCTGCGCTCCGCTCTCCAAGGAGTAGATCTTGAGCGTCCCGGTCTGCCCCACGCAGTACACCAGGGGCCCGTCCTCTGTGCGCGCGGCTGCTGCTGCATTCACAGCGCCCTGCTGCGCCACAATTCTGCGCGTGGGCCGCTCTGGCAGCCTGTCCCTGAACCCAGGCGGCCAAGGGACGGTCTCCCTCGTCTGCACAGCATGGCCACCTGTCAGTGCCACCCACAACCACCAAAGCCCTGACAGAAACTTATTGTGCTGTCAAGGCTCTTGAGCGGGCGGTTGTACAATTTCACTGCTGTTTGTGCCAAGATTGCATGTGGATGATAGTACTGTTCTGTGGAAGGAAGCCTCACCTTGAAGTCCCCATTCTGAGAAGCCCTCCGCGCAGAAGCCGGCCTGCTGCGGCTGGGCTCTGTATCCCTGTACCCGGAGTCATCAAATGGGAGCCTGCTCGATACACCATCACACACAGATGATCCGGGCGATGCTGCACTCTCTCCCAGCTCAGCCCGGTTCTTCCCAGCTGGCTCACCGGCTACACTCTCTTGCGCTGGACCACCGGACTCTCCTTTTTGGCTGCTGGATGAAGCCATCGGGTCTCCAGAGCTGCCGGCTGGCGCTCCATTGGTACCCGCAAGGGAGCTGCTGACTGGGTCAGACTGCCGCTGAGGTCGGCCACCAAGAGCAGATTGCTGATCGTCATTTGCTCCTGCACCACCGCTGGCGGCTGCAGGCTCGGCCATGGGCTGCAGGCCCTTGGGCTCGAGTAGATTGATTCTCTCCCCCGGTGGGAGCGGGGGGTTCGGCGCGGTGGGGACGTGGCCGTTGCCGGCGCTGCCCTGGCGCTGGAAGAGGCCTTTGAGGGTGGAGGTGACATTGCCGACGTTGTCAGCTGTCGGGCTGAGCGTACCGCGCAGAGAGGTGATCTGCGACCCCAGCCGCCCCGACCAGTTGCGCAGCCGCGATGGCGCCCCCCTCAACGGCACCGGCGCCGTCTCCCTCTCCGCCTACGGGCCCCACATTGCCATGACGAAGACAGCGATATTGGCCGCTGTAATGAGCCAGTTTAGAGGCGAGGCTCCCACACAAGCCCCTTCCAACCTGCTAGAAGAGCCTCAGATTGATGCCACCATATGCTATATGCTATAAATATCTTTCTGTGGACAACACCAGAAGAACGTCTTCATGACATCTGGAGTGCACTGCAAATGGAAGCTTTGACAAGCCATGCATTGTGTGTCATGCAGCACCGCCACCTGCTGAGAAAATTCTAGAGAAGAGCTGATACCTGGGTGTCGAGGGAAGACGTGCTGGCATCGTCAGCTTCTGAGGACCGCAGTAACTCCTCCTGCCGCTTGCGCTGGGCGAGTACGTCCAGCTTTGCCAGCATGTCCGGGACCTGCACAACCAGCAATCGGATTGATATTCTAAATTTCTAACAAATTTGCACCTCATATATGCTGATATGTTTTACAAGGCAACGCAGATCTGCTCAGAGACAGAGAATCAAGAGGAGAGTATCTGCGCACACCTCCAGAGGCACATCGAGGTGGGGGCTGGGGGATGCCACGGCTTCGCGGATGGTGGCAAGCAGCGCCAGTGACAGCTCGCTGCCCGCCTCCGTCCCCGTGCGCCGGCCATACTTGTTCGGGCTGCCCGCCGCATCAGCAGCTGCCTCCGCCGCTCCGTCTGAGCCACAGAATTTATCAACAGAACAATTTGTTTATGCACCCTTGCTTGTTGGGACAGTGGACACATATCAAGTGCCATGCCGGAGGAAGGTGATGCATTGATGAGCGATGAGATCACCTTGGTCACCTTGATTGCAAGATTGCAAGAGACATGGTTATGCCCTGGACCTTCCCCAGTCAGTACCCACCTTGTGTCTCTAGCTGTCGATGAAGGGCACAAGTAATCCCAGCCCGTTTCTGCAATCCTAGAGCACTCAAGTGGGCCCCAGAAGAGCAGAAGGAAGGCTGGGCAAACTTGTGCACGCCACCAGCTGTTGGTACCCTCTCTTAGTCCACAGCGTGATGCTCAGCGCACGCTTCAGAACTTTACAGGAGGAGGTGCAGCCGAAGAGGGAGCGCCTTTCTGACCTATATTGGGCGCAGGCGGGCAGACGAGGCGGGGAGCGTGGGGAGAGTGGAAGATCTGGCGCGGGCACTGCCCAAACTCGTTGATCTGGACCTCCAGCGCCGCGCGCTCGTGCCTGCTCATCGGCGCCGTTTCGCCGGAGCCGCCGTACGTCAAGTGGTGGAACACGTTGTCCGCCTCCACTGCCGCCTTGCCCCGCTGCTTGTACCTGCACAAAGGACCCAGCCGGCTCAGGCAAGGTAAGGTATTCACGGGCCACTTTTGATGCAGTGTGTCCTTGGAGAAAGCGCATTGCCATGCTTTGTACGCAGGAGCTTGGCTTGAGGTGCTGCGTCAACTTGCTCTTGGATATTACATTTGCGAAAGTGCAATGATCATCAATGCAAAAGATCTGCTGAAGAGCGAACTGAATGAGATATATTGCAGACGCCCTGATGAAGCCTAGGGCGTGATTAAGGAGACAACACTCAGGCATGCCAGAGGCATGAGTGACCTTGCCACCCCTGAGGGCCTGGGTGAGCCCATCCCCCTATCTGAAGGAAGGGGGTGGAAATTCACTATGTAAGCGTGGGGGCAGGCTCACCCAAAGATGAGATTGATCCAGTGGTGCAGGTTGGCGGACACAAAGGGGCTCTCCAGCGCGGCCCGCTGCAGCGCCAGAAAGTGCTGCGGCGAGTGGGCCCACTGCGGCAGCTCCACATCATTCACCGCGCGCCCGTTCTGCCGCGTTCCCAGCGCCAGATGATCCGCATTCACCAGGAAGCTGCACATGACACTGGGCCTCGATCTTTGTCTACTAAAACCTTGTCCAGCGCACCCTTGGAGCGCTCAACTCTCATGACACTGCTGTAATATAGCAAAGCTGAGGATAGGACTCAAATGCTGTTATGCTTCCAATCATCATGTCGACTGCAAATGCTTGAGACGCTCAATATCCATGCCAGCCTAACAACAACACAGCGCTTCTTCATGAAAAGTGTGTTTTTCGCTTCTTCCATGTCTCTCACGTCCGTCTCATCTCCTAAATACAGCAGTCTCGGCATGGGACCAGGCCAGGACATGTGACAGAACAAAAGACACAAGCAGACAGCACCAGGGAGGCACAAGCAGGACAGCCCACCTGGTGTCGGACAGGAAGAACTCTGGGATGAGCTCCTTGACATCGGCAGTGGAGGCGGTGACGCTGTCCCAGGCTTCTTTGATGGAGCAGAAGAGGCGGTCGGGAGCGTCGAAGCGGCCGCCCTGCAGCCGCAGCAGGTGCCCCGGCGCCGCGCGCACCATCCAGAACATGACATAGCCCGGGCACGAGTAGTGCGACCCGTACATGAACGGCGAGTCCAAGCCCTGCAGTTCCACGTACCCCAATTGACTCCCATACAATTGAGCATGCAGCTTGTCGACAATTGGCAACAGAGCAGCTCCAATTTATTCCCAGCCCCGAGCAGGGCCTGCATGCTCTGGATTCCAACAAAATTGGGGAGGAGATGAGAAAACCCAAACTTGATCAGCCTACGTATTCAGGCAAGTCATCAAGGATACTGAAACTTAAGTCATAAGCTCATACGCGGCTCAAACTTCTGGTGCAAGGAATATTCGGACAAGATCTGCATGCGAGAAGCATAAAGACACAATTAGCAAGGGCCCCACCTCGCCGCGGGGCATCTCCCGGAAGCGCTCACGAAATAGCTCCAGGCGCGCCGGGTTGAGAGCGCCCACCGGCTTGGACAGGTCGCGGAAGACAGCGGGATCATTGAGGTCTAATTTGGCGGAGGTGTAGTCGGCGAGGACCCAGGGGAATACGGGCCACTGGGTGAGGTCGTTGAAGGAGCGGCCGGCGGCTAGATTGCAGAACAGCAGGTAGTCGCGGTTGCTGATCTTGCCCGCCTGCCACGCCCCCGTCACCCGCTGCAGCCAGCCGCCCTCCGCCTGCACACAGGACGCGCAGTTAGAAAGATTCTTGTGGGCTCTTTACCGCATCTAATCAGCGGCGCAAGGGACCAAGAATGTTAGATTGCACGCCGTTCTGAGCGACTACCTTCATTTACTAGATGTGGTTGCCTCCTCTACACCTCCCCAAACTCTTCACCATAAGTCCTGCCCAACGGGCGAAGCGCGACAGCACACTGAAATGCATATTCACAGAGTGAGATCCTTCCTGTATGTGGCAGGTAGCTTGTGTGACAGTGGGAAGCAAATCCACGGACAGGCAACATAGCTGCATTTGCAAGGAATATAGACAGCACTAAATGCATAGGAAAGACCAGGATGAAAGGGGAGCATGTGGATGGGGATTCACCTCGAGGATGGAGCCGCAGGCCGAGGCGACGGCGCGGCCGCCCGGCAGGTTGGCGCCCACGCTAGGCTGGTCGGCAATGGCGGCCGCCGCATCATCTCGCTCCAGCTCGCTGCCAAACGCAAAGAACACACTGGGGCCGCTCGCAGATCCGCCCGCATCGATGAAGAATATCTCCAGCCCTGCATGATGGCATTGGAGACACTTATGGCTGCTGCCACACATGCTGCAAGTGATTTGCAGCTGCACCCTAGACCCCGTTTGGATAACGTGATCGACCTTATAATTAGAGCTGCTCGACAGAAATGAAACGCGTACAGTCACATGCAGCACATGAAGACGGGCCAAGGTGACTGGGAAGAGACACAGGCCCATGCTTACTCATTCACAAATAAGGGTGTTTAAATGTAGCGCAAGAATTGAAGAATCGGTGAGGTCTGCAGAAGGCGCACCGGTGGGTTTGAGGGAGCTTCGGCGGCGGGCGACGGCGGCCACGTCTGCGAGAGCGTGCACGCGCACTGGTGAGTCACCGGTGACGTTATGCAGCGGCTGGAAGTAGACGCGGCGGTCAGTGACCACGAGCCGGCCGGACTCGCGCACGAGCGGCGTCAGCTGCGCGGCGGCCAGGCTGATCTGCACGCGCTCCGTGAAGTCCACCAGCCGGCTCGTGTCGAATGCCGCCGCCGCCATCCGCTCCCGTGCCAGCGCCTGTGCCAGTCATTCTCTGTAATGTCACAGACCATTCTTCCCCATGCCAGTGTGCATTGCATGCTGGGAGGCTTTGGTTGTACAGCATGCCGTTATGAAGATCGACAGAAGCATCCTGTGTTCACTGAGCCAGACATGCTGAAAATCTAGAACAAATTCTGTATTTTTACAGTACCTAAGCTTGCCCGTCATCCTTGAAAATTGCAGCAATAACCTAGGCTGTTGAATCGGAACAGCTTGCTATCAAGGGTTCTCCAAAAGGAGAGACTGTTCGCATCACGATACAAGGTAACAGAGATCAGCACCTGGAGGGCTTCGTCCCGCTCGGAGTAGGGCAGGCGGGAGGCGGCGAGGTAGTGGTGCGCGACCGGCATGAAGCCGCTGAGCTGCGCATAGGCCAGGTGGAAGTGCCAGCTGGTGATGGCGCCCTTCTCAAACACATAAGGGGCGTCTGCCATGTTGGCGCGCATCTTCACCACCAGCTGCGTCGCCATGCCAAAGCTCTGCTTGCCCTCTGGCTCCATGCGCTGCACCTGAGACAGCGGCAGCCTGCAGGGCATACTTATCCCGGTCAGTAATGGATGGTTTGGAGGCAGGGGATGGGTGGGTGGGAAGCAGAGATGCAGCAGGCAATGCAGGCTGGGGAACAGAGTAAAGCAGGTGCAGCACCTGACGATGGGGTTGCGGACATCGTCCGGCTCAAAGAAGATGGACTTGGAGCACAGGCGCAATCGGCCCTGGAGCTTGGGCAGGCCCTGCCAGTTGCCTGACACATTGGAGGGCCACCTGGCCTCGGCCACCCAGTCTTCAACGTAGTCTTCGCCCTCCTCCAGCAACAGCAGCGAGAAGCGCTTGGGCGCCTTCCTGGTGCCGAACATGGCTAGCCTTCAATTACCTTGGAAGCCACCATCCCAGCCCGGTGAGCCTCAGGGCTGCTTGGCATCCGATCCCTTCTGAGAATAAAGAGCTGGGAGTTTTGCTTGGTATTCTGGTCCGACTCGTGGCTTGCGAGGAGGAGCAGTTCCTAGAATCTTAGACTCGGTGATGTGCACTTTCTTCGTCGTAGAGACGGTCTTTGGCAGTGGGGTATCTTCGGTAAAGACCTCAATAGTGCGATTGAATTCTTCTTCTTCTTCGTCAGAAGAACAGAAATCGCGCTTGCCTAAACCTCTCTTAGACTTTAGAGCCTTCACCAAGGGAACCTGAATGGACGATGATCCGTTTGACATTCCAGCTCTGTGTCGAACCTGTTTCCAGATCCCTGCCAACGCATAGTAAACTACAAACTCGCGCGTTGTTGTGCAAGAAGTGTGAAGGGTTTCAATGAACCCTCAAGATGGCACGTGGACGCATGTGCTCACATCCTGTTTCGTTACAGCTCTGTCGCGAGAAAGCAGCACGAGAAAGCACTAATCCCCACCCACAACGTGAGTTTTCAATAGATTAGTGAAGTCAGAGGTGCCTGCAACGAGAGAATCAGAGCCGATCGAAAAGTGAGAAAGTTGATCAGCCTCGTCATGACTTCTACAGCATCCAGTATCAAGCTTACTTTCGTCATTTCACTCTTGTGTTTCATCTTGCAGTCAGGATGTGCGACTGCGCGACTAGTGTCTCAGGTATAGCAAAGAGTCATACAGGCCCACGTGTGTGCCCACCTTGAGGACCTTTAGGCAGGGCCCAGTAGGCAGATCATCAACAGATTGAGTACTAACATATTCTGTTTTCATGCAGGATAAGGTGACAGTGGGCTTCTACGAGGAAAGCCTCTGCCCATACTGCGCCCAGTTCACTACCAAGGTCGCAGCACCGCTGTTCCAAAATGGCCTCTCTGACTACATAGACTTCGATCTCGTCCCATATGGCAATGCCAAGAACACATCAGAGGTAAGCAACGTGACTGCACGCCATAGTTGGGCCCAGATCATGCAGTTTATCGCACCTTGGCATGACTTAAGCACATGGCCACTGCACCCATGCAGGGGCTTGTGTGCCAGCATGGCGAGGCAGAGTGCCGCCTCAACAGGGTCTTTGCTTGCGCCATCGACCAAGCAAAGCATCAGGAGGATTGGTTCCCGTTCATTGCATGCGTGGAGGGGAAATATGGGGCTGAGATAGAGGACAGCGTGGAGGGATGTGCAGAGGAGGCAGGGCTGGCCTACAATGACATCAAGGACTGTGCCACTGGTGCGCACATCTTTTACTGCATACACCGTAGTGGGGCAATAATTCTGCTTTTTTCCCGAGTTATTCCCTAACTATGACACTATATAGAGACAATGCCAGAAGATTGGTAAGGACAGTGGTAACAATCTAAAGACAGCCCATGTCATAAGTTCTATGGCGAAGATACGTCTGAAATGTATGACAGGAGCACTCTGGAAATCGTGTGCATCATGAAGAGATAAGTCTTGTGGGCTGAACAGGTGGAAAAGGGGACGACCTGGAGCGGGCAGCTGCCGATGCAACTGATGCACTGGTGCCCAAGCACCAGTATGTGCCTTGGGTGACTGTGAACGGTGCGCCACTCATTCGCTCACCTTCACAGTCAAGCCTCAGGGATCTGGAGTACAAACAAGGGAAAACCTGCCTAGAACACGTGCAGCCGAAAGGAGATCAGTAGTAAATCCTCTCGTCAGTGCCTGTACAAGCTGGCAATGAAAGACACAGACAGGGCTACAAGTGACAAAACAAACGATACGCAGTGTTGTCAGGGCTGACTGTGTGCTCCGATCCATGCAGGCATTCCACTGCTGGATGACTATGCAAACCTACAGACATACATTTGCGTGGCACTGCATGAGAACTCGAGGTGAGCCTTCTGCCATTCCAGTCTATGATTGAAAGAGTCTATAGACACTAGTGTTATCTGTCCACATTCACAGGAGATCTGTGTTCCTGGTATACACTACGAGCCGTAGGCTGGGATGAGGTCTTATGCGCCATTCAATCGCTGTGTGAATATAAAATATTATATTATATGCAATTGCAGGCCGGATGTCTGCTTTGAGAGCTCGTCAAATGAAGGCAATAGCTACAGCTTGCACAGCACCAGCTTCCTCACGCAAGCTGCATCTTCGCTGCTGTCTGCATTTGGCTGGAACTGATTGTAAAATTACATGTGGAGGTGTCTGAACTTTAAGATGTCAGACAAGCCTCCAGAAACTTTCTGGGAGCCTGCAGCGGGCCTTTGAACAAATTCAAAAAGTGTAATTGCATATTCCTGTCAGCGCTAGCAAGCACCGTGCCTATGATCGAGAAATTTGCTTACAGGAATTGTAAAAATGGCATATGCTTACATTGACTGCAAGCTGTGACGCACAGCTGCAAGCATTGTGGGCACTGCTTGACAATTGCATTCACTGTCTAGACGATCATTTGCATCCTCAGCGCCATGTGGCTCTCCTCTGCAACCCAAAACATTCAAAGGGGATGCGCAACAATGAAGCAAAGACATAATGCCACCCTATTCACAGAGCTCTTGCTTGGGTGAGAACGATGCAAGAGCTGTCAATATTGCTCCCAATTTGGGGAGTCTTAAGATACAGTGGTGCACAGCATCAATTCAGACCAGCAACATCTTTCAGTGCGCTCAGTCATATTGTTCGAGTTTCGTTTCTTGACATTTCCAAATAGTAAGAGATTTCCTTCCTACTCTGACAACTACAACCGCGCTACAATTCCTAGCAAGCGGGATGCTAGGACAAGGCTTCAAGGAACCAGACAAGCACTTGAGGAGCGCATTGCATGTAGGCAGCACAAACATGCTGCCTCAAGCTCCAATAGCAGCGTTGGGGTAAAGCGTTTGGTCAGCTGTCCGTTGAGACTTCTTCTTGGGAGACTGTGCAGCCTTCAAACTGTGTCTACTCCACGCCAGACAGCAGCCCTGCAGCACAAAATCACACTTGTCAGAAAATGATATGCACTGGAACTCAAAGAGGTACCCTCAAGCGCTTAGTTGCAGAAGTCATAGGTCCTTCAACCGGAGAAGAATGGATGCCTATTATGTGGGCACTGCATATTGGCACTGCAAAGTGAGTGTCTCTCACCGGATCCCTCAGCATGGTGGACGATCTCATAGCCCACCCCCACATCAGAGTAGGGGGGTGGCTTCTTCTCTGCCAGGTGGGTCCGGTCCAATATCTTCTCCAGCATCTGCGCAGACAATGCTGACTCAGTCTCCCACACAACGAAAAATCCAGTGGAGGCAGCTCACCCAATGCGACCGAAGTCTTAGCAACAGCAGCTGTTGCAGCTCCTCAAACGAAGCCGTGCATCACACAAAATATCATTTGTCTGTCTCCTCATTCACGCCCGGGGTCTATCAGCATGTGTGGGTTATCCACACAGAGTTGACAGCAACTCCCTTACAGAGGAGCCGCAGAGAGGGCTCCGAGACGTCACTGCTAGAAGAGACAGCAGTGGGAAAAAAGGCGTTCAGCGTGCCTTGTCAGAGATGACGCCGGACTGGGCCTCGTCGCGCTTGGTGTCCTTGTCCTCCTTCAGGATCTCCAGCAGCTCGTCGGCCTTCATCGATGTCCCCTTCATGTCCTCCTCCTGCGCCATCAGCAACAACAACCTCAGCCCCCTTGCCCTTTCCGCAAGCACCAGCATCCAGAGCTCTCCTCTTTCCCATCAGACAGCACACAGCGCCCCAAACCTGCATGCAGCGCCAGACATGTGCACCCTGGCAAAACTGACATTGGCCAAGGTGCCACACCGTCACTCTCAAGTCCCATGCCACCAGTCTCGCTCATCTACATTGCCGGCGCCGATCCTTTTGAAGGCGAGCATGGCAAAAAGCAAGAAATGAAAGCATGCCCGCAGGCCACTCAATGTAGAATATGGTCACCCAAGTCAACCCCTTTTGACCTGCCAAAGATCAGGAGTGAGATTGAATTTCTAAAGGGGCTGCTCACCGTTTCGCCCGGCAGGAAGGCGCCCTTTTTAATGACGAGGCGTTCGAGGGCGAGTTTGGAGCGCGCGCGTTTGAGCAGCTTGCCCTCCACGCTGTGCGCCGTCGCCAGCCGCAGCACCAGCACCGGCTTCTGCTGCCCTATGCGGTGGCACCGGTCCATCGCCTGTGCATCGCAAGAAAGCATACCCATCAGAGCACAGCTTGATAAAGTCACTCTTCCACATGCACAAATATAGGGTGAACGAGCTGTCACACAGCTCAGCAACCCTGGCATGACAGGCAGAGAAAGCAGCAAATGCCAATCTTACGCTCCCAGATGCATGGCTGTGCATTACTTGGACACCGGCAATAGCTGTCTTTGCCTCTGCCACATTTGGTGGCAGCTAGATGAAGCCAGGAAAAGCAAAAGGAGCGCCGCCTGTGCTACAGCTTTTGTCAGCTAGCTCTCAAGCCAAAAACACTTCAAAAAAGGTCGCCTGTGCCACAGCTGAAAACAGCTAGCTCAAGCCCCAGGAATACTTCAAAGAGGCCAAGAAGGTCCAGCCCACATGGAGGGGGTTCTAGTCGATTATGCTACAGCTGGTGACGGCCAGTGGCAGCCACAGAAATAGAGTGCTACGCACAAATATCTTATATCCCCGTGAGAAATGTCTTGATATTTCAACCTTCATCGCTATGTGTTTGCTGGTGCTCCCCCAGCATCAGTTTCTACATATCGATTTGCATTTCGGCAGGCAACAATGTCGTGGACGCACATTGGCGAGCACCCCTATAGTATTGGGCATACTAAAGAGTTCAAAAAAGGAGTAAAAAGTCCAGGGCCCACCTGGAGGTCCTGGTGGGGGTTCCAGTCTGAGTCATAGATGATGACGGTGTCAGCGGAGGTGAGGTTGATGCCGAGCCCGCCCGCGCGCGTGGAGAGCAGGAAGACAAACATGTCGGGGTCGGAGTTGTACGCGCGCATGGCTTCCTGGCGATCCTGCCAGCCGATGCTGCCGTCGATGCGCGTCGTCTTGTGGCCAAGCTGCTCCAGATACGTGTCCAGCAGGTCCAGCATTTTCGTCATCTGCACATGTTTGTAACAATGATTGATGGAAATCTGGCACGCATGGAGGGCCTGGCGTGCATCATGGGTGTCATGTATCATGTAGCATCTGCCCATCATGTAGCATGTGAGGAAATTATCCAAGCGCCCAGCGTGAGCGAAAAACTTTGAAGGGAAAGCAGAAAGACACGCTGTGCTGTGCTGGTGCAAGTTGGTGGCAATTCAGGATTGCATGCACTTCCTGCATCACATGCACATTGAACTTGCAGCAAACCAACCACAAAAGGATCTTGCATGCATGATATGAAAACCACGACACATCAACAAAAAAACAGCAACTTGCAGCATCCAGTCTTTGGAGTGCAATTTCGGAGACATTTACTCCCCTGCTTGCGCTGCTTGCTCACGAGGCAGCCATGCACCTGCCAGTCGGCGCAGTGATAGAAGGGGGGAAAGGGTGCAGCAGCCAATTGAAACGATGAGAGGGAAGGCGAAAAGCCGCACCTGGGAGAAGATGAGGACCTTGTGGCCGCGCGCCTTGAGGGGCTTGAGCAGCCGGTCCAGCAGCTGCATCTTGCCGCACTGCTCCACCAGCTCAGCCGCGCTGGGGAACATGGGGGACGGGTCCAGCGCGGAGGTGATCAGGTCCGGGTGGTTGCAGTTCTTGCGCATCTGCATCAGCACGTTGTTCAGCTTGGAGATGGACGCCCCCCGCTGCCCATTCTCCACCTTCGCTATCGCCTCCTGCACATGCATGCATGCAGGAGAACCTCAGCATCTACATCACACTCGCATTTTTTTCAGCATTCCACAACCATTATCAGTTCTGGGCGCCATCCACATCGTACATCTCAACGAAATGGAAACTCGGCAGTAATTGCAAACAATCAGCAGCACCTCAGCATCTGCTTCACACATGCACCCTCCAAGATCCTTCAGCACTCCACCCTTACTAATTGACAGTCAAAATGCACCTCTGTGAGAAAATGCCGGCAAGGTGGAAGCCCGGCAATAAAGAATCTATGCAAACAGACTGGTGCAAAGTGCCCCTCTGCTCTGGCATCTGACCGTGCAAGCTGAGTGCCCGGCTCAAGGTTGCACTATGCAAAACGGCAGGCAGAGGGACATGCATGGAGATATGGGCGCACATTGACAGTGCGGTCTTTGAGCTGCTCGTTGATGCGTTTCTGGTCGGGCGCCATGTGCGAGTAGAGCACAATCTCTTCCTTGGACGGCAGGCTGCTCTCCACGTCCGACTTGAGCCGCCGCAGCAAGAATGGCCGCAGCAGGTTGTGCAGCTTGCTCACCTGCAAAATCCGGGCTCATCGCTAAAATTCGCCAGCATGTCCCTTATGACAACCCTCACTTGGCTGATAGCATGGTCCGACCTGCAGGACTGCAAGAGCAGGTGCAGAACTTGCACCAGGAAAAGACAAGTACGTACATCTAAGATGCTAAAAAGTTGGCTGGTGCATGTGAGGTGCATGAGACCGGTGAATGCTGGGGTGGACCAGGGGCGCACCACGCGGTTGCGCTGCTCCTGGGCGACAATGTGCTGGTCGGAGCCGGCCTCGCCCACGCCGCTGAAGTCAAACCAGGACTCAAAGTCGGCCAGGCTCTTGAACACGTCCGGCAGCAGGAAGTTCAGCAAGCTCCACAGCTCGCTCAGGTTGTTCTGCAGTGGCGTGCCTATGCACATCACACATTGTGATGTCATCCCATCCAGGTTGATCACCAAACCCCTTCCCCATTTTCTCAGTGGCAATGTTATCAATAGAGTCCAGAAACGGCAGAATGCCTTTCAATGCAAATTCCCCCAGTGTGTTTGCTCGTGGTACAAGGAAGCATACACAAGACGGACACCCATGCAAAGGCAAAGACAGAGGAACGCAAGCTACAAGGCATGGGCAGCGCACCGGAGAGGAGCAGCTTGTTGCCGGTGTGGATGGTGCGCAGCTCGCGCAGTAGCTTGCAGTTGGAATTTTTGAGGCGGTGGCCCTCGTCAACCACAATGTACTTCCAGGCGTAGCGCTGCAGGTGCTTCACGTCCGCTATCACTATCTCGTACGACGTCACCACCACCGGGAAGGTGTTCTTCACCAGGCCTGCACATGCTGGCATGCTTCAGCACATGCCCCACCATTTCTGCCTTCGACTCCCCACCTTTATTATTAAGAGCATGGCATGCTTATGACACCAGGTCGGGCTACTCTAATGAGATCGACACCAGAACTGGCAGGAGTCCTGACACACGCAGTCATTAGCTCCCTAAACGCATTCTACACTACCTTGCTGCGCCCGGCAAGATACTAAGCAGCACAGATGCCATGCATCTGTGCATGTCCATTATGGACGTCAGAAGAACATGGTAAGAAGGGCAGGGGTTGCAACACGACATTGAGGAACCCCCCACAGAAAGCAGGGGGGCACCGGTGGGCATGCGGCTGGTGCGCAGTTTCTGGCGCTCGGCGCGGCTGCCGTGATAGAGGATGACGGGGATGGTGGGGCACCAGCGCTCAAATTCGGCCACCCAGTTGGACAGCGTGGACAGCGGCCCTATGATCATGTGCGGCCCTGGCACGCCCCTCGACCGCAGGTGCGACAGGAAGCCGATCGTTTGCACCTGCCAGCACACCAGTACATCAGCATCCATTGTGTGCACACCAATCAATCCTAATGGATTGCACAACAGTAAACTTTGTACGTTGTTCTAAAGTTTCTGACAGTGAGATGAGAGCAAAATATATCGATATCAAAGACATATTTGAATGTTAAGAGAGGGCATTGCTGCGCTCACCGTTTTGCCGAGGCCCATCTGATCAGCCAGAATGCCGTTGAGGCCGTTTTGGTACAGGGATACAATCCATTTGATGCCCTTTATCTGGTACGGCCGCAGCTCGCCCTTTATGAGGGGCACCAGCTCCTGCTGCACCTGCACACCCAGCCCAGTCAATTGATCATCTCTCTTCATGTGCATTCCTCACAAACAGCAACACCTCACTCGCCTCCCCCGCCCACAGCTGAAACTGCGACAATCACACAGTAAACTGGGAAAGCCTTGCGGACCTTTGAGACGGCTGCTGAGTTGATGCCGGGGCCCTTCTTCCTGCTGTTGCCTCCCTGCCTGCCGGCCTTGCGCTTGCTGCCAGCTGCAGGAGGGGCAGCATCGTTGCCCTCCATCTCCTCAGTCATCTGCTGCAGCTGCTCACTCAAGAATTTTGTGTACATTCCCGTCTGGTTGAGCAGCGCATCCAGCTCGCTGAAGCGGTCGTCGTCCAGCATAGCGTTCTGGCCATTGAAGGCCGCCTGCCAACATCCCCACGATCGCCTGAGGACATGCCCGCACCGCAATGTGTGCAGTTTGAGAGCTGGCGAAGACAGCGGAGACTTGGCACAATCGTGCAGGACGCACCTGCAGAGCCTTTATATTTTCCTGCTCCCTCTGCTGTCGCAGCTTTTCCTCCTCTTCCACTGCAGCCTCTGGTGCCAGCAGCCGTGAGGCCTCCTCCTCCTGCGCATCCAGTGCAGAGATGAGAGGCACGTCCAAGCAGTATGTCAACATCCGGCGATGTCAGGAACGATATGTCCAAGCCTCTTGGTGTGCAACATCCTGTCCAAAAGCGTGTGGATGCACCTGTAGACCTAGAGTGATGCATTGGAAACAATTATCTCAACGAATTGCACCATCGAGGCACCGAAGTTGAAGTGTTCAATACGTACTTCAACATCCGCAGGAGCAGGCGAGTGGACAAGATATATTACCGTTACTGGTGCCAAGGCTTCCACCTCCACGCTTCCAGCCGACGTCTCCTCGGCTTGGCTGCTGCCAGATGCCTCTGGTGGTGCCTCATACTTTTCTTTCTTAGTTGCACGTGTCATCGCCGGCTTGTTCAGGGCCCCCAGGTGCTGCAACAATACACAGCTGCCTCTGGGAATGATGCTCACGGTGATGTTTGCGGAAAAGTATAGGTAAGGCTTTCCGGCACGCAATCATAGCTTCATAATGAACCATCAAAAGGTACCCCCATCTCAATCCACACCGTTGATGCCGCGCCATTCATATCGGCTGCCAGCGCCAGGCAGCTCCCGCCCTTTCAATCTGGGGACGCCGCGGCCGCTTCAAGTAGATTCCAGGGAGCAGGAAAAGCGTCGCTGACCCTCTAATATAAGATTCGACAGGCGTTTTCCTCGTTAATGACTTGCCTACAATGCTCGAAGCTGGGAATCGTGGAGAATGCTGAGCATGGAATGCTGGCCCTTTCCGTTGAGAGGGTTCCAATCCCCTTGCTACATCGCTAAGACAGGGGAATTCATGTCTTGTGAATCTACGAATCATGGCCCCGGAATGGCCGGAATGACAGATGTCGTCCAAGAACCGCGACTTCTTGAACAACGATGCTGTCACACAAGCAATCAACGAGGTCGTCAAACTCAATTATCCCATAATCCTCTGCACAAACTGTGCTTTGGGCTTCCCTTCGCGTCTGTTTTGAAGCTCGAAAGGCGCAGCTGCGTTTGCGATTAAATTCTTGTTGCAACAGTCCAAATCGCATATATCAATAATTACAAACAGTAACATTCAAAAATTTAAATCGAAATATTGCGTAGAGACGGGACTTACGGTCTCAAGCCCGAAACACGATGGCACCAGAATTGGCCGCAGATAATGCGTGAGCGCACTCTCTTGCTCCTTGGGGATGCGTCATTGCTGCAAAAATGCAGATGATGTCAACCATGATGTATAGCTAGAAGTTCACATCAATAATTTTTCCTCCACTGGACCTTGTTGCTCAATCTGTTTCTTTGGGTTTGTTCACAGGGTTGCAACCACACATATGCCGGAGCTGGATGTTCCAGTCCTCAACAGGAGACAATGTCTGCCGAAGCCAGAGCAAGCGGAACGGAGTCCACACGTCTGGTCCATGATCAAGTAAGCATTCTGGGGACAGCTATCAACTAATGCCAGGTATCCACTGCAAAATGGATCCCCCAACGCTTGAGAAGGCATTGCTTTCTCCTGCTGCAGGGACATGGTGGGCTCAGACAACATCCTCAGCATGCCACTGCCCACAGAGATGCACCTGCCCCTAACAGAGCTGGAGAAGCAGGCAGAAGAGCTGGAGTACTGTGAGCTCCTGGACAAGGTGCAATCCCCCTTCTACCTTAATGATATCATAGTTACAGAGACCTTCACAGGCACAGATCTTGCTCCTAGCTTGCCGTGCATGCCAGACGGTGATGCAGAAAGTTGCTGCACAGGCTGCACTGTGCCCCAAGGGCAGCATTGAGAGGATGATGGAGGTTGTGGCGTTCTCTGTGAGCCCCTATGCAAGCTGCAAGCGCCCCAAGCGCAGCCTGGACCCCCTGCTGGGAGAGACTTACGAGCTGGTGCACCCAGACAAGGGCTTCCGCATGGTCTCTGAGCATGTATGCAACTCACATGCCTCCCCTCACCCTTGAAGGAAGAGCATTGTAAAGTCCATGCAGTTACCATGACATCCTGAATGCCAGAGATTCGCGCACTTTGCCAAAACGGATCCTGCCATGTCCTCAAGATCTTTCTGCAAATCATTAATGCAGGAATGATCAAAATTTTGATGGCGTGAAGGTTGCCCGGCTGCCACCCGTCATGGCACAGCACACCGAGGGGCGCGGCTGGGTCCTGGAATCAGAGAATGAGCCGCACGTCTCCTTCTATGGTGCATACGTGGATCTCAACGTATGTGCCTTTCCACTGCAACTATGAACACATTTCTTGTCCCTGCACATGTCTGTCAACAACTTAGTTTGGCCTTCTATCTTGTCACTGATTCTGTGGCTACTCCTTGCGCAGATGAATTTCGTCCTGCAAGTCACATTCGACGATGGGGAGGTGTACTCGTGGCACAAGGTGAGCTCACCGCAGTGGATCACCTTACTTTTTATGCAAGCAAGTTGCCTGTAGTACTGCAAAACCACTCTGTTCCTCCATATAAGGTCGTGCTGACTTGCAGGTCCAGACCACTATCAACAATCTGATAGTGGGCAAGATATACATCCAGCACATGGGCACATACACCGTGAAGAACCTCGACACAGGGCTGACAGCGGTCATGGAGCTCGTCAAGCCCAAAATGATCACCTTTTCCCTCAAATCTCGCAAGGAGTCCCAGCACTTGGTGAGGACCCACACATACATCACAGATCACCTTTCGTGTCACACAGAATCTATCTTCATGCTTGTATGCTCTGTGGCTTGAAAGACCCGAAAGTCCCCTGGACTTGGGTGGGCGAATTTTGCTTTTGGGTTTTGTTATGTGATGACTACCGTATTTTGTGATGAGAATAACATAGATTGAGGTCCTTTGTTTGGGGTCATTGTTCAGATCCATGGGCACCTTGAGGAGAACGGCCAGAAGCTGGACAAGCCCATCTTCCATGGCAAGTGGGACGAGGCACTCTATGCCACCTTGGCAGACGGCTCAGAGCGCCTCCTGTGGAAGCTCAACCCCGCCCCTACGGAGGACAACAGGTGACATGGCTGCTTGTCTTCAAAATTGCTATTTCCTGCATTGCGCGCTCATCACTCATGGGGCGGTGCAGAGGGTGTCGGCTGGGTGCGCAGGTGGGGCCTGACGGTGTTTGCCATGCAAGCCAACGAGATGACGGAGGGCCTGCGCGAGAAGCTGCCCCCCACCGACAGCCGCCTGCGCCCGGACCTGCAACACCTGGAGCGCGGCAATTATGACAAGGTCGCCCATGCAATCCAACCTCTGTGTTTTAGTCCCTGATTCTGAGTTGCCGCATCTGAAAAGTGGTGCTTATTGGAGATGTTGGCACATGCCTTGCACATTTTCCTGCTGTAGTGTGGAGATGCAGCACTCCCTGTCGTGCCAAGGGCTGGCTGCTTGGAGCGGCAGAGACCCCGCAGATTGGGTCGTTAGCGCGCAGCAGAAGTCAGCGCCTTGCGGTATTGAAATGGCATTTGAATTGCGGCTGATGCGCGCTGTGCTGCGCGCAGGCCAATGCGGCGAAGAAGATCTTGGAGGACCGCAACGCCAAGTACATGGCGGAGGTGCGCGCCAGCCGGGCCGACAAAGCGCCGATCGCCCCGCACTTTTTTGAGCTGGCCACCCCCGAGGCGCCGTTCGGCCGCGCGCTTCGCTGGCGCTACCGCAAGGGAACCTACTGGGAGGACCGCCGCCGGGGGGACTGGTCCCAGTGCAGGGACCCCTTTGGCCTCAACCAGTGAGCTGGCAGGGTGTCTCAATTTCTGCCCCTCACCAATCTGGAATGGGGTTGAGTGCGCTTAGCTGCACCCAACAATTGAATGGGTGCGGAGGCGTTCCGGCACATTCCAGAGCGCCTGCATTCGAGATGGACTGGCAATTTCCACTGGTCAGCAGCATGCAAATGCAGCATTCTCGACACTGCAATTTGTTGTCACTCGCCCCTTGCGCATGTGGCATCGGTGTGAGTCTGCATCTGATTTTGGTGTGTTGCGTTCTTCTGCATGCTTTGCTTGGAGCTGCATGACAGTTCATATGGGGCTATCTCCACGGGGCACTGCTAAAAGGCATCGCCCTCAACAAAACGAACAATGCAGAACTGTGCATGGATGAATGATTTTTCCGCTCGGCTGCTTCTGCTTGTGGTGCAGACTGGGCAACAAATGATGCGCAGAGTGCGCTGTCGTTGTGATTTGATGCTTGTGGCAGATCTGGTGAATGCAAACGCGCACTTGGTGGCATATTTATTGAATTCGAACGAGCACTTGGATGCATGAATGCCTGCGATTCGGTAGACAGATTTTGGCAGGCTTCCTTGGTAAGGGTGAAAGCACCTCGCCGGATTTGCCGGAACTTTGTTTTGGATTTCAAGCGGTTCATGTGTTTCTGTGTATGATCTGAGATGTGGCCTGTCAGGCATATCATTGGCCTTTTGATAGATGTAGGGCTGCAAGAAACCCAGAAGCAGCTGAAAGGGCAGACAGCAAGAAGAGATGTGCTGCAAATGGCTGTGCATACTTATAGAGCTGGAGGACTCTTAGACAGCCTCAGCTTAGTGCCAGGTGCAACAACAATTATCAAGATTTCTAGTCCGGATGGCAGCGGCAAAAACCTGTAGGCAGAGCGATCCTTATGCTGAACAACTGAGTTTGCTAATGGTATCAATCAGATAGCGGTATAAATACTGAGCACCGTGTCCACGGTTGATTGTGTCTTGCTTGGAAATGGCGAGTCCATCAAGGGGTAGGAGTTTGGCAGCCTTTTCTGCAGCTTGTCTGCAGACGCACCTTGCTTCTGGCAGGGAAAAGCGTGTAATAATACTGATAATAACAATAAATCAGATAAGTGTCTAAGACACATTGCGGGGTGCATCAAGACCCGAGGCTGTTGATGAGACAGGCTCTGCAGTGAAATGCTCTTGGCTTGGGATTCACTTGATGAGCGTGCATGTTAATTCTAGGTGCCTGCTTTTGAGATGAACACCATTCTGGCACATGATGTAGGCATGCACTCTAGAAGGTTGATCCAACTTTCAAGCATCAGCTTGAGGCCATTGTTGCGTGCCGGGTGCGGCAGCCGCACATCATGCTAGCATATATAATCGGCGCCAACTAATCTTGAGTGTTTCACATCGATGGATATTATGATGATCATGTGATTTGCGCACTTGCTTCACTGAAGTTCAAATACTATATAGTATATGCATGTGCTCATGATTGAACCTGGCAAGTACTCGAGTGTGTGGGATGTCTTTCCAGATTTCTTGTAAGATGCCATACATAAATAAATCTGTCCTTGTGATCAGCCAGATCAGGCCAGCACGGCAATATGGAAGCTTCCCCTTATGTAATAAGGGGTGCAGGAATATTAGAATTTAATTCACGCGTTTGAAGACACCAGTCTTTCGGCTTGCTGCCTCATGGCCAAGGAATGGTCTGCCAGTGACATTGATAGATGTTAAGAGAGGTTTGGCGGGATCACAAAAATGATGCATCTGTAAATTCCCTACAACTCGCACACCATCAGATAAAACCTGTCAGCATGCATGTGCAACAAATAATTCTTTTTATGCTTCAGGGCCACGCGCATCAGAGCTCCTCCCGGTCTGCCGCAGCTTGGGTGGGTGGGATGTTGGGCACTTTGAGCGTTGACATGACCTCGTCCAGTGTCATCGTCTTGTGGTATTTGTAGCCCTCCACAGTGCAGATGCTGGGGTGGTACAGAGTTACCACGTAGCGGCAGGTCTCCGGCTCGCGCACAAGCATGTAGGCATCAGAATCCGGCGAGCATGCCAGCTGCACCTGCCGCAGACGAACAAAGCACACACCTGGGTATGCCATGGTGATGTTTTCTAGACGTCAACACCATCGGTGACTCCCATGTGACATGCAGAGAGTGTAACAACGCTGCAACCTGGACTGTTCAGGCCCTGTGCCACGCTGTTACAAGCCAACCCACATCATGCACCACTCATGCAGATCATTTTCCTTGCTAATTGGCAACAGCTTTCCAATCTGACGGCAATCAGCCGGAACGCAACATTCTGAAATATCAGGTCCCCACCAGCAAGCAAGGATCTCTCTAGAATGGAGGCACGGCCCCATGCACTTGAGCAAGAGAACACATCGAGACTTGCCCTTATACGCACCTTGCTGGCGCGCTTGGCGCTGGCATCGGAGCCGTCGCAGGATGCGCCGCCGCTGTAAGTCGTCTCGATGAAAGGCACGCTCAGGCCCTCCTGCACCCCTGGCAGCTTGTCTGCGGCTTCGCTCAGGACGGGCCACGAGTTTGGTCCCAGGTTTTTCCTTCCTTCCTGCAGAGCCACACATGACGCTCCGCTCAACTCTGTACAATTCTCCTTCAGGGGGCAGTATGGGGAACTGGAATTACCATCATATTAAGGCCCACAACCTCCTCCGTTTGTAAGCCCCATGATCCCTTCATTTGCAAGCGACAACATCGGCGACCAACATGATTGCAATTGACCTCATCTGATGGTCCGTTTCTGAGCTACCTACAGGTAAATGAAGCATTGACACTCCTACTTGTGCGCCAATCCTAGCAAATAGACTCTACACATGTTACATACATTAATGACTACTCAAGGGGGTACTGAAGACTACTTCAGACTAAAGACTACTCAAGACTACATCCTGTACTCCTAGGCATCCCCTGAATCACACATACCAGGGGGCTCTATACTAAACATCAAGATCAATATGTGGACCCCCTGCCCAATCAGGATGCGCAAAGGGTGAATGTAAGGGACCTGCACGGCGTCGTAGCGGCCAAGGCTGAGGACGGACTCGATGCGGCGCTCGCCCTCGATGGAGTGGAACTGCCCCACGTGGTGCCCAGGGCACAGCTCGTAGCTCCACCAGCCGTGGCTCACGTAGTAGCAGTGCGCCGCCACCTCCTCCAGCACCGCTGCCCCCAGGCTGCCAGGCAGCACGTCTGCAGCAGCAGCAGATCAGGGTTACTACGTGGGCTCTGTTGATATGGCAAACATGACGAGGGAGTCCATGATGGGACCTTTTGGATGACAGAGATCCGGGGATGATCTGGCACATGCAGCACCAGCAGGCTGGGAGTGGCGAGTCGGGCTCTTTAGGGTACTGTATGTTGTGAAACTTGACAAGGGGCCCTAAAGGGGAGGTTCAGAGTCTTCCTGACAGGTACTCTTGGTTGCACTGTCATATGCTGTGCAAGACACTTGACGGGTCCACGGGAGCGACTGTTTGATCTATAGATAGGGTATGATAAGAGTGCGAATAGAATAGTCTGGTTCAGGGGAGCAGGTTCAAAGCAGGGTCGCACCCTTGAAGTCGCTTGGCTGCAGCGGTCCATCAAGATTAGTCAAGGGGTTCTCCCTGAGTGTCATCTGGGCTCTGACCATGTTTCTGCACAGAACGACTTCCCCATCAAAAAGCAGTGGGGCCAATGCAACCCTGTTTGCCTGCTTTCCTAGGCACTCCCGCAAGCCCAGCAGCCTTCCTGCCTCCCAAACTATGATATCTTCTACACTTCACTGCATGTTTACAAGTCATGGAACCCATGGCAAGCTATCCTGGAAACCATGTGGATGCAGTTGGATCCTGGCAATTTGGTGGCAGACATGCTTCAGAGATCTGTGAGCAGGAACAGGGTCTGCTGATGTGTCGCACCGGCCAGCGGCGATGACATCAGGGCTGGGCTCCCCGGCGGAGGTGGCAGCGCCGCCTGTTTTGGCGGTGTCCATCGCTCGGTGCGCGTCCCCCGACAGGCCGCTGCAGGGCTGCCGCTGCGCGCACAGCTGTGCGTCAACGGCCGCCAGCAGCGCTGCGCTCTCCTGCTCCAGCCGCGCATCAGCCTCCTCCCCCAACCCTGCAGCGCATGGAGTGCATCCGTGTTGAACCACCACTAGCATAACCACCGTCAGGGTGTCAAATGATAGAGTGGTCCGCACGTAGGCATTTGCTTGAAGAGTTTCTAGTCTCTGTTCTCCATATATACGTAAATTCGGTCGTGTTCTGAGCTCCCCAGCTCCCATTCTTGCAGCTTGGGCAGGCCGTAACGATGATGGCCCCAAGTTCTCATCTGCTCCTCTAAATTGGGCGGACTAAATCAAAGCCACAACCGGCATCAAACATCTCAGTTCAGGTTTGCACAAGAGAGTGCTTTTTGAAGAGTCAGCGAGATCAGGAAGTGTGTAAGTTCGAAATATGTGACAGGAAGATTGCTTGGGAGCTCTCCAACCAGCACCGAGAAGATGGCGCATATCTGTGTCCTTGGGGAACATGGGTGAGGATCATAGGACCAGGCACCAAAATGGTCGAGGACATGCAAGTGGGCATGCAAAAGAGACAAAGTAAGTGATATTGTGCGTCGAGCTTAATTGTGTATTCCAGCAGCACCTGAGGTTGCAGAGAGGCTGCAGGCGCCGCAGCTGAAGCGGCAGAATCCCTTGAGCGCCTTCTGGTAATCCCCGCCCACCATGTAGCGCCAGTTGGCCGCACACTCCCCCTGCACATGCCCCACACCCGCCAGTCAGAAGTAGCTACCATGCACAAAAGTCAGTCTCAATTGCTTGCAGCGCCCTCTGCGGCAAATCACACTGGCAGCGCTGCTGGCATTCTGTGCTCTGTAGGGTGCGCCTGTGCCACTTTGATCCTGTGAGGTAGTCTCAAATGAGGTGCAGCAGAAGCCTCCTCAGCATCAATGCCGAGATCACATCCATCTGTTCATGCACCAATAAAGCCTCCATGTACAGCAGGTGGGTGGCAGGCACCTTGTCGGCCCACCAGGCGCACTGCTTGTGGTAGTCCCTGCAGGAGCTCCCGTCCGGCGTGCCCTGATGCTCCAGCACGGCTGCTTTCTTGACAGGGCCCAGTCCAGCCTCCGCCCTCAGCCTGCCCCACACCTTCTCATAATCCCCCAGCTTCTGCGCCAGCTCAGTCGCAAAATGCACGTCGCCTGTCTCCTGCCCCTGCAGGAGAACAGAGGAGGACAGTCTCGTCAGGTCTCATAATCAATTATTAGTAGAGTTAGCGCGGTGCGTGTTTTGCAGCACAATACGTCTCACTGCTTCTTTACGATGCAAGCGTGTCCCGTTCGTGTCATGCCTGCAAATCCTCCAAATAACTAATCGAGATAAGCAAGGATGACAGCCCAGTGAAGCCAGCAGCAAACTTGCGCTTCCACAACATGTGCTCAGTGCAGGAAGCAGGCCGTCACTCTGGGATGTTGAAGAGCAAGCCTGGCATGATGGTAACAAAACACAAACAGGGTTCGTGCAGGCACATGCATCCTCCTTCCACCACAGGCTCCAGATGGAACAGTGACATCTTTTCGGACATGAGAGTCACGTCATTGTGAGTGAATCTCTCGCAACAGCTCCCGGCGGCGCACCTCCTGGATGTCGGTGCAGCTGCGCGCGAGGGCGCGCTGCTCAAAGTCAGAGGGCGCCTCCACGCCTTCGCGCGCCTTGAACACGTACGCGTAGCCCTCCTCGCCGTTCCCCGCAGCCGCCGCCAGCGGTGAGCCCATCAGCAGAATGGACCACTCCCGCAGCAGGTCCCCGGTCACCTGCTCGGCGACACGAGGTATTAGTGGTACTAACGTTTGGACACCTGTTTCGTGACACAGCGCACAGCTGATGTTGAAGAGTAGGCATGTGCTTGTGCCATCTTCAGCTGCAAATGCACATCCGTCACAAGCGTACCACATCATTGCAAGTATCTTGCATGGCATGGCTAAGGCCTGCAGTCCCTGTGCTGCCATACGTGACCAGTGTCTGGCTGGATGTTACTTCCCTTGGTCACAACACAGGCCGGAGGATGCTGATCTCGCAGTATAAAGAGTAAAGCGATGCACCTGTTTTTCACACGTGTGCCACAGCTGTCGGTTGATCTTGGAGGTTGACGGCACCGCCAGACCATTGTGGATCTCCTGCCGCCCTTTGCTCCACACAGCTGCCACTAGCTGGTGACACACCTGCCCAGGAGAAGACATGCCAGCTGCATTGAGCACCCACGACAGCGAAGACTCCTCGCCAAAGAGTCTTGAGGATGCAATGCATTTGACAATATACTGTACTGGATCTGGGGTCAAGAAATGCTGGATCTGCCCCAGGTAAGTCTCCTGCAAGCAGTTTGCAAGGGACAGGCAGGTCACATGTGCGTCTCCAGGAAGCACTTACCTTGCATCCCACCAACCCTGCTACAACCCCCAATTGTGCTTCGTCCTGAATAGAGTCTTCAAGGAGGGGGTGCTTCCTGTGCACCACAGAGACAAATGATCAATGCTGTGATGGCTTGAAACTAACCTGGCTGAGGGAGCACAATGACAAGCATAACAACAGTATGTATTAGAATTCCTCTTCAGGGGCTTGCCTCTCCGCTTTGTTGGCCAGCAAACCCTGCTGCAGTGTTTCCTGGCTGTATGCGCCCTTACTGCTGATGGCCTCGTACCCATCCAAGTCCTTTTCTTGCAGCAGCTTCTCCAACGGGAATCTCAACTTTAGAGCCTGCCAGCTCTGCTTTGTCCAGACCGTCTCATCGTGTATATATAAATATTTGGCGCTGGCCAGCACCAGAGCGATGCAGAATAGGAAACAGCACAGTGGACCTCTGTGATACCTCCGCATGATTTATAAGGATAAGATCAATAAGGGACCACCATCACAGGGTATAATGTCCGTTCAATCCTTCACCGATCATCATCCGGTCCAATAGAAATTCTGTAGAAGCACAGGTGAGCCTGCTCTGGGTTCGAGATCAAGAGCACTGTACATTCCAGATTGACAGCATGATTCTCTGAAATTCAGCTGAATTGCTTGGTCATTTGATGGCATTTGAGCTCACGAGAGTGACCTGGCAGGTTATAACTAAGTAATTACTAAGCTAAAGCTGGTGCACGAGCTGAGGCAACGACGAAGCACAACTTTGTTTGCTTGACGCAAGCAACACCAACTTTCTATCCAGTGCTGTGGCTCTGCATTGTCCACCGCCACTGCTTGGTTAGCACCGAAATACGCGAGGCGATCTCCATATTTGTCTTTGTCTTTTTCTGGTCGATTTCAGATTGTTGCCATTTCTATAGCGGTGTATAAAAATTCTTCGTCAAATTCTCATACCGCGGTAGAGCCTGTTCACGGGATAGAGGGCCCCTGGAAGAAGCCATCTGATTGACATAGACGCTAGCGCTCTTCGTCAGCTGGACAAAGAGGTCTGAAAGAGGTCTGGAATGTCCTTGTACAACGGACCACCCAGAGGTGGCACCCGTGGAGGAGCAGATCAATTCTCATGGGACTCTGTCAAGGCAGATAAGGACAGAGAATACTACTTGGGACACTCTGTCAAAGCCTTGACTGGGAGGTGGCAGAAAGGTACCTCCCACATTGTATTGCTCCCACGAGCTCGTACTGTCTCAATTTACATGTGTTCTTTCCATTGACAACATCGAGAAGCAGTCTGCGGGCCTTGCATCAGCTTGTATGCCCATTGCAGGCAAAGACGTCTACTGGTACACTCGCGCGAAGGGAGAAGGAGGCGACACAGCTGCTGCAGCAGAGCTCCACGCAGTCAAGCAGCGTGAGGAAGAGCTGATGGCTGAGGTGTGCCAACCAATGCTCCGCGATTAGCAGCTTCTTCCGCATGCAATCTTGTAGGTGCTGGAAGGAGCAGTATTTGTTCAACTGAGTCTCACAGTGACAGCCTGTCACTGACAGAATTGTGCAATATGGTATGATGTATCCTCCTGATGGTGCACCTCCAGGCGCTTGGCATCAAGCCAAAGGTGATTCGGGCGCCGAAGCAGCCGCAGCTGGACCAGAAAGAAATGGCGCAGCTCATGAGCAAGGACGCAGAGGAAGTAGACGGGGAGGGAGGGGACAGGGAAGCCGAGCGCATCAAGGGCCTCGGCTACTCTGTGTACGTGGCCTTCCTGCTCACATACACCAGCACACCATCAATGCAATGAGAAATGGCATCATTTTGCAAGTCCCCAATTCGCTGCCAGCTGGAGGACTCGACACTTTTGATCTGTCCCTCACATGTACGCTGTGAATGGAAGCTGGTGAAGGCAGCGTCGCGGCAAGATAGAGAGGCAGTTGAGAATGTTGATTTTGTGGCAATCTGCAGGAATGCAGTGCGAGGAGCGGGAGATGCAGAACATGAGGTGTTGGCAGGCACGCTGCCATCCAAGCAACTGCCGGGGCCGCCGCCCATGAACCCAGGGCAGCTGCCGCCGCCGCCCGTGCTTACAGAGGCCGATGCTAAGCGCATGCGCAAGGCCCAGAAGAAGGCTGCAAAGGAGGCTCGCCGCGCCGAGAAGAAGGTGTGCAGATCTTCTGAGGCATGCTGTGAGCTTGCTCTTGTCCCTTCCGCTGTCACGGTGTAGCTTTGCGTTGGTGGGTGTGAATGGTTCATCAATCATGACCTGGGTGTTGCCTGGGGGTACGGAGGCAGGCAGCAATGGCAATCTGGCTGAGGAGGTGTGTCTGGGGTGCACAGGAGAAGAGGAAGGCAAAGAAGGTGCTGAAGAAGGCAAAAAAGGCGGCGAAGAGGGCCAAGGTGGAGGCCGAGGCAGGGCCGCCAGCAGACGCCAGCGCAGGAGGCAGCAGCCCCAGCAGCAGCTCCGACGGCGCAGACTCTGATGCCTCCGAACCGGCAGACCCTGCAGAGGATACCTCTCCCGCAGGCAGACGCACAGCGCCCAGCTCGGAGCTCGCGCATGTCAGGGACAGGGAGAGCAGCCGACTGGACGGGAGGGAGCCGGCTCGCAAGAGAAGGCATGACTCACCCACCCCCGAGCGGCAGCACGCGAGGCGCCGGCACGACTCGCGGTCGCGCAGCCTGGAGCGGCACGGCGGGCACATGCGTGACCGTCGCGAGGGTGGCGAGGATCGATCAAGGGGCAGGGATGAAGGGCGGGTTAGAAAGGGGAGGAGGGGAGGCAGCCAAGAGCGGAGTGAGAGAAGGGAGAGGCGGCGCAGCAGGAGCCGTGACCGGCGCGGGAGGGATCGTACTTAGACCGGGAAAGATGCACGTTAGAACGCTGGAGTGATCACTGATGAGGATGTGGAGGACACCTCTACGGTGGGTCGCTGATGTATATTGCGTAATGTTTCCGAGGGACCATGTGAACACAGACGCTTTCATTCAAAGAGACCATCTATGCTGTCAGAGCTTTCATACATTCCAGCTCATTCAGTCCCACCAAAGCTCCGAGCTCAGGAGGAGAGTCTCACCGCATGTGATGCCTATTCTTTGCTTCAAGACATTTCGATCTGGCGCAACATAGTAACTCGTGCATGTATCATGGGCAGAGGCCTGCCTCCTGATGCAAATCCACCGCGTCAAAACAGGTTGTGTTTTGTGAGGACTCTGCTATAGGAGCATTGCAAAATGTCCTGAAGCGTAACTACAAAGATTGGCTAGAATGGCCTGTTCAAACGCCAAGGCTATCTGGGTGCCATTTCGGGGGTCATCCTGAACGCCTCACTGGTACGCTGCTTGGCCAAAGATGGCTTGTACATTACAAAATCTAAATCTGGTACTCAGTTTCTAGCTCCAGGGTGCACCCTCTCCTACTCCAGTAGTGCATGAATTCAGCAATGTCCACCAACGCTTGCACCTCCTGCATCACCGGCACGAAGTTGTCAAATTTTCCTCCCAGCTGCAGTAGTATTTGAGGGACTTCAGCAGGTATAAAACAGTCTCAGTGAGCACAGGTGACTGCAGGTACCTGCAGGATCTCCTTCTGCTCATCGTTGAGGGTGCCGTCTTTTGTGGCCTCTTCAGGCACTATTTGCGGCTCCATGGCGAGCACATCTGCTGGGATCTCATCCCAGGGCCGCAACACCGCCATGCCCTCCCACAGCGCCCGTGTCTTGAATTCAGGTTCCTGCATCACAAAAGGCAAAATCCCTCTTCCCTCATCAGACGCGCTGTAGATGAGGCGAGCATTGCAAGATGGGATGCAATCTTTGAAGAGCTGGCTGAGTAGCAGGTTGTACAGTAGAAAAGTGAAGTACTGTACCTGCAGGAGCTCAGGAGGTGGCACACAGACCACAGCTTCTGCATCGCCCAGAAGCCTGCGAGCACCTTCATAGGTGGCAATGGCCACCTCTTTGGACAGCCTGAGACACTCCTCTGGTGACCGTCTGCTGACAACAAACCCCTTGAGCTCGTTCGGCAGCGTCAGGAGCTTGGCATAGTGCTGCACCACCTCTGGCAGCAGGTGGAAGAGTGGATAGCTGTCGCTCTCTGGCAGCTCCTGTATCTTGTCCAGCTGCTTTTCTATGTCCTCCACTGTCTCCTGCAGGGACTTTGTTCGAATTTAAGTCATGAGCCTCAAGGTTCTCTGGACAGGTTTGACAGTCAATTAAGCAAAGGTGAACAAGCATTACTTTAACACAATTGACCACATCATAACATAATCGAGTTGTCTTGCCTGTCTGGAAAGGGCTCCTCTGGGCTGTGGGTCCGGGTCTACGGGGGTCAGCAGGATCAGCTTTTTCTTCCGTTCTGCGATACCTATTTCCTCTGGATTGGCGGACCCTACAACCATAGGCTGTACCACGAGACAAGTATCAAGCCCCTTCCCCATTTCCAACCTGTTGAATAATCTGCCCGTCGAATTTGATACCCGCACGATTGGCAGCGCGTTCCAGCGAGACCTCAAAGATTCTAGAAGGTCTTTATTAGTATATTGTGCGACTTACAGATAATCAAGCTTTTCCACCGCGATGGACAGAGAGGCGTGGGCGTTACATATCACGGGGTGGAGCCTGTTTTGGGGCTGGTGGAGGTGTCTTCAATCGTTCAGCCATTTCGCACATTGCGCCAAATTTTAGAGCTCTCCAAGTGACAGTAAATCTAAAGCATACCTTTGCCTACGTATATCTTGATTCTCGGCATAGACTAGGATGACAATTACAGGTGCATGGGAGGTGCTTGAATGCCAGCACAAGCTTAACGTCATTTTAATCCTTGACTTGCTTGATTTTCCTATTAGCTAACTATCTGGGTGGAGCTTTCGTGGCAATCATGAGCGGCTCAAAGAGATCAGATCTTTAAAGCATAGATCAGTACAGAGCTCTTTGCCCCTGTTACAGCTTGCCGAAAGACAAATTTGGAAGAAAAAGTATTCTATAGGATATATCAATATCCTCCCATATCGATCGGCACAACAGTTGTTGAACAATGGACGTCCTGACAAGCTGTAGTAAGGGAGTGTGACTGCTGAGAAATGGAAAGAACAGGGTATGCCAGCGTGCAGAAGGGCATAAACCCGCACTTCCAACATCCGCAAATCATTGCTCGCCCCAGAAGCCCACATGTCGTGCCCCAGCTGGCCAGACAGGCAGCAAGAACAGCTACTCGCCGCCTCGTGTCAGCCAGATCTACTGGGCCTGCAGCAGACTCAGATGCATTGCGGTGTCTCCATGGCAGGCAGAGCTTAAGAGGTTGCCTGGCGCTGGCATCTCTGCAACACTGCCCCTTATGTGGTAGCTACAGTGCCCCAAAGCAGCAGGGGCATCAATGGCCCAGCTCTCACAACCTGGCACCTGCCAACAATGGAGGAAGGAGGCGCACAGCATGCACAGCCGCCAGGCGCGGCATGCTCAGCAGCGAGTATACGCCGCAGATGTCCTCTTCGCCAGGTACCCAGCCCTTCTTTAGTTAACAATGCAACTTCCTTGCTGTGACTGATGCAAATGCAGCGTGTTCTTGCCATGCATGTGCTTGCAGGCTTGCCTAACGGCTGCATGATGGAGCAATCTTAAGCTTGAGGCCTCCAGAATGAGCCATCAATGCGCACCTGTGCACAGTTATCTCCACCTTGGCATCAAAGCTTGCAACTGTCTACCAACACCCTTGTATCAGTTCTACCACCTAAATGCGAATTCTTGGAGTGTTGAGGACATCTGGCTGCGCAGGCTGGTGGACATGGCTGACGCTGAGGCTGCCCCTGCTGGGCAGCCCCCAGCTGCTGCAGCGCATCGCCCTCACAGTCCTCTTCCTGGCACTCGCACGCGTGGGGCAGTTCATCCCCCTGCCGGGCGTCAACCTGGCTGCGGTGGCCAGCGCAGCCGCAGGCGAGCACTGTCTGCCTTGCCAATCTGCCAGGCCCTGAAATATTTCAACAGACCTTGTTGCTTGTCTGGCGGCAGACCCTAAAACCGTCTGTATTGCTAGTCTGCCAGGGGCTGAAACCATTTGACAGACGTCGTTGCTAGCCTGGCTGTGCACTCTGTCCCGATCTAGCATTGTCTGTCTCGCCAACATGCCAGGCAAGATGTCGTATGACAGACCTCATGCCTCTTCTGGCTGCATGAACAGCGCTTCAGATGAGTTCTGTCCGGTGCCGATGAGATACCTTACCTTGAGGAGGGGCTTCAGGCATGGGGTGGAAGGCTGATGTTAACTTCAATCGCGGGCTTGAGGAGATGGCTTGCAAGCATGGAGTGCAGAGGGTGAAGGCAAGTTCATATTTTATGTGGGGGCAGGCTCGGCTCTCGGCACAGGCGGTGGGTTTGAGGAGGCGTTTGGGGCGGATAGCGCAAGTGTGGGCATTTTTCAACTGGGCATTGGGCCCTACATCGACGCATCCTGGACGCTGTCGCTCATCCTGCTGCTCAAGATCCCTCAGGAGATCTACGTGCACCTGCAGCAGCTGCGGCGAGCTGGGCGCGAGGTGGGATTCATGCACAATCCTTCAAATTTTTAATAAGTACCTCTTTTGCCGTGCCCATGCAAATGGACAGCGTTTGTTCTCAAGGCAGCATGTCAGCTCGCCATGAAATAGAGGCCATTGTGATGGTCGCCTGGTTGCCGTCCTCACAAGAGCGAACTTGTGAAGAAGGCCGCAGGCTCTCCCATTACAACGGCCTCATCCAAGAATCAAGCTAATCATTCATGGAGCTGTTGGCAGCCACCTCTGCCCAGCACAACCGAGAGCTTTGCTTGCCGGACTTTCCAATTCAATTACAATCTTGATCAAGGATTTTTGATTATTTTCAGATTGGTGCTTGCGCAGGGGGCGGCGGTGATAAAGATGTACACTCAGGTGGGGTCGCTGCTGTTTGCGGTGGTGCTGGGCGCCAAGCGCGCGGTGGAGCTGCGGCCGCACGCGATCGCGCCGGCCGGCTTCCTGACGCACACAATGGCGACGCTGGTGGCGGGCGCGATGCTGCTGCGCTTTGTGTGCGACCAGAACGAGGACCACGGCCTCGGGGACGGCATCTCCCTCCTCATCTGCGCCGGCATGGCCGCAGGTGCCGCCCTGACCTCCTCTTCTGTCTTGCTGTTCAACGTTGCATTGCTGGCAATTTTTTGCCGGGAAGGATGTAGTCAATATCCTTGGGAGTATCAGCGTGATGAAAAAAGACCAGCTATTTAAATCTTCATATGCATGTGCATGGCCGGTGGCGCATTGCTGCTGAGAACCAACACTGCTGTATATAGGTGCTTGTACTTCTTATGTGAATGTTATGAATAAAACAGAAAAGCCAAGGGTTGGGGTTGAGATAATCAGGATTTGAGGGTGCTGGGGGGATGCAGGATATGCGGCAAAGCTGAGGCAGTTGCCGGGGTTGCTGGCGGCTGCGGCAGTGCCGGCCTGGAAGCTGGGGGCAGCTGTGTCGGCGTGCCTTGCGCTCGCGTATGCGGCTGTGTATGTAACCCAGATCGAGAAGCGCCTGCCCCTCGTGTACTACAAGCGTCGCACAGAGGTGCGCTATCACTGCTCACATGACAGCTTCTCTTCGGAGCTGAGACCACCAGAATGCTGAGTCAAACAGCACCCCGTCCCCAGCCAGTGAGTGCAAACCATTGGGTAATCAGGGCACACGGCCCGAGAGATGATTGGGGCTACAGATTGCGCTCATCTCTTTGCGGATATGTGTTGCAGGAGTTGGGGAAGCGGCGGGCGCCATCGCAGCTGCCGGCCAAGCCGCCGCGGACGACGGATTATCTGCCGCTGCGCATAGCGCCCTCCGGCATGGGTCCCTTACTCATGGCCTCCTTCGTATTCTACATGTCCCCCCAAGTCGTCGCCTTTGTCTCCCCGCCAGCCGCCGCCCGCATGGCCGCCTTCCTGTGCGCTCTCCTCCTTGCATCTCCCTGGAAAAAAAGGGAGATTTACACTTCTTGTTCTGCTGCCATTGTGGGCGTCTGACACGAGCCTTGCGCAGCCCCAATTTAAGCATTTTTTGTCCAGTTACCATTTGCATATTGAGACATGCATCCGTGCACGACGAGTGCCTGCAGCAGAGCATGTGTGGTACAGGAATGGCTGAGAGAGTTGTGCGCTTGACAGGTTCAATCCGGCGGTGCTGCCATGGAGCTTTGGGCTGTTTGTGTTCATGACCATGATCTTGGACTTCTCCAGCGGCACTGCAGCGCGTGAGATGGCTGAGTGGATGGCGTCGGTGCATCCCTCCTCCCATTGGCCATTCCTCCAACAGCACATACCAGTCCATTTACTTTCTGGTGCTTTAAGATTGCTTGCAAGCCGGCTTTCTGTTCGGAGAGATACAGAAATTGCCTACAATTTAGATCCCTTGCTGCAATATCCTAGTCCAAATTTGAGGCCTGCTGCGGGTCTGAAGCCTTTGGATTGGCGGTTTTATGATGGAATTATGGAGTGTGGTAGGGAGACTTGAATATGTTTATTATTACAATGACATTATTTGCACACGCTTCTCCTGCCAGAAGGCAAGGGAAGTCCTGCAGACAAATTTTGACAAGATTTGATGATATGGGTGTGCTGATTGGCCAGGTGGATGCGGGGGTGAAGGGGGTGAGCCCGGGCCCCTTCACGGAGGACTTCCTGGTGCAGCAGCAGGGGCTGATGCGCTTCTGGGGCGGCCTCGCCATTGCCGGCCTGGCCGTCGCCGCCAACCTGTTTGACGCCGCATGCACCCGCCACCTGGGCGCCTCTCTCAACGCCATCAGCCTCATCATGATCACCGGATTTGTCACCACCGCCCTGCGCCAGGTGCAGCCTCTGCCCCCTTGCGTTCACTAGCTTGTGCTTGCTGAAGAATACTATACGTAAGATGATTGGCAAATCCAAAGCCAGCGGAAATTGGGTATTCATGCAGCTGCCTGCAGGGCGTTTGCTGTGGCAATGCTCAAGCTTGCATGCTCAGGCCTTCGCACTTGTGCGTGGCTTGTACTGTGGGTGGCAGCAGTTTGCGGCTTACTCAAAGGAATGCGAGGAAGCATGCTGGCTGTTGTGGCATGTGGTGATGAGTGTGTGGGTCTGTGTGCAGGCGCAGTCGCTGATGCAGCTGCCTCGGCTGGCGAGGGCGCTTGCAAGGGAGAGGGAGCTCTTGTCTGCTGTTGATTTACATGCCAAGAATGAAACAAGCCTGGTTCCTTCGTCAACGCCTGCAATTTACTGACCGGCAAATGTGTATGTTGGCTTGTCGTAAGGACTTGTTTAGATCTAGAGTGATTCGAATGCCATTGCCATAAATTGCCTTGACTCGCTTAAATATGTATGTACTGGACCTTATGATCGTTGAGCTAAGAAGAGCTCTGGTATCAAGTGTCTCTGTAAAGAATCAGATACAAGTAATTTAGGCCTATGTAATATCCTATGAGCACTGAGTAGTGCTGCTCATCAATATTTCTGCAGTCGTACAGCATCAGCTGGACTTGCAGCATGCGCATTGTTCAAAGTCATTCTGCATGCAAGCGAACGATGCATCTGATTCAAAGTGCATCAGAAGGCAAGTTACACAATGCCACCATGGTTGGCGAAATCAAAATTGCAAAAGCTGCATCATTCGTTTGTAGAAGTGAAGACCTGTTTCAGCAACCTCACAAATGGCGCATCAGACAACAGAAAGAACACTGCAGCACATTGGTATTCACTCCGAATCCTCAGCCATAGCGTTTGGCCCCTCAACCTTTTGCTTCCACTTCCGCAGCGCCTTCTGCTGTTTTCTCATGGCGGGATCTGGCTTTGGCTTGGCTGCCTCCGGCGGTGGCGGCAGCGTGGCACTCAGGTGGCTGGTGATCGCTGCAATGGGATTTGACTGATAATGTGGATGCGCCAGCACCTGTGGCATGCCACATCTTCCACCCTTAGAGACGGCTTGTGCACGTTTTGGCACTGCGTGTAAAGAATTCCCCCCGAAACAAATAGCATGAGGCACTGATGGGCGTTCAGCGTCCTCACGGCTTGTGCTCATATTCCGCTGCATGTACAGATCTTTATTTCAATCAGCATGTGGCAATGATGGAACCGTCAGTGTATGGAACCGTCAGTGTGACCCCAGCCTGAAAGCTTATAAAGCAGTGCACCTGATGCAGTCTTTTGGTCTCCCTCTCTACCAGCCGCAGTCGTTTCCTCGTCCCTCCCGCCCCCAGGCCCTTGCTCTGCATTGCAGCCTTCGCTGCCGCCTTCACATCCTCCTGCACATTTCATGAGCCTCGCATCAGGCAGCGAACTCACCCTGAGGCATCTGCCATCCTTCCTGCCATTGCCAGCGCCCAAGCAACAGCACATGAGTTTGCAAAAATACGATGCAGGTGACTGTTGCACGACGCTGTGCAGCCCTGCACACAACAGTGCAGGCGAGCAAGAAGGGAGAACAGATCGGGGCACAACCTGCTGGGCAGCCTCTGCCAAGGAGGCGGTGAGGTTGGATAAGTCTCCCAGCCGTCCGGGGCCGCGATCTTTGCTGCGCTTCTTCTTAGTGCCCCCCTGCTGCACCCCTAGCTTGGGTGCCGGCCGGCTGGCAGCCACCTTCTCCAAGAAATTCACCCGCTTTGCAATCTTCTGCTGAAGCCGCCGCGTCACCGCTGCCTCCCTTTCCTGCTCGGCATCTGCTGCGGCACCTTCCTGTGATGATGAAGTAACTTCAGACTTTGCCTGTGGCATTTAGGTTGACTTGTCATATTTTCAGAGGGTGAGGGACGACATGTATCATGTTTGAGCCATGAGTGGATCCAACCTTTGCTCTGCGCTCAGCTTTCAACCGCTGCTTTGATGCGCCAGCCTTCTTTTTCACCATCGTGCCTGACTTCCTGACAGCCAAGTCCCAGATCACTAGGTGCTTTGTCACGCTTCTACTCTTGTCCGGATCTACATGCCCTTTCAGACAAGCTACATTTGCAAATACTTCAGATCGAGCAGACTGCTGGGAAAGTGGAGAGCTGTATACTGGAATTGAGTGACCAAAGGCAAGATTGCCTGAATATATAAAGTGTCTTGCGTTGTTTCTCACACACAGCACCAATTGCAGTATACTTTCAGATCACGAAGCAATGACTTCCTAAGGAATTTGACTACCGCTATTGAGGGAACCTGGATCATCCAACAAACGAAGAAGGCCGACATCCTGATTAGGCGTCAAGTCCAAACGTGTATATGACAGATCATCCGCCAAATAAAGCAGCTGTTTGGCACTCAAATCTGGAGAAGCTTCAGTAGGAAATTTTTGAATGATACCGTGGATCAATGCAGATTTTTGACCTGTCACGGAGGGGGTGGCTGTTAGTAAGAGCTTGTTACCAGACCAGACGCTCCAAAAAAGGTCCTTGATCTCTAAGGGACTCCCTCGGAGCTGCAGGCTGCTTGCAGCATGCTGTGCACAGGCTTACTACCTGCTGTCTGGGCTCCTCAAGGGGGACACCGTATATGGAGAGGGGTCCATGAGCAGGCCCGATGGTGGCCACATCTTCCCTGTGGCGGCCCAATATGCAGCTGTGCAGGAATCTGTGCCACATGCAGATCCCGTTGCAGCGGCGCCGGCAGAAGCAGACAGCTGTGGTGCGCCCGAGACCAAGCACAGCGCTGCAGAGTCAGACGCAAAGGACTCAAAAGGTGAGCACCTTGCAAAAGCAGCCAAATGCGCAGCTGATGCTTGGGGTGCCTGACAGCTCCTGTGATTGTTAGCTGACCTGCTCCTGTAGACTTGCAGATGTAGAGGGGGCTCTGGGCAGTGCATCTCTGCCTGGTGATGGGGTGGCTGAGGAATGCTTTGAGGATGGGAGCTCTAAGCCTAGAGATGACAGCTGTGAAACCTCAGACAGCTTGGAGCTGGAAAGCGCAGATGCAGGACGGCAAATAGTCTGATGTGCCACTTTCCTGCTTGCACGCCGCAAGCTGTGCTTGCTTTCTTGTGTAATCATGAGTGATAACAGCTGGTACAACAAACGCAACATACAAATGGGCCATTTGAAATGGCTACAAGGCGTTTACCTGACTGTAAAGTACTCATGAGATCATTGCAGCAATATCTTGTGCCCATACACATACTTACTGAGCTCAGGACTTTTAACCAGCAGCGTGGTTGGGCTGGCAAGGCCATCGGGTCATGTCTGCAAGAACTGCACTAATGGAATGGACCCTGACCACCCTTATGTGCTTCAGTCAGTGGCCCACATCTCAATATCTGGTCATATTGTAGCTTTCAGTTCTTTATCTTCTCTTGGCATTGCTGACACACCACTCACTGGTTCCGGGCAAAGTCCTCGACAATGCCTGCCAGATCGCGGATGGTAGAAGATGGCAGCGCATCAAACAGGGAGATCTTATGCTTGCCGGCCCCTAAGCTTAGGGGTACTTTCTTCAACAGCTGCTCCAGCTCCTGCTCTGACAAATCGCCTGCCATGGATCCAAGCTGCTCTGCAAGCGCCTGTGACACACAAGTTTTTGCTGAAGGGGTAAAAAAGCCGCCCACACCCAGCAAGAGCACTTGTGTCTAATAGTCGCAGAGCGAAAGACTGCCAACGTCCTGGAAAGATAGATGTCTTCCCCACCTGATGCATTTTCAAGTCTTTGTCGACAGTCACATCCTTGAGATATAGATGCCAGCCCTGGACGTCCACATACACCTCCTTTCCTGCAGCAAAGTCCAATTATGCTCGCTGTAGGTTTGCTACTACTATATGTAGCGCTTAGGACGTGGAACAGCCCAGGTGCCACAAAAGGTACAGCTAAGATTCCAGGGTAATCCTCACCTATCTTGTACGCCAGATCCCCATACACGCTCTTTGCCTGTCCACCTCCGCTGACCAGCTTTGCAAGGTCGAGGAACCCAGATGTCCCCAGGACATCCTTACCAACTCCCCTGATGGGTGCACAGCGAAGTGCCTTACCCCCTTGTGAAATCCTTGTGAGTGATGGTGCCTTTGTACCTGCAATTGCAACAATTATCACAAAACCAATACACCCATCACGAATTGTTTTCAGCCCAATGATATCTGGTATGCCCACACCACGCAGCAAAATTAGACCAGTGACCCAGAAAGAGATCGTACAGATCGGAACAGAGATCACGCCTGGTGAGAACAGAGAAGTTGAAGACAATGCCGGCCTCAGAGAACACGTCAACATGATGAGTTCCTGAGTAAGAGATCTTATCAGTGCCCGATCTATTCAGCACGGGCAGAATTCAATGTTGTGCGCGGATCTGTCGGAGCTAGCTGGGACGAAGCAGCATCAGGATGAGCTGGACGTGAGTCATCACTAGAGAGTCATCACCAGTACTGACCAAACTTTTGGAAGAAGATGTCTTGGGCACACTTTTTCTGGGGCGGACCTGCTTGCACGTCCCGCGGCAGTATCCATCGTTAGGTATGGCAGACGATGAATCCCCGTCTGCGAAGCGCCAAAAGACAGCGCTAATTGATGCTAACGATGCCATCACGTTTCATTTTCTTGATGCAAAAGAGGAACCGACAGCAATTACTGAATCATCAAGATTTCGTCCTGATATGTGCCATCAGTTCTTTGGGGACGAGGAGGTGAGCGGCCATTCCGATTTTGTTCATGCCACGACGCCCCGAGGTGTAAAGTGGCAACCAATGCCAATACAACTCAATGCACCAATAACGTGCAGTCTCCTGGTTGATATGGTAAGCCCATGAATTTCATCTTTGCAGGTGATCAAGGGCTATGAGGACCTGGAGATTGATATCTGGCTCAGCCAGAGGAGCTTTGAGGCATTGCTCGAGGTGCGCTACAGCAGCAAGATGCAGGATGCAGACGACATCGAGAAGGCCATGCGAGACAAGTTCACGGACGGACTCTCAACCACACGTCAGGAATACCTGACCAAACTTCAGGGCGCAGCTCCGCTCCTCCTTGAAAGCTTGGGCAAGCCGGTCCTGGAATTTGGCCCAGAGAGGGGCAGCCTGGCTGTGTACAGGGTGCAGCTCAGCAAGGCTGACCAGTCTGTCAGAGTGGGTCCCATCTTCTGCAAGATGTACCAGTGCATGCACCTATTGATGAATCACGGATGTTCTTCACACTTAGATTGCGCCAGGACTGAGGAAGCCTTTGGGGGACTTTTAAAGATGCATGCCTTGTGCAGGACCTGCATGCACGCCTGCAGCCGCTGCTCATGTTCTTTGTGGACGGCGCCAGTTTCATCGACCCGGAGGAGCCAGAGTGGGACCTGCTCCTTGCACTTCACACTGATGCCGGCGTTGTGACCGTTGTGAGACATCCACCCTGCACCATGTATCCCGTCTTGCTACCTGCATGCTCAAAATTGAATAATGCCTGGGTTTCTTTTTTAAATTTGGAATGATACATAATAATCACTGAGAGAGAGAGGGGGAGAGACCACATCGTTCCAGCCACACAGGGCTGGTAGATGTCCCACAGCTTCCCAACCGTGAATAGCACACAAGACATGGAACTCAATGATCTGTCCATAAAAGCACAATCGCAATGAGCATCCCGCACGAATTGAGGGCTGGCTGCATGCATGCAGTCGGGATTTGCGACTATCTACACCTTCTGGTGCTACCCGAACCAGACGCGCATCCGGGTGTCACAAGTGCTCGTGCCGCCCCCGAACCAGGGCGAGGGCGTGGGCAGGGCCCTGCTCGAGGCCGCCTACATCACAGCCGACGAGAGGGGCGCTGTCGATATCACGGTGATTGCCCCTCCCCACCAACACAGCTTTCCCTGCTGCTCCTGCCAGCCCAAACACGTTGACTGCCGACTCACTCATGCCCATATCCTGAGGCGCGGCATATCGGGCATTCCCAGTGAGCTCACAGCAAGAGCAGTCCAGGATGCAGCCCGGTCCAAGAAAAATTCCCAACACGAGCTGAAATGTTCGCGAGTAGGACCGCTTGAGATTGTTGCTGTGTTGGTGAGCAAGGGACGGTGCTGAATACAAGCGCTCTCTGGCGCAGTATGAGGATCCCACGGACACAGTGCAGTTGATCAGGGAGCGCGTTGAGCTGCAGCGGGCAGTCAAACTCCCCTGGCTTGCTGACCTGGCCGCCAGCACTGCCAAAGCCTTAGGTGGCTCCCCAACAGCCGCCGCGAGCTCTAACGGTGCCACACCTCCTGAGGTGACCAGTCTTCCACTGGCTTGGGAATTACCCGCACACTTGGTGACTGGTCACAATGCAGGGGGCATCTCCATGCCATGCCCTTGGCATACCTCCTCTAATTAATCAAGGGTGAAGTGTGCCTCAATGTCTTTGTGCAGGCTAATGGTGCAGAGGCACCCGTCTCACCAATGCTACAGCCGAAGGATCAGGCCAGGGCGCAGGCCGACCTGCGCATCACCAGGAAACAGGTGCAAGCTCCTCCCGAGAGCCGTAAATCTCCCCTCCAGGCGGCTTGAACCCTGCTGGCATCCCTGGCTACGATACATCAACCTGTGAACGTGGCATGCATAATACAGGGAGACCTTGGCCTCGCGCAGTGATGCCAAGATCGCAAATCTCCTACTTTTCCACGCTCTGCTGTCATCAGCACTAGCCATAATTGAGCGCCCTTGTGGCCCTGCCAGGCCGTATGCATCCCTGCTTGTATGATATGTTGCATAATGGTCTCCCTCCCCTACAGGACATCTGATTACATGATCCCACTCTTATATCAAGTAATCAACTGCACACATTTACTTGGTAGTCATATAGCATGTAATGCAAGTGCATGCAAAGGAGGGCACGCCAATCGAGGTGTTAACGGTTTGGCGGTCACCAATGATCAGTTCCCGTTGCCCATGGCCGACTGGCACAAGCTGGAGGATGACTGTGCAGGTGAGGAAGCTGTGGGAGGTGCTGCTGAGCGCGCAGCCGGGCTGGGGCGAGGCGCTGCGGCAGGCCACGGTGGAGGGCCTGGTGCGCGCGCGTCTGGTCGGGGGCGTCACCTCCACCAAGCGCGTGGCCGAGGGCAAGCGCATCTTCGAAACCGAGGCCGGCTTCCACATGACCAGGGTGAGCCTCACGCGCAGGGCTCTCGTTCACCCTTCTCAGGCGCACTGTGGTTGTGCAGATTGCTGCACAGGAATTGAGATGGCTCTTTGCGCGCTGCATTTGTATCGAGCAAGAAATGTCTGTGTTGCTTGCATGAGGAATGCCATATTCCCTTGCTCGCACTGCCTTGCACGTCTCGGCATAATGTCTTGCTCTACTTCCTGCAATGCCAGGCTTCTCAATTCGAGACTCGTTGCAGGCCCCAACTGCTGCTTCATCCGTGTTGCACGGCTGCTTAGTCCTTCCTTTCCTGTGAAAAGCCGAGGCTTAATTCAAAATACTGTGCGCTGTATGGCAGGTGCCGGCAGGGAGCGGGATGGGGCCGGGGTCGGGGATGCCGGTGGCGATGGAGCGGGATGACGTGGAGGGAGAGAGCGCCGAAGAGCGCGAGGCAGCCCTTGAGGAAGCCGTGACTAAGCGCATGGATGAGCTCAGCGCCCTTGTGGCCTACGTGCAGCGCCTGCTATAACTCTTGTGCTCTGGCAGCGGCGCAGAGCAGTTTCTCCTGGCCAGTTTTCTTATATTCTGACGTTGGTTGGTAGCCTGGCAGCATGGCTAAGGTTCCAATACCTTACAGACTGATTTTAGTTTATAATGAATGATGAGTTACGGTAGTTTTGGCGCTGCCAATTTAATGTGTTTGTCTCAGTGCACTGCTTCTACAGGACTTAAGTAACTTACAGTGCTTCACGTTTCAAGCTACACCACTTGATCAAGGTTTAGAATCGGCAAGAGATTTTAACTGAGACATTGCAAATGTCGAGTCTCTCGAGTCCGGGTCCACATTATTGATGATCAAAAGTCAAGCGGGCCCCTTCTCCTTTCACCCTCCTTGGGCTCGTCGCCCTTGTCAAGCAATGTAATTGCACCCCCTGCCACATGGTATGACAGCCATCCCCCTTCCTTCCTGTCCCTCAGCTGAGGCTTGTCCGCGCGCAGCAATTTCACCTAGTCACCACATGCACACACTTCAAGTTCTGGCAAAGCCTGTCAGTGTACTGTCGCATCTCTGGAAGCATATACCAGGAATTATGGTCCCTAGCACGCAGCTACTACTCACTGAGATTGTATGCTCAACCCCACTCACAATCCCGCTCTACTCTTGCACCTAGTAGCTGCACTTGCATGTGGTCATGACCCAGACATTGAGTCATTGATCAATTGACCCAGATGATGAGTCACCTGTACTGCAAAGCCATGTGTGGCGAGGTGGCCAATGGTGAGCCAGCCCACGCGCGCCAGCTCCTCTGCGCAGGAAGACTGCGTGCTGGCGACCGGCAAAGTGAACTTTGTCTCTGCTGGGCAATTCCCATATATGGCCACAGCCTTGCCGCTGCACGGCAAAGGCTTTGAGCCAGACACCTCCACAGCCTGTCAAGTCAACAATCTCATCTCTCCCACAGGACTGAATTCGTATCACTGAATTTCCCACTATTGCATGAGGACACATGCACGCAGATAATCTGTCAACGCCCTGTCATATCAGGAGTGAGGGGTACCTGCAGCCGGTGCCTCATGCCGCTGATAGAATCACTGTCCTTTCCTTTCACAGTCACAGATTCTGGTGCTTTCGAGCTGTCGATGCTCAGCACTAGATCCGACCACATCTCATAGACGTCCTCTTTCACATGGCTCCAAAACTTGACCTTGACTACTCTCAGCAGATTCCCTCCGCCCTCTGCATTCTCCTGATGACACACATGCAAGTGAGCCTCACTGAGCCGCAACGGACGCGAAGACGATACCTGCAGCACTTCTTGCAATCAAGATAGTAGCGCTGCATGCAGATGCAGATGCAGATGCAGCAACAAGTCATGCCTTGTCAGCGGCCGGATCTGGCTGCATGTCGCACATGGCCTCCAGGGTCTTGAGCATAGATCGCATGCGCTGCTCTGACAAAGCCGCAGCCTCCGCCCCAAAGAAACTTTCCCTTTGCTCCTCTGCAATCTTGCGCCAATTCTGTCCCTTCATGATACTCGTCCGGATCATTGGCACCTGCACACAAAGAAACGCAGCAAGGGGGGTGTCCCTCAAGCGCCTCAATTCGAGCACACTTCTCAAAGCTAATGACATGCAGATACAGCTATCATGAGAACAATCGTGTCATCGAGCGACAATAAGGCTCAAGACAGCAACACCCACAGCATCCAGATCTCCAATGGAAGAAGGTAAAATTTTTATCACAGTGGTAAGGAGGGACCTGTTCGATGATGAGGCTGGAGTGTGCATTGTGCGGCAGGCCAGAACAGCCCATTGCCAGCTCATCAAGTACTCTCTGCAGGTCAGCCAGGACTGGCAGCTGATCCAGCAACACCTCGTTCATGTGCCGCCGCAAGCGCTGCAGCGACTCTACTCCGTGGCTGCTCTGCTGCAGCGCCTTTTCGCGGCAGCCTGGGTCCACTAAGAGGTTGTTCAGCGCCAGCCACACCTGCACATGTCACAGGCTGTTGACATTTTTGACAGTACAATGTCCGCCCAATAGTGAGGAGGTGATTGCCAATGCGAGAGTGCAAAGACATGGCCTGCCCAAGTCCAAATCAAGTTTCAGAGGCTGTGGAGCTGTGATCGGCACATTGCATGCTGATGGCGGTGCACATTGCTTTGATATTAGGATGCAAATTTGGTTTCCAAAAACGCTGGACCGAGGCCATACCTGCGCCTCGTGTTGGGTCAGTTTCAGGCTGCCCTCTGGTGAAATGACCTGCCACTGCCCATTCTGATATGTCTGGCTTTCCTTCTTCACCCTGACGCGATATGAAAAGTCTTAATAAAAGTCCCCCATGATGCTCCCAGGCGGTGTGCACGACCCTGCAAGGTAAAGTAAGTACACACCTCCGCTTCCAAGGGGGCCGATCAATCAAGGGGATGAGGGCAGAGATGGTGTCATTGGTTGATATCAGACGCACTGCCACGCCCAGAGCCACAGTATTCACATGGTCTGTCAGGTACCTGGACAGATGAGGCCATTTCATTCATGACCATGTCTGCTGCAGACTTCATCAATTGCAAAGACGCTGAGCTGGCATGGAATCAGTAGGTCAAGGGCATAGATGCGCACCTGACGATTGTCAGAGCACAGATAGCCACCTTAAAATCGACTTCAAGCTTCTGTTCTTGCAGCTCTTCCACTGGACTTCTGGACAGCATATCTTGCACGCTACCTGCTGCACACAAAGCACGTCATCATTCCTCCGGGACAGCCAAAAGAAGTCTCATACTTGTACTGACCAGCTGTTTGTCTAGCACATTGTGGGACTTGTGAGCAGCATCGAGCTTGCCTTGGTGTTGCCCTGCCACCTTGTCATGGCAAGTGTTGAGGAAGGTGAGCTTGCGATAGCACCAGTCACACAGCTCGAGCAGGGCATCTTCGCTCATGGCCTGGCAGGCATGCTCATGATACAGGCAGACTTCCAGAAGATTCGCCATCCCCGCCTCAGAGTACAGCAGCTGATTAGAGGTCAGGTTGTCCACTCTGTGGGCCAGGTGCTCTTCCAGATGAGGCAGCACCTTCTCTTTCCAGACCTGCTCGACACGTGCAGAGAGGATTTTGTCAGTGGAAGTTTACATTAAGTGCTTGGATGTCATCCTGGGCGCTGAATCTTAGACTCACAGTCACGGCATCAAGTCAGTCCAAATTAGCAGGAGGCGATGCATAAGATATGGAAATGTGACTGACAGACTGACGGACTGAAGAAGGGATGAGGTCAAAGCGTGCAACCAGTTTCCTTGCCAGTGAGGGGATCACCTCAATGACCAGCAGCTCAAGCAGGAGCAGGGAGACCTTGGCGCTGGAAACTATGGATTCGACCACATATTCATCCGTGTGAGACTGGGCGCTTTGGTGGGCCTGCAGATTGAGTTTGTCCATCTTGTCCTGCTGATCAAGCCACTCCGGGCTGCCCACCTGCGCAAGATAGTTGGCATGGATGCCGACACTTGCACACGAGTCTCATCGATGGGACTTGGGTGTTTTGAAACGTCCAAGCAGGCGTTTACCTCTGATATGTTGAATAGCTTGAGCCCATCAACGATCTTGTCTGCTTCATAGGCCGAGACCGAGATCTGTCAGCCACAATAACTTTCAGGCCACCATCGATGCAAGATGCGCTAGATACTATTGATTGTAGATCTGAGAACGTTGAAATTAATTTGTGTTCTGATTGCATCGAATACCTGGGTTTCGGCTGCTCCCTGTGCACGCCCTCTCAGAATAAGCTCTTCCATGTCCTTTCCGGTATCTCAAGAAATCGCGTTGTTATGCAGCAGTCAAAAGTGGTTATTTAGCTAGCGGGGCTTGGAATTGTAAGCACGAAAACTTCCTTTTTCGCGGCACTCTCGCTGGAGTTTGTACAACGGTCTGAAACGCCGGCTTCCGGTGACTTCCGTTTTCATATCCTGCACCAGAAAATTACCTGTGACGCCACAGACACATTCTGCATGTTCTACGGTACATAATGGAACATTGCAATCATTACACCTGATAATGAAATCAAAATGGGGCTCTACTTTGTGCCTTACGACCTGCCCAACTCACTATCGGGTCGCTCGAAATCAAGGGGATGCGAATGCTCCAGATGCCCGAAACGTACGATAGTTCTATGATCGAGCCGTCTTTGATTCGTCTAGGTGGATGTATCCATTCTAAGGGCTCATGATGAGACATCGAACCGGGACCAAGTCGACAACACCCTCTCCATCCAGGACTGGTGCAATGAAACAGGAGACAAAGTAATCATCTTCGAAATACTTCTGCGATATGCATAACGACAGCGATCAACAGTACTGGGCCGTTCAAATCAATAGCAGCAACGGCCAAGAAACACCTAGATAGGCAACGTCAAGCATGAGAAAGTATATAACAAGATTGCTGCAAAACAGCAGAAGCGGTAACTCCTTTGCTTTGATGAGAACAAAGAAGTGAAGTCTAAGTGACTTGGCTAAGCCCGACCCTATAGAGGCGATAATCCTTATGTTCTGGTGTAAGAGTCTATTGCACATTGACCAACGTGCCCGTTCTGTCTGCACCTCATGAGGATCAGTCAGTGACCTTAAATATCACAATAAGCCTTTCGATATAATCTCGAGTCATCGGCCTGGACTAGTCGGAGCATTGTATCGTAAGAACAGAGGTCGTCAACAGGGAATGGTCATATGCACAATTCAGCTGCAGACCTAGAGGAACTTCTGAAGACACTGTAGAGCACCAAAAACGATGGCAGTAATAAGCTGAGATTTGGGAGCGTCAACACGAAAAACTTTACCTCCATGACTCCAGAACGCAGGCAACTGCTTGAACGTGTTCTGTCTGAGCGGCAGGTGCAGACCCCAACTGAGCACAACATCATGTTGTGATTACATATTTACTCTTGCAAAACGATGGCTGCTAGGCCAACAATGCACTGAGTGCCATACAGGCACGCAGCAGGAGCAACTCAGAAGCATCACCCCTGAGTGTGAGCACCCCATCAGAGCGATTTCAGCGCGTGCAGAAGCTCCTTGAGCAACGCAAAGCTCGAAGTAAGTCCATCCAAGCACACCTCTCCTAAGTTTCCAACTCAGCTCCACTAAGATGTCTGGGCTGATGTTTGTGCACATACATGCAGAAATTCTCGTGCTGCGGCTCGAATAGCAAAGAAATGGCTGGTGCAGGGTCAAGCAGTGGAGGGGCAGGCTCCGCCGCCCTGCTATCACCAGAGAGCACAGTGGGTGCGCCATCAGAGGCGCGCTATGGAGGCCCCTCAGGGCTTCACCTCAGCCCAGGCAGCGATGGCAGTGATGAGCCAGCCTCATGCTTTGACACCCCCTACAGCTCGCGCCAGCCGCCGCTGCATTACTCCCTCGACCGCTCAGAGGCAGCACAGCCCCTGCGAAGTCAACCCCACTCACATCTTGGAGATCTGCAGATTGACTCACCGGGAGACAGCTGGCCTTTCAGCCACACGGCGGCTGCCCACAGCAGCGGGCATGAGCAGAAAGATTCACAGGGACTGGAAGCTTCTCCTGCCGAGGAGCGGTGGCCGGGGCGGCTGCAGGGCAGTGGCGGTGCGCTTGACAGCATGGCGCAGGCGCTGATGTCACCCGTGGCACTGACATCAGAAGACGGCAGCACACCGAAAGGGTTGATACATGTGCAAGGCCGCTGGGGCGCCGATGAGCGACCAGCAAGCACTACCAGAGCAGTAGGGGACGCAAGTGAACAGTCAGGGTCCCCAGAAGATCCAGGTGATGCTTGCTTGAGCAGGCATGGCGGTCAGGGGCATGCACAGCAGCGCCTTCAAGGGCGTGAGGGTGCAGGCTCCCCGGCAAGCTCTGCGGATGGGGACGGGCACAATTATGGGGAAGAAGTGGGAGCGCGGTGGGAAGAGGGAAGTCCGGGGCATGCAGCAGAACGGAAGGTGGACGAGGGCAGGAGGCTGCTGGCGCTGCTGGGAGGGGACGCGGCTGGGCCCATAGAGCTGGACACCGCCATGCTGTACAGCCCGGCCTCCACAGACACCAGCAGCCACAGAACCGGCGATGAAGCTCCTCCATCGGCCAGCAAAGCGGCGCCTTTGCGTGCCACACCAGGCAGCACACACCAGGTGCGCCTGACTGCTGCGACAGCACCTCAGGACGAGTAAATGATTACTTCTGGAATAACATGTGCATGAACAACAGCTCTGGCTTCCTGCCAGCTGCGCATGCTTAAGGTGGGGTGTAGATGTTTGACTGAGCAGACTCAAACCCCAATAAGGGATGTCAAATGGAGAGGATGTTGTGTTCGGTGTGGCAGGATGTCGGGCAGTGGACGATACCGGCCAAGTATGGGGAGGGAGGTACGCTGTGGAGCCCCAGCAGCGCAGCGACAGAGCGCAGATCAATGAGTGCTCCCAGGGAACGCCGCTCGCCTCAGACCACCATTCCCAAGTGCGACTCACCCCCATGCATACAGAATTGCATCTTTGCAGCTACCAATTCAAGCTCCGTGTCCATTTAGCCATAATTTAGCCTAGTGGCCTTAGCCGGCCTGTGCTGCCCCCATCATGCCCCGCTGGCAGTTGTTACAAGGTGGAAAGGGCCATTGGCGGGCTCAGCATAGACCCGAAGCAACGCAGCCATGCCTGCATAATGCCGCCAACATGGTATGCTAGACAGAGCCGAGAATTCTGGTGTGTGGTCCAGGGAGTTCAGGCTGAGCGAGACGAGCCGCAAGCACTCGCGGGCGGCGGCTGCGCAGCGCATTCTGGAGGAGCGCAGGCGCGACATGACCTTCCGGCCGGCCCTGCTGCCGCCGCGGCCGCACAGCCCCGCGCTCGGCAGCGAATCGACGCTGTCCGGCGAGGCCCGCATCGCCCGCCTGGCCCAGCCGCGCACCCAGCTATGGGAGAAATGTGCGCTCTCTGGTCCCTGTTTCTTCAACTCAGCAATTCCTCACATGTGCTCGTGGACAATTTGCATGCTGTGATGGAACGCTGCAGCCTCGTCGGCTTGAATTGATGCAGCCGAGGAACCTATTTTTGAGTCAATCCATACATAGACCACCTGTATCCCAGTTCGTCCGATCACTGGCATGACGCCGCTGACGTAGGATAGATTGACGGAGGTAAATTGGAGATTTACTGGTGAAAATATTAGCCTGGTCAACTAATCTTCCAAGGATCGCACTCAGGCGCTGCGAGGAAGCGGGAGGAGGAGGGTGGCGAGCTGGCACACTGCACGTTTGTGCCCAAGACCGGGCGCGGGCCGGCCAGCGGGCCCAAGGCCACCGTCGCGCGCCTGCCCGCCCCCACCCGCCTCTACGCCCACCACGACTCCAAGTACCGCCAGGTGCCTATCCCGTCCTTTCACATCCCAAAACCTTTCTTGACTTTGCTTACTATACCGGGGCTGTTCTCACCCACTGTTATATGCGCAAGTCTCGCGAGTCTAAAGTGGCCTGCACCGTTTAGCCTAGGTTTGGAAAAGTCACCTTGACAAGAGGTGGGTGCTGGTGCAGTGGGAGAGGCTGAGGGCGGAGAGGGACGAGGAGGAGCTGAGGGACTGCACCTTTGCACCGGCTGTCAATCCGTCCGCCGAGCCGCGCACGCCCCTGCACAGGCGCCTCAGCGAGCTGCAGCGCCAGCGCAGGTGCGCGCAGCATGCCGGCACCTGTCGCCATCCCACACTCACACCTGAGCTCAACATTCCACACAGCCAGGACAACTTTTATTTTCTCAGTAATATGCATGCAATTGGTGATTGTTTTCAGGCTATTTAGAAGAGAAACGGAAAGATGCCAACTGTACTACAGTACTATGAATGGCCAGGGTAGTGGGAAGATGACCACTTGCAATGAGAGGAGGACGCAGTCTCGTTGGGGTGTATTGCAACTACTCAAGGAACAACAGATGAGATTGAGGTCCAGTGCGTTTCAGTGAGCGGCTGGCACGCATGCGGTTGGCGCGGGAGGCGGCCGATGCGGACGCCACCTTCTCGCCGGCGGTGAATGACAAATCGCTGCGCATGGCGCTGGCAAAGCAGATCCGCGAGCTGCGCGACGAGGTTCCCGCCTCCCAGCGCCTCAGCGCTGCCCGCCCGCTGCCCGCACCAACCCCTGGTGGGCAGCCCGCAGTGTGTTATGACCTTGTGCATGCAATTGTCTTTGACTGGCTGTTCTCTCAGCAAGCAAGTCAAGTTGCTGGCCTCCTTCCTCCTGCTTGTCACTTACCCCGGGGCACAGGCATTTACAGATAAGAAGGGTTTGAGAGGGGAGTAACAATGGCGAGATGATGTTGTGGGGGTGCAGATGCGGAGGCGGGTTTCACTTTCGCGCCGGAGCTGTGCCGCACGAGCGAGCGGCTGCTGGAGGACAGCGCGCAGCTGCCGGGCAACTTCTTCGAGCGCCAGCGATTCTTCCACGACCTCAAGCTGCGCCGCCTGCGCGTGCTCCAGTCCGAGGTGCCCTGTCACATCCTTTATGATGCTTGGTGCTATGCTTTTTACAATCGCTTTCCAGCTTCCCTTATGGCATGCGCTGAGAGCCTGCAATGTCGTCAAAGAAGAAATGTGGTGCGCTCTTGTGTGCCTGGCATTCAGACTTGTTCTCCCTGGTCCCATGCAACGCGTGTAGAGTTACTTTTTAGAAGCCAATATTGCATGCGCTGAAAGGCTGCAGTCTGGTCAGAGATCCCAGATCTGACCCAGTGCGGTGCAGTTGTCAGTTGCAAGCTCCACATGCATGGAGTGATGGTGTCTTCTGAAGAGGTGCAAAAGAAGTCATTGAGGCCTGTGACAGATTTCAGTTTGTGCTTGGGCAGGAGGATGCGAACTGCACATTCTCGCCAGACACCAAGGGCCAGTCGGCAGTCATCCTGGCAGCATCTGCGCGGTCGGCGGACCATGTGGGCCAGAGCACCCTTGAACAGGCACGCACCAAGATTTTACAGATGTCACTATTGGCATCACTTGTCAGATCTTACGGGTGGTGCACAAAATTCTCACACAAGTCAGCGTTTGGAGGGGCACGATGCCACCCTTCAACAGGGCTGCAGCAGACAGCGCAGGCCACGCTGCCAGCCTGTGAGCGAGTGGTTCCCTGTCCAGCGAGTGATATTGCCAGCGTGAAGCTGAGCTTGGAAGAGAGGTTGTGGTGTGGCAGCGTCAAGGTGTTGCCTCGCAGGCGGAGCGGCTGGCGGTGACGGACAAGCGGCGGGTGGAGGGCGCTCGCGCGGGGGTGGCCCATGACTACTACTCCCAGTTTTCCTTCCAACCCGCCATCAACGAGCGCTCCAGGCGCCTCGCCAAGGTGCATACCTCCTTGCCTCTCAGGTCTCCACCCGCATGACCAGCTGTGGTGTTCTGCATTGCAAGGCTGTGGTGTTCTGGATCCTGAGCCTGTTCCAAGCAACTCAGGGGGTCGCTTGCAAGAGGGCTGAAGCGGGCTCTAGGCAAGTTTGCAGAAATGTCCTGTTGGTGCGATGTTCTGTGGGTTGGTGGGGCCGGTCCTCTCCTTGCATGCGCCTCTGAGCGTAGCTAATCAAGCTCAGGGTCTACCTGATCGCAAGAGAAGGTCAGAGGAGCTGGTGGGGGAACTGCAGGGCGGGGACAGGTTGGGCGAGCTGACGAGCAGCGAGCGGCGGCGCGAGAGGCGCGAGGCGATGGCGGCCGAGGCAGAGGCGCGAATGGAAGCTGAGTGCACCTTCCGGCCGCGCCTGCACTCCCGCCAGGGCGCCGACCAGGAAAACCGCGACCCCGCGGTGCGCGCTTCATGGCCCCTTATGCTCCTTTGAGAAAGGCCTGTGAGGCTCTGCTGATCAGCCACTAGGAGGGGCTGTGCTCTGCTTCCGCCTGCCGTTGATATTGGTAGCTAAGCTCGTTTTCTGCGGTCCCGTTCCCGGAAATGCAGGGCAGGAGGGCAGGAGTGACATTTTTGGGGGTCAAGTTATATTGCTGCGCACCAAACGAGCATGGGATTGAGCATAACGTGGGTGGGTGGGGGCATGCAGGAGAAGGGCAATCTGTTGCGGCGCATAGCGGAGCAGCGGGCGGAGCGGGAGACGGCGCTGGAGCAGCAGCGGTCGCGGCGTGAAATGGCCGAGTTGGCCGACTGCACCTTCCGCCCCACCCGCGTCTCCAGCGCTCCGGCCCCTCCCACGGTGCCTCCTGCACCCTTGCCTCTCCCCCACCTTTACCACCAGATCATTTTTTCTTCATCAATCATGTTTGTTTTCAAGTGACGGCAGCAAGCATGGGCAGATGCTAGTGGTGGCACGAATCCCATTGTGTCTTGCAGTGACGACCAAGCCAGCAAGTCTTTGCCTGACAGATATACCGTATTCAACTATGGGCTTGGCCAGGTCCAGAAAGTGTTCCTGAAGGCCAAAAGGGAGCCAATGCCGGCCTTCATGTTGCCTGCAGTACGAAAGTGCATGTTTTGAGAGCATGGAGTGTGGTGAAACTGGGTCAGGAGGAGGTGGCAGTGAAGGGCATGGAGGCGTACATGGCCACTCGGCAGCGCGCGCGACAGCTGGCGGCGGAGCAGGCCGCGCGGGAGGAGAAGGCGTTCATCCTGCACCCGCGCGACTCCCACGCCCCCACCGTGCCCCAGCCCTTCTGCCTGCGCACCGACCTGCGCGAGGTGCCATGCACTCCCCTGACCTGAGCTCCGGCTCATCTACTGCGCCTATCACTCCCTTTAATGCATTGTGAACTTGTTGGAAGTCCTGTATCTCCGGAGAAGGTGCTTCACAACCCCGGCCAGCGAAAAGCAGTCTACTACCGTATACAAGCAGAGAAGCTCAAACGTCAGCTGTATGCACTCCTCTGAACTCTTAAGTTTTGCTCTTCTGCTGTGCCAATCTCTGCTCCCAATTTATTGAGGCTGAATTACGCTCTCCTTGCATTGCTGTTGTTGTTCGGACTCTAGGATTTTGGGAGAAGGCGGGCCACAATGCCAGCCTGTCAATGGCAGCCCTGCTATATGATCAGAGGACCTCAGACGTCTGACATCCGGTGCCAGGCCGCGCTGGTTACCATTCAATTCTTTTTTACCTGTCTGTTGTTGAGAACGGAGAAGTGCACCGGGTGAAGAGAGGATTTTTTAGATCTATTAAGTCTGAATGTAGTGCGTGTTGTGCTGCGCAGAAGGAGACGGAGGGTCGGCGGCTGCAGCTGCAGGCGGCTCTGCTGGCGGAGTCAATGAGGGAGTGCACCTTCCACCCTAACACCAACGAGGCGCTCAACCGGCAGCTGCTGGACGCCATCCTGGCCTCTGATGATGACTGCGACGACGCGCGCAGCACTTGCTCTGTGCAGACACTCTGACAAAAACAGCGCACGTGAACGTTGAGAACATTGTTGACTGGAATTGTGGGGCTCATGCATGATTGATTGAGGATATACTGGAATTGAGCAGAGTCAGATGTTTGTGACAGACATGGTCATAATTATAAGTAGCTTATGATAGAAGGTGAAATAAATTGACATGCATGTGCCTATTGCACAGGCTGAAGCTGATGCACGCGCATAGACTGCAGAATTTGCCGCAGTTGTATGCAAATGTCATTTTACAAAACGTCATTGCATTCTCTGAACACATGATCAGAACAAAAGACCTGGCAACACAATCCGGGGTGTTTTTCAAAAAATTCTCAGCATATGTGTTGTGGCCGTGTAATTGGTGATCTTGTCCTTCACTCACAATTGCCACCTCTCACACCACCCCTCACATGTACAAGGTCTGACTCAGCTGTTTGCGGCCCTGACAAGCTCTGTCTTGCATTGCATAGCCTTCAGATCTGGCACGCACACCATCATTGCAGGCGAAATGCATGCCTTCTGCACTGGCGGACAGCGCCACAGCACCTGACAGAGGAGTCGGACCCTCTTATACAGATATTATGCTTCACGCCTTTTGCGCAGATTCTCACTCCTGCCAGGGTCCAGGATACGCCGTCGCCCGAGGCGTCCTCCGCATTTCCTGATCACCAGGTCCGACGCTTGAGCGCTTTCCCATCTCAAAACGCACCAAATAAATATGCTGAGCGGCTGCGCAGCATGCATGCAGGAAAAGTGCGATAGGTGCACTGCATTGGAAGCAAGCGTGTGCAGAGGTTCTCACCTCAGCGAAGCGGGTGCGCGCGCGTGTCACTCGTGGCTCGGAGGCCGATCCGGCGGCCGGGGCCGTGTGCGGCGGCGTGCGCTGCGCGGGGGAGCCGCGGCCGGCCGAGCGCGAGACGGGCGTGCTCGATGCACCTGCATCCAATGGGGCATACGTCACTAATACTGACTCAAACGTCCTTATTTGACCAGGCTACCACAGAGATCCTCCTGTGGTGGGCATTGTTTCTTGAAGAGGCAAATACGGGCTTGTATGATGTGCAAAATTCTGGTCTGACAGGAGCCCATGTCTCTCAGTACACACTTCCCAACTTGTCATTGCAACAGAAGATATACCATGAAGTGATATCGCAATTGTCTGTCCAGGCTGGAGACTTGCCTTTCTTGGGCCTGCCTCGTGGGGTGCGGTGGGAGGTCTCGAGGGGCGCCTCCTCCTGGGGGACACTCGGCACCAGCACTGGGCTGGGCGCATGTGCTGACAGATCCATCATCGATGGTTCGCACGCCTCGCACGTCTGCTCTGCCGCAAACCTGGACAACTTGTGAGCTACCCGCCCCTGTCTTCCGCCTGCAGAAGGTGCAGCACGCCCCAATGATGCACCATGTTCGACACTGCCAGAGGGTCACGTGCCACCCTGAATGTATGGCAGGCAAGCATAGACTGAGATTCTCGAGCTGGATTAAGTGAAGCAGCAATTCACCGGCTGCTGCAGGAAGCTGCTGCTGTCCACTTGAAGCCTGCCTCGGCCACAAATAGACGGCCAGTGCCAGGGCTGTCGTGCCCAATAAAGCTGCTGCCAAAACCAGAGCACGCTGCACCCAGGACTGGCGAGACGCCTGCGCAATAGGAATGACTTGAATAATTTCACACCCTGGTGGATTGGTGTCCTATTTGTCTTGGGAATACTTTTTTTGATTTTGTTTTGACACAGCAGCCTCACCTTTTGTGGTGGGCCATGCAATTCGTTGTTGGGCTCTGTGGAAATTGATGCCTCAGCTTCTGCAGGGTCAGCAGGCTCGTCTTGGCTGTCAGCCGTCTGCTGTGCCACCTCACCTGCCTCATTGCTCTGTGGCGCTGACTGCATGAGGTCAGAGGCACCCTCAGCTGTGGCAGGAGCTTCTGGCTCTGCAGCTGCAAGGCCCTCATCCGCTTGAGGCTCATCTGCAGGCTCCTCTGCTGTGTGGCTGTCAAAGCTCAGGGGAGGTTTCTCTGAGACTGTGCTGTCCTCAACAGGGGCAACGTTCTGCAACTTGTCCTCAGCAGTGTCGCCATCAGCCTTGGCCTCTGCGCTTGTGCCAGAAGCCACGTCATCCTCAATTGTGCACTGCTCTCTGGCGCTGCATGGTCGATCTGTCAAGGGAATCTCTCCTTCTTCAGCCTCCCACTCACTCTGTTGCTCCTGCTGGGAGTCTGCGGCCTGCTCTGGCAACGCATCTTCACTTGCCTCTGCGCCCTCATCAGCCGACTTGCTCTCTGAGGCGGCATCAGCAGGCTCCAGCTCTTCAGGTGTGCTTTCAGATGACTGGTGGCCGCCTCTGCCGGGCCACCGCAGCACATGCGTCTGCGCTGGCGCCTCTGGCGCGTGTGACACATCATCTGCCTCATATTCTTGGGGCAGATCGCCAGCAGCGGGCTCTGTCTCGCTGCCGAGCCAGCCTCCAAACCAGGCCCCGGCGGCGCGCGCGGCTGCGCCCAGCCGCCCCTCTGCCGCCTGCGGCGCGTCTGCCGCATCGGCTGCCGGCCGCTCGGCAGATGCGCGCGCATCGTCCGGCAGCACGGCTCTCGCGCTCTGCTCCAGCAGGGCAGCCCAAGTTGCCCAGCCACCGGCCAGCTTCGCCCGCAGATGGCCGGCCGCCTCCGACGCCTGGGCCGGCACCGCTCCGGCAAGAACCGGCAAGACCTTTGCAGCGAAGCCGTCCTTTGCTGCGCTCAGCTGCTGCGGAAGTCTGTGCAGCAGCGTCGCGCCGTGATACAGCTCGGAGGAGGGAGGGGCCGTGAGCTCGCCTGCGCCGCTTGCTGCGTGCCACCGGCCGAGCGCGTCGCTGCCTGCTTGTGCGAGACCCCCCACTCGTGCCGCTGCCGCCTCCGCAAAGCCGACGCATGCAGGGCACCGCTCAGACAGGGAGGCCGCCAGTCGCTCGGCCGTGAGATGGCATGCAGCCGCGCCTCGGGCCACGAGGCCTCTCACGCTGGCCCGGATGGGAGAGAGCTGAGTGCTGAGGCTTGCCGTGGCCCGCCCGGCTGCTGTGCGCGCTGTGCTGACGTGGCTGCTGAGGCTGGGGTGGACCTCCTGCCAAGTCAGCGCGATCTCGCGCCGAGCAGCTGAGTACATGCAAGCCGCCTCCCGGCCAACAATACGACCCAGGCTGTCGGCACTGCCTTGGGCTTGCTGCATGTGAGCGAGAGGTTGCAGTTGGGACATGCAGCGGCCGAACGAAGCGGCGGCGGAGCCGTAGAAGCCGCTGTGTAAGGCGGCGAGCCTGTCCTGGCTGCCTGCCATGTGGTGCCCTGCTAGCAGCAAGGCAGTGGAGCCCAGCAGCGCTGTCAAAGCGGAGAGCAGCAGCGCGCTGCGCAGCCATGAGCCTCTGCTGTCGCGCCCTTTCTGAGTTGGCTGCGGCAGTGGCTTCTCTGGTGATTTCGCTGTTGTCGCCCAGCCTGCCTGAGACACCCCTGCACAGAAAAGGGTTCTATACGTGAGTGACAGAATCGCAACTCTGGCAAGTCTGTGTCAAGGTCAAAAGGCCATGGCAGCAATGAAGTTCAGGCAAGCGCGTGCACACACCTGCATCAGCGGGTGCTGCAGGCGCCTCGGCAGTCTCAGAGCAGCCGGATGCCAGGATCGACAGCGAAGCCATCCTCTTCCCAAGCTTGGCATCGACCTCTCCCTCCTGCATCCTGGCAGCATCTCCTGCCATTGCCGCGCTCTGCCAGCTGTGCACCAGCTCCTGAGCACCCGCCGCAGCCTCCCCTGAGTGCAAGAGCTGCTGTCTGGGCAACTGCGCAACGCCATCTGCCTGCAAATTTTGCTGGCGCGGCAAATGGGCTGAATCCGGCTGAGCCGCCGCGTCCTGCATTGCCTCTGCGCCCGGGCCGGGACCGGCTGCGGCGGTGGCCGCGCGCGCCGCCTGCGCGCAGCGCAGCGCGGCGGCCTGCCGCTGCACGCCGGCCTGCAGCCGGTCGACGACGGCCGCCGCGCGCAGAACCTCCCGGCCGGCCGGCGACGCGGCGCCGTCTCCGGCGGCGTTGACTGCCGCGGCTGCGCGCGCGACGCCCTCGTGCAGGCGGTCCACGACGGCTGCGGCCTCCCGGACCTGCGCCCCTGCCTGCGGAGTGTCATCCAGTGCCCACTCCCGGCAGGGGCTTACCGGCGCCGTGTGACGCCCAAATGCCGGCTGAGCCGGCCTCTGCGCGGCGTCCTGGTGCCACAAAGCTGGGGCCTCTGGGGAGCTGCCGGGCTCGGCGGGTGGCGCGAACAGCGCTCGAGTGACCGAATTGCGCAGATCGATGCTGCTCGTCTGGCCATGTCCTGCGCCATCCTGCAAGGACACAGCACGTTCAGACACTCGTCCATATCTTGTTCAGCAAACAGGAAGTGTACGCACAGACTGCGCAAATAATTTTGTGCCTGGGCGCGGGAAATGGAGACTCATTAGGTGTAAACATGCCTTTGGTCTTACCTTGCTGTAGGGTTCAGGGGCAGCTCCTCTCTGGACAGTCGGCGGCGCGGATTTTGCGACGGCGCGTCCTGCTGATCCGGACTGCGGGCTCTGAATGAAGGTCTGCACCCTACCAAGCCACGGAGAGCCCGCCACCTGTCAGCACATGCGGGTCTGATCATTCATCCGCCATTCTTCAAGCAATGCAGGGCCCGACAAACGATCTTTTGTCCATCCATGCAAGTGCTGTAGTCCTCTAATCAAGATGGCAAAGCATCGAACGCAGGGTGACACAGGCACAGGGTGGCACCTGATCTTGAATGGCTGAGCGAGGCGTGGTGCAGGCATTGCTCTCCATGGAGCAGGTGCTGTCGCTGTCAGAGTCCAGGTAGGCCTCGAAGGCAGGATTGTTCCTCAGGTAGGGCTCGTCCACAGCATTCGGTGAACTACTGCTCTCCTCATCGCTGTCTTCCTGCACGAGCATCACAGCCAAGGAAGGCATGACCCGCTGAACGCCTGTGACCATCTCTGCTCCCATTGACGTGCCTGTTCACTCCTGGAAATGTACAGGTGAGAAATGAGAATATGGAGTGCAGACCTGGTTCATGGCCTGCCTAGCGCGCAGCCTGCTGAAGCCTGCAGGGAATGCGCCTGGCGAGATCGAGGGCCCAGCTGGGGTGGCCTCTGCCAAAGGATTGGTCCGCGTAAAGTGCCTGCATTTTTGCACCCTCTTAAGCATCACTGCAAGGCCCACCATCTGACAATCAGGGTGCCCCACGTTGGTGTGTTCAAGGTACCGTGAAGCATGCAAAGGGGTTGATCTGGATATTAAAATGGCAGGAGAGTGGTGCAGGTGGGACTCACTGGGCTGTTCCAGTGGGTGGGAGCCCCAGAGGGGACATAAGTGGCCGGAGGGTGCTGTGTCCCAAGGGGAGCTGAGACTCAGCCGGCATGTGTGACATCGCCACTGACATGCCAGAGGTTGTGCGCGATGGCCCCATGGGTGTGCTGGCAATGGAGAGTGGGCTGTGCGGGCTAGGGGAGACAGCTTGCAAGCTGCTGAGCTGCCTCAGCTTCCTTTCCTCCTCGGCCTCGAACTGCGCACACTCCCATTGGATCATCATTTGAGCGCTGTCTGCTTTCTTGCAAACACCTCATGACGCCTGATGGATGTCTGAGAAAGTGTGGCGACACGATCAGGTGGCGCAGCATAAAGAGCGCCTTGAGCACTCGCCTGCTTCTCGAGGTTTTGCACAGTAGGTCCTCCAATAGGATCGTCGGGGAAGACTGTGCTATCGCTCAGAGAGGCTGTAGGTGCCTGTTGATGTTAATGAGTGCCAATCAGCAGCATGGCACGAAGGAGATTAGACAAATACCCGATATGATATTCACCACGAGCGTACCTCTCCGATCACACCACGTTTCCTGTTCGCAAATGCCGTGCTACGAGAAGCTGCAAGGGAAACAAAGGATGTCACCAAACAAAATTAATCAGTGACTCTGTGAGAAACAAGGAAACAAGAGAACAAGCAAGTCTAAATGAAAAGAGAGAATAAAAACCACTTGATGTACCTTGCTGACGAAGTATCGACATTGTAAGACCCTCATCAGAAGATGATGACTCTGCTCCAGGAGAACCAGTCTGAAAAGCTTGCCCTCTAGTGTTCGAAGACTTCAAGACAGATATGGGACCTCCTAGCAACGAAAGGGGTTGTCCGCCATCCATCAAAATGCTTCTTAGAACAAATGTGCACGGTAGTATCTTGCAGGCTCACAAAAACATCCCAAAGACAAGTTGACAGCTTCTACCCATCCTGGACTGAGTTTCGCCTTCACAGCAACAGATCCGTGTGATCATTCATCAGCGAAGGGATTGACGAATGTCCTATTTGGTGCTTTTTCTATTGCTGGGGGAAATTTCTTGCTGCTTGCGCAAATTTGAAACTTGGAAGAAGCCCTATATAGGGTTTATATTTCATGGATTTATCAAGCCCTACGCGGGAGATGAGACATCAGGCCAAGATGGAGGCGGCGAGCTGCAAAAGCTGCTGATGTCCAAAACATAGGTGTTCAGTCATTGATTCGAGGCAGCATGGCTGAGACATTGTACCACCGTGGGAGCCTCGAGGGCCACGCTGGCTGGGTGACGTCCATCGCCACGCCCCTAGATCCCAACTCAGACACCATCCTTTCCTCTTCTAGGTGGGTATCCTATCAAATTCGATCATATATATTTGATTCTTTGAAACATAAGAGTGGACGAATGCTGGTGTTTATACATGTGCAGTTGCTCGATCGGAGCTCACTTTGTGAGAATCACTTTTGGTGCTCTCTTCAGGGACAAGACCATTCTGGTGTGGACCTTGACTCGTGAGGAGGGCAACTATGGATTTGCTAAGCGGTCGCTGAAGGGGCACTCGCACTTTGTGGAGGATGTGGTCATCTCCTCTGACGGCCAGTTTGCTCTGTCTGGCTCCTGGGATGGCACTCTGCGTCTCTGGGACTTGAGCACTGGACAGACCACTCGCCGTTTCCTGGGACACAGCAAGGATGTCCTGTCCGTTGCATTCTCGATGGACAACCGACAGGTACTTTCATCAGACCTGTTCTACCATCCAGATCAGACCTGCTACTGAATAGCCCCAGCACAGCGGCAGGCATTGACAGACAATGTTGAGGCACACCAAGCACTGCATGAAGAATCTTGCGGCCGAAAGGCTGACAGAAGGATTGCGGGAATAATGAATGGCTGCACTGCAGATCGTGTCTGGCTCGCGCGACAAGACCATCAAGCTGTGGAACACCATTGGCGAGTGCAAGTACACTATTGCCGAGCCGGATGGCCACACTGAGTGGGTGTCCTGCGTGCGCTTCTCCCCCGTCACCAACAACCCCATCATTGTCTCCGCTGGCTGGGACAAGCTGGTCAAGGTGAGCTCCCAAAACGCATGCCTTACCTTTCAGGCACCTTGGCTAGACCTAACACAGTATCCTATCAAGCTTACAGATTAAGCAGAACTACATGTGATTCTCAAGTGGTGTACCCCTGGAGTCTGATGAAGTTCACAGGAAGGCGAGTCAAGTGGTGGCGAAGCAGGGGCCTGAAGGCAACCGGTGGTGCTGCGCAGGTGTGGAACTTGACGAACTGCAAACTCAGAGCCAACCTGCAGGGCCACAGCGGCTACATCAACACAGTCACCGTTTCCCCCGATGGCTCCCTGTGCGCGTCCGGCGGCAAGGTGCGCCATCATCTGCATCCTTGATGAACCGCCATTTGCATGAACTGTTCACCACTTAATTTGCTGTGTGCGCAGCATTTATTGCTGCTTGGAGCTGGTATTCTGAGAGATGTGTGTGGGCGGAGGAGCAATGTGCAGGATGGGGCGGAAGGATGATTATGGAAAATGCCAGAAAAGGAATGCTTATTTTGTGCAGGATGGCGTGGCGATGCTGTGGGATCTGGCTGAGGGCAAGCGGCTGTACAACCTGGAGGCAGGCGAGATCATCCACGCGCTGTGCTTCTCCCCCAACCGCTACTGGCTTTGCGCCGCCACCACAAACTGCATCAAGGTCCACTCTCTGCCCCACAACATGACAGCAGTTGTCATTGGTGATAGACAACGTCTCTCTCGCTTGCAGGCATGGTCTTGGTCCAAGCAAAATTGCTATGTGGTTGCTCCGAGCAAGTCGCTACATAGACAATCAAATGGGAGGCTCAAGCAGGGGCGTTGCTGTGGCAGTCTTTTAGTCAGCCGCTTTGATGTCTGTCTGATCATGTCTTGCGGCTTGCTGCGCAGATCTGGGACTTGGAGAGCAAGAGCATTGTGGACGAGCTCAAGCCGGACTTTGGCGAGCTTGGAAAGAAGGCGCAGGTGCCCTACTGCGTGTCCCTGGCCTGGTCGGCTGACGGCGCCACTCTGTACTCTGGCTACACCAACGGCAAAATCGAGGTCTGGGGCGTGCGCAACGTCTGAGAGCTGCCGGCTTGCTTGAGGTTGTGTTTGCAACGGCTAGCTGCCAGCCTGCCGCAGCAGAGATTGCATCTTCTGTATGATTACCTGGCTGTTTGGAAGTCTTGGCAGCTTGTATTGCCAGCAGATTTTGCTTTTTTCTGCTTCTGCAGATTCTGTAGTATCACATCGTCTGTAATAGGTTGAGACGTGACCCTTAATAGGAAGGAAGGAAGGAAGGAAACACATCAACTCCAGAATGAAAAGACGCTATTCCTCTGTCTTGGCAAAAACCACTTTTGAGGGTCACCCTGCCAAGGAACGCAGTCGTATCACCGTGGAAATTTTGTCACATGTCTCACATGCACCAGCACGATGTGAAATTGCCTGATCGGCACTCTGCATGTCGTTCGGTGTGGTCCATACCGCTCTGGAATATTAGGGCTGTCGTTTGCCAATCACTGGGTTCCAGTATGGCGACAACAATGGCTGTCCCCTCGCTCAAAGCACCCAGGCTTTCCCTTAGACAATCCCTTGTGACAGCAGATTCTCTGCCCACTCAGCTGCCACACACATTGTCAGAGGCCAGACTACTTTTGCGTGAGGATGATTCTCTTCTGCGGAACACGTTCTTCGAAATTGTGTACCATCACCACCCAAACCTTGCCGACAGGATCGACGAGATATACAAGCTGTCGCTCGCATGGTGCAACTCAGAATCGGACAAGGACTTTCAGGCTCTCGAGAAAATACTCTCGGGGTTGAATCCAGACGAATTGATCCTGGTGCGGGGCTCTCTCAGGACCTATTCTATTATTCTGCCCTAAAAGATCTGGAGCGGGTTTTGTAGAATACATTCAGACAGGACACTTGCTTTTGATTGAAAGCTGCGATTTGCTAATATAACACTTTATATGTGTAGGCAGAATTGCCTCAACTCTTTTGAGCATCTATCAGGGTGTAAAAGCATCTGGAGAGCAGGCTTGATCCTGACCTTCTCTCTTGATGTCTGTGCAGGTCTCCAGTTGTTTTTCCCAGCTTCTCAACCTGCACAACTTATCAGAGGAGATCAGTAATGCACAGCTGGAGCGTGCTGTCCGCATTGGCGAGGTGAAACCCCTAGACCTTGAACCAGCAACTGTCAGCACCCAGTTGCTTTGCAGCTAGCAAGCTATCTACAACCTTCGTTCAGCCATAAGAAGGAAAGCAGTCCTCTTGTGAGTGACAAAAATTCTGAGGAAGCGCAATTTGTGCCAAACAGGTGGAGCAATCCACGAGGTCCACCAACAGGTCCTTCAAGCGGCTCATCAAGGTGAATGGGGTCAAGCCTGAGGAGATCTACAAGACCATCTGCGAGCAGACCGTGGAGCTCGTCTTCACTGCGCACCCCACCCAGGCACGCTGCAGGACCATATATCAGCTTCTCACCTTGATTTCAGAAGGCCACCACCTCTGGCATACTTTTGCAATGTCTATTATTGTCTGGCTTTGGATAGTGGATCGACATAGCACAGCGGTGTTTCTTCAAGAGATAGAGTGGCCACAGGCTGTGACCATGGGTATGGCCATATGGGACATTGTTGCACACAAGGCAAACACAAATGGATTGATGCTCTCCTCAGAGGAGGTGTGACTGACGAGAATTTGAATAAAATCTGCAGGCGCTGCGGCAGTCGCTGCTGAAGAAGTATGCGCGCATCCGGGCGGACATGGACAGCCTGCACAACAAGCGCCTGTCGCCCTACGAGAAGATCGAGACTCTGGAGAGCATTCGAGGCCAAATCCAGGGCGCCTGGCGCACCGACGAAATCCGCCGCCAGAAACCGTCACCCCAGGCAACCACCCCCCTCCAATATGCCCTTTTGGCGATTAGATGTTGAAATCTTAAGGCACTCGTGTGAGGCAACCCTGTTGCAAGGCGTGCAAAGAAGGGAAGCGCAGGCATGGCTGACTCAGTCTAGGGTGCACTGAGTTAAAAGTGACTTTTGAAGATGAGATGTGCAGATACTTTGTCTGCGCCAGAGCGAGACACCTGTATCAATAGTATGCGTTTCATGGCCAGTGCAATGGCATTGCCGAGTTTGCCTGCTTCCATAGCAAGATGAGCTCAAGCGCCTCAATAGCATGTTGTGGGTGTGTGCAGGCGGAGATGAGGCAGGGGCTGTCCTACTTCCACTCCACCATCTTCAACTCGCTGCCCACCTTCTACCGCCGCATCGATACCGCCCTCAAGCAGGTGCCCCTTCGACCACCCGCCTCTGGCATCACTCCTGTCAAGTCTCAATGTTGCATTTTGCAATCATGCCAAGCAGAGTGGATGCAGCCGTTGCACTGATTGCTGGCACTTCACAACATCTCTGTTCCAGGCACTTAAGCGTATTACATCAATACTGACGTTGAGCTGGCTTTATTCCTCTTCAGAAGTTCAAGCGCCAGCTTGACTGAAAGCTCTCTGACAGCCACTGTATCGCCACCTCACACGTACTGTGCTGACTTGGGGTCTGCATTGCGCGCAGATCGGGCAGCCGATGCTGCCGCTGACGCACAACCTGTTCAACTTTGGGTCGTGGATGGGCGGCGACCGCGACGGCAACCCATTTGTGACGGCTGACACGACACGCGATGTAGTCATCACGGCGCGCCTGGCCGCAGTAAACGCGTTCTTCACCGCCATCGAGCAGCTCATGTTTGAGCTCTCCATCTGGCGCTGCAACACCGAGATGCAAGCACGTTCCTCTCCTAATACTTGCGCAAGTCAGTGTCTGTTTGCCCGAGTCAGCTATGTCTTTGCATGTCTACCTTGCCTAACTTGTGCTTTGAAGGCTAACAGGTCAAGTCTTCTTGGCACCTGAGCGTGTACATTCAATGTGCCTGCGCTTCACCGGTGCCTTCCAAGATCTATTTCTTGTGGCGCCTCTCGCGCTTGCAGTACTTTGTTTATGGCATTGCTGTAGATTGGCATTGCTTCAGAAGCTTGCCGGTGATGCCACCTCCACTTGCTGGTGCTGCATATTTCATTTGATCTGGGTGTACTCAGCAAGGCATTGCTATTTCTATGAAGCAGGAGAGGCGGCCCTGGGTTGTCAGGTGTTTGGTGGAAATAAAGTCCATAAGAGAGGGTTTTTTGACGAATTTTGTGTTTTGACAGGAGCTGGCGGAGGCTGTGCACTCGAAGCAGGCGCCGCACGAGCAGGCGCTGGCGGACGAGCGCAAGAAGAAGAACTTTGTCGAGTTCTGGAACGTCATCTCCCTCAAGGACCCCTTCCGCCTCGTGCTGTCCGAGATGCGCGACCGCCTCTTCCACACCCGCGAAATCCTACACCACTGCCTCGTGCACACCAAGTACGGCGCTTCCCCTCTCCTTCCTTTGCAGCTCACACCCTTCCCATCTACACTTTCCAGCTGCTTTCCAGCTCCTCACATGCACACCCTCAAAACCTCCTTCGGGCTTCTTCTTGGTATCTTTCAATCTTTGAACATGAGAGGCTGCGCAGAGCCCAGATTTGTGCATTTGAGAGCAGAGTTTATGTGGTCCTAAAGAGTTCACCCAAGCAGGAATGCAGTCATTGCTGCAGAAGCATGGAAGTCGTGCGAGTGGGGATTGTGGATCAAAATACACAGCTGTTGCATGACATTCATGCTGGGGTGTGCGCAGCCTGAATTTGAAGGAGACTCTGGAGAATGATCCTGAGGCGTACTACAACAAGGAGGAGATGGTGGAGCCGCTGCTGGTGATGTACAACTCACTCATCGAGACGGAGGACGACTCCATCGCCAACGGCCGCCTCCTCGACACAATCCGCCAGGTCAGCGCATGCTTCATTACATAATCATGATGTTACGTAATGTAGACATAAGGTCATGATTATGTCTTCGTTACATTATCATGACGTTCTCACGATTGCTCCCTCGTCTGGCAGTCGCGTGGCTGCACTCCCTTATTGAGCAAAGACTCGCTAAGGTCAGGGGAGCTGCACCAGCATGCATGCATCAGGACACCGTCTTTTGATGCAGGCTCTGCGCTCATGCCTCTTTTGCCCAGATGTTGTGCCATAGATGGGGGCCAGAGATGGCCCATGCATGCTCCACAGGACTGTGTCCACATACCTGCAGCTGATGAACTGCTGCATGCATATGAGTTCAGCTTTGGTAAACATGCATGGGTCTACCTTACAGGCCCCTGCTTCCATGTTTTGAGAGGTCCCACTGAAGGCACACTGCGTCCGTCCACCCGCACTTTCGTTAATGGGCCTCTTTGGCAAGGCATACACTCTGAGATTAGCTGCGTGGCTGGTATGTAGTTACACGCAATGTGCTTCTTTGGCAAGGCATGCATGCTGAGATTAGCTGCGCGATGGTGTGTATTAAGAGGTAATTAACCTCTTTGGCAAGGCATGCATGCTGAGATCAGCTGCGTGGCTGGTGTGTGATCACAGGTGCAGTGCTTTGGTCTGGGCATGGTGCGGCTGGACATCCGGCAGGAGTCCTCGCGCCACAACGATGTCCTCGACACCATCACCACATACCTCGGCATCGGCTCCTATAAGTGCGTGCCCCCTTTTTTATTTTCTGCCCCTATTGAGCAGCCTCTGGATGATAAGGTATCCATGTTGGAGCCAATCGTCTGGCCACTTGTGCACCAGGGCACCATCGCCGGAACATTCCGCCTTTGTCGGCTGAATTGGGTGATACGGATCATTCTATACGCTCAGTGTAATCCCAGCATAGAGGGACTTATTGATATACTCTCACCGGGGTGGCTGGGGGCTCTGTGGCGCAGATTTGTTTATAATTTACCCAGGCACAAGGGGCCCAGCTTGTGATCCAATTACTGAAGTGACTGGATGGCTGTGGGATGCAGGGCGTGGAGCGAGGAGGAGCGGCTGAAGTGGCTGCAGAGCGAGCTGACTGGTAAGCGTCCGCTGCTGCCCCCGGGCATGGCAACAACGGCTGAGGTGGCGGAGGTGCTCTCCACCTTCCGCATCCTGGCCGAGCTGCCGCCCGACTCCCTGGGTGCCTACATCATCTCCATGGCCCACACCGGCTCAGACGTCCTCGCCGTTGTCCTCCTGCAGGTCACTTTCTTTCCCTTTTTGTTACCTCGCTTGCCTCATTTGGCAGCTTTCTGCTCATGGCAGGAAGCCCTTCTTACTTCGCCGCTATTTCCTGCTCTTTTATTTGGGTCATTCCCTCTCTTGTGCTGCTTGTTAGGGACGTGCTAAGTAGCGCTAAGTGCTTGCCTTCTCTTCTTTGCTTGCTTTGTTGGGCTGCATTGTGCCAATGAATGGGTTTTATCACTGACACGGGGCTTCAAGCCATGACAGGAATCTGCAGCTTGCTGCTTGTGCATGATAGCGCGTCGTACAGGCATGCCAAGATTTAGGTAGATCTGTTGCTCCAAAATTAAAGATATCTCAGTCTTATTTCCCTGGGCTGCGGAGATTGTTTTCCGCACCTCCTGGTTTTGCACGGAGGGAGAGGTACTTCCTCATAAACGAAATAATCTTGGCCTGCCCCAAGTCATTTGCAGAAGTACGCCTTGCAGACACCTGGATCCTGTGACACGGACATCCAAGCAAGGCTGCAGTCGACACACAAATGACCTAATTCCGTGGTGCTGGACTGCAGAGGGAGTGCGGGGTGAAGCAGACGCTGCGGGTGGTGCCGCTGTTTGAGACGCTGGACGATTTGGAGTACAGCGAGTCGGCCATGGAGCAGCTGCTGAGCAACCCATGGTATGCAGACCACATCAAGGGCGTCCAGGAGTGCATGATCGGCTACTCCGACTCCGGCAAGGACGCCGGCCGCCTCGCCGCCGCCTGGGGGCTCTACGAAGTCCAGGTCCGCTGTAAAAACGAAAAATGTCCTTGCCATCCTGGGGACTTGAACCCGTGCACCCACGTCTCTTCCTGCCCTTCCTCTTCCAGCATGTCCAAGATTGTTACAAGTACCTCTTGCTCATGCCGATCAGAGAGCAACTCACCTGAGGCTGCCGTTGCTTTCTGTGGAGGGTTTCAATGAAGTTAAAGATCCGTTGCTCTCTGTGGAGGATTCCATGAAGAAAAGGAGCAGTCTTGAATAGAAGGGCAACGGCATAGAGCCTGAGTGTGCATTGAACGGGTGCGCGCAGGAGAAGCTGGTGGCGGTGGCGGACAGGCACAACGTGAAGCTGACGCTGTTCCACGGTCGCGGCGGCACCGTCGGGCGCGGCGGCGGCCCCACCCACCTGGCCATCCTCTCCCAGCCGCCCGGCACCATCAAGGGCGCCCTGCGCGTCACCATCCAGGCACGACTTGCCCACTTGCATCTGCAACTCTTTGAGACGCTGGCCTGCCGTTAGCTACTTAGCTGTTACAGCAAGTGCAGTGACCATTGGAGGGCAGGAAGGCATGCCTGCGTGCTGCAGAGTGGACCATGAAGCAACAGCGTTTCAGGAGCCGAGATCTCTGTCTTATGCAGGCCATGCTGCCTATTGCTTCTTTGGGTCGTGTGTAAAAGTTGTTGTTGACCTCGTTGAAGGCGCTGATGCAGTCAGTCAGGTTTTGGGTTGCCCCGGGATGCCCGAAACCCTGATTTCTGCATTAGTGCCTTCATCAACATCAAGAACAAATTTGTAGTACGTGCAATCACTGACTCGTCCACCGCGCTTTAGGGCGAGACGTTGGAGCAGCAGTTTGGGGAGAAGGAGGTGTGCTTCCGCACGCTGGACCTGTACACCAGCGCCGTGCTAGAGTCCACACTCAACCCCGTCGTGCAGCCTAAGGCCGAGTTCCGCTCCGTCCTCAACGAAATGTCCAAGGTGCATCTCAGAACCCTCGTGCTTGGCACATGCATGGAGCATTTGCTGCTTGCTTTTACCTCCAATCGCCCTCTGCTCCTGTCCACGTCCTGCCTTCCCTGGGACCTTGTCTGCATCTCTGTCCCCCTCTGTAACTTCATGCCCAGTTCAGCATGCAATGTTGTTCAAGCCTCCTGGCCAGGCATAGCCCTTCCTTGCCGTTGAGCCTGCTGCAAGTGCCGGAAGCATCCCTGCAGCACACACAACATCAATCATCCTATTATGACATTTAGCAATTTCATGCTTCCTTCCCAGAAGATGGCACCTTCATGTTCCCTTACATGAAGGTGACAAATCCTGTCGGCTGACGGCGTTCCCTGTGCATGCGCGCGCAGACGTCGTGCGCGGCGTACAGGGGTGTGGTGCGGGGGGACCCGCGCTTCATCGAGTTCTTTCAGGCGGCCACGCCCGTCAACGAGCTGGGCCGCATGAACATCGGCAGCCGCCCCGCCAAGCGCAAGGCCGCCGGCTCCATCGACGACCTGCGCGCCATCCCCTGGATCTTCGCCTGGACCCAGACCCGCTTCCACCTCCCCGTCTGGCTCGGCATCGGAGACGCATTTCAGGTGCTGCTCCCTTGATTTAAGCAAAAAGAGAACTAAAGAAGTCTTGATCCTGCGGGAAATCCCTACGGGAACCTGTTTAATATGGCAATTTTCAAAAGTGCGGGGTCGAGACCGGTCACTACGGTAGTTCTGCAGTCAAATCAATGATGAATATTGCGCCGTAAGTGCAAGATTGGAAGGCTTCTCTGGTTAAGTGTGTGCACGGTGGAGAAAAGTGGGGCTTTTACCCTGTCCAGCTCAGGATGGTGGCCTGGATGCAGCTCTAGCCCATTGCCCATTTGCCCATTTCGTGCCCATTTCGTTCCTTCTCAGGAGTGGGCTTGAACCACGATCTTGCGTGCAGCCATGCATGGATTGGTGTTCTGAGAACACTCTTGACAACAGGAGAGTGTTGTAGAGGACGCTGAGTTGGGAAACTGTGCAATGCTGTGCAGGCGATGATAGACGGCGGCAAGCTGGGCCTGCTGCAGCAGATGTACAAGGAGTGGCCCTTCTTCTCCGTCACCATGGACATGATCGAAATGGTCTTCGCCAAAGCCGACCCCCGCGTCGCCCAGGCATGGCCCCTTCCTGCATTCATCTGACATGTCCACATGCTGCCCTCCGCAGACATTTTCACAGCCTCTATGAAGCCAAGATAGAACGCATACATCAAGACAGAGCGAGCGCCAAAGAAGGGAGGAAGGGCTGCCTCGCAGGTGTAACAAAGTGCAGAGTGCACCAACGACATAAACATCTCCCGGCCCAGGAGCACTGATGATCACATTGCATACTACTCAAGGCAGTCAAGTGTTGCTAGTTGAGGGTTGGGACATGACCTACAACCAGGCAGGATTGAAGGTCAGACCCAGGAACAAGTACCTCTGTCGCTGCATGGCATGCCTGTTGAGGCGGCAGTGGTCATGCAGTGGCGGTACAGTGAGTCTTCTTGGTGCGCTGATCACTGAAGATGTTGCTGCAGTTCTATGAGACGGGCCTGGTCGACAAGAAGCTGTGGCCTTTCGGCGAGGACCTGCGGAAGCGCTTCGACCAGACCCGGGTGAGTCATCGTGCTGAGTCACCACTTCACATGCACATGCACAACAATTTTACCGGCCGGCACCCTGCTTCATCTGCCTTAAGAATATTTCTCCCACCCCACGCCACAACCTGGCTTACTGAGCATGTTTGGCTTCCTGCTCATGAATGCACCATGCCGGATTTCCAAAAGCACTTCTTTCATCCCCCGATCTGCAATTGTGTGCTGGGGAATTGTGTGCTGACTTTGCTGCCTGTGTCTGCGCAGACGCTGCTGCTGAAGGTGATGGACCACAAGAAGCTGCTGGAGACGAACGATGACGTGATGCTGCAGCAGAAGCTGGCCCTGCGCGCCCCATACATCACCCCCCTCAACATCCTCCAGGTCAGCGCCTGCCCTGCCCTCCCTGCCCACAAGGCACTCTTCTTAATTTACTAAGATCACCAAAGTCACCCTGTCGCCCTCTGCTTGCCCGTTTTGTGCCTGCTTAGTCACCTCCTGCCAGGTGCACCCGCCTAGAACCTGCACTCTCCAGAGTCCATTTGCCACACCATTCTATGATGGTTGTCATGTGATCAGCGCCAGAGCTGTTCCCATCAGCAAAGCATCGCCAGCATTCGGGACAGACTTGAGACGGGTGTCCTCGGGATTGTTGAGCAGGAAGGGGTGTGGGGTGTACAAGTTTTAAGGAAGGGGAGGTGATTCATCGCTGGTGTGCAGGTGTACTGCCTCAAGGCGCTGCGCGCGATGGAATCTGGGCAGGGCATCGACAGCGCCTACAAGGACTACAAGCCCGACGACCCCGCCGTGCAGGCGCGTTCCCTCCATCCAGCCCTTCTGCCTTTTCACTCTTTTTATCACTGGAAAAGCTCTCAAGATGACTGCAGTTTCAACATGTGGGTTTTCAGCAAAGAGCGTCTTGGTCCTTGACAATCAAGCTTCTGGAAGCTAGTCTTGGAAGGTCGTGGAAGGAAGGCAAAGTGAAGGCACTCGCTGCAGGGCGGTTTTGAGCTGACGTGTTTGCCATAAATATACACACAGCTAGAATGCAAGACATACAAGGCATTGGGAGCGCCAGAATTGCAAGTGGGTGATGTGATGGGGTGATGCATGCATGCATGCAGGCGCTGCTGACCCGGGACATTTCGAGTGCCTGGAAGGACCCCTACAAGGCTGCAGTGGAGGACACCCTCATCATCACCATGAAGGGCGTCTCAGCCGGCATGCAGAATACAGGCTGAGCAGATTTTCTTGGAGCGTTCAAAGGATCGAGGCGCTGGACATGTCAAAGTTGTGCGTGGATTGATGCGGGTCGAAAAAGTTAGGTTGCCAGGGAGCGAGTGAAATGACCATGGGTCCGGAGAGCATAAGATGCTCCAAGTGATGTCTTTGTTGTACAGCTAAGCCTAGCCTCACAATTTGTCTGGTCGCTTTGAAAACTTTAATTCTGCATCAATGCCGTGCGCATGGGTGATTGTTACCGTAGTGACTCTGTTGCACAAGCTGATGCATTGCCTCAAGAGTCAAGAGGGTTGGTGCATGTGTGACTCGTGTATTTTGGCATCTGGTTAGAGAATCGGCGCCATTTGTTGGACCCAATTTCTCCAGCCGGTCGGCGACGCACAATGCATGGCCACCGGTCGATTCACCTAAAATTGTATTTAAGTATACGCTGCACATGTAAAGGAACAATTCTCAACTTCAAGATCAAATGGGGTGCATGCAGTGCACAAAGCATGTCACATATTAGTCTGAGAATTGTCATTTCAGTGAGGTAAAACAGGCATGCACTGCATGTGCCTAAATTAGCCTTAATGATCCCGAGGTAAATCGTGACGGGGGCCACGGAGATGTAGAGTGCCGTCTCTTTCATCGCCTTACTTCCAATCGTGTGTCAAAGAATCACCAGGAGAATAGGAAGGTCAAGCAGAGCACTACCGTTTCTATCGAAGACCCGAACGGCCTTGGCATCAGGCACTCCTTTGTTGTCTGAGTGTACTCGATCTGCTGACTGCATAGCTGTAGCCCTATGGCAATGAAAATTATTTTTTTCTCGTGCTGCGCTCTCTGCTATCTGCTGAGCCTGATCACTTGCACCGGGACTCTTTCGAACTGGGGCCCACCCGACTGTGAGAAGTCTTGGATCAGCGATGGCGTAAAGGACTACAATGACATCGCCCAAACGTTCTTTCCTGAGGCTATGCTTCCAAGTAAAGGCTTCAACTACAGGTGCGTGCAAAATTCTGTCCTTAAACCGGTCGCTCCAGTCTAGAAGTTGCCCTGCCGTGACCAAGCACCAGTTGACCTCTGGTGGGGCAATCTGTATCATGATACCAATGCACGAAGCAGAGACGTAAACACATGCCTAGCTTGGTCTATGGGATCAGCAGGACTGGATACTGACACTATTGAAATCGTGGCAGATACACTGAGATCGCGATTGCCAACGGGCATGCAAACGTCACCAACAAGCCCTGTCTCTACTGTGCTGGGGACTCACCACGGATCCCTGAGGCTGGCCAGAATATTCTGATCCCGCCATGCACATGGGCAGAGGGGTGCCGCGCAGTCATACCCCTGAATGCCACCGCGATGCAAAGCGACGCCAGGCAGACTGTGGAAGCACTAGATAAGAGTTTTGAGCAGGTCGAGATCCCATATGTGCTCTCCACTGGGGAGATTGTGGGCCCCGGTCAGGTTGCCTATGTGTACCCCTGCAAGCTTGTCTGCTGCCACGAGAAGCGCCCGTGAGCGCTGTCAGCAAAGGGCTGTTGAAATGCGCGGTGCTACAAGCTCCTGAAATGCTCCAGTTCTATGCAGTATTGATGGTCAGCCCGGGATTTATCACGCTTGAACGGACGCCAGATCTTCATACTTGAACAGATGCCAGGTAGAATACAATCAAAATCACAAGGACATGCAGCGTGGTTCAATTTGTAAAGTGCAAGGGAGCAGACGCTGTAGTCTGCCTGCTGACCTGCTGCATGCGGGACTCAGGAATTGTGTGATCTACAGTTGTCAGGCTAGTGCATGTAGTGTATGCTGAGAAAAAAAACAATGCATGGTTGCCTGTATGCTAATGAGCATTGTCTGGCTCCTAATCTGTTGAAGTTTGAAAGTATCAAAACCTCCTGGTGGAGACCTTCGATTGCTGGTAGGACTGACTGGGGAATGAATTTTTGGCCCTGGGGTGAATGCAAATGTGTTGCCCTTGCAAGATCTCTGCTGTCAGGCCTAGCCAGCATGCATGGTTCCCATCTTGCTGGCCTGCCACCTACAAGCCTGCATAGGAAAATTGCACTGGACGATTGCAGGGATGCTATTGTGCACAATACAAAGAACTGGGCTTGGAGTTTACACAAGGCCCTGCAAAAGCTTGGGTATTCCCTAGACATTGCTTGCAATACTATGGATCAGATCTCTTTGGCCCAGGTTAGACAACAGTTACAGGGTCAATTAGATGCACACTGGGAGAATTTGGCCTTGTGTCCTAGAACCTGTGCAACACAAGGGGCTCGACTTTGTATCTATGAGAACTGGTTTGCTGCTATTCATCCCCGTCGCCATTGTCTTAGGATCTCTGTGTCTGCCACCACGCTTAGACTCTTCCTGCGCTTTCGTACTGGTTGTCACGGTCTTCCAGTTGATCAGGGTCGTTGGGGGAATCGAGTACCTCGCTCGGAACGTTTCTGTCACTTGTGCAACACTCAGGCCATTAGTGATGAACGGCATATTGTCTTTGAATGTCCTGCGCTTCATGATCTGCGTGCTAGGTATGACAGCCTGTTTAGGCCCAGTATTACCACTATGCGTCAGTTCATGTGGCAAGATGATCTTGTACAGGTGGCTCAATTTATCAGACTCTCATTAGGACGCGTAAACACTGATCTAGATACAGTGAACATCTAATCAGCCTTGTTGGCTGGCATGATGTAATGTTTCTCTCTCTCTCTCTCTCCCAGCTGGGCTTTTAATAGCTTGTTGATCAGGACAGTTTTCCTGCTCCACCACATATTTGTCACCCATATGCAGCTTGGCACAGGAAATTCTACCTGCAGGTGCGCCCTGTGGAGAGAGTGCCTGATCTGAGGGGCCACAATGCAGGAACGCCACTGCAGCCAGGTCATTCTCCCCAGCCAGATTCAGCCCCATGCACACTTTAGTCCGCTCCCCTTCCACCCCATCCGGGAGCCCCCTCGGTGCCTGCTGCAACCACCCAGCGGCCGGTGCAACAGCGCAGGCTAGCCGCTGCACCCTCCTGCACGCCAGAAATAGCTGTGCCACTCACCTGCCTCTCATCTAACCAGTGATCTTGCAAACGCTGGCGCGAGTACTAATATATCTCTAAAGTTTCTCGCGAGGATTGCCAAGAAAGCAGTTGTGCACACAGTTTCGCTGCCATCAGAGGGTAGCAGGAGAGTGGATGCGCAAGCAAGCTGACAGGATTGGAAGGAGTCGTTGCTGTGCAGCCAGACTAGCCTTTCCTTTGCCTTGTTTATTTTCGAAGATTTAAATCTGGGGGTACACCATCAGAGTTAGTAACAATGATACTTTCAGCTACTTGTGTGTAAGATTACACCTTAGAGTAGGCTAGTCTGCTGGACCCTGGTTGTGCAGTTCATATGCATAGCACATGTGAATGTGCCTAGATAAGCTGAACGATTCCGAGGTTTCCAACGTGGGGAGATCTTTTCGGGCGCTTTCCTTATCGGAACCTGAGAAGACCTGTATCACACAACGATGAACATTTGTCTGACGGACCAAAGGAGTTGAAATTGTCCGTTGTTGCGTCCGATAATAGCGTAGACAGGAACGGGGTGCCAAGCAGCTGCAAACCGAGGCCCACTCTGACTCTTGGAATTCTGCTTTTCTGTAACCTCTGTGAAGTATAGAATAAGGATGCAATTTTCGTTACACTTCACCCTCTGCTGTCTGACTGTGATCACTGGAGTCAGAGCTCTGACCAATTGGAGCGCACCTGATTGTCAGGTCTCCTGGGTCGCTGATGGCGTGAAGGACTATGACGCCATCGCACAGATGTTCTTCCCTGAGGCTGAATATGGAGGCTTCAATTACAGGTGGCATATTCCATGCATATACAGGTGTCAGGCTCTGCTGCTGCTGCTGCTGCTGCTTCTCCCAAACATATGAAGGACACTTAGCCACAGGCCTGAATTTTGCAGGTACACCGAGATCAACATCGCCAACGAACATGCAAATGTCAGCACGGAGCCATGCATTGGATGTGCTGGGGCCAGCCCGAGGACTCCTTTGGCAGGTCAAAAGGTGCTCATACCTCCGTGCACATGGGCGGAGGGCTGCCGTGCAATCATCCCTCTCAATGTCACCAGCGACCCTGCCCAGGCATCAGAGAGGATCCAGGCAATGAACGACAGCTTTAAGGGGCTGCAGTTCCTGGATGATTTCTTTTGGCCGCAAGTGTTCTCCAGTGGAGACATAGTCGGACCTGGTGAGGATGCATATGTCTTGCCCTGCACCACCAAGTGCTGCCAGAGCACGCCAGCATGCGCTTTCAACGAGACAGGCTGTTGACGTGCGCATGGCCTTCTGCAGTAAGCAATGCAGCTGAGCTTCATCCGCACATCTTGTGTGACATTTCAAAGTGCATGAACCGCTGGATCCTGACAGGGTGGCAGACATGGGTCCATCCTGAAAATTTCTGCTGCATGCATGCGTAGAACATGTTCCACAATTCTGGTTGTGTGCCAGGGAGCACAATTGAGTCCAGACGGAACGTCTGATGTGTGAGGAAACTTAAAAAAGGATGCTCGCTTGTGGGTGCATAGCATGCAATGACATCGAGGAAGCAGTGCGTGACTGATGTCATCATTATAGTCCTTTTCTTCTGCTTCGAAGGATCACCCTTGTTACAGCTTGGCAATCAGTACTTTTGACGGTCTGCTTCACCTTACATTCCTCCCCTCTCTATCCGGTATCGCAGTGGAACACTTATATCTATCAAAAAGTAGCACCACATGCAATGCTGCAGACACAATGCTGCTGCTTCCACACGAGGCATCAACCAAAAATCCGTTCTAGCACTCGCTTGTTATTTTGCATGCAACACACAATAATCATATCTGTAATCTCAAGGCAATGCTGACACACTCACAACTCCAGGCAATCAAGGGTACTTGTGACACAATATGCTACATGCTAACTCAAGATATGCACGCGATCTTCAATGCTAATGGAACATAAGGCCTAATTCAGACCTGACCTATCAATATGAGGAAGGCACATCAGTGCTGGCATCAAAGCGCACCTTGCTACTGATAACTTATCACATATGCACGCAGTGCTTAATGTAAGCACAAGGCACCAAAAAAATATAACACACAAGTTTGGTCGTACATGCACTGTGATTGCTGTGTTCTTGCAGTGACAAATACTACAACTCTTGAGCAACTTGACAAAATTGCCGAGGCAAAGGCTGGCTTTGGGAAGTAGCAGCTGCAGAGTTGCCCAATTCCCTGGACTTTGCTCTTTCCACGGCTCCGATCCTGAAACCTTCTGAGAGGCCCCCAAAACCAGTGACGGCCAAGGTACAGAGTCCGCAACAGATCAGAGAAGCAGAAGAACTCTCTTAATTGAAAGAGCCTACTACACCACTTTCAGGTCCAGCGGCAATCGCAGGAGCGGCTGATCTGGGTCATTGGACTGGATGAGCAGCTCTGCCTGGTAGGACCCAATTGACAACCCATCACCTGCAACCCCCAGAGAGCTTGTAAGCCGACTTGTGGGCTCGCGTAAAGGGCTGTTTGCGAGACAAGTTGCTGTCGCTCCAGCAGGACAGGTGCTACAGATGGGGCCGGTCAGAAGCAGGGGAATCGAGGGGCGTACTGTTGAAGGTGAGTTGCGCTGTCTGGCTGCCATAGCTGGAGACGACCACAATGGGCTTGCCCATGGTCACCCAACTCACTGCCGGCTCAGCCGTCCCGCCTATCGCCTGACTGCCTTCCCCTGTGATAAGAAGCACACCACATCAAATATTGCATACATACCTGCCAAATATGGACAGCACAGCCCGCTCTGTGCTGATGCATTCATGCACTCCTTGTGACTTCCTGCCTCGACAATTGATTTGTCATGCATGCGCAAATTGCTGAAGAAATTTCCCACCTGTCGGCGCGCCCTGCGGAGACACTGCCTGCTCTGAGGGGCCCACGTCCAGGAACGCCACTGCAGCCAGGTCATCCTCCCCAGGCAGGTTCAGCCCCATGCGCAGCTGGGTCCGCTTGCCTTCCACCCCACCCCCTTCCCCTGCCTGCTGCGGCGACCCAGCAGCCGGCGCTGGAGCCGCTGCCCCCTCCCCCACGCTAGACATGGCTGTACCGCTCCCTAGCCCCAAATCTGAGACCTGATTTCCTGCAGGAGGCTGGCTCTGTGCTGTCCCGGCTCCTGCCGCGGCCTTCCGCGACTGTACAGCGGTCAGGGCCTTGGCCTTTGTGGTGTGGAAGGCTTTCAGGACTGACTGTATGAGGCCGCCCGAACTGGCCGGGTCGGCTGCTGCGCCCTCCAGCAGCTGCCGCCGCCCCTGCTGCCCCACGGAAGCCGCGCTCACCTGCGCTCCGCCGCCTGTGCCGCGCTGCGGCGTCACCGGCAGCACTATCGGCGGCGGCGGTGTGAGCACGGGACCTGCATGCATGCCGTGCTCAATGTCAGGACAGACTTAGCTTGGGAGATGCCTCTACTGCGACAGGTAGATGCCTTGCTCATGGTGTCAAAATTTATTGCAATGTGTCATGATTGTGTGCTGCACACGTGTGTTAAAGCGCAAGTCTGTTCCTCAATGTAGGACTGTTTGCTGTGCAAGGTCATAACGGTCTTGTACTCCATCTAAGTCCCCTAAATTGGTCGCAGCTAATTCAGTGCAGTCATGCAGTTGCCATCAACGATACACCTTATTCTCTTAATAACAGGGCAGGAAAGGACGCACTGGTGGCTGGAGTTGCTGGGTAGGGCGGCAGGGAGAGCAGGTCCTGCAGCGAGCCGAGGCTGCCGCCGCCGGGCGCCTGCATGACCAGGATCTTGCTGGGGGCGTCAGACGCCGCCGCGAGCCCCTCCGGCGCTGCAATGCGCACCCCCGACCCCCACTCCACCTCCAGCCGCTCCCACGTCACCCCTCCTGTGCCCGCATGTCATCAGGGTTGCGTCAGCCGTTCATGGTTACACATTCCATCTCTCACAGCACGCAGTTGCCCTGTGACTGTCATTGCAGCGCACCTAGATATTTATGATATCAGAAGAAGAGAAATGCAAGAATTGAACCTGAACTGGATGACTGGCAACAGCAATCAGAGCATCAGGACCTCAGTAGGATCACCTGGGATGCCTGCAAAAAGTTAAGAGACTGAAGTGTGACAATGACAGCATCCCTTGCAAGCAGGCAGAAGTTAACACAAAAATTCTGGTATCTGTGCGCTCTCCTAGACGTCTGTATGGCGATGAGCCGGGACAGGGTGCCTTGGCAATTACCTGGGCAGGCGACGGAGGAGCAATTGGCGCCCAGGTACAGGTGGAAGGGCCCCGGCCCCAGGCTGTGTCGCCCTGCCAGCGGTGAGCAGCCGTCCGTGCTGACCATTATGGTTGAAGGCCCGACCTCCACCGTCATGCCAACGCTGCCAAAGTCCACGCAGGAGTTCCCCCTGCCCAGGTCTGGGGTCCCTGAGATGCGCACACTCCTCTGCCCGCAATCCATGCCCACCCACAGCGCACCATTCTCCCCTGGAAGGCAGGCGGTATTGAGCGTCATGTACAACATTGTAGAGACCTTTTGGGAGCCACCTGAGGCTCGTTGGTCTTGTAGGCAGTCTGTCACTGCCCATCTTCATATCAGAAATTTTTCATGTGTCTGCGTTCCATCAAAAAAATGGCAATTTAAATACTGTCATGGCCCAAAAATGCATGCAAAGAAGGTGGTGCAGAACCAAATAGCTCTGAGTCATGTATATTTGCAGCACATCTGCAATGATCATTTGTGCGATCCTGTCACAAGCAAGGGAGTGTGGTCATATATTGTAGGTCAGGGACGGAGACATGGTGTGCACCGTCGATTAACTCTTACTGTCATCCTCAAAATCCCACAAGCGCATCCATCTGCCTTGCCACAATCTTAAATACTTCCATTTTGAGGCAGACACAAACTTGTGTCTCCAGACTGGGGGCATCGTGTGTCGGAGATAGACTTTGCGGCCTGACCACAGAGTGGAAATGATAACTGTGCAGCAAGACACAGGACCTCGGGGGACTGATGAATTGCAAACAAAATTTGCTTGGCATTTGGTGCCCCACCTGGCTCAGTGGGAGGCGTCGCAGCAGCAGACAGCACCAGGAAGTGGTTGCTGCACGGCCGGTCCCGCTGCAGCCGCGCGCGGATGCGCATCGGAACCTGCACCTCCTCCGAGTACCGCGCCGGCTTCCCCTCGCCTCCCTTTACAGTCACCGCGCCGCCACCGCTCTCGCCGCTCCCATGGGAGAAAGCGTACCCGGCCGCCACTGACTCGCCGCTGAAATCACCGGCATACCCGGAGGAAGGATCCAGCCAGAGCTGGGGCTGCAGCACGCTGTCAGAGCGCGGCGCTGCGCGCAGGGAGACCACGAGTGAGGTGTTACCCTTGTTGGCGAGGTAGACGTTGCGCTGCGCTGTGGCTGCGGCCTGGCCGGCCGGCGCGGCCGGCAGCGTGACCGGCTGGGTCGCTGCTTGGTCCACCCACAGCTTGGCAGGCACCTGGCAGGTAGCCTGCGGGAGAGATGAGGTTTTTGAACTTTGACATCATACCCAGATCTTGATGCGTGCAGTACAGATCTTGCTTGCCCCGAGCTTGGCACCAGGGAAGCAACAATCAGAGAATTGCAGTTCAGCGACCAGGCGAGTCAGTCAGCACAGGACTCATGTTGCAGATAGGCACGTGCACCCTGTGTCGCACGCCCGATCACCAGACTAATCATCCAAGAAGTTGCTGCAGGAGAGGCCAAACACATCATCCCGTACAGGCATACCTGGTTTTGGAATTCTATGGCAGTAGGAGCTGCTGTGGATCCCAAAGAGATGCCCACCACGCCGCGCTGCACTCCCACATCCAGCCATGTCATGCGCAGCGTGCCAGCCGGCTCATAGTGCCCACTCCGTGTGAAGACTTCCACCTGAATCACCACAGCCATGGCTGCTTACAAGCGGGCAGGTCTGCTGCCTTTTTCACCCAGTCAGTCTCACAACTTTGTATGTGAATGGATTTGCCTTTGACTCGCATTACTGCCAGCCACGGTAGCTTGAGGAGCATTGAGAGCACCTGGAATGTTGACTTCTGAGACGTCTGCGTGCTCCCCACGTACATGAAGGAGACCACCAATCGGTCGGGGCGCATGTACCACGACACCTGGCAAGCATGGAAATCTTCTCTCAGGCCAGTTGCATGCCAGAAACATTGCCAAGACAACATTGCGCCATCTGTATGCATTACTTCACGTAAACAAGGCACCCTTGAAAAGGTATGACAGCCATTGAAGAAGAACGTCTCGGTCGCACCTGTCCACCATCCTTCAGGAAGAGCCCGGCGTTCGCCAGGGCACCAATCTGAGGGATGCTCCGGAAAGCAGCCACAGCATTAGATTCAGCTGCATTGGGGGATGAGTCTTGGCTCTGAGCCGACACGTCCTGGCTGCTGCTTGCGTCAGGCAGCAGGCGCAGTGTCCCGTCCAGCCGAACCTCTAAGTGACGCACAGTCATGCCTCCAAGCTGCACATCTGCAGCACATGCAATCCTTGGGTCATCACCTCCCGCTCATCGTGCTCTCTGAGCTTGGCGCTGCAGTACAGTATGATGTCCCCCATGGTGCATCTTTAGTCCGCCCAACCTCTAGGAGAACCTGACGAAGTTAGGACAGTCGTGTTATGGCCTGCCCAAAAGTAAATCGCGCTGCAAAAACAGGGGCTGGGCAGCTCAACACGACATCAGATTCACAGATAGATGAAAAGAAGAGATTAGGAGCTGCTCAAGAAGCGCCTACGTGCGGACCATTCTAGTTTGTCCTGCTTCTTCAGGGCTGCCAGCTGCCACACTGGTGTTGGCCTGGCTCACCAAGCTGCATTCGGGGTAGGCATGACCTTCTGAACAAGATTCCTTCCGAGGGCAGGAAATGACTGTGTCTGTCCAGGGAAGCACCGCCTTCTGCTCCTGAACCCGATGATCCTTTGCTTACCACAGTGTAGCAGCCGTCCCCTTACCCACCCAGAGAAGTTGGTGGACGCATTCAAAGAGAGCAGCTGGAGCGTGAAAGCGAGCTCATATTTGTCTTCCTGGGACCAACCTGAGCCCTTCAGATCGATGGTGGCGGCGCGGCTGCTGAGCAGCTGCTGGGTGATGTCCTGGCCGTACGAGAAGTTGCTGGGCAGCTGGTTGACGCCCGTCGCAGCGCACGTCCGGAAGCTGCCGTCCAGCTGCGGCAAGAAGACCAACGTGGAATGCTGCAGTGGAAACCCGCCGCTGCATGCCATCACATCAGCCGCAACTGTCAGATCTGTGTAGCTTCAAATAAACTGCAGTCTGCACTAATCTAAGGGTAGACAGGCAGGAAAGAACCAAACACCAGCAGACATCCTTTTGCCAGCAAAGATATGGACACTGCACATGCAAGGATTACATAGATGTGCACCTGAAGTATTGCACGACTGAGGGAGGTGTGCTGTGGCCGGTGGTAGGAGGGGAGGGCGGGGGGTCTGCAACCAGGGACTTGATGGCCACATCGTCGGGCGTCGGCGGGTAGTTGCCCAGCACCAGCTTTGGCCTGGACACTCTGATGGGCCCGCTGCCCAGAGAGGGCGCCTCTGCCACCAATGGCCCTTCAATCTGCACCATACCGAATACACACCCATTACAACCTGCCCTCATATTGCGCCTGTTTCCTATGGCTCTTCCAGGGAATGAAGAGTGCAATTCTAAGTATTGGGTACTTCTGAGCATTCACCTTGCCGGAAGCCGGGGCAAGCGCCTCATCCGTCGGCTGCTCGAGCCTGGGAGGCACCAGCATCATCGACCGCCCAATGTCCAGCATCCCTCCTGCGCAACCAGCGCATGCTGTCAACCGCATTCAACGCAGCGCAGAGAAACTGTTGAGCACAAATCCTTGAATATGAATGAAGACATGGTGGCTGCGCGTGCGTGCATGTGCGCGCACCTGCCCCGCACTTTTCCTGCAGGTCATTTGAGCGCAGAACGCCGCGCATGAGCAGGTCCTTCATGTCGGCGCCCGACGCGTTGTGGCCTGCCGCCCGGTGCGCTGCCAGCAGCAGCGCTGCCGCCCCTGCCACATACCCGGCCGACTGTGACGTCCCTTCGTGCATCCCGTACTGCGCGCAGCCACCATGCACCCTTTAAACCCTCTACGGCCATTTTCCAACACTCATTTGCTGAGCAATGCTTAACGAGTGACTGTGCGCCGTCCTCTCCCGAGTGATCTCCATAGACCATAGACAGAGATAAGGTGTATGGTCTGCAGAGGCCACTCGGGAGAGAAAATATACAATTGCTGGGAGACATGTAGGGACGAGAAGGGGATGTGGGCGCACCTGGCCGTTCAGGACGGTGCTGAGAATCTTGCTGCCGGGGGCGGCAAGGTCAGCGTTATTCTTGCCAAAATTTGAGTAATTCGCCAGGCCGTCATTCTGGTCCGTGGCGATCACAGACATGATGTTCCGATTCCTGTAGGCCGCTGGATATGTTGGCGTAGCATCTATATCCACCCCTGCATGCACGCACCACTCCTCATCTGCTACACCCTTTGCCTCCTTCAGCTTTCCCTTACAACTTTTCAGGGCCAGCATGAGTACATCAGTGCCCAAACAGGCTTCTCCACAAGAGAACATTGCAGTTTTAATGGGGATTATCAAGAGAGGATGTGAAAAATGAGCATCATAGTCACTTCTCAGACCGGCTTCTCAAGAAGAGAACACTGCATAGGAAATGGGATGTGACTAAGAAAAGATATCTCAAGGAGCACCGTAGTCATTGCCGGCAGCTGTGACAAAGAGCTGGCCCTTCTGATCGGCGGCCTCGATGGCGGACTGCAGCGCATAGGAGTCAGCATAGAGGCCGCCGTAGGAGTTGAGGGTTATGTCAGCGCCCATCTCCAGAGCGTAGTCCAGGCAGCGCACCTGTCACGGCATCCACCGGAGATCAATTTAACCAGATATTATTATTATTAATACTACTATTGTTTTTATTACATGCTTTTTCTGCCAAGAGGCAAGGTGCGTCCTGCAGACAAGCTGCAGTTGAAGGCTGCCATAAACCTATCCCTGGATGGACTCGCCAGATCCAAGTAAGACCCAATCAACTGTGGGCACGGTGCTCAGTATTTATACCGCGCCCCGCCAGCCGGGGCCAAGACCAGATATGCGAATTTAATAATCCCTCCATGGATTTCTGCATCTGGGATCTGCTGACCAAAATGGCTCTAGGGAAAGAGGTCCTCTCGCGGAAAGCATGATCAGGAGCCAAATCCTTTACACATTTCCATGGGAGGTGTCTCCCTCCCAGAGCAGCCTTTGCCAGAGTCTCCCACGCAGATGTGGCTCTGAATGCATCCTTCCACGAACAGTGGCCAGGGACTGAGGAGTGTATCTGCGCACCGCGTCCGAGGTGTAGCCATTGCCTGAGCCGTCCAGGAACTTGCAGCCCATGACCTTTACGGCCTGGTTGACGCCGCAGACGCCGATGTTGTTGTTGCACAGCGCGCCCACCATTCCAGATAAGTGGGTACCATGGTAGTTGTTATCCATGGGATCCCCCGAGTTGGCCAGGAAGTTGAAGCCATGGTAGTCATCCACATAGCCGTTCCTGTCATCGTCGATGCCGTTGTTGGGGATCTCCCCGGAGTTGATCCACACGTTGCCCTGCAGGTCCGGGTGCGTGTAGTCTATGCCCGAGTCTATCACGCACACCACCACGTTGTGCGAGCCCGTGCTCCTGCGGGGGACGCACATTTAATGTCTCAGTATCAATGACATTAGCAGATCAAGAGCTTGTTGGTCTCAGTCGGGTCCTGCATCGCATGTTGCTTGAAGAGAGCCGACGGCTGCATCAGGGGAGGCCTCAGAGCAACAAGATGCACCATACCTCATGTCACATGCTGGCGCCCGCTGACAGCCATGCGCAGCATGCAGGCAGTGTTGTCCATGTAAGATACCCAATTGAGGTCGGATAATACAATGAGCAGGTGCAGGTGCAGAGGAAGGGGTCTGGTGGGAGCACCTGTTCCAGGCGCCCTCGTCGGATTGGCCGTTGATGGGGAGCGTGTCGGTGAAGAGGCCCAGCTTGTACATAGCCCACTGCTGCGGCAGGTCAGGGTCATTGGGCTGGCTGTATGCTGTGAGCACCTTGTCGACCTCCGCGTGCTCCACACCTGCCACATTTGTACAGAACGGCCATCAGCTTCTTTGAGGTCACCCATCTGGTGGCCCCAGCTGCCTGCCTGGCTATTGGAAGTGAAAGGAAGTATGCATTGTTTGGCAAAATCTGGGAGAGGTTGCTGAGAAGAGCTGCACGGTGTCGATTCCATACAGCACAAGATAAGGAAGATAAGCATGGGGATAGGAAATGTGCAGTTTGGCTGGGGTGCACTAACCAGGGTGGTCTTGGAGGGCCTTGAGGACGTCTGAGACAGACATTCCAGGGGGTAGGTCGATCATGTGATATCCCGTGTGGCTGCCAAGAGACTGCACTTGTAAGTCAGCAGCCCCAGCGCTCTGCAGGAGCCTCCTCTGCAAAACCCTAAGTTCCTTGGACAGGTCGCTGGTGAAGCGCTCTGACAGGCGCTGGCCAGGCTTGGTATATTTGTGCTTGAAGAGTACTCTGGGCGCCCGCTGCACCAGGGCATCTCCATTTCCGGTGCACAAGGTGCCCTGCAACAGGCTCCGACTCAACCCACCACCACGGCACGTCGTACAGCAATTCTATCGGTCCCAATGGCATTTCAATCTTCTCTTACGCAGTACTTGTAGCAAGATTTCAAGTATACGACGCTATGTCACAATTCGTTCAGGCACCGTGGCAGGTCACAATTTGACTGCTCGTATGCACTTACCTCGTCAATACAGAACAATACCAGGGCCAGCCAAAATACGCTCCAGCCATAATATCTTAACCACCGAACATTATTGCGTGGCATGCTTTATCGAGGAAGGTTGCAATATTTGCAAACCAGTCATGCCTCTAACAAGACCGTTTGACTTTGCTGGTCTAATTGCCGTCACCCACTGTAAATTGGAGCACCGAAATACATGGCATGACTGCACCTCACAGGACCTGTACACCTGTCCAGATTCCCCCGCAAGCACCACAAGGATAGGCTCCCAATGGGAGCCTCCCATCTCTTCTTTGTGTTGGGATAGGGTTCATCCAATAGGGCAAGAATAATATCCCTTGTAAATATTTTCACCCCTGAAGTTCCTTGCCTTGCATGGATCTCGCGATCGAGCTGCGCGGTAAAACTATCGTGACTATTTTTCAAGCTGTGTGACCCACGTGTGGGTGCTCTTCACGTCCATCAGTCCATGCACAGTAAAGTGGGGTCGTTCCAAGGACAGTGCCACCATCAGCAACTTTAAAGTAAACCTGTCTGTGTTTAGAAGCGGTTTCAGAAAGCAGACATGCCAAAGTATGACTCTGGTCGCGCATACGATATGCCTTTGGGGGCCTGTCCTCGTCGTCTCTATGCGGGGAAGGGCAAGGTGATGATCAGGAACATGCACAGCTTTCGAACATATACAGAAGATGACGATCCGGAACTCAAAGCACAGCTGGACGCGGACGGCTATGTGTTGATCCGTGGTCTTCTTGATTACGAAGACGTTGAGCAGGTATGCTTCCTGGTGCTCCAGTCCAACCCAATGCCCCAATCAACTGGCGTTACTTGACCAGTACAACTGCCCACCCCTTCTTCACAGCTCTTGTATTGTCCAGGCACACGACTTCATCCTCCAAAACCTCTGTCAACGCTTTCCTCTGGCCCCAAGAGGCCCAAAACAGACTGGAATCGGTCTCATCAACAGACAGGACATCGCGATGGCGGAACCTGTGAGGCGCATCCTTGAAAAGAAATGCCTGTTCCAACTCATGGAGAGGCTGATGGTAACTCTCTCCACTTTCCCAAAATGCACAGCCGAGCTCAATGTCAAAACTTCGCATATTTGCAATTCAAAACCCCTTCACAGTATCCCTATAAATGGCTCAGCAGAGGATCTTGCGGCAGGGCGAGGAGGTCGTCACCACGGGCTTCAAATGGCTGCGAGCGGTGGGAGTCGGGGAGTTCACGGGGGTGCACATGGACAGAGTGTTTGTGGGAGGCTCCGAGCGCATGCTGACGGCCTGGATTCCATTTGGCGAGATCCCAGCCCACATGGGTCCAGTCATGGTACGCGCCCGCCTGCACAGAGCAGCCACCTCTCTCAAGCCCTGCGCATGCAGCACCCTTGAACGACTGTAGCCAATACATGCATGTCCAGAGGGCACCATGCTGTTGTAGGTATGCTGAGGCAGGTGTGCATGCGTCGTGCAGGTGGCCCGCGGGTCACACAAGGATCCGGTTTTTGCTGAGATCCAGCGCACCTACGGAGAGTCCAAGGTGGGCGCTGACGGGACATCCAGCGGATGGCTGTACGACGACGGCTCACGTCTGGGCGATGACCTGGGCTTCGAGGTGGACTGGAAGATAGCCAACTTCATTTCAGGGGACGTCCTGATTCTGGACTCGCGCGTGCTGCACATGTCGGCTAGAAATGACAGCGATGAGATGCGCATCAGCTGCGACACGCGCTGGCAGCCGGCCAGCGACCCCCGGGACCCCAAGATCACCACCTGGCACAGCATGCCGGTCGATGTGCCTCCTGCAAGCTAGGCGCTGTACACCGCGAGTCGCCCAAGATGCATGCGCGCTTGTGGCATGTCTATTGTATTGTCACAAACTGCCTCTGGTCAAGAGTGATTTGGCGAGGTTTGTTCAGGACCCCCAGCCATTGTGAGGCGAGAGAGGTGCAGTGTCTGGCGCAATCAGAGGTGTTTGAAATATTGGTTTAAGAGTATGAGTTCAGCAAGACTACTTACTGGATGTTGGTACCGTCAGTACCCTTTTTTCTGGTGACTGAGTTATGTCAAGAATATATATATCCTTACCATTTCATGCGGCGTGCTTACTATGAAATTGAACAAATGATTTCCTACTCATTGACCTCGAAGGCTCTTACGACGTGAGCAGGACTTGTGATGCATTGATATGACCGTTGATCAGGCGTATGCAAGCAAAGGAATTCTGGCGTGCCCGCAATACAGTGATTTTAGACCCAGGTAAGCCTTTTTTGGTAGATTGGGCTCTTGTATTACAGCGCGCAGCCGTAAGAACTTCGATTCTCTTTACAGTGTACTATCGCAGAGAGTAAGCATGGCCAGTATTGGCACACTGCTGCTTTCTGTGACTTTTAAATGGCCTCATCCCAGTGTCGTATCTTGGCATGCTTGGTAGTTGAAGCTGAGAGAGCAAGCAGCCTTTTTAATCCTTCTTCAGCTCGAGGACTTCCCTCTTGGTGCCCTCCATGGTCATGATGTAGATCTCCACTGCATCACCCTGCATGGCCACATATGGTTCATGCACACTGGATCAATCTGCATGCAAGGGCTGGAGCCCAGAATGCCAGAGTATTAGCAGCCAAATATCTCACCGTGTAGATGTCACGCTCGCCAGCTGAGACAAACGCATCTCTGACAAGGTCAACTGCCTGGTCCAGCGGCAGCGAGCTCATCCAGTTCTGCAAGCAGAGAAAGCACGCTCTTGTGATCTCAGAGCTTAGGGGAACATTTGACACAGATACTTCTCACCCAATGCCTTGCGATTTGAACTCTTCTTCGTTGAGGCAATCACTAAAAAGGAGCAGAACAGTGCAAACACAGTGAGCACAAGAGTAATAGCCAGAGGACACACCTCTGGAGGCAGGACGAGGGGGCTGGCAGCCTTGAGCTGGTTGTCCAGAACAGGCTGGATCAGGTCCTTGCCGGAGCCCTGCACTGCGTAGCCCGACCGCTCATGCGAGCCAATGGCATCATACGAGTACACAGCGCCCTTGCCTGCTCGCAAACAACACTCTGTCAGCGCTCTCTCTTTGTGCACCAATGCAAATGCACGATTTCACCGGTCAGTAGTCAGGAACTAGCAGACAGCAGGCCAAGTATCTCCAGAAGGACCTCTTCTTCCCTGGTGTCCAGGGAGTGAAGGCCTCAATCAATATTGCACGTTTGCCAGCTCCAGCGCCAGGTCCAGAAGACAGTGCACAAGGGGAGCAATGCCAATCCCAGACGCCCTGTGAGTGTATTAGATAGGGGCAGCGCGCGTGCTCACCCTCCTCGTCGAGCCCGGCGCAGATGTTGAAGGTGTAGTAGGGGAAGAAGCGCTTGTAGTAGAGGGTGTTGCCCAGCAGCTGCGCGCAAGCGGCCACGCTCATGGGCCGGCCGTGGTCAAACTGGTAGCGGATGTAGCGCTGCTGCAGCACCTTGTGCAGTGTCTTCGCGTCAGCCTGGAAGCCCGGCGACAGGATCATGAGCTTGTCCGACCTGCATCGCAGCACAAGTCTCATTCATTCCTCCCTATGCTTCCACCAATCCATGCTGACTGGCATCCGCACCAGGCCTGCAACAGAGGATGCAGGTGATACATGAGGACATGGAGAGCTTTGAAGATCAGTGTTGGAAGTCTGTGGATGTAAGCGCACAGTTTGAGAACCATGGAGACATCTCTGGAGAGGATTGAGAATCCAGTGGAGAGGCGGGTGCTTGAAGCCACAATGCAGTAGTCGTTGCCAGCAACAGCCACACATGTCCTGTGGCAGGCACAGCAATAGAGATCAATGCAATCAATTGAACGAGTGTTGAAGCTATGAAGTCCCAGGAGAAGTAGAGGCAGGTGACGAGGCAAACTTTTCTCATCACAGTTGAGCCTTCCATAAAACACTTCCCGAAATGGTGAAGACACAAGATGCGCACCCTCCATTGTTGTCATACCTGGATTAACAAACAAAGGATATTCAGTCCCTGACAATAAAGTCTTGCAGACGTGTACACTAGAAATCATCAGATGCGATTTTGCCCTTTAGACCATCTACAAGTACTCCTTTAGCACCGTTGAAATGAAAAACAATTCTTCTGAACTACATTGTGTACAGTGAAGGAAAGCCGAGTAGCTTACGGGCTCCAGCTGGGGTGAGCGTGAGGGGCAGAGTGTGCACTATTCGCTGCAAAAGCGGAGCTACCTAGTTGATAGGCCACGTTTGCCATTCTGAAATGGCTCTATACAAGTCTAATTCACTGGATGTTGATGGCAACACCTAAATTGAGTTCCCTTAGGCTGTTAACTGGGCAAAGGATGCCTGATGATGTGCCAATCGGGTAAGAAATTATGATTCAAATACTACGTGCCTCCGATTGGAAGGAATGTGAAACGTGCTTTTTTGCCTCATCCAATGCAGAGTTGCTATGATCACTGGAGGAAAATTGCTTGTCTCAGCTGGACGGGAGGAGTTATGATCTGCCCACATGGGGACTGACTTCCCATGCAACACTTCGTCTGTTTCAGCAATAATGTATTAGAAAAATGGATTGATGCAACTAGTTTGCATGAAAGTGGCGATTTGTAGTCAGGCAGACAGCAACAAGAGACTGGACGAGCGGATCTCCAACCCCATCGTGAACCATTCTTTCTGTCTCACAAGATAAGAGACCCGAGTTGTACAATAGACAATCTTCAGGATATGTGTTACTCTTTAGAAACAAAAATGGGATTACCTTCAGCCTGAGCTTTACTTGATCACGGAATTTCCGGCACGGCATGTGCCCTGTTGTGGTGCCAAATTTCTGAGGATCTTCCAGCCTCCTGATCGACAGTGATTTCAACAATATGCCTGACATGCGCTTTGTTGTGAATGGCATCACGATCGCTGCCAAGGTTGAAGGGAACCCATGCTCCAACGGCCCTTGTGTTGTGCTGTTGCATGGCTTTCCAGATTCCTCCAGGCTTTGGAAAGCTCAGGTACGTGTAAATAGATGGAATGTCTCGGGTCATCTTCAACATGTTGCTAGGAGATGATTGGGCACGCTGCTTCACTGACTCAAGTGATCACTTGCAGGTGCCTTTGCTAGTACAACAGGGGTTTAGAGTAGTTGCACCGGATCTCCGAGGATTTGGCGAGTCAAGCAAACCGGCTGACATCCATGCGTATGCCCTGCGCCATGCTCAGGCAGATGTTCTGGCTCTTCTTGATGCGCTTGGAATTGACAGGTGAGCCATCTTCGCAATTGTCAGCACCCATCGCTGTGCTGTAGCGATTGAACTTCAGGCCATAATGTACTATGACAGGTTGCAAAATGTTCCAGCCTCTGGCGTGTGATATTGGAATGCTGACATGTGCCTGTGTTCCAGCTTCTGCTTGGTGGGGCATGACTGGGGTTCTGCCCTTGCATGGCGCATGGCTGCCACAGTGCCCCACAGGGTCCAGCGGCTGGTGGCCATCTCTGTTGGTCATCCTGGTAAGCCATCTTCCCTCCCGCCTGCATGACAGATCTACATCCACGTCTCATGCCCGCACATGTGTATCTTGTTGAGTCATTGTGGACGAGCTGAGCTTGCGTTCCTCTGATTTTCTCGCTCCAGTTCACGGCTCCGTGTACAAAATTCCAGCCAAGAGAGTATGCGGACATGAAAATAGAGCGAGCGCCACTGATGAGAAGAATGTGTGTCAGGTTTGTCTAGTGACACACTATTGATGTGCATGCCAGGGGGTGCATGGGGAGCGGGGGGTGCAGAGCAGAGGGCAGCCAGCTGGTACTTCCTGCTGTTCCAGTACCAGGGCAAGGCCGAGCAGCTGTTGCAGGCGGATAACTGGCGGCTTTTCCGAGAATTCATGGGGCCGCATGTGGGGTCAGAAGACATGGCAACATACATCAGAGACCTGTTCAGGCCTGGTGCCCTGTCGGCAGGTGCGCGCATGCACCCAAATTTGCTCCCTCCAGGACTTCTCTTGTATCTTTTAAAGATACCTCGCAAAAATCTTGAGAAGGCATGGATCAAATTGCTCATTATCCCTTAAAAGCTGCAAGAGTTGTGCAGAAATAAGAGCCTGGTGCTTGTACAGGTCTGGCTTGGTACCGAGCAAACTTTCAGGTGGAGCGCTTTGCTGCAACAGAGCCAGCGCTTGACATGCCCAAGGTGGCCTGCCCTGTGATGGGAGTGTGGTCAACGGGCGACCAGGGGTTGTTGGAGCCTCAGATGCTTGTATCATCCAAATTTGTGCGAGAAGGTCTGTGGCGGTATGAGCGCATTGAAGGCGCAGGCCACTGGGTTCCCAGAGATGCCCCTGAGCAACTGAATGAACTGCTGCTACAGTTTCTGCCCCTGCCAGTGAAGCTCTAGAACTCGTGGACCTTTTCTTGATATGCAAAAATCCACACTATGATGTCCACATGCATAGACAGCTTTTTATAGACTTGGAAGATAGATAGATCAAGAGCCTTCACTGTACTGTATGAACATTATGCTGATTTTAGCAAATTGAATGTAACATCATGCCCGCCCCAAAACACTTAGATGTGTTATGCAATAGTCACTATAGTGCAGTGCTGTGGTGCTTGAAAGGCAAAGTACACTAGTGCCAGAAGGGACAGGCAGAACATCAGCACAGCTTGCTGCGGTACTTTGGTCTGTTGGCGGGCTTTTCTGAGACCACAAGCTTGCCATCCACGTACTGGCGCGGCTCATACACTATCGCAGGAATATCGTCTATGGCCATCCGCGGATCTCCCTGCTCCGCATGAAAGGCCGCTGCGGCCTCACGATCGTATGCATGCACCTGCACATGCCACAAGCCTTACTACTACAATTGTCATCCAAAATTCCTTTTGTCAAACTTAATGTCTGTTTCCATCGTCTGTGAAAGGTTGCAATCAGAGAAGAGAAGGGGCATCTGAGGGGCGCGTTTGCAATTGCGTCCCCTAGAGGTCAAGCAGGTGTCTTATAACTCAGCACTGTTAAGCTATTGGGCAACTGCGAGATCTTCCTCGAAAGTTGAGACACATTTGGATCAAAGACGCCACAAGGGAGCGCTGGGAATGTCATCCAGGTGTGTACAGGGCCGGTACCTTTTCCATGGTGATGAGGCGGCGGCTGTAGCGGGCGGTGAGGACCTGCTCGGAGTTGGCCACCAGCCGCAGCGCAGGGTGGCGTGGGACCTCCTCTTCCCTATACACCTCTGGAGCTGCAGGCAGGAAATACACCAGCCGGCCCCCCACCCTCAGCAGCCGCGCTGACACGTCCAGCAGGTCGCGCAGGCACTCGCCTGCAGACATGGACACCGATCACTAAAAGCTTTGCGGCACATTGAGTGAAGTGCCTCTAATTACCTATCAGACCGCAGAGAACAATATGAGCAGACCTGCACAAGCCGTTTACATGCAGGATTCGGATGTGAATCTTGCAGTACCTTTTCAAGCACTAGATACAGGTGGCCGCATCGGCATGTGAGTGGGACTTTGCTGCATGCAAGAGCAAGAAGTGCGCTGTTGGGAGAGCAGGAGAAAAAAAAAGCACACCCATGGAGTAGGGTGCGGTGGAGGTGATGTGGGTTGCACGGTTGCGGACTTGCAGGTCCGGCTTGGACTGCGACTTGCGGCCGCCCGCGCGCACTCCATACGGCGGATCGCACACCACCGCATCCAATATCTGCACGCGCAAAACAAACATCTGAGTCATTTGCAACTGATGGAACAAGCCCCTAAAGACTGAGAGGTTGGTAAGAATCTGGTTCAAAGGGCACCTATAAAAAGGAACCTGCCCAATTATTTGGCGAAATGGCCAGAGGTTAACTGTCACTGGGGCGCATCATTCCCTCTTTTTCTCTCAGATTTGGTCCCTCCGTTTCCCTCAGATTCGCCTTCCCTGGAAAATAGTCTAGAATTCGCCCCTCCAACTGCACTCAGAATTACTCTGCAACTAAGTGTGCATGTATGCAAGGTGTGGGGAAGCAGTGAGGGCTGCCACCTCGTGCAGGTTGTCTCGGAAGGGCGGCCGGTGCGCGTCGGCGCGGATCAGGCCGGCCGGCTGCTGCAGGCCGTACGTCGTGAAATTGGCCCAATTGTCCGCCACCTGCCGGGAGCATGCCCCCATCATGCCTCTGTCTTTGTGATCATCTGAATTTGAAGGCACCTGCTTGAACTCTCGACGGGCAATTTGTTCCAAGACATACTTTCAGGGACGAGTGAAGAAACGCCCCGCTTGTCTACAGGGCACCTTGCACTTTGAGTTTCGAGAAGCATGTCAAAGGCAGGGGGGGACCACCAGAGGGGGGCCATGTCTTTCCTCCTCAAGATCTGGGCACATGCGCATGCATGCAAAAAAAAAAAGGCACACAAGGGTGGGTGATGCGCGCACCTTGCCGGAGGTGTCCACCTTGCCGTCTCTGAGCACCCGGATGTCGATGTCAGCGCCAAGGGTGATCGCTCCGAAGTGCGCTGCAGCCACCAGAATGCTGCCGGTGCCAGCAAACGGATCAAACACAAAACTGCCCTTCCGCACCTGCAGCCCACATAGCAATATGCACTCTCTGTTTTGACGTGTGCACAAAAGGCACAGCACAACGATTTTTTTCGCGTAGCAGGACTAGTATTGGTGGAGAAGTGTTGTGTGCTGCAGGAAAATTTAGGCAGAACGACCACAGAATCCAATTAGTGACGCATGATGCTGCATGTGAGCTAGTTTATTAGTTGGTTTGAGAGAGTACCTCGGCCTGGTTGCACATGAGGAAGGCCATCTCGGTGTCCATCGAGGTGGGTCCCAGGTAGACCCGCTTGGGCAGCGCATACTGGGAGATCACCCTGCGGTTGCCCACTCCCACTTCTCTGCCAAAGTACATCCGCTTGGGAACCTGCGCACCCACCGCCTGCCAGCTTCAGCTTATGCTCAGGCTTGCAAGCGCTTGACTCGTCAAATCAGCCGGCATTCACTTGATGCCATCCTGTATCTGCGACATGGCATAGCAGCCTGGGGGGAAAGAGACACTGAGAGAGGGCGCACAGTGTCTGGCATGCCGTGGTTGCTGTAGCAGTTTGCGATGATGAGGCGGAAGACGATGTCTGGATCTGTCAGTTTCACAGGGTTCTGCAGCGGCACACAATCCTTCAGGCGTGCTGACATAGCAAGGTGTTCCTCATTCAAATCATAAGCAACAACAGAAGCGGTATACGCCAAGGTTGCATGCAAGGGAAGCAGAGCTGAAGGAATGTATATATGGTAGCAAAGCATGCCTGGAACGGGATGCATTCCAAGCGAGTATGGCATTCCGATTGCTCCTGCTTGTTGATGACCCGTCCCCACCCATCTATCACCACCTGTGGCAGACATTCTCTGGCATATGTTCTTCGAATCTACAATCAAAGTCTGACGTTGCCATGGACAGATGTTCACTGAGTGTATCATGAATGACAGCCCACCTTCATGGACAGATTTGATTGTAGCCAGGGCTGCTTCAGCTCGTCTGGGAAGGCAGCAATGGAAGCCTCAAGCTCCTCCCATGTCTCCCCCTCACCCCAAAGCTCCAAAAACCCCTGCAGGAGTTACACATGATCGCCTGAAGAAAAATCTTGAGACCCTGTACTTCATAATTTTTTCCTCCAAGTAGCATCATTACAAGGATCAGGAGATCTTACCCCCAAGCTGAGGGGCAATAGAATTGCCAAGAGTAACAACAAGCAACCCGCACTAGACAGCAGTCATGCAGCAGAGGCTGACCTTGAGCAGGATGGAGCGCTCTGCAACCTCATGCGCCACTGCGTCGGAGGGCAGCTGCAGGTACCAGAAAGGGGAGTAGAAGTGCCCCCCGAATGGCTGCCTCCACCTGCTCTGAGATGCCTTGCCTTGCCCGGCTAGCTCTATAAGGGAGTCTATCTCAGGAAGGCGAAAGTCCAGATGCCTGTGCAGGAAGTAGGCCAGGTACTCCCTCCCGCTTGTGCTGCAGCTGTTGCCAGCTTCTTCTGCAGCAGAAAATTGCAGCTCGGTTGAAGACTAAGGCTCAGCTATGGGTTGCATTCCAGAGGGGGGCCATTGTATCCTCTGGACGATGGTGATGATCCTCAAAATCTTGTGCAGCTGGCAAGATGGCAGAATCCCAAAATTCACGCAATGGACACATCATGAACACAATAGTACTGTGAACAAAGTTGCCCTGCTTAAAGTTTCTACTAGACCACCTAAACACCTGATGAACTCGTTTGCTTCGCAACCTATCTGAAGATTGCAAGCAATAGTTATTACCTGCGCGTCGCAAATTGTCTGCAGTGCATTGGGCACCGAATTCCATGCGGACTCTCTTTCAGCACCTGATCAGATCACCTTGTAACTTTTCGCTAGGAAACTTGGTACTCTACACAATGAGAATCAACACTTGACAAACTCATCTATTACATTCAACAGTTGACAAACTTATCTATTTCAGCTTCTTCAATTTATTTTTTGTTGGAAGAACTGGGCTGTCACCTTAGCAGTCAAGCAATTCTATCTAGGGTTTTGGAAGGGTTTGCAACGTAGATTTTAACATTCCTTTCAGTGCCAATGTGAATCCCTAGTTTTGTCTCTATATATTGAATGTTTCAGAGATTTGTAGAGGTAGAGAGATGCTGTGACCAGCTGTCGATCATATCAGAATTAGAGGGAATTGCAACAGTGTTGGCCTTTGCATGGGCACCATTGTACCAGATACATTGAGCATAAAACCCTGTATCGATGATATATATGTATTTTTGCAACGTAAGCTATTGTTAGCTTTGATCAATTAATGACGCAGGGGAGAATCTGGTGACTTTGAAGGTGAGTCATCACGATGCATTGACCCAACTCACACCTTGTAAGGGTGGCACTCATGAAGCTACCGATCCACTTGTGTATGAGAGGTCTCATATCATGCAGGTCCAGGTGATGGACATTGTGGAAGACTTGATCCGGGCTGGGCAGCCACTGAGGGCACTGCTCACCTACTTGTCAAATGCATCTATTGATGCAGCCCTCTTCCCTTCCGAGGATGATGCTGCAACCTTGCAGCAGAGCGCTCAAAGAGTCTGTCTGGCCTGCTACCAAGATCCCAAGGTGTGCATGCATGCATGGGAGCCATGGGGTCATGACACTGCAATGCACATATACACACAAGAGTGCTCCCCAGGATGGGCCTTAAGATGTCCGCTCTGTAGAAGAGTGAAGCGCAGCCTTGTTCATCTGGTGCCTGAGATCTTTTTGTGTATGCAGGTGCTTGCATCAGGCGTGACTCTGCTGGCCCTCTGCAAATTGCCTCCCTGGCGATTGCAGGTCGATGTGGCAGTTCTGCGCCGCATCAAAGAAGGTAAGACCCACAACAGAATGATATGGGTTCGTCAACACCACGTATCTGATAGCAAGTACATATTGATGACCATTTCTATGATATTGTAATGCAGAGGGACTCGTGGATGACCATGCACTTACTGGAATGGCATCAGGCTTGGCTGAGGCTAGCACAGCAGAGCCTGACTCCCTAAATGCAGCTGCGCAACCGATTGCAGATCAGTTGGCAAAGGCTGTGCTCTCAGCAGAAGCTGCATCGGCTCCTCAAGACTCTGCAGCAAAGGTGAGCTTGTCATTCTGATTATCTTAGCGCTGTGTTTTCCTATGCCAAAATCTTGGAGACAAAAAAATGCTTCCTGGAGGTGACATGGCCTGTGGTGTTGCGCAGAGTGCAGCGCGTCAGAAGGGAGCGCATGAGTGGGTGCTTTTAAGGGCCTTTTGTGAGCAGCATGGCCTGGAAAAGGATGCAAGCCGGATGGTGCATCTGGCAGCCGACAACGACTGGGTCCACTTCCTGGCAGAAGCCTCAGCGGACAGCTATCCATACCAACAGGTCCGCAATTATCCCTTATCCTTCAAACGGCAGGAGATCCTTCTCTTGCCGATAAGTTCTTAATGACGGGCACAAAGCAATAATATATAAGGAGTCTCATTGGAGATCAGCCCCGGCTGGCGGGGGGCAGTATAAATACTGAGCACCGTGCCCACGGTTGACTGGGTCTTGCTTGGATCTGGCGAGTCCATCAAGGGGTAGGATTTCGGCAGCCTTTACTGCAGCTTGTCTGCAGACGCACCTTGCTTCTGGCAGGAAAAGCGTGTAATATTAATGATGATAATTGGAGATCAGGCTTCTCCCCTGTTGTGCAGATCGTTGGGACGGCTGTGCAGCATGTTGAGGATAGCAGCCTGCGGCATCACCTGCTGCACGTGCTTCGGGGCTTGGCCCCTGATCAAGCAACTGCACCACCCCCTTCGGCCTCTGCACTCCCGCAGAGCGAAGGTAAGGCGCACAACAGCACAGCTGCATCATCCCAAAACTGATCAATTACAGTTTGTGGTATGTGCTGGCATTCGCAATGGCAAATGCACCGACTCTTTCAAATTAACCCAACAGGTCTGGAGCTTCTGGATTTATTGGCGCAAGTCGGGCAGCTGGACGATCCTCCGGGAGCGCTGCTTGCTGCAGCCCTCATGCACAGGTGGCCCATGCTGGCGCTGCTGGCTGCCTGTCACGGCTGCGCACCGCTCCGTTGCCTGGCTGTGTGGCTGAACGCCACGCTTGGCAAGAGCAGCGCTGATGAAGGTGCGCATCAGTCATGGGTGCTTGCAATCTTCCTACCATAATCCAAAAGCTGTTGAAGCATGTGATTGGTACCTAGAACAATATGGTGAGCTTCTTGCAGGTGAATATGGGGGTGAAGGAGGAGCTGAGGCAGAGAAGGAGAAGGCAGGCGAGGTGGAGACCAATCGGGCTGCAGCGGCCTCTGCCCTGCGGGCAGCATGCAGTCAGGGCGCCTTCAAGGCGGCCATCGAGGCTGTGCAGCTGTTTCTACCTGGCTGCCCCCTTGTCGGGTGCCTGCGCTTCCTGCAGGTCCGCCTACTCGTGCGTCATCGTCTTTTGAAGCATTGTCTCGCGCGGTGCAGAACACACACCCGAAAGCCTCACGTGGTGTTTAAGCCCTGGAAATGGTGTGGGATGGACCTGTCTCACATGCATGTGGGCTGTCTGCGCAGTGCGGGGCGGGCTGCAGGTACCGAGAGATGGAGACCCATCTTGAATCTCTCACCCGCTCAATGACACCGCCCCCTGCCAGGCGTCCAGGTGTGACCCTTTGCAGCAGTGGCTTATGTGCCTCCGTTTCCTGTGGTAGCGCAGAGGCACTGCTGATGCGGTAAAGTCCAGTTGCGTTCAGCACGTGCATGATATGAATGATGGAGCATTGCATTGCTTGGCTTGTGTTATGGCGTGATCAGAACCTTGTGGGACGCAGGGTCTGCTGAGGGGGAGACAGAGGCGGCCTGGGTGATGGCTGTGACGTGGTCAGTCGCGGACGAGCTGCTGAGGAGCGCTGCCAGCGCCTGCGAGCGCCAGGTCCTGCTGAAGCGCATCGTCTCCCTCGACCTTCCCGTCCCTGGGGGCAGCGGCAGCGCCCGTTACGGGTCCGTTCTCCCCCAAGCAAACACCTTGGTGTTGCCTTACACAATATTTCTGCAACACTCAGAGTTATATATGTACACATACCGCAGGGCATGCAATCTGCTTGCAATACATACCGCAGGGCATGCAATCTGCTTGCAATATAAATGGTTAAATATTCTCCACCCTCTTGACACCCTCTCAATGTGACCCTGACCATTTGCATCTTTTCTAGTCTTCATTGCACATTCCCATGATTATGCCAAGCCAAGTGGCCTGTGCTTATTTGCCTGTTAACCTGTAAGGGATGAGTGGAAGGCAATAAAGAGCAGTTGTCTGTCGCAACATGTGCAGGAGGGTGCATCTGCTGTATGAGCTGCTGGGCGGCGAAGCAGAGCCATTCGTGGCCTGGCCTGACACCCCCAGCGAGCGCATGCCAGTCTATGCTGACGCCGGCGCCGCTTTGGCGCACATGCTTGCAAAGCAGGACTGGCAGAATGCCCGAAGGTACACATTCAAACACACTGCTCCATTCTTGTTGCCAGTGGTCAAAATGCACATGCAAATCAAGCTCTAGAAAGTTTCAAGCATCTTGAAGCTTGATCACTCGTGCAGCCTGCTGTGTTTAATCTGGTAGGCCAGACTCTGAGTAGCTGAGTTTTGAGCGCATGGTGGTGCCCAGGTGGGCGGAAGCTACAGGGCAGCAGTCACAGCAGGTGACTCTGGCGCAGGCCGCTGCGGTGCTTGCCGACTGGATGGAATTGGCGTGGGGCGAGAGGCTGCGCGAGGGCGTGTGGCAGGACATCCATGCGCTGTTTGCGGACAAGCAGCTGCCCCCGCTGCTGGCTGCGCGCTTCCTGGTGGAGCAGGCCGCCAGCCTGGCTATCTCCCCACGCGAGCAGTTCTCCCTACTGCAGGTTGGGTCTGCGGATTGCTTTGTCATGAAGTTCTCTATATGCATCGTGACGTGCCTTGAGTTTTGTATCTCCTCACCCCTGCCTATTGATGATGAATTGAGAGGCGAGGGTGGGCGTGTGAAACTCGGGGCATCCATCAGTCCATGGCCTGCCCTTTCTTGGGAGGACCCTTCCTGAAGGAGTATCTCTTGATGGTGCAGGAAGCGCTGACGTGGCTTGAGCAGGAGTCATGTACAGCGGAGCCACAGAGTGGGCTGGTGCGGGCGTTGGCGCGCAGCCTGCAGCTGCTGTCTGCCCGGCTGCAGCTGGATGGGCAGCCCGCGCCGCTGCGCGCCGGGCCCCTCATCGCGCCCTGGGCAGCAACTGCATTTGATGAAGAAGAGGCCGACGCGGATTCTGCACCTGCGTCAAGGTGCCTGACCACAATGTGTATCCCGAGCGTGCATGTCTTCTGCGCATTTGACCTCTTATTGCACCGCTCCTCAAGGAAATGTGTTGAGAGATGCAGTGCCCTGCTTTTCAGGGGTAAGGAGAGGTCTGCGAGCGGTGCAGTGCAAGCTGCAGCAATGCCTGGGATTGCAGTCGAAGGAACAGATGGGGAAGGTGAGAAGGCTGCCGTGGACGCCACACTGGCCGCTTTGCAGCAGATCCTGGGGATACCCGGCCCCAAGGAAATCACCGCCGCCGTCCGAGCACAGCTGGAACAGGGCAACGTGGTGGGTGGCCTTCCTCGCCGCCAAATAACCGTTGTGGTGTGATGCCTTATGGTCAAGACCTATATTCTCTGTAGATCTTACTCATTATCTGACGAGATGTTCCAGAGCCCTGTGTTGGACATCCTGATACAGGTAATCCAAATGATCACATCGCTAATCTTGATAAGAATGAGAACAAGTGGTCCTGTACGGTCCGCAGTGCTGAGAGTTCAACGCTGCTGTCGTTACGTTTCAGTGCCCTGTACCGGTCATGCTTAAGATAGTTTTTTCTGCTGTGCGCGCAGGCGGGTGCGAGGGCGCTGAGCCGGGAGCTGGCGTCGCCGCCGATTGAGGTGGTGCTGGTGGAGGCGGCGGTGGCAATCATCCGCCTCTGCCGCCCGCCCGGCAGCGCCGAGGAAGGTCAGTCCGTCGCGCAGGTCGTCCCTGCCGCCGTAATGAGCTTCCTACGCCGCCGGGTATTGCCCCATCAATTTGTTTTTGCCACAACATTGCCTTCAACAAATATATGCTTGCAAGTATATTCAAATAATGCACCAATCTCATTCAATGGGGTAACACCTCCTGCCAAGTGTAGCCCTTGAGTCAATCTCACCGGTCCAACATATGACGATACTCATCCTTCCAGACCAAGAGATTGCCCACCTCCGGCATGATCCCATATGCATACCTGCTTGTAAAATGTCTCATCAGGACAGGTAATGCCATCACTCTATATGACCCAAGCACGCACAGTTACATGTGCACCTGCATTGACAGACAGCCTGCAGGTCAGCTAGTCCATATTGAGATGCACCTGCCGCCACATCCAGCTAAAGGTATGTCCAGAAATTCCTCACAGGGTGTACCGCCCAACGCACTAATACTCCTTCTGACGGAAGCTGACTGTTTCTTTGTGCTGGCGCGCGCAGGGGCAGACGAGGGTGGATACTGCAATAGGAGTGCTGGAGGCGCTGCAGGCGTGTGCGGGGCGCGGCGCGGCGCGGCCGGTGTGCGCGCTGGCTGTGGCCAGCTTCCGCGCGGCCACGCTGCTGGGCATGACCTGCGCGGAGGCCGCCCGCCTCGGGCCCCGCCAGTCCCTCCAGATCCTGCTCATGAAGGGGCCCGCCGCCGCCCCGGTGCGCTGCTGTAACCCAAGACACCTGCTCGTAAATCTGGATCGTGTGGTTCTGCATGGGGATCACCTCAGCGACAGAGCAGGACATGGGAGAGACAGGTTTGTTCAAATGTAAAGACACTTTCTTTGTTTGTAACAGTCCACTCGGGCGAGAATTCCTTGACAAAAGTCGTTTTGCCGGCTGCATTGGATGGCAAGCAAAGAAACCGGCAAGAGGATTTTGACCCTCTCACATTGGGAGCCATGAGTAATAGCCGGGAAATATTTGCGGCGCAGACGGCGATAGAGTATGCGGCTGCGTACCAGATGTCGGTGGAGGAGACTGCGGACGTGCTGGCGGACGCATTCCTCAAGGGCCTCCTGGCCGCGCACCACGACGCGCGCGCCGAGTCAGCCGCCGCCTGGACGCCCGCCGGCTTCCTCAGCTGCACCGAGGTGCGCCCCTCGCTGTGAGGCCCACGCACCCTGCCGGTGCACGTGGCAAGTGCGTAGGCAAGCTGCGCTCCCTCAAAACAGTCATGTCTGTTGGGTTTTAGGGCGTCAATTGGTGGAGAGCAGCATGCAAGTGCACTTTCCTCGTGCAATGGCAGACTGAGTTGAGTCCACCACACAACGTACATTGAGAAAACCAATGCAAGGCCTGACCCTTGCATGGAACCAAATACGGATGAAGACGTGCTGACTTGACCTGGCTGAGTCAACGCGGCTGACCGGACCGGGCAGGGGCTGAGCGCGCCGGGCGTGCTGGGGAGTTCCCTGCTGGCGGTGCTGCTGGAGCGGCACGGGGCGCTGCCGCCGGACGTGGAGGCGGGCCTGCTGCTGGGCGCGCACGCAGCCTTCGAGGCCGGCGGCGCCGCCGACGCGCTGGACGTGCTCGTGCAGCTGGCCGCCGTGGCCGCGCGCGCATGGGCCGCCGCCCGCGAGTGGCGCCCGCTCGTGCACCTCGTCGCCGGTGCGTCTGTGTGCGCGGCTGTGACTAGCGCTTCCCGTGGGCGCCGGGAAAGTCTGCTGGTGGCTCTGTACATAATGCAATGTGAATGGTTATATTGCGCGCCGAGGAAGTTGGCTGATGGCTGCGTGATTGTGTCAATGGCCTGTCATGATCTGCGTCTTTTCCAGCTGGAGGGATTATCAAGCTGGTGGGCGTTGGGGGGCTGATTGTGCCGGGCATGGGTCTCCAAGGACGAGCCTGCCCCAGGACAGGGTTATCCGCCGGGTCACCCATGCCTTCCACAGTCAGTCTTGGCAGTTCCCGGCCCTACTGCGAAGGCAGTCTGCTTTCCAGCTCAGCAGGCAACGGAGTTGCCTGTCAGCAGAACAGGGGCCTGTATTAGCGGCCACATCCAGCAACCTCACAACTGTCACTTGCATGATAGTAACGGCGCGGCTGGGTGCGCAGGGCTGGGGCAGTACCAGGCAGTGCGGGCGGGCATGGACCTGCTGGTGCGCGCGGACGCTCTCGAGCTGCTGCTCAGCAAGCGCGCCGGCAGCGGGCCCTCCGGCGACATCGGTGTGTTTCCTCCCACAATTCCGTTCTGGGTCTTCCCGCCTTGTATTGGAAGCAATTGAAGCCTTCCAGATGCGTATTGTGCAGCCCCCCTTGGTAAGAAGGGGGGACTCCTCAGCCTTGGCGCGCATGGAGTCCCCAAATTCTTGGTTATCAGCCTGATTGCACATCAACCACGCACTGATAGCCACCATGTGCTTGGTCATCCTTACGAGCAGGTGCAGGAGAAGTGAGCTGGTGTGGAACAGCCTTGGTGCCATCGGCATACTGCTTAATCTAAAGTCACTGCTGCAGGGGTGCGGCTGTGGAGGGCAGCGGTGTTGGCAGCCATCCAGAGGCAGCGGCCGGGGGACGCAGAGGCGCTGTCGATCGCGCACCACCACTTTGCATGCACCCGTGAGATGGCCGCCGGCCTCCACGCTCGCGCACGGGCAAGCAGCCCCTTTCCCTTACAATACAACACACCTGCCTTCGCCAAGTTGGCAAACGCCGCATACAGCAGTGCTCTTATCCAGAATCTCCCTGCACATGGCTGCCTATTGTGCAGCGCTTTCAATGTTTATGCAGAATGTCGTCCCCATGGTCGCCTCTTCTTCAATTGCAATTTAGCTTGAATTTCTAGAACCAAAGCCCCTCCGCCTGCCGTCCCACCACCCTCTGCTGAGGTCACTCATGGCGCAGATCACCCAGCGGGCAGCCAGGAAGCTCTCGACACAAGAGTGCTTGTCCATTGTGCTTTGCTAAACCATTGGGCAAGCACACTTTGTGTTGTGGATGTCCCTGGCTAGGTTACTGTTTCACCAGTGTCACTGCACGTGCGGTGCTTCATATGACATGGGGTGTGACTTTACAGGAGAAGGCAGAGCAGGGGTTGAGGGGCCGCCCGCTGCGGCTGCAGGACTCGCTGGCGCACCTGGATGCGATGGGTTCCGCACTGGCGGCCGCACGCGCATTCTGCGACGCGGAGTGCGGCTTTGCTGCCGCCGACGCCGCCAGAACTGCGGTCAGACTGGGGCAGCAGGCCCAGTCGCCGCCCAGATAAGCAGGCGGTGTCCCTATATGAACGATAGAGGTATGCAGGCATCAAAGCAGTGCGCGCGCCAGGGAGATGAGAGGAAGGGCTGCCTCGCAAGTGCACGTCGTGCAGCAACAATACAATGATCCGCAACCCAGGAGCACTACATGACACTTTTGCAAAGACCACTTTTAGACTTGTGACTTGCGCCTTCCATGGCTGCCCTGAAGTTCTTTTCTCCTTCTGTCATGCTGACCAATTTTTTTGCCACCAAATGGCTTTCCCTTCTGGGCCTCTGCAAGTCGCCGCTGACTGCGTGATATGCATGTACTTGTTTGGTCGGCGGTTGTTGATCAGTAGAAGTAGTACTGTAAATGTATTCTTTCGCCCTCTTGACATGCATGGCAGAGGCTCAGACATTGTTCATGGGTGCTGCCTAACAGTTAAGTGACGAGGATTTCTCCGTCCAAGGCCCTCTGAGATCATCGTGATGAGATCTAATGTATGTGTACACTGAGTGGCGTTAGGCGATCAGTCTATGCTGGAACTTTGGTGCGTGAGAAGTACTCACTGAGTACATGCCATGCAAGTGCGCATAAGTAAGCGAGGCAATTACGTTTGATTGGGCATCCCAAACGTAACACATCAGCTTTACACCCCATCAGCTCTGCTGCTAGTAAGGAATATGCAATGATCATGAGTACTGAATAAGAAAGCAACGGTCCCTATGCTAATATGGGGGCAGAGCAGGAACAAAAGACCCTAACTTAGCACACAGACAATTGCATGGCATGGCACAGCAGGAACAACACTCAGATTGTCAAGTCGATATCCTTGATCAATCACACTTCTGGTACCGTTGCAAAATGAATAACAACTTCCGCAGTCCTTTGAATGAATGAAAGGGATACACCGTTGACTATTTCAGGGCAGGCCAATTGGAAGAAACACTTGCCCTTCAGGCATGCAGCAATGCTGTGATACCCGGACAAACCCATGTGCAGTCTTCTGCCCCTAGGGAATGAGATGGGCCTGCCTAAGGTTCTATTCAGTAGAACAAATGTTTATGATTTCCCCAATGCGCATAAGTAGTGAGCTAGCCCCCGTTCAAAATCAAAATGCTAATCTGGGCGACAGAGCATGACAACTCCTCTTGTGTGGGCCATGGCACCCAGATTTGCATGTTGCCGCCAAATTCATTATTGGTCTCTCCCAAGTCCCCGCAAGCACACAATCAACGTTGCAGACACATACAGTGCCTGATCATTTGCTGGCAGATTGCCTCTCCCAGCCCAACATGAACGCAAATCTCTCCGATCTGTGAAAATTGCTGCGGCATGCAGAAAATGCAGATGAACTAGCACAAGGAAAAAAACTCGTGCTTGCAGCTTCTTGAAGACGACAATATAAAAGCCAGAGCCACACGAAAGCCGTGCTTCACACGAATGTAAAGAAGTAGAGGGAAAGGGGTCAGTGCGTGCCCCCTCCAATAAAGCAGGACAGCCACTGGCCAAATCCCTGGCGCTCCTTTTGCTTTTTGGGTTCTGCCTTTTTGTTTGCTGCCTTTGCAGGGGTGCTCCTGCCCCCTCTCTTCATGGCTGAGTCAACAGAGTTCAAGCTCTTTTCTCGCGCTGCTGCCATCCTCTTTGCCCGGCACTCCGTCTCCAGGGTGAGCTCTGCTGCAGCCAGCCACGCCCGCGTCCGCCCTGCGCACACACCATTCACATTCTTCTCATTCACCGTTGCAGCATTGTCAGAAAGTCATGCCACAATACAGCAGATTGCATGCTTCCAATCCCCTCAACTTCAACACACAGAACCCCTGCACAGCGCACCGCAGTGCAGCAGCAATGCTAAAAAATGTTGCAATGTGGCAGGTGTGAGAAAGCAAAGGGGCAGAAAATATCCCACCATGAACATCCAGCTTCTCCTTGCGCGCGTGCATCTTCTGCTGGGTCTCCAGGTCGGCCAGAAGCGCCTCCGTCAGGCGCGGGCCGTTGGAATTGCTGGACCCAAAGCTCGCTTCCCCGCTCAGCCTCACACTTCTGCTGCCGCCGCCGCCCCCGGCGCGGTCCCCAGCCAGGAGCGGCTGCCGCGCAGATGCCGGCCCGGCCTGCGGCTGCGCGCGGGAGTAGCCGCCCGCGCCGGCCGCAGCCGCCGCCGCCTCGCCAAGCCTGCCGCTGGTCTGCTCGCTGCTGCGCTGGCCGCTCAGCCGAGGACCCTCCACCTGCGTCCAATTCTCTTCCTGTCACCCGCGTTTCAAAGACAGATCAACATGCACATTGCATTGCAGAAGCATTACGTCTTAAGGCCAATTGTAGCTGTGCCTGCAATCCCTCAGGAGTGCAAGTGCCAATCAAGATAAAGGCTCTAGGCAAGGCTGCAGGCAAGGCGCTCACCTGGCCAGGTGGCATGACAGAGGATGTGTAGGGTGAGGAGAGCTCTCGCTCCATCCTCGAGCCGTCCACTGCAGACGCAACCGAGCGCATGCCGCTATTAGGGGTCAGCGCGGTATTCAGGCTCAGCCCCGGCCACACCTGCAAAACACGTACACCCATCTCAGCGCTGCATGCTTAGTGACTCACATTTCACGCACAGCACGGTGTGGCACACGAGGAGGGCTGCAGGAAAGGTGCTCGCAACACGTCGTCTAGAGTGGGCATGTTGAGACACGCAGATGGGCCTCGAGGGAATCTGGGAGCAGAAGCTCTAGATCTGGCTGTGGGAAGGGGTTTCTAGTGAGCCAGTAGGCGTGCCTTGTCGGCGCAGTCGGCCTCGGTGCGGCCGCAGGAGTCGCGAGCGCTGTCGTCGCGCAGGGAGGACTTTGGCAGCTCGCCGCTGGTCGGGGCGCTGCCCGCCTGTGCGCCCGACGACCACGGCGCCGTCGCACACTTCCCATTCCCCGCGCCCGCCTGCAACACAGCCACCAATCATGCCCAGCTCAAGAGGCCTTCCGTTGCCCTGGAAGCACAGGACATGTCCCCCCACAGCACAGCGTCTTGATGGCACTGTCTTTATGCGAAAAGAATGCCTCGGGCACTCATTGAGGTGAAAAGTGTGTTGTAGGGGCCGCACCTGCGCGGCGGACGGCCCCGGCGCGGCCTGAGCGTCCAGCGATTCGCGCGTGCGGCGGCACAGCTGCACCACGCTGGTGCCCAGCTCCGCCTGCAGCACATGCGCGCGTGCATCCGCCTCCTCCGCCCCGCGCAGCCCCATCTCCCCTGTCTGCCCCTGCGCGCCGCCCCTGCCCGTATCTACCCCTCTGCTGCCACGCGCATTCTCCCGCGCAGGCGCCGGCGACGCAGAAGTCAACGGCTCCAGCCGGACGACCCTGAACGGCGCGGAGGGAGCCTCCGGAGCCTCCTCGTCCCGGTGGTATATTGCGCTGTCTGTCCGCTCGCGAAATGTCGGCCGCCCCAGCCTGGCCGCCCCGCGTGCCTCGTCCGCCAGTGCCGTCTGCAAGGTACTGCTGGTCGCAGGGCTCGCCGCCGCATCACGGCCGGCTGCCCCAGCGGCGCTGCCTGTGTCGGGGCGGACATATCCAGCGGCCCAGCTATCCCTCTCATAGCGCACGGCACTGCCGGCCGTCGCCTGCCCGGTGCCTGCTGCTGCCGCGATATCTGCGCTGCCGCCGGCTCCGGCCGGCGCCTGCGCTGCAGGGGCGGCTACCGGCTGGTCCTCCCAAGCGCTCGGGCGCGGCGTGTCGGGGGCGCCCCAGGAATCGCCGGCGGCCGCGGCGGGCGTCCGATCCCGGCTGCTCATGGGCAGCTGCGGGCTGGACTGCACGCTGGCTCCCTGCTCACACCACCCCTCTCAGTTCAAGTGCTGTATCGTTATGATAAACTGAAGCAGCAGCTCCTTTATTAAGACTAGAGCACCAGCTCGTTTACAATACAATATCCATGCAAATGTATGTGTTGAAATTTCCTGACAACAAGTGCACGTTTCAAGGGTGTCACCTGTGCGAGCATGCTGAGCGTGACAGAGCCGCCCTGCAGCGAGGGATCGGCATCGCGGCCCACGCCCAGTGCCTCCTGCAGGGGCGAAGGCGGCGGCGATTCCAGCGGAGCGGCAGCCGCAGCGGGCGAGCTGAGGGTCGAGGAACGCCCTGCCGGGCAGCCGGGCACCTCCAGGCTGCCCGCCCAGGACTGCAGGCTCGGCGCGGCCGGCAGCCGCCCGGCCGGCGCGTCCCCCTGCACGCTGCTGCCGGCCCCCATCGTCGTCTGCAGCGCGGCCATCCCGGTGGTCAGCATTGGCGACCACATCGAGCTGCTGTCCAACGAGGCCTTCTGCTCCCCCGAGTCCCCATCCAGCCCCACGGTGCTCAGCCCCACTATCCCCCCCTCGGCTGCGCGCAGCTGCGGCGGCAGCGGTGGCGGGGAATTGGTGTCTCGCGGAGGGAGCGCGGGGGCCGAGGGCGCGTCTCGCTGCCCGCTGGGCCCCGTGTTGAAGAACATGGAGGAGGGCGCAGAGGCTGGCATGCCATCGCTGGTGCAGGGCCCCATGTCACCCTCGCAGCTGGAGCCGCGCTCAACCTCCGTCTCGGAGCCGAGGCGGAACATCGACAGCTGCGACATCTCGCGCGATTGGTTCATGGGGCTGGTGGGGGTGGTGTGGGGGCTGCCTGAGATCTGAGGAGACTGCCTATTGGACTGTCGCTCTGGGATGGCCCCCATGGCATGCCCCTGCTGCCACCAGTCTGGGGGGGCTTCGCTGGAGGCCTGCGCGAAGGCGCCCAAGGGCGGCCAACACAAGCTCGCGGAGGCTGCTGCGGCGGCCGCATCTACTACTTGCGGCATACCTCTTTTCTGCCGCTGGGCGGCAGGCGGCCTTGATCCGCAGGAGTGGCTGGCTTTAGTTGACCCGCCTGCAGACAGAGTGCTCCGGGTGAATAGACATCACAGGAGGCTCCTTTTTGCATCCTGGAAGGGACCAACCCTCGCCAGAAGCCAGGTAGCAGCTGCTCAGGTGTTGCCCTCTGGCATGAGACATCCAGGATATCTGCACTTCTGGCGATCAATGATATGTATGAGAACATTACGCCGAAGGAGGTCACAATTCACGCTTTCACAGACCTCTGTGGCCTCGTGACAAATTTAAGTTAGGTCCTGGGAACACCTCCTTGGGTCCCAAGAGGCACAGCTGGCCTAGAAAAGGCTTCCAACAGCAGCTATTTACTATATTAAGTATCCCGTGCACTAGGAGCAGCCTCAGGAGAGAGCACCTGAGGTGGGCGTCCGTCATCAGAAGATCCAGCCCTATGCCCGCTCCCTCAAAGGCCCCAAGGTGATTCCTGGCAAATTAAGGCCGGAAAACTACGTCCCAAGGAGTGATAATCTGAGTGGTAGGCCAAAATGCAGTCCTGTGCTACTTTCCCGAGACTTACTTGATGTAGTAGAACCAAACTTGCACGACCCCAGTACGAAGAAGCAAACCGCCGTGCTTGAATCAACGGCTCAGGCTCTCAAGCATATTGAGAATGTCATGCGGGAATAGAACGCATGATCCGCAGTGAGCCTTGATCGCGATGCAAGGATCTGGCGGAACAACGACCGCGCTGCGCCGAGCTGGCAGGTGACTCATTCTCACTTTAAGCAGTAGGAGTCGAAGAGGAAGGAAGATTGAATCTTTCACCGGCCCATCAGATCGAGCAACTTCTGTGTATACTAAGTCGTAATTCTTGTAGCTAAAAGGCTGGTATTTTCACGGCACCTCGGCTTCCTTGAACAAGTGCATCTCATGACTACATCCTCCGATCTATGGGCTACTACTCATGCCACCGTATTGTCTTCGTAACACCTATCATTGATATCTCATTGAGCAGGAGGGCGGTGCAGACGCACTAGTCTTGATGGACTCGATCTGTGAAACTGATCCTCTTGACGGGGTGCCCATAGATGCGCCGTGGGGAGATCTAGGTAGAAATTTTACGCTAGGTCTAGTAGCTATAGGGAGCAAGTTTGTGCTCAATGTGCTCAACACCACGAGGATCACCAATGTTGAAGGCATCGAGGAGGTAGCCAATAACAGGCCCCCTGGCGTTGGCCTGCTGACAGTCTGCAATCACACCAGGTGCGTGATTATAAAGCCTCACCCGAGACATCCAAGCTTGCATATACTTTGCCGCTAGTGGGATCACCAACAAAGGAATCTGGTGTCTTTCGCCTGTAGCCTTTGTCAATATTTCCGTGCCCAACATGTGCATGCGGCTCGTTGATCGTCATGTGTCCTTGCAGTACAATAGATGACCCCGTCGTGCTCAGCGCCTTGCTGCCGTGGAAGTTCTTCTACACAGAAAGCATGCATGGGGGCAACCGGTGGTCTCTATGCGCCAAGGAGATCTGCTACCGCAACGCCTTTCTGGGGTGAGCTTCCTCAGCCCAGCAACCTTTACCCCCTATAGACACCAGCAAGGGACTGTGCCGGGGCTTCAACGGTTAAACGCCCAGCAGGGACATGGTTATTGGAATTGACTCTTGTTTCATGTCCGTGTAACCAGATGTTTCTACACCTTCCAGACACCTAGCCACATCTTGCTAGGTCAGCCTACCCGTCACTCTCCAGCGCCGCTTTTCCAGGTCACGTGATCATGTTTGTGCACAGGGGGTACTAAATATTCTAGAGTCCCCTGGACAGTAATGTATTGCGCCCCCTGAGCTGCATGTGCTGAGGGTGGTTGTGTGGCGCGCCAGGCAGTTCTTTCTGAGCGGCAAGACGCTGCCGATCGAGCGGGGGCGGGGCCTGCAGCAGCCGGCGATGCAGACGGCGGCGCGGCTGCTGGGGCGGGGGGACTGGGTGCACGTGTTCCCAGAGGGCCGCGTCGGCTATAGCGGCCGCGTGCAGCCCTGCAAGTGGGGCGTCGGCAAGCTCGTCTGCGACTGCGTCGCTGAGAGCGGCAGGTTAGTCACATTTCCTCTTCTTCCTTCTGCTCGTTATACAGCTGCCACACATGCCTGTGCATCAGAGCTCTGCCTCACGCATGCTTCCAGAGGCCATCCTGTGACCCCGTGAAACCCCTGGATCCGAGGAGGGTGCAGCGAATTTTCCTGGGGATGCATGCATTGCACATCATGCGCTGTGTGTGAGAGCAGGGCTTCTGCATGGCTCTGCTTGTCTAGTACAATAACATGTGGAGGTGTTGACTTACAATGTGCAATTGTTGAGCAAGGGGGTGGTGAGAGCAGATCTGTGCACATTCGCAGGAACCCGGTGATTTTGCCCTTCTACCACAGTGGGATGGGGCGGGTTATGCCGGAGCATGGGCGGATTCCGCGGGTGGGCCGCCAGGTGGACATCACCGTTGGGCAGCCCCTGGACGTGTCAGACCTCACCTGCCGCTGCGGCCAGCCCGGCACCGACCAGAAACAGGCGCGCCACCTGCCCCATCCAGCTCACCTGGCCGACCTTTCTTCGCTGTCGCCTTTTTTTGCAGCGTGTTTGCAGACGCACCCTGTCTCTGGCAGGAACAGCATGGCAACATGGTAAATGATATGATAATACTGAAGTTGGCGCCTCTGCGACTCACAAGTCAACAAAGCTGATCGGCGCCCCAGGAAGTTCAGAGGGGCTGGCCAACAGCATGGCACATCTTGCATGGACTCTCTTAGTGCGCGCACAGCATTAATGGCAAGGTGTTGAATGTTCATGTGCTCGCTGTGCAGGTGTGGAAGGACATAACGGAGCGCGTCTGCCAGAGCCTGCAGGAGCTGGAGGCGGCATCTCCTCCCAACGCAAACCAGTTGAAAAAGAAGAGTCTGACACAGGAGGGCATTGAAGCTGATTTGCGCAAGAAGGATCCTGTGCTGCCAGAGCGATGAGTTGCTCCTGCAGTCATCGGTGTGGATGAATCTGGATGCAGTGGTAAGAAAATGCGCAGTTTAAGGGCACATGCCCTTTTGACTAACATGTCTTTTCATGTTATTTATCGCACACCGCATGTTCATTGAATATAAATGTTTGTTAAGCTGCACAGTGTCACTGGGTTTGAAAGTTTTCATGCGTTTTATTAGAACAGGAATTTGTCAAAGATGGGAGATAACCCACAACGCATGCACCCTCATGACCCTGCTTGTGGAAATTGGTGGTTTAGGAAGAAAGGAGGAGGAAATGGGGTTATTAGATCATAGGTCATTAGCACTATGCTTCTTACGAAGATGCCAGCAGCAGTGTAAGCGAAGATGCACCTGGGAGAACCTTGCCTAATTTAGTTGGCACCAGCACGGTGGCACCAGCCCATTCTTACACACCCATGCACGCAAAGATTGGCACTTTCAGCAACCCTGCAGTATTCCTGTTTGTTCCAAGTCAATGTTTCATCCTTTGCTCGAGTTCGGGCCCCACTTCTGCACCCAGCTAGCAGCACCATACAGTGTGGTCCATACTCAAATTGGTCTTGCTACAGGGATGCTTCGTGGCTATAGGAGCTGTGGTCATGGCCATGTTCATAGCCGCTGCTGGGGGACGGGTGGGGGTCTTCCTCATAAGGTTCGGTGATGACTCGCCAGATGAATGCCAGGGTGTGCCAGCTCAGCCGCAGCGCTGTCAGCAGCACTGGGATCCATATTAGCGTCTGCACCTCGGCCAGGCACATGCCCCAGGGGTTGCGCATATTTATGCCACCCCTCTTTCGCAGCACCTCCTTTGCATGCTGCACAGCAAGACACTCTTCATCAGCAGAGCAGTCTTCCTCACAGAATGCATGATGCGCGAGGGTTTCTTGAATAACGCCGCAGGTGCGACCCCAAAAGCTGCCTCTGTGGTACCTTCTAGCATAGGGTATGCACAACTGCAATTGACATAAACACCGTTCAAGCACATAGGATATCAGTAAAATCAATTGTCTGGCAGAACACAGCAGAATTACAGCCGCAGCACCTGCACAAGGCCTCCCTGTGCTGTCTCCTCCTCTGTGGCAGGCCGGTCGAGACCAAGGGCACCGTTGGCCGCTTCCGAGGCGTGCACGAGAGCGCGCACAAGCCAGGCTATCTCGTTCGACGCTATGGGCCGCCGCAGCGGGTCTCCCCTGTAACCCAGGTCCTCCCGTCGTCCCAGCCTTAGCGCCTGAACATGACAGAACGCAACATTACTCGCGGCAGTCCATTCCTGGAGCTTGTCACGATCTGCTCTGCAGAACCACTGCACAGTTGCAGCCCTGAAAATAGGCCAGTGCAGTCGCTATATCATGCCCAGACTCCACCAGGGCTCTATGGAAGCCCACACAGACCGCCGCTTGCCATTCCAATCATACTGAACGAGAAGACACACCCGGACGTGCGGCAGCGGTTGCGAGGCGGCTGCGGCGGCGCCAGTCGGCTGCGTGGCGGTGGCCTCAGCGGCGCGCATGGGCAGCACGGCGGCGGCCAGAGCGCGCACATCGGCCAGCAGCGAGTCGCGCCCGGCCCCGGCCGCGGCTGTCAGAACCTCCTGCGCCTTTGCGGCCGCGCCGCCCGCCTCCCGCGAAAACATCTGCAGCTCTGGCAGCGCCTGTGCAGCCAGCAAGGCATCCTTCAGCCCGCACGGTCACAAGCTGACAGGTGACGCGGCTGCCATGCAGTCTCGAGCACCTTTTAAACCCGTGCAGCCCTTATCAATGCACTGGTACTGGGGCTTTTACGTGCACGCACATTTGCAACAGCAAGACTGAGCGCCACGTTGGGGCTTGCTGGCAGAACTCGTTGCAGTGGAGTGAGACTTCCTCAACACTTGCCACTTTCAGCAGCAGGTCCTGAGCATTTACAATGGCGCGCTCTCGGCGTGAGCAGCGTGCCTTGGCAAGGCAGAGGAAGGGATCCAATGCTTCCCAGGGAGGGAACACTCACAGAGGAGGTGGGAGACCCGGCGGATGACGTGGCGAGCGCGGCGGCTTCCCAGTCCTGCGCCTGCTCAGCCAGGAAGGGCAGCAGCTCCGCGTAGGGCCCCTCCGGTCGGCGGCCGGGGTGCTGCAGGAAGCGTGCGTAGTCGTCCTCCACCGCCGCGATCAGCTCGCACAGCTCCGGCGCCTGCGCGAATATCAACAGCACCTGCGCAGCGCCACACCCTCTGCTTCAAGCATGTGTTGACACAAATGAGCGCTGACAGTCTGGAACATGTCCAGCTATTGAATGCTCTTGCATCAACGAAGGTCTCAGAGCAACGCGGGCAGAGCTATGCAAGAGGTCTCGACTCAATTCTTTTACTGCCTCCGCATGAGGTCAGGAGTACCCAGTACCCAGAAGCCTGTAAACCCACACAGACCAGCATGCTGCAAGATGTACAGCGCAGAAGGGCGTACCCGCTTGAGGCCCTCCAGGGACTCGTCGCAGCGGAAGGAGACGCGCGAGCGCGTGAATTCCAGGAACAGCGGCAGCAGCAGCGAGTAGAAGGGCATGTTTGCCAGCACGTGGGACTGCCACTGCGCCCCGCTGAAACGCCCCGCCGAGGCATCCCTGCGCAGCGTGAAGACCATCTCAAGCTGATACCCAACACCAGATAATCCCCAAGCACGCATGTGCATCATCGTGGCGTATCTCCCATGAACATGGTCCTTCTGCCAATAAAAAAGAAGCCTGCAGCCGCTCGCTGCGCATCCTGCATTTATGGCACGCAGCCCACGACGCACGCATGGACGGCTGGAGAGCGCACCCTTGCTGTTGCTGGGGTTCTCCCGGCGCGCGGCGCACGACAAGCTCGCCCACGTGGCTGAGCTGCCGCCTGAGCGCCTGCGGGGCGCCCCCCGGCGACGGCTGCGGCTGGCCTCCCCCCGAGGCCGCGGCCGTGGCGCCGTTCGGCGGCCACCACGGCGCAATATATGCGCACCTGCGCTCACACCACCGCCGTCATGATAAAAACCAGATGATCGGGCACAACCCTGGAAGCCCAACTGAAAGACTGGGGGAGACTTCTTGAGAGTTGTGCCGTTGGCTGAACAAGAGTGAGTTCTGCAGAGCATGGGGCCGCTCACCAGAGGTGCACGATGGGGGTGACGGCGCGCTGCTCCGGCCACTGGGTGAAGGCCCTGCGCAGCAGCCGGTACAGGTTCCGAGCGAACGCCTGCGCGCATAGCTCTCTTAAAATCCTGCTGCAAGGGAAAATTTAGGGGAGCTGGGAAAGACAAATGATTGGTGAAGAGGAGGAAGGTAGGGCTCCACCTGTGCAGGAGGGCGGGCGGCTGCTCCAAGACTGGGCGGCAAGTACGGAGTCCCTACAACTCGTGGCACCTGCACAGTCCAGATTACTGATCCCTTCATCACATCCTTGGATCCATCACAAAGATTTCTTACACATTTAGCACTCCTCGGCGCTGGGCAAGGCACAGTCAAGAGCACTGGTGCAGCAGTGCACGTTAGAGCACTTCTTTGCTATTCTATTGATTCCCGACCCAAATTTTCAAGCTGACACTTCCATCAACATCTTGGTAGCTTCCTTGATTTGTCCTGCATCAAGTCATGACATACCTGCATGGAGACGAGGGGCTGCACTGGAGACAGCGGCAGCCATGCTGAGGCGCCGGCCTGCGCAAGGCTGTAAGCACCGTCCTTGCTGCCGGGCGTCTCCACCGACACAACGTAGCGCGCCAGCACCACCAGAGCCCCCACCAGATCCTCGCCGGGGGGATCAAACGACACCGCCCTGCAGCCCATCCAAAGCACCATGCAATTTCCTATGTGCACCGTCATCAATCCAGCCGCCATCATCCACAAGACAATCACTTGGCCACACAGCCATGCCCGCAATGAATGCCCTGCAAGATGAATCAGCGATCTTGCAGGGCTTAGAGACCACCTTCTGAGCTCTAGTTTGAGGTGATCTCTTGACATTGGAGAGATGACCTCACTGGATAACAGTGATCAGATCAAAAGAATAGAGAATGAGGAAGGAGGGGCCGAGAAGGACCTGAGGGAGGAGGATCGTGCGGAGAGGAGGCCGCCCCAGCTGTCGTTGAAGTCCCGCCAGCCGTCGCGGCCGCTGCGCGCATTTGGCGTGTTGGGACCGCTGCCGCCGCCAGGCAGGGGCGCTCCGGGCAATGGGCAGTCGCCGTCGGCCATCCAGAACTCCATGAACACCGACAGCAGCAGCTCGCCACGCGTTGGGTGCTCCTGCGCGGCCGGCCGAGCAGCCGCCGCCGCCGGCAAACCCATCAGCATCTGCGACGACCCCGCTGCTCCCGACCCCCGCAGACCTGGCGCACAACGCAGACATAACAAATGTAAGATGTACCGGGAAAGGAGGGATGGGGTGCCGGTCAGCCAACAATTCTCACAGATCCGGGCCAATCTGACAGCTGAATTATTCACCGCGCGAGCCTCGGCAATACTCAAGCAAGGTGGTCGGGGACAGAAGCTGCTCACAGCAGAACGTCCATGACAGTGCGAAGGATTCTGCGGGCTACGCACCATTGCTGCGGTCTGCAAGCCTGCTGGCATCGTCACGCGGCAGGAAATCCTCCAGATACAGCCGCAGCAGGCGCAGGTAAGGGTGCCCCTCCACTGGCTCCTGGCTCCTCGTCAGCCCCAGTGTCTACGAAAGTATACAAGACGTCAGCTTTTTACACATTTATGTAGCCATATCCTTCACATATACATGGGACAGCAGGCATTGCCCACTGGGTTGATGTGGGCCTTCTTTGCCCAGTTATAGATTGAGAATAATTCTCAAGACGGGAAGGTCCTTGGAGGGACATAAAGGGGGGCACTAAAGCACCTTTTTGACAGAGCCGAAGGAGGGGTTGAGGTGGCTGTAGAGGGCGGCGCGCGTGGGTGCAGCGAGGGACTGCGCCTGGCTGCCGCGCAGCACATAGAAGGCCATCCAGAAGAGGAAATAGGAGAGCACGTTGAGGTGGATCTGGGTGCGCCCTTGCGCGTCCTGGAATATGCGGCCCCTGTACTGAGGCCAGCGCTCCAGCTCCTGCCTGCTCAGCACAAGACAATTGTTTTTGTTTCCCTGTACGGTGAAACAATGACAGGATAGAAGCCGAAGGTTGGGGCGAGAATGATTGCGTTTACCTGCCCCCCTCTGATGCAAGAAGAAGCTGCGTGTGTGTGGGGAGGCGCTCTAGGGGGAACATGAATTTGATGAGCCCATCAGCATCCGCGCTGTGCATGGCCCTGAACAGCTTGCCGTGGGGTGAGAGCAGGTCCTCAAGGGCTCGCGCATTGGCCTCCTCGCCACTCTGCGACAGTACACATGATGGTAATCATCTAACATACTGCTCATGGTGGTCCTGAAAGTAGAAAGTGCAGAGTGTCTATGATACACACTGGACTTGCCTGGGCAACTTGATCCAGCCAGCTGGATCCATCATAGCCAAAAATCTGCTTCAGGAGCTGAGAAAAGCACTGCTCGAAGAATCCACGGTAGTTGTCCCTGGTGCATAGCAAGGTCCTTTCTAGCTATCATCAATGGAGCAGCTTGTGATGCATGGAGCAAGGTATGGACCATGCCACCGAGCTCGCCCACCTGTTGGCGTCTAAGCACAGCTCAACAGCCTGGCATTTCTTGCGAATGGCCCAGCGGCTTTCAAGGGCCTGATTCAATCCAGGGAAGGTTGTATATGCAGCATCAGACATGTTGATCCTTGGCCTCTAGATTCAATTTATCCTCCTCCAGGTCTTGACTAATATGTGCCAATACCGTCAATTATCTCTCAATATTTATGAATATAGGTGACCATCGCCATAGGCCAGCAGGTGGTGATGGAAACATTTTCACAGCTCCGAAAGTGGAGAGAGCACCAAGATGAATTTTGTGCTATATGACGGGAGCCCAAATCCAGAGATCTACGTGCTCTCAATGACAAGTTCTCATTATCGTTTTAACGAGGGGCAATTCACGGCACCAAGGACTCCTGGTGCTGCCCATTGCGGGCAGCGCACACTGCCCAAATTCGGGTTCCGCCGACCACCGCATTCGTCATCACTAGAACGGACGTAGCAAGATTTCCACCTTGGACATTCTTTTCTGCTAGGGAGTGCGTGTTGGGGAATTGGGAGGATCCTGCAGTCTAAGAATGGCAGCTGTGTGACCCTGATGCCACTAAGGGTCGTGTCGCTCCCACTGGACTACGAAGACGTGGACTTCGATGCCGTGCTGGATCTGGCTGCGCCCAACATTCAGCCTCGAGGGGGTCTATCCGACAACGTCATCGGCATGCCTCTGATATAAGTAAGAGTCTTCGTCTGGGACGCAAAGTGTAGTACAATAACATGGTCCCGTCGCAAGGGGTCCATTGCATGTACATTTGTCTTGAAAGCCTCTAAGCGAGTTTCTTGGTAGGATCATAAAAGGTGCCCCCTTTGCAGCATTTCTGATTGCCCCTTCCGAAAAAGTCCAGGCCATTTGTCTAAGTGGAAAACCTTTGGGTGGATGGCTGCTGTAAATGCAACCTCTTTGGTCTGAGGGCCTAGATCAAGGGCACGCCACAATAAGAGTTGTTTTTGAATTGCTGGTGTGCATTTCATGCAATCTGACACATCATCGCGTCTTTCAGGATCAGGAGCCGGGAGGCAGGGGAAGGCATAGCAGCCGCAACAGAACCGGCCAAGGCCTGGGGAGCACGGACTTGCCTGTGCAGCGCAGGCAGCCCAGAAGAGCCCAGAGCAGGCTCGTGGTGCCACTCGAGCAGCCGGAAGCAAGCAGCTCAGATGGGAAGGAACCTGTGCGAGGCAGCGATGCTGACGGCCTGAGAGCCATCAGGAAAAACAACCGGTAGGCAAATGCCTTTGTCTCCATCTGTCCTCTTTTATCTCACTGCTTTGTTGAGCATGCAATGCATGCCATGCATGCCCCTCGAGACACTGCCCGTTCTGGTGACGATTTGGAAGGTTGTCTGTCAAATGCCTGTGCATGACATGGGCTGATCTGGGCCGCGCAGGCGCACGCAGCAGAAATTCCGGGACCGGCAGAGAAATCACAAGCTGGCGGTGAGCGAGAGCCGCGCAGAGGAGCTGCAGCGGGCGCTCGACCGGCTGAAGCTGGAGAGATCGGCGGTGGCAAAAAACCAGCGGCTCCAATGGTTGGTGGAGAGTGCCCTTTAACCCAAGCAGCTGCCTCGCACAGGGAGTGTTCCTGACAAGGTGCGAGACAGTCCCCGCTGGCAGCTGTTGGTGACCATGGCGCCATGATGACCATGGAATGGAAGACTGCTGGGGTGGCTGCAGGCCCGTTGACAGCAGCAGAATGGACAGATTCTCACTAGCATTTTGGGGCTGCTGCAGGGGATTGGGCAAATTCAGCAGGAAGAGGCTGTCGGCAGTGGCGGAGCGGGCACCAGCGCTGGTGCTCCTGCCACCCACCTCAGCATAGGCAGAGGTGCGTGCCCATTGCAGCCTAGCTTTCCATGATCAAACTCCTCAAAGCAGTGCTTTCACTGCTGGATCAGACGGCCCTCTGCCGCAACACTTACAACTAGAGTCCCTTGCGCGCCCCTCGCCCCCGACCGCCCTGCACCCCGGCCGACACAAGAGCTTCTTTTCTTCATCGTGATTTTTTGTGTCAAGTGTGTACGATGGCATTCAGAAGATCAGCATATCCTGACCTGGAGTTCGGACTGTGAATTGTAGGTCTAGGGTAGGGAGGGCCACATTAAATCCCATGTCGAGTTGGGGTCGGGAAAAGGCCACAAAAGAAGAACGCCGCTCGGCGAACATATCTCGTGCGTCACGCGGTAGAGACTCTACCGTCAGCATAGCACCCATTTGAGCCCACCACACAAACTTCTCATAATTTGGAGGAGGATTGCTCAAGTAGTCTGCGCAGGGGCGGCGCAGACACGATATGAGGCTTGTGCTCAATGGACAACTTTGACGATGACATTTTGGAAGTGGAGAGGCTCTTGGGACTCACCACCAGACAGCTTGTCCGCACACGCCTCGTGTTACTCTTGTCAGACCTCCAGAAGGTATGCAGGTTTCACGTATAGTGTTGGCAACACCGCACAAAGCTCTGGCGAGCTCTCGCTGCTGGGCGACGCGTCGCAATGACTTATTGACTCAAATTTTAGCCTTGCAAGCGAGCAATGCAGCAGTCAGGAGATCCCTGCCCCTGGTAGAGGGGCCCCTGATACCACTGGCTTGCTTTGCAGAGTGTTCTTTGGGGCACGAGAGCTTCTGATAAGACGTTTGATCATACCGAGGTTTGTATTGTGATGCAGCAGCCTGCTGGTTTCGGCAGCTGTGCCTCATGTGGACATTCGCAGCACAGTTTCTTTTTGGCATTTCTGTCAATGGCACCTTAGAGTTAGGAGGACGTCTGCGGTTCGAAGGTGTCTAAGGCAACGCGTGACTGCCGGCAACACGCGCCGGATCTTGGTCTCTGGTGTGTCCGCCGCCCTGCTTTCGCTATCGATATGCTGTGCCCTCGAAGCTGGAGTTTTGTATCTCCGTCACAGAAAATTCGGCTTGGAGGCCGAGCTAGAGTCCCAATTTCCTCAACTCGATGGAGGGTGTCGTACAAGTAGATTGCCGTTAGAAGGCCTCAATTTCGGCGCAATTGCACGACGCGTGCATCACGTTTCTATTTGTTAATTCTTTCCAGCAATTGCTGGATGAAAGCAGTGCTCGGGTGTCGACTAGAAGTGGGAGCTTATCGTGGTCATGGCGTGGCAGCCGGAACAAGGAGGTCTTGACACAATAAGGTTTAAGCAGCGTCGAAGTAGCTGTGAACAACCAGCGTACCCTTGGTAACGTGCTGTTACTACCAGGCACGAAGCGGATTGCAGAGAATCGTTGGGAGAGCATGTCGAGGCATGCCGATGGGCATTTTGCACCATCAGCCTGAAGGCCTGCTGTGCCCTTGCACAGGAGAAGCGCAGGCGTGAAGTCGCCCTCGCCCCTTTTCAAACAGCCGTCACGGGCGCACTGCCATTATACCGCAATGCTCAGCGGCCAGGCGAACCACTTGGGCTGGGCCAGGTGGATCCTGTGAGGCAGTCCTTCCCAGGCCTGACCAGCCAGCCCTCTCTGGGCAATCCGCTGGTGGAGGGGCTGCAGAACATGCAGGCCGTGCCAGGTGCGGCGGCGTGCTTGCATCGCCCTCTTCTCACACTGTGTTCTATGCACCAGATTTGCATGTACCTCGGGCCGTTTTTCTGGCCTCTCTAGCGCACGATAGACAGGATGCCGCCCCTGCAGGGCTTCAACCTAACCCCATGCAGCTGGATTATGGGATGCCGCAGATGTGGCCAGGGCCGCCTGGGGGCCAGCAGCAGCGCCAGTACTCCGGCAGATCCGACGCCTCGGATGGTGGTTGCCCGCCCCTGCCCACCTCTCCCTTGCTGCATGTCATTCTCTATCGCCATGGCGGCCTGTTCCTACCATCATGTGGATCCCTAAAGTGTGCCAGTGAAGGCAGCCTCGAAGCGTGCTTGTCTGCTTGCTGTACGATGATGGTTTCCTTTTCTGTAGTCCTTTGTATTGCATTTGCCTGCTCTGTAAGGTGCAATTAAAATCCCTTTGCTCTTGTAGTGCAGGGGGTGAGCCGAGGGGTGTGTGATGCACGCAGGGGGAGTGTATATGCCGCAGGGGCACACGAGTCCGGGGGCGCTGGTCTCCCCGGGGCCGCTGGGGGGTGCGCTGGCGAACCCGTGGCCGTTTGGTTACGGCGCTACGGGCCCGGCGGCAGGGTCGGAGGGGTACTGGGTGCTGACGACGTGCTCGTGGGAGCAGAGTGACACGATGGTGAAGGTGTACGTTCCCCTGCGCGGCGTGCAGACCGACATGCTGCGCACCACGTTCACGCCCACCTCCGTCGAGGTGACTGCCCGCTCAGTCACCTGCGCGCATCTTTGCCGTGGCGAGAGCGTGGTCAAGAGACGCCTGGTATGCTATGAGAGTGGTAGTTGACGATCAGCAGGAGTTCGGTTTGTTGATACGCCGGGAGGACTTGGCATCTCTGTAGGACTAGTGCTGCTTGCATGGCTTGCTTTTTGTGGTCGGAGGGGGCTCTTTGATGCTCTTGATACTTCATACTCAGCTGTCAGCATCGCTGACTCAGCAAGGCATTGAGCAGACTTGGCATGCGTCAATGCCGTGCTAGTTGGAATGTGTGCACTGGAGCTCACCAGTATCTGCTGTGCGGCTGCGCAGGTGAAGGTGCACGACCTGCATGGCAAGAACTACATCTTCACGCTGACACCCACGTTCCAGCCCATCGCCGAGGACGGCTGCGTGGCGGTGGCCTCCAAGACAAGGAAGAACATCCTGATCACCATGCAGGTGCGCCCCAGCCCAGTCCACTAAGCCTGGAAAGAGTTGAAATCTGAGTTGTGATTTGACCGTCTCACTCTGGCTCTGAAGGCACCAGAAGATTCCTGCTGGATTCTGATTGTGGATGCTGTGCTGTATGCATCTTCCCAGCGGTAGTGCCAATTCCTGGTTCTGCCTTGATCCGAAAGTCCGAAATCCGAAGCTGCGCAGCCAGGGTGTGATGGAGTACCGCATTTCCTGAACGGGCAAGGACAGCGTGCTGATTGCTGAGAAGACCCATCTGTGTCATGCAGAAGCTTCAGTCCCTGACTCAGGACGAGAGGCACTGGCGGGACCTGTATGGCGACCGCAGCCAGCTGACCATGCTCATGTGAGTCTCTGGCGAGGACGTCGCCCACACAAAACCAAGCTGAGGCCATCTCAACCGCCCTCAGCGCCAGCCTGCCAGGCCAATTTGCCTGAGATCTCCCGCTGCAGGCTGGTCATGTGACGCCGGCACAGGAGGCTTGGAGCGCTCTGAATCCAACGGGGCTGGAAAGTGTCCATGCCCCTTCGTCCGCATATTTCAGAAGTTTGAGGCTGGCTTGTCGGTGCTCCAAGCGAGCAGGGTGCACCCTTGTGCCTGGCGGCCTTGTGTCCCGGTGACATGGCCCCCCGAGTTTTCTGTGGGGGGTCGAGCCTACCACGGGACTTGCTGCGGGTGCAAGGGAGTGTTCGGGTACCTTGTTTCCTTTTTTCTCGACCCTGGTCCTTCCGGGTTCTGGCACTGAGACGGGGTGATGGGGCAAAACAATACCCCCCCGGCCTGCCAAAATTTGCATGACAAGTGGCGCCTGCTGGATCCAACATTTGATGGGCTGCTTTTGGAGCGCCCGGTCCCCCGAAAAAGTCAAGTATTTTGAGCAGTGGTGGGAGGAGCGCGCTGTGCATGCATGCAATGGAACCGCCAGGATCTGTCTGGCGGGGATTGCAAGGTGTGGGTGCAGACTCTTTAGGGGAGTATCGGCTGTCTGCTGGCTTTGGGGATGCATTCTATCTTTGTTTGCTCTTGAGATGGGGCTGCAACCCCTCTCCTGCTCCTGCCCTCGTTTCCGGGGGATCTGCAAGGGAGCCTCTTGAAGACTTTATTAGATATATAAGCGCTGGCCCTCCTGCAGGCTCTGCTCAGCTTGCCCCCCTTATTCATTTGCAGTGCCAGAGTCAGATTGCAGGAAGAATTGGGCCAGGGGGGATTGAGCAGTGCCGAATGGAGGATCGCCAGGGGAATATGGGCTTTTGCACCCCTTTTGGTGGGGTGCGAGCTCAGGCTCAGATTGATAAGCCTTTGTCCTGAATCCTGGCATTCTTTGTTGTTCGATCCAGCGAAGACAAGCAGGCAGAGTCACACGCGGAGACCTCGGGATCTGTTGGATTGAACAGGTTATGCTGAGACTGTGGGGAAGGCCGTCAAGTACTGGGCGGACTTGCTGCTCAGTGGCACTGCCTGCCCAGTCAGAAAGCTAATCTGCAGTCAGATGGCTGGAGTCTCCCAACATGCAGCTGTCTGTGTGTTGGGGAGCAGACACCCTGTGGTGGCAATGCACGGTGTGAGAAGATGTGGTCAGTGGTGGAGGAATAATGGCGACCTGAAAGATGTACCGTAAGATTGCATGGTGACTTTTTATGTTGTGGTGCATGCGCTATGCGGAACCTTCTGCTGCAGGCATCAGAGGAATACGATTATTCAGAGTACCTGTCTGAGATTGTGGAGGCGTGATGCAGGGACTGAGCTGCAATTGTGCAGCAGGTGATCCCCCTGTGGCATTTTTAGTCTTTGGCCTGCGCTGATGTGTCGAGAGTGTGTCTGGTTGATATGCAGAGGCGAAGGTGACTGGTGCAGCTCTGCTGCTGCAAGTCATCGTGCAAGCCCAGACTTGTAGTTGCTTCTGAAACCGGTGTGACCAGGTCAATTTGCGGATTCAGGATTCCAGGAATGAGACAAGAAGGCAGTTTAGGTTCAGAAGAACAACATATTATTGTTGGCTCCTTTTCGTGCAGTGTTGCCTTGAGGCATTGTGCGGGAGAAGAAAGGCGTTGGCCAGTCTCAGTATCTGGCCCAGATTTATACATTCTCTCTGTCGAACCGCTGCTGGACTGCTCAGGGGAAGTAGGTATGCATTCTGAATGCTGATTTGTTGGATCCAATCTCACCAAGGCGTCGAATGGATTTGAGGGTATGGTCAAGGATTGATATTACATATTCATTTGCAGCATGATCCTGTGGACTTCCTGTATGACACTGAAGAGACCTTGATTGGCTATTGCGGTATGTTCCTAGATTCTGAGCGCTTTGTGTGATAAGTATCGAGCTCAGGTCGAAACCAAAGTGTTCAATGCAGAGCGTGTTGATGACTTGGCACTAAGGTGTGCAATATTACTTCTGCTCGCAAGACGATCAATTGCAGCAACGATCACCAAGAAGACAGCATTATGTGCATGCAATTGCCATTGCCAAAATGGGCGAAAATAAAGGCCTTGCACCTTGATCGGCGCATACATCAGATTTTGTTGACATTCCTGAGCTTGAGGATGTCATCAGAGCCAATCTGTTACACGTGCCACACAAGTCAAAAATGATTTTCAAATTGGAAATAGGAAACTGAACGCGTTGCGCGTACGCGCAAAACCATCAAAAGACATGATCAGTGCCTCTGCTGCATTGAGCAGAACACCCAGACAAAGAGAGCCCAGAGTGTCCACCCAAAATATTATTGCTTTTAATTTGTCTACAATACAATGAGCGTTACTTTGCGAGTCCTGCTGACACACAGCTAGGACGCTAGTGGCAGGGGCTCTCAGATTGGACTCGATCTGTCCGTCACATTGCTGCCTGCAAGCCCTGCCACGGATTTGAAAAAAAGAAGGAAAGAAGCTTAAGCTTTCGGCTTGACAATCATCCAGACAATCATCGGGCCAAAACAATTTTAGCTGTGCTTGTGCATGTCAACACGTCTTGAGCCATAACCAGTCAACAATACAACTTGTGATCAAACACATCTTTCGACCACAGGTTGCAGCCTCCATCCATTTGCGACCATGCACGGGCACCCATCATAACACACATGAAGGGCGCAACACATTCCCGGTGTCTCTGCAATATGGCAATTGGCCTGCCAGAAATCAGAGTCGATTGCGAGCGAGACTTAAAACGTTGTTAACTCAAACACCAATTTTATCATCCAAGATCTGAACTGCCCACACTTGAGTGCTCTACAGCCCCTGGCTCCTGTCTGTCTCAGCCACTCCCCTAGAGTAGCACTTTATTTATGTTCACTCAGCCGCCTTTATTTACCACGGCCAACTCACATGGGAGAGTGGAGTGAGTCCAAGTGCCATGCCTGGGGCCGTCCAGAGGATCGGCGGTGCACAAGGTGGAAGGGGACATTGCGTGTTCCCCTCCGGGGCCCCAGGCAGTCAGGGCAGGTTGCCACTGAGGGCGCGCTTGCGCGCGGGCTCCGCCAGCGACGCCGAGGCCGAGCGCTTGCCCAGCGACAGCAGGCCGCCGGGCTGCAGCTGGTGCACGCCGCGCGGCAACGGATGGTGACGCCACTTGTACGGCATGAAACCCTGGCTCTGATGCGCATGCCCGCTGACGGACACCGAGTCCGCGCCGGCGCCGGCGCCGACGGGCGGCTTGCCGGGCCGCGGCAGGACGCCCGAGGCGGCCGTCGGCAGCGCCGCGGCATCGGCCAGGCCGGCCCCGACATCGGCCGACGCCCACGGCACCATACCGGGCGCGTGCGGCATCGCGTCAAAGGAGGCCATCCCCGACTGCGCCGACAGGAGCTCCCTAGCACCTGCCGCGGCACCAAAGAGGTCAGTGCAACAGACTCGACTTTCTGCTTGCAAAAGCGCACATGTGCTAACGCATAAAGTAACTTGGAGGGACGTGCAGGAATACTGTCCAGAAAGCAATATTGGCTGGGAAATACGGTTGCAGGAGGATGTCGCACCAGCGCTGTTAGCTGGAATGGCGGAGGGACGGGGTCTGAGCGCGGGGGCCTGCAGGTGTCCAGCCTGCTGCCCAGCCAGCGCCTGGAATCCCATGATGCTGCTGAACATGTCCAACGCTGACATCTTCTGGCCGCCCCAATTCATCATCGCCGCCTGCACGGCATACCTTAGCTCCTCAGCAACATGCACAACTGAGCACAAGAATGGCCAGAATCTCTGGCACATCAAAGACCTGTTATGTCAGCCAGGTAAGTTGGGGGTGCAAAAACACAACGCAAGACACGAAAGGCAAGAGTTGCAAACGCCAAAAAGGCGATCCATGGATGACTAAGGGGTGTGCACACCTGCTGCAGCTGCACGATCTGGGCATTGTACTGCTGCTGGAGCAGATAGGGCGCCAGGCCCGATTGCTGCAGCGCTGATGCCGCCTGCGCCATTTGCGCAGTGTCCATCAGGCCCTGCACGTCACAGAGATTTCTGTGAGCACCGGCATCATCCATATGCAATCCCCAGCATTGCACAGTAACACTGCTAGCAACTCTGGGAGTGTGGCTGACAAGCAGACCAACACTCAGACCCACACATACGTGCAAGTATAGGACGGAAATAATCTCTGAAAGACCCTCCCTGAAAGGGCTGCAAGCGACAGTGCAGCGCACCTGCGCGCCGTTGAGGGCGGAGAAGTCGGGGGCAGCAGCCGCAGCCGGTTGCTGAGCCAGGAAGGCGGCGGCTGCTGCGGCGGCGGCTGCTGCCGCGGCGGGGTCGGCCGGCTCGCTGCTGCCGACACCGTGGGCGCGCGGCTGCGGGTGCTCCAGCGATGTGCAGCCTTCATCGCTGCCCTCGCGCTTGCTCAGACCTGTTGGAACTGTCGCGCCTGTGGCACAACCGCCATCAAACAAGGCACCAGCAGCCTGGGGGGCTCATGGGCCTCCCCATGCGCAGCTCTCCTGAAGCGACACACGCGCAAAACAGGGCGCGAGCGCTGTGCAAGGGTACCTGCAAGGCAGCGAACCATGCAGACCCGCCTGTTACCAGTTGAGTGGCAGCAGAAGAGGGAGCACAGAACTCTGACTCTTGAAAAAGCACCAAACACGCCTACAAACACTGACAGGGTGTAGGTCTACATGCAGGCAGAAGAGAGAACAGGAGCACTCACCATTGCTGATCCTAGTGGCATTCCCGCTGCCACTGCCGGTGCCATTGGTGCCCCCGCTGCCTCCCGCATCATTGCCAGCAATGCTCTCCCTCACACTGCACACCCCAACCCATCTCTCACAAAATGCCTCAACTTCCAACTCTCCACTCATGACTGCTGCTGCTGCGGCGACCGAGCACTGTATGCTACATGCTGCACATGGGCACTGCAGAAAATGCTGCAGGCGGGAATGTCACAAGACGGGTCACGGGCATGGCAACCCCCTGCATGTGTAAATTCTTGAGAGTGGGGCCCAGGCGGTACCTCTGGGGGGGTGCAGCAGCGGCGGGCTCCTTGCTGGTGCCAATAACATCCTTGTCGCAGGGGTCTGTGTCATTGCCAGAGCCAGAGTTGGAGCCCTTGTTGCTGCCCCTCTTGCCCTCGCCGCCAGAGTTGCCATTGCTGTTGTTGCCGCTCTCCCCATTGCCTGCATATACCACCAGCTCCCGTGAGCACATGCACTGCCTAAATAAAAGATTTACCCGTCTCCATAAGAAACGGGTAAAGTTTCTCTAAAGTTTCTCCATGCAAATCACAATGAAGCCCAAAATCCAGAAGTGAGCGAATGCAGTGGGTGCATGGCAGCAGTTATGGGCCCACCTGTAGGGTTTGAGCCGGAGCCCTCTCCTTCAGCGTCCACCTGGTATGCCAGCTCGCCCTCCCCCTTCATGCCCGTGTCCAGGTCAGAGTTGTTGGTATCGAGCGACCCCATCGCCCCCTGCAAAAAACTCGTCCGCTCAGCGCACATCATGCCTTTGCACGCACAATTCAAGTGTGATGCCCAAGTAATTGAACAAGGCGACCATGTATACATCACCAAGCAGAATGTGGGCTGAACATGCCAAATGCCAATGCCCAAACTGGATGCAGGCTCAGCATTGCATCACAATTATTTTCTAAAGCTGGCCTCAACGGCAGAGGAGTCTCTTGCGCACCTTCTTGCCCAGGGGTTGGTACAGGGAGTCGTCAAAATTGCGCGAGGGAGAGTCTTCGTCGCCAGCGTCGGGGTTGCCCACGTTGGCGCATGCAGCATCCACCCGGCCCTCGGCCGCATTGGTACCGCTGCCATCTGAGCCGCTCAGCCCCTGACGGCGCGCCTTCAACTCCAGGCTGTGCACCTGTGGCAACAGACAAGGTTCAATAAATGCAAGCGCCATTGGAACAAGCCATGTTGTACAAGATTTTATTCCAATCAAGATTTACGTTCAAATAATGATAGATGGTCCAAGCTGAGCCATGCCACAAACAAGGCAGACTACACGGATTTGACAAAGGAAGAGACAGAAGTGTGATGTCCCTCAGCTCACCTTGTTCCCACGGAGAGCACTGCGCGAAGCTATGTTCTGCACAGGAAGCGTCTTGTCCTTGCCCATTGCCTGCGCAGAGACGCTTTGCGTCTGGCCCATCCCTGCAAACAGGCACACGGCTGACTGCTCAGGCGATGATCCCACCCTCCTTGGCAGTATGTGCAACACAGATCAAACGAGCCCAGTGAAGAGCTACACATTGCAAAGAACTTGCAGTCATGCTGTGGGCACAAGCTCACCGCTGTCGCGGTGCTGGAGGCCAGACAGCTTCTGAACCTCCCACTGGGAAGCCGCTGCGGCGGCCGCCTGCACCACTGCGCGCCAGTTGCTGTCCTTGGTGGCGGCTGCCGCCTCAACACCGCCGCTCGCCCCGGCCGCAGCGGCGGAGAGCGAGGTCATGTTGTTCCAGTTGTAGTACAGCTCTGACAGCATTTCCGGGGACCACTGCTGCTGCATCGCCGCCTGCTGTTGCAGCCCCACACCGGATGGCCATGAGCTGAGCGTGTTGACACCCATGCCCTGCACACAGATTGCGGCTTATTAGCCTGCAGTCCAGGTCATAGAATGGAGTGCAGAAGTCCCTCAATGACATAAGGGCTACACATGTCCCCGCCAGCACCACAAGCACAGACCCGGGAAAGCACCTGGCGCGACGTGGCTCCTGTGTCTCCTGGCAGACGGCCATCCTCCGCAAGTGGGTCCTCCCGAGAGCAAGCACTGCACAACAGCCACAGCGAGCGCCTCAGCCCCATGCATCACACTCACAAAGCCACTCCTTCTGCTGCAAGCATAGCGCTGTACAAACGAGCTGAGCACTCAACAGCCATTCAAAGAAACACGCCATCGCAAAGTACAGGGAGCCACACACCTGTTGCCATCGCTGCCATCAACATTTGTGCGCCCAATGGCGCGCACGGGTACAGGGGCCGACAAGGGGTCGGCGCTGGTGCCAGAGAACTCGCTGCGCTGCAGCTTGCTAAAGGCGCCCGGCCGCCCGACCGCCGGCGGCGCCGTCTGCGCAGCCAGATTGAAGGCGGAGTACTGCGGCAGCATCGAGGACTGCGAGCCCTGCAGCGCGCCCTGGATGGACACACAGCGCGCTAGGTAAGATCCACCTCACAATACTGCTGCTGCCAGAACCTCAAGACATGCTAGAATGAGACATGGCAATGGCTGGACACGGCTGACATGCGCTTTGTACTTGCTTCAAATAGATGGTGCGTAGAAATCGCACCTGTGGGCTGAGCTGCTGCAGGCTCAGCTGAGCGAGCATGGACGGCGCAAGGCCATAGAAGGGGAAGCACTGAGGCGGGCATGCCTGCACGCGCACCGCACAAACTCTCAACATGTGCGCCACGCATACAACAACTAATCCAGCACCAAGCCGTCACAGCCTTTTCTCAGCCGAGCGCTGTGCAAAAGACCCACCTGCATGTGCGCCCTGATGTGCTCCCCGGCCGCAGAAATGACCGCGGCAGCGGCCGCGGCCGCGGCGGCCGAGGCGGCCTGGGTGACGGCCGCAACGGCGACGTCCAGGCGCTCGTTGCCCTTGAGCTTGGGCGCCAGATGTGAGTAGTCCGGCATCCGCGCATGCGCCGGCATCTGATCCTGCGACCCCGCGCCCTCTGTGGTTCCCGCTCCATCGTAGCTGCCGATCCCGGAGAATGGCTTGCGGGGGTAGGGGTGCGAGGGCTTGCGCTTGGGGCGGGGCGGCGGAATGTTGATGATGCTGTCCGGCAGCCCTGAGTGCACATGGCATGGCTTCGTGAGAGCCACGGTGGATGCCACTCAGTACCCCCTCCTGCCCAGGTGCCATGATGATACCAAGGCAGGATACTCCCCTCCAAGTTCACCAGTCAGGTCAGCACGGCAGATGCAAAGCAGCCTCCCAGGCTCTGTCGTCCAGGAAACTCCACCGCACTGGCTGAGGCCGTCGGGCTGGGCCAGCTTAGACCCCACGCTGAAACACGGACCTTCGGACCGGACCATCGGAGGACACATAAACGCCCAGATACTTGTGGACGAGATACTTTCCCACGCAATCGCACCTTCGCCTTTGGCCCCCGACATCTCCTGCTTCTCCAGCTTCGAGAAGAACTTCTGGGCATGACTCCTGATCTGCACCGCGGTTTTCGACCCGATGTGCTCTGCGGCATCAGGATAGGATGTCAGGATAGGCAGAAGGGGAAGAGGCCCGGAAGTTGCAAGAAACCGCAGCAGGGCACGGCGCGCACCCTCTATCCTCCTCCACGCCCGGCCATACATGCGCAGGGCGTCCAAGAAGCGCGCATGTTCCTGATCAGTCCACTTCTCTCGCTGCTTTGTGATGGTGTAGGGTTTGCGCGTCTGCGGACACAAAAGCGCCTCAGACACTGCTTCTGAGCACTCAGCCTCCCCATCACAGTACTCCCGTGCCCAAGGCGCGACCTTTGACTGTCACAGGCCACTAGCAGGGTAGTACCTTGGTCTTGCGCTTGAGGCCCGAGCTGCTGGGCCGGTCTTCGTTCCCACCGCTGGTGCTGGGGGCGTTGGCCAGGCCCGCCAGCGTCTCGGCATCGCGCCTCTCCTCCGTCTCTGATCGCTCCATCTGGCTCATAGCCCACCTGCTGCTCTATTCAAGCCACCCATGAGCTGCCCCCGGCTAAAGCGTTGCTGCCCCGTGTCAATCTTCCCGGCTCCGGCTACGCGAGCTGCGCTGCGGGCTGCCTCCTGGAGCACTACACAGTGCTTGTTGGTCAGATATACTACCGCTGTGTGCGCTCCGTGCGGCAAACCCGGCTCCCGACTCTCAACCCCAAAAGATGAAAAGGTGGTCTGCTTTATCGATGTGGATAGGCTCCTTACGCTTTTGGGCCATAATTGTTCCGTTGCCTGATTAGATACCCAGCGTCGGCAAAAATCGTCCAGTCATTTTCGGGGGTCCCCCCGGCAGTACCAGCACGCCATCAATGTTAAGGATGAGATGAAACTGCAGCACTTGCTGAGCATGAAAACCATATTTCCAATCTCAATACTTGATATCAATGTTTGGCCCACACATCAGCTTGCTGGTAATCACTGCCAAGCTTGGGTGGAGATGATCCGAAAAGTCTTGGGTGCAGCAATTTGCAGTCAGTCAAAAAAGGTGGAGCAAGAAAGTGCCCCCCAAAAACTGCAATTTGATGAAGCGAGCTCCTTTGGAACAAAGCTAAAATATGCTACATCTGATCATGAGTGAGAGACAGTGCTTGGTGGGAAAAGTGCCAGCGTGGCAAAAAGGTCTCGCTTTTCGGGGGGGTGAAGGCGGTCCCCCCGTTCCTGGACGCAGGACTCTCCGATGGGGACTATGCTGGTTCCTGCAGGTCAGCAAGTCTGTGGATCGTTCATGCGAAAGGGCGTCTGTTCAGTTGCATTCTGTGTTGATTCCCCGAACAAAGAGAAGAAAGCTGATTACAGATAAAGTGATCTGACGTAAGCAAAGGCAAAAAGCCTATTTGAGAGAGCTTGTTCATCAGTACTTCATTTATTTTACACAGCAACACCATACTTCTGAACCTGGTGAGCTTGAGGGCAGCTCTCGTGTGGGGCCAGAAAAATGATGTCATACAAAGGGACTGCGCAGTGGGGCCTTGCTAATAATCACCCTCAATGCCTCCCCACGCAAGCCTCATCGTTTAGCAGTCTGCACATTCCTCCTCATGATCGCACACTGCACTGTCCTCTGAGAGGAGCCAGAAGTAATTCCTCGAGACACATTTCGTCCAGCAGTGCAGGCAAGCTTCTTACATTCTTACTTATGATTGCTCTGCATCGTCGTCTGATTCTATGACGACTCTGAGCTGTCTCCTGTGTCAATGCCGCTGATAACAGGATGTGTCTTGCACAGCAGGCTCGCAAGGGCAGCCACCCTGCGCCATCAGGCACAGCTTCAGAGAGAGTCCCTTCAAGTCAGACAGGCCCTTCGAGACCAGCAGAGGGGCGAACCGGCCCCAGGCCTCGTCCGCGAGCAGCAGCAACGGTGCCAGCCCAGACCACTTGTCCACCAGCCCGTCAATCAGTCCCGAGCAGCGCACAGCGAGTGCAGCAGATCAGAACGGCAATGGCGTGGCCCCGCTGCAAAGAACACAGCCAGTGCGAGGCGTGGAGCCTCTAGACTCCATCGATGCCTTTGACCTCTGGCTGGATGCAGGCGAGTGTGCAGTGCATGCCTCTTTGCTGCCTGACTCTCTGCTTTCATATCCCCCTCACTTGCCAGCAACCAGCAGCTCCAAAACAGTGCTGTACTATCGGACTTTGGGCGCGCTCTTGCATTTCAGTGTCAAAACTAGCTTGCTGACAGGTTGTGCTCAAAATAAAAGATAAAACGTGTTAATTAAACTTGGCGTGGTGCTGTTGTGTGCAGCGGACGCCATATTCCCGAAGCAGCTGGCAAAGAGCCCGATGCCGCCAGTGACGCCAGTGCCGGGACACCGCAAGCACAAGCCGCTGCTCACTTCCCACATCCTCACTGCGGCACCCTCTTGCTCCCTCCAGATCCCCAGCGAGGTGGACGAATCCGAAGTCTGGGAGCGCCTCAGGCAAGCTACCCCGTCCTGATTACCCTCAGGGCACCCCCACAATGCTCTCTCCAATGTCTCTAGTGCAAGACCATGCTCTTTGAGCCTTTGGAAAAGGGCAGCTTCTATACAGCACTTACAGAACGCACCATCCGAGGCCGGCGCTGCGAGGCAGGCTACTTGTGCTGTCTCCAAACACAAGAAGGCGGCCCAGAACAGGAGGCAGGTACTCACTGCCAGGCGGCATGCATGCATGCAATTTGTACACGCGCTCTGAGACTTTGCCCGCCCCATGGCGCAAGCGGGACGGCATTCCCACAGTGTACTCCCCGTGCATTTGCCACTGCAGTGACTAACTTTGAAAAACAGGCTTGAGGGCACGCCGCTGCCTGACACATCCTTCCACGTGCGCAGACGGGAGGCGGCGGAGAGTGCGCGCGCGGAGCCGATGCTGTCGTCCTTTATAAACGCGGCGGTGTGCAGCCAGCGGAGCTTCAGCGACGCGGTGGCGTTTGTGCTGGCACACCGGCTGGCGGACGCGAACGAGGAGGACGAGATGACGACCATGTACGCCATGTTCCGCGACGCCCTCTCCGGCACGCGCGCATCCACCCTCGCCGACCTCCTCGCCGTGCGCACCCGGGTGCGCTGGCCATTTCCCCTCCTTTCAACACCTTCTGATTAGGGGCTTTTAAGCAATCATTTCCACGTCACCGTTGAGGCTCCTTCTGTGATACTGCCCCTTCCTGACCGCCTCTGGAGTGCTCATGGCCGTACTCGTGCATTTGCATGCCCTGGGTGACTGTTGCTGGCGGGCGAGTTGTGAGGGGGCGAGTGCACGTATCGGGGAATTGGGCGCCAGAAATTCCTTCTTGACCAAGCTGGGCGATCTTTGTGGCTCTCCTCCACGTGTTGTGCAGCTTCTTCCCACTGGTTGTCAGTGGGATCAGGCCAGGGGTTGTTTCCTGCAGAGCCTGGGTTTACCACTGGGGGCAAGCAAGGGCATGGCTGCAGCTCTGTTCCCTCCAATAACGTAGAGAACAGGGCATGCTTGAAAAAGGATTTTCTGGGTGCAGGATGAGGCGTGCACATCGCTGGCGGGTGCGCTGCTGTACCACGGCGGCTTCCACAGCCTGCAGCTGCAGCGCGTCGCGCACGCCGCCTGGCAGGCCGGCCAGAAAACCTCCGCCCTGCGCATCTCGGTCAGTCGCCGCTGCAGCCACACTCTCCTGTCTTCCTGCCCATTTGCAGATGCACCATACCTAGCGTTTGTGTTGTTTGGAATGATGGTTCTGCATGGAGAGGGTTCCAGCAAAGTAGGGGTGCTGCAGCGGTGTGCCTGACTGGCTGTGTGCTTGCTGGGTCCAGTCGCTGACGAGCAGAGCGCTGGGAGCTGACCTGCACCCGGCGGCGCGCTTCGGCAGAGGAGTGTTCCTGGCGCACCCCATCGGTGAGCTTGCAATCCCTTGCACTCTCATGCCTGATGTGAATTGAATCTCTTGAGCCATTGATCAGCTCTTGCTGCCCTGTAATAATGGCGCATTGATTTGAACCTCTTTGGTCATGAAAAGCTCTTGCTGCTCCTGGATGCTGGCGCAAGGTGTACTTGGTCATTGTGAGGGATGTGGTTGCTGTTGGGGTGCAGGTGTTGTAGTGGGAGAGGAGGCGGTGGTGGGGGACCATGTGACAATCATGCAGCATGTGACGCTGGGGGGCACCGGCAACAACCGGGGGGACCGACACCCCAAGATTGGCGACTACGTCCAGATCGGCGTCAAGGCCACCATCCTCGGTGCGCCCTGCACCTGGCAACAGCTGTCACCATGACATAAACCCCACACAGATCTCAAGACTGTTTCTTTGTTCTCAAGACAGCCTTGTGGGGGAGCCCATAGGACGCTTATTGCCTGGGGTCCTGGTCAGTATCTGTGCAGTACAATCTCGCTTGCATGTGCTGCGGAGCACTGGCGGTGACCAACAGACATCATATATTGAAATGTGTACCTTCAATGCCCCTAGCAGCGGCTGCACCATGCCGGGGGAGAGGGAACGTGGCTGACTGGGGCACGGCTTCTGGCATGTAGGGAACATCCAGGTGGGGAGACGGGCGCGCGTGGCAGCCGGGTCGATGGTGCTCAAGCCGGTGGAGGAAGACATGCTGGTGGCCGGCAACCCCGCCAAAGTCATCGGCAAGCTCGTGGACGTCGCGCACCAAAAGACGCCCGACCTGGCAGCCTGAAAGGGACAGTGCATCGCTGCCAGTCAATGATAGAGAAATGATGATTTTGGCCAATTGACTTAAGCCCATTTGCCTTTGTGATCACTTGGCTTGACGGAATATATATAATAATGCCCCCTGAGAGATGGGGCGACGAATGAAATCAAGGGTGATCAGCAACAGACCCATCAGGGTCGATTGGCCTTGCGGCCGCTGCGGGCGCTACTTGTTGGTACAGCAATTAGTCCGGTTCACGTTATTCAAATGCCTGGCACAGGGGTGCCCAATGTCTGGTGCCTGATCCCGTTGGCTGTTTGTCATGCCGTCAGGCTTTGATGCTCAGCATTGCTCAGGGTGACTCTGCGGGGGCCCTCATTCTTTTTGCGTTGTCGATTGTGTTGCTTGCCAGTTTGGCAGCTTCATGTTGCAAGTTGTGTCAGTGATCACATATTATGGATCATGATGTGCTGAAGGTTTTTTTGATTTTGCAATCTGCTCACGGAGCTACATAGTAAGTGCAATAATATTGCCTTGTGATGCGCCATCTGATCCTATATGACCTCAGTGGCAAAACTATTACAATGTTGTTGCGGCATAAAAAGGTTTTGCGCCAGAAATTACTCAGAACTTACTGGAGGTGCTCTGCACGGTACCTCAAGCGCTGCGTTTTTCTGCTGCCACTGCACACTGACATCAAATGCACGCATGAACTGATCCTCCAAGATCTAGACCTACAACATGCAGCGCGTTGATCTGTTCCGAGCGTATGACTAATATGATAGACACTCCACAGCCAGCAGAAACGAGCAAATGTAAAACATGTCTGTATACCATGCATATGCACGGGCGGAAAAGAATCAGGAATTTCTCATGCACTTCAAACATGCTGAACAGCACCAGCCTGGTTTCAATTCTTCGCGAGTAGGCTACCTTGATTGCTGCCCCAACAAGATTTTTCGTACTGGGGGATCATGAACAGGCTCTCCACAAAACGAGATTTTGCCGTTCAGCTGCAATGGCGGCAAGAACCTGAGATAACATTCAACTCGCTGAGAAAATCCAAAGCATGTGCGTGGCCTGATCTGAAAATAGCAGAAGACACTGATGCTGGTCCCTTGTACCACTACTCATTTTACACGAGGCCTACCCCGGCACATCTCTCACTTCACTCACTGTCTCGCTCATTCAATCCCCAACACTCCCTTATTGACCCCTCCCAACACCGAGTCCTCAGATTCCAGGGCCGTGCAGGAACATCTAGAGAGCGTGCGCAAGATCACCCATTACTCCCCCACGCCCTTCCGCATTGTTGGCACGACGACTTCCTCACATGCGCTACGCTTTTCAATATTCGCACAAACACGCATACGCCAACAAAGGCAGCACCACCACTTCCCCGCATTGCGCCACCAAAACCTCAGGCTGGGGCACCAGCACAGGATGAGGCCCTTGAGAATGGCCTCAGGCCTCTCAGAGGGCCTTGAGGGGGGCGAGCGCGACGCTGGCGTCTTTGTAGCGCGCGCGGCCGGAGATGACCTGCACGATGGCCTCGGCGAGCCGATTCTTGAGCACGGGCTTGGACAGGAAGCCGTCCATGCCGGCATTCAGGCACTCGTCGCGGTCGCGGTCGCTCGCGTTGGCCGTCATCGCCACAATCGGCAGCGTGTACCCCAGCCGCCGCAGCACCTGAGCCGCAGGAAAATACATCTGATTGATTATGGCCCGTCGCTCAAGCACCTGTCTTATACTCTGATCGCATGCGCTGATCATATTCTTCGAAAGAGCCGATGCACAGGTGCTGATGCACAGGTGCTGAACATAGGCAGCCTTGTACGCTCAAGGCAATGGCGCCTTCCAATGTGAACTGAGGAGACAATTCCACTGGAGCACACGGACATCTGTTCGCCCTTGAACCCAGCGAAAATGTGCCCAAGAATCACCTTGTCAGGCACTTCCAAGGCGAGCGCAGGAAACGCAGAGTGACAATATCACTGCGACAAGGGAAACTGCTCACCCGGGCGGCCTCGACGCCCCCCATGATGGGCATGGCCATGTCCATGAGCACGCAGTCGAAGGGCCGGCCGTCGGCCGCGCCGCGCTTGACGGCGTCGACGCCCTCCTGCCCGTTGCAGGCCACCTCGCAGACCAGGCCCAGCACCGTCAGCATCTTCTTCGCCACCGTCTGGTTTATCAAATTGTCCTCTGCCAGAAGCACCCGCCGCCCCTGCGCACACCATACCAAGCACTTCTCAGGGCACTGATAATATATCCATACATTTTACTTTTGAGATACTCCCTTTTCATCACCAACAAATTTCCATTGGAAGGCCTTGGACGTGCAAAGAAATCACAGCGTCAAGCAGGGTACAAGAAGAGGGGACTTTTTGCAACACTGACTCCCAACACCCCAGATAAAGCCACAGGCCAGAGACTGAAGCAGGTACGTTGAGCTGCAATGCATTATTAGCAAAGCAACAAGCGAGCAAATTCAGGTGCCTAACATTTCAAGGAAGTCTCCGCAGCTATGAGAACTCGCTCTTGGCTTTGCCGTGCAGGCACCCACGTCGGCTTCGCAAATCCCTAGCCCAAGAGTCGGCCTGGGCAGCCCCCGGACGGGCAGAAGCGCCAAGCGCTCGGCCCACCATGCACCTGGAAGGGGAGAGGCAGTGGCCAGCTAGGTGTTAAAGCATGCACCTGCAGGAGGGAGAAATCGAGCTGCTTGCAGCGCAGCTCCATGCTGGGCCGCATGGGCGCCTTGCGGCGGCCGGCAAAGCCGTCCGACGCGCCCGCGCCGCCGCCGCCGCCATACGAGTTGCGCTTGGCCGCACTGCTGAAGGCGCTGTGGCCCCTGTTGTGGTTGTGATCCATGATGTCCTGGGAGGGCATCGATGTTGCCGCGGCGCGCTGCATGCTATATGCATCCGGCTGCGGCTGCTGCTGGTTCTGCTGCTGCTGTGTCAGGCTGATTGATACTGGCTGAGACGCAGCCTGCAGCGCACGCATAAACCTCAGTAATCAGCAAGGGGGAATATGAATACTTCCTGCGAATTTTTGGGGTTAATGCAGTTTTTCAAGGAAGCACGAATGCACTGTTGAACGCTGGCGCAGCTATCAGAGCAAGGAAGTCTACAAGGCAGAGGGGCAGGGCTCAGAAAGCGTCGAATTGGTAGTTCTTCAGAGGGAAACCTAAGAGATAGAACAATGTTTTCTCATCACTGCCCAGGGCCCCCAGCCTACAAGCTCAATTGTGTATAGGACACCGCAGAAGATGGGAACCCACCAAAGAATCTTCTCTGCTGCTGCTGGCGTGGGATGACGAGGGGCTGGGCAAGAGGCCCTGCAAATCCTGCAGTCCCGGCTGCGGCCCAGCCTGGGGTGGCTGTTTCACCTCTGTATGTACCTGCAAGCCACAGACCCACTTGTCAGAGTTGCAGACGTATATTAAGCTCAACATAGCACACTGATAACTTGCACTACAAGCAGATCACTCAGTAATGTTATAGAGAAGGTGTCACATTTGCACATTAGCACAACCAGACCACAGGCAACATATCTTTTACCGCTTGCAGTTGGTTTCCCAATTGTTGTACATGATTCCATAATTGGTGATTCGGGCTGAAAGGGGGCCGCATATACATGGTTCCATACTTGGTGATTGGGCTGAAAGGGGGCGCATATACATGGTTCCATTATTGGTGATTGGGCTCAAAGGGGGCCGATTATACATAATTCCATAGTTGGCAATTCGGGCTGGAAGGGGAGCCGCACCGGTGGGAGCGAGCCGGGAGAGCGCTCGAGGGAAGCAGAGGGCCGCAGCGAGGCAATGGCATCGCCGGCGTTGGAAGCTGCGCTCTTGGAGCGGTCGAGACTGCTGCGCAGGGTGGCTCGCACGTCCGCGGAAAAGGCCGCGGTCGCATTGTCGGACTGGCCGTGCAGGCTGCTGAAGTGCAGCAGAGCACGCGCCTCCGCCATCTGCGCCGCCGGCGACCCTGCGGCTGCTCAAACGTCAGCATGGAAAGATTAGACCCTTTTCATTGACAGGCTCTTACCAGGAGTTTTATCAGCACAATCCTTCAAAGTACCCACCCAGCAAGCAGGCTTGCACAGGACTTACAGCTGCAGGTAATGCTAGCAAAGCAAACAGGCCTGCTGCTACAAAACTGGCAGCAGAAGCGGCCTTGCCCATGACTCTCGCAGAGCAAAAAGGAACTCGCAAAACTGACGATTTTCAAAAGCAGTATGCAGAAAAGCTGCATGTTCATATGTCCACTACTAGTGGAAGAAGAGCATGAGAGCTGGTGTATGGAAGCACCAGCAATGTGCAGGCAGTCCTGGGAGAGGGGCGAGGTGAAGGGCAGGCGGAGGGAGAGGTGGCGGCTGTTGCGCGCGAGGGTGACGGCGTCGTTGACGGCTGCACTGCTCTCCGACCTACGCCGCTGCGCCTCCTCGGCCGCCATCATCCAGCGCGCCGCCGACATGCCGCCCTCGCCAGGGCTGCCTACCAGCACCTCCCCGAGCTGCCCAACAGCCTGCGCACTCGCTCCCCTCAGCCATGACCCGATACGACGAAAAGGAGTGAATAGAGATCAGATGTCTTGCAGGGAACGCATATGCGGGCTCTGGGCCTCCCTCAGAACCTGCCTCTTTGCTCCGACCTCAAAGATCCAGGATCCAGCCTGCCCCTGTGGCAAGGGTGCTGACGGCTTGGCCTTGGCCCTCCAACGGTCAAGCGAAAAGGTAGACGATGGGTGGAGCAGATGTTTGCCAGAGGCGGAGGGGGGATGCAGCACCTCAACGGTCTTCTGAGAGTCGGAGGAGGAGCGCTGGGCGGAGGCGTGGAATTTGCGGTAGGCGTGGGCGCGGCTGGTGGCGGCCCGTGTGCGCGCGCCCGGCCGCAGCGACTCGCGCTCCTCCGCCAGGTGCCCGTCCGTGAATGCGTCCCGGCTGCTCCACGACGCCGTCCGCCGCACGTGCAGCAGCGCACTGCGACACACGTCACAAACACACCCCCTCTCAGCTTTTCTCCAATCCCTTACATCTCTGACAATGTTGCTCTAACAATGATGAAGTTGAGTCTCCCATTGTGGGAGATGGCTTTCCCGTCATCACAGCCCCACACAACTAAAAGCACAAAGGCCAGAAAGGTACAGCTAGACATGACAGACAGCGAAGAGCCCATCCTGGAAGAAGTAGCCTCTATCTGCTGCAACAGCAATGACAACCCCCAGGGTTCCTGAGCCACTGTGGTAGCAGTGAGTCAGAACCATGCAATTTCACTCTCAAAATAACTACATGGCATCTGATAATAGCGGGATTTGCATGGGGCAGCGGCGCACTTGGAGGGGGACATGTCGGGGGTGATGAGTGGGATGGTGAACCAGAAGGTCGACCCGACGGCCGGCTTGGATGCCGCGCCGATGCGGCCGCCCAGAACCGCCACCTGCTTGCTGCAGATGCTCAGGCCCAGGCCCGTGCCCCCCGCATGCCGCGGCCGCCGCATCTCATCCTCCGTCCCCTGCAGCACACCCAGATGCGTGTCACTTTGCTATTCCGCCCGGCTAAAAGCAGAAGAAGAGGGCACTTTTGCTGAGATACTCCTAGCCTGACTCCAGTAATGTCCCAACTCACTTGGAAACAGCCTGGCAATCCTCAAGCAAAAGCGCACACTTCTTGCTGTGGGTATGTATTGCAGGTTGGCAAATTACATGCCACATGCACAAAACCAGCATACTACATGATTGGACTGAAGGGCCATCCCGGCACATGACAAAAAAGTACCCCGATGATACGAGGTGCAACAATAGTGTTCTTGCCCGCAAACTTGCCTGTACATACTCCTTGAATAAGCTGCACAGTCCCTCCTTGGCGACGCCGCAGCCGGTGTCTGAAACCTCAAACACCAGGCACCTCTCTGCCGAGCCAGAATCGCCATCTCTCCCTGACGTACTGGCCGGTGCGTCCCGCCTGCACCAGCAAGGAATATCGTAACCCTCTGTCTGAATCTCAGCGCACCACAGAAGAGGAGCTCAAACTTTTGTAGCTGAGCAGCATCTGCTAGCCAGTATGAGTGGCAGCAATGCAAAGGATTCAGCCAAAATTACATTACTGCGTGCGGATCAAACTTCTCCTCTTCACTGAAGTACATGACGGCATATATGACAATTTTGCTGGGAACATTCCTATAGAAATCAGCAACTCATTCAAGATTATTTGCTGGGGTGCAGCGCACCTGCTGGACAGCACACTATGCCAGCCATTTTCATCTGACTGCACTGTCTCCAAGCCGGCACCAGGGTCCCGGATTGGCGACGCTTCACTCACACTGCTATCAGCCTGCACCAGACCAGACATATTCAGTGCAAACATCGCCATGCATTGATACTTTGGGTCATGTGAACACCCCTTAAATCAGAGATGGGGTGAGACGCTGTAATGAATCGGCAACGCACCTGAGCCCCACTCACGGACGGCTGCTGGTCTGGTTTCAACTTCACCTCATCTGGGACCCTTGGCTCCGCGCTGACTTGCGCTGCTGCATCCTGCTGCGATGCAATTGCAGCCCCCCTCTGATTGTGACCGCGCTTGTCCTCTGCCGAATCCCCACTGAACCTGCACGTTGGCACACCGCTCATCAAGCATGTCATGCATAACAACACCACAAGGTTAAAAGATGCCCATGACCAGTCCTTGCAGAAGTTGCAGAAGCTGCCAAGAACATAGAGCTGGACAAAGAGACTCACCTGCCCATGCTGTGCTGACCCGATCCATCTCCACTCTTCCTCTCCTGCTCGGTGGGGAGCCTGCTGCTCCCAGGCCTGTCTGGGCTCGTTCGCCTGGTGCCATTGAGCGCATGCTGGGAACCAACTGCACCCGTGCACCAAACACATTCAATGCAATGCAACTCTACGGCTCTACTCCGGGCTCAGGTGCCTACTCCGGGCTCAGGTGCCGGCGTGTTCCAGGAAGGCGTGCATGTATCTGTCAGCAGCTGACGCATCCAAGTAGAGGAGAACGAGAGGCCGGCACAAAATACAGAGGAGGTGCTGCGAGCCTCTGTCAGGCAAGGGATGCACAGATGTCTGCTCCATTGGTGGGTTGTGCGTACCTTCGCTCAGATTGGCAGAAGGGGATGCAGACATGGCGTCCACCTCATTCACTGAGGGTAGATTACAGGTGAAGGGCCCCTCCAGCCTGTCACAGTCACACAACCATGAGCTTCAGACAAGACATGACCGTCCAAGAGAAGTACATGCCACAGGGTACTCAAGTACAACGTGCCCCATGCCCAAGCCAGGCCTGCCATTGCATCCCTGCCTTCCCAATCAGGTGCCTCCATGAGTCTAGCTGGTCAAGCTGGCACTTCAAGAGTTCACTAAATCACATATTGACTTAAGACCGAGGTGGAAGCCATCCCATGCAGTTCCTCACCTGGATTCAGGGTCAGGCTGGGAGGTGCTGTGTGAGGGCCAGTACAGGGCGGACTGCATCGCATCCAGCATGGCAGGGCCGCCAGCAGCCGGAGTACTCCCATTCACATTCATCTCTACAGGATGTTGCTGCCCCTGTGCGGCATAGTAATCTCAGACACCTGTTGTGGCACCGCAGCATGCAAAGTGTAAAGCTAAAGGCAGGGGCGCTGTTCTAACATGGGCTCCTCTGGCCTTCCAAATGTCCAGATGACCTGTTTGAAGGGCACCCTGTTCTACTAAACAGGGCAGGGGTGTGCAGAAGACAGGCCTAGGTCGGGCAAAGGGGCAATGCACACTTTGCTTATTGATGAGCTGAACAAGTGCATGGCGCTGCAGGGTGCACAGACAACCCACATTTGGGCTGGTGCTGTCTTCTGGGGACGAGCAGCCGTAGTCAAAGCTGCGCTGAGCGTCGGCGCTGAAGGGTGTTGAGAACGGGGAGGGTGACACAGCGGGCTTATGTGAGGCCTGCTTCCTTCGCCGGCTTTCTCTGCTGTTGGGCCCCTTGTACTCCGCACCAGCCACAAACACCTGCACCAGCACACCACCTCTCATTCCTTCATCCCGCAACACTGTGAAATCTGCATGCTGTCATTCAAAATATCACTCCAGCTCCAGCAGAGGACGAGTCCGGCATGGAGGTGATTGTGGAGTGTAAGAGACTGCATGACAGCTGCCCAGCAGCTTGCCATGTGCTGCCATGCGCAGCGACAGAATCATATTTGAGATGCCCAGGGACTCATGAGCAGCTCTTGGCTGCAGCAAAGACACCCCATGGAGGGTGTTGGGAGTTGCACATGTCGCCTTCATGCATGCTTGATGAACATTTGGCCACTCCGTGAAAGGGAATTGCAGATGGGGAGGACAGAGCTGACTCCACACGACGCTGTGAGTATCACCAACGAGACAATATGATTATTTACTTATCTGCAGCACTCATCAACAGGGAGGCGCCATTAGAACTTGGGAAGGTGCACCTTAAGGGAGATGGCGCCCTTCTTGGTGAACTTGGCTGCATTGGTGTACAGGTTCAGCAGCACGCCGCGCACGCGGCCTGGGTCCCCCAGCACAACGTGGGGGACTCCATGCAGCAGCGGCCGCCGCAGCCGCACGTCCGAGCTGCGCCCAATCATCGCCTCTATGATGCAATGCACGTCGTCCACCACCTCCTGCGAAGATTATACCATGCTCAATTGTCAGCCCCACCCTTGCTCCTGACTCTCGGTAAATCGCACAATAAACGCGACCTTGTGACACCATCCGAAGCTTCTGCACCATTGACACTGCACAAACACCTGCGGGGCGGTTGAGCCAAGCACAAATAGAAATCAGTCGCCCAGCAGGTGCCAGTGGCGCGCCAATGGTGCATGTACTACGGACAGCGTCACCAGGCAACAGAAAGGCACTGCTAGCAATTTGCGGGGGGCTTGAGAGGGCCAAAAGGGGCACCTGCACATCCATCTCGGTGCGCACAACGTCGAGCTGCTTGCCGGCCTCAATCTTGAAGAAGTCGAGGAAGTTGGAGACGGTGGAGAGCAGGATGGAGCCGGAGACGCGGATGGTCTTGGCCAGCTCGCGCTGCTCGGGGCCCAGGTCCGTCTCCAGCAGCATCTCCGCACTCGCCAGGCACCCGTTCAGCGGCGTGCGCACCTGCAGCACAGCCACCTCCATATCTCAGGCAAGGCTCACAGAGACCCCATGGACCCCGGGGTTTGGCCTGCAGCACCTCAACGTATGCACATATCATGGTGCATACCTTTCCATGCATGTCTGCCTGCGGCCTGTTGCAATTGTGGTAGGTACATTCTTCAAGCAGTAAACACAGCCGGACAACATTCCCGAGACACACATAAATTCCTTCCATGAGCCAGCAACGCTTGCCCAAGATCCCAGGTGAAATAGCGATTGTAGCTGATAAAAAAAGCGCACCTCGTGCATCATGAGGCTCATGAAGAGCGACTTGGCCTCGTTGCCAGCCTTCTCCCGTGCCACCACGAGCGTGCGGTGCGCCGCCTGCGCCTGCGCGTCTGCCAAAGCGCGCTGTGCGGCCGTCCGCGCGCGAGCCTCCTCTATCTCCTTCTCCGCCGCTGCCCTCGCCAGCTCGGCATTCGCAAACATCTGCCTGCAGATTCAACCGCAGCGCTCTGTCAGACACCATCAAGTTGCTGCCTTCTGCGTGGACGTGGCCCCTTCACAAACCCATTTATGCGGATTCGGCTGGTATCAACAGCTACTTGGTCTGAGCGACCTGGTCAAAGCTGTTGCTGTGACACTGGCCGCTTGCAAGAAGAGCTGCCCGACAGGACAATGACCAATGGCAGAATCAACAAGAAGGGCATGCAAAGGGCTCTGACACTGGCCTTCACAGTCACGGGTTTGGCAGGTCAGTCCAGCCTGCAGCATGCATCAACAAAACATGTGCATCATTGATGTAGCAGACATCTTTCCCAGAGGTGAGAGGGCGGCACCTGCGGTAGGAGTCTGCGACGAAGGACATGAGGCCGCCGGTGGCCCATGCGACGGTGATATGGACCTCGGCGTCGCGCGGCAGCACCGCGGTCATGGCCGGGTTCCACAGCTGCGCGCTGGCCACCAGCAGCAGCGGCGGTGTCAGTGCCAGCGTGCCCAGCAGCCACCGGATCTTCAGCAGCGAGGAGGTGCATATGAGGAAGAAGCAGGCAAAGATGTAGTCCTGCGCGCTCTCCGTGCGCAGGCTCAGCAGCAGCCAGGATATCGCCATCGCCACCACCAGCGACAGCAGCAGCTCCTCCTGCATGAGTTATTTCTCGGTCAGGTCTAACTTGGATACATAGATTTAGCAAGAACATGGCATTATGACAGACTGCCGAGCCCGGACAAACGCTCTCTGGGACCTTAGTCCCTGGGTAGCAAGATGCCATCATGACAGACCAAGAAGCCCAGGTAAGAACCGAACTCTCTGAGACCCTAGTGCCCAGCCAGCAGAATGCCGTCATGATTGAGGTCTCAGGCCCAGACAACAACACTCCGGGACCTGGTCCCTGAAAGCGCAGGCTGCATGCAGGGGACATGGGACTACATGCATGCGGAGAGGGATGTCCACGAAGACAGGGGTGAGTATGCATGCATGCTCGCTCTGAGCACCAGGGATTGCAGAGTGCAGCGGAGCAGCAGCTGTACCTGGCAGGCGGCCCAGATCTTGCCCTTGGCCAGCCGGCTGCGCCAGTTGATCCAGTGGATTGCCATGTACAGCACTGCCATGTTCAACAGCTGCGGCGACAGCGCGAAGAGCGCCGGCAGCACCGCTTCAGGCCCCTCGGCCACCGCCTTGGCGCCCACGCGGATTGTGTAGGTGACCAGATCAAAGCAGAAGATGGCCATCAGCACCGGCCACCTCTCCTTGGCAGCTGCCTGCATGAACTGCACCTCAAGGCCTGCACATGCCAAGGAACTGCTTCAGCCGGGCATTAAGACGAATGTTATTTATTCCTGGTGCCGTGTAGAGGCGCCATGCAATATCACTAAGAGGGGTACCAGAGGTGGCGCACTTCTGCTCGAAAGCCACAAGAGGCTGTGTGCAACAGGCTTTGTAATGTACACACTACATAGCAGGTAAAAGAGGGCATCGTGAACCTTGGCTCCTCCAGAAACAATATGAATGCATTTTCTAACCGTCAGTATGTCTCCCACTTGCAGGCTCAAGGTTGTGTACTACTCTGTCAGACCCGAAGTGTGAAGATATTTACGCATTTTTTTTTTGAAAAATTTTGATTTATTCATATTGAATTATACACATGAGTGCTCTTGTAGCGCCCCACCACTGCTCTTGAAGGTGAGCATTATCCTGTGCATCCTCAGGCCCTTCTGGTTCTCCAGCAGAAACGCTGCGGCATCCGCGGACAAGCGCGCAGATTCCTCCATTTCCGTCGATCCCAACCTTTTCTGTGGCTCGGCAGCGTCCATGCTGCTCCTAGCCATGTATTAGCTTATTGGCTCGGTGGCCTGCTGTCTGCCCGAGCTAGAACTCAAACCTTGCCGATCGCATTGCTGTACCAGCAGCTCGCGTGATGCACGTCTGCGCCGTGCATCCGCTTTAGGTGGTGTCAGGACGACGATCCCTCGAAAAGTTCCAACCTGAAGAGGTGGTAGGGGCTGACGACTGACCCCAGCGTTCGGATACGCCAGGCGAAGCTGAGGTGCAACCCACCCACCCACGTGGGACTTTTCTGGCCCTACGTTGGCGAATGCCTTTGTTTTCGAAATTTGAAGGGACATTCCTTCTGATGTTGGTGTGAATGCATGATTTCTATACCGTAGACATGCGACAACAACACGGCAGCATATCTGTTGTCACAATGGCTATATCTGTCGATCGTGGTGGAGCCTCCACACAGCTGTGTGGAGGCTGATGCCCCTGCAGGGGCATCGAGTTCCAAGATACCGGAACGGACATTTACAATTCTCTTGCAATTCCTGGATTGCCCGCAATATATTATGACCCAGTGACAGCAAACTTACTTTCCACAAGAGACAGCTTTTTTTTCCCTCTATTCTATTCTCTAGATCAATTTCCATTTCTAGGCTTCCGGAACAGGGCGATCCAGGCGTGTGTGACAACAATCAGCAGTCAGACAATTCCCGCATAATATTTTGACGCTCAATCATCTTTCCTGTGCCTTTGACTCTCCTAACCTTGCCAACTCTGCCTGAAATCTGAAGCACGAACCATCAAATCTCCAGGTCAACTGAAATAAAGTGCAAACGTGAACTCCATCCTCCATGAAAATATCTCTGGCCCACCGCAATTTTGTACAAGACGGAATATCACTTTGAGTGTCTCAATGTGCTAACAGCAACCAATCATCAAGCTCTGATGCACACCTTGGCTGTCAGGTGCCGCAATTGACAAATATTGGGTTGCTACTTTAACGCTCCAGATCAAGTCGTCAAAGTAATAAGTCCTCGCCGCTGGCATGCAGGCGCAATGCCTGACCCCTGCTGTTGGGACGCTTCTTTTGCGCCTGACTGTGTCCCCTTGGCAGCGATGAACATTTGCCTGCACCACCACCAGCCTCTCATAGTTGACGCCCTGTGGTCTTTGGGGCACCCCCAATAGCTCAACGCATGCTATAGTCTCTAAAGCGGACGCCTCGCTGAGAGAACAGCATTACCTCTCGGTATACTAAAAGCCAGTTGAAGTGGGGAGAGAATTCACCACTTCTGCACTGCATGGGTGTATGACAGGAGAGAAGAGCACTGCTCAAAGCCACTTGAGGTGGGGAAAGTAGTCACCTCTTCTGCACTTCATTGGTGTACGACAGGAGCGCGCCAGTGGCCCAGGCCACAATGAGGTGCACGTCCGCGTCAGCCGGCAGCACATTCGGCCACGCGGCGTCGCCCAGCCGCGCCCCATACAGCAGCAGCAGCGGCAGGGACAGGACGGCAGTGCCGAGGAGCCAGCGCAGCCGCAGCAGGAGCGTGGTGCAGATGAGAAAGAAGCATGCGAAGGTGTAGTCCTTGGCTGACTCCTGCCCCAGATTGACCAGCATCGAGCTGATGGCCAGGGCCACTGCCAGGGAGAGCATGACCTCCTCCTGCGAATCACAGGACATGCAATCTGCACACGCTGGTGCACCGCCGATGACAACGTCTGGCAGGCTCCCCAGCACAACAATCATCATCCTTATTAGTACATGCATTTCCTGCCAGAGGCGCAAGATGCATGTGCAGACAGGCTGCAGTTAAGAGCTGCCACATGTCCCACACCTTGACACGACAGATCTAGATTATTCAATCGTGCCCACCGCAAGAATTGCACTGGGCCTTATGAACGCAGGTGACACGGTGAAAATGCACGGTGAGGAGATGCAAATACCTGGAAAGCAGCCCAGGGCCTGCCACTGGTCCTGCGGCTGCGCCAATTGATCCAGCTGATCGCAGAGTAGAGCACCATCATACCAAGCAGCTGCGGCATCATGGCAGCCAGTGCAGCAGGCAGCGCCCCAGGGCCCGCTGTCACCATCCGCGCTCCTAGCCGGATGGCGTACGTCAGCAGATCGAAATAGAAGATCGCTACTAGCACGGGCCATCTGTCCCTTGAAGCTTCTCTGACATACTGTGCCTCCAGCCCTGCAAACATGTGGTATTCGTCATCGTCAGCAGGGCAAGGTGCCCTCAACAGTTAGCAGATGGGTGTCTGATCAGTGTGTCTTGACATGCGCAGCATACACGGCCACAAGACTCAGCATTTGCTCTGTGCACAGTCAGATCACGGAGAGAGTCGATTGCCCAATCGGTCTGGACTCTCTGCAAACCGTCACCTAATACCGTATGCAACTCCTTTGACACTAATTTAGCCTTAGAACGACAAAGTTAAATTCCGCATTGAGCTTCACAATGAAGCGTCGCAATCCAGAACCTGCAACCTTTGCTTTCGCGTCCAGCGATGTCGCAGGCAAAGACTTTGTCTTCACTGAGGGAGGAGGACTACGCATCAGCCACGCACCTTTGGAACGGAAATTAAGCACAAATGGTTGCATCTGTGTCGACTCCTCCATCTGCTTAAAAAAGTAGTACCCAATCTCACCTCTCAGTTCCGACGTTGTGGGTGTTATTCCATACTGCTAGAGAGAGTTCCAATTGCGGCGGGTTTGGCAAATTAGCCTAATGGACAGTCGTGTCGTCGACTATTACGGAGGATGCTGCGCTTCCTTGTTCGAACGCGCAAGAAAGAGATACTTTTTAGGACGTGGGCGGTGTGGCGCACTGATCACCACTCCTTGGAATGAAATATCTGTGGTGGCGTGGGGGTCAGCATTCAAATCATTTGCATGCAAAATGCGCTACCCCCTCAGAATGCTCTAGAGCCTTCTCAAAGCCGCCAGAAGCCCTGCTGGTCCATGCTCTGTCATGCAGTGCAGCTTTAACGAGACAGGCGACTGTAGCGCCGATGGTACCCAATCAGTCAGGCGCATAGATGGTGGTCACATCCAAGTGGTGGGGTCGAGGTGTCTTACACTGTCTCAGACTCAGGCTTACGTTGTCACATAACATGAGTTGGTCAAGCTTTCTGCTCGCAGTCCACAAAGACAGACACATCTCAGTCACACTAGCGCACCGAAAAAGATCACAATAGTCTAAATATCTACCTCTTTTGCAGTTTTTGTACAATTAATTATACCATCGACTGGGTCTTGCACTTTCTGGCTGGCAACCCCAACCGACTTCTGAGAGTATGAAAGACCATTACAGCAGGGTGCACAGCACCTGTTGTTGCACCAAAGCTGCATACTTCCCATCACCGTACGCAGGTCTCTTGCAATACAAGTTAGACTTCTGGGTTAGATCAGATGTCCCTGCAATCTGAAGCGCCAAACGCCAATCTTGCTCTCTCGCCATCTGCAGGGGGTGTTCAGACCACGTTCAAGGGGTTGACAGCTTGCGAGCCCCCAAAGATGCCCAGGAACCCCGTCTGCCCCTGCACAAGCAAAGCACACCACTCTGAGAAGCTGGCCTGCAAACTCACACCACCGTGCCCCTCTCCTCTGAAACTCCTTGCTAGCTGAAAAGCTTCTCCAGGAAAACCTTGCAGAGGGCCATTCACGCCCCTTACCATCACCATATCCAGGCCATGCGAAATTGCGCATGCCCCCACAGCATTCATACGCACTCACTCCCTCTGATTTTGCTGCAACAGTCTCTCGTTTGCTGCAACAGTCTCTTATTTGGAGCCCGTTGGGTTGAGCCGGGCATGAAAGGTTCCTGCCGAACGAACGATTTCATTTTTGGCAATCCTATTCCTCATCAGCATGAATTCGAGCCCTCCGGTGGGACTCACGCGCATCACTCAGACTGCTGCAGCGACAGGGGTCGGCGCGGCGCTGGGGGCCAGCTTGGCTTCGCCCGCGACACTCGCAGCCGCCATGGACAGCGCGGCGGCTGGCGCGGTCAGGAAGGACAACAGATCGGGAGAAGTGCCCTACACACAAGCCTCCCTGAGACTTGTGCCCGCATGTGTGTCCCTCAAAAATCATCTAGTGCTCCTGGGCCGGAGAATGTCTGCCTTGTTCATGCAATCCTGCTTACCCAGCAAAGCAGCCCTTCCTCCCTGCCCTTCCTCCCTACTTCTAGTGTTTGCACTGACTATCATGTATGCCTTCTCTCCTGGTTTACCAGGCCTCCCTCAAGGAGCCAAGAAGTGGGATGCGCTGCGCTCTCTGAGGAGGACTGCTCAGGGCAGGTCAAGCAGGCAAGAGCCCCACCTCGATCTCGTCTGTGAACAGGTCGTCTGGCACGCGGAAGGAGCCATGCAGCGCTATCGCTGCCACGCTGATCCCCAGCGCTGTGAACAACACCGTGCCCACACTGCAATCCCCACAAGCCTCTCAGCGCCTTGTGCACAGTATTTATCTCTGACCACTCTGCCAAATGTACTAAAACACAAGTGAGCTCACAAAGCTGCCATTTGGCGCTGGAAAAGTTAGGCGCACCTTGTCAGGAAGAAGATGACAATGAGGGTGATGATGGAAATGCCGATGAACTTTTCCCGTTCGCTGCGCACAGGCACAACGCCAACTCAGCGCAAGCTTTTCACACAGCAGGATGAAACAGCAGATGTTAATATAATACATCTGTAGTTGCCACATGACAGGCCAAGGCGAAAAACTCGAAGAGTCCATTTAGATGTGCCAGAGGGGTGCTGAGCTGACCTGAAAGTGCGGCCCCCAATGACGATGGGTGCTTGCCGGACCACAAAGAGGTACACCCAGGCCATGGCCAGGAAGGCCAGGGCTATGAGGGACGTGGGATTGAGCACCAGCGTTATGAAGGTGACAGACAGCATGACAATGAGGTAGTTGACCTTGAAGTAGTGTGCATTCTTGCGAAGACGCCCAGTTGCCTGCCAAAAGGAAAAAATATCAAGTACAACACAGCGCGCGTTTCTCTGCAACAATCTGATCCAGGTAACTTGAAGAGTTCAATGACATGGGAGCCCTGCAGTCTTGGTGCCGGCCGCTGGAAGATTGTGCAGCTTCCAGCTAAACAAGAGTGATGGGCTTGGTTGAACTTATGGAACAAAACGATAGATGGAGCAGCAGTGTACCTCTGCTAAGCTAGCAGGTCTGGAAAAGGAAGTCCGATCGGCGAGTTCTCCCCAAGGTTTCCTCTGCATGAGCAAGAAGCATACAGTCATACAACAATAGACCAAACGGGAAAGACGCTTATGCCTATAACCACATTTCTGGAGAAAAGAGAGTGTGGATGCTACATGTGCGACATTTTGGCACGTCGAAGTTTGGGCAGAGAAAATCAAGGCAAAGAGAAAGAGTGAACACCTCCTTGAATATGCCCCCGATCAGATCTTTAAATCTGTTGGCTGCGGCATGTAAGGGACTTTGCGAAGTGACAGCAGATGGCGGTGCGGAGGAGTCCATTAAGACTTCCTCCAGAATTTAGCTCAGCAAGAGAAGGGTGTGCTGTTGTGAGGTTGGAGCCCAACAAACAAGTTGCTTTCCTGCTGAGGGGTCGCCTGGCACTCCGCAGCCCCCTTCACGACTATTTCATTCTTTTTTAAAGTGCTGTCTTCAAACCCACGCAGTTAAACTCACAAGAGCTTTGGCTTGTGAAGCGCAGGAACCAGCTGCCTGAACCGCGCCTAAAGCCGAAGCCTGATTAGGACATCTGCATGCAGATCATCGCAGGGATTGGCATACAGGAGTTCCATCGCGTCCTTGAACCCTTAGAAATACCAGTTTTGAGTGCTGGACAGAAGGATGAGTCTTGCTTCTGGAAGTTAGTCTGAGTGATGACGAATAAAACCAGATTGGCGGCCGCGCATGCGGCGCACAGCGCCGGTCACGCCGTGGCGCGTGCATCGATGTATATGATGCCATGATGGCATCTCACCATTCAAGTCTGATCTGAAGCCTGAGCAGGCCCGATTCATGCACCTTGTGCATTTGTGAGTTTGTGTTGTGCCATCAAAAGCTGAAGCAAGGAAGACATGGAAGCCAGTAAGACTTGCTCGGAGCGAGAAGTCACGATTTAAATTTGTCGGGTTCCTGAAATGCGGCACTCAATTGAATTGAATTCGAATGATAAGCTCAAGCAGTGGTGCCAGCAGCTTCCCTGGCCAGGCAAACATTGGATGCAACAGGGGCACAAGCGATGTTAATCTGGGAGGCTGCAAGGCATAAAAAAAGCTGCTGCATCGCACGGTATCAGACATGATGTCACTGTGACAATGTCACACCTTTACAACCGGGAATGCCAGCATCACCGATATGGTGACTGCCATACGTGTGATGCCCATGGCATCCATTCACCAGGTCAAGGCAAAGAGCAGTGCGCTAGAAGCATGCACATGTGACAGCAAACCTTGCTACAATGATGTGCGCTCAAGCAACTTGATATATGAAATGAGGTGCAAGACATGCGCATGCTATGGCACAAGTGGAGGAGAGGTACGCGTCTGCACAAGTAGTGTTGCCCTCCAGCAGCTGCAGCCCAGCCTCCCTGCACCTGATTGGGCCCCTCTGCATGCCTTATGGACAACGTCCGTCCCAACGACAGGAGCCATTGTAGTGCACACGCTATTACACAGCAGGTTTTCACAATCATTTACACGCATCATTCGATTTTAACCCGAGGCCCATGCCAACACACACTGGCAGGACTGTTTCAGTGTCCAAGAGTGAGTACATATGCACCATAGTAGAGTGACCCAGAGATGTACAGCACTCCACCAGAGTTGATGGGTCAGTCACCTGTGGACTTGGAGCAACACCGTGGCAGTAGGTGGATGGCTGCTGCAAAGGGCCCGCGAGGCTCTGAATGCCCTGTCATATGAGGTCCCCTTAGCCAAGCCACAGAGCTCTTTTGCAACCAACATCAGCACAAACAAGCTTGCCTTTCCAGTCAGCGTTCCTCGTGCGGATTCCAGCCTCAAAACCATCTAAGCAGCACGCACTGACACCAAGTGCTAACCGCAGAACAGTCACTGCATCTTCCCTAGCTGCACACATGCCCAGCCAAGCCATGTAGGTAACCAGTGACTTGATCATTTCACCCAAACCGCAGGTCTTGAGACATGTGGCCAAAACACCCCACCTACTCCTTCGCCGGGGTCACCTTGACTGCGGCCCACTCCAATCGCCTCTTTTGGGGAAGCTCTCATCACAAATCAGGATGGTAGAGACATGGGACAAGTGTTCCAGCAAGGGTATGATATTTGCTCAGGCAGCAGTAATCAACTGTCACTCGAAAACAGCACACCATCTCTAACGAAGACCCAATCATCAAATAGGCACAGACCACCAAGGTTGCCAACGACACAAGGGAAGCAAAGGGGGCATGCATGGGACGCCCTCTTACCCATACCCTCCTTCGCTGAATGGGTGAGATACTGCGAGCCTCTGCTTTTCTTTCCTGTGCCCAGCTTTCCTGCATGAGGATGCTGCTGTAGAAACTCAAAAAATACCCTAACCCCGCACTGAAGTGACAGGCTTTCTGGCAGAAAGGGGCATCAGGATCCTAGGCAGACATCATGGGCTGCTAGCATCAGGATACCACTCCAGGGGCAGGCAGACAGCACTCCACAGGCAGCGTCCACAGGTCCACAAGCACAGTAGCAGATGGGCAGGTGCAGGCAGGAGGTGGAAGATGGCAGGCATGCGCAAGGACAGTCCACTCATTGCAACGCAACACTTTAGCGATGGGGCACCAGGGCAGCTGCTCAGGCAAGCTCTGCCGGCTTCTCCCACTGGCTTGCACCAGTCGTGGTGTTGTAGTAGTATGCACGGCCCTGGTCATCCTGCAGCTCCTGCATGCACCATGCAATAATTCTCAGCCAACAAGAATATTAACAACTACTCTGCCTATCCAATGACAGGACAAAGGACACCAGGTGAACATAGCAAATGCACAAGGACACCAGGAGCCTTGAGGGTACAGGCAGAGGCGTGCCTGCCAGGTTCCAGAGCCGCCGGAGCCGCCGCCAGCTGCTCCCTGGCCGCCAGCCGCGCCTCCGTAGCCACCGTAGCCGCCGCCGGCACCAGCCGCCGCCGCGTAGGGGTCCGCGCCGTAGCCGCCGTAGCTCCCATAGCCTGCCTGGGGCGCGCCGTAGGGCTGCGCGTAGCCGTAGGGGCTGTATCCACCATACGCCTGTGGCGCGGCCTGCCCCGGGTATCCGCCGTAGCCGCCGAAGCCAGCTGCTCCGTAGCTTGGCGCGCCATAGCCGCCTGGAGCGCCGAAGCCAGGACGCGCTCCCCCTGCAGCATCACCTGTACCGATGTACAACACCAGCCACGTCGTGAGGATGCAATATCTGGCGCACACAACAGAGCCTGGGAGAATGCAGAATGCTGACGTTGCTTGGCATATGCGATGATCTGCAAGTTTACAAGCAGCATCGAGAGCTAGCTAGCAAATGTCCTGCAACACGTCTCCCTTCCAGATCAACATGAACAAGGCGTTGGAACTGAACTGAGGAGGGAGAAACAATCCTCACCGTAGCCAGCGCCAGCGGTGGGGCCCAGGTAGGGGTTGCCTCCGTTGATGATCTCAGTCACAGCTGCAGCGGCGCTCTCCACGGCAGGAGGCTGCCCCGCAATGGTGATCTTCATTGGGTCGGTGGTCTGGTCGATCTGGATGTTGGCGCCAAAGTTCTTCTGCAGGGCCTTGATGGTCTCGCCGCCCTTGCCAATCACGCGGCCCACCATGCCCTTGGGGCACTGCACCTCGCGCGTCACGCCAGCACCATACTGCAGCCCCACCAGACAGACAGAGATCAGTCCCACTGCTTGAATCTCAGAGCACACGAAAATTCCCATGAAGTAACAGCTGGGGCAACAGATACCTGAGGACACATGCAAAGGAACATGTCATTTGTTGAATTTCATGTAGGACATGTCATGCAGTACATGGCTTGTTGTCAGCCAAGGAGAGAAGGAGCGCACATGCACCTTCTGAATGATTGACTGCGCGGAGCCGGGCTCGCCGCTGATGAGCTCGCTGACCATCTTGACGGCGCGCTCGACGGCGTCGGGGCGGCCGGAGATGTTGACACGGCGCGGCTCACCCTCGGGATAGTTCTGGTCCACCACTATGTGGGCCTGGCTGGCCTGCTGCAGAGCGCGGATGGTCTCTCCACCGCGGCCGATGATGCGGCCCACAATCCCCTGGGGGCACTCCACAGACTGGGATGCGCCGCCGGCGCCAGAGTCGTCCATGGACACAATCTGCTCCACCTGCTGCTTAGCGGCCTGCACGGCCTCATGGCTGTCGCCCTGGATGGACACCTTCTTGGCCTCGCCGGGGGTCTGGTGGTCGATCTGCACGCGCGTGTTCGTGTTGTACTGCAGCTGCTTGATGGTCTCGCCGCCCTTGCCGATCAGCTTGCCCACCATGGGCGCAGGGATGTCAATGGTTTCGTAGAACTGGCCCTGTGCAGCCATGCCGCTGGGCACGCCGCCGCCGTTGGATGCGTCAGCCAGGCCGGGGTTAACAGCTGGCGCTGCGTCAGAGAAGCCGCCTGGAGCGTCCGAGAACTTGCTCCCCTGCACACATGGGGAACTGCATCAGCCTGCAGTGCGATGAAGGGAAGATCTCAGCCAACAATGGCCTTGTGACAGGCCAGCACATCAGAAGCATCGAGATGGAAATGAGAGTAAAACAAAGGCCATCCCTTTCGAATCTGTTGCCCTCTAGCAACTCTCACACAGCGGAGAGGAAAACCGTAGATACGGTCCCTCCGATGAAGAAACCTCCTTGACAAGTCCACGTTGCACTTATAGGAACATACGAGGATCCCATGCACTCAGCAAAATGCAGGTTCATTGAGACACGATCGTTCCGTCGGCTCACAGAATCTTATCAAACATACATCAACAGGCTTCAACAGCACCAGAGAGCTGGCACACACCCCGTTGAAGGCTTCAGGCCCACTGAAGCTGGCGCGCTTTCGCATATGATCCTCCTCCGCGCTGTCCGCCACCGGCTCGTCTTCGAACTTCCTCTTATTGTTCCCAAAGTCCTCGCCTCCCGCAGCACCTTCTCCGGCTGCTTGCTGCTGCGCAAACTTCGCGGCGATCGCCTGAGCTTGTGCTTGGGCCGCCGCAACGGCGTCGAACTGTTCCTCGGACGCCATACCGTGTACAAAAGTCAGCCAATAAACATCGAAATTACGACGCTATGACCATACAGGTGTTAAAGGGCAAACAACTATACGACATCTGGACTCTTTCTGCTTCAGCCAGCAGGGCTGTTGCCTTTTTCAGGGGCCCAGCACTCCCACAGTTTATGGTCTGCCCAAAACTCTGCAAAATTCCCAAAAGGGCATGCACACGCTGCTTGACGTCTCCTCTATACAAGATTGCAGATGAATCTCACCTGCTCTGCAGCAGGCGCCTCCACAGGTGCAGGTGCCTCCGTCACGGCTGGCACATCAGGGGTGGCCACTGCTCCCTCTGTAGGCTGAGGCACCTCTGGGGCTGCAGGCTCCTCAACCTCCGCAGTCTCCATGCCAACGGCAGTTGTCTCCACCGCCACTGGCTCGGCAGGGGTTGGCTCCTCGACGGCAGGAGCCTCCTGGGCAGGCTCTTCAGCAGCAGGTGCATCTGGGGCTTCAGCCTCAGCAGGCGCGTCCTCTGTACAAGCATTAAACAGTATTAGTACGGAATCTATAAGAAAGAAGCATATACAATTGCTGCGCAAGCAGGGAGTCTGCAGAGGGTTCAAAATGCACGAACCTGCAGCAGCGCCATCACCATCCCCGCCTCCCAGAGCCTCTTCTAAGCGCTCAACAAGCTCTGCTTTCAGGCCCGCTGTTGGCAAGCTTCTAGCCTCCAGCTCATCACGCAATTCCTGCAGCATTCCAACATTCTCCATGACAAAATCCAGGGCAACAACGTAAGATCAGAACCACAGCAGAACCTCAGGTGCCAAGCGCCGCACCTGCACTTTCATCTTCTTGACATCCTCGAGGGTGACCATCTCTGCTACTTCTGGAGAGGATGAGATGCAGCTGTAAATGCGTAGATTCCCGAAATTCTCACTTTGAAGAATGATGAGCTTTGGCAGAGGTGCGAGGGGATTGGTTCTCTGCAGGCTATAATCGGAAATCTAGGGAGGGACGCCGCCGCAGACATGGAGAGTGAGATTCCTCCAGCCAAAAGATGGACCCAAAGCTAATCACTGTGAATCCTGCACTTTCCCGACCATGCATTGCTGCTATGCACCTGCAGCTACCGGCCTTTGACATGCAGCTCTGGTCCTGCCTCAAGCTCATGCATATATGCGCTGCATGCAATTAGGATTGTCACACGGTGTGCATGTATGCAATGTGGTCATTTAGTGCTCCTGGGCCGGGGGATCATTGTATTGTTGTTACATGTTGTGCACTTGCGAGGCAGCCCTTTCTCCTATCTCCTGGCGCTCGCTCTGCCTTTGATGTCTGCATACATCTTTCTCTAATTAGGCGCAGCGGCTGCGGCTGCGGCAGGGAAAGCTTCTGCGCAAGATGTGAACGCCTTCCTGCCGCCGCTGCTGCCGCGGCTCGAGCCGCTGTAAGTCTCAGGCTTAGGCAACCTCAAGCCACCCTGCCAGGTACCGGGCTTTTGTACAGCACTGGCAACTTGCAAGTTGCAAATGAACTGGTTGATCAAGAACCTAAATCGCACGTGCAAGGCACGTCCATGCAGATGCAGCGTATCAAAATGATTAGATGGACGCCATCCATGGATCCAGCATCATGCTTATGATCATAGGATTACCAAGCATAGTATGATGATCATTCTGAGATTCCATTTTGACAACCAGTACACTGGTGGCAAATCAAATCCTATTTTCCTTAAATTAAGCACCAAAGTATACACATACTATGGTGTGTCTATAGTATAGACACTGCAATGCTTGATGATTGATCTTTTGCGCAAATGTGGATCTTTGCCACTCTCTTCCAACAGTTCCTCCTGTCTCAGAATTGATCATTTTCATGACCACTGAATGAATTCAACAGCTCGCTCAATGCCACAATTAATGTGAGTATCTCATTAGCACTATCTGTCTGCGCCTCTGCATTTCTCTGGCAAGAGCTTCTGCATGCCCACTGTGCAACCACCTCAATTCCAGCGCAGCACCCATTCGGGAACTGGGCAGATACATAATAGTACCTGCCTCTTACTCCTGATCTTCTATCTTAATTTCAGCGCATTGGCAGCTGCAAGCAAAATGCAGAGTGACTTCAAGCTGACATCGGGCAAATTTTCATATCTGCACATGTTGCAAGCCAAGCGCGTCAAAATTAAGGGCTAAATCTTGATCTGACCGATCTTGCTCGCAGTAAAGGAACTCTTCCAAATTTCAATTGCCAGAAGACCACTTGCAATTCCCCTGAGCACTCAACATCTATTATCCTCAAGGGTTGTGGCTTTTGCAAGTCTCTGGCACCTAAGCCCATCAAAATTGCAGAAGGAGCATGAAGCCCCAGATCTGGCCTTCAACGCGCACAAGTCCAAATTAAGTCTGCGCTACCTGAAAGCACCACATTGATCATCTGCTGTACTGCACTGCTTCCGCTCAATATGGCTGGACCACCGAGCATTGCTCAAACAGTCATGATACTACACGTCATTTGCAAGGACGAAGGTGCCTTGTGCATCAGTGCTGTTGTGACGGGATGCCTCCAACGTAGCATCCCTTAGACCTCCCCAGAGAAGGCTGATTCCTCAGAAGGGCAGAAGTAGGTGGTCAGAACTGACTCAGACTCGGGGCCTTTCTGCAGCAGGTGCCAGGGATGCACCAATTCCCGCCACTTGAGGTTCAGGCTCAGGTTTGTGGCCTTCCTCAAGGCGACTGCCTCCGTTGACACTGCTCACAGCCTGCCCCTTGTCACCTCGGCTGCGCCCGCATCTGCGCACTAGGCGGCCGGCAGCCCTGTAGAAGTTATTCCCTTGTACCGCTTCCTGCACGGTTGCACTCAGCTCATAAAACCCACACTACATCAGGTCTCCCTTGTCTATTACCCTTCACTTTGATGGTGCTCATCCGGTGACACTTGGCAGTCATTTGACTCATCTTCATCATTTGGTTATGCTCCATTTCAGCATGCATTTCAGCAATCGCAAAGAAGTTTTAAGCTAGCTCTACTTGTGGTCAGAGGAAGTACCCACCATAGTCAGTGTTGACCCCATGGGGTTCTCGAGCAGGGTGATGAACATGAGTCCCCACGCAATAATGGTTCCGATCACATTGGTGCCCAGCAGAAGCGCATTTGACCCGGTGCCAAAATTGAAGCCGCTCATGTTTATCGTCTTCACCGTGGACGACAGCTGGCTCGTAATTCCAAGACCCACCCCCCTGTCGTGGACCACCCATGTCATTTCTCAGTGCAGAACATCACAGCGTGCAATACCGTGCTCTGCAGCTGAAAATGACTGCAACCAGATACAGTCATGGAAAAACAATTATTTATTCTGCACACTGAGCTGGCAGACTGCATCTGCAATCTGGTCTTGCTTAGATAAGCAGACAGAGACATGTGATCCTCACATGAGAAGACAGCATGTTGGTAAAAGGAATCTGGCCCCTTTCCAGGAGGGTGCAGTTTCTGCTATAAACACTGCAGCAACGTTGACTTCCACATGTGAGAGGAATTTGCAGAATTCTTCGAAGGCAGCAACGCACCACCAGAAGGGCACATGGAATGTGAGGGGCCGGTAGCCGTCAATGAACATGAGGGCAAAGATGGGGGGCCCAAGTCCCAGTACGATTGTGCCTGATACGGTGGTGGCATCCAGCGCCTTGGCATCACCCAGCAGCGGCAGCAGGCCAGCCACCGCCAGCACAATGATGATTATGCGGCCCATCGTCAGGTGCCTGCACATGCATACATCATGCCCTGAGCATGCATGAGCTTGGATCAATGCATGCGCCGTTCGCACAATGGAATGGCTGGGCGATCCTGGCAACTCTAACAAAAGAAATGGAGCCTGTTCTGATAGGAAGAAGCAATTTTGTCACAGGCCACTGCAGCTGCAAGTAACATTCATACAAGCCAGGTGGGCTTGGCGCTAGAGCTCTGTCAAAACATACATGCCCTTTTGCATGCACTCCGAAGAAGAGCATGTCTGCAAGTTCTTTTTGTTGCGCTCTTCCTAGGACCATGGCTGCATTTGCATCATACTTGCACGCTTCATGGCGAGTGTGTAGGGGGGTTTAGCTTCTGCGTACCATATCTTGGCGGTCTGTGGGGGCTTGGGGGTGCCATCTTCCAGGAGCCCAGCAAACTCTGGCCCCAGGAGCTTGGCAGCGCTGGTGAAGGTGGAGTCCAGCGTGCTCAGCGACTCAAAAATAAAGATGATATTCGTGATCTGGAACAGGCCTGTCAGCCAGCAAGCATGCAGCTGTCATGAAAGTTGAACATATGTATCCTCTGCATGACGGCCAGAGACAACATCAAGCGTGTAAGGTACATGGACAGGCAGGCATTTGAAGTGGCAAATGGGTATGGTTGCTGAAATGTTACCTTTGCCAATGGACCCAGTTACAGCTGGTGGCAGGCCCGCAAGTGTGCCTTTGTATAGGCTCGTCGGTACCCTGCACAGCCAATACCAATCACACCTTGAAAAAGTACCAAAGCCCAAACATCACAGAGGCAGACATGATCAGCCCAAACCCCCTGACGTCTCTTTGGCTGGATAGGCAATTGGGCTTTCTTTTGCATGCATTCAGTTTACATAGAGGAGCTGCGCACCAGGAGGGTCGGAGAGTGGCGACAGCATTGCCGTAGATGCCCACAAAGCCAAAGAAGAAGATGAAAAGGGCTGCAACCACGCCCCCCAGCAGGAACGCCCCCAGCATGGTGGACGGCTTGGCCAGAAATGCGCGGTCGGTGAGCACCGGGTCAAAGAAGGGGTAGCTCAGGCAGCCCTGCAGCATCACGTCCATGTCATAACCCTCATGCATGTCATCTTTTAACCTTCATGCATGTTAGTCTCCTGTCCACCCAATACAGTACTTGATGAGCCAGCAAGGGACCTCATCTTAGGATCTACAAGCCACCTCCACACGGCACAGAGAAAGAAACCAGGTATGAAAATATAAGTGAAAGACGCTTTTCCAGCCGAGTGGCTAGGTGCACCAGAGAGGTGTGTCTCAACCCCCCTTCACCATGGCCATTTGGTATAACAAGCCTTTTACTACGGGCTCCTTGAAGTTTGTAGGGGGGGCTGGCTGAAGTATGCACCTGCAAGAGGGCCACTATGAGGAGATCAACACCGCCCTTCAATGACCACATCTTGGCAGGTTCCCACTGCCCGCCATGCTCCCCACACGCCAGCTGGGACTTCACAGTGCACTCCGGGGCTGCCCACTTGCCGCCGACAGATGTACACAGCTGCGCCTCTGCAATAGCTGCACATGCCACAGCAGACACAGCCATCTTTCAGCATTCCAGAGGCCATGCATGACAACGTCATCCAGTCTGAGCTCTGTCTCGTGTGTGCAGATGTGTGTCTGTGCGGCAAGGCTTTGTCGATTCAGCATGCACAGTGGGGCCGCACATGGGTAGTTGCAGCTGGCATTCTTGTAAGTGAATTGGGCCTTGCCCAGCTCCACGAGTGTGTCGTTGACCAGGCGAGCTCCCCCATCCACAGCACACATCTCATAAGTGACTGGCTGCGGGGACGCCGGCAGAGCACATGCGCCTGCGACCAGAGTCCCTCCCACTGAGCAGGAACCTTCTCCTTGACTGTCATCACCTTGTCAGGAAATTCAGAACAGATTTTCACACTACCATGGGATGGGCTCATGTCTGTGCCACTCACCGTTGGGGTTCCAGTCCCATGCAGTGGGCATCTTGGACCCCAGCACAGCCAGGAGAGCAATAAAGAATGCCACACAGATGACCAGCTGCGTGGTGTCGGTCATGATTGATGCGCGCATGCCTCCTGAGAACGAGTAGATCACTGGTATGCTGGAGGACAGCACAGCCCCCAGCCACCACTCCTTGCTATGCTGCACCGAGCACACCGTTCTGATCACAACCCGGGTGCTTCCAAAGTGGGAAACAAGAGTCCAGCCTGCCAGCAACAATGCAGACGAACTAAGATGCTCACCAGGGGCCCAAACCAGGGAGCAACAACCACTGCATTGCTCCAGACCTCCTGGTACAGCCTGAAAAGAACCGCAATCCCTGCATAGACAGATATCCACCCCGTCTGTACATAGCTGTGACACTGTTGGTCTGGTCATAATGGTTCAAACAGGAATTTCACAATCACATCGAGCAAAGAAAGGTGGTCACCAAAAGAGAGGGTGGCTAGAGGTCCATATCGCTGGTTGATGGCTTCTGGCAGGCTCCTGTAGCCCTTCCTTGTGCGCATGAAGTATATGACAATCCCAACAGATGCAAAGGATGTGTAGTAGGCCGCTGCAAGCACGAAGCATGCATGTAAGCCCATTCTGTGCATGACAGCTTTTCACAGAACTTCTGACCCGATCTGGACAGTCATGTGCTATACAGTGGGCATGTCTTGCGCACCATATGCTACACAGCCCACTAGACCATACTGGGCGCCCAATGTCGATGCGTTCTGTATACTCTTCGCAAAGACCCAGCTGATGCTCACACTGGCTGCCAGCAGGAGGAGTGACCCAGTAGACTTTGCGTCATCGTCCAAACCGCCTCTGCATGTCAGGGAATCAATGTAGACAATCAGCAGATCCAGATTATACACACAAGCTGGCAAACTGCTACATCCTCTGGGGTGAAATCTTCAATAAACCGATCCATGTCGGGCATCACCTGAAGAACTTGATCGGCTGAACCACGAACGGGGCAAAAGGTATTGTGATTGCGGCGTACAACAGTAGCCAGAACCACCTGCAGATAAAATACGTGCATTCAAGATCAAGCACAAAGTTGATGCATAGCAAAAAGTAACCTTTTGGTGAGACCATGGACACACAATGTGGTCCGTCAGAGGGTGTCGGCGCTTTTACAATTGAAAATATCCTCAAATAAACAGCAGGAATAGATTTGTAACTCACTGCAGTTCAACTCGCAATGCTGCCATCACTATGAGGAAGATCAAGATGACGCCGAATGATCCCCACAACCATTTCGATCGTAAGTAATTCTTGAAGCTCTTGCGTGTCTCTGCGGAAGAAGACTTCTCCACATCCATCTGAATGATCTAATTTACTCTGCAGGATTCCTACATGCAATGGTGGATCACATTTTCGAATTCATCTCCGTGGTCTGTCTGTCTCGGAAATTGATGTCGTGGCAGATGCGATTTGGACGGTTATAAACTTGAATCCCAAGATCAGGGCACTGGATAGGTTACAAATCTAGGGTCTCTTAAAACTGCTGGCAAAAGTATATGCCTTTCAATCCTGATAAAATCACCACAAAATTTATCCATTCAGCATGTACTTCCTCACAGCTCTAGAATATGGCAGTGACCCGAATTTGCAATTAGCGCCCTTTGGCGAGTCCAAGGTGGCCCACCGAGCCCGGGGCTCGGCCAAGTATATTACAATTCAATTTGATAATTGATGTATCCATTATACTTTCACTTCACTCTGGCAGAATCTGGCACACATATTCTACGACTACCTGTATTGGGCAATTTGCTCTCATAGCCACACTGTGTCTGTTGCACTTCTGGCCCTTAGAATGTACTCTACATGCCTGCACAATTCTTTGAGGGCACCTCCGAGTCAGGCCGCCAGCCGCTAGCATGCGGCAGCACTGCAAGGGCGGCACTCACCCACGCTGGCAAGGCAATTAGGGGCATCTACCATCTCTTGCTTGACTCTCCTCAAACTTGGAGGAATAAGAAGGGTTGGTATAGGGGGCGCCAGCTGCTCTGGCTCCCCAACCCTGCTTGCTACCTCTGCTTGGTTTGGCGAGAAAGCAATAATCTTAGTACTATGGGGGTTCCGTTGACGGCCCCTTCAGGCATGCTACTGCCTGGATTGTGCCACGGCGCTCTTGATGGCGGCAGGCAAGGAGCTCATGAGGACTGGAATGTCCACGCATGCGTCCGCTGCAGCGCGCAGGCGCTCCCACTCATCGCTGGGCAGGGGCGTCCGCCGGTCCATGCCTGAATCGGGTGTATCATAAAAGCGAACGAACAGCACTGGCCCCTGAAAAGCACATCCAATGCCCATCAGTTTCCTCTTCAGGCTCGGAAGGAAACCTCTGGGAGCTGCAGCTGCTCCAGATCATCAAAACTGCAATGTTGCCATCCAGATCTGTGCGAGACTGTCAAATGTCTAGGGCATTAGCACCAGCAGCCGAGGCTGAGCATGCACAACGAGTTGTGACTGCGTTCCGTGCGTTCTGTGGGTATCAAGCATGAATACGTAGTAGCTCGTAGATGCAGACGGCCTCACCACGTTTGGTTCAGGTTCCACCGTTGCCACAATGTCTCCAATGCTGACTGGTCTTCCCGCCTGGTTTATTCTCAGCAGGGACAGCTGCAAGTCATAGACAGCGCCATCAGGATCTGGAGGGGGCACTTCTCTGACCGACAGGTGCTAGACAATGCACAAGCCAGACAATTGGCTGCAACCCCCACCTCAAAGCCTGTCTCCAGCGGATTCGTCCTGAAAGGAAGGGCAAACGGCATGTTCCGTCCCTGAAATGTCAGCGTTGACGCCCACTGATACAATTTGGTGCCAAAAGTCCCGACATCAACATCCCTGCGAACATTTATTTCTTGGACCTGGGCATCCCGCATGAGAGAAGTGCGAAAATTCCATAAGCATGCTGGCACCATTTTGCAATGACAACAATAGCCATAGAAGCTGTAGGGTTTTACTTTGGTAATTTAGCAGTTGCAAGTTGCAGATGATTTCTTTCAGCCGAGTGAACCAGCACTGATCGAGACGGTGCGCTCCTTAGCCGGGAACATCTAAGCTGCTGGGATCCTTTTTGTGCAGTGAAACCAAATACATTGGTCTTTCCATTTCGTGGACGCATGAAATGGACATTCAAATGAGCACAGGGCTGCTCAAAGGATGTTGATGGAGCGTCGTGCTGAACACCAATGAGCGATCTGCTTCCCAAAGCAAACATTGTACAATGATATTTCCACAAGGCAAAGCAATATCAACCCTGTGCTCCCGTAGAAGTGGTAAGGAGGAACAGATCGTTATGTGTGTTGGCCTGTTCAAACCTACTCATCACCGACCCTGTTTCGGAAGGGTGAGTAAGAACCCTAAGCCGGTCTCGTGAATTGTTGCGCGTCTGAGATCATCAATATTTACATACAGAACAGGGCAATCACATGCTTCATGTAAGTTTTTAAAGACAATTTGTCAGAGATTCGTTAGCATTCAATTTAGAGACGCACTCCGTTCGGTTTTTGGTTGCTTGTCAGCACCCAATTCTTCTTCTTCAGTTCATCTTAAATAAAATCGTTGGTCAAGTACACAGTAAAGTGCTACAGAGTATATCACATGGCCGATCAAGCTCTTCCAGAGAACGTTAGTACAGAAGACCTGGTCGAGCTGCTCATTGATGGAGCACGCTATGACGACGCAGACGATGTGCAGACAGCGCTTGATGCACGAGCTGACGTGAATGGTACAGATTATAGCGGCAGGACAGGTGGCCATGCACAGCAATCAGCATTTTTCTTGAGTTTCTTTATTGATGGAATGTTGCGGCTCTAGGAAATGACCTGTCAAAGCAAGCGACTTGGTTTGTGCCAGTGCTCCCTGACTTCCTAGTTATTGCCTGCAGCATTGCACATGGCAAGCGGTAATGGGCATGCCTCAATTGCCACCACACTGATAAATGCTGGTGCGGTGAGTGACATGTTCACCTGTCAACTCAGCTGATAAGGTCTGATGCTCAAGTACGCCTCTCCACTATAAACCAGTGGGGTTTTCATTTGCAATTGTCTTTTGCGTAGGATGTTGGTGCCAAGAATGAGGAGGGAAACACACCACTCCACTATGCATGCCTCAATGGCCACGTCGACATCGTGAGGCTCCTTATGCTCCATGGCGCCAGTGCATCTGAGCTAAATCGGTGAGCCTGTTCACCAAGTGCACGGGCAATCAAGCCAGTGCCCAGCAAAGCTTGAGCTCAGGACCCCGTGAATAAGTGTGCAGCAACCTCACCCTCCGGCAGGATCAGCATATACTGGTAGTACAGTGCTCACAATGTGGTAATAAAGTAAGTATTAAGATCTCCAATCCAGCAACCTGTGGTGCAGACATTCTCGGACGCCGGTGGATGAGGCGCTTGGGCGGCCCTTCCAAGACAGCGTGGTGGATGTGATAAACTCCTTCTTCAAGCAGCCCCTTGTGGAGGTGGAGCAGATGCAGGAGGAAGATGCTGAGGACGATGCAGAGGCCTCGGACCAAGAAATGAACGCTGAGAGTGAGCAGTGATCCTGTTGGCCAGGCAACAGATGCCAGAATTTGTAGATGCAGATACCCAGGAGAGATGTGTGTGATCAGCAGGGCAGAGACCTCGGCCCAAGCTGGTGGCCCCGGCAATCAGAAGCACGCATGTCACCGTGACGGTGATGATGGAAGGTTCAACCTGACACATTACGATCAGTCACACGGTGTCATGTTACACAAGGCCCAGGCCCTGCCAAGCCCTGGCCCAGTGGGCCAGACTGGCTTGCAGGCACTTGGTGCGTGGAAGAGACCATTTGAGGTTGCCAGCCCACTGAGAGCCGCAGGACTCCTCAGAGCCTTCTTGAGCAATTGAACTTCGAGGCTGATCATGCATGCCCAATTCAATTGCACCTTGTCAGTGTCCAACAAACTCAAAGTTGGCCAATTGTAACAAATAATGTGCAAGCAAAGACACAGCGCGCGGAAGGGGCGCATGCATGCCGGCCATGTTGGTGATCATCATGACCATCTCCTGCCAAACACTCACGACGCTCAAAGTCGTACAGTGTCGCCTTAAATGATTGACTCAATCCTGCAAAGCCAGACACTCAGTAATCTCCACGTGAGCATAATCCCATGATGATGTCACCGAAGTCCCGTTGAGGCAAGTCCTCGCTACAAGCCGTTGCTAGATCTGCAGATGGGGTCCTCCGATCGCTCCCAAATCCTGTTCTTCCTGTCGAGCATAAGGCAGATGTTCAGGATGAAGCCCCTAGGAGTCGTGCAGAGGACGGCACGCTTGCCGTCAACGTGACTGGCGCTTTGAACCCTTACCGAAGAGTTACTGCTGCGGAGCTCGCCGCACACATTGTCCTAGGATGGATTCGTCCGTCAAAAAGAAGGTTCAAAAGGTAGGGGTTTTGGCCAACCGAGTACTCTGCAGATATTGGTAGAACGAAAGCGGCTGGAGGCAGATTATTGACGGTGTAACCTTGAGAGGTTGAGTCTGCTGCAGTACTGCTTCTCTACAAGCTATAAACCTGACATTTGATATATGTGGTGCTTTAAGCTCCCATTCTAGCTGTATACACCCCAGTGTCCTGTGCAAGTTGGGCAACATCTGATCTGGTGCACATTTCTTACTTTAGCTTGCGATTTCCCTTGACTCCCTGGAGAATGGTCCTCGCAGCAAGCACACCAAATGGTTTCCTTTTACTATGGTTCTATAAAGGATCCCTCTTTCCCACGTGTCTTTTGGAAGCCCCTTGGCAGCAACAAAGGTGGAGGAGGAGTGGCACAGCACAGGTGCATTTCCCAAACTGACGCTGTTCCTGCTACAGCGATAACGAAAGCCACACCATTTGCTGGCTATGCAGGTGCTCAAGAAGGTAATGCAGCATGAGATCGCTGAGTCCTTCTTCAATGAGCCAGTGGACGCTGAAGGCCTGGGTATCCCAGAGTATCGAGAAATCATCAGAGTGCGGCTCAGATCTGCCTGTGCACAAGCCTGTTTCACTGATCCACGCTCAACCCCTTCCATATTTTGGCTCCGGGGAGCCTTTGCAGAGCCCAGGCCAGCCTCTTAGTGGGAAAAGCCATGCTCTCACCACGTGACATGTTAGATTGGGAGAGCACGTTGCAAGGTGAGAAACTTTGTGCGTGTGCAGACGCCGATGGATCTGGGGATGATAGCGCGGCGGCTGGAAAATGGCTTGTATGTGAGCGCGGCAGCGGTGGCAGAGGATGTGCGGCTGGTGTGGCGCAACTGCCGCACCTTCAACGAGCCCGGCAGCGATGTGTCCAAGAGCTGCGACGAGCTCGCCGGGTTCTTTGACCAGCTGTGGAAGCAGGCCAAGCTCGAAAAGGCTGCGGTGCGAGCCACATTCACTTCCGAGGAAATGTTCCCTTCTCCTGTTGGAGGAGAGGGTTGCATTTCACTTGCATGGAAGCACAGAATGACGTAGAGCCCAGGCGTTGTTGCTGGGTCTTGCGGGACTTCCTGTGTAATACTGCATGGTCCCTGTTAATATAAACATGTTTCTCATGGACATGCCGCATGTGCAGGGTCCCAACTCTCCTGGAGACAGCGAGGGCGCTGCTGCGCTGAGCCACCCAGCGGCCTGGATGCCCTTGGATGCACAGGTACCTCAAAACCCACCTTCTCTGTCAATTAGATGTTTTGCTGCCAACCAGTGGCAGGCCTTGCTTGTTGACTGGTGGCATCAGGGGCTGAATAATGAAGTGCCATGTCAGGCGGAGGCCTCGGGAAGGAGACCTGGGGGCGGGGCGAATGGGCTAACGGGCAAGGGCAGGAAAATGGTGGCCCTCAATATAGCTGGTGAGGGCACAGCCTGTCCCAACTTAAAAAATCCGCACACCACTAAAGATGTTGCTGGCAAAATAATTGTCTGCATGGTAGTTTCAGAGTTTGGATTGAAGTAGGCAGCCTGCCTTTTATGGTCATGTCTGGAATAAAGTCTTAGCGTAAGGACAAGGGGACTTGCGCCTTCCAAGAAAAATGGAGAGGGGTGCCCGAAAGATGTTCAAGGGGAGCGCTGTAGTAATCTGGAGATTGCAGTGCGGTGTTGCTTGTCATCTCATGGGCAGGGATCTATGGGTCAAGAAAGTAAACTTTCACCTGCCGGCGCAGGGGACATGAATTTACCAGGGCCGTCGGGGCTGCAAGGGGCGCGGTCAGGGATGGGCGGGCCCCCCTCTTATGGCCTGCCGCAGCTGGACGTCTCCGCCCTGCGTCAGGGCCACCCTCTGCAGCGCTGCCTCAATGTGATCAATTATGTCATGCAGCACCCTTCGGCCGCGCCATTCTGCAGCCAGGCACGGCGCCCCAACACCCCTGCGTTTGCGCTCTGCAGAAATCTCCTTGTACTTACTGCAGAGCTGCCTGCGCGCTGAGGCTCCTTGCCCTGTTGAAGATTGATGGCTGAGCTCTGACCACAGCCTCTTCAGGAAGCTTACTTCGACAACGTCATAGACAACTGTTTCTGACTCAGGCAGGTTGGGGTTCTGGATCTGGTGCTGCAGACAACTGCTGTGCACAAGGTTCACAGAGAATATGGGCCTGACTTGGCGGCTGGTGTCTTGCAGGACGCCGGGTTCCTTCCGTACTACCATCTGACAGGAGAGCAGCCTGTGGATCTGACCACCATCAGGGAACGTCTGATACCGGGTACCACACAGGTACTGCAGCCTCCAGCAAGCCCTTACCTTGCACCAATTTTTTGAATGCCCTGCTTTGGGAATGATTACCGCACTGATTACTGTATACCCCGCATCCAAAATACTGTGGTCAATATTTGGAAGTAGATTTTAGGGGCCATCCTGCCATGGAACTCACTTGGGATATGGTCCTTGTATGGGGGACATGAAGCTCGTTAAGAGCTTCATGTGACTGGTCTGGGTTTATGCATCATGACAGGCGGCAGGCACATGTCATATTTACATTAGTCAGCACTGAGTGTAGCTGTGTCTCATGGCAGGGGTGGGGCACGATCCACTACAAGTCGACAACGGACGTGCTGCAGGATGTGCGGCGGGTTTGGAACGGCTACAGATCCTCCTATGAACCCACCGATCCTGTTGTGTACGCCCCTTCTCCCACATGCTTTTTCAGCGCACGCCCCTGCAATATTGAGACGCAATCGCCTGCCTTGACTGTAGCAAGATCTGCATCTTGACAATCTCATCACGTCCCTTTGATCCAACAGGGCTGTGTGCTTCAATGCATGCCCACAACAAGAGGATGGCATCAAGCTGCTCAGAGCAGAACAATGACATATGCTATCAGCTGCTGAACTCCCGTCTGTGTGTGTCCAGCACACAAATCGTCTTAACTCTCTTAGCAGGGCTTACAGTTTATATGAATGTGGGGAGACCTGTGAGCCAAGCATTTGCGGTGCTTTCAGCAGCAACTCCACAGGGTTGACAGGCGGAAGGGAGCATGCGATTGCAGATGTCCAGCTTTGAAGGGGGCTGCGGTGCATGCATGCAGGCCTGCATGCGACATTGTGGAGCGCGCATTCAGCTACGCATGGACGCAGGCGGGCCTCAGCCTGGACGTGCCCCCATCTCAGGGACCCCCCGACCAGCGCACTCAGCAGCGCAGGGTCAGCCCCTCCCTGCGCTTAGATCAGTGCAATGGATATCTTAGTACGTAATGGAGAGAAGAAGCATTGAGATTTTGCACAAATCATGGGGTCAAAAGCCTCATTTTTAGCACATCACGCGCCAATACCAGCGGCACGGGAAACACAAGCTTGGATTTGGGTAATTGAGAGGATTTGCATGGTGTCCTGGAGCACTTGGTCTGGAATGGGGTGGTTTGTGCATTGTTTCTCAATGGATTAACAAAGGTGCCTTCAGTGCCATCTGAAACCTGCTTGTTCTGTTGCCTGCGCACAGATGCAGATACAGATGCAGCAGCGGAGGGTGCAGCAGTACAGCTCGGAGGAAGACAGCCCGCGCGCTGCGGCCGCCGCCCGGAGAGCGGCCGCGCCGTCGCCGCCGCCGGTGATCCGCCAGAGGAGTGACGGCAAACCCGAGCGCCAGGCAGCCAAGCGCTTCAAGTCGGCCGTGCAACTCCACGGTGAGGGCTCGATCCAATGAATGAAAACGGTTGTTAAAAAAGTTACAAAGATTTAAACGTATGGCCCCTTGCGCTGCCGATTAGAAACGGTCACAATTTTCCTCACGGGAGCCCATTCTGAATATGACTTTCCTCTGAATGTACCCCAGCACTCCTGCATGTGCATGCATGCGCTGAATTTTTGAATTCACAGCGGTGCGTGCACGAGGGCGAGTCATATCGTTGAGTGGAGAGGCATGACTTTCCAAATCTGTGACTGCGGGACTGAGCTGGGTGGCATGTGGGGTGTAGCGGATTCCGCGAGCGAAGGCACGCCCGAGATCAGCGAGAGCTCAGACAGTGAAGTGCAGAAGTGGAGACCTCAGGTAAGAGTCTGTCCTGCAAGATTATAGCATTCATAATTTTGAGAATACAATCATTCCTGCTGCAATGCTTTCTTGGGGGCGCAGAGCTGACAGATTTCCTGTGCTTTGCAGTCCACCCCAGGCAGATGCGATGTATGCAAGAGGGCCAAGAAGGGGCGATGCGGAACAGAGACAGCACCCGCCAGGTCAGCACACATCCCTTTGCACGCCCGCTTGAAACGTGGATCACCTCCGGTTACCAATATAGTCATCACTTTGGCTTGAACATTTGCTGAAGATGGCGCTTGTGTATGCGCAGGTGTGAGCGCAGACCGGAGAACAGCACAAAGGGCGGCGGGGGTCACAAGGGCGGCCAGGCAGGCGGCGCCAAACCCTCTCTCAAGAGGAAGAACAGCTGGGAGGTGGATGACGTGCAGGTGCATCTTGAGACCTTAGTGCAGCTGTGTTTCTTGCCAAATGGCGTAATGCCCACAACAACTTCTGCATTTTGATGTGACAAGCTGTTGGCAGAGCCCTAGACATGCATGGTATTAGCTTGCCCATGCCACGCAGAGGCACAACTCAAGCAGACCACTGAACGGGGGAGGAAGGTGTCACTGAGTAAGTGCTGAGACATTATGGTATTGTGGCATCAATTGACGCGTGTTCCCTCTGTTGCAGCAGAAGCAGAAGCAGCCGGCGCCGGAAGCAGTGGCGCGGGCGTCAGTGGCAGCCCAGCGCCTGGCGGCGGTCATGGAGCAACAGCAGCAGCAGCAGCAACAACAACAACAGCAGAAGCCTCGCGGCTCAAGCAGACTGGTAGGCTCCTCCTTGCACCAGGCACTCCTTAACACAGATACCCGCTTGTTGGACTCTGTGTCCGGACCAAGGCATGCCCAAGCTGCTGCACATTGTGAGTCCCTTTAGAGCGCCTCTTGAGCGCACATTGTTCCAGCTTCTGAGCTGGACAGCATGGGGCAGGATGTGCATTTCACTGTGTATCACGGGTATGCCGAGTGAGTCTGATGTCATATTTTTAATGGTTGGGACGGGTGGTACTGAGCTGGCGGTGTGCTGCAGGAGTACATCCAGGACGAGCAGGAGAGGCGGGTTCTGCTGGAGTGGGCGCAGCTGCTGCGTGCACGCCAAGAAGCTGCCCAAGCCATCGAGCTTGCAAACGTGCGCACTGCACCAGCTGCTCTGCATACTTCCAATCAAAGAAAGAGCTGGACCCAGAATCGGACATGCCAGTGGTGTTTGACGTCTGTTTTACCGGTGCCCTGCCTTGCTCTCCCCAACAGTGCCTGATGGACTTGCGCCATTCGAGGTTTGGAGCGTCAGGGCGCGGTCCCTTCTATTCGAATCAAACAGCTTCAGCTCAATGGTAAATTGTCCACTGGGAGGGATCGTCCCACAGCAGGATTCGCAATGCCAAGGCGGCCCCATGCTAGCATTGGCATGAGTTTGCCTGTGGAGAGTGGTGCGCTGAATTTGGCTGTGCTTTTTTGCGGGGCCGCAGAAGGCGGTGGCGCAGGTGGCGGCTGCGGAGGCGGCGCTGCGGAGCGCGGTTGCGTACGAGGACGCGGTGGCGGCCAACGAGGCGGCCAAGCCGCGCACCGAGCCGTGGCCGCCCGACGCGCGCCTCGCACCCCCCGGCTACTCCTCCCCCAACCCCCTTGTGCAGCACTCGCGGCCCCAGGTCCCCTACCCCACCCCCCGCATCATAGTCTTCACCCCGCCTTGCTCTCTTGCATGGCCATCCCCTGGTGCACCACTTTGGTTCCTAGATGTTGCCCCAAGTATCAGCGTAGAGATGGCACATCTGATACTGCCTGTTTTCCAGTGTTAGGTCATGCCTGGCGTGATTTCATGGAGTCTGGATGCTTTCTTTGCTGTAGAGCTCCAAAAGAAGTTTTGTTTTGATGCCGTATTGTATATGTGCAGGTTCTGCCTCCGGACATTGCATCAGCAGGCAACTTCTGGTTCGGCCAAATGCCGGGCGCCGACCAGTCCCTCGACCGCAACAGACCCACCAACCCAGCAGGTCAGACTTCACCAGACAATCGTGCCTAAGCCCACTTTCATTTTCTCTGTGGTGGACCAGGAAAATACAAATGACTCTCGCAAGCTGCAGCGTGTGTGCTCAATACCCTTAGTATGCATATGCAGCATCATGGACATCTTTACATTTGATGTGCGACATTAGAAGAGAGTATGGCCCGCAGGCTCATCGGCGATGGCGTCAGCAGCGATCGGGCTGCAGCAGCGGCTGGCGCAGTTCCAGCAGCAGCAGCAGCAGCAGATGGCGCGGCAGCAGCAGCACAAGCAGCAGGCCGGCCAGCAGCCGCACCCCCCGCTGCCCTCTGTCACCCTGCCGCAACCCGGCACGCAGCCCTTCCCGCCCTACATGTACCGGCCGCAGCAGGAGGCTCAGCCGTCAACTCCCAGCACATCGCAGCCACCGCCCTCCCAGGGGATGAGCGCGGCGGGGCCCCCCTACAGCAGCGGGCAGCCCGGGCAGCCGGGGCTGCCCGGCGTGGGCAGCCCACGCGTGCCCAAGGCCGGGCAGGTCTCCTGGGGCGATGCGCAGGCGGGCGCGCAGGGCCTGCCTGGCGGCAATCCGGTGTCTGCGGGAGCACTGCAGCAGGTGCAGACACCTGCACTTTCCTGCAGTGCAGAGTGTTCACCTGCTCTGGTGATGACAGCGTATGCCTTCAGTCCTTCACTATTGATCAGTGTTGATGAATTCATGAAGAGCAAGGCCACCTCTGCATACCTTCAGGGTTGGTTGGCGGGCAGCAGTGATGATGTGGGTGGCTTGTGGAATGCAGGCGTTCAGCGGATTTGAGGGCAGCATGCGCCTGCCAAGCAGCGGGCCGGCGGCAGCGCTGCCCCCTCCTGGGCAGGCTCTGCCAGGGTCAGCCGCCAACACAAGCATGATGGACATCGGCAAGGGCCTGCACCAGACAGCCGTGCCCCAATTTGGCGCCAACATCTTTGACTACTGACCACCTCCTCTGCAAAGCCATCAAATCTTTCTGGCATGGCCAGAGGGCATCACTTCGTACACTGCCCAGCAATTGTCTTGAATGTGACCCAGATTGGTCTGGCTTTTGTCTGGTTAAGCACTTTTATCGTGGTATGACTCGATCAAATCTTCAACTGGCGAGTGCGTATTCTAAAATTTTGAAAACGAACTGTTCAGGGGCATGTGATTAGACTCTATGGCTGACTCAGGACCTAAGTACTTTCCCGGAAGTGCAGATTGTATACCTTTTTTCTATCTATTTTGCTCAAGCTACAGCATTGCAGCCTGGTGCGTGGTGCAGCCTGTTCTTCTTGACTCGTGACTTCAAGGTGCAATGGTCTGCATGCCTACCTACCTGATACACAAAGCAATGCAGATGAGTGAAGCCAGCTGCAGGGGGTGTGTGGACATTGCAGTTCGTTATGGAACATATCAACTTTTCTTGATGCTTTCTGATGCAGATTGTATTTGATGCTGATGCTGGTATGCACACCTGCGAGATTTTCTCTTTGCATCTTGGTGGATACAAGTAATTCCTGTGCTCTTGGAATGGGGTTTGACATCGATGATACATGAGAATTCCACAGACTATTTTACTCTTGAGAGGTTTGGCTGTGCTATATATAAGCATGGTAGCTGGTGAGCAGCCAGGTAATTTGCTGTGGGAAAGAGCTCAGCCACACTGGTGTACTGGTGTGCTTCTTGAAGTTCATCATTGAATGATCATCAGACCGCGGCTGATATTGGTATACCGCCCTTATCATAAGTTATGTGGTACCAGTTGTTCCACTGAAAGGATGGACCGTAAATACCTTTGGCCTTCTAGCAAGTTGTTATCTTGCATATATCACGCATGAGCATGGTGCTGCAACTTGCAAGGGGTCCTACTTGAGCCTCTCAATCCCTTTGGAGAGGACTGCCCAATTGGAATGACCCGAACGGCCCATTGGGCCCGACCTGCTGAGCACCCGCGTTGATCCGCGTCAGCACGTCGAAAATTTGCTTTTGATTCGATCCCGCTATTGTCGTATTCATCTGCTCGTTGCAGGCGACATTCTGTCACAGACGACAAGAGCGTTTTAGTTGCGCAAGTCATCTGTGAATTGGTCGCTCTTTTTGTCGAGCTGCGGTGGAAGTGAACAGGCCACCGGAAGGCCCTGATCAGCAAAAACACGGTGGAGAAGGGCAGTGCTCCCCTTTCAATCCATATTGGCCATCAATCATAGAAATATTACTCTCTGGCATAGGAGCCAGTAGAGGGGCGATCTGTCTGTTCGTTGGTGTACCTTAACCCTGGGAGGAGCTTTGCCCATGAATATTAAGACTAGTCATCTCAATGCTAGGCCGAGCAATCTTGGCCTTCTGAGGTGTCCAGCCAACGCCTTTCGACCAGCATTCAGAGCTGATGCGAGAAAGGTACGTGGCCAAGGGCTTCAAGGAAAAGTTGGATTGGACACCTATCATACTGACGTTGTCAGTGCAATGTTTGCTTCCATGCTAATCACACTGCCATCGAATTACAGAACTGCTGCTTAGATCTCGAGAATGATACTTTCATCCAATGTCGAGGGTCCCTTTTAGCGGGTTTGGGACTTTCGAGCTGCACGCTCCACTGCACAGAATAGCCTCAAGGCGTGAAACTTAATCGGCGTATTACCTTGCAGGCACCCAGCATAGTTTGCAGCAGCAGCCTGGACCCCTGGAAAACTTTGGGCGTGTCGTACGATGCGGACGAGAAGCAGATCAAGAAGGCTTACAGGAAGCTGGCCCTCGAGTACGTCGCTGCACTCCTGTGCAGCTCCTTTCAAGCCTTGACTGATGATGCAATCTTGCTGTTTCTTGGGTAATTGCCCCTTCTTAGGCCTAGCGACTGCAACCAGCCTGACTGTTTGCATTTGCATATGCAGCAACCACCCCGACCTGCGAGGCTCCGAGGCAGCAGCGCGGTTTGTGAAGATCCAAGAGGCGTATGAGGTGGTGACAGGGAAGCGCAGGGGCACCACTTCCGAAACTGCCCCGCGCTCCTCCACCGCTGCTGGCACCTGGGACTTCCACGACTGGTAACTGCCTTGGCCATGCTTCAGCCTGGACACAAAACTCGCGGCAGGCTTATTTCTTTCTTGCATGCTCATGGCGCTGCAGATTCTGAGCATAACTTACCACCCAGGGCTTCTGACTGCATGCAAAGGCACCAGCTTGAAAGAGCAGTGGCCTATTTCTGAGTGTGCAAGGGCTGACACTTGGGGCGACCATGCCATGCTAGAGCCCTGACACGTACTCGCATCAGCTTCCTTGTGAGTTCCTCCTGCATGCAAAAGAGTGGCTGGCTATTGAATTTTGCAGGGGCTGACAGCTAGGGGCTTGTTGCGCGTGCAGGTACTGGAAGTTCACGGCGGGCAAGAGGTGGGATCAGCAACGCAAGAAGGCACCACACTCGCCAACGGCCGAGGCGGCGCGGCCGCGGCCGTTGGGCGCGCCCGAAGAAGCCCTCCGCGCACAGTTGGCCGGCCTCCGCCGCAAGGCCGCCTTCCGCTCACGCAGCAGCCCCCCAACCCCCACCCACCAGCAAGGTAAATAGAAAGTGGGGACTGCCTACACGGATCAGAATCATGCACTCCTGTCACAGTTCAGGGCAGCTGCAAAATACACAGCACACAACACACACCAGCCAGGTGCTGGCAGCGGTCACAGCAAGGCCTCTGTTCGTGCGTGCATGGGGTGCCAGCGACGCTTCCAGTGCGTTGGCACTCTGCACTTGAGTTGATGTAGGAAGGTGTATCCTGATGCAAGCCCTTTGCAAATGCAGTGGTGGATGCAACCGCGTACACCGGTTACAATGCGTGTGTTGGAGAGTCCAGCACGGCCAGGATGACATCAATTTGTGCGGGATGTGCAGGGTCGGCTGCCGCTACAGGGAAGCAGCAGGCGACTTCTTGCGAGGGCTTTGCAGCCGAAAAACACCAAGCTGCTGCCGAGCCGGCTTCAGCAGGCTTCAAGAGCAGCACCAAGGAGGCTGATGGGGTCCATGTTGGCCACGATACTTTCGCTGAGTCGCAGCTCGCAGGTCTCAAAAGGCGTGCCAGAAACCGCCAATATCAGCAACAGGCGGCTCCTCCCCCAAGCCACAGCACAGCATCCGAGACGCTCCACAACACAATGAACGCAGCCGCAGAGATGCAGAAGCCGCAAACCAGCGCGCACGCCGAAGATCAGGACCTGGAGAGCATGGCTGCAGCTGGCACAATGTATGAGATGAAGGCAACTGCACCTGCGTTGGCAATGGAGGATGCGGCGGCTGCTGACGGGGAGCCAGCGTGGCGCGAGCAGCTGAGGTGCGCGCGCGACTTCATGGCAGAGGTGCAGCTGCGCACGACGTCCAGCAACATCGTGGCCGCCACATTCACCGGCCTGCGCGCCCGTTTGGCGCCCACCATCGCTGAGCTGGCGCACCGCACCGCCGCCGTCGCCAGCGCCGGTCCCATCAACACTTCAGGAGCCGAAGGAACGCCCCTTGCTACCGGGGAACGCGCGCATGCATTCGGCCGGAGCGCATTGGAGGCCGGTGCCGCCTCCGGGGAGGAGGCTCGCAGAGTCCTCGGCGCGAGCGGTGCCGGGTTTGCGGGGGAGAAGGAGAGCTGTGGGCAGCAGGGGCCTGCCCAGCTTGGGCAGCAGCTGGCTTCGCAGCTGGCAGGCCTGAAGCGGCGCGCAGCCATCCGGCAGTACCCAGCTTGATGCGCACTGCTGACAACGGAATGTAGTGTAGAAGCGAGTGATAGCCGGCCTAGAGCACGTGCAGCAAAAGGAAATCGGCAGCAAAATTATTATTGTCAGCACCACGTGGAGCTAAAAGGCAAGCAAGGATGCAACAGTACAGAAAAACGACCTGATTCGGTTCCTAAGAGGTGTATTTTATGAGGATGTTGGCCCTGGTATGCCATTGAAATGCATGGAGGACTAGCGGAGTAGCAAGGCATGCCGCACCGGTCGTTTCTTTTCGGTGGGAGATTTTTGTCGGTTGGAGGGGTCCTAGAGAGAGATGCAGAACTGGCCGTAGACACAATGTGCAGGCTTCTTGAGAGATAAGAGAGCAAGAGAATTTTTGGTACGGATGGTGTTGTATATCAGCGAACGTATTGATAGATGTTTTGCTGGCAATGTATAACAGACAGTACTTGCCGATACTGGCTGATGCTCCTTGACTGATATTGGGCTCTTGTGCTCACAAATGGCTCCTGTTGCGTAAAATTATTCTTGCATGCCGTTATATCGCGTGTGTGATCTGCTTTGGCAATGCAGACAGACAGAGATGTTAGACATGTTGTTACCTTACTGCTGACGTCTGTAGATCATGTATTCAGCAATGGTTGCCATAAGAATAGTTGCTGCTCAGTGGGTCTGGACTGCAGCTCATTGATTGGTCGATGCGTTTACATGTACTACCGTATACCTATGCTGTGCCAAAGCATGCCCAGACACTTGGATTGCATGCCTAGGGATGAAGTCCATATTCACATGCATGCAATTGCAAGATCAGTGTAATCTGAAACAAGTGCGGCAATCTGTGTGATCATTAGTGCTCCTGGGCCGGGATCCCGGAGATGTTTTGTTTTGTCAATGCACTCCTGTTTAATTCGCACAGGGAGGCAGCCCTTACTCCCCATTATGGCGCTTGCACTATCTGTCATGTACTCATCCTCTCCTTATTTTGTATAGTATCAACATTGTTGTTTCATTCTTGCCTTGTCAACACGCATATGTTATAGTATCAGTCCTCAGCACCTCATGCCCATTGATGTAATCCTGCCCACGACGTTCCAACCCATCTGTGCACTAATCATATCTGTACCCTGCAGCTGACTCTGTACAACAATGACAACGTGGACACTGAATGCCATCTTTTGTACATCTTGCAATCAAGCTAGCGCTGCATACCAACGATAAGTTGCTGGAAACCTTGCTTCCTGCAATTCAACAGGACACCATCACTATATATGAAAAGCTGCCATGGGATCAATATTATCGTGCCTCGACAACAGCAAGCCTGGGTTCTTGCGCATTCTTAAGGAGTACATGTCTATCTCCTCGCTCAGATATCAACAGCTCAATACCAGCATCTCTGGTAGCACTCAGATCTGAGATTTATTAGATCTAGATGTGCTGTTACGGTGCATGACTGCTTGACTCTGTACAAGGAGCCAGATGCGTGGTTGTCTTGGGAGCAGGCTACTTCATACAGCTCCTGCTGAACTGTACACTGTGTGGCATTCCCTCATGATCTCCAGCCTTTATTGACTTGCTGGAGGCGCGCCAGGGCCTCCTGCTGCAGCCTGGCCTTCATGTCTGGTCCATTCATGGGCCTGGAGCCTGCCACAGCGCCTGCAATGGGGACAAACACATTCCCTTCAGCCCTTGAAAGGACAAGTCAGTTTGTGCAGAGCATGTGTGCTATTTGCGCTTACATGCGTGTCACATGAGGGCCATCCACTGTTTCAAGACCTGCACAATGGGATTCCATCATTGCGTATATTATGCTGCAGGGCCGGGGTGTTACCTGTTGGGCCCCTAAAGCCAGGGGTTAGTGGGCTTCCCATGGGGTGCAGCCCCACCCCATTGTGCAGAGCGCCCCGGGGCATTGATGGCATTGGCGATGCATTCACCCCCGGCATGGCGCTCGGGTGCGCATGCATGGCCCCCCCTCCTGGCTGCTGCCATGCCAGCTGTGCACCTGAAGCCTGTCCACCCCAGCTGCCTGGCACTGCAAGCACCATGCGCTCAGATTTATAGCCTCCAACTTTTGATCTCGCCCAGCGCATGCTTCCAGTATATCACGTTCTGCGCAACGTTGCGGTCTTTTCACAGAAATGGAAACGTGTCCTGCGTAACTCACCTGATGTCATGGTTGGCCTGCCTGCACCCAGCAGCCCAGCACCTGGGAGCATCCCTGCGCACACAGAGACCCTCCATTCTGTATGCAAGCAAGGATGAATCAAGAGCCAATGAACTCCACTGTGCAGGCGTAGATTAATTAACACTCAGCAATTACCTGTGCTAGTGGCTGGAAAGACCCCAGGAGCAACGCCGGGCGCATAGCCCATGCTCGGGCCGTGCAGTGTCGACTGGTAGAGGCCGTTGACGGGAAGCTTGCTGGGCCCCGCAGGAACAGATCCGTAGCGCGCCAGCTTGGCGTCCAGCAGGGCAAGGCTGTCTGACCTGGCGGGGGCCGACGTAGCCCCGCCTACAGTGAACACATAGAAGTATCAAGATGACATCCTTGGCATGCTCTTGCTGGCTGTCACCCATTCCGTTGTTTCAGGACATCAATCTCTGCTGGTGATCTGAGAAGCGCTGCGAGGAAAGTGGCCAGGGTAGCTGTGTCGAGGCTTTGCTTAATAAGAGAGTCTCAGCCCCAAGCAGTGCCCACAATGCTAAAGATAAATACGTTACCTGATGTCGGCGGCGTTGCCTGCTGGAACTGCGCCAGCTTGGCGTCCAGCGCCGCCAGCCTGGCAGCGTCGGGGACTGCCCCGGGCGCCGCTGACGCCGCGGCCACACTGCTGCCCGGGGCAGGCAGGCTGGGCAGCCCCGAGCTGCTGGCGGCACAGGAGCTGGCGGCCGGCATCGCCTGCATGAAGCTCGCGTTGGCCGCGGCAAACTTGACAGTCAGCGCGTCCGACAAGCTCGGCGCCGCTGCCGGGACCACGTGCGGCGCCACCCCGGCCTGCACCATCACATGGGACAGCAACTCAATACTCACGCAGATCTCTTTGCTTGAGTTTCCGACCCACCGGGTCGCGCTTGGGCACGGATGTGTTTGCACGTCTTGCGAACACTTTAATCCTCCGCCTGAGGAATGTCTGCTTCAGCATGCATGCAGATCGTAGCCCATGTAGTGGACACCAAGTGAGCGATGTGCGCTGTGATGGGTGCATGTGGGCTGGTGCAAGTGTGAGAGCACCTGCGCAAGGCGCGAGTTGATGGCATCGATCTTGGCGAGCGCGGCGGCCTGCGCCTGCTGCTCGGTGGCGGCCTGCGCGGGCGACTGCGCGGGCTCCGCCGCCGCCACCCGGCTCTGCAGCTCCGCGTTGGCGCCCTCTATCTTGGCCGAGATGCTGTCCAGGATCCCTGCGTTGCGCGTCTCGCTCCACTGCGCCAGGTCCTGGCTGACCTGCACTCACATGTCATCTGTTCAGGTACAGCCCCCTTGATTACATTCTTGCATGCACACCAGCTAATGAAGCCTCTGCCAAGCCTATGTAGAAGGAATAACTCTAGCGTACACTGATCAATCAATTGCACGAACAAAAAACATAAAGCAAGCAGCTTGGTTGGTCTGTGTGACGTCCCCGAGTCGAAGGCAATTGCTCTTAGAATGAGATACGGGCCTCACTTCCTGCTCCAGGTTGGTCATCAGGGATGCCACATTGCCAGCAGGTGCTGCGCTGCTCACTGCCAGCTGCTCGGCCGGGCCCTGCTCAGTCTGCTGCCGTTTGGGCTGGCTCCCGGGCAATTCAGGGGGCGCCTCGGCCCGCCTCTTCCTGGTCCCATCCACTGCCTCGCTGCCTCCCTGGGGTGAGGCATGCTGCGGTCCAGGCACGCCCTCTGAGCCAGGCCCATGGCTAGTGCTCCTGTCCCTCTCCAAGCTTTCATACACGGGCCCATGGCTAGTGATACCACTGTGTGCATATGGCTCCAGCTGCTGTGGGTGCTGACGTGTTAGGGCTGACAGGGCTGGCAAGGGTGCACCAAGGTCCCTGCAGCTGGCAGCACTGCTCACGCCCAGGTAGGCTGCCTCCACAAGCTTTGCTGCCAACATATCTCTCTGCTGCGCGCTGCGCATAAGCACGGCAGTAGTAAAGAAGCTCGTGTGCAACGCACTTGTAGACATCATGTGCTGTGCAATTGGGTTCTTTAGAGGGCGTGCGTCTAGGCATACCTGTGTATGGGCAGCACATGCAGCCCCAGCTCCATGCACTGTGCGAGGGCCTGCTGCGCTGTGCTCTGTATCTTCCTAAATTGGTCGCTTGCCAAAAAGGATCTGTCATCAAGAGCATGCTGCTCTGCAGAACCTCCATTGGTAACGAGGCTGATTGTGCCTGTAGCGAGAAATAAATGGTGTCTGGCAGAGTCGATATCGTAGATTCCTGCCAATAAGACAATAAACCCGGGTCTTGGAAACAAAAAAACTGGGCCTTGGGAGTGCAAGCAGAGCGCGCACCCATGCCGTTCGCCTCATTAGTTGCAGGCAAGCTCCCTAATGGAGCCAGAGCATGAGTTGATGCGCCAGAGCCGGGTGGACTGGCCATATCAAGGGCGCAGACCCTGGCAAGGTCAGCTCGATGCCTACTTATGGAGCCAGAAGAGAGTCAATCTATGCCGACCTTGTCAACCATGTGCGTTCATTTTTCAGGTGTATAGGCCCTTATATGACCGTCCAAAACATCTACCAGAGCTAGTAATACTCCGCGACCAGTGTTTATGAAGGGTACCGTGATGGTCGCCGGGATACTCGGTGTTCCTATCCGGATCAGGCCAAAGAGTGGCAATGATGCTGCATAATCAAATCTTTCGACTTAAGGAAGCTTGCGTATCTCTGGTTCCCATGCATCAAAGCATCAAAGGTGGAAAACTTCACAGTGGTCTTCCACCGTTTTGTGGATTGGAAAGTCCTGTACGCCTGAAATCACACAGATTGGCAATCGAAAACAAATTTGATGTCTTGAAAGTCTTAGAGTCTAGGTAGGAAGGGTATTATATCCGAACACAACCGGCGAACACAGTTCGAGGTTCTGGATGAACTTTATAAGTATCGCCAGATAGATATCGCTCATTTTCATTTTCAAATTCGGAGGGGGTTTCGCCGAACATTCGCCGGGAGAGACAGATTCCAAGAATGTCATTCACAATTTCCTTAATGTTCATCGTACCTACCGTGTATTGAAGGCATTGAAAGAGATCAGAGTATTGTGATTGGCAAGTGCATGCTACTGGGCGCATTTCTACCATATTAGTCGGCATATACGGCGCTCCTACATGCTCAAGCAGTGCTTTCCTAGCGTTGCTTTCAGGACGAGATTGCTGCTGACGACCCCATCGAAAGCACAGGTATCACATCGTTTATGACACTATTATGTTGCTTTTGATTTACTGGCCATGTGGCTTGCATACACGAGTGCTTTTTGGACGCATGGATGTGCCAGGATTTGGCTGATACATTGATGCTCGCCTCCTGGCAAAATGCACAACCCCTTCCTGCACTGCCCGCCAAACTTAGACCCTGAATTTGGATGCATGCACGCTGAGTCTTGGACAGTGTGCAGGTGCAAACAATCTGTTTGCAACTGAGTAGGCGCGAAATAATACTCAGCTGCTCTGCCGGCCTGAACACCAGATCTGGACAAACAGGTGAGATAGTAAAGACATGCGCGTGTGGTTCCTGATCATCCATGCCATGTTCGATATGTCATTTGATGGGTCCGGCAGTGCTCTTTTGCTGGGGCAACACGAAGGCAAGTGTTGGGCACTGCAGGGAAAGTGGATATGTCAAAAGGGAGCATGACACCAGAGCAGTTGAAAGCAGCAGTTGCAGACATCGTGCCATCTCTGTCAGGTAGGTTGTTGCCTCCATGCATTCCAATCACTCCCAGATCCGTTCAGCAAGAATAGCTGTGGTTGAAGTTTATGCTGTCGTGTGTGCAGCTGACAAGTCCAAGGGTCAGGCTGGCAAGATCGCCACGATAGGCGGCTGCCGTGAGTACACTGGAGCCCCCTTCTTTGCATCGTATTCTGCCCTGAAGGTAGACCACTGCTACTGAAACAACACTGCCATCATGTCAACCCACAGGCTGACAGATTGCATTCATGACAAAGCATACATCCTGGTAATATTGTGTTTGCCAGGTGGGCTCAGACCTATCACATGTGTTTTGCACGGAAGGGGCAGCGACGGTCATCAAGTCTTACAGCCCAGAGCTGATCGTTCACCCGTACCTCGCAGACTCCCACGATCTTCCGCAGGAGGTGACTTCCTTACCAAGCACCAGCTCCTCCTCCCCGTGTAGCTCCACTAGCAACAAGATCCTCATCTTTGTGCAAGCATAGGCAAACACAAGCGCTGCAGACTGTGTCTTGAAAATATGGGGTATGCTGCGCAGGCAAGCAGCAGCGGACGGAAGAGGGAAGAAGCGGTGGATGAGGCGGTGGGCGCCATAGAGCACTGGCTGGAGCGGTTTGATGTGGTCGTTGTGGGGCCTGGCCTCGGCCGAGATGAGCTTGTCCATGACACAGTTGTCAAGGTGCTCTTCAACTCTCAACCCATGACATTGTTCCATGCTGTGACAGGCGCACGGTACGGCTTCACACTCTTGATGGGATCAGGATGTGCCTGTGCGCCTAAGCGCTCATGCCATAACCATGTGCCTAACCTTGTATACAGGGTGTGAGGGCACGCCGCTGTCTAACACACCCTTCTACGTGCACGTTCATGGCTTCATACTCAAGGGATTCCACCTGACATGAAGCACTGTCCCACGGCGCAGGTGTTTCAGCTGATGCGAGACAAGCAGCTGCCGATGGTGATTGACGCGGACGGCCTGTACATAGTCACCAAGAACCTGGGCCTGGTGAAGGGCTACCCCCACGCCATCCTCACCCCCAACAAGAACGAGTACCAGCGCCTGGCAGACGCCCTCGGCGTAGACACAGAACAGGTCAGCACATGCTGTGCCTGCAAGCTTTTAGAACAAAGGCACTTTCAAACCTGTACAACTGCGAAGCAAGCTCCCCTTCTGGCAAGGACTGTAGAGGAATTTCTGCAGATGGAAGGGAGGGTTGCGTGTATGGGCATGGCACGGGGTGAATGGGGGCTCGTCTGTTTGTCAGGAGGGGCACCTAGAGAAGATTGCCAGGGCACTGGAGGGGCCAACAGTGGTGCGAAAGGGCGCTGTGGATGAGATCTGCAATGGCACCAGCACGTTGCACTGCGATGCTGCTGGCTCCAAGCGACGCGCTGGCGGCCAGGTGGGACCCTCAACGTTCTCTCAGACCCGCTGTCCACTGCAGCAGGACTGTGTTACAAGGAGCAGAAGCCACAAGAGAAGCGTTGTGCTTGGGAAGGGGAGACTAACGGCGTGATGGATCTATTTTGCAGGGGGACGTGTTATCAGGGTCCATAGCAGCATTCATGTCATGGGCGGTCAACTACGGCGAGACACATGGGCTGATGGAGGCTGCAGACTATCCTGGGGGCTTGGCCCCGACTGTGCTGGCTGCCTACGGTGGCTGCCTGACAGCGAGGCATGCAGCAGCAGGGGCGTATGCAAAGAAGCGCCGGTCCATGGTGGCAGGGGATGTCATTGAGGAGCTGGGTGACACTGTGGATCGCCTGTTTGACCAAGGGAATGCCTAGGATGTGGTTGCTCCCCAAATAATTTAAAGAGATCATCGCAATGCCAGGCAGCAGCTGGTGCTCTGCTGCAACTCGCACAAGGTCTTCAAGATCATCTTAAATGCAGTTTAAGTTAAGATCAAAATGGGCATGGACCATGGCAAGCACGAAAGTGTTGTAAATTCTGGTAGTGTGCTACGTGCTTGGGGTGTTACGACAAAGCAGTGTGATTATTGTATGTGTCTTTCACAGTGTGTACCATTTGGCAGAACTTGGCAGCTGTCTTACATAAGGTTGATGATATATCTTTGCGCCCTAAACAACAATCGATCATGAGCACCAGGAACTTGTCCAAAAATTGGAGGCCATGGAATCACCGTTGAGGTGAAACATATGTGGCTTGCCAGTCAATGATGTTGACTGTACTGAGCACCACAGGTCAATGTAACGTCATGCAAAGATGTGAACGGTTCAGCACATGTCTACACAGCAGGAATTGTCCGATTTCACGCCCATATTTGTTCAAGATACTGGCTTGGACTCTGCTGGCATGTCCTCTCCCTTGGGAATGAACTTGAGAGCTCCAGCATTCATGCAGTATCTCTTTCCAGTCGGCCTTGGCCCGTCATTGAAGACATGCCCAAGATGTGCGCCTGACCTCGCATCGATCACTTCCGTCCGAGGCATGAAGGGAATTGAGGAGTCTTTCACCTGCACAAGCAGAATACATGGGGGTTCAATAGATTACCTAAACCCCTCGATCCAACGCTGGCACAACGGGGCAAGGCGCGCCCAGAAAATGGAAACGATTTTTTCCTTCAATCTCGCACCTCAATGACATGCTCAGGATCAATGGGAGCATAGAAGCTAGGCCATCCTGTGCCAGAGTCAAACTTGGTGTCTGATGAGAAGAGGGGCAGTCCGCCAATCGCTGAGACCCAAACTCCCTCCTTCTTGTTGTCATGGGAATAGCCTGCATGTGCAACATGAACTTGACATGCGCACCAGATCAGGTTCGAACATTCAGATGTCACTGCTGTAGGAACTTGTGGGTCGTTAATCAAAGGAGAGCAGAAGGATCACCATTGATGGTCTTGCCAGTAAAAGCTCGCTCTGTTCCAGCTTCCAATGCAATATATCTGCGCACACAATCACCTCAGAACCATCATGCACCTCTACTTTTGTGGCTCTAGGAAGCAACAGAGCATGTAACAGTGGAAGCCAGTTGTAACCTGGTGTTTGCATCGACCTTGGCTGCCTCCTCCTTGAGCTTTCCTTGCGTCAGCGGCGTGATGTCATACCCCAATTTTGACACTTTCCTTGGTACGCTGTCATCTGCGCAGACGAACTCATGGACAAACCTGCTGTGCATCTCAAGAAATGATATTTAGCAAAGTACGCCAGGGGCATCAATTGGTGGGAGCAGGATGTAGGGCGCACCAGGCGCAGGCTGCCAGCCGGATTTGCTAGCACTTGCCGTTATTCCCATTCTTGCCTGCATAACACACGCCTTGCTTTAGCCACAGCGCATGCAGTTACTTGAGATTTCAGTGGAAAGTACCTAAAACTTCTGCCCGAGCCAACCATCTGGAGCTGCACGAGAATTCACGTTTGGCTGATGATGCCAAGCCAAGTACAGTATAGACAAGGCCAACAGCAGGAGCACGACTGCTGGGGCAGCAAGACCCATTCTTCTCTGTCGTGCTTTTATCTTGCAAATGAGCATCAATGACCCGATTTTCAGGTTTCACCGGGCAAAGGTAGCCTGCACGGCCAGAGCTTACGTATCAAGAAGGGGACTTGGCTGGACAGTTACAATTCCACACAAAGAGCAAAGCTCACCTCGACTACGACGCCAGATGTGTTTGTACTAGGCCACCAAGCGGGTAATGAAAATTGCAAAGCACGTACAGGCAGAGTGCCGCTAGAGAACTTTCCAGAACTTCGATTTGTTGTGTTTCTAGCCAGAAACGGCCTCACGGATCGAGTTGGCGATAGCAAGGCGGACTTGTGCATACAATGAGACAAACCTGCTATTGTCATGATGCTTTAGTAGAGAGAAGAACAATTAGATCGAATTGATCTCGAGAAGCCCCACGTCTCATCTCGTGAGGCCGTGAGGAAGGCGGGCAGCTTCCAGCTTCCATCGACGTGGCAGCTGATGGGGGTCTTGCTGCCTGTTCATCTCTTCAATCCTTCCATGGCGTTTGATGAGATCATCAGTACTACCCTAGGAACACCAGAAGGGCAGCTGCTCTTGTGATATTCTTCTTGTGCTGGGGAGTTAGACCTTCCTCTGGATTGATCAAAGGTGTCAAATTTTGCTGCCTGTCTTGTTGTTGTGACGCAGGTATTTTAACCTAGCATTTGAACACATTCTTCAGTGCATTTTCTATTGGCTTGATTTATCGATCAATGAAAACAACAAGCAATCTGCACCTGAGGATGCTCTCCTTGGGTAGGTGATTGCAACATGTTCCAGGATCTGCCAGAAGAGCTGTTGCAACGTGTGGCCGAGAACATGCCCCATAAGGACTGGGCCAGAGCAAGGGGTGCTTGTCGTTGCTTTTCTCGAGTCCAGCTATCCAGGATTGATATAGCCCCTCACAGCCTGGCAGCTCTGCGCTGGTGCACGAAAGTCTGGCAGCATGCCGACATGATAGCAATCAGTTTGAGTGTAGTAACGCTCAGCGGCTCCAATCTTTGTTAAGTCATGGAGCTGTGTGCTTCTAAACTCACTGAGTTCTGCACGAAGCGCTTCCAGATATGAGTCTTGAAGAGTGGGCGTGGCTTGACTTTATCATCACAAAGGCCTGCACTTCTTCAGAGACTGGCCCTCTGTCCCCCCAGAGTATTCACGCTCCCTGTCATATACCAGCTGCGGCACCTTGCACTAGAAGTAGGGAAGGAATTGTCTCAGCAGGCTTGCTCAAGTATAGAGGGGCTCAAGAGCTTGGAAACCATCAGCATCTGCGGCATCAAGGGACGTTGGTATACCAGCCCTGGATCTTACTGGCTGCAGCAGTCTCAAAGGTTGCAAACTTTGGTAATGCAGCACCGGATGCCCTAACAGGCTCGCCAGAGCACTGCTGGATCATCATGGATGGCAGTATGGAAGAATTTGTGTATTGTTGGGATAGCTACAGTCAGGTGTGCACTGGCATTCGTATGAGCGCCCTGTATCTGCCAACCGCCACCCTTAGCTCACCATGTCCGTGGCTGATATACCTGAACATACATAAATATGGTGATGAACGCATGGGCATTCCATCGGATGAAACCATTGTATTCAGCGGCGCAATGCCAATGCTACGCACCCTGATAATCCACTGTGAGAATCTGTCGCTGAGAATTGAAACCTCGCTCTGGTTGAGGAGTCTGAGTATAGAAGCACAGCGTGTTGATGAGTTCTTTGTGAAGGACATCTCTACTTTGACAAAGGAAATGGTCTTCTGCAGATTGTTGCCATATACAAACTTTAGTGCAGAGGAAGCTTCGGCTCACAATGCTGTTTCAGGTGAGGTGATGGCTGCCTTCAAGACATCTGCAGTACAAAACAGGACAAGTGAAGAAGTGGGTTGGCAGCACATTGAATGTGTTCATAGACTCTTGAGCTAAGATAATAAGAAGTATGTTTGTCCATGCGGGGGTGCATGCTTGCGGTGCCTCTGGAAGACAGGTGTCTTGGAGTCCTATATTGCACAGGACTACTAGTAGTACTGACGTTGCTTTCCGACAATACCTGTCGACAGGCGTCTGAGAAGCAACAGGTAGTTGGAAAAATCTATATATATATATATTCTTGCCAGCTCTAAGCTGATCATGTGTTAAATATGTGATACGTGCTTAGTCGCTGTGGTCACCATTGTGATGGACGACCATCGAGGTGAAAGGTACACGAGGAGAATCCAGGTTACATTGTGCAGCTCCTGCTGTGAGGAAAGCTATCAAAGCTGTCTTCAGCTCTGTCCATATCCACTCACACGTATCTTCAGCAAAAAAGGACATTCATTTCCTGAACTACTGTGCTGCTAGGCATGCCTCCGTGGCAGCGGCAAAATCATTAGTGTGAGCTACCAGTGCTCCAGCCACAGTGGCCTTCGGGAACCCCATGCTGCGCAGCTCTCTGTAGTTCTTGCAGAAGTCCATAAACTGCAAGGGGGGCACAAGCACGTCTTTTTATCTCCACAAAAACATAATCGTTCATGAGTTCTGCTCCCTAGAAAGCCTTCAGACTAACCCATTTTGCAGCTGTATAAAGCGCAAGTGCCCCGAAGGAGGTCAGCTTAAGGGCCGCAGCTTTGACACAAGGCAACAAAAGAACATGCATTTCATAAGGGAACACACCTCGTTGTCTTTATCTGCATCAGTGCCAAGTGCTGCCAGCGCCATGCACACTTCCTCCCGGGAGAATCCCATTTCAGTGTATTTCAGGACCTGAGATGTCCAGGGATCCTCTACCTGCATTCACCACCCAAACACTAAAGAAGACTGCAACAGATGTGTACAACAAGAGACACAACCAACTTAAACTGCTCGGTATACATTCTAAGCGTCCATCTCCAGAGGCCATCCAGCCGGCAGAGCTTGCGCACCTGCACTGATGCAGCTGCTTGGTTGGATGATCCGCTCCGATCGTCCCCAGATGCGCTCTCCTGGCTTGCTGCTGCACTGTCCTCAGCCTCAATCCTTCTCTCGTAGTCAAAGTTGTAGGTAAAGGAGGACTGCTGAATATTGTCCAAGCCTGGGCTCACCATCACCTGTCCACAAATAACATTCTCATTTCTACCTGCCTATCAAAGTCAACAATGTTTTCTTGCCACAAACATGAATCTGCAAGGCAGCTGTTGTGCTACCTCCCAACATCAGGTTGGATGGCAGTTGCACGAGTGCTGCGCTCTCACCGGAGGCAAGGTACGATATTGTTCAGCGATCTGCACTCGCAGCAGCGGGAAATTCTGTGATGTGGGTGATCCACCACTGGCAGCTGGCCCATTGCTGAAAGCTGACCCTTGCTCGTGCTGTGAAAATTCTGGCGAGCTCTGCACGCCCACGGTCGGGTAGTATGCATTTGCATGACCTGCGAGATGAAAAATCTTTATCAATCTCGTTAGACAGACGAGCATTGGCCGCCCTAGTCACAACATGGTGTGTAAGAGGCTTTCATGAGCGTCACCTGATGATGGCACTTGCAGCACGCCTGAAGCGCCTGTGTTGATCCGTGGATACATCAAAAGGCTTGAAATGGTTGGAAACGACCGGAGTCAGTGATCAACCAAGGACAACAACCCTTACTAGCCTTTCTTGGATGTTTGTGCAAAGCTCACGCCTGGCTCTGTATTACAACTACAAGAAGGTCCGACAGAGATACTAATCTTAGTCGTGTTTCCTGAATAGAAGCGTTTGTACACGAGGACTGGCCCTCCGATGGATTCATCTGCAATGGTTGTGGCCTGCCTCGGCACCTGCTCGGCGACTCGGAAGCACGTGCACTGGCGATCAGAAACTTTCCTTCGACTGCTTGGGCGTGGGAACTCACTGGGAAGTTGTTGTCCCCACTGGGTGATGCAAATCTCAGCCTTAGCCTAGCATGATCCAGGGCTTGGGTGTCGGGGGACTCATACCCGCGAATTGCCATGGACGGTACGTTTGTTTCTCTTTCGAACGTAGACTAATAAATGCCTTACGCCAGCAAGTGTTCCAAATTCTAGGAAACATGAGTATAATAAATTGGTCTGGAGTCTTGATCTTTCTTACAGAGCCGCCCTGCCTGACGTGCATAAACTGGTGACATGGGCAGACGCAAGATAGAAAGATTCCATGATCGGTGGGTGATGTACGCAGGGAGCATCATCACAGACGGTTCAGAACGTACAGATTGCCAAAGGCCTCGCTCAATGAGCCAGGTGAGCTCAAGGTTCTCCTCTATTACCATTGAGGCCTGCAAGCATATTGTGCCATACCTGAGCATTTAAAGCTGTCCACAGGTCCAAGCAGCAGACCGCAGGATCCAGAGTCGCAGGTGGACTGGTCTGCAGCGTCCAGGTGAGTCCTGCATCACGTCTTTATCAGCCTTGTCACTTCCTTAGACCAGAAGCAAGCGATGCATGCATCCTTTTACATTCTCCTCCTTCTCTGCATGACCAGAATGTCCAGACGATCCTTCCTCTTGGCAGGCACCAGCATGTGGCACCTATTGCAGGGTGAAGGGGCAGCTTGTAGCGGTGGGGCCGCAGCTGGGAGGCTTGGCCGCATCTGTCGCTGTCGCCACACTGTGGCTCACTCGAAGAGGGCGCAGCGCCGGGTCTGGCAGCGGAGGCGGCTCTGGTGGGGGTTCAGGGGGCGGCGGTGGGGGCGGTGGGGGAGACAGTGGCGATGGGAGTGCCCCCAGTGAAGCAGCCAAGGTGTGATACATTTCGGCAGCCCTGACCTTGCAGCTCAGATTGTCAGCTGACGTCTCATCACTTGCGGTTGGGTAGGGAGATCTGACTTAATGCGCAGATAACTCATTGCGAATCCTCTCTGAGGCTCATTGTAAGAGATAGCAATGGCTGTTATGCGTGAGTGAGCCTGACTCTGTGCCAGAGCTAGCAAGGCTTGGGAACTCTGCATGAGTGCACAGCGGTCATGTGGACAGAAGCAAAGGCGGGAGTCACAGAAAATGCATGATTGTCCTGGAGCAGGCAGCGGAGGCGCAGGAGCGTCGGAGGAAGGAGCAGCGGCCGAAGAAGCTGGGTATGGTGAATCTGACCCTGGTGTCCTTCGCGGTCACTCGCAGAGCATACGAGCGCATCACGCAGCGCTTTGCCAAGGAGTACGAGGCCGCGACCGGGCAGCCCGTTCGCTTCCGCCTCTCCTTTGGCGGCAGCGGCACTCAGGTGGGCGCCTCAAACGCTCCCCCTTTCTGGAGGACACAAGCTGGCCGGCCACATGCATGCTCTGCAGAACCCACGTGTGCACCCACGTTCAATTGAACCCCAGGACTTGCGCCGAAGGATCTGGCAAGCCCATGAAGAAGGGACACAGCATGCTGCACAGTGGATGGGCTCGTCAAGCATTTAGAAAAGAGCCGAAAAGAGCCTCACATGTGGGAGGGCTTTGCTGCTCCCTCCCGCAGAAGTGAGTGCAAGGGGTGGAATCCCACTCGTCAGGGGTGGCTCCGAATATGTCAATTGACTTGGTATGCGGTGTTTTGTGGTGTGCAGGCCCGGGCGGTGTGCGATGGGCTGCCAGGGGACATAGTGGCGCTGGCGCTGCCGTTGGACGTGGACAAGATCCGCGAGGCCGGCCTCATCAACCCCGGCTGGCAGCAGCGCCTGCCCAACAACGCCATCGTGGCCGAGTCTGTTGTCGCCATTGTCACCCGCCCCGGCAACCCCAAAAACATCACCGGCTGGGACGACCTCACCAGGTGCTCATTCTTCTCCATCTCCATGCTGCAGGCCTTATGAATCGACAAGTCGCCACTGATAGACTGATATTCTGCTATAGTGCCCGTCCTTTACTTAGGAAGAAAATTTGCAGTGCTCAAAGAGGCTGAGTGTGTGGTTGTCAGACATTTGCAGAAGCACTGCGCCTGAACCAGAATTCTCTTGCGCTGTGGGATTGCTGGGAGCTGCCTTTGAGGGAATGCATGGAGCAAGGGTAAAGGTTGTACGGATGGAGATTTATATATGGGAGGGCTGATGTCCTAAGAATGGTACAGGCCGGATGTGGATGTGATAACGGCGAATCCAAAGACGGCTGGCGTGGCGCGGTGGAATTTCTTTGCGCTGTGGGGCCATCGCCTGGACAAGGGCGAGGACGCCGCGCTGGACTACACCACCAAGGCAAGGCCAAGGCCCTCTGCCCCCACCAACCGCCCTTCAACTTTTCTTGTGCACATTTTTGCATCTACACACAGTACTATGCATGAAGGGCGACTATTTCTCCCTGTGGCCTCTGACTCCTGCGCGCGTCTGATGCATGCATGGAAAGGCGTTGCAGCCCTGTGCAAGGCATGAGGGCTGCTCCCCTGCAGCAAGCCTGCCCTGCACGGGGCTCCTGCAAGAATTTTGCTGGGCTGCAGTGGAGCTTTGAAGTTGACTGATGTGAGCTGGGACTGCTTTTGTCACAGTGCAGCGGACCTGGATTTTACAGGACCATGCATGGGCCGTGGCAGGGCTGGGCGGAGGTGCAAAGCTGGCTGAAATGTGCGCGGTGCTGGCGCGCAGGTGTTTGAACGGGTGCTGGTGCAGCCGAGGGACGCGCGAGAGGCGAGCGATGTGTTCTACAAGCAGAACACGGGCGACGTGCTGCTCAACTACGAGAACGAGGTCATCTTCACAAATCTCCAGTACGGCGAGGCCGATGCCATGCCTTATGTTGTCCCAAACAACAACGTCCGGGTGCGTGCAGGTCACCTCATGGCCTCCTTGACTTGCAGGCGGCTGCCTTTTCACCAGACTCCTTACCGCTCAAAACTCGGCTGTCATGTCCTATCAGATTAGCATCACCTTTGCAAGCTTCAAAGGTTGCTGTTGACAGTGTTGAGCTGTGTTCCTGGGGTGGCAAACCCATCAGGGAGCTGGACAAAGTGCTGAGGATACTGTGGGGATCTTGTTCTGCAGGTGCAGACGCCGGTGGCACTGGTGGACAAGAATGTGGACAGGCGGTCGACCAAGATGAGGGGCCCGACGCGCGCAGCCGCAGAGGCCTTCCTAGAGTACCTGTTCACGCCGGAGGCGCAGGCCGAATTTGTTGCCTGCGGCTTCAGGTCTGTACAGATCCCCCTTGCCCTGATTCCCTGGTCCACAGACGTGGCAGTCATGTTGTGGATGTACTTGTGCCGTGTGGGATGATGAGGTACAGGTACTTTATCCCACATGGCAAAATCACCGCAGTTTCACTCTCTGGAAAGATGCTGCCTGACAGTATATGCGGTGCAATACGCCAGAACATTGCATGGAAAATCATTTCCAGCTCCGCTGAGATTGTGGGCCGTGCTGGCAGGCCCATCGACAAGAAGCTGCAGAAGAAGTCCAAGCTGCCACGGGTGAAGAGGGCGTGGACTGTGGAAAACAGGCTGGGAGGCTGGGACAAATCTCAGAAGCAGTTCTTCGGGGGAGGGGTGAGCCCTTCCAATACTCCAGCTTGCCAGTCTCAAGTTTTCTGGGCCGGGAGATGTTGCATAATTTGATGCAGTCTGTGTGCACTGCAAGGCAGCCCCATTTCCTATTCTGGCGTTTGCGATGCCTTCATGTCCTGCACTCTCTCTTTCCTCTTGATCTTGAGCAGGTGCAGTGCAACTTGCATGTCTAGAGCTGTGCATGCGATGTGCTGTCAATCCAATCAAGATATCAGGAGTGTGGGTGTGTCTGTGACAGGGGGTCATGGACAAGATCCAGAGGCATGTGGGAGAGGTGAGGCTTAGAGAGCGGCAGGAGCAACAGAGAAGACGATGATGACAGTGTCACGCACGGCCATATGGTTTCATTGGGGTCAGAGCAGCATCAGAGTAGAGTACCGTAGTCACCTCCAGAAGCCTTGTGTTTACATGCAGCTGCCCTCAGCCATAAGCAGGGATTGTTCTTAGGATCTTGCACTGGCGGTTCCCGGCACAGGAGTACTCTGTGGCGCTTAGTATGCCAAACATTTTGGTGTGCATGATTATTTTGGTTTGCTCATGAGCGTGCGCATGTTTACCTCAGAAATGAATAGACTAGGAATGACAGCAAATGGCACTGCAATGATAAGATTTATAGTATTATAAATCTAGTCATGTAACCATCATACGCCATGTTCGACCTTATGTCTTCATTCAAGGTTGGATCAATATTTGCATTCACTTAGTATATATACTACTGCTCATACGTGCTACCGCACAGTGTTTTTCCATGCCTAGTATACACATGCTGTTACTCAGATGAGTTGCTCTCCAGTGGAGTCTCCACTACAAAATATTAATATTAATGCTTCTGGACTTGTTCATGACGAAGCGTTCTAACTCGAGGCCCTGGTCATTTAAAAGCCTAACCATCACGTCAGCACCACTATATTTCACAAGAGATGGATAAAAACTTATCTTATGTTATTATTGAACAGATCAGTGCAATAACGGAGCTACCTACTGACAAATCTCCATTGGGGCATATGGAAATAGTCTCATATCGCATTGATGTCATTTGTGATCAAATTTTGATCTTTCTCCTGCCTTGTTTAATGTGGACTTATTGCGGAAGCATGCATTGGGACATCGTGCATGTCTGGACTGCTGCTGCCATCAACAGGGCAATAAATGCACAGGAGTGGGTCCCCATATCTTGAAATATCAGACAGTAAAATATCGAACGGAGAGAGATTGGATATTGGTCGCCGTGCCCCTGGTGCTGCAGCATGATCTCTTGGAGAGGCATGATGAAATGTCAAAATTGCTGCCGCCAAGCCCCCCCCTTCCGTATGCTAAGCATGCGACAAAGGTCATGATCCACCCAGCTGAGATATGCACGAGTCCCTTGGTGAGCACCCCTGGATTATCTCTTGCGTCGAAGGCCACATGCGTTGCAGAGGACTAGGTCATCAACTCTGCGCCACATGGGCGTCGCTCCAGTCCCACACTGCCGGCACTTCTGCGCACCAAACACACAGGCATATTTCAATGTGGTCCTCATTTGGCTTTTCACGCAATCAATTACTCCCTTCATTGCAGACTTCATCCTCCTGCATGCCCTTCTCACAATCACCATCAAGCGCACCATCAACATGAAAAGCAGAGGAGCAAGAAGAACCATCTGCAGCGGGAAGATGGAAGCAGATATTGTGAAGCAGACTCACCCCTCCTGTGGCATGCATCCAGTTCTTCAGCCTGGTGCCAGTCTGCGGAGGCCTCTCAGCAATGCACGGTCGGCGTCGGCCAACGATGGCTGCAGCAGCAGCTTTGCTGGCGGTGCCTAGTTGCCCATCAAGCTGCCCGGCCGGGGCAGCATCCGCTTCGGCAGCAGACTCTGCTGCAGCAGCAGTGCTTTCCTCCTCCCTCTGCTTGAGTGCTCCCGTGACATCGCTGCCGGGGCCTTGCACCTCCTCGTGCTGACCTTCCGGCGGCTGCTCTCCATCCGCAGGCGCCGCATCACACGCACCTGAGCATCCATAGACAAGCAAAAAACTCAAAATGCCTTCCCAACCTGCCCAGCTGGGTTTCAGGCGTCAACACAAGACGCTGGATTGGGTGCGCCCAGGGCAACACCAGCGGAGAAGAAAGTGGGCAGATGCTGTGAACTAAGAGGCCAGCACAGGGAGAGAAGGAAGAATAGAAGTGCAATGAGAACAAGACTGAGAGGTGCGCACCGGTGTCCGCCACAGCTCTCAGCCCCATGTGGGGACCCGGGTCCTCCATGGCCTCCTGCATGCGCAGAGTGATGCGCCGCTGCCGCTTCTCCCGCGGCGCGGCAGCTTCCGCCTCTTGCATGGTAGCTTCCGGGGCTTGAGCAGCTTCCGCCACTTGCGCGGCAGCTGCCGGCGCTTGCGGCGGCAACCGGCGCTTGGCGGCGGGGCGGCGCTCGGCCCGGGATGCGGAGGCAGGAGGACCGGCAGAGCTCGGCGCCCGCCTGTGGATGCGGCGCGCTTGTTCGACGGCCAGAGCGGTGGCTCTCGGCGGCGGCGGGGCAAGCCGCATCGTCGCCTTTCGCTTGTGTGGCATCACACCAGCGGGGGTCATGCCCTGCCAGGTCCGCGCGGCTGCCAGCTTGGCCGCTCTTTCTGGCAGAGGGGGCCCTGCAGCAAGGCTGGACGCAGCAACAGTGGATCTAGCCCCAGCGATGCCTGCTGCGCTTGGGTGCCTGTGGATCCGCCTGGCCCGCTCAACTCTTGGCGGAGCGGGTTCCTGTGCAGGCACAGGTGCGCTGTCCTCCTGCCAGACTCGGGCAGCCGCCAGCTTGACAGCCCTCATCGGCAGAGGGGGCTCTGCTGCAAGACTGGGCGCAGGGCTTGGCGCAACGGCACTGCTGCTGGCCGCGGCAAGGCTTGCAATATTGGCGTGCCTGTGGATGCGCCTGGCCCGCTCGACAAGCATCTTTGCGGGCCCTGATGGCACTGCCGCAGTCCCGAGCGCGGCAATCGGTGCCATGTCGTTGATGCTTGCTGTGCGTGCAGGCCTGCAGGGCTGCTGGCTTGAGGCAGCGCCCGGAGCAATAGCAGCGCCTGCTTTCGGTGCAGAGCTTGTTCGCATGCTGTGCTGGGGCGCTGACTCAGCAGCCGACTCCACCACAACGCGTTCCGTTTGCGGAGGGCGGCGTGCTCGTGTGTCACGCGCTACGGGCGGGTGAGTAGCATCGTCAGCGTGCTTGCTGTTCTGCAATGCTGACTCCACAGCCGGTGCGGCAGCCGCGCTTGCCTCTCCTGCAGCGCTGCTCGGCTGGCCAGATTCCTCAGCCAGGAAGTATACCTTCCTAATGCCGGAGCGCAATCTACGCTGCAACGATGATTCGGAAGGCGGGGTGGGGGCTGCGCTTTCCACTTGGGCATTCCCTGCTCGTGTCCTGGGCCGCATGGCTGACACAGGCGCCGGAACAGCGGCTGCTTTGGCAGTGCCAGATCGCGTGCTCCTCTGCAGAGCTGGCTCAGCGGCCGGCGTGGCAGCTGCAGTTGCTTTCTTTGCAGCGGTGGGCGGCCACCTGTGCGGCTGGGAGGGCACGTCGACCCTCTTGATGCCCGAGCGCGTGGTGCGCTGGAATGCTGACTCCAGAGCGGCGGCTTGGCTTTCTGCTCTGCTTTTGCTTGCTCGAGTGATGCGCTGCACAACTGGCGGCTCGGTCGGCACGGTCGCTGCTCCCTCGTCTGCGTCCGAGTGCATGGTCTCCTGCAGCGCTGACTCAGGGGCTGGGATCGCAGCTGCAGACTCTTCTGGGACACTCGCTTGTGTGCTAGTCTGCACAGCTGCAGTCTCAGCAGCGCGTGCTAACACGCTCTGCTCCTCCATTGCTGGCTCAGCACCTGGGGTGGCGGCTGTGCTCTCTTCTGGGAGGCTCGCTTCTATGCTATTTGCAATTTCGGCAGCGGCACCACCTGTCTCAGCAGCGCTCGCTGGGACGCTCTGCTCCTCTGCTGCTGGCTCAGCGGGCGGGGTCGCCGCTCGGTCCTCAATATGAGCGCTCGCTTCCGGGCTGACCCCCACAGCTGCAGCCTCGGCAGAGGCAGCCTCCGTCTCAGCAGCGCTCGCTCGCGCACTCTGCTCCAAGGCTGGCTCAGCAGCTGGGGTAGCGCCTGGGTCCTCTCTGAGAGCGCGCGCCTCTGTGCTGGGCTCCTCAGCTGCATTCTCAGCAGGGACAGCCGCACGCTTATCAGCACTCGCCCTCGCGCCGTTCTCCGCGCCTGAACAAGTGCCCTGGACTGCCTCTTGGCCATCTGGTCTGACAACGCTTGCTCGTGTGACATAGCGCACGTCTGTTGCAGTAGCTGGAGCGGCTGCAGGGCTGTCCGCGTGAGCTTTGCCGGTCCGCTCACTGCGCCGCATGAGGGAGGCGGCAGCGCATGCGTGCCGGCCGCCCTTCATCTTGGCGGCCTTGGCCCGGCACCAGCACTTGTTGCACAGGATCGCCCCCTCAAATCGGCGCCAGGCTGGCGATTGCTGCGTCCCGCAGTCTATGCACATCTGCGCACCCATCACACCCCAGTGTAAAAGTTGGCAACAATCTCTTGGCCTTCAACAGCATGCATTTATCGACAGTTATTAGCTCTCATTAAAATAGAAAGTCCTAGTCTGTGTCAAACGATACCAAGAGGTGTGCACGTTCTTGTCAATGCATTCTGCAACAGAAACAATTTCAGGTTGGCATACATTTCCAGCGGCAGCCAGTTCTTCTCGGATTGTCGTGCCGGACGAAGCAGGGTGGCTCTTGCTGCTGACAGCCTTTGCCCGGCTTGCAGCAGCGGCGGCCGCGGCTTCGGCAGCGGCCGCTGCGGCTGCCTGGTGCTGGGCGGCGGCGGCTGCCATGATGCTGGGCCCCCAGATGTTGTCTGGCGCTGCCATGCCGCGCCACCTCTGCACCAGCCAGGTGAAGGAAGCCTGCTTGCCCTCCTCCCCTGCGATACACAATCCAAACTCTTATGTCGCACCACGTAGAGATAGACCACCATGACAGGAGCTCAGGTCAGTATTGAACGCACTCTAGGCGCTGGAAGAGCACGCTGGGAGAAATCCATTGCTGTTCAAGAACTCTAATTCGCAGCACTGGCAGGATGGGGAAATGCAAAGATTCCGTAAATTCTCCTATCAATAGTGCTCCTATCTAGTTGTCCTCACATTTCTTGCAACTTCTCCTATCAATCTGACAGCAAGGTAGCTTGGTAGTTGGGCAGCGTGCCTGTGAGAGGGTCGGCCTGGTGGCGGTTGGAGCTAGTTTGTAGCGCCTGCGCGAGGGGAATGCGCAAGCGCTGCTTCATTGCCGCCTGGCCGCTCGGCGACCGCGCCGGCGCCGGCGGCTTCTCCTGCGTCTCGTTGCTCGTGGCGCACCGCAGCGCCTTGACAACCTGCTCCGGCAGCCAGTCCGGCAGCGCGGCCCGCTCCAGAGCCTGCGCCTGCTTCTGCAGCCGCCGGTGCTGTGCAAGCTCCGCTGCGCTCATGCGCGGTCGCTTGGGGGCGGCAGCATCCTGTTCGCCGCTGTCGCGTGCCCTCTTGGCCCCCGGCGCCGCTGCGCCAAAGTTTGCATAAAGTTTGGTATTCAGGCAAGGAGAATCAACAGGTGGGTGATTGCTGATGATTGCAGATGGCTTCACATACAGTTCTATGTCTCACAGACAGGATTGGGTTATTGTGTAACTGTCTGCAGCACATTTAGATGGCCCAAACAATCAGGTCCCGGCTGGCGGGGGGCGGTATAAACACTGAGCACCGTGCCCACGGTTGATGGGGTCTTGCTTGGATCTGGCAAGTCCAACAAGGGGTAGGATTGTGGCAGCGTTCAACTGCAGCTTGTCTGCAGGCCGTACCTTGCCTTTCGGCAGGAAAGCGTGTTAAAAAACAATCAGGTACCCTTCTTACTGAAAACTTCATGCCTCCACATAGAGCCCAGGCCATTGCAAGAGGTCACAGCAGCTCATGCTTGTGCTTTAAATTCATCAGCAAAACACCTCTCCCTGTCAGCCTCTCAATATACAGTTAATGATCATAGGGACAAAATTTGCAGATCTAACAGCCTGCGATTATATACAAACGCCTGTCTTGAGGAGGTTTACCCGCTGCTGCTTTGGAGGACCCGTTGACAGGCTTGAGGGGCCGCCGGGGGGCCTGCCCTGGCATCTTTGGGTTGAACCACATGTTGCCCACCTTGCTGATCACCTCCGGATCCCTCTGAGGGCCCGCCCTGCAGGCAGGAACGCAGTTGTGTCATGAACACACAACAAATGGCACTTCAATTCACTGTCACAGCTGTGCATCCATGCATACACAGACCGGCAATGCAGGGTTTCCTTCACAATGGCTCTTACTAGTCTACAAAGCTCCCCACCTGACATTCCTTTTGATGCTGCTATGTTGCAATGAAATAGATTGTGTAAGGACATTATTCACTTGAAAGAACAGGCATCCTTCTAATCAAGAGAAGGGCGCAGAAGGGGGAGGAAAGGGCGAGAGGGGAATAGAGCGGCGGCGCACTTGCGGTTGACGCGGATGGCGTCGCGCATGGCGATCTTGATGTTGGTCCCCCCGAGGTGGTGCTCGCTGACATACAGGTACGCGACGGCGGTGGTGGGCAGAGCGTCCGTGAATTGCTGCCAGGCTGGCAGGGTGATCTGGAAGTTCTCGCCCACATTGAGCGCCCACACGCGCTTGTTTCGCAGCACGCGCGCCAGGTGCTCCAGCTGCGGGTCCAGCATGCCCTGCCACAGACAACCCAACGATCCACCCTCAGCCTACTCTGCCTCTTAGGGTGAACGTATAATGTGAAGCCGAGCTCAAGGCAGCCGTGATCGTTACGTCCTGTTCCAGGGGTTGCCCGGTACGCTTGTGCAGTCTTAAGGCTCGCTGGCCATTCCAGCACAGCGCTGTATTGTGCTGCTAACCAGAGCTATTTCCACCCTCAACCTGCCCTGCTCATTGATTGCGTCCCACACCCAAGCCCAGGCACACAAGACTGATATGTGCCCTGCTCGGTTTGTTTCATTTGCGTGTGCAGAGCTCAGTCAAGGCCGCCACAGCCTCAGACACATCATGCCCAAATCAATCGCAGCAATGCCTTTTCTACTAGAATGGATCCAGGAAGCACATCTGAGAGGAATTTGCCAAAATGACGAGGGAACGGGGCACTCACCCACTCGAAATTCTGGATGTAGAGGACCTCGACGCGCGTGTTGACAGCCAGGGCGTCCAGGATGGCGTCGATGTGGGGCGGCTTGATGTCCGCGCTCACATACTGCTTCAGCCGCAGCACGCGCCCCTCCGCCTGGAAATCCCGCGAGTTGCCCCGCAGCATATCGCACAGTCGCCGCACATGCGTATTCTGTGCACCACCCAGGATACCAAGCCTTAGCAAACCCCTCAGCGCCTCAAGATCTATGATGTAAAGCTGTTGGACCTTGAGGTACCAGCTTGACCTGCTGTATATTGTAATTGAAGCAGTCCTGACTCCGTCAGCATAAGAGTTTCATTGAAAGAGAGCTTTGCATTGCTTGCAGTCTGCAGACATGCATGCATGGCAATATGGGCGGTGATACTTTCTACAGACAGAGGACCAGCATGCATACAGGACTCAGTCAGACGTTCTTCTTGCAATCGGCAGTGCAAGGGACAAAATTTAACCTACGTGCTATTTGAAAGGTTTGTTCTCAGACGGAATAGGAGAAGGAGGCGCACCGCGAGAGGATCGCCGCCGGGGACGCGCTTGGAGCGGCCAGCCGCCAGCGGGGGGACCTCGGTGCACGCCGGGGTCGATCTGGCAAGCGGCGTGCCGATAGTGGTCGCAAGCGCAATGTCCCTTAGGATCTTGCCACGGTCCACAGTGATGTCGTCCTCCCGAAGCTCCACAGGCACCAACACGCCGCCATCGCTTTCCATGGATGCCTCAGAGGCCACCGCCACATTTCCGTGTGGCTCAGAGCACTCCCTGCCGGAGGCCGGCAGCTCTGCAAGGGCCCCTTCTGAGTCTTGGACGCCTGCTCTGTCAAGGTCGGCTTCTGCTGCAGCATGCTCCATTTGCGCAGCCTCCGCTGCATCCCTGTAGCTGTTTGGAGACTGAGGCGGCTGTGCTTGCGCCACTGTGCAACCTGCTGAGTCGTCCTCTTGCAAGGCTTCTTCTCTAGAATTGCCAGGGCTCACGGTAGTAGGCTGTGCGGCATGGCCGCCGGCATCACAGGCCTGCGCTGATCTGGGATCATCAGCCAAAGCGTCCACCAGGGATGACTCGCGGCTGCACGAGCGTGGGTCATTATGGGCAACACCTGCTCCCGGAACTTTCCCGCCGCTGCTCTGGTGATCGCATGCTTCTGTTGCCGGGGATGTCTCTTTTGTGGTTTCGCCCTTCTGAGGCCCAGCCCCTTGTTGCAGCACTTCGCTCCCGCTGCAGCTGTCCAGAGCAGGCTGGCTGCACAGCATCCTTGCCGCATGGGCATTGCTCCCTGCAGCCTGACGCTCGTGTGCGCCTGCACGGCTGGCAGGGGTAGCAGTCTCATCCGCGGCAGCTGCTCTGCTGTGGGAACGTGTGCCGGGCGCACGTCCTGTGTCTGATCCACGGTTGAAGAGCGCGTCTGCAGGATACTCGAACGGCGCCAGGCCGCGGCCGGTCAGCTGCGGGGCGGCCGGGCGGATCGGTTGCGGCCTCACAAGCGTGCTCTGCTGTCCTGCAGCGCCCAAGACGGCAGGGGCCAGCTTGGCTCGGATCTGGGCCGGCGTCTGCTGCGCTCCCCAGAATGCCACCGGCGTGGGGGGCGGGCAGGCTGGCGGCGGCGCCGGGGCCGGCCCGGCCGGAGCCTGCCGGCCGCCGTAGACATATCTGGCGGCGCTGCTCTGCGCCACATACTTCTCGAAGGCCTCCGAGAGCAGCTGCTGGTGCGTTCGGTGCTGGTCTCCCAAGAGTGGGCTGGGGGCTGTGCACAGCTGCACAGCCAGCCCCGGCAGCTGCGAGGTGGCTGCAGCTGTCGGCTCAGCACCGTGCCAGCCGAGCAGCACAGGCATGGGTGGTGGGTTGGCGGAAGATCTGTGCACCAGAGGTTCAGGGGCGCCATCGGTGCCGACGATGAGAGGCCTGATCGCAAGCAGGCTGTCCTGCGCAGGCAGGTCTGCCTGCCAGGACATGCCTGATGTGCCGGAGGTGGCCCCATACATCCTGGCAGCCTCTACTGTCAGCTCTGCGCAAAGCCAGTCCGGCAGAGCTCTCCGGCGTACTGTGATTACTTATTGCCATCCACCTGTATGGCAGAGAAAGAAAAGTTGGGTTGATGCCCCGCTGTGCACCAGCTTCCCACTGTTGAAAGTAGCAGATGTCAGGTTCCAGCTGCTAATGCCCCGACTGTAGAGAGAACCATGTGTGGAAATTTGTCGGACGTGACAGCAGCTCAAGCGCACTGATACATGCTTATGCACACTTCTTGCTCTGCTTCCTGGATACAGGTAAATGTAGCAGCGCACCTATCTGAGCCAGGGACCGGTTTCGATGCTTTGAAGCTGTCCGCATGCAGCCGTCCTTCTTGCAAATGTGCTGCGCAACACACAAAACTTGTCACACCCACCGCGAATCCAGTTCGTGACGCATCCTTTACAAGGGAGTGCGTCTCATAATCTCACTTTTGTTCCCTGCTGACTGTCAGTTATAAGCAGTTGGCCGTTTTCCGTCCATTTTAGACAGGGTCCTGTCACATGCTCTGACAGATCTGCGATCCACTATTCAAATTTATGGTAGAACAACGCATCGCATGAGAAGGTGAAAATATACCAAAACATCCCTCATTGTGACGTCAGATGTAACTCCCACGCTTTTGCTCTCCACAAGTGGTTCAGATCGGGAACCACTCTCACTCCTTTATTCAGTGTCCATGGGACATCGGGGCGCAAGAAGGTGTATCAATCTCCTCGGCAATCTTTTGGATTTGTCTTTCTTCCAACATTCAATCAGGAACGCCGCTCGAGCTTCAAATTATGAATCCTGGTTTGACAGACAGATGCGATTCCTGACAAACTGCCTACAAGCCAGGCGTCGACCTCAATGATGGCTCATCAAACCTATGCAACTCCCATGCAAAAGGTAAAATCATTGATGATCCTGCTTATAGTGTGTCAAGATTAAGGGTCTCAAACGGCTCACTGTGAATCTGATCATGAATGAAGGTCAGCTGCACGGTGCAGCTTGCGAAGATCATGTGAGCTCTACAGGGCGGGCATACTCTTGGATTTTATCATCCAGCTGCTCTCTCTTACATGCATTTGGCCCCCACAACCTTCTTTCGACACAATGATAATCTCTTGTGCATGCAGCAGAATGACTTTGCTCTAATTGCAGCTCTTGTGCATGAATATTGTTGCTGTGAACGTGGGCCTCTCGCATCAATAGACTGGTCAACACTGATTTGGAGACATCAATTGGTGAACCCTCGTCGCTTTCCAACCTTGTCGAGGAATGGGAACAGTGACGTCACTAGGAATCTGCTGCCAAAGATTTGCATGCATGCATATGCCCTCATCCAAGATGATTTTTCATCGATGCTATCATTGTTGAAGGAAAACTAGTAGCAGCCAAAGCTGGTCTTGAACAGACCGAATGAAGGGAGCAGCACCACGGAGCGGCTTGTTTGTCGTAGTTCTATGCGTCGTGTCGTTACAGGCGAGCTTGGCAGCCGGTCGGCAGCTACTGCAAACAGCGCCAGAGAACTCCACTGCCACTCGTGCGCCCTCTCCCAAGCTAAAGCACTTACATCGGACCGATGATATCCGTTACTCAAACTTCTGATGTCAAAACCCTCCTCGATCAGAGAATACAAGTGCACAAAGAAGGGACTGCAAGCACATTCGATTCTCTTAGTAATTGCAATGCCTTCCTCCCGCCTTGCAATCAGAGAGGACCGTGTTTCTTTGTGCAGCAATCTGTCAGGAGCTGCATGACAGGTACCTGGATGTCTGCCAGATCTTTATTCAGCGCGCACTGAACTGGGCGAAAGCTGGAAACATCACCACTGTCAGTCCAGGCCAGATCGAACAGGATGAAATTGCCACCCATCCACAACCCTCTTCCCGGTCATACTGCTGTCACCCTCTCTTGCGCTTCCCATGTGGCAGAGGAGCTGTCCCCTGCTAAAAGACTCCTCATGACGCCCAGAAGATGCTAATCAACCTGATTTCATCTCGAAAACTTCAGCATCTTGAGTCCCTGTATTAATATTGTCTTGATCGGATTTGCTGGGATGTTGCAGGTGCTGTGCCACTGAGAGAGATTTCCTGCTGAACGTGCGTGACTACCAATTCCTTCAATCCAACATTGAAGTTTGAGCTTGGGATTCGTAATGGTTGTAATGTCGGGCATGTCTGGGCAGCTACAATTTAAAACAAGAGAAGAAACCAGATCCTATGTTGTGCAAAGCAGGGTTGCCGCTGTGATGGTCGTGTGCAGAGGGTGTCGAGGATGCTCGGCATTCCACCAGGGGGCCTCAAAGCAGGTGCCTCCCTTGCCACTGATTTGGTGCAATTAAGTAGTCTATGAAGTGCTCGGTGCAAGGCTTTCTTGCTGAGCCCGGCAGAGCCCCTAAATAACTTGAGGAAAATGGCAAGGGCGAGTGCCAGGACGCGGCCGTCACATCTGTTGCTATACTTCAAATTCACCAGCGCAGTATCTGTTGGTTCTGATCAAGGGCATGGTCAATTGCTGCGCAAACCACCTGTGCTGACAGGTCAGCATGTGGCGCAGAGAAGGTGTATGCTGTGACTGCATGCAACATGTCAATCACTCTCGACACCGCGCCGAACCCATGCCCTGGCGAGCCTGCCACTCCTGCTGGCCGCTAGGGACTTCGATTGGTGCCTTCTTCTTGCAGTAGTTTGCCTTATTGTTGGACAGATGTTTGGTGGAACTGTTTTTGAATATGATTTGCCTTTTAGTTGTTTCTGGTGCTTCATAAGACGTGTGCCCCCTTGCTTGCACGATAGAGCAATGTGTCCACACACGTCTTGTTGATGCAGTGATGTGACAGGAAGACCAGTGGTATTACTTGGCAAGGGAGTCATCAACTTGACTTCCTCTGATGACCAGTTGCTGTAGGCTTGCATGCATGCAATGCTTTCTCCCATTTATCATGCCTTTGCCATGTTCAATTTCTGAGCACTCCATGACATGTTCCTTTGCAACGCTCTTGTGTAAGGCAAATTTGGAATTTGTCAGATCTCTACATTAATATTACATTAGCAGCCCACCTCATAGCAAGCAACGAGCTGTTGCACCAGGATTTGAACTTCTTACGTACACATGATGGCATTAGTCATTTCAAGGTCATCATAGCAGCTCAGGCCGCATCCGTTCAACGACAAGCTCTGAGATGAGTCACTGCGCAACATGCAATGTGATCAATCTGTCCCTGGGCCGGAGGTGTCTTATATGTTGCTCGCATTGCATACAACTGCGGCAGCCCTTTTCCCCTATTTACGGCGCTCGCTCTGCCTTGCATGCTTTGTATTCATTTTTGCTTCACGTCACTTCCAGTGCCCGCTGACCGCAGGGTCAATCGTGAGGGTGTGCCCCTCGGCATGCAGGTCTTCCAGCAGCTTTGCTGCCAGCTTCTCATCCTCGTCGCTGCCAGGCATGTGCTCTGCTGCCCTCAGGTCCTCCTCAACAATCTCCTCCAAGTGCTGGCGCAACTTCTGGCCCAGATCACCTGTGACCCATGAACAACATGATGTCAGTGCTGTTTAGTCTATCCAACTGCTGCACACCAGAGCCTGCATTGGAGAATGGGCGCCGGAAAACTTGCATGAACAATTGTGTGCTGCATTTCCAGCCGCGGTGCTGTTGCTTCTTTTGTCTCAAGACACTTTGCATGCCGCCTTCCAGCAACTTACTCAAATGCCACTGCAACCCATGCATGTGTGTCCACATGACAGTAGGCGTGGCATGCACGATGGCAAAGACTGCTTGTCAGCTTGAAGACAAATAGCACCTTTTCAATGATTGCTGGCATGGAAAGGTCACCTTCTGGTGGGTCACACGCACACGCACAAGTTGAACACGATTTATGTGCTGCAGCAATGATGGCTTGTGCAAGGCAGCAATGGCTCATTCAAGACACCGAATGGCTCTGGCAAGGCAGCAATCGCTTGTGCACGGCAGCCATGGTTTGTGCAGGGCGGTGAAGGCGACCGGGCGCACTTGCAATTTCGGGCCGCGCGCCGATGAGCAGGATCTGGCAGCCCCTCTGGTCCAGTAAGGAGGGGTCCCTGGCAGGGATCCACGCATATCCCCTGAACGTTTCCTTCTTCTCCTCTGAGTACTGCGGCTTTGGGGCGCCACGCACCGGTGGCGGGCTGGGTGCCTCCGGGTTCTGCGCAGCATCACACCTCAGGGACTCCCAGGGACTGTACATATTTGAGCTTGGGAAGGAAGGCTTCCATAATGCGCCTGCTGACTGTGCTCAGCCTTCAGAATGTGCTGGCAAGGACAGCGGTCATGCTCCTTTGAAAGAAAGCCCAAGGAACGTCTCAAAGAGAAAGGCAAGGATGCACTCAGCAAATATGTTGTATGCAGCTGGAGGGAGTTGGCCATGGGCTTGTAGCCCAGAATAGAATGGCATGGGTGAGGGATGAACCTTGATCTGGATGATATAGTTGCCCTCCTTGAGGATGCAGAACTGCTTCTGCACCTCGCCCGGCTCCTCAGGCACTTCCAGCTCATAGGCCAGGTGGGTGTGCCTGCCATGGTCCACAATGCTGTACACACCTGCAGCACAGCCACACGCAGTCTTCTTTATCACAAGCACACCCAAATGACTCCGACTGGCGGATCCGAGAGTTCAGTACTTTAGCGCAACAATGTCATTCTTATTACGCCTTGTTCCTGCAAGGAAGGCAAATTGCGTCTGCAGACAAGCTGCAGGTAGAGGCTGCAACATATCCTACGCGTTCTTGGACTCGCCAGATCCTAACCACCTAAGGGCACGGTGCTCAGCCTTCATACCGTCCCCCGCCAGCTTTTTTTCACTTGCCCGCATAGACTATAAAAATCTGCTGACTGTAAATGCTTCATATATGCAGGAGAGGGCAGAAGGGCAGGGTGCCCGTATGGCAATTTTGAACTGACCTTCTCCCAGGGCCCTGGCGGCTTCGACAGAGCGCGAGCCTCTGGTAGAGGTTGTGTAGTCCTTGGGGCCCAGGTCCCTGGTCAGATCCTCCACCTGCCGCCACCATTGGTATGATCTTACAATTGCACATGCTTAGGATATGTGGTGCCTGCTTGGTGTGTCCTTCCCCTAGTAGGACTAGGTGGCATGCAATTTTGCCTGTCCCCATTGTAGAAGACATCATGTCGACAGACGTCTGCAGTGTCATCGAGGTGTCGCGCAGAGAAGACAATGAAGGCGGTCAGTCAGGCATTCAAGAGAAAACAAGTTACCTTGGGAGCTGTGGCCAGCACAAAGCCAAAGAATCTCTCATGGCGTCGCGGGTCTGGCAGCCGCTTCTTGCCGATGACAAGCAGGCGGTGGGGAGCGCCTTTGCGCGAGGTTGGGCTCATGATGATGAAGAAGCGCTGCACATCCTGCAGGCTGTGTGCCTCCTCCACTGCCACGCGGGGCCTGTGCAGCTAGCAGGCATAGGATGAGAGACAGGGTCAACATTCTCAGCATCATCTCTTGTCAGCTGTCTTGCTGCATTAGAGGTTGTTCAATGCTGTTGGTCTCAGCAACCTTGTGGTCTGTGCAACTGTGCAGGTGCTGGGTGGAAGGAGGGTGTTCCAGACCCAAAGCTTGATTTTCTGTGGGTTGTCTTATGAGACAATCCACAGTGCAATAATTATTGCACTATAGCTCTTCAAGTGCTGTTGATGTCAGCAACTTTTTTGTCAGGAAAGGCTCTCAGACGTGTGAACAAACGTTTGTGGATACCTGTAGAGGAAATAGATGCGCCCTTCCTCGATAAGACTGGGAGACGACGAGGTTGTCATTGTCTACAAGACGATATTGTCTTCCCCCCTGCTGGAGGTCGTACAAACAGGAAAGCAACGTTATGAACGGCTGTACTGGCCATCGATATTCTCGTCAACACTCGAGCTCGATAGAAGACCTCCTCTGAGCGTGATCTCAGCTGTGCATGCAATGCAAGTCCTGGGTCCTGATTTGGCTGCACTTTCCATGGATTGATCAGTATGCAATATGTCCTGCAAGAGCAGTTAAAGTGCACCTTTACTGGCAGATATTGCCTTAGGTAATTATGTATGGTAGTACAGTTGCAGAAGGTGAGGTATTACAATTTACACGATTCCTTTCGGCGGAGCTACGACATGCATGCAATATGGTCAATTCCCTTGAAGCCCGCATGCCATGAAGTGCTTCCACGCGCTCGGATCATTAATTCATCATGAACAAAATTAGCAGAAGAGAATTAAAAAAAAGGGAAGGTTCAGGACTTTAACGTCAGCATGCAAACAGTCAGAATGAGATAGCTCCCAGACACATCACTTCCAGTCACCATCTGCGGCAGGCTCTACGGGCACATCATGCTTCTCAGCATGCAGCTCTGACCGCAGCTTCTCAAGCAGCTTGGCATCCTCATCATTGCCCTCGAAGTGCTCTGCCTCCTCCACTTCATGCTCCACAGCCTCATCCAGCGCCTTCTCCACTTTTCCATCCAGCTCTCCTGCAGCACCAGCAGACACCCTGAGGACCTCATTCTGCCAGGAGCACGTTTTTAGTCCGCCCAGGACAATGTGATGTCGACAAAGTACAATGTGATGTCGACGACGAGCGTCCAGGTGATATATCCAGCCCATATCGAGGTCGGAAAGCAAAAACCAGCTGGGGTCTGCAGATGCTGACTGAACAGCATGTTTCACAAGTCAGTGAACTTTAGAGGCTAAGCTTCACAAGTCGGTGAACTTTAGAGGCTAAGGTAAGTCTTGACGCCAGTCAGGATCCATCGGGGGACAATCTCTAGTTGTGTACTTGTCTGCACAGACATCTGACACTGGTCCAACATGTCAGCATAGCTACCATGCACCAAATGATCCGGAAATTTTTCAGGAACAATTCAAGGCAAGGCATGCAGCTGCATCTTTGCAGGGTTGGTCAATGTAGGCGCACCACTAATGTCTGCATGCGTGGCAATGAGGACAAGTTCGCAGCCGTTGAAGTCGAGCAGGGAGGGGTCCTTGGCAGAAATCCATGAGTAGCCGCCCGGCGCCCCGTCAAACTCCTTCTTCTTGTCTTTTGGGTAGTCTGCCTTCTGGTTCTTGCCCAGGCCTGCGTTTGGCGGGTTGGCCGCCTCGGGGTTCTGGAAACCACAGCCACACATCACAGCTGTCAGCAAACGTCAGCTTGTGCACTTCACTGTGTTCCTGGCACTCACAGAAAGTTTCCGCTGAAATGTGTCTGCTGCACGAGCTCTAGGCAGGCTCTCACGCATCAGTGCTTGTCTTCTGTTGCAGTACAGCCATGCCTGCCTGTGCATCAACATCAAGACAACAAGGGAGGGTATCACGCGTCACTGCTTGTGCTGTGCTGCAGTAAAGCCATGCCGATGTGTGCCTCAAGATCAAAACAACAATTTAGGAGCTCACAGCATTGCTCACCTTGACACTGATGATGTAGCTGCCGGTCTTCTTGATTCTGAAGTCCTCCTGCACATCGCCTGGCTCCTGGGGCACCTCCAGCTCATACGCCAGCCTCGAGTCCCTGCCATGATCATATATCTTGTACACACCTGCACAGACACAAATATAGAATTGGTTACTTGCACTTTGGCTGCATTGGCGGTCCAGCTCACTGCATTGGCAAAAGATTCATGCTCCTGTAACATGCGGCATAATTACGAAAGATAGAGAAGAGGTATATAAGAAAATTGGAAAGATTGCGCATGGCATATAGATCGGAAAGAGGGGGAGCACCTTCGCCCAGTGCACGAGCTGCTTCAATGCGCCGCGTGCCCCGCGTCTTTGTCTCATACTCCTTTGCTTCCAGACCTGCCATGAGGGTGTCCATCTGCAAACCCACAACACCTCATCAGAAAGTACACTTCCCCAATCTGAAATGTCCTGTTGTACTGTATTTGAGGGAGCCAAATTAGCAGAACTTCAATTTTCATGCTTCCACCACACATTTGTCATGTTGGGTGCATCTCTCATTAGCTCCTGTGCCATACCATTAACGAATGTCAACCTCTGCATGCCACTGCACCAGAGCAAAAGATTGTGCAAGTGGCCGGCGCGCCAATTACCTTGTTGTCTGTGGCCTGTACGAATCCAAAGAAGCGTTCGCGCTTTGCAGGGTCCGGCAGCCGCTTCTTGCCGATGGGGATCAAGCGGTTGGGGGCATCCTTGCGCGAGGTGGGGCTCATGATGATGAAGAAGCGCTGCACATCTGAAAGGCTGTGCGCCTCCTCCAGCCCCACTCGAGGCCTGCACGATACCAAAGATGTGCCCCATCAGATGCATCATACATTTGGTAATCGAGAGATGATGATTGCTGAAAAAGCATCTGAGCCCAAGCTCTCCACACATAAAGAACCACGATCGGGCCAATTCAAAGATATATTCCTTCAGTATAATACTTGTGCACGAGAACCAGCAGGAAAAAAGTGGGTGACAGACCTGTACAGGAAGTAGATTCGGCCTTCCTCCAGGATCTCCTTGGGCTGCTCGTCAACGTCCTGTCGCTTGCTTGCTGGCTCATGCTCATCGTCCTTGCCATTGATCTCCTCCTTCTTGTCCTCACCTAGGGCATAAAACTTGCAGGATGAGATGTTAATCAGGGATGCTGTCGAGGAGCAACGCTATTCTCAGCGCGGAAATTTCTCAAGGAAGGCAGCAGCTTACTCGTCGGTTCCTGGTCCTCACGCTGCCTTTTCTCTCCAACTTCTTCTGTCTTCTTCTTGGGGGCCATGTCTGGTCTTCTACGAAATGCCCTTTGTCCCTGCAGGTCGGCAGGTATCACAGATACATCTTTGTTCAACTCTGAATCCTTTTTTTGTGTGAAGGACAGTCGTATTCATAACAAGAGTGTGTGAGCTACCCGCCATACAATAGATTTGCCGGTTGATCACGGTCAATTATTATGGGATATGTCGCGTGTTGTAAGCCTTGTAGAACTATCAAATACGCACCAGTCCTTCCATTTATCAACTGGATGTCGAAAGTGCAAGGCAATTCAGGCTCTAATCCACTCACCGAGACATCCTAAAAGCAGGATCACCGATACGTGGGTGCGATTCGGCAGCACTTACCTCTGATGCGGTTCTCGAACTAGCTGCTGTTGCCCAGTATCTCAAATTTCATGCATTTGCACGCTTCTGATAGTAATCGCTTGCGCTTTTGTCATCCAAGGTTGCTCATGTTGCTCAGCTGACAGGACGGTACCAAAGAGACGGTGTTCCCTATTTCTGTGCACATGCATCCATGCAAATGAATTCCTCTCTTACTTTCTGTATTCTTGACAATGTCAAGACACAGTACACATTGGCTGTGACTAAGGATGCAAGCTCATTGGCTTTGCCTCGGCATGATGCAGCATGGCTTGAATATATACTACCGCACCTAAGCCAACTGTGGCTTGGATAGGCGTGTAATAATAATAATAATAATAATAATAATAATAATAATAATAATAATACCAATACAGACACTGTCAGCCTGACATTGTCAGGTACTTTTATGGCTTGCAGTAGCCTTGGCTGACTGAGTTAAGCTCAGCCAAGAATCCTTCACTGAGATTGAGACTGGGTTCCAATTACCCCTACTAATAAGGCTAAAGTGCATGTGATGTCTGTGTTTCAAAGCTCTTTAAAAACGGAGACATGGACTCGATTATTCCTACGCTGGAGCGAGCAAAGCGCTTCAAGCTCAGAATGCTGTTCCATCGTCACATGATCAATTTCACTATTTCAGCTGTCAGCTTCACCAAAATTCAGTGGGCACAATGTTGCCACAGACAGAGCTAATAATTTATTAATAACCAGCGTTGTTTCTCGATCAAAAGCTTGCTGCGAGAACGTGACAAAACTTTGGCAATTGGCCGTTGGCTGGTACTCTACTACCAGTACCCTCTCATGGAAGCTTTCACCGACACTCGTTACTCACTCACATCCTCTACGAAGCCTTCAGCTGCGGCTGTTGTTGGATCCAAACCTGTGGAATCCGCGCACAGTCTCATAGGCACGCCAGGCCTTCCTAGGCTGTGAACTCTTGCGCTGAAATTTGGGCGGAACACTGCCGGCTGCATATTCTTCCACAATATGCAGGTCATCCACAAGCTGGCCAAATCCTTTGAATGAGAATGCTGAAGGTGGCGGCACTCTGCCTTCCAGTATGTCTGTAGGAGTCACAACCTTCCCATATATCCGCTTGTTTGCAGCATGATCAGGCTGAGCATATCCTGCAATCAGCACCACAAAATTCAAGACAGAGGTGGGTTGCTGCAAGCACAGAAACACTTCAAAGCGAGGAGAAAATTGTGCTCATTCATAAAGCAAGACAAGGGCGCAGGTCCCACATAAAACACAGGAAAGGTCTTGCCATTTTAAGATCAGCAGGCAGCATACCATAAAGGCGGAGCAGACTGAGGGTGGTGCCTTCTCTAGCGCGCAGAGAGAGCACGTAGGAATGCTCGTTGTCAGCTTGTGCAGTCTTTATGAATTCCTGAACGTCCTCGACAGTCATATCATCGCCAAGATCAGTCAGGGCAAGCTCGGTGCCTGACACATTTTGCGCCTTGAACTTCTGAAGCGTGAAGTCGTTGGCTAGAATGTGCACAAGCTCTGTCCTGATCCTGCCTGCAAGCATCCATACACAGGTTTTTAACATCTCAAACCCTTTCCTAGCATTCTCCAAGTAACGCTGCATCATGTCTGCAACGTGGTGCAGCCAAAAAGGAGAAGCGAATCAGAGCATCAGATTGGAAATGCAAGCAACTTGTCTGAGATCTCACCCGCCCCCACGCCTGACCTGCTAGAGGCAATTTCCAGGTAGCTGGGACCAGACCAGACTGGCAGGCCATCCTCCCCTGTCATTCGGCCCATCAGGAACCCCATGCCATGGAGATGCTGCAGCCCAAGCCCCCGCATCTCACCAATCCCCAAGAACAGCCCCTGCATGTGTGCATGTTTTGTGAGTCGATTATGCAATGTACATTGCTTTAATAACTGCACAGCTATACAGTTAATTCTTTTTTTAAGTTTTTTTAAAGTATGCTTTACCCAAGAGAGAGCTAGAAGCCCAGGCAGACTTACCTTGCACCCACTGATTGCAGCTGAAAGCAGCCAGGGGAGAACAGTCTCCTGCCCACATGTTTTCAGCACATCCTGCATAGGAGCCTTCTCCAATTGGAGCGACTCTGGCTGGGTCATGTGGTGCTGCAGTAGCCGCTTGATCAGCATGCTGCCATATGCAGCATCAAATGTCTCCGGCAACTCACTTCCTGCCTGCAATGCAATCAAATAACCATTCAGTCAGAGCTTCCTGCGCTGCTCTGAGCAGAGCACCAAAGTGCCAGTGCTAGATTGCAAAATAGATGAGGGTGAGTATAAGGGAAGCTCACATGAGAAGATGGGTCCTGGCTAAGCCACCCTGAGCCCTTCCCATGCTGCAAGCCTTCCTCATTTTCCTTTGCAGCTGCACCATCTGTACAAGCCAAACAGTCATCTCCTTAGAAAAGCAACGATAGCATCTTCAGAAAATACAGTGTATGCATGCACCTTTAATGGGCCACCAGACTGAGGCAGCAAATGTGCGCGCACCGGCGGAGTGCGGGGATGAATCTTGGTGGCTTGTAGGCACGCCGTTCCACAGACGGCGCACAAGACTCTGGGGGTCCCTGGCTGCCAGGCGGAAGAACTTGTGCTTGAGCAGATGCGCTGCAGACGGCCTCTCGTCCGGCTGGGTTTGCAGGCACTGCGCTACCACATCCCCCATTTCCTGCACCACAAACATCCCCAAATTGAGTCGATCGCAATCTTCTGCTCCAGATTGTCCTCAGACTGTGTGAATGGCGGTGACTTTTCACTCCCTGTGACGAAGCCTAGAAAGAAGCTATATGCAAGGGAAGGTGGGTTGAGATGAGTGGTGCAAATGCTACCTGTGAGAAGCGCTTGCCATGCGCATCAACAGCCAGCATCGGCACTGCATTGCAGTTGACCTTCTTGATGGCCATCTCCTCAAAAGACAGGTCCACATAGGGCGTGGCACCCACAGCCACCTCCACCAAGGTCACTCCAAAAGAATACAAATCTGCTGGAAGCCCATACCTGCAATGCCAACTCGTGCACGTCAAACAGCGTTACAGATTGTGATGCCCTGAGAAGGTAGTGCCAGCACACTGATGCACATGAGTGTGCCTAGCATGAAAGCTAAATGGGCATGCATGAATCTGAAATCAATCCTGACAGAGATGCTTGCACAATGAGTACAGCAACGCACCCCTCGTCGCTGCCGGTCAGCAGCTCTGGTGCTATGTAAGCAGGGCTCCCCACAAACGTGTTCCGCCGCTCCAGGGACGCAAACGAATGTTGGCTCCCCGAGAAGTTGCGCTCTAATTTTGCCGCAACGCCCAGATCAGACAGCCGCACCCTCCCATCCCTGCCTACCAGAATGTTGCTTGCCTGCATCAAGTTCACTTGCAGTCAGGACAAACCAGCGGCATCAGAAGCGATGATGCAGTCATTGCAAGCACCATCGGTTCGGTTAAATGTGGTGTATAGGCCTCTCGAGCCAAAGATTCCCACCTTGATGTCCCGATGCAGCACACCGCGCCCATGCATGTATGCCAGGGCCTCCAAGACCTGCTTCATGATGGTTGCTATCTCCACTTCTCGCAGCCCCTGAGTGATCCACCAGACCACATAATTAGTACGCCCAATACTACAGAGCCCGGCGCTGCAGGGGTTCAGTGGGTTATAGCCTGCCCAAATCCACATCAGAAATGTAGAAACTCTGGCTTGGGGATTCAAGGTGAGTGAAACCTCACGGATCGATGAAAAATAGAGATTTAGAAACGTATCGAATTCAACACAAGGTCCATGTGCGTACCACTCTAGTTCCAGGAATCCTCCGTTCAATGCACACTCAGGGCTTACATGGTGGGCCACGCTGTGCAATTGGAAGCGAATGCTGTGCAGATCAAGCAGCCGAGCATGAGTGGTACAGGTCGAAAGCCACACCTTTGGGTACCCAGTGGTCAACAGCGCTTCCAGCGAGCCTCCAGAAACAAAAGGCATCACCATCCACAAGTAGTGATCGCAGACGAATGCGGCGTACAGCTCGAGCAGGTTGACATGCCGTTGACGTTTCATCACAACCGCCTCTTGGACAATCAGCTCCTGAAGCACCAAAAACTGGCTTGTCAATTCATTTCCCTAAGACATCACTAAATGCAACAGAGGTCCCGTGTGTCGTGTTCCCAGTGGCTTGGACTACCATCAGATCACAGATCTGAAGAAATTGAAACTATTACTTACCATCGTCTCGTCCAGTACTTCCATGTCAATGAGCTTGACAGCGACCTCCTCACCTGAAGCCTTCACAACAGCTCTGTATACCTGCACAGAGCAATACCTCACGGAGGGCTGAAATAGCATCATGATAAGTTCAGCCTGGCAGCGTCTGGTGAAGAAAATGTACCTTCGATGAGCTGCCCCTGCCACAGATTTCTTTCAGGTCGTATGATGCTGGAGAGGTTGGGTACTGGGAAGCTGGGCTGTCCAACGTGTTGCTCTCCCTTCCTCTGGAGGCACTTCTTTGCACCTCACCATGAGAAGATAGAGAACCATTTGAGTTATGCGATGGCCTCATGAATGACAACCTCTGCCTGACAATTTCCAGCGGTGATGAAGTTTGTTCGGCATCTGCAGGGTGACTTTGCTGGCTCATTTGACCGCATACCAAGTTTTTGCTCTATATCACAGTACAGGATCGAAAATACATCTAAAGTAGTAAACAAGACTGTCAGAGCGTATTGACTTTCCAAATAAGCTTTCACGTGAAGAACCCGCTATGGCTAGTAGTGCCCCTCGTTCGCCAAACATCAATCGGACACCATAACTTGAATGACAATCAGCAAATCAAGGCATACGTGACTGTGAGAGAAGCACTAGCATCGCTAATAAACGATATTTATAATTTTCTGGGGATGGTGTCAGCGTCTAGGGTTGTCCTTGAAGACCCGTCGATGACTAAAACCTCCAGGTGTTTCCGGTATCGGAACTTGCACAACCACGTTGCGCTATGGTGGACAAATCTTTTGTGCCTGAGGCAAATTGACGGGTTTGAGGTCAACAACCCGTGCTCTGGGATAAATTTGGGTCCCATAGAAGTAACCCGAGGGTGTGTGAAGGCTGATGTCGTTCGCCAGAGGAGTTGAGGCCATTCCTGCCTAGGGGACGCTGCAGTTTTTGGACAACAGCAGGAGGGTGCAGTTGCAGATTATAAGCAAGGAGTTGCGATGTCTCAGGCTACCAATGTGGACACTGCCTCTCCTGACAGCGATCCGCTCCTGAGTGAGTGGCCCTCAGGGATTGCCTTTGCCCTGAAGTCAGCCAGCATGGATGCTTCTTGGCTCTTCTTCCGCTGAGATCACGTTGGGGGCTGTACTATTCAGTTCAGTTAGTTTGTTGATCGATGCAAGGCACTCCATTGATCTGCTTGCGCTTGCCCTTGATGCTGTCAGGCAGTTTCCTGTAGAACCCTCCTTACGTCGCCTATTGTGCAGCCACGTCGTCCGAAGCGATCTTTCGCAATTCTCTAGTTCCACAGCCCTCCCATCGCATATCGCTGAATGTTTGATGATCTAGGTTTCTTTTCAAATATTATATGGTCGGTAGATCTGAGTACTCACAATCTGTACTCTTACAGGGTCCCAGCCTGGCTTCCTGCAGCGTGCATCGCAGAGCATCTCACAGAATGCTGTCTCATCTGGTTTCTGGTGAGTGACAGCTGCCCTGCCATCCTGACATCATCAAGCTGTTTGCAGACCTGTCAGTCCACATGTGGTGCAATAATGGTGGACTTGCCAGCTATGCTTCAACCCTGCATTGACTGTTCAGGAGGTCTCTGGGATGGCGCCGCGGCAGAGGCATGGATCATCCTGCAGCAACAGCTGCTCCCCAGGACATTGAGACGGGTCATGGGACAAGGTTGAATGATGTCTCTGGCGGAGATGGGGAGGTTGCTGCCGAGGCGCACCACCCCTCTGCAGGCCTTGACAATGTTCTCGATGTAAGCCTTTCCCACCTGCTCTGTCTTGCTGTCAATATGGCAAGCAATTGCCAAGTTGACAGCAGTTGCTCCGCATTTACCATAAGCAGGGACTGAGGATCAGAGTCGTCCTCACGTAGGCACCTGCTTGAACAGTTTGCAGTTTCTTATCTTCATTTATGTGTGATCATATTGTCGTTTCGAGCTCCCAAGCCCCTGTTCTTGCAGCTCAATTGAAATTTGGGCAGGCCATAATATGATTTGGCCCATTTCCTCATGTGCTCCTCTAGGTTGGACGGACCAATGACTGATCTCCTATAATTGGGGCTTGCAGGAAGACGCCACAGGGTCGGGGAGAGCGAGCGGAGGCAGCCCTGACTCAGCGAGCGCGGCCACTCACCTGCTGAGCCTGTTTGGGCGGCGCAGTTCCAGCATCCCACGTGGCGGCAGCCCCATGAAGCGCAGCGCGAGCGGCACGCAGCCCATGTGCCTCATTTGCTTGGAAAACCTCACGGCAGAGGATTTTGAGGTGAGGGAAGTAAAATTGCTACGGCACAGGAATTAGCATCTGCCAAGGTCACAGCCTGACCAGTGCACCTGTTCGTCATTCATAGCTTCGCCCCCATCTGCCCCCGTCCGCGTGTGCTCGTTACTGGTCAGGAAAAGTTGATGCAGCTGTGTGACATTGTTTGATTGCTGCGCAGTGTGGGGAGGCCATGTCCCTGGACTGCCAATGCCGCGGCGAGCTGGCCCTGCGGCACCGCAGCTGTGCCGAGAAGTGGTCTCGTGTCAAGGTGAGCCCTGTTGTCTGGTTTTATTGATTTAGATGGCAATCCCTTCCCATGCACCCTGCAAGAACATATCCCGCAATAATGAGTCTCCTCAAGATCCATGTGCATGCAATCTGTGTTGACCCGCTCAGCTGTTGTCAAGCACTGCAGCCACCAGTTCTGATGAACTCTCTCGCATGTGCAGGGCGATCGCGTGTGCGACGTGTGCAAGTCCACCATTAACAATCTGCCGGAGGTCGTGCCCCTCGCGCCCGGCACGGACGCCGGCTCTGACAACGGCAACTCTCTCTTCGATGACATGGAAGACCGCAACCATGCGCACCCCCTCCACGGCGCCTTTGTGGCGGACCAGATGCCAGGCTCAGCCGACATTGTCTTTGACTGCATCCGGGTATGCACCTGCCCAGCCTCAATTTCTGCATACACCTCTCTACTTCCTCGCAATATCCCATATGCCCCGGCCAGTGCATGGGTGGTGAAATGCCCAATCTAGTGCATTTCTAAGCGTTGTCAAACTTGCTGCTAGATCTGGTGGCTGGGTGTCACTGTTGTCCTTCATCCAGGCACAATCCTCACGAAAATTGCGGCCTCGCTATGGTGCACAATGTACAGGAGTATTTGACTGGCGGCTTGATGAGAGTGATTGTGATGTTTGAAAATATGTGTTGTGTGTGGAGAGTGTGTCATCTGAAATGTGCTGCGGCTGGGGCTGCAGGTGACGTGGGTGGCGATGATAATCTGCATCCTGTTCTTCGAGATGAACCTGGCGACGGCGCTGTGGACGGGCCTAGTGGTGGGCATCGCCTACACCATGTTTGCGCGCGCCATGTACCGCCAGCAGCTGGCCCTGCTCCAGCGCGAGATGCTGCGCGAGCACCAGCAGCACCTCCCAGCACAGCGCTCCCCCTCCGCCGGCTCCCCCAGGTGCCGCGCCCGTCTGATTATCTTTCCATTCGAGAGACGTTTGCTATGTTGATGTTCTCTGGTCTGTACCGCGTGGCAGCCCTTTCCTCCCTTCTTGGCTCTCGCACTGCTGTGCAATCCTTGCATTGTTTCTGGCTTCGACCAAGACAGACTGCAGACCTGCAATTGGTGCTACTGCGAGAGGAGGGAGCAATGGGCTGCCTCGCAAGTGTATCAATTTGTATGCGCGCTGCCCGACCCCCGGGCGCTCACACCTCCTCTCTTTAATCTTGCATGTGCACAGTCTTGGTCAGGCTGCTGTAATCACTCTGCGCGTACACGCCCTGGAAATTGCCTGCAGCTGCTTCTGCCTATGTTGGTCATCTCTAAGCTGGGACGATGTATGGTGCACGGGCATGCAAAAGGACCCCTGGTGTGACAGAAGATTGCATGTGCGCAGGTCGCCAAGAGCGCTGAATGAGGTGGCAGCACAGCCGGAAGAAGCCCCTGACGACGGTGCTACATCTGCAGCGTCAGACAGCGATGCAGACGATGTCGAGGCCAATGCCCTGCCCGAGGCTGAGGCTCGTGATGTGCATGTACAGCAGCGGCCTGAGCAGGCTGGCGCTCCACAAATAGTGGTGCAGTGAGTGTACAAGGCACAAAGTGATGTCTTTGTTCCAGTGTGCAGGTTTGTTGTTGGTCAGCTAGCCGGCAGAGCCGGGACTTCAACTAATCCTCTTGTGGCCGTTGTGGCAGGGTGGAATACGTGTGTCGATCACATGCCCCCAGATTGTACCATAAAGACTCTGGCATAAGCATCGCGCGTCATGCCAAAGATATGTCATGCTCTGTAGTTATATAGGTGAAGGTTTTCTACTCGTTGAGCAGCATCTGTACTGGAGAAAGGTTGTTGCATGGTCTGTGAGCTCAATGTGCTTCAAATTTGACTTCAGGCTTTACATCGTTGCTCAAGAGCAAGCTCAATCATTGATGTGATTGCATGGGGTTCACATTTACGGCTTTCTAATTTTTTTGCTGATATCAATAGCTATGTTTGCCGTGTACATCCCTATCTGAAATGTAATTTTCTTTTTTGGTAAGAAAATGCTTGTGGCAGCCGACCAGCTCCCAGATCTACGTAGTCATGATCAAGACAGCCTTCTTTACAACCAAATGTGTGCATACCGTGCTGGATCTGCAGATTCTGCACCTCATTGCATGTGAGGACCTGCCCCGCTCAAATAAATGGCTCAGAGACAACAGCAATTGCCCAAAGTCTGCCATCCAGGGGCGTAGGTATCTTATAACAGACCTAGATCAATGCTATGTTGAGATGTCTGATCCATCTATGGTATTGAGGACACCTGGCAGCTCTGTTACGTGTGAAACAGTGTAAGAGGGGACAGGGGCTCCTCGTGGCAGTGGGTGGCCATGTTTGTTGACCCAGACCGTGGCTGCAAGTGTTGCATTTATACCACCCCGAATGTCTGCTGCCAGGCTGTCTCCAATGTGCACTGCCTGCATGCACGCAGTCCTTCTTCCCTGAATAAGTCTTGCCACATAATAGACAGTCACCCTCAGTTTGAACATGCAGTAAATCAGCCGGCAAGCAACCTCCACAGCCACCAACCTACTAAAGATCCAACAAAGCTTCTGGATTGTGGCTAGTTGACAAACAAAACTGAAGGGGTTGAGAGGTATGGTGCGCACCTCACTTGGTAGGCATCCTGCGAGTTGGCATGCCTTGAGGAAGATGGAGGCAGCCGGCTTTTCCCTCCCACCAGCAGCAATCTCCTCACCACCCACCAGAATAGCGTCAAACATACTGGATGCCTGCAATCGCTCCAGCTTTCCACGCTGTATTTGTGGGTGCCCGTTTGTGATGATTACCACTTTCAACCCCTGGCCCTTCAGTTCCTCCACCATTTCCTGTTTGAACACATACAACTCTTATTAGGAGCCCACTTGAGCCAGGCATCATTACAAAGAACAGTCAAGAAGTGATGCCTCCAGATGAGCATGGCGGCCACTGGTTCCTGATGCGCTAGTGCAATTGGAGGTGAGAATTACTCGCTTTGACCCCCTGCTCCAAGACGAAATGCTCGAGTCGGGCTGTCCTGAACATGCTTTGTAACTGCTCGGCCATCTGAGGGTCATCGATCCCTTGCTTGATGAGCGCATTGTGCCAAAGGCCAGTCCTCCATTCCTCCACAGGCACCTTCCAACGTAAACAAAGAAAATTTTGACCACTATCTACAGCAGTGTCTTGCTGCCTCTGCTGGCTCGACCATGAAATGACTGGATAGTGATGTGCAGCTCCAAATACTTCTTCCTGCCCATGCCTTCGGTGCAGGGAAACCTGTGGGGGCTGTCTGCTTTGATGTTGGAAAGCACGCTAGCAAGCTGCGCACGTGATGTGGCTTGCGATGGTAGCAGAACCACGGCAGTTTGCTCATTAACGGTGCTGCTTTCCAGGAAACCATACATGGTCAAACGCAAAGCAGAACGATCTGAATCAGATGGTGCATGCATCGGTAGGAGAGCAGCACCTTGTGATTGACGTCCCAAGGAGCCTTCAAGAAACGCTCTTTCCATGCTTTCAGCAGTGCAGCCGCATCAACCTGCATAGCACTAGCACAGGGCATTAAGGTCCTGCTGAAACTCAGAGTCTGCACTGCTTTAGCCATGGCGGCGTTGCAACATTTCTTAGGATTTTCACCTGCTCATGCAACCGCTGTGCTAGGTCCATCACATCGCCATATGCACGCGCATCCGCCTCTCCAGTCAATACAAGAGTGTCATCCATATCTGCAACACCCATCAAGTATCTGGGAGTTTGCTGGAGTGCACGTCCTTTGCAGACATTGGATCAGTGAAGCAGTGAAATATTGGCCAGATCATCTTGCTGACTCCATGATCACAGGAAAGGAAGAACCATTACCAAAGAATACTGCCTTGATCGACCTTCCCATGGCTGGACTTTTATACCAATTCAGGTGGGCAACCTTCCTAACTCCGGTATGACGTCAGTATCGTTGTTAGCCTTACTTAAAAACAATCAAACTTTCATAGAACACTCATTCTCCCTGCAGACGTCGTAAGAAGCATTGAAACTAGAGTGCACTTCTTTGGAGCTGCATCGGAGAATATTCAAAGAAGAATTCTGTCTGAAAAAGAAATGCTTTGGCTAGAAGTGGTCTGTGTCTGTCATAGTAGGAATGGTGGAATCTCAAGATTGCTGGGATGCATGCATGACGTGTCCTGAGAGATACTCGTATCAGGAAGAGAAATCCTTCTGGTTTTGTCACTTCTCTGCCATACGACATTGGATTAACCTTATTAAAGCGTTGGACTTTCGTCATGGAGACCTCTGCGATGCTATGTCGAGGAAACGTGTCAGCCAATGTTAACACATGCCGTCAAAATTTAAGATCACGTTCGCAAACAGTACGAAGCGTTGCAGGCTCTGGAAATTTTGGATCTAATGGGAAGTCTGAAAATGTCCAAATGCCGAATGGAGTGTTCTGGTTGGACAAGGAAGCGCACAAGCATGACATCGTCTATGGACAGGCAAGCGTTCTTGTCCTTCCTCTGCCGAATGGCTGTGTTGAAGGTCTTATTGTCTTGTTAAAAGGTCATAATTGCGCTATTCAGCAGTGAGGAACATTGCCATGTTGGCAGATATGAAATTCTGTTGAACCCTGGTGTTGTGATGCCCGCAGCAAATCCAGCAGGAGAGGTCTGATAGTGTGGTATGTTGACGCAGAACTTCGTTCTTCAGCGTCCGAGGCGAGGCGGTCCTGGCCTGGTGCTCTACCCGAAGATTGCTGGGCTTCAGAAGCAGGGGGCAGCAAAGTCTCAGGGTACAGTCACAGCAGTGCAGACCAGCTTTTTCCAAGCCTACTTCGTTCATCAGAAGGACTGCACGAGAGTCAAGCTGCCGCTTATACGATGCAAAGGAATGATGTCCAGCATTGCTTGTGAAACTGACTGTTACTCTACCCCGCCTGTGCAGCGCTGCAGAGGCCGCAGCTCGGTGGGGTGAGCCTGCCAGCTCCCTTTGAACAGGGCTTCTTGGACATCACAGACTACAGGTTCATGGAGGAAGTTGAAGAGGACAGCCACGCTGCTGACTGTGCTGGAAACACTGCTGCAGCGCTGGGGCCCGAGTGCACCGGCATTGTCTTGCACAGCCTCTTTGGAGGTGCAGATCAGGTGATCCAGTCATCCAATCATGTTGTACGTGCTGTTGACAGCTCGACTTGAATAGTTCACAGGCATGGTAACTTAAAATTGGATCTTTGCGAGCAGAGCGAGCTATCCTGTTTATTTGGTAAGCTCCCATAGTGTGGGGTAGAAACTGACAAGGTTCTCACTACATCTGCAGGAGGACGCCCAGCCACCCAACAAGAATCCGCGCCGCACTCGGAAGGTGCGGTCCTGATCAATTGCATCGCAAGACCCTTCCATGACTTTGGTATCGTACTTCTGAATGGCGTCCCTTACTCACAGGTGCAATTCACTTGCAATTTGTGTGGAGAGACAACGACAAAGAGGGTGAATCCGCACGCTTGGGAGAACGGCACAGTCTTTGCCGAGTGCTCTGGCTGCAGAGTCAAGCACAAGCTGATAGGTGAGCCTCTCACTGTCACCAATTCCACATGCACACTGCTGCGGAACGCGGCCAATTTTGAGGAAGGGCATAATATTCCTTCCCTGCACATTTTTAGCATATGGCAAATTAAAGAAAGAGGGTCGCAGACATGAAGGCTTTGCAAGCGCCAGGGAGTAAGAAGGAAGGGCTGCCTTGCCATTTTAATGCAATGCATGCAACATACAAGACACCTCCCGCCCAGGAGTTCCTGGGCGATCCATCACATTGCACACATGCAGTCAAGTGCTGACATGGCAGCAAGGATGCTGACACTGTACTGTGCTGCTAATAGACAATTTGAAGCTGTTCCACGAGCTGCGTGGCCCAGTGTACCCGGCTGCGCCCATGAACCCTGCAGACATCCCTGCGTCCCTGCCGCTGCGGCCGTTGCTGGATTTCCAGCAGCATGCTGGCCTGCTCAACATGTTCCACCCCGAAGAGATGTGATTCTCATGTCAGCAGATGCCCCTGCAATGCACGTTGGACTTGTACAATATCAATCGAAACTCTGCTCTTACTATAAACCAGGAGAGAATGCATGCATGTTATACAACATTGTACAATGTGAAATAGCAGCGCTGTAAAGCAGTTTAGGAGTCGGGAGTATACCTTCAGCAGGATGTGAGGAGATTAGAAAGGCATGTGAGTCTATCTATGTGCAGCGTAAACCTGCATTGTTCTCCATATTGAGATAGACTTGCAACAGTAAGGGGAGTGAGAACATATATTTTAGAAGCATAATTATGGTCATGAGCCAGGAGAGTGTACAATCCACCAGGTGCGAAGCCTTGTGTACATATTGCTAAGTGAGCTCATGCTCAAGCATGCAGATCATAAAGTCGGACATCGGGAATGTATTGTAAAGGTGAGCGAGGAGTCCCAGCCCTAGGACTCAATGCCTTCTGAAGTACTTTGCCCGAAGAGACAAGTCCAACTCATACCAGCATTTTGTTCAGAGCCTTGAATTCTGTTTACACGAAGCCAGAATTTGGGCGTACTGTTGTATACACCTGTACGTACTTACAATCTTTCGTTACTTCTGAAACAGTAGGTAGATGAGTCTCCTTCAGCACATCTGTACAGAAGGGTGCACATCCTTGTGTCATCAGAAAGGCATGCACATTGCAAACGGATCCCTCTTTATTCAGCACTCGCACACTTCAGCCTTAAATTCACCTCTCAATAGCTGTCTACAAATCTCTAGAGAAAGCTCCCCGCTAACAAGCTCGCAGTGAAGGCGATTCTGTACAAACTGCATCATTGCCGCAAAGACTTTGCAAGCCGAACAATGAATCAGCATGAGCAAGCGATAAGCTCACTGAACACACTCAAAATAGTTTATGAACCATGAGGCAGTGACCCTGAAATGCCGTGCAGAAAAACATGACCATGCAATGCTGGATGCTCAAGTAATACGACTCAATTCAGATGAGAGCATCACAGCCGGCCTGCCACTCTCAGGGCTTGATCCGTTCTCTGCACATGCTCCAAGCGGCTCTTCCATTCCTGTGCCTTGTCCCTGTCGCCCTTCTGCAATGCACAGGATTTGCTCTGTCACCATATACAAATGTCACATGACAGGTTTTCCTCTCCTTCAAATTCCACAAAGTGCCTCAGTGCTCTGTGGCTGCACATGGCACTGGCAGGACAGTCTGTGGGGGCTGCTGCTTACCTGGAGGGACTGCAGGTCTTCTCTGAAGCGGCAGTCTGAAGGCAGCGGCTCTATTATAGGCTTGGGCGCCTGCACTGGATTTCTGGCCACATCCCACACTCGCAAACTCTTGCCGCCCGGCCCGCCTCTCTGCCACTCTACCGATGTCAGCCAGCTGCAGTAACAAGGAATTTTGGTTCAAAAGAATGGCGGGCGTGCTTTGCAACAAGCATGCGATGTGTAATTGGGCGGTGTCGACAAGGAAGGCAGATTTGAGGGCTTGAGGAGCTCAGTATTCTGTATGGAATGGCAAATAAGTGTGGCAGAGGAGTGAGTACCTGCCATGCACAGTGTCCACGTCAGCGCCTCCCTTCCTGAGACTGCCGTGGAGCTGATCCAGGTTCTTCTGCACCTTCTTCCCGCGCCACAAGGATGACAGGAAGCCCTGCTTGGACCCGCCATCAATGGTAATATCACACCTGGATTCCCACGCAACAGTGGCAAGTCAGCAAACACCTCAGAGGACATCTAGGAAGAGCCGACATGGACACACTTTTTGACCAGCGGCGGCACACTTCAAAGCATTGTGCTGTCTGCAAAGGTAGCAGGCAGGGATCTCACTCCACATCGTTCAGATCATCTCTGAAGGTGATTGTGCCAGAGTATTTCAGGCTCCGCTCGCCCCACAAGATGCCTGCGGGCAACATCACTGGCGCTTACTGAATATCCAGGATGCAATGCACGCCTGGACCTCGGTTGCAGGGTCCGCTTTTACGCATGGTAAAGTTGCGTTTGCACCTCGCAGCAGGAGGGATGGCAGCTCCCAAGTGATGACTGCTCCATCCCGAGAGAAGTGCACTCTGTTGACGCCTGCCTGCTGCCCCTTGATGGAGTTCCCCCTGGCAGATGCCTTCCAATTTCCGCTCCCAGAAAAGATGAACTGCATACACATTATGCATCCTTCACCAATTAATAAATGTCGTTAGGAGTCTAGAGAAGAAGAAGGTGAGACCCGTAATCCTTTGGGCTGTGCAGCACCTATGGATGGGCTTGTGAAGATACGGATAACGCACCTTTCCATCAGGGTCAGCCACCTGCCAGCTGCTGACTGGCGGATGGTGTGATATCTGCTCTGCATGCACGCGCACCCCAGAGCTGTATACACCCTGATACGTTTCCCCCAGGATGGGATTGAAGGGCTTCAAGGTAGATGTCTGTCTCCTTAGGCCCCCAATGACGAAACCCACCTGCAACCCATGCAACCAGTCAGAGCTTTGTCAGCCATTGTTCTTGCTGACCTGCTCACCTTGGAGAGCGCAAGGCAGTTCTAAGAATGATCCAGCGGCATGTGCATTGGATTGAAGCACCGTCTATAGTACTCACCACATACTGCATTCTTTTGATCGGGTCGGTGGCATCCACAGCTTTCTCGAGCAGGTCAATGTAGGCCCAGTTGTCTGTGATGCGCTGCAGGAAGCTCCGAGGCTCGAAAACTTTCACCGGCAGTGAGACTTTGGTCAAGTTGACTCCCTCTCGAAGCAGGTGTGACCCAAGATTCTTCAGCAGATCCCAGATGGCCTGCCTTTGCATGGCAATCTCCTCCAGATCTGCGCGCGAATTGAAGACATAGCCGTCTGTGGTGCTTTCATCCAACTCCCCTGAGTCCTCCTGCAGGCCAAGCTGCCCCAAGGTGATCTTGCAATTCTGCCCCGGGACTCGTGGTAGGTGATAGTGCATGTCAATAGTAAGATCTTTTGAATGTCCTTGAGAGCCCCCACATGCCGAATTCCTAGTCCAAGGGAGTCAAAACTTCCAATGTTGCGGTGGCAGGTACACGTGCTCACCCCTGTGTTGAGCGAGTCTATGTCGGGCGATATCCTGGCTTCTCCTGACACATTGGACATCTTCTGTGATCAAAGTATGAGCGTCTCTCGAAGAAAGCAGAGACTGAAGGTCAGACACTCCGCTCTGTGCAGCAGATCGAGTTGGAGCAATGTGGCAGTGAAGCTTATTCGGATATTACTGTCCAGATCACACCATCCGAGAAGATGTTTGATTTCGACATATTCTGCACAACTCCTCTGCACAAGCAGAATCCAAGCTGCATATCACGTAAAGTCACGTGCTCGTTCTTCAGAGGCGTTCCTTGGAAATGAGACGTTTCTTGGAGGAGAGCCAAGGAGTTATTTCTCCTACTTTCGATTAAAATTTTCATCTCATATGGTGATTGATGTGTTCTGTATTAAGTGTGCACTCAGTGAACCAGTTTAGACTCGAATGCGGCGACATAGGCAAGAACACTACTTAGGGGAGGCTTGCTGGGGACGGTGACACAGTTGCCTACACGCATTTTCGCATCCATAGGTACGTGAGTCAGCATTCATTTGCTATGGATCAAGTGGCGGGTGACCTCTGCAATCACGGGCAAAAGGGACCTGTCTGAATTCTCATGTCCCTGCATGATACCTTACCTCCTTGACTTTCAGGGATGATAGAAATTCAGACTTGAAAATGAGACTCATCCATGAATTTTGTGAAGTTCTTAAACTTCTTACATTGATCAAAGGCGCCTGTTCCAGTATCTAGATGCACTTGGAAAGGAACAACCAAGCAACAACCGTTGTTTGCGAGGATATGCTAGACGAACAGCTGGCTGGCATGGCTAGTTCCAAGGTCCAGGTGCTAAAGTTTCTACAGACGCGGCGTTCGATTCTGATGTATTTTGAAGACATGAAAAATTGTGTTTCAGGTCATGTTCTCGTGGCGCGTTGCTGCTACCAATTATGCCAATCAATCTCCTGTGGACGCCATCCTTGATAAAGGTCATGTGGTCCTGGAGGATTTGCTGGAGATCGACGACCTGGCCAAGGTGCAAAAGAATCTCCTTATGAGTTTTCAGAGCACCTACAACACCAACAACAGCTTCACGCCAGTGAAGCATTCAGTTCATGTTCATCAATTGCCCGCATCACTGTCTCTAGCACCACATCCTCTGTGGCATAGCCCTGCTGCCCCAAGCTGCAGGCTGAAGCTTGGCTGCATGTGCAGGAAGCCAGAGTGGTGAATGGGCGGCTCATGGCCTACCTGAAGAAGCAGGACACTCTGAGGCAGCTGCTGGAGTATTTGGTTGGGCGACCGCCTGCAGCCAGGACAGGGCAGCAGGGCAGCCGAGAGCAGGCAGATGCGCGCACCAAGCACTCTCTGGCGGCCTGTGAGGTGCTGTGCAGCCTGGCAGAAGAGGTGCCAGGAGCGCTGGCGGGCAACAATGAGCTCCTACACCTGCTTTTCAGCGCTACAGGTGGCTTGCTCTGCATCTGCACCGGGATTGTGTCCATGATTGTCGAGGTGCTGAAGTCTTATGTTCAGCAGGCAGACTGCGGCTCTGACAACATGTACTTCTTGTCCAGGCTCGCCCACATCGCTGGACTGTGCTCTAGCTGGCTACTTTGCGCGGCTGGTGGGCATCCTGCTCACGCGCTGTGCTGAGCAGATGCTTGCCTTCCTGGAGGTCCGCTCTATTCATCCTGAGCCTTGCTCTGCATACTTGCTTTCTACAGTCCCAGCAGTATGCGTGCCATAAAAATCTTGCCAGTCTACGCTATTGCCTGGTGATTGCCTGCCAAGACGTGAAAGGTCGCATTGCTTGGCGTACTGGCACCCATCAGATCTTTACGCAAGTGTGTAAATAATGGCAGGCCACCAGAGGGATTGTGGATTCCTTGCTGGAGCACCTGGACACGGCAGGCATGGCGGAGACATTTGTGCGCGTCGTGGGGGCTGATGAGCAGGCCGTGCCCAACCTGCCACCAGAGTCCCTGGCCTGGCTCTCAGAAATGGACATCATAGCCAGGCTATTAGCAAGGTCGGCTTCTTCCACCAGGACAACTCTGACCTATTGATTGGGATGTCAGGGGACTTTTGCCGCTCATTGTGCCGCTCACCACACATCCGTGTGCATGAATCAACTGGAGCACTTCTGCACTCACATGAGCTGTCTTGCGTTTGTATGATCGATATATCGATATAAGTGCAGGTTGGATGAGGACGCTAAAAGTGGCGCGCATGGGAACGTGGCGGAGGTGCTAGCAGCAATAGCGCGCAGCCGCAGCTCTCCACTGACGAGGCAGCTGTGTGAGGCACACAATCTCGACAGCCTCATAAGCAGAGCCGTCGTGGCTCCCCCGCAGATACCATCTGTCCAGGTGCATGCGTTTCCCCAGATGCTGCCGACTTACCGAGGAAATGTCCTGATGTAGATCACTGACTTCTATAAAACATGTTTGATTCTCGAACGATGTCCAGCCTTATTCAGCACTGCGTGCTAGGCAAGGGATGGATTTAACGTTTCGTGCGTGCTGGATGCAGGCGCTCAATATTTACATAGCGCTGCTGGAGCGGCGGCGGCTGCTGGCCACAGTGATGCGCACCAGTGCAGAGGTCTCGGCCGCAAACACAGAGGCCGATGTCAACCTGTCAAAGGTCATCGCGGCAATGGTGCCACACACCCCCATGCTGGCGCAAGTGCTGTCCACTGCCCACTCCACGGTATTGCTGGTGCGCTCGCAGCCCTCCAAAGAGCACTGAACCTGCGCTCCATTCTTCCTTTGCATCTTCAGTGTGGAAGTATGCCGGAGATACTTATTTTGCGTGCTGCAGCACTTGTAAGTCCCTCGTAGGGTGTGCACGGCTGCCGATGGCCCTTCCTCTGACTGTACAGCGGTATCTAGCAAAGGACATTATTGCTCCATACTGTGAAGAGGCTGATGGTGGACTATGATATGCAGGAGACGTCGTATGGGGTGCTGCGGCCTCCGCTCGGATCTGTGCGGCTGACGGTGATAGAGCTGGTGGCTGTGCTGCTGCGCACGGGGTCTGAGGAGGCCGAGACCGCAATCATTGCCTCTGGCATCGTGCGCGAGATCCTGGCCGTCTTCCTGCGCTTCCCATTCAACTCCATCCTACACCACCAGGTCTGCTGCAATGATGTTCCCCATCATGCATTAGCTAGCTTGATCATCAGTATCGTGAGAGAGCAATATCAGCCATGCGTTGGTTTTTTGAAGAAGCCACAGGCGGCAAGCATCTGCTCCTTTTCATGGCTTCATTTGTGACTAAGTATGTGGTGATGCAGGTGACCAGCATTGTTGCATGCATGCTGCAAGCTGGCAGCAACGCAATTGTGGGGCACCTGTTTGGGGACTGCGATCTGCTGGGCTGGCTGCTCAATGCGCCCGCACACTGCGAACCAGAACAGCGAACTGGAGACACCCGGTGCGTTCCGTTCTTGCAATTCACCCTACACCTTTGATAACTTCCCACATTATGGCATGCTCGAAGTGTTTCAGCAGTAGTGCCCTGCTGACAGCAGGTGTTGTAGGAGTAGCAGTTCTCCATTTGTGGCTCTTCACATAGCTTTGTATGTATGCATCAAACAATTTATCATGTGGCTGGTGTTGCAATCAGAGAGCGGACCCCCCTCCGAGCAGGCTACATGGGCCACCTGACAGAGATCGCCAATAGCCTGCAGACGGTGGCGGCCCGGCGTCCGCCAGTCGCATCGCTGCTCTGCTCGAACACTGCGTGGACCGACTTTGCCTTCGGGCCCCTCGCCGAACGCAACCAGGTGCCCACCCTCTCACCGTGCCATTCATGCTTTCCTCTCTCCCTTGCCTCATTTAGCGTTGATTTTACCCATTTTGGGGTCTTCCTGGCTGGTGGGCTCCTGGTGGGCTCTCATGCAAACTCAGATGGCAAAGAGGAGCTTGGCGGTGGTCCTGACACTCGAGCAGGAGTGCTGTGGTGTTGGCTGTGACAGTGTTTGCAACAGGTGGACATGCATGTGTGGTGTGTTGCAGCTGGAGGATGTGCTGTCGTGGCGGTGCGGCCACCCGCAGATGCGCGGCGCGGTGCCGGCGATGGCGAAGGACGGCGACACGGACATGCCGGACCTGCAGCTGGACGCGCTGGCCAGCCTGGACCGCCACGCTGGCCGCTACGCCGCCTTCTCCGACGAAGAAGACGAGGACGAGCTCCACTCCCTCTACCTGGTGCGCCCCTCGTCTTCTGTGGTATTGGGCCTGTCATCGGGGAAATATCAATGAAGCAAGATTGAATGCATGATGCACAAGGCAGTGCGAGCGCCAAGGAGGGAGAAAGGGGCTGCTTAGTGGTGGAAACATGCACATCGACAGGGCAGATACAGAATAAGTGTGTCCACAGATAACCTGATCTGTTTGGAAATCTGCAATAATATAGGATGTATTTGCATGCCATCCGGGGGTGCTTCGTTGCTCCGCACAGTGGTGCCTTGCGGAAATGGCCGGAGAGTAAACGAGCACGTTATGGATTCTGCTGTGTACTCCTGATGGGTCAGTGTGCTGGGCTCCAGGATGCGAGCGGAGACAGTGATCTGTGGGACCTGGCTGCGGCTGAGAGCGGGGACGCCATTCAGCGCCATGGCTCCCCCAGCCCCTTCGCCTCCAGGAGCCTGCTCGGCAGCTTTGACATGGAGGCGCGTCAGCCTCCCCTAAGCACAATTCCTTCATCTCCTTGGCATTGATCAATGATGGCGCCAGCACCGGCATTGTTGTGTCTGGCAGTACCTGGGAGCTGCCTGCATTTTACTGAAACCTCCTCTGCTGCATGCTGCCAGACGGAGTGCTACCTAACCATGGGCACAGTGAATGATCACTCACGCTGACCTTGAAATAAGGACGCCAGCAATGAGTGCGTCAGGGGTGTGGGCGGGTGTTCTGATGCTGGATGCTGCGATGTGCTGCAGGATGACCGGGATGCGTCGTGGATGCGCCGGCCATCGCTGCTGGCCGCGGTCGGCGGCGAGGGTCACTCGGGCGACGGAGACGGGGAGAACCTGGCGCGCCAGTCGAGCCCCCCCTCCACCTGGGAGGACCGCGCAGACGGCGCCTTTGAGACCAGCACCGCCTGGATGGACTCCGGTGAGCTCCTCTGCAGCTGTTTGCACATGGTTTCTCGCACGCTGAAGTTGTCCTGAGTCTTTCAAGATGCGCTTGCGCTTGTCCTGAAGTTTCGCGGCAGTGTTGGAACCTCTTGGCCTGCCCATATCACTGCAGATCATCTGGCGGCTGCGAATCTCTTTGAGCAAAACACTCAGCATGGAAGAGAGTATTAAGTTGACTCATACAACTCAGCAGGCGCACACACAGGATTTGTGAAATATTCAATTAAGATTACCTTTGGCTTCAAGCGGCAGCATTTGAGCCTGATTGTAATTTTGAGATTTGACATGTACGGAATGGCGCTCGCAGACGATATGGACGAGGATGGCATGGTGCTGACGGCGTCCCCGGAGCACGGCGAGGGCGCCGGCACGCCGGACCTGTTGGCGGACTCCCCTCCTGCGGACGCGCCCAGCCCCAACGCAGCCCGGGTCACCCCGCGCGTGCTCTTCCCTGCGATGCAGCCCCCCGTGACGAAGATCGCCGCGCCGTCAGCCGCCGCCGCCGATTCTCCCCGGCACGCGCAGGACGCCGAGGCCGAACCGCACGCCACCGCAGCAGGTACTACTTCATACATTCAAACTCCACCAGATTCTGCTGGATTTATACTGCTATATGCCTGCAAGCGCAAGCGTTAACGATGGCTTGGAGTAGCTTATATATAGTTTCAAAACTTATTTCTAGTTATTTCTTGCAAGTGTGTACTCAGCAGTTCCATCCCAGCTTCCAGAAAGGTGCTCCTGCTTGTCTGAACACTTTCCCTGTGTGCATCAGAGTGGAGCCGCGGGCGGCAGAGCGAAAAGGGGGCCCCGGGTGGGGAGAGGGTGCGGTCCCCCGTGGGCTGCTACAGCACGCTTGCCTCACACCAGCACAGCGCGCCTAGCATGGGCGGCCACGATCTGCCGGCCTGCTTTGCATCGCCGCCCACCTCGCCCCCCATGAGCGCCCGCAGCCACCACTCGGACGAACCCATGGACACCATCAGCCTTGCAGATCCACCCATTCATCCTGGGGAAGACAGCGCCGCTGCAGAGGTTGCGGAGGATGATCTGCAGCCGGATGGGGTTGAGCTGCCGGGAGCAGAGGGCGGTGCGGCGGCCATCGGCGGCGGCGGCGCACCTGCCAAGCCGGCCGGGACGCCAATGGCCGGCCTAAGAGACCTGTTCGCTCCAGTCGGCGGCCTCTTCAAGGGCGCCTTCACAGCCTCCAGCCTGCCGCCGCCCGCCGCAGCAGCCAGCGAGGACCAGCAGATGCAGACAGATGACAGTCACAGAGGCGCAGCCGGCCCCGCGGCAGCGTCGGCGCTGGACACACCGGCAGCCGACAGGGGCGAGAGCACTCCTGCAGCACAGGCGTCTGAGAGCCGGGAGTCTCCGCGCCAAGAAGCGTCGGCTGTGTTTGAGGGTGTCGCCGAACAGAGTCCTAACTTCAAAGCTGCCGCGCAGCTGCCAAGGCCCAGGGGTGGAGGCAGCCTGTCAGGTGCCATCTCTGATCTGCCTGCGGAGGTGGGAGAGGCAGAAGGTGAGGCAGACCTTGCAAGGGCTGGCGCGCAGCCGGGTTCAGAGGCTGCAGATGGGGAGCAGCCACCACAGGGCTTAGCGCCTGTACCTGGTGATGCAGCTGCAGCCCAGCATGCTGCAGGACTGCACTCAGCCACCGGTGCTCTGCAAGGTGAAAGCAGCATGCCTGAAGACAGCTCAGGCCTGGTGCAGTCGGAAGAGGTGGCAAGCTCCAGCAAGTTTCCATCGCACAGCAGCGGCGACCTCCACAGGGAAGGCTTGGAGCACAACGCTCATCCCCTCAACAGTGCAGACAGCGCTCCCAGCAGGGGCAGCATAGAGGCCCCAGGCGAGGCAGACGAGAGCCCACTGAGCGCTCGTGCTGACAGCCATCTAAATCGGTCATCCAATGCACCTCCCCCCGACAGCGTGCATGACAGCTCGCTGGATCATGGCGCAACAAAAAAGCCTCCCTTCAGGGGCAAGCACAGAAGGTGACCATCTAGCCCTGGACAACCCACCTACCTGCTAGGTGTCCAATGTGTTGGATGTCTTCTGTCACGCAGCTGTTGTGCATGCCCTTGTTGAAGACCGTTCATTCGTGACCAATTTGGTCCTGTAACTGCAAGTCCCTTGACCTTGGGTAATCGTCAGTGATATTAACAAGGGTGAGAACATCACAGAAGGTCTGATGTTGCATGTTTGGGACGCACCCACACAAACGCCCACGCGAGTGGAATGTGCACCCCATACTTAGGGTCCTATTCCATGGGTGATTGCAGGTGGGCGAAGAGCGACGCTGTGCTGGTGCCGCGGGGGGAATCTGAGGAGGAGACCCTGGTGGGCAGCTTCACAAAGCTCCTGGTGAGCCACCCCGCACACCCCAAACTATCCCTCTTTGATCTTATTTGATTGTGTAATTGTTTTGTATACCGCAGCATTTCTATCCTTCTTTGCAATTCTGTAGCACAGTCGAGTGACTGATGTCTCAAAGCTCGGCTGCAAGATCGTCAGAACTCTTTCCGAGGCGAGGTACTTGCACAAGGAATGCCTGTAGCTCATTGGCAGCGCAATGGGCACCAATTGGGAACTTGCACGCCATTCTCAATACAGAGTCTTTGTCACAAATGAAGGGATTTGTGTGGCACCGACTGTGGGTCCTGCTCTGGGCTGGAGTACAAAGCAGGGATGGCTTGTCACAGGTGTCCCAGGATGATGACTACCCAGAGGGCAGGGGCGGAGCAACAGCTGCGGGGCCTTCAGGCAGACGTGGCCGTCTGAGCCTGTCCTGCGCGCAGCAGGCGCCCAAGGCATCTCACCCTTCTGCAGGTGCGCTGTGACAGCAAGATGTGCACATGCATGCGAGTGTTGCTGCAACTACTTCGTATTAAGCCCGTTGTCCCCTCTTGGCGCTCGCACTGCCTTGTATGTCATGCCTTCTGCTTTGTTTAGTTGTGTGCACGGGTGAGACATTGACTTCTTTTGCAGACATGAATGATGCACTGCCATCCTTTTGTCTGATGGTGGTGTTCCTTGCTACTGCAGTGGAGAGGGAGTGGCCAGAGTGAAACTTTCTGGCAGGAGCATCAGAGCATACCACCATAGACAATATGATGTATGCAAACAAGTGCCGCATGGCATAAATAAGAACAGAGAAGCTGGATCCAGCTAAGAAGGCACGTAGATGTGTTAGCAAAGAATCTAGCGTATTTTTTGCAGCGGGTGGGAAAGTAGAGAGCATTTTCTGTTACTCCATCTGGATGAATAAGATATTTACATCAAGTGAATTTGAACAAGCACACAGACATTGTCGTGCGGTCAGAGACATTTGACTTCCTAAAGTGAGCCCAAAGTTAGGGACTCCTCAGAAAGCTGTAGGGTCTTTATTTTATCATCAGGTTCACAGGTTTCATTCTGTGACTGCGTGCGCAGCGCTGGAACTGAATACAGCTCTTATGCTGCCGCGCCTTCCTTTGTACAGTAATAATAGGGACAGATGTGCTAGTGGGGGTTTTGGTGGGTTTGCTTGTTGATGGCAAGGAGTGAAACATGATGCCAGACAGACGTGCGTGCTTAGGCATGCAAGGCTAGCAACACTGCCGGGCAATTGCCCAGTGACTGCCCATTCATGGTGTCTTTACATCCCAGACTGAATCAGGTGGACTGAGCAGCACGTCAATCATATACCTCAATCAGAACTTCTGCTTCAACTTGAATGCTGAACTTCTGTACCTATTTGGGTTCTGTCCAGTACCAAAAGTGATCTTGTAAAGCTACCCCATGCTCACAACTGTCTGCAACATACTTCAACCTTAAGTGCGCTGACTGGGCAAAACTGTGTACAGCACACCGTAAAAAAGCTGCACAACAAGAATCAAATCATCAATCCTGCACCAGCTCTTGTACAAAAGAATACTCAGATCTCAGCCCAATTAATCACTCAATTGGTCCATCCCTGAGGGAAGCCAGAACCTCATCGCCGACCTTCACTGTACCTTGCCCCATGGCAACACACAGCCAACCGAAGAAGACAGCATGGCTGGGGAAACGCTCCTTGGGTATGAATGACAGCTGCTCGAGAGACCTGATCTTGGCCAGTGTCTGCAGAGGCTCCTTGCCCACTTTGAGGGTCTCCTGATTTGTTGTGGTCACCTGTAACGCCAGGAAGCTATGCCATGAGCATAGAAAGTGGTGAGACGTACAAAACAGTCAGCTACAAAACGCGTTTAGGTGAGTGAAGATGTCATTTTCGTGCTGCACCCTGGACAATCAATCTTTGCGCGCATCAGCTACATCCCGATGAGGGGAGATCTGTTGGCAGGAAGCCACCTTGCAGCGATCGCATGGCACGACAGTTCTGAACTTGCAAGGCGCATGGCCCGGTCCTTGCACAGTGAAGGCCTCCCAGGCATCCTCTGAGAAGGGCTCTCCAGTGTCACTGACCACTATGTTTGGCCTGAAACGCTCCATGGGCACGGCTTCGCCCTTGCCCAGAGCCTCGTTCAGCCCTCGTAGAGATGCCTGCATCAGGCACATACTATTGCTCCTCCTTTGCCATGCACACCACTGAATAAAATCTGCACCGATAATTTAAGGACCAGTGAACCCAGCATATATTACAGAGCTTTGGCTGTAGCTGGCAGAGAGAAAGAGAGATGGAAGGAGAGGAAGAGAACGAGAACGAGAACGAGAGGATCATAATATCTTTGCCAGCCAACAAGGCTGATCTGATGTAATGGACAGAGCTCACAGCTGAATAGGAAACACTGCTGAATACAAGATGTTGAATCCAGTCCTGCTGAGGAGAAGGGGTCAAGAATGCAGGGGAGCACCTCAGTGGTGAGCAAGAAGGGCAGGCGGTCACTGAAGGCAATCTCATGGCCGGGGACTGCACCCCATCCGGGAGGCACCGCCGGCCTCCGTTTCTTGGACCGGTCAGCCGCCGCATCGTTTGTTCCGGGCCTGCCTGCACCGCACAAAGTGCATGCTGAAGTACCATCTTTGATTGCGCTGTTTGCACTCAGATTCTCAGTCTGAGAATGCTCATTTGCGTGCATTGCGCCTCGTTGGATCCAGTCCCACAACCTCCGTAGTATACTAGATCGCTGGTAGTGATATCTCAGGCACAGAAATGCCCCCCTTTTGAGCATCCTTTGAATCTTCTATCGTTCCAAATTACCGCATGAGGCCCCCGCTGTTACACGCCATGAGACAAGGAGCTCAGGAGGCTGGCGCACCAAGGAAGCGCACAAGTTGTGAGGGCTTGCCGAGGTACTCTGTGAACCAGGCATTTGCTTCTGCTCCCTCGTCCCGAGCAATCCCTTTCCATTCCCAGCAGACCACCTGCCTCTCCTCCGGCTCTGATCCGTTGCTGTGAGGTACCAACGGCACCTGCACACATTGCCATGCAATGTCATTGACCCCAGGCCTAAATAGTAGCACATCAGCCGAAAGAACAAAAATGAGCATGCCAAAGATCGCCAGGCGCAAGGTCAAGCGCGCCGTTGGCACTTGCCTTGAGGGTTTGCATGCCAGGGGCCTTCAGTAAGAGATGAGCATTGGGTGGCACTGCCACGCCAGCTGTTGTCAGCAGCTCGGGCGGTTGGATTACTTGCTCCACCAATGCCAACCTGCACCGTGGACGCATGCTTGGATGCCTTGAAATGCATGCATGAATGCTGGCATGCGTGTCAGTACTGGCACTACTGCAGCCACACAATGCGTGTGATCTGATGCAGTGTGCCAGTGCAGGGTGCGCTCACCGAGCTTCATTCCTCTGTGAGTAGAAGCGGCCAGAGTCGGCGGTGACACAGAGCCAGTGCCGGTCATAAGCAAAGCCTGCGTGTGACAACGATACGATTGGGAATTACCTTCATAAATTGAATGTACTGCAGCACATTATCAGCCTTACAGAGGTTGTCCACAGCCTTCTAACATAGGGCAGGGCAGTGAGCTGGATGACTTCCAATTTTTCGAGCTACCACGCGCTCTTCTGCACTCACCTGTCTCAGTCACTACCCCCTGGTCAATCAAGATTCCTTTGCAGCCTTTCACAGGATACACCCGCAGCGACGACACTGTCGGCATTGCAACGATCTTGGGCTATACAGGAGCTGCAATCCAAGCGCTAATATGGGATATCCTTGGGTATCATCTGCAATCTCTGTAACATGTATACGACATATCTTTGGCAAAGTTTCTTCGGGTGAAGGGGCGTAAAGTTAGCTGCATAGCTTACGTCATGTCCTTCCGAGGTTTTAAGCTATCTCTTGAATCGGACAACTTCTATCTACTTGTTTCTTCGTATATTCAGTGTTGTTCTGGTGGAAGTGAGTTAACCATCTTCATATTCCTTGCTTGATCGTTTAGAGTAGACTGTATCCCGCACGAGGAACGTCCGTTAGTGGAGCGTACCCTCTATAATGCCGAAGGTCACAGCTTTGTATGTCTACCCTGTAAAAGGATTGAAGGGAATCAGCCTGGTCACGGCAGACATCTCAGGAACTGGTAAGGCTCTGGCCCAACTCTGTTCCTCATGCCCATGAGTGGGATTTCACTGGAAATGTATCATTTTCTACCGGATCAAACGCCATGTTATTGCAGGATTTACTTGGGATCGTCATTGGCTGGTGACGAGGCCCGACGGACGTTTCCTGACTCAGAGACAGATCCCAGGGTATGCCAGCATCCCAGCATCCCTGCCCAGAACATCCCTGCATTCCCTTCATGGCGTACCCTTCAGCGCTTTCGATGCTGCAGGATGACACTGATCTCCACCGCACTCCCTCCAGAAGCCCTCACCCAGGAGTGGACTAAGCTTGGGCCCGACGCCAGCCTGACCCTCAGCGCTCCAGGAAAGGAGCCCTTGCAGGTAAATTCGTATCATCCTGAGGATGGCAATCTGGTGTACAACTCTTCCCATCCATGCCCACAAGGATGCCACCAGGCATGTCTTTCTCAAGCCAGTCAGCCCGGCACCCAGCTTGATCGGCAGAAAAGGGCGGTGAGCAACCAGCTTCTTGATTGAAGCTACCGCTGATATTCTGCCCCACTTGCTGGCTGCAGGTGCCCCTGGTGCCGCGGCCGGTGGAGGATGCAGAGCTGAAGGAGTGCACGTGCTGGGACTGGAAGGGGCTCGCACAGGATGAGGGAGAGGAAGCTGCCGAATGGCTGACTGACTTCCTGGGCAAACCTGCCCGGCTTGTGCGCTACATAGGTCTGCTCCACCTCATTTGTCAAAGTATGTTTCCGTAAGTTGCGTCAGACCTGGCTGGTGGGGGGCGGTATAAATACAGAGCACCATGCCTGCCGTTGATTGGGTCTTGCTTCGATCTGGCGAGTTTGTCAAGGGGTAGGATTTCTGACAGCCTTTACCTGCCTCTGGCAGGAACAGCGTGGAGTTACACCTTTTTTTTGCAAGAAAGATACTGGCACAGCACAGCGTTGAGATCCAGTGCGTCCTGAAACGGCTACACCGCAGGGTTGCTGAGGACAGATCTGTGCTGACAGGTACTCCCGGGGCCGGCGATGCACTGGCAGACCCGAAGCGCCGCGAGTGTGAGCTGCCATTTGGAAAAGGCGTTGAGACGGCGTTCGCTGATGGCTACCCTTTCCTCATCACCACCGAGGTATCTTGCTTCTCCCTCATGAAAGAGGCGGAGGCCTTCCCACCTTGCACCTGGAAGTGCTGTTTTGTCAGCGTGAGAATCTGCCATCCGCATGCATGCAAGGTCTCGTTGCTCTGCCACGGTATACTGGGACAAATTTTTGTACTGCGACCACTCACTGTCAACAATGGCTGTCTTGTTGAAGTCTCTATCATACTTTTTGTCTGATTATTTTGAAACTAATGAATGTTGCCCTAAGATTGCTGCTTGTTGTGGTGGTTCTGGTCATAATAGTGGTCTGTGGTTGCTGTGCTGGCAGTCCTCGCTGGCGGACCTGAACACGCGGATGCCGGAGCCGCTGCCCATGAACCGCTTCCGCCCCAATTTGGTCATCGATGACAGCGTGGAGCCCTGGGCGGAGGACGACTGGCAGGAGCTGACCGTTGTGGGCCCGCCAGACCGCAAAGTGGAGTTTGTGTCGCTCAAGCCCTGCTCACGCTGCAAGGCGCGCCGCTTCTCGCCTGCACTGCTTAGTCGTGCTGCTGTGCTTTCTGCCTAGGGCTTGTCCCTGTATTGAGCGCGTCTCAGACCTGCGACTGCGCCCAGCGGCATGCCAGACTGGCCTTTGCAGGTGTTCGCCGGGGGTTCTATACCTGGCAGGGGTTTGTATACAGGGCTGTCTGATGTCCTTGCATAGTGGTGACACCGGGTCTGCATGCATTCAATGTGGCTGAAATAACTCCTAGGCGAAAGGTGTCTTCTAAGTTGTAAGCATTGCATCTACTACAGAGAGGCGACCCTTTCTGCTTGCTCTGGCGCTCATACTGACTCTCATGTCTTCATTTCCTTTAATATATAGGGCATGGCTGCAGGTGACCACCACGGATCAGGAGACTGCGGCGGTGGGCAAGGAGCCACTGATGACGCTGGGCAAGTTCAGGAGCGGCAAGCTGCTGGGCTGGTCTGCGCTGGCGTCCTGGAAGCACGAGGTGTTCTTCGGCTGGAACCTGACCGCCACCTCACCCGGCACTGTCGCTGTCGGGGATGACATCATCGTCACTCGCAAACGCACCACCGCCCTTGCCGCCTGATGCGCGCCCCCGGTTACTAAGCCGGCAGGGGACTCTAATCTAAACATAATGGTCCAGAAGAATGCATAATGGACTCGAGGGATTGCTTTTTTAAAGTTTGTGTTTCCCATGTCAGTGCATGCCCTAGAATCTTCGGGCTGCCAACCAAACCTCCCAACAAATTCACTTGGTGGCCACTCTTGAGATCCTGACACATCTGTTGCAACTGGAGATTGGCACTCGGCTCAAGGTTTTCCTGCTTTGCAATCTGCCAAAGGTATCACTTGTGATCAAGCCTACGTTTTCCCACAGCAAGACCACTAAACTTGACAATAATCTGTAAGAGGTCCCCAGAACTCCCAGTGGGAAAAGTACATCACCCGCAAGTTTTGAGATAAATTGAAGCGCATCAGTCACACTGACTTCTCGTCTGTGCGCAACCAATAGTACAGACTGGCAATTCAGCCTGGCTGAGCTTTACTCACCATGCTCATTAAATATTTCCTAAAAGTACAGTAATCTACAGCTACTCAGTACATGATACCTCTGAAAATTTCATCTCACGTTGACGTCTTTCCTATTGTGACAGCGTCTGCAAAACAGAGTTGTGGACAGGATCTGCAACATGCTCCAGCAAAAGGGTTATGGGTCCTTTCCCCGTCACCATCGAAGCTGCATAGACACCTGCGAATGATATCACTGCGCAGCAGAAAGCCCCCTTCAATACTTGTGCTAGCTTGTATGAGGAAGGGTTGGTGTCCTGCAGGGTATCGCATTCCGCAATGAAAGCTTTCAAGGACAGTAAGCGACGTGGGATTCACAGCACAATTGTTCGAGAGATATCTGGCTGCAACATAGCTTACTCGCAAGCCTCCCATTGTTCAGCTCCTTCTCCTTCATGTCTTTGTAGTCTTTCACTGTCATCTCCCTCCTAGAATACCACCAGGCACCTGCCAAAGTCACCAATCCAGACGTGCTTCAATACAACCATGCAGAGGAAAAATGTCGCACTCCAAACAGATGGGTGATGGGTAAGATTATGAGCATGCATGCAAGACTGATGTGCTAGCAGAGAGGCCAGAGCCAGGGAGGCACGCACCTGAAAGGAAGCCTGGCAAGCCACCCAACCAAGCTGCATAGACGCCCAGCCCCGGCGGTGCCGGCTTTTCCTGCTTGGCCTCCGGCCTCTGCCGTGTCAGCCCCAAGACATCAAACCTGCTCCATGCACATATCCATTCGCATAATCCGTGATCCCCTGACATCTAGGAGGCATGCAGAGCGTCAGAAAGACCAGCTCCGCCAAGCTGGCAAAGTACTATGAGTAGAGCCCACCTTCGGCCGGGGTAGGCACGCTCTTCCAGGCCCTTCTTCTGTGCGCGCATGGCACCCCGGTACGCTTCCAGCACGCCAACAGCCACCACCAGCTGGATGGTGAAAGGGATGAGGCGCTCGGTGCCCAGGTCAGGCAAGAGGTACAGGGGACCCCCTAGCAGGTCTGGTACCACGAGTCCCAAGACTCCCAGCATCGCCCATCGTGCATGCAACACCTCTGCCTCTCTATCGTCCCACAAAACGGTTTGTTAGCGCTTTCAGCAAGTATGGCAAGAGCATGCACAATAGGCCTCACAGAGAGCATTGAGACAGTTTGCAGGAAAAACCAAACATGCCGTACCGTAGAAACTGCGAATTCTCGGGGTTGTCTGTCAAATGGAGAGGGTCAAAGCCTTGTTTCCTGTTTACATAAAGGGTGTACGATGTCAGCGCATTCAGAATAATTGCGAGTTTCGTCCATGCACTACAGTATATACACATTGTTTGAGAATCCACAGGAAACATCCACGAGAAGAATGGCATTTGATATTGATAAGAAAGAACAGAGAAAGAGAGACCATCAGAGTCCGGGTTACCTTGTTCTAAGGTCCCTGCTCTCGGCTCCAGTTGTCCTTTTCAAATTCCTTGGTTCTTTCTGAGAGCTGGCCACCCAAAGGGTCCTTCTGGAGCCTGATCTGGTCGGTGTCGAGCAAGGAGCAAGTCTGAGGCTTTCCAATCTGCTCACGCTAGTCAGTGTTCGGAAGATACCGCCTTCCCTCAGCATACTGGTCATAATTTCATGTACCTCGAATCCATCTGCCCGGAAGAAAAGTCACATAAGGCGAGCAAGTACATTTGCGCTGGGATCCTTGGACGAAGAGGCACGTCCTTCCGGGCTGGCTTCGGGCAGCTGCGGGCAAAACTGGGCAATGGGTAGAGGCAATTGCCCAAGGCTAGGTGCATGCAGTCCGACACCTATATTTCACAACCTCCCTGCAGCAGATCGGAAAGCTATTGCTGACATCGTGACCAGATATGAATGCAAGAGTGTGCGTTGGTCCTGAATTCCATACCAGAAAAGCTCGTTCGCTAGCATCATCATCGTGTGCAAACTTAGGGTTATTGCGATGCCACGCGCAAGCTTAGATCAACAAGATTCTGTAGACCTGAAGCAATCTATCTGACGCCGACATCGCTGAAGGACAATGCAGAAAGTCAACGAGACTTTGGCGGAGCGTTCTCAAGAACAACTGAAGGACTGTTCGAGAGTCCTGATCTTTGATAGTAATCTTTCTACATTGTATGCGACATACCAGGTAGAAGAAAAAGCCGCATGTTTAAGTTCTTTCATTATTGCAATTGTTTTACTTATCAGCTGCTAACATCTTTGGGCATGCTTTGCCTTCTCACAACATCAACGTGGGTCCTCCATGAGCAATGGATGTATCATCAAAAGCTTAAGACCGATCTGAACGCTTGGTATCCTTCTTTGCAGGCATCTCAGTCGGAGCTACTACCACTGACTGAAGTGTTCCTTGACAGAGATGACGCCATCAGGAACGGCCTCATCATTGATGGTACCCGCTATGAGGCATGTCTGCTTTTCTGTAACATGTGGAGCGCTCAGTAGATGAGCCGATGCTGGATCTCAGTGATGGGCTCAGCTTTGCCTAAACTTCCAGCTCGTAACAAATATTAAAGGCCGTTTTGTGTACATATCAGGTGCACAGGCATCATCCGCCTCTTGTGTATGGGCGAACAATGACAGACGAGCCTGAAAGCAGCGAAGGCGCTGCCATTTGCAAGGTTGAGGATGGGCCTGGCGGATCCTCAGCATTTGCTGTGATCACTTACAAGTGAGTCAGCAGACAATCCCACTTGCTGCATAAAGAAACATGCCCACTCAAATGTCCCTTACTCGAAGCCATCATGATGCTTGATGTGTGCGCAGGATGCCGAATGTGTCAGCACGGATGGTGCAGCTGCTCACAGACTTCTGCAATGCAGAGCTCAAGCATTGAATAGAAGAGCGCACGACACGTGGCGGTGCTTTTTGAACATCTGGCTGTTTGCAGGCATGCGTGTTTTACATATGCTGCGGTCCTGTGCAAATTCTTTTGTGTTGTCATCATGATTGCAAGCATACCTATATAATGATTATATCGATGTTCTTGGTTTTTTGCGGGAGTCTGTCCGGGGATCCCCTGCCGCGATTATCTAGCCTGCCGCGATATAGTTATCCGCAAACCTTGGAGGTTTGCGGATAACTCTTTAAACTTCTATTCTTGGTTGCCTCAGAAGGCGTGAATATCAAATCCAAACTGCCACTGCTGCGGTTGGCTGCAGCTGCAAGCAGCTGAACTCATCAAGACCTAGGACCTAGGACTACTGTCATATTTCCTGCCTGCCAGGCATAGACTGCTGATGTCAACAGCACAATGTGCAGCATACAGTGGGCCCAAGGCTATGTGGTTGCTGCCTAGGGGAACAGGGCCTTGTCAAGAGCCAAAACTTGATATAATTCATTCCAGATTACCTCAGGTTGCTAGGGCGGCTTCAAGCTGGCATGTTGGCAACATTGGCGCCGACCGGGCCGGCCGGGGCCCGGGGCCCGCAGCTGCATTCAGGTAGCTGCCAGAATGTCATAAATTCAGATCGGCCATTTGCAAATCTTTGACATCTTTTCAGAGCCAGCCGTTACATTGACCCTGTTGAACTCAAAGAAAATGTTGTCCAACTGGTGCCTTCTAAGTAGGTGCTCAAGATCACTATTGAGGCGTTGCCTTCCACCGCGAGTTTATGAAGCGACAATCTGAATGCCATCGTCCTCCAAAGTTTGTCTGGATCAGTATTCTTGACTTGAGTTGTGGTTATTTCACCACCATATCTGCATGTTGCCTCTTTGATTGATCTGAATTGTATGAAGTTCACACATCCTTCACGATCCAAATCTCGAGACGAGAGGAAGGGTTGATTTCTCGCCACAGAGATCGAAGATGCTCTTTGGGGTGAACGGTAGTGCCAATAATAGTATGTGCGTGTCTGTGGATGGAGAGGCATCGACGTCGTGTTTTCGGCAGTGCAATGGTGCGTAGAGTTGGGGCCATGCCCAACTTTTTGATCAGCAATTCATCATTTGCATGCTGTTAACAAAAATACAAACCGATCGGCAGTGATGTCAGGGCAGCCTGTTCCACAAAAATACAGTTTGATGTTGCTCTGCCCTGAATATTCGTTGTAGAGTATCCAACCCTGTGAGGAATTCCCTCAGGTGTTGATAGGATCTCTCAGTCGCCTGTGAAATGTGAAGAGGACACTGCACACCGCACCCGGCTCAAATGGTTTGATGAGCTACCAGCGGTGCTGCAGTACAACAAATATGTAAGGAGCAGATATCGGGCAGGTGTGTGGTTGCCATACATGCATGCTGAGTCTGTATGGTAATGCATGCTGATCTCCTAAGAACCTGCCTGCGATGGTGATGATCGTATGCCTGGATGCAGGTTACACCTATGAGGAGTGTGCTTGCAGCATTTTCCAGTACCACAACGAGACAGGTGTGCAGTAGTCCATTGGAAATGATTCTGCTTTGCTTTAAAGGAGAGGGATGCCCCATTGACTTCCTGGTGCTTGCTGTGGCCAACATGAACCAGACACTGCTGCTGTGCAGTGAACATTCACACCCATTTGCTGCCGGCAGTGGCGATCATTTTATTGCTCTGCTCCGGCATGCTGCAGCCATGGCCCCTGGCCAGGGCTGCATTCTACGAGAACATCGCCGCCATGCTGCTGTGCTTTGGCGGCTCCATCGCCTACCACACCCTCATGGCCCACCACCAGGACTACCACCGCTGGCTCCTCATAGATGTGCGCTCCAGCATCCGCGCTGGTCCTTGATGCCAGTGCCACATGCACCCCTCTGCAGAATCAATCAAGGAATCCTGCCATTCATGCCTGTGAGGAGACATATCAGAGCTGCCATGAAGCGTCCGTGGGAGTGGATGTTGCTGTGAGTGGGTTTAGGTTGGAACATACATCTCATCACAGGCTTGGGGGTTGCGCAGGTGTGCGGGGTGTTTGCGCTGCTGATGTCGGGGGTGCATCAATGGTTGTACTGGGGGCTGTACTGCTACCCCTGGCTGCGCAGCAGCTTCATAGCGGCCTACTACCTGTCGGCGGTTGGCTGTGTGGTGGCCGGGCTGCGCGCACATTCGCAGATGCAGCGCGCCGCTCCCATGCTGGCGCTGTTTGGCGTCCGCGTGGCCTCCCTCGTTGTGCGCGCTGCCCTCAACTCGGGCTCGATCGACGCAGTCAGGCATTACGCGCTCACAGAGGTGCGGTCCCTCCAAACCTCCTCAATTCCCTTGCCGCTGAGCTGCAAAGAAAGGAATTTGTTTAACTGCCTTGTGCTGACGATTGCACCGTGAAGCAAGCCTTCCGCCCTCTTGCATATCGCAATCAATAGAGCATGATGCTGTGCTACTGGTTTAGACAATCTGGTGTAGCCTTGTGCAGTCTTGGAGCATAGAAGAGAGAAGGCAGATGTTGAAGGGGCCACTCACAAAGATTCTGGGGCCGTGCAGGTGCTGTCGTTTGCTGGAGCCATGATCAATGTGCTGCGCATCCCAGAGAAGTGGTTTCACGACCAGGATGCTGCAGACAAGTGTGTCAGGAAGGCGGGCCCCTTTGACTGCTGGCTGAACTCACATCAGATCATGCATGTGATGGTGGCCTTGGCAATGCTGCACCTGCATTGGGGTGCAGCAGATGACTACCGCTTTTTTGTGTCCCACCCGGACCAGTGCTCCATGCATGCCATGACATGACCAGTGCTTGCTATTAGAAAGTCTAATGAGCTGTTGCTCCTCGCACTGATTAGCGTGGTTGTGGTAGGCCGGGTAGAGATACAAATGAATGAGGGTCGTGATGTGGGCATGTGGAGGAAACTCACTCGGAGTAAGTTACTCCTGTTGTATGTGCACACTGTGCTGGCTGCGCAGCTGCACATATTCTTATTTCTTTTACTAAAAGATAGTATCCTCACGAATGGCAGCATATTTTTGTCTGCTGCGGTCAGCCTCGGTAGATGTCGAGGTAATTTTGGTGAAAATCACTGTTTTTCTTTAAGAGAAACTTGAGAGGTTTAGCAGCATTGAGCCTTTGAGTTTCTCGTGATCACGATAGCATTATTACTAGCATAAATACTAGCATTACTTTAAAATTGGACTTGTGAAAACATCCATGACCACAAGCGCCGTGCTAGTATGATACAACAAAATAAATTCAAGCTGCAGCTGGCATTTGAAGCCTTGATGATGCGCAATGATTGTGCTGCACAGTTGTGACTGAGGGCCATGGCTGTGCGATTGGCATTCTATTCCACAATTACAAAGTTACATCAGAAAGGAAGAGGAAGCTTTTTATTGAACATCATTCCTCTTCCTTTCTGATGTAACATCTTCAGAGGATCTCTGAGGCTCATCAAAGATTTATCTTTCTCGTCTTCAGACCTCAGATAAATAGAAGTACAGAGCAGCAGTGGGCTGCCTTTTGGTACAATTTTACAATAAGACAGTTTGCATTGTAGTGGCTGAGCCTTCAAGGCATTAAGTTGCCGGCAATACAATGCCTTTTTCTCGCAATGCCGTGGATGAAATGTCGCTCCTGAACAGCTTTTCTGGGATGGTCTCAAACAGGCCCTGCATGCATCAAAAGGCTGGCAATCACACCTGCAATCCTTTCAAAGCAGCAGTGTCAATTCAGCTCTTGACCATCAACCAGTCACTAATCTACACTCTCGACCAACCCAGGCTGTCAGACCTAACAACAAAGCAATCCGGGTGTGCTGAATAATGTACTTCAGAACACAGAGCAGAAATGGGGCGCACAATGTCTCTGAGGTGCTCTGGCAGCTCCACATCCTCCATGGTTTTAAAGGCACTCTGGGCGTCGAGGCGGCCGGCCACGAGGAAGGAGCAGCCGCGGTTGCGCATGGCAGTCATCTCCAGCAGCATTGGAACCTCGCCCCCATAGTACTTGCCCATTATCAGGCGGATGGCCGTGTCGTAGCCGATCACAAAGGTGCTCTTGGGGAAGAGCTTGGACTTTATCGTGAACAGCGGCGCCTGTGACGGGAACACCCATGGATCATCGTGCTGCATCAGATCATTCACAATGTGCTGTTGGGAAAGCACTTGAACATTATTGTGGACTTGTGGACAGCGGCGCCCAGCACAATTAAGTCAGCATGCCGTGCTGCTCTCCCTGCTGCATCATTGAATATTGCATAAATTCTGCACTTGATGAAGAAGATGCAGAATCTTTGGCTATAAAGCATAAGGCTGCATGGTTGCGTAATATTCTCGCGGCTACAGCGCACGCGGCTACAGCGCACCTGAGTGACCACGAGTGGGAGGCCTGCAGTGACAAATTGCGCGACTCGGCTCTTGGCCTCCTGTAGTGACATGAGCCCCTTGTCAGGGTTGCCAACCGAAAGCTCAAAGCATCCCTCCCCGCCCGATAACCCCTTCGCCTTCAGCGCAGCCGCCAGCAGACCCCTGCGAAGATTCCCCATTTGCATCCTTATCAGCCTCTCAAATACATATACAGCCTAGTCAGTGGCCCCCAAGGTGGAGTAGAAATGATCAACAAGCTCAAAGCAGATTTGCGGCAGAGCAACACGAGCGGCATCAAGCGCCCCAAGCTCATGGGCAGGGCAGTGGGATCCACGCAGCTAGCGCACTTGTGCCCCTCATGGAGAGGGTTGAAGGAGCCTGGAAGGTAGACTCTCCCCCTTCGAGGCGCATCAACGATGACCTGGCCGCCAGAATACTCCACTGAGCGCACCCTGCCCTCCAGCAGCTCCTGCAGCGGCTCCTCCATGCTCTGCACAGTTTCCTACACAACCAAATTGTGCCCCCCCAGTCAAGCCACAGAGCTTGGCACGTGTTCTGGCGCATGACTGCCAACTTTTTGATGCCACCACATGATACTTCAGGGGATTGCTAAGTGTCAGAATGGGGAGAGCTGCCCACTTCTCGGAACCGATCAAACTCCCCAAGCATCAAGCAATGGCATGCCTGCAACACAACCTCATTTCACGACGACAGCTCATCATTCATGACATATGCTCATCAGAATCGAGCAAGTGATCAAGGGCGCATGCCTGTAGCTGCTCGAAGGTGGGCCCTGCTGCGGCCCCGTCAGCAGCGCCGTTCTGCTGCTCCGTCCTGAGCAGGCCCAGGTCAAGCGATTGCGCGGCGGCGTCCAAGCCGCAGCCGGACGCGAGAGCGCGCAGCACCAGCCGCGACGCAACCGCATCCTCCTCCAGCCGCGACCGCGCGCCCTTCGACAGGTGCACCCGACACGCGCGCGAACTCACTCCGTCATGCACCGCCACATACACCTGTACCGCCCCACCACCAGGCCTGTGAAGGAGGTATTTAAGAACCATACGTAGGGCCTTGTCCCTTTCCTGCCTCAGCTGCCCAGTAATTGGCAGTGAAATTCTAGCTCCTCAGGTCTTCCTGTGCTCTGTGCTGTCTGATGCGCGATCCATGCAGGTAGCTGGTGCTCAGTAGACTGGGATTGTGTGCAAGGCTGTGCATGGAACCGAGGTGGGAAACATGGAAAGTCTCTGGAAGGTGGGAAGCAGGCAGAGGGGCGCGCCTTGTGATCCCCCTTCTTCACGCGGTCTGTGGCGAGCGCGCACGTGCAGCTGACGCCCAGAATGGGTACGCCAAACTCTGACAGGTGCGCGGCCTGGCGGTAGGCTGCGCGAGCCATGTCCACTGCAGTGAGCGTGCATGCGTACGTCTGCGGCTCCTTTGCCAGGATCTCTGCCATGCTCTTGCCGCCGCCATAGGGGATCCGCGCCTCCAGCACAGTCTTTGATGCGCCCGGCACGCTCAGGAGCCATGTCATCACCTGGGGAATTGCCAGTGTTTGAAGATTGTCAATGCCGCATGGTTGCTCTCCTGGATGCATGGCTTGGCCAGCATGGATCTCGGTGAAATTGCAAGAGATCAAGAAATTATGCGGCTGACAGCTTTCTATTGAAGAGGTCCAAGGAGGGATGTCCCACCTGAGCACCCCCTCCTGCAACATAAAATACCGCCTTGGCTGGATTGTCATGGATCTGGCGGACAAGATCGACTATGCTCTGATCCATCTCCTCCATTGTCAGGCCTGCTTTCGCTATGCTGCCGAAAAGTCGTGACCTTGAGGCCCTGTTCGGTGTGGAACGATGTGTGGACACCCTAGAATGCACTCCTGATAGGAGGCGCTTAGACGCTATCCAGGTCTGCTTAAATTCTCCAAGTTTCTGACTTCTCTCCAGTATTCGACCAGGTAGAATCGTAATAACTCTGAAGCACATGTGTCGATGGTGTCCAATGCCCGATCAAGACCTTTGAAGTGCGCTAAATAATGCGGCTATAAGAATTGATTTCGAAATATAATCAACATCACTGATCAGCTTCGAAAGGCCAGAGATTTATGGGGCAGATCATGGTGCATTGCGTGAGGCCCGTGGGGTCATGACGTACACTCACTCACCCCAAATCTGTGCCTTTGCTCTCGGCTCAGCTGACAGCATTGCGTAGCTTTGGGACCGACCTCTGCCCAGACCTCCAATGGCTCCATCGATGTCCATTTAGACGTTGTGTCTGTCGTAGTGAGCGGAGGCCGGCACCGATCGTCGATCCGGGAGGCGAGAAAGAGGTTGTAGGATATGCAGGGACTAGTGCACAATCTCCCAGAGACTATGGACTTTCAGGACGTCAAAACTAAGCGTCCACGGCACCAGAATGACATTAGAGCTTTCTCTGGAAACAGCTCCTTCACTGAGGGAACCAACTGTGGTATGAGCGAGGTGAGTAGGAGGCCTGCACCCAGAGACAGGCCCTTTTCCTTGCCAGCTAATCATGGGCAATGCTGATGTGCGCGATCGATGTCCCTTGCAGGATGTTCCTATTTGCTGGATCTGCTTAGACATTGCTCGGGTGGAGGCTCATCTGATACAGCCCTGCAACTGCCCTCGCCACGCTCATGCTCCTTGCTTGGCTCGGTGGCAGCTGCAGTCTGCGGGTTCCAGGTAAGCTGCGTCCAAGCACAGAGGCCAGAACCGGCTGTATGTTCATTAAGTCCATGGTACTGTATGCGGGACTAGAGGATTGAAATGGTAGTTGCGTAGCTGGCTCCAGGGTTCCCCAGCTGAAGAAAAGGTGGAGTGTTGCTGGCCGATGGCGACATCCCCCTCGCAGGAGGGGGCGATCTGCCTCCTGATGGGCACATCAATCCTTGATGCTTCCATAGACCAGGAAACTAGGGTGATCGGGAGGCCTGGGAGAGCTAGGCAGCTTACTACAACCCTGAGTGAAACCCCTGTCGGTGTTGGAGCTCAATGGCCTTCTCTGCGTGTTACGTACAGGAAGGAGACGCACTGCGAGTTCTGCGATTGCGAGCTGCCGGACTGGAAGAACGTGCTGACGCCGCAATGCGGAGCGAACGCGCCTGCTGTAATGAACGTGAACTTCGACGGGAGGACATACAGCTTTGAAGTGAAGCCTGGCCCAGACGGGTACCGGCAATTCACGGAGGCCATCCGACGGGCATTCACCCTTCCGGATGACAGCGAGCTCAACATCACGTTCACCTGCGACGAGCCCAGCACGACGGGCTGGGAAGAACCTCCTTCACCTGGTGTGATCCTGCCCTTTGTCCAAACTCTTATGGCGAAACTATCCCAATCGCAATTAAAGCTTCTCAATTAGAAACAATCAAGCGTCGAATAACCTGTGCATGCATACATCGTCTCTCAGCTTTTCAGGGAACACGTGCAGCAGCTGATCGCCTTATGGTAGGCAATCTTGCCAGCACGCAGCTGGACATGACAGCAACGTATGCCTCTCAAAGATTTATTCTGGCTGATTTGAGCACGTTCTATGCGTCACAGCGATAATTAGAGAGACCTCTCCAAGCTGCTGAATCAGCTGCTTATTAATGTTGGCTTTTATGTCTGCGCGTGCTGAGTCGGGCTGGTGTGTGCTGTGCAGTGGTGGCGCCGCTGGTGCACCAGGGGTCGCTGCTGACGCTGCAGGGGGCGGGAGCCTACGACGCGGCCGTGCACTGCGCGTCGGTGTCGGCTGCACGCCGCATCTTGAGCCAGCGGGGTGACACTCCCACACACGCGGCCGGCGCGCCCTTGCGCCCCTTCGACCAGCTCCTGCCATACACCCCGCGCGGGGTGAGCCCTCTTTACTCACCCCCTTGCTGTTGACAGCACAGGGTATTCTGCATATCTACAGGGCTGCCCGTGCATCCCCAAGTGGGTAGGGCAGCCTGATCAGGAGGGCAGGGCAACTCCTCAGCTCAGGTTGGGCTGATGAGCGGCAGCTACTGAGCGGAAGCTTTGCCCTTTTGATCAGGATGTCCCAATTACACTCTCTCCCCCACCCCTTAATTAGGCTGTACACATGCCAGTGACTTCTTCAAGATATCAGCGAGCCCTGACCCCCAAGCAACAGATGGGGACCCCCTTTGCCTGAAGTTTTCTTAGTGTGTTTCAATGGATACTTTGCTGACATACTGATTGATCGCAGGCCCAGCCGCGCACGCCGATGAGCCCGGTGTCGTCCCCGGGGGCGGCCTCCTCGTCGTCCACATCAGCAGACCCGGTCATGATGAGTCAGAAGAACCGCCGCCTGGCCGGCTTCGGGCGCAAGATCCGCTCCGCGCTGTGCGACTTCCTCACCATCAAGCCGCAGTGACGCGCATGCATGCGCGAGCATGCCGGCGCATGCTCCTGGCCTGCCCGGCCGCGCCTCAGATGCCGCTGGTACCTACTTGCAGCGGTGAGGTTGGTGTGCTCCAGAGCGCTCCAGTAGAGCAGCTTGCAACACAACGAATGACAGATCAGAGTCAGAGTCGACTGGACCAGGATTGTGATTGTCCTGGAGTTGGGGTTGTGGGGACATGCGCTGCGGCGCGCCAGGGTCAACACCTGGGTCTGATATTCAGCCTGTTGTCTTCTTACCTGCGCATGGAGGCTGGGATTTGATGCAAAGCAACCTTGCAGCTAGTAAGCGCTGGGTGCATGCGTGTGCTTTGAATAGGCCGGCAATTTTGGGCAGACAAGTCGAGTGTTTAGTTTCGCGCCTCCTAGCTATATAGAGAGCTCACAAGTATCGCACACATCACACCTGTCCAGCTTACATACGTTGAGGCGATAAAGATCTCCAGTGTTGGGACAATATGCGAAGATAACGGTGTACCATAGCAAACAGAGAAGCATATTTGGAAACAGTTCGCTTGAAGAAAGAGGACAGTACATGAGCTTGGAAGTCGAGAGACTATAGGCCGCTGTCGCTGCCTGTCCATTCCCTGATGTGGGCAGAAATGCATGCGCGGTAGTTGCAGCGACCGTGAGGGAGACAGGAGATAATTGCATTGTCACTGTAGATAGTGTTGTGGTGGTTGGTGATTGGAAGCGTGCAATGATCCATCCACCGTGTACGCCCTGAGGTTTATATAGCACGAGCAACCTGCAATGGTTGCATTGTCAAGGTTGGATGTTGATGTCTAGAAGCATTTTCTGTCCTGAAAGCGAGTCTGTGGGGATTGAATTGGAGGTGGGAATTGGCCATGGCGCGGCATGGCAATTCCATCTTGTATTAATTGTGTTGATCCCAGTCAACTAAGTAATAATTTTGCGCACAGTTCGAATCCCTGTGGCTATCGGTTGGCAATATCCCTCTAAAACAACACTCATCTCTTGCGGCTACTGACCGGCATGAGTCAACCTCATTTTAAGTCCACATGCCAATCCATATTACTCATGGTCATGCACCACCCGCAACTTGTGCACAAAATTGCATGACATGTTGGATCAAGTTTGACTTACCGCAACTCCAATTCCTGACCATTCTCTGCCTATCAACTGAGCAAGTACATTCCTATGCCGCATGGTGCGGCACCAATGCTTGTGCTGCAAGGCACCACACCACACAGCCACCAGCCCCAAGCTCTTTGCCTGGTCACCAGGCGGTGTCACGAGTCATCATGACTCAGCGGCCAGGTAGGCCTGCAGCACGCTGAGCGCATGCTGCGCCTCCGGCCGCGCTGCGTCCACGTCAGCCTTGGGCAGCGCATAATCTTTGACAAAGGCATTGTCCACCTTGCGCAGCAGGCCCTTGAAGTGGCGCACCTCCTCCGTCCGCAGCAGCGTGAACACCCGCCCTGTCGCCAAACACCAACACTCCCTGTTTTAATACACCCTTAATGTCCTAAGCAGGTCATCTGCTCGTCATCTGCATCATCGCTTGCATGTCTGCCTGACAGCTTCCCGATGGCAGATTTTTCATGCTGGTCCTGCAACCCCACATGGGACTCACAGCCCCTACTGAGGACACCAGCAATTCTTACACTCTGCCCGGCACTTCAGCCTGTCACTTTGCCACTAAGGCGACAATTATAGAGGCCACTTCTAGCAGGGCTGGATACAATGTGGATGACCAGACTCCTGGGGCCTTCTTCAGTCAGTCCAGCCGGTTCCTTTGGCTCAGCAAGGGCCAAAAACAGCATGCTCTTTCACTCTCTGGAAAGTCTGGTCCGGTGCCTCTTAAACAACACCTGCTAAGCAGAAGTGATGCCATGCTTGCAGACATGTGCGTAGAAAGTCATTCGTTCGGCTGGTGTATGCTGATGCTGTGGATCATGACGTGCGCAAAAGATTGGCATAAAAGGCACGTAAACCCACCTTCGCGGCCGCCGCGCGCGGTGCGGCCGGCGCGGTGCACATAAGTCTTGGCGTAGATAGGGGCGTCGTAGTTGACCACATTGGCGACGGAGGGAACGTCCATGCCGCGCGTCATGCCGTCGGAGGCCACCAGTATGCGCGCGTCCCCTCCCCGGAAGGCGGCCAGCGTCGCGGCGCGCTCGGGTCCCGAGTTGAGCGATGAGAACTCCAGCACGCTCTCCCTCAGGCTGGGCACCGCGTGCAGCAGCACAAACAGCCTGGCAGCAGAGCCACACGCACTGTTGAGAGCACCTCCACACATCAGGCCATGGTCTGCTGGTTTGGCCTCTCGGTATAGCTGACGCTGCAAGCCAAGCGCATGCATGCAGCAGCAGAGGTGAAGCCTGGCAGCAGCCGCATGCATTGTACAGTCTGAGAGCAGATCCACACGATAGGCGACCATCTGCCGGTTCGGCCTCTCAATAGAGCCGATGCTAGCCAAGCGCATGCAACTTCATGCAAATGGCTTCCTTGAAATTTGAGCAAGGCAAGCCCAGTGCTTTGGATTTGCGCATGCGTATGACAGGCAAGGATGTAGCCCCCAGGAAGCAGCCCTAGGTGAAGTTCTTTTGGGTGGAGCATGCATGAGGGATCATTGTGCACCTCCGGGTGGCCTCCACTGAGGCGGTGAAGATGAGGGTGGGCTCGTTGGCGAGCTGGCGCAGCAAAGCAACGGCGAGTACAGGCTTGTCGGCGCCCGCGCAGACCACCTTGAACTCCTTCAACGACTTGGGCATCGCATACCTGGCCCCATCATATTCCCGGTCATGCATGCCTCCACACGAGCACAGTCTTCCCGATTGCTATACCGCCTCCATGGCCCTCCTCACAAGCCCTCTACAGGCTCCAGACATGAATGAAACAAAGTAACCAGGAATCATACAGCCGAAGCTGTGCCCAGGCTCAAAGCAAGGCATGGTTACAGCTGCATCCCAGCAGCAGAAGGTTAGAGGGCAGTACTCCCGAGCATGGCTGAGCAAGTGCAGGATTGTGGCATGCCTGTGGTCGGAGGCTCCAAGGGCAATGTAGCGCGGGCAGTTCAGGCCCAAGCGCTCGATCTTGGACGGGTCTCGCGTGAGCGTCGCCGACGCTACAATTTTCAGCACGTGGCGTTGGGGGCCTCTTACTGGCTGTCCCCCCGGTCCCCTCACAGGGGGATCCCCGGGTCCCCCCACGGTGGCCGCCGTGACAAAGGGCAGCCAGTCCTGGTACGCCTGCCGCAGCAGCCGGTCGGTCTCATCTATCACCTGCGGCAGGAAGCATGCGCACTGCCTTTCATCCATGCACAGATGTTGGACAGTGATAGATCAGGGTCCCTATTCACCATACAGGGCGTGTCGCCACTCTGGGACCGACTCCGCAGCTGTACTCCATCATCGTGTGAAGGACATCACAAAAGCAGCATGCACTTGCATATCATCTCTGGGTCATGTATCTTTACTCAGGTTTGGAGCTGTCAGTTGCAAGTGCATACTGATACTGCCTGACGCGATAAATCAGTACAGCAGCTGGGTCGTTCCCGCAGAGATGACATGCCTAATACTGTGCTCCTTCCCCAAAATGCTGATCAAACTCGGATTTACAAACTAAGTCTTTTAGGGGGCGCTGGTGCAAGCAGATGAGCAGCTGATGCTGAGCTCCTCACCAGGTAGCGGAGATCGTTGAGTGTTGCTCCAGGGGTGCCCTTCAGGTGGGCCATCAGCCGCCCTGGAGTGGCAACCAGGATGTCCACTGCGCTGCTGTTAGACACCGCCGCCATCCCTGCGCCAGCAGTGCAGAATATCACAAACATGACACAAACACAAGCTCGGACGAATGCAGATGGTGGTCTGCGCTGCTCTGACGCAGCAGCACATTGTCAGATGCAGGTAATGCTACTCTAATGAAATCTTACGCCCTGTCTCTGAAAGCTACATAATATGAGAGCCCATGTCCACGAGCCAAGCCTCTCTTTCTGTCTCTGCGGTTCCCGTTCCTGTCTTCCACGTATAGCAGGTGAAATGGCATTGTAGGGCCCTGTAGATTACAGATTACAAGGGGAGGCTCACCTCTGATGCTTTGCTGGTCCCGGATCGCGTCAGGGAAGAGCGTGGCCGCCTCGGTGCCCACCGATGTCTGTGCGGCAGCCATGCCCACGCGCAGACCCAGTGGTGGGCACAGATCCGCAAACACCTGCACAGCCATGGAGGTGCTTGCATCCATCTCTCCAGGCACCTCCTAATGCTTGCAGTCCAGATATCTTTCCTATCCATTAGTAGCACCCTGCAAAGAGGGCAAAGACTGGGGTGGAACGGATAAAATACACCACAGACACAATCACATGCAACTTTGCATTCCCAGTGGCGTGGATATGACTATCCCTGGTCAAGAGTGGCTAAGAGTACTCCACCCTTTTGGGATGCGAAGCTCTATGCAAACGCGTTCTTGCCACACCTGTGCTTGCAAGATCGACTGATCTTGGAAGGGCACATGAGGCTTTGGGCGTTTGGGGAAAAGAAGGGACTGCTAACGCGCTCACCTTGAACACCTGTGCCGCAAGGTCGCGGGTGGGTAGCACTACCAGGCAGCGTAGCCGTGGCACGCAGCGCCTGAGCAGCAGCAAGCTTCATCATGACACATGTGCCGGCATCCAGAGAGTTTGCACTGTTGTCCTAGTCGACCCACCAATCGGTGCACTAAAAACCCCTCAACGCATCGAAAAGCATGAATATTCATGGGAGCGATCAAATGCAAGGGTGTGAGAGAAGCACACCCCAGCAAGCCCTGCAGGATTGGCAGTGCATAAGCAAGCGTCTTGCCAGATCCTGTGGGCGCAGAGATGCAGAGGTCATGCGCAGCGCTGTGCCCGCCTGCTGTCACCTGCCAGGCAGCTGCCTGCACAGGGAAAAGCTCCACAAACCCACCTGCAGATCCACAAATCCACAACTTGCTGAGTTCTCTCATGGGTCTTGACCCGTTCTTGAAATCTTGAAGCTACAGATGGGCATCTGGCATGATGTCTGATACTGCATGCATGTGGAGGTAATACTGAGGGATCCAAGCATCTGATGCTCACAGGCTTTCAAGGCGTCCTGCAGCCGTGAGTCTAGGCCCCGCACGTCCTCTAATGGCACTCCCTGCCCAGCCTCAATTTTGATGGGCAGGCGCATCCATGGAAGGACAGGCTGGTTCTTGCCGTCTGCAAGCAGCTTGCCTGTGCCCCCAATGCCCTTCTCCGCTGCGTTCTCCGCTAACAAAGCTTGGCTTTCAATGAGGCTAGCACTGGCCTGCAGCCGCTCTTCTGAGGGGGCCTTCCTCTGCTTCTTCATTTTGGGCTGTTTCTCAGATTCTGCCACCTCTCCAGGTGACTGATGGCCATCCTCATCCAGAGGATCTTGCTTCCTTTTCTTTTTCTTCTTGCCTTTCCCTTCAGCATCCATTGGGTGAAGTCTTGCCTGAGAAGATTTATAAACTGTCCCTAAATGTGAATGAATGGTAACCCCTTCATCAACGCATCACATCTCTATTCAGCTTGGATGCAACGATTGAACCGCTGGCAGCTTAAGCGATCTTCACTTTTGGGGGATCACCAAGTCGCAAACTATTGAACACTAGGCCGACTGATGACCTCCCAACATCAACCCAGTCGATTTCTTTCAGCGATCAGGCATTTTGCTCGCTGTTCATCAAGGAAACTTGCAAATCACCCATTCAGCAACCACGTGCTGGCAGACTATGACCGTTGCAGAATCTCCGAGACGGTTACACCAGCAATGCATATCGGTCTGCGTCTTTCCTTCTGAACAGTCATCATGGACGACATATCTCATGTTGAGGAAGCAATGAAACGTTTGCACTCTCACAAGGGTGTGCGGGGAACGGTGGTTGTGAACGCGGATGGCATCCCCATCAGGTGCAGCATTGTTTCTCTCAAAACAGGGCTTTCAGGGACTATCTAGAACACAACATACCCCATTATGATCCCCAAGATTTGATCAGAATGTGAAGTTGAATTGCACTTGCCCTTAGCCCATATCCTTTTTGTCTATTCAGTGTACTCTGCTGGACTTTGCTTCCATCAGCTGAGCCGATCACAATCACGATCAGCTCTGCATATCTACCTTTGTTTGGGGTTGAAAATCTCACAGCCAATTCCATTGCAGGACCAATCTGGACCGTGAGCTAGCAAATCAGTATGCCGCACTTGCAAGTCAGCTGACTGGCAGAGCGAGGAGGGCGGTGAAGAACTTGGCTGTTGGTACAGCGGGCGAGGCAGAGGATGAGTTACAGGTCATACGAGTCAGGTCAAAGAAGCACGAGGTTGTTATCATTCCTGAGTTTGACAAGGGCAGGGAATTCACCCTCATTGTCATTCAGGACCCTTCAGCACATCAGCCTTTGTTCTCAGAGAAGGTCGCTGCTCAGTGAGAGCAGGTGCAGTGCACCAGCAGACGAGAGACTCACAATACCCTGCCATTGTGATCATCATGATATAACGTATAATATGCTCAATGGACAAGTTCTCCATTTTAATGCACAATGCATGCCTGTAGGGACCTGCACGCCCTGATTATTGGTTTGACATCTGAAACACAGACAGGAAGACCTCCTCGTAGCACCACAGGTATACAGTGTGACGCAGCAGCAAGAAGAGGACCTGGCGCCATTGGCCGCTCAGGCTGCATAGCACCATGATTGGCATGCCAGTGGTGCAACAGTAAAGACAAGTAGCTCTTGCAATTGACATACAGCGTTTCACGCAGCAGTTGCCCTCACTATGCTCGAGGACCGTCACTGCTATTCATGTACCGGAGTCTCAGACCCATGCATGCATGTGGCCCATCACAGGTGCCGCATGAGCAGGCGTACCCAGGTGATCTCCCAGGTCTCAGTGATCTTGCAGCATTATGACTGATCAAACCGACCTTCCCAGGCCTCATCTGTGCTACAGAAGCCAGGCCTGGTGATCCATCTCTGCTTTTCGATTCCAGCAGAATGCATGCAAGCTGTAGGCCAAATGCTGACCAATCATGGAATTGGTGCCCCCCTCATCTGGGGCAAGATAGGTAATCGCAATTCCGAGATAAAGGTCGTTGATCACAGCGGCTATTACAATCAAGTTTCACGCGTCATGCGAGATATTCAAACATAGCGAGACAATACTTATTGCTGGGCTTGAAAAGCCTCGACTGGGTTGGATCAAAGGTTGCACTTTCGCAGTTTGGTAGGCATCAGACACAGCAGGCGTTCTGTACAGCTACAGCCAGCATGGGAAAGCTGAATTTCCAAGATCCTGTGCCTGCTGACATTGAAATTGCTCAGTCTGTGACTCCCACACCTATCACGGAGATTGCCAAACAGCTGAACATCAGCCCTGCAGATTTCGAGTCTCACGGGACCACCAAAGCAAAGGTGTGCCTTGAAGCTTCTGTTTTACAATTTGCCCAGTCAGAAAAGGTATAGGACGCAATCAACAGCTGGGTTTTTTTTCGAATGCCGTGCCATCTGCGTCAGATCACAGGCGTTCAAAGGGCTTTGGGTCCCCCTCGCTGCCACTTCTCAATGCATTGTTGTTGCGCAGGTGAAGCTATCAGTGCTGGACAGTCTAAAGGATGATCCAAATGGAAACTACGGTGGGCAAACCCTTGGCCATGGGATCCTAGCGTTTTGATTTGCGATTCTCTCAAGTTCAGCGTGCACTTTAAATAGACAAAATGGATCACAAATGAACTAAGTCTGCCTCTTATGTAGTGGTGGTTGCCGGCATCACCCCCACACCTCTTGGAGAGGGAAAGTCTACTACAACGGTTGGAGTCTGCCAGGCTCTGGGCGCGTATCTTGACAAGAAGGTCGTCACTTGCATACGGCAGCCCAGCCAAGGGCCCACCTTCGGCATCAAGGGTGGCGCAGCAGGAGGCGGCTACAGTCAGGTCCGCATCCTTGTGTCAGTCACACAGGACAATGACATCCTTACCATGCATGCAGGACCCCACAATTCTAGGTGAACAGCATTGACAACCCTTCTGATGCCCAACTCCTGCCTGTTCAGGGAAAGTCACATTTCTTGCCTGTTGCAGGTCATCCCTATGGAGGAGATGAATCTGCACCTGACAGGAGACATCCACGCCATCACTGCCGCCAACAACCTCTTGGCCGCCGCCATTGACGCGCGGATGTTCCACGAGAACACCCAGGTGATCCTCCCAGCAGACTATGTCTTTGCACCATCTGTCTACTGCGTGATCAGGTGCGGGCTGCAAAGAGCAAGCTTTCTTTGAGTGTGGGCTGCACAAAGCCCACACTCGCATGGCTGATAGTGGCTGTGGCTGCATGCAGAGCGACGCTGCGCTGTTCAACAGGCTCTGTCCTGCGGGCAAGGGCGGGGCGAGGAGCTTTGCGCCGGTTATGCACAAGCGCCTCAAGAAGCTGGGCATCACAGAGACAGACCCCGACAAGCTCTCCACCGAGGAGCGCTCCAAGTGGGTGGCCCTCCTGACCGCCTAACACCTCCATCCTAGTCTGCCCTTTCATTCCTGCTGGCTGCTGCATACCGCCCAATGCTCAAGCAACAATCTCATCACACGCCTGTCCAAGCACATTGGGCTCTGATGTGGTGCACCGCGGCAGGAGTATAGCATTATAAGAGGCAAATGGGATAGGTTATGTTTCGATTGGTAAAGAGTAAGTGGTGAATGAGAGGCAAGGGCGTTTTCCCAAACGGGCCCGATCCAAGGGCGGTCCGTCGGATTTTAATAGCTTCGGGTTATTCAACATATTGGAATGAACGGTGAAGGGACGATGGCGTGGGTGCGCAGGTTTGCGCGGCTGGACATAGACCCGGAGACCATAACGTGGAGGAGGGTGCTGGACACCAATGACCGCTTCCTGCGCACCATCACCGTCGGCCAGGCCGCCACCGAGAAGGGCATGACCCGGTGCGCCCCCCTTCAAATCACCATGTCACTCAGTATACTTCCTCTCCAACTCGCGGGGCAGTGTATAGGCACATGGGCGAATACTTGGACCCTCAGTCAGCCAAATCCTGATAGCAACAGCCCTTTTTGCAGGAGTGGCAGCATTGTGGTAGATGACTTGGGTAAATTGTTCGGCTAAGGTATGTTGGTATGACAGGACAACGGGCTTCGACATCACGGTTTCGTCTGAGATAATGGCGGTGCTGGCGCTGACCACGTCCCTGCCGGACATGCGCGAGCGGCTGGGCAACATGGTCATCGGCAACAGCAAAGCCGGTGGGGCCCCAACGTGATCAACACGGTCACAAGCCATCCCTTACTTTCAGTCACGCAGCGCGACGCTTATCATGCATGGAGTAGTCAGGCGTGGGCCCTGGCTCAGTCTGCCAGCTAATTCTGTGTATCCCAATGGGGCGCAAGATTTGGGGCTAGGAGAGTCAGCGATGCACTTTGTGATTAATGTTGCATGGAGATCAAAGAGCAAAGACCCCCGCATTGGTGCAACGGGGACATCTCGCAATAGAATCGCATGTAGGTTTGCCCTGACCATGCCAGCATGGCTGCAGCATATGTCCTGTGTACGTCTCTGGGAGTGTGTCTCCCTATGGTCCACAAGGCGCCTGATGATCTGTGAATGGGGCACCCTATCGAACGACACGCAAAGCAGGGGAAATGCACAAAAATGTTGTAAAGCAACGTTTGCTGAGATTTCGCGGCTGGCGGCACGCAGGCGAGCCGGTGACGGCGGATGACCTGGGGATGGGGGGAGCATTGGTGGTGCTGATGCGCGACGCGCTCAACCCGACGCTGATGCAGACGCTGGAGGAGACGCCCGTGCTGGTGCACGCGGGGCCCTTCGCCAACATCGCCCACGGCAACTCCTCCATTGTCGCCGACCAGATTGGCCTCAAACTTGTCGGGCCCGACGGCTTCGTCGTCACCGAGGTGCCGCCCTCCTCCCAGTCTCGGTAATAGAACGGTGTACGGACATTTAAACAATGCGGGCGCTAAGCAGGGATTCACATGGAGGCAATTTGAGCGTCAAGCAGGGAGGAAAAACTTTCTTGCGATGTGCCGTACATGTGAAGACACCTATGCGCAGATAATTTCGACACCCAGGCACAAGGGGCCTCTTTGGGCAGATTTTCTCCAGGCTCAGGCGTTGCACGATTATAAGAGCATGCGTGTAGCCCGTGCAATGACTGATGGGATGCGCCACCCTTGCAGGCCGGTTTTGGCGCGGACATCGGCATGGAGAAGTTCATGAACATCAAGTGCCGCTACAGCGGCCTCACGCCCAACTGCGCCGTCATCGTTGCCACCGGTGCGCTCCCCAGAACTACCCATATAAACACCCTCTGCATCTGCGCTCTATCAGTCACCTCTATACGGTGATTGCCCTTGCTCTGCCGCCGCCGCCGCCGCTGCTGCTGCTGCTGAATCCAAAGGGTACGATAATGATGATAAGATAGCTTTGCTGAGGCTGAGTTCTGGCGCAGTGCGGGCGTTGAAGATGCATGGAGGTGGCCCTCCGGTCACAGCAGGCAAGCCACTGGACCAGACGTACCGCAGCGAGAACGCGGAGCTGGTGAAGGCCGGCTGCTGCAACCTGGCGCGCCACATCGCCAACGCGCGCGCATATGGCGTCCCAGTGGTTGTGGCTATCAACAAATTCGCCACCGACACTCCCGCCGAACTTGACGCCGTGCGCACCGCAGCGCTGGACGCAGGCACACCCCCGGACATAGACCCCTCCTTTTCTCGTTTGCAAATGAAACGCTTGACCTGATGGCTCTGAAGCCCCGGACTCAGGCCACCCCCTCCTGTTGTGAAGGGTCAGTCCATGTGCTGGACTGGAGGGCTTCCAAGCTGCTACCAGTACTGCTTGGGTGCACCTGGAAGGCACAATGTCTGGTATCTGCTCCTGTTCCGTCTGGCACAAAATCCCCAGTGGCGTGACATGCTTATCGCAAGAGCAGGCCCGCTCCATTGGAGAGAGGGAGAAATCTGTTAATGACTTCCTTTGAAAGGGGTTATTGCCTAGCAACCTTGCGCCGATGAAGGCTGAGTCTCTCCGCTGCATGGCAGTGAATCTGGCTTTTGATGGGGCACAGGCGCATTTGACGCGGTGGTGTGCTGGCACCATGCGCGGGGCGGCGAGGGAGCCAAGGACCTGGGAGAGGCTGTCATCAAGGCCTGCCAGCAGCCAACGCAATTCGAGTTCCTGTACCCACTGGACATCTCCATCAAGGTGCATGCTCCCGCTGAGCTCTACCTCCTGCAACCTACATGCAACCTACATGAATGCAGACCAGCACGAGCTATTGACTAAACGTCTGTTTTGTCACTCACTGAGGTGATTGAGCAGTGCAGTAACGTGCGGGCCCTCCTTAAGCAAGGAGCTGGGGGAAATTGGAACCCAGCTGTGATGTAATACAGCATGAGTTATCTGTATTAGACTGGTGCTTGGGGAGTGTGGTGCAGAATGCTTTCTTGATGCGTTTGGGGGGGTGTGCACGAGCAGGAGAAGATAGAGACGATAGCAAAGGAGACATATGGGGCGGCGAGCGTGGAGTACCTACCTCAGGCTGAGAAGCAGATAGAGCTGTACACGCGCATGGGCTTTGCCGGTCTGCCCATCTGCATGGCCAAGACACAGTACTCCTTCTCAGCCGACGCTTCCGCCAAGGTTTCCTCTATCCCACTTGAAATTCTCCCCAGTGTGCTCTGTTCAGTCACATGCCTGCGGCTCGCACTGCCTGGTGGCTGGTCCAGGACCGCCAAGATTACAGCAGATGTTGTCCCCAGCTGCAGTCGCTTGCGAATCGCCGTGAACCTGGTCTACGGCGTGTCTGTCTCCTGACCAGGCCAGGAAATTTGTCTGCCGGTAGTGTCAATATCTGTTGGATGACACTGGCTTGTCTTTACATCCCTGCCTTTCGTGTCTCGTGATAGCTTGTCAAGTTCATCTGGATCTGAAGGTCCTGGGAATTCAAATGGGAGCCGAGGGTGTGCATAACAGGTGATACCCTGCCTAGAACCTGTGCAGCAGAAAGGGAATCAGCAGTAGAACCCACCATCAGTGTTCTGTACAAGCTGGCAAGCAACAGACAGGCAACTCGACAAGTGGCACAGCAAATAACATATGTGCGTCATTGCTGCGCAGGGCGCGCCGTCGGGCTTTGTGCTGCCAATCCGGGACGTGCGCGCGAGCGTGGGGGCCGGTTTCCTCATCCCCCTGGTGGGCGACATGATGATGATGCCCGGCCTCCCCACTCGGCCCTGCTTCTACGACATTGACATTGACCCAGTCTCCGGCCGCATCGTCGGCCTGTCCTGAGCCGCCTCCCCTGTTTCTGAGGCTTCTGACTGTCCAGGGGACTGGGGAGTTGAATTCCTTGCCAACCTGGCATCGCATCCCTTGCTTCTGAGGTGTTTGGGTCTCAAGGAGACTGGGATCTGACCCCTTCGCCTTTCCGGGCATCGCCTCTCCTGCTTCAGAGGTATTTGACTCTCAGGGGAGCTGAGGTCTGGGCGCCTCTCCAAATTGGCAAAAGGGGGTGGGTATTGATTGCCTGACCGCCGGGCCTCTCAAGCGGCACCTGTCGTTGCATGCTCAGCTGGCTATGCAACTGAATGCAAGTTAAGTTGCTTTGGGAACACTCCTACGTGCAAATCGGTGTGCGGATACTTGACATACGTGCAGAGGAGAGAACGGTGTGCTCAAGCTTCTGGAGGCTTTAGATGGATGAGGCTATTGACAGGAGAGTAGCTGTCACGTGAAGGAGAAGTTTTCTCGAGTCGAGCAAGCTTCACACTCGGAGTGTGAAGGACAGTGCATTGGAGTTCTGGCAAATGGACTCAGCTTTCACTTGTGCTGCCAGCACTGCAGTGTAATAGGCTGCAAATTTGTTGAGTCACTGTGTCGGCATGCCTTGTTGAGCATCATGCCTGCACATGCACCATGATGGCGCGGTTGTACATGATCACGCAGTATGTCGGCATGCCGGTGGCCTGTGCACTGCGGGGCTGTGACAGCTGAACGGCTCTGCAGCTGTGTACAGATGTAATTTCTATCTGTCTGCGATTTCCCATTCAAATTGCAACCCGACTCAACAGTGTCAAAGATAAACCAAAAAAGGCAAAAATCTCAATTTTATTTCTTGTCCACTATATATTAGTAGACAGATTTAAAAAAAAATCACCCAGCGAAACCTCTTGGGAACCCTAGCGACGGTTACGGGTGATTTCGACTTCATCTATCTTGTTTTGCTTGCTACTCGACCAAATTACTGCCCACACGTTCATACTTGTGAGCATCTCGAAGCGTCGCTGGAAGAACATGGTACGTCCTTGGATACCGGACCCACTTTGCCATAAAAACAAGTGGCCATCTGTGCCTAGACATCGCTCATGAATACTTGTCTCAACATCGCAGGTTCAAGTCCTCGTTCATATACGTCCAGCTGATCGTCCGGGAGAAGAGTGCTACGAGCTGATCGACTGCAGCATCGACACCTCCATCAAAGAACTCAAACAGAAGGTAGCCAATTCAGTTCAAACCACCTTGGACGCAATCATGGTCTCAGCTGCCAAAGTGTACCTTAAATACAGTTGCTTAAATTTGAATATGTCTCTGGTACTCCCAGGTGGAAGAAATCGGCAGCACATCTGGCAGATACTCTCTGCCAAGCGACTCACAGGTCCCTGAAAGTGGATTGCAGCATAACGGGAAAAAATACTTTGGTGGTTTCGACTTATTGTTACAGAGAAATTCTCTGCCAGCTGTGCAAGATCTTGCTTTTCTTGCAGGAACTTGTCTTCATGGAAGAACGCTGCTTGGACGGCAAAGCGCTCCGAGACTATGGGATATGCCATGAGTTCATCAAGCAGGTCTGCTTGCATCTGGGGCAAACTATTTTACAGCACAATCAGAAGTGCAAGGCTCACAGATACTATTTCCCCACTGCATTCTGCAGGTGACAGGCTTTGTCATCAATCCTGCCAAGCCCGGCAAAAGATTTGTGGAGGGTCGACTTGTGCCATGCGAGTAGCAATGGACCAACAACAATGACAATAGCCAGGGACTTGTAATTCCTTGCAGCATTGTTCCCGTCCTATTGACACTGCGCATCTACGCAAGAATAAAAGCAATGTAAAAATTCTGCATTCAGAGCTAATCATAAATCTCAAAATCTCAGGTGCATACAAGCGCACGTATCCATGTGGACGCATGCATGAAAGGGCTAGCCAGCCCACCAAAGCAGAAACTACCATGCATTCAGACACATACACTGAGAGTGTAGACAGCAGATTGGTGACTCTCAAAGGAGAGCCCTCCAGGTGACAACACTGAAAGTAGCTGCAACAGAGACTTCTCCTGTTGATGATTCTCCTGTGGGCAGCATTCAGGGTGTGCCATCCACAACAGCATCCAGAACGATGGGGGGCGAAGAGAAAACCAGCGAGGCATTGACCCCTCCAAAGCCGAACGAGTTGGTGACAACCTGTTTGGGCTGCACCGGCAGCTTTTGCGGCTCCTGCCCAACAAGGGAGTCCTCCCATGGGCCTGGCTCAGGGTGCTCCAAGTTCAGAGTCGGTGGCGCAGTGTTGTCCACAAGGGACATCACTGCAAAGACGGCCTCCACAGCGCCTGCATTGCAGCGCGGCTGATACCGTCACCCCAAAAACAGCCTCGTGTACCCCTCCCAAGGTGCAGCTTGTCTTGGGTCACATCATCGACCCAAAGAATCCCAAAGGTGCACATCATATTATGTTCCCCACACATGCTGCCAAGTCAGGAACGTGCCTGCAGCTCCGAGCAGGTGCCCTGTGGCGCCCTTGGTGCTGGAAATCAGTGGCAGGCTGCCTGTTGGCAAGCCCTGCCGCGTCGCTGGCGGATCAATCTGCAGGACGTGCTCCACAGCTTCCAGGATGCCTCCCTAAAGTGACAAACATCAGTCAGCACCAGCTTGCACCATACCAACCTGTAATTGTGACTTGCACAACTGGTGTGTGTTGCTGACAAGACTGCAATTCTTCCCTCCTACGCTGCTACATCATCATGTGCACCCTGACCATTTCTTAATATGCCAATTTACATGCGTGAACTTGAGCAAGTGTTGATCAATCACCTTGTGCTTCCGGACAGCGCTGCCGGCGTCAGGGCCTGCGCCGCCGAACACAGTCTGGATCGCGCGCAGCTCTGCCACGTCGCCGAGGGGCGTTCCAGTGCCGTGCGCATTTATGTATGCCACGTCAGCGGTGCTGGTGCCCGCATCGCGCAGAGCGCGCCGCATCGCGAGCGCCGCGCCCCGGCCGTCCGCCGGCGGCTGGGTTATGTGGTTGGCGTCCGCCGAACTTCCATAGCCGCGCAGCTGTCACCAGCAAACACAGCACCCCCTCAGCTGCTTCTTCAAAACGATAGTTCACTGGCATCTGTATGATCAGAAGGTAATCTCACTATAGCAGGATCTATGATGACATACTCAGCTGCTACTCTTCAGAGCGCCAAAGCTCAACAGCAGTGCTTCTACAATGGTGCAGGACTTCCTGCCCCTGACTCAACAAAGACCTTGCCTCAAGGTTCGGGAATGACTGCGCCCTTGCCACCCCTTGTGTGGCTCTCAGCCAGCCCTTACGGATGATAAGGCTTTGTGTCCTCTTGTGACGCTCTAATACGGCTCTTCAAGGGAATGGGCTGTGCGCGGCACCTCTGCGTAGATGTGGGGTGCTCCGCGCGCGATGGCGTGGCTCAGCTCTTCCAGGACGAGCGCGCCGGCGCCCTCCCCAAGCACAAAGCCGCAGCGGTCGCGGTCAAACGGGCGCGAGGCCTTGCACGGCTCGTCGTTGTACTTGGCGCTCAGCGCATTCATCCTGCGCGGCACAGACCTCCCGTTGGCCCCTTGCGCAGCCTCACCTTCCGTGCTTAGAAGTGTGCGATGCTGGAATGGACGTGGGCAGAAAGGATCTTGGCAAGTGATTGATTGCGCATACAAGAGTGATCACTTTTGGCACTGCAGGCACATCAACGGGCGTGCGTCACATAAGTTGCCGGGCCTCACTGTCAGAGCAACCAAACAGCAGCTCAATTGGCATCACATGCACATGATTAGGCAGGCATCGCCTAGCTTGACAGTGGACACATTGTCAAAGCACCTGAACCAAGGCATACATGACCTAGTAAAATAGTGAATGCTTGCACATAAGCTGCAGGGCACCTGCCAAAGGCGGCCAGGGCCACGGAGTCCACGCATGCCTCGGTCCCCCCGGCCACCATGACATCAGCGTCGCCGTGGCGGATCAGGTTGAAGGCGTCCCCTATCGCGTCAGCCCCGGCCGCGCACGCTGTCGCCGCCGCCCGGTTGGGGCCTTGGAAGTCGTGCCGGATGCTCACCGCGCCTGCCGGCGAGTTGGCCAGGATCCGCGTTACCAGGAACGGGCTGATCCTGTGAATTCACCCCAATGCACATCAATACACGTGCTTGCAGGAGTTCAGTGCAGCAAGCGCTTTAGGGAGCCAGGTAGTGCCGGTTCATCTGCGCTCAGAATCAGTGAATATCTTTATTGCATCTGTTAGAAGGAGCACATCGAATGGCCATGTCACTGCGCTGCTGGAGACAAGCTCCTGCAGCAGAAATGGTTCCTGTGGGAGCATGACCCACATTGGTTTGCACAAGGTTGTGATGATGACATGACAGGGACAGACATGAGATGCTCACTTTCGGACGGAGCCCTGTGTGACATGCACGCCAGCCTCTGCCAGATCCGTTGTGCAGCTCAGCCCTGATCCGATCGCCACGCCGGTGGCTTGATGCTCTGCTTCGCTCACCGGCTCCCATTCTGCATCCTGCAGCACAAGCTAGTCTACTCCCATGCCTGGTCTGTACAGCAAGCTTGCTGACCAAGATGTGCATCTCTCTTTAAATTACTGACAGGCATGTGTTTAGTGGAAGATAGCAAGCCAGCACCTGCAGCGCTTCGATGGCAGCCAGTTCAGCAAAGTTGACAAAGCGTGAGTTGCTGGCTCTCAGACCAGCTGCCTCCAACGCCTCACGGAACTGCTCCTCTGGCACCATCGCAGCCACCCTGCTGGACAGCTTCTCGAGGGCCTTGTCATGTCCCTGTAGGACCACACCGCCCCTCCCCTCAGCGGCTTGGAATTTCAAAAGTACAAAGGGACAGCCAAGATTTGTAGATATTACGTGGAGGGTGCTGCAGGACAGGTTTTCGTCACATTACTGGACATTGTGTACAGTGCCTCATTCCAGATTCATAAAGCTGGTGTCCTTGCCTTTGGCAGATCAGCAGCAGTAAGTTTCTTTACGCCACACTCCCCTTGTAGCAGTCTGTTCCAGACATTCTGAAAGCCAATGCCTAGGGGAGTCACCAGCCCAAGACCAGTGACTACCACTCTTCGAATTTGTTGTCTCGGAGGCACACCAAACGCATCCTCGATGAGGGTAGTGAAAGGTCTCCTGATGAGTGCGTGCCACTCTGATGCTCTCCTGCCAGTCTGTTGGAGCGCTTTCATACCACAGTCAATGTCATCTACTGTGTACTCTTACCACTTTCATCCATCGCATTAACAACACCAGCAGTGCCCTGATCACGTACGCATTCAACTAAGCATCGCCTCCAATTTGGGCATCAATCGGCATTTAGAGTCTTTCAGGTGATCTGAAGTCAACGTTAGAAGTTCCAATACAATACAGAGATCACTTAGTCGATTCAGAAGTTATGGTTGCACATGCTGCACACTAGAAAGTCAGGACGGTGGCACGCTCATACGGCGTTCCGGTCCAATATTGCCATCGACCATCCGCGTGGGCCAAGTCTACAGAGCCCAACACTCCTACGATCTTGCGCAGATTAATCATCAGGCGCCGAAATCCTAACATCGGGTCCGAAATACACTGTCCAGCGCGAGCCCTTTGTGCCAGGCGTCCTGATGGTCAAGGGCAGCCGAGAGATGTCCGAGAGTACTTTGGACGATTGCTTTTCTTGCAGTGTATCAGGACGCGAGACTAGGTTCGCCTACCACACAATTTATATTCCAGATCAGTCGTAGTGTCTTGATTACCTAGTTAGTAATTGCAAGAGGAAGTAAAGTCCTGTCCCACCTGCAGTACTGTAGCCCTGCCTAAAATGATGACCTTGAACATCATAAAGCGGTGCACCTATAACACATTGTGTTACACATCGCAGATTCGGAGAGCAGGTGCTGACAGACTCAAATCTGGTGTGGCAAATCACGAATGCCCTACAGGCTGCACCAGATGTCTGGGACTTCCACAAGTGGTACAGCCTCAGCACGGTCAACAAGGCCTTCCAGAGCGCCCTTGCTGGACAGCCAGTCGCACTGAAGCTTGGCAGAGAGATCACAGATGATGAACAAGAAATAATGCAGCGCACCAAGCTCCTCATTGTACACCTCGAGCTGCAACCTCAGGACGAGCGAGTGGCCGCTGTACTACTCTCCTCAGCATTCAGGTAGCCACCTCTAGAAAAGCTGATCCCCCTTTGTATGCAGCAAAAGGTGCAATTGTGCAGTCGATAAATGGCCTCTCAAAAAGCCGTTTCCCATTTGTATGCAGCAAAAAGTGCAATGCTGCAGTCGATCAATGGCCTGTTGAAAGCACACCTGGTTGATTGAGCAGTGGAACGTGAGCCATTGGCAGTGATGCTGAGGGACGAACATGGCTGCCTTGCAGGGAAAGGCATGCAGCAAATCTGACAATGCTGCGGAGCCTGAACCTCTCTAGGTCATATAAGCAGTTCTTTGCATGCGCGCATCAATTCACATCTCTGCGAATCCTTGAGCTGACCAGTGGTGATTATGGCAAGGCCGCTCAGCCTCTTCTGATACCTTTCCAGTCCCAATGGGTGAGAAACATTCCTCCTGCTGCAACAGAAATGCATGCATTCATGTTGTGCTTTATGCTGACAAATGAGCAAAAAGTAGAACAGTGCTTTACAGCATGGTTTGTGTCTGCCTGCAGGTGCAGCCACTGGAGAGTTTGCAGGAGCTGACATTGAAGGGGTACCTGTTGCTTGAGCTGCAGCATCTGCCAAAGTCTTTGCGGGTGCTTGATCTATCGGCGTGCAAGGTGTCTTATGAGGCTGCTGTATGCTTGCCGGCCTTGCTGCGCCTCAAGGCGCTTGCCATTCCCAGCAGCGGAGGGCGCTTCTGTTTTGAGAACCATGACTCGTGATGAGTTGATGTACACTTCTAATTTTGTGACACTTATTGTGTACTAGTGAAGTATATACAAAGGGCTCTATTCATAAAGTGACAAATCGGTGTAAACAGTCTAGCGTGATGCTTTTCCAGTGAGAAACCCAAACGTTGAAAGCATCTCAGGAAGGGAACTCTTCAGTCTCATCACACACCTCTAGGTGCTGAAAGTGGACTGCCCTAAAAATTCTCCGTTGTGATAGAAGAAAACATATACAACTGTTGAACTTGTCCTTCGCTTTTTCTGCCAAATATGGGACAATGTTGAAACAAGATATCCGGTGATAGGCCAGGAAATAAACTGAACTTCCTGCCTGAACAATATTGTCCCAACTGACTGCATGCAACACCTGATATAAGATGATGTCAAAACGCCAAACCTTGTAGACATGGCACTATCACACTGAATGGGAAGGTCCACAAGTGTTACACCTAGCTACCCAACATGAGGCCTGCAAACATGTCGCCACTTGCGCCGTCTAAACTGGTCTCTTCAGCCTCGGGGTGCTCCCCAGGAAGGGGTACTCCAGGCTCTGCCACACCCATAATCTTTGAGGCAGATGCAGGCGGGCTGGACATACTGGGGAAGCTGTGCACGCTCCCGCCGCTGTGAGTGCGTGCCAGGGCTCCCTCCTCCGACACCTTCTGCCCGTTGTCCCCTTTGTGCGCCCCGTTCAGATGCACCTCGGGCGTGGCCGGGCCGCTGTGCATGTTGTGCGCGCTGGCATCGTAGTGTGACTCAGCGGCGTCCTCGTCAAAGGCCGCGTCTGCATGCGCGCCGGGGGCGGCCCCTATGCTGCGCGCGCTGCCGAGGATGTCTCCTGCGCCGGCGTCGCTGCCGCCCCATTGCGTTGAATCGCCCCCCATCGTGCCGGCAGTGCTGCCTGCATTGTCGATGTGGTGCATATGTGCCGCCTCCGCCATGCTGAGGCCCCCAAACATGCCTTGCTCGTAGCCCTGCTGCAGCTCCTCACGGCCAGAGAGTAGGTCGCCCGCGTCGCTGCCCCGGCCAGTGTTGTTTGAGCCGTTCTCCTTGCCCTCGCGGATTTGCTCCAGGTCAAGCGCAGGCACCGGGTGGCCGGATTGACCCTCCACTTCGCCCTCGGCCTCCTCCAGGGTGTGCACTGTGGGCTCGGAGCCTCGGCCGGCGCGCCCAGCGACCGGCAGCTTGCCGCTGGGATGGCGGATGAGGCCGCCGGCGCCGGTAATGATGCTGTCGATGCTGGAGTAGGAGCCGTGCAGCGCGAGGCGTTCCCTGACGCTGTCTGAATCTGCCAGGTATCCGGAGGCGCAGTCGCCCTCCGACAGCTGCCGGTCGAGCTGAGCCTCGCGCAGCGCCTCCCGGCTGCCGGCCGTCTGCAGCAGAGCCCGCACTGCCGCGGCCGGCCGCGGCGGCGCCGCGACGTCGGCCGCCGGGCCGGGAAGCGGCGCGTGGCCGTCGGCGTCGGATGATAGGTTCCCGTCTGACGCGAGGGACAGAGAGCAGACAGACTCGCTGCCGTCGGTGGCGACATGGCTGGTTGAGCGCGCGCCCATACTGGATCTGGGGCCGGTGTACGCGACCGGCGCGCGCAGAGGCGCCGCCGCCGCTCCCGGCTGGCTGAAATCACTGTCCTCTGCATCGCCGGCCGGCTTTTTCTCGTCACCTTTCAGCTGCATCGAGCCGGGTGCAGCGCTGGTCGACTTCACTGGCGCGTTGCCGTGAGATTCTTCCAGTGCAGGCTGCACGAGCGGGGGGTTGCCGGGGGCTGCGGCATCAGGTGTGGCCGTCAGGGAGCGCAGTGCATCGCCCAGGTCGCTGGCGGTAAAGCCGTGCGCGCTGGCAATGGCGGCTGCGTCGGCGGCGGCGGCATCGTGCTCCGCCTGCAGCGTGCTGGCCTCCTCAAACTTCTCCGCGGATACCGCCGCTTCGATCTGCAGCTTCGTGTCCAGCTCGGCCGCCTGCAAAAAAGTGCAAACATTGTCACAAAATTTCCCATTCCCATTCCCATTTTCCCAAATTTCCACTTTCCCATTCAATTTTCCCAATGACCCCCATGTGCATGTGGCCTCCACCGTAGGTACATTCCAATGAGGATATTTTCTCTTTTTCTCTTTTTTGTTTCTAGAGTGGCACAAATAACAATGTGAGCGTCCTGATGGGTGATTGCAGGAGAGACAAAGCATATTTGTGACTGTACCTTGACAGATCGCCACTTGGCCAGAGCTAAGACACGTTCGCCAGCCTGCACCTCTCCATAGAGCCGCGCGACGTCGTTGGTCAGCGCCGCATCGTTCGATTCAAGGCCTGCTGCGCGACTGCGGAACTCCTTTGCTCTGGCGGTGGATGCCTCCGCCTCAGCGCTCTGCGCCTTGCTCTCCGCTGACAGCCGCGCAGCCTCCTTGAAGTCCTGCCACATGTCAAACAGGCCACATCAGCCACACACTCTGAGCGACCCAACAGGAAGCCGTTCCAACACGAACAACCCTGCGAGAAGATGGTTATTGTCTAAATAGAATCTGGGGTGCACAGGCTGCTGCAGAGCCGCTTTACAGCTCCTTGGCGGCAAGCAATTCTCTTAATATCACACGCTTGGTCCAGCCCACAACGTCAGGTGGGTTACAGCAACTTCTTTCAACCTTACTTGCAACCTTTTGTAGACCAATATTGGAACATATGATGGGCTACAGATGCATGCACAAGGGGAAGGGTGGCACCCGCGCGGCGGCTGCGGCGCGTTTCTCCGCCTCGAGCTCGGGGACTCGTTGGCGCGCGGCCAGTGCTGCCTCCTCGGCCGCCCTCGCCTCCGCCAGGAGCCCGGCTCGCTGTCCCATCAGCGCCCTGGCCGCCGCCCTTGCATTCTCCATCTCCTGCTCCACCCCCTGTGTTGCGCCACTCACATCTTCAAGAGAATGGCATGAGGCCACCTGAGACAGCATGCATGTTGACAGACAATGCCCATTGTGATGCCGTTTAGATAGAGTTATTCCCCTCGCGAGTGTCTTTCTCCACACGAGGCTAATCCTGGCCCAAAGATCCTCCGAGGTAGGCATGCAGAGCTGCCGAGCACTGATAAGAGGGCAGATGATAGTGATGAGAAGTGCTCAGGGGGTTGGATCAGCAGCGAGTGTCAGTGTCTTCAGCTATGGCAGACGCACCCGCAGGGCGGCTTTGGCGGACTCCTCGGCGGCTGCCAGGGATGCGTGCAGGCGCAAGATGCGCTGCTCCGACTCCACCTGCTGCGCGGTAGCCTCCGAAGCACGCAGCATCTCCTCAGCCGCCGCGCGAGCCGACTCCGCCTGCACAGACGCTACAGCTCAGACTGCACGCCCCCATCAATCAATACAAGCGTCAGAGCTCTACAGCTACTCCATGGCCTTGGCACCACAGGAACGTTGGATTTGCACAGATGAACATTAATTTCTATTGTGACAGGGCCCTGCCAGTCTGGTGGACCGCCGAACGGATGTGAGACTCGTGTATCCCTTGTCCCTTAAGTGTGGTAGTCATGTGAACATGCTTTGAGCAAATGGGAGCATAGGTATGCCTGCGCTTGGAGTTCCTCTTGGCGGCGTGCCAATTGGGCGGCGGTTGCGGCGGCGCGCTCGGCCTCGGTGCGCGCATCGGCGCGGGCGTCATCGAGCTCGGCCTGCTGCGCGGCGAGGGCGTCCCGGTCGCGCTGCAGCAGCGACTGCGCTCGGTCGTACTTGGCCGAGAGCGCTTGCACCTGCGCCTCGCTCGCCGCGTGGTCCGCCTCCGCCCCCGCCAGCTCAGCTTCCTTCTCCGCAAGCATCGCCCTGCAGCATGCGCCGACAGCCATCATGTACAGCGGGAAAGGCTTTAGTAACCTGTGGCGTCCCATGGAAATATGCCCCGGAACATGGTTCCTGTCGTATTGGAGGAGCGGCGGGCATCTTGGCAACCTCCATCCAGCTGCATCTAGCTGCCTGAGTAGCAGGTGTACCCTCCATACTGTGCATTCAATGCCAGGCATCCGGACTGGGATCCGCCTCCGCTGCTCATGCTGAACAAACAGCAGTCGCCACTGCCTGGGAACTTCAATCGGCGTGCGGGACACAGCATGCAGTGGGGTGCACCGTGCAGTCTGAGCACGCAAGTGGATCACCGCGTGCAAACAGCGATGCTTACCGGAGATGCTCGACCTCCTGGCGCAGCGCAGAGGCGGCCGACAGGTGGCGGTCGCGCTCGGCGGCGGCCGGGGCGGTGGCCTCGGTGACTTTGGCGGCCAGCGCGACTTCCTCCCCCTCCAGCCATCGCTGCCGCGCCTCCACTCGCAGGTGCAGCTCCTCCAAGTGCTCTGCGCTGCTGGCCGCTGCCTCCTCCGCCGCTGCCTGAGCCTGTGAAACACATAGGAGGATGCTTTTAGAATGTGGCAGAACCTCAGTGGGCACAGTGCAAGCCGGGTCAGCTGAGTGGTACAGGAGGCTGTGAGGGCATAATAAGCCACATTGGGACCTTTCGCCATGAACTTTACTTACAGAGCTATGATCACGTTATGCTGACTCAGGAAAAAGAATAGAAGTCAAAATCTCATGTCTCAGGCATAGGAAGAAATCGAGCATGGGGACGGATCCGCAGCATATAAGCTGCATGCTAGCAATCCAGGTCACCACAGACAAAGGAGAATGAGGTGTCTAGTTTGCATGGCTACCTGCGCCATTGCTGATGCAACCTCAGCAGACTTCTGCTCGAGCTCCTCCTGCCTGCCACGCAGCGCAGCGGCCGAATCGCTGTGCTGCTTAGCCTGCTGCGCTGCCAGGTCCAGCCGGGCAGTCACCTGCCACAACAAACACAGTCAAAGCCCCACCAACATGAAGCCTTTTCATCAGCAGACCGCCGTTGCACTCCCTCCATACTAGATCTGCATTGCATAGCACAGTACAGTGCATTTTGGAGGCTGAAATGAGGAGTAACAGTACCGCTTGTGAACAGGCGGCATCGGTGGCGCCTAGGTCTTGGTCGAGGGTTGCCAGGCGCGCTTTGGCAGAGTCCGCCTTCGCGCTGAGGTTGGCAGCGCGCTCAAAGTCCTCTGCTTCCACAGCTGCAGCCTCAGCGATGGTCGTCTCGTCCAGTTCCTCTGCGCAGATCCCAAGACTCGTCCCGTTTGCGTGCATGATGTGACAACAGCTCACCCCCCACCTCCTCACTGCCACTGCACGGTGACTGAACCACGCTGCCCTCAACAGAGCCGGCTCCTTGAAAACCTTCCCGCTAATACCATGGCCGCTTGAGCAACATTTCAAGTGGGCACTCAACTTACAAGTGGCTTCTACTGAATCCCTGGACGACTTGGAAAGATCAGCTCCTATCAAAGCTTGAAGTTGCATGCAAGCTTCAACTGATTAGTAATTCACTACTACTATTTCAAGCTGGCACAGTCCAGGGGAGCAGCTCGCACTTGTGCAGGCTGCAATGTCAGCTAGCAGGGAACGCCTGCGCTGCTTGGCGGCCAGGCTTCTGGCGGCTGCATCCCTCAAGCGCTCCTCCAAGGCAGCAGTGTCTGCTTCTCCCCTGCCGCTCAGAGCCGCCTGACTGCTGCCCTCTGCGGCTTGCCCCTCCCCAACCTATTTGCCAGCACGTCATATGTAATCGTACAGTCATATATACCATGTTGGAAGAAAAATAAAATGAATCCTAATAGTGCTGTTGACATGTGAGGAAATTTGATGACAATTGACAGGTGACAAATTTTTCCGGCATGTGAGTTGCCTGACCTGCGCGTCATACGAGATGCCTGCCGGACTGTAGGGTGTCTGGGGCATGGGGCCGACAGCAGCCGTGTCCAGAATGCCGGCTGGTGCGCTGCCAGGGAAATGGGGGTCTCTTTCGCTGGCTGAAGCCTGCTGTGGTGCCATCTGCGCGAAGCATGCTCATAGGACTCAGATGCCCCCAAGGAAGAGCCCATCACGTACTTGGTCATGACTTGCGTCTTTTATCAGTGAACGAGGCGTGCAGTCTGTCACCTCAATCTCAGGTCCGAGCATTGTCAGGGGGTTGTTCCAGATCTGAGCCCCAGCAGCAGCTGGCTGACTGTCGGCTCCAGATAGCTCCGCTGCAGGTCTTCCCAGTTCTGCAGCCGTCATCGCCATGCCGACAGGAATGCTATCCCGCCCTGCAACCCAGTAATATCAAGTTCAGGCACTCCACGACAGCGCTAACCAATTCTGTCAGCAATCAAGCTGTCAGCAACCCCCCGAGCATTTTGATACCTCAATATAATGTGTTGCTGTCACCGGCAAAAATAGGTCATCGCAGCGACTGGAGCACTCCTCCACCAAATTTGGGGTTGGTCCGCCCCAATGCGAATTATAGAGCTACCCACCTGGTGTTGCAGGAGGTGTGCTCCGCGGCGGCGCTGCATCGTTGTCATCGTCGGCAGCGTCGCGCGCATACCCCACTCGGCGGGTGATGCGCTTTCGGCGCATGCCCCCGGGAGACGGGGAAATGGCAGGCAGCGCGGCCGAGACCACACTGCTGGTGCTGCTCAGATCGCTGCCCTGCACACCCCCACTACAATATGATATCTTCGTTGTCACACCATGCAGCACAAGACAATGATGATTCTCACCAGCTGGAGCAGGCCAGGAAACGTAACTGATATCAAGTCCACTCTCAAAGCATGGCCCTCACAGAGGCATTAGCAGGACATACCTGTCTCAGGAGGGCTGGTGGGGAGGTCGGGCCTTGGCTGGTGTGGGAGACTGGCATCGCTGAAGGAAGGTCTAGGGCTGCTGCTTTGGTGGTAGGATCAGAGCTGGCAATACCCATCGACAAGTCCTCAAGACCTGAGAACAGGTCCTCTGGCAAAGGTCCGCTGCACATGCCCCCCACAGAACATCAGGCATTGGCAGTGTGACATGTGCATTAAACTTAGGAAAAGATCACAGCTGGGGCACTCCACTGCCTTCAAGAGATGGACAACATTGCGTCCTCCTGAACCCACCTGCTGACGCCCTGGATGGGAGTGCTCACAGCAGTGTCTGACATCGCTGTGACTGCTTTGGAAGGAGTCACGACTCTATCTGGTGATGATCCAACGCTCAGCCCAGTCAAGGTCACATCATCATTCTGCCCCATCGACTGTGTAGTTTGTTCTGGATGTGAGGATGCTTGCGGTGGTTTATCAAAGGCACTGGCAGCAAGATTCATGCCCTCGAACAATGACGCGCCTGCATGACAGCAAGACGCAGATTTTCTCAGATGAACATCCAACTTGCAGAGGAGGTTCCTGATAGCAGGAGTGGACCAGCCAAGTGCTCACCAGCATCTTGAACAGGCGCTGGCCTGTTGCTTGATAGCATCCTTTCTGTTGAGGACTTCAACTCCTTTTGGAGCTCTGCAATTTGCCTGCTCAGACCCAAAGTCAGCAGTCAGTGTGGTAGGCACCCAAGCAAGCAATGTACATTGGGTAGATTAGGCTCTATACTGATCCTTTGAATGGGCAACTGATAAGTAACATGGATTGACCAGAGTCGTACGTGCGCCATATTGTCTTGGGGTCCCCTTCGGGTAGAGCAGCTACACTGCCTTCCAACAGTTGCACTGCACCCAGATGCACACACCCCTATCAAAACTTTGATCATTGACATTTGCAGTCCTCCTGGTGCGATGGAAAGGTCAGCAAAAATGCAGAGCTGGTGCCGAAAGCTTGCAGTACACGTTGAGAGCGTCTCCCCGTACCATGCCGCGTAGCCTCATTCAACAACGGAAAATCTTCTTCCGTTGCAGATCTGAGCTGCTTCAGCAAGTCTGCAGCTTTTGCGAGCAATGTGGGCAGGTCGCTTTCTGAAGATCGACTTGCTTCTGCTGTCTTGGAAGTATTTCCTCCCAACTTTGAGAAGAAGCTGCGCATACTTACCCTTTAATCTCTAGTACTGGTAAAGTATTATTGATCAAGGACAAAGAAGGACGTTGGCTGATTACTGAATTCCTTGAGGACACTCAGATGCCGTGCCGTGCAGGTAACGACAACCACATACACTCGTTTGCTGCGCTGATGATATCAGAGCATAGTATCATGGTATAATCGAAGTAGAAAGCATGCACCCCCACAACTCTTCTTGATCATCAATTTTTGGGAAAGAGTGCTCCAAGAGGCTCGTCGGAACCCCCTCCGATTGGTAACGGGGGGACCTCTACTGCAGCTGGGGGGCATAGGAAGTGATCCAAGGTACAGCGAATTGCAGATCAGGCAAAGCTGAAAAGTTGTTGAACGCAAGACATCATAAGAGTATTGATCAAAGCAATCGGCGAACAAATTGCAGCGAAGGGGAGGTCTGTGTTGTCACTGGATGGTCAGAACAGATCACCTGTAACCGTCACGAGACGGTCCTGCTATTTACCCCCAGCCCTGGTTTCTTATGAAGATCAACCGAGCTCTGAAGGTTGTGGCAGTACTTTTTGTGCTATCAATTGGCTCAATTAAATTGCTGCAAGTGGCATATTTTGGACAAAAAGGGTTGTCTACTGGTGGAAAAGGGCCAAGTCCTGGGGCACAGACTGCTTCAAAACATCCTCTGGACCCCAGAGCGACAAGCTGCTCTGCTTCTTCAGCATGTGTAGAGCTCAGCCTCCCAGGTAGGAAGGTGCTGCACATGCCCAAACAAGCCACCAATTTGCAGCTTCTAAGATGACCAACGAGCGCTATTGTCTCCTTCCACATTTGCAGGCCTGTGGATTTCCCTGGAAAGAGCACTGGACAGCAATTTTCCCGTCCAATCTTCTGAGCGAGACTTGGAAGAGAGGTTGCTCAGCCCATTCCAGGCAGGCACGAATGCAACAGTTACACTAGAATACCCCAGCGGAAAATCAGCAAGACGCGCCAAATTAAGAGAGGATATCAGACGCCGTACGGCAGCCAAAACCAGCCGAAGACATCCGAAACAACGATCCCCCTATGGAAGGGGCTTCTGGAGCTTCTATAGGGGCTGGTCGCCACCTGATCTCCCTTCAGCCACAAATGTGAGCGCTCTCTCTTTCTTCCCAAACATGCAGGACTCACGCGACGAGCCAAGAGACATTAGTACATGCAAAGCATCGTTCAAATGCCATTGCCAGTGGGCAAGCCCATCTCCTCCAAGTGAGTAGTCTGGGGTGTGATCATCAGGGTGCGGGAGATCTCAGGATCTTGGTGGCAGTCACGAGCTGCAGTGTCTGCGCTGTGTCTGCTGCCAGGAGGAGTGCAGCACGCGCCACTTGGGTGCGTCAGATCTTGGACGATCACAGCAACATCGACGTCAGATTTGTGCTCGCCCAACCCAGCCCCAGTGACAGGCAAGCCTGGGACATGCTCAGACTGGCACCACTATCCAGAGAACCATTGTGCTATGCAGCACAATCAGTGCATGCACAAGAAATACCAGCAAAAAATAGGTTGGATTGTAAACACATCCATGCTCAACGAACCTGTAATGCTGGAATTACAGGACAGGTGCTTTGCGCAATTTGAGGCCGGAGGCAGAGGCAAACAGCGACATTGTGGTGGTGAGGGGTACGGAGGAGTACAGGAATTTGCCCAACAAAACGCTGCGCCTGCTGCGATACGCTCTCTCGAGCGCCAAGCAGTGGACGCACGTACTGAAGACAGACGATGACTGCTATGTGAGGGGCCCTGCCCTCGTATCAACACTGCGTCTCCCGGCCGGAACAGGAAGCGAGGGTGGCTTCAGGTTCTCTGGAGTCTACACAGGTGCTTCCCATCTGAAGTCACTAGTGTAAAGGGCAAGGCCGGCTGATATTCTCTGTCAGGTTCTTGCCTGCATGCAAGCATGCAGCATGAGCTACAATGGCACCTGTTCCATTCTGTTATGCTGGTGAAGGTCGAGTGTAAGTTTAGTATGGGGTCATGTGCAGGTTGTTTGGAGAACATGCATGGCTTCTACCCGCTGCGCAACCAGGACTCCAAGTGGCACATCTCCTACGAAGAAATGCCTGATGAAGTGGTGCGCTCACTTCTTGTCACCTACTGCATTCGCTGTTTTACTTCTCACCCATTTGCATGCAAGGGGTGTAGCTCTCCCAGATGTTGACAGATGGTTGTGTTCCTGGTGGCTTGTGTCTCATTCTCATGATTATAAGCAGTCAAGGGGCCGAGGTCTGCCTTTTGTTGAGGGAGCGGAGTGCCATGTCAGGTGCCTTGGGCGAGGAAGTATCTGGCTGGCTGGGGGTACATGCTTTCCAGCGATGTGGCGCTGCACATCGTCCGCTGCACGCTGCGCTGGGAGAGGAGCCCTGCTGAGGCCCCTGGCTGGTACCAGGGCCTGCACTGGGAGGATGTCCTGGTGGGCGTCATAGCAGGGGAGGTAGTGGGGGAGGAGCCTCAGGTGTGCTGCTCCCTTGTCACCTGCTGCGAGCAATTTTGCTTACTGTCACTGTCCAGAGTGAGAGAAACATCATAGGTTTGCCAGCCAACAGGCGGATAAAATGCTTAAATGCCAGATCCCATGTGTACCCTTTCTGACTGAAAGTGCTCAGAAGCTGGCAAGTTGACATACCCCTGAGGAGCTGACAGCCGTCAGATAGGCAGCGGATGCTAGCTTGAGGTTATCCTTGATGAAAGTGCTGTTCAGTGCTTGATCTACATCACTGTCACGGCAGGCGCGCGATGCGTTTGTGCCAGCGTGGATGAGGTGCATGCCAGAGACAGCGGTGCGGCATCTGGATGTGGAAGCGCCCAAAATGTTTCAGCCCCTGTATGAGCTGGAGAGGGGCGGCGGCTGGCAGGCCGGGGAGGTTCCCTGCACAGAGGGAAACTATGCTGTGGGCGAGTACTGGAGCTGGAAGGGATGGAGAGATAGGCTGGAGGGAGTGCAGGCCCTGGGAGAAGTGGGGTAGCGTCTGCAGCGCTGAGTCAGTCAGCCACTTTAGATTGCACACAGCCAACTTCAGGTTGATTTGATGACTCTGGTTTTTAGGGGCAGTTAATGGGATATGTGCCGAAACAGCATGCGTCTCTATTATTTAATGAATGTAGACTACCTGTGCCTCAAGGTTGTTATCGGCTAGAAGGGATTTCTAGGAATCTCATGTAGACTACGTCTCTGTATACACGTCCGTCAATAGAGATTATTTTGTGTTTTGCTAGTGAGGATAGAGCTTCCTTGGCTGACCATTGTCACTAAGGTCATCATGACGAGCATCCTGAAAATGCCCTGACTTATTCTTTCACCACAACCAGATTATCCACCAGGGCTTCTTTGAAAAGAGGGCTTCTTGACTGACACTATGACAAGTGCATTTTGCCGGCCCACAAAATTTCACATGCGCAATCGTCACATCTTTGTACATCTAATCAGCCTTGTTGGCTGGCAAATAGTTATGATTTTCTTTCTCTCTCTCTCATGTCCATAAGTTCAGTGTATTCTATTCCTCACCTAAAGCTGTCAGTGTACAGACGAGCATACAAGCGGCGCATCTGATCTGGGGTTGCGCCCAGATACCAGCTCATACCCAGGATGAAGTGGACCGCGGTTGCATGTGCATTGCCCCACGCCTGCAGCCGCCTTCCACTGGTGCGCGCATGTGGACTATTGACCTGCAGTCAAGGCATCCAAGCGCACGTTCAAAGTGATATAGTGTAAGTAATCACACGCCAAAATACACTCTCCAAAAGTCAAAGGTTGAGTGTCAAGAGACTTCCATGTCTAATGCAGATTACAAGCTTGCACCAGCAATGTGCAAGCATCCTTTTCAAACATTCAGCATTATGAAAATCCAGGAATCTTTCATCACTCACCATAACGACTTGCCCACGCCGCCTAGTCCAGTGCTTGACACCGCTGAGAAGTGACTGGCGCCTCGATCTTCTTGTGTCTTCTTGCTACATAGCAAGCCAGGAAGGGCTCGTCCTCGTGTAACTGAGAGCAGCTGCTTATTTAAAATATTCATATGCAATGCATGGCCACTCAAGGGGGTAGTACAAAGCTTCATTGTATCCTTTTGATATTACCTGCACAGCTGGCAAAGGCGGCTGGGGCCCAGCCTCATGCATGCGGATGCCCAGGTCAGCATCCTCCATGATGGGCAGGCTTCCATCAAATCCGCCAACTCGCTGGAAGTCAGACGCTCGGCAGAATAATGTCTGATCCCCGAATAGACAGCGCGCACCCCTGCCAACCGCACTGACGATTTCTGTGACTCTATAAACGTGATTAGGCGCCACAACATGCGCCATCTCCTTCAAGCAGCAACTTGCGGCCAGCAATAAGTGATATCATCAGCAGCAAGGAGTGGCAAATAGGCTCGAAGCAAGATGCCCACCTGAAGAAAGAGAGCGGACGCAGCAGCAGCGGTAGGTAATAGGTCTTCAGATACTGGTGGACAGTCATGAAAAGGAGCGGGCGGTCTTGCCCTTCAATCACAGTTCTGAAGCCCCCCAGGACTACCCTCCGATCCGCCAGCGCCCGGCGCACTGCAGCGACTAAACCTCTGCGGCAACAAGAAGCTATCAGCAACAATACAGCTCATGCAGCCTGCAGTCTCTTGATTCACTTTGCAGTGACACACGCAGAAAAGTGATCGCAATGCGGCCATCTCACACCCTACCTAGGAGGTGTGCTATCTGCGTGGAGGAAGCACAGAATATCACCAGCTGCATGTAACGCTCCATGGTTCATCTGCACTGCTCGCCCCTTGCCAGACTGCAGCACGGTTGCCCCAGCAGCGTGAGCAAGCTGCACAGTCCTGCAGTGTACCGCGTGAGAGTGAATGATTTGGTATCTCTATGCATACTTGCATCGCTACAAGCCCTCACGATTCAATGAAGGCATCAGAAACGGCAGGTAAGACTTGCTGTCTCCTGAGGGTGCAACATGATGGCACAAGCAGCACCTGTCTGTGCTGCCGCCGTCTATGACTATCACTTCATGAGCTGGGGGTTCCAAGTAGAGCAGATTTTGTATGGTCTTCTCGATCTGCTTCTCCTCGTTCAAAGCCTGCATGTACAACCAGGTGGACTCGGCAGGTGACGAGCATGATGAATGATTTATAACAATCAATTTGACACATGCTGCATGGGCAAAGGAAGCACGCATCTTACCGGGATGATAATTGAAACTCGCGCATGCTCCGTGTCGCTGAGCCACCCTGGTTGCTCAAGGGTGTGCTTTGCCTGGCGCGCTGCGATCAGGCCCCCGCTCTGCAACACAAGCCGCTTCCATTCAGCGCATGCGGTAGACCACAGCTGTCAGGTGGACAAGGCAGGTGCAGCACTTCTTGGGTGTGCATGCGTGGCCACACTCTTGGCTCACCACAAGCAATGCCCTCATCCATAGGCGTCTTCGAGGGTTGTTGTGCTCTTCAGAGTCTGTACTAGCATGCCTTCCACCACCGCCACCTCCTGGGCCTTGTGAGCCCCCACCGGTGTCACAAAATAGTGTTACCCTTCTTGGAAGCTTCCCCAACCGCCAGCTGCCAGCGGCCTTGAAGAATGGCCTTGAGCAACCACGGTTGCTGAAACTTTGGAGACTGGCCGATCGCTGAAATGTCATGCTGGATCAGGTATATCATCCCAGAATCGCATGCTCCGTGCTGGTTGTTATTAACTATTGTGCGAAGGCCGATCCTCGCTAGTTTTTTTGTAAGGAATAAGTGCTAATACTTTGGCGCAACACTTGCTCTCGCTATAGCTCGACCTTCGTCAAATATCAATTCTCCCGATCACAAAACGAACACAAGTAGTCATTTTTCGAGCACATTTCAAATTAGAAGGTTGCAAAAGTCAATAACAATAACCATTCTACAAGGTGCTGTGCTGAAGAGCTACATTTCTGGCCAAGATACTTCAGCATTACCAACCTGGAGGTACAGGATGCGTCATCAACTATACAGGATGCGTCATCATATATGACATCAGAAACTTTGGCGCGGGTGACTGGGCGGAATAGGGCACCCATGTGAACGCATGTGACTTTCTCTTCTGCAGTCGTCAAGCCCAAGGAGCAAGGCTCTTCTAGCGGCTCTAAAACATAATTGCGCTACGGCTTGTGAATGCGCGAAGTGTTCATTCCCTGACGCGCAGTACCCTCCATGTGCGTGGGCCGACAACTCCCGAGGATGCACATTCGCAGCATCCTCATCTGTGGAGCGACCGGTCACCTGGGAACTTACCTAGTGAATGGACTATTGGAGTCTCGCCACGACTTCGACGTCTCAATCCTGTTACGGGAGACCAGCTTTCAGGTGGACCGCGCAATCTGTAGGATGTGCCCTCCTGAAATGCTGAAGATTTTGTTGCTCTGCTAGAAGGGTTGCTGCATAACGGACGTTATCTGTGACCGACTGTGGCTCTTCGCAGGAACCCTCGAAAAAGGCTATTGTTTCAGTCTTAGAAACTAGGGGTGCAAAAGTGGTCTTCGTGCCGGACGTTTCCTACACTGTGGAAGGCCTGACAGAGAGTCTGCAAGGTAACGATGCACATTCTCATCTCTTTGTGATTTCCATTAGAGCAGGATTGCAGAACTGTGCGCACAAACGGCTTCCCTGAATATGTACTGCCATGCGCTCAGGATTTGATTGCGTCGTAAGCGTTTTGGGCACCCCATCAGTAGGGTGCCAGTACATGCTTCTGGAGGCTGCACGACGTGCTGGGGTTCAGCGGTTCATCCCCTCAGCTTTCGGCTTCGACGCAGACAAGCTGCCGTATGTCTCCCTTCTCTGACTGTGATGTCACAGAAGGACTAGTTTTATGCGCAAGAGACAGAGGCACTTCAACAGCCATTGGATGCTTTCTTGAAGAGAAGAAATGAACAACACGATGATCACACTGTATGGTGCTGCAGGCCGGGGGTGCACCATGTGTGGGATGCTAAAAGGGACTTGATCAGTGCCCTGTTTGCCAGCGGCCTTGATTACACAATCATCAACGCAGGAGTCTTCTTCGAGACCTTCTTCACGCCGTTTTTCAACTTTGACCCCCAGAACAAACAGGCAAGCCCCCATTTGTCCGTCATCTTTCTGCTTTGCGGTGTGACTACCACACCACTCAAAACCCTGTCTCCTTAGAGAGCATGCATGAATCAGCCGTCCTAGCTGTGCAGGTGCTGATAAGGGGAGATCCTGATGTGAAAATGTCGATGACGTCCTGCAAGGACATTGCACGCTGGCTGCCCAACATACTGATGGACCCGGCAAGCAAGAATGCCACAGTGAATGTCTGCAGCCAGGTCATTAGCATGCGGGAGGCTCTGGAGATTTTTGAGGATGTCTCAGGCAAGCAAAAAGTATTCAACTTCTGTGCAATAGAAGCACAAATCAGCCAAGGGGCGGTGTTCTGCAAGTAGGCCATCATTTCTCAGGCCAATGTGTGTCTGGAGTCAGCAAGGCTGGTAGTCTTGTACCCTGATCATGACTTATGGCTGACTCATGTTGTGCAGGGGAGTTGTTCCATGTGGTGCTGCAGGGTTTTGACAGCCCGTCGCCCAGGTTCGATGCGCAGGAAGGCTGCTGGTTTGACTTCAAAGAGTGCGTCCAGTACATTATTTCCCAGGGCTGGGCCACAGTTGACAACCCCTGGAATGTCGCCCGCGGCGAGTAAGTTCCCTCCCTGCCTGATCTCTCTTGCCCCAATCATGCTTTTGTGAAACAGAAATTTCTGGAGCAATCATGCTCCTCTGAGAACACATCTGGAGCAACTTTTAGCAGCTTTTAGCAGAGTCTGCATGACAGGGGAACTAGCACTAGGAAGTGCTAATCCCCGGTCATACTGACACACTGTTTGGCAATGGCTCATCAGTGTTGTTCACTTCTTTGAAGCTACACAACAACAGGAGCGAATGGGGTAACAATGGGGTAAGTGCTGAAGCAGGAATCGAAAGAGGGGCTGATGGGGTCTGTGGCATGCAGGCGCTCACTGTGCATGCAGGAGCTTGCTGGACGAGCCATGACTTGCCGCCTGCCTGCGCTCGCATATCTGGCCCTGGGCGAAGACAAGACAATGCACAGCCCATCCCACCAGCGGCTGGTGCGCAGCACAAATGCAATCCATGTAGAGAGCGTCCTGAACGACGACTTTCCCTGGCCCCTACTCGCTGCAAATTGCGGCTGATGGCCAAATCCCATCAACCACGCTGGTGAAGCCATGAGCTGCGTTCCGCTCTGGCAGCATTTTGGCCTGAGAAGATTGGTAAGGAGCTTTGACTTTAGGATGCTCAGGTCCTTTGTGGCCTCCTCACAATGGCGGGAAGAAGGTAGTTCACTCGCTGCAGAGGGCTCTGTTTGTTGGGCCCTCCAGCCGAAGTGAATTTGGTGCCAGCTTGTGAGGTGCGTGTGAGCATAAGGAATGAGAGGAGACAACAGTAGAGGCATTCTCATTTTGCGCTGCGTTATTGCGACAATACTGCTCAATTGATTGAGGGATGAAGAACTGACGGGTATCTGATTGTCCTACAATGGAGGGAGATGATCTTTGATGTGCCATGCAGTTGTATACATTGCACAGTGCACATCTTTCTTGTTGACTTTGCACTGTTCTATCTGGGTTTGCATGCGCGGCCAAGAAGGCATGCTGGTGTATAAGAAGATGATGGACCACTGAAAAGGTGTTTTCAAGTGTGGACTGTTAACCCTGACGAGGAGCATTGATTTGCATGTGTCCCACTGTGTAGCTTTTTAGAACTGACTGCGCAACGTGACCATCTGTTGAAAGACTGTTGTGAAACACTCCGGGGTGTGGAGATCTAGAATATCTGATTGTTGGTGTTGTGCCCCTGTATCATAGATGACACCGCGGTGCCTACGATGAACTTTAGGGCTCAAGATTTAGTGAATGGCCATGATGCTGACATGCATTCCTATTTATAGATCATGAACTTAGGTGGCATTCCGCCACTGTGGCAGGATGCAAATGCACACCTCAATTCCCTTGTTTAGCCAGTCGCAGGGGATTCTAATGAGGGATTGAGAGTCCCCTGCCAGTCGGTTGGCCTGAAGGACGCATGCTTCGGATGCGTCTGCACAGCAAGGAAACGTCCTGACTGTCATGTAGGGATTTTCAATGTGTAATTGCCTGACGTCCGGATACATTGGGTTTCATATCTTTCTATAATTTCAGCTGGACTTATTAATATTGCAAGTAGCTGAGACGCATTTGACTCATGTAATGTTGGCATGATGGTCGTTGTTTAAAATTGGTGTGCCTGCCAGCGAGAGCTGCAGGACATGATGCATGTAGGCCTCTTTCTACTTAGTACACTGTTGGCAACCAGGCTGGCAGCCTGTGACACCCAGTACAATGGTGCTGCATGCCATGCCGTGCATGCATCGAAGCAAAGTGCATGGAATGGGTACCTTGAGAGTAAACCGTGGCACACGGCAAGCCATACAACCTGATAAACATCACTCAGCTGCGGAGCTGGGCCACCAACTTGGTGGCCTTGTAGGCGTTCAAGTTGAGGCCGGGCCCCAGGCTGCCATAGAGTTACCAGGCAGCAATTGACTCAAGGCACTAGTGCCAAGGCTGGGTGATGGTGCAGGGCAGTGTCACCTCCCCTGACTGCACAAAATGACGCCAGCATGCTCGATATCCTGCTATCCGAGAGAGAGAGAGAGAGATTACACTTTTTCCAGCCACACAGGGCTGATTAAGCGTCCCACATACCTCAAACCATCAGTAGCACACACGTCATGAATACTCGAAAATATGCATCCCAGAACGCAGACAAGTATCAACTGCCAAAAAGGACTGCAGGCTGCTTGTGGATGTATGTCGGTCCAAATCAGCGACAAGTTAAGGGCAGGACATGGACGCAAATCACAGGCCAAACAGATTGTGCGTGCTGCGGGTAGGTCCAGCCATTTGCTGTCATTGTAAAGACTGCCCAGATCCTTGCAATAACAGCGCTTCTCGGTGAAACAAGCAAGGGGGGTACCCAATGCCCCACAATGCTTGCCGCCACCTGTATTGCTAAGCTACTACACAGCAGCATGTAGACCCGTACCGAACCAGCAATGCAAGATCACCAAACAGATCCTAAGACCTGCACTTGCACTGTGGATCAAGTACCCCCACAAGGAGCACAGCTGAGTGGTTTGCAAAGGCACACCTGGACTGGCAGGTGTTCAAGGAGCTGCAATCAGGTGAAAACTGCAGGAGGTTAGACTGAGATCTCCTCAAAAGCCCCAATACAGCTTGTACGCGCTTTGTCCTAGGTTTGGACCAGGACCCTGAACATCCTGCCTGGGTTTGGCAGGGCACACACAAGAACGCAACACCGCAAAACCTGCTTGTTCTGTAAAAGGTCTCATGGCCATTTCTATTATTGCGGTCGATTCTTCGCGTCAGACAATGATGCAAACAGCCGTCGCATCCTTCTTTTACTGGTAATGGCGGCTGGCGGCTGTTGCCTCTTCCGCCCCAACCAAAGATTGGCCGTCCTAGATATTCTTACTACTGCGTCATTAAGATCAATTTATTGTTATGCTTCCCAGCCGCTATCGCCTGGCCTCTGTCTGCTCCACTTTTGTATACCCACAATGTTGCTGTCAGGGCCGCCTCTGTTGAAGCGTCGCTTTATGCCCGGCGATTATTTCGTCTAATTACATCCTTTTCATTGAAACCTCTGTGATGTTGCCTGGCTGCTGAAGCCCGACCCAGTTGATCAGTGGTTTATGGTGATGCCGTTAACTGTAAAGGGCCGCCTCTATCGAAGCACCTTGCCCAGCCATTATATATGTTGCCATGATTGTCGAGGAGCCGGATCCCGAAGGACCCAGGCCCCACCCAAAGACGATGGTTTTTTTGTAAAAAACAGATAAGAAGGCACCCTGTTTCCAAAAAAAAAATAAGTGCCCTTCTGGGTGCATGCCACATAGAGGGGTTGTGGGCCTAGTCTGGCACATGTGTCCAAGCTAGAGAGCTTGGATGGCAAATGAGGCCATTTGCGAGCACTTTATCGATAGACGCCGACAACATTCAGCCTGAGGGCAGTCGAGTGACCATACTGCAGGCTACTATTGGTACATCATATTCACCGGCTTGCTGCGCTCTGAAAGCGAGAAGCTGCAATATCGGCAGATCTGTCTCCCGACAGTGTCCTGCTGTAGAGTTGCCTTACCGTTGACATTAAGCAAAGTCTGAGACAGTAAAAAGACCAGTAGGTAGCTACAAAGAAGCGTACACAAGGCTGCATTAACACGGTCCAATTGTCAGCTGGGTCTGCAGCGTTAGTACATTGCACATGTAGGAGCGAGGTTGGGGGTCCTTCACAGACCTTGTGAGGAAGTGAAGCAGTCTCAGCCAATACGAAGGTAGTTTTCGACACAAATCATGGCCGCCGTGGAGGTAGTCTCTCAGAACGAAGCTTCGCTCGCTCAGATCCGCACTGCCCAGGTAGATTGCCCTCCTTATGTCCTGGCCAGCTGTACATACAAATCACTATTTCTGCAAGATATCCTGCGATTTCTCATAAGCATTGTCTTCTATTATAGTAGGACATATTTGTTCTGTGGGTTGGGGGTGAAGAGCAGATCATCCTAAGATCGCCAGCAGATCTCAATCCCAGATTGGCTGTCAACTACCCTGTATGGAAGCCGTGGGTCTCTTAATATACTTATTAGCACATTTCTAATGTTTACATTGCTTTGAGGTGTTTACAATCCATTGCCTTTGCTGCTCTAGTATTGGGGTTGGGCACCTTGGCCCAGTCAGCGTGGGAGGCGTTAGCAGCTTTTGCACTGATTGAGAGTTTAATGGGCATCAAAGGCGAGTTGGGAGCGTAAACAGCCTGTCAGATCCGGATTCGTTGACTAAATCCACCACCATGCACTGCAATAGGGCCTAAAGTGCTCGTTCTGAACTCGCACACCATTGGGACCACACCCCTCTGGCCTTGACGGTTTCACAGAGGGCCTTACAAATCTTTGTGCTTTGCAGCCGGACATGTGTTGGGTGTGCCTGGGGGAGTCGACTTCGAGCGAGCCGCTGTGCTGCCCCTGCAAATGCCCGCGGCCGGTGCATGCGCACTGCCTAGCGCGCTGGCAGCTCCACTCTGCAGGCACCAGGTACGGATGCGCCACTTGTAGCACAGCACTGTGGGGGCCTGCTCCTAGGCCAGCCCCAACAGGCTTCGCATTTGTTTGCAATGCAACCCGGCCAGTGAGGGACATTCTCAATGATGCCTGCTCCTTCAATCTCATTAAGAAGCCCTCTCAAGAGCTTGGCATTGATGCTCTGAATTAGTGTGATGCAGCTGTGTGAATTGCATGAGCTCTTTCCAGAGGGATCCAAATTTTCAGGTGCAGCGGTGTGGCACGTACTCAGAAGGGAGGCAAAAGAATTTATCTGACTGATTGGGTCATGCATTGCAGGGAGGAGACGACATGCAGATTCTGTGAGGCGCAGCTGCCGGACTGGAAGCCAATTCTGACACCCTCAGCTGAGGAGGTCGCTAAGGCTTCACCCACCATGAGCGTGACCTTCAATGGGCAGGTGACATGCTTGGTCGTCCTGCTGACTCATTTTCACTGCTGACTCCTGCGAGTATGCAATTGCCTGGCAAGTGGGCAGGTGCAGCAACAGCTGCTCAACACTGCTCTGACATGCGGTCATCGTTGCTTGCAGGTGCACCACGTCACGGTGAAAGGGGGGCCGAACGGCTACTCGGACTTCATCAGAGACATCCAGAGCATCTTCGGCATCACCACAGAGCATGACATGCAGCTGGCCTTCGACTGCGCCGACCCCATTTCAGGTGAGCAGGCGCGGCAAGACCCCGAACAGACTATTGTCAAGGAAGGTTTGGAGCCCTGCTCCCTTATGCTGCACACGCCAGAAGCCTGTCACCCCACCTCCTGTTTGGCGTGTTACAGCATCTAATCCTCAGGAGGCAGGACATGAGTGGCTGTTGCCTATTGCCGCTTTCCCTCCCACACAGCAATGAGTCATTCCTGCGCTCGTGCAGAGCATATGTGCGGGCACACAAACGCAGAGAACCATCATGGGATGTGCGTTGAGCGGTCTGCTCCGTGCTTCTGCGCAGGCCAGCTTTTGAAGCTGAACGGCGCGGGCGCGTACCAGGCGGCGGTGCACTGCGCCACGATCTCGGCGGCCAAGCGGCTGCGCGGCTGGTCCCGGCAGCGGCGCACCGTCGCGCCGGCCGCCCCCGTGGCCGACGCGGAAGCGCTGTCGCAGCTCGAATCCCCCTCGACGCCCCCCCGCCACATGCCCAACGCCCATCCTTGCTGGGATTAGGCGCCTGGAGTGTATTTAGCCGCCCCCGAACTGGTATTTAGCGAAGAGAGCGCAGCGACATGGTAGCGCGCTGGAAGCCCGACGAGTGTCTGTCTTGAATGTGGGAGTCACAGGGGCTGTGTGGGTTTGAGGGGTGTCTGCTCCTGGCGATGCACCTGTGACGTGCTGCCATTGTCGGGCTTGTAGAAGTGAAAGGCGCACAACAGGTGGATACTTTGAGAGGGGGCAGCAGTAGGAGCTGACAGGCTCAAAAGCATATGTACAGATTTCACTGTTACTTTCTCGCTCAGGTGAAGGAGTTGGGTAGCAGCCATAACGTTAATAGCTTAAAATCTGCTGTATTCTGAAGTGTGCTATTGCACAGCCTAGCGATTCTGTCCAGTGCCTCAATGGACAAGCAGGTTTTATGTTCTCACATAAGATACTGAGGCAGCGCTCGACTGAACAACTGAGACAGTTTTCCCAAATTTGACTCTGGAGCATAACCCTGCTTCCTCTGCAAGCTGTGGAAATGCTCTTGCCCCCTTTGACTCCGAGTCTGTCTGTCCGCCAACATTGCAACCGATTCAGTGACTTGAGTAGACAGTGTGGTTTCAAAGTAGCATTGCTGTTGCATCAATCGACGTCCATGTCAAAAGCCATGAGTGACTGTCCTTGTACTCTTGCCAACATCACCTGATTGAGCCTGCATTTATTCGGATCCAGTGCACTGCCTAGATCAGCTTCAGATGCGCGGCTGATGCATGAACTGTGACTGGGCTGTGACTGGCCAGTGACAGAGAAGTATTGAGTAGCAGAGTCAACCTTAGTTATTGGATTGAAATTGTTTAACATGTATGTATGAGATGTCTAAGGGAGATCAACAGCATTATATCATGATCACGCTGGACACATGTCACAGCGTATCCTGTAATGAAATGCGAGGACACCCATTTATGGACCCACAAATCGCTGGAAATTCATCCTGGATGTGCTGTTCAAACCGACTTATGGATTGGCCATCTTGTGGATCAACGAGTGCAAAAAGCTCCAGGCATCTCTTGGCAGCAACCCCTTCTTGTGCACATCAATGAACCAAGCAAGCTGAACAATGCCCATCGTCCAGAACATGTCAATATTTTCGTCCCTGAACACTTTGCCTAAGCAGGCCTCATGTCAGGTGATGCTCCACATATTGGAGTGGAGGCAGTGTCGTCAAAATAATACCGCTAGGACTCATAGAAGTTCTGGTGATATTGGTCAGTGAGTGGTACAAGTGTTGTTCTGCACAAAGGCGGTGCCTCGCAAGTTACACATGCTGAGTGCAACGCTGCAGTGGCTGACTGTGAGCCAAGGTCCGTCTCAGACTTTGCCCTCCCTTTTCTTCTTCCGCAATCGCATCAGCTGAGACTTTGACAGCTTAAGGCCCTCCTGCTCAGGCTCTGCCTTGGCAGCGGCCGGTCTCGCACTACTTTCCAGGGTCAGCTGCGCCTGAACTGGAACCGCAGCTGCTTGCCTGCGCGCAATGAAGCCACCAGCCCAGTCAGCCATGGTCATGACACTTCTGGCCACCTCAAAACTCAACGCAAACACCATGGTAGATTGAGCACGTACCAAACTGGCCAGTGACACAGGTCCCACAAGCTCGCATATCTGCATGATGTTTTGAGGCAAGCATGTGACCCGCTCAATTGCAAGGAGCAGCACAGAAGGGGCACCTGGGAGAGGCGGGGAGAGTGCTAGCGACGGGCGGTGCATGTGCAGCGCCGTTAACGCCTGCAGCTGCAGCCTGTTGAGGCAGCGGCTGCCTCGGCTGCGCCACTGCTCTGGGGGCAGCAGCTCGAGGCTGTGGGTTGGAGGAGGTGGTCCTCTGCTGGGCCGCTCCACCTCCGTTGCTGCGCTGGCTGCTGTGATGCGGCTGTGCCGCGCGGCCGTTGGTTTGCGCGTGGGGCACCCTCCCGTTAGCTTGCTGGTGACCCTGAATGCAACATCCGCACCATTGCAGACTTGCGGGTGGAGAATTCATACATCACCTTGCTGGTGCCCCGGGATGCAACATCTACCCACTGAACGAATGTGACACCACATCAGGACAGGCTTCCTGATGCCCCTGGATGCACCATGTACAACTTTGTGCACTGGCGCGTTGGGAACTCTCATGTCAACTTGCTGGTGCACCAGGATGCATCATCTACAATATTGCATGAATGTGACACCGGCATGAGGGTAGTGCTCCACCCCCAAGTGGTGCGTCGGGCATGGGAGATGATGGGATGCTCACCGGGGATCTCTGCTGGGGGTAAGCGGCCTCTGCTCTGCGAGGTTGGGTCTTAGTGGTGCTGGAGCTGTTCCCATTGTAGCCTCCACCGTTGTAGCGGGAATACTCCGCAGGGAACTCAAAGTGCTGCAGTGCAAGCATGGAGCACGCTCAGCAAGTCTCCTCGAAGGTAATGCTTATTGAAAGATTATCTTAAGCTATAGTGTCTATGTTGAATATATAAGTAAGCTGGAGTTTACCGCCACTGTGGGGGGCTGCATCTGAAGGGGCTTCTCAAAGGGTCGCTGTGGAGGGTGCTGAATGAAGCCCGATCCAACAATATTTGGGTTCTGCGAGAGCAACAAAGAATTTGAGAATTGATTTCAACGTTACTGACAGGGCCAAGAAGCAACTGCCAGGATCAGAAGAAACGATGAACTTACAGAGATTTGGACAGTCATAGCATCAATCCGCTCCTGCTCTGTCCGATATTGCCCCATTTTATTACGGGGTACTGATGCTGTACAGAGACCGATATCTGGAATGCAGCAATCCTTCTGTGATCTCACCAAACATCAGCCAGTTACAGCATCCAGACGATGGCGTTCCTGGTGGCCACGTCAGCCAATGCCCCTTGGCTGAGCTGGCCAACTCCCTGAAGAGGACTGAAATGGAAAATTTCGCAGGCAGTATCTGCGATGCGGAGGATCATGATCATGCACGTGAAGGCCTGGTAGCTCCTCACCGCAGCGCGCACCTAATGCTGTTTTACCATGCATGCGTGTGCACCAAGTGACTGCATGCCAGTGGTCTGTGTCACCGTCTGTGGCACCGTCTGAGTCATCCTGACAGCCTGTCTGAAACTGCCATAGTGACTGGCAGTGCATGCATCTTCATCACGATTATGATGCTGGTGCATACTATGTACATGTTGCCGGCACCGGCTGCCAGCTGCATGCACCGTGCTCTCTGTGACAGCGAACCGCATGCATCCGTGACCGCTGATTGATGCATGGAATATTCGTGAATGCCCACATGGCAGTCACAGAGAGCATGCTGGGAAAAAAATAAACAGTCCCCCTAGGAACAGGCCTGAAAGTCAGTGAATGAAGATCGTGTGTGTATGCATGATGATCACGGCAGCAGACTTTTGGAAGAGTCATTTGACTTCCATTCAGTGCAGGCTGCCGCAGCGGCCAGAGTGGCGGCCAGTGTGCTTTGTCAAATTCCTTTGAACATCCTTACTAAGAGTGATGAGAGTTTTATGGGCTTGAACAAAGACACTCCGAGCTGTGCAACTTGCATGTAGGCCTAGGATGATACTAGCTAACCACTGATCATGCCTGTCTTTCTTAGAGTATTTCTGTACAGTTGCACAGTGCGGGTCAGATGTCCACGATGACAAAGACCTCCGCATCGTTGTCCTTTTCGGTGATCTGCATTGCGCTGTACGTAATGGCCTTGATCTCTGTCCCAGATGCATGTTGGCCCCTCACAAAATTCTCGCCCTTCCTGTGGACATACCACCCCCCTTGCTGAGGCTCCAATTTATCCAGGACCAAGCCGTTGTTCACAGGCACCAAAAAATCTGTACTATTGAGTAATCCTTAAAGGGCGATGAGTCCATCATGACAGAAGTGTCCTACCCGCAGGCACGTATCTTCCATGTTTCCCGGTCGAGGTGGAGCACTTCAAGCTCGCAGCAGACCAGCAAGTCTGTGGAAAAGACAAAGAGCAGCTCATCTAGGAAGTTGTACAGCAGCGACTGCTCATCATGCCCTTCGACCTCAAAATCCCTGCAGACACAAGTTCAATGTTTCTCTAATGGCATCACAGATGCAAGAAGCCTGTCCAAGAACTTGTGCTGTCTGCTGGGACAGGTATTGGCATCTTCCTTGAGGACAGGAGCGAGAGTGGCACACACCAGGTGCAGGATGGTACAATCTCAGTCAAGGGCGTCATGTAATTGTACATGCCAAGGCCTGCATTGGCAAATGCTTCCTCCAGGTTGGATCCCCCTGCAAGAAGCATCAGGCTTGCATCTGCATGTCCTGTGAGGATTGCCAATGTTCAATGAGATTATGTAAAGGTAATTTGGGAAGGTTGAAGCCTCACAAGCGTGGATTTGAATGTCAGCTGTGTGATCCAAGTCTGCAACCAACCACAACTGTAAGTGGAGGAACCATGGACGCATTGAAGAAGAGCACTCAACCATAACATGAAAGTGTGCTCTTGCAAATTTCTCTTCATTTCTCACATTCGAATAGAAAATTCCCCTCAGCAGCAGATCTGTAGCTTGGCTGCTCCCCCATCCTTTCTTCCTCTAGATCTGCAGATTTGGCGCTGCAAGGATCCTCAGGCTCGTTCCTTAGGTCATCATGAAGCGTTAGCAGATCTCTCTTTCTGTCAGCGCTGGCTGTATCAATCTCAGCATCAGTGGGATTATCGTTTGGCGGAATGCTTTCGTCTGGAGAAATGTTACACCTCCTCTGCCGGGGCTTTCTCTGCGGCAAAACCTCGTCATCATGCGACTGCATAGTGTTTGCAGATATTTTATTGGTGCGGGGTGCAATACATGTCAATCGAGTCTAGCAAAGTTTCGGCGAGAAAGAGCCAGGAGCCAGCTTCCCTCAACTTCCCCCATGTCTGCTTATGGACTGCCGTGGTGCCAGCAGCTGCACACGATGCTGGGGGTGATCACCTTGGGCGATCTTGGGCGATCTTGGGCGAGCTTGGGCGATGAGTCAGGGAACCAGAAGTCAGTCGAAGCGCCCAGCGCAGGGCAGCCCAGGGCAGTCAGATGAGGAGATGGAGCCGCCCCTCCACGATCTCCTTCTTGCAAAGGTCGAGTCTATGATCCACGGCCTGGAAAGCAAGCTTGACAGTAAGCTGGACGAGAAATTTGGGGCCCTCTTCCCTCAGCTGAAGGCAGAGCTCAAGGCAGAGCTGAAAACCGAGCTGAAGGATGAGGTGGTGGCTGAGCTGAAGGCAGAGCTGCTGCCTCTCCTGCGCGCTGAGCTGGCCAAGGACACGCAGACCAGAGCCGCCTCCAACGATGAAGCAGTGGTGAACAAAGTGCACCATCTGGAGTCTGTGGTGGAGTCTCAGGCCCGCCAAGCCAGGAGTGCCAACCTGATCTGCCATGGTCTGGCAGAGGACAACACAGAGAATGTCTCAGCCCGCGTGGCAGCGCTGTTTGACAGCAACAGCGGCCCCCCTGCTGTTGTCAGCGAAGCTCGCCGCCTCGGTGCCCCCAGCGCCACGCGCACCAAGCCGCGCCCCGTGCTCATCAGCTTCAGCGGCGTGGCAGCCAAGCACGCTGCCCTCAAGCACAGCAAAGCCCTGCGCCAGCGCCAGATTTTCCTGGATCCCGACCTCACCCCGCAGCAGCAGCGCATCCGCGTCAGCATGCGCCCACACTATGTCGCCCTGAAGACAGCCGGCAAGCAGCCCTTCTGGCGCGAGGAGCGCCTCTTCGTCCGGGAGGGCGACCGCGTGCGTGAGCACATGCCTGTGCCTGGGCCTCCCCCGGCTGCCGCGCCGGGCGCCGCTGCCGCCCCGGGTGCTGCCACTGCCGGGCCCTCTCAGGCCGCGCCTTCCTCCCCCGGCCGCGCCGACTCCTACGCCGAAGCAGTGCGCCGCTAGGAAGTCTCCAGCCGCCTATCGCTGCGTATATTGTCCTGGAATGTCAATGGCTTACATGCTAGCAAAATATCCTTGTGGGACACGGCAGCCTATCTTGACCAGTTCGATATTGTACTTCTGACTGAGGCCCGTTGCTTGACCTGGGATGACTCGATCTTGCCTCACCACTCTGTGACTTTCACGGCTGCTAGTGAAGAGGGCAAGGCGGGTGAAGGCATTGTTGTTGCGGTTCGGAAGCACCGTGATTACCACGCACAAGACTGGGTGTCAGACACTGACAGTGCCTTATGGGTGAAAGTGCAGTTTGAGGGGGACTCTACACCGCTGCTGATTGGCTCCAGCTATGTGCCTCCAGCGGGTTCCCGGCAATTGCAGACTGTGGACCTGACCAGTCGATTTACGGGCTTATGTGCAGAAGTTGTTGCCGCTCGTGCTCAGGGCAATGTGATCCTGGCAGGAGACTTCAATGCTCGTGTGTCAAATTTGCCTGACGCTGATGACAGCAATACTCGAGGCTGCACTGATGAAGGTGTCAATGCTCATGGGCTGCGCCTGTTAGATTTTTGCAAGGAAACTGACATGCTCATATGCTCTGGCAGAGTGCTAGGAGACCTTGAAGCAGTGCCTACCTTTAAGGCCAGAACCCATACTCAGGCAACTAGACCTGATCATGTTCTCGTTTCCGCTGATGCGCTCCCCTTGATTTCTCATCTTGTTGTGAACACTGGTAGAAAAGACTCTGATCATCATCCTATTGAGATGACGTTGCAAGTGAATGTGGCTGCCAGTGTTCCCTTACCATGTATTGGGGCGCCATTGTCACGAGTGAAATGGCAGCCCAGTGCTAGGAATGCGTATGCTGCTGTTTTGCGCAATGTTGCCAGTGCAAGTCTTGACGCCTGCACAGGCCATGCTGTGGCTGGGGAACTTGATGCAGCCTTTCAGACCCTGGAGGCGGGGATCCGGGAGGCCGCAGCCGCGAACAGCATGCCGGCCCGCACCGGGCGCCATCAGCGCAAGGCGCGTGCCGACGCGCCCTTCTTCGATTCGGAGTGCCGCCAGCTTAAACGGGACGTCCGCGCCCGCGCGCGGTGCGGGGGCGATCCAGCCGAAGTGCGCGCGCTGGAGCGTGCCTACCACAACACCGTCCGCCACAAACGGCGCGCTCACCGGCTCGCGCAACTGCGCCGCCTGCTTGATGATTTGCACAGTGACCCCCGAGCCTTCTGGAAGCGGCTCAAGTCTCAGCAGTCTGATATACCTGAGCAGCTCAAGCCAGTGCAATTGTGGGCTGGCTATCTCAAGCGGGTTGCAAACTTGCAGTTGCCACTCATTGCTGAGCTGCCCCACTTGTCTTTCCCTGTCCAGCCCAGTGCTCCTGTTGCCCATGTTGATGCTCTCAATGCACCCATCTCTCTTGGGGAGGTGCTTGCTGGGCTCAAAAGTTTACACAATGGTCGTGCCACCGGAGTGCAAGGTTTACCAGCTGAGCTGTTTCGGTATGCAAAAGATGAGCGGGCGCCAGGCATGCCTCCTCCGGAAAATGTCCTGGCGCATGCTTTGGTGGCTGTGCTGAACTCTGCATTTGTGGCTGGGCAAGTGCCACCCTCTGTGAATGGTAGCCTGATCACCCCTGTGCACAAGAAAGGCAGCAAGCTTGACATGCTCAATTATAGACCCATTGCCGTTACTGAGCCCATCATGCGCTTGTATGCTGGCATATTGAATTCTCGTATTCTGAAGTACACAGAGGGGGCTGGATTGCGTGCAGCCACACAGGCTGGCTTTAGGCCAAAACTGTCTACGGCCCACCAGCTATTCACCTTGCAGCATTTTATCGACCGGCAAAACCATGCTAAGCAGCCCTTGTATTGTTGCTTTCTTGATCTGAAGGGTGCTTATGACAGAGTGAATCGGGTGTTGCTCTGGGAGAGTCTGCGTCGCCTGGGCATTGATGGCCACCTGCTCTCTGCCATTCAGTCTTTGTATGCCAATTCTACGGTTGCCATTAAGATTGGGAGCAGGAAGGGTCCTAGTTTGCCCTCTGAGACAGGATTGAAGCAGGGTTGCCCCCTTAGCCCAACGCTGTTTGGCTTGTTTGCAGATGGCCTGCACAGGCACTTGCTGCAGAGGTGCCCTGGGGTTGGCCCGCAGTTGCGTCCTGGCAGTTGTGTACCAGATCTAGGCTATGCCGATGACTTTGCTTTGCTCGCCACCACACCTGCTCATTTGCAACGCTTGATTGATGCAGCTGCTGAGTTTTGTGAACAAACGGGAATGGTCATCAGTGTTGACAAAACAAAGATTGTGGTGTTCTCTTCAAGTTTGCCAGGACCTTTTCAATGGCTTTGTGGTGGTGCGCCTTTACATTGGGTTCAGCAGTTTGAGTACCTGGGTGCCCTTTTTGACGGTGCCCAAGGCATTAATCTCACCTTTGGCAAGCTTCACAGGAACATGTGGGGTGTGTGGGCACAGCTCAAGCAGCAATATGGGAAGTTGCATTGCAGCATGTCAGCTGGCCTGTTGTTGCGCCTATATGATGCATGTGTGCCGCCGACTGCCTCCTACGGTTGTGAGGTGTGGGGCCTGCGCAGCCTTCCTGGTGGCGACAGCCGGCGGGGCCGGGCTGCCTTGGCCTCCTCTCACCTGAAAATTCTGAGAGACATTGCTGGCGTCCCCACCTCTGTGCATGGTGCCATCTTGCTTAAGGAGTTGAATCAGCAGACCCTTGATTGTGTGTGGTGGCGGCGCATTATCAAGTTCTGGAACAATTTGGCTGCCTTGCCTGCAAATAATTTTCACAGGCAAGTGGCCCTTGATGATTGTTGGGATGCCATAACCCGTAATGTTAAGAATTGGGCTTGGGCCTTCATGCGGGGCTTGCGCCGAATTGGGTATGAGTTTGTTATTCGGTTTGACACCCTTGTTCCTGTGGAAGTTGATGCTGTGATGCAGCTGCTAGATGCGCAAGCACTGCAGGTTTGGGATGACATTGACATTTGCCCTAGGACCTGCCCGTCCAGCAATGCCACCTTGTGTACATATCACAGATGGTTTGCTAGGCCAGCTTGTGTGCGCCACCCTTGCCAGCTCTTACAGCAGCCTTTGAGTGCCCGTTGCTTGCGTATACTGTTGAAGTTCAGGATGGGTTGTCATAGTCTGCCCAATGTCTCGGGCCGCTGGGCAAGGATTCCCCGGCCCCAGCGTTTGTGCATGCGTTGTGCCCAGCAGGTTATTGGGGATGAGCGCCACCTTGTGTTTGAGTGCCCTGCCTTGCAATCTGTTCGGGACAGATATCCTGGGCTGTTTGGTGCAGCCATTGTGACGATGCAGCAATTCATGTGGCAGTTGGACATTGTTGGTGTTGCACATTTTGTGATGGATTGTTTTGATTATTTGGATGCTGCCAGTTCATCCAATCAGCCCTAGGCGGCTGGAGTGATGTAATCTTCCTTCCTTCCTTCCTTCCGAGTTTAGCTCCCGCTACCCAGAAGCTTCAACATGCCGTTGGGCACATGTTTGAATCAGGGTCCAGCTACATCATCAATGATTGCTTCCTGGGGACGGTTCAATAAATTTACCTAGTTTTGCGCGTGCTCAGCAAAGTAGTACTACTGGGAACGCTTCAAGTGGCATTTACAGACTTGGTTGGAGCCATGACGATCACAGCAACACTTGGACTTGCAGGCGTCCCGCAATCCATCAGCTACATGCAGCCCAAACTTGCTGCAAGTAATGCAGACATGTACAGATACACCTCTTCAGCTGTGATCACATCTATTGCAAAATTTCCAGAACCCTTCACTCGCATTTTCCACAGGGGCACACCTCTCTGCAAATGCAACGCAGCATCGTAATGAAAACATTTGCAGACGAAACTGGACATCATCTGGACCCGTGCCACCTCACCAAATTTGATTGAATGTTCACCATATTAATATTGAGCATCATCTGCATACCGAAACTCACCTGAACTTTTCCCAGTGCCTGCCTGTCTACCTGCCAGTCTTCCTTGCTCTCTGAGTGACATCATTCTCTCAGCTGACTAATGTGACCTGACAGTGACTTGCTATCCTGACCCTCCATCATCCACCACACATCACGATGCTTCCCTCAAGCCATGCAAAAAAGTCACTCGTGTTTCAACCAGCACAGGCTGGACAAAGTTTTCATGCAAGAGCATTGCGATCAGACCAAAAGCAAAAGGTCAAAATCTTGTATACTCCTATGCACAGCAGGAGCGCATCCCGCTTCAAGAAATGGCGCATCTTGAAGCCGGCGAAAAGGCTACACGGCCATAGGGGAATGTCACTAACTGCACCTGCTCTGAAGACATATCTGTCTAGCATCCACACAATCACCAGATCCTAGCTTTCAGCATCTAATTCTACTTGGTGAGCATTTCAGGGCTCCACCACTCCAGACAATTTCATCGTGACCCCATCTGCGCACTCTAAATCATGATGTAATCTTTGCGTCTTGCCAACTTGCAGGAGTGAGGTAGATCAGCATCTTCTAGAAAACAAATAACTACCACTAATCTGACGGAGATCAAGCTGCTGTTTCTGCATCCTCCCGCACTTGCCAGTAGTTCGTTGCAAGCGCGCCTTATTGGGCACTGCAATCAAATTGAGGAACACGAAACACCCAGGAAGGGCTTTCTGCGATCTGAATCCGCATGACGGGTGGTGAAGCTGCACTGGTGAGATAACAAAAATACGTATAAACAGAGCATAGCACACATTTTGTGGACGTCTACTGCCCAGTCCGACATGCTGGAACATGGTACATGACACCAGGACCCGAACAGTGGCAAATTCAAGAATCCAGACCAGATTTCAAAGGTTGACTCTGCCTTGTACATTGGAAGTCCTGCTGGTGCTCCTGTTGCATGGTGCTGCCTTGTGAAGCGATGTAGGGCAGAGTAGGGGGAGCCCTCAGTCTGCAACCCATGAAACACATGCTATTCAGGAGAGACATCTGCATGCCATGTGAATGCAGGCTTGTGCAATAATGGCAAAATAATTTCCATGATAGAACATGGCGCTGTGCTAGAGCTGCTTCTCACTTGCAGTCTGCTGCCTTGGTGGGCGGACCTGATGAAGTGCGTTTGCGTGTGGTGGGAGAAGCAACGCTCAGCTGCGCAAGCGGTTCCCTCAGCGGCTCTGCTTCTTCACCCTGCAGCAAGGCAACAAAATATGCTTTTCATTCTCCATCCAACAAGTGTTATACTCGTGACGCATTGCAAGCAACACATGGAAGACTTTTCTGTCTTCCCAGGTGGTGATGACCCAGGGACATCTTGAGCGCATCGGACTCAGGTGATGCATGGCAGAGTACTTTATTAGCCCATATGGTAATGGGCCCAGACAAAATTGGGCAGCAGTAAGGGAGGCAAGCTCACCTGCAGCCTCTTTGCCGCGTTGCCTGGCACTCCTCCGACTGGGCTGTTCTCTGCATCAGACATGGAGCTCCCACGGTCATGCATGGGCCTATCCAGACCAGGAAGTGGACTGTCATGCGCTGTGAGACCTTCCTCGCCATGCATCGGCTCACTCTGCGGCATTGGCTGATCTGCGAGCACCTCTGCCATTGCCTCCAGCTCCAGCTCGGCATTCTTGTGCCTGGCCTCTGTCACTGCGCAGACACATGCATGCCATCAAGCACAGGTCTTGCTCAATATTTGAACAGCAAAATGACACTTAGCAGCTGTCCCGTGCCCTGTGCCAAGGGCATTGGACATATTGCAAGACGTTTGCACTCCCAGAAACCTGTTTCCAAAGCATCGACCGCTGAAAAAATGTACTCCTGCATGCCACAGCTCCATTGGGAAGGGATGGAGCACCTGGAGGCACTCTCTTTCCCTTGCTCTCTGTAGACAGGTTTTGATCCGCCAGCGCACTCGGCTGATCCAAGCAGGCGCCCTCCCGTGCTTCGGCCTCGCGCAAATCTGCAAAGTAGGGGTGCTGGAGCGCGCGTTTGGCTGTGATGCGCTTCTGGGGGTCATACTCCAGCATCTGGCGCAGCAGGTCCACGCCCTCTGGGTCCAGCCGAGGCACCACCTGCACATTCAGGAAGGCACATGATGATGTCCCCTTCAAGTCTTCCCCCTTTGCATTCTCATTTGTTCAACACGGCATCTACGACACCATGAACACCGCATGGCATGGACCCTGCATGACAGGGCAAATGTGTATGCCATATTGGTGATGCTGTATGCTCATGTACTTTGGGGATTGTCTCCTGCCTTATGGTGCCGGCAGTTGGACATGGAGGCATGCAGTGAATCACCTGCGCGAGGTCCTGCTGCGGCCACTGGGGAAATTGCGCCTGCCAGTCCGGCATGTTGGTCACGCCGCCCCACACGTTGTCCGTCGGCGTTCCCAGCACCTCAAAGATCTTGAACAGCTGCCCGATCTGCGTGCAGCAATGCCACTCACGGCCTTGAACTCAATTTACAGTCTGCTGGTATGTTGCTGTCTGCCTCATGAAGTCTGGGAGCATGCAGGGTGTGCCACGTGAGGCTCAGTGAGTCTTGAGAGGTGGCAGACCTCGGAGTCTCCCAGGAAGATGGGGGTTCCATTCACCAGCTCTGCAAAGATGCAACCGATGCTCCACATGTCCACGGGTGTGGAATACAGCTGGGAGCCCAGCAGGATCTCAGGCGCCCTGTAGAGCAGTGTCACCACCTGTGCACAGCAGAAAGACCTCCGTCCCACCCTGGAATCACAAGACATGAAAACGTCTGGAAGGAGGGGAGCATGTATATGGTTCTGCATGTTCAACCTCTTGCACAATTGAGGAAGGGCACCTCACCTCATGTGTGTAAGGGCGAATGGGCGGTGTGAAGCAGCGTGCCAAGCCGAAGTCTGCCACCTTGATGGTGCTGGAGGCTCGGTCGATGAGAATATTCTGTGGCTTCAGATCGCGGTGCAGGACTCGGTGCGCGTGACAGAACTGCATTGCCTTCAGGATCTGGTACACGTACGACTGCATGCAGGCACAGCGCAGCAGTCAGTGCTTTGCTCCATCGACAATGCATCTGCCAATCATGAATGAGGCACCAACAGGAGCTCAGCCTGGCAAGTGGTCTGCCACCCACCTTGACGTTGTCGAGGTCAGAGCTTTCAGGATTTTTGTCCATGTGCTCGCGCAGGTCCAGCTCCACATAGTCCATGATGAGGTACAGCCGGCAATTGTCCCACAGGACATCCCTCAATCTGTGCGGATGCAGCAATGCAATGTCAGTAGGCTGGTCTGCATGATTTTAGCCCTGCACGCATGGACTGGTAGAGACCACCTGACCCCCTTTGGCAGCTGAGAATACGGACTCAAGACCTTAAGGAGAAACAAAGGCGTTTCCAAGGTCGAGACCGTGCAGGATCGCTGCAGAGCACTCTCCATGGGGGATGACAGGTCAAGTGTGCACCCAGTAGAATAAACCTTGTCGTACACTTCGCAAGCTCCTCATCGACGTACAGTGCCTATTAGAGGCAGCATCGAGCTCGAGATCGGTAATTCGCTTGCCCAGCGCTTGCTCACCTCACGATATTCGGGTGCTGCAGCTCCTTCAGCAGGGCGATCTCTCGGATGGCATTCCCAGGAACGCCTTCCCCCTCCCTCTCCATCTTCAACTTCTTCAGCGTGATGACTTCACCTGTGACCCTGTCCCGCGCCTGAAAAAGGCGCACATACCCTACCATGAGCCGACCCCACCCATCACAACAATATCTCACGACCGTGGCTCGGACAGCCCCTTGTCAATGCCCTTTCTTTACATAGAAAAAAAATTTAGTGTGCGCTGGAAGGATCAGTCAACGAGGCAGCAAGCGCAGCGCATCAATTTAGGAGAGCGGCTGGCCGCCAATCCCACCTTATACACGACGGCATAGGAGCCCTTGCCTTTCTCCTGCAGCCCGTGGAACATGAGCGCCTTCAGCCGGCTGCTGAGCGCTCGAATGTCCACAGGGTGCGTGAAGCGGCCGTTCTCCCAGCCGAATGAATGCAGGACGGCCGGCAGAGCCACATCGCCCTCACTCTCCTGCAGGGCGTGTTCCACGATCGGCGCCAGGACCTGGTTGATGTCGGATGAGAAGTCCGTCAGGAGACCATCTACTGTGCGGAGCAGTTCCACAAGCGCCTTGCAGCGCTTGGATGGGCCTTCCTCCGCTGCCATCAGGAGGTTGCTGATCGGCGATCGTGAGACGGCATCAGCGCGGCAGGGATGGCGCTTTAGACCAGAGACTTCCTGTCTGACATTCAATTTGCCTCCTGACTCCTGACTTCAGGGAGGCATGTGATTGCGCCTCAGACATTTCGCAGATGCAGCAAAATGCCAGAGGTCCCCCCTGCACCGAGCTGGCCGGGTCACATGCCTTTCCAATGCACACAGCCAGCCGCGTTATGCTGACTAAAGTCATAAAGGCGGGCCACAGGGAGCCGATGCAGCGCCCATTCTTGCATCACACATCTTGGTGGATAGTTCAGACCCTCACGGCAAGTGTCATAGTACTGCATGCATGCGCATGCCGCACGGCAGCCCCAGCGGCAAAGTACATGCCGGCTCCAGTGGCGAAGGGACCTGCCTGGCGAGCATCATGCTGCCATTGGTCAAAATCGTGACATCAATGACAACACAGTGCCACTGGAGCCTGTCACTGCACTGAGTGGTCCTGCTTTCATCGTCACAATCGTGCAGCACTAGTGCCATCATGATACTTACATGAGCAAGTTGCAACGCAAAGCAATCATTATTACATTGATCAGCATCAGCTCATGAGTGTTGCAACTAGTTTAGTCTATTATCTACCAATTTGCGTTTCAAAGAACAGTAACTTTGAAGCATGTTTTCACAAGCACCGATATCATTCAGTCCTCCAAGCTCAGCTGGTGCAGCAGGAGGCCGTTCTTGGCAAGGCCATCACGTGACCAGCGCCCCAGGCGGGGCTCTTGGCCCATGCCAGCCAGCACGAAGCGGCCGCTGCGCGCAATGTGGAGGGAATTCACAAAGCCCCTGGCGGGGAGGCCGCCTATCGGCGAAAGGTTGTGCACGCCTGTGTGCCCCTCTTGGACCGCCCACAGCCGGATGACCCCGTCAGCTGCCCCACTCGCCTGCAGTGCAAGGTGTTCCCCTCAATCTTTGATCCTTCTACTCTGCTCAGCACATGCGGCAGAGATGAAATCCAGGCGTGCTCTCTTGCGGCCGTGGGGAATAGACCGAAGGTCAGCATCAAGACATGTACAGAGAGAGAGAGAAGGTGGTGTTGGATTCAGGATGCTCACCACCAGATCGCTGCCGTGGCACACTGCAACAGACTGCACCCAGGACGCAGCGTCGCCGCCGATGGTGCCGGCACCCGCCGCCGCGTCATCTGCGTCTGCGCCGTTCGTCGGAGGTCTGTGGGCGCCGCGGATCACGCTGACTGGGCGCTTCTTCATCTGGCTCCAAACTGCCAGGGAGCCGTCCGAGGCGCCGCTGAGCCACTGTGTGCCTGTGATGTAGCGCACGCAGTCCACGGCCGGTGCGTGCGACCTGAAGATCAGCTGCGACTCCTCCGGCACCTTCCACACCCTGCAGGTGTGATCGTGGCCTGCCGTCACCGCCCTCTCCTGCGCGCAGCAGCCGACATGCATCAGAAGCAGCACAGAGCCTGGCACATGTGCTTGCCCAAGGTGTCTGAGAAGAGGTTGTCGAGCACTAGCCCCCTATACTGTATATCTTCTTCACCTCCGTGATTTACTGAATTCCATGTAGTAAGCATTGCAGGTGTAAATACCTGGCATTTGGCCTCTGCACAGACACTGGGTGGAGGAGCTCACAAGGTTTTGGAGGGAGTCTGTGGGAGATTCCAGGCATTCAACAGATCTATAATACACAATTCTCGTCTCTGGCAGATTGCTTCTGCACCTGGCGCTGGTGTGCGACAAAGAGAGTCGGGGAATGACCTGCCGGAGTAAGTCTATTGACAGCACTTCGCTCTGGTGCCCCAGCAGAGTGTCCACATACGCGCGATCGTCCAAGCTCCATGTCTTGACCGAGCGGTCAAAGGAGGCGCTGAAGAGCTCGTGGGTGCCCTGGCGGAAGGCCAGCCCCGACACAATATCTCTGTGGCCCGGGAAGCCCTGCGCATCCACCAGGAAAATGCATCACACTGCCAAGATCTTGGCAAAAGTACTTGAAAATTTCTCGCTCCTTGCGCAGCCCTTTCTGCCCACCCTAGCACTGTTTGCAACGGCAGTGGATGAAATAGGGAAGGCTGCGTGTCAATATGGAAAGTGCCGCAAGAGCAGCAGGCTTGGCAGGTGGTGCTCTGGCGCACCTGGATGTGCTCGCGGCTGCGCACATCCCAGACATGCACGCGCTTGTCGCCGCCACCCACTGCCAGGTAGCGCCCATCGTCGCTCACAGCAGCAGCCAGGAGCGAGTTGCGGCCGGCCTTGCGGGGGCCCTTTTTCACCCACTCTGGCGGGCCAGTATCGGCTGTGTCCTTGACGGCGTCGTCTGCTCGCTCCACGTCAAACCTCACCCTGCCAAAACGCATGACGGCCCCACACTTTATTATTTCCCATCATGGGACAGTTTCCACGGCATGGTGGCCCCTGTGGGGGTCTTACTGTCATCATGTTTGCAGGCAGCAGTTGCATACGAATGAATGAAATCAAGGGTGGCACAAGCACATGCATACCTTTTCCCAGACTCAATGTCAGTCTGGAAGATGGATCCATCCTTCGACACTGAGAACGCTGTACAGTCATCCGCAGTGACTGCGAGAGCTGTCACTGGAAGCCTGTGGAGCACAGTGCATCAGAGGGACCTTCCAACCCATCGAGTGCCGCAATGTAAACAGGAGTGAAACGCATGTGATGAGAGTTTGAGCTCTTTGGACAGACCTGTGACATCTTGTCAGCCGTCCGCTTGTGCTAGCCTCAGCAGAGCTTAAATGCCGCAAGTCTGGCAGACGGATCTTGGCTGCAATCTTTCGCTGGAGACGACCCATGCTCTACAGAACAACAGCAACATGCCTTCATTGCCTTGGCATCAAATATGAAGTGCCATGCACATGCCTTCTGATGACAGAATTACCTGCATGTTCTGCTGGTGCAGCTGTTCAGAGATAGCGTTGTGCTCATCTTCTGCCTCATCTTCATCTGCAGTGACATATAGAGTCTGAATGGATGCCTCCAAAGAACTTGCTATAATCACATGAAACCAGGTCCCAGCACATACCTGTTTCTGCGGCCGCTCTGCGCATTCTCTCCAGCAATTCCTTGCCTGCAACGTCCGTGATGTGTGCTCATTTGCGGAATACTTCAACGCCATCTTCTGAAGGGCAAAGGAAGTTCCAGATCAATGATACTGTGATCTGAGGCATGCTGTCTTACCGACGCGAAGACGCTTCTGATCTGCTGTTTCTTCCGCCTCGTCACTTTCATCAGCATCAATTTCATCGTGGTCTGCTTTGTCCTCATCCAGGAAGAAGTCATTTCTTTTGTCTTCAAGGGTGTCTGCACGCCTCTTTTTGCCTTTACCGGCTTTCGTGATACCCCCTCTGCTTGCTTTCTTGGGCACTGGCCGTGCCATTTGGCCAAACAAGGACGATGCTTTGATCTGGTTTTCTTTCCTTGATCGGTAACTGTGGTGGATGTTGAAGAGTAAACTTTCACCAGTGTCCCAGCTCTACTGCTGTTGCGAAGACCTTGGCCTTTCAACTTCTGTCTGTAAAGATCTGCGGGATCTTCAATCAATGGACAAGGAAAATCGAAAACAAATATATCTCAAAGCGGCGACCGAATTCTTTCCGGGAGCAACTTCCGAGAGCATGAGATTTGAGCCTATGTTTGGGCCGTTTGGCGGCCACATGCATGTGTGATGAAGGGATTTTTTTTTGCCAAATTGAAGCAATCTCTCTCAGTTTGCTAATTATGACAATCACAATCCCAAGACTAATTTGGATTTAATTACACCGCGAAATGGCTAGATAACAGCGCCGGCAGCACCGTCACGCAGTGCGGCACCGTGCCATGTGACATGCGAGTCCTCCGTGGGCCACATGGCATGGGCATTGAGCACACTTGATTGACGAATATCCAGGTCGATCCTGATGCCACAGTGACATGACAGCGCCGCGGTGGGCGGCCAACAGGCCTATAGCTACTTGCCTTTCAGCAATAGGAAGTCCCGCTTCATAATTTCGGCGATCTGACAGATGTCACAGGGTATGATGCATCATGATGTTGTTGACATCAGCCCAAGGTCCAACATGAATTTGGCACAGGGAGCTTCCAATAAAAAGGATGTTACAGGCCATCATACCCGGGCCCGCTACGGCACCTCCTGGCATACTATGTAGTATTAAGTAGTACTCCAAGAGTATGAATGCTAGAACCAATAGAACCAACCCAGCTTGGAAAGTCAGTGTCACTATAACCACATGTCCAGCGCACAAGATATGAACACCTTGGACCATTAACATGTGCCATCATGGTACTGTACATCTCTGCCCAGCCCATGTATCTTTGCAGCTCTGCAAAAATGGCTGCTAAAGAAGTCTGGCGAGCCTACACAATGCAATGGCTGCCCTACAGAGGAGAAAATGTCTGCAACAACTCTTCGACAATCCTACTCTCGTCCTCTCCCTCGGCCCCCTGCGCAAGACAAGCACTAACAAAGATTAAATCAGGTGTATCACCTGTCATCATCTGTCAAGCATGGGGTGAGACCCACATAGGGTAAAAAGAGAGTTGCCGTTGCACAACAGGGAAATCGATACTATAAGCAATCGGCAAGGACTACTGCATTGGTGCAGCATGCCAAATAAGATACGAGAAGAGTAGTAAACAAGACTCACTGGTTCCCAGTCAACAACTGGAATCGGGGATTCCAGCAGCATGGCTATGGCCGCTGGCCTCACGATCCCTTGCCAGATAAGAATTTTGGACCCTGGGTAACAGAAAGAGTAGGAAACAACTTACCCCTGCCGGGTGCACCACCGCGGCCGCCTCCAGGCTGCCCATCGCCTCGTCCTCCAGGACCCCTGCCCCTCCCTCTGCCACGAGCCATGGCCGGGCGCTTCTCTGTTGCACACACAGCAGCTGCGATTCAGCAGGGTCAACAGCACGCAACATGCATGCATGAACGTCAGCGCAGCGCCAGAGTAAGGTGAAAAGCTGCCTCGCAGTCTCAATAGAGTGCGTAAAAAATGCAAACATTTCCTAATCCAGGAGATTGCAATCACACCACGGCGGCGACATGCAGGAACGCTTTCAAGACACTTGCAATGTGGAACAATCATGATGCAAAGGAGACGCACCGTCGCGCTTGTAATTCTCCTCCTTCACCTTGTCAATGACCTAAATCAGAAGACAATGTCAGTGGATTGATCTGGCTAGTCCAGGAGAGTCCAGCAGAGTCCAGGAGGTTGCCAGCATCAAGCCAGCCCATACCTCATCTGGTACTCGCAGATACTTGATTGTGTTGCCTCTGATGTAGGTTTCAGGTATTCTCCAGAACCTGTCTCCATCCTGTTTGTGCAGCAACAGATGCATCAGACTCTCAACAATATCCTGGCAAAGCTCAAGGATCAGCAACACGGCGTATGAAGCTTCCATATCATAAATGATTTCACCTTTGATGTGCAGATAACTTCTCTGAGATGTACATTCATCCAACTGTCGCACTGGACCATGTGACCATTGTAAGTCTCTCCATTTTTAAGCTCTACCAGCTGCATCAGAAGTTTTGACGTCAAAACATGTATGAACTGAACATGAACATGTTTGAACACCAGAGAGTGAAGCACACGAGCGATCGGAATATAAGAGTAAACACAATTACCAAACATCTTTCCAAGCCAAAACAAACCAGGACCGAGAAATAGACAATGGCTTACCACAGGGTGTTTCTGTGCTGTTTTGAGAAGAAGCAATGGCAACATCTAAAACTGCTGCAGCTCTAGACTCTTTCCAGGAGAAAGAGTTGAGTGATGAGAAACAAAGTCTCCTTCGATTGCAATTACAGATCTCCTATGGCTCCGAAAGTAACGATTGCTGCTGAACAGGTCAACTAAATTAGAGAACGCAGGGTACGAGAATGACCAGGAATCTGGAACACACAATATTGATTGATGATTTTGTCCTCTCCAGAGCTATTTACATCTATATCGTCACAGTTTCAGCCATCTGGTGAAGCGTGCCCTGCTTTCAAACCCCTGAACTTTAGAGAAATCGAGGGACAGAATTATATAGCCAGCAGGGTTCCTCTTCCACAGGAAATTTCCTTGAAAGTGCAATCTGCAAAGTGTGCTTTTGAATCGTCTCACTTTCTTGATCAAGCCTCTCTTTCGTAGCAAATCGTGTCAGCCAGTTGCTAGGTCATGGCTAAAGCCAAGGAGAACAAGGCGAACAAAACTCAGAATGGTGATGATGCCCCTGTGGCTCCTGGTTCTATCTCGGAGGCCCCTAAGGATGGCGAAGGACCTGTGCTCACAGTCATCACGAAGAGGTTGCGGGCTGCCAACAAGAAGCTCAAGCGCGTTGAGGAGATCGAAAGCGCAAGGGCGGCCGGGAAGACGCTCAATGCTGATCAGGTCTATTACTATGCATACCCGCATCATCCTATGGCTGCTAAGTGCTCATTACACTTATTCAGTCTACAATTCACTCCCGAATAGGCCATCTGTGTCTCGCTGCCGTTCCTCTGGCCACGGACCAGGAAGCCCCACAAGTGATATGCAGGCCCAAGATCTTGCTTGCTTGCTGCCACACGTACACTTGTTGAGGGTGGCAATCAATTGCAAATACTGGATTTTCATCGTGACTTCCGATGAATGAGTCCACCTGTGCACCATGGTGTGTCATTGTGCATACGTTTGTCGAGTGGGGGCAGATAGCATTGCCATTTGGTTGTGTTGCAGGAAGAGGTGCTGCGGGGGAAGGCCAAGGTGCTTGGGACCATTGAGGAGCTGGAGAGGTTGACTCCCCTGCTGAAGGAGGCTCTTCAGGAGGAGCGGTCATCCCTCGAAGCAGCTGCCCAGAGCGCCGCAGAGAAGTTTGCTCGTGCGGTTGCCGAGCAAGAAGCTGCCAGTAAGATTGATGCTCTTGAAGAGGTAAGCTGTTCTGGATGCAGGCCCACTTTGTCTGCCTAGCCGTCTGCACAATCACGGCTTAGTCGGAGCCTTGCAGATAAGCATGTCGGTCGGGCCTGCATTTGGAGTGTACATGCGTGCCTGGTTGCTTAATTGGAGATGTCATGCAGGCCAAGGCTGCGACAGAGCGTTCTGCAGCAGCGGCGCAGGCAGAGGCAGCGGAGGCAAAGCAGCAACTGGCAGAACTCCAAGCTGCACCGAGTGGGGAAGGAGTGGACAGCGCTGTCACTCGCCTCCTCCAGCTCATCTACTTTGCAATGGTGATTACCTCATGTGCTCTACAGCGTTCCCTCCATTGCCTTGGGTGGATTTCCCTGTGGCAATGTCTGTGGCAGATCTATCCAATTTGCAGGTTCTTGACATGAAGGTCTGTCCATGCAGCTTTTTCTGGACGATGGCTCTCACCAGCACCAGTCGGAGCGCAGTGCATGCCGATCCTATGACTACGATGACGAGGGCAATCCGGTAAAGAGCATCCACCTTTCTGACTTCACCATCCTCTCCTATTTATATCTTGGCCCAGTTCAGTGCGCGCAAAGTTTTCTTGAATGAGGCCACCAAAATTGACTGAGTGTTGAAGTGGTTGCCCAGGATGCTGTCCTGTCCTCCAACGACCTGACCCTCATCTCTCAGCTGGGCCAGCTCATCATCCAGCGCTCTCCAAACCAGACTTTGTGTCATCAGGTGCGTTGACCATGCAGGTCCCACATCTGCAGCATGGAATGCGCATCCACTGCTTTGCATCTTTAATGGTGCGCATGCAAGATCCATTGACGGGGTATTGGGCTGTTCAGGACTCACTGGCACACTGCAAGGAGCTGGCGACAAAATTCCTGGAAAGGTCGGAAGAGCTGCTGCCTCTGCTGAATACCAGTGGTGAGATAAGAAGACACCCTAATGCCTTCTAATTGGAAGGACTGCTCGCACATCTGGACCCCACATGTGTATTTCTAGGGTCAAACAGCACCAAATGTGGGTTCTCATGCCTTGCAAACAAATTCCTTATTCGAGTGGGACCCATGTTTTCAACTTGTTATGATTTGTTGCAGCTGCATATGTTGCGGAGCGTCTGGAGCGCGTGCTGAGCCTGGGGTACATCACAGTCGTGCCTCAGGTGGTGCAGCTGCCAACAGACCCGGTGCAGCAGCCAGATGCCAGTTCAGGCATCATTGGCAACGGCATGTATGCTGCCCACGACGAGCCGGTAAGCAATTCATCTGCCATCTGACTGTGGCCCTGTTGCGTTTGTTGTTGGCCAGAGCATTTGTTGTTGGGCAGAGCAACAAAGATACCAATGGTAAGAGTAAGGTCAATGACCGCTTCTCCTGGTGTGCTGCAGATCTATTCTGCTCCTGACGTGCAGCCCCTCAACTCTGCACCCCTCGTCACCGGATTCTCGTCTGCCCCTGCTGAGTACAAGGTGCGCTGCACTGAGTTCGCCTTCTCTTGAGAGATTTTCAAAGACCTAGCAAGGTTTATGGGTCCACATCATGACGCTCTGCTAAGTGTCTCTCATTGTGTTCAGGAGTCCCAGGCCAACTACTTCCCCATGAACCAGGACGCTGTCTTTGCCCCGCTGATGGACGCTTCACCTGCACCCCCCGTCGACCAGGGCGCCCACTACCCCACCGACGCCGCCAACCAGGCCCATCAGCTGAACTTCATGACCGAGAGCAAGGTGCTGGACAGCGCGCCCTCCGGCCACACAGACACCCTGCCCGCACCCGTCGAGCCTGTCGCCGCGCCGCAGGCATCCATGCCCCAGCTGGAGGCGGCCAACGGCTACCCAGTGCAGCAGGCGCCCAATGGCGTCCCGGAGCCCCGCAGCGACCGCCCGGGCCCGGGCCAGAACCGCGGCGGCCGCGGCGGCTCGTACCGCGGCGGGCCCCCCCGGGAAGCGCGCGGTGGCCGGGGTCCCCCCCGCGGCGGCCGCGGTGGACCCCCCTCCGGCCGCGGGAGCGGCGACCTGGGGCCGCGCGGATCTGGCGAGCCCTCCCGGGGCGGCCGCGGCGGACGCGGCGGCAACCGTGGCCGCGGCCGAGGCCCTCCGGGCGGCCCCCAGCCGACCTACGCCGCTGTCTGAGCAGTGCCTTGCTGCGTCATGATCTTTGCAGGATCCCAGCTGCGGTTGGCTGCCAGGCTGCAATTGCCTTTCCACACCATGCACTTGAGGTTGTCAAAATGCCGATGCGCAGCAGCAGGGTGCGGCGCGTTGCTTGTCTTCAATAATTGACGTTGGAGAGCCTAAGTGAGTGTTGCAAGCTGAGCTTTGCAGACACGCGGTTGTGCAGTGTACTTTTGGAATCACTTGTGGGTGTTCTTGTTGTGCTGTCTGGGCTGCAGTATGGAGTTTGAGATCGCTGCCATCTACACTGGAGCTAAGGAAAAGTGCTAACGTTAGACTGTGCGTGTAAAGTCTTGACATCAACAGTGCTTCACAATTGATTCAATCGTTGATGGCAGCAATGTGATGCATATAAACTTAAACCTTGAAGATGCAACCACACAGACATCAGGCCCAGTCACAGGATCTTCCTAGGCCTCAAATTCTATTGACAATTGCAATGCCAAGTTGGCATCCTATGCCAACACTGCAGTGTTCACAGGAGGCATGAAGAATCTATAGGGGACCATGCACCCTGAGGATATACAAAACTGAGATAAAAACAACTACAATCCTTGAAGCAGATCAACTTGTCCACGATGTGACTGTACAGCAGCCTCTGAGAGGAGCTCAACAGCCAGACAGGCGGCTCCAAGAAACATTGGCTAAGTATACCGCTACCCTTCTGAGAGGCACCCTGCACAGATGTACGCAGATACACAGCTCTATGACAATGCCCTGTGATACGATGTCTCGAACCAATGAGCAATCTTCTCCCCCTAAAGGCCGGCTCAGGCTATCGCTGGCTTATAAAATAGTACGAAGGGGTGCATTCAGATGAAACAGACCACCGCAATCTTTCAGCACACATTCCATCATTCGTAAAACCCCTGACCAGATTTCCTCTTTTTCCATTATGGAAATTCTGCTAATCAGGACTGCACAATTCCGCCATTCGGTGTGTGCATGACTTCATCTTTTCCATCTATGACCTCACCTGTCCATAACACAAGACACATCTTTGTGACACCAGCAGCATAACCACACCACAGATCTGAGGAAATGCTTGGCATTATAGGTTTTGATGGAGTGGGTGTGATTGCGTGTGATGCATTTATTGGGTGACGTTGTATGGCGCACCATTTCCGGCTGCTTGGCTCTGCTCATTCGAAGTTCTCAGCCGTTTGATGATCTCTGACAAGGGTACTCTCTGAGGAACAATGTCTGTTCAGGAGAAAACAAAATTACTGAGAAGAAAGGCGATGACAGCACAGGATCAACCAGCGCATGCAGCAAGTCTGGCACAAAAACGGCAGCAAAGTCACTTCAGAAACCAGGAGGAATGTAGCGCTTACCTCTCAGAAACTCTGTTGCAGCCCATTGAGACACCGAAGTTGCTACATCCACACAGACGAGGTTAAGCACAGATTGCAAGCAGGGCATGAACCGAGTACAAAGAGGTACTGTGAACGCATGTCTTGACTTCTACAGTGACTCACCAACATCACCATAGCTGATTGTGTCTCTGTTTTCTGCTAGCGTAACTTGGAATGCCCTCGCTGCCATCGCTTCAATAAGGAACTCCTGCATGCGGTGTTGCAGATTGTCATTGATCACAGAAAGCTCATCAGGAAGTTGAAGGAATGTTTTGATGTCCAGCACTCCAATGATACCCCTCGCACAGAGGGCAGCATACCGTGGCTCTGGCTGCAGCATAGCTGGCATCTGCTGCCACGGCCTTCACATCAGCTTCTTCCTTCATCAGCTTTTTGATGCGATTTAACGGTAGTACCTGCAAGCACCACAGGTGCCTCTCAGTATCCCTCCTCTATTTGTCGACCCCTTCCAGTTATTTTCCAACATAGTTAAATCACTGTCTCACCTCTGCTGGGGCGTGAGATGTCTCAGCTTCTTGAAAATCATGCGTTGCCATCGGTGGATTTAAACAAATATTGTGTTACTGGGAAAGTACCCCTGATGTCTTCTCACAGACTTGGCGATTAGAGCCTCTAGATATGACCCTCAGCTAGGCTGATAATTTCGGTCCAACTATAAGATCTTGATTTGGCTTGAGGGAGGCGACGATGTCCCTTGTGTAACAGTCGCTGTAGTTGTGATCTTTGATCTCAACGACGGCCAGGCTCGCAACAATTTGTAAGCCTACGCCGAGAACCTTAAAAAAGCAAGCACAGCACTCAAGCAAGTATTAAACAATTCTAATCGCTTGAGTGTCGCGGTCGTGGTGAAAGAAATTCCCAGTTGGAGCACTAACCCTGATCAAATCCCTTCGATCGGTTTGCATGCAAGGGTTGGGAAAGTGGTAGAGCATTGAGCATGAATTGCAGACAGTCGTTCTCAGCAGCACTCATCTCCTGATTGGATCCTGACAATAATTCTAATACAGCTCGTCTAGATGAAGTATTGGTGGCGTCGAGGAAGAGGCCGATGCCCATTGATCTGTTGAGAACATTCCCACTTCGTCATCTAGAACCTCATAATACAGAAAGCAGAGAGCCAGAGCCTCGATCCTGTACGTCATAAATATCGTGGCTAAACTTTTCGTCAGATCCGCTTCCATATACTGCTGCTGTGTGGCGTGATAGCTCAATTCTATCTTTGGCATGGACGGTGATCAAGGGGCTGAGCAGCCTCCTGCTGATGCGATCGAGGTCGATGACATTTCTTGGATGTTTGATGAACACGACGGACATCTTGAAGAGGCTTTAGCGGCGCCTGAGGACGAAGACCTCGATCCTTTTTATTTTGTGCGACCACAGAAGACAGGTGTGCGGTAAATATTTTGTAAATCAGGAGAATTTGCATTGCTCATTCAATATCGTACTAAAAGACGCATGGTCTGGTTGACAGGGGCTCGAAGTGATGTCTATCAGGCGGCAAGAGTTGGTGACTTGGACAGAATCAAGCATCTACTTGAGGAGGAGGGCGTGGACGTCAATCAGCGTGACAGATGGGACAGTGTGCCCCTGTACTATTCCTGCTTGGCAGGTAGCCCTCACCACGACCTGTGATGCCCTCTTGCATGGCACCTCTTACATGCAACGCCCAAAAATATTCCCGTCCTCCTTGGAGAAGTGAGCAGCACGGATGTCTTGCCGCTGCGCAGGGCACAGTGATGTCGTGGAGTACCTATTGGAAGCTGGCGCGGTGTGCAATGAGTACACATTTGATGGTGATCGCTGCCACTACGCTGCTCTCACAACCTTCATCAGGTCGTTGCTTCGGCAGTATGAGCAGCGGCCGCCTCCCCTCGCTCCTCTGGCCGCAGATCTGCGCACACTCACACCCCTCTGTGATGACCTGGAGGCTCCTGCCTCCACAAACAGGTCAGCGCATGTCCCATCTGCCTGGTGCCCCCTGAACTACGAGTTGGGGCATGTCTAGTGGTCTTGTAGAGGCATGCAAGGCATTCGAGTAACAGAGATTTTTTCAGCACGGTGCTGCACAACATCAGCACTAGTCCATTTGAATTGAAGTAATGACACAATATCTGGTTCTGAGACCATGGGATGTCTGAACAGGCGGGAGGAGGCGCCCTGGTGCGACTTTGCTTTTGTGGTGGCCGGCGAACGCATCACTCTGCACCAGGCCGTCCTGGCTGCCCGATCGCCCTTCTTCTGCCGCATGCTGTTGTCAGATTGGAGGCCAACGGTGGGCGTCTCTGCTGTTAGTGCCACATGCAATGCCTCTTTTCTTCCGTTCTTTGCAAGCAAAATGTGAACGTCTTCATTGGCGACCAGAACTGGCATGTTTGTGATCGCTCATCAGTGAGGATGACACCTACAGAGCCTGTGGATGCTCAGTCTATCCCGTGAGCCTTGGAGCGCAAAGCGGGGTGCATGCATGCCCTAATCTGCCGGTGCATTCTGCGAGTGCAGGATTCGGACGGCGGCGGCTATCGGGTAGTGCAGCTGAGGAACGCAGAGCTGTCGCCTGTGGGGCTTAAGGCGGTGCTGGCCTTCATGTACACCGAGCGCCTGGACGTAGCAATGGAGGACGTGGAGGCTGTGCTGCGCGTGGCCAAGAAGTGTAAGCTGCGCGCGGTGGTGCACGCCATCACCGAGGAGCAGGGCACGCTCAAATACTACTTCAAGTCTACCCGCCGTGATGAAGCCCCTCGCAGGTGTGTGCCGGCCTTCACCTGCACACCCTCGCCATACCGATGCTGACATGCTGACGGCATTTCAGGCCACTCCTGCCTCAGGATGTATACGGGCCTCTGCGGGCCTATTCGTGGGCATTGGAGGCCATGCATGCACCAGGTGCAGTGGACATGAGGCGATGACAGTGCAATGGTATCTCAATTAAAGAACCTGTGCGAGCAGGTTTGTGCTGCAGCCTGGGGCGGTGTCGGAGGAGTCTCGTCTGGCTGCTCAGCTGGGCCAGCTGCGAAGCCTATCTATGAACCTCGAGGCAGCACAGTACCTGCAGACGGCCCGAGACTTTGCAGACGTGCTGCTCCGGTCAGAAGACCAGCTATTCAGGTGCCTAAGGCTATCTGCTGGACGTATTTGAATAAGACCGACAAGCATATTTGCATGGTGGGGCTGGCTTTCTGTACTGCAGATTGTCTCATCGTGCAAGGCACCTCATGTCAGCATGCTCACATGGCAAACATGGCTTGAAAGTGAGGTGGAGTATCAAGAGATGCAATGCTTTTGCACAGGTGCCATCGTTGCATACTGTCGGCGCGCTCAGACTACTTCAGTGCATTGCTGACGCGGTCACAGAGCTCGCAGATTCCAGGTGAGCATGCTGAGCACTTTAATATTGCGGAATCGTTCGTCACAATTAACTTCAGCTTGCATGTCGCCCTTGGCTGCTCTGCACATGGTATGGTGGCTAAGATGACATTGGTCCACAAGCAGGAGACCCTGATGGAGGCGACCAATTGGGGCAGTCACTGCCAGTAGTTCCAGTGGCGGATGTATCAGCAGCCGTCTTGGCCACAGTGCTGGAGTATGTCTACACAGATGCACTTGGAGCTCTAGCGGAAGACTTCCACAAGGAGCAGGGCGCCGAGCAGCTCTTCGATGCAGCTGACCGCTACCTCATCTTCCCAATGAAGGTGCTTCATGTCCTCCTGTCAGCCAGACTGAGCCTCAATCTTGGTCCCCTTGCATCACCCGGGGGCAAGATTTGAGAGGTTCTCATTGGCACATTGCGGCCAACCTGGTCCAACTTGTACACTGTATATGTGTACTGTTCAGTGCCATCGGAGGTGTGGAACACCTGCAAGAAGTGCGTTGCAAAAATTAGTCATAAGACATTTGCAACAATGCCGCTGTTGCCGGTGAGCAGAGGAAAGTGGCGGAGGCAATCGTTGCGGAGTGGCCTGTGTGCGCGCCGGAGCTGGAGGAAATGTGCCGCATGCTGCTGGTGGCGGACCGCTACGGCGTGACGCTGCTGCGCGACCGCTGCCTGCATGCGCTGGCCGCGCGCTTCCATGCCCTGGTCGAGGAGCGCGCCCCCCGCGAGGAGCGGGAGGTCTTTGAGGCATTTGTCGCCGCTGTCGCGCCTAGGGTGATATTCTCCCATTCCCGTGGAGTGCTCTAACACTCCCAGCATTCCTACCCTCATGCATGGCACGGCAACGAGGAAATTTGTATGCCAGTTCCCAGCTGCTACCAGGGGGGTAACTATAGAGTCATACAGAGTAACACCTGCTGCAACAGCTTCCATGGGAATCTTTAGGTAATCAGAGTTCAATCGCATGAGCTCCTGCACAACTGCATCGGCATGCATCCAGCAGTACAGGCATTGGCCTGTGCCAATCAGGCCATGTGTTAGGCGTCACCGGGGCACTGCAACGCCACTGTTGCCTCGCGATGATTGTAGGAGTGATATGTGCAGGATGTGGAGGACATCTTTGACGGCAGCCATGTGCTGGGCGCATCGAGGGGGGACATTGTGGGCAGCGGCATAGGGGGCCTGGGTATAGGGACCATCCTGCAGGACCTGCGCGAGGCCTTCCTGGAAGACTTTGGCGGCGCCGGAGAGGAACGGGATCGCAGCGGAGACTTATTTGACGCGCGCCTGCAGGAGGTCGCCACATGCGCCTTTGAGCGGGATTCCGAGGGCTGAGTGCAGTGTTGCTTTGCTTTGTGCATATTGTGGCTCGAGCCTGCAGCTGCCATCAGTGCCTTCAAGCGCGATATTAAGCGTTGACTGCAGTCTTGCTACACTGTAGGCGGGTGGCAGCTGTCCTGATATTGCACCTGTTGCAGCTGTGGAGCACGGCCGTCTGAGACAGATGCCGAGTTGTGCAATTTGTTGCTTGCCTTTAATAGCTATGCTTGCGTGCAACTCGAGGCAGATTCTGCATGCATGCATGACGTGCACGTAAAATCGCTGAGTCATCCATGCCCACACAGAATGGGGCATCTTCTTGATCGAATCCGTCATGCATTACTATTAAAATTAAGATTGATCAACTTGCCGTCAAAGAAGGAGAGTCGTGCCCGGCAGCTTCAAGCTCAGGTCTTTGGATTCTTCCTTGGGCATTAGATCACCAGTCCCTACAAGGCCGTGGTTCCAAGGCTCTGCAAGGCTCCCCTTACCCCTGTAAGCGGATGCAAAGGACGCTAACAGTCCTGAATGTTGCTGAGAAGAACAGCATCGCCAAACAAGTGTCAGCTGCCCTCAGTAACAACTCGGCAACTCGAGGAAGCACCTGGTGAGAGACCCTTCAGTGACCTAGAGCATCCAAATTCCATGCTTGAGGGCAGCAGCTTTGGAGATGCATATTAGAAGAGTTTGCCACATGCAATGTTTCTGCCATGAGAGTTGTTCTATCAGGAGCACTGCAGTGCTTCAGAATCCGTTTACTCCACCTCCGATGTCTCTCTCCTTGAGGATGTGATCATTAAAAATTTGAGATATAACTTTCATGCCGCAGCTCGAACTATAATCCGTTGTTCTCGTTTCCGTACGCCCTCAATGGGATGCCATGCGAGATGCTGTTCACATCGGTGGCTGGACACCTCATGGAGCTGGACTTCCCAGAGGCATTCAAAAAGTGGCATTCATGTAGCCCGTTAGAACTGTACGGTGCTCCAGTCTTAAAGTGTGTTCCACAGGTATGAGACGCTGTGCCTTTGGTACATCTTGATGTCTGGCTTCTGCTGCCCTTCACATGTAAAGGCCCTTCAGCCCGCAAAGACCCCATGTAGCATTGCAGAGAAGACTGCGCCGTTTAATTAAGCTTGTGATGCTGCAGGACAAGAAGCTTGTTGAGAGGAATCTGAAGGAACAGGCCCGGAAGTGCCAGTGGCTAGTATTGTGGCTGGACTGTGATCGAGAGGGGGAGAATATTGCATTTGAGGTGATATGCATGGACGGTCTCTGTTTTCAACCCTTTACAGCAGAGAAGCCTGAGCAATTCTTTGACGAGCAATGCTGGACACAGGTCATTGATGTGTGCATAAAGGCCAATCCACGGCTACTCATCAAACGGGCCAAATTCTCTGCGCTTGTGAGGAGAGAGCTTGAGCGGTCAGTGCAGAATCTTGGGGTGCCGGATGAGAACCTATCCAAGGCTGTAGATGCGAGGCAGGAAATAGACTTGCGCATCGGGGCTTCTTTCACCCGATTCCAGACCCTCCTGCTGCAGGTCAGCATCCTGTGGTGACTACTGTCTGCACTACTCAGTGCTTCAAATCATCAACCAAATTTGCACGTGGGACAAAGGCGCAGACATGCATATGGACGTTGCATGTCCAATTACAACAATGCGGCAGCAGTGATGCAGCAGTAATGTCAAAGAAGCTTGCTGCAGGAGAAATTCAACTGGGAGGAGCACGGCATCCATGATGAGCGGCCCATCTTCAGCTATGGGCCCTGCCAATTCCCCACCCTGGGCCTCATCGTGCAGCGCCAATGGTACCCTCCTCCTCTTCCAATCACTCCAATTACATACATCCAGTTTTCAGCATTCTTGCTTGTCCAGCTCAAGTACAGGAGTAGCGGAAAGTATTCCTTGCCAGCTTCCCAACACTCACATGCATAGCTTGGATTGCAGGGAGATCCAGGCGCATGTGGCAGAGCCATTCTGGTACATCTACGCAATGTACAGGGCGCCTGAGGGGCAGTCATGCACTCTGCACTGGCAGCGGGATCGGCTGTACGACCATGTCATAGCCACCATCCTGTACGAGACCTGCGTTGATGCGCCACTTGCCACCGTTACTAAGGTGTCCTCATCAGCACTCATGCTCGCTGTGCAGCTGCTCCCCGCAGCTATTACCAAGCTTGCAATGCATGCTTCTGCATGCATGTCTCATGTATCTGCATGCGTGTCAAATTTGCATTCAAGACGTAACCAAAATGTTACCCTCATCAAACTTGAGGATTATCAGTGCACATACAGCCCATAAATGGTCCAGTATACAAAGTTTCTCCTGATACTGAAATGTGGGTCTCCTGCAAACCAGGTGGACGCTCGGCAGAAGCTGCGCTGGCCGCCGCTGCCGCTGGCGACGCTGTCGCTGCAGAAGGAGGCGATTACGCACCTGCGGCTGCCCGGAGAGCGCATGATGAAGCTGGCCGAGGAGCTGTACCAGGAGGGCTTCATCTCCTACCCGCGCACTGAAACCGACGTCTTTGACCCCGCCTATGACCTCAAGGTGGGCCTCATCCCCCTTAAGCATCCTCAGCCACACGCCCCTGCATCCCCACACATCTGCTTGTGCAGCCATGCCTCTGCGTCTGCGATCAGGTGCGAAGGCTGCTTGCATGGCAGCAGCATGCGAGTCAGGAGAGTAGATTGAGACTACCAAGTGAGGGTGGGAGGTCAAGACATGACCGCACCATATTGGCTACCAGAACCCCATGCATGCATGGCTGCATGTTGGCACACAGACCTTCATGCATGCCCATGAGAAGGTACTAATACCAAGGAGAGTACCAAGGAAGTCCTCTCTTCATTCCTCTTTATACTCCCCTTGCTAATACAGAGTTTGGAATGCCAAACCAGGCGCTGGTGCGGGAGCATGTGAACGACGCACGCTGGGGGCAGCATGCGCAGCGCATAGACAGCGGGGAGATGTGGGCGGCGCCGCGGGGGGGAGGCCACGATGACCACGCCCACCCGCCGATCCACCCAACTCGATGGTCCGCCCCCGACGCCAACCAGGGCTGGGACCCCAACAAGCGCCGCCTGTACGAGTTCATCGTGCGCAGCTTCCTTGCCTCCTGCTCCAAGCCCGCCGTTGGCTTTGAGACGCAGGTCGAGGTGACCATTGCTGCGGAGACCTTCCGCACCACCGGTGAGCCGCCCATGCTGCCTCCATCGATCTCCGCACTTCCATTGGGACTGTTTGGGGGAGCAGGCAGTTTCATGCATAATTATGCTGAGGTTTCCCAGTACCAGATGATCTCTGGCATAGAGAGGTGCAGATTGTGTCCCACATGTTGAATAGGATGGGCAGCATGCCCGGACAATAAGTAGCTTCCTGCAAGTGTGTTCAGGCCTCTGGCAGGCCATCAAATCAGCCATGACCGGGGCTGCACATGTCAGCTGCAGGGCATTTTGGTGCACGGGCCTGCGCTCAGCAATGCATGCTGCGCAGGGCTGATGGTGAAGGAGCGCAACTGGATGGAGGTGTTCCCGTGGGCGCGCTGGGGCGGCAATGACAACCTGCCCGTCTTCGCCGTCAACCAGACCTTCATGCCCACAGAGCTCCTGCTAAAAGATGTAGGATCCTCCCTCACCTCGCATTGCATGCATGCGAATCAGGGAAATGCAACTTTGAATTGACATGTCCTAAGTTGGCTGGGAAGCATGCGAAGAAGTCAAGACATGCATGAACACATGAAAACATGTCATGCTGCTCTGAAGGCCTCCTGCTCCTCATCCCTCTCCCAGCATCATGCTCTTTTGCATGAGGTCATGTAGGTTGACTGATCACCAGCTGTACCGTTGGGAAAGCGCAATGCGCAGCCTTGAACAAGGGAGATGCAACACGAGAGAGCGAGCATCGAGTGTCGGCTGGTACCAATGTGCAAGGCCAGACGCAGCCGCTACTCTGCTCCTCATCCCTTTCCCAGTGTCATGCTTCGAGCAGTGGGTCTTGTGTCCTGAAGCTCAGCTGCCCTATTGGAAAAGTGCCACATGCAGCCTTGAATCAGGGGAATGACACGCGGAAGAGCGAGCGTTCAGTGGCAGCTTTGGGTGAACAGGGGATGACGCAGCCGCCGCCGAAGATGTCGGAGCGCGATCTGATATCGGCCATGGAGCGGCACGGCATCGGCACGGACGCGACGGTGGCGGACCACATCCAGAAGCAGCTCGACCGCGGCTATGCGCTCAAAGACGCGGCACAGCTGTTCTCGCCCACAGCCCTGGGCGAGGCCCTGGTCGCCTCCTACCACAAGATGGGCCTCTCCAACCTGTGGCAGCCCACCCTGCGGTGCGCCACACTGCCACCGCCATTTTTCTCTAGAGACTTTGAGCTGATCACTGAAACAAGCTTTTTCGCCACGATGTCTCTGCGCACAGCAACTCCTCTGCGCACAGCATTTCTATGCCACTGTAAGAATTGAACACGACGCGTTTGTCATCTTGTTCGTTGTCACTTGTGGAAAGTGGATGTGGCGGTGATGGGTGCGAGAGGGTCGAAGGGAATTGAGGTGTGATTTGTGTGCAGCGGCGCGATTGAACACAACATCACGGAGGTGGCTCGGGGGCTGCGGCCCAAGCAGGAGGTGCTGGACGAGGCAGTGCAGCACTTCCGAGGGGACTACATCGCTGCAGCCGGGAAGCAGGGTGAGTGCTTGAGCAGCCTCTGGCCAGTGAGCACATTGCTCGACTTGGAATATTTAGATAGCTGACGCTGCTCGGCCAATGGATGTTGGGCAGCATAGGCAACTCAGCAGCCCACTTGGCATGTTGGTCGGTTGTTGCCCACATTTTTCATAAAATTGTTCACATCAGCCCATGGACGGCGACCTCCAAGGAGACGAGATTGTAAATTTGAGACCATTGAAGGAGAAAATTGCACTGAAAGCCGCATGCACAGTCCTGAGCAAACCTTTGTCTGCGCAGCAATGATGTTGGAGGAGGTTGGCCGCTTCTTCGGCCCGCGCGCCGGAGGCGGCGGCCCCGGCGAGGCTGGCGGCGCGCTGCCGCCCGGGGACCCGATTGGCGCATGCGCGTCGTGCGGCCTCAACCTCATGCTGTGCCAACCGGCAGAGGGAACGCCCTTTGTCGCCTGCTCCGGAGCGCCGCTGTGCCGGCAGAGGGTGTATTTCCCTCGGCCCACGCTTGCCGCTGACATCAGCGACCAGCCGTGTGCCACCTGCCAGCTCGACAGAGGCGGCCTGCGCAAGATCTCTTTCAGGTGCCACCCTTGGCCTCTATTTAAGATGGCCAGCTTATCTGGCAGCAACATCTTACGGTACCTGCTGGCAGAAGATTAAGGAGCTTGTCAGGGTGTGATGGTGCTGAGCAACGGTGGTCGGCAGGCTACGACGAGCGGCCATACCGCCGGGCTTCGAGGCGGACATGGTGGCGTGTGTGCTGTGCGACCAGCGCTTCAAGGACCTGTGTGAGGCGTGCGGCACAGCTCGGCCGGCCGGCCAAAGGAACAACCAAGCCCGCGGCGGCGGCGGCCAGGCCAGGGGCAGGGGCAGGGGACCTGCAGGTCAGAACCCACCAGCTCATAAAACCTACATCCACACCTTGTGCCTGCAATCTCTGTTTATGAGCTGGCGGGTAGAAATTGTCATGGCACAGGATGTTGAGGTGTGGTCATGGGCCATCCATGGAGAGAGAAGCATTTGTTAGTGTAAGGAAAGGAAGAGAAGGATAGGCTTGAGGCCGGGTCTGCATGCATTACTGGCTGATTGGAGACCTGTGGTGCAGGGAGAGGGGGATTGGGGGGCGCCAGGGGCCGGGGGAGGGGTGCACCACCGAGAGGGTCGCCGAGGGGCGCTGCGAGAGCGACTGGCAGGGGCGGCCAGGCCGGGCGCGGGCAGCGCAGGCAGAGGGACAGCGACGACGAGGAGGAGCACGGCAGAGCTCGAGGCCGGGGCCGCACGGCGCCTAGGTGCGAGTTGCGACGCTGCACAGAGCTACAGACAAATGTGCCTGGTTCTCTCTCTGTGGAAGAGCTTGTTGCCGTAGAGTGCAGGATGCTTGCTGAGTATCTGCGAGTGTGGTGGCATGTTGTGCCTAGAATTCTGGCTGGGACAGGATGCAATGCTGTCTTGGCCATGCCGGTCTTCATGAGGTGCTGGACCTTTGCAAGCCACCGAACAGAAGGGAGATGTGAAGCGAGAGCCTCAGTGTTGACACGGTGTGTGGAATTGCTCAGGGGGCGAGGGGGTCGGCAGGGGGGAATGGCGCGAGGGCCACCGGTATGTCCCCGCCACGGGCAGCCGTGCCTGGTCAAGACCTCCAATTCAGCCGCCAACCCCGGCCGCACTTTCTTCAAGTGTGCGCACCCCAGCGAGGCCCAGGAGTGCCTCGACTTCATGTGGGAGGATGAGTGGAATGGGCAGCCCCTGGGGGCTTCACGGGCACGTCTCGCGTCCCTCGCTGTGGTTCTCTAAAATCGCAGCATCTATGCATCGCCGCAAATGCAGGCCCAGCGCTCTGCAGCCTGGCTCCATTGGTCAGGTGCTGCTTATCGCAGCTCTGCGTGACCTGACACCAGCAGGGTTTGCGAATGCAGGGAGGTCGGACAGAGCCAAGGGGCAGGGGAGGGAACAGAGGGCATGGGCCAAGGGGCGCAGGCCGGCAGCAGCATGGCGGCAGGGGCAATGCGGGCGGCAGACTCGTAGATGCTGCCACAGGTCAGACCCACATGCGCCCGTTCTCTCCTGCTTAATTCCATAAATCAAGGACTGGGCTTTCTGAGCAGTCTGTGCAGCAAGTGAATAATCGCTGAGGAACAGGTCTGAATGTGAGCGATGTTGTACAATTGTGCAGGGCTGCCCCTGGATGCAAATGAGGGATCATGCTACAAGTGTGGGCAGAGAGGTCATTGGGCAAATGCTTGCCCAAACTGACAAGGAAGTGCCAGCAATGTGTGAGAGCAAACGAGATCTCTAGAGTGCGAGAAGTACGTGTACACCAGTATTTTACGATGCAGACTTCAAATTGCCCAACAGATTAAGTCAAAGCAACGTTGCTGTTAAGTTATCTGTTTCAAAATGAGCTACATACCGCAGTAAATCTGGACTGCTACTATTTAAAAAATAGGGCTAAAATCTTATACAAGGTATATGGCACAGCGCTGCAGGATCCCAAAGTATACTATGCACGCACGATGGCATAAAGCTCAAGTGTGCTGCATGCTCTCAGGCAGTCTTCTTATGTGCACCTTCGGCGCAATTCCCCGGCGGGGTAGTTTTGACTTATAAGGCACCTCCTGCTCCTGCTGTGGAGGCTCTTTGTGCTTCACAGACTTCTTGGATTTCGGCTGTGTGGGGCTTGCTGCAAGGGCCCCATCAGAGGCTCCATCATTTTGCAGCACTTGTCCCACCTTCGCTTCTACAGCCTGCTCACCCAGTGCAACAGCATGTCAGTACTGCATGAGTAACAGGATGCCACAGCAGAAGGCATGATAAGCTCTTCGCAAAGGCACACAAGACCGAGCGGACAGTGTAATGTGACAAAAGGGGACCGTCACCTCATGCCATTTGCTGGGGTTGTCGGCAATGTCAAGCTGTGTGAGCACGAGCCTGTAGCATACCAACAATAATGATGTCAACACACGAGTTACCCTCTCAGAGCACACAACACTGACAAAAAAAGCAACGGATGGAACATCGGGCTCCAGGGCGCACCGTATGTGCTTGCACTCGTGCTTGCGGATGCGGGAATCGACACATTGGCATGCGTGCCTGTCGTCTGACAGAGTGACAGTGTAATGCTTTTTGGTGGACCCCAGAACCACAAATCTGCAACACGAGAGGCAATATCTTAGATCGACAATAAAGCTGAGATGTCCATGGCTGTGGCAGACATGCATGCACGCAGTGAAATCGTGTAGTTGAATAGGCAGAAGAGTGAGACTGAATACTTTGCAGCTTTGTCAGTGAGCTCAATGAGCCCGTTCATCTGGAGGGACTTCAACTTGTCGTCCAACCGCTGTATCCTTTCAGCCTCCTGCAATACAGGCAGCCCTTTGAATCCCAAACACGCGCCTGAACAGAAGACTCCTCGAGGATTTGCATGTAACGGCAGGGTACAGTAAAACAGCACCTTGCTGACTTCCACCTCTGCCAGCTCCTCCTCATCTTCTGCAACATCCTCATCGTCACTTTCATCATATTTGGCGGGGCGTGGAGGTTTCCCTGTGCAGTGCTCCAGATGCTGCTTGTGCCCTTTGGTCAGAACCTGCGCATGTTCATGACAGCAGCACTTTGGCTTGGTTCTTTGTCCCTGTGATCTGACGTTGCACTTCAAGGGTCATCTTGACAAAGAGCGCAGAATTGTGTGACACGGCCGCACCTTGCTGCAGCGGGGGCACTCATCATTGACGACGAACAGAGCCAGTTCGCTGGCAGTGCCATGGGCTTCCTCACCCCGCAAGCGTGATGATTGCCTCGTGGGCGCACGAGGCTCCTTGTGCGCTTTCTTCCTCCTGGGAGGCTTGGGTCTGCAAAAGCAGCACAGTCAAGGTTGATGGGCACCCACCAGCACGACCAGGATAGACATCTCGTAAGGACAGACTATCACGACGCAGACAATTCCCTCTCGTATCACATACAGTAACAGGGTCGTACTTGGCTGCTGGAGCGAGATTCTCAAGAGCTAAAACCGCAGCAGGGATCCCAAAGGCTATCATGCGTTGTCTGTTTCTCTCGATCCTGCATGTCAGCCAGCAATCATGTACTGTTTGTTCTGCTTGATAGTGCATCATCGGAAGAAGGATCCAAAGCATTTGACAGCTACATACAGCTCCAGTCTTTGTCGCTCGTAGAAAGATAATCCCTCAGCATCTCTCTGAAACTCGTCTTCCTCCTCATGATCCAGATCACCCTCCCCAGCATTATCAACTTCCTGTACTTTTCTTTTGCCTCCCATCCCTAGATGGACGTTTTACAACAGACTGTTGGCATTGCTAGAGGCCTTCCACACTTGACCTCCCAATCATTTGACACTGTCTTCTACGCCTGAGAGCCTCAGTAGCAAGAATCCCTCAACGATGTCGACAAACAACGACAAGCTTCTATTCGGGTACAATTCACTTGTTGTTCCGAACACCATTTGTACCCACATGCTCACATGCTGTGCCACATCATCAGATAGGGTACTCCTTTGACACCCTTTCTGAGAGGGTGTCTTACATCTAGAACTTATCTGCGAAGAAACAAGAGCCGCAGGAGAACTCCAAGAGGTTCACAGGAAGGGTGGATCCTGCGTGTCTTGCATCAACATGGCCCAAGTAATGTGCAATGTGCCTCAGAGCCTGGCATCCTGCAGATGTCCACCCTCCACTTCTGCGTCGAGGCGTGGTCAGTTCCCTGGTCTCCAGATCGCCTTTTTGGAAATTTGCGATGTGCCCTGCACGGTCTGCTGGGTTTGTACTTTCGCAGAGTCTGTGAAGTACCAAACATGTGGTCAATACTCTGTCTTCCGCCAGCATGACAGAATCTGTTTCTACTGCAGGTTTCCTTCAAGGAGCAGCAGTCTCAGCACCGCTCAGCAGAGTGTCTGGATCTCCTCTAAGGACAGCGGTTCTCGCAATTGAGTAAGTCTTCTTATGTTATTCGACTATACGTGCACAAGGCTATGCATACCTATGTGGAATCCACTATTCCTTTGCTCAGCCCTTGTTGAGGCGCTTCCTCAGCCAGTGCTGGTAATACCGCATTTTAAGTTGAACTTTCTGCATTGAACAATGCAGGGCTCGATACAGAGGGAAGGGCACAGATCTGAGCAAGGTTGACCAATTTAAGCGGCACGAAGCAGACGTGGGTTCCACAGAGATTCAAATAGCACGCATCTCTGCGCGCGTATTGCAGCTCACAGAACACCTGCAGACCCACCGCAAGGACTATGCATCCACGCGTGGCCTTGTCATCCTTCTAGGACAGCGCCGCAGGTTGCTCACATACCTGTACAAGCACAACAGGTGCGCGCCAAGATCTTACTGCTTATTAGCATTAATAAAGCGTAATGCTGGCTGTCAGTCCTGCAACGCATAAATGTTCTTCTGCTTGCCTTCACCTGCAGCCCAGTGTTGGCCTGCATGCATCTATAGAATTAGCTAAAATTAAGGTCACGAGGTATAATGGAGAATGAGCACATGGATTACTGGCCATGAGGGAGTCCTGCCAAGCCTGAACGTGTTATTTCTCTGCATGCAGGCCCAAGTATGAGCAGCTGCTGCGTGAGCTCAGCATCAGGCCTCTCAAGGTGCAGGCAGCCAGAGGAGTGATTGTGAAGCTGTCAGAGGGGTCAGAGGTTGAGGTCATGGGTGCTGCGGCCGTGGAGCAGGCCATGGTATGAGTTGGGAGCCCACGCACTCAGCCAATGCTCAATTGTGATTACAAATGTGCAATGAGAGTATCCTTTTCAATCTGATGGGGGTGCAAGGCTACACATCGCTGCAGAGACTGCAGCTGAAAAACCAAACACACAAATCAGCAGAAAGTGCTTGATGGGTCCTCTCACTAGCCCGGCTGGGCAAGTAAATCAGATTTGCTTGTGATCAGGTGTACAATTTTACCTGCAAAGTCTTGGGGACGAATGTTATGTTAGCTTCCTTGGAAGAGAACTAAAGGCATGGCTGACTTTTGACTAACCGCTTTTAAAGTTACTCAAGCCATTTTGTGTTGGTTGTCAGGCATGTAACAGAACATACGTGCAATTTTGTTTGCACTGCTTTATAGCACTGTGTGTGTCCATGGATCTGGCAAAATTTAGCTTTGATTTCACCGCAATATGCTGCAAGCCCCTGGATAACTGGTGCAGGAGAGTGCGCCAGTCTTTCGTCAGCAGTGCAAATGGGTGCACCATGCAGGGCCTCCTAAGATGCTGCCAAAGAATTGGCTGTGGCTACTGGTGCCACACTCTGCCAGTGATAACATTCTCGCACGTCTTTGTCCGGGTGTCTGCAGGAGACGCTTCGCGTGTCTTGACCAGACTGAGCAGATCTTATAATGTACTGATCCTGATAGGACACATTGAAGCCATCCTTAATTCCTTGCACATCCCACGCCAACTGTGAAAATTTTGACGCTGCCATCACATTGAATGCATCAAGACAAATGACCCTGTGGAGATCCTGAAGGTGCTCTGACATCCTGACGCAGGGAACTAAAGCCAATACACAAAAATACAAATTTACATGAACACTCCTACATTGCCAATGATTGACAGCCATACCAAAGACCAGGCATCCTTACCCTGTACTAGGCAGCTGCAGAGCGCAGCACAGAACCACACTCACAGGAATAAAAAAATCCTCACACTAAACAAAAACTCCAAAAACACCTCCAGAAGGTCTGTCAGAGCGCGCACCCTTAAATAAGCCTTTCCTCCTCTCTGAATATCAGAAAAAGAACACAGCAATACCTTCACACTAGAACAATGCTGTACATGACAGTCATTCTGCTCAAGCTGTGACAGGCAATGCTCAAGGTGTACTTCAGAAGATAAAATTAAAGATCTCTACAATATCCCATCTGGGCTGGATGATTGCTCTTGGCCATGGGGCCTCATACATCTTGAGCCCCTTCTCTGGTCTGGTCTCAAGTGCGCATGATCTGTGAGTTCCATGCTCGATGGCACATGTGCAGTACACTGGTTTCCGGCATGCATTTTGCATTCACTTCATCAGCAAATTCAGACGTTCATGAGACTCTTCTGTTCCGTGTATTGAGGCTCTACTGCCATTGGACATGCTGCACACTGGACTTTTAGGGCCGGCCAGCAGCTGCATGAGCAGCAGCTTCGGCATCTCTGCGGTTGATGATGGCTGTCAGGGCTTCGTCTGCTGCACGGCACCGCGCCTGAAAGCTGTCATCTGCAGCAGGCGTCCGCTGCCTGCAACAGAAGCCCAAGGACATGCCCTCGGTCATGAATCCAACATTGCATAATTGCTTCTTCATTGGACATCTGCAAATGCCTGGGGGAAAAATCCAATCCTAGGCAGGAGGCAGGAGTCATGCAGCACACATGCACCTGGAAGAGGAGGCCTCGGCAGGGTGAGAGAAAGTGCTGGTGCCAGTTGCATCTGTGACAGGCTCCTGCCTTGCAATCCTCTCGCGCACAGCTGCATCCTCTTGCTCAATGGCAGCCATGACTGCTGCATCATGGTCATCAGAAGGTGCCTGCAACATCAGATTATATCCATCAGTTGTATCATGCATGCAACATGCACACAAACTTCCTATGACAATGCATGCAGCATGAACTTTGAAGCAATGCCGTCCACTTCGCAGCAGCACATGCATGCTATTTGAAGCCCATATAAGAGTTGCAGCAAGGCAGTATTTACTGGACATGGCTATTAATCCTAGATCGCAATAAGAAAGAGGAGCAGGTGCTTCAATTTAATAATGAGGAAGATGGCAAGAGGGGTACCCAGTAGGTCGCAGCTTTGGCAGCAGCAATGGCAGCAGCTGTTTCTTCTTTGCGCTTCTGGATTTCCAGTTCTTTTGCAGCCAGCTCATCCTTCAGCAGAACGAACAGCTTTGAGCCATCGGGATTCAGCATCAGGACTGGCTCATTGAAGCCGAAGTGGAGCGGCGTCGCATTGGGAATGTCATCTGCAGACTCTGCTTTGTGCTCCATCTCTTCACTGCTGCTCTGCTGCTGTGAGGTATCCATGCGGTTCTGCTCAACTGCCATATCCGCATCCTGTGACCTTCCCTCAGTGCTGGGATCTGTGCAAGACACATGAAGATTGTTAGATGCAATTTAGTCAGGATTAGGATCTGCATGTATTTAAGGCTGTAGACAAGATGCCAGCTCCTTCATTGGACACACCTGGTGTGCTGGGTGCCTCGCCAATGTCTTGGCTCATTGACATGCTCTCTGCTCCTGAAGACTCCACTGTGCTGCTGGCATGCTCATGTGGGATCTGTACTGAACCGCTGGCATGCACTGCTGTGTCTGACTGCTCACTGACTGGGACATCTGAGCCTGAGAATGTGGCCAGCATGGCAAAGAGGGGCGGCAGGGGCCTGTTGTATCTGCACACTACCATGTTGATGATTGGTGCGGCGGGGGGAGGGAGTGGGCTGCCGTGGCCCATTGCTGCATCTCCCCCCTTTGTCTCAAAGCTGCCATAGTTGGGCTGTCCTGACTGCCGTGGGGGCGAAGTTCCGCTTGATGCATGGACATTCACACTTGGCCCGCTGCTGCTAGGGATGTCTCCATCATGAGCAGGCGGCAGAGGCTGAGGCGGGGGCAGCGGCCCAAACACCCCCTGTACTCACACCATGACATGCTACTGACACCAATTCGGCAAATGATGATACTGGAATGCATTTGGAATGACAGCATGATCAGATCCTACAGCATGATGAGTCATTGCTTGCATTCAGATGGTATCGTGCTACATCATGGCCTTGCCAACAAATTGCCAAAGGCTGCCCTTGCATCAAGCACATGGCCAGTAGATGCAGCACCTCTCGACTCAGATGCTCCATGATGGTGGCCACTGCCTCATCTGGCACAGGAGCAGGTGCAGATGTGCTGGGCTGGGCATCGCGAGAATGACGCTGTGCCTGCTCAAACTGCTCTTTCTCAACCTGCGGACAGCAAAGATGTCTATTTGGCATCACAATGAAAGGCTTTGCAGGTGTCACACCCAGAGACAACAAACTTAGTGGAGATTGTCAAAGTATGCATCTTCTACCTTCCGTGCCCGAGTGGCAGCTTCCTCTGATGCTATTCTCGCCTGTTTGGCAATCTCCTTGTCCAAATCAGACCGGGGACCGGTGTAAGTTGTTGCAAGAGCATACTGGCAGCCTGGGCAAGGAGGATCGCCTTTATGCTTGGTCAACTGCACACGAGGCACAGTATGTCAGAGGGCGACATGGAATGGGAAGAAGAAGTTTGCATGCAAGCAACGCAACATATCCTTGGACAGGTTCAAGCAGACTACTCCGAGAAACTGACGAACCTCAAGGTAACACTCCGTGCAGAGTCCCGCGGAGCATTTGCAATGGTTGAGAGCAGGGTAGTACAGGAGGCAGACTTTGCAGTCCTCGAGCTGCGAGCAGACTGGCACATCAGTGTGGGACTGAGGATATCAAAGTCCAGCAGCGGTGTCAATTACCCTGCATCCTTCTGGGAGTATGATCTGCCTACGAAAGAGCAGAAATCTACAGCGAAAGCCAATGCCACGTAGCGAAGTGAGGAGCCCGCCCTTCGGCATGGACCGGGACATCTTGACAGGCACTTCCTCCTGAAATAGGTGCGCACCTCCATCTCTGGATCCTCATCAGAAGCGGGAAAGCAAGGAGCGACGTTGCCCTGCAGGATGAGCTTTTTCACTTTCGCCTGCTTGAAGTAAGCCGATTGATTTGGATATAGACCTCTTGGCTTCAGGTGAGATGGGTCGATCCCTTGAGGGTTATCTTCTGCGGCAGCAGGATGGATGCACTTCGTGATTGCTTGTCCCATTTTCAGACCCCGCTCCTCATCCAAGACACCCAGCACAGGGCACTATGCTCATCTAAGGAGGCCGATCCTCTCCCTTGTCAAGGCGTGCAGCTTGCCATGCTGCCGCTGCAAGCCAATTGCAATGCAATGCACGAAGTTTTGTGTATCATGGAGCTGACGAATGAGCCGCATTGGCGAGCACAGCTGTTGAGCACGAAACAACGCTGAGGGTGCCAAGATTGGCTTTCGCCCAAAGTTCATTGCCTTTTAAAGTTTGATCATGCATGGCAGCACCGGGATTTACCCCCAATAGAAGAGAAGAGTAACACTGATCTGGTATCCGGTTTTTATTCCTCGGGCATCTGCCGTGAAGAAGTAAGTTGCAGTACGCTCTTGACAGCTTTACTAGTCATGGCTGTTTTGCTCAACGAGGTGCGCGCAAGGAATATATTCTTGTAAACCTCCAATGAGAACATGCAGTAATATATCAGGAGTGCATTGGTGCTCAAAGGGGGCTTTCAAGCACTCGCCTGGGTTACAAGACCGTCGATCCAGAATTCAGGATCAGAAGAGGCGTCAGTGCCGCAAAATCTCTGATAGGGATGAATCGTTAGAGACCGAGTATCCGAAAGACGCAGCATATTCAGAGATACAAGCTGCGTTGAGCAGCTGGCAGGTGCCATCGGGCCAGAGAATACCATCACAAGAGATAAAATCAACAGGGGTGCAGTCACAGGGAAAGACTGAAGCTGAGAAGGATAAAGAGGTAGCTGAAGCTTTGCGTCAGGTCGAGGAAGCACTCAAGATTGCACAAGACAAGCTGGAGGACATCCCAAACCTTCCCAGTGCACGACCCAGGAGACAGGTCTGTGACAGCACATGTGCATGGTCAATCTATCCCGTGATCCAAGTACTACATGACAAACAGCCTTCCTAATTTCTCCCTATTGAAGGTCAAGCTAACGGCCTTACAAATGTATGACAGCACAGCTGGTGTCTGATGGACATGCAGGTGCCGGAGTGGCTGCGGTCGGTGCTCGCTGGCGCACGGTTGACAGCCATCCTTGGTGCAGCAGTATATGCGCATGCATGCGGCAATGTCATACAGGTCCTCTCCGCACTTGCTGTGGGATCGGCCCTGGGGGCAATTGGATACCGGAAGGGCTCGCTGTCAGCCTCAGGTGCTCTCCCAAGTAACAGCATTGTGAGGCAGAACATTATGATCTTGTTTTTCTCCCATTGTCCATGCCAGACCTGTCACATTGTCGTACATGCACATTGATAATGACATTGGTTAATTCTTGATGGGCTCCAGGTGCCTTGGCAGCCATATTTGTTGGAAGTACCACATTGGGGCCAAGTTTGCGGGCGGGCATGACTCTCCTGGCCTTCTACCTGTCATCATCAAAGCTTACAACACTGAAAGAAGGCTTGAAGGAGGTTGATGATGGCTTTAAGAAGGGAGGCCAACGCAATTGGGTGCAGGTATTGGTCTACAAGCTTCTCTTTTGTCATCAAGCGCTCTTCGCTCGCTCCAGGCAGTATAAATTCGATTACAGTGCATCGATCACAGTTGCATACACTGATCAGGATGCAAAAGTGTGTTATGAAAATTGTTTTGGTATTGAGGATCTTCCCACTTGCAGGTTTTCTGCAACGCCTTCGTTCCGGCTTTGCTGGCAGCGCTCATGGGATACTTGAGCGGCTTAACAGACCTGCCCCTCTCAGTGTCAGGAAGGCGCTTGTACACAGCGGCAGCAGGGGCGTTCCTGGGATATTATTCATGCTGTTGTGGCGACACTTGGGCCTCCGAGGTTGGCCAGCTGAGTGAAGCAGAGCCCCGTCTCATCACATCTCTTCGACCTGTGCGGAAGGTTGGCATTTCACATCCTCAAGAGCTTTGCTTGCCGGCGCCACACTTGTATGGACCAGCCTGGCAAGGGGTGAATTTGGCTTCAATGCTGTCATATCATCAATCCCCTCATCAAACAGGAGTGATACGCGCTTGCAGGGCACAAATGGGGGAGTCACACTTCTGGGAGTTGCTGCAAGCGCCGCAGGAGGTCTTTTCATGGGGTTGGTGTTCTACTGTGGCAGCATCATTTCTCCAGGCATTCGAGGGAATGATGCAATGTATGCAGCTGCAGCACAGCAGTGGGTGCTCATTCTTTTGGGTGAGTGCATTACGGTTAATCAACAATTTATTGCCATCTTGTCATTGCTCGATGTATGATCTGTTCTGGTATGAAGGAGTGTCTATTTAAGCTAAGTGTTTTAATCCAGGTCTGGTGGCGGGAACTGTTGGCTCTGTGATCGACTCCATTCTTGGAGCCACGGTGCAATTCACAGGGTTCAACCGAAAGACGGGAAAGATCACCAGCAGTGTCGGCAGTGATGTAGTCCACATCAGCGGCTTCCCACTCCTCACAAACAATGGAGTGAACCTGGTGTCCGCTACCACTTGCTCTCTGCTGTGCGCTTACGCAGCTCTTCGGCTATTTTGAACAGGCCTCAATTTTTGTGTGAGCATATCAGCAGAGATACCTTTGGGCGAGCAGCGGCTGTAGAGGACAAAATCCTGCTGATGTTAGACTGTACAGGGTTAGACTGTACATGCATGCCTGGAGCTGTGTACAGAGGGATGTCTGCGATTGAATCCTCTGGAGGAGGGTGTACTAGAATATTGAGGAAGTTGAGAGGCCTGAGATCTACTTAGACTCATGCTGGTCATGATCATTTGAACTCCATGCATGATACCGTAGAGTGACTCCCATGCCAAAGCTTCCATGTTGAAGCTTGTTGCTGTCAAGATTTTTTAGCCTTTACAGGGCCGCGGGGTCTGTGATTATGGTGTCTCATTCCCAATACTTAACAAGCATAGATGTGGTCATGGTGCTCCGGCATGTGCATGGTAGGCCAACAGTGATTGTCATTCACTTCCTTGTTGTATCCTTTTCTGAAACTCTTCTTTCACATGATCCTGCGGACATACAGCCTGTCAGCTGAAAACTCCAATGTACCCATGTGAAATATGTTCAGATACTGGAGCTGATGAAGTTACCAAATTTTTTGACCTGGAGGGTGGTAATTGCGCACCCTCTGCTGCTGCATAAGAAGGATAGCTCCTTGCCAAGATGAGACATCAGTCACATCCTTTGACTGCAAGCCTGAAAACTGAAAAGCAATGAGTGCTGCTGCTCCAACAGCTGCCATGGCAGCAGTGCTGACAGCTAATGCTTTTGCCTGCATTCAGTACTGCTCTTCAGTTGTGTAAGCTGCCGCTGACCAGCTCATGTACTCACCTCCGTGGAGACGGCGTAATAGGCTGCGCAAACAGATTCTACCCCTCTAGAGAGAACAACAAAGAATAGTAGCACAAGCGTGGCACACCAGCAATTACACATAAGTCATCCGTGATTAATCTGGATGTGCTCACCGCAATGGGCACAGCCCTCATGCGGGCCACCGCATCCACTCCCTCTTCATTGAGCTTCTTTGCTGTGTTCAAGAAATGCGCTCCCCCTGACACCAAAGCTCCTGCACGACATACAGTACAGGAAATCTGCCCAGAGATGCTTAAGATGCAGAGATTGCCATGCATGATCTGTTTGCTAAAAGCAGACTGTGCAGCGACTGTTGTGTTGAGTGAGTTCGAGCGTGTCCTGGCAGAGGGGGGTTACCACCACAGAGAGCAGTCACTGCGATCCACAGCCCTGTTTCCTTCGAGATCTGGCGAAGCTCGCTCTTTTCAGGGCCTGGATGCTGACCTGCTGTCATACGAGGTCAAGTGCGCACCGCATGGAGGAGTGCCTAGGATCCTTTATCATATATGCACTTCAGCGTTCTTGACAGTCGTCTATAACTTTTTAAATGTCTTTTGTTGCGTTTTGATGAGTATAATATACTAGCTAACTGGTGTTGTTGCCCATGTACCCAAGCACTGGATTGTGGCTAAACTTTGGTGATGGGCATGTGTTAGTAAGACATCCGCAGTCTCGTTTTTGCGTCTCTCAGTGTCCTCAATATGTGTGCAATCTGGTCAATCTCTTCTTGAGACTTCATGCTGACTCATCCGGTGTCATGTGCGGCTGATTGGTTGCCAATGCTCTGGCTCGCCAGCTCTTCATCATTCATGAACTTCTGCACTGAGTAGTTTTGAAGTGGAAGGGGGTTCCTTCATTGCGCTATCGCGCATGCTAGAGTTCGCTCGCTGATAAACCAAGATGTCAACACACTTGAACTTTTGCAACAGCTTTCTCGTTCATAATTCCACGCGTCACAGCACTGTACTGCTCAGAAATTCACGCTCAAACACCTCTCGATGCAGGTAATGATGTGCCTAGTCTGGGACGTTGTGTTTCTATGCAGGATCGTGCTTTTATGAAAGTGATCTGCGCTGCTGACGGAGCCTGCACACCGTGCAAAAATGGCTTGGTGTATACATACTGTTAAGAATAATGATTCGGGTATGAGTGAAGCCATTCTGGGCATTGCTATTGTTGTAGGTTACAGCTCCAAGGACCAAGTAATGGATCCCCTTCGCTCAGCTTGCAGCAACACCTTAGGACCAGCTCAAGCTCCTTGCGGCAGCGAAGACCACTTAGACAGCCACAGGTAATATGCAATGCCTAGAATTCTTTTTGGCTTCAAAAGCACAACGATGCATGCCCACCAGCTGCATGTTGAACACCACATGATCTGGTGGCTGTGCCCAGGTGACTGCATCGGCTGTAGTGTGTGCTGGGACCTCATCAGAGCAGGCGCCTGCAAAGACATGGCCAGGCGTCAAGCCGCTGCCACTGCTCCTGAGCATTGGCCTTGGATTGGCGCTGCGTTTCTTGGTGCCCATCCCCAGTGGGCTCACCACGCAGGGATGGACCTTGCTGTCCATCTTTGTCTCTACCATTGCTGGTCCGCAGCACCTTTTTATCTGACTTTGCATGCCCCCATCCTGCGCTTTGCTTTGATGACATTTCGTTCTGCAACATCTGTTTCGTCACGTTCCTAGTCCATGTTGTTGAAATTTACATTTACATTTATCTGCCATGACAGGCCTGGTATTGGAGCCTCTGCCAACTGGAGCATGGGCGTTTCTGGCTGTCACAGTCTCAATCTTCACAAAGACACTGACCTTCTCCCAGGCCTTCACAGCATTTTCCAATGATGTCATTTGGCTCATCGTCGTCTCATTCTTCTTCGCCGCGGTAAACTCTCTCATGCCTCTCATCAATCCATACAATCCGTTCCATGACTGAGCGCACGTACTCTGATCCTTCACTGGGTCATCTCCTGGGTCATCAGCAGGTCGCAGGGCACTTTGATCAGTCTTCTGAATCCAGATTTGAAGAGGCCTCTTCCTCACGCCCAGATCAGGCACCATACTGTGATTTGCATCGCATGTGCCTGAATCATGGCCGGCTGGCATGCAGGGATTCCAAAAGACGGGGCTGGGAGAGCGGGTGGCCAACCTGTTTGTGGCGGCCTGCGGCAAGAGCACGCTGGGTCTGGCATATGGGCTGAGCGTGGCAGAGGCTTGCCTGGCGCCTGCCATGCCCTCCACCACTGCGCGCGCCGGCGGCATCTTCATGCCCATCATCAACTCACTCGCACTGGCTTCCGGCAGCGAGCCTGGTGCGTTCTCTTCTCTGATGCCTTCATGTTCCTTTAATACAATCTCAGCCATGCCTGGCTGGCGCCCTGGGCCGACATAAGCAGGCATTTGAAAAGAGCCTGGATTGCTCTTACAATTTCACCCGTAGCTGTGTGCTCAAAAGCTGGCCCGTACTCTCAAATTTTAGCTGTCATGCTTCAGGACAAATCTGGTGCAAAGGTGCGGGCTCTTACAAGGGTTTTTGTTGTGCAAAATATGTTGTTTACATATTGAAGAAGGAATTGCGAATGTACAGGCAAGCCGAGTGCAGGGAGGCTGGGCAAGTTCCTGGTGCAGTCGCAGTTCCAGGGGTCGGTGCACTCCTCAGCCCTCTTCCTGACCGCCGCAGCTCAGAACCTGCTCTGCATGAAGCTCGCAGCTGAGCTGGGAGTGAACATCCCATCCCCATGGGTCACCTGGTTTAAGGGCGCGGCTGTACCTGCCCTATTGGGCCTCCTCATCACCCCCCTCATCATGTACAAGGTGCACATGTCTTCCTATTCCCTCCTCTTTTTCAGTACATGTGTATCCCACTCTCTATCGTTTCTTTCTGACGCCACCTTTCCAGTGTGCACTGCATTGCAGACCAGAACATAAGGACCAGAGAATATCTTAGAACACATCATTTTCATGAACTAAATAAACTGCCTGATTTCCTTCCGTGTGCCGTGGACCTGGGCAAGAGACTCATGGGCTCTTGGTGATGGTCCTTTTACCCATCAATAAGGCGTTGGGTTCATATTTTTTAGAAAATTCTGTTGAGAGTGACATGTGTGCATGCATGCGAGCAGCTGGTCCCCCCGGAGGTGAAGGACACGCCCGAGGCGCCGAAGCAGGCGAAGGAGAAGCTGCGCCAGATGGGCCCCATGACGCGCGACGAGCTCATCATGAGCTTCACTATGCTGGGCGCTGTGATTCTGTGGGTGCTGGGCGACCAGCTGCAGATCCCAGCAGTCACCTCCGCCATGCTCGGCCTCACCGCCCTGCTCATGACCGGCGTCCTGCAGTGGAAGGACTGCCTCACCTACTCCCAGGCATGCCCGTTGATATCTCTGTCCCTGACACACATGCTGATTGAACTGATGGTTGCACGTACAAGTATGATGTGCAATGACCTCTTGCGACCCACTTGAAGCTCATCGGTCTCGTTGGCAGTCTCTCACTGTCCAAAATGAGAAACAATTGATGTGTCTGCCAGTGCTGATGCTGTGCAGGGAGTGTGACATTAGCAAAGCCTGTGATCTTGATGTGGCAGCTGGTGCCATGCATGCTATTGTGGCATCCACTCTGATCAAAGCAGCTGCCAGCTGTGGTAAGTGTAAGAGTGTGGCTTGTGCATGTGCAGGCGTGGGACACACTGTTCTGGTTTGCGGTGTTGGTGGGCATGTCAGGCCAGCTCAATGGCCTGGGTGTCATCAAGTACTTTGCTGATGTGGTCGGCGGCAAGCTGATAGCTGCCAACCTGGGCTGGCCAGTCGTCTTTGGCATGCTCAACATGGCCTACTTTGGCCTCCACTACATGTTTGCCAGCCAAACCGCCCACGTCGGCGCCCTCTACGCTGCATTCCTCGCCATGATGCTCTCCGCAGGTGAGCATCCCAGATCCTGCTTGAGCCATATACGTGAGGGCTTTGTCATTCTGATCTTCATTGCTGCCACACGCGTCCATTAAGCAAGGTCCACTCACTCTAGAGCAAATACGTCTGCTCAGCACATTCTGGGAAGGCCAATTCCCAGACCCACCCAGTCTGGAAATTAAGAAAAGAGGATGATTTCACAGATTAGCAATGTCTCTAGATTAGCTAGATTCTGTATGGAACTTCAAGTAACAATTATGTCAGTGCTGACGTCTTTGATGTTGCAACAGGTGTCCCAGGGGTGTTGGCTGCTCTCAGCCTTGCGTATGTGAGCAATCTGTTTGGCAGCATGACGCACTATGGCAGCGGCCAAGCAGCCGTGTACTATGGTGCTGGCTACGTCACCCTGCAGGAGGTCTTCTCAGTTGGTGGCATCATGGTCGTGGTCAATACTATCATCTGGGCTCTTGCTGGTGCTGTTTGGTGGAAGCTCTGTGGTTTCTTCTGAGCCTCCTGAGCCTGAGGCTGGACGCTGCGATCCACTGACAGTGAATACTGCCTATATTGCATGTGGTTGGTGCAAAAATGAGTTGAGAAGAGACAACTGCGGCAGATCTTGAATGCACTGAGCGATCTCATCGTTGTGGCCAGGCGTTCTAAGCAGGCCGCGCTAGCATATGTGTGCCTGGCGCTAGGCACGCACATGATCTTACACAAAATAATAAATGAGCATGCATGATACCGATGATGATCATGGTGATCCCAACAATAATGATTGTAACACATATATCGAGATGTCATTGTCCTAGAAATCAATTCTTTTGTTCTAAAGAATCAATCACTTTGAGCTTGCAATAAACCACACCGGTGGAACCTTGCCGGGCAAAAAGGGCTTTAGCTCATGTACGTGGTCTTTGAGATTACATGCAACCAATAGACTGAGTCCTCAATCAATATGATACACAGGCGGCGAATTACCGCTGCCAGTCGCTGAATCAGCTGGAAGCATCTGTCAAATGCGGGGTAATCATATTCAGAAGGCCGCTGGGATTTTCCACATGCAACCAGTGCCCTGCATCTGGCAAGACATGCACCTTCACAACACCCTCTCCAGGGGTGTCAGCGGTCTTCTTTTCAAGCTCTGCTAGCTGACTCAGCTCCTGCTTACCCCATCTGTCCGAATCTGCTGCCCGCACGATGTGCACCTCCACGCCTGCTGGAGGATGCTGCAAAAGGTCCCAGTAGTCCTTGTGCTTGTATGAGTTGAACATTGCCGCCGCTCCTGCACGCATTTGTGTCTGGCATTAAGCAGTGCCATGCATGAGAATCAAACCAAGGTAGAACTGCAAGACCTACAATGCAATGCGAGTGCCGATAAGGGAGTAAAAAGGGAAGATAACTTAATGGGGGGAATAAAGCATCAACCTATTATTATGTGAAAACATGATGCAGTCCACCCCCACCTGAGATATCAAAGGCCCATTTGAAGCCGCCGTTGGCGGGGGTGAGATTGCTCCCCAGCCACTGCTGGATGGCCTCGGAGTAGCCGCGCTCTCTCATGTACTCGTAGAGCCACCGGCGCGAGGGCACAGGAAGGGGGATGTTCAGGATCTCATTGATCACATTGTCCGTGTCTGTGGGCACCTCTGAACTCCATCTTCCCACCGGGGAGTCCAGCACCCACACCTGCCACACAATCATTTCTCAGGGCCTTGGTAATTGTGTAGTGGCACGAAAAATCAGGCTGTTGCTGTTTCAGATGAGAGCACATGCAGATGGACTGAAGGAAGTTTACCTGCTCAGGGAGCTCACGGCCCTCCTGGCTGCTCTGTTGCAGGAACTCCAGCACAATCTTGCCGCCCAGGGAGTGGCCGAGCACAGCCTTGGGCATCCTGCCACCCAGCTCTGTCTGTACTAGCCTGGTCAGGTCTCCCGCGGCAGCGTCTATGCTGTGGGGCGGGTGCAGTGGCAGCCCTGCCGAGGCCCCATGGTTGCGCTGATCCACCATCACCATCTTCCAAGGCCTGGAAGAGATCCATGGGTGAAAAGGACTTTCATGTGCCGGTACATCACAGTGGCTTACGAATTGTGCACCAGGGTGCGAGGGAGGGCAGAAGGCACCTGCCGCTTGTGGATGCAGCTTGATTGGCCAGGTTCCTTGCAAATGTCCTCCAGTTTCTCCTGCAAGCACCTGATTAGCTGAAAAGGAAAAGGAAGAAGCATGTGGAACCATGTAGCGCATCGATGAGCGCAATGCTCACCCCGATCCTAGCAGGCCATGGACCACCAGTGCGGTCGGCTTGTCAGGCTGCGTGCTGGCCTGCTGTGGCTTTGAGCAGACTGTCTCATATGCAAGCGTTGCAAAGCCCCGGGATGCAAAGGCTTCCGCCTCAGACATATGTTGTGACAGGAGCGACCAAGTCTCCGGGACGGCCCTGGCTCCTCTGCCATATAGGGCCATTGTGGTACCTGATGATGTGAACAGCACCATCGTCACTTAGAGTTGTTGCTCAGATTACATGGCATGTAATCCTTTTTATGTCCAGGATCGCATCGATACAAAAGGGCAACTGTACACCCAGAATCACCAGTGATGAAGTCTATATTCTGTATAGTGATAATGCCAGGGACAATCTCGCAAAAGTAAGTACCAGACTGACTCTCAGAGATGATAGACTATACATTTTGCAACAATATGTGAGCTCAAGACTCCATCGATAGGGGGAGAAAATACCTAAGGCAAAAATGCGGCCCTCTCACGAGACTCCCGTCAAGGATTAACAATCCAATGACATGTTAAACGTAATCTTAAGATAAGGGGGCCGTTTCAGGAGTTCATGGTATCAATTACAGCCCATGCAGTAATATACAGTCCACGGCATGTGATTATTTGCCCAATTGGTTGACGATCTCACAGGCTGCCTAACAGTATGGTATCTTCTGCAAATTTGTGTGATTTCCAAATTGCTTTGAATAGCACATGAGGAGCCCATCCATGATATTGTGTGGATGGCCACAACTGGAACCGCCCGCCAAACGGCGTTCCTCGGACAAGCTCGTTTGGAAGCTGGATGTCTGATTCTCTTTCATCATCATTGCGCTGTGATTGCAAAATGGAGAGATGGGCATGTTAAAGATTCAGTTGTTAGCGGTGGCGATGTAAGATTGAACAGCGATGTAATCGATCTGCTCTGCGTACTATGTAGCAGTAAAGATGAAGACATCCAGGTGTCAGTTTTTGTATCAGTCTCAGGGATGGACGACTTCAACTTCGACTCTTTGGACCTGGGGTCACGACGGAAGCCCACCAACTGGGTTGCCGTGGCCCCGCCAATGGTCTACCGAAACAAAATAAATCCCAACAAAAGGTAAGATAGAGCCACTTCAGAATCTGCTCGGCGGAGATGTTGTTGAGGATGCATGAGCGTTTCTGTAGGACATAAAGTTTGAGGAGGCATAATTAATTTCCTAATCTCGAAATTGTACTTGTTGTGACACAGAGGACCAGGCTTCACATGTTGCTTTGTCACCAATGGATTCTCGCGATGGAGAGCATTCTGCTGTGACGTTGACAGTCATTGATTGACATAATGTGTCGCAGAAACAATGGACAAAGGCGAGCCTCAAAGCAAGAAGGCCAGAAGGGCCAGGTCCCAGGCCGGGGTGATGCAGAGGATGCCAGCACAGCCCAGATGGCAGACCAGTCAACTGCAGACGTCACTGGCCAATCAACTGCCTCTAGCTATGACACGGCGGAGTTTGAATCCAAGGCAGGTGGCAGAGCCGCGGCAAAGCTGGCAGAACCCTCAGCCAGCATGCCTGCTGGGCCAAAGAAGAAGCCGTGGAGTGAAGGGACGATCCAGGCACGCGCAGAGGAAGCCGTGAAGAGGGGTACCTCGGGGCAGACGTTGGAATGGCTGGAGGCTGAGAGCGATGAGGGCAATGTGGAGTACAAACTGCGCCTGAAGGACCCCTCCACTATGCGCTTCCAGCAGCTGGTGCGCATCAATCACAAATGAGCTAGCCAGGAATACATCAAACACCCCCTACCTATAGCTCTGCATCACACAGGCAAAATCGGTTACCTGGCTGACGACAATGGAACATGCATGTCCAGGTGACGCAGATGAAGTTCCGGCTGTCCGAGGGCAACGGCGAGTGCTTCTACTATGTCGGTGCGTGCCCCTGTGCTCCTCTCCTCAGCATTGCCCAGCTTCTAATAAACTGGATGTTGCACTTCTAGGCATGTGGCAGTCGACATCTTACAGCCCTACGAGCCTTCACCCCTCATGGATAATTCTCCCCACAGACGTACTGAAATTGCAAATGTTGGGGCAGGGGTGGAGGATGACGGGTACCCGAGGGGGCTGACCCCGGGGGACCTGGAGCAGTCGCTGACGACGCTGCGCGCGATGGCGGCGGAGGTGCACGCCGCCTGCACGCTCGTGCGCACGCTGCCGGGCAGCAGCGACCGCTCCTGCGTCGTCGTCCGCGTGCACCGCATCTGCCGCGACGAAGTCTCCTACACCGACCTCCGCATCGCAGGTGCGCTGCCGTCCTGTAAAAACTACACATATGTCCTTTTTTTCAATTGGCGGGCTTCTGTTGGAGAGCATTGTGCATGCAAACCTGGGCGCATGTCTGTGGGTCTGCTGGACCCAAGAGAGGGCGTTTTTGGCCCGGACCGATGCAAGATCTTCTCCCTTTGGGCACTTGCTGGGGCAGTCGAGGGGATGGTCTTGGATGTAGAATTACATGGTTGCAATGCAGTACAGCTGGTGAACAAGGGAATAATGACAAATATAGAGGCGATGTGACAATCTGAGGTGCAGTGGCTGGGGCGGTGGAGAGCGGCAAGAGCACGCTGATAGCAGTGCTGACGGACGGCGCGCGCGGGCGGCCGATACTAGACAATGGCCGCGGATCGGCGCGAATGGCCGTCTTCCGGCACAAGCACGAGATTGAGAGCGGCCACACCAGCAGCATCTCCCAGCACATCCTGGGCTTTGACGAGGAGGGCGGCGTTCTCAACTACTCTGGTGTCGCCGCGCTCACCCCTGCCGAGATCGCCTCCTCTGCCCGCAAGGTGGGCAGCATCCTGTGCATGACAACAGAATAGGGTTGTGAGGTGTGAAGGCCCGCACATATATGTGGCAACCTAATGCTGCAAGACTGGGAATGCGAATTTTGAAGGCTCCGTTTATGTGTGGCAATCTAATGCTGCAAGATTGAAGATGCGAGTCATGAACGCGGCACGGCACTTATGTGAGGCAACTGAATGCAGGTGCTGCGCTTCATCGACATGGGGGGCCACGAGAAGTATCTGAAGACGGCGCTGTACGCGATGACCAGCCTGCTGCCGGACTACATGCTGCTCTGCGTCAGCGCCCGCTGCACCGGCGGCCACCTGCCTCGCGCCGCTCGCGAGCACCTGGCAGTCGCACTCGCCCTCGAAATCCCTCTCGCTGTAGTCCTCACACAGGTGCCCCTCCTGCTCTCTGCTCCTCTTGTGTATCCCTGGACGGCGTCATGTTGGGGTCACTCGTGGCCGTTGTAATCGGTATTTTGAAGCCATGAGTAATGCAGGATACATGCCTTCTGTCTGAGCATTCCACCGAACCCTTTAGGTGGCCCTTTTAGGTGACCCCCGTCAAATGGAGGCCCTTGGTGTAATAGTGATGTCGCGAGGGCATGGACGGTGTTGGGAGCACATGCGAGGCTGCGACAGATTGTCAGTGATGGTGCTTTGATTCACATGGGTCAAGAATTTTTTCTGTCCCAGGTGGATGTGGCGGTGTCCAGCGCGGCAGAGGCAGTGATAGGGCAGATGCGCGAGGTGCTGACAGCAGCCGCAGCCGGTGCCGGCGTAGCCGACGGCCTGCCCGCCAAGCTGCACGCCACCGTGTTCCTGCCTCTGGTCTCCTCAGAATCCCAGGCAAGCTCCTACTTTGCTCCTTCGACTCGCAGCGGTCCATGAACAGATCTATCTTGCGCATGTCGGCTTTGAGCTGCGCTGACTGGCCGGGGCAGATTAAGCCACTTTATTTTCATGGCAAATCCATCTCGCTGAGAGAGTTAAGTTCTGTGTTGCTCACAGGCGGCCATGCTGGCGCATGAGGTGGCGGGACGCCGCAGCGGGGCGGCTGGCAGCGCGGACGCGCCCCCGGGCCTGCAGCGGCGCCTTACTGTGCCCCTTTTTGCGGTCTCCTCCGTTACGGGATCCGGCATTCCGCTGCTGCATGCCTTCCTGTCTTCCCTGCGGCCGACCGTCTGCGACTCGGCAGCCCCATCGGTGAGTGGCGCAAACTTCCGCGATGTAAAATTATGCATATATCTTATGCTGTCTCCTCATCGTGCTGTTAAAAGGTCACTTAGTATTGACTGTGTAGCTCAGGCAGCCAAAAGCGTGGTAATGTGACTGTTGAAGATTGGATTCATTGCAAGATTGCAATACCGTGCGCTCATGTGCCCCACAGGACCGAGGCTCTGGTGAGAGTGAGGGCAGCCAGTCGCACACTTCCGCCTCCTTCTTCGACCCAGACATCAGCAAGTGCAGCGATGCCTCCAGCGTCTTCAATGTCTCCCTGGACGGGGATAGCTGCAAGGGGCCGGAGGAGCCTGCAGCAAAACAGCCATACGCCATTAAAGATACTGCCAAGCAGGCGCAAAGCCAGGAAGGCCACGCCCACTTCCAGGTGCTTGCCGGATTGTTTTTTTTCTGTGGCATGATGTGAAAAACTGTCACACGCTGCAATGCACATGCAGCCTCGTGAGTATTTGTTTTGTGGTGCATGTGTCAGAATCAAAGGTAGATGCATGGCTTGTCCTAGTCCAAAAGACGGTTCTTATAAAATTTTAAACACGGGCAGATGAGTGGAATGCTCAATCCATGGTTCTCGCTCAGCACTCACCCAGATATGATGACTCTGCAGGTGGACCAAACGTTTGAGGTGAGGGGCGTGGGCTGCGTGCTGTCGGGCACAGTGGTGGCCGGCCGCGTCACCCTGGGGCAGCAACTGCGGCTGGGGCCTGACGATCAAGGTGCCTTCAAGGATGTCACCGTCACATGCATACAGCGGGAGCAGGTGCGTACCTGCCTTGCGCACGTATGCCGTGACGGATTTCTTGTCATCCTGCCTCGCTAGGCTGATATGCCTTGCCACCGCGCATAGAATGCCTAACGGCAATCTCATGCATACAATGTTACAAAAGCATGCAAGGAGCACCAATATTATGGTGGATGCATCAGTGACAGACTGCTGTGTGCGTGCAGCTGCCAGTCAAGATGGTGCGGGCGAGGCAGCACGCAACGGTGGCGACTCACCCGGCCGAGAACATGCCTTCGGCGCAGAGCAGGCCGGCGGCTGAGCCCAGCACGAGCGCCACATCACTTGGACTGCAGGCAGCGCTGCCAACAGCGAGTGTGGCCATTGGGCAGCAGGGCCCGCCCACAGACAAGCGTGAGGTGTTCCGGATACCTTCGCCCTGCGGCGAGCAGGGAACGCCCCGGCTCAGCCCGCAGGGCAACCAGCGGCTGACTCAGTCTGACACACACAACGGCGCGCAACACCCGGCGCCCACAGTTGGTACACTGGACATTAAGGCAGGCAAGGACATTACAAAGGGCAAGACAGATGGATCTAGATCTGGTAGTGAAAAGCATAGGGGCAGCTGGAGTGGAACGAGGGCGGCGCAGCTCTGCCAGAATGGCGATGGGGGGTCGATGGGGGGCATGGGGACGGGCATGATGGAGGGGTTTGGCGTGGGCAGCTCGGCGCTGGAGTCGGCGCAGCCGGAGGAGTTTGGCGGGCTGCAGATTGAGTGGGCCGCCGAGCGCAGTCGCTGGGCCCTGCGCTCCCAGTCTGCTCCCAGCCTCGTCGCCAGCTCAGCCCCCAACTCCAGAAAGGTGCGTGTTTTGCCAGATTGGGGCTCTCACGAGACATGCATAACCATCATTCGCCAAGTTTGCTATGACTTCGTTCTTATTCAAGGGTGCTGTGACATGTCTGAGGTTCATAAGGTGTGCCTTGGACGTGCGAGGATCACCGGAAAAACCACGACAAATGAGCACCATCTGATAAAGTGGCTGTGGGTGTTGTGCAGGGGACGGTGCTGGTGGGGATGGGGCTGCGGCCGCGGGCGGTGTGGCGGTTTAAGGCGGTGATGGTGCTGGTGTCAGGCCACTGGCCTCCGCGCGGCCTCCTCTCCGGCTGCTGGCCCCCGCACTCCGCCAGCACCTCCGACCCAGACGGGTGCGCTGACCCCCTTCTGATCTCTTTGATCTCGCTCACCCCTTCCATGCGGCAAACATTGAAGCGTGCCTCACAAGTGCAAGGCTGTTGTCTTCTTTGAGGTATTTTTGTAGAGGTCACGAATAGCAACGAGGCAGTGATGGGTAACTGGGAGTGCCTGGTTGCAGGGGCAGCGGTAGCGACACGTGCAGCGGGAGTTCCTTTGATGCGTCTGGCAGCAGGGGCGCCTCCTGGGGCCGCCGCCGACTCAGGTGTGTGACCCTGACAACCTGCCCCCTAACATGATTTCTCAGTGGTCTTTGTTATGGCTGCATCGCCCTGTGCGACTGGGACTGCCTGTCAGAAGGGCAAGGTTCCTTCTGTTTGCTTCCTGCTTGCTGCTGAGCCATATATATCTGTTTGCGCGCAGGACTGCGTATGCTCCGGTGGTGCACTGCGGCAGCGTGCGGCAGGCGGCCAGGGTGCTGCAGATGATGGAGCTGTGCCCCAGCAACAGCCCCGACGCGCGCGAGCTCCAGGGCTGCCGCCTCGCTCCCGCCGTCGCAGCCGCCGCCGCCCTGCTCTGCAGCCCCTCTGCCGGTAAGAGGTTCCCTCTACTTCACATGAAATTATCACTAGAGATGCTGGGGTTGAGCATGCATGCATGCACAGAGGGCGCTTAAGAAGCACTCTGATACTGGGTTGGCAGGTGACAGCTTGGGGTTCACAGATTGGGTGTGTTTTGCTGCAGGCGGTGCAGCGGCGCAGGTGATGCGGTTTGGGACGCCCGATGCGGACGTCATGGGGCGTTCTCCGCCGCGGACGCACAGCATGCCGCGCTGCGACTCGCCGGCCAGCTCTGACGAGGGCAGCCCCCACAGCCTGCCCACCACCTCCGTGTGGCCTGCCCGTCTGCCCGGTTCTGGCCTGGTGACCATCAGCGCTCTCACGTCGTCGCTGCAATGCTACTGTCTTATAACGCACTGGCACTGCCCTGTACTACTGATTGGTGTCTGCTCAAGAGCCCGTGAGTCAGGTGTTCCTGTCAGGCATCTCTTGTCTAAAATGGCCGTGCAGAATAGTTTGGTTGATTGCCTGGGTGCTGTGCAGGTGCTGGAGGGAGGTGCAGAAGAGGCAAAGCTGGCAGTGTGTGAGGCACCGGGCTGTGTGGCACGCGTGACATTTGAGTTCTGCCAACGGCCGGAGTGGCTGCAGGAGGGGGCGCGCCTCATTGTGCATGACCGCACCGACAACTGCATGTCTGGCGCTGGCATCGTTGAGCGCCTGTTGGCTGGCCAGTGCCATAATGACTAAAAATTGTAGCGTGGGCAGAATGGAGAAATGATGAATGCGGCCCTTGTTGATATTGCGTGCACTACAGTTGTCTTGTTGGAGCAGATTTGACTGCTTGAACCACTGGCAAGCACAGAGTGCTATTCAAGCTCCACCTGACTGAAAACACAACCCTGATGAAAATGTTGTATTGAACAATTCAGGCTGTACAGAAATGTCCAAATGAGCAGTGTGAGATGCTTTGAATGTGTCAAAAGACATCATTTCTGTGTCTGTTGTTGGTGTGCGCTTGGGGTTGTATATCGTTTCTCTGCAAGCTCTGAATGTGCACGCGTGTTGTCCTGTTTGCATACTGGCAGTCAAGTTACATGCTCCCCAGCCACGAGGCTGATCAGATGCAGCACGGGAAAAATTAGTGTAAGAAAAGAGCGTGGTCCTGAATTTGAAGCAAAGCTACACTGAACCAGCTATCCCATGAAATAGCCACTAGCCTGCAGCTGCATGCTTAAGATAAAGTCTTGAGTGTCACTCAATATATATCGGTGCCTCCTGCATTTTCTTGGCCTCAGACAAAGATGGTCTAAAATCAGGACAAGGAGATATGGCTGTTGTAGAGCATGAACGACGAACACATGCTGACTCCAGCAAGTTAGCAAGCTTGCAGCTAAAGGCGCTTTTATTCCAGAACCGCACTTAGCCTGCGTGCACAAGTTTAGATAAAAACATGTGTAGAAGCTCTGCATGCAAATGTATTGCTGGGCTGGCATAAAACAAGGCATTCCCTTATTGACAAGGTCCCCTTTGCTTGAGGGTGTGGACATATATATTGCTAGTCTGCGGATCCTCAACACAGTCCTGCATGGACACCGGGTACCCGTTCAATCTAGAGTCAGCTTTCTGGTCTCTTTGAGCTCAAGGTCTGTTGTACTAGCACAGAACCCAGCATTCATCGAAAGTGTCCTACCTCCTCTTGTTCCAGTCCTTCGGACAAGGCCTGCACTTCACTGTGATTCTAGATCTTCTGGGTTTTAATAGACTGGCACAGCTCTCCCCCAGCTTGTCTATAGGGGATATGGAACTGGCAATTTTTCTGCAAAGGCGATCTTATTGAAAGGCTATGATAGCTCCTGCTCCCAGAATTGAAGCAGTGATGCTGCTGCTCCTAGTGCAGCTGCCTCCAACTCCTTTGTCATTTTTTCAGCCTCCTTTTCTGCGCCTGTCTTTGTACAAGGTTTAAACTCCACCGTCACTGTGAACCTTTTGGGCTCAGAAGTATTGCTTTTTGTGGACTCAGTCAATCTTGAGCCAAATCGATTTAATCCAAATGCGATGATTCCCACTGACACAAGTTTTGAAGCTGCTGCAAGCAGTGCAGCACCGTCCACCTTCTTCGTCATTAATTCAAGCCTCAACCTGTGTCTCATTAATTCAAGCCTCAACAAGTCCTCCTATAAGAATTTGCTTCGCCATATTCCGTATCATAAGCGTGGGGTGATTGATATTGACAAATATGATATCAACATCACGTGTGGGTTGACCCGGTGCAATTCAGGCACAGGCTCTAATGGACAACCTCTATTACGATCGCGATATCAAATAGCTGCCTCCCTACAATGCGAGACGACACCGTCTTATTGTTGGCCGCCTCAATCCTTTCGGGTGGGATGCTTCTTGGGATATGGGGCCTGTGCTCACAGCTAATTAGCGCTATTAAACAAGTGGGACGACGCATTCTGGGACCCAAATAATTACATTCTCAGAGAAGTAACCATTGAAACTAACAGAGGCAAGAAACCCTGGCAAGTACGGTGCAGTTTCACCAAACTGAAGGCATAATTCGATATCGATCATGGCATAATTCGTTCGTTTCATTCTTCTAGTACAGTACACGTTCTTTCGATGTTTGATGGCTGACAGGCACATCCACATGACGAGCAAATGTTGGAGACAATTATAAAGGAGGCCCTGCTCCTATGATCAGGTCTCAAGTATGTGGCGCCATCACTTGCACTTATCTGGCCATGGCCGGGGGTTACAGTAGGGGGGTATACCCCTGGGTATACTATACCCAGAGTAGTACCCTGTACGTAAAAACTACTCACGAATTCCTGATTTTTTGGCCACAAAGTAGCTTGTCCATTGCCACTCAGCTTCAGAGCCTGTGTTTATTGTCATATACAGTGTAAATACAATCTGTGTTCCTAAGCATGCCATCGTTGTGGCCAGGAACTTTTCCAGTGCATTTAACTTTACAGCCTTGGAAAGTATGCTGCTGTTGTTGACGTACTTCTTTGCACATGATAACATGCCAAGCGCTTGGCTAGCCTTTGCTTGGAATCCTGGGTTTTGTTGTTGGCAAAGCATACCACACTTTTTGGTCCAATTTCAAGACAACCAATTCAATTTCTGTCAAGGGTGCCGTCTGAGGGGTCATCAAGGTAGTCTGACATTGTCAGAAGCAGAACTCAGTCAGCATCTTGAGAGCGTCCAAGGTCCTTACTAAGCAACGCAACATTTCTTTCTGCCATTTCTTCATAAGCGCATGAACTCAATGCTGCATCAGGCTGGGCTGCTGATGGACATCCTGAGGGCGGCCAGTGCCTGGGAGTCCAGGCTGGGCTTGCCCCGCTGCGCTGCGCGGCTGAGCTGGCTGCGCGCAGCATCTTCCTCCCTGCCATCCGCGTGCACCAGCCGCACGAGGCCATCGGCGCTCAATATCTCCTTCAGGCCGCTGGGGTGGTGCGTCTCCGTCTGGCCCGAGGGAAAGTAAAAGACCTCCACGCCGTCTGAGTGTGTGGCATGCCAGGTGTCCACCTCAGCATAGAAGTACTCCACAGTGCCTGCACGGCAACCCAGCCAGAATCACAACCTGGCACACATTCTGTGCATTATCTACACTATTTGGTCCTCCTGACCTTCCTGAAATGACAAGAGGCTCAGGACCTCTTCTGGACCTTTGTGAAGATGCCCACAACTGATGCGTGACCTCTCCACAGATCCCAAGCTTTCACCCTTTCAAAGTTCTGTGGCCAGATCTCACACAGGGTCGATATCGGAATTTGAGCCTGTTTCATCACAGGAGAGGAATGTGAAGAGCGCTCACTGTCGGGGAAGGTGCGTTTGACGTCTCCGTTGGTGAACATGACAATGCTGCGGCCGTCCGGGAAGTGCTCCTTGAGCGTCCCGTTGGCAAAGATCAGCGCTCGGCGGCCGTCGCCGAAGACCCGCTCCACTTTGCCGTCCGGGTGCCTCGTCTCCTGCATTTGTACAACAACCATCAGACAGCAGTGGTGCAGTGGTGACATGGCAGTCACGCCTCAGTGCAGATGACTGTAACGAAATGCATGCATTAGACATCGGCATGAATGGTCTTGCGGAAAAACCACCTGCACAGGGACGCTCCCATGAGCAAGCAGCCCCGGAGCAGCCAAGCCAAGGCCACTCGCCGTCCTTTGTGCGCCCCCTGCCACGCTGGCGAGCTTGGGCTCCAGCGATCTCGAGGGCAGAGCAACCTGCAGTTTGGCCTGCTGTGGCCCAAACGCAGCAGAGCTACTTGGTGGCAAAGTAGAGATGATTAGGTGGTGGAGGGGTCGCAATTCTGTGCTCACTGAAGCCTGCTCTGGCTGGCTGAAGCCCTGATGAGCATTGGCTCCCCTTTGCGGCCGAGAGGCGGCACCTGGCGGGTTCTTGTATGCTGACGCATCATACGCTGCGCTCCTCCGAGTGGCAGCTTCGCTGCATTCACCTGCCTCAGTCTCTGAGCGGACACTGCTGGCACGGCTCAGGCTGACATCAGCGGCCAGATGTGGCTTCTCACGGAGGTTGAGGCGCGCCAGATCAGGCGTTGCCGGCCGGCTGGTCCGCGCGGCGGCCGCGCCGTCGAATCTGCTGCTGCCAAAGAAGGAGTTGCCGGAGGCGCGCATGGATGCGCGCAGGGGAGAGTAGACGGCCTCGCTGCCGATGTCATCCAGGAAGGGGGACAGCACTGCGTGATGGAACGCCGGTGCAGAAGCGGCGCTGCACTCCACTCGTAGCTGCACCGCGGCCCCACCCCGGTCGGCCGCGGCCGGGCCCGCTTCTCTCCTAAAGTCCCACCTGCGCACAGCGCACACCAGCCCTTATACCCTGCTCATAATGATTGCTGGCTTCAGGACCTCATCTTTGTAGCAAGGCGCCTGCGCAAAGGCGTTGGGGACAGGTCTACTGCAGTCCCTGCAGCATCGGGAATGTACACCTCCACAGGGATTCCAAAGGAGAGCAATCTGTCTTCACTTTTTAAAGGGGGGTCTTCAGTGAGGGCGGGGTGCACGCACCGGTCGAAGCGCGGCACCGGCGGAAGAGGCTTGGCCGGCGGCCGCTGAGGCCTGGTCAGGATGGCTGCCAGGTCAGTGCTGCTGCCAGCCGAGCTGCCATCGGGTTGCCCAACTACGACTGCGGCAGGGGCAATTTGCGAGGCCGACTCCGAAAGACTCCTTTCTGGAGGCCGCAGCTGCGAGGCCTCTGCTCTGTGTTCTGCGCTATTTGCTGGCTCGGGCGCGAGCGGAGCAGCTGCTGCTTGGTGCGGCTCCTCGGCTTGAGCATGGCTGCCAGACATGAGGACAGCGCCTGTCTCTTGTGCAGATGGCCGCTGCGCAATCGCCACAGGCGCCTGCTTCTGCTGCTGCTCATTCTGCTGCTGCTGCTGCTGCGGCGGCGGCATGTTAAGTGGCTCCTCTGATGGGGCAGGGGGGTCTGACAGTGCCTCTGCATCCTGGGCCAGCGAGACAGCAAGAGGGGATATGCTGGGCAGCAAGGCTGCGCTGGCTTTCTTGCTGGCAGCCTCTTGCCGCGCCCAGGACTTGAGCCTCTGCTCCTCATACCAGCGCACCTCTTCGCGCAGCTCCGTATTTTTCTCCTACAAAAGCACAAAACAAAGCTGCATTATCAACCAGAGACCCCGATGATTGACAAACATGCGTATATGTCATTTAAAGCCATGGTCTGCACATGGGGTTACTAACTCTGCGGCATGCCTGGCACACCTGCAGCTCGACAATCTGGCGCCGCAGCCGCTCAACGATGAGTTTGTGGCGCGCATCCTTGGCTCTCGCAGTGCGCCTTTCCTCTGCCAACGTTGCCTCCAGCGCCTCCATCTGTGAGTGAATTCCAGACTTCAGCAAATTGAGATTCTCCGGCTACCAAACGATTGAGGGACCCTTGCCATAAAATTGCCACAAAGCTTGCAGAGTGAAGCTTAGCAGCCTCCCATATGGACGGCTTTTTCATCTAGTCTGCTGAGGAGCACCTCAGCGCGGTCCTTCTTGGTCGGCAGCTTGAGCACGGCGCGGCTCTGCTTGTTGAGCACCATGCGCTCCCGCTGCAGCTTCTTCCTCTGCTCGTCCCTCTCCTTCTCCCATGCAGCGGTCTCCTCAGCCTATATCAGAACACCAACAATACATCAGAACTGCGGGTGACATGCAGAGCCACAGGATCTCTGCGCATTTAAGAGCATCACAGGTAGTGAATCCAGAATCTTCCCAAATTTCCCTCTTTGTCTGATTATTCCGCAAATGAGACAGGCTCACCCGCTTGCGTTGGAACTCCTGTTTGTCTTTCTCCAACTGCGCTGCAGCCTGCTCCACCTGTACTTTCAGCTTTAGGATGTGTCCTCGCTGTGAGTGACCCTGCCTGTCTCCAAGCATGCTTTGCTGCGCGTAACCACCTGCTGACGCACATGCTCGCATCAGACATGCATACCGGTATTATGGGGTAGATGACTCAAGAGCAAAGCCGATGACACATCAGCGTCACTTACCACTGTGCACAAGGGCTCTGCTGCCTGCAGCATCCTCCACTTGGAACCCAAAGAGCAGCTGCTGAACAAAGGGTGACAATGCGTTGCTCGACAGCACAACTCCATCCTGGCGCACAAGCATCCAGCAATTAGTGCTGATGTATAGATACCCAGCAGCAGGTCATTCCCAGCTTTTAGCCTTTAGCATGCTGCATGCCACACAGACCATGGCATCCGAAGCGTACTGTGATAGCCAATGCATGTGTCATCAGGTAATCACCTTGACTGATGAGACTGGCACAGCCAGCAGGTCGGCTCCTGAGCCCCTCTCCTTGTCAGGGAGGATGGGAGCATCCTCATCCCAGTCCACTCCAGCCCCAAACTCCTCAGCATCCACCTCGCTCTGTGACAGCCCCTGACTGGGCGGCCCCCTGCTGCTCCCTGCTGCCTCAACTGCCCAGCTTGCTGCCTGTCGCACAGCACCAGATGCCGGGAGGGCCTCTGCGGCAGAGCCGCGCACCCTGCTGTGCGCGGCTGGTTGGGGAGCTGCTGGGGCTGGTGATGAGCCTGCAGCAGGTGGGCCAGGCCTGCGCATGCTGGACCGCGCTGTTTGCTGCCGGCCAGCTGCTGGCCTGGCCGCTTGGTCTGCAAGTCCAGCTGCTAGTGTCGCCCTGCCGGGGGCCTTCTTAGCCCCACTGCCCACATCTGTGGGTCCGTTGCCAGCCTGCCCAGCTGCTGACCGTCCAGCCAGGCCGCTCCTTGCAGCCCCCGAGCTTGGCTTTGTCCTGCTAGAGGCTGGCGATCTCTTTGCTTCCCCATCGAGCAGCGATTTGGACGGTGTGACACTGGCTTGGGACGAAGTCGCGCTCGCTGCTCTGTGTCTGACGTCAGGTTCCCGTTGCCTTGCTGGTTTGGCTGGTGTGCAAGTGAGTTTCTTGCCTCTCTGTCCAGGCTCAGGGGTCTCTGTAAAGTCTAGCACAAACCCGCCCTTGGGTACGTATCGCTTCTCTGAGGTGGAAGCCTCCTGACGCCTCTTGAGGCCGCTACCACTGCGCAGGAAGGGCTTTCTATGCACTGCGGTGGAGTCTGGTGTGCTGTCTGCTAGTGTGCTTGTCTCCTTCTTAGTGCTCATCTGCTGCTTCTTCTCAAAATGCTGCTGGAATGGGCTTCGAGCTCGGCTGTTGTTGGCAAGGTAAGCAATGTTCTCTGACATCACTACGTGGCTGTTGAATCTGAGGATCTGCGTATGGCACGAGCTTTGCCAGGTAAGATGTGTCTCCAGCACTCGCAGCAGCTGTCTGTCTCAGGGAAAGCAGAGCTTCCTGAAAGTTTCTATAAAGAAGGTGGCAAGTGCATCAAGCCAAGCACGTTCTTGCGATCGGAATATTATCCTTTTCACCAAAGTACGTATGAAGGTGCATCTTTACGCCTATCGTCAAGCACTTGTCGGCATCATCTTATAAGATAGATTTTCTGCACAATTCCGGAGGTACGGTACCGATCGCTGCCAGTAGCACTGACACTTTGTAACCTGCTTCACTCGAATGGATTGGAGATGTGTTGCGTTTGATGGGAAGGACAATTTGGAGACATCCGTCATACGTTACGCGCCAAGGGAAGGGCAGGCCATAACATTGCCCAAAACCACTTACAAGCTGTTTATCACACCATAAAGGCGTCTAAAACCTCTTAATTTTTCTTCTCTGCTTATCTTGAATGTTCAAGTTCATCAACTACCACTCTCCATTCAATACTGCTGTCACTGAGACGTATCCCTTGTATTACTAGTACTGCAGCCGCACCTCAAAACCACTGTGACAGGCCTGCCAGCTTCCAGTCGGAGCACTTCTCACATATATTATTCCTCAAGAATCTCTCGATAAGACAAGACGCTCTGTCTCCCAGCAAAAAGGATCTTCCAAGGCTGCAGCCATGGACCCCTCACTCCTGCCACACTAGGCCACGCTGCTGCATCTACTGAGTCCCTGACCTTCGGCCTGCAGCTGACTGCCGCAGGCCTCGTTTCGCAAACTGGCGAGCTCAAGCGTTGGCGCCAGACACAATCTCAATGATCTGGCTGGTGATCATGGCCTGGCGCTTGCGGTTGTACTGCAGCGTCAGCTTCTTCTTCAGTTCCTTGGCGTTGTCGGACGCCGAGTTCATGGCGTTCATACGCGCGGCCAGCTCTGACGCCAGCGCCTCCTGTGCGCACATCAGTCCACAGCAATCTTAGCATGCACCCCATCCGACCAGCAAATGCCAGCATGAAGGTCTCCCTTCCTATGCTTTCTGCAGGCCCAGTTGAAAATCAAATGCTCCAGCTCACCACGCGAGGCAGCTGCACCTCGGTAGGGAAAGTGGTGGGATACTGCCAGAAAAACGCCAGCAGAGGTTCCTCAGTTTCAGATGTTATTATGCAGGCCTGTTTTGACCTACAACGTTCCAGCTCACAGCAGATTGCTGCTCAAGGCAATAGAATCCAAGCAAAGTGTGGTGGGGAATGGGTAGCAATTGATGCTGAGGGAGTGCCAACCTGGAGAGAGCGGAGGAGGGTGGAGTTGAGGTAGAGGGGCAGCAGGGCATCGATGATCTGTACGGGGTCCTGCTCGAAGATGAGCCCGGCGTCAAAGTCGGAGGTGTCCATGGTCACCTTCTCGCGCTCCAGTGTCAGCTTGCCCTCCTTGGTCGTCAGCGTGAACAACTCGTCCTCGGCAGCATCCACGCAGCGGCCCTCAATGTCGCAGATCTCACCCTGCCACACCAGTGCGGCCCATCAGACCCTAGGTCCAGTGCCATCCAGGCCTCATGGGCACAACTGGAGGTGTTGAAGTCCGTGCAGTCTTTCTCAGCAGCTCACTAGCAGTGGAGACATACTATGGTTTAGCATTCATGCAGGCTAAGCTCTGCAGTCAGATAATGCTACCTGTGCTGCTCACTTACTGATGCCACATGCCATGGGCTAGAAACCCCGCCAAGGCATGGACAGCATTATTGGAGTTGTTGGGGTGCTTTGTTTCTGTGTTATCAAGGGAAAGAAAAATTTTAGGATGAGAACGGATGTGTGATGGTCGCGCACCTGGGGGGTGAGGGGGAGGAGGGTCTGCACGACGGGGTCGGAGGAGATGAGGGACACAAACTTTGTGTATATCATCTCCACCTTGTCCACCTCCTCGCTCACAAAGTCTGCGTACAGCTCGTCCGCGATGGCCTGTGCCTCCTTCGTGGTGGGGGTTGCGCCCAGACCGTAGTTGGCTGCGCAGCAAAAGTAATCCATGATGCGCACAGCTGAGGTGGGGTACAGGATATTGCCCAAAAAGCTGTCAATGCCCTCCAGGCACATAGCTTGGTGCTGCCACTGCATGAGGAACTCACCGATGATGTTGAAGCGGTCTGCGCGGCGCTTGAAGTACTTCTCGCCCTTCTTGCCGACAGTCACCAGCTTCACATCCACGCCCATCTGTCTCAACTCCGCGTTCCTCTTCTCTGCCTGTGCAATCAAGCATGGACGTTTATCCGACGCTCTGCAACCTCCATGTTGCAGCACACCGGGCAAGGGTCAAGCCAAGCCAGGACCATTGAGATGGGGCACTGCTGCCCACCTTCTTAATGACAAAGTTGTTGTAACCGCCACAGAGACCACGGTCGCCAGTCACGATGACGAGGAGAACAGTCTTCACTGGTCTAATGTTGACCAAAGGTGAGTCCACATCCTCCACTCTGAGTCTCTGGTTCACACCGTACAACACCTGCACGCAAATTTTTGATAATTAATTGTAGTTATATCCATCAGCCGCATATATAGAGCTCAGTAGCTACGATGATCAATTTGCAAAAATATTCAGCTGAATGTGCTTTTCAGATAAGATGCCAGTCAAGCTCCGCTGGCTGTGCTTAGCACTGAACACCAAGCATGCAGCGCTGGTGAGAATGATTGCTGTCCTATGGGAGCCATTGCTTGCATGAAATGCATCCCTACCTTCACCAAGTTCTCTGCGAAGGGGCGCCCATTCACCACAGCATCCTGTGCTCGCCTAACCTTGGCAGCAGCCACGAGCTTCATGGCATCCGTGATCTTCATGGTGTTTTTGACCGAATTAATACGGTCGCGGGTGTCCTTCAGCCCAGCACACACCTGCACAGATCATCCTTCCTCAGCCACCAAAAAGCTGAGGAGTGTAAAGGAATGGGGGGGCCAATCGAGTTGTGCATCTGAGCGCTCCCAGGCCAACTGAGCATCCCATCCCACCTGCAGAGCTCCTCTCTGCTGCAAAGGGGCTGCACGCCTGGGTGCAACAAAGCTAGCGTCCCCCTGGATTGCCTTGGAGCGGACGCTCCCATTGATTTGTCCGCAACCCATGGCAGCAGAAAAGGACGCCATTGCTGCAGATGACTGTATGCCCCACAACCGTGATTCGTCCTGAATGCGAGCTCAGTGCCGCAAAAGATATTGATGGCCAGGAACTGGTGCGGTGCCCTTAAGTACTGACCATGTGGAAAGGGATCAGATTCCTGATGTTCTATACCCCTAAATGGAGGGGTCCTGACCTAAGCCTTTTGGTGCTACCAGCCATGCTGCATCTTGCATCGAAGAAGAGGATATGTACTGTGTAGCATTGAAGTCAATGTTCGCAATGGTTTAAATAACGCTCGATGCATTTGCCGAGGCGCTGCCTGCGCTAGTGATCTGGGAACCCATCACAAGTGATCTCGCTACTGCCCTGGAACAGAGTCCATATTATCTGGTGAGTCTATCCAGACGTGTTGTGAACAAGGATTGGCAGCGGCATTGGTGCTGGGGCGAATGGATTAGAGCGGTGTCAAGTTCGGTTTGGAGCATGCTGGAGTCCACTCTCCTGAACAAGGCACACTGTTCCAGTGCATGTCAGCTCAGTAGCCGGCACTTGCTAAGGAGTAGAGGGCGCACGCAGTGCATGCAGACATCATGTGCAATAAGCCAGGAGGATCGGCAACACATGCGGCATGCTCTGGAGCTAGCTGCAAGGGGCCTAGGGAAGACACACCCGAACCCTGCTGTAGGATGCGTGATCCTCAAAGACGGTAAGGTGAGGGCCTCTGCAGGTCTATGAAATCACCTCAAGGACGCTTGGGAATGGGTCAATGCCAGCGTCAGGGGCCACATGCCTGATATTTCTTTCGCCACTGATGGACAGGTGATTGGTGAGGGCTTCCACCCCCAGGCAGGCGAGCCGCACGCCGAGGTGTATGCGTTGCGAGCTGCCGGGCAAGCTGCGGCAGGAGCCACGGCGTACGTGACCCTGGAGCCATGCAACCATTTTGGTCGGACTCCTCCGTGCAGCAGCGCCCTCGTTGCCGCCGGTGTCAAGCGGGTGAGCCTGCTGCCTGCAGGGTGTGACTGAGCTGATGTTGACGATGTTGTTGTAACCGCAAATTGTTGCTTGGTCTACAATGCATGAAGGCGTGACATGCATGCAGCGGCAGCAGATGCATGCAGGCATGACAGCATGCTCAAGCTGCAGTGCATGTTGCAGGTTGTCATTGGGGTGGGAGACCCGAATCCTCTTGTGGGTGGCGCTGGGATCAAGACGCTGCAGGCGGCAGGAATTGAGGCTGAGCTGGTGGGCGGAGCAGAAGAGGAGAATGCTTACAGCTTGAATCTGGACTTCATGGAGCAGATGAAGGCGCAGGGGACAGTAGGCAAATGAAGGACCCGATCCGACCTTGCAAGTAGTTTGACCCTTGCAAGCAGTCTGACGTTCAACCCAAATGGGTTTCCATGTGACAGCGGTAACGTGCGTACGATGGTGACACGCCCATCATTTGAGGTGTTGCATTCGAAAGGTTAGCATGTGCTTTACAAAATAAAATGAGAGAACTCGAAGTTGAGTGCCTTATGTTGTAGTAAGTGGTGGATATATATTACATCTACGCTTGGCGTTTTGTCCCATGATGGGCGGTATCACGATAATCTGATTGTTGACTGAGCTGGCTCACATATGTACGTACAGCAAAACTAAGAAACAAGCATCAGAATTTGAGCGTCTGATGCTGTACGAAAAGAACAATGAAAGCCGAAATTTAGATGCACAGTGATTTGACTAGCAGAAACACAAAAATGGACAGGCCGTGACATGCCTTTCAGCGGCCTGAAAGTTTCAGAACTCTCAGTCTCCGTGCGACTTTGGAGTCCTCAGCATGTGATCCATTGCAGTAAGAAGGATTGCTAATGCCAACTGCGACAGCACTTGACACGAACCCCCCACGAGGAGAACTCATTCCACCATCTTAATCTTGCTCATCACTCCATCATTATTCCTTATTTGAGCGAGTGCAGGCATTACATTCTGCCCCGCAAGCTGGCACCCATCGTGGTGGCCCGATGCGGTCTCCACCAATCTCCCTTGCTACTAGAATCCCCAGGCAGAGAGAGGCCTTCTGATGCCTGCCCCTCCCCACTCTGTCCAGCCAAATGCTCTTCCAGCTCGCTGCTGCAGGGTGCACCGTCCAGTAATGGCCCATCGGCTATGGCAACGGCGGGTAAGTGCGCATGCGGCTGTGGCTCACACCGGGTCTGGCCGTTTGCTGCTCATATGAGATCACTCCTGGTCAGCCTGGTGGCGCTCATCGGTGATGTCCTCGAGGTCCACGAACGCGCGCTGCTCGGGCGAGAGGCCGGCCTGCTCCTTCCAGTACTCCAGCTGCTTCCTGACCTTGAGCATCTCCTTGTTCGCCTCGTTCTTGGTCACCTCGTTCTTGATCGTGCGCACACGCGTCGCGTACGCCAGCGAGTTCTGCAGCACAAAAACACATCCCATCAGAATCTCTCACATGCTACAAGATATGCTGCATATCAGGCTGCATCGAAATACACACATGGCTGCTCACACCTGTTACATGCAAGGGATTTGCATGCATATCCAGTTGCCGGTCTAGACGTGCCAGCCAAGATTGTGCTGCAGGAGCAGCATCAGATGGAGAAAGGACACAGTTGCATTGATGCTGCACATTTTCCTGGCATGCAGTAATTTGGTGACCTAGGAAGAGCACCATATCACAGCATGAAATGTGGAAAGCTATCAACTGTAGCAGCATGGGCGCGTGCCTGGGTCTCGTCGAGGTTGGTGTCGGTGGGGGACACATTGACGAACATAAGGGTCTTGGCGGAGCCGCCCAGGGAGTCGCTCATGAGCATGGTGAGCTTGTGGTTGCGGTAGGGGATGTGCGGCTGCTCCGTGGCCAGCGCGCTGATCACGTCGCCCAGCGCGCTCAGGCTCTTGTTGATCGCCTGCGCCTCCTTCAGCTGCTCGCCTGTGGACCCGCTCTTCTTCACCCTGCAACCACGTGGTTCCACGCGTCAGGTCCTGAGAAACACTCCGTTGTAATGCCAAGCCAGGGGAAGCAATCAAAACAGGCATCCAGCAATGCCACAATCTTGGCAGAGGTGCATCATTTGCTTGCGTGCCAAAAGATAACAGATATTCAGAATGCCACAGGGATTCTGACAGATAAATTCCTATTTATATAGGTCAGCATGGCACATCTGAGGTAATAGCTGTGTTTTAGTGATCCAGCAGCAGTGATTTCAGTTTGTCAATTTGGTATGCTCTGTGTCAAGGCAGGGAGTGGGGTGTGGCGCACCTCTCAGAGCCGGCCAGGTCGACGAAGGACAGCTTGCCCTTGGTCACATTCTGGGTCTGCAAGTTGGTGGCCTCGATGATCACTGACATGACCAGGTGCGAGCGCGATGACTCGCGGTTCATCTGCACAAAATCATGTCGATTTAAGCCTGTCAGTTATACTTGTTATAGGGCAGGGCTGGCTGGAAGAGGAGTTCCTAAGCCCTTCTTCTACCGCCACTTGCTGTCAACGAGCCAGTCATGGGCTGCCCCACCCAGAGGACATTTGTAACTTATCATTAGGAAGCGAAACCAAGTCAAATGCTGCTGCCTCAAGAGCAATGAAAGGGAAGGGGGGGGGGGAGATTAGCGCCTGGGTAGATGACACGTGGCGGCGCTGCTGCCCCTTCTCGATGGTGGCCAGGAGCTCCTTGGCAGAGGTGACCTCAATCATGGTGGCGCCCGGCACGCTCACCATGCCCTTGGTGTCCTTCTTGATCTCCAGCTTGGGCGCGCGCACCGCGGCCGACCCAAAGCCCCCTGACTGGCCGCGCGTTGGTGCTGGCTGCTGCGCTCACACAAGCCCACAAAGAGATCAGATGCCAGGTTCTTCAATATTTTTTATTCCAGACTGCCAACCTGACTTGCTCGAAGCAGTGAAGTGCTCTGGACAGGTTCAGGACAAATGCAAGTGTTGCAGCTGCCATTGCACAAGGCATGCAGCATGCCTTGAGAAGCAGAGACAAGCAAGTGATGATGGGAGCCAGCTCCCGGGGTGGCTATTGGAGGTAGTTGCAGTGCAGCGTGAGGAGTACTGACCTTGGGGACGGGCAGCAGCAGGTCGGCGAGGTCGTCCTGGTAGAGCTCGAGCATGTAGCAGGAGACGCTGAAGGTGTACTTGCCGCTGTCTCGGTCCAGGATGTTGAACAGCTCGTGGATGCCGCGTGGGGTCAGGCCCGGCATGTCGGCCGTGCCATAGATGGTGTGCGTCTTGCCGGAGCCGGTCTGGCCGTACGCGAAGATGCACACGTTGTAGCCGTCTACTGCCGACTGCACCAGGTGCCGCGTGTCCTCAAACACCTGCGCAGGAGAGGGCACCCTTGTCAGAAACCAAATGCTGGCACCATAAGATTGATACAAGAGGCACGGTGCTGCTGTGTCTAATGTTTGTATTTATGCGCATTGGGAGGAAGATCGCATTCATTCCACACTGCTTGTGCGGCATTGAAGTGAATGCATGCATTCCAGACTGCCAGTGCTGCGAAGTGCATCAGCAGGGATAGATTCACTCTTTGTTGCTTGCACGGATGATCTGTCTGCCGGGGTGCAGGCGCGGACCTTCTCCTGCGAGGCGACGGGCTCGAAGACGGCGTCGAACTGGTACTCGCGCTTCTTCTCCTTCCAGATGTGGTCCAGGGTGAGCTCGTCGGGGATGTTGAGTGCCACCTTCTGGCCGCGCTCCTTCTCAAAGCTCAGCATCGGCCGCACGCGCGCGTACACGCGGATTTTGCCCTTCATGTCCTCCATCATGTTGAAGAACTTCTTCCGCATGATGCTCTCCTCCTGCGCACCGCATGCCAGCAGTTGAGCCCAGAGAAGCCCAAGGCATGCACACCAGGGACGTATGTCCACCCTCTGCTTCTGCTTGTGGTAGTACCTGTAATCGTGGTCTACAGACTTCCGTAGAGGATCTGCAAGTGCCTGAGGAACCAGACACATGTGGCTTCTGGAGAACTGGCGTTCCTCAGCACTTTCTGGAGGGTCCATGCATGTTATTCACAGGCCTGTAACTTGAAAGTTCAGGGATATGAAAGCGGGCGAGATGCATGGCCTGAGGGCTGCATACATACCTTATAGAGGGTCTCGAGCTCGTCTAGGCGCTTGGCCTGGTTCTCGATGACGGTGGCCTGCGCGCGCTCCCGCCTCTCCACATCCTCCTTCATCTCCCTCAGCTCATCCAGCTCATTTGAGGCTTGCTCCACCTGCCATGCAGAAGCTACGTCAACTATCTGCAGCTATCGTATGAGACTACACATTGGGATGAGATTAACTTGAGCATGGAATCCTGTGACATCATAGATTCCAGATCTGCAAGCCTTGCATGTGCAAATCTTTGGACGAAAGGTTGATTCAAGCATGGAGCCCAAGACTTGCTCTCAGAAGAAAAGGGCAGCCGCACAGAGGCTAGACAGAGGAGCCTCGCAGAAGGACCAATGCTGCACATAATGCAAGCATGCAACACAGTGTTTCGCTCTGTGAAACCAAAACAAGGTGCCAAGTTCAAAGAGAGCTTTGCAGGATGGCCGGGCGCGCACCTCTTCGAGGGCGGCCTCCTTCTCGGAGAGCAGCGCCTGGGTGTTGCCCAGCTCCTCAATGAGGTCGTTGACCTTGGCATCCTTGGCGCTGAGCTGCTCCACGACGCTGTTGCGCGCGCTCTCCAGCTCGGCCGTCAGCTGCGCGATCTCCGCCGCGCGAGCCGCCTCCAGCCGCTGCATCTTCTTCTCCAGCAGCTCCACCTCCTTCTGCGCCTCCCTGTCAGCGGGAGATGTGAGGTGTCAGACAACGCCAGACATCTGTGGGAGAACCCACACAGCAGGGGAGGTGGGGCACCAGACCCCAGACAGGCAGTGTATGTTGATGTTGAAAGTGCACAAGTGCATGGCATGCGAATGTCATGAGGCGTCATACCCCAGACAGGAGGAGTAGGATAAATCGGCGCAGGGCACAAACGCAGTGCATGGCATGTCACTGTCATGAGTCTAGCAGGGAAATGAGTGTGAGGTGGGACTCACTGCAGTGAGGCCTCAGCGGCCAGCTGGGCATCTGTTGTGGTAGCAAGCTGGGCTTGGAGGGCATCCACCTGCATGCACATGTCTGGTAAGTGCCCCAGCATCTGATTAGCAGCAGCAGGCTGACTCCAAGAGAGGTCATTCGGGGCTTGAAAATGTCACATCGAAGCGAGACGAAGGGGAATGTGGCGTCATGACAGGTGATCTTGCCTTGTCCTCAAGCTCGCGCAGCTGCTGCGCCTCTGCCGCGGCCTTCATGGCCACGGAGGCGGCCGCCACCTCCTCCTGCGTCCTCACCTCCACATCCGCCACCGCCGCAGACACCGCCGCCTCCACAGCCTGCAGGTAGGCAGAGTACCTCTGAGCAGTCTTCTCCACATCAGACACAAGTAGAAAAATCCCTCAAGCCAGCTTTTGAGCAAAGAAACTGATGCATCATACGCAAACATATCACCAAGCCAGGCTTGTGTGCACAGCCCTGTCTTTCATATCAGCCTATTTCCTTCACGTGCAACAGGAGCCTCAACATCAGCTTGATTTGGAGTCCCGTCTGGGGTGGCAGGGTCCGACCTAGAGGGCAAAAACCTCTGCACTCCTGACAGGGGTATAGATAGAGATTAAAGCGGGAAGTAGGGACAGGGAGGCGCACCCGGGTCTTGTCGGCCTCGGCCTTGTCGAGGTTCTGCTTGGTGGCCGCCAGGTCAGCGCGCAGAAGCTCCACCTCGCGCGTGGTCGCCTCCACGCGCTCAGACGCCAGTCGCTGTGCCGCGCGCTCCGCGTCCAGCCGCTCCCGGGCCTCCTCCAACTCCTCCAGCACCCGTGCCTTGTCCGAGGAGTGCCCGTTCTCCGCCTTCCTCATCTCCTCAATCCTGCACCAAGGGATGTAAATCTTGTCACGTGTGTTCCTCTGGACCCTGGAGACCTTTGATGATCACTGATTGTTGCGCAGCATTATATGGCATGCAAAAGCAGGGATGCTTGAAGACTTGGTCATGGGCGCACTCAGTTGCTTTAGCTATCAAAGACAAAATATGAGATCAAAGAGGATGAGATGGGCAGAAGTTGAACATGCTACAGAGCAGGACATGCCATCACAGTCAGAGGATGCAGCAATCAAGCAGCATTGCGCTACCAGTTTGGGACATGAGAGCACCAGGGATATGGGTGACAGGGCAATGTCTATGATGGCAATTATGAGCAATGTGGATGTTGGGACAGGGCAATGTGGGCACTTACGTCTTCTTTGCCTCATCCAGCTGCTTCTGTAGAGCGCCCACGTGCTGCTCATACTTTGCGCCGAAGTGTGCGGGCGGCAGGTCTGCCTCAGCGCCGCCGGTGCTTTGCACCTTCCCATCCGCTCCCGCCATTGCCTTGGCCTGCAGACAGTACCCCACAGCAGATTAGTAGACAGCCAGATCAATTGTAGGCCAGGCCAGGGGAACCATGATATTGCCAGCATTGCTTCCTCTATTTCAGTTTCATATGCAAATTCAGTATTAGCATAGGCCTGTGGAGGTATGGAAATGTGCACGTGCCTTAGAGTACCGCTTCATCATGATGTCATTGATGTGCGTCTGCAGCGCCATGCAGATGTCCTCGCCCTGGCGCGTGTCAAACTGGAAGATGTGCAGCACTCCCGCTACGCGCATTTTGAAGAAGACTGCCTGACTGGATGAGCCAAACTGCAGCACAACAGCATTCCAAGGTCTCAGCAGAATAGCTGAAGCAAACTAGTAAATTGCATAACAGTCATGATACATTTCTGCGAACATTTGGGATGAAAGAGAGGGAAAGAAGGCATAGGCAGGAAGTTACCTGCATGATGTCACGGAGCTCGGCACTGTGGAGGTACTCCTTCGGCACTGGCCTGAAGAAGTGCACACCCCTCTGCAGGGCAAGAGCTTTGTCAGGGTCGATTGCGCAGAAGGCAAGACATGACTGATCAATGCAGGGCAAGCTTCTTCAGCATGATGTAGAAATGGGACCAGTACGCTGAGCAGTGGTATACCTTGTTGATGCCAAGAATGAGCTTGGCAGGCAAGAGGCCAATGGGGTCCTCTATCCTCTTGACTGAGAAGAAGATGGAGTTTCCTGCAGACGAAGTGACCCAGCATGTTCAGACTTTGTTGTACGAGAGTCGGGCCACTTACACTTCTGGCACTACAGTGAGGCATGAGCTGGCTGAGTACAAACAGGAGAGGAAGGGAGATCACCATAGGGCAGAGAGCGCAGGATGCGCAGGAATTGCAGCCTGGCATCCTCCTTGGAGAATTTCTCCAGCGCCTTATAGCGCCCCGCGACATCATGCTTCCACTCCTCACGTGGGCGCGTCATCAAGACCTGCATGCACATCAACACAATGCCCATAAAATCCCCTAAAATGAGGCGAGACAGCAATGCACTCTCCCCCTCCAGGTCGTGAGTTTATGAGTGTAGGTTGTAAAGGAATTTATTTCCTTGAAGTGCTTGCTCAGGTGCTGTTAATGTTGGGGCTGGCAAAGCACCTGTTTGTGCACAAACCGCTCTATGGCGGTCTCCAGGGCGTCGGGGTTGTCCAGCATGGCAGGGCCGCACTCCGCCTGCATCTGGAGCGCGCACATCTGTGCCGCATCCTCCCTTACCACCGGGTAGTTGCCTGCCAGGTAGTCATGCTGGGCCTGCGCACATGCAGACCCCATTCCTCAGCCTCCTTCCCACAGACAAGTGAGCAGCAGTCGATGAATGCATATTGCGCAATCTCTTACTTCATGCATGCACCAATATATGTGTTGCTGAACGTACCTAGATCTCTATGACCTGGAGAACGTCTAGTAATAATAATAAGAATGCATGCATGCACAAATACCATTTGCATGTGCGCGCCTGGACATAGGACAGCGTGATGAACTGGGGCTCTGTGATGGTCTCGTCAGTCTCGCGGAACATGCGCTTCTTGAACAGGATCTTGGACTGGTAGTCGCGCGTCTTGACAGACTTGAAGTCTGCCATGATGTCCGCGATGTACTTGTTGTCGTCCATGATGTAGTGTTCATCAGCCAACGGAGCACCCAGCTCAACCGGCTTCACCACCTGTCACAACAATGTTACTCTGTCAGAGTTGTCTGACATTTCTTGATAAGGCACCTAGCCTTTCAACAACTTCGCCAGAAGTCAGCATCCGTCATTTTCCTGCATGCATGCATGGTCAAGTTCTCATGCATGCATGGCTTGCTGTGCCCAATGACACCTGCGATATTTGCAAGCGAAGGGAGGCTGGCACACCTTTCTGCACTCGTACAGGGTGAAGGTCTGGTAGTTCTGCAGCTTGATGACACCGGCCAGGAACTCAACAGCCTCCAGCACTGTGGTGGTGGCGTCATACTCCAGCTCCTCAAAGGTCTCATCAAGGAAGAAGACAATCGCTGTCTGCTTGCGGTCCCCCAGCAGCGCCTCAATCTCCTCCACACTTGGCAGCTGCACTCAGACAGCTTTGCACAATCAGCACATGCTCATCTGTGCCCCCCCCCCCCCCGTACAGATGTCCTTCACTTCAGGGAATGGATCCAGAGCTGCACTTTGTAGGCATGGGCTTCATCTAGCTCCAGCAGAATTTTGTTGTCACGTGCAAGCTGTCTTGGGGTGCATTCCTTCATGGATTAGGTGCAGCTGAGAAGGGGTGAGAAACGCGTCATTTTGTTGGACGCACGCGGATGCACTCACCGTGCGGCGTGTGCCGGCCTTGGCAGAGCGCTTCAGGCCACCCCAGGCGCGGCGTGCCAGTTTCTGCGCCTCCTCATCTCCGTCCGCCTCGCCATGCGCGACCGTGTGCACGTACTCGCTGACCAGGCCCACAAACTCCTTGGAGGGCGGCATTGTGGAGGCCACCAGGAAGAAAAGCTCCCAGGCCTGAATAATTGCATGCCAAGAGATTAGCAGCAGGCCTGTCTTCTTACACACGCAATTCACATGCAAAGCCATGTCCATGTATGTAATGACTCACAGACTCAGATGACGACAGTCAAGTCCCACAAAACTGGTCAGCCTTCAAGGTGTTGGTCGATGGTGGCACGGTGGACAAGATGTGTCCAGCAGCGTGGTGAGATGGAGAAGGGGTGCACCTTCACATTGGAGGGAGTGGTGTTGCCGCGCGACTGCTTGAGCAGCTGCATGTAGAGCTCGTCCTTGAGCTCTGGGCGCTTGATTCCCTGGTGCAGCAGCTTCTGCACCAGCTCTGCGCGCGCGGTGCCGCTCAGCACCTCCCCTCCGTTCTCTGCCATGTACTTTTGGACGCCGGCAAACATCTTCACTGCCCGGCTCGCGTTGTCCGCGCTGAGCTTCAGCAGGGAGGTGGGGATGCAGTCCTGCATGCACCATTGTCATAAGCCAGGAGGAATCATGTCATGCATTTTTTGCCCATGCCCTGCCTGCCGAATGCCTTTGCATTCAGGAGCATTGTCCATGGCATGTAGTGCAAACAAATATGGGGCAAATGCCGGGCGAGTGCCACACCGGCTGGTAGATGAGCATGTCATCCAGGGAAAGGCTAGGCTGTGTAGAAGGGGTGGGCGGGTCGCTCTTGGCAGGGGAGTCTTTGTTGGGAGTCTTTGGCGAGGACTTCCTGCCACTGAAGAGCCGGCCAAACTTGCCGCCCTTTCCACTGGCTGCTCGATTGAAGGAGTCAAGCTGCGCAACATTACTGTGTGTCAGGTAAATGGTTCAGGAAGTGCTCCCTTTGTCCTTCACTGAATAACATACAAAGGCTGTACAGCAAACTTGAAAGGAAGAGATCCCACATTGCTTGTGAAATCAGAATTGAGGCATTGTTCACCTGAAAATTGTTTGTATGACCAGCCAATGCTTCCAAATGCGGAGTGCAGGGTGTGGATGAGTCTCCAGGCGACATAGCCTGCGACAGCATCTCAAATGTAAGGACGGATATCCAAATGTGCTTAAGACTTCGATTACAATCATCAGACAGAAATCTTTGGTCGAATATCTGAATCCTACCTGGCTGTGAGTTGGAGTTCCAGGTTCGCTGCCATAATCCTCCTCCTGCACCAGCATCTCAATATATGTTTCTGCTTTTTTAAGCTGCAACACACACAGAACACATTCTCAAGAAATAAGCTCTTGACATGCACACTTTGCCTTGTAGGCGACCACGTGAATGTCTGTACTTCCTCCTGTCTCCTCTAATCTAAAGATCCTGGACTGTAGGGGTTGCACCATTGTACGAGACCATACGAAAAGGTGTCCTTCACAAGTCTCATACTGTTTCAAAGCATTGCATGCATAATCTGACAAAATTCCACAAAAGGAATGCTTTCTGCTGAAGACCACCTGACAGAAGAGAACCTTTCCCTTATTTTAACAGATTCTCGCCTGTCCCTTACGAAAAGGCGTCTGCCTTGGGCATGGTGGTAGACATACCAACGCAACGTCGAGTTGGAGTCCTCGTGCACCCATAGTCGCTGGCTTGCCCTTCCGGCCAACTAAAGGTAAGGTAGCTTCCCCCTCGCCCTCCGTGTACCGACTCCGGGGCCTCTTAGTACAATGTGATCAGCCCCTGAATACACGAAATTATAGATCCTTGGTGTGTTGCTGCCCTATTCACGTTACTGCAGCACTGGCGACACAGCTTGTCGCAAAGTATAGATCTCCATGAATCAGTTTTTGTCTGCACTGGGCTTGACAGAACTTCAACAAGCATTAATCAGCATGATCTAATTACTCCATGCTCAGGCCTTCTTTTTGATCACCATTTTCCAGGCATGCAATAACTATGATTTTTTCAGTGCACCCACCAGAAGTAGGGGATGACTGGCTTTCGACTGACCTCTCAGGAAATTGTTGGATCCAGTCAGGCACTCGACTGCCTCACTGAGGACTTGACATTCTGCAGAGCATGGACACGGGCAATTTACGCTGCCAGGTTATTGCTAGCATGTCAGAACTGAACGCCAGCATACGCGCCACTATGACTTCAAAGTCCCCGGGCTGCAATTCCATAACGCCCTGCAGGTCTTTCCCTCGTTCTAGAAGCACGAAACCTGCAGGGAAACCGTTCGCCTCAAGAAGATCTCATCCCAGAATCGATCCCAGGCCAGTGTGTTAATCCTGCTGTGTCCATTCTCCAGATTACCGCGAGTGGCTGGCGTGACGATCTCGGGCTCATCGTATCACAAGGAAACCCTCGCCTGGCATCTAACCATCCCTTGGCACACCGGAACAGCTTCAAGTTGCCCAATTGGAGTCCTCTGCGGCGCGAGTTGGTCAGCGGATCTTGCATAGGAAGGCTGGAATGACGGGCAGCTAACCCCAGTCTCGGTGCGAAGAGTGTCTAGTCAGGCACCAACGAGAAATTTTCGTCAAAAGTTGTTGAAATCCAAACGAGACTGCCAGACATCTTTGCATCATTTATCAATAATGGACTACCTTCCCACTAGACGACCTGTCCCAATGCTCTTCGCATTGATCGTCAGCTTGCATACCTGCATTTTCAGGTGTACTGGGGTTGTTGATGGCCCAGCACAAGATGACACCAGACTCCATAGATCTGGAGAGGATTCCATTGCAAGGCTTGCGACGGTTGGAGGAGGGTACTCACGGGACCACTGTTGCCTTCCTCGGGGAATCAGCCCCCACAGTGAGCACCAGCGGCCGCGATGTGCCCAGCATTAACTGGGGAGAGAAACGAATGTCACCTGGAGACTTGGAGGTGATCCACTCCGCTATTTTCACCTTCACCTCTGCAAGACTGTCTGTTTGCTCGCAGCGGAGCCCTTAAGGCCCGATTGGTTGCAGGGGCTGAAGAAGCAAGTAGAATCGCAAGGGCCTTGGGAGATGGCCAGTGGGCTGCTGACTCGCATGTTCCAACAAAACCTACTGGATGACTTCTACAGGCGGCAGAACGACATCATTGACTCGCTCATGGAGGTCAGTTGCATGCATCGCTACATGCCCATGCATCACCTCTTAAGAGCATTCTCTGGCAAGTCTAATTTGATGCGGCACACCAGCTTCCCATGCATGCTGCACCTCTGGGAAATACTTGGAGGGCTTGTGGAGAAATGCAGGAGTGTGTGTGTGTGTGTGTGTTTTGATGAATGTCATCACTGCAGGTGGATACGTTGCACTCGGGAGAGTACGATGGGGATGCAATTGATGAGGCGGATGAACGCAGGAATCGACGCGCGATGTCGCTCTCCTTTGCATCAAACATGTAGGGCCCCCCCGGCTACAGCATCTCAAACTTCCAGTACATCAACCATGTGATGCACCTTTTGGCAACTTGGAAAACGTCCAATGCACCGTGGACACAACCTTGTTACCTGTCAAGTGGTGTTGCAAGACTGTGCTGGGACCGATTCTTTTTGTGTTGCTGTGCAGAGTGTTGCTGTTGGTGCGAGTGGGCATCGCTGCAATCAGTGGCTCACTGTCCATCATTGTCACCACCCTGGATGCGGTCCTTGATGTCATCTCAGGTTTCATCATCTGGTCGACATCCATCGCCAAAAGGCGGAAGAACAAATATAAGTTCCCCATTGGGCAGGTGCTGCCCTTGGTCTGGCACACACACCTGCACTGCTTTTCTCATGTGTGCTTGTTGGACAGTTCTAGGACATGGCATGCAGATAGCCATTCGCAGCAGGGCCAGAGGATTGGGCTGTCTGGTCTGCAGGCCCGTATGGAGCCTCTGGGGATCATTGTCTTCTCATGCATCATGGGGACAGCTGGGTTCTCAGTCATCTTGGAAGCCATCCGGCAGCTGGCGGCTCACACCCGCACAGAGCTGCCTCACGTGGGCTGGGTTGTGGGTGAGCGTTATTCAGTCTGACGATATCATACTGTTGGTGGACTTGCCATCGCACCTGTGCAAGTGTGCCTGCTGCTGGAACCCCCCGGGAGGGGTATGTGTGACTGAAAAGCTTGTACTGGTCCTGTCTCAGGTGGCACTGTTGGCGTGATCATCATGAAGCTGGGCATGTACATTATCTGCCGGAAGAGCTCGGACTCTTCTGTGCAAGCCTTTGCGCTGGACCACATCAATGATGTTCTGGTGAATTCTGTCGGCCTTGCCGGTGAGACACATACTCTCCCTCGCCCTCAATTTCATTCTCAGCATATGTAACCCCAGCATCATGTCATGCCTGCACTGCCCTGCTGGGCCACTCAGATGCATGAACCCTTCAGTCTAGAAATTGGCGCAATCCTTGTGGAGCCTTTTGTTTTCGAATTCCATTAGATTTTGAATTAGGACATACCTGGCGCCCAGGTGCGCTGTTGGGGGACAAGGTGGCGGCCTGGATGGATCCGTTGGTGGCGATGCTGCTATCGGTCTGGCTCATCTATGCTTGGGGCGGCCAGGCCTACCTGAACGTGATGAACCTGGTGGGCCTGTCGGCCTCGCCCCAGTTCCTGCAAAAGCTCACCTATCTCTGCTGGAACCACGACCCGCGCATCCTCCAGATCGACACCGTCAGGTGCGCTGTGCTGCGGCCGCTAATTGTCACTGCTGCCATGCTGACATCCCGCCGCAGCCTTGGATGTCACCATGGATTTCCAGTCTCATCCAAGAGTTGATTCTTCTGGTCAAGCCACCGCAATTGCTAGCATGTAGCAACCGCTTTTGTTGGTATGCGAAGCACAGGGACATGCATGGTGACACACCCAGATTGGGCAATAGTCATGCAGCTGGATAGTGTGCCTAGTGCGGAGGAAAACATTGAAGTCAAAGCGTCTTGCCTTTGATGAACAACATGTAGTTACTGGAAGGCTCAATCCACAACCCTTCATCTCTGTTCCAATCATTTTTCAAGATCAGATCGGTGTTGATGTGGCAAAGTGGTGGTGTGCAGGTCGTATTCGTTTGGCGACTCCTGGTTTGCCGAGGTGGACATAGTGCTCCCAGCAGAGATGACCGTGGCAGAGTCGCATGATATTGCCGAAGAGCTGCAGATCAAACTTGAGCGCCTGCCGGACATTGCCCGTGCCTTTGTGCACATCGATTTTGAGACCACGCACGTGCCCGAGCACAAAATGGCCTGATGGTTTTGCTTTTTCATTTCGAGAGGTCCCGAGTGGCTCTTTGTTTCCAATATCATCATGTGTCAATGTAGTAATAGCAACGTGCTTGAGACTTGTGTTTAATTGGAGGGGATTTCAGGCACTGCCCAGCACTGCTGATGGCATCGAAAGCCATCTTGGAGATATTGGTGTATTCTAGCCTTCAAGGCAAGTTACCGGCAAGTTGTACCTCATGGATATCCTATGTAGCTACAATAATGGCTGCGCAGCCTTCGGTGCCTATGCGGTGCAGTAGGAAAGCAAGAATCTGAAGTTGTCATAAAATACAAGTGGATGATCCGGATGCATGATGTAGCCCCAGCAGCACGATTATCATGCTGACGGCGCGGCGCTGAAATGCACTGCCAGTGCTTTTTTATTGAGGTCACTTGGTACGTTTTTCCTTATAAGTGAACCTCAATCAAAGAGCAAAAATTCCGCCAAAAGGATATCTGTCTGCCTCATTGAATAATTAGGGGAGCTGCAAACAGAGACATTCCTTCTGCCTCCCTCTTGACTTATCAGCAAGGTGCACTTTCTTCAAAAAGCAATTCGCACGGTTTTCAGTGTGCGGCTGGGAGGCGTGCCAGGTAGGTGCCACGTGGAGATATTTTTTTCCATATCCAGATATCTGCTAGCCAGACCGGATTACAAGGAACCAGAAACTTCCCGAGATGTCGCCGCTGAGCTTCAGCGAGATCCCGCTCGTCGTGCTGGAGAAGGTGGTCTGCCTGCTCAACGGCGAAGACAGAGGGCGCGTCCGGCTTGTGTCGAAAGCCTTCCAGAAAGCCTGTGATGGCACGACGAGATTCCTGAGCGTGAAACGCAGCCAATGGAGCGGCTTCCCAGACCTGACACGCTTGGATAAATGCACGGTGGTCCTCTTCCTGGATGACCTGGCCACGCTGCCCAGCTTCAGGTTGAACCGGTTCGAGCAGCCAACGAACGGGAGCTTCCTGCTGGTCTGCGGGGAATGGTGGTGGAAGCGGGCGGATCTGCGGCAATGGATGGGGCAACAAAAGGAGGGGAAAGTGTTCAAGGTGGGCTTGATGCTGTGCATAATGGAGCAGGCCCAGAGCGATTTCGACCTGTGCTCCATGATTGAGGAGGTCCTGGATGAAGAAGCCCCGGTCCTCAGCTACCTGGGCGTGTGGTCCCAGCTGGTGAGCTTTCAGATTTTACGCGAACAGTGATACAATGCGTATACGCCACAATCGTGATGTTTGTTGTCTTGCCAATAACAGCCCAGAAAGCCGCACCCTCCTGATCACCTGTTGTAAGCTGCCATCGAAAAAAAGAGCGCACAGCCCAGCATCGTGCTCGATGCATGCCAGAGTCAAGTTTAGCTGTTGCCTGGTGCAGCTCGACAGCGTCCCCCTGAGCGACGGCCTGAGCTGGACCCGCCGCATCCCCAAGCTGGACGGCCTGGAGGGCCTGTACTTGGAGTTCATCAACCTGGACATGACAGCGCTGCGGAGCATGCAGCACTTGCGCGAGCTGCGCCTCTATTTTGACGAGTGGGACACCTCCAATTTCGCTGCCTTCGCTGGCATGCCACAGCTGCATACGCTCTTCCTGGAGCCCGCCCGCAATGACATCATCAAGCCCAGCATGCTCCTGGGCCTGGGCCAGGATATCAGGCATGTCAGAGCTTCCTGTAGCTCAACAGCATTGCAAGCTCCTGCATCAGTATCCATAATGCAAGCTTTTGCCTGGCCTTTGGCACCAGACTGTGCAAGCAGACTGTGCATTTTTGTATCCACTGGACACTCCATGCCGGCTTGGCCTGCTAAACATGAAACTGGGGTGCGAAAACCGGCCTAGCTGGGTCATTGGACACTTTGATGCCATGCAGCCTCTGCTCTCAGCACGAAACTGCGTCTGTTGCTGGCAGGTGCCTGAAGGTGCTGGGGCGCACGTCGAGCAAGGCCATCAGCGAGCATCCCTTGTGGGCCGATTTCATGCCGCAGCTCTTCAACAAGCTCAGCAGCCTGCAGAGCTTTGAGGCTTCAGCGAATGCAGCGGACCTGGTTGCAGCAGTGCTCATCATCCTGGCCAACAACCCATCTCCCCAGGATGTGGTTGTTGTGTCAACCTGGGTTGTGTGCCACTACAAGGGGCTCTGGGTGGCTCTGGACAGGGACACCAGCGCCTTCAGAGGAGTCTTTCGCAGCGTTGCTGCTGCCACACTGGCTGCCCCACTGCTGGTGACCCCAGGAAGCTTTGTGCTGCTGTTCTAGCTTAAGCCAAGAGAGACATCCCAAGTGCATTAAAGCTTGCCCTTTTGGCGTGCATTACAGCTCTGCGCTGCTAGCATGCAGATATTCGAGAGAGAGATTCGAATGTAATGGAATTCTTGTGGTTTGAACTTGTGTGGTTGGGGGACCTGTGTTCCTGCATTATCACAGCGGACTATAAAAGTCCTCATCTTTTCTTATTCTTTCCAATTCTTGGTGAAAAGTTGAAGCTGGCAGGATTGCGGTGTGAAGCTGGCAAGATTGGGTGAGGCAGGGCGGGATTTATGGCTCAGTTTGGTTGCTTTGCTTTGGCCGATTTTGGAATGTGGCTGGCAACAGTACACCAGAGTGGGAAGTCTGACCTACAGAGACCACTCGACACCGTATGGGTGTGCACATGATGTCTTGCGTACTGTGAGCAACAAGGGTGCCTGTACTAGCTGGCTGAAGTTGCATTTAAATTATGTACGGGTCAATGCCTGTGCTTTCTTTGACATGCTGCCGTTCTGGCGCTTGCAGTGCTGGTTTTCTGCATTACCTCCTGCATAACACTGCAAATGCTATTGATGTGCTGACTGTGCTTGCTGTAACCGCGCTATCAGCATCCCTATGGCTATGTAGGGAATTTATTGGACATGTTGTAATATGCACATGACTCCTTAAAATGAATTCTACAGCAAAAAGCATGGCATCACGACGGCATGAGACACGATGATTGTGCTCACTTTACAGGACAAGATTGTGTTGATTGCCTGGCACCCGCTTGATTGCTATTAGATTTGCAATGGAAAGGAAAGTGAAAATGCATTTCCGCTTAGTGTTCACGCTATGAGGCACCTGTGCAGAGATACAAACAAGCAGGAAGCCAGCCATACCATGCAAAGCAAATCTGATGTTTGCATTGCTTCCTGGAGCTTTCATAGCAGACAAAACATGGGCAGGGGTGATCTTTGTTAAGCTTCCACTTCCTGAACGCATACACACAGCACTTCCATGCGATATACATGGCAGCATCTCGCCAAGTTGCAACCCACCAACTTGCAATGCATAGCCTGCAGCTAGCTTGGGAGTGGCAGCAGACAGAAAAGACACATGCAAGACAACACACCGCCCAAAGCGCAGCAATCACTTGTTCCGGGCCTTCTTATTGCCGCCCTTCTTCCACATGCCGCCCTGGCCGCCGCTCTTGAAGTCGGCCTCCTGGCCCTCCAGGAAGGCAAAATTTGCGCGCAGCTTCGTGCGGCGTTCCTTCTTCTCGGCCGCCGCGTCCGCATCGCGCGCGGCCCCCAGGAAGACGGCGTCCTTGCGCAGCTCGCGCATTGCTCCCCGCTTCTCCTTCTGCACCTGCCGCCGCAGCTTCTTCTGCTCCGCACGCTCCCTGCTCAACGCACCCACTCGGTCCTGTCAGACTCTGGCGGAATTTCTCATCATTATCTCCCGTTCTCCAGATTCTAAAGGACTAGACACCAAGCAACGCCGTGTCATTGCCTTCGACCATTCTCTATCCTTGCACTGGCAGCATTGGGAGACGCAGCAGTTAGCATTAGCCCATCCTGCAGCGCTGGAGAATGCTTTTGACAGTTGCTGGCATGCAGTTCTGGAATAGCTGGTCTCAGGAAGCGGTACAGAGCAAAAAGTCAGATCTCATGGAAAGATTTGATCAAAGGCACTCAGTGGGGCCAAGCAATTGAGGGACAGTGAGGCAGGGCCGCGCCTGTCGGGGTCGTAGTTCTTGCCGGTCACAAAGTCCTCCTCGAAGCGCGGATTGAACAGCTTCACCTCCGCGTTCTTCACGGCACCCTTGCGCACCAGCGGCCGCCTGCTCGCCAGCGCTTCTGCCCTGGCACGCCTGACTACCTCCAAAACCTCGGCCCTCTGCTCCTCAAGCGCCTGCAGTGCAGCACCATCGCTCTATTACTGTAGATTCCAATAGAACAACCTCCACAAGCTGGGAACCGTGTTGGGTCGAGTGCAGGGAACTGCAAGAATGCAGTCTTTCATGATTTTGCCATGCCTAGCACTGGGTCGAGGAAGCAAGAGTACAGCACAGACACAATATCAGGATGATGCAGCTCGGTGAGGAAATGCAGCAAGCAAGAGATAGCAAGCACTGCACCTTGGGCAGCCCTTCAGCGCTGCACAGGTCCTCCAGGGCGCTCTGCGCAGGGGCGAGCATCTCCGGCAGAGCCGAGGCGCCGGTGAACAACTCTGCCGCGCGCCGGACGACGCCGATGGCCGCTGCCAGCGCGCTCGCCTTGAACTCCGGGCTGCTGAAGTACGCATCATCCGCCGGCTTAGTCAGCACCGCGGACAGCTCCAGGGGCTGGATCTCATTTGCAGCGCTCCATTTACGAGGGCCCAGGGCGAGCCACCTCGCGGAGGGGTCCGAGGCAGAGAAGGCTGCAGCCGGAGGCTCTGAGCTGGCCTTGCCCGGGGCTGCTGCGCTGCGCAGCAGCTGCACCGCAAAGTTGAGGGGCTCTGGGACGTAGCGACTGGCGGGTGCGGCCATGTGCAGCGCCAGAGAGCTCAAGAAGAGACCTGTCCACATTCACCACCAACCCAGCGTTCAGCCTCATCCCTCAGGCATTAGGAACTGCATTTTTTACCGAGGCGCCGGCAGCGGCCAGCGTTGTGGTGCCCCACAAGACTAGTGCGGGTGAAGGCACAAAGCATGAGGAGCCAGGGAAAGAGAGATGCTCCCATGATGGCACAGGGAGGAGGGGTGCTCGCTGACCTTGGGGAATGTCCGAGGCTCGTGAAAGCGGGCAGAGGGCGAGGTGCGCGGACACCAGCAGGGCTGCGGGCGTGGCCACCGGGTGGCGCCTGTCGCTGACTGGGAACAGCGTCGCCCACAGCTTCAGCAGCAGCAGCGCACGGGCGCCCGGCCATGCACTCCCGCCCTCGGCAAAGGTGTCCTGCCATCACATCACTCATAATTCAGATTCAAATTTAGAAATGATCCAGCATAAAACTGCATGAGCACCGTGCTGCTGCTGACATCACATGCTCAACTCATCAAGCCAATCCTGTGGCAATGTTGGGGGGGGCACGTGAAGGGCCTTACATCTGCAATATGCCATAGCAAAGCCATTCGGACTCCACAAGTGTGACCACTGTGAGTGACCCTGAAATATTAACAGCCTTGACGCATCACACACCTCTCTCCTCCCATAAAGGGCCAATCAGCAGGAGATTGTGCTCACCGGGTTGGTCAGGGCCGCAGCAAGGCGCTGCTGCAGTCGCGCAAGGCGAGCACGCGCGACAGTGGCAGCATAGAAGGGGACGTCGGAGGTGAGCTCCAGCAGGTGCACAGTCAGCACGTCCAGGTGGGCCATGGGCAGCGGCACTGCGCCCGCCAGCATGGCAAAGTGCTGCACCAGGATCCCATAGAACACCTTGTGCAGCATAACAGACTGTTGATTGGGATCCAACGGGTCCTGCCAGCTAAGGATCCTGCCGTTTTAGGTACCAGTGGAGTGACACCTGCCTGACATGACTCTACAAGACCCAGACAAACTGCCAGCTGAGACACCAGCAAGGCGAGATGATGGGGAGCCATCATAAGTGTAAACACTCAGTGGCAATTGCTGGAAGAGCAGGATGCATGCGAAGTCACCTGCATCTTCTTCCTGTTGCCGGACGCGAGAGCGACGGCGCTGCAGACGCGGATGCGCTGGACGGCCAGGCCCAGCTCGTCTGCCGGCCGGCCACCCACCAGCGCCGCAAACTCCTCGTAGCTGCTTGGCGCCTCCAGCGTGAAAGGCAGCTCCCCGGCAGCTGCCCCCCTTGATGTGCTCGCCGTCAGCCCAGATGCTACGCGGCCGCCGGCCTCCTCCAGTCCACCTCTGCCCTGCTCCAAAGCTCCCGCAGCAGGGACCCCATCGTCCTCCTGCCCCTCGCCGTCTGATTCATCTCCCTCTGCCTCCTCTTCTAACTCCTCCTCTGACTCATCCTCATCGCTGGCTTCTTCAGAAGCGGCAACATCAGCTTCTCCATCTTGCTCCAAGTCACTCTCCTCGCCAGTCCCAGCATCCTCTGAGCCTGAATCCTCCTCATCTTCTTCCTCACTCTCTTCTTCTACGATGCAATGGAAGCGCCAATTAATGTCCATGCTGCTCATGCACACATGCTGCAGAGCATCAGGGATCGGCAGTGCTCGGGTCCTCCAGGCTGATGGCACACAAGAGTACAAATGGTGAAGTCGTATTGGGGTCATTAGGTGTTGTAAGGTCCATTTGAAATGGAAGGTACCAAAATGTGATTCTGTATCTTGACAGAGGAATCACCTGCTTCGGAAGCCTTGATGCCATATTTCTCCAACAGGGCAGCGGACTCTGCCTTAAAGCGTTGCTGCAGCTCGTCGCCGCCACTTGCCCGCTGCTTCCTCCTGGCATCCAGCCTGGACAGCTCTTCCTCCTCTTCTTCGTCTTCCTCCTCTGATCCCTCATCACTGAACTCAAATTCATCGTCCAGCGCATCGCCTGCAACCATAGAAAACAGCAGTTATAGTGTGTCAGTGTCATCCCTCAGGCTGGATAACAAGGACAAACAAGCAGCCTCAGCACCCCTGACTGCCCAAATGAAGCTGCAACCGCCACACACCAAGTAGCCCATGAGTCATATTTGGGTTTAATTCAGCAGCGCTGAGACTCTGCCGCCCACCTGACGGGCCGTGCTGCTCCCGCTGCAGCCCCTTCTGGCGCTTCTGCCGCCGGGCCTTGTAGCCGCCGGCCGGGACCACGTCGCCGCCATCATCGTCCAGAGCATCGCCGGTTTCGTCAGCACCCGCGCGCATGCGCTTCAGCCGCCGCGTCTCCAGCGCCTCCAGCCGCTGCCGCTCCAGCTCCGCCAGCTCCTCTGCTGTCTTTGTGCGCTCGCTCACCTGCCAGCCGTCAACGCATCGTCTCAGCGATCAGATATCTTGACATCTTCTGTGCAGCGCTCTTTCAGCGTCCTGTACCGCACCTGTTGTCTTGCTAGAGCTAACGAGCAGAAAATTTCGTCAACTGTGGGCAGATATTAAGCAGCATCATCTCTGCAGCAATCGGGGGAATGTTGTCTGACACCACAGCTACAGTCTGATTGGTGTTGTAACAGAAATGTGGCACTCAAAAGCAGGATGCAGATCCAGAATCTTGTGGGAATCACACCCCATGCAAAAATGAAAGGCGTAAGGCGAACCTGGCCCTTGGCTTCGAAGATGAGTTCGCGGCGGAAGCGGTCGAACTCGGCGTCGTCGCCCTCCGGTGGCGCGACGTTTTTGTCGGCTACCTTCTTCATATGGCGCGCCCCCTTGGGCTTCACCAGCCTGGCCAGGCCCCCCGCGTCCAGCAGGCTGGTAAAATTGGTGTCCAGAGCCTCAGTCGCTTCCAGATCCTCGTCCCTCTGCTGGGACTTGGCTGCCTTGAACGCCTTGCTCTTTGCCATGACCTCCTCCATGACCTGCCCATAACATCCTTTGCATTTTTGCACTGCACCCAAGTATGATCACACTCCAGCTTTATCAGAATTGCATCGCCAAAGCATTGCGTGAGGAAAAGCATAAAGACATATTGAACATGGTATGTGGGATCTCTTGGCTGCCGCCAAAGGACCCTGGAACCGCATGAAGTTGATGTATTCACTGATATTGAATATGGCGTTTCTGCAGATGTGCTCACCTCCCTCTTGGTTCTGCGTCGCTCTGGCGCCTCTTCGTCCCCTGCCTCAGCCCCTGTGGTCTCCCGTGACTGCTGCTTTGGCACAAAACCACCTCCAAAATGGATGTCGCGCACCACTGCGTCGTCCAAGTTCCCTTCCCCCCCATCTTCTTCCTCATAATCATCGCGTAGCGCCCCTACCTGTTCGAGCATTGGGATTCTTTGAGGTCACCAAGCACAATCGCAATGACCATGCATGAAAGGCTCAAAGAGGTAGCATCGGCAAGGGCAGCCTAGATTGCGACGTACCTTGAGATCTTCATCAGCAAGTGCCCGCCCCATGTGCGTGAGCTCATCTTCCTCATCATGGTCTGGCAGGGAAAATTTGTCGCCTGCAATGCACGACAACATGCCTTATGACGGGCAGATATTCAGCTTGACTCTCCCCAATTCCTGTGGACCATTGACCCCGTGGCATGGGCTCTGCTTGAGCAGCAATTACCTGAGAGCTCTTTCATGCGTTGCTTTTGGAAACGGGCGAGAGCCTTCTCTTCCTCTGTGAGGGTGCTGTCATCCTCTGCAAGGCAAGCCAATCCAAATGAGCCAGTGCAGACAGATCATCCAGGACAGCAAGTCTGCAGAAGACTTGGACTTGCACTGAGAGAAATGCACAAGCCGACAAAGAAGCCTTCAGAGCCTCACCTCCAAAGCGCCTGTCCACAAATGCATTGGACTTCCGAAGCTCCTTGTACTCAACAAGCAGGGTCTTGTTCCTCTGCAAATCGACACAGTATGCGTCAATACGTGATTTGATCTTTAATGGAGAGTACGTTGTGCTAAAGCAATAAGACAGGCTGCTGGACGGTCAAAACATGATATACATACCTTGTCGACTGCATCAGAACGACTTTTCCCATGTTTTCGTTCGCCTTTCTGCTTCTTCCCGAGCACATTGAACTTTTTCCTGTTGTAAATGTGCTCGAAGAGGTTTGGCTTCTCCTCCTGCTTTCTACCGGGTTGCTTGGGCTTCACTGTCTTTTTGCCCATGTCGTGGATAAGGTGAACAAATGACAGCTCTGGAATTTCAGGCCTTGAATATATCAAGGAACTTTAGTTTCAATATATCACATGCAATTTTTGAGCATAAACAAGCTATTGAGATCACACAGATCAAATTTTGAGAGGCCTGTCTGTTTCAAATTAAATATACTCCAAGAGGAATTGACCGATCAACGATTCTATATTTCAAATCTCTGATTTCCCAATCAGGATGATGGGAACTAGGAACCATCACAAAGCGGCTTTCGCCTCCGACAGGTCTCGAATTGCCTGTTCGAGGCGTTCCTGTCGCTTGGGCAGCAGCTACCTTCCTGCCATCTGTCGCCATAATTCCATTCCTAATCTCAATTCTTCCTCCTCAGAAATTCAGTTACAATAGCAGCATCGTGTTCTCTTGAATCCTTGAGGTGACATGCACGCGAGAAAATGAGGAAAGGCAAGGTTTGCTATTTATCAACACGATGTATAGTGATCCGGGACACAAGAGGAGAGGGACAGCAGTAGCCAAGGGACGAGGCTGGGGTGGTGTTGTTTGGAAGATCACTGTGTCTATCGTACTTCTTTTTGCATTGATTGCCGTAGTAAGCCGACGCAAGCCTGCCGCTCCTACAATAGTGTACCGAACAGTTGAAGCAGCGCAGCAGACTGTGAAGAACTGCACCACCCCGGGCACAAATGTCACTTGCAACTGTCCACCGGCAGCTCCCAATATCGATGAAGGAGTTCCTTCAGATGGCGTGCTCCGCCTCGCCAACAAAGTCACCTCTACAACAGTGGACAACATCTTGGACGCTGCCAGCTCGAAGGATCCTGCGGGACAGACAGTGAGGGTGAGCAATATTTCACATAATTGGATTCCTAGTTTTCCCTATGAGCCAAGGATGCTGCTTTAAAATTGTAATGCCATCAGGCACCGATCAGATCAAGCAGTGCAAAAAGGACCAACTTGAGAAGGATCTCAGGCCTCACCAATGTTGTTCAGGTGAATGAGGACACGTTGGAGGACACTCTGCTGTTTGTGGGGATTCTATCAGGGAGGGGTTACCGCCACAGGCGACTGGCCGTGCGGGAGGCATGGGCCAATCAATGCCAGGTGCCGGGGGTGTCGGTGTGCCGGTTCATGCTGTCGGAGGACGAAGTGACACCTCAAGTGTCCAAGGAGGTGGAGCAGCACGGGGACATCGTGCTCGTGCGCGAGAAGACGAATTACAAGTCGATCCTGCTGAAGACCTTCTTCGTGCTGGAGTACGCCATCAAGCACTACGACGTGCGCTTCATCCTGAAGACGGACGATGACGCGTACGTGCACGTGGAGGCGCTGGTGCACCAGCTGCGGCTGCTGTGCATGAGCCCGGACTGCAGGAATGAGCGGCTGTACATGGGGAGGATGTGCACGGAGAGCGAGGTGCTGCTGCAGCCGGGGCACAAGTGGAACAACATAGTGTTTTACAACCACACCGGCCTGAAGACGTACCCCAACTATATGATGGGCGGGGGCTACATTCTCAGCGGCGACGTGGCCAAGATGCTGCTGGACATGAACAGCAAGATGCGGCTCAAGTTCACGCCCATCGAGGATGCCACGCTGGGCTTCTGGCTGATGAGCATGGACCTCCGCCATGTTGACCACCCAAAGTGAGTCACCTTCTCATTTGCCTAGCGAAGAGATCATGATGCTGCCCACCTCAACTTCAAAAGGTGTCCTTTGGCTAATCCTCATTGCGTGCACCCTTTCTGCCCCCTTTGTATGGGGCATGTGACAATACTGGATTTGCCTCCAATGAAATTGTCCAAAACCTGATGCTGTCTATTATCCATGCCATGCGCAGGATGTACACATATGCGGTGCCCTGCTGTTTCAAGGCGCCTGTGAGGAAGGAGGGGCAGCGGATAGTCACGCGATTCCAGCTGCAGGATGACATTGAGCAGCAGATCTGCTCAAATGATCCCTGGATCATTCTGCACAAGATAGACTCACCCACAAAGATGCGCTACATCGGCAGCAAGGTCAACAGCTGCAACAAGACGGTAGACAGCATGTCTGTTGCGCCCAGCATTGCCCACTGGGTCAAGCGGAAAGGTTCGTTGCTGTCCCTTGTTCCGCTTTGTGAAATGAAAATGCCTGTTCATGAGGCCCACAGATCAGCGGTACCACAGAATATTGACCAAGCACTGTGCTCTGTATCCTGAGAGTGGCCATCACACACATGGCTTGGATTAACTCGCAAGTTGCAAAGTGCATCCACCAATATCGCATTCGATAGCTCTGTTCTGACAGTATTTTTTTTGTATTGCAGAGGTCCCTGATGATGATGATGCAACTCCAACAGAAGTCATCCTACAGAGGCGGAGATAGTATCTGGGTTGGGCTGTCAAGACTTTCTTAAAGGATTAGATGTTGGGTGAGATCTAGTCTGAGCCCAGATGAGAGGCCAGGGATATCTTTTGCTATACACTGCTTTAATTGTGAGAGGGCGGGTGATCGCGGCAATTCATGACCAGGCCATCTTGAATGATGCCACTGCGGCATTGATTTTGGGATGCGATTGCCAGAACAGTAGTCTTGCAGGCCAATATTAGGATGTTTTCTTGTGTGTCCGACAAGGGGCCTCCTGATCCATGCACCTGTCCAACCCCTCAACTTGTCTCCAAGAGTCCGAAGAATTTAGCTGAACTAAACTGCAGAGTGCACGTGCACCTGGGAAGAACCATAGATGAGAGCTGGTGCATTAGATATTCTTGTACAAATGTAATCTTTTGACATAGCAGCTCAGCTGGACAACTGGTGTTCACTGAAAAGCTGGCAGCTTTAAGCAGGTTTGAGCAGCACGTGCGCTGAAAAAAATGCACTTGTTGAACAAACTTTGATCTTGATCTTGAAGATTGCCAATGGGTTTAAATTTTAGCTTTTGGCTTTACTTTTCTGGTAGAGCTCGCAGATTGCTAGCAGCGCCACTCAATTGGAGGTAAACCACAGGAATATCTATTTGGCTCCAATCAGACAAACGTAAAATAATGGAAGACTCTTCCAGGAAGAGCTGGTGGATTGCCTGGGTACCAGCCCAGGTTGCATGCATTACAGGTCGAGAGTCTGGATAATCTCACACTGTCGACAAAACGTCCGAGACATCCATAAGAGGAAGAGGGGCGCGCATAACTTTGTCTTGTTGCCTTGTCCTTTGCACGATCGACTGGATGCACTGAAAATGATCCGATCGCCGTGATGTCGCTACCAATCTGCTGCATAGCAATGAAGCTCATCCCTGTGATGCGACAGCAGCCAGTTCGACGACTGCCATGAGGCAATGAAGCCAAACAAAGACTTTAGATTATCATAAGGTCATTGATAGACCGCCTGAAAACAACGCCCATAAAATTGTGGGTTCTTCAGATCAGCAAGGGGCGATGCAGGCCAATCAGGCTCCACGATCTCATTTAATACACGACAGCGTTGCTCGTGACAGCGTTGTCAGCGAAGTGAGTGGATCAATATCAGGATGCGATGCCATAGATCCGGACGCATACTCTGAAGATGACGACACAGGGCCCCTGGGCTTGCAATGCCTGCCAACACTCAGCCGCAGAGTGAGCCGTGCTTACTCTGCTTGGCCACAATGCACGCTTGCATCCCTCCCTTGCGCAGCATAATATCAATGAGCACTTCATCTCAGGTTCCTCATGCACAACACCGAATTGTCTACATGCTCTGCTGCTGACTCAGCGGCTTGCAGCCTCCACCTCATTGACTTTTCATTTGCCTTGCGCAGACGCACAAAGCCTTGGTGCTATTGCTGACTTTCCTCTGCTACACATCTTTCCATGCGTCGCGCAAGCCAATGAGTGTGGTGAAGAGCGTCCTCACCGGGGCAGCAGGCTCTGACAGCGCCAGCCTCGACAGCTACCTTGCTGCCGATGGCTGGCCCTGGCTCCATGAAGGCACGCTTGTCTGCCACTTCCCTTCTCTACATCTTCCTCATACACACATTGCCGGACAGAGTTGTGCCTTGGAGACAACAAAAAATTCATTGATCCTGCACTATTAACACCAGGAAAGCCATGTTAATCGGATCATGCATGGCCTGCAGGATGGTGGATGGATGTGAAGCACCACCATCATCATAAGCATCACCACCATGAAAAGAAGCACCACCATCATTCGCCACCCCCGCCCTCGCCTCCACCGCCTTCTCCACCCCCGCCGCCCTCGCCTTCGCCACCCCTGCCACCAAGGCCCTCACCCTCGCCGCCGCCCCCCAGCCCTCCTCCTCCAGAGCCGCCCAGTCCCAGTCCTAGTCCAAGGCCACACCCGCCTGAGCCTGAGCCTCCCGCGCCAGAGCCGCCGCACCGGCGACCCGGCTGGGTGAGCAAAATTTGGGCAATGGTTGCTTGATGTCAACTCATGGCTGGCAAACTACCTGACATCATTGGGATTTTTCTAGCTGGGTCTAACCCATCATTCGTTCGCGCTCATGAAATGTACAAGCGCAAAGCCACATGGGACTTGCTCTGGATGTTCACCACTAGCAAGGAGTCTTCACAGACTTGTGAAATGTGACGAAATGGCTTGCCATTTCGCGGCAGGAGCCGTTCAACGAGGAGGGAGGCAAGCTGCTGCTGGGCAAGCTTGACCTGGCGTTTCTGGGAGCCTACGCTGCGGGCATGTTTGGGGCAGGCCACCTGGGCGACAGGATCCACCTCAGGAAATTCCTGACCTTCGGCATGCTGGCCAGCGGGGCCATGGTCTGCTCTGTGGGCCTGGCCTACTTCCTGGACATCCACTCCTTCTGGTACTTTGTTGTGGTGCAGATCACTGGAGGTGAGGAATTGCTCCTTTGACTTTCAGGGTACTTCTTTCTAAAAGTCAGAGCTGGTCATCTCCACTGGGCCCCTGTCAAGGTGTCAAGGTACCAGCAATGCATTCAGCCCCACAGAAGTGTCTCTGCTCTACATGCCGAGGTCCTTCTGCAAGCAGGGCAGAGGCATTCTCATGACGTTTGATGGTTTGGGATGGAAAGAATGTGTGTCAACTTTTTAGTGTGATCATGTGGGGGCTGATACATTTCAGAACAAGTACCAACCTTGTTGCTCAAGAACCAGACTTAGGTGTTCTTACTGATCAGCCACCCCTGTCATGCTGCAGGGTTCCTGCAGGCGACGGGCTGGCCGAGCGTGGTCGCGGTGATGGGCAACTGGTACGGCAAGGGCAAACGGGGGGCAGTAATGGGGGCTTGGAATGCGCACACCAGCGTGGGCAACATCCTGGGCTCCGTCGTGGCTGCAGCGTGCCTGTCGTGGGGCTGGGGATGGGCCTTCATCATGCCCGGCGTGGCGCTGATTGCCATGGGCCTGATCATCTGGCTCTTCCTCGTGGTGGAGCCCGAGGAGGCCGGCCTCTTCAAGATGCGCGACAGCATCCTGGTGCGGCTTCCTCCTCTTTCTCGCTGACTGGTGTATTAATCACGCCCTGCAGCATGCATGATTTCGGACCTTTGGACTCACACATGCTGACGCCTGCACGCATGCCGGCTGCAGCCGACACAGGCATTGTCAAGATCATGAAAGTGTCCCAAGTCACATGGAATGAGTATGTCCGGAAGGCAGATGCAGACGGAGACAGAACAGGAGCACAGCTGGTGTCCTTCAATAAGCTATCAATTTTAATTGTGGAAGTTAGAAGCATTCTGGATGTGAAAGGTGGTAGGATCAGATGCAATTAGAGGTGCAGGCGTGAAGGCGTGAGTGAAGAATTACACAAGTGTCTGGCGTGCAGGGCTCGGAGCTGAGCACGCCGGCGACGTCTGTGACATCGCTGTCGGAGGACACGCTGCGCTACCTGGACACCCACCAGCACCTGCTGCCCGGCCTCAAGCGCGCCCCCGCCCCTGGCACCCGCACACGCGTCGCCTCCCTGCGCCGCTCGGTGCGCCTCCCCTGCTCATTTCCCCTGCTCTTGTTACACCACACGAGGTGTCACATTTAATATCCTCCCGCTGCTATTTGAATCACTATGGCAAGCATACACGTCCTCTGTGAGGGCTTAGCCGCCAAGATTGCGGGCGCGCAGACTGGATTTCTTTGGAGGTCCTGGTGTGGGCACGTCTCAAGGGATGGGATTGCTCCCTTCGCTTGAGATGCGTGGACACTTGAGGAGGTAACAGGGCTCAGAGAAGGCAACCCTCCGGGGATTCTGAGCAGTGGTTGCCGTTGCATTGCGCAGGGGTCGGACCCAGCGCTGCGGTCGCGGTCTGCATCGCCGTCGCCGCTGTCGGACGACGCCGCGCGCTACATGGATGTGCACCACGCGCGCCAGATGTTCAGCCGCTCCCCCACCAACATCAGGTGCAGCCCCTTTGCTCTATCTGCATTCCGGCCAATGGTGGGCAGTGCAGCTCTGGCGGCAACTCACCACACAATAAAACATCAGCAGCCCATTGTACTGCACACCTTCAGGGAGATGCTGAGTGCTTTGTACTTGACCCCAGGCCCCTCCCGCGCTCTTGTCCCTTTGCTCATCACCTGGCAACATTGCATCTTGTGATGGCGATTGATGTGTGCGTTTGTGCGCTTTCTCGGGTGTCTCTTCCATCTAGCTAATCTGAAGTTCTGCATGGGGCGCGTGTGTGCAGTGACTCGGGCGCCCGCTACTCATCCTCTCCGCTTGGCGGCGGAACGCACTGGGACGCTCTTGCAGCGCGCGGTATCGGCCAGCCGGGACTGAAGCCCGTCGAGCACGAGCCGCCTGCCCCCGGCTTCTACTCCAACTCACCCTCCAGGCAAGCATATAAATGATGGCTTCAACATTGCAGGGTATCCACCGACAGTGCCACGGTAGCTGTCCTGAAAGCTCGACTGCGGTGATGTCTTGAGGGTGAGGAAAGCATGAGCACAGAGATGTCATGAGCTCTCTTTCTGGGATCATGCATTGCCACCTTCTTAATTGAGAGAAGCACAAGGGGATTAGCCGGCACACTTAAGGCATTCACAGCTCGGATGTGTGCAGCTCAGCGCCTGGTGTGCGAGTCTTAGTTTGCAATATGGCGGAGCAGGTCTGAGCGAGATATCTCCCTTCCTCTCCTGGAGACCCTAAACCCAAAACCCTTACAGAGCTGTTGAGCCACGCAGATTTAGTCTGACTAATCTGTGGTATAATGCAGCACGCTGGACACAGGATTGGCTCCAGAGCCTGGCGCGCTACCGCAACCGCCGCCCACACTCCTGCCGCAGCAAAGCCAACCGCCGCTCAACCCTGCAGGTCTGCCCTTAACATCCCATTGAAGGCCTCTCATCAGTCACAAAGATCTGCAACCCAGGACCTGCATGAGACTCATTGCCAACATGGCACTTCTTGGCGCTGCCCATTGGCCATGCTTCTCATGTAGACCAACACTACAGATGTTGATGACATGTCTTTGGTGCACAATTGCTACGCAAGTAAATGCTACTGGCACCGGTCAGTGGTTGTGCTATTTGCGTAATGATATAATTTACGTGACAATGTCTCATTTCGTATACTTGAAGGGGCAGTCTATGCTGTGCAGGCAGCGTTCAGAGGCAGGGCTGGTCGTGGAATTGGCGGGCCAAGGAGCGCCGCGCGCGCACCAAGCGACAGCTCGTGGGCGTCTCCAGTCAGCTCTGCATCGTGGAGGTCCCCCGTGCCCTGCTGCCACCGCAAGCTGAGCGGGTGAGTCACTATCCCCTCACATTCCACACAATAACTCCAAGCGAGACATTGTCTTGCCTTTTACCTGCTCACCTCGACCCTGTAGCGGCCTCATATCACGATATTCCTGTGATATTCCTGAAGAAGCAAGGTGGCCTCATGCACATCTACATGACTTTGGCCCCCAGCTGTGCATGGGATTGATTGACGGTGTGGTGGTGCAGGCCAAGGGGGTGTCCATGTGGGCGGCGCTGAGGATTCCGGGGGTGGTGTCCTTTGCGTTGACGCTGTTTTTCAGCAAGCTGGTGGCCTACACCTTCCTCTACTGGCTGCCCTTCTACCTCAACAGCGTCGACATCGGCGGCCGCCGCCTGACGCCCAAGGTGGGCTGTGCAGCTCTCACCAGCTTTAGAAATCCTTACATACTTCACAGATGGAGCAATGAAAATTTCACGCCTGTTTTGTCACCCTGTTCCTGTGCGGCTGTCTCATCTTCCTGCTGAATGTATTGCAAGTGCTCAGGTGTGAAGGCTTGATCTCTTTACAAAGCGTGCTGCCCGTGGAAATTTTGCACGAATCTCCCTGTACAAGAGACAGATTGCCTGTCAATCTTCTCACACTTTTGGCGGGTTCGCAGGCTGCGGGAGTGCTGTCTATTCTGTTTGACGTGGGCGGCGTAGCCGGAGGCGCCATCGCCGGAGCGCTGTCCGACAGCACCGGCGCGCCCGCATGCGTGTCGACGGCGTTTGTGTTCGGCTCAGTGCCCTCCATGTGGCTGTACCGCACCTTTGGCGGCTCCTGCCTGTCCTGGAACGTGTGCCTCATGCTGGCGGCTGGGCTGTTTGTCAATGGCCCCTACGCGCTAATCACCACCGCTGTATCTGCCGACCTCGGATCCCACGCATCCGTTGCCGGTGCAACAGCCTTACAGTGATTGTGCACTTCAGTCCTGGAATCTTTCTGGATGTCTGGGCACCCAATCTTAGTGCAGATAGCTTTCCCAGTTTTTGCTGCCTCTTTTGTAAGTGTCACCTGCCCCTGTCCACAAAGAAATACATTTGCCCCGCTTCATTCCCTGACCCTGGACACCTGCTCAGAATGCGCCCCTTCTGGCGGGCCTGCCTGGCTTGCTTTATGGTTCTGGCCACTGTTCCGCTTCATGCCAAATCATATTTTTGCTGTGTACAGAGCACCACCCTCTCGTCAGCAGAGGAAGAGCCACAAAGGTAAGGGCTGACCTCCACATAAAACGGGTTGCAGCATATTCCTCAAGTACCCTTATCAATATGTCTGTGCGGCTGTGTATAGGTAACTCCAAAGCACTGGCGACGGTGACGTCGATCATAGACGGCATGGGCTCCTGCGGCGCGGCGCTAGGCCCGCTGCTGACGGGGTACCTGAGCCAGCGGGCGGGCGGCTTTGACAATGTCTTCCTCATGCTCTACATCGCCTCCCTCGCCGCCGCGCTCCTGCTGCTGCGCCTGGTCTTGCGGGAGGTACGCCCCTGGCCCCCGGTTTATCAATGCTGACAGAGGCATGTCACAGCACACCACTAGGTGTGCCTTCCCAGACCAGCCTCCTCAGCTCGGAACTGCAAGTTGTCAGATAGCCAGATTGAGCAGTGGGCAGCAGTTTTTGCAGCAGTGTTCGGCAGCAATTCTGGTTTGAGTCAACGGGGAGAGAGCATGGAGCTGCAGAAACAGCTCAATCTCTGTCATGGATATGTATCTTTATGGTCTCCCCAAACACAAGGGATATTGAAATCGTGAGAGCAAGTCATTGAATTGGAGATTGCATGCGCTTGGTGATGCCAGTAGGTCACGATTGCGCAATACTGGAGTCAAAGAGAGGGTCCCGGACTGCAGCAATTCCCCCAGGGCAATTTAGAGATTGTACGGCTGCCTGGTGCAGGTGGCAGAGGCTCGTGACAAGCGCAGGCGGCGCAAGAACAGGGCGGCCATGTATTCTATGGCAGACCCAGAGATGCTGGAACGCCTGCTCACGGATGACGCGTTGCTGCACCACAGCAGGCCTGGCATGCCGTCCTGGCCAGACCAGCTGCACTGATCTGTTGCAGGCCCATCCCCTCCTTTGCATGCCAAACTGCGCGCATGCAGGATCGGACAGCTTACCGCAAGATCCGGCAATGAATTGGGACACCAGTTCGCGGTGAGCTACTGCAGGGTTGCTTGAGAGCGCTCAAAGTTTCGTAATTGCTTTCAAGATGTGCTGAATTGTCAGTGAGTGCCTGTGAGTTTGGGATGCTGATGTCAGGTATTGCTGAGGTTGAGTGAGTATTTGACTAAACGTGCATGTTCAAGATCTCTAGAGCAGTGTCTGAGCATACCCGTCAAGTTTATGCTTGTGTGCAATGTACATCATGTACCTGAACAACCATAATTCTGGATGCATCAGGCTCGGGCCGTCTGCACTGAGGTGTTTGCAGGACTTCTGACAAACCCATTTGATTGATAAGACAGTAGATAGGGATAAAGAATTTTTATTGATGCCACTTTATAGCACTGACTTCATTTTGCAATTTCAAAGATTGTAATGATGCTGCTTGGAAAATCTTATCATGCGTCAGAGCTCATTAATGCCAGCTGCATTAGTCAAAGCAATTGCGCAAGCTGACATCATGTTGTCTGCACAACATTATTGTGTATACTTGCAATTGAGTGCAACACATGACCGGTGCTGAGCGCTCAATATTCCAGAGGATCCTTTACAGCTTCTATATGCAGTGCACAGTACAATATTGATTTATATTCTATCGGCTTCAGAAGTCCTGATCAGTGAAGGAATTCCGCTCTGATCAGTCAGTGCCGCTACGGCATTATTCTATTTCTGGTTACTGTGATGCACACCCATTAATAGAAGGTATTGTTCCAGTCAGTCTGGTGACCGGTCAGAAGCCGTAAGAATACACAATCAGACATTGAGACTAGCTGGCATTTCTCTTTAAGGAATGTCCCAGTTGACTCCAGTACAGGAGCCTTTGTCCCCACCCCACCACAGCCACAAGTCCTCTGTGACATGCAACGCTGCCAATGCCAGAGTTCCTCGACCCCAAACAATGGTCACGCTCATGCCCCCAAGTGAATTCCATGAAAAAAGATTTCTACTCTCGAGTAGGAATCTTTCAGCAGCCCCAGATGGTGAACTCCGCAGAGGCCCCTCACTAGGCATGCACACTGGTATGCTCCAGCGCCCGAGCCCTCACTCATCCTTTTTCCTGGCCGCCTCGATCGCCACCAGCTCGGTGCGAGGGTTGACAAAGTTGCGGCCCACAAATTTGAGGACCTCGTCGATGACCACAACAGGGGAAGCGAACAGGAGCACGAGGGCCCACTCGTTGAGAGAGAGGGGCACGATGGAGAAGACCGAGGCGAGCACTGGCACGTAGAGGATGAGGAAGTGCAGGGCAAAGGAGAGCGCCATGGCCACCAGCAGCCAGGGGTTGCACCACGGCGGCATCTGCAGCAGCGAGTTGTCCTGCGCACACCCCACTTGCCGTTAGAAAACCCATTAGTCAATCGGCTGATGTTGCATGCAGCGCCTATGCAGAGGGCCACACTGAGCTGACAATTGCCACCGGCCGCGCATGCAACCAGCTGCAGCAATCCGGTGGCTGACAAGGGAGCAAAAGGACACCCCTACAATCAGTCATCTTTATGGTTGGTGACAAAGGAGAAAAAGGACACCACCGACTGCGTTACATGCACGCAATCACAGCAACGGCCCAATGATTGGTGAAACAACTGTTCCAGGTGTAAGTGTGAGCAGTGGAGGGAGTGGCGTGCCTCTGAGAGGGCATTGAGGGCGTTGAACATTTCGATGGCGACCAGGACGGAGAGCGACAGCGTGCTCGCCTTGGCCTTGCCCTCGCGGAAGTAGTCGCACGGCTCTGCAAAGTTCACCACGCGCCCGCCCGCCAGGTACGGCGTCGCCTGCACCAGCCGACACGCTCACACCACACCCCTTTCATACTGATAAAATCGTCCAAATTTGGCACCTTCATTTCGGAGCACTTTCTCACTCAGCTGGAAGTGTGGCCCGCTGCTGACTGCAGGCCAGACATGGCCTTCTGTGGAGGTGGGCAGGGTGCTGATATGCTGGTCTGGATAAACGATGTAAGACAAGCAGCATGGCATCTTCGAACAATTCAAAAACACAACGTGGCATCTTTAAATATTGCAGAAACAAGAAGCTTGGCATCTTCAGATAATTGAGGACCTGTCAGGGAGCGGGCAGCAGGAGCACCTTGAAGTCTGGCCAGGTGTGGCAGGACTCCCAGTTGCGCAGCTGGTGCCAGGTGACGGTGGAGTGGCCGTCGCCGCTCAGGTCGATGCCCAGGAAGCTGTCGTACATGTACCAGGCGCAGAAGACGCCCACCGTGGCAAAGCCAACATAGGCGCCCACCAGCATCCACCTGCCACAGCAGCCACCACATGAGCACACCCAATGCGCTGCTCTCTATTTTCGTCATGCTGACCCTACCCATTAAGCATGAGGTCCGTCCAACCCAGATCGCATGGTTACGAGAGAGCATCCCATCTGCACCACTTTGCCACACAACTTGATTTGAAAAAGCAGGCCAGGTCAGGAATGAGACGGGTCCACTTGCATTGGTAATGCGTCAGCCCCTTTGCGCTACCAGCAATGAGTTTCCGGCTTTGTGCCTGTGTTGCCATGTCATGCAGAAACAAGCGTCACCTGAAGAAGAGCCAGGGGGTGACGAGCTCCTCGGTGGCCTTGCGCGGCGGCTTCTGCATGATGTCCACGTCCGGCGGGTTGAAGCCGAGCGCGGTGGCGGGCGGGCCGTCGGTCACCAGGTTGACCCACAGCAGCTGCACGGGGATGAGGTTCTCGGGCAGGCCCAGCGCGGCCGTCAGGAAGATGGAGGCCACCTCGCCGATGTTGGAGGATATCATGTAGCGGATGAAGGCCTTCATGTTGTTGTATATCGCGCGCCCCTCCTCCACCGCAGCCACCTGCGCGGCAAGAGATTGCCCGTGTCAGACATTCTGTGCTTCTGTAGGCAATTTCACAAATTTGCCTCTGTGGCTCCCAAAGCTGTTATAACCAAGCCTGCAGGAAAGCTGATGCGGTGGCCTTAGCAAAAGTTAGAGCCGAGCTTGTCTCTATCAGCCCCCATGCATGTCATATCAGCCACCGCTCATCAGCCTCGCCCGCCCTCAGAGGACAACTCTACCAAACCGTCTCAATGCCTGCCATTGAGCCGGTTTTGAAAGCTGTGCCAGCCAACGGCAGAGGAGGCGAGCACAGCCAGTGGGAGACAAAGAGAGCAGAGAGAGGGGGCGGCGCACGATGGTGGAGAAGTTGTCGTCGGCGAGGACCATGTCGGAGGCCTCCTTGGCGACCTCGGTGCCCGCGATGCCCATGGCGACGCCGATATCGGCCAGCTTGAGCGCGGGGGCGTCGTTGACGCCGTCCCCAGTCATGGCCACCACCTGGCCCATCTCCCTCAGCAGCCGCACTATGTCCTGCTTGTGCCGCGGCTCCGCCCGGCTGAAACACCGCCCGCCCTCGCCCTGCACCATGCGAGGTTACACCCTCAGCTGACGAACTCACCGTGATATGCCAAAATCGACGTAGCCAATCCACGGTAGGCAAGTCAGTAAGCCAAGGCCTTGCACTTCTTGCGAATTTTGTCCTGGACACTTCACGGCAGATCTTCTGCGCATCCCACCGCCTGCAGACCTCCCCGGTTTCTAGACAAGGAATGTGGTGCATGCACTTCGCTTGCAAGGGTAGCCTGCCACAAGGAGCGGAAAGGGATAGATAGCAAAGAGAGGGGGTTGGGGCTCACGTCGAGGATGGCGCGTCGCTGGTCGAGGGGCAGCTCCACAAACTGCCTGCCGGTGAGGGACTTGTCGTCCAGGTTGCCCTCCACCCCAAACACGCCGATCTTGCGGCAGATCGCCTCCGCCGTCAGCTTGTTGTCGCCCGTGATCACCACCACCTGCCAAGGCGCAGGGAACTCAGCAGTCAGCAACGCCCAAGACTTTGTTCAAAAGCATGCGCATGGTTCTAGAGCAGCTCGCAACACTATTGGAGAACAGGGGGGACCTGCACATAACTCCTCAACGCTGTTCAAGGCAGTGCAGATAATTCCTGTGGCCAAACACCCCATCCAAGACTGTAAGGACAAGAACAAAATCCCAGATGGGCGCACCCTGATGCCCGCGCGCATGCAGTCCTCTATGGCGCCCTTGACCTCGGGCCTGGGCGGGTCTATGAGGCCGGCCACTCCCAGCCAGGTCAGGCCCGACTCCAGCCCAGCGTAGTTCGCCGGATCCAGCAGCTGGCTGTGCGCCTGCACCACACAGCGCACCGACACCTATTCAGACCTACATCACATTGCTGCACTACCGCACAATCCCAAAAAGAAAATCACATTCCTGCACCATTGCAGAAGCACAAAGCAGTTCACACTGCTGCACCACTGCAGAAGCACGACAAGAATTATGCTGCTGCACCATTGCAGAAGCACAGAGAATTCACTCCTATACGAGCGCAGAGGCATGGAGAAATTGACGGGTGCAGAGCTGCTTGAGACACACAAGTAGCCACGGCGTGGGCACAGCTTCCCAGTTAACAAGCACACATCTCTTAACAAGATAAGCCAGCTTCCCAGCGGAAAAAGCAGAGCAACCAGGGCAGGCGGGAGGGGGGGCTGACCGGGTGGCTGGTTTCGCCGTCGTAGGAGGAGAAGTCGCCCAGGTCGGTCTTCTGCGCAAAGGCGAGGCAACGCAGGGCGCGCGCGGCCATCGCATCCACGGCCGCCATTATCTCCCTCTTGGCCGCCTCTGTCAGCGCCACCACGCTCCCATCCTCCAACAGCACCTATGACAAATAGCCCCCAGCATCAGCAATCCAGGTCTGATAACCACGTTTTCTATTGTTACATGCGTTCCCTGTCAGAGCCGAGATCCACAAGCACGCCAGTGATACATGTATATTGTACAGAATTTGTTCTAATTGATCTAATTTCTAATTACACTTGCTAATATCCTAATATGCAGTCCTGCAGTGGCCTCCTGCAAAGCACGCGATGCGGAGCACAGAAAGCACAACGCACAGAAAGCACAGCGCAGTGTGTGGCGCTCCTGCGTGGGAGGATCTCCAATACAGTATGCTATAAAACTCATGTTGGTGACAGGGAGCAGGGAAGGGGAAAGCAGGTGCTGCACCTGCGTGCTCCTCTCCAGGAGGCTCTCTGCGGCGCCCTTGACCAGGAGCACGTTGCCGCCGGAGGCGCGCAGGGTGCGCCGCGTCTGCACGCCGGAGCTGGCAGGCGTCGCGCTAGGGGGAGCGCAGATCACGCTCATGGATTTCCTATTCCTGTCAAATTCCAGCGTCGCCAGCTTCCTCCACCTGCAGCACCAGCCACTGACAGTCAATATCAATTTCGGAAAACGTGCATGGCTCAAACATGGCATTAAACCAACATTGGACCCACAGCTTACAAGATGTGCCACACCTCTAGCTTCAGGAGAGAGTCATCAGACATGCCAATATGTCGGAACAGCTGCAATAGAAGCCTGTCAGGCAACTGCCACTGGCCGACAAGCATTTTGACACCCAAATTGGGGCAAAGATTGTGGCCCATATCAGAGAGTGGATGGGGAGAGGGGAACTCACTTGATATTGTACCAGCGTTGCACACCGTCGGCGTTGGCATCCGGGTCGGAGCGCCGAGCGGCGGCGATGGCCGCGGACTGCTGCGCGTGTGGAATGCCGAGCTTCTCCGCCAGAACCACCAGCGCCGCCTCTGTGGGCGCGCCCGCCGCCTTGAATACTCCCTCCTTGCACTCCAGCCGCGCCTCGTTGCACACCGCACACACCTCTGCTATCGCCTGCCGGGCACACGACAGGGGGTACTTATAGCGTGCATGGCCAGGCCAGGAAAACAACCACAGACCGAACTGAGGTTTGAGGTGAACATTGGACAGAGAGGACACATATTCAATACTGATTACCGTGAGGGTGATATTGTATCAAATGAACAGCGCCAAGGGACAGTCCACTGTTAAACTGTGTGGCGTTATGAGAAAGGATCCTCTGAGAATGAGAATTGCACAAGGGCTTCCCAGCGCTGGGTGAGGAAGGACCAGCTTGGAGACGTTGAGCTTAGGGAATGTCCTCAGGGGGTGTCAGCACGCACCTCTAGATTGCGATCTAGGGACTTCACTCCTACCACTCCTCCTGCGCCGGGATTGAAGGAGGTTCCCTCCACCGTTATATGCCGCATTTCCGACTCGGAAGATCCTGGTGCAGGCATGCCCAGTCAGCACAGATAGCCTGCCTTGCTCGCCTCATAACGGTGATACACAAATGTTCTCTCCTCCGCTCTCCAGAGGGCTTGCGTCACATAGGGCTTGTAGGCAGGGACTTGAGTCCTGTAATATCTGTAAAATGTTGTGAACCAGCTCCTAATAGTCTTCATCAGGGGGTGCCCCCGCCATCATGTCGACAAAAATCGAATGCCAAGGCGCACTGCACGGCAGTAGTAAGAGACCACTGCCAGCATCACCAAGAGAGGCAACAATGCCATTTGGATAGACTGTGCATTTCAGTGCAGTGTGAATTCAGGAGGAGGATGACTTTACACCTGTTGCAATGAGCTGCACTACGGACATCTGGTTGGTGGTCAGAGTGCCCGTCTTGTCTGAACAGATCACAGTTGTGCACCCAAGCGTCTCCACCGATGGCAGCTTCCTGCAAAGCACACCAGACCTCAGCATGCTCCCATGCCCTTGCGCCAGCGACTGCAAACCGTTGAAGGCATCAAAAGGTTCCGGACAGGCGCGTCGCAAAAAGGTACCGAAATGGGGTCAACGCAGCTACAAGAAAGCACATTTCCCTGGTTGCATGCTGGCACGGCAATTACAGCAAGGAAGTACACAAGGCGGAAGGGGCTCAGAAAGCGTCGAATTGGTAGTTCTTCAGAGGGAGACCTCAGAGATAGAACAATGTTTTCTCATCACTGCCCAACAGGTTCATGACAGGCGCATGGCGACGAACTATTGGGGTCAATGCGTTTGCAAAAAAGCACAATTCCCTGGTTGCAGTCTCGCGCGGCACTCCAAGCAAGGAAGTATACTGGCAGAGGGACGGGGCTCAGAAAGCGTCGAATTGGTAGTTCTTCAGAGGGAGACCTCAGAGATAGAACAATGTTTTCTCATCACCGCCCAGCCCCCCCCGGCCTCCAAGCTCAGTTGAGTAGCACACCTCACGATGGCGTTGCGCTTGGCCATTTTTCGCGTGCCCAGAGCGAGGCAGGTGGTGATGACTGCCGGGAGGCCCTCAGGGATGGCGGCCACGGCGAGCGCGACGGCGATCTTGAAGTAGTAGATGCAGTTGTTGAGGGAGAACTTGACGGTGCTGGGGTCGGGGATCCAGGAGGAGCCCTTGAGGGTGTCCCAGGACAGGAAGTGGTGGTAATTGATCACCCACACCAGCACGCAGATGGCAAAGATGACCTGCGCGCAGCGACGGATGCTGATCAGCACCCAGAAGCACACTTGCACATGCAGCAGCAACGCCATGCATTGCAGGGCCTGCCGCACTGGAGGCTTGCGGATGGTCTCTTAAAGTCAGCAAATGACCCTTGCAATTCATGCTGTCAGGGATGTTCAAGGAACCTGGCATGGGCGTTAGAAACATATTCAGATTTCTGATGAAGTGCCGGCTGTAAAAGCAGCAATGGCTTGCTCTCAAGTTGACAGCTGCACCTGCGCCAGGCGCTCCCCAAATATGTCCAGCTTCTTCTTGAGGGGCGTGTCCTCCTCCTCCGCAGCCGCATCCGTGATCTGCTGCTGGATCGCCCCCACCTCCGTCGACATCCCAATCGCATTCACGATCCCCCGGCATGTCCCGTTCGCCACCGCCGTCCCCGCAAACAGCATGCACTCCTGCAGGACATTTACACTACATCAGTCCCTGCCGCGCCTGCTCATTAGCGTAAACGTACCTGTCTCAGCTAAAGGCAAGGATGCACATGCACGCCTGGAGACCAAACTTAAATAGTGTGTTGAACCCATTTCAATCGTGTGATGAGATGTATAGTCTGAAGCAATGTGAAGGGCCCGCTGAAGACAGAGACTACTAGTGAGGTATCTGACCTTGGCCTGGAGCTCGCAGCCCTCCTCTGAGACGGCGCCCACCGCCTTGAGCACGGCAACAGACTCCCCGGTCAGCGAGGCCTGCTCGGCGCGCAGCGTGGCCGTCTTCAGCGCGATCACGCGGATGTCTGCCGGCACGCGATCCCCCACATGCAGCTCCACCACATCCCCGGGCACCAGCTCTCTGGATGGCAGCTCCGACACCTGCCCGCACATGATCACACTCAAACCGCTATGTTTGACATGCTATAGCTCCCGAGCACATTTGTGCCACTGCAGCACAGCTGCATGGCTGCTCATGACTCAGATCTCCCTTTACCAGGCTAAAACTTGTCCCAAATATCCTCCTAGCAGAAGGAAACATTCTCGCTATCCACTAAGCTGAGATCAAAATTGTAGGTTTCATTGAGCAATTCTACTATCGATTGCTGCGCTGCCAAAGTCAAGTGCAGGCAGATGGAGCAGGGATTACCAGTTGGCCATCACGCAGAACTGTGGCGGTCTCAGACAGGGAATCCTTCAGGGCATCCAATGCGGCCTCTGCATTCGACTCCTGCCAAACGCCGACGATGGCATTCAGGATCAGGATCAGGAGTATCACTGCAGGCTCTATGAAGGCCCTGATCCCCTCCTCACCGCTGCCCTCTTCGAAGAGGGCCAGCAAGAATGAGACTACCGCCGCCAGTAGGAGCACCTGCATAATAGCGAGTCTCTCAAATGAGGCCTCACGCCGTGTTCCAGGCATGCAGAAGCACTTTGACACATCTGGAATAATAAACGTCTCAGTGGTTATGCCGCAGGGCTGCTCACACCTTGACGAGCATGTCGTCAAATTGTTCAAGCACAAGCTTCCACAGAGGCTTGCCGGCCGGCTTTTCCAGCTCATTCGAACCGAATTTGGCCCTCTGCTGCTCCACTTGTTTGGTCGTGAGGCCCCCATCAACATCCACACCATAGTGTGCCGCGGTCTCCTCCGGGCTCCGAACCCACGCTGGGTACTGCCCAACGATCTCCCTGGCCATCTCACGAGCTCTGCCGGATTGCGAGCCTCATTTGTAATGAGATCTCTCCGTGCCCAAAGCTGCAAGGCTTGCCCTAAGCAAACACCCTCCAGAAATTCCACCCTGAAGGAGTTGTATTTCCTATTCAGGCTACTGATGTTGAAGCCGTGGAAAGCGCAAAAAACGCCGCTGAACTGCTCCCGAAGGCTATCGTGTCGCGCACTTTGTCGAGGCTTTCTCTTTACTTTGGATAACATAAAGCGAAAGCAGAAGAGGGAAGAGGTCCAGCAGCAGCAGTTTCCGTGGAACTCAGCGCTGAATATCGCTGACAGTGACGGTGGCTACCAGCTTTAAAGCCGGCGCCCCCACAACCGCCTGCCCGCGGTGGTCAACCAGCCCCCAAACGTCCCAAGCCAGGTGAGGGCGCGCGAGAAGGGTGAGGGGAACTTGTCGTGTGCACATACCATCGTGGAGGGACCCTTGTTTCGATTGCAAGGCCATCCGGAGCCCGTGCAGGGCAGAGACGGGAAAGCCCTCGCTTAACAGCTGGCCTGTTCCCGCAGACATCGTGGACTCATGGACTACTGCCAGATCGAGGACCCCACCATTCGGGACTACTGCGAATGGCAAAGAAGGTGCGCACAGGCTGGCGTGACATACTTCCAAATTTTCTCGGGGGCAGGAAGAGGTCCTTTCTTGGGCGCTTACGAACAGCAGAGTCATTGATGATCGACTCCGGCTACCCGAACCTCACATCGATCCGCTGCCAAATCGAGCATGATGCCTCTCGTTGGCATCCTAGGTATCTTTGCCGGGAACCTAGGCGTTTCTGTGAGGCAACAACCGTTTTGAGGGTGCTGACGGGCGGGCCGAGTCACATGGCTGACTCGCCGAGGTGTGGGCGCAGCTCGTGGTGCATGGACGAGATCCTGGCCATGGACGAGACCTTCAGCGAGGAAGAGGTGACGCTGATGGGCAGGTATCAGCCGTACAACGACGTCGAAGATGCTCACGAAGACCAGAATAACAAGGAGGCCCTCCTGGAGGAGGCCTTGTCCAGCATAGGGATGCGGCAACTGCTCCCCCAGATCTCCATCAGCCACTCCACCGACATATCTGAGGAGCTTCGGACGCTGCACTATCCATCCCTGGGCCACGAGTGCCACATGCCATATTTCAACTCCAGCGCCTCGGTCTTCGTGCCCGTCTCCAACGCGCAGCCTGCACAGGTGCCTGCCCCTTCCTAGTGTCCCATTCAACACTTTGCACTGGCACCGCTTGCCTCCAAAACCGAGATCTGTCATACCTTCCCTAGCACAGTATGCAGTGCAGAAGTGGGTGACCTGCCCTGGAAATCCAACCCCTAGGTTGTGTTGCTCCTGGACCGAACCATCTTCAAGACACTGCCTTGTACGCTGCATGCATTGCATATGAAGTCCAAGGCTGCCCTATCTCACTGCTTGGTCAGCGCACTGCATTGTCCACCTTCCATCCTGTCGCTTTATTTTGTTTCCAGCCAGATTTTAGGGCAGATCCGATGCCGCAATCTGATCTTCACACCCAGCCCCATTCTGTGTTGCTTGAATATGATCGTGCCGGTGCCTGCGCAGGTGACGGTCAAGTCAGAGGCGATCCTGGTCAAGGGCGGGAATGCGGAGGCGCTGCACCCCTCGCACAGCCTGGTGTCCAGCATGGGCAGCTGGCACTCGTCTACAGAGGCGTGCGTGCCTGATCTCAGCCCGCGCGAGCCCCTTATGGGGACCGCCCGCAGCCGCAGCGTCCCCGACTACTTCCGCTCCGGCTTCGCGCCCGACCCCGACTGCCCCGACTCCCAGGCACGCCCTCCCCGCTGACTCACGGCCACCAGCTGGGTCCTTTGTGGGCTCATTGAAAGCCAGCGCTGCTGTGCGTAGGAAAGCATTAGAGCATTCACGCCAGGCAGTTGGCACTGGTGGAGAAGCACATTTCACCAGTCTTGTGCTTAAAGGCAGTTAATCAAAGAAGTACACCTGTTGTCCGGTTTTGCAGGATGCAAGCGGATAGGCAAAAGACGGTGCTGCATTTTCACCCCTCGGAAGTATGCTCAAGAGGCATGGCTGATGATGCAGTACCATAAGGGCTAGCTGGCACGACTGACAGCAAGTGCGGGGTTGCAGGTGCAGGCTGCGGTCCTGTGCAACACGCGCCAGCTGCGCCCGCGCATGCACGTGAAGGCAGAGGACGACTTTGCATCCAGCGACGAGGAGAAGAGGACGATCACAAGCTATGAGTCCCTTGATGACATGCCCAGGATCGTGCCTGGTAAGATACCCTGCTTGTGGCGCCATGAACATGTGACGCGCGCTTTTCACTGCATGTAGGACTAGGTTTGTGAGTGTATCACGTGAGGTTTTAGATAATTCAATGACCTGTGGAGCAGCTCATCTTGTCTGATCTTGTGGCGGTCCAGGAATTGACCTGTACCCGCTAGTGTGATTGGGATGGAAATCGGCAGATACCCAAGGTCGGCAGAGATTGACCGACACGTTCTTGCTGCGCAGATGGCATGTGCTCCCTGAACAGGAGCGAGTGCCTGCAGCGCTACAGGGACAAGAAACAGCGTCGCCACTTCACCCACAAGGTGCACCCTCATACCCTCCTGTCCCACTGCCACCCGGTTCCCATGCCTTCCATGTTGCTCAGTGCGGAAGGCCACGTGGCTTCAGCCAATTCGCTGGTCAGCAAGGGACTACTTGTCAGCATGCCCCCGTGACCTGACATGTGGGAGTGTGTCTCTGGCGCGCAGGTCCGGTACACTGCCCGCAAGCTGAACGCTGACAGGCGCCCGCACATCAAGGGCCGCTTTGTCAAGGCTTGTGACCTGGCTGCGGCAGCCGGGGAGGTGTGAGGCGGGAGGGTGAGCAAGAGAGTGGGTTCAACCAAGACGAGCAGCGATCAGAAAGGCAAATCTGAGGCCACTCTGTGGAGCTCTGGATGATGCAGTGCTCTGTGAAGAGAGGAGGCATAGATCAGATGACGGCCAATGATCTTATTCTTTTGGGGACGTAAACAATTATCGGGCCCTGCATTCGTGCCACCGCAGGAATTCTTTTTCTGAGTCTTTATGCAGGGCGCTTTCAAAGCTGGGCGTGCAAATTGGGCGCAATGTTGCACCCAGCTTTGATATTTTGAGGTTTTACAACTGACTCTGATGTTTAGAGGTCCTACAACTTACTCGTCCTTGGAGAGGGTCAGTTTATTGCGACGTGAGAAGAAAATTTTGGAGCACCGGGAGAGAAATACGGTAGTTCTTAGCATTGCAATTGGGCTGCACTGCCCTCCATTCTGATTATGTACTATAATTCTTATTGTGTGCCGGTGTTGTGGTCCTGAGCTGTTATTCTGCTAGAGGCGCTGACGTCCTGGGGAAATGTGTTAAAAAGCGCACTGAAAGTTCCTGATGAGAGTGTCGTGCTTGGCCCACTGTTCCTCCACAAGCTGTGTGGAAGCACATCTGCCCTTGACGGCCGGAGTGGTCACCTGTGGTGCATTAGGTCTATTGGGAAGTGTCCTATTGGCAAGTTTGCTAGCATTGATTCCTTCATGATGTCCGTGCTACAGTCTGGAGATTTTGTGGTTTGTGCATGTGCTGGAGGGAGGCAAGATGTCTGGGGATTTCTGAGGCACTGCCAGAATTCTTTTATAGCACCCGAAGTGTGTCCAGGATTCTTTGTTGGGTGATATCCTATTTTTGTGGGTTCTTTCGCTACACTGATCAAGAGAGCAAGCTGTCGAGTACTGTGATCGATCTGACCAGTCGGAGTGCAGGCTGTAACATCATCTGCACACCCGATTCAAGCTCTGTAGAAATGCCTTTTCCGGACAGAGATGGGTAAAGAGGTTAGATCCCCCATATCTATGCATGGCAAATCATCATGCTCGTGCACTATAATGTGATGCATTATGGCGTCATGACAGTGCACGCTGCAGCACCCACTTGGATATGATCTGGCCGCTGAGCATTGCAAGTACTTACAACATCGTGATCAGTGCGTATATGGACAACAGCTCAACACCATCAAATCCCCCAGTGCACACTTGCATATTTTCTAGAGGAGCTTCACCTTCAGACACATCAAAGAGTGCTCTCATATTCACGTCATCACAAAATAAAACAAAAAACAGGGAGCATGGCTGGGCCAATAAAACATGTCAGTCAATAAAAATTGGTCAGTGTGGAACACGTCCAAGAGAAGACCACCAATTTGGCGCTGTCATGCGCAAACTCGAAGGCATCGTGCTAACACGCTTTTGCCTTTTCTAGCAATAATTGCAGGAGCAGTTGCTTGTGTTGAGGCGCGCAGTTGGTGAAACAGCCGCCATCCAATTGAAAAGTAAAGAACATGCCGCGGCCGTTAAGAGTGCCTTGGCAACTTTTTGATGCCCCAAGGGGATCCATCAGCATTTATAGTGATGTCAGGGCAGCCAGTCACAAAGGATGACTGCCTTGACACCTGCTGGCTTCCTGCAAAGGTTATGAAGGCCTATTCGTGGGCAACCAACGCACCACTCATTAGAGCAAGAGTCCACAAAGGCACCTGTTCTTCACCAAATCGCAATGTTCACTCAGGACAATATAACTCCCGCCTGCACATGCGGCTTGCATATGGGAAGCTTTTGGCCATCGAAGTGGCCTCAGATTCTTGCTTCTTGCGATATCCACACCGACCCTTGATGTGCCAGCGCTCAATAGCCACCGTAGTCTTTTGCCCAGCACACGCATTCTTCTCTGACAACAAGCATCACAAATGCATTACTAAATTTGAAATTGTCTCTGCCAATCGCATCGATCATCGGGCCGAAACAGGCATTGTTCGGGCAGCTTATATGGCTGCGCAAGCAGCCCCTTTGCACATCGTTGCAAAACAGATGCGCTGCCTTCTGCCTTCCCTGAGAGCCGCAGGCACCCCAGAGCAGTCTACCATAATCTGGCTACCTGAATTGTCAATAAGGATTCCTGCTTCATGCAGACAAGCCAGGTAAATCAGAACAATTTTACTTCGAGAGGGACCGGGCCTGCAAGCACCTGTCATCCAGTCACACATCTGACCCCCCAATCATATAACAATATTGCAGCAGGAACAATGCAAAGTCAAAGCTGCCCTATGCACACAAGCCTCCTGCGTACTGGGACAGACGCCAGCACAGAATAGAGAATCCCAAGCACAGGACCCTTATCACGGCCGCTCCTAGTCCCTGGCAATTCCACAGGACAGGACGGCCAAAAGACACAGCAGCTGCTTTCACCACCATCCAATAAAACTAGAATTCAGCCTAAGCACCAGCCCCACATCACAGCAGCGCCTTCCTACGGCGTTGCATGGCCCCCGGTGAGCCAATTTAAGCGTTCACTTCACACGTGCAGCCCTGATTCAGTCCACCTTCTTCCTGGCAATGCTGCGGTGGCGCGCCAGAGCAGCAGCCTGCTCCATGTGCAGCAGGACCAATGAGGGCAGGACACCGCCCAGAACAGTCTGGGCCACCACCTTCGCAAGTGCCAGCTGAACAGACGTGCGGCCGAGCGCGCAGCCCACGGCATCCGCGGCCGCCAGCACCGTGATACACGTGGCCTGCAGAGGGAGATGAACCCTGGCCGGCACCTGGAGAGACAGAGACACAACCCCTGAATTACTGATGGGCGCCCACACAAACCCACAGACTGGGCTGTGCGCCTGAATACATGCCCAATAGATATTATTGTAGACACAATCATTATTCCATCACTTGTGCCTTTGATGGAATACTGCTTCTCCTTTTCCAGGAGAAGCTGTTGAGCAAGAAGCGAGCAGGAGCCGATAAGTGCGCCCCCTGTTGGGTAAGCCAGAAGCAAGTGCAACGTCAGGATATTTATCTTCACCAAGTAGAGCTTAAATGGGCTGCAAAGCTCACCTGGCCGCTGAAGGAGAGGATGGCGAGCAGGAAGGCCCCAGAATCCATGCAGAGGCCAGCGCATGACAGGGGCTCACTGGGCACAGGCCATGCCATGTTAACAGCAAAGACCAATGTGCGCACAAGCCGCAAACCTGAAAATGCCCCACAGCATCCTGAGTAGCTGACAACCTGACAATTTCACCTCATAAACCCCTCATTACGCAACAACAATCTTGGACGGACTGCCATTCATGCTTTCAGAGGTAAGGAGGGACGAGCGGAAAGTAGCAGCACCTGCCAACAGCGAATTGCGGTGCTTGGCATAAGTCAAGACGCCTCCCATCTGCATGGCAGCCAACGCCACTGCAACCAATGTGGCAACAGGGATGGCCTGCTCAAACGTCCAGCTCCTGCTGGCAACACAAACAACAGTCAATTTTTCAACGCTCACAGACCTGCTCGACATTTAAAACAAGACATACCCAAAGGCATGCCTTGCAACCCAAAAACATCCTACAATGACAGAAAAAAAAATGCTATAGATTTGACACATATCAGCTGTCTGTGGCAGGATTCAAGGTGCAGTGCAGATCTGTTCGCAATGAGTAAAACGCTGCAAAGTGAGCAGTTTGTACCTGGACATGAGCACCAGCAGCGGTGTGAGAGTCAGTAGAAGCGTCGCAAAGTCCATGAACAGGCGAGGCACCACCGGCGCGTCCAGCACACAATGTGCAGCCGCTGCCACCCGCGCTTCCTTGCCCGCCGACGCCTTACAGCAGATGCTCTCACCCTCCATGCTGCCGTCCCAGCATGGCCTGCAGCTCTGGCTTGCAGCAGGTCTATCACTCCGTGCCACAGAGACAGCAGCCGGCTGGCAGGTGCTCCTCTGGGGAGGCAGGGTGCTCGGCCCAGCGCGTGACTTGGCATGCGCGGTTGCCGGTGGGGCGGCAATGCGCGTGGCGGCCGGGGCAGCCGCGGGCGCGCTGCCGCCATTTCTGTCGGTGGCGCGGGCTACTAATGCTTGCGTCACCTCCCTGGGCATGCCTGGGGATACCAGCGGCTGGCGCAGCTCGTGCAGCGAGTCTGCAATGTGCGCGGGCAGGATCCGCCGCAGCAGGTCGTCCACAGCCTGCACGCACAACTCCCTCACATGGCGACACCTTACAATGACACCACTGCCAGAACGCTGCCACAGCGCATCCTCTCATCACAAGCAGTTGATAGCCGACATCCTACCAGGATCACTTGATAATTGCCAACAGGTCCCATGCAGAAGGAAGATTCACGCACCACAAGATCCCTCCTGAGGCGCTGAAGCCCGATCACAGGCGCAAGCACAGCAGCAAAAGCCACCAGCTCATCCACAAGACTGCAGATACCACAATTAATGTGCATCAAAAGCCATATCCCGTATTGTGAGTCACATTCCTCAGCCTGCCGTGCATGAAACGACTGCCATGCAGGACGAGAGTGCAAGGGAGAATGCAGTGACTGTCCTCACCCGCTGAAGGCGTCTGGCTGGACAGAGGCAATGTTAAGCGTCCCCAGCACTTTGTCGGAGACTTTCAGCGGCAGGTATATGCAAGACCCAGCCCCGCACATGTGCTGCAGGTGCTGCCAGTCCAGCCTCCTCAGACCACTGCCCCAGAACAACCCCACACGTCAGATCATGCTCTTCCTGCCCGATCTTACTGAGCTCCCTCGTTACAGATCTAAGAATCTGCAACATGCAAATGACCTAGGAGCTGTACAATTTCGCAAAGACATGCATAAACGGGCGCGCTACCTTCGGCCATTCTTGGAAGTGAGCACAGGCTGCTTCAGGGTGACCGCGACGCCTGACCCTGTGTTCTGCACCGGAAAGGTGCCCAGGTGCCCATGCCTCCTGCCCTTAGCGGAGTGGACCTCAAAATAGTGCAGCTGCGCTTCATTCTCTGAGAGGAGAGAAAAGCTGCACAAAGAAAGACGCAGACGCGCTCAGAACAATTACACAAACATTAAGCCCCTTCAATCAAGAGGTTACACTCTATCAAGAAAACTTCTGCAGCAAGAGTGGGGTCACTTCAGCTGGGCACCCGAGTGGACCATGGCGTGACACTAGGGCAATGCCTCACCTGATGTGACAAGTACCAGGCACCAGGTCCTTGCAAGTGCAGGCAGCGGTGCGGTAGAGTTCGCTGTCCGTGGAACACTGTCCCAGGGACAAGACAAGCTTCGCCACACGCTCCAGCTTGCCCTGACAGGATCCCAAATGAAGTCAGTACATGCAAGCTTGAGGAGATCTGCTGGAACACATCTACCCTATTTGTGAGTCATGTGAGATACAGGCATGTGCTGAGCACTTCTTTCGACTGCTGAAAATTTGCAGTTGAAAGAAACGACGAGTAGCAATTGAGTGCCAACGTGCAGCAACACCCCGTTATATTATGCAACGAAAGATCTGGCATTGAGATCCCAAATGAACATTAGCGTACCTATGGCTCTCAACAGGCTTGGTGCAACATAGAAGTGTTGCCTCTCCTTTCAGTTGGACTGATTTGCGCCCCGGCCCTAGGTCGTATGATGTGACTGTCTGATGATCAATCACGTCAGGATGCCAAAAATAGAATCTCGCAGCAAATCAAGATGTTATGAGGATACCCTAGCTGTAGATTCTCCCAGGAAAACATAGAAGACTCCGCTTTACGATCTGACTGCCCTAGCCGGCACGCTTGACCCACACAGCAAGCGGAGGGAAGTGCATGCGTAGGTGCATCGAGGCACGTCTAATTGAGAATTTACAAATATGGGAGAAAGGGGCTCACTGCTTGACGCGTAATGAGAGCTGATGAGAACACGCAAGACGAGGGTGGACTTTTGGGTGTATTCACTGGGGCTTGGAATTTCATTGCTGGCCTTCTACAAGGGCAGAGTCCGCCAGTAAAACCTCCTCGAGACAGCGCAAGCCAGTTGAGATCAGCCCAAGCCGCTACTGAGTCGCTAGCAGGTGACATTTACAACGCAAAAAGTGCATTTCATAGTGTACTCAGTACAGGCTGCTGCACCTCGCAATGACTGCGGCAGTGTACACATGTGCATATCCAACATTTTGAGTATTCGTAGCGGCGTGAGAGCATGGTACTGGGCCATGCAAGAGGCAGGCAGGAGCTCTTAACTAGATGCATATGCCCCCCTCCGCATTCAACGTCCATCAGCCTGCGTGCGGCGGCTAGCTATTGACCATGGCTCATCCGGCACCGGTTGGATCAGTGCCGGCCGGGGCGCTGCTGCTGCTCGGCGGCTGCGATGAGCAGGGCGGAGGTGGCGAGGCTGGCGGCGCGCGCGGCGGCGGCCTCGAGCCAGGCTGGCAGGCGCGAGAAGGCGCCCTTGCTCAGCTCCACCAGCTCGCGCATGGCCCAGAAGTCCGGCGACTCGAGCAGGTACCGCCGCGGCCCCGCCCCCGCCAACAGCCGCTTCGCCTGCACCACTCCACATCACAATTATGCTCAAACCACATCCCACGTCCGTGCCGTCTGACGCATTGTGCATACAGTTACCACAGGTACACTCCGGAACCGTGCCTGCATCTGACCGCATTGACCTTGGGCATGCCCTGCTCGTCTGAACTCCCTCAAGCAGGAACCTCGACTAGAGCTTTGTGAATGCAACCTAGAAGGATACTGAAAACAGGCTCACAACACGAGGCGGGGTCAGAAGGCTGAGCTGCCAGTCACGCGGGTCAAAGCAGGTGCTGGGGGGACAGCAGCGCTCTGCGCACCTTGTCTGCACCCTCGGGCCCCGACGCGCGTGCAGCGGCCAGCGCCTTGCAGGCCCTCGTGCGTAGGTCTTGTGCGCGCGCCAGCATCGGCACACGGGCATACAGCCCTGCCACAGCACAATCTGCTCGTGCCTTTTGCTGCTCGTCATCCTCTTGTCTCCTTTCTCCTCACATCGGGGATTGTTCTCTACCAGGCTCGACACCCAAACAACGAAAGGCATGAGTTCGTAGGAACCCCCCACCAGCAAAGAAGCTTCACCGGCTGAGGGAAGTTCAGGAGTGTAACTGGACGGGTGAAGAAAATGCCAAGCAGGCGAAAGGGAATGAAAATATAATCACCGGGGTTGACAGCGCCGATGCAGAGCAGGGGCCGGTCGGCGATGGAGGCGAGGTAGTCGGCGGCCATGGTCGAGACCGGGCGCGGGTGGAAGTCCCAGTGGTGGAGCACCAGCGCTGGCAGCTCCGCGAGGTCCCCCCTGTGGCACTCGTGGCAGTACAGCCGCGCATTGTACTCGCACCGCCGCGGCCCCTGCACCCATGCATCAAGTATTTGTGCAGGACTCTTTCTCCAGCAATTCCGGGGAAATAACATAAGCAAGACAAGTAACACCTTGATGTAGTCATTTATTTACTTCCCCTGGCCACTTATGTCCCCACTGACTGAGCCAGGGCTGTCTTTGCATCCCTGCTTTGTATTTCTTGTAACAGATGGCCCCTCGTAAAGGTCATCTGGCATCTGAAGTTCAGAGGATACCACAATTGGGTCTTGACCCCAGGCACACTAAAGCATGCAGACCACACATAAAGATGCTCCTGGGATGTAGCATGAAGGGCTGGGTGCTGGCGCACCGTTGCGGCGGAGCGGCCCCCAAGGAAGCTGGACTGCTTCACGGGCGGCGGCAGCGGCGCGCGGCAGGCGGCGCACTGGCCGCGCTGCATGCGGATGAGGTCGGCTTCCGCCAGCTTCTGCGGCTCCTCCGTCAGCAGCCGCACCAGGCTGCCATACCTGTAGGCGCATGCAATGGCATTATTTCATACCAGAAGATCCCATGCGATGACAACCTTGCAAGCGGAAAAATTCATGGAGGACTTCCTGCTATCACCAGACCTCCTGTCCCGAGCGGGAGCACCCTACAAACATGTGTCCTTGTTAAGCTGGCCATGTCTCTGGGGCTGACAACGGCATTGGACAAGCAAGGGCACACCTATTGCCGGCCTCCGCCGAAGAGGAAGCAGAGGATGCGTGCTCGCTGCCGGCCCTTGCCAGCTGCGCGGCAGCTGCACCGGCGTCCTGGCCGCGCCCCGGCAAGGCGCGCGCAAGCGTCCCCGGCGGCTGCGAGGGGGGGTCCCAGTGGGGGTCTGCCGGGGCCAGGAACGCCAGCAGCGGCGGCGCCTCGCTCAGCGGCGGCCCAGCCGCCACAACCGACACCAGGCACCTGTCCAGCATTGCCTGCCGCGCCGCCACCACCTCTGGCGCTAACCTGCGCTTGAAAACAACACATTCCTGAGATCCTCTCAACCACAAGCTCTCAAATTCAGGCTCTTGGTCATTGTCTTTCTGAAATTATTCACGTGCGTATCAATCTTGGGTCTGGACGGACAGGATCAGTTTCATGTCCATCTGCTTTGAAATGGGAGTCAACACAATAGAATTTATTGGCAAGCAATTGAAGTGACATTCCTACAAGCAGCGCATGAAGTCAGGCAACAGGTGTCCATGCCAGGTCACGTGTCAGAAGGCATGACAGGTGCACAGCGGCCGGCGCACCGGTGGCGGCCGGTGACGGAGCGGGCTTTGCTGACGTCGGCCCAGCACTGGGGCAGGCTGTTGGGGCCCACGAGCGCTGTCAGCGCGGACCGCAGCGCAATGAAGTCCTTGAAGCGGTGGTGCACCGTCCACGCCTCGCCCTCATCCGACGGCGTCACCTCCACGCTGTACCGCGTGTACTCCGCCGTTCCCTCCGCCACTGTCGCCGCCCCCACCACCCGCGCCTGATCAGGCCCTCAAACCTCAAGACCCCCTTGTTATTGAGCGAAAGGGTAGATCGAAGTCCCTCAATTGCATTAAAGCGTTCTCTCTCTCTCTCACTAACCCTGTCTTGAAAGCCTTGCCTTGATAGCACAAAAGCCAGGCTGCCTGGAGGAATGCAGCTGTAGTGGAACCAAATTAACAGCGGAGCGCAGTGGCTGGCATGCAGCGCTCATGTGCAATGCACATTGGTATGTACGATTTGCATGAACAGAACAAAGGGAGCTTTGGTGGGACGCGCCTCGGCGATGCGCCAGGAGGGCGGGAGGGGTTCAAGGTCAGGGGGCCGCGGGGGGTGGTGGGGGTCGTCGAAGGAAAAGTGCGAGCTGCCGGCGCGCGGCGGAGACCCCAGCGGCGAGCGGAAGCCGCCCAGCCCGCCCAAGTCCAGCATCAGGATCTCATTCATGTCCTGCATGTGAATCTGCCATTAGGTAATCTGCCCTTAGGTAATCTGCCCTTGCAAAGACCTCTGCGCTCCTTGTTGAGGAACTCAGAGCAGGCAGATCATCAGGTGCCCATTCAATCAAGCACAGCCTTCAGACTGGATCCGATTCCTCCCCAACCGCACTGACTGCTCCTACTGCAATGCAAAAAAGCCTCCAAGGGAGAGGCAGGGCAGGGCTGCGGACCTCCAGAAGGTTGGCGTCTGTCTGGGAGCCATGCTCGCGAGGGGACAGCTGGTCTGCGATGTCCTCCCCTTGCAACTCCGGCATGTCCATCTGCTGGCCGTCCAGAATGTTGTGCAGCCCCTGGCTCGCCAGAAATTCCCTTATCTCCGCCTGCTGCTGCTCGGTGGGCTGCCTCCCTGGCGTCTGCTCTGCCGTGCCGGCTGCGCCAGCAACGCCCCTCACACCGGTGTGTGGTGTGAGGTGGGCCGGGTCTTGCAGCGGTTCTGAGTGCGCCACCTCTGCTGGTTTCTGAGTGTCCTCTGGCTGGCTGTGAGGCGGAGACACGTCCTGCTCAGGTTGCAGAGAGGGTTTGTCCGCTGCAGTGCTTGCACTGGAGGCTCCTCCCCTGGTTCCCTCCGCTGGCTGGGCCTCCCCGCCGTGTGGCTCTGGAGGGGGATTTGGCTGAGGCAATGGCGGCTGCCGCCCTGCCCCTGAGTCTTCAGCAGCCTCACCTCCTACTTTGCTAGGCCCTGCTTGCCCAAACGCCAGTTGTGCAAGGTCGGCTTTCGGCAGTGGTGCAGGGCTGTCATCCGCGCTGCTGTGTTCTGCTGGCCAGGCCTCTTCTGCACCGCTGCTGGGAGCCTCCACAGGCTGTGCATCACCTTCTGGGGTGCTCAGCAGCGAAGTGAGATCGCTGTAGCTGAGCTCTGCTGAGGGCTCCTGCCGGGCCAGTGCAGGCTGTGCTGCAGCGGGGAGCTCATGTGATGGGATTGCTGCTGTGTGATCCTCTGGGTTCTGCTCTGCTGCTGAAGCAATGGCTTCATCCTCGCTGGGCTGATCTTCCAAGATTTTGTGCACGGATGCATGGTGTACAGGGTCTGCTGTCAGCTGCTGCTCATACTCCCCATGAGCATGCGCCGTCTCAACGAGGTCTTCAGGAGGCGTCTCCGGCTTCAGTGCATTTGGAGCCTCAACAGAGGTGCTTGGTGAAGCATCTGCATCGCTATCCTGAGCATCTCTGTCATGTGGATGGGTTTCTTCCTGTGCAGCAATTTCACTCTCCAGAACAGCTTCCACAGCCTCTGCAGCCTCCTGCTCTGTCACATTGGAAGCCTGCAGGACAATGAGAAATGCCTCAGCTTCGACCTCAGCACAGGTAACGAGCAAAGAGCGTGTGGAGGTATGAAGCCCATCAAAAAGGTTCCTGTGCTTGAAAAATAGAAATACCTGCAGCTGCTCTCCCCTTGCAGCTATGCTGAAGCTTCGTGGCAGCTGCTCATTCTTGTCCAGGTGGAAGCTGCGGCGCGGTGCCGGCTCCTCGGAATCCAGAAGCCGGTAGAAGTCTCCCTGTACAACAGGGAGCTGTGAGCTAGACAGAATTGACAAAGTGCTGAGCAGCCAACAGCAATCCAAGTGCAAGCAAGCACATCACTTTTGCTATCAACCCGCGAAGACATATCTCACCTCTTGCGATCTAGCACCCAGCATGGTGGATGTCGATCCAGCCGTCGATAGTGCGCTCACGTCTTCCTGCTGCCTCCACGGCTCCGCAGCCGGCGGCGTCTGCGGTTCGCTGGCGTCCGACGTCGTCACCCGCCTCCTGGCCAGCCTGCTCCTCACTCTCTCGCTGGCCGCCGCAGCCGCTTCGGAGGCCTTCCTGCGCTCCTCTGCTGAGTTGTAGGAGGCCACCTCTTGCGCGGCCAGCAAGGGGCTGCCGGCGGCGGCTGGGCCGGCATCACGAGATGTTGATGGGGCCTCGGCAATGGTGTTTCCTCGAGACTGGGGCTTCAGCGGCTGCCACGGCGGGGGGTCCTTGCCGGGGTCGCCGGCGAATTGCAGCGGCTCTCCGCCCAGCTGCGGCGCAAACATGCTGTCCTCTGGCGTCGACAGCAGGTCGTCCAGGAACGCAGCAAGATCCGGACGAGGCTCCTCCAACGCCCCTGCCTCCCCTGTGCCATTCAACGAAACCCCCGGCTCCCCCGGATAATCCCGCGAGTGCAAGCCAGCCAGATCTGGCGCCAGAGCTGCTTCAGAAGACAGGCCCGCCTGCTGCAGCAAGTGCGCCAGGAGGTCTGACTCTGCGGCCCGGTCCTCGGGCGAGGCCTGCATGTTCACGCCAGCCAGGTGGCGCGCTCGCAGCGCCTGGAATGCTGCGGTGGTTGTGGGGGAGAGGGGCTCCGCTGAGATGTCTGCGGAGGACATGGGGGACAGCAGCAGCGCTCCCAGGGAGGACGGCAGCAGCTCGGAGGCGGCCGGAGACCGGTCGGCCGCTGCGGCGGCGGCGGCTGCCGCGCTCGGCCGGGGCTCTTGGAGTGCCTCGTCGATCGTCACAGCGCGCGTGCGCTTTCGCATCTGGCCACAACACCCCGTTCAAGTATTTGATGACTTTGAATGATGTAATGATGAATAATGACAATGATGATTCTGATGATCAAGGAATGTGAGTGCCTCCCCAAAAAATGAATTCTTTATGCCGCTCTGGCGACCAGGTGGCACATAATGATCCCTGATTTTCACACGTGGCAGGGGAGATAATAATCTTGGAGAATGTACACAAATTTCCCTCTGCTGGACAGGGGCGATTGTGTATGCAAGACTTCTTGGGAGAAACCATTCACCTTTGGAGAGGAGGTCATGGGAGGCAATGCTGGTCCCTTGACGCTTGGGCTGGCTGCAGCAGTGGAGTAGCGGCCTGGGAGGAAGTTGGTCACGCCGGCCAAGAATCCCACAGGTCCTAGACGCATACACAGCAGTGAGATAAATGTTTCGTGTTAAAGACCAATGGGTGAATCCAAACTACACATTCTCATGGTTGATGAAGGAAGAACTCACCACTCGTGGGCTGTTTTACCGAGTCTGTCTCGACAGGCAGGAGTACTTTGACAGCATCCAGGCCCATCAGCACGCCCAGCAACTGCCCAGCAGCTTCCTCCTGCCTCAGCACAGCGCTCCTGCATGCATGGCGCCCAATCATGAATGCCCACGCCACTGCATCCTTCCTGGCCTGCCCAATGGAACTGAAAGGCAGACAAGCAACAGTCTAAAATCATGTCAAACTGGGAGAACTATGCAACGCAGGTGGGGATAAGGAGAAGGTGGTCACCTGGAGTACCAGGCCTGCAGCAGGGTCGGTGTGCTGCAAAGAGCGCGCAGCCGCGAGCCGAGGGCGCGCTCATTGAGGCTGCTGCGGATCCACATCTGCAGCGCCGCCTCGCTGCCATGCCCTCCTGCCAGCGCTTCCACACCCTCCAGGCCCCAGCCCTTGCCCTCCTCCACTGTGGCCAGCCTCTGGGCCTCCTGTGCCAACCCCAACATAAAATAGGTCATGGAAATGTCAAGGGGTTTGCCATGTTGTGTGCACCCCTGGGCATGTAGATGAAACTCCCATATGCAGCCCCAGCTTGCCGTTTTGCCAAAGCAACATGTGTTTATACAGCCTGAGAGCATATATCCAGTGTTATATTAGATTGCTGAATGAGCAGTTCACAAGGCATGCTACCTGCAGCATGTCCATGGGACCAGTTCGGCGGCCAGGCAGGTACTGCGTCCATTTGTCTCTGGGAGTCGCCGGCCTGAGGCCGTGCTTGAGCAGAGCCTCCACGCCAGAGCACACCCTCTGCAGATCCGTATCCCCAGGGCCCATGATGTCTGCTGCTGGCCCCACACCAGCCTGCTCCAATGCACCACACTCCCCTCAGACACTCTGCCATTCAGAAGATCTCATGCATTTCCACCAATCACCTGTACGAGACATCCTACAGCAGAATTTGTATACACATGCGACTTCCCTGGAGGGAAATCTGCCATGCAACAGCTCCTATGCTGCCTAAATCAGTCTTAATAAAGCAGAAGTTGTATACATATGCGGCATCCTTGAGGCTGCAAAGAAGAGGCGGTAGGATAGGGGCATGCCTGCAGCACAGCTGTGGCAGCAGTCCTCAGGCGCAGTACAAGCTCCTCTGCGGCAGCCGCCTCCTCTTCCTCCTGCTTGGAGGGTGTAGGCAGCGCTCTGGGGCTCCTTGAGCCCTGTGGCTTTGCAGAAGCCCTGCTGCTAGTGCTGGCCTCGGGGCCCCGGTTGCTCGAGGCAGCATGCGCTTCCTTGGAACCCGCCTGTGGTACAGGCAATTTACTATGATGCCCAGCAGACAACGAATTATTATCTGTCCTGTGGGTCGCACATATCTGAGATGTAGGAGGGTGCATGGGGTGCACACCTGTTGGCCAGGCCTCACTGCCGAGTCTGCCGCGTGGCTGACAAAGCCGTACAGAGAGCCAAATGCGCCTGCAACCGCCCACGCCGGGTTCTGACGCTGTCCCGCCAAGGCGGTGTCACTAGTGGTACTGGTCGCTTGGGGATCTGCGCCTGCGAGGCTCTGTGCAGCTGGAATCTCAGGATCCGTTGTCTCTGCGGCCACTTCCCTCAATGGCAATATGCTGCCCGGGTCAGTGACTGGCGTTTGGCTGCCGCCCTTCGATGAGCGGAACAAGCCTGAGAATGCTCCCAGGCGGCCATGTGGGGCGGATCCTGGCGCTGAAGGAATTGGGACTGCAGCTGCTGTGCTTGCATCCCCTAGGATGCGCAGTGTCACCCTGCATGGCTGAATGATTGCTTCGTGCTCTGCTCCAGCCTCCGAAGCAGAAATCTGCACTACCACGAGCTTTGCAGGAGCATCTTCCTGCACTGCTGCATCCGATGCCAGAGATGATGTAATCGCCCGGTCAGCACCCTCTTTGTCCTGGGCTGCCTCTGCTGCACTCTCCTCTTGGCTTGAAGGAGCAGCAGTGGGAATTGGTGGCCCCTGCCTCGTCCACTTCGGACCCTTCAAGAGACCAGCCAGGGACTGCATCCCAGACAGGGCTGCCGCCGATGCTTGGCTCTGCATGACCTGATCAAACTGCTGTGCAAGCCTGGACTGCCTGCTGGGCTGCTGAAGGCCCTTGCCAGCTTGGTCACTTCCCCGGGTATCCAGGTGAAGAGTCACAAAAGCACCGCCCCCATCTGAAGCTTCCTGAATCTCCAATCGCACAGCTACTGAGTCTGGCTGGCTGACATGCTGGCGAGCTGCATTTGCTGCCTCTGGCGCACTCATACTGACGCTAATGTGCCCAGCATCGCCCATGGGGTGTCTTCTGCCTGGTGCATGTGCCTTCATAGGACCTTCCGTTTCCGCCATGTTTGCATCTGCTCCATGTGGGGCTGAGCTGGCTGCCTGTCCCATGGGCAGGCGTGACCATTGTGCCTCCCACAACTGGCCCAATCTCGCGCTCGCTGGCTGTGCCGTGTCAGTGTCTGACCCTGATGCACTTTCCTGGTCCTGCCGAGCTGGGGAGGGCTGCTTAGGGGGTGCCACATGAGGTGCAGCATCTCTGGCCTCTATTGTGGCAGCATCTGTACCAGAAGCTGCGCTGCCCGCTGATGCTTTGCTGCTTGCTATGGCTGCTTGCAGCTCCGCAAAAGTGACTGTCCCCTGCAAGGCGGAGGCAAGTACAGTACATGAGATTCTCGTGACAAGAAGCATGAGGATATCAGGAGTAAGCATGCATGAAGTATTGCTTTCGATACCTTGAGGGGCAAGACTGCAGCTTCGAACTCTGCCGTTGCTTCCTTGCTCCGCATGGGCGCAGAATTGAGGTACGCAGTGTACACTTGCGGCTGTGAGCGGACTTTGCTCACAAGGAAGCCCAAACTCCCATCCTGTGCTCCCTGGGTACAGGCACTTTGCCTGGTCAGCCTCATCACAGTAGGACAATGACGAGCCTACAGATCAACATGTCAGCAGGTCTCTGCAAGCAGAGACGGTGTGAATACCTGCTGGATCCAGAGCCTTGATACAGCTTCCAAGCCAACAGCTTCCTGGGACCTGACTGCGTCCACGCCCGGGCTCATGAGAACAGGAAAGGCGCGTTCCATCGCCAACACCACGCTCCATAGTCCAGTCGATGGGATTGCACGATTCCCTACTAGTCCCGCCTGTGTGGCATGCCCACCCTTGTCCTATATGAAAGTTTACGATAACGACAAGAATGTTACAGATCAAGTTGTTGCTTGATGCCTTAATCTATACAATGTGTCGGGGACTTTTGAATTGTCTCGGAATTCAGTCCTAGAATGTTGCTAGTGCAAATTGGGCAGATGTAAAGTACATGATGCAGGAGTTTGAGGTGAATGGACAACCATGTCTTACCTGTGTCAATTCGAGGACAGCATTCGCAAGTGCCTGACCACAGTGGAGGTCAATCTGCCCGTTTTCTGTCTGATTGTCCAGGCATTGTTGCACAGCAGTCGTTAGATCTGGTGGCCTATCCTCTGTCATATTTGAGCTGCAACAACATGCGTCGACTTTAACCAATCTAAAGGGTCTAAGAATGCTCCAAACAGGGTCTGTGCTACCCCATTTCTGTGATGTGAGTCTTGGGCCCTACCAACTCCCCAAGTTCTCGGAACCCTAGGGATTTCAAAAGCGACAATCCACAGCCAAAATCAGTTGAAGGTCTTTAATGCCCACAAAACCAAGTAGTGGACTATCATTTGAAATTTTACAAGGAGTAATGTCCTAGGCAGAACACCCCAAACGGTGGCTGCTTCTGTCTGTGGTGATTAAGAACCTGCAGAGTGTCTGCTCCTGTTGACATCAAGTTTTTAGATACCAGGTACGAGCCATCTCATCTCTCGTGAATGCCGATGAAGGATAGATGACTGCAAGCGTCGTTTAATGCGGATATCTGGCACTGAAGGCATTACAATGGGGACGTGAACATTTGGTGTCTCAACGGACATTTAACATCAACTTTAAGATGCTCTTCAGATTGTCCTGCCATGCGTGAGAGCCCCAATGAAAAGGGGTGAAACAAAAATATGTTCCTCAATCAAATCAGCAAGAGCACCATGTACTATACACATAAATAATTAGCTGCATTGTCACCTTCACAGGGGGGCGTCCCAGCAAGCATTTTGTCGGAGACCGCTGCAAAGACGTCAAGAAAAGATGCAAGGAAGTCCTACAACGTTCCTGCCAAGGACATTGTTCAGCGAGGACGACGCAGATTCTGGGGCAGAAACAGATGCGCACACAGAAGGAGGCTGGGATGCAGCCAGTGAGGCCATGAGGAAAGCACAGCGGTCACCGCAGTACCCATCAGAAAACAGCTTGAGCTCTGATGATGAGGATGGGCCATTGCACTGGTCAGGTTTCCACGCACAGATTGAGGCCCTCCTCAAAACAGTGCAGAAGCAACCTCCACGTGATGGTGTCGACACTGCACAGACCTATCACAGCCAATTTTCCATGGACGATGGAGACTTCAGCGGCAGCCTTGGCACCAACTCTCAGGCAGGCACAGCTTCAGACGATGGAGAATCCAGTGGTGCCGCTTCGGACAGTTCAGCAGATGAGCTGCTAGCATACATGACAGGCAATACAGCAACCCGCGCAGCAGCAGCAGCAGAACATGCGGCACAGCAGAAGGCGCACTCCGAGGTGTACGGACACCCACTGCCATCGTGGCTGTTTGAGCTGGCCACCACTGTGGATGCCACCAGCGCATCAGGCAGTCAGGAGGCAACAATTGCATCAGGTCCACATGCCAGCACCACACAGCACCCTATGCCCGCATGGGTGCAGGAGGGAACTCCAGGCAGGCTTCAGCCAAAGTCAACACCAGCGGGTGCCAGGAAGGCGCTTCCAGAGTGGCTCACATCTCCAGCGCGGCCAGCGCAGCCTCACATGGACGTCAGCGCCGGCAGCTTCAGTGACGTGGCGCAGCTGCCGGAAGCTGTCGCGCACACACCCTTCAAGTCTCTCATTGAGGAGATCGAGGCCAACCTGGCGGCAGGCTTTGCCAGCCAGGCGTCAACCTCGTTCTTGTACAACGACGAAGCCGCCAGCCAGCCCGGCAACGAGAGCCTGCACTGGTTCACCAACGAGCTGGCCAGGGCCGCAGCCGAGGCGCAGGAGGAGATCCCGCTGGGCGGCCCAGCCAGCAGCGTGGATGGGTTGGCAGGAGACAGTGCGGGGCAGGTGTCAACTGAGGAGGACGGCTGCAGGACGCCTTACCGGCAGCTGCCGGTCTTCCAGGAGGAGCTGGCTGAGCTGGACCCCCTTGCGCACACCACAGAGGCCCTGGAGAGCTTCCCGGCAAATAATGCAGAGCTGGACTGCAGAAGCATCGCAGCCAGCCCGGCAGTGCCATGCGTGGATGCAAAGTTGGCAGTGGACGGCAGCCCAGCAAAGCAGTCGGAGGCAGGCGAGGCATCACCTCTGCCCCAGCAAGGGAGCGGCAGCCCCCTTCCCAGCTACAGAATCCTGCGCCCCTCTGTCAGCCCTCGCTCCTCTGGACAGCTGCCACAGCCGCCGGGCTGGGGCTTTCTGTGGGGTGAGCCTGCCAGCCAGGAAAAGGGCGGCGCAGAGTCAAGTGAGGCAGACAGCTCATCTGATGACGATGTGCCCTCAGAAGCCGTCCACATGCTCAGCGGCAGGCGGGTCCTGGGGGAGCTGAACAGCAACAGCCCCCTGGAGCGCAGCTTCGCAGCAGAAGCCCACAAGCCTTCTCCCCGGATGCAGGTCCGCATTGCACCGCACAAAACTGCTGATACAGTACATCGCAATGCTTACCCTCCTGCTGATGTATCCTCCTTGCAAACCCTGATCCAATCAGACTTTGGGCCAAGCGCTTCAGGCACTGATAAGCCTGCGTATCATGGTGATTTACTCTCGCAGGTGTTTGAGGATGACGCCGTGTTGATCAAGGGAGCCGCCGCCGCGCCGAGGCCAGATGAGGATCGGCTGACAGCGGTGTACGCGCAGATCGATGCGCTGTCTCGGGACCTGCGCGGCACCCACGACGAGCTGGAGCAGCTGCGCCACGCCGAAGCTCAGCTCAAAGTGATTCCCCTGTTTGCATGCATGCATTGGCTGAGCCTCTTGCCCTTCATGTCGTTCCTTGCAAAAATTTCCTCCAAATGCAAGTGCAAATATCTTCTGGCGATTCCTTTGGCTGCTGCTGTCTGTCAGGGCTGGGCTGTACAGACACAGTGTCCAGCTCTATGGCTGCTTCCCCTGCTTCGATGGGACGTTTGGGCAGTACAATTCTGAATTTGGGATGAGTATGTTCTGTGGCATGCAGGGGATCTATGAAGGCATGGCCCAGCAGCAAAGTTCTCCTGGCGTCACGGCCGCCCAGGGTAGCATGAGCCCCATGCTCGGGACAGAGTGGGCAGCACACATCAGCCCCCAGTGCGCCCTCCCATCTTGACTCCTTTAACACATGCACTCCTGTATCACTATGTATCTGTGCTCCTCTTGCTTGATTCCATGCAGAGTTTATGCTTGTTCAGGTGGGGCCTTTTAAAAGGACCCACTTACCTCTGGACCCTTTATAAAGGCCCCACTCACCTCTGGACCCTGCAATCCAGATGAGCTCTATCTTCTGTAGCCTGTCATCAAGACAGGGATGCAAAAACGCATTTTAAAAAAGGAGAGTGCGTGCGATTGCAGGCAAATGGTGGAGCTGGAGGCAGCCAAGCGCGTGCTGGCGCAGCGGCTGGACACGCTCAGTGCTGAGCTGGCAGACAAGGACGCTCGCCTGGCGCACATCACCGCCCAGCTGCACCACGCCAGAGAACAGCTGGCCGCCAAGCAGAGGTGGACACCCTCTTGCTGCACAATTTGCGTGCATTTCCCCCGCCAAGTGTTCACATTTGCGTGCTGCAATGCTTAACTTATCTTATATTGACCCTGTAAATTGATCACCATCACCAGACGCTGTGCCCAGATCCCTTGTGTCAGATAGTATCACAGTATCAGTTCAATATGCTCTGCAAGATGCTGCCCTGAGTTGCGGGTATTTCAGTAATGGTGCCCAGGCCTGTGTAGCACTAAAAACATGTTGCGTGCTGCGCTTTGAACACAGTGCATGGTGTGGCAGGGAGGCGGATGTGCTGCTGGGGGAGACGCTGGGGCTGCAGGACGTCCTAACGGAGGCCGGCGCAGAGGCCGCGGCCACGGCGGCTCAGCTGGCTGCCCTAGGAGTGCAGCTGGAGCGCTCCCAGGCCCGTGTGCAGGAGGTGTGCAAATTTGCTCCAAAGAATCTGGGTTTGCATAGTGTGGAACTATCACGCAATCCACTGGACGCTAAGGCACCAGGTTGATCTTTACATGGCCCTATATGGCTGTTCATGGCCGCCAAAGCTCTGCTGCAGCACCTCCTTTCCTGCACCAGTGGCTGCTCAGATTATAGTAGCTGATGTGCTCTGGGTCAACCTGTGGGGGATATTTTACCTGTGATTAAACATTTGTTATTAATTCACGTTGTGTGGGTGGGCAGGTGGAGGCTCAGTTGGCAGAGCGAGAGGCGGAGCTGGCGCAGTGCCGCGGGCAGCTGCTGCGCACGGAGGAGCTGCTGGAGAAGGCGCGACAGGCAGCCGCCAAGCAGCTTCTTGCCGACGCCGCGAAGCCGGCAGCTGCACTGCCGCAGACCGGCTCGCCTGCTGGCAAACACGCTGCTGAGAAGGACTTCTCACTCGCAGCAGGGTGCGGTCCCCGCCTTGCTCCCGTGCATCCGCTCTGCCAACAGGGAATGCTCCACAGCTGCTACCCTCACCTGAACTGCCCTGCCTCGAAAAATTTACAGCACCCGGCGTTTGCATGCACATCCTGCAGACATCCTTTTTTTTATTGCTCAGTGAAAGGCTGCTGCATCCGGCAGACTTGCTCTGTACTTCATGGCTGACTAAGGGGCTGTTGTGACAATCTTCAGGGATGTGGCTGGGACCGGAGCAGGTCGGGCGAGGCCATCGTCCGCAGAGGAGCTCAGCCGCGCAATGGTGACACCGCCGCTGGCCGAGCGCCGAGCGGCCGACCGCGAAGGCTCCATCGGCCTCACGCCCCCCTTCACACCCTCGCTGGAACCCACACACAGGCAGGCCCCTGCCCCTTTCCCAACAAACCCCTCTTCTGTGCTATCAACAGCTCATTCCCCCGCCGCCCAAATGCATGAAAGCCGACCAAGCCCTCTAGCACTTCCACAGATTCCTTGGATATATGTAGACATGGATAGGCTTGTCTTTGCATTGCTGCTTTTTCCTACCCAGGTGTTCCCATGTTGAGGTCAAGCTGACACCTTGGGATCCAGCTGATCGCAGATACCCAAACAGAGGAATGAGCACATATGCGCCTTTGCAGGTCTGCGCTGGCGTTCCAGAATGGCAAGTCGCCTGCCTGGGCGGCTGGCACGCCCATGCTGAGGCCCGGGCAGCCCTTTGCCGCCCAGCGGCCCAGAGCCACTCCCGGAGGCCGCAGCGCTTGGGACATCCCCTCACCCTCCCCCATGGGTCCCTCCTCTGCTTCCAATGCCGCCCTCGCAAGCGTGCTCGCTGCCATCAGGTGAACAGGCATCCATGTACAGATGAACAATTATGTAAGGACATGCCGCTGTGCTCTGCCATGCTGTCACAGCCTGCATGCGATCTGTGCTGTAGATGAGAAATGAGAAAGTTTCTTGGAAACCCAGGGCTATAGCGATCAGGAGGGACAACATCCTTGGTTGTATCACAGGGCAAGGGAGTGCCGAAATGAGGGAGAGAAGGGCGTGCGCATGCTGCAGGCAAGCCTGCCTGATACACCGCTGGCAAGTGTGCTGCGCCGCATGAACAGCAGGAGCAGCATGGAGGGCGCAGCTGTGGTCTGAGAGTGGCCATTTACTGTAGCCCTCGCCAATCAATCGATCTACTGTTCCAGGTGTTTTAGGTGAAAATTCATTTGCGCATCAGAGGCGCCTAGGCAGGATCTTCTAGAGACATCTTCCTCTTGCAAGGACCTTTCCGCAGCCAGCACAGATGAGGAAAAACAAAGGAATTTCCGATGGAAGCGAAGCCAGTTGCACCGGTGGCACTTGATATCATTAAATACTCCTGACTTTGATCTATTACAATTACAGACAATACTTGCATGCACATGATCTTGAATGCATGTATACATGTGCAGTTTCTCTGTGCACATATTATACTCCCTGTCGAGGAAAGAAGCATTGTGTAGATGTCAATATTTACTGGTGAGGCATGCGAGCTTGCCAGGCGTGCTTAGATGTCAATCTTGAAGCCTGCCACTTGAAGCCTGCCACCGATAAATGTGACTTGACTTGCTTCACTGAATTGGCAACAGAGCGTCATCCCACTGCAATGACCCGTCAGTGGTATGTGTGCAGAGGCAAAACAGATTTTAAATTGTGCCATGCCTTTGAGGAGTTGCGTTGCTGGCAGGCCAGAGGCCCCGGATATAGAGGGGTACTCATCCGGGGCAGGGAGTGCATGCATGTATATGATGAATGAGTGATAGGCTGCAGACTAATGAAGGCCCCGCAGATGTGGCTGCAGACGCCCTGCGTGTATGCCCTATGGCCTCTGGCTTTGGGTTTGCCGACCTGTAATAATAATAATGCCTTTGAGGAGTAAGGTGTATCAAACCTCATGAGGGACCTGCTGATGATCTACAGAGGTTCCTTTGCACGCAAACAGTTGGTTCCTGGATGAGGCAAGGAGCACAATTGTGTCTTGCAAGAAATACTGTCTCAATCAAGAATGAGCAAGTGTACGCATACGGGAAGGATAGACTTGTAGCCAGCGGGGCCATGCGGCATGCTAGTAAATCACACTCGCAGGTCAATTGGATGCCACACAATGCCACCTCAGCGAAAAGGACTTCTCCTGTATATATGGCACCGTATGTAGCCAGCATTTGAGCGAACTCATCAGCAACTTCCTGGCATGTCGTTTTTCTAGCACCGAGGTGTGTGACGTAGTGCAGAACATACTTGTCACCGTACCGGAATCCGATGCATTTGTTGTGGACAATTTCCCGGAGTTGTTCGTCTCTTTCTCCTGTGAGGCTCGTTAGATTTCTCGAAGGTTGTATTGTCGTTGTACCGGAAGCAATGCGAAGAGGCCACTGTCCTTTCATTCGCAAACAAAATACATTCATGCACTGAGTAAACAGATTCTTTACATCAAATTCTGGAAAGACGTCAACAAACAGTGATCAAGTTCAGATTAAGTTGCTCCATATGTACCTGTCGAGATGGTTCTAGCGGTTGTCAGACGAATCACAGCCAAAACTGATGTTGCCAAAGGTATTGTGACGGCCAACATCGACCTCAAGGAGGTTGTCTGGCGAGGGGCTGTTCGGCTCATCAAGGACTTCTGGCACTTTATGTGTGACGTGCTCGAGGCAGTGCGGAGCAGCGCTTCTGTCAAGATATTCTCTTTCCAGAGCTGTTCTTGAACTGGTAGCAACAGTGTCGCCTTCTCTGCTCTTCACCAGCAACAGCGTTACATCCGAGCGCTCCGAGATCAGTCATCGATGACGTTGGATTTTGGTGAGTCAGAACCGGGGACTAACGTAAGGGCTGAGGTGTCTTGAGGCAAGGACAACTCCAGCTCGTTCTTTAGCATAAGGTCGCACTCGTTTCACAGAAGTTGTACGGCAGAACATTGTGAAGAGACAATGGTGAGAGGCATTGCTGCGCGGAAGCTCGTAGAAGCTGTGCGTACCGCCGCCAGCAGGAGTTTTGCCGCATCAGCTCCTGAAGCAGGTTCGGTTACGCTGTCCTTCTCAATTCAATAGAGAGGTTGCAAGCGTGCTTGCAACATTTTCATTTCGCTTTTGTGTGCTTTTATGCATCACGACGCCGTCGAGGACACAGAGAACTGTAGCTGGTTGCTCTGATGGTGGGTTTTCCTCTTGCGCAGTGTTGGAGACGCCGCAGTCCGAGATCGTACGCATTGCAAGCAGCGCTACAGTCCTAGTCAAGTTCCCGGAACGTACCTGGGGAGCATCAGCAGTCCTGCCACAGCACCTTTTACCAGCTCAAGCAGGTGAGGAAGCATCTTGAGCCCCTCTCTCAACGAAGCAGGCTATTTGACACATCTTAGGTCATTATGGCGCCACACAGGTGGCATGGTCTCAGTGCGGGCTGCTTTGTCTTTGTAGGGAATGCCGAGCGGGTATCTGTGGTGCGCCATGCCTTTGCATCTCACGACGCAGCGCACGAGCCCTTGGCGGATCTAGTGGCAGCGCTAGGAGAGGGCCGTGTCGCAGTGGCGCATGAAGCAAGCCAGTCGCAAAGGCGGCTGATTGTAGATGAGTATGCTCTGGCCCCGAGCGGACAATACCTCCTGCAGAAGACTGGCACAGACCTGCTCAGGTGAGCAGCTCTTAGCATTAACACCTTCTTGGGTTGTCTTTATTCTTTCTGACTTGTGATACCTTTAAATTGCACAATGGCTCTGAGCGTTGAATGGGGTGTGCAACAATATATGAGAACATGCGCATGACACAATGGCTGGCCGCTACCTGGCAACATGTGCATGGCACATGACATGGGGAATGCTGTCGCAGGTTTTTGAGCAGGGAGGGCATCCGAGCGGTGCATGTTCCAGACGTGGCAGCTGCGGCGCAGGGTGCTGTGAACAGCGCTCGAGCGGCGGCGCGAGGCGTGCGGCAGTCGACGAACGAGGTCCTCATGGTTGCGCCCACAGCGTTTGGCTTCAATGATCAGGTGGGGGCTTTACCTCAAAACATGAGCTTCTAGCGATTTGTTCGTGCATTATGACCGCTCCTAGAGATGTGTGTAAGGCTCGTGACTTGGCCTGTCTGGCATGGATGTGTGGAGCGTCTATGATTACAAAACTTGATAGGAAGAAGTTGATGGCTCTCGGGCCGATGAAAAATCAAACCGTAGTGGTATTGATGAGACGCTCCCACACCAGCACATTGCCTGCACATTTACTAATTTCAAGTGCCATGTTCTTCAAGGTTTTGTCTTGCTTTGATCAATGTCAACGTTGCCTTTTTATGTAGATGTGTGTCTGTCGCCACTGTGCAGGCAGCGGAGGACAACCACTTCATGCACAGCTCGACGAGCACCTCTTCAGGGAAGCCTGGCGGCTCCATGACTCACAAGGCCCTCGCGGAGTTTGCAGGCCTCCATTACGAGCTGACAGAGGTGTGGTGAATGCTGACCCTTCCTTCTGAGCTTTTCAGCTGCTCATTCCACTAATATGGGTTTCAGCTGTATTATTCAATATGATGATTACAGAACAGGCATTGGAAAGGTTGAGCTTTTGGTGTGGCGTGCTTGATGCTGCATGTCCCAGTCTTGACGCTGTTGTGGAAGCCGTCTGCTGCCCTGCGTATGCGATATGATGCCTGCCGTCTGCCTAGCAACAGGGTTGCAGCAATTGTAGGATGTTCCATTTGCTGGGTATTTCATGCTAAGCTGCAGCATGACGGAGGTTTGGCTGTGCAGGTGGCAGGGGTGCGGGTGTCGCTGTTCCAGCACAGCCTGGAGCATGGCACTCCCGACGCAGTCTTCCCCAACAACTGGTTCACCACGCACCCAGCCGGCGAGGCGGCAGGCGGCGTCAGAGAATCCACCCTCGCACTGTACCCCCTCAAGTGCCCCAACAGGTGCGCAGGACGCTGATCTGCTTCCTGCCGTCTTCATTGCACCTTCAAAATCCACCTCTGCGCAGAATGTAGAGCTACATCTTGGCACGGGTGGGCCATCCAAAAGATACAAGGGTGACTTGTTTGTGTCTGGCGCATCCTTTCATAATGTGCGCACATTGACAGCCTCCCTGAAGGGGTGGACAAGAATGCCCAGCAACTTGTGTATTCCTCTGGACCTCAAGGCTTCAGCCTCGCATCAGCGTGACCAAGCATCCAATTGTGGCCGCGCTGATGCCGGCTGTTGTTAGCTGAAACAAGTGACCTGTGCAGTGCTCTCAGGTTGAGTGGGACAGGATCCAAAGACGGCTCTTAGGCTGACAGGAGGGCTATGGGTTTGCGCGCAGGCAGATGGAGCGGCGGGGTGACATAGTTGAGGTGCTGCGGGCGCGCGGCTACGGCCGGCTGTGGGACATGAGCGCCGCGGAGAAGCAGGGCGCCTTCTTCGAGGGCACGGGCGTCCTCGTGCTGGACCGCGTCAATGGTGTTGCCTATGTCAACCTCAGCGAGCGCGCAGACGCCGACCTCGCCCGCCAATGGGTCGACCGCATGGGCTACAAGGTGCCGCTTGTTCCCTTGTGGATGCTCTTGAGCTGTTGGATTTGTCGCTTTTGGGAAGGGCTCCTTTGTGTGCAGAGTGGCGATCGCCAGATGCTTGAAGCTCAGGGATGTGATGTTGATCTCTTTGTACACAAAATTATTCTTTGACCCAAGCACAGGACATCATTGAGGCTTCATTGTCATCGTGAGCTTTGCTGGATGTTGAGGCAGAAAAGACAAGCCCCTAGAGAGAATTCAGATTTGTAAAGGCGGGATGTGTGGTGCTCTGTAGGAGCTGGTGACCTTTCGCACAGTGGATCCGGCTGGTGCAGACGTGTACCACACCAATGTGATGATGGCCATTGGCTCGGATGTGGCCGTGGTATGCGCACAGGCCGTCCCCGACGCGGCCGAGCGCGCGCACCTGCTCGAGCGCTTGAGGCGGCACCACACGGTTTGATGCCTGGCCACCTGCTCTGCCTCGGTTGTCTTGCTCAATGCTGTGCTCGTGGCGCATGCTCGTTGTCCGTATGGGGCTTTATTCCTCAGGGGTGCAGTGCGGTTACTTTGAGCTGTCCTTTTACCCAGCCTAATGTCACAGTTGAACACTGCTGTAAATCCGACTGCCAGGCGAGTCAAAGCCATAGCAGGTGTGTTGACTGCAACACTAGGCTGGGCAAGAAATGTCTGTCTACCTTCCCTTCCTTGCATGCTTCGGGCAACCACTTCTACTCATGCTCCATCACCAGGAACCAGAGGTTTTGGTGCCAGGGCAGTGTTTCTGATCTGGGGTTCCTGCCCATTCAGGTGGTGGAGATTACTAACGAGCAGATGGGCGCGATGTGCGGCAACATTCTGGAGCTGGAGGACGGCCGGGGCCTGCCGGTGCTGGCCATGTCCACACAGGCGCACAATGCATTCACGCCCGAGCAGCGCGCTGTGCTGCGGCGCCACGTGGCCGGGCTGCACCATGCGCCGCTGGACAACATCGAGTACATCGGCGGCGGCGGCGTGCGCTGCTCCCTCGCCGAGCTCTTCTGACCTTCAGGACGGCCGCACAATGGACATCCAGGACCGTGCTTGTGGCAGGGTGTTGGGCAGGGGGATCTGCATGTAAGACATTTGGTAAAAGTACATCCCCTGTCCCTGGCAGGGCAAGGGTTACTGTGTTTCTAGCCGAGGACTTCCCACTTTGCCCTATCAGGAGGAGCTCTACTGACTTTCTCCTCTCAGGAGGGGCCATCCCTGACCTGAGGGCTGGGCTCGTTGCAGAGTCAATTCTCAAGCGAAGGGTCATGCAAAAGTTGCGCTGCTTGCTTGCCAAGTCGTTCTAGTGTTCAAGAGGGGCAATAGTCGACATCAGCGTCATGTTTGTGGCGGGCTCCCAGCAGGTTTCAAGCACGGGATGCAAGAAGCCGCGTGAACAAGAACTGATACATCAAGAGGGCTTGTCCCATAAGCGCTTGGTCATATACCTGGCAGCCTCTGAGGCATCATGGATGATGGCCGTTGAACGAAAGGAATGTGGCAACCTTAGTAGGTCTACAGCACATGTGGTCTACAAGTCTAGAGAGCTGGGAATATATCTTGTAAACCTGGGACAGAGAAGTTATTGTCCAATGTGGCATTGTTTGTCTGTGGGTTGAACAGCAGCTGTGCGATTTGGAAGTAAAAAGAGAGAATGTGGATCAACTGAGATCTAGCAGCTGTATCGTCCAACAGGGAGTGAGTGCATGTGTCAGGGTACAGTATTGAGAGGGGGCAGTAGCAAAACAAAGCAATGCAATGTCGGTGCATGATAGAATTGCCTTTCAGGTCACATGGGGCAAATAATATGGTGTGTGGCTTTTTAAATTTTAATACTGCTTCTCTTTCTTTGTGGAGTTTTTTTGTGTGGGGGTTTTGTGGGGTTCGAGAGTACTGCATTGTTTTTGTTCTAGATTGCAGATTAGAAGTATTGTCATTTTGTGCCAAACGCATGGTCAGGACGGAGATGTGCACAGGTTGATTTTGGCCCGTAGGTCTCGATCTGGTTAAAGCAACAGATGTATAGAAGAAGCAACGCTGGGTTGCCAGCTAGCTACTGCTGAGCTTGATTTGTTTTTTCACAGAAACCTGTGCTTGAGGCTTTTCTGATCATGACCATGATGAGGATGATCAGCAAAGCAGTCACATTTGCTCGAACCACCAGTGCGCATATGCATGCAGGCATGGCCTCTCCTATAAATAGTATCATGTAAGTGAACCGGAGCGGCTGTAATACTGAAATGAGACAATTTTGGGATGCCGAGCAAGATTGTCCGTCATTCTCATCTTTCAAGGACAATTGACAGATAATTAGCTTCATGATCATGTATGTTGATCACATGCCTGATCGCTGCAGCTTGCGTTGGCAATGGCATGCATGAGCTCGGGCTGCAGATTTGCATGCATGCCGTGTTCATGACCGAGTTCTCTACTTCCACATGGTGCGCCCTAATCAAGACTCCACGTAGAAGACTTATGCACGTTGCAATCACAAATTTGAAACATCTCTTATATATTGGTCTGGAAGGATTTCCGAATAGAGACTTGAGCATTAAAATGTGGCAAGTGCACTGTCATATGATGTGCATGATATACATCCAGTGCACTCACACATCCATGTACAGTACTGTGCCGTTATTGCATTCTTGATGTCAACAGCACCAACATCCCTTCACTCAATTGCAACACGCCTCTCCTGTCTATCATCCCGAGAGTCGCAAAATTCTTAATCTACACGGTAAGCCTACATCGCGCAGATTCTCTGCATTGCTTGCAATGAGTCCTCAACATGCAGCAATAACCAAACCTCGCGTTTCCTATTCCCACAGAGTGCCGCAGATATGCAATAGGTACTATCAACCTAAAGTTAGAAATCGTAGGCAGCAAAAATAGAATGCTTGCACATTCTCAGACCTGTTGGCGCCCCCTAGTGCCTGTGTACAACGTAATGAATTCTTGGTGCCTTCTAGCAGAGAGAATATGTCTTGTTCATGCAGCGCCCAAAAAGATGCTTGTGCATTCTGCTAATCTGCCATTTGCAGGGTCGTGTCACTTAGCGTGTAAAAAGCGCATGCCCCCTTTGCGGCACCATACAATCAACTTGAGATGTGAATTTTTATTTCAAACTACCTGCAGGACAACTGTCATTCTGCCAAATTGCGGTACTTGAAGTACCCCAGGGTCTTTAAAGAGACCTCTCAGAGGGCGGAGTGGGCCTCTACATCAAAGCTGTGGGAGGAGGGGGCGCCCGTGAACAGCTTGGACTTGTCCGGGGAGGCCCTCTTGGGCACGTCCTGGCCGTCTGGGAAGCTGGTGTGCTGCGCTGCGCTGGCGCCTGCACCACCCTCACCATCCAGCTGCTCCTTCCTCCAGTTGCCGCCATGCCGCCTCTGCACAGCCACCAGATTCGTTCCCAATTTATCTCAACCCCAAGGGCCAGCATGCTCAAGGAAAGCCACCATTTTGAGACTAGTTTGATCAGCACCAAATTAATGTTCACTCGGTAGTTGCTCGGGCATGGGAGCGTGATGGGGTTGGCAAGATGGCATGCTCCAACCTTGCTCAAGAGAGGCTGGTGGACTTTTCAATGCCGCGAGCACGCGTAGGCTGATTAGCGGCAGTGGGAGAACACTTGCAAGGTACCAAGCGAACTTGCATGGCAGCATGGTATCTCCTGTGCATCTGACATGCACGGGTCAAGATGATTGAGGGGCTGCTTACCTTCCGAGTCACAAACACCGCCACTCCCGCCAAGATTGCAACCACCACCACAGCCGCCTGAAATAGAGACAACCACCCAGATTAGTATTTTAACTCTGCTGTAACAACTGCATATGACTTGAATTGCAGCAGCGAGTACTTTATGATCAGATTTGTGCAGTGCTGGAGACGATCGGTGTCAGGCTCGCACCACCACGATTCCAACGATGGCCGCAGGCGCCAGCTTGGGGCCGCTGTCAACGGACGCGCTGTTCACGCGCACGCTGCTCTGGTCCGCAGCCGTCCCCGTCACCACTGCACCCACACATCAGTCTTGCTGATACATAATCATTCAGTGCCTCAAGACATGGCCCAGACATGCGCACAGATCAGGGACTCCCCAACAAGAGGCTCTCTGCATGATTGCAGATTTCTACGGTTTCAAGGGTGCAAGAATATAGCAAGCTCTTCACGTTTTCTAATGTGCAGAGAGCTTCATCTAGCAGCAACATAGAAGTGAACCCCACCTGGCCGCTGGTCGGCGGGGTTGGGCACAACGGGGCCGCCCTGCGAGCCGGCCGCCGATCTCAGCGCGGGCTTGGGTGCCGCGGCGTTGCCTCCTCCGCCGCCGCCGCCAGATGCACTGACACCCTGGCTGCCGTCCGTGCTTTGCGTTGAGGAGAGGGTCTCTGTGTCGCGTGTGATGGCTGTCGGCGCCGATCGCGGCACGGCGACGCTCTGCTCAGGGGCGGAAGCTGTCGCGGAAGCTGCTGCGGAAGCCGGCGCGGAAGCTGGCGTCAGCCCTGCGAGGGCCGCCTTCTGCGCGGAGGGGCTCTTGCTGTAGTCGGGCATCGCGCCCGCCACTGCCGCGTACAGCAGCGCGATCTGCACAAGAAATGGTGCACCGAGGCTGATCAGCTGTATCTCTCTACCTTATCTTGGTCAGTTCATTGAGTAACTGCAAAGCTTGTGAGGATGATGCATTTGCCATGTAATCGGCAAGTCCGACACACATATTAGGGTGTCCAAGATGATCACGGATTGAGGAAAACTGCACACGTTGTTCTCGGTGAGGGCGGCGTCGTAGATGGAGAGCTGCGCGATTTTGCCATCGTAGGAGCGACCGGGGAAGTGGTCGGCGCGGTCGCAGAGCACGATGGGGCCGTCCGCGTAGATGGGCCGGCCGCCGTTTATCTGGAAGTAGTCCTGCGGCGCCGTCAGCGCCGCGCGGAAGATGCCGTCCACGTACAGCCGATAGCCCTGGCATTTGCATGTAATGATCAGTCATGAGATGACTCCTCCTGAACATGATGCTTCGCCAATGTGGCAGCTCAAAGTGGGTGCAGCGTAGGCAGCCCCCCTCCTGCTGAGATGGTACTGTTTAGCAAGTCTGGCATGGAAGGCTGTCACTGGGCATTGCAAAAACAATCACCCTTCGACACAATCTGTACCTCTTCCAAAAAATGTTTTCAGCTCAATGGATGTCAGGTGTTTGCATGCAGCAGAGGGTGAGCGGGTTTGCAGTCGAAGGTATGGCGCACCGGGGAGCCGTCCTGCATGGTGGTGACTGTGAGCATGTGCCAGGCGCCCAGCACGGGCGTGCGGATGGAGGTGCGTTCAGTGTTTGAGGCAAGCACGCCGTCTGCAGAACCCAGAAATCAACCTCAGTCATCCCATGCAACCCCTTTCCAGTGCATGCTGCTGCCCCTGCCCCTTGGCAGCCTTGCAAGACTGCACTCCTGTCAACAGTGGTGAGCTTGAGCAGAGGGATACAAGAGACAGCAGTACTTAGTACTTCCCTGGCTCGAGGGAGTCAAGGGTTGCAAGGCAAAAAGAAAAAGTTTGGCGGTCTCACCAGAGTCCACGAAGACTCGGGAGCTGTCGCCGTTGAAGCTGTCGGTGCTATCCTTGACGATGGCGCGCACTGTGTCATGCGCGGGGTGGTCCTCTGAGGGCAGGTACAGGTGCATCTGCAACAACACATTGCAAGGCCCTTTAGGCTCCACACAGACCACCCAACACACCACGAGCTGCTCATCAAGTGCCTCTCTATCCAGTAAACTGCAACTACACCGCTTCTCGTCTTAGTACCTGGTTGGGGTAGAAGATGTTGTCATCGGTGACGTTGCCGAGATCGCGCGAGCGAGTGGAGATGACGTACTGGAACATGGCACCCGCGCGGCTGCCCTGCTTCACCCACACGTTGAACGCAAATGGCCCTGTGGCGCCCCACTTCACCCCCTCGATCGCCATGCTCGACCCTGCGCCCCATATCCCCCCCCTTAGACTCCTATACAACCACCCAGGGGCACCCATGCAAGCGCTGCAGACATGTCTCTAGCAAAGCCGGTGGTGGCATGCACACAACATGCTCCTATCACGGCAGAGCCTTCAGTTTGTGCAGACAACTACACAATCTGGTGCCCATAAAGCTCCCCCGACACTCCTCAGCAACAACTCCATGCAACTGCTGGAGAGGTGCCGTTCAATGAGCTTGATGGCGGCATGCTAGCACTTTGACACTCTGCTCAGTCTGCAAACACTGCCTAATCTTCATTCGCTTACCCTCACAAGAAGCTCCAAACACTGAGCGCCCATGTACAAAGTGAAAACCCAGACAGAGCCCGGAAGAAGTGTGAAAAAGTGCAAAAAGGCGGAAAAAGTGTACAAAAGTGCGCGCACCGAGGGAGGCATTGCAGGAGGCGACAGAGCCGAAGAGGTCGTCCTCGACGAATCTGGTCTGCTTGGCGCGCACGGCGGAGGTGTTGTAGGCCCAGTACTGCGGCACTGGCCACGACATGACCGATCCATTGGTCAGGGGGAAGTACGCTGTTGGCACCGGCATGCTGCCCCCCACCGGCAGTGTCACACCGTCCGGGTTCGCGCACACCCCGATCTCGGTCCCTGCATTTAATTCACAGCCAGCTGGACTTCAGTACTGATCATATTGACTGCAGAACTGCCTTGTTCTGCATCAGAGCGTAATGCAGCTGCGGTTTGAGGTGCGACGCAGTGGCTATTTTGTGCCCAAGCATATTGCACAACATGGTGTTGCATGAGAGGAGAAGGTTTGAATGATCAATGGTTCCTTGCATGGCCCCAGAGGGTCACAAGCGCAATTGCAGGTCTGCGGCACATCGCGAGAGCAAGCCTCAGGAGTTCAACTTGTGGGGATTGGAATGCATGCTTGGGGCTTGTGAGAGGGTAGGGGGGTAACGCGCCTGCCAGGCTGGGCTGGGGGGTGACGGAATTGGCGTTGAAGCTGGCTTCGGCGTCCAGGTCAGCGCGCGACAGCGGCGCGCACACAAAACCCGGCCCGCAGTTTTTCTGACTGCCCGTGCCCGTACCGTTGACGCTGCACAGCACCACCTGCTGCTGCGCGTTGGCGCCGATCTGCCGCCACCACATCACACCAGCTCTCAGAATCCATGCAGCTCTCAGAAATGCAAGCAGCACCGCCGTCAGAACTCTGGCCCTCCTGTACAGAGGCCCCTCTTCCATGCTCCCATGTTATTGCCACAGGCAGTTTGACTTGCCAGCCTTCAAGCAGCTGTCTTCCTGGTGCGGCATCATTGCGGTCTCATTGGAACCAGGACCTCTCTCATAGTTTAAGAAATCTTCTATCTTTCTTGAGATCTTGCACAAAATGCATGCAGTGTGCTTTCCCTCTCTTGGAATTAATGAGGGTGCTCCGGCGGCGAATGCCGGAAAGCAAAGGGGAAGCGTGTTATTCGCGCAGAGGGGCGCGCACCGCGGTCTGGAGCTGGCCCATGCCGGCCCACTGGTCCATCCAGTTGATGAAGGAGGAGTAGTCGCTGGTGAGTGTGGGCGAGCACATGCTGAAGCGCCCGTCCACGTCCAGGCAGAAGGCAGACGAATCAGAGCTGGAATAGGGAACGCACTGCGTACGCGCCTCGCCCTTATAAAAGAATGGGAATTGGCACGGCCGCCCCGCGATCGTCAACTGCGTCGGCTGCGACGCCGCCGGTGCAGCCGCCTGCTCACGCGCACCAGTGTATCAGTCTTATTACATACATTGCTTCCCACCTACAATGCCTCTCTGCTGCACGTGTTCTGGGCAGGCTATCACTCAACTTTACAATGAGGCAGATACCATTTATTTCCTGTGAAGCCCATGCGAGACATTCCGCCTCTAGAGGAAGACACCCCAAGCACTGCTTGCGGCAGCTTGTTGGACCTGTAAGTAGCTTTCAGCAACGCCCCCAGGCAATGTGGTGATGATGAGCTCCGCATTGAGGTCTCATGGAACTCAAGACCGTTTGAGCTCCCAGGGTCCACAGGTGTATGGATGCTGGCACAAAAGGGGGTCGCACCGAGGGCATGAGAAGGTCCAGTGCGCTAATGGGGGCGGTTGCAAGGTCCTGGGGGTCTCCTGAGGGGGCAGGATCCAGGCGCACTCCCGGGGCAGCAAACACCTGTGGTCAAGGAAATACCGTAAGCACTATGGGTCTGGAAATGTTGGGCTTTGGTCTGGTCACTTGAACTTTGCACCTTCCTGAGATGGGCTCTGTGGGCGCGTGCTGGCTATGCACTAAAAAGCTGCAGGTAGCATGCTGTTGAAAGATTCCCGGTGTAGCACTGGTGTCAGCTGGCATCAAGTGATCTACCACATCATCAGAGCGGTAGGGGAAGCTGCTCTGTGACAGCAGGCGGACCTCCAAATTTCACATCAGACATCTGTGGGTTAATAACTTGCTGTGACCTAACATTATAGGTTAAATTGCCTGAGGTGGAGTGTGGCAATCTGTCGCACCTGCGGCACGGCGCCGATCGGCGCGGCGGCCGGGGCAGAGCCGGTGGCGGTTGCCGCCTGGGAGCGGAAGGTATTGAGGGTGTCCACGAGGACGGTGCGGTAGAGATCGCGGATCTGGGCGCCACTGAGTACGGTGGAGAAAAGCGACAGGTGCGAGACTGAGCCGGAGAAGGAGCGGCTGGGGTCGCCGTCCGCGCGGCCGCACAGGTAGATGGCGCCGTTCTGGGCATGCAGCACAGCAATTCTTTAGCTCAGGCAGCTAATTTCCATAGGAGAGGACCAGCAGGAATGTGCATAAGTGTTCACCCCTGAGTTGGGTTTCCAATACCATGCATATCACTGCTAGCGCATTGGTGTGCAGACATCAGGCCTGTGTTCATGCCTCCTTGGGCACCCAAGAGGATCCCCATCCACACCCCCAGCGCGATGACAATTGTCAGGTCACTTTGCAACAGGATATCAATACTCAAGCTCAGGGGAGTATGGGGATGCAAAAACTTGCAAAGCAGGAGGAGGTCAGGGCGTGCAGGCGTGAGGCAAGGGGCACACCTGCAGGAAGATGGGGCGGCCGCCATCCAGGAGCAGGTTGACGTTGTCCAGGGTGGCGTTGAGGGCCTTGGGGTCCGTGGAGGGCAGCGAGGCCGCCTCGTTGCCGTCGATGTACACCAAAAAGCCTGCGCCGCTGTCCTGCTGCGTTGTCACCGTCACCTGCGAGCGCATGCCGCCACATTCCGTCACATGCCTGCAACTGAGTTCTAAACCGCTTGCATGCAAACCCTCGTCTTGCGCTCACATGCCGTCAGATGCGTGCTCCCGCCCACCCAACCACTTGCATGCAACACCTCCTTCAACGACAAGCCCCTCTTTTGGTGCATGCTGCAAACCTCTCTTCGGCTCTCGTCCTCTTCCGGAAAAGTTGGGGTATTTTGACATCCAAGGCATGCTGACCTATGCCAAGGTGCCTGCCAGCGCCCTTTTGGAATACTGTAATGCGCTAGGCGCTCAATCGTGTTAGTGGGCCCGACGTTTTCTGGCGATCCGTTTTCTGGTGCTAGTGGTAAAGCGTTGCGGCACAGCCGGCTGGGCAGCGAACCATGTGCCAGGCGCCGTCGTCGACTGGGTTGGTGTTGAGCTGGTTGCGGGCGGTGTTGTCACCGTAGTGGCCGTCCGAGTCCAGGAAGGAGGAGGTGTCCAGGTTGGTGGAGTCCTTCACTATGGTGCGTACCAGGCCCGTCGCCGGATGGCCGTTCTCCGGCAGGTAGATGTGGATCTGCGCAATAGATAAACAAACCACCTCAGCACATGCAAACTAGGCTGCAGGAGAGCTTCGCCTGCCCCAGGCAAGCCCCATGCAGTCTGTCATTTTGTCTAATGGGGTCCTGGAGTATATACGATATCCCAAGGTGTCAGCGTGACATGCTGAACACTAAAATACAGGTAGGAAAAGGCAGGGGTGCAAAGATAAGCCTGGCTCCTGCAGTAGATGCTTAACCGGAGCTTCCTGCAGCGCAATTTTTTTTGACGGCAGTGGAGAAGATGGGCTGAATAGGTTTTTCTTCACTGCTGCGGGACATTAAAACAATCACAGAGCGCAGTGTAGCACAAGTTGAGGGGCTGAATGATCTCGTTACCTGGTTGGGGTGAAAGGTGTCCACACTGGCATAATTCTGGCGCGTGGCATAGCCGGAGTGCGAGAAGAAATACTGGAACAGGTCCCCGTCAGTGTCGGTGGCATTGGCCTTCATCCACAGATTGATGGAGAATGGGCCCATCGCCGCTGCCACACCACATGCAGCCTCAGTTATTCTGGCCTTGCAAGGTGCACGCTGTCCCCTTTGCGGGTGGAAGCAAGCCTATGCTTCACATGTTCCCGCTTTGCATGCTGAGTCATGCGGTTGCTGAAAGGGCAGGTATTGCGCGCCATAGTGCAGCATGTGGGCCAATGCATGTTGCTGCAGCGAGCACAAAGAGGTGGTAAGCAAGGTTTTGCCGTACCATAATCCACAGGGTCCAAGATGATTTTATCATCATTTGCTCTGCTGCACCTCAACACCGACCCGAAAACGTCATCTTTGACCCACCTGCAGCAGAAATTGCTCTTAGAATTCAGAGAGTAAGAGGAGCTTCTCAGCGCCAAGATGCAGACTTCTGATGATTACCTGACTTTCTTGCAAAACTACATACAAGATGTGTTCAGCTGACACATGAAATTTTATCTATGCATGATCATGACGGACTGTGGAGGTTGTACATTTATTTTTGACGCATATTGTTTTCCTCAATCAGAAATCTGGCACATTAGCAATTTTCCAGGGACACAACAGGGCTATTACTCAACAAATCCAAGCAAACGGTTCAAAGCTTGAGCGTTGTGGGCACGCACGGAATGCTGCCATTGAGTGTCCCCAGGTACGTTGGGTTGGGGAAAGATGAAACGTGATCGCCTGACCCCTCAGTCAATGGGAAGAAGGCCGCAGGCTGAGGGATGTTCTTTGTCAGGGATGGGGGAAACAGTTTGCCTTCCGATGAGATCGCATCTGCAAGACACAATGCACAAGATCTATACTGATCATTGACCCACATCATGATCATGCAACCTGAGCTGAACGCACAACGTAATTTGGCGCAAACGACATTACTCGCACACAGGGCTGCATGTCCCTGGAACATCTTGTCAGAGACTAGCAAAAGATCATAGTGATCAACATCGATGACTGCAGAAGAACACTTATGCCCCATTCATCACTTGGGCTTATGCTGGCAAGAGAGACAGGGGTTCGGGAGGCGTCCGAGACGTCACCTTGAGTAGCTGCAGATGCCCAGCAAGTGAGCCCTGCCAGGACGACAGCAAGGAGATGTTGAATCATCTTATTCCAAACAAATATGGCGCACCAGATCTCACGATCATCACCCACGCCCACGGCGAGATCGATAGCGGCAGCGGTTTTATCTTTCAAACCGACGAGTCAAATGTCCCAGTCTCCTCCGCGTTCCATAGACTGGACTGTTGCCGCCAAAGTCCACAGGCCACGCTGGCCTTCAGCAATCTAGGTATCGGTTAGATCTGCAGGGTGAGCTGTGGATCAAGCCCTTGTGAAGATTACAAGCTTTACCTCGATATCAAGCAAGGAGTTTGCAGGCTGTTGCATTTGCATGTATGCCATATGGTCACTGCATGCATGCACCGTGCGGAGCGCCCCGGCCGGGACGCTGGTTGCCGGTTGCTCTTACCATGACATGTGCACAATCTGTGATGTCACGCCGACGTCGGGAAAGCTTATTTTACAGGAAAGCTGCTTTGTCAAACATCCAGGAAGACTTCCTTCAAAACATTTCGAAATTGGAATTCCCTTGTTCAAGGACCGGTCTTTGAATAAATTTGTAGTGCCATGGCCATGAGCTCAGTGACCGTCGTTCATGTATGACAGTAAAGCGTGCAGAGCCCAACTGCAAGTTGCTTGAAGAACTTCCGATTCATCCAATGGGCTTCTGACCTAATGGTGTACAGACTGTACCATCTGTTCAGTGAGCTACCAATGCCCTGGTTTCCATTTGCGGGAATTACGACAGTCCACATGCATGCATGCTGGCATCTGCTCAGGCGGACTTTGCTGTGGGAGGCCAGGGGCCGCCTGCCATGACGGCTTCAACATCCTCCACCTGGCGAGGGACATTGGTCATGCTTCTGGCCCCATCGCCTGTCACAACCACATTGTCCTCCAGCCGCACACCGCCAAAGCCCTGGGCAGCACACCAGCACGACTCACCCATGCACTTCTGCGTCTTGCATTGGATGTCTGTCATAAGCGATGCATGTCTTCTCTACAAACGCTTGCCAAGTGATGGGAACAAACACTTTGCTACAATAGACAAGAGACCCAAACAGAGGACTGCAAAACAGACAGTTGTGCCACGAAGAGTTGGCGCACCAGCAGTGACTCGATGCGGTCGCGCACAAGGTATCGCGCAGACTTGGGATCGTCCAGGGCCGGCTTCAGCAGGAAGGGATTGAAGTAGCATCCGGGCTCCACTGTCAGCACCATACCCTCCTCTAGTATCCTGCCACGCCGCACATCCGCTTTAATACAACCATGACTTAGGGCAAGATCTGCCGCATGCCCGCATCCTCCCTCCAGTTGTCACAATCGCGATTGCAGGCACAACGAGACATTTAATTGAGTCCTGTCGCAGCAACCCTGAGTATCTGCCGCATCCCATCGGGAGATCAAATTACCATAATGATCTGTTAGGAAATCGGCAAGTGTAAAGACTTACCGGGCTGTGCGGAGGGAGCGCAGGCCCGGCTTGTCAATGCGCGGGGGTAGGCCAGGCAGGTACCCGCCCACATCATGCGTGTCGATGCCCAACAGATGGCCGAGCCCTGTGACGGGCAATTATTGCACATGTTGATCCTTGCCAAACTTGCCTTGCGAGGACATATATGGACAATATAAAGTCCTGGGTGTGGAATACAGTCACTCCTAACAAGCACCAAATGTGAATCGTTGGACATATGGTGTGACAGGAGGTCAGAAAAGGGGTTTCACCATGGGGCATGAAGAGGGCGCCAATGCGCTGATCCACCATCTCTTCCACATTCCCATCCACTATGCCCGCCAGCTTGAGACCCAGCAATATACACCTCTCTGCCACCAGCTGCAGATCCTGATGCATCAAGGCATTGCATCAATGAAGTACATGTACCTCCCGCCCAGCAAGTGCAAACGAATTCAGCAAGCGTTTATGGGCATACAGGTGGAGATGGGTCTCACCGGCCAGGAGACACCTGGCTGCATGCCAGCAATGACCGCTGTGTGCGCTGCCAGCACAGCCTCATAGATGTGCTGCAGGTGCACATCAATTATTTTCAGGTGCATATCAGATACTGTCAGGTGCAGATCAATTACTGTCATTGGTCGAAGATAAGGGAGAGCGGCAAAAGAGCTTTGGTGCTTCGACCATGGTATTTAGAAATTTCATGAGCAGATCTATGAACATATGGGCAGGAAACACACAGAATATAGCGGCTCAAAGAGGACAGGGGTATTTAGTGAGTCACCTTCTGATCAGCAGAAAAGCGGCCGCTGGCCGGGAAGGAACAGGTGATGTCAGAGTCATAGGCATAGTACTCGCAGCCCATGTCCATCAGCAGCATGTCCCCTTCTCCGATTTGCCTATCTGCCAATCACATTTCACATAAACTCAAAGTGATAAAATGACACTTCTGATATGCACTTGTGTGCTGATCAGGTTTCCAGGCATCTTTCCTCACCATTCGGGGCACCAGCGTGTCCGTAATGCAATATGGCACCATTTGGTCCAGATGCGCAGATTGGTGTGTATGGTGCGTGCCTGCAGCCGCCCTGTTGATAGTCACACATGCTGTTAGGACAGGAAATTGTGATAGCCAGCAGCCCAGAGGATGCCAGTGTGAGCTGAAAGAAAAGCACTCTGACCTCACCTCTGCATAGCAGAAATTCAAGAATGTGCTCTCAAGCTGGTACTCCATCATTCCAGGCTTGCACCGCCGCATAACCTGGCACAACACATAGCTGATTAGGGAAGGTTAAATTTGTTCCGAGCATCCTCTGAGACCTCGATGATAATCCAGGGAGCCATGTGTATTCAAGCAATCTAACCCGCAAAGATGATGTCAAGACAAAGCTGTATGGCTGTTACACACTTCTGATATAGCCTGCATCACAGGTTCTGAATCTAAAATTTGCAGTATCAGGAACTGGAGAAGGCTTGCCTCTACATGGGCTGCCGATGCCACATCATTAGCATACTGCATCACCTCCAGCTCCTCTTCTGTTTTTGTCTGCGAGCATCAGTTCAGGAATTGAGAGGCCGGCCCAGGACTTTGGACAAAGCCATTAGATCCTGAAGAGAATGTGCCCTCACCGCTCGGCAGTCTGCAAGGATGTTGAAGAGGACTGCCCGCTCCACCTTGAAGGCCTCCGAGCCGTCAAAGAATGCCTCTTCTGTTTTGGAACCACTGTGGAGACAGTCACATGTCAGTCTTGGGTGGGTTTGCTCACTTGACTAGAGATTTGCAAGGGAACATGCATGGCCTTGCATGGCCTTGGGCCTTATGCTCACGATGCAAGAACAGACAGAAGGGCGTACCTGTCTGAATTGACGCCGCTGAGCAGATGGAGCTGAGGGGCATTCAGTGCAGCCAGACGGTCTGACATTTCATCCGTGTAGAACACTGCATCTACACTGTAGTGCTTGCGATAGTAGTCTGGGCCCTTGATCTCACCCATCCACACCTGCAAGCGCTCCTATGTTGCTATGTGGCAGCCACTACTGGTGCATTCAAAGGGCGTGCTTGCATGCAACAAAGGAAGAGTGTGATACTGAGACAATAAGTGTGCCGTCACACCGCATATGAGTCGGGCAGGCGTGGCATGAATAGTATGGTTTTTCCATCTCTGATGTCCAGGGCTCCGTAGCAGTCCTCATTTTCAACGCCGAAGATGTAGTGAAAGTAGCTTTCCTGCCTGATGGTATTGCACAGTCTCTGAGTCAGCGAGCAGGCAGAGCTCCAGGACGACCAGGTGCGATAGCATGCACGACGTACCTGAATATGCCCTCCATGTCCGTGCTGTATATGTGGAAAGGTCCTCCACCCTGTCCAAGAGGGAGATCAAGTGTTCACACAAATATAAGGAAGAAGTGGACGTGGTGAGGATGCATACGTCCAAAATATTACGAATTTTCAATACCTTCAATATGATGACTCCTTGTTTATCCTTCTCAAAAGTCTTCCTGCAGCGATCTAAGACCTTGGACCGAATGCCACCAAGCAGATTTCCTCTACTGATCCTGCAAAATGATCCCATCTCAGGATCCTCAGCTTGCACGTGATGTTTTCAATAGACCTGATGTTGTAGGATCATTTGGCACTCTACCGACGAGGCAAAGAACACCCAACCACATCGGACGCACTTCATCGTCTTTGCGCCCATCCAGAAGGACCCCTCCATGTTCGCAGGTGCACTCATCAGTCTCATTTCAAGACGCTTTTGTCTGATGATTTCATCCCATCGGTTCTTTTTCAAGATTACTTGAGATCAACAGTCAAGCTAGATGCTTGCATGCATAGCATGGCATCTTTTCCGAATATAAATGTTGTCCCCTTTCAATTTCCCTTCCTTCTGCTAAACCCTATATAGGTTTAAGTGTAAGCATCGCGTCAACTCTTACTCACCTTGACTGCTCCTGCACAATCACGAGCGTACCTTTGCGACAATTTGGCAGGCTTCCTTGGATGATCGTGCTCTGTGTTATTCATAAACTAACTCAAATCGTTTCTTGAGTGAAGCACAGGTGGCAAGCCTGCCCCAAGGTTGTGACAGTTTTCCCATTGCCTAAAACGCACGGCGCAGCAAGTTGTCCATCCTCTGATCGAAGCATTTTCGCCTTCAAGCTTGGCTAGTACAAAGATCTTCCACTTCATGTCAATGTTGTGTTGACAAGTTTTCGACGGCCTGCCTCGAGTTGGCCGTTCCCAGCCTCGGAAAGGGACGACCCTCTTTCACAAGTGGCTGCAACGCCAAACATGTCACCATGTGGGCGTGCAGCTCTTCATTTGTGGAGACGGATTCGTCTGGAGTTTGTCGTCGAGGTCAGCCTCGATGCCTCGAAAAGTTTTGTGTGCCTAGGATTGGACGATTCTGAGTCACCCTAGACGCCCCTTGCCACTATGTTGAGCAGCACCTTCCCTTAAAGGTGTATTCGATCGTCTACTATGCAACAAGGATGGTTCAGGTTCAAGAGGGGCGCAAGCTAGACTTGCATGGAATGGTCGTAGTCAAAGCAGCTTATTACGTCAATGCCTGTTCATGCAAGACAGGTCGCTCATAGGGCATTTTTTCACCATCAGACACAATCATAACAATTTTAGTGTCATAATGGATGTACCGTACCAGTCCAAGGTGCCGATATGTCCTATTCTGTAGCTAGTCCCAGGACACATGCCTGCTCCATCTCCTGATAGAGGAATGAAGGGCCCCTCAACGTCTTGACAATATTAAAGTGGGTATACCTGATTTTTACCTATAGTTTCCCGATGTTGTGATTTGATTGATCTCACTGCTGCAGTTGCCCTTGCTGAGAGAGAGATGGAAGACGATCCTGCTGGGAGCGGTGTTCCAATATGTGCACGCCATGGCCACACAGCTGGCCCACCGGATGCACCGCCCCATGGCGCAGCCTCTGCATGATGTGGGCTTCGACCTCCTTCCGGTGCGTGCCTCTGACTGCCATAATGTCATTTTGTGTGGAACACGGGCAGCTGTGCTGAATCTGAGACAAAGGCCTTCGCTGTACTTGAGTAGCATATCGACTGCAGCGTGGACCTTTTTGTGACAGACAAGCTGAGTACACTGCTCTTGTGTCACAGGAGCTTGGGAAGTCGAACGAGTGGGTCAGCGAACTGATATTCACTTCACTTTTTGTCTCCTTTGTCCTGTGGACGTTCTCGCCGTTCGTCTTCCCGAAGAAACGCTTCTACACTGCAGTACTCTACAGCCGCATTCTCACCGCCCTAGTGGGTGAGTCTCTTGCTTGGTCATCAATTCACATGACACAATGCTTTTTCTACAACACAGTCCTTAAGAGTGCTTGCGCTGCTGTATCCCTTCTCTTGGCTGCCATGCTTTTGTGTCATTCAGAACTCTTGCTGATGATATTGTGTGTCGGGGCAGTTTGCCAGACACTGCGAATACTGTCCTTCACGGTGACGCAGCTGCCAGCGTCGAATTACCACTGCAGAGAGGGGCAGGTCACTGCCATCAGGGAGATGCCCGAGCACTGGTGGGGCCACGTGGCTGTGGACCTCCAGCGCCAGGTATGCTATTTTCTAGTCAGACCTTTTTCTTCCTGTTGCCCATGTAATCCTTGTAAATAGCTGTATTGTGGCATCTGTGGATTGCTGACACCTTCCTTATTTTCTGTGCAGGCAACACATGGGTGTGGCGACTTGATATTCTCATCGCACACCACCTTTGCGCTTGTGGGCGCCCTGACTTATACTGAATTCGGCACGCACAATGCCACAAAGGTGAGCGGCTCTGCTCTGGGCCCCACAAGGGAGCTTCTTGCAAGCCCCTTGCACCTCCTTCCTTCACATTAAATTGTTCTGCGCATGATGGCAGCTGGCAGCTATCCCACATGAGGAGCGGTCATTGCCATGTATGCATAGTCCGGCCCGGGATCTATATTGTCTCGGATTGCTCGAACTGCTCTGAGCATCATGCAGTCAGAGGTGCTTGGAAGGTTCTCAGGGATGGTGTTGCCGTGCGCAGGTGATCACATGGCTGGCTGTGGCGGTGCTGAGCGTGCTGATAGTGGCATCGCGCAAGCACTACAGCGTGGATGTGCTCATTGCCTGGTACGTGGTCCCGCTGGTGTTCTGGACTCTGAGCAGGCGATGGACCACCAAGCGCAACGTCACCGACGGCGTTCTCCTGGGAGAGGGCGCCTACCTTGTCAACAGCGAGTCTGCCGCTGAGCTGCAGGTGCGTACTCTGCGCACTCTGCCCCTGAAACTCACATCATGGATGTGTGACACACACATCTGGATCCTGTGACACAACGATGCATTGTCTTTTTGTCACACGCGTCCTGGGTATGTTCCTCACATGTACCCATGGTCAATACCCCTGAAGCAGACCTGATGATGCCTAACTGCAGATGCTTGCATCAGGAAGTCTATTTTATTTCCCTGGTGTTCACTGAAGGATAATTGGCTGGCCACGTAGGACATTGTGATAGAGGGGGATGCACAGCCGGGCAGCATGCTGGCAGAGGATGTGAAGGGCGGGCAGGGGATGAAGGGCCACGGCAGCCACAGCCCGCCCAACGGCAAGGTCGGCACGGTCATCGGCATCATCGCCAATGGCTTCACCGGCCTGCAGCACAGCGGCGCCAATGGGCACGCCGCAAACGGCGTGCACAACGGCTACGCGCCGCAGGGGTGCGCATCCTCATTCTCACCACTGTGTGCCAGCACACCCTGTAGAATAAGCACTGAAGTCCACGCCCACTTAGAAGCTGTTCACCATTAAAAAAAGCACAACAACAAGCCCCACTCTCCATTGCGATGTCTGGGTGGCCATCATTTGCACAGAGTTGTGCAACATGCAGATGAATGTGTGCAGAGCAATATTTGTCTACTGAGCTAGCGTTGCCGCAATTGAAACTGTGGTCCTGGTGCAGGCTGCTGGCGAACAAGCTGCAAGGGAAGGCGGGCAATGGGGCCGGGACGCCGCCCGGCACGCCCCCGAACGGCCGCAGCTCGAGCGTCGGCAGCGCCGCGGATGAGGGCGGCAGCGTGCGCAAGGGCTCCCCGCTGTCCTCCATGCGCACGCGCCTCACCGCCGCGGGGGATGCGCACTCCGGCAAGGAGTCCTACCAGCCCATGCTGAGGCAAGCTGCTCCCCTCCCAAGACCCAGTCTTGTCCCACTCTTGTTTTGCGCATCCTGCACCTGCCTGCCTGAGAGTGCGAAATGTCCAAGAAATCACTCAAGTAGCTTGCGACTGTCCCATATGGGATGCTCTACACCCCTGCTGAATTCATCCACTGCAAGGTTGTGCATGTGCAAGATGAAGCAATGAAGCGCTTGAGTTGTTGATCTTTGCGGAAGCGGACACTTGTCCTTTCGCGCACGAGAGGACACTTGACAGTGACTAGCGGGTGTGTGCAGGGATGAGGATGCAGAGTGGGGTACACGGGGAGCGCTGGACTCTCGATCGAGCAGCGTCGGCGCCAGTCAAAACGGACAGTCCTGCTCTGTGGCCTCCCCGCTGTGTAGGATCAGCTGACCTGTCTCTGGAGTGCAAGCTGAGTAGTCCAGGGCAGACTGGCATTGCATGCAAAGGTGGCCTTTGCCAATACCCTAAGAGAGTGCGCAGGGCATTGTTAGGCCGGTGAGTGCATACAGGGGAATGCAGTGGGAGGAATGGTTACAATAAGTAGTTGGTCAGTGCAAGAAGTGAACCGAAGCAGAATATCGAAACTCATACTAAGTATATAGCGTCGAGAATTGTCTGCGAACAGCACAAAGCTGTGGAATTTGGCGTTTCCCGTGCCTCAGACGCTCACCACTAAACTGCAGCCCTCTTGGCTCATTCTTGCTCCATTTTTGCCACAGAAAGCTGTGTCTGTCTCGTCAGTCATACTTGACATGCGTGCTAGTGTGCATGGGTGACCGCAGCATTTGAGCACTCATGTGGCAAGCGTCTTATTGAGGATGTTACTGGATTGACAAATGGTGGTCATGACCAGCTTTTCGTGACCAATGCGCGCATTTGGAGTAGAATTTATGGACATTAGGCTGATGATTGACTCATAGTGTCTCAGGGCTCCAGCATCTTCAGATGCCTTTGGGTTTTGTGTTATCTGGCAAGTGCTGTGCAGAAAAGTGTCGGCAGATGTTCAAGGCCTCGCAATCAGGGTAAAGGACTGGCTGTAAAGTATGTATTTGCAATCATCAAGGGTAGGCCCCTACTTATTGCCGTCCTGCATGGCAAAGGCTGGGAGGGGCATCAGTTAAAAGTGTTTTTAGAGGATGCCTATTTTCAGTCTTTTGCTACAGGAAGAAGATGGGGCGACCCGATTCTTGTATTTGAAGTATGCCGCAGCTGAATTGCCCACATGCTCTGCTATTTCAAGCATGTGCTGCAATGGAGTTTGAAGGTATTTAGTGGATATCAAGGAGGACACTTGCAAGTAGCAATTGCCAGTAGCTACTTAAGGGTACCTAAAATGGTCATCGTGATGTTTGTCAATTGCAGAAGTAGGTCTGTTAGTGACATGAAGACTGGGACTGGTGATGTGCAGAGTTCAATGTAATTTCACATGTTTCTGGTGACCGTTTTCCTGCATATTAAAGCATCACCCATTGATGATTTCACAAGTCCCAGGCATAGTTTCAGGCCTCTGTGTTGTGCCCCACTGCTGATCAAAATGCATGCATAAATAAAGCCGCCACACCGAGTATATATATAGGAAAGTTCTGGCAAAGGATATTCCATACTTTACATGCTTCCATCGCGATTCAATTGCAGCCACACATCAGCTAACATGCACATGCATGCTGAGTCGGCCGCAGTAGTGAGGTCTGCTCATCATCACAAGTACTTGTAACCCGATCGCAGAAAATCCGCAGCAGGAAAAGAATTTACCCTGCATGTCTTGCTTGCAAAATGCTAGTGTCTAAAGCATGTCGAGAATTTTCTGGATGAAGTGGTACCATACTTGGGCATTGGTCTAATTGAAGGTGGTCTTGCAGCCCAAGGCTTCTGTAGAAGCTCGTCAGGTCGGCTGAGAATCTGCTCAAGTCCCGGGAGTGGCAGTGCCAGCCTTGGAGGCCAGGATGATCCCAACTGCAACAACCACAAGCGAGTTCAGACAATATTTTCATACACAGCACGGCGAGAAAGCACCAGCAAAAACACTTGCATAGAGTAGCGCACAGCAGAACTACATTTGGTGGCTATCACAGCATTCATGACAAAGATATCTCAAGAGGATGCGAGGAGCGCCGCACCGATGAGGCCGTACAGGGCAAGAGCCTCTGCGAAAATGAGGATCAGGATCATTCCCACAAACAGCTTGGGCTGCTGCGCGTTTGCCCTGCACGAGAAATCCACACATGCACCCGTGATACCCAGATTCTCCAAAACACAGGAACCTCCACAGCACAGGAATCAAGCCATTTCGATTGTCACTGCAAAGACAGGTGTCCCCTGAACTTGACAAATGAGGAGGTGCAGCGATGGCTGCCACACCTGACACCAGCGTCACCAACAATGCCGATGGCCATGCCAGCTGCCAGGCCTGCCAGGCCACAGGAGAGGCCAGCTGCCAGGTGAGCATAGCCATCAAAGAGGTAGTACGGCTTGTCAGCGGTCTGGTTGACTGCACACACACAACACCGCTCAGACAATGCTGTCGAGCCTGGTCCATGCAGATAGACTCACGGATGTAAGGCTCCTCCTTAGAGAAGCACACAAAATATATCCAGGGTTTGTACTATGCTATTGAGGAAGCAATCCAGTGGAACCAGGAGAACACTTAGTCAGAACCACCTAGACCCAACAGCGCCGCTAGGAGCTTTGATGCAAGCTTAATTGTCTTGTAAAAATGACTAACCGTGTACAACGCATTGTTTAAGGCAAAAAGAGAAGCTTACTTCCGGTACTGATGATGACAGCAATAATGAGCCCGTAGATACCCAGAACACCAGCCATGACCACGGGAACGATGGACTTCATGACGAGCTCTGGTCGCATCACACCCATGGATGCGATGCCCACTCCGGACTTTGCTGTTCCATAAGCTGCTCCAAAACCTAAATCGCACACATTCAGGTTCAGTCAACCTAAACACAGACAGGACGGCTGAGCACGCGCAGTAATGGATGCTGGACCTTTGATTGCAGCCAATGAAATAGTGTACAAATCCACAATGGCATCAGACGGGCAGCAATGTCAATATGAAGACAGTTCTTGCAACGAAAACGGTGTCTGATCAAAGGCTCGGACTGGATGAGCGTCTGGTGATGGAGAATAGGACTCACATGCAAACACCAGAGCCGCGGCAGCTCCCATGAACCCGAAGAACGGGCCCACCGAGTCTCCAACCCACTGCTCACCATCTAACAAGTGCCTTGAGATGCCCTCCATAACGCTGAGGAGCTGCAAGCCAGCTGCTAAGCCCTAATTACTCTGTCCTGTTGACGCTACACCCAACTCAAGCAGGCATTCCTTGAGCTGTGTGCGGTCAAGCTGTGCCTGATCAAATAGTGTAGCCCTAGGCCACAATGAGATTATATAATACAATTCCCCTGATGTTAGAAATTTCGGGAGAATCATTTAACCTTTTCAGAAACCCTGTAACTTCTGTGAACTAAAGGAGAAAGGAGGTGGGTACGTATGCACTTTCTGGACTGCAAATGCCAGTGAGAAGGCGTACAAGGACTGTGGAACAAGGTCTCTTTCTATATACGCGGCAGCTGGCATCAATCGTGGACTCCGAGGCCTTTTACAGAAAAACGTCGACTCGTTCCGGAATCTAGGGTAGGGCATATGAGAGCATCTTGTACTGTGCATATCTTGAACAGCTGACTGGTGGCTTAGCAGAGGAGTAACACTGTCTTTTCCCTGTACTGCGTCCCGGTCGATATTGGAGGGCCTCGCCCAGTCAGCACTGCTTGCACCTACACTTGCTTTTGTAGGTCATTGTGTCGGGTGATCGTGACATCAAATATTATCGGAGAAGTTCACCACAATACTGACTTTTCTGCAGTGATGTACTGCCACTCTTTCTGCGATGGACCACTGAGGACGAAGAAGTTTTGATGAAGTCAGCACACAGTCGTTTGAGTTGGAGCTGAGCTTTAAGACGCTTTATTCCTGCGTATATGTGTCCTTAATGCAGAGTTCTGTTTGCATGTAGGCCGTAAGCCCAGGCAGCAGCTCAGGGCGTTTGAGGGCCAGGCAGTTACATGAATGCAGTGGCCCGGGTAGTGGCACTCCGCCAGCTCACAGCTCCGTCCCAAGCGCTCCTCAAGGCCTCTTTGGAGCAGCTGCAGCCCACGCCCTTGTCCAGCTACTTGACAGGGATCCCTTCAGCCAGTCAGCCAGCTTTTGCGCGCGCATATGTGGCCTCGGCGCAACCGCAGCCTCTAGAGGAGGATGACAGCGCCTCACAGCCAGCGCCACAGCCGGCCTCGCACTCAAACGAGCAGCCATTTGTGCCGCTCAACTTTGACGACCCCCGGATTGCATTCCGCACCAAGACCACCGGGGAGCTCTTGCTCGCACATGGCGTGTTCACGGCTTGCCAGGTGCGCACCCAATGGCATGTCTATAATGTTCATCTGCACATCTGATCAGCACCCTTGAGTAAGCCGGGCGATGTGACCTGCATCTGCTCATGTGAAGATATATCCTCGAAGACCCTTTAGAAATATAAGGATCGATCATGCATGGCCTGTGCAGGTAAAGCCGCTTGTGAACAATGCGGATGCGCTGTTGAAGCTGTCCAAGAGGGTGCTCGGCTCCACCCTCGTCAACGGCGTTGTCAAGCGCACCTTCTTCCGCCATTTCTGCGCCGGTGAGGCCTGCTTCGCTCCAACACTCCACTCACAATCATCCCCCTTCTGAATTTTATTTTAGGACAATTCTTCTTGTCATGCTGGCGCCGCGCTGTGGTATGTCTCAGTGGACCCTATCTTTGAGGCGTGAGCCAATGGACAAATCTTGTTATCTTCTTGCTTTCATTATCAGTGATTGTGAAGACGAGAATCTTGTTTGTCCAACCTAGAAGAGCACCTGAGAATTTGGGGCCAACATTGTTATGGCCTGCCCAAATCTAGCTGCTTAAATAGGGGCTGGGGGACCTCGCAATTCCACAGATGATGAAGAATACCACAGATGATGAAGAATAGAGACTAGAATTCCTTTGAGCAAGTGCCTACGTGCTGACCGCTCTATTCATAACGGTGGCGCAGGGGAGAGCCAGGAGGACATCCGGCCGCGTATGGCGGCGCTGTACGAGGCCGGCATCGGGGGGATACTCGACTACGCGGCCGAGGATGACGTGGACGCGGCGGCCGGCCCGGCATCGCGCGCGGAGCCGCACGACACGGTGGTGGCGCGCACGTACGACTACGACACCGAGGCGGCCTGCGACCGGCACACCTCCATCTTCCTGCGCTCCATCGCCGCAGCCGCCGACGGCCGCGGGCAGGGCTTTGCCGCCATCAAGGTACGTTCCCTCCTGATGAAGAATCAGTCAATTTTTGTGATCTTTTGTAAATTCCATCTCTGTGGTTGCAGCGCGCTGGTTGCCTCTCATTACTCAAGATTATCTTGTCTTCGCAAAGTTTGTGGGGATCTGCTCAGTTGTTGCCATAATCTTTCCATGCTATCCCGGTCCTTTCGGTCCAAGTCACAATATGCTAAGATCCTTTTCTATTCACGCAGCTATGGACGTTCCAGTTTGCTGTGTGCTTGCATTTGCCACTGCAGGCCCTAACCCAGTCTGACGCTAATGCATGGTTGCTTGGGTGCAGTTGACGGCGCTGGGCAATCCAAAGCTGCTGGAGCGGGTATCGGCGGGGCTGGTGGCCATTCGCAATCTGTTCAGCCAGTTTGACCTCAACCACGACAACGTTGTGTCCCATGAAGAATTTGAGTCGGTGCGCAACCTCACCCTCTTGATTTCAGCTGACTCCCAGCAAGCTGTCTGTGTACTCTGGAGTCCAAGATGTCTTTTGAGTTCCTTCTTGCTGAGGGATTGTGACGGCGGAATTTCAGGTGGTAATTCCTGATGTGCGTGTGCTGTCCTGGCAGGTGTATGCAGAATTGTTCAACGACGCGTCTCCGCAGCGCATGAATCAGCTGTTCAGGTACCTGGACAAGGATGACACCGGCGTTGTAGACTTCCTCTCCTGGTCCCGCCGCATCCGCCTCCAGGTCAGCTGCCACTCCCTTCAGACAGCATTCACTCTCTGCTTTGTGACTCCACAGTCAGCGCACCTGTCTATGAGCTGACCTCTGTTTCCAAGCCCTTCAAACAACATTTTCATCTCTACCTTGCAACTCCGCGTTCAGTGAACATTATCATGAGCTCACTAGCTGACCTCACAGCGAGCAATATTGCAGCTTCAACTGCTCTGCATTGCAGGTACCTGAGGTGGAAGACTGAAAAATAATCATCCAGGTGTTGCTTGACGTGCCTGGTCCTTAGGACTGGTTGTTGTCAGAGATATTGTAAATATAGAGGTGGAATGGGAAGTACTAGGTGGTATCTGTTCAAGGGTCTCACTTCAAGGGGCTGGCTGGTGCTGCAGGACATTCCCCAGATTATAAAGCATTGCAAGGCGCCGGGACCGCTGTCCTTCACGGCGCTGAGCGAGGAGGAGCTGCGGCTGCTGAACAACCTCATGGGCCGCCTCTACCAGCTGGCCGAGGCCGCCGCCGCAGTGCGTGCCCCACCCCTGAAATACACCCTCGCATGCCCGATTGACCCGTTCCTATGAATCCAGTACCTTCTTGACATGCATCTGTTGTGAGTGATTGTGTTGCGATCTCTTGCAGTCCAAGCATTTCAGAGGTCACAACACAAGCACTCACGACAGAGGCATGACCAAAGGGAAAGGGGGCTGCTAGAACCATTATTACACTGCTAGGACCCTTATTAGGCTCCTTAGCTCCTGTGGCTGATTATGCATAGGTTTCGGAGTCGAGACTGCCTTAAGAGGTGAAAATCGTGTTATCATATGGTAAAATGGAGTTTGTGGGGGCGTAGGCGGGTGTACGGCTGATGGTGGATGCTGAGCACAGCTACTTCCAGCCGGCCATCGACCATGCGGCCATGGAGCTGCAGCGCACCTTCAACAAGCACACCCCCACCATCTTCAACACCTACCAGTGCTACCTCAAGGCACGCGCCGATTTCTCTCCCTTCCCCTCATCCAATCCATGCTGGCAAGCGGCACCTGCTGTATCACTGGCTCTTGCAGAACAGTGCAGCGACTCTGATGTACAGGAGATGAGGGATGGTGTTGGGTGCTTGGAAGTATCAAAGCAGAGCAGTTGTTTTGGTATAACGCGTGCAGCCTGGTTTGTATGATTTGAGAGGTGAAGAAGTCTTTTTGGCCCATGCAGGACTCGCACGACCGCATAATGCTGGACATGGAGCGCGCACGGCAGGAGGGGTTCCTGTTTGGGGCCAAGCTGGTGCGCGGCGCATACCTTTACCTGGAGAGGGGCAGGGCAAAGGAGAAGGGCTACCCCTCCCCAGTTCATGGCAGCATAGAGGCCACACACGCCAACTATGACCAGTGAGCTCTTGCCCCTTGCTCCTGCTGCTTCACCAGGCTGTCAGCAACTCAGCAGCCCTGAGTCGTGGACGTTCGCACCTCACACTCTGTCCATTCCTGACCAAGCCACCATCCCCAGAATCTACCTTGCATTATTTGCGGGGAGAGACAGTCCCGTGAGGATATGGGAGTCAATGCACATGCCTCTGGTGCACCCCTGCCATGCAATTTTGAGGCGCCCATGACAGAACTGGCCACGGCAGTGCGGCTGTGAACTTTTCTTGTTTACTTCTATGATCTATAAGCCAATTATGGCAGCAGCCAAGCCAGCTTGCTTTGCCAGCCTGGTTTTTGACATCATCTTGAGCGTTCCCTCAAATGTATTGCTAAGGTTGAAGGGCGCTGCAGGATTGTGGAGGAGGCCTTGGGGTCGGTGGCGGCGGACGGTGCGGAGATCATGATAGCGTCGCACAATCAGGCGTCGGTGGAGCGCGCGGTGGCGCTGATGCACGAGCGCGGCCTGGACCACCGGGAAGCCGGCGTCTACTTTGGGCAGCTGCTGGGCATGGCCGACCCCCTCACCTTCGTGCTCGGCGCCAGCGGCTACCGGGTGGGTGCCTCTATAATTGTAGATTCCCTAATGATTCATATCATATAGTCAACTAGAACGTCAGGCTCACTTGGAAGCAGAGATTAAATCTTTATCACCTTGTTCCTCGTTTGCCCAGCACATTTGTCTAGCGGTCTGTCGGGGGCCACTCAAGCTCCTTTTGTATTGAGTCAGATGCCTGCACTTGACTGCAAGCTGTTTGCGCTTCTCTCGTGCTGGCTGGCGGAAACACGGCAGGCACCATGCCGCGATATGTACTTGGCAAAGACACCATGAATAATGTGCGGGACGGTGGAATGAGCACAAGCGGGGTGCTGGGGCGCAGGCGTACAAGTACGTGCCATTTGGGCCGGTGGATGAGGTGATACCATATCTGGTGAGGCGCGCGCAGGAGAACAGCACAGTTCTGGGCGGCGTGCAGAAGGAGAAGTCCATGGTCTCCGCAGAGCTGCGCCGGCGGATCTTCAGGCTCGGCCGCACCTGAGGCGTATCCTGCGGGCGCAGGCGTCCGATGTATGTGTCTGCGCACCAGAAAATGGTGTGCCACTGATGCACCAAGTCAAATGCAAATTTCTTATGCAATCTTCATGCGGTTGTTCTCGACTGCAGTCGTTATTGGCCGTCTGCTCATTGGCAAGATTGCCTTGATTTCAAGCCTCAAAAACCCCGAATCCCAAACACCCGTGCGGCACATGTCGTTGCCGATGCGATTTACAAATCTTGGGTGGTTACTGATAAAGGTCCTCTTTGTCTTCTGCGAAGTTATAGGATGATTGGACATAGGTAGCCATAGGTTGCGCTAAAATATGGGAATTGTTCTTCTCCCATGCACTGAGTCGTGGTCCTGAGATAATCCCGTGCATGTGTGACTTCTTCCTTTTGGAGGATGTGCACCCTGCATGCATGTGAGTAATCTCCACGATCTCATCATTTAGGGCTACGGCTGGAAGTTGGCAGACAGAGTCAATTTCATATCACATTTAAGCTCTTGTGGGAAGTGTGTTGATAGAGTATTTTTGGTGGGCCATGGGCTTATGCCGAACTTCCTGGCTGAGATGCTGGCCATGTCAATTTGTAGATTAACAGCAGAGCTATGAGGGTGTTAGCAAGGACATTTGAGCTTGTGTTGGCATTTGCAGCCCCTTTTTCTAGTGGTTGTGGTTGCTGATTTGAGCCCAGATGGCTGGGTGTGTAAGTGCCCTGCTGGCACTATGTAGCGTTCGCCATGGGCTGGAAGATGCACTCCAAATGATGTAATGGCTACTCAGATGTGGGTGTGGGACATGTGTACTAATATATTAGTTTACACCTATGCATTGCTGCAGTACTGTGTGCCTGACAAGGAAGAAAGACACCACAGAGATCACATTGTGGGCAACACGTGATCATGAGTTCTACAAGCCGTAGGGAAAGTAAATGCACTGGGCCTGTGTCGTGCCTGCCTTCATCCAATTCAGAAGCCTTTATGCCATTCAGTTTTATTATAACCAATGGCCATCATAGAGGGCTTGGGGTATGCCTCCAAGACACACGGCCACCTGAATGGCAAGCATGTTCACAAGATCTTTTAAGAGATCAAATCGATTTGATCAGTCCAATCTCCCTTCCTAGATGAATTTTCCGTTGCATGTGCACGTGTCATTTGCTCTTGCCTGAGAATTGGTAACATGCCAATACAGAAAGCTGATGCCCTGTCCCATGTCAATTTGGCAAGAGCTCTGACAAACCTATACTTATACAGGAGAAGGTAGTGATGCAAGCCGGAACTTTGCACAGACAGCAGTTCTATGCTCCTTGCATCTGTTTGATTAAGGAGCACATCTTCTTCACCGGATCCATCTTTCGGAAGGCATTAAACATTTGACGACAACAAGGTGATGCTGATCAAGCGAGAACACCAACGACTAGAGGTCGCCTTTATGCGCACCCCTAAACACGATTCAGCCAAATCGCAGGGCAAATGCCAAGAAGTGGCACCCTGCTCCTTCTAAGTGAAGCACTGCTGCTGAAACACCCCTGCTTCAGTCTTTCTTCTTTGGCGGCGGCATGAGGGACGACAGACTGCTGTTTGACGTACTATGCCGCAACGATCTTGACCTGCACACCGTAGACGTCCTCCTCAAATATCCAGAACATCATATTCAGCATCCAAGCAATCGCCCTCTGCTTTCCTAGCAGGCACATGTCAATACTGCCTGCGTCCCAGTTCTCACCCAGAGGGAGTAGAGCTGGCAGCGGCAGGTGCCTTGGCGGCAGCCGGGGAATCGGCCATGCCGGGGGCCGACGCGGATCCTCGGAGGGCAGCCGGCGCGCCGGCGTTGCCGCCGCTGTCGGAGCGCGCAAGGAGCGCCTCGGCAGCCTTGACTATGCCCTTGGGTACAGATAAGCCGGAGGGGAGGCCGCCTAAGGAGGGCTGGCTGGCCGCGCGCTTTAGCCGGTCCATCAGCGAATGCCGGCGGCTGCCGCCCGGGTCGGGACCCCCCGGCACGGCCCCCACAGCTGCGGCGGGTCCGCCACTGCCGGGGGACCCCCTCGGTGGCATTGGGGGCCTGGCTGCAGGACCTGGAGCACAGTGATGCCACTCGGGATCAGTGCAGTCTACTGATCCAACTGAGTCACCGTCAGCTTTGCCAGATGCAGGAGAGGACAGAGTCGAGCTTGGAAACAGAATGCCTTCCTTGCAGGGTTGGACGAGGCAGGCCAGTCGAGAGGCCTACCTGTCACTGTTTCGCCAGAAGCCTCAACACCACTCGTGCTGGCTTCTGAGTCAGGCAGGCTGTCCAATGCTTTTCGCCGCCGCAACCGCTCACTAAAGCCGGGGCCTGCTGCAGGAAGAATTCACGATGTCAACATTCGCCACCACATCTCTTTTCACACCTTTTCATTCTGACAGGCAGAACAGATTGAAGGCATGCAGACCTCACTCAAGGCAGGTCTATGATGCCACAAGTGCTTGTCTGTGATTAAGTGGCTCACCCTCTCGCGAGCCTGCATACTCTGACGTTCGCAGGAGCCCCGCTGTTGGAGAGTGCGGCGGTTCTCTGTCTCGCTGCCCCTCAAACTCGGTCATTTCAATCTCCACATCCGCTGATCGCCCCTGGTCCAAGACCCCGAGCCGTGCCAGGCGAACCATCCGCTCGAGCCCTGCCGAACTTGAGGAGCCTGCACATGTGCTTTGCTAGCCCTTCAGTTACATGCTTCCTTATCCCCATGCACTCACAAACTACAGCTCCTTGCTTTGTATGTCCTCCCGCCTTGAGCACTCTCCTCCAGCTCTAGATGAGCCAGCCATGCTCGCACCTGCAGTTTGTACTGATGGATGCAGATTTTAGAGGGGGAAAAACATGGGGGAGTGGGAGGTGGGTTTGTGGACCTGGTTTGAAGTCCTCTGGCTCTGAGCAGGTGTCCCCTGTGCCATAGTAGCGCTGCAGCTTGTCCAGCGCTGCGCTCTGCCTTGGCGGCGACCCCCCATGGCTGCCACCATAATGGATCCCGTTGGCTTGCTGATCACCCGGGATGCGGCCATACTGCGTCACTATCATTCCCGCCCATGTCTGGTACTCCACCCTGTGTGCAACCATTCAGCCCAGCAATGATTCGCCAGATCTTCTGAGAAATTCCTGTGGGCTGGGCGCCTACTGACAAGCGCAAAATCCATGGCATTCCATACATGAACAGCAATACCAGAAATAACAGCCTCACTACGCGAGGGCGTACCCAAGGGGTGGCATTGCTCGGGTTGGGATGAGCAGTGTATCTTTTGCATACATTGCTGAATCAGACAGAAGGCCATTTGATCTCTTTATGTCTGACACCTGCACAAGGACATTGCTTGTCCTCAACGTAGAACTCCAGCCTCTGCTGACAGCAGCTCGAATGGGTCAATGCAGAGTGCTTAGTCCAGCAAGTGTGAGTCTTGGCGTACCGAAACATGGTATCGAATAGCCAACCCAGCCAGAGTGTCCAATTTGGTGACCTGCCCAAGGTGCAATAAGTGGCATCACATTCAGGCATGCACTCACAAGGAGGTAGGATGTCGAACAGTAAAGTTATCCGTGATTACGCAATTCTGAACATGCAAAGCGTTTCTAAAATCGAGCTTCAAAGGAGTTGTCTGTTGATGGAAAGCGTTTACACACCTGGTGCGTCACATAAGGGGCTCGAATCTCGCTGCTAGTGTCTGCATTACTAGTCGAGGTAGAGGGGCGGTCGTCTGACATTGTCAAACCCGCCCCACACCCTGCCTGGCTGCAACAAGAACCCCTGCTTCCCTGTAGATGACACCTTCTAATTTCTGCTTCCTAGCAACTGCTGGATCCCAGCGTGGGCTTCAGGTACAATATATGTGACTAATAATTCTCAATATTCACTCTTTATTTAAGACTGTGCGCCCCATGCATGCAAGCAGCCCGAATCAACAAGCGTTTGAGTCAGTAGCTCCATTTTGTGCAAAATTGGCAACCCCAGCCGGTGAAAATCACAAATTCATCAACAAAGCAAGATTAAACCTGCAATTCGTGCTACCCCTTATTCTCAAGACTTTCCAATAATTGGATGGTTCATATATAATTTCAGCTTGGAACCTGAGGAAGAGCCTAGTCAGGCATGTGCATGCAATGGCTTGCCCAAGGCTTGCCAAGTTGGACTTGGCTTGGAAATTGAAGCATATCTGTAGAGTGCTTCTACATTAAGAAGCTGGGGATGGCAGAAATCAGGCTATGCTGGGATCGACTCAGAGAGCCTTGTGTCTGCTACGGCGCTCACATGGCGCTCCACAGATCGCAACAGGGAGTATTATATTCTTAGAACCACGCTCACTCACTAATATGATGAATATGGTAGCTGTGTGAGAGTGTAGAGTAGATCGTAGCATATGTCCGGGTGAGCATTTCATTTGGTCCAAGGTCCATAGAAGATACACCACGGAAAGCTGCCTTTGTTGAGCTCAATTTATAAATCAACGCACAAAATAGCCACTCGCTGACTGAGAGTAAACGTCAGGGAGTAAACACGCAGAAAGGGTATGTGTGCGAAAGAAATCAGGGACGCCTTCAGCAAATTCCCACTTGCAAAGCGCTTGTGGGATGTGGAGGCTCCCACAGTGAAAGGGTCCGCAGTGTCTGATCCTCGATATCCTAAGATGCTTCCGACAAGGACAGACCATGTAAAGGTTGTAGTGAAGGGTCAGCCAGCAAGCAAAGAGTGAGAGCTGTTAAAGCAAACCTGCTATGCCAGACGTGATCCCACCCACCATGCAAAATGAGTGCATGCATGCTTGTCACTTTCCACCTGAGAAGATTGTGCACAATTACATGGAGTCAAGACTGATTGCATCACACCACAACAAGCCAGCACAAAGCCATGACAGGAGCATCATTGCAGCACCAAAAGCCTCCTCAGTCTTCATCCTCTTCGTCCTCAAAATCATCATCCTCATCATCATCGTCGTACACACTGGCAGGTGCAGCAGGAGCAAAGCCCTTCTTCTGTGATGCCGACTGCTGCTTCTGCTTGTCCGCTTCCCTGCGCTTGCGCGCCCTTTCCCGCTCCTGCCATGCACCCACAACCGGAATCAGCTCCTCATCGGAGGATCACATGCATACCTTCTAAAGAGGCCCTGCACATTGCACTGCACATTGTCTATCCTGCTCAGATCTAATCACTTTGCCTCTAACACTTTTGCACCCATGCATTCAATCACGTAATGTACTAATCACGTGTATTCTGCCCAGGGTGTGAGGGGCATGCCCTACAGCATCCCTTCACGCTTTCTGAAGAGGCCTGAGGACTGCACTCACAAACGCAAACAGCACGCAACATGCCCCTTTCTGAACACTTCAATCTCTCATCTCTTAACCCGTCCATAACCAGAAAGTCAGCACTGCTTTGAGTTAGACCCAGAGACAATGCAAGACACACAAGGCACTGCAGCGCCAAGCAGGGACCACACCCTGCCTCAGAATTTAACATGCAGAGCGTGCTTCAAGCGCACGTCAGACCATGTACGGACCCGCACCTTTTCGCGCGCGATGCGCTCGCGCTCTTCCTGGACAAACTCCGGGTCGTAGGGACCGTAAGCGTCGCCCGTAACGCCGTCCTCCTCGAGCACTCTGTCCAGGACCAGCACCTTGAACGCGATCTGGGCCAGTAGCACCAGAGGGATGAGCCAGCGGCACTTCTTGTTGGGATCGTTGCGCCGCACAACCGCGGGGTCGTAGCGGTACGGTGCCCACTCCAAGCTCTTCTGGGTCACCTGCACATCGGGACCTCATGTGCTTACTTTGCATGCGCCTGACATAGCACACAGATGTTGCAAAAAGAGAATGGTAGTTAGGGCTCGGGATTCCAGGAGCGACCTCTTCTGTCCAAGTCCTTACTATCTGTGATACGGAGCGGGCATCAGCGCTGTTCGCTGGCCTATTTGTGGTGATCTAAAACTAGCCGCGCAGCTGGCACCGACTATAGCATGATTGCCCGGACGACATCTGCTTAATGCAATTTTGCATCCCCCCTGCAGGATCACTACCTACCTGCCAAAGCAGTTGCCAAATTAACAGTCCTAGGTGCTGGCTCAGCTGTAAGACAAGGCCACATTGCTGTGGAACTGTGAAGCTTGTGTGCTTGCATCCTCTGCGCAAAGTGTTCCTCAATTCACACAGAACATGCTTGTAAGGCTCCATCCTTCTTCGCATCATCCAGCCTTCCAAGCACCAAAAGCTCATGACAAGCTGCTAGGCAGATGGGCGGATGGGGAGTGGGCCCCCACCTGGCGCATGAGGTCGGGCAGCCAGGGGCGCTTGTTGCCGAGCAGCTTCTCGCCCTCGGGGCTGGTGGCCGCGCGCGACGAGTTCTCTATCAGCACCACCGGCAGCTCAGCTGACTTTGCCCCGCCGTGCTTGCGGATCGCGTCCCTCAGCGCCCCGGCTCGCCGATCCACGTACTCATCTGCCGGCACGCAAGTGTCGCAAGGTCATGGCAATGTCTATGACACCCTCAGAAAGTGCTGACAATTCAAAAAATTGGCCCTTACCCCTTGCATGTACTACCCCTTGAGGCAGCTGAGCCAGTGCCAGAAGTGTCTACAAATTCAGGCATCCAGAATGTGGTCCTACGCTATCATTAGTGCAGGCGACAAGCAGAGGCGACAAGCAGAAGATGTCGAGGAAGGTGCTCTGCTCGTGTGCAGGGAGCAAGGGTGGAGATGCGAAGGGGCCTCACCATATGTGAGGTCGTCTGGGAGGCTGGTGAGTCGCCCGTGTGTGAGGCCGATGAAGGTGTTGTCCCAGATGTTGTCACCCAGCGCCCGCGTGATGCCCTCGATGACCTGCAGCCCATTCACCCATCATCATCTTTGCCCAGTCACAGGAGCACTCACGTTGCCAGTCAGAATTGTGACACAGTGCTGGGATGAAAATGGATTGGCTGGGGCACCTGAACAGTGCTGGCATCCACCCTGAAGTCATCCAGGCGGTTCAGGAAGAGCACTGCGTCCACCGGCCGCCCCTTCACCTCATATACAATCCCTGACAGCGCCTGCTTGAGCATAATCAGTCCAGCTCAGCACACATGCATACAAACAGCATGGTGGACAGTAGGCACAGACTTCACTACGGCTTGAAAATTTTCATGCGCAGAGTCCTTGACAGTGAAAACGCACCGCGCCGTTGATTGCATCGCCTTCGAGCACTCCAGGGGTGTCGATGATGCTGAGGGTGAAGCCGGCAGCCACACGCGAGAAGCACTGCGCCTTGGCTGTGTCTGACTGCAGGGCTGTCACGTTGGCCACCCTTTCTGCAAAGATGGAGTTTGCTGTGGAGCTCTTCCCCACGCCAGACGCCCCTGTGCAGGTACATGGCATGTTTGAGACATTCACAGAAGTAGCGAATTCGATCAAGGCACAGCAACGTGCACTCACATGCACCAGCACTTTGCCAGACCCCCAAACAAAAGCAGTAAGCTGGGATGCTTGCCTATCAGCAGGACTGTCAGCTTGTTCTTCTTTTCATCCCTCAGCTCTCCCAGGAGCTCCAAAAAGGTAGTCTGCGTTGTGCCCTGCATCAATTGTGTGACACAATTAAGAAGGAACCCCAGGGATGGCTTTGCAGAGCGTTCATCATGTGGGAATGGATAGCAGGATTCTTACAGGAAGTTGGCGCAAGCCAGTCCACTCCCTTGGAACATCTTGTGGGGGCGGCCGCCTCGCTCCTGCTCCACTTGGGGCACCTGTCAGAAATGGTCACACAGATTGGGGTGATGTGCGAAACACAAGATATTGTCGGTGCTGAGTGCACATTGGGGTGCTCTCAACACATGGCCACTGTTCAAAGGTACTGCCTTGAGTAAGCAAAAGCTGCGATGCTGCAAGAATGAAGAGAACATACCTTGGCCTCCACGCCCAGCCAAAAGGGGTTCCAGGCCTCTTATGAAACCAGCATTTTGAAGGACTTCCAGCTGGTCCATCTCCTCCATATCGTCTGCAGGCCAGGAGAGATGTAGTGACTTTCAAGCGTATGAGTGACTTTTCAGCTCATCAAAATAATCGACCTCGATCTGGTAAATCAATGTACTCAGAGTATGCAGACAACGAAGCACTGCTACAAGCAGTCAGAACAGCACAGCCTGAAAGATCCACCAGTCGAAGGATTTCTTCAGTACTAGGATCGACAAGTTACACCGAAGGCCCCAGAAATTGCTGACCTTCCTCAACATCCCCATCGTCCTGTTCTTCAACATCGTATTCATCTTCGTCGTCTTCCTCATCGTACTCCTCGTCTTCCACGTACTCTTCTTCCTGAATTGTCATGGTGAGGGCAGCCGCCTGGGTGCAGGCTTTTGCACAAAGTTCCTTCACACGCTTCCGCCCCTTAAACGATAATTTGTCAATAAAGTTGCAGCAGATCTGGACAAACAGACAATAATAGCAGATTCCAGGCGGCTTTGCTGTCCAAAATGACCGGATAGCCCCTGATCTCCTAATTTGGTGACGTGCATGCATCTCAGATGTCTGAATGCCATGCTGGCTGTCACTTTCAGATGATGTTGACATGAAAAGAAAGCTGTATTTTGACCTTGCATGTCGCCCATAGTCATAATGTCACAATATTACTGTGTGAGCATTGCTCGGCGGGCTCCCGGGACCATGATATATCAATATTGCTGCGGTCACAGGAATTTTGAAATTTGGTTAAATCTGCAAAGTTGCATAAGCAGGTGCAGCCGGCTGCAGCCGGCCCTAGGGCCTGGGTACTGAGTAGCTACCTCAGGTCACCTATTGTATATTACAGGTGGCAGTTAGCGGGGCCGCGACCAGGGAACCTGCAGCTGCAAGGGAGCCTGCTATGGACTTACTAAGTGTAGTAGTACAAAGTGTAGTACAAAGTTCTGGAGTCACAAAGGCCATGAGCCCAAGAAAGCTTAAGCAGAATTATTTTGTGCATGCGTCAATCCCTCAGGGCAGCCCACGTTTGTGAGCCCCTGAGCACTTTTGCAAGTTGTTCTGAGAAGGCCAGAGGTGGATTAGAGTAGGGATTGACGAAATTCACCTTACAATCTTTGCCGTATAGCGGGACAGCACAGCTTGAGTTCATTCTTCAATCTCAAGCAGGGCCCCAAGTTTTGGTCATCAACAACAGAGCAAGCAAGATCATCCATAGCCGACTTAGTCTGTAGGCAGAACAAATAAAATTCCTGAAATAATTCGACAGGAGACACCCATGGGTGAATTCAATGGCCATGAGACACCAGGTGACATTCCAGCTGAGTCCAGCGTGAAGCTGAATGGGGTCGCCTACATCATTGCCTATCAAAGCCACCTCGACCTTTCAGAAAAATGCAAATAGACAGATCTGCGATTTCATGCGCAACGGAGCTGACAGGTTTTCTGGTGATAGTACTCGAGCGCTTCGGTGCGCGCATGGCATGCCTTCAGGCACAGCTGCTCAGCACCTGCTTCTGCTGCCGCCACTGCCGCAGCTGATGGCAGTCACAGTGGCAGCTGTGCAACACACACCAGCAAAGCTCAGCTGTCGAGAAGTGTCCCATCACACGTAAGCCCCTCTTGAATCCGCCCAATCTACAGGAGCACCTGAGAAGATAGGGCCAAAAAGATATGGCCTGCTCAAATCCAAATCAAGCTGCAAAATGAGGGGAGCTCGAAACAGTAGCAAATTCACAGATAATGTCGATTAGAGACTAGGAATTCTTTGAGGAAGCACCCACGTGCGGACCGCTCTAGTTCTGTGACTGTGATCATGCCATCCACCATGGGTCACTTGAGAGAAAGCTACAAACATCAAGGCAGAGCAAGCGCCACAAAATAGAGGGAAGTGCTGCCATGCAGGTGAGCGCCATCCAGGAAGATCAGAGAAAGAGGAATGCAGACATCAAGGCAGTTCGAGCGCCAGAAGACAGGAGGAAGGGCTGCCTCGCAAGTGAACACTGTGCAGCAGGCATGTAATCTTCATAAAGGAATGAAGAGCAGTAGAAAGGTGTGTAGCGCATCTGCTCACCTGCGTTAAGGGAGTCATCGGTGAAGCCGTATGAAGGGCTGATCGCTGTGTTGTAGATGAAGCGCGTGTTCAGGCAGTTGGCGCCAAAGAAGGCATTGGCATCATTGCAGCACCTGCAGGTCACACTCGGCATCAGAGGATCCATCGCATACAATGGCTTTATAAACACTCTCTTCCAAGCCTTAAAAACTCTCAAGAACAGCTGTCGGAAGGCCGTTTGGCACTTGTGACTGCACCTGCAAGTCTGTGGGCATGACAAGGCGAGGTATGAGGAGGCAGTCCTCTAAAAAAGTTTTCTGATGGCCCATGCAGGGATTGGATAGCTGACTCACGCGGTTGAAGGGGTGCCATATTGCCCAGAGTTGATGTTGTTGCGGATGCTGCCGCAGTCCAGAGTGTTGATGGCACTGGTCTGAGCCTTGACCGAGCTGATGAACGCAGAGCAGGTATTACGGATCGAGAGCCCCGATGAGATGCAATCCGCATCTGCACGCACACCCCTAATTCAGAAACCTCAAGATACATCAAACACTTGAATGATTCCTGCAGGCTACAAACTGCTGGTCAATTATCTCAAGAGGACAGGTTCCATACCTGCTGGTCTGAAAGCTGCAAGCAGCAGGCAGGCAAGGACTGCAGAGATGGCAAATTTGGTGGCAGCCATCGAGGTATACGTAGGAAACAGGAGCCGAACTTGAGCAGCCTGCGCAGCCAGACAGTGCATGACAGCCCTGTCAAAGCTCCCTGCTGGCGTCTGTGCGATTTCCCACCTGAATCTTCAGGATCGTACATATGTATAAGCAAAATTTTCTGCTCAATGATGTGTTTCTCAGCCCTCCACGGCGACTGATTTCCCAATCGCGACTCTAGCGATCCTGCCCCGGCCAGAGGCACACTTGAAAGCATAAGCGACCGCTTCAGAGCAGGATTGTCCTTGCGGGGCTCGAATTATCAAACCAAGTCTAAATATAAAACAAAGGGGTCCTTGAAATAAGAAGGGACTAGAGACAATGCCGTTCCGTGATCACTCGTGGACCCTTTGCCTTGCCAAAGCTATGTCCCTCCAGTTCCCCTCAATCTTAGTCTGTACCTATCCAAAAAATTTATATTAGCTATTCTACCCCCCGTCAACCATCGAGTCGGTTTCCTCGTGCATCGAGGGCACGTTGTAGGGATCCCGGAACTGCCCTCATCAGAGCCGCTCTTTCTGGCTCTAAGTAAGAACAACCTCGCCTGCGGCGATCTCTGGCCTTACAGACGGATTGAACTCTTTTTCAATAATGATCGCCCAGGGCGAGTAGCAGATCAACTCCAGCTTGTTCCCTAGTGACAGCTCCGCACGTCCGCACGTCTCTGTCAGCTGGCTTTCAACGCTTCTCGAGCACTCTGCCTATGTACTATGGTGCGTCCAAACTCACCTGGGGATCTCCTTGGTGATGCAGCGCTGTGTGGAATTGATTTTCAGTTTGAAGCGAAGAGCTGGCTCATATTCGAACGAAGCTTTCTGTCAGACAGTATACACATTTCCGACGAGGCGGACCTCCTGCCCATTCTTTGGTTTGGATGCTTTCTTCTCGTCTGCATCAGTACTAACGCTAATTTCTGGAGAGTGGATGGCTTCTTGAGTATCAGTATCATCCACTACTGATTCGCGATTTGATCATCCATTGCCTCAGCCTGAAGCGGCGCAAATAAGTTTGGCTGTGAAGTTTTTGTCCAAGAATCTTTAGGATTGCATTTGATGACGGCTTTCAGTGCATCCGTACATGCTTAGGATTGATGACCAATATCCCCTAAATTAATGCGAGGCAGCCAATCACGAAATTGACGTGGAGGCAGCTAGGAGGTTGCAAGTAGCCAAATGGCAGCGGACGCAGGATATGCACGCCCCAGCACGGCCCTCGAGGGCGATGTAATTAGGACATCAGAGGCCTCTGCCGACAGAACGAGGAGATCGACAGTCGCAGACAGCCCTGAAACATCCAGGCAGTGTGCAGACTGCTCTCCAACGTTCAGCAACCGGACCTATGAAGCGACTAAAGTGTATAACACTGAGATTCTGGAGAGCGGAAGGCTACTAGCAGCCGGAGGTGTGGCTGGGGCAGTATCTAAAACATGCACAGCGCCACTAGCCAGGCTCACTATCTTATACCAGGCAAGACGGCTGCCCTTACACTCTGTCCCGCTCCTGGCCTGCGTCTGCCTTTCTGTTGCCATAGCAGACCCTCGGCAGCTTGTCTCTCTGGTGAGCGTGCACCTTGCATGCTTTGCGAGGGCATCCACTGACATGTGGCAGCCAATGTCTATGTGCAGGTGAATGGCCTGGATGCTGTAGTTGGGACGTCAGGGCGCATAGGCCTGATGCAAGCCTTCCGGCAAGTGATCCAGCGAGAGGGAGTGATGGCGCTTTGGAAGGGCAACGGAGTGACTATTGTGCACCGGCTGCCCTACTCTGCAGTGAACTTCTGGGCGTACGAGCGCGCCACGCAGATGTGGCTGCAGCACTATCCTCAGCCTGCCGGCGCGCAGCAGGTGCCCCGAACGCTCCATCCTCACAGTTATGCATGTGGGACACCCAGACTGTGAGGCACTCTGCCTCATGCTGGACTTGGATCCACTGACGGCGCTGCTGGCTGCATGCAGGGGGCAGGCACGGCGGACATGCTGAGGAGGTTGGCGTCTGGCGGAGCAGCAGGCATCTGCGCCTGCACACTGGTGCGCTCTACTGTCTGTGTCCAGTGCTTGTTTGCCCTGCTCCCGAGCTCACGGTAAGACACTGCTCAAGCAATGCACCAGGAAGCTGGAAGGTGATCTGAGGGCGGGGTGTGGTGCCCCACAGGCATATCCGCTGGATCTGGTGCGGACGCGGCTGTCGGCGCAGACAAAGACGCAGTACTACACGGGCATAGTGCATGCGATGAGGACGATTGTGAGGGACGAGGGTGCCAGGGGGCTGTACCGGGGCTTGGGGGCCACGCTGCTGCAAGTGACCCCCAGCCTGGCCATCAACTACACAGCCTACGGCACCCTGCGCTCCCACTGGCTCCAGTCGCATGGTAACAGCTCGCACACGGTGAGTGCTGCGCCGCCTCCAAACGCCAGAGTCCTCTGTAGCCGCGGCCTGCGCTGCTCAACATTTCGTTGCTGAAAGGCAGCTGCCTTTGCGCATGCTGTGACTTGACGTTGTACCAGCGTTTAGAGAAGGTGCCGCGAAAGGGGACAACCCAGCCAGCCTGAAGTCAACCCTGTTGCGCATCTGTTCCTGTCCTCTTCCGTCCCTAAACGTTAAGGAACAGTCAGAGAGTCCTCGACCTGAGGACAGCTGAGAGGCATCATTCAGCTGCGGCTGCGAGAGCATGTTGGAGCGTATGGAGAGGACTGTATTGGGGATCCAGCTTGTGCCAGGGCAGTGTCTGACGGCAGCGCTAAAAACGCAGGTTACCATGAGCCTGCTGTGTGGCGGGGCGGCGGGGCTGATATCATCGACGGCGACATTTCCCCTGGACCTGATCCGGCGGCGCATGCAGCTGGAGGGGCAGGCCGGCACGCGCAGGTACAAGGGCTACGCTGACGTGGCCAGGTCTGTCATGGCCAACGGCGGCCTGCGCGGCTTCTATGCCGGCATCCTTCCTGAGTACTTCAAGGTGGGTCATGCACCCACAATCCTCTAATGGCATGTACCGGTGTACCATGGTCAGCATTGTGCGAATCGGCAAGGATTGGATGCGGCCATGAATGGCACAACGCTAATGGTGACGGGTAGACAATGGCCAGCATGGTGCAAACGCGCTTCCAAGGTGGATGATGCACCAATGCAATACACCCATGCCTGTTGCTTACAGAGGTCACCTTGACACAATAGACGGGTGCTTCACTGGCTCCTTCCTTTTTACAGGGCTCAAGAGACAGGACTAGACAACAACTAATCTGACATATACTGTCCGAGCTTGCTCTGTTCTATGTGTGCCTTCCATTGACTCCTGCATCCGGTTGCTTGTGCAGGTCGTTCCTGGCGTTGCCATTGGCTACTGCACATATGAGTTCATGCGAAATTCTTTGGGAGTGCAGACCAACCCCGGCGCAGAGAGATGAACAAATTTTGGCGCCAGGAGATATATGCAACGAATGTCCTATCAAACACCTGCTTGGCTTTCTGGCCCAGTTGACGGATACATAAGGTAGATGTATAAGTAGATAAAAGATTTCTATGCTTGGAAGCCTCATGTTGTAGGCATTGTTGCCACTTCACATAAATTCAGAGGGCTTCTAAGGGGACTCCAGAAATCCCTGACAAAGAGAACCAACTGACAAAGAGAACCAAAGGCTCAAACTTGATTGGTGACTCTGAGTTAATTTATTGCTTTGGATTTTGAACCTTGCTGTGTTTTGAGGATCCTCAGGGTCACTTGGACATGTGTGTGGACGTTTCTTTCTAGATCTAAAAAGCGAGTAATGCTTCTGATACATTTTGTGACGCACTGTGTGGTGCCACCCACTGCTATTGCAATTGACCTGCATGATATATGTGCTGAGTGATGTGGCAAAGGAATCAAGTGTCACGAATGACAGCAATGAGATTGTTACAATTGATCCTTCCCTGGCCCTGTATCATTCCAGAACAGTTGCGGTCATGACCAAGCCTGGACAAGGCGGCATCTCATTTGCGACATCTAACGCTGCAGCTGCTGTATCACTAATTTAAATCTATCATGACAAAATCAATTGAGCTGCTAGCACTTATCCAAGCCTTAGAGTTTCAGTGAGCATTTTGATACATCCATTTGGTTATGTTGCCTATTTCAGTACATCATGCATTTCATTCCAAGATGCTTCAGGATATCCTGTGGGCAGGGATGGTATCTGCCATGCCAGGTGATTCCATATCCCAGGGAGGGATGGCACCTTCCTTGGTAGAATAGCCGGCCTTGACTGGCTCTCTGCCGGGGCTCTTGTGCGGATGCAGCGGCTTCGTCTTTGCTCCCATGAAGGTCTTACAGTACAGTGCCACAAACACAACCGCCGTCCCAACCCTGGTTACAGCAATACGACGTGTCAACAGTAAGGTACCTTTTTGAATATGCTCTTCCAGTCAAAGATACTTCCTTCAGGACTTCCTACAACAATTTCCTAAGAGAAAGGATTGTGAAGCTTGCACAGTAAATGCAGGAGATGAATCGCACCATTGGCCTGTAGACAGGGGGTTGCCAAATACAGCGCTGGACACCAGGATAGACAAAAACTGCCGGGTGGTCATGACAGCAGCAAAGAGCAAGGCCCCAAACTTCTTGATGGTGTGCAGAATGAACAGCTGCCCTGCTCAACAAACACCCAAGCTCTCGGAGGCACTTTGTAGGGCCCTTCATTCATGACATCGATTCTGCATTGCAGAGCAGAGGGAAGGGAGCAGATGATAACTCACCCACAGTGGCTGACAAGGAAAGGACAAAAATGGAAGAAAGCGCCTCTGGGTGCCTTGCGATGAAGGCAAGGGCAGGCAGCAGCTGCCCTGAAGACACCAGGCCTGCAATCCAGACATACATGCATGGATCGCAATCACGGGGCAAGGATGTCCTTTCTGGAGCATATAGGTGTTCTTAGTGGGCATGGGGCACCCACCGCACAGGCTAACCAGCGAGGAGAACAGATTGACGTAGAGCATCTGGTTGTAGGTGCTCATGTTGTAGCCCTTGAACAGCTTGTCCTGGAAAGTGGACGTGAAGCCATCAAAGCCCAGATAGCCCAGCATGAGCACTGACCCCCACAGAACCGCGTCCGATTTCGCATGCTGCCTCTTTGAGGACACAGGACCAGTCAGAAAGAACAGCATCAGCCCAGTAGTGATTGCCACTGCCAGTACGTAGTCCCTCTTCTTATACCTGCATACAGCACATTCCTCACGATGCAAGCATGTAAATATAGCCAGCATGCAACAATTAGGGAAGATGCGACTGCTTGCATGGCACTGCTGTATTTGGATAGCGGTGCCCACCTCTTATGCAACATGATGCTGCCCCATGCCATCACAGGGATCATCTTGGCGCACTTGCCCAGTGTTTGCAAGGGGAAGGTCACATACTTCAGGGCCTCATACTGGCATGTGGTGGCCAATACATTAGACAGCGAGACGACTGCGTAATTATAGCTCGGGGCCACTGGCTTCATGGTCTCCCCCATCCGCTGCAGTTAGGGGTGCCACATAAGTCTCCCTTGCATTTTGAGCACTTTTTAAGTACGACACTGGCAGAGCAGGTTCGTGCAGCGTGCGCACAGAGCGGCCAATTGGCAGTTACACACCAGTAAGCAGCCGACTGCCAACGTGCACGTCACCAGGCGGTTGCAGAGAACAAGGAACAATGAGAATTTAAAAATGTCTTCATCTTCCCCAAATGGCCTCGTCATAATGCGTTCCTGTGTGAGGGGTAAGTCTCAAGGCAGTGTTCATCAATATGCATGAGGCATGAGATCTGATACTTAAAAGGGATGCTGTTCATCCTGATCATCAAATGCACTCGCCTGGAGCACACTGTAGACCATCAGGCTGAGGACGATGCCTGCTGCGTGCGCAGCAATTTCCATCCTTCCACTGCCAGCAGCATGCAGCGAATTCCATGCCTGGCTCATCTCATCAATCAAGGGTATGCATACAGCCCGCAGGCGTCCAAAAAAGACGCAGTGCTTGTTCAATCTCTATGATGGATGCAAGTATAACAAATAATATTCTGGGGGCTGATAAAGGGGATGCACGAATGGAAGAAATACTTCTCAAGTCCTCAGATATGCCAACAGAGTATCCGAACAAATCAGGAACGAAAGATGGGCTTCAGAAGCGCAAGTCAAGTCAAAGATGATCCACGTGGCTGATGACCTGGCAATGCAACTCGAGGAGAATTGATCTCGATCCCTGCGCTGATCGGAGCCAATCTGTCCGATGGTGTGGTATTTGAACCTTGTCGGATGGAAATTATTGAGGCTTTGGCATGATGTGTGTCGATAAAGAGGCCAGATGACATCATCTTGTTGACTCGACATGACAATCAGAACAAGCTACGGAGCACAGGCAGGATTTTATAAGTGCAAAAGACCTCCTTTTGGCCAGGGATTTCTCAGGTATTCGAAATGCACGGTTTTGAGTGCTGCCTTGAATGGCAATGGCCTCAACCCTCAAGTCTCAGAACGAGTGAGAGTCACAAACGCCCCGATCATCGTGAAGACAAAGCAATTTATCGGCGGTCGAACGGATGTGTTGTCCCTAGCCCAAGGTAGGCATCCAGCATGGCCCAAATCTGACAAATTTCTAGAGCGACCGGTTTGAGGTCACTGGTGAGAGAACATGAAAGTGAATTTAATGCACTACTGTGGTGCTTTTTGCAGGAGTTGTACATTGGACTCCTCCTGACAGCGCTCTTGATCTGGCCAGTGATCTTGTGAGAGACAGGAGCATCAGCGCATATGGCCCATGCGCTGGCCTGCCTGCGCTCGTAGATGCCCTTAAAGAAAAGCTTGCAGCAGAGAACGACTTGCCGGAGGTGTGGTTTTGCGCTCATTGTTGTAGCATTCCCTCCTGCCGTCCTTGGAGGATGGTCAGACCTCATATCAAGAGCCTATCATCCTGAGGCAGCTCATGTGTCATGCAGCATGAAGTCATGGTGACAGCTGGCGCCAATCAGGCCTTTACAAACATCGTCTTGACACTGCTGGACCCCGGCGACCGCATTGTCCTGTTTGTACCGTACTACTTCAACCATCTCATGGCCGTGCAAATGACCGGCGGCGCTGCCGACGTTGTGCATGGGCAATGTGACCCCCAGACGTGGCACCCAGACCTGGACTGGCTAGAACAGGAGCTGTCCCAGCCGGATCCGCCTAAGATGGTCGTTCTTGTCAACCCTTGCAACCCAACAGGTGAGTAATTTGCTGGCCAGGAATGCGCATCCTTCTCAGGCACACAGGCTGCCGGTTGGGGGCTTGACAAGAGAGCTGAATGCGCTTGCGATATAGTGCCCTGCATGCCACACTCCCCATGCTGAGGTATTGCTTAACGCAGGTGACTGACATTAAAAGTGTGCGGGCTGCAGGCGTGCTGTTGAGCAGGGGAGAGGTGGAGCGAGCAGCTCAGCTATGTCAAGATGCTGGTACTTGGCTGATCATGGATAACACGTATGAGCATTTTGTGTATGACGGGCGCCAGCACCATTGTGTTGCAGCCCCGCACATCATCCACATCTTCTCCTTCTCAAAGGTACACCGCCGGCATTTGCTTGAATGGAGCCTTGCAGAGCATGTGCTTCCCTCAAACCTGGTTATAAAACTCTAAGGAGGAACTTGACTATATGTATGCTGTGGTGCAGGCCTTTGGCATGATGGGGTGGCGGATGGGATACATAGCATACATGGACATGCATGGGCTAGCAGACCAGCTGCTGAAAGTGCAGGACACCATTCCCATCTGCCCCTCTCAGCTGAGTCAGTATGTCGCACTCGGAGCAGTTGAGGCGGGGCGGCCCTGGGTGTCTACCCAAATTGAAACTATCATTGCCAACAAGTAGGGACATCCTGATCAAGCCTCTGCCGCTCGCCGTACAGTCTTCACAAATCAGCTTCTGTGGGTTCTCAGGATTTTGCCAAGGTGACACAAGTCTGCTGAGCGTGCTATATGTGCTGTGTTAGGGACATGCTCATCAGTGCTCTGTTGCCTCTGGGCGAGCTTGGCAATGGCATTGCGGGAGGAGAAGGAGCCATCTATCTCTGGGCACGACTGCCAAAAGGTGCAGAACATCTCACCCTTGTACTTGTGCTCGCTGGATGCTATTTGAGGACACCTTGCATTTTATGCACCTGCTCACACGGTATAATTGCACTGTCTTTGGCCGAGGTTGGCCGTGCTGTTTGTTATTACAGCACAGCGGTTGCAGCAATGAAGAGGACATCCATACGTGAATGTAACAATCCTAAGGAGACATTTACTATTGTGCAGGCTGCGAGGATGATGAGGCGGTGGTGGAGTGGCTGGTGCGCGAGCATGCTGTCTGCATAATCCCGGGGTCCTCCTGCGGCGCGCCGGGCTACGTGCGCATCGCCTTTGCCAACCTGGAGCAGGAGGTGTGCCGGGAAGCTGCAGCGCGGCTGCGGCGGGGGCTGGAGCAGCTATGTTTGCAGGGGATGTCAGCTGTCCTGCAGGCGCCCCTTGCCGGCATCGCCAGCCTTCCCGCTGATGCGATCGCCACAGCGAGCTAGTAGAGCGGTGTGGCACGGACTGTTTTCGTGGAAAGCTAACAACGAGGAAAATTGTGCTGCGGTCGAAAGGATTGCTTATAAAAGAGCAGATACTAACGCCAGAAGGAAACGCCTGAGTCGTTTGGCCTTCATTAGCGTCATCTTGAGCCTGAAGCTGCAGTGATGGTGGTCAAGTAAGACTGGTGCCATTGCGCCAGGAATGGTCCTGCCTGCCAAAATGAGCAGGTGAGTAAATATCTCAATATAGCAATTTCATGCATGGTCAGGTGCTCATCTTGTTGCCAGACCGCCCCACTTGCTGATGGCATGTACTGTGCATTGCAATCCTATTGCAGCCTCTCATCAAACAGATTTATATCAACAGCGGTCTAAGAAACGCAATTAAGCTTGCCCAGACATGTGCTTGCTCGAGAATCTGCGTGGAGTGTATTTGTGCTCTGCAATGACCGAACCTGACGTAGAGTCCAAATCTGTGACTGACTTGTGTAACAGGCTTCCTGAATCCTTGTGCAATGCATGCATTTTCTGTTGCATCATGCAATGCAACTTGCAGCGCGAATCCGCCGGATTGCCCCTGAACTTGCCATTCAGTGGTGACATGTGCACAAGCAATGCATGCCATGATGATTGCAATGTGAACGTTATGTCACTCTTGCCTGCCACAGTGTCACCGTGACACCATCGGCTGCACAGTCCTTACCGCCTCCCTGCAGCTGCAGCTGCATGCATGTACATGTGCGCAGAGCGTGCACATGCCTGCTAATGCACCTTTGATCTAGCATCCTTTGAGCCAGAATCTCGCACGTCAAGGTGCATGATCAAGTTCTCGCAATAAGTAATATACTGTGGGGTAGAAAGCCCTCATGGCAGTTGGAAGAGCACCTGCATAGTGCCGGGAGCCAGACTTGGCCCTGAGCTACTAATGGCATGCCTATGATTTTCAGAGATTGATTGCAATTTTGTCGCGAGGCACAGCTCCTGTCATTCCTTTCTGTGTGCAGCGATTGCACCTGTGAACATCTCGCAAGGTGTGTAGCTTTCAAGCACCCATAAAGATACCTGCGTCCTTGAAATGTTGAAGTAGACACTGGAGATACAGATTCGTGTCCCTGTGGCAATCTGACATGCATCGAGCGCTTCTTACACTGCACAGCAGACGCTCTTTACAGCCTTCGGTGCTAGCAGCGGCCAGACATGCACTCGTCAGAGGTCCAAGAGTCGATGGGTCATCACTCTTGTCAACCGTCAGCGAGCCTCGGACTGAACCCATCGGGGCAATACTGCGAGTGAACGGCAGCTTTATATCCTGTTGTGGAGACAGCTACAGGTCACAGGTGACCACGCTGACCTTTTCATCCAGGTCCATCCCGCTGTGTCAGATGCCCTGTCAGCACAGGCACTCTACGATATAATCTTTGCTGTCTGCGGCTCGTATTGTCTAGAGGCCCTTCTTGCGATCAATAGGGATCTTAATGACCATGCTGTGATTTTTCTGTGTGCAAATCGTAGAATGGTCACACCCAAACTCTCCTGTGCTAGAGAAGTCTAGTGGCACACGTCTAGCAGTCCGGCACCATGCTCAGACCTCAATAAACATCGTTTCAATCATTAAATTGAGCATAATGGTGCATGTACTCAAGATCTGACCAAATCCAGCCCTATCTTCAATTTCCAAGGATATCAAGTAATCAAGATGTTGCTTTTATCAGTGTGCCTGTAAACACTCAGCTTGTTGTGTGTGCAGGGAAGAATACCACACAGGTTTTTTCATTCTACTCCAGCATTGAGCGGCGCAGTGGACGTGCTTCTCGCACAGACGGGGGAAGGTATAAAAGAGTGTGAACTCATCCAGTGGTTTGTCAAGGTGCTGAAACCCACATCCAACTTACCTTGGAATTTCACAGTGACGCTGTGTGTCCATGGAGTGCCAAGGACCTGAGTTTCCCAGTGACTGTAACATTCTCCTCGCCAACAAGGCCAGCTATCTCATCTGTCACTTCATAATGTGAGACTGCTGACCTTGTCGGGAGAAGCGTACGTTGTGATCGTGGGAAAATGAGGTCCTCTGCAGTCTTCTCCGGAAGAGGGAAAAATTCTTATTATTGCAAGTGCACCATTCACTGCGAAGCGGTAGGCTCCTGCATGCATTCTCTGCGGCTGCTGACGCATGTCTTTGTTCGCAGGAGGGGGACACAGTTGAAGAATTTGATCAGATCTGCGAGGTGCAGAGTGACAAGGCAGCTGTGGAAATCACAAGTCAGTATGCTGGCGTCATCAGACAGCTGCACCACACACCTGGCAGCATGGTGCAGGTACAAGCCCAGGCATAAATGATGTCAACCTCACTCCTAAAATAAGAATTGTCTCTGCTGAAAGTTCCCAAACTGCCGTATAGTTTGCGCCAGATAGCAGGCCCCTTAGATGTAGAACAACATTCAATGCTGGCGAACTGCAGGTTGGGGAGGCGCTTCTGAGCATAGAGATGGAGGATGAGGTGGGCGCAGCAGAGAGCACTAGCAGCACGCTTGAAAGTGTTGCCGATCAGCCACCGACTGCTTCCACCACAGCTGCTGTTGCCAGCAGTTCCACGGACGCACAGGTGAGCGTGTCGAATTGCATTGCAGTGCCACTCTTCCTTGATTTCTCCCTATGACCTTCTGGCCAGCCGTATGTGCCCTGCTACACAATCATCTGGTGACGCAAGTAACAGAAGCATGAGACCTTGAGCAAGCTTTGTCACGTTGACTGTCATGATCGCTTGCAGGCAACCTTGGCATCGCCAGCGGTCAGACGAGTAGCTCGGGAGCACGGCATCAATCTGGCATCTATACCTGGTTCAGGGCCTGATGGTCGCATCACCAAAGGTGTGGCCTACGCCACAGAAGCAACCACGACACATGGAGCCATGTCAAGTCTGTCAATCTTGCCTCTATTGGTGCCTGGGAAGTCACAGCAGGGTTGGAACCTTTGTTGCTGCCTGGTGGTGCAGGAGATGTGCTGCAAGCTGCTCAGGGGCAGGAGGGCCCATCCAGTGGCCCTTCATCACCTCCTGAAAGCATACTGGCGCGTGCTACTGAGCCCTCAGTCCAGATTTTGACCCCGGGCGCTGCAGAGCAACCCACCAAGAGCTCAGAACATGGAAGCAAGGCTCAGCCCCAGGAGCCTATTGTCATACCCCTCAGGCACATCTCACTTCACTGCGCTGAGAGGGTTGTCATCATCACTCACTACTTTCTTTTTCTTTTTTGCAAAAGGTGCCAATCTAGGTGTTATGGGGGTGTGTGCAGGGGGTATCGGAGGGCCATGGTGCGGAGCATGACAGCGGCTGGTGCCGTGCCGCACTTTCACTATTGCGACGAAATTTCTGTGGGAGCCTTGCTGCGGCTGCGGACGTCTTTGCTAAGCGACCCTGCGCTCAAAGGCCTGAAGCTCACCTTCCTCCCCTTCATGCTCAAGGTAAGCATGCTTCTCCAACTCTTTATCGCTACTTCCCTTCCCAGTTGTTCTTGCGTTGAAAACCCTTGCAGTCTGGTGCACAGGGGGTTCTATATCTACCCCCCTGTTGTGCATGTTTCTCTGCGGGTGACTCATGCAGGGCATGCTGTGTGCTGGTGCTAGGCTGTGTCTGTGGCGATGCGGCAGTGGCCGGACATCAACGGCAGCCTGAGCGCTGACGGCACCTCCCTGCTGCAGCATCACTCACATAACCTCGGCGTTGCTATGGCCACACCTTCTGGCCTGGTGGTGAGCTTCAGAACGGCCCTTGCTATGTCTTTCTGCCCAGAAGCTGCAGTCCAATGTCCACGATTGCAAGCACGGAAATCCTTGCGGGTTGGATTTTGCGTAATCAAATGCACATGTGGCATAGTATTGTAGTTATTGTTATACGCTTGTTCAAACCCACACAGCTTGGTGCGCTGTAGAAATCTTCTCACTGGTATCCTTCCTGGTCTTGGCACTTTCGTCATCAATTGCCCACAAGTGAAGACACTTTTTCACTTGGGCGAGCAGGTGCCCAACATCAAGGGGGTGGAGAGCAGGAGCATAGTGGGCATCGCGCAGGAGCTGGCGCGACTGCAGGGGCTGGCGCAGGCTGGTCGGCTGGGCCAGGAGGACCTGTCCGGGGGAACCCTCACAGTCTCAAACATCGGCGCCATCGGGGGCACCTACGCCACGCCGCTGGTCAATGTCCCAGAGGTCGCCATCGTCGCCCTGGGCAAGTGAGCACCTGATTTTCTTCCGCCCACAAGCTTGTGTTCTTCTGAGGGTCATACCCTGAGTCTCTACCTGTTGCTAACTTCGGAAGGCAAAATGACTGAGTGGCCAGTGATGAAGAGCTTATCTTAAGTATGTATACAAAGAGTGAAGCCGCATAAAAGTTTCATTAAGTTCAAATCACAGGCCATGCAAATGTGGGTTCAGTTGGCAGGGTCATAAAAGCTGTGTTGGCAGGGTGCGAGATGTGGCCCAACAGGGCAAGTACGGCGAGCTGGAGATGGTTCCAATGCTGGCGGCCAGCTGGGGCGCAGATCACAGAGTCATCGATGGGGCCACCCTGGCGCGATTTTCAAACTCCTGGAAGGCGTTTGTTGAGGAGCCAGAACGCCTGCTGCTTCACCTCCACTGATATTCTCTGCCAACGGCGCTGGCTATAGCTTCAGCGCATGCGCAGACTTGTGCATTGTAATGATGTACGATAAGAAGTGTGATGTATGGGATTCAAAGTGGGTGTACACACCTTGTACACTTGCATAATTCTCTTACATGCTATGTTTCTAGTGTACACGTATGGTTGCAGAATTGCGCAAGAGGACTGCTGGACCTAGCAATGATATTCTACAGATGATTGTGGATAGTATGGGTTGAAAAATGTCTGTAAAAAGAGCTATAGTCTACAATGTGTGACCTTCACTTGGCCAGAGTGAGCTTCAGCAGCTGTCACTGCTGGCTTATTAGACATCCACTCTGCTCAAGAGCCCTCTCCTGCCACACGCAGTGCTGCAAGCGCCTGCAGCCTGTTGCGCTGTTCAAGCAGTACTTCCAAAATAAGCTTCAGGCGAGCAGATGTTGTCCGCGCCTCCAGTACTGCCTGCATAGCACAACACACTTTGCCTGTGAAGTGCACAACACCCAAATCCAAAAGTTGAACCTCACCCATTCGCTTTATGTTTCTTGACCAACGTGGCTGATTGCCAGTGAGCCCACCAAATCGGGTATCTATGCACGGAAAGTTAAAGTAGAGATTCTCTAGGAATCTGACTGGAATTTCGAGATGACAGGCTGACAGGCAGAAATGATGCACAGCACACAGATGTACCTGGCGGCCCTCTGCATGATCAAAGCTTTCCTGCAGAACAGTCGCCAGGCTGTACGCAAGCCGCTGCGCTCGTCTCAGCGGTGGATACAACTCATCTGCATGTAGCTGCTGCCCGGCTGCCTCCAAACCCTCGGCACCCTCTGAGCTGCTACTTTCTGCATGCGCATCGCGATCCAGCACTCCGCCAGCGCTGCTGGTGCTCCCAGCTTCCTCTGTGCTGGAAGCTTCTCTGGCAGGGGAAGCTGCTAGCGGGCTTCCTCCCGCAGGCTGGTCCTGAGACAGGCTTCTGGGGCGCAGCTGCAGGATGGGTGGAGGCAGCAGCACCTCTCTGACCACCCTCTTGGCCCTGGCTGCCAACACTACAATGCTGTCCAAAGTCTGCCAGATCAGACGCTCCAGCACCAATACATCCTCTAGTTCTGGTGATGGCTTTGCCGCTGTGGCTGCATGAGACCTCTGCGCCGCCTCAACCGCAGCCTTTGTTGGCTCCGACACGCCCTGCAAGCAACAGGATACAATTGGATACAAGATAAACACAGGACAAGCCCAGAGAGTGATTGATGTGCACACTAAGCGGCACCAAAAGATTAACCGTTGTCAAGACTTTGCTCAAAATGTCAGAGAAGGACTCACTCTTGAGCGTAGGCCTCTCTCACTGGTGGTGTTCATTCTCCTGGGCGCGTCGCTCAGCAAGGGGACATCCCCAGCATTGCCAGTCTGTCCTCCAAATTTTCTGTGGGCCAGGAGCTCCGCAGCCAAAGAAGCAACTTCTGCCGCTCTGTCTGCATAATCCCTCAACAGGTTGTTGACCTCCCGGTGCGCATTGTGACCTGCAAGACCCATACAAAATCATCTGACAGCCCTGCATGACATCTACGACCCCCTGCTTTGCCTACTGACGCTGCATGTGCACTCAGTACCAGGTGTACTTGCAGGTCTACTGCTGCACAGCTCTCCTCGCCTACCTTCTCGTTCAACTCTGGGATGACTAACGGATTGTGCAGCACTGATGACACCCAAGACCCGCAAGGCAATTTGTAAATATTACAAATCTCATTATTGCTGCTGAGGGAGCATCATATCAAAAACTCATTTTCGTGAGGAGGCAGTCACCCTCACACTGGTGTGTCAGTGACACAAATGCGTCCTGGCCGACCGATGGCCCACCCTTCTCCACAGTGAGGCCCTGCAGGGAGGCGAGCACGCTGCGCCAGAGTAGCTTGGGCGGCGCAAACATGCCCTCCTTGCTGCGCGTTCCCTCCCCTGGCTCTGCATTGCTCAGATCCTCGTCCACCACCAGGGCTCGCACCGGCGACAGCTCATACTCATGCCATACCTGCCCGTCCATGCCGGCACATGTCAGCACAGTGGATCACTTTTATCACGTTACGGTGAGCTGCATCGCTCCATGCTGTGCTAGACAATTGGTGAATGTATTGGATGCGCAAGGGATGCCGTGCACCTGAGACCAGCCAATGGCAGCAGCCATGGCCGCAGCATCCACAGTCTGCATGGCAGCAGACATGTCTATGTCTCCACTGCTCATGCATGCGTCCACGGCGTGCATGGCAGCAGTCCTCTGGCCGGCGACCTCTTCCTCATCAGGCCACACCTCCACATCAGCTCGCGAGTACGGCACAGCCTGTTGTGCCTTTACTACCTGCCCAGCATGCAACCAATGATGAGCTAATGGGCACCAAGAAAGGTCAGCTCAGTCAGGAAAAAAGACCTAAAAAATCAGAGATCTTTTGCCTGCTATGAGTTTTGACTCATTGTCCAGAAGTTTATGCTCAAGACAGACTTGATGAATGAAAGGCTCAACTCTCCGGTGTGCTGGCAAGGCAATGGGCAGGGTAGCTACACTCAATGAAAGGTGTGACAGCTTACCCTGATTCTGCAAACGCCCACTGCGAGCACCAGCAGTCGGCCATCCTTCATCCAGAGGAAGCTCAGTATTTCCATGAGCGAGCCCGTGAGAGGAGCTTTGCTTCCCGGTGCCAGCACGTACTCTGGGCTGCCCAGATTTGTTGAGCCACCGGGCAGGTAGATGTGCCCGAATCGCCATGGCCTTGGCCCAGCGAGAAGCTGTTTGAACATGTGGGTGTAGTGAGGGACATGCACATGCAGCACTGCCTGCATCACCATTCAGCAAAATGATCAGCCACAATCAGTCCATGCTAAGTCATTTATCGGCAGTGTTAATGCACACTGCTGCCACAAAATGGCAATGCTGGGGATGGCACCTGTGCACCAGGAAGCGCTGCTGACTGTATTCTCCACAGGGGCAGGTTGGGAATGATTTGCGAAGCGCCAATCGGCTCAGCGTCATCCATGTCTGCAACCGTTTTTCAATCTCAAGCCAAGATAGAGCAGGGCTGTCTCTTTGGTAAACTAATCAGCAAAAAGATGGGAAAGTAATTTACCAGGCTCAGCTGTGTCTGACAGCTTCAAAAGAAATTCCAGCTGCTTCCTTTGCTGCCAGAGGACGTTATCTTCATTGGATCCATCAAATGCCTTGCAGACAGTGCTGCAACACCATGAGGGACTCCTTTGGCTTTGTCCCTTCAAAGCAAGGGCATGGACCTGATGTGGCTTGAGCCCCATTCTGACAGTCGACCAGTCTAGGATTGCTATAGATGCAGTAGGTACACATTTCACTGACATCAGAGGCTTACGCTGACCACAGCCTGTAAATAAGTCTGAGATACACTTGGACATTGGAGGTGAAGCCATGAGGTCACAAGTGAGACTGTGAAGTGCTGCACATGACAAATAAGACTATCGACTTTCTATAATGAATACAGAATAGAGGACATAAGCGGTCGAATTGCTTGCAAAGAGGGCCCTGGTCGGGTGTCCAAGATTTGTTGGGCCATGAGTCATCCACGTCATGGAGCATGACAGGGGAACGTGGTGCTCGGGTTTCATCGGTGTTTAAAACAGGAAAGACAATTCCTTTTGGAGTATCGCAGATGGTTAGAGGAGGCAATGTTAAAGGACAAGAGCAATTTACTCCAACTGGGAAATACTGATCCTTGACCAGATCGCTTCCTTCTGAACTCCATATCAGGCTGTTAGGACTGCAGCATATATCATATACCAGCAGAGTATATTATTATTTTCACATCGAAGCTCAGAAACCAATCGCGGTTTGATCTTGTGCAAAAAACAGTCATGGCATTGGCAGGACGATGTGGTACCTCGGCATGGAAACATGCATTTAGGTCTGCAATGAGATGCACAGCCAGCTTCTCTACTGCCCCACCGACAGCCCAGAGCAATGGCCGAACTGCTCTTGTTCAGGGTGCCTCCAGAGGCTTGGGACTGGAATTTGTGCGTCAGCTCTTGGACCGTCCAGGGCAACGGCAAGATGCCCATAACCTTCAAACTTATTGTTCTATTATGAATACCGCACGACGTGTGCAGCAGCAATTCCCCCCCAATGTCCTCAAGGGCCATGCATGCCAGAGCGTAAATGGTTCAACATGAGCATCACTGTCTTAACGGCACATCCCATAAATAGACTGCCATTTCCTGCTTTACAGGGTCATAGCAGCATGCAGGAACCCCGACCAGGCAACGCAGCTTGCAGAGCTGCAAGCCAGCAGCTCTGGTCGCCTGGATCTTGTGCAGCTGGACTGTACCAACGAGGCATCAATTGCCAGGGCGGCAGCCCAGGTGTCAGCCAAGCACAAGCACCTAGATCTCCTGCTGAACGTGGCTGGCATCCTCCACATCCCAGGGAAAATGTCTCCAGGTGCTGATCTTACCTTCCTGTGCTTCCTGAAGCAGGGTGGCTACCTGATTAACCACCATACGTGTTTGTGTCATCGTCACAACACCACCTACAGGGCGATCATTAAGGATGCGGGCACACTGACACAGTTCGCCTTGTTTGCGCAGAGACTGCGCTGTCACGAGTCACTGCCTCAAATCTGCTAGAAAATTTCCAGATCAATGCTTTAGGCCCCACCCTGGTGTCAAAGGTGCGCCATACCTTTGACTCAGTGCTTAAGAGGTGCAATTTTGGACAGATTTCTCTACGGCTCCCTTTGCAATACTGTATGGCATTGCAAGTGAAGACCACATTGCTGTTGATGTCACTCTGCAGGAGTTTGCACCACTTCTTAGCAAAGCCACTCAGGCCAGTGGAGCTTCCAGGCACGACCCCTCAGAGCAGAAATTGCTTTCGCACTGCATAAGATATGTTAAATGGAGATTGAATGCCCAATGATTGTTGCTGAAAAACTTTCTGTGATTTACAGAGAAAGACCTGCTGTCATTGCAAACCTCAGTGCGCGCGTCGGAAGCATAGGGGACAACAGTTTGGGGGGCTGGTATTCGTACAGGTGAAGCCTGCTCTTTACCATGCATTTACCTGAAAGCTGCTGCCTGTGACTCAAGTCACAATGCCGCGGAGGATCAAGTCACTTGCGCTTTCCCTGCAGAGCGAGCAAGAGCGCTCAGAACCAGCTGTCGAAATGCATGTCGGTGGAGTTTGCACGGCGCAAGCAGAACGTGGCTGTGGTGATGCTGCACCCAGGCACTGTAGACACAGATCTGTCAATGCCATTCCAGAAGGTGAACCTCGCCATCCCTTGTGTTGGCACTTCATTGGAGTCTCTTGCATCGCATGACATTGTCCCCATACCACATACCATGGCAACCAGTGGCTGTGATCAAGGAAGATTACTCGAGGTCTCATGGCAAGTACTGATCGTTTCCATTTGGTGCGCAGAATGTGAAGCCAGAAAAGCTCTTCACCAGAGAGCGGGCTGTGAAGCAGCTGCTTGACATTGTGGACAAGGTTACGATGGACGACAATGGCCGATTTATAGCATGGGATGGACAAGAAATCCCTTTCTAAGGATACATTTGAAATGTCAGAATTCTGCAAGGGGCCTGAAAACCATCCCCTTGAAGGTCGGACGCTTGTCTTTTATTCGTTCAAGACTTCAATACTGTCAATACAATGTTCTGCCAATATTGCTGATAATGATGTCAACTTTCGATGTGAAGTGCCTTGTTGACAAGGGTGAATTGATGAATAAGTCCTCAAAGGATATCACTTGACAAGGAGCTCAGTGCGCCAGTATTGTATAGTGTCATGCTGCCTTGGCTTCCGGACTTTGGAAGCCTTGCGGAAATTTGTTCTCTGCCATTCTTGCAGAAGACACGCTCTGCCAGACAAGGACGCCATTCAAGACTGCTTGCACAACGGCGCCTGCAAGGTTGATGAGATCCTGCAAGCATGCACATGCAAATGAAATGGATGCCACGAAGTACACCACAAACCAATCTCAAGAGGCTCCTGTCATCTGTTGGTGATATTTGCAGCATTCTTGGCCCGGTGCCATTCTATCGGGCCTCTTCATTGTGGCATTTTAATCTTACCTGTGTCAGGATCAGGGTTGTGAATATCCTTGCGAGGTTGCCAGCAAAGTTAAGGCCGCTGGTGACTGGCGACAGCTCTCCAGAATTGCCTCTCCGGATATTGAGCATGATCTGAGGTATTCTCCCTCCCAAGGATATTATGAGGATTGTGGACGCCTGCAACACTGTATGACATGAACAGAACTGGTCAGCCCAAGCCAGGGGTTGTGCATGGGTGAATGAGCAGTAAGGAACACCAGTGTGCTGTGCATGGGCTGTGATAAAGCTTTTATCAAACTTGCCTGCAAGTGCCTGTCTGCTCACTGCTCCAGACATGAGCGCCCAACAGCCAGCACCAATAACAATGCCAGATAAGACCGTCTGTTTCCATAAGCCTGCCCTGCGACGCAGTAGTGGGTTTCTCAGCACGGATGCTGTTCTCAGAGGTGAATCTATTGAAACAGGGAGGACGTATGCCCAACATCTGGCTCAAGCTACCTGTATCTAGCCATCAAAAAAATGAGGACGACGTCCTGAATCCAGCAGGCCGCTGTGTCTCCATATGTGCTAAAAGCATAACCTGTACCAAGCTTTAATATCAGATGATTCAAGCCCCATGATGCATGTAACACCTGTTCAATTTTACTCTGATAAGATGCCTGGGGTGAGAGGGCACACCGTGATCAACATTATATGCTACTGTGATGCTGTATGCCACAAGCTCTGCATACTGAGCTGCCAATGATATTCCTTCCACACTGCAAGATTTGCAGTCTTTAAACCGTTCCCATGTCAGCATAATTGTGAACAAAACTCGGTACAAAGCGCACAGGCACGCACCTCTTATTCCTCAAGATGCGCACAATTTGCGGCACGCTCCTTGTGAATGATCCAGCCACAACGCAGTATCCCTGTTGGAATTGCACTAGACATGGGCTTGGGAAAGAACCCATGCGCCTAGCCTGTTGGCGAACTGATGATATCATGCAGCTGGTGACGTGTGCAAAGATATGGACTCACCAGCAGCCTTGCCAGAAACTGGGTTGCTGTGGGCTGTGTAGCTGCAAGACTGGCCCTGATCAGTGTTGCTCCTCGCCTCCCCTTGCCTGCAGACAACTGCTGCATGCACATAGCTATGATCCACGGCATCAAGACCAACCAAGACTGGCTGAAATTGGCAAAACCGTGAATTTCGACATCAGTTCCTCACCCTCTTTCTCTGTGTAAGGTATTGACTTCTACTATTATTGGGCCATTGGTACATCCGATGCCGAACGGCATTCCGAAGATTGAAGGCTCCAGAGCACCTGCCATATCAGCGCTTGAATGTAAAGATTAATATTCCTCATCAATTTGAGGCGAACATGATCCCAAATGCTTTTTCAATATTGGCAGATCTCGCGTGGGTATGCATGCGAGTGCTTTGCTGCTCACCGTAGTTGCGATACATCAAGCACTGCTGTAAATAATCTCGATGGAATGTGCTTGGATTGATGTCCAGACTGTTTTCGGAATGATCTCTTCAAACCAGTAAATTTGTGAGTGCGCAACATCTTACACACACAATGTGTATTTCACTTTGCACTACTTGATGCTTCTGAGAATCGCAAGCCGTTCAATTCGAACCTGGAGACGTGCTTTTGGTACAGGTGCATACTTGTGAAGGATCAACAGATGCTTCACAGCTGCATCACCGTTATTATCCCAGCCCTTACTGCATGCTTTACAATGCATGCCCTAGAAATCAAGCTCTGAGCGCAGAGCAACACCTGCCCTCAAGTTGTCACGAGCACGAGTACAAATGAGACTTGGTGAGACCATCAAGCCACCACCAGCATTGAACTGCAGCGAAGCCTCCAGCATGAGAGGACCAGCGCTCCCGGGCATGGGGCTCTGTCTGCAGCTTGATGCGCCCCTGCGCAGCCCAAATGGGTGAGAATTTGGAACCTAACATGCATATTCACCGGACGGTGCCTTGTGACAGTACACACACAAGCCGCTGTGTACTTGAAAGACTGATGGTACCAGTCAGCAAGACAGCTGAGGTGCCCACCTTCCAAGAGATAATCCCCAGCCGTCACCGTCAGGTGAGGGAATGGAAGATGCAGTCAGACCCCAGTCCCGCTGCACAAAACTCCTTGCGCCACTCAGGGCCAGCCAGCCGCTCAGAGCAAATTCATCATACTTCGACCTCCAGGCTCCTTCAAACATCACACAGGCTCAATCAAGCATTTGCCACATGACCACTGCATGTATTTCCAGTAAAGATGACCAGACAATCCATTTGGATATGAGAGTTCCTTTATGAAGCACCTGTTATGCCAAGGCTGTTGGCAGCCTGTGGATGCCCTTCCTGTCCGCTGCTGCTGCTGTTCTCTGGCACCTGGGAATCTGTGGCTCTTGATCCGTCGACTCTGGTTGCTTCTCTGCGAGTTGGCGGTGCAGGCGGGCTCATGTGTCTGGCAGCCACCAAGCCCAGCGCAAGCTGCTGTGTCGGAGCACAATCAAGCTGCAGCATTGAGGTGCTTGTCGGCTCTGCATCAAAGTCATCTGCAGAACACCAAACAACAATGTAAAGCCACATGAAAGCTAATGACATTCCACAAAGCAACAGAGCTTCCAGCCCTGTTGCCAAATTTTGTCATGAAGAAAGAGGAGAACTGCCTCACCCAGAAACCCTCTGTAAAAGGGGCTAGAAAATATTGAATACAACAGCAGCACACGTACCTGTGCGTCTGAGATGGCCAGCAGAGAATGTGAACCCATCTCCCTTGTAGCTGCAGCCGACACCCTCACCAGAAGCTTTCTGGTGGATGGTGCACCCACGCCGCATGAGGGTAGTGACACCTCGGTCTGCATTTCAAGAAATGTGATCTTCAGAGGGTTCAAACCTTTAGCTCTGACCATTTCATCACTGGTGCCACCCCACATGCGCTGTCTCTTGCACGAATGTTTTATTAATGCTGTGCTCTTCAATTGGAGCGGCACTGGGCCGCACCTGCCTGGGGGTTCAGGGTTGCTGCCACATCATCCCCTCTGCCGTTGACCACTGCAAAGAGCACTTTGAGACGCTCTGACAGCGCCCATCGACACAACACCTGCACCCAACACTGAACTATCAAGCGGCATGGATTCTAGGCACAAGCTCCTCTGGCTACTTAAACTGGGCGTTTCGAGAGTTGGAGAGATGTCAGACGAGGGACGAATACGTGTTTGTATCTGCTCAATGCTTTCTGCCAGATTGGGTGGGTGCCAGGTGGTTGTCAAGAATGCTTGCCTTGTGAAGGATGGGGTCCACTGCTTCGCCATCTTTGGGTGGCGAGGTGAAGCGGAGCTGCGCACTGAGCGAGTTCCTGCTGTCTTGCGACACAGTGGACAGGCTGATGTGCATTGCAGGTGGCTGGTAGTGGTCGTCGTCAAACGCTGACTCCCCACTTCCGGTCTGCATCATTCCATCGCGCCAAGTGAAGATGGGGATGGCAGCTTGCATTGAGCCAGCAAAGCCTTACTATGCGGTAGCACTTTTAGAATCCAAATGTCGATGTTAATAGAACCATTCATGTTGGCCATCCACGTAACATCCCTGAAGTTGACATTGAGACTGAGTTGTACCAAAGCCAGCTAGAGTTTGTTCTACAGCCTTCACTTGGTTGGCAAGGCTCACCTCCAGGGAGACATACTCCCGTCCATACACCAGCTGCCCGGACACCTGGACTTGCGAGCGGCCTGAGGTGCCTGCAGCTGCTCTGTTGCGCCTGGCAGAGCCACCCAACACTGAGGCCCCAGCTGCTGCTCCCGTGCCAGATGCATCGCTGTCCTGCTCAACAGCGTCCAGCCGTTCGCTGATGCGCAGGAGCTGCTCGAAGGCATCCCTCTGCAAGCGCTTCAGCGCGCATACGTCTTCCCTGTCACAAGCCAAAGAAATGCCCAATCTGGTCACCACACTGTAAAGGATTACGAGCACGACACAGAGCCTTGCAGAAGGCCAGAAAATAGCCCTGCAATCATGCCTAGGTGATATTTGGCACAGCAAAAATTGAAGTCAGGACCACACTCAGGATCCTTCAAGGTGATATACAGTAGTCTAGACCTCACCTAAGCTCTGCCCGGGTAACCCCTGCATTGCCGCCTCTGCTGAAGGGGCTGGCAAGCCATATCCGCAGCCTTTCCAGAGCGCCTGGAGTGCTCTGCTGGAGTTGCTGCGGCTCTGCAGGAGCATGATCTGGGTATTCTTCATCTGGCCATGACTCATGCGCAGAGTCCTCGAACAGCTGCTTTGCAAGCTCATGAATGTCATGTATGCGGCCGTCATTCTCGCTTGCTGCTGCTTCTTCCACTGCCTCTGATTGAGTCTCCACAATTATACCGGACAATTGCCAGGCAAAAAGGAAGGAGACCAGCAACCAGAACTTTGGCCGATTCACTTGATCTATCAGTACACGCATTTCAAACAATATCCATCGCAAGAAAGGTCCTGAGCTCCTCTGGTCATCATGACCACCTCCACCACCATTCCCAGACCCTCCATTCCCTCCACCGCCACCACCGGTGTTGCTGCCAGAGAATCCACCGTTACCACTCCCTGCTGTGCTGGAGTCTTTTACAGATGCAGCTGGTGCATCAAGGCCATCGGAGGTGGAAAAGAATTCTGATGGTTGACCAGTCCCGTTCTGACCCAGTGCGCTGAGGCTGCTCTGCTTGCGACCTTGGAGCGCCTGTTCAAAGCAGCGATGTTTGAGACAAAATGCTCTCACATTTTGCAGCGGGATGTTCTGAGCTTGTCTAACACAGCTTGGAACTGCTATTCCTGTCAAAGTGATGGATCGGTTAAAATTTGGTGGATACATTCGATATCACTGTGGAATTTCTATCAACATCTCTTATGAGATAAGCAACGCCTCTTGACAAAGAGACAACAATTCATCTGCAGCCGATTTGGACTCTCATCGAGGTGAGTTGCATGCCGGGTCAGCTTCCACATGTTGCGAAGCTGCCAATCATGATAAGAAGGCAGGGAAGAAAATAGCTGGCATTTTCACGCCAAAGTGGCGTAATCTAGAAAATAATCCGGGAAAAGTGGCAGATTCAGGCGATGCTTCGCATCGCCATTACATCGCTGCACATCTCCAGAGAGCCCATTATGGGCGCTGACCATGTGAGCTTCGTAATTGCACATCAAAGACATGACTTCCTGGGTGGAAGCATGCTGTGTTGTACACCGATCCAAGAAAATTACACAATCACAGGACGTGGCCAAGTATGATGCCATCACAGCTTCACCACGAGATTGATATGATGAAGCCGGCATAGCACAAGTACACTGGCCATACTGGTGCCAGCAGCTATCTGATAGGAAAGCCTCCACTGGTAAATTCTGTGTTAAACTCAAGAGTGCTCCATTGATGGTAAATCTATCCATGCGCAAAGCTGAGCAGTCCCACTGCGATCACCAGAAAGAGGTCCTTCTTCCTCTATTTGTTTACTGTGCTGTTGACGTCAGTAAAGCACTGCAAGATTGTCAGCTTCTTTCTCTACATCCGTTGGCTGCAATTAGCAGGAAGTATGATGGACAATTCAACGTCCATCTTCAAGCAGCTACAGCTGTAGCCTCCTCCATGTCCTTCTCAAACTGCTCTCTGAGTAGCTGGCGGGGAGGAAACTCTAGCTTGCGCTGTGTCTTCCTGCTGCCGGGCTGCACTCTTTGGCCCTCAGGAATCACGTAAGTCGACGTCGGGATCACACTGACCTGCTCCATAGAAAGTAGCATGTCAGTCAACTGAGCAGGTCTGCCAAACACATCCACGAATGCATGGCAATCTGAAGCACAATAGTGCGATCAAATCTGTGAACACATGCACACAAGAGCGCACCCTCTTGATGTACTTCGTCTTCTTGAAGATGACGATGCCGGAGTCCAGAGCGAACAGGGTGTGGTCCTTGCCAAGCCCTACTCCAGGTCCAGGGTGGAACTGCAGCAGAGCATCATTTGTCAGACATGTCACGCACACAAACGGTAGCTGTACGACCATACACTCAACGACCGGCTTGTCAAGGAGATATACCTTTGTGCCCAGCTGCCTCACGATGATGCCACCCGCCTTCACCGGCTGTCCTCCATAAACCTTCACCCCCCTCATCTGAGGGTTAGAGTCCCTGTCCACATGAGAGAAAGAGTCTGAGAGAAGAATAAGTCCCTCATCTAATGACCTGCTGGCTCCAGTAGAGCTTACTTATTGCCTGAATACAAACAGAGCCCTTCTTTCCACAATAAAAGAATCCATCTTCGAGGTGCACCGATTAAACTTCTACATCTGCGCACACACCTTCCATTCTTTGTGCTTCCACCTCCCTTTTTGTGTGCAGCCTCAATGTTGGGGCATCCTACACTTCTCTGCAGGGGTGGGCATCTGTGAGTGCTCTGAAGCTGACTAGGTTTCCCAGCGAGAAGGCTGCAGCTGGATGTCAGCGACAACCCGGTAAATGCTGTCGCCAGCATCTTGATCTGTCCTTGCAAAATGTCCTCGAGATCTTCAAGTTTCAGAGAACGCAAAAGCAACACGCCACCACAAAATGGATGAGGCCCAGTCGGCGGCGTTGGGCGGAAAGCCATGCTGAAGCGGCGTTCCTGGGCTGCGTTCGTGCTCGGTACATTCATAATTCATCTGTCCTATTTGATTGTGATTCGTATGAAGCACTACTAGTTTGAAATAGAGGTATCATTAAAACGTTGATTGCAACAGGATCAGCATTCGCTTTTCAGTAGACTGAGTAATTCTAATGATGATGAAGAGCAGAAAATTTAGAAAAAAGGTGACAGATGATGCAGCACAAGGAGAGGATGATCAAGCTTCGATTCCAATTCAACCTGCAGTTGCTGCCAGCAAGCGACAGCGCGAAAAGGTCAAAGTGAAGAAGCAATCTGGTACTGGGAAAATATTGCTGAGCTTTGGAGATGATGAGGAGGCACATGGACCCATACTTGAGAAAAAGACAGGAAAACTCAAGGCATCGGGAGTGCAAACCACGACAACTGCGATCGCCGGATCAAAAACCACGCAGATTTCTGGACCAGGTGCTCAAGCTTGACGAGCATTTCTAAAGGCATCGCTCACCATACATGTCGAACGTGCCGTTTGTGCTGGTGACATACTGAAAGTGAATCGATGTGTCACAGGTGAATACAGTGCAGAGCGCCTCAAGGAGCTACAGAAGAACACCGTGCAGTTACCAGCTTCCAAGAAGCCTGACAAGCCATCATCTGAGTCCATTTTCAAGCTCTCTGGCAGCTTCAAGTCTGCAACTGCTCCGAAAGATGACCGTTTTGAGACAACCACGCATGTGGTAAACATGCACCCTGCACAGAGGCTGCACTGGTTCAGAAATGACTTTCACAGGAAGGGATGCAAAGTGCCTGGATGATGAATACTTTCTTCATTGGATGCAGATTCCACACAATGATGAGGAGGAGCAGGACATGCCGCCACCGCCTCCTCGTCCTAAGTCTGCGGCAAATGGCACAGGCAGCCACATCTTGCAGCAGCCTTGCGCTGCAGCCCCTGACGATGACGACGATGATGTGTTTATTCCAGATGCTGACACAATCAGGTGCGTTGTGCCCAGCGGGACAGAATTCCAACAGGCAAAACAAATTGCGTCCTTTAAACTCGCTGGTGGTCTAACAAATTGGGAGAATTGCTAAACTTTGCCGAATATGTTGCTCCGTGCAGGAAAGCCAAGGAAAAGAGGGAACGGTTGCGGTCTGCACATCTGGCGCCAGACTACCTCCCCTTGGGTGGCACCAACGCTTTGATGTCCAAGGATGGCAAGGAGCAAGTTGGTATGCGCGGTGCGTATATCCCCAATTTGCTGCAGGCATGTTGAAGTTCACGAGAATGGAGGTTCTGAGACCTTGTTGGGCATCGCCTTGTGTCACTCAATATCTACTGGCCTGCGGCGGCAGGAGGCAGTGATAGTGAGGAGGAGGCAGAGGAGCAGATGCGTATCAGCTTCTTGGGCGATGTCAAGAAGGGTGGAAGGGCGAGCAAGGGGGTACTGGCAGGTGTAGCAGATGAGGTGTGCCCATACTTCTCACTTAAGCATTATCTTACATTTTACCCTTTTCAAATAAGACTAGGACAATCTGCTCTGTTATGGCGATGTGCTGCTGCAAGAGTCGAGGTGGATGCTACCTTCTGTCAGCGATAATAGCAACGCTGTTGCTTTGTTTCCAGGTGCATCAAGGGGATGAGGAGGATGAAGAGGACTGGGCAAGGGAGCAGCTGCGGAAGGGCGTGGGTCTGTCGGCCGATCAGAGGCCCAGCACATCGGGCCGTGGGGCCATGAATGGGCGCGCACTGGGGGAAACCCCGGCTGCTACAGCGCTGGCGGCTCGGCCGCAGAGCGAGGCGGTCGCATCGGCTGGGGAGGAGGTCCTGAAGGCCCTACGCCAGGGCCTTGCACGGCTGCAGGCAGGGCCCTTCAACATTCAGTCAACTTGATTACCCATGCATGCGATGGGGAGCATCACAGAGAACGTTACAATCAACCGCTGTGTGCTAGTGTCATGAGCGAGACTGTGTTATCTGCGCGGTGCAGGCGACACAAACTGGGACAGAGAAGCAGCTTGCGCGCACAGCGGTCAGCCTGCAGAACAGCATGGCGGCCGTGGCCAGCCTGGAGAAGGATCTCAGCGCAGCCGGGGAGAAGTTCACCTTCCTGCAGGACATGCGGGCATACATCGCCGACCTGTGCGACATGCTGCAGGTGTGCCCCTCCACCTTCTCCTCATTGCAGCCAAGATGCTTCGCCACCGATGGCACTCAATGAATGATGAGTGCTGCACAATGGATAACTACACAGTAAGACTTACAGTGCATGTGAAGCCAATCACTCATCATCTGTCGTTGCCTTCTTGCAATGCAGATTTCTTATGAAGCGTTGCGCTTGCTCAACAAGGCAGCAGGATAACATGGACACGTGGGTGATCATCAAGGCCTTGTGTATTGCCTTCTGCCGCAATGAGTTGTATCCGATGCCAGAACTGCTGTGGTTTTCTGTGGCTCCGAGCGCTGTTGGGGTGTGCTGCAGCAAAAGGCAGCGCTGGTGGAAGTGCTGGAGGACCGGCTGCTGGAGGCGAGGGAGCACCGCGCGGTGTCTGCGGCTGAGCGCAGCGCGGCGGATGAGGAGGAAGAGGAAGGCCCCGCCTCCGCCGCCGTCTCTGCCGCCATGGGCGTCCTCGGCCGCGGCGGCACGCCCATCGGCACGCCCTGAGCCTCCATCTTGCAGAATTTTGCATTGTACCTGTTTGGTTCTGGCATTTTCAGGAGATGCTAGCCTGAGTCGGACATCTTTGGAGATCACTGCGTTGTAGTGACTGCTCCTGAGATACACAGACTCATGCTAGCCTCTGGAGCATGCTGGACTGTTCCCATGTTTGAGAAGGCTAAACATCTGCTTTGAACAGTGGATCTGTCGTGATCACCACATGGGGCATCAAAGCAGGAATTTACTGGTGTGTGTCACAGCGGCGGGGGCCGCGGCTGAGTCAGCGGCCGGGCAGGCCGAGGAGGAGCTGGCGGGCAGGTCGGGGCCAGCTGAGCTGGACGAGTTCGGGCGCGATGTCAACCTTATGAAGCACAAGGAGGCCGAGGCGCGCACACAGCGGCGTCGCGAGCGAGCTCAGCGAGAGCTCGATCGCTTCAGCCGCGAGCAGGTGCGGCTGCCAGGCTCTGTGGAACCCACCATCGCCGCTCAATTTCTTGAACTTGTTCCACTTTTCAGCGTGGCCATGCAGAATAGATTCACCCTGTGCTCCCTTGAAGGAGTGTTTGGGTAGGTTTCTGGTCCTCTCACTCTCACTAAACAATCGCTCAAAATGTTTGCAGTTGTTCCATTGGAAGGCATCGCATGGCCATACTTTAGGATGTTGAGCATGCCTGCTGCATGCAGAAGAGGCCACGGTCAGAGGTAAACTTCCAGGGGTGCGCAGCGGAACGGTTGGCCGAGGTGTGGGTGTGTCGAGCAGGGCGGGGTGGAGCCGAGGTGGGGCGAGGATACGACAGATGAGAGCGAGGGTGAGGTGGCGCACTACAACGGGCGCAGGCGGGAGATAGTGGACAGCGCCGTTACAGTGTTCAACGATGCTGCCGAAGAGTTCGCCTCCCTGCCTGCCTTGAAGGCGCGGCTGGAAGCCTGGAAGACCAGCCACAGCAGTGAGCACCCCGCCCTCCCTTCTGCTTGCTGATCAAAATGTTCAACACAAATATGTGGACCAGCAGGAGAGCCGTGCTAGGAAGGGATTCCTTTGATGCGTACAAGCCCTGCAGAAGTCTGTCCTCTGCCATCCTTCCTGACAGATTGGGTGTCAGACTCCCGTGACTTGCAAGATTCCCTCAATGTGTGGTCAATGATGCTTGCAGGCACGTACAGGGACGCATACATGTCCCTGAGCGCAGCGGCGGTCTTTGCGCCCTTTGTGCGAGCGGAGCTGCTGCAGTGGGACCCCCTGTACGCAGGCCCTGCTGGTGTGCAACTATTCCACATTTCACCGAAGTACTAATAGATGATTGACCAATGAAATTGTTGTTTCAAACATTAAGATACGGGTTGGATCTGGCTGAACGTTCGACTGAACACTGCCATTGTGGAGGAGTTTGGGTGGTGGGGATTCGACTTGGGCGCTGTCGTGTCGCGCAGGCTTTGACGGGCAGCAGTGGTACGGGCAGTTGTTCGATTACGGCATGGCGGCCTCCGCGGGGCCGGGGGATACGGACGAGGAGCTGGTGCCCAAGCTGGTGCGTGAGCTTGTGCTGCCGCTGGCGCATCACGCTCTGCGCTCTGTGTGGAACCCGGCCAGCCGCCGCCAGACGAAGGCTGCTGCCGCGCTGCTTGCCGACCTGCTCGTCTATGTGCCACCCGACGACCCCAAGATGCAGGTGCTGCAGCCAGCCTCTGCGTGCTTGAATCGTCGTCATTAAAATTTTCGGTGTACCGGTTCAGCATCATAAGTGTACGTGTTCAACATCAGAAGTCTTGCATTGTGGCCACTATGCAGTAGCGCAGATGCTGCTTGTGATACCATCATCTTGAATGTTAGGCATCACTTGCAATGCTGAAGCAAAGTGCGTCTCAATCGATGTGTTCTGAGATGTGGAATCTCATTTTGGTGCCAGGATTGCCTGGCGGAGGTTCGGTCGCAGCTGGAGGAGGCGGTGCAGAGGCTGCGGCTGCCCAAGTGGCCGCGCGCAGCTGCCAGCACATGGCGGCCGGCCTCCGTGCTGCTGGCTCGCCGCTTTGGCAAGGCGCTGCGGCTGCTGCGCGCTGTCGCGGCCTTTGAGGGCACCCTCGCTCGCGGCCCCCTCTGCGCGCTCGCCTTTGAGCGCCTGCTGCCTCAGGTACAACTGCGCCACATGTGCGCCAGCACCTGTTCACTTCTTCCTGGTTGGCTTTTTTCAACATCATGCATCTTGACATGCACCTGCAGAGTTGTGCAAGGTGTTCATTGCCCCTTGGAATGGGCCGGCCTCTCCACAAGAGGGAACTGCTGATATTACCAAGAATTGATGAGCTGAACAGGGGCGTGTGTGCTGCAGGTGCTGCCATATCTGCAGACGACGGCGTCTGATCTGCCGGTGGCGCTGGACAGAGCCGAGCGGCTGGCGGCTGCGCTGCCGGCCTCGTGGTTTGAAGCCGGGGCGCCCAAAAGCGCGCAGGGGCTCCTGGACTTCCTGGGCGGCCTCGCTCGTCACCTGGAGTCCCAGCGCACGGACAAGAGGAACGCGCCTCACGCGCAGCGCCTGGTGCAGATGCTCACCAAACTCGGTGACACCGCCCGCGCTGGCCGCCTCGCAGCGGCGTACGGGCCGTGAGCGGGCTGCCAGACAATTAGCTGTATTCTCTGTGAGAATATGTGCACTTCAGATCTTTGTTTAAGCTCATCTTGGCCCTCACCTTGAGGGCTTGAGCTCACTCTTGATCAAGGCATTCGCGGGCTGATTCCGATGAGCCAGTCAGCTCAGCCGGTAGAGTGCACCCTAGCTTTGGCCCCTTGCATGTTGGCAAGGATGGGCCTGAAACAGCAGGACTTGTAAGGAACGGAGTGGGCTTTGATAGGTTTGGGCATAAATTATGAAATAAGGAAGGAAGGAAGGAAGGAAGATTACATCACTCCAGCCGCCTAGGGCTGATTGGATGAACTGGCAGCATCCAAATAATCAAAACAATCCATCACAAAATGTGCAACACCAACAATGTCCAACTGCCACATGAATTGCTGCATCGTCACAATGGCTGCACCAAACAGCCCAGGATATCTGTCCCGAACAGATTGCAAGGCAGGGCACTCAAACACAAGGTGGCGCTCATCCCCAATAACCTGCTGGGCACAACGCATGCACAAACGCTGGGGCCGGGGAATCCTTGCCCAGCGGCCCGAGACATTGGGCAGACTATGACAACCCATCCTGAACTTCAACAGTATACGCAAGCAACGGGCACTCAAAGGCTGCTGTAAGAGCTGGCAAGGGTGGCGCACACAAGCTGGCCTAGCAAACCATCAAACCATCAATAATGGTGGCAATTTGGGAAATTTGCATAATGTCAACATTTTAAGGGACGCCGCCGTACGCGCTGGCAACAATTTCGGGGCTTGAACTTCAAGCCAACAGCTCGTCCTCCTCCAGTTCTCCTCCACCTGTTCATTCACGGAATCCAGAAGCCAGAATCACTCAGGTCCATCACCCCAATCTTTGTATTGCTGCTGAAGACAAGACATCTGCTTCTCGACACAGCAACAGAAGCACGGGAGAGCCTCGCAGGCTGCCCAAAGAGTGCGGACCAGGTGTGTTAACCATGTCTACCTGAACAGGCGCAAAACATGAACTTTGACCGAATGAAAGGCTCTCAGAGCTCTCGGCACGGTTTCTTCAAACGCTTGACAGTGCCTGACTCACCGGCATTGCACTCCGTCAGGGTTGCTCTTTCGAGCCAAAAAGAGACTGATGGTCACCTGGGGCCTCAATTAAACCCTGCCATGTTCTCATGCAGTGCAGTTATCAAGTATGGAGACGTCTGCATGCCGTCCTTCCTCAATTATAGCACCAGCCCCAGCGACCACAACCACATCAGGTTCAGAGTTTGACAAAGCAGAGCCTGAGCGGTGCCGAAGCAAAACTTTCGAAGTTGCACATGAGCACGACAAAGAGAATGGTAAGCTGTGTTTGGTGCTCAAACAGTTGCAATACTCTGCTTTGTATCTAGGTCAAACTCCTTGCAAGTAACAATGGGAAAGCAACACGTGCAGTGTTCCACGCATTTAAGAACGAAAATGCTCTATGCAGATCAATTCACGCATTGGATCCTAACATCCCTTGTGCTGTGTCTCCCTGCAGTGCCCCCTTCACACCAGAGCTTGGGGAGGCTAGGAGCTGCAGCAAGCAAGGGATCGCTGGCAGCTAGTGGCAAGCGCAAGAGGATCCCACTGCAGGACGTCACCAAACTGTATGCCAGCGACAGAAACTTCCACCAGAGCGTGCGTATGTTCAGATGAGACCAATCTGGGGCTGTACAAGTAGAGTCAATCCATGCAGAACTGCGGAGTGTTTACATGTGCTGTTGCATCCCAGATGCTACAGCAGTCGGAATAGGCGAGTCCTGTGCAGCAACCTATCCCTTGTGTCCTAGATGCAGCTGTTGAATGCAGTGCAGTCGCTTCTTGTTGGCCACACGTTGTGATCACATACGGAAAGTATCATGACGCTTCATTGAGAACATTTAAAGAAAATGATGATGCTGTATGGAATGATTAACTTGGTAATTTGCAAGAGTGGCTTGGAGCCAAATGTTGTCCTGCATGTGTTACCAGCAGAAGCTGAAGCTTGCACCAATCAAGATGTCACAGAGGTTTAAAAGTACACCATTTAAAGACACAAGACAGGCAGGTGGATGCATTAATATTATAGCTGTAGTGTCAGTACTGCACTACCTGCATCCCTTGAGCCTGTGCTTTAAAGACAAACCTAGAACAATATACCGATCAGTCATGACAAGAGGTTGCCGCTCTACATTTGATTGGAAAGTAGACATGGCTGATGTATGCCTGGGCAGCAGGGCCCTGGCTCACACCCAATCCAACATCTCAAACCAGAGGCTCCAGGAACGTACATACTCCACTACAATTCCATTCCATCGCCCCACATCCCAGATCCACCTTGACACTCTGCAGCACGAGGCCTGCGCCGTCTGCTCAGGAAAACCGTTAGGTCAAACCACGCCATTGCAATATTAATATTGCAATGGCACCCAGTTGGCCCGTCACCATTGCGGTGGTGCAATATTGCACCACCGCAATGTTTACCATTGCAATGGGCGCCCAGTTGGCCCGTCACCAGCTGCCGCTGGCTCCGGCGCCGCCGCTGCTGGACCCCCCTCCAAAGTCGGTGGATGCCCCGAAGGCACCGCTGGCCGCATGAGCATGGCGTGCGTCGCTGCTGAGCTGCTCTGCGCGCACTTCCACCCAGTCCAGCGTCGATCCGCTGCGCACCTGCGCCGCCCACGCCGCAGCGATGTCCGCTGTGATGATGTACGGGTACAGCCTGCATCCGCACAAACCTAAACTCTGCTTAGCTGTATGTAAGCAGCATGCAGTAAGCCTTTCTTACTGGACATCATGTCGTGCTAGGACATAGCCCAAAGTCGACTTGAAGGGTTCAAGGTGGTGGATAGCCCTTAGTACACAAGGTGCGGAACACCATGTGCAGAATGGTCTGTTTATGTAGGTGCAAACACTACATGCTTCGAGCAGTAGCAGCAGCAAACTGAGGTTGGTACACAGCCACTGGCAGAACGGCGTGTGCTAGCGTCAGGAATGGGGCAATCTGTGCACCTCTGCAGGCTGCCCAGGCGGAAGAGCAGCTCGTTCTCCACAGAGTTGGTGTCCCAGACGCTCCTCTGGCTTTGCTGCTCTGCCGCTGGCTGCTCGCCGCCAGTCAGCGGCGTGCGGCACATCGGGCAGGTGTTGTGATCCTTCAGCCACCTGCACCGTGAGTCATGAGCGTGAGTAGGACACGATCATTCCAGCCAATCGTTAGGCTGCTTACCTTTTGAAATGATGCTAGTCAACATAATTGTCTCGCTAGAAACATGGAAGACATGGGAAGGAGCGCACTTTGATATACAGGTCTCACAAAGAGTGTGGCCGCATGGCAGCACCAGAGGCTTGCAGGATGCTGCTCCTGACGTCCCAGACCTGCAATCCCAAGCGATTGAAAAGATTCGAAAAAGCTGCGAAAAAATAAGCAAGCAAGAAAGGCACAAATAGGGTCCTACCTGTCCACGCTAGCTTCAAGAAGCTTCCTGCTCAGGTCGGCATCCGAGCCACAGCTGTCCTCACTCTCATCGGCTGCCTTCAGGTCAGTTCTTCCCTGCGCAATGCGAAAGCCCCAAATCTCAGAACCTAGCTCATGCATCTCTTCACTTAGAACAGAGCCTGCCAGCACCCAATTCACGTCCCCGGGAAAATGCTAACTCGCAGCATGAGAAGCCCCCACCTTCATGGCACTGAGAGGCGGCGCAGAGGGGGCGACAGCGGCCGCCTCCCTGCGCTCAGAGGAGCCGTCAAAGTCCTCCAGGCAGACGGGGCAGGAGGCGGCCGGGAACTGGTGCGTGGCGGCGGCTATGGCCTGCTCGCGCTTGAGCTTCTCAAGCAGCCGCTGGCACTCGGTCTTCTGCCTGTTGCGCCTGTGGCTCTGCCTGCAACCACACAACACCGCATACCTGTCAGTAACTCCATGTCCATGTGCCTAGAAACCCCACACATCTTGAGGGCCCAACAGCGGGTCAGTCCAGCAAATGGGCAGGATGCATCTGCCTCCCTTGTGAATGGGGAGACTTGGGGCGCAGGCGAATGCAAGGCAAGACCAAGGGTGCATTCACAGGGGGTGGATCGCTGGGCTCACAGGCAGCTGGTGACGAGGACGCTGAGGAAGAGGCCAAAGAAGAGGATGGAGGTTATGTAGCCCCAGATATTGCTGCCGCTCCCGCCGCCGCCGGCCAGCGCTATGCCGATGTCCACCACTGCGCCCTCCACTGCCTGCCCATACCGGCCGCTCTGCAGCAGCGGGCGCATGGACTTGATCACCTCCTGGATGCGCTTTTCATCCAGCGCGCCCCTGGACCCCGCCCCGGCATAAATCGCCACCTGGACAACCACAGCACTTGAAGTTATTGTTCTTATGAGCACATACTTTTCCTGCCAAAAGGCAAGGTACGTCAAAGGCTGCCACTATCCTACAGCTTGCTGGAGCCACCAGATCCAAGCAAGACCCAATCACCCATGGGCACGGTGCTCAGCTCCACTTGGCTTTACCAGCAGGGCGGGCCTTGGCTGTACAAGGAGGGGTGATGGCGGGTGATGCAATGGCATAAGTGTGATGGAGGCTGCAAGGAAAGCAGCAGATGGTACCTTGCGGGGTTCCTGTGACACGAACAGGACCACTCCATCATTGCAGGCCGCATCGCCAACGCCCCACGCATCCATCAGCTTCTGTGCAAATGCCTCAGCTGCCGCACCCTCATCTTCGCCCCGCTTCACCTCCATCTTCTTTGCAAGAGCTACAGCCACCTGTCAAAAGAGGACCGCACTCAGGTATTGCTTGGAAAGCAGGCTAGGAAGCCAAGCGGAAGCTGGCAGAAGCTAAACAGACATTGTCTTCGTGTCGGCGAAGCACTTGGCAAGGGAACTTTGTTTTAAGGCAAGGACGAAATATGCACATATGATCGCTTTGAAAAACAGAAGCCAGGTATCAAGAAGTCAGGTCAAGGTTGTCGAGCTATCCAGAATGCTTGCCTGATATCCCTCGTTTAGCCTCTGCCCTCCTCCACAGTTCTTCGCTGGCACATACGGGTCATTGGCATCTGCTATATCTTTCAGGATGCCTTCGATGACATCTGCGCTCTTCTTCGTGAGAATCTTGTCTGGATCGCAAGCCCAGCTTTTGGCTACTCGGGAGCGCCCACACCTCGCGGGGTCAACCTGAGGATTTGGATATGTGCTGGGGTCCCAGGAAGATGATGCCGCACGTACTGAAGTGCACAAACAGAGCAACAGAATGAGACTGAAACTCGTCCGGCGCCTGATCAGAAGCTGGCCTGACGGCTTCATTGCTCTTCCAACAAGAACTTGGCTAGATTCACAAGCACATGTCTGATTTCTCAAAGGCGCTAGAATGCAATCCTCAGTTAATTGATGGGAAGTTTTGATGATGCCTAGAAAAAGTGCATCGACTGACTCGGAAAGTAGTAAAGCCGCTACTAAAATGACGTCAGCTGCAGCAGGGGTCATCAAATTATAGACGGATATCGGCCGAGTTCAAGTATCTTCTTCACCAGTTGTCTCAAATCGCCATTGGTGTGCTAAAATCAAAATGACAGGCCAAGCAGAAGTCTTGTCGCCTTCAAACAAGAAGCACAAGCCGCTCGCACCTTACTTGGATTTGTTTGCGGCTGAAAGTCCACTTCAGGAATCTCGTCGGCAGTGGGTTCCTCCCAGGCCTCGCGTCTTACGGGGTGCGCGTATAGAATAACACAAGAAGGCAGTTCACGACCACCTAATTGACTTTGGGAATGTGGATCCATGATCCCTCATGCAAAGGACGCATCAGTAGCGACTGCCCTGTGACGGCCAGGACCCGCCACACCCGCCCAAACCAGTGCTTGTGTAGGTTACACAGAACAGAAGTGTCTACTGTCCTGAAACAATCGCAGTGACTGCAGCTGTGCTACCCTCAGGGCCGTTTCAGATCAAGGAGAGCCCTAGTGGAGTACCGGATAAAGGTCCCTCGTCAGCTGTCCACAACGCTTTCAAGCACCTGAAAGGTGATTTTCGAGTGATTTGTGGCTGCATGAACGGCCCCCTACAGAGGACCGTAGCTTTTGAAAGTCGAGCGCTGCAGTTACACAAGGCTCTTCTTGATGGCCATTCTCTCACGCAAGTCTTCACTTCGGACCCATGCCACCCAGCCATGCGCCCTAAGTCAGATCAGACTGCTTGCAGGCAGCTCAGCGGTCCAGCTTGTTGCCAGTGCGGCAAATAGAGCTTCTCATAATGGAGACACCAATGGCGCAACGAATGGAGCAGAGACCAAGGGGGCCACCAATGGGCGTGCAAAAGACTTGGACAGCCTCCGCATTGGCATCGTGCTTTCCGGAGGCCAAGCGGCAGGTATTCTGAAGATCTATCACAAACCTGGCACTTCGTGTTTGCTTCACAGGAGCCCATTAGGCGACTCAAGTCAATGTTCTTGCAGGTGGTCACAATGTGATTGGGGGCCTGCTGGACTACCTGTCGGAGCGCCACCCTGGCAGCCAGCTCATCGGATTCAAGGATGGCCCTGGCGGCATCCTCAAGAAGTCGCGCATGGACATCACCGAGGACATCATGGCAAGTGCCCTGCAGACCTCGACGAGCATCCTCACGCGACATGCCTACATCTTGGACACTCCATGCACACGTTCTGCAGCACATGCAAAAGACTCCTGTTGATGCAGTGCAGAACATATAACAGTGCAGTCTTTAAACATATTCTCATAACTGCATTGAACGACGACTAATGTGGCACGTGTGCTGTGCAGGCGGAGTTCCGCAACACAGGTGGTTTCCATCTGATTGGCAGCGGCCGCGACAAGATCGAGAGCAAGGAGCATCTTGCGGTGGCCGCACAGGTTGTGAAGGACCTTGATGTGGATGGCCTGATTGTCTGCGGTGGCGATGACTCGAACACCAATGCAGCCGTTCTGGCCGAGGAGTTTGCATCCAGGGGTGAGCCGGCCGCTGCTGCGACTGTTTTGAGCCCCTGGCTTGACTGTTGCGCCAGCTGCTATCAATGGCTGGTGTCCTGGGATTGAAAAGGAGTCAGGCATGATGAAAATATATGTGCTGCTGTGGCAGGGTTGAAGACCTGCGTCATTGGCGTGCCCAAGACCATCGATGGGGATTTGAAGAACAGCCAGGTCGCCACATCCTTCGGCTTCGACACCGCCTGCAAGGTGTGGAGCCCTCACCATTGCACACAAACAGCTGGACACGCTATACACTGGGCAGGGATGATGTGCCATGGGCCCTCGTGTGGTGAGGTGTGAGCGGGTGAGGGGCGCTGTGCAGGTCTACGCTGAGCAGATTGGCAATTTGATGATGGATGCGCTGTCGGCGAAGAAGTACTACCACTTTGTGCGGCTGATGGGCCGTGCGGCGAGCCACATAACGCTGGAGTGCGCGCTGCAGACCCACCCCCAGGCCGCCATCATCTGCGAGGAGGTGCACCAGCAGAACAAAACGCTGGCAGACATCGTGGACGAGGTGAGCCGTCCTCTTTGCGCATGGATTGTATATCAGTTGCCATTTACTCCTGCACGATGCAAATTCTGCAGAAGGTTTTTGCAATATCTGGTTGTCTCCCAGAGGACAGACACTGATGACATTGTTGCCTTTGTGTGGTCGCAGATTGCAGACATTGTGGCTGGCCGAGCGGAGGAAGGAAAGAACTACGGCATCGTCCTGATCCCTGAGGGCCTCATTGAGCACGTACCACAGGTGCGAACAACGCGGGCTGTATGACCTACAATATCCTATGTACCACATTGCACAACTGCTTGCACACGGGACCCATGCATACCTCATCGACAGACTATGCTTGCATGTGAAACAGCTACTGGGACTCACACCTAATTCATGCAGCAGATGAGAGCAAGTATGTGGAGTGCAGATCGGCGCTCTGATCTCAGAACTGAACGAGCTGTTGGCGGATGTCACAACGGACGTGCAGATCCATGACGCCGTGATGACTCGCCTGTCCCCTGCCAACCTGGCGGTCTTTGAGTTCCTGCCCGCATCCACACGCCAGCAGCTTCTGCTGGACCGCGACCCCCATGGTAATGTGCAGGTGGGGCAACTATACCTGAACCTCAGAATGCTCATTCCTGCATTGAGGTTGGGAGGATCACACCCCGAGGAACCGCCATTTCACCTAGCCAATGTCATGGAATCTAATGGATATGACAATTATTTTGCTTCACCTGCCATGGCAATGGGCGATGGATAGGCTACTATCATTATCAACTTTTGATGCTCTTAATGTCTCATCTTTGGGAGAGCTTCGATTGAAAAGTCGCCAGGATGTCTGAAGATGGAGAAAAGGCTGTGTAAGAATGCATGCTGACATGGCCTGCCCGTGCCAGGTGTCGCGCATCGAAACGGAGCAGCTGCTGCTGCAGCTGGTGGATGTGGAGCTTGAGAAGCGCAGGAAGGAGGGCAAATTTGCCGGCAAATTTGCCGGCATCACGCACTACTTTGGCTACGAGGGCCGCTGCTCCTTCCCCACCAACTTTGACGCCGCGTACGGCCCTGAATCACCCTGGCACTGCCCTTGCATCACTGCCTCTGTGTAGATCTCCTTGGTGCACATGGCCTCTGTACCTTCGTGACAATACTCTGCAAATCTGTATCGTATACAGTTGCAATCATTTGCTTGTTTTATCGAGCCACAAGTATTGAGTTTCTCAGTATTTTCCACCTGCATGTACATGATGGTGACGTTGGCCTGACGATGCTGGGTGCGTGCAGGTACTGTTCGACTCTGGGCTACGTGGCTGGTGCACTCGTGGCAGGGGGAAAGACCGGCCTCATGGCCACAGCCAGCAGCCTGGACAAGCCCTGCGCTGACTGGACCGTCGGCGGATACCCGCTCATCGACATGATGTGCATCGAGCGGCGGCGCGGCAAGTGAGTGTCCCTCGAGCCATCCCCATCATCAACCCCCTCCACCAGGGGTCACGAGGACTACTGACCATGGAATCCTCATGCCTTAATCTCATGTTTCGTCACCAGACATGACCTTGCCATTGGCAGGTGCCTCCCTATGGATCAGAGGCAGGAGCTGCCTCCACAGCCAGCTTGTTGAGATTGACATAATTGTGGGCGACTGCGTGCACCTGTCACCTGATGCCTTGTGTGACCCACCCGCAGGGACAAACCGGTCATTAAGAAGGCGCTGGTTGAGCTGGAGGGGCCTGTCTTCAAGGCATTCCAGCAGATGCGCAGGAAATGGGCTCAGGGAGACTGCTTCAGGTGGGCACCTTTGCCCCTTCACGGGTGTCCTGCAAGAATTTTTTGGGCCATCCGACCATCTGGCATTCAGTGGACACCTCAGTACACCCCTTGGTATTTTGTGCACAGTGCACAAGTCTTTCATGTGAGCATACTCTTCTGTGGATGCCTGCAGGAGCCCGGGACCCATTCAATTCAGTGGGCCTAACGCGGATGCTGCCAACTTCACTCTTGCGCTGGAATTGGGCACTACCAAGCAAATCAATATTGCTTGAAGGTCCATATATACCAGCCTTGTACAGAATTGAGAGGAGAGAGATTGATCAATGGCTCAGGAACGAGAGAGGGTAGCTTTTATGGCGAGAGCGTGGCGCAGCTGAGTGGATTCTTTGTCAATTGAGAGAGAGCTTTTGTTCATTTGGGTCAGCAGGCACTGATGTGCCCAGTGCCGCAACGCAGCACTTGTGAAGGAGCGAACAAATGAATGGTAATTGGTGAACCATACCGCTTGGCCTCCAATGGAGGCTTGCTCGGTGCTTTGCAGATTGAGTGAGATAGGTACCCTTGGAAAGATCTCTGCCATGATCTGTCTAGCAGATTGTGAATGCTTTACACCAAGCGGCCTACTGTGAGGCTGTGCCCTGTAGTTTGAATTTGAGTGTGCTCTTTGCAAATGTTAGACAAATTGTCTGCTGAGCATCCTACATCATGTATAGGATCTGCCTGTCAACTAGAGGATATTTCCTCGCAAGTGTCTATTTTACATGAAGCATCCTGGAAGAGAGCCCTGCTAGCGACTCTAATACATTACCATCAATCTTGAAATGGACCGACGAAGAATTCTTTACAGAATTCACCGTCCCACATATGCTGGTTCCGCAAAGCAACCAGGATGGTGCTTTTGTGCAGCATGTCGGCTCCCAGAAGCTGTCAGCCCTATAGAGAGAAGTCTTGCTATTGTATTTCTTGCTCAGTCCTCCTTTTCATCTTTTTCCTTGTATGCTGAGACAACATACACTACCAACACCTGCATGAAGAGAAAAGTTAGTATTGGTATCCTATTGTGCCTTCTCAATCACAGATTCAGATACGAGTTTGCCGCATGCAATGTACTTAATCAATGTCACAAGGTACTTCAATGATTCAGGTGCTCACCACATTCACTGCCAGAACAGCCAGTATGGCTCCCACAACCTGTCTGAGTTGCGCGGACACCGTACCAAATATCAAGGCAATCAAAGCTGCAAACAAACATCAGAGGCTTTATAAAGGGCACTACAAGTCAATGCACATCGTAAAGAGCGTCTGGGAGATGAGGCAGGGGGCATCGGATAGGGCACTTGTGCACAGATGTAAAGGAGTCAAAGGAGATGAGCACTCACGATCACAGTAACCATACAGTGCAGCGTAGAGTACACAAAGGGGGATGACAGCAATAGCTATCGAAAAGTAGGCAAGTTTCTCAATCACTCCATTCTGGACTTCGACCATCATGTGAAACCAAGATCATGGAGAAGTCATAAGCACAATGACCTGTTAGCGTTTTGCCTGGACAAAAGACATGAGTATTCTAAAGTTCATGATGAAACTGGAGTGGAAATGATCGATGGGTCACTGGCTCCCTGTTCAGAGGAAGCTGGGTCCACGTGGGCTGATCTTGAATGGATAAAGCTTGCCTGTGAGCATGACTTCCATGAAATTTCGTGACTTTGACCAAATTGTGATCTTGCAAGAGTTCGATCTTTCCGTGTAAACATCCTCAAATCTGCGTAATTTCCCTTGTTATTTGAAGGGCTGCCTTCCAGCAAATGGCTGCGTTCCTGCAAAGGAGTGCGCAGTTGTGCAGCACATCGAACCCCCTGCAGTCAGGAACGACTAGAAGACAAAGAAATATTACCGGTGTCAGAGTTTTCGCAGCGCAGGAAGCTTTCTGCAAAGACAAAGTGAACACCGTCAAGGAAGTGGTCAAAGTTGAAGGAACAGCCACGGTATCCTTCTTGGGGGCTGGTGGTCAGGAGATCACCATCGATTGTCCAAAGGTTCGTGCAAGCCCACCTTGGTTGGTGTGTCGGCCTGATTCAACGTGCAAGACCTGAACCCTCGTACAAGACAAGAACCAAACCAGAAAAGACTCTTGTGCTTCAGGATACATACATCTTGGAGGCTGGGCTCAACAACGACGTTGAGTTGCCGTACACCTGCAGAGGAGGCATTTGTGGGTGCGCACAAAAAATCCCACATGCCATGCATGCTTTCTGCTCAGGACAACTTGAGTCAGGCCTGTGTTATGACACAATCTGAGTGCAGGGCTTGTGTGGGGAGAGTGGCGGAAGGCGAGGTGGACCAGACTGATGTGAGTTGGCGCCCCACACCTGATCGAGCTGTTATCGCTCACTTACCAATATTTGGCGCTCGGGATCCCATTGTTTGGTTTGTTCCTGCATAAGAGAGATCCTGACAATCGTGCCGTGTCATGCAGATCGATGACCTGAGTTTCACTCTTGATGAGGAGGAGATTGCAAAGGTGGGCATGTCAACGAACTTCTCAAGAAGAGAGCTGTCCTCAAGTGGAAATCTGGTCGGGATTGTCTGAGAAATGGCCAGCAGAGCAAGGTTGAGGTGGTGTGTGCAGGGGATGGCGCTGCTTTGCATGGCGCGGCCGGTCAGTGATGTGGTTCGCATAGAGACACAGAGCGACTGGGGCTACAGCTTGGGAGTGGGGGAATGGAAAGGCGCCACAGGCCACATTGCTGGCAAGAACGTGGACCCTTTGACTCCCTGGAAGAAAGAAGAAGTTTGATCGCTGCACCCTGTACACTATCATAATGATAGAGCCGATTTATGGAAAATGCGTAATGCTCTCATCTTGTGAAAAATGGCTTACTGCAAGTGGCCTTGCTGTGCTAGCTCAATGCGTGGCCGGAGCACTAGAAATATGGTAGCAGGTAACCTTGTAGGCATGTCACTCAGTAATCCTTAACGTCCACATCCTTCACATGAAATAGCCATAAAATTAATATGACCAATCGAAATTTTGACCCCTCTGCAGTGTGTATCCGCGCAACGAATGGACACCTGTCAAGCTGCTTGATAAGGGCCTAAGCATTGCCCTGACAAGCTTGTGTGATACACCACTTAATTCTCAAAGCTTGCAATACGGATATTAGTGAGACAGATAGTCACAAGAGCCTACGATACCACTTTTTTGTCAACATAAATTGCTGCCTGCCTTGATATCCCTAGTTGACATATGTACAGTGAGTCTGGAATTCGGTAGTACCTCAGCTGATGACCACCAGACCAAGAGTGCTCAGTATAATGGTTCAATACACTCCCTTTATTTATCTCTCTGCTCTTTCAAATTATTGATACAAATGACATGCAGCACCGAAGCAAGCTGGTGATCGTGCCACCATGCCTTGCAGGGCAAATGCGCAGCCCAAGAATATCATATTCTTGACGGTGATCTGACCTGGAGTCAACTCGCAAGACCCCCTGTCACAATGTCTCGAGGGCCTCTGCAGCATCAAGGCCATCCACATCCTCTCCCAAAGACGTGTTTCCCCGGCCCATTGGGAAGAGGTAGTCATTCCACTCCTGTCAGCCAAACTCAACGATATCAGGCAACTAACAAGGTAAGGAAACGAAGTTGCTAACTGCACGACAGACACACTGCAGAAAAGATTGCAAAAATGGCGTTCCAGCCTCTTGGCTCCCTTAGGTGCAGGTAGCAGGATCACCTTTGGAGGGGTGGTCAGCTCAGCTTCTATGCCCAGTAGCACTCCGAGTTGGTATGGGGAGGGCTCCTGCATTGCACGCAACAAGAATGAATATGCATAGCCCAACCTTGCATGGCCGAACAGAAGCACGCACCATGCCGCAGAGCAGCCTGAGATAAACCTCTGCACAGTGTGCTTTGAAGGCTGCAGGTGTGCATGTCATGCGGAGTGCGCGCCTTGGGTTTGTTCTTCAGCTTCCAGCCGAGCTGCTTCAGGCTCTTGCTGCCCTTCTTGCTGTTGCATTTGGTGCAGGCGGTCACCAGGTTCTCCCACACCCACTTGCCGCCCTTTGACAGCGGCACCACGTGATCAATTGTCAGGCCGGTCGTGGACCCACAGTACCTGCACCAGCACATGACCCCTGTCATTAGATGCCAAGCTCAAGGAAGTCCACCATGGCTGCAGACAATGATTGTGTCCATGGCATTTCTGCCGTAATAGATGTCCCACTTTGCTGCACATGTTCTTGGCAGGAGGTCACTCATTTGGAAAGCAGCTTGTCACATCACATCAAATCACATCATGCAGGTTTGGGCAGCCTGCCGGGATACTAGGCAAGTAATTTCTTATATTCCCCTTGCTGCCAATAATCCAAGGGTTGGGGAGGGGGAGGGAAACGCACTGGCACATGCCCATGTCGCGCATGACGATGTTGCGGCGCGACAGCGACAGGCGGCCGGCCTTGAACTCGCGCTTGGACACGTACATGCGCACGCGCAGCACCGCAGGAATAAAGAATTGCGCTGAGGACGAGCGCACGCACGTGTCGTAGTACTCCAACACATCCACCTGGGCAGACATGCACTCCCGTTGTTTCAAAGACATGCATGCTGCGCGGCCGGCTGGCATCTTCAGATTCAAGCCTCCAATACTGCATGCAATGCTTTGTTTGCATCCAGCCTTTCCCAGGATTTCAACACCAAACAGCCCTTCCTACATATCTCATATAAAGCATTTGACATTGGTATGTGCACCTGAGGTGGTTGAACATGTGTCGAGGATACAGAGGCGCTTGATGGATACATGATGAGAGACTCGCCTTGTCAAAGAGGTCAAGGCAGATGGCGCGCTGCCAATTGATGACATCTATGGGACGGTAACTAGAGTCCAGGACGAGCGCCCTGCATCTTCTGAATGATGGCACAATGTGGCTGTAGAGATTCTGCTGCTGTTGTTGTGTCTCAGTGGCGGGCACGGTGGTGCTGCTCTGATTGGTGCTTGCCAGGGAAACATCCATGGTGGCCGGCCCTGTGAAAGCCAAGGCCTTCATTGCAGGTGGTGCCCACGTACTCAGCGGCCTGCAAGTGAGAGGCACAATGTCAGCTGTGTGATTATTGCTGCCAGACAATGAATTACTCTGTGAAACTCTGGGAGCTAAGAGGGATGAGGTCCTGCGTAAAGGCCTGCGAAACGTTAGAGATGTGGCCATCAACATCACAAGAACATTTCACAGCTAGATGAGGTCGCACAGGGATGATGCCATGAACATCCTGTGCCAACACTCTCTCTCAGAGTGAACCAACCGGTGCAGTAATTTGAAAATTACTTCTGCGAAGGAATCGGACTTCGGTCAAAGAGTGAATATTCCCTTTCTACTAACAATGAAGAGTGCCCGCCTCCTGGTGTGCTGCTGAGAGGGCAATCAGAGATGATGCAGCGTGGAACCACGAGGGGCCATCAGCACCCCACTTCAAGTCTCATTCGACCGGTGGGAAAGGTGACATCTGGAAAGATCAACACTTTAACCCCGTCCATATGCATTGCATGTTGCATTGGGCCGCATGGGATCCGAATGATGGTTATGGTTGTTCTCAATCATCCCAGCAAATCCTAGAATAGGAGTCCCTGGCTAGGGTCACCTGCTGCATAGAAGGGACACCGATGCTCCCTGCTTCTGAAAATGTAGGCAGGTTTGCTTAGATGTGGAGTATAGCTGAGACATCCTCATGCGATCGTTGATCATATCCCTTCAGGGACGCTCGCACACTAGCAGCGACAAGGAATATGTGTGATGCCCTGAGATGTACTAAAGTAGGACTCTACATGTTGTGGCAATCTGTTGGATGGCCTGATGCGTGTCTTGTGAATGCTGAAGTTCAGACGCAACAACAAAGAGCACCTTAGAACTTACGTTCACAAGGAATGTGGGATTTTTTTGGAAGGGTTTTTGGCGCTAGTGTGTGTGTCAGATACGCATGCATGACGAGGCGAACACAGATCATTGGACTTTCTACATTCAAGGCAATTCCGCATGAGATGAGGCGCCTTCGTACGGTCTTTGGTTGCTTTTGTTTCTATCTCACTTCCATCTAGCAGTCGCGTGCGTGCCAGCATTCTGTTTGGTATGGGTGAGGAGGAGATCACGGTTTCAATGCCTGGCACGGCTGTGAAGATGACAGCAATATTAAACCGGGGTGCAGAAGATTCTCGATTTGGTATTATTATATCTCACGGTGCAGGAGGAGATTCTCGATCCGGGCACTTACCGCAGATTACGGAGGCTTTCACAGGAGCTGGTTTCTGGTGCATGAGATTCGATTACAAGCCTCCCAACTTGAAAAATAGAGTGGCACGCTTCGAGGTGAAACTTTATAGTTCCTTCAACCTGACATGTTTGCACCACTTGCCTCAAAATCACCTTGCTCACGAGATATCGTTGTGTCCAAAAGGCTCTGCTGAACCATGCCAAGGAGCAGCAGGCTACCGGCGAATATCCGGTGAAAAAATGGATCATGGCTGGTCACTCCATGGCAAGTTTTCGTAAATTTTAAGGTCAACAAATTGCAAAAGCTTTTGTCCAGCTTCGATAGTGCGAGTCCTAACGAGGATAAATTATGTGGAATTTTACACATTAGAGAAAGGTCAGCAGAAGATGCTCTCTACCAAATATTTCTGTGGCAATGGCAGGGAGGTCGTGTTGCCAGTGCTGTAGCTCACCAAAATCCATATGACGCACTTGGGTGCATCTTTTTCTCCTACCCTTTGCATCCACCCAACAAGACGGTAAGGAGCAAATACCATTTTTGCCAGTACAAGACTCTTCTATAGACCACCCTTGACTGTCAGGACTCCCCAATTTGTCAGAGAAACCAATTCTCTTTCAGCGCTGTGGTTGCAGGATCAGCTGCGAGAGGATCCCTTGACATCTCTGACCGCCCCAATTCTGTTTGTGCGCGGCACCAATGATAACTTCTGCAATACCAAAGAGTTTGAGAGCGTGAAGGCGCGCATGACATCCTCAGATGTACAGGTGTGCCCTTCTGCTAGCATATGCACTGACGCCTGCAACAATCATCCAATATTTGACTGCTCACTCAGCAGTGCTCAGTGGAATCTAGCAATTACGGCTGTCCAAGGAAGAAGCTGTGCATCACAGGTGCATACTGTTGAAACTGGTGATCACTCGCTGAAGGCACGCGGAGGGAAGCAGGCAGCGGCCGCAGCAGTGGATGCAGCAATACAGGCAGCTGTGGCTTTTGCTCAGACGCTGGCAGATGCAGATGCAGATCAGCAGGCAGAAGGGCCCTCAGTGCAAGAAGCAAAGAAGAGAAAGGACGTGGGTGAGAAGACAGACGAGACGGACACTGTCACTCACACACGAAAGCGGCAGAGGAAGACCAGGCCCCGGCACTAGGACTTGATGAAATTTTGCTTGATGAAGAGTGCAGCAACAATGAGAGCTGTTGTTCCAGGAATATGGAGAACAAGGTATGCAGACATCAAAGCAGAGCGAGCAAAATCAATCTTGGTGCATTGTAAGAAGTGTTGCCGTGCAGCAGGGCATGAAAGTCTTTTTGCAGCCTACGTTTGCAGCTTTCGTACACATCGTGCATAATGTGCATTGGTGCCAAATATCCAGAAAGCTTTCCCCTTTACATCCGATACATATGAATCATGTTTCCAGAAGGATGGCACTCTCTCAAATCATTGGATGTCGAAGTAAACGAACCCCTCTGCTCTGCGCCACTGTTGGCCAAGAGTTCGTAGAGTCTCCAGTAAGGACCCCTCCCACAGATCAAGCACCGGGCATCCTAGCATGCCCGCGCCTACGCTGTGTAATAATACACAATTCTCAATGTTGTTGGTACAGAGACGGAAGCTGACACTCACCATCGACCTCGCATTTAATGAATAAAAAGCAATCAGACAGTTTCCAAATATTTAGCGGAACACATCCCTAGCTAATAGATGGATACAATGCACCATACAAATATGCTTTGCCTGCACCGGCTAGACCCAAATGCTCTGCGCAAATGCTCTGCAAGTACTTAATGAGGCACTGCAAAGGATGCGTTTTGTGGTGCTGACAGCGATGCGCGGCGAACTCTTTGCAGCCCCCAAAAACGACAACGAATGCACATTGCAGCCGCGCGACCGCGCTCATTGCCGCCTGTCGTTGAGACCAATGCCGAGCTTGGTGGCGAGTGCCATGCGCGCAGCCTCCAGCCTGACGTGGCTCAAGGCCTGGGCCGGGGCGAGGGACGCGGGGGAGCAGTCCGGAACATGGACCACGTTGTTGGTGTTCCCCTCCGAGTCGCACTCGGCAGGCAGCGCCATGTCGACCACCCACATGCCGTCCACAATGAACTTGTAGCGGTACGGACCCGGCTCCAAGCCCTGGGTGACCAAACATGCAGCCGTCAGCAACCAACACTCACCTTAGCACACCCCATCTCCATCCATGCTCCCTGAGATGGCTGCACTGAGGCATTCGCCTTTTTCTCTCTGAGGTCTGTGCGAAAGTGTCAACATGTTGTACTGCAACGAGTCCCTCTGCGACAACAATGGTTGGCATTCATGCGCATGTGACGGGACTATGACCAACATGCTGCTGCCAGGCAGAGGCATTGGCGGGGTAAGGGCGCACCGCGATCTCGATGGAGGAGCCGGCCTGGTTGGGGCACTGGCGCAGGGGCGTGCGCACATGCCAGCCACCCACAACGTCCCCCGCCACCTCCATGCTGTAGCCGCCATACGGCCACGTCAGCCGCACGCGCTGCCGCCGCTCACACAACCGGTCCAGCAGCAGCTTGGATGCTGCCGCCACCGTGCTCGCGTCCGGCGCGCACCCCAGCGCCTTCTGCGCCTCCTGCAAGCCACTACCCATCTCAGTCACAGTCAATATGTTGGGGTGCGGCTGATCCAGGTTTGTCAAGCCTAACCCCTTATATATTAAATATTTTAATGTTGGTAGGTATCCCTGTTTTGGTGGCAGGCGACAGGATAAAAGCTCATGGATGCCAGGGTCAGAAGGTGTGAAATTGCCTGATTAGTGGTCCCCAACTTGTTGAAAGGGGTACGCCACCTGCTTTCACTTGCAGGGCAGTAAAATGCAATGGGGAAGATAGTGCAGGGGCATGGGCAGACCTGGATGGCTGTCTCCAGGTCCAGGCGGCCATACCAGTGCAGCCAAGCTGTCAGGACAGTCGACAGCTTCGTCTGTGCAGCGGTCTGCGCGGTGTGCACCAGTATGCAGCAGAGCTCCAATGCACTGCAGTCCATGCCAGCGCCACCTCTCCTGTGGCACCAGAATTGCAACTTCTTTCAGCTTCCTTCGCGCAAGCACCAGACAGCTGATTCCACTGTGGACCCGCCAAGCTTGCCTTCACAAACACATCTGGTATGATGACCAGATCTTCGCAGCCAGTCCATCTGCTCCAGATGACACACACCTGACTACAAGGCGTTGCAACGCGGCTGCTGAGCGCGCCAGGGCCAATGGTTCAGCAGCAGCAGCAGCTGCCCCATCGATGGCCCCCGACGAGCTGAGATCTGCGTCCAAGTAGGAGGAGTCCAGATCCAAATCCAGCAGGCGAGTCAGCCCACACGCACTGGCCACCGTCTCAAAATCCTTCGTTCCTGCAACAGCACAGCAGCCCTTTGTGAGCATTCATGCTGCAGTTGTCCAGACATTGCAATATATTTCTAATACGTACAGGTGTAGGACCCATAGTCAAGAGCTCATCTGTCTACAAGGCAGGCTCTGCGTGTAAGTGTCGCACCTAGCTGCCCAGGTGCCATGACGAGCCAAGGGAGCACACAGAAGGCCTGTGTGGACTGCAGCTGCCTCTGCAGCGCGGCACTAGACTGCATCGCGCTCTGCAAGCTCATGTGCCCATGGAAGAATGCTGGCAGGGGCACGATATTGGACGAGGCCTCATTCGTCAGCTGGCTCGATGCAATCGACCATCTGTACACCATCACAATCTGTCAGAACGTGAATGTTGTGCCAGCACACGACCACCTGCTGCAAAAACACCAGCACCATCTTAGGTACTCAAAAAGTGCTATTAAAGCACAAGAATTGGTGCGTACAAGAACAGGCATCATTTATTACCTGCTGTCGGGCATCCTCCGGTACGTCTTGAGGGACTGGCCCTCAAACTCGAGAGCCCAGCGCCGCTGGTATGCAGGCGACAGCGGAATGGGCGGCAGCTCGCTTGCCTCGTCTATGAGATTCCTCAGCAGTGCGGCCTGCTCGCTGTGGTTCCTGGGCCTTGCCACCATCCTCTCCTCTCTCACCTGCTGCAGCATGCGCACCAACTCACGATCTAGCCTTCCTGCCTCTTTTCCTCTCTCTGATACTCCTGAGGCTGCCGCGCACAATTGCGTGCACGCCCACTTCGAAGAGGCCTCCCAATCGTATTACCAGGTCATTGGTAGAGCTCCTGATTACCATGTCCCAATCATGTTCAGCATACCAAACGGCCAAGTCTTCGAGATAGCAGTCAGAGGAGACTGGCACAGGGCGCGCACCTGTCCTGGCCGCCTGAAAGCAATGTACAGACTGCGTCCGGCGTGCCACCCTCCAGCAGCAGTTGAATCCGGCGCAGCAGTCGTGGCTGCGCCCACTCTCGACCCCATGCATGGCACTGAACGCACTTGCCGCCTCAACTCCCACACGCTTGGCCTCTCAAATAAGAACCTCACCTGGCGCAGTATCGAAAGTCAATCCAGGCATTCATGAAATTGGGAGCCCCCAATAAGTAACTATGCAGTAAGCAACCGGTAAAGAACAAGGCAGCCGCAAGGATCAATCCCCCTATGGCTGTGCTGTACATTTGAGGATTTGTGAGGGAGTGGGATCAGATAAACACACCCGCTCTTTGGGCCTTGAGTGCGTTGTGAGATGGCTCTGGAGTGCGGCAGCTCCTCCATCAAAGGCTGAGCTCACCATCCTGAGCCGGTCCCCCACCCTGATCTGGGAGAAGGCCGCTGGGCTGTCCTCGATGATGTCATTCACCGTAAACTGCACGGCACAGGAGGACACTGAATGAAGGAGGACATTAATTGGTGGCTGCTGCAGTGACTAGCTGTCTCAACAACACAGACAGGGATGACACGTGCCAAAAGACTGAGAACACAAGGGGCACCGACACACACGGGGCGGCGTAAGGGAGAGGGAGCAGGCCGCACCTCCCCAGTCTCAGGATCCGGCGCAAAGGTCAAGCCCAGCCCAGTGAAAGGGGCCTTGTGGAAATCCACTGTGTATCGCGTCCTCTGCGATGCATGGCTGACGGTTCTCCTGTCCACTCCAGCCCTGCAGGAAAGACCTTCGTCAACATTGAGCAGAAGCACCCGTACGAACACATCTATATGTCATCACTTCAACAATCTGGTGAATACTAGTAAAGCAGGAACGGCGGGGGATCTTGCCTTCCCAAAATGAATTGAGATACAGGGCACAATCCCAAAAGTAACGTAATGTCAAGATCAGGGCACGGCACCGGCAAAAAGGTGCTGGCACCTCTTCTAAGTCCGACGATACTAGACTCTTTCAAAAGGCATGGAGTGGGATCTCAAAGGACAGAAGCAGAAGCACAGGGGTAGGCTAGAGAACAATCAATGTGACAATTAAGCCCTTACCAGGACAATGTCAAGGAATCTGTCTGCTGGCTGCTGCAAAATAATTTTTGTCTCCTTTGCAGACGCCGTGGGCGCAGGCTGGCGCCAAAGCCTCCTCTGAGGAGCTCCACTCCCTGCTTAAATTCGAGGGCTGCCAACCCCACCATCTTGCTCCAGCTTGGGCAAAGGCAACGATTCACATGCCCAAATCGGTCGCAGAAAGGGCCATAGAAGACTGGTTCTGCAATCAGAGGCCCTGACTTGGAAACCTCGTTGGGTGCCGGGTGATTATCGGGGTCCGTGAGCGACAGGTGTCTCAAGTCTTGGCGGCCCCCTCGCACCCTGACGCGCCGCAGTACCTGAACAATGAGTTATGTCGAATCCAACGCCACAATCTCCGTTGCAAGAAGCAGCTTTCGGCAGCGCAGGCTTTCTGGCCCCTTGCGTTGACCCGCTAAAGAGGCGCGCGAAGCCAAATCTGGACCCGAAATATCTCCACATGGATCTCCTTGGACAAGCATGCCATCTTTGCATCACTGGCAGTGATGTCTGCCTTAACAGCTTCATCTGGCTTTCACTGCAGGCTTCCTGCTAGTGCTTCTGCTGGCCTTCTCCCAGGCAGGCTATCCTCAGCAAGTGCAAGTGCATGGCGGGGCCCTTAATTGTGTTACTTAACCCTCAATCTTGCTAGATATATCATCACGTCTCATGAGATCACATCCTTGACTAAAGATTGCTGTCGACATTCAGGGACACTCACGGGGCAGTGCACTGCAAAAAATATCGCACGTTACAGTGTGCATCTGATGCACTGCATCGATGAACATGCACCATATAGCATAAGCAGTACTCATCCTTGCTTAGGCAGGATGTTGACATCAATAGAGTGCCAGTGGCATTAACGCCCAATATTGTGTGGGCATGGACACAATCAAGCGATCACTGCACGACACTGCGTCTTGTTTGAGAAGTGGCGCCGTCAACGTTATGCAATCGCATCAGTCACGCAGCAACTCTTCATCTGGCGGTTATCCACTCCATGCAGACGGAATGCAGCAGGACACTGGTCTTCTCACCCAAAACAGACAGCAGAAGTCTGCCACGTCGTGTACCGCATCACATTCCTCATGTGCATATTTAGCTCACAGCGGACACAGCTGGCGCTCTACAGAGAGATGGATAATAAAGACTGCCAGGCAACAACCTCACATCCCAACGGCTCACAAACTGCGCTCTCAACTCCAAAAACTGATTCCATTTCATATTTGACGCTCCAAGGAAGTTGCGCAACATGGATAGTCTTGACATTCTTGTAGATCTCACACCTTAATGCAGCAGTATGTACTGCTGCACAGAAGCACTGATTGTGCAATCAGTGCCGCCGCGGCCTAAAAGATCACCCCTCGTTTGCCACCAACCTGTTGGGTGCTCAGACACACCTAAAATGGCATGAACCAAATCGGGACAACAGGGACAGCATTCCCTTGGGCAGATGTCTGGCCGGCAGGGCTCACCAATTTGGGCCCTGGGATTATGTAGTGTTAGGCTCCTCGTGCCAAAACTCCCGAATGAAAAGAATCGCAAAGCAATCCTCTGATGTGCTTGTGCTCGTGTCTGACCAAATGCAGATGTTTCTCACGGCCCAGTAGAGGTAGTAATGAGACAGCACAATACACCAAATACTCTTTCCTTGCCACACGTCCCCTCAGGACAACCATGTCAGCGTGTTCTTCTCTCACTTCTTACAAAGGGGCCCTGTCCTTTAGCAGGTCATTGCCGGCTTCACCAGGGCTGGGCACGTCAGGCGGCGCGGACCATCAATTCCAGGCGGCTGCTGATGTGTTCATTGTTGATGCACGCCGCTCACGCCACACAGAGTCTTGTGTACAGACTTGTTCACTCCTGCAGACAGTCAAGGTCCTCACGCGTCACACCCCACCCCTCTCAAGACAGCAATGCTTCCAAGCAGTGCAGACACAGCAGTAAAAGTGCCCTGATCTGTAACAGGATTGCCCAATCGACTTCCGTGTAGGCACTCCCTACTATGAAGTGGGATCCCCACATCAAATATAACCCTCGAGACAAGAGAAAGAAGTGTAGAGCGCTCACCCGCAAAAACATATTCAGCAGGTCATCCATATTGCCCTCGCTTTTGACATTGGGCAGACTGGGCTGCCCAAGGCAGCCGTTCTGGGGGCTGCCGGGCGGCAGATGCTGCATCGGCTGCTGCTGCTGCAGGGGCGCCGAAGAGGGCATCTGATGGCAGTAAAGCAGGTTGCTGTCGATGTCAGACATCTCAAATCCCTGCGCACAGCAGATATCAGGGTCGCAGTCAGTGTAAGTTCTGTGGTGCGTCCAGAAAAGCCAGGCTACAGCACATGATGCTGTGAGCCATGCTGGTAGTTAGTCAAATTTCCGCAGATGCTTTGAAACCCCAGGATGCTTCATAGATTGCTGGCCCCTAGAACACGCTGCGATCCTGTTTAAGATTGAACCCAGGGGTACTTAAGAGGTCACATTCCTCTCAAAGGGGGCTGGCTCACCTGCCGGGTTGATTGGCTCACATGGGGTTGATGCTGGTGCGGCAGCATGCCAGACATGCTCCGACCATTCTGCAAGCCCTGCTGGTATTTTGCCGGGCCTCCAAACGCGTCCTGCCCATCCATAAAAGGCAGACCTGCAGACATACAGACCCACACGTAATGCGGAAGACATCAACCCCAGATATATTGTCAAGGTCCCCCACGGACACATCTCCACTCTGGCAGAGCAGCGAGATCCTAGCAGCAATTGTGCAGGTGTTTCAAATATAGATCCTAATATATCACGGCTGGCTGAATCACAGCAAAACACTGCCATGTGCCTCGCACCGTCGCCAAATCCCATGGGCGCCTTTTTGACTGCAAGGTGACCATTCAAATCGAGGCCCTGGGAAACAGCCCGCCTTGAGAAGATAGTGTCATCACTCAGACAGGTGCAGGACGCACCCTGCTGGATGGGCATGCTGAAGGTGCCATTGGGGGCCAACCCTGCCGGCGCCGATGCACCGAGAGAGGTGAGGCCCGCGCTGGTGCCGGGGAGCATGCCGGAGGGCATGCTCATTGATGCTGTGCGCCAAGGCTGGGGCTGCTGCTGCGCCTGCGGCTGCTGCGCGCCCAGAGGCAGCGCAGTTGCGTGCTGCGCCTGCACAGGCGGCTGGTGCTGATGCATGCCTCCCATGAAGTCTGCGCGCCCGTTCATGGCCACCCCCGGCATCATGCCCACGCCCGGCATCATCCCCGGCGGCACCAGTCCCCCCAAGCCCATCTGCAGCCACCAGCAGCCGCAAATTAGGATCTCAATTCATGAGCACGCTGCCAGCTTGGTGAGAACAAGTCTAGGCAATTCTTTGTCTGATCACAGTTTACAGTGCACAGTAGACACTTGGCAAACCAGCCCCCTCTTTTGCCAGGCCCCGTTCCTGACGTTTAGATGCCAAGATCAGCATGGGAACAACTGGTTGCGTGCGCGTTGAGCTGCCAGCTGGCAGAAAAGATTCTAGACGGCCAGAGCTTCCTACTGAGTCGTGAGACGGCCACAGGCGGAAGAATAAACTACCTGCTGCATCTGCATCTGGTGCATGAGCTCCCTGGGAGGGCCAGCCGAGGCCAGGTGGGCCATGCCGGGGGCCATGAGGCCCGGCTGCATGCCGGGCGCCATGGGCATCACACCATGTGCCCCCATCAGGGCCTGGAACGCCGCGTCACCCCCGCCCTTGCCGCCCTTGCCGCGCGCCCCACCCGAGGGGTGCACACCTGACACCCTCTTCAGGTACAGCCGGTATTTCTGCGCAGCCACAAGCCCACCGTATCAATGAACTCCGCCCCACTCCACTGCACTGGCGATTCGTCTCCCTCCTTCTGGGTTGGCCTTCTATCAGTCAAAAATCATAAAAGCAGCGCCTGGGCAATGTTGACATGAGCTCAGCAAAAAGAGGAGAAAAGATGGACAGGTGTGGTACCTGCAAGTGGCTGGCAACATTCTCCCTCGTCAACCCATCCACATTCATCAGATCCAATATCCGTTTTGGAACCGCCTCTGCAAGGAAAACCACAGCCAGCGATGAAGCCCGGAGACACTATGCTGCCCTCATTGCTAGGGAAACTCACACAGGAGCCACAAGACATCACAGCAACAGCTGGGGAGCTTCGGGACGTACTGTCAATGCCCAATTGGTTCACTGCTTGCACAAATTGTTGGTGCATCTCCACCGACCACACCACACGAGCTTTCTTGGCTGACACCCCATCATCGCTGTCCCGCCGCTGCATGTCCCACCAAAGCACTTGTCAGAAGCAGGCACAAAGTGTGCTTGCGATGAACAACATGCAGCCGCAGCAAAATTCATGCTGGAGCATGAGATCATGAAGGACCCCATGATCTGCATCAGAAGGAACCCAAGATCACCTCTTTCCGCTTTTTGTCGCGGGGCTTCCCATCATCCGTCCCCTCCTCATCTGAGATATCTCGTGAGTCCCTCGCCTGTGACACTCAAGCGACTAAGCAACACTTCATCAGGGAGTCACCAGCAGGACCAAATGTCTGCAACCCTGTGTACTGTGAAGCGGAAAGACAGTCGACATTCATAAAAGAACAGAGACAACTACATGGAGGGACCTGCCTGGTCCCGTTTTCTCCTCACAACATGCTGCCAGACGTTCCGCAGCTCCTCAACACGTACAGGTTTGATGAGAAAGTCAACTGCTCCATGTGTTACTCCCCGCAGAACAACATTTGTCTCGCCATTGGAGGACATCACTGCAACATAGAAATGTATTTTCAAACACAGCTTCCAGGATGGACAGGTGCACACATGCAGACTGGCTCATAAAACGAAACATAGGGAAGAGTCGGAGGGGGAAACTTACTGATGACAGGCAGGTCCAATTCCAAGCCGATGTGCTCTAAAAGCTTGAAGCCGTCCATATCTGACCCAACAGAAGGTACTCATCAGTTGATGCAATTCTGCACAGGAGACGCAATAGAGATAAAGTGGAGCAAGATCATGTCCACGCACCTGGCATGTAGACATCTGATAGCACCAGATCAAAATGCACCGATCTGTCTCGCAACTTCTCCAGCGCGGCCTTCCCATTGGGGCAAGTCGTCACTGCAAAAACATACGGACGAAAACCTGTCAGGGCTTTATGGTCTTGAACAGGTCCTACATTGCCAAAACGTACTGCCCAGAGGTGCGTCGACCCATCAACAATGAGTCTGTCGCAGAGGCAGACAAGCAACGGTTCCGATCTTCGCTCAACAAGGTAACGTGGCCAGACCTTGATAGTTGCAGCGGCGCAGCATGTGCTCCACCACTTTAAGGCACAGCGGGTCATCGTCCACGACTAGCACTTTCAGACCCGCGGGAAACATTTCCCACGAGTCTGACCGGGCGAGGTCCTCCCCGGACATCTCGCCGGAATGGGGAAAACCTCTACGACCGCTGCTGAGCGGAGAAGCCGTGTTATTTGCTGAACTATGCACACTCACTGAGGCAGCTCTGGCCTTGAGACCCATCCGGAGTATCCACTCTCATTGCTGCATGCATGTGGGCTGCCCCTCTTCGCTTCACCAATAAACATCTGGCTCTGAACAAACTCCTGCATCCTGCGCCAGAGCTAGGAGCACGTTTGCCTGGCTGCGATCAGGGAAACAACATGGCGTGTGCTCCTCATAGAATGACTTGTGAAGCCAGGGATCAGCTCTCTCTGAAAAGACTGCGTGCTCTCTCTGCTTAGCTGGAACAACTATAACAGATAACTAAGACTCTTTGACGGCCAGACGCCACCACTCAACGCTTGATACTGACAGATTGTCTTGGATAATTCCAGTCACGCATAATTGGGCTTCCAGGGCGTGTTTCAACGTTGCAGGTTCGTGGCAGAGGCACAGGGGTGGACGACCAAGAGCTTTCGCTCTCCATGACTGTATTAGGGTTCAGGGGTTTTTGCGAAGTATACACCAAAGCCAGGGATTTGACAGGTTCTGATATCTGTACCATCAAGATCAAGAAAGGTGAGTGGGTGGAAATCGGGGAGGGATGCGTGCGGGGATAGTCACTTGAATTCTGCCGGCTGCCGGCTGCGCAGCTGCCATATGGCCACTGGCAGTGCCACTTGCAGTGGCTGTCTGTTCTGATTAATCTTGGGGAAAGAAGACAGACAGCCACTGCCGGGGTTCGGATCTGATTGGACCCGGAAGGGCAGGCCTGGGGCCCGCATGGTGATGTACAGTACTTTGACAGTAGTTTCAAGTTGGACGTTTGACTGCATGCATGCATCGGCTGCGCATGCGCAGTGCCAGTGGGTCCCTGAGGCTGTGCTGGACACTGGCAGGCAATGACTCATTTGCAATTTGAAATGGGATTTCAAATTTTCACGGGTCACACGCGCCCTCAGATTGCCACAGCATCAAAATTCCCTTTCACAATGAATATGCACTCACTTGAGCTCAATCCTTGAGGCTCGGCCAAATCTCTTGGAATGAAAGTGGCAAGGCAACTCAAGTTAGGAAGTTGCAGTACTCAGTGCTGAAATTACCAATCCCGGATGCTCATGTTCTGGGCCTGCATGTTCATGTGATCACCATAATCACGATAATAACCTCTCTGTCAACTTCTCCCTCGATCCTCTTCATTTCTTTGTCCAACACCTAATTTACCCACAGCTCTGTTCATGCCCGCGGCTGAAACATATCAGCAGAAACACCCGTGCCAGCCCCAATTGGGAGGCTCGGATGCTTCTGAATCACTTGCCCAATCGATTGAAAAGGATAGTAAAAAAAGAAGGACACATATATTCAAGTTCTGTTCAGGTGGTGTCACAGAAGGGCAGGGTGCAGTACAGCAAAGCAAAAAATTGTCATTTGCAGATCTGTTGTCTTGAACAGCAGTGCACACACAAAGCCAAGTGCAGCTCTCCTCTTGCCGCAAATGGTCAACTCCCTATTGGTACATGCCCAGGGTATCAATGCCTGGCTACTCAGACTCAAATTTGGTGCGCAGTACATGATCCGCCACCTCTTCATCAATCATAAGATGGGTACATACATACACTATAGGCACGGCAACTTTTTTCTCACTTACTGATACAGCCAATGTACAGAAATTATCTGACTGCAAGAGCTGATATCACCTCAACTACCACCGAGAAGCAGGGAACCTGCCTTGGCCATAAAGCCTGTCTCAATACATGTGCCACTGCCGCGACATCTTCTCAACAATGCCACCGCCAGACGAAATGGCAGACCTGTTTCCGCAAAATTGCACCGATTGAGCATAGCTGTCATAATCAACAATCACATTCAGTTGGACAGAAGTGAAACGCTGCTTATGAGGTGCTAGGCCGCAACTCTTAAGCGCACCTGAGGTACTCATATTCCGGAGGGATGCCATACAGCAATGGGATTGCAACGGTCATCTTCAACACTTCATGGACGCCGCTGCACAGCCCAGAACAAAGTCAATATCAATAGCCACCATCTTTTTCCAGGTCAGCAGTAGCTTGAATCCAGAACTTATATGACAGCATAATAAATTCGAAGGTTATGTGCATGAACGCTCATCGGTGGCAGTCTGCTCATGCAGCAGTCTGTGTCATGGGTGGGACCACATGCCTTTTGGTTTCAACATGGTGCAGCATGACGGAGCCGCCTCTGCGCAGCACGGCATCTTCCACCACCTCGGAAAGGCTATTCACCGATCTGCAGAAGCCCAGCAAATGGAGGCGGCGCTTGGGGTCTGCACCATTCGTGGCCTGCCGGTACACATCACACTTCAGACAGTGCTGTGACCGATCAAGGACCTCGATCTGAGCAACAGAATTAAGGTTGTCTTGCAAGCTGGCCACATGATGGCCCAACTAGTGCTTTGCAGCATGCAAGGAAGGCATATGAGGGCTCCAGCCTGGCGTGCCAACTGGCGATGCAGACAAGCAAACAAGATTGAACGCTGCTCACCGCTATCCGGAAGGATGCTCCCACACAAAGTCCCTGCTCCTGCTCCGTTGGAAGGGGCTCCATTGTCAGCATCCTTCGAGGGACCTGCAGATTAACGCTCCTCATACGCATACTGCCAGTACAAGGTTTTCTCACGATGATCGCGATGCCACACCATCACAAGACTCCACTTAAAACAAATAAGGGTTGGTCTCCTGCCCCTTACATGCCAGGATGGTCTGCTGGGCAGCTGCACGAACCCTGTCGCTGTCAAAAATGTGATAACCTGCTGCAGTAGGCAAGAACATTGCAGTACAGTCAGTTCATTCCATCAAAGATGCAGTAGGAAGTCGTTGAGCATTCACTGACAGGACAGCAAGTTCAAAATTGTACCTCCTCGCTCTGATTTGTACTTGAACTCAAGTCATCTTCCCCAAAAAACAAGTTCGCTCTCAACTGCGGGGACAGAGGAAAGTTTGAGACATTAGTACCCATCTGGTTTAAAGAAAATAACCTCGTGTTTAGTAAGGAGCACACTACCAAGGAAGGAGCACAGCTCAAACAACTGCTTCATCCCATCCTTGTCATCCTAATGTTCTTTTTGGCCTGACCTTCGTTGTTGAACGAAGACATCTGCGATGGTGTGACAGATGTCTATCATTTGATTGAGAAGGAAGATTCTTTGTGCATCGCCAGGAAGCAGCCATTGAATGGTACTTCTGTCAAGGGATTTCCGAAGTGTTGAGGAAATGAATGTGCGCTCCAAGACTTCAGATGAAGTAGGAACGGTCACTCTGGTGCACAATCATAAAGCTTGCCTCCGACAGTTTGAACTGGCGTGTGAGCACTACACTAATTCAGCAATTTGTAGGGCCACAAAGAATGGAGGGAAAGGTGACGTTACGTGGCCCGTTACGAGCTATTTTTAGCACTTTAAGTATGCCCCTGAACCAAGGGATTGAATGGTTGAAGACACTGCTGCATGGATCATCGAGTTTCAGGTATCCACACCTTGATGCCAAGAGCTCACCACATTGCATTAGCAAATTTGCGAGAGCTCCGAGCTGCTCCGAGCAGCGGCTGCTCACTGAGTGGCACTGGGTCAGTGTTGTTAACACTGACTCAGAGCCAAGCGATATTGGATGTATGCAACAGATTACACTTCACGTTTGTGTCAGGCATTCTTTATCCCTTGACATTGTGAATCCAAAGAACATAAAGGTAGTCTGATTCATATGATGTCAAAAACCCATGCGTGGAGGGGAGGGCGTCCACCCCCGCTCGAGCAAGCCTTGCAAGGTAGCCAGCAATATAACAAGGCATGAGATCACATTGATTGTCTTGTTTGCATCCAGTCGTCAATCTAGATTCTGCACCCGCATAGTAGGACACCCGCACACTGCAAATCTCTCACTCTTTGGCAGTGGCTTGAAGAGTTTGCATGCATGGAATTGGTGGATGGGCCACCAAAGCTTGCTTGTCTTTGCTTGCACCTCTCAGCCACGATCTTTCGGCATTGCCGCGCTTTCTTCAATGGAGAATCTCCATTGGAGATCCTTGCGCTGGTCATTTCCCTGCAAGATCGAAGCCATAGTTGGTATGGCTGCCAAGGGATTACTGATCAATTTACTGATTGACTAATATCATCACTGATATCATCGATGGCATGACACCGTGATGGGCAAGAAGAACCAGAATCCACGATCCTGTCCAAGGCACTGCGTGCCGGGCTCGAAGGCCTAGGACCACTCCTCACACAATTCCTGAGCACATGCTTGCATGGCGCAATCCTGTGCAGCATGACATTTGGCAAGCCAGCATGCTGCGGAACCTCACCAATATTGGTGCCAGTACCCAGCTCTGCTTGAGACACCTCCACGCCGTATGCAAGTCTGCATGAACAGCGATTTCTCAAGCGCTTAAGAGTCAGCATATTGCAGGCTGCATCTGTGGCTGGAGACCACTGCATTTGCACATTGTCTGGCCAGTGACCAGATAGTGAGTACTGAGATGGTCGTTGGGTGTGATGCAGTAAGGAAAAGTGGCAAGAGAGCTGGGGGACAGCTGCAGGCGTTTACCTGCTGGTACCACTTGCTGGCTGCACGCCAGGCACAGGCGTACTGATCTTCTCCACAGGCACAGCAGCAGAGTGCGTTTCAGGGACGATGTTTGTGCCTCCGTGCAGGGCCTGGTCGGCCTTCACGTCCAGCAAATCGTCGCCCTTGTTCTCAACCTTCTGATCACCAGCCTGTGAGCCACAGCCATGCTTCTATCAGATATATCACCCCTCCGAATTCGCCAGTGTCCGAGGTGATTTTGGAGATCGTCTCGGAGTCTTTGCAAGCATCCATCGCACGAGCCTTCCCCGACTTCAGGCGACGATCGAGGTGGCAAACGAGGTAGGACTCCCAAAGCGAGTTCATCACTCCGTACCTGCCCCGTGGCTGGCAGCTTGTCGGCCTCTGTTCCAACCTTGTCTGTCATGGTGACGTTGATGAGCAACACACTTTGGCAGCCTCACTCCAAATCTGAGGGACGCGGCTCAATACGAAGTGCAGTCTTTCCTGAAGATCACAGAGTCGAAGATGGACACCGAAAAGGCATGCATGCTGCGTCAGGTACATGGAAGCTATTTGGTAATTGGACAGGTGTCGTCTGCCCTCCCTTCGTCCTAAAAGGACAGACTTGAAAGAGGAAGAAATTTCATGCATGTACATTAACATGGAGCAATAAAACCAGCTGTGACTCAGTGAAGCTTTAAAGAGGCCTTTCATGAGCAATCTACCGGCCAGTACCGGCCCAGGGAGCTTGCATGCATGCAATGCTAGCAGGCAGCAACTTCAAATTGTACTGATACTGGTTCTCAACATATTTGGAATAGTCTGCAATACCAACATGCTTATGCACTCAGGACTAGATTAAGAGTCGCTCGAGAAATTGAAGGTCACAATTAGGGTCCCAGGTCCTAGATCCTAGTAGACCTGTTATCAGTTCCCTGACTACCAAAATCAGAGGGCCTACCTCAGGCTGGCCTGGGAAGCCAATTGTGGCAACAGCCTTCCGCAAGCACGGCAACAGGACACGACACAGCCAGACAAATCAAACGCAGAGACAAATCAACCAGTCAGGTTGGGGCTGTCCAGCATGGCAAGAGGACAGGACACAGCGAGACGAATTAATGCACAGACAAGTCAGCCGGTCAGGTAGGGGCTGTCCAGGACGGCAAAGCCGGCAGCGACGCCGCCCTCATCTGAAGTGGCCGCCTTGGTCCGCACCAGGTGCCCCGCCTCCCTGTTGAGGATCACTCTGTCCCCCCTCCGGACAAAGGTCCCATAGATGCCCAGCTCTGATAGCGTGTCCACCTCTATCACCTGGCCCTCCCTCACCAGCGTCGACCTGCTCAATCCCACACCACCTCTTGCTCATTCCTCTACCTTTTTAAGCTTTTTAAAGGTTGGCACACCATGTGGTGCACACCACAGGCACCAGCAAGATAAAAAGCTTGCTTGATTAGCTGGCACAAGGCAGTAGGAATACTTACAAAAGGGTGCTACTCAGGGGCCGTGTCAAAAGAGAGAGCTTGGAAGCTGACTAGGCTTCTTGTTACTGCATGTGATGGCCATGAGAGACACCCTCTGCATCAGCACATGACACCAACAGGCTAACAGGAATGCAATGCAATGCTATGCACGCACTCCGCTGCAGGAAGTGTGAAGTGAATTTATCGTGGGAGTCCAATTGTGGGCAGACTCAGAAATAAATTGGAGCTTTCAGAGGCACGCCTGTTGATGGGCGGCCGAATGCGCTGCATGAGGATGTAGGCGGCCAGACCGGTGCGCTGCTGCAGCCTCTGCACGATCTGGGCCCCATAGAGATTGTTGCCGCCGCCCTCGCGCTGCGGCTTGAGCACGTAGTCATCTGGGCTGGCCTCTGCGCGCGCCAGCACCTCCGCTGTGGCCGCCTCTTCCACATCATCCAGGCTCCACAGGCCTTTTGCGCAGCCACAGTATTGCTGTCAGAGCAGCGGTGTTGAGAGAATTGCCTTGCAAGGCAAGACCTAACTCTGCTCAACGGCGTTTTGGGCGACATATGAATGGCATCCTGGGGTTGCAGTCGCAATGCAGGGCCTCTATTTAGCAATATAAAGTATGCTTGGCTGCACACTATGATATAGGGCCCTGCTTCTGAAGTCACAAATTCAGTACCCAGGGCAGGGTCGTTTATGCATGCGTTGTAATGCTGCCTTCCCATGCCCCACAGCCGAACATCTGCTGTGTCGTGCGCTTCATTTGCCCGGACCCTGAACCTCCAAAAGGCAATCGTTGGGTTATTCATTGGTGTGTATATTCAATCTGAAGGGCTTGAGGCAAGCAGGCGCACCGGCAAAGCAGGCGCGGATGAGGGCAGCTTCCTCGGGGCCGTCCACAAAGCGCTCCACAACGCCCGGCCCTGCCAGATCCTGCTGCACCTTCTTGGCACCTGCCAGCTGGTACGGCACCGACGGGCACTGCGCCGCCCGGCTGCTCTCCAGCATCTCCCTGCACCCAGCACCAAAGTGACTGTTTGAGTCCCTGTGTTCAGATGACGGGAGGTAAGTTTTTACCTGTCATGTCTCTCAAGATTCAATAAGCTGTAGTGCCACTTTGCCTGTCTTTCACACGTCCCTGCTATGCATGCTGTCATTGGGTGCCCCACCTAGATGTCACCTGATTGACAATGAACAGAGGGCGAATACACAAAGAGGGACATCCACAATCTAGGTTGATGCCCCTTGCGCCGCCAAAATGAAACCCCCCTTCCAAGTGCCATTTGAAATAGCAGTGCTGTGCTTCATTCTGGCATGTACCGGTGTTAAGGTGGCGGCGGACACAGCTTTTCACTCTGTACCAAGACTAACTGTGTCTGAAGCCTAGGACAAGAATGCAAGGGAGTGCGGAGTCACACCTGGCCTTCCATTCTAAATCTGTGGGGTAGTCATCGGGTGAGTAACCAGCCCTGAAGTATGCCACAGCCACTTCCGCGTCATCCACCCTGAGCTGGCCGTTTGCATCAAGCGCTCCTCGCTCAGCTATTTGTGCCAGTGTCAAGCGAACAGTACGAATCTTGTGTCGCTCCCAGATCGCCTGCTGCAGCCACTGCACAGCCATAGCCAGCTTCCAGTCAGCGGTGACACGTGCGACTGATGGCTGCTCACAAGTGCTGGACGTGCCAGGAATCTGTCTGGGGCCTCCTGGGGTGCAATGAAAAGCATGCACATCTGTACAAATCTGGCCAACACTTGCACTTAGTGCAACGCATGTGCTTGCCCAAGTGAGAAGACAGCTGTCAAACGTGAATTTGAATATGGACTGTGCACCTGCTGGTCATAGCTGTTGCGCTCGTTGGGCTGCACAACAAAGAGAACCACAGATTCCTCCGCGCCATATTCACTCACGGCAGCACCGATGGCGTCCGCGATCTCTTCCGTCGCATGGTTCTCAGGAAGTCTGCCCAGGTCCACCCCGGGCTGCGCAGAGCGCTCTAATATGTGCCGGTGCATACGGCTGACCAGCGTGCTCAGGCACCCAAAGGACGATGCAATGGTGTTCAGCTCCACCTGGGCAGCACAGCCACAGCATCCTTAGGACCACAGGCATAGCTTGGCTGTAGAATCTATGAATGCCCACAATTCCAAGGCTCCGGTGGGAATGTGGCCCAATCAAGCATTTCAAGATTCAGCACAGACCAAAGTCCAGGACGTACATCCAATTGAGTCTCTGCCTAATCTTGAGCAGATGAGTTCCTGGCTTGAAAATGCTAACAAGCAATTTTTGCAAGGACCCAGCCCTGTGTCATGGGGGAGTACAGGTGCTGCTGGCAAGGACAGACCTGCAGGAGGGTGCTGGATGGCTCATCCAGCATGTAGTCAGAACGGTTGATGGCCAGGACTAGTTCATCAGCTGCGCGGGCATTCCTGATACCTTCTGTATGCCTGTACACCTCCAGCAGCTTTGCCTGCGCATGCATGAGCAAAGATTCATGGCCGCTCCAGATTAGGTGCACCCTTCTTCTGCAGACAGGAGGCTGTGCGTCCATGCATGGCAAGATCAGCAGGAATTCACGCACCGTGAAGTCATCAAACTCTGCTGCAGGCTGCAGGGTTCGCTGCAGGTAATCTCCATCGCGGCTGACGCGGTCAATGAGCTTGTTAAAGACCTGCATGGCTGCGCGGGCCTTCTGGAAGCTGTCCCTCGGGAAGGGGACTGGCACGACTGAGATGGGTGCGTGCGTGAGGGCGTAGGGGCGTTGCTCGTCCCCCAGACCCACGAGCTGTGCATAAAGCCACAAGTCAAGTTGTTTCAGCATCGGTAGCTGACTATGTACTATGTACTAGCGACAAATACCTGCCTTGAAGCCAAATGAAGGCACTGCTGCTAATGCGGCAAAGATATAGCAATTCAAAATTATGTAGAGCATCTAACAATTTATTGGATGTAAGCCTTATTTCATAAGGCCGACCCGCACCAGTCCATGGAGACTAGCCCAGATGATGGCGTCATCAGCAAGGGCTTGTGACGATGCTAATCCCTGGCCCTCTGATCTCCTCATCTCATCTACTGCTGCTTCTGAATCTGAGTGCTTTGCCTGGGACATCACTCTCAAATGACGTAAGGTGTTGGCACCTCTGAGGGATCTGCAAGTCACACAGCGACTGTGTTGACGATTGGAGGCAGGGCTCAAATGGGCCTCTAATCGGAGCTGTTTGATCATCTCACCACCTTCCCTACACCTCCATTCGTGCGATTGCTTCTGATCTAAGAGAATTCCTCCGATGCCGCACGTGCGACTGCTCGGCGGAGGATGGTGGCCTAACTTGGCGGGTTTCCCGTTCAAACTCGTTCTCGCCAAGTGGGACAAATTCGGCACGGTCAACCCTGAGGTGCATTCTTGGAATTCACTTCGAAAAGTGTCGTGTGATTCTTCCGTTCCGTGCAAATATTCCATGTATGCGAGTTGCGGACTCCACCTGCAAAACAAGCGTTCAGGGTCTCCAAGAGCCCTTCCACTTGTTGGGGCAGGAGCTAGCCCTGGGGGATGCTGACCAACGCCATCAAGATTGGCAAAGCTGCAGTGGGATTGCCCGTCACAATGGAATTTCCGGAAGATTACATGCAGTTCAGGGGGCCGGAATCTGCCCAACCAGCTGAACAATCTTTGCAGGTGACCATGGATGGATGTTCAACAAAATAACAAGCCTGTTTTGCATTGGCTTCAGCTCACTAAAAGGTCTGTGTTAACTCAAATCTTCTAAGAACTCAGTTGCTCTGTACAGGCAATCTTAAGGCAACGGGATGCTGAACTTGAAGAACGGGGGAGGCTGCTGTACAGAACAAAGGTACATGGCATGTCTACTGCAAGACAACATTCCGCTGATACCAATCTAGCACATCTTGTATGCACTCTCAATCTGCATTGAAGCTCGACTTAGTCTACAGAAGTCTTCTATTGTCTCCGCCCAGTTGAGAGCAACCTGGTGCAACAGGCAGCCATCGAGCAGCTGCAGCAGGAGCTGGCAGCCAGCAGGGAGGAGCAGGAGCTCATCAAAGCAGAGGCACGGCAGGTGAGCACACCCAACCTGCGCACAGAGCCCTGCAGTACCCTTCCATGCTTTTCTCCTTCCCTTGGGAGGCATGGCTTGGCGATGCTGACAAGTGGGGTGTTAACTCAGGCATACGAGGACCAGGTGGCCCTGGTGCGAATGGCGCAGTCCCAGGTGGAGGCATGCGAGGATGAGCTGGCAGCGCGCAATGCAGAAATCGATGCCCTGCAGGTGCGCGCAGCTGCCCTCGAACAAGCCCCTGGTGCAACAGCAACTAGTGACACAAAGGCCGCGCTGTGCTGGCATTGTTTGCAGGTCACACTGGCACTGGTGACAGAGGCGTTACCTGTTGCATTGTCCATCGGTCCAAAGCAACTGGTAACACAAACTCCGCAATGTGCTGCCAATATAATAGATCACACTGGCACTTGTGACAGAGGTTTTGTTGATCACTGCATAACAGGAAAGGATAGCGCAGCTGGAAGACGCCAGGGACGGCGCTGAGGCAAGGGCGGCCGCAGCGGTGCAGGAGGGCCGCCAGAAGCTGGCGGAGGTGCAATCAGAGACCGGCGCCGCACGCGCAGAGGCCACCATTGCGGCCGCGCGCATGCGGCAGGAGTGCGAGGAAACCATCGTCGCCGCCCGGGCTGCGGCCGACGCTCAGGCCGCACGCGCGGCCGACAACGCACAGTCAGCCGCCGCCGAGTGCCGGCGGGAGGCCGAGGCAGCGGCCGCCGCCGCCCATGCCGACTGCATGCAGGCGCGGCGTGAGGCGGAGGCCGCCCGGGCCGAGACGGCCGCGGCGCGGTCGGCCGACGCGGCGGCCATCGCCACGCTGCAGGCTCGGCTGGAAGAGCGGGGGGCCGAGCTGGCCGGCGCGCAGGCTCTGGCAGAGCAGGCAGCTGCGCGGGCCGAGGCGGCTGCGCAGGTGGCGTCCTGTGTCTGCTATACCACTGCTTTGCATTGTGGGAACAGCATGCAAAGCGTCAATGTGTGAGTGCCCATAGCATAAAAGGTGTCTGAGAGTTCTGCTGGTGTCTTCAGGAGCGGGAAAGGAACAAAGAGCAGGTGGCGGAGCTGAGCGCCAAAATTGTTCAACTCCAGGAGCAGACCAGCCGATCTGAGCAGGCGCGGCAGGCCAGCACCAGTGCTTCCGCTGCCGCAGGTGCTCCCCTGTCCAAGCTGTGTTTCATTCAACCTTGTCTTGTACTCGTGCAAAGAGCAGAGCATGCACTAAAACTGAAGAAAGGCAGATGTGAGAAGAAAAAGTGGTGCATTGCAGCTGCGGCCGAGGCCCTGGAGCGAGGCAACCTGGCGAGGGACTATGAGAAGCGGCTGCAGCGCATGGAGCAGGAATGCGCTCACCGGATCAGGGCTGCCGAGCGCAAGATGGCCAAAGGGTGAGCGCTCCAATACCCGACATGATTCTGTACAAGCATAGTGCAAGAGGTCCGTGTTACTACAGGTTGACAGCTATTGCCAATATGCCATTTTATCCAAATCCCTCTGAGATCCTCAGATCCTCAGGTTGTTTGCTTTGTCTTGTATTCCATATATCAAGTTTGCATGGCATCCATTGTAGCATAATGGAGCACCGTAGGCTGACTGCAGGCGGTTGACAATATGCTAACAAATGGCACATTGCAGGTTGGAGGAGGCGCACCAAGAGGCGGCGAGGCAGGCGGGCGAGGTGGCGGGTGAGTGGCGGCTGCGGCTGGCGCAAGCTGAGGAGGCCCACCGTGGTCTGCAGGCTGACCTGGCCGCCCAGCTGGACACCCTGCAGCAACAGCTTCATGCCCAGCAGTGAGCTCACCCTGTCATTGTTGAATATGGACTCTGGTGTATACGAGAGCATTAGGACGGCACCCCTGATACATGCTGGACCGACGCTTGCCCCAGGCACCGGAGCGCTGTGATGCGCAGCTATGAGCTCACACCGCCCAAAACCCATTGTATCGAAACCACTCAGACACCTGGGAATGATAAATTGCTGGGACAACATCGTTTGGGGAATGTTGCACGCGAAATTCTTCGGCACTCATTGACACAGGCGCTGCTTGGAGAGTGGTACAAAGAATAGTCTTCAAGAACAGTCCTAAGCTACAGCTGCTGTGCCCCACAATTGCTCATCAGAGCCGATGGGTTGCGATGAGGGCATTGCTCGTCGGAGTGTGTGTGAGTCACACACTAGAGTGACGGTGGAATGTTTGGCGGCTGCAGGGGGTGGGAGGCGCGGCTGGGGGAGGCGGGCAGCAAGTGGGCTGCGGAGAAGGAGGCGGCTGAGCGGCGGTGGGAGGACGCGCGCGCGACGGCCGGCGCGGCGTGGCAGGCGGCGCTCGACCGCGCGCAGGCATACGGCGCAGAGCAGCTCGCGGCCGCGCAGCGCCGCTGGGACCAGGCACGGCACCTCTCTCTCTCTGGGCCACCTTCTTTTATCAAACTCTAAGAGCTGTCTGTGGTGGCGGGATAGTCGAGGCCCACCGCAACACAATGCATAGCTTTTTCTGTCCCAGATTGATTGCTTCAAGGCTTGAAGTTCCTGGAACAGTGCACCTCGGGAAATCAACCTTCTGCGAGAAACACTTACTATGAGTTGTAAGGCTTCTTTAAGACTCAGAATCCTAGAAATCAGGATACAGTACTTGGGGCTGTCGTAAGCAAATCGCTTTGAGTCTAACAGGCTGGAAGAGTGAATGGCGGGCCAAGGGGAGTAGAACTCCATACTTGCACTTATACTATTCTCCTCTATCTTGTTGCCCCATACTATTCTACTCCCTTGGTAAGGCTCAGGGTGAAATGTTCTGTAACCCAGGAGCGGGCGAGCTTGGAGGCGCAGGCGGCGAAGGCGCTGGCGCAGGCGGAGCTGGATGCTGGCAGGAAGGAGGCGCGATGGAGGGAACGCTGCACGGTTGCCGAGGCTGGTGCCAACGAGACGCGCGCCGACATGGAGAGGCGGCTGGCGGCCCTCGCGCACAAGCTGGCCGCCGCCGCCAAGAAGGACGAGAAGCGCAAGCGCGCCAAAGGTGCTGTCATGTTATTTAGGTTGATCGAGACCCCCTGGTGCACACCAGCATGAAGGGAGAATATGGGGAGGCCGTGGCGGTGCTGTATGGTTGTCCAAGGAAATGGGTTGGTGAGGAGCGCTCAAGAGCCCTTTAAAACATGTCAGGGAATCATTGACGTGCACCTGTCAACTGCACAGACCAGCTCAGTTGATGTCCTGCCAAGATTTGCATGCGTGAAGGGATGTTTATCGACTTACTGACATGCGCTGGCCGCGCTGCAGGCGAGGCGGCGGCCGCGGTGGCGCAGGCGCGCAGGGCGGAGGCGGCTGCGTTGGCGCGGGCTGGGGAGTTGGAGTGCGCGCTGCGGGAGGCGGCCGCCATGTTCAAGGCCGAGCTGGCTGTCAAGGCCGCCGAGATGGACGCCCTGCATGCCGAGCTCGGGTGACACTTCCCAACACCCTCAGGGGGACGCTGCAATGGATCTGCCGGATTTAGAATGTTATGAAGGGTTTGCTGGGTGCAGACATGTATTCCTCTGGACCCTAATGCCTCAGATGACCTCAGACATGAAGTGGCTCTGAGGTGCATCATGCTCTGATGCAGCCCTGCTCTTGACATGGACAATGCACGGGAGTCAAATGTTTGAGTTTTGCAAGTCTAACATCTGTTGCAGGAAGGTATGCACCAAACAGCCGGCACTGCTGCTGCTGTTCTGCTGGCCACACTTCTGAAAGTAGGAGATGGACAATAATTGAGCCTTGTGCGGCCCGTGCAGGAGGCTGAAGGAGCAGCAGGCACGCACGCTGCAGGGAGTCAGCCAGAGGACCTGCTCCTGCTGCTCCAAGGCTGCAGGGCCCCTGGAGGCCGTGCCCAAGCCCCTGCGCAGCCCAGTCAAGATGTGGATCTCGGCCGCCGTCGATGACAGCGAGGTGACTAACCCCATGCACCCTGCCGACCCCGAACTTGTGCGCTGTTCACTGGAATTCATGCTTGAAATTTCTGCGCCTCAGTATTGCCTCTCCAGCTCCATCCTGCTGGAGAGGTCTCCCTTCACCTACTTACCTTACCTCCTCCAAGATGTGAAGGGCTCATCAGATGTGGTCCCACCTAGAGGGATGTCACAACCCATATCTGGGCAGCAAGGCACTTTCCTGCAGGAAAGACAGCAGAAAAGGGCAGAAAGCAATATCCTTGCAGACATGTGGCGAGCGCAATACTGATGCTGTCTGCAGACGGAAGAGGTGGAGATTTATGGGCGGGACAGGAGCCCTGCGCACAGGAGGGCGGCGGCTGATGGGGCTGCTGGGATGGACAGCCCCTGGATAGAGCGCGAGCTGCAGACGCTGCGAGCCATGTGCGAGAGCAACCGGCGGGACCAGGATCAGGAGCAGGTAGGTAAAATTCACAGGACCCTGAGGCCAGTCTGACCTCTAGTTGCGGCATCCTATCAAATGCACAAATCTGACCTGGCTCAGTCTCAGCGGCACGCAGGCTGGTTCAGTGATTGACCACTGGGTTCCCTAGCACAGACGTGGTGCCGGCTGAACAGTGTGTTGTAATCCACCTTTTGTACCAGATCAGGAATTCAAGGGGCTGAGATCAAGAGGGTGTGGTTTGCAGGATCGGAGCAGGAAGCATTGGGGGCCGACAAATCAGAAGCGTTTGCCGGTTCACCGCCAGCCAACCATCACATGAGCAGCTTGCATCACACGTACTGCACCAGACAGAATTGAACCTTGGCACTCAGCATTGAAATTCCTCTGTTGAAAACTTTGAAAAGGGAAGCTGACAGAAGGCATTGCGTTGAGGTTTGACAAAATGTGTAGAAGTGTCTTGACTGAGCTTTCTTACAACCATCTGTACACCAAAAAACTTCCATACAGGGCTACTACATGTTTATTCTCCCTTCAGGAAAAACGGAGTCTGAAAGCAATTGGCAGTGCATCAATGTATGCCTCAGCTTGTAAGTTCCAACCCTCAAAATGGTGTCACCCAGCATCAAACAATGTCATCTGAATATGCCAGGCATGCAATTGGTTGACCCTGTAGAGTGGGGACTTGTGTTGATCCCTCGCCACATCACAAAGCCCCAGAAGCGCATGCATGCAAAATAACTCTGCAAGTTTGCACAAATAACTCGAGCACAGCTGGAAATGAACAGCAAAATAAATCGAATACAATGCTGATTTGAAAGCCCAGGTCTCCTCAGAAGGTGGAATGCAACACCACTTCCTCAAAATATTCATTCTCGCTCTATCCAGAATTATCCACCATCTGCCTCTGCATAGCACTACTGCCCTGACCTTCCTCTCACACTCGATCTGAATAGTAAAGTATTCTTCAAAATTTTAAAATCTTCCGCTCAGTTGCCAACCTTGCTGAGTGCGTCCTTGATCACATCAGATGCTGCCCTGGGCGCGTCCTTCTTCAGGTTGCTCAAGCCCTCTCCAGCACGGCCTGCCCATGCACAAATCCTCAGACTAAATTTCAAATCAAATTTCATTCATCCTCAAGGCTAAGAGAGAGTCCACACATAAAAGGCAGTGCAAGCACCCAAGAATGGACAAAGGGCTGAGGAAATGACCATCACTTTCAGTGGCAAAAACTCAGTGGCACAAACTCTCCTTGATGCGACAACCAGCCTTCTAAACGACAACGCACATAGGGTTTGTGTGATGGCAAGCAGCACGTTCAAAGCAGCACATTTCGTCAACTCAGGTCATGCAGATAAGTGCAACATCTGGGAATGGCCCCACCTGGTGTGGCAGTGTCGAACTTGTTGTTGGCGCCTGGCAGCTGTGCGAGCTCTTTCTTGCCGACCTCATTGGGTCCCAGGTTCTTGTTGTCCGGCGACACAGACAAGTCATAGATGGGCATGTTGCCAAAGGGCAGCAAAGCCCTGAGCTTGTCGAAGAGCGAGGATGCCTTGAGAGCCTGTGAGTGCAATCAAGCTGTCTATCAGACACTCCACTTTGTAAATTTGTAGCCTTTAGTATCAAGGTGATTTTGTTGCGGGGATTGCATGCATAGCAGGCATGTGGAAAAGGCAAGCCTGGCTTGGACCACAGTCATTTTGCTCCTCTGCATTGTGCTCTTTTGCTGTCCGCAGGAGGTCATTTAAGGCTGGACGTGTGAAGGGATGCATTGGCGCATTTGCAGAAGGCTAATATATTAATTCTCGACAAGGGGAACTTGGCTGCACCTTGCCCTTGACCTCTGCGGGATTCACAGCGCCCACATCGCCGCTGCCTGGGCCGCTCTTGCCAAAGGTACCTCCAGAACGGCCTGTGCAAATGCACAGTTCTCAGGGGACCTACAAAATGCATTGAGGAGAGACAAAGTACCTTGTGACAGGGGTCCAATGGAGCTCCAGGACAAATGTACTGGCAGGCCCTCCCTCTTTTGTTCCAAATTCAGCAGACTCTACCAACGGGAGAAGTGTTCCCATTTGCACTGGCAAAGACAAAGTCGTCCCCAGACAATGTCACAGCAACCTATTTCACAACACCGCTGCAGGCAATAACGGACTTTCTGTGAGGCAAGCCTGCCCCGTTAGTTTTACTGCATAGTTCAGTCGTCTCAGGGAATCTCACCTGGGGCGGCGGTGTCAAAAGGGTTGTTCGCATCGAGTGAGATGTCGCCGATGGATTCCTTTGTGACCTCGTTGGGACCGAAGTCCGCGTTCTGGTTCTCCTGGGGAGGAGTCTGGTAGTCCTCAGCCTCTGCCAGCTCAAACACTGGGAGTGTCTGGAACGGCAGCGCAGCCTTGATCTTGTCAAAGACAGAGGAAGCCCCCAGGGCCTGCAGGAGCGCACAGAAGAGGTCAGCGACATGCTCTGCTGTTTGGGGTTCAAATTTTTATGTGTACACAGCTTTCAGCCCAGGGCCTTCCAGCATCATAAGAAAGAGAGAGCAATTTTGGGATTCATGCAAAAGCTCCTATGTTCCACGACAATGTGTAATTCCCAGTGATAGCAGTGGCTCACCTTCTCCTTCACCTTTGACTCATCCACAGCGCCGGTGTCACCGCTGCCGGGGCCATTCTCGCCAAAGGTCTGACCCGAGCGCCCTGGTAATGACATCACCATGATGTCAGCAACAGCTTGCATCTGCACTGCTTAAGCTGGCCCTGATGGCCCGCATATAGCACTTGCCTTACCTAATGCTGGCCTGTTCATCTATCTGTGCATTTGCTGTTGTTTGAAGCTTTTAATTAGGATTTGGGCAGGCCATATCCTGGTGCCCCACTTCTAAGAAGCACCTCTTCAGTGTTGGGCGGAATATTTGTATTTCAGTATGCACCAAGAACACTCAATAACCAGCCTCCAGTACACCGAGGAGAAGTGCTGCAGCTCACCTGGAGCGGCGGTGTCAAAGGGGTTGTTTGCATCAAGCGAGATGTCGCCGATGGATTCCTTTGTGACCTCGTTGGGACCGAGGTCCGCGTTCTGGTTCTCCTGGGGAGGAGTCTGGTAGTCCTCAGCCTCTGCCAGCTCGAAGACCGACAGTGTCTGGAATGGAAGGGCGGACTTGATTTTGTCCACAACATTGGATCCCTGCATCAATCTTTAAATTGAATAGGAAATAGAAATATCTCAAGTAAAAAATGCCTCGACACAGAAAGTAAGTGTAAGCATGCTACCAACAACGACTGCAAGTAACATGGTCTTGTTGGGACAGCATTGCGACTGTCTAGTCCAAATAATGTGGAAACTTCGGGCACAGATTTGAGTCATACCTTCTCCTTCACCTTAGAAGGGTCCACGGCGCCCGGCTCATTCTTGCCAACACTGGCGCCTCCAAAGAGGCCACCGCTGCGCCCTGCAAATGGCAATCAGGGATGAGTCACTATTCACTGCGGCCTGCTGCTGCTGCTGCTACTGCTCCTGCTGCAAGGACAGCAAAATTCTGCAAATAGCTTTGCATTTCAGCGCACCTGGAGCAGCCTGGTCGAAGGCATTGTCCGCTCCCACAGATGTGTCCTTGATGGTCTGCTTGCTGACCTCGTTGGGGCCAAAGTTGGCGTTGTCATCAATCTGAGGTGGCAGGTCAGCCATGGCAGCACCTGTAGACCAATATGCTTATTGATCAGCAGTGGGCGTTTGAGAGTTTGCTGCCCTCCCCTTGAACAAGTGTACAGATTTCAGATGCATGCATGCTGGAATCCCTCCTTTTTTGGACATACAGAAAGCAAGAAGGCACCTGACAGGGCCAGCTGCGCGGCAGCAAGAGACACAGCAAACTTCGCTCCAGCGTTCAGGGCTTTCTGCGCATTTCCACAGGAGTGTTGTCAGTGGCAAGTGACAAAGACTGCAGCACTGTATAAGGTCTAGCAATTCGTTCAACGAGTACAGTCAGTATACACATAATTGGTCAATGCAACCATAGCTTGAACAGCATGCACACATCACCACGTTGTGCTCTAGATGTGAGCTAATTTGCGCTAAAGTTGAGGCTAATATGTTGCGAAGCCAACCAGTCACAAAGGGTGGGCCTCACCTGGACACCGTTTCCAGCGTTGTCCTGCAACAATAAACAATCGCGCGTCAATATTCTGCGATTGTGGTAAAATTGTCTCACCGGTTTCGAAGACCTGTACTCCTGAAAGATAAAAAGTGGCATGCCGCAGAACAGGTGGTTCTCCCTGCAACCTCAAAATGAAGCTGACGGGGATCAGAAGGTACCAATTAGGTATCTAAATATAAGTCAACATTGTACTGTGCATGTCGATCGCTGCAAGGCTCACCCATTGTTTCACAAGGAGGTGCTTTTTGCATATTCATCACCCTATCTTCCGTCAGCACCTCTCGTGTCTTGATCCCCAGCATCACAGCACTCATCGCAATGCACACAGGTCGATGGGAGGAGAAAATTTTAAGTCTCACCTGCTTGGGCAGCGCAGAAACGATTGTGGGCCTGCTCTTCCGAGGAGTGCCGCGCACCGCGCCAATCCGCCTGCCTGCTGTAAATGCCGCTGTGCTCGTTGATGCCATTTGAGTAGACGCCATTGTGTATTGCTTGCTTGGATCAGTAAAGGATGATTTTATAGAATGATATTGAAAGTGAGAGGAAGAAGGAGACCGAGGAATCGAAGCTGGTCGTTCCGGCAGCTGATGGGAATCTGGGTGGCCAATGGAAGCATGTTTCCAGTTTTGGCACTTGTGGGGGTCCAGTCAACCTCCAGTCACTCAAAAACTTCCATCATCTGGAATCTCACCCGCCAGAGCCACGAGCAATCGACCACATCTCCTGTTCTTGTATAGCCCACAGACCTGCAACCACCCCTTCCCAGCGACAGCCTAGGATGGCAATCTCAAGATTCTTCAAGGACGTCCTGATCGACGACCAGGACAGGTCATGGACAACCCTCGCAAAGGTACCTCCCGCTCAAGCCCTGCTTCCCCCTTGTCTGGTACTTTTGCTTCGCACATCATATGCAAGTGCTGGCGTTCCAAAGCCACGAGCGATGTGACATTTGTTGCCAATCGGATCACTAAAGTGGATGCTCCCATCCCATGGGGTCCGGGTGCCCCATCTAACAGTCGCTGTTCATCCCAGGCGGTCGTCGCTGAGTATGCCGTCACGACCATGTTCCTTTTCTTCACCATCGGCACCGTGTCATCCAACTGGTACGCAACCTGATTGAGTCATTGGGGCAGCGTGTTCTCCCTCGTTGCGTCTTGTCCTTGTTGACGCTGGCATCCCTGTCTTGGGCGCTTTTGAAAGCTTCGAAAAAGTTTAAACGTCCTACGCGGCGCATCGGGTCATCGCATTTTCTTGCTGTGCAGCCACACGCTTGACAATGCAAGCCGCTCGGGGGCCGACAAGAGCCTCGATTCAGGTACAGGCAACCACCGACAGACGGATGCGCATGCACAAAGACATTGCTTATGGCGTTGGTGAATGATGAGAGCAAGATGCACGCTTTGTGAAAGCCTCGCAGAAGGATAAGGGTTTTATATTGCTGCCATGCATGTCCGAGTCACAACTTTTCTTTCCCCAAGACCGATCCCATCTGACATCAAGGTCCTGGGTGATGTTGCAGCGGGCTTCGGCACTTGCTTCCTAGGGACGAGCAACGTGCTCAACATTGCAATCGCTTTCGGCTTCAGCATCTTCGTCTTGGTGTACTGCGCCGCCTCGTTTTCTGGTACGTCTTCCGTACCTTCTTGCAATGTTGAAACTAAGAGATCTAACCAACGCCTATGCTCTTTCTTGCACAGCCTGCGCTTTGCATGCCCTGCCGTACAGCTAGGGCTCTCGAGGTCCCCACAGTCGAGCCACGACAAGGCGAACGATGAAGTTCATAGTTGACAAGTACGTCTGCTGCACTATCGCAGGAGGCCACATCAACCCTGCCGTGACCTTCGGCATGTTCGTTGCCAGGTGTGTGTCAAAAACACCTTGCTCCCTCGAATTCTCCTTGTCACCGACAAAATAACGAGCAGCACAGTTCTGTCTAGCGGACACTTCTACCTTAGGTGCAGCAGTCTAATAAATTCCTCAAGACGGTCCCTCTTCCATGCTGCAGGAAGATCTCCGTGCTGAGGGCGGTCCTGTACATGGTTGCCCAGTGCTTAGGCGCGTGCACAGGAGCCGGCCTTGTCAGGGCGGTGCGCATCAACCCTGCTCCTCGCTGCACCCCCCATATAGCACCCGTCCAGCATTTGGATTCAGACAAGTGCTTCCTGAGCCGGTGGATCTTTATATCAGCACAAAGGTCACTTGCAAGGCAGCCCTTCTTCTTGGCTCTGCCGCTCGCCCTGCCTTGATGTCTGCACCTTTCATGTGCATCAGCAGCTGCATCTGTCTGACCCTGTTCAAGCTTTGCTGTATTCAACATTTTGACTCGCAAAGAGGGCTGAAGGGCGAGGTAGTGTAGTCAGGAATTTGACGGAGTCCGCCCAAAACATTCGTAAGAGCCATCTGATTCTGCAGACAAGGCTTCGAGGCTTGAGAAGGTAGTGGCAGTACACTGAGGCCTCGCATGTGCAGATCGACGACGACGGCTGGCGCGCAGCGGGCGGGGGCGCCAACGCGTTGAGCCCCGGCTTTGGTGAAGCGGCGGGGTGGGGCCTGGAGACCATCCTGACGATGGCCCTCGTCTTTACCGTCTTCGCAGCCACCGACTCGGAGCGCGCCACCGACACCGCCCATCTGCCGGTGTGCACTCGATCCTCAATTTTCCTGCTCTACAACAGGGATTTTTGAAAGATCTGCACAATTGCTTTAGTGAACACGCCGTCTGTGTCCGGTCATTAGAACTGGCCGCCATCAAGGAATCTTCACCGCTCTACATTGTGGCAGCCCACTGCTCTGCTGTAGTCACTCAGCCACGAGTAGCGCATGCCTGTTGCAGCTCAATATTGTCCCGTTTTGAGCAGCTCTTGTGCCTGCAGCCTGAAATAGGACACTGAGAATGTAGGCGTGCAGAAATGATGCCTGAGCGGAATGTGCATGCTGCAGGTTTTGGCGCCCTTTGCAATCGGCATGGTGGTCTTCCTGTGCCACCTGGTCGCCATCCCCCTCGACGGCTGCAGGTGCACCCACCGAGTGTCTCCTGCAAATTCATGTGTCACCCTGTCTGAGTCTTAGCCATACTTGAGAGATTAGCTGCGCTGTCGGAGAATATAGATTAGGAGAAGAGATATGCAAGACATGTAAGGCAGTGCTAGCGCCAAGTAGGGAGAAGAGCCTTGTTGTGATACAATAAGATGAAGGCATTGATAAGGGGTGTGAGATTGCTGTGATGCACGAGCAGAAAGGAAAAAAATCCTGATGCAGGGCTGTGAATTGCCATAGCAATTGTGTGTTGTAAGCGAGCAGTGGCTGAGCTGTTGTTGTGTGTGATGCATATTAGCATCAACCCAGCGCGGTCCTTTGGAGCGGCCGCGGTCTCTGGCAGCTGGGACAACCAGTGGGTCTTCTGGGTGGGCCCCCTGTCGGGCGCTGTCCTCGCAGCCGCCATCTACGAGCTCATCTTCCGCACCAAGGCCCACAAGGTGACACCATGACACATCCTTGGGCTACGCAACATGCGTGTACTTCGCGCAAGTCTTGCGCCCGAGAGTCTGTTACTGCTCTCAGACCAGCTGCACATGCAACGGTCCCTCAGCACACCCACATGACTGCAGATGCTTGATTTATGACAGTGTCAGACATGAGGGCACACTTAGCTTGTGATGCACTGCTAACGGGTCCCCACATGCATGCAGGATATGCATGCAGGGAAGACATGCAAGCAGGAACACATTCATAGTCTTTGATTTATTTGCTTGCTGAGATCTGATGTGCTGGTGTGACTGCAGGCGGTGGCACACCCCTCAGAGTTTGATGTGGAGCGTGGAGTGAAGCTGCCGGAAGTCAGCGCGCAACTGCCAGCCTTTAGTGGAGTGGAGGGTCTCCGTGAGACCAGGAATGGCCAAGGCTCCACTTGAGCCCATGATGGGCGACAAGCAAACTAGATCCCAACAGGCAGGGGATCTTAACAAGCAGGATCTCAAGAGGCAGGCAACCGCAGGGTTTTGATTTATTCAAGAGAGCCATATTGGGCCCAGAATCATAGTATTTGCTGGTGTCACCAGTTTTCTTCCTCCCTTAGGAGCAAGAAGAGGAGCTAATGACTACGATGATGGCTGTGCCATGACAGTGACAAGGTGACGTGCAGTAAAATACATGGACAGATGGCGTGCTGACCGTCAGGAAGGTTGTAGCAATTTTTATATTTTGCAATTTCTTGGTCAGGCTCCACCTTGGTCTGTGCATCATGAATTTGGTCGCTGGCGTTGACGACACTGAGCAGTTGCAGTTGAAAAAATTGAGTTTATTGACACTTTTTCTATTCGTTTGCTGGCTGCGACACTGATGAGGGCATGGTCCTTATCTCCTTGGGAGATGAGATGATGAGCATTGTCAAATAGCCGCCTGGCTAAGCTGATGGTGAGCAAATGGAAGAGGGTAGGTTGCTAGATACTTTTAGCGCCTGAAAGGTCCAGCTTTTTAGTCCTAAGCATTTGACTCATATGAAGTTTAGACCAAGCCCAATGTGATTGATGTGGCAGCTCTAAGACTACCGCCGTTTTTAATGAAACTTTTGTATCTTTTGAGGTGATGGCTTGTGGAAAGATTGTGTTGAAATGTGAGGTGATCTGGGATCTGAGCGTCCAGAGGAATCCGTTTGTGTCTCTGTATCGCTTTCAAGTGATTCAAGAGCGTGATGAGCAGAACATGTGCGGCACAGTTTGTGCTAGCTCGATCCATTCAAGTGCAGGGGAAGAAATATTCAAAATGCGCTCCTTCAGTTGGGGCTATGTTGAAGCTGGGTGTGGCCAGGCAGCGGTGTGGCTTGTTTCTGCAAGGTGTTTGTATAACTTGACAAGGCTGATATTATTGAGGAACGACCGATCACGACTTTGATGGCCAATAGAGCAGATTTACTTCATGGAGATCTGGGTGAGCAAGGCGAGTTTAGCCAGCAGTGGTGGTGGCATGCCCGCCTGCGCAGGGCATTCATTCCAGCATTGTATTGTAATTACCATGCTATCTGAAAGTCTTGACCTTCTTGATGTGCACACGCTCTCTCACCATATGCATGCGCATGCCGGATGACCCTACCTTTTCAGATAACTCCATTCTCTCTGCTGTAGCGTAAGTTGCACATGATAAGAAAGATCTCACGAAGCCTTCAAATTGAAGCAAACAATTCCAAGAGGCCCATGACATGGCAAGGTGACGTCAGGGTGGACATCTGCTGTCGCCTCCTCTTTATCATTCGATCCTACCTCCGTGCCCCGCACCCGCGCGACCTCCCCACGCCTGCCACAGCCTCCACTGCCCGTGCTGCCCCCGCGGCGGTCCTTTCGGGTCCGCCGAACACCCACGACCTTCCCTTTTGATGACGGGGGCTAGCCTTGAGGTGATGTCCTCTGCGCGGCCCCCCAGCTGCGCCCGTACGCACAGGGGTCCCCCCCGGGGTCTCCTGTTTTGCGTTCCTTCTTTCTTTCTTTCTTCCTTTCTTTTGAGGGACTGTTGAACAGAAAATTTGTTTGAGATGACCCAGCCTGAAAGGCTATTCTGTTGCCGTTTGTGCGAGACTTGATCCTGTAGATCACACAGATGTCTGTTTTTAACTTGTCTTACGATATCTGGGACAAGATCTTCCTGGAAGTCTTTCCTGGCAACGCTAACGGAAAGATAAAAGATGTGCTGAACGTTTACAAGGTGCCACCTTCAGAATACGATCAGATCCGAAATTCCAAGGGACTGCTGACCTTGCCTTTCATCGATTACATCAGACACATTAATTGTAGATGCTCTTTCTAAAAACAAGGATCGTGTCTTGTAGGTGTCCAAGCACATAAAAGTTGCCGTTGAGAATGCTCACGAGTTCTGGCGGGGGTGCTGCTGTTTTGTTGGCTTCCAAACGCTGTATGATGTTGATGGACAGTTTGTGTGGGAGCCAGAACATCCACCTGAAGGCAGTTGGTGGTTATATTTCAGCTTGCGGATGCGAGAGAGATACATGCTCAGGCAAATTTCTCTCTGCCCTTACTTGACCGGCTTTGCAGCCAGCAAATGATCAAGATACTCCTCCCATCTTTAGCTTCTATTTGGTGTACAGGACACTTCTGGGGAAGTACATTCCCTTCCTCGATCTTTGGAGCAGCAGATCCTTCCAGTGTGGACTGGAGGCCTCTGAACTAGGAGAAATTGAGGAGCAACACAAAATCCGATTGCCACGGCAGGTGATCTGCTTCACATCAAAATGCAGCAGGCTGGTGTATTACATGGCTGTGATGTTTTTTTTTTTTTTTGATATGAATCAACATACACTGCAGATTTGGGAGCTGTATCGATGGAGGAATGGCCAGAACATCAATTATAGGAGGGCACAATTTGCCAATGGAACCCGGCTGCTCAGTTGCGATCCTGCGCTCACCCCAGTCAGAGTTTGTTGACCTGCACAGATGGACTCAGACAATGACAATGCCTGACATCATCTTGTGGGAGAGTGATCTGTAAGCACTATTTGTTGTTGCACCAGGTCTCCAGGAAATGTTGCAAGGCTATGCGGAAGCGTTGAAAGTCCAGAGGCAAACAATGAACAAGGACAAATTTGACGAGGACGACGCATGCTTTCCCCTGACAGAGGACCTTCCAGGAAAGCAATACTGGTTTGATCAGAAGGGCGTCATCTACCTGAAACATGGTACAGTCTCTGCCCTCCATGTGGTGGCTTAAATGTGAAAGAGTTATCTGACTCCTAAATAGGTGTACACAAAAGTGATCTGGTAGATGTCACAGGACGGTCCCAAGCGTATGGTCGGGAATGAAAGTACTGGACGCTTCTCCGTTACAAGACATCTACTGTTAGAGGACACTAGATGTGCTTGCTCTGAACTCTTGAGTAGTGCCAGCATGAGATCAGGCTTGACTTGAAAAGTATTTTTGCAGGGTGGAACTGCATGCGTGTGGCTGACAATCTGGCAGGCTTCCTGCAGCACTTGCTCAGGTCTGCCACTGCCGAGCCCGATGATGCACTGAGACAGCACATGGCTCTAGCGCTGCTTGCCTCAGCGTTCTGCAATGCTAGATGTGAACTGGCACGTGCAAATGAGTGAACAAGCGCAAGCATGTCACATGCCGACGGCTGTGCAGGTAGTACTGCAGCAGCATGCTGAAGCGCACAAAGTCTGGGCTGCTAGCACAGACGACATTTGTGCAAGTCTGTAGGAGCTGTCACTAGGAGATTCCAGATCCCCTGCGATGCTGTGACAGCGCAAGTGCCACAATGTGAGATGATAGTCTCTTGACAAGCTTCCAGATTCAATCCAGTGATGCGGTGATTTAGGGACGGAGAAACACTGTGGCACACAATGATGACAATGTGTTAAATTTTTCTTATGAATGAATTTCTTGCGCACTGCTGCCTGGTCCGACTCGGAGGTGCAAGAGTGTTGAGGCTTACCGAGAGCCTTCCAAGTTCTTGTACGATTGCATCTTACAAACTTCTAAGACGAACTAATCTTTATGCTGGTGTAACACTGCTGCTCATGCACATGTACAGAGCCTTCACTGAGCCTAGCAGCTGTCAGATCCATAGCACTTGAATGAGCATACGTTGCCAGTCTCACTCAAATTACGTATCTGAAGGGCCTGCAACTCCCACAGATTGGCCATCCGCGTGGCTGGGCAATTGGCATGAAGGCTGAACTCCTGGCCAGCCACGGCTAGCAAAGACTGCACATCTAGCATTGCAATGCAATTCAAGTGATTTTGACTGAATGGCAACTTGCAACCTTGAAGGTGCGCCAGATCTGGACCCAGGTCTAGCCTGCCGAGCATTCTGTGATAATTACACTGACATGTCTCATCTCTGCTCCACATGCATGTGCATATTGGAGCGCAATTATTGCCCAATCATGACCATGTATGGCCGAATTGACCTGTCCCCACGTGCAGTCCCCAATCAATTGCACTACAACGCAGGTTGACAGATACTGCAACGTGCCATCTGAAACAATCACAACCCCCGCGGCTTGCTCACTCACCAATCCGTGACGAGACCATTCAATATGTAAGGGTCAGCTTTGACAAACTCCTCAATCTCCTGCGGGTGATCCAGAGCCGAATGTCATGGTTTTTGTTTGCATGATTTCATCACGGGTGACCCAATTGTGCGGCGCTCCTAAGGATTGCAAGCCCCATGAAGTTGCTGTGGAGCTTGCTGCACCCTTGTGCGCACCTCAGTTGTAGAATTCTTCCATACAAATAGAGCACTGTCCACTGGCTCAGCTAATGCCCCACCCAGCACTATGCGGCCCTGAGCTGCCTGCAGGCAGCAGAGTGTTGCATGAGAGGAATGTTTGCAAAGAGGTCAAACTTCTCTCCTGTCAATATACCGCTGACCACAAGCAACTGCCAAAAAAAGTACCTTCTCGCCTGCCTTGGAGAGGTGTGCTTCTCGGAAAGGAGTCCTCTTTTCCAGGATGTCTGGCACGTACTTGTATTGCAAGACGTGGAACGAAGGTGCAGCGCTGGCCTGTGTGGTCTGCAGAGCAAACATCCACCCTCACATTGCACCACCTACCATGATAATTACCTTTAAACGCCAGATCCTAGCGAATATTTCTCAGCTTTAAAGAATAATAAATTCACAGTATACGATGTGACCGCCTTCCCAATTCTGGCAACTGATCAACTGCCAATGCCCCACCATCTGCCTGCGGGAGATGCTGGCTGTGCGCCCGATCCTCGCCAAAAAAAGTCTGCACGACATCAAGCGATGCAACAGGATGGGCAAGAAAGCACTCCCGACCTTTGAATTTCTGCATCGATCGCAATTCCAAGAATCCGTCACCAATGGAATGCTCTTTTCGCATCAGTTCGATGGCGTTGCTTGCCAGTTAGCGTAGAGCTGACTTTGGCACTTCGATTGCAGAAGCATTTACCTCGCAACGGCTTTGGAGGACTCGGAAGCCTGCGGCATATTCGCAGCCGTCACTGGTGAGTGGCTCGCCTGTCTCGTCCGTTGCACACCTTGGCATATAACGCCCGGCAGACATCCGCAAAATTGGGCGCGCGGGAGCCCGTCAGGTTGGGAAGTCTTTGCAGGAGCCTTTGTGGGCGAGCTTTTCCCTCGTAGAGCTGCTTCCTTGTGATCGTGAGGACTGTCATTTGCCCTTTCGGCGCATAGTTTAAATCAGCTGCTGTCGCCTTTGGAGTGGGACGTGGAGCCTCGGGGGAGCTCTCAATCACGATCCTGAGGCAGAGCCCGGCGGGTTTCCTGCCGATCGTTGTGGACTTGTTTGGTTAACGGCACCGTTGGGACCGTGCTCTTGGCGTTGTGCCAGGGCAGACCACGGTGGAGAGGCAGTGTTGACTCTCTCAACTACTGCTTGCAAAGTGGATGGTATCTTTTGCGGTTTGGCGCGGAAGAATCCTTTAACGCAGTAATCATGTGATATTTGGAGTCTATGTTAAGCTGTCGCCCACTTCTCGGGTGACTTTTGTTTGAGTATCTTGAGTATAAGGCGTTAAGAAGGCAAGGGCCAATTGGCTGCCCAGTCGCCATGTATGTCTTGGTGCATGCTACGATCACATTTTTGCAGCAAGGGTGGCAGTGTCTTACTAATTGCAAAGCATTGCTCAATACCTGGTATCTTCAGTTCTGCCCTTTGGTGGAAGTGGAATGCGCGTGCTTTGTGGACGCCGTCTCGGCCTCACCCAGCAGATGAGGTGAATTGCTGGTCTGTGCTCACGTGTCCCATTGCCTTGGTTGCAGGGGAGAAGGAGCAAGGCGCACAGCATTCAGCAGCGGTTGCAGCCAGCAGTGCGGCATACGTGGAGCAGAGGCAGAGAGGCTGCGGCTCAGAGACAGCATTCTGAGGACTGCCACAATTGGATCTCTGAACTTTTATGAAGCGCAAGCGACTCACCAGACTGGACACGTGATAATTAGAGAGGCACTGGTCGAATGCTGGTGCACGGCGAAAGAGTGATATCACAGCAGCACCAGGGGCAGCCTCAGCCTCCTGCACAGGTATGTAGCTAGCACTCATGCTTTTAATTTAACCCTTCATGTTGGGGAATAATGCCATTGACTGGGCAAGGAGGTCTTTACATATAACAGACTGGGCAGTGGGTTCTGGATCGAATTGTGTTCTGGTGCATCCACGCAATTCATGTTTCAACATGAAGGATATGGCTGTAGGCGCAGATGCATGGCGGAGAGCTGTCCGGGATGAATGGAATGAGTAACGGTGACGGCATGATGCAGAGCGAAGTTGAGTCACGCAAGCTGGTGATTCTGGGGCTGCCCTGGGACACCACAGAGGCTTCCTTGGAACAGCATTTCTCGCAGTTCGGTCCGCTTCAGGTAATCATGTCTGTGGCATCGGTCTCCTCTCAGCATGTCTGTCTGTCTGTCTTGCCTCCATATAGTCCATGGCAAGAAGATAAATTCTTCATAATGGTTCCTCCTGGATGTGCAGGAAGTGGTGATCATGAAGGACCGTACCACAGGGAAGTCCAGGGGATTTGGCTTTGTCACCTTCTTTCGGGCAATGGATGCATCCTGCGCAGCGAGCCAGGAGCATGTGGTTGATGGCAGGCGGTGTGAGGTAAATTATCTTCGCATTCATTCCCCGTAGCGCCATCAAATTTTTGTACTTTCGCTGTTAGAAGTGATCTTTGCAAAATGCTGTGACTGAGGGATCTATATGCAAACTCTCATTTATCGATGTGTGTTGCAGGCCAAGTATGCCTTGCCGCGGGGAGGCGGCCCGGCGCCAAGGACAACCAGAATATTCGTTGCAAGGATACCGTTGTCTGTCAACGATGCGCAGTTCCGGCAGTACTTTGAGCAGTACGGCTCTGTGCAGGTAAGATCCTGCGTAGACTCGACTAGCGATGTTGAAAATTCGAGTGAGTACTCACTTTTACTGTCTTGACATGCATGTCTGCATAAAGAGGAACCATTATTCTTCTGTATAGTCCATTTGACTCATCTGTTAACCTGCAGGATGCGTACATGCCCAAGGATGCCACAAAGCAGTCGCACCGAGGCATTGGCTTCGTCACATTTGCCAATGCAGACTCCGTGGAGGCAGTGATGTCCTCGCCCCACAGCATGAATGGGCAGGAGCTGGCCATTGACAGGGCAACTCCCAAGGACAAGGTGCGCCCAATGCTGGGTCTTTGCATCCACCTCTGCTCACCCCACCGCATCGTCAATAGTTCAAAATGCGCCTTTATCAAAGGCAAAGGAATGTTTCCCATGAGTATCTGCATGACTTGACAACCACTCCTAGCTCTTGCAGATGATCTGATACATGCATTTTCCTAACAGCAGGTGGGCCCGCTGCAGCTGAACGGCAACCCGCGGATGCGGGAGATCCAGCAGCTGGCGGCAGCCGCGGCGGCCGCCGCGTACCCGGCCGCAGCCTTTGCCTCGCTGGGCGTGGTGCCCTCGGGCGGCTTCCCCGCAGACCTGTCGGTCAACCACGGCCTGGCCGCGTCCAACTACCCGCAATTCGGCGCGCCCACCACGAGCATGTCCTACAGCGCCGCGGTCAACGGCGGCTTTGGCCCGGCCGGCCGCGGCACCGGCAGCGACGGCCAGCCCTCCGACTCGGCCGGGAACGATTTCAACCCGTATCAGGCCGTGGCGAACGGCAACGGCAGGACGACCGCGTACAGCAGCGGCGGCGGCAGCAGCAGCGTGGTGGCGGCGTTTGAGGGTGCCAACGGTGGGCAGGCGGCCAACAGCGGTGGGTCCGGCTCCGGGGAGCTCTTCCAGCCCATGCGCGGCGACGGCGTCCAGCGCAGCAGCATGGACGAAGATGTGTCCGGCGGCGGCCAGGAGCTCACCAGCAGCCAGCTGCAGGTCCGCTCACTGTCCTCTGCGTGTCTACAACCGCGTTTTTCTTAGTGTCTATGTGTGCCTATTGCCTTGGGCATTGTGCCTGTCCTCTTGGAGTGTCAGATTGACTTTGTAGCAGTCCAATTATGCCTTCACTTTAGTGTCCCGTGGTTTATGGCATGGAGTTGTCCAATTGACGTTTGTACATCATTGACTGATGCATTATTTTCCTTGCGGTGCAGGATCTGCGTGGTCTGGTGCAAAGCGGCGACCACACGGCGCAAGCACTGCAGGGGCTGACGTTTGGGGGCAACAGTGACGGCATCGGCATCGGGCTGGGCATGCTGCAGCAGCAGGCGCACGCCAGCAACCAGCAGATGCCCTTCCAGTTCAACAAGCAGGTGGGCGACCCCCTGGTGAGTCACTGAGGACAGCTGTCACATAACCAGGATGGAAAACTCATGAGGCATTCTTCCAGTACTTGGATAATGGCGCTGTCATGAAGCAGTCATTTCGTTGTATTTTGAGTTGCGAGCAAGGGTCAAGGAGCTCATAGAAACCATCTGTTAGCAGTTATGATTCCTGCAGATCATACAGGCAGCCTATGGAAGTTTGCAAGCAAGCTTGCGTCATCTGATGGGATTTGTGGGTCATGCAGCAGATGGGCGGCGCCAGCATGGCGATGGACATGGATGCGCAGGTTCGCGCGCAGGCCATTCTGCGCTCCCTGGCTGCTCCGCAGGGGCGTGGCGCGGCCGGCAACGGGGCGCTCAGCGACGCGCAGCTGGCGGGCCTGCTGGCCGGCAACGTCGATGCCGCGCAGCTGGTCAACTCCATCGTCAACGGCGCCGTGCTGCCCGGCATCCCCGCCCCGCCGCCCGCTGGCCTGCCTCGCCAGATGAATAGGTGCGGCGGCACCCAGCTATAGACAGTTTAAAACCAGTAGTGTGAAAGCTGCTGGGAGAATCCAGCTTGATTGCGGTCACAGACTGCGTGTGCCAACCCGTTTTATTTCTGCACATGCCAGGGTACTTGCCAGTTGTCGGTTTGTGATGGCTTAGTGGGCGATGTGAGGTTGGTGGGGTTCTCTTAGCTCTGGCATATGCGTGTGGTTGCTCAGTGCTGAGTTACTGCTGTGCAGGCTGGTTGGCGGCCGCATGCAGGGCGCTGGTGCGCAGTTTGGGGGAGGCGGCGTCATGGGCAAGGCCTCCATCGACACGCGCTCTGGGCCCCGCATCTTTGTGGGCAAGCTGAACAAGGAGACAACAGAGAATGACGTGAAGGTGAGGAATCTTTCTAAGTTGCTTGAGTACCTCCATCTTTGAAGAGGTCACTAGTACCCCTTTGCTATTGCCTTTGTGATCTCGGGGCTTGTTTGTGACAGGACTGACTCTGTGCGTGCAGGAGTACTTCACCAGGTTCGGTTATGTGATGGATGTGTATCTGCCGCGCGACAAGGTCAACCGCTCGGAGCACCGCGGCTTTGGCTTTGTGACCTTTGAGACGGATGGTGCAGTGCTGCGCATCCACGCCCACGGCCAGCACCAGATCAAGTGCGCACCCGGTCAAAGCGGACTCTCTTGCCTGATATTCTGGAATGCATCCTCCCCTAAATTTAGGACCTGTCCCCCTTGATCATATGCCAGGGCTTGCACAGGGCTCTGCACCAGGTCGAGAATGGCCTTGTCAACTGCTGCATGCTAATGTGTCCTGACCCACCCCACCCTTCACTGTCCCTACGAAGGTTTTCTGCTGTATTCCTGCTATATATCTGCCATAGGCTCTTGTGCTGCGACAAATGTTGCTGCGACACACATGATCCTCATGGATTTTAATGCTTCTAGTAATGATATCTATTCATGCCATTGCTCAATTCTCGACCCGTGCATGACGTGGGCCTGACAGCGCGTGAGTGGTTGCTTCAGGGGGTCAGTGGTGGCGATAGACAGCGCGGTGCCGCGGCGCGAGGAGGGAACGCGCACGGACGATGACGTGTCCACCTCCAGCATGGTGAGCCTGAGCCGTGGCCTGCCCTCTGTCCCCTCCATCCACACTATGCACAGCCCCAGCCGCCTGCCCTCCCATGCCCCCGTGGGCCACTCCGCCGCCAGCTCAGCGTTTGCCGACGCCCACGAATCACCCACTGTGTCCTTTGAGGTACCGCCTAGCACGCATGCCCCTTCCCGCCCCTTTGGCGGCCGGGGTCCACACCTGCTCTGCCTCTGTTCTGTCGCCGTTTTCTGTGGACTCTACGTTTTGTTCTGATGTCACCATTTTCAGTGGACTCTATGTTCTGTTCTGATTCAGTCTCAGCTTCAGCTGCCGCACGCTTGACCATGCTTCGAGAGGCTTCACCAGGGCGGTACTGACCCTGTTTGCATCATGCTTGATCTAATATTAGAACTAGACTCGGAAAGATCTAGAGGGTAGAGAGGCCCACTACTGGCACAAAGTATGTGGGCTGCTCATTTCCAACTGACAAGTCAATGTGCTTGTGGTGCAGCAAGTGATGGACCTGGGTGGTGATGATCTGAGTCTGGGCCCTGCACGCAACCACCCTCAGGAGCGCATGCGCCATGGCTACAAGCCTTACTGAGCCCCTCTCAACCTGCAGTTGCACTCTGTGTGTAGCTGGCAATGCCAGCACCAAGACACGGCTGAGGTCATCTGACGGCCATCTGCGTGGGCACAAGCCCGCTGGCAACTGCACGAGAGGTTGGGAGAGCAGAGGGCAACCTCGTGAAGCACTAGGATGTTCTCCCCAGGATTCCAACAGGGATGCCAGCAGGGGATCAAGACTCCATGCGGGCTTTCTGCTGTACCACTATGCTTGGGTGTTTGAGGGACGACATCGGGGGCGAGGTACTGCGACTGGCAAGCTGTGAGTTCTGGGCAGTGAGATGCAAGCAAGACTGGACGAGTGGGGAGAGGCGAGATCACATGGAAGTGGCACACCAGGGCAACAAGTGCCCAAGTCTCAAGGCAGGCGACTAGCGCCGCATATTTTATGGGGGACAAGTATGCACTGCTGCGTTGGATGAGCAGAAGTGTGCTGCGCATGGGTTAGTGCATTGGGAAGCCTCTCAAGCCAATGCGAGGGCCAAATGGTGCCCCGAGAAAAGTGCCCCAAGTCAGCTGGCCACAGCTGTTGTGAGGAACTGCACCTGATGGCAGCTCCCAAGTGTGGGGCCGTTTGCTGGTCCTTTCAGGGCCGCTGTGCAGTTGTGAAGTGCTCCTTTTTGAAGCAGCAGGCAAACTCCCATCAAGCGGAAAATGTCCAAAGAGGAATTTGTACAATAGATTTGCTGCATCTCTTCGTGGTATTTGCAGCGCCAGCTGTAGTCGCTGGTGTTTGGGCCTCTGTCCATGCATGGAAGTGGCTCTGGTGTATATATGATGCTGCACTTCTGCGCAGCTCATGCAGCCTTATCATTTATATCCTTCTTCAGCTTCGGCGAGGAGTTCAGGAACGTGAATGTTCAAGTGTTAGGCATTAGGGTGGGGTGTCTCGTGGTAATTTGTGTATCAAGCTATTGAGTGGAGTCATGAGGCCAGACTGGCATTGAAGCGTTATTCCTAGAGGATATTAAATGCATGCCGAAGAGTGGTTTGTGGGGAATTTGAGTAGCAAATAAGGTCAGGATTTTTCGACGGAACTGCCTGCAGTGCACGTTCTCGCTTTGACAGTGCAGGAAGTTCAGGGAGGGGAGAAAGATATGTTGTCGCCGCTTTTTTCACGCAAGAGCCATTGTACATTTTTTGCTGAATGTTGACATTCTCTGTTAAGAGCAGCATGCAGCGCCTTTGTGGCCTTTTGGTGTGTCAGACTCGCGTCATTTGATTGTGTGCGTACCCAAGATTAGAGCAGGTATTGTTCATTGCTAGGTGTGCTTCCAGGTGTCTGTCTAGTGGACTGCCTCAAGAGCAGCCTGTTACCATCAAGAGAAAGCCCTGGTTCAACAAGAGAGGCGTGACCTGGGGGTTGATTGCTGCGGCGCTGTAGGGGTTGCTTTACATAGCGTGGCCTCAAGTCAGCTATGTGAGGTCTGGCCAATAAGGTACTGTGCAGCATGACTGCCTTAGTCAGCACGGCAGGGTTTCACCAATGCGCCCTGCCTTGCCCATGTGGAGGCTGCAGACTGCCAGATTTTCCAGCTGCAAAGGGTGCAAGTATGTGCCCCACTTTTGCAAAGCCCCAATTGCTAGGAGTCTGTCACTGCGAGTGTGCATACGTTGCAAATTGTTTGATAGCCCGCAGGTTCAAGCGCATGGTCAAGGCAGGCAGGGGCATGATGTGTTGATGGGAGAGCGATTATGAGTGGGTGTGTGGATATCCGTAACTTCTATTCAGCATGTGACTTTCAAAGAGTGTGTGCGTACATTGCTAGGTTCAAGGTGAAGCCGAAATTCTTTGGTCTGAGCACTCTGTGCGCTGAAGCACTTGTGATCCTTTTCTAGAGGTAGGTCGGCATTGCGTGTCGGCAGAGCGTGGTGTCAGACAGGCAGCCACGCTGTACATTTGTTAGACGCTAGGTTGCTTAGGGACTATGAGTGTATGTAGCATATTCAGGTGAAGAGGTGGCTGTTATTGAGTGGTTTGAATGCATTCCATTGTATGTAACAATAGCTTCCTTTCTCATCAGTTCTTTACCATCATTGCCGAATTAGAGCCTGAATTGACTTGCCTCGGCTGGCATCACCAACTGGCACCAAAACAAGCTTGAGCGCAGTCGCATTTGCCACAAGCTTGCAAGATACTGCATTACAATAACCCCGCAAACGAAGGACAGTGTCATGGAAAAAATTGAAGCAGGTAGCTGGCGTTCGCACAACATATGCTAGCAAGCAAATGGAATCTCGCAAACCTGCCTAGATCTGTCTATCACAACCAAGCATTGCAACATGTCATCAGCAGCGCTGGAGCCACAGAGCCCAGAAAGAATAGGGGAGGAAAAAACAAATGCCTGGTACATCTACAAAACTACCCGGCCACCCAACTAAAGCACCTTTCATCTATCATGTCAGCAAGCAGAGCAGCGTCCTAGATCATCTCCTTGGGGCCGCAACACAGGATCCAAGGGCCATCAACCTCTCAAAGAAGCACTTTGACTATGTTCTACATTCAGCAATGATGGTTGACGCATCAGCTAAAATGCATGGCCTTGAGCACCTCGTAGCTGGCCAGAACTATAGCGCACGCCGGAGCCGCACGGACCGCGCGAGGCCCCACTCCGGTGAACAGTGCTCGCGTGCCCCCCTCCCTCTGCACCTGCCTCAGCGTCGCCCAGATCGGCATTGTCTTCCCCTCTGCAAGCTGCACCAGAAACACAGAACCACTCAGCCACCCAAATTCTGCAGTCTTGAGCAGCCCAGACAATGTTCCCATCTTCAGGGTCACTGAAATCTCAGTGCTTGCCATCCACCCTGCTGCGTCTTATCTGCCAGCATGTGTTCAGCTGCATGCACAAGCCCCCACCCTGGCCCGCCTTCTTATTGTGCTTGCTGCAGGCCTAAGCCCAATGATAGTGAAGGCATGGTGCAACAGATAAGACACCTGTGTCCGCGTCTTGACGACATCTAGAGGCGTTGTGACGGCAGCGGCCAGCCCGCCACCGACAGTGCCGGCCACGAAATTGGCGGCGACGATCTGCGAGTGGCTGGCGCGCGAACTCTGCGGGAGCAGGGCGTGCCTGATGGGCTCCAGGCTGCTCCAGTAGATGGCCGAAAAGGGAACATCCCTGGCCAGCGTGGCCCCTGCACATGCACACAGCCCCTTCCCTCACTCTAAATTCCTGCATTGCCATCTTCACAATGTGCAATTTACATCAAGACAACTTGCAGAACCTGTTATGATGGAGCCTGAACAGCGGCACCCCCAAAAGACCTTGCCAACACCTGGCCAGAGGCATTTGCTATGGTTGCGAGTGACATCAAGGGGCAAAGAGACTGTGGTGTTACCTACTCCTCTCCACATTGAGCTAATGCGGCCGAACGCGCCCCTTTGAGTGCTAATGGGCAGGTGCGACCACATGTTCCCCGGCCGCGGCTTTGCACCTTTCTGACCACTGCCTGGTGCCTCTAATGGATGCAGATACGCCTGTAAGCCACACGCAGACAGCCTCTTAACCATCTCAACGCCCTGCAACACTTACGACAAGACATTCAGGAGTCAATTTGGGGGAAAGTAAATGAAGCACATTTTTTGGAGTTTTTGAAAGGACTGCCAAAAAACCCACCTGCATCCTGGTGCGCACTAGTTCCAAGGGTGACGTGCACAGAACAGCCACCGTCCGAGCGAGAGAGCCCGCCATGAGGGGGGCATAGAAGCCAGAGGAAGGCGCCAACCGCTCCAACAAGTAGTCATACAGGGGCAGATACACTCCCACCTGCAGCATTCATTCCCAACTCACCCCATGACATCATCATTTCTCCAGCTAAAATGAGCTCACAATGAGCTCATACAAGACAATGCATGCTCAGATAACAAATACTACTGGGGACAGCTGAAGCCATTGAGGTCCACCAAAGCTTCTTTCTTCCTCTCTAACCCGCTTGATAAGGTATTTATAATGGACTTATGGGTGCTCACTGTGGGGATTGCCATGAGCAGGGCCACATCGGTGCCTCGCCACAGCGCGAGAGCGCCCTCCCGGCGCACAATCTTCCTCATCCCATCCAGCGTCCCCGAGTAGATGCCACACTCTGGGTTGCCCAAGTGGGCACACGCCGGTGGGCAACCCGCCAGTGCCATGTTTCTGCAACAAAAAGTGTGCACAGAGGTCTGAAAACAAGTCTGAGAAGAAATTGCTGACTCCTCGCACAAGCATTTGCATGCTGGAGGAGCCATGTCCCTGCAGTGCAACAGCTGGTGCAACGGATGTGATCCACTTGTGCATGTGAGCAGCTGGCAACAGATGTGAGATGAGACGGCTGGGGTCCGAGCAGACTCACCCTACTACTGCAGTGTTCATCCGTGCCACATGAGTTTCAATGACCTGCTGCGCTTGCATCCGTGTCTGCAGGGCATCACGAATTTCAGTATCAAGGTGGGAGTGAGATTTCCAAATGAGTCCCTCTGCTTCGATGGGCATCACAAGTGCACGAGCAGGTGCTGATGAAGTCAATGTCCACCTTGACAACATCCAGAGGGTTGACAACGAGCGCTGATATGATGGATGCCCCTCCTGCTGCCATACACTTGTCCTGCAGCCTCAGAGAGGACTGCTGCCCAAGTGACATGGTGCCACTCGGCGCCCTGTGATCGTGTTATCAAAGCTTCAACGGCACCTCTGCTGCATTGCTGTAAACGAGCTTCTGATCCCCACTGTTGCCTTCCAATAACACAGCACAAGTCCCTCTCAGGAATCAAAGCTAGTAAGTGCTCAGCCCCTCAGACGCAGTGTCCTAATTTGCTGCTGCTTCTGGAATAACAGCACAAAATGTAGCTTGGATCGCAGATCCTGAGGAATTAGAGTAACATTTCGGCTACGGACGTGGCTACCGGATGTGTTTCACAAAGATAAAGTGCTTTTCTTCGCTTTCAGACAGCTTCTATAGATCCAAATGTGCTATTCCACCCTTACTATCTCGATTTTTACTTGGGAGAGGAATTAAAGTGAATAATGAAGGCGGAGAAATGACAATGCTTGAGGCTGACACGCACCGGAAGCTGTCTGGGGGCATTTTCGAGCGGCGTTCCTGGCCTGTAGCCCAGAGAGCGTTACATCCGTGTTACAACCTCGAAGCATTGGATGCCGGAATCTATCCGACTTAATTCACTGGAAAAGGGCATAGAAAACATAAGCGGAGACTAAGATGCCTTTCGACCTAATTGTAAGTGCTGCAGAAGACGTTCACTGAAGGGAGCATTGTGCACAGACTCATCTGGTGTTCTGAGACTCTTTGTGCATGTTCGCAGAGTGGTAAATTCATTCCGGAGAAGTCCAACATCTGGAGAGATTGTGTGGATGGTTTCTATGACTGGGTGAAGCAGCACATCGAGGAGGTGAGTGTCTTCTAAAAAGAAATGCTTGCCATCATCAGACTCCCCTAATAATTCTTGCTGAAGAGCGTAATTAATAAAATGCTGTCAATGTCCTCAGGGTGCCCCCTTAAATGAATCAGACCATTGTGGAGACCCTCCTCTCCTCTTGGCTGCCGGAAATGGTGATCTTCACAAGCCTAATTCCACATCAATCAATGATCAAAGCGTTCAAGCAATTAAGTCAATTGCCACTGGTCGAGCTGAATCACGCGGTCATTTTCATTCAGGTCACAAGGCATGTGTGCAGCTTCTGCTGGATGAGGGCGCTGACATTGAGCAGCGCAATGTGGTACACAATTTGCTTCACCCCTGTTGTCCAAGGCATCCAACTAGCTGTCTATACATGCTGAAGTGCTAAGCAGCTCTGATGCTTCATTCTTGCGGACTTAGTTCTGAGCACGATCTGAAGTGTCATCGGGCCTCAGCATGCTAACGGGTGCAGATGATGGAGACACCACTGATCCGTGCATCCCACAATGGCCACTTCCAGATGGTGAAGTTCCTTGTCGAGCAACACGCTGATGTGAATGCTATCGACTTGGTGAGTGCCCACAGATGAAATGCAATTGCCCTGATTTACCGCAGTCTGTGAAAGAAAATGAAGTTCTCAAGTACCTATGTTGCATCAAATGAAGCCCTCCAGTAATTGAAGGATTGCTAAGGCACTAAGGGCCAACATCGGCATGCAGAATGTCTGGAGCCCACTAAAAATGCAAAAAGAAGATTTGGATGGATTCTCAGAGTTTTGCTGTGCTGCAAATTGGCAGGGCGACAACACAGCGCTGCACTGGGCAGCCATGCGCGGCCATGTGGAGATTGTGAAGCTGTTGCTGCAGAGCGGAGCAGACCGTTCCATCCGCAACAAGCAGGACAAGCTGCCCGTGGACCTGTGCCAGCCATGCTGGAGCAATGCTTACCGCTACACACAGGAAGTGCTGGCATCCTGATTGCTGCCCACTTCTGTACAGCGCAATCAAGGACAGAGTCCCCATACTGTCAGCATGCTTGGGTAAATGCAGTGTGGGAATTGGTCATCCTGATACAATGATCGAGCTTCAAATGCGGCTTTTATCTAGTCTTTCAATAACGCTGTTGTATCATATGCGCGGCGTAGACCATTTAGTCAGCATGGCCAGCAGACCTTACACAGTGACCTTTACATTTTTGAGGGTCTGAGGAACAGCTGACAACTTGGACTGTCCTCTGATAGTCCATAACTCCAGAATGGCTTTGTAAACACTAATGAAGGAGTATTCCTTCAGCATACCATACACTTCAGTTGGACAACTTATTTCCCTTATTATGGGACGTCCAAAAGCAGTGTGATCCTTCCGACCAGAAGACTGCCAATTACAAGTACAAGATGACCTCACGTACAGAAGATTGCACTCTCGTTCATATGTAAGAGCTGCACAGAGAAACACACACGCAGCGGGCCCTACATAAATGCAAATGAATTGAGGCAGTCTGGATGATGGATCTACAGAAGCAGACAAGTTACAGACAGCAAACACCACGTATGCTGGGACTTCCAGTTGTTTCACAATGCCACTGGGGTTGACAAGAATGCACAAGGCTGCACGCGCCAAGGGCAGCACACATCTACAAATCAAAGATGTTTTGAATGGACATACACAAGCTACTGCATGCGCATCAGAAGCGACTGCAGAAGCTCGAATCAAAGCTCTTATTGTATGAACATCACAGGTTTCGCGTGAGCATTCTCTGGACAATAGACAAACTGTGGGGTTTTCAAATGGGAGCCAGATGGCCTCAAACGAAGCCTGTTGTTCCAGTCATTGCTGTTAGAGACTTCAAGCCTTTGTGGAATAGCCAGCCTTCTGGGAGTCACTGAGTGTCTTCCAAGCTGACCCCAGCTCGCGCATGACGTCTGCTGCGCTGGGTTTGGGCTGTTCCTTTGATACCCTGCAAAGACACCCTTCATGACACACTTGCCAACTTGGCAGTTTTGTAACGCTTGCTCAACAATATCATTGGCAATGACTGGCATGCAGCATGTGCTAACCCCCGCAATGCCCTACAGTCGTCCTCACCTGTGGAAATTTTCCTTCACGTACAGTGCAAAGTTGTTTATTGTAGGAGCTTTCTGCCTCTTGGCCCTGGCTGGCGCAATCTTCTTCAGCTCAGCAGCCAACCTGCAGAGCACGATTGCACACCCACTTGTCAGATCACAACCTTTAATGCCATCCCCAGATACAGCAGTTCCTTTGGATAAAAAGAAGCAAGCAATTTTCAAGGGACTGTAGCAGAGCCAACAAATTATTTATTCAGTCTGGATGGGCCAGGCTGTACAAACCTGTCCTTCTCCTCTGCTGGCACCCTTTTCCACTCAGCTGCCAAGACCCTTGAGCGGTCAGCAATGGTCTTCACCTCCGGATGCTTTGCTAGAATCTCTGTGCTAGACTGCCGCACGAAGAGCTGATATGTGTTCCTGGGCAGGGATGATGAAGGTTTGCTGGAGCCAACCACGATCTGCGCAGCATACCTGCACCAAAACCATCGCCTTGATAAGCAAGTGGGCACACATGCACGACCTCCGCGGTTGCCAAAAGCTCAGAAGCCCGTTTGCTGAAGGTTCATCGAGACCTACGTCGCCTTCTCGGCATCTGATAGCTTCTTCCAGGCACCTGCAAGGATCCTGGAACGCTCTGGCAGAGATGTTGGGCCAAGCTTCGCAAGTATGGCCGGACCGGACTGCTTCTGAAACAGCTGATACGCATTTCTGGGTCCCTTCTTCTTCGGCTCCTCGTCTGTTGCCTCAGCTTTGGCATTGATCTGCACAGTAATCCCGAGACTCAAGAAGGCCAAAATGCCTCACCCGCACTGAAGGACCACTTTTGCAACACAATGTGAGAACTGTATTTGTAGTCGTAGAGTGTCAAATCGGCAGCACCTTGATCTTCGCAGTTCCCCTCCCCTTAGTAGAAGCTGCAAAGAATCGCTGTCCGTCCACACCAATGCTGGGCAAGCTTGCTTGTCTATGCAGGAGAATAGGAGCTCCACGCATGCTGTCAGTCCAAGATAGTAATAATCTGTTCGTGAAGAGAGCCATCTTTCGCGCCATGAACGTTTTGTGTCGAGGGATCTAAAACTGCAGGGTCACGTAGCAAAGCTCATTCATGTAAATGTGATACTACCTGAGATCACTCGTGGAAAGTCGCTGCGATTGAGCACCCGTGCTGCAAAAATGGGCTTTTCTTCGCCGCGACAAGAGTTTAACAATTTAGATCGTCGGGTTGCCTAAACTGGTACGTGTGTTGCATGCATTTCCAAGGCAGCTCTCAGGCAGATGAAGCATTCCAAACTTCACCTATCCGACTCCTGCATCATCGTAATAGCTTGTACCATCAATTGCACATCGCCGCTGAGCTCAATCACATTTGTGCCGTCGGAAGATCCACAGACTCGATTAAAATTGGAGGACGTGCATCAACAATATGAGCCAGTCAGAAAGGGATGCCGGAGAGGCTAGTACATCCGCTGCAAAGTTGCACGTGGAAAATGCCAACAGGAGTGTCTGGCTGCTCAAGGTGCACGCCTTCGTCATTGCCTGTCTGCTGGACTGTGTTTTAGAAACAGCAAGTGTGCACATGTCAACGTTGATCTAACCAATTGAGAAGATTTTGTTCAGGTTCCAAATTTTGTAGCCAAGAAATGGAGGGCAGAATGTGAGCGAGCTGCAAAAACAGATGGTGAGCAATGCGTGGAGTTAGGCAAGGTCAGGATTACCAATAGCTCGACAGAGGTATGTCATACTCCAAAAAAGCAAGCAAATTGATACCTCTGAGTTCAGAATACAGAGTATCTTGTGTCAAGCACATATTTCGAGAGCCCTGTGTGACTGCAGCAGGCCCCAGGGATCTCTTTAGACCTGGACGCGTCTGGATTGAGCAACATGCCACAGGCGTTCGACTTGACAGAACAGACCGACAATTTTGCGCCCACCCTAGTCTTTGCAGACTTGCAGGGTCGATTGAGTACGTCCCAGGCCCGCATGGTGCTCTCATGAATCTGCAACAAACGAGAAGTGTATACTGATACCTCGTGGATATGCAGGTGCTGAAGGGCGTGTGAAGAGGAAGTTTGACTTGGTGATGAAGTCTTCTGGCGACCTGGTATGAATGTCCTGCTCTCTGTAACCTCAGCCTAGTCGCAAGTACAAGCTCCCACGGATGCACGATGCACTAGTGATGTTTCAGAATCACCAGACTGCTTGGGCCCTCTGATTCTGGGATGTCATTTGTCATGCCAGATGTCATGATTCTGGGGTGCGTGCAGGATGCGCTAGATCCAGCCTACCGTCAAATAAACAGGGATCGCAGTGCAAAGGCAGCCGCCAAGACGCGCACCATGCAGGTCCTGTCAGAGGCGCCCGACACCCAGATGCGACCAGGGGCCGTGCAGCGGGTCTCCTTTGGGAACAAGGTAAGGGGCAGCATCAGCATGCTGTATTTCATGCTGCTGGCCAGCCACAGAAATGATCAGAGTCCTTTACTGCATCCTTGTCTGGCTGATTGTCTGCTTCCTTGCACCAAGGATAGTTGCAGGAGCAACGCATGCAAGGTGTGGCTGATAAATTTGTAGTCTGACAGTGGCAAGTTTGCGCTGCAGGAGTCAACCAGGAAGAGATTTGAGAAGGGTCAGTTTGAGAGGCGTGCACGCATGGAGAAGGACGACCTGGAAAATCTGCTGTTCCGACTCTTTGAAAGACAGGTGTGCAGCCACCTTGCAATTGCTTGATTCCAGCAGGGTTAATCAAGTCTCTGCTGTCAAGGAGCTTGCAGGGTTCCTTGTGTTGTTTGTGAGATGTACAATGTCTCATGCGCGTGATGATGGTTCTTGCAGAGCCGATGGAACTTCATCCAATTGCAAAAGGAGACCGATCAGCCTGCAGTCTGGCTGAAAGAGGTTCTGGGAGAGGTGGCTGTGCTGAACAAGAGGGGCCCAAATGCCAACTTGTGGGAGCTGAAGAAGGAGTATCGCGCTGCTGGCGGCAGCCATGATGTACACATGGCGGACCCATGATTGAGCCTGGCTGGCACAGTAACGCTTGAACGCAATTTGAAATCTTTGAAGGCAAGCAATACCTCACAGCCCACGCCCCATGAGAGCCTGTGAGCTGTGTTGTGGCAGCACAGAGCAAGACAGTTGTGTAGTACTCGTCATTTGTGAAGACCACCCTGACTGGGATGCTTTGTGCGGATGTATGCGTGAAATGAAGAGAAAATGGTATGCTGACATCAATGCATACTTGAAAATGTTTTCGATGAGAAGCTTGGAGTGCAAAAAGAGCTGTGGTGCACATTCAATTTCTTAAATGCGCGATTGCCGGAGCAATGCTGCATGCAATCTACAAGACACGCACAACCTGTACACATACGCACAAAATAGCGGACCAGTGAGTACTCACAAGAGAAAAGAATCGTTTTCTTTCCAATGTTGGAGAAAAATTAATTTCTTACACCTGAAAAGTATCTGGGAAATAAATTTCAAGTCTGTAAGCCTGGACCCTATAGCTATATATACTGACCTATTCGTATGGTCCCTTGGCAAAGTCAAAAATTCCTGAACGCCTCAAGCATTTGAAGCAAGCTCCACCACACATGCACTCCAACTGCTCAACATCCTTGCTGAGCATGGCGTGAACTGGCTCAACATGTCGCCAAGCAACAACCTCACTTGTACCACGCGATATTTTCTTTACAGCAAAAGCCGCCAACAGCTCTTCAATGCAGAAATGGACCATCGGCACAACTGAGCGAACTGTTCCTTCCACTATGAGAGTGTTCATCTGAACTGTCAGCGCAGACACATCTCTGACTAAAAGCTCGTCAATGTTGCGCGCTTTGATCTTGAGCCGGTGCAGCCGGAGCGAGCTTTCTATCCTCAGGGACAGATCAAGACACTGGATGTCCAGGAGACGCAGAGTTGGCATTGGGCCACTGATCACAATGGAGATCCTGTCGTCAATCCCGTTCCCATTGCTGTAAATCTCCAGGCAGGTCAGAAATGGGCAAGGCACACTCAGGATGGCAGGTGGCTGAGTCATCCATTCCATGCATATGCCAGTGCACACCTGACTGTACTTCTCCCAGCGCTGCATTATGGTCTCATACCTGCCTTCCATTATGAGCCAACACCCCTCTGGCGCCCCCAATAACTCCTCTGGTGCAGCCTCATTGAAGTGTGCCGCTTTCAAGTTCCTGCAGCCCCTCAAATCCAGGGCAGGTATGACCGTTTCTGTCGTCTCAAAAAACCCACAAATGCTAATGGTTTCCAGGCTCTCAAGATTTCCTATTGCTAAGCAAGCCTGCGATCTTATCTCATCCTGGGCATAAAGCACAAGGTGGCGCAAGTGGGAGAACGTAGGGAGTGAGGAAATGGTCCCAGTATGTAGGACCAGCTTTTGCACAGCACAGGCCTTTGAAAGAATCGTTTCTAGCCAGACCATGTCCTCGTCTCCTGTGTCTGCAGTCTCGAGACCTCTTATGCACAGTTCAACAATTCCAGGGTAGAACAAATTTCTCTGACCTCGCTCCAGTACCTGACTCAACTCAGAGCTCCCCAAGTCCAAATGTCCCACGTCCAGATCTATACTGACGGCCTCTTGCCAGACCTTCGTGCACCATCGCAATGCCGCCATGCTTTCAGGTAGGAGACAAATCTGACGCAGCTGGACTTGAGAGAAGCTCCGACAGCAACCTCTTGCTCTTGCCCACTCTGTGTTTGATAAGTGCCCAGCAATACACTGCAGCAGCTCTCCTGGCAGATTTTGTAACATGTTGCAACCACCTGCGCTGCAGAGAGTGATAAGTGCGTCTGGACAAACGACAGACGTGTCTGACCCCATGGAAGAATACAGGACAAATAAAATTGACACTGCGCTGGGAAGGAGCAAGGGCGAGCACGCCACCTGTTTCTGACAGAAATTGAAGTCACACCTTCAAGGGTGCTCCTCCTCAAGCAAGACTTAGGCGAAATGTGGGATTGTTGTCCTCAAGGTTTTGGTAACACGGTGGGTACGCTTAACAATCCGACGGGAAAATCTTGTATGAGAAATTCTCTTGCCTTCCACTCATCTCCTGTTCCTCAGATCTGCTCCTTTCCACCAATCCGTAGAGTGTTTCTCAGACACCGTGTCTTCATGTGAACAGCTTCCGAGCCTGAGGAAGCTAGGGTTCCGTAAGCTGACCTTGACCCCTGACCTTGCTGACCTTGCCCACGTTGGAGCTATAGGTGATTGCGGCACTCATGCAGATGAAGCTTCTAAGACAGCATGCTGGTGCCAGCACCTGCAAAGCAAGTCTGGCCTGCCATGGTGGTAAGGCCGCAGAAGGCCAGGCCTGAGCAGACTCAAGAGGTAAATTGGCTGCCACCGTGGCCGCCACAGCGCGACGCTAGCTATTATCTGATCAGCTTCATGAAGGGCTGAAGGTATAACAACTAGGCCTGTACTTAATTCAATCCCACAAGTTGTGTGACAGACATTTTGTTGAGCGTAATATACTTTTTAAAAAGTGACAACGGTTGTAATTCCTAGGGCATCATGATTACATGACAGACATCAACGTTACACCATGTTGACTCAGAGGCCTCAGAGGCTTTAAATGGTACACCAGAATGTCATTGGTAGATTTAATCTTGCAATTACGTCATGATCACGAGCACTGTCATAGGCAATGTAGCTTGGCCACAGCTGCTGAGCAAAACTGCAATATGCACCACGTGGTGTGCACAGGATTTCCTACAGCTACTTTACGACTGTTTAGCTACCTTGATGTCTAGAGTAGTACACTTACCCCGTTAGCTATCGTAATGTGACTCATATCTATGATTTGAATATACCTGCATCCATGAGACAATCTATGCATGCTCCCCCACCATCGATCAGGCACCTGCACCTAGGATACAGGTCATGCTTGCTGGACTCACTGCAAAAGTACTCGACATCCAGCCATCTTGCATTCTCCTTGGACCTGACCTGAGCTGACTTTGCATCAAGGGCAGCCTTCAGCTGGCTCAGGACAGCGTCACGAGCCATAACCAGCGCGGACCCTGTTGAATTGGTCTTGATGCTCAACCTGAGGCTGGTCATGTCCTTGGTCATCTTGGAGATGTCACTTATAAAGAGCTCATCCAGCATCTCTACATGGATGCTCAAATGGCGCAGCTGAACTGAGGCTTCTATTCTCAGCGCCACATCAAAGCAGTGGACTTTCAACACACGCAAGTTTGGCACTGAATTGCCGATGAGAATGGAGGCAGTGAAGAGGCCGATATGGCCGATGCTAGTCAACTCCATCTGGGTCAGCATTGGACAAGGGAGGTTGAAGATGGCACGTGGCAGGTGCAGATCATTAACGCGTATGCCAGTGCACATCTGACTGTAGCTTTCCCAGCGCGGCATGGCCACTTCAAAGTCACACTCCACCATGAGCCGGCACCCATCTGGCACCCCTACCAGAGTTTCTGGGACGGCATCTCTAAAGTAGGCAGCCCTCAAGTTCCTGCAGCCCCTCAAATCCAACGCTGGTGTGTGGATGGGCAGAAGGGAGGGAGGACTGGTGATGCTGATGGTTTCCAAGCTCTTCAAAGCCTCAATGGACAAGCATGCCTGCTCTGACATCCCATTACTCACATGGATTGCCAGGTGTCGCAGCTGGGACCCAACAGGGAGCGAGTTAATGCGGCCCCCACATGGTGCACTGAGGACCAAGGCTTGTAATCTGGCGGCCCTTGTCAGGATACTGTTGAGCCATGGTAAAGGTTCATCTCCTGTCTCGCCGGTGTACAGGCCTCCTATGCAGAGTTCAGTCAGCTTCTCAGGCGATATGCATCTGGCACCTTCTTCCAGCACCTGGACGGCCAGCACATGCTTAAGAATCTCTCTTGTTGTGTTTTTGAAAGTTTCTGCCAGTCAATCCACAATGAACGCTACAGCAAGGATGCATGAATAATTTTTGATCATGGCTTAGATCAAGAAACAGGTGATTGCTTGTACATAGTATCACATGTAGCAAGGTACTTCCCTTGTGTGAACACTGCAAGTGCTCTCCCTTCTTTGGAGCGCTCACCTGGGACATCTCAGAGCTCGCTTGATCCAACTGCTTTAGGGAGAGTTCTATGCTCTCTGCTTCCTGCCAGAGTCTTGTGCACCAGCGGAGGCTGGCAATGTTTGGTAGAGAGACAGATATACTGCGTAGCTGGACTTGCAAGAAGCTCTGGCAGGTACCTCTCACGCTTGCCCATTCTGCATTTGACATATGCCCAGCGATGCACCGCAACAGCTCTGCTGGCAGCTCTTCTAACATGCTGCCACCACCTGCGCGGCAAAGGGAGATCAGTCCTACTGCAAGCAACGGCAGAGACCTGTTACTGACGAATGAGAGGCACTCGGCACCGGGATGCAAAGGACTGCGTCAGAAAGAAACAAATTGACTGTCAATACGTCCGTTAGATACCACACCTGATTTTCCGCTGCCTGCAAGCGACAGAGAAGGCGATCTCCTGTCGTGACTCTGAACGGAGAAGGCCAACGCGCAAGCCTCGTTTCAAACTTCAAGCGTCCTCCTTGTAGAAGAGCACTTCGGTTCTAATCTCTAAAACCTGTGCTCGAGAGGATACCAAGGCTGTGATTTCCTTCCTCGGAAAACATTACGATGTCTTCCTTGGACGCTGCAGAGTCTACCTTGGACAGCTTCCGCCTGTCGGGGTAGCTGGGGTCTAGGAGCATGCATTCCGACATGAATCACGTCCTAATCACGAGCTGATTTGCTTGTTAGGCTCTATATATTGAATAGGTACAACATATTAAAATTTCTATGCAATTTCATCTAAGACCATCCATACTCGCTGCGGAACACTTTATCACCAAGGCAAAAAGCTCCACGATCTGTTCAGTACGTGCCTCATCCCTCCTTTCTGGCTCCGCATCAATGCGTGATACGCACCTTCCGAACACGTAGTTCATTCATTTCATCTAAGAGTCACCAGGATCACGTTGTTGGTAAGTACAAACGTATGCATCGCTCTCCAGGTCGCCGCGATGGAAGGAAAAACAATATTAATCACTGGGGCAACTGATGGTATCGGGCAGCATACAGCCATCCAGCTAGCAAAAATGGGAGCTTCTGTGTTGGTCCATGGAAGGTCAGCAAGCACGCATGCATGCAAGGCGATAGGACTAGGGGTTGCGGGGATCCTGACCAGTTGTCCTTGGAATGGCAATACAGGAATCAGCACAAAGCAGACGCAGCAGCACAAAGGATTTCCAAGACAGCTGGGCCTCGGGCCAAGGTGCACGCATATGCAGCAGATATGACATCACTCAGGCAAGTGAGGGACCTAGCACAGCGTGTACGGGCAGATCATCCATCCATCGATATCCTTATCAATAACGCAGGCAAGAACCCTGTCTCCCCTCCACTATTCATCTCCTGGCAATTAAAAGAGAGACAAGAGCAGTGACTACGAGTATGGCCTCTGCAGGTATTTTCCCAGAAAAGAAGGTCTTGACGGAGGATGGCTATGAGCAGACCTGGGGTGTCAATGTCTTGGCGCCCTTCTTGCTGACATCTCTCCTCATAGACTCTGTCAAGGAGCGCATCGTGAATGTGAGTTCAATCTCAGCCGGCAGCCGCATCGACTTTGACAACCTCAATCAGGTAAAGGAGCATGTCTCGTCAACTCCTCCTCTCACAATTCAGCATGGTAGCATGCGAGCGCTCGGATCTGCGGTGTCCTAGAAAAGATGTATGTGGCTGAGAAACCCACCATTTGCCTATTCAGGAGAAGGGCTTCAGTGCGCACAATGCATACTCCCTGTCCAAGCTGGCAATGATGATGTTCAACACCGAGCTGGCTGCGCGCGTGTCTCCGCCACCCACAGCCAACTGCTTGGACCCTGGCACAGTAAACACCAAGATGCTGATCCAAGGTGCGCTGCTCCCGACACCTGGGCTTTAATTCCACGAACGCAACTTCTTTTCTTAGATCTTGAGAATTTGCCAGGCTGAGCTCTTGTGATAGCTGGTTGAGTACTGTGCTCTGATGTGTGGTGTGCCAACAGGTTGGGGCCCATGTGGCATCGACATTGAGGATGCAAACCACGAGCTGTACCTGGCAACCAGTCCTGATCTGGCAAATACCACTGGGAAATACTTTGTGAGCGACAGGGCACGCAGCATGCCCAGCATTGTGCAGGATGCCAAGGCCCGGCAGCGTCTCTGGAGTATTCTTGAAGAGCAGACTGGATTGACCTTCCCTGCCTGAAAGATAGGGAACGTTACAGGGGGGAAAACGTATGTGGATACTGTGTCGGTGGCTTGTGCCATTCTGTGCTGTCTGGTTGTTCATTGTACAACAGTGTCGAAACACTTCATTCTTGCTGACAAATGTGACACTTTGCTCTGCTCAGATCAGAGACACATGCACTTATACACACTAATTGAGACTTAGATTGATGCATGACTCATTGGAGGTCCACCCAGCGGGGTGCAGTTGGCCATACAGCAGGATGTGACACATGCAAAGCGCTAGTGTCTCAACTAGCGCTACTTGAGAAGCCTTCACTGAAAGATCATCTGTCACAGATCATCTGTCACGGTGATAGCAAATGTTCTATTGATGTTTATAAGATGATCCTATGCTAGTATACACCAGAGGATGGCAGATCATCCTTCAACTTGATCACCCATCATCATGCATGCTGCCACTGTGACAGGCCGTTCCCATGGCGCCCTTGACGCCAGAGGCCTCCCTGAGCCTCTGAGGGCGGCCGGCGCATGAATTTGGCCGATGGGCGTGCTTTGTTGATCACCCCATGTTCCGTGGAACATTTCTTGGTGTTAATAGTGCTCCATAAACTCGCCTGGAACTACCATGGGAATGAAGTCATGCATTCATCCCTCCACAGAAATACCCAACATGTGGGCCTAATTAAGGCAGTTTCCTCAAACAAGGAAGCTCGTAAACAGGAGAAGCTGGGAAGAGTTCTGGGAACTATTTAGGGTACTAGTGGGCCAAGTAAAGACGCACAAATGTATCTAATGCAATTCATTGTACTTTAAGACAATCTTATATATTATATTTGTATGCAGTTGCCAACTTTGACGCACTATCTCTTCCAATTCCCGATCGGTGCGTAGCCATTGAAGTGGTACTCATCATTATCCTACATGTAGATCACTTTTTATTCTGCTGTTTGAATTTGGACTAACTTTCTCCTCTAAAATTCTGCCATGATCGAGGGAATACATGGCAGCATCTCATGCTCAAGAGACACAGCAGAAGAGCTCAATTTCACGATACAAACGTCTGGTGCTGATCAGCGCGGCAATATCAGTGGTAACGTGGATCTTGGTGCCCCACTCCTGGCCTGGAGAACGGCATGCATACAGAGTGCATACAGAAGCATGGCTGGGGACATGCGGCATCTCCTTGCGCCATGGGAGGCGTGCACAGGTAGCCATGCCCTTTCATACGCAGGCAACACAGTGAGATCGAGGCTGAGAGGATGGTTGGGAAGCTTTATCCTGAGGTACAAATCTTTTCTTGAAGCATAATGTACTATAGAGCAAGGTTGTCTGTCATGCAGATGGAAGACCGGGCCGTCTGTGTAGAGCAGTGGCTTGACAGAGCTCGCACCAGCTCGGGGTTCTATGCTGTCTATGATGGCCACAATGGCAATCTGGCAGCCCAGACCCTCAGCACGCGCCTGCATGAAGCAGTCTTTGATTTTCTGGCAGACCTGCCAAGGTGAGTCCTGGAGATTATATCATAGCACTTGTTTCTGCAGACATACCTTCCATGCATGCGCGCTGTTGCAAGCCTTGTGTATGGGTGGTCACGGTTGCAGGTGGCGGTGTATCAGTCACACAAAGCTGCAAGAGGTGTTGCGCGCTGCATTGTTGGCCGTCAATGAGGAATTCCTGTGTCTCGCCAATCTTTCCGATGATGCGTCTGGCAGCACTGCTGTGGCTGCCTTGCGGGTTGGCCGCCAGTACATTGTTGGTCATGTGGGCGACTCTCGTGCGATGCTCTGTCGGCACAACACTACTACTGGCAACCACACTTTGGGTGAGGTCAAAGTTAGAGCATTGTTGTAACCTATAGAGTTGCAGAATTCAATTACTGTCAATGCACTGCTTGCCTACTCAGAATCTCAAATCCACAATGGCGCCTTTCAGGCAGCACAGCAGAATCCCTTACAAGGGATCACACCCCTGCTCAGAAAGATGAGAGCGCTCGCATCCTGGCTGCTGGGGGCACTGTGACTGTGAAGGGCCCAGGTGCTGCCTGCCCCCTCGACCAAAATGTTTGTCTGCGCCCAGAATGCTACCATGTGAGAGGAGCTTGGCACGATGTAGCTGGCCAGAATTCTTGGGTGCTGCGATGAGATGTCTGAGATGTCTTAAGATATTTGACTGCACCTTGTTTAGGAGATGGGGGCAGATTGCAGGGCGAGCTGGCGGTGTCCAGATCAGTGGGGGATCTGCAGTATAGGCCATTTGGGCTGACAGCAGAGCCGGAGTTCAGCAAGTGGCATGAGGCTGGCCCAGGAGATAAGTGGCTCATCCTGGCATCAGACGGCGTCTTTGAGAGCCTGACCGAGGACCAGATCTGTGACATTGCTGCTGCCACACTGGCGGGTCAGCTTCCAATCTTCCTGAGGCTCCATATCTTTCCACCCTTTTAATGACATGTGCTATATGGACGGCCCCAACTTTTGAGCTCTCCTGCAAAAAGTGAATCATCCTGAATGCGGCCACGTTGCTGCTGCATGCAGGGGAGCAGCATGCATTGACACTTTCAGGCCCGCGCAAGGCTATTCCACTGCCTCCTGTGGTCGCCCCTCCAGTGGTCCCTTCACATGCAGAGCACCCAGTGGCACAGGCACACCACGCATCCGACCAGGGAGTCTGCCTGTGCCAGTCAGACGCATGCCGGGAAGCTCAATCACATGGCTCCTGCGCAGCAGCCCCGGCTGAATATAGCATTATTGAGGACGTGAGCGCGGCAGAGCCTCTCATGAAGCTGCCAGGACTGGTGGCCCGGCCGCTCACGCTGCAGCAGGCTGTAGCTGAAGCAATCACAGAGGCCGCATATAAGCAGGGGTCCAATGACAATCTGGCAGCTGTCGTGATTGATCTTGTGGGACCGCAGCGCTATGCTGTAGAACCTTCAGCTCAGAATGGGAGCAACCCTCCCAATGACAAGAGAGTGACTGGGGATGGCATAGCCCTGGAGCAGGGGCTAGGCGATGCAGCCGATGCAATGATTCCTGTTCCTCGGCGCAGCACAATCGCGGCAACATCCTCCTTGATGGATGTGAAGGGTGCGCCTGGGCCTCTGTTGAGACTTTTATTTATACATGCGCCATGTTAATTATCATTGGTGGGTGAGCCCTGTGTTGCTTACACATCATCATACCTGCCAAATCAGGGTGAAAGCATCAACGCATCATGGAAGAATCTTATTACCACCAGTCATCTATCTATTCATGCGGTTGCGCAGGCGTGCCACAGCACTACGAGCTTAAGGAGCTCCTGGCACTCGTGCCCAGGTACCGAACTCCCAGCGACGACGCTGCAGCGTCTGTTGCGCGTCCCAGTCTGAGCAGTGGCAGTGACCAGCACGGCTTGGCTACAGGACAGCAGACAATTCCCCTGGTGAGTGCCCTGACATCACGCATGGTCCTACAGACTGGGGACAACATGGGTACTATTATTACTACGAATATTCATATTACAGCTCTTCCTGCCAGAGGAAAGGTGCGTCTGCAAACAAGCTGCATGTAAAGGCTGCCACAATCCTACCCCTTGTTGGACTTGCCAGATCCAAGCAAGACCCAATCAACCGTGGGCACGGTACTCAGTATCTGTACCGGCCCCCGCCAGCCGGGGCCAGAGGTTAGTAAGCAGCAATATTATCAATCTGCTGCCATGCAGGCCGGCAGTGATGAGGCGTCATGTGGCCCTGGGGATAAAGAAGCAGCGACCCAGATCCGATGGGCGCTGCACACCGGGCAGCTGCAGCTTGCGCCGGCTGCCGCAGAGCTGGTGCAGGGCCTCGCATCGCTGCCACTGCAGCCAGCGGGGTCAGAACAAAGTGCAGAGATGGGCTGGGCACTGGCAGAGGATGAGAGGCCAAACCAGGGCAGCGGTATGGGCGCCACACATGACTACATGCTGGAGCCCCAAAGATTTGCGCAGGGCGGCTTTGGAGAGGTCTGGAGGGCTGAGCTGCGCACCGACCACAAAGGTGAAGCTGCCTGTTGCATGCTCTGTCCTGAAGCCTTAACTTTGTTTTCTGAACACGTGCGCGCATTTCTGCGTCATTTTGTTTGCTGCGAGACACAAGAATACAGTATGTGGCATCGTCAGCCTCTGAAATGTCATTTCCAACTGTGCAGGGGCGGGCATATGTGATGAGGGTGGTGCATTTGTGCTGAAGCACATCCTGGTGGACAAGGGGAGCGAGGCACACCTCAGTGGCTTGAGGGAAGCCTACTTTGGCCAGCTGCTGCAAGGCCCCCAGCATGTGCAGTCCGTGCAGGGCGCGGACAATGGCCGTGATCACATCACCCGCTATGTCGAGGTTCTGATGGTACGTGCCATCCTCATTTCTGGGAGTTTTTTTACGCCATATATTCACTGTGATGATTGTGGTACTCTGTGAAGGCCGGTTGTTAAGCTTGCAAACTTTATGTGGTGTAGGATGATGCGGATTTGTGGCTGGTCTTCTGTGACGAGGGAATCTCCTTGCACTCCCTGATCTATAGCAGCAGGCAGCCCAACATAGGGGAAGGTGCGCGCAGAAATCTGCCATTTATGCAAGGCAATTCTTCCCTTTGGATTTGCATTTGTATTTTTAGTAGTGAATTTTTTGTGAGGCAAAGTGGCACGCGTGATGACATCAATACCCACTGCTTGGAAAGGTGGGCCAAAGCTGCTGGAGCCCAGCAAGTGGTGGTGGGCCATGCGGACAGAGCCCCACGGAGAATCCATGCTGAGGGACATCCTGAGGCAGACACTGCTGGCTCTAGAGACCCTGCATGCTGCCAATGTCACCCACAGGTGCGTCTTGTGGTCCATCCTGTGTCTTGGCATGCATGTTGGCACTCTTGCACATGGTTTCTCGGAGTGCACTTAGCATCTGGGAAGCATGTCATGCACAGGGGACTCGGGGTTATTATGCCTAAAAATAATAGAAATCCGGCCCCTGTCCATCATGGGGCGAGGGAGGTGCCCATGTTGAGGGTGTGGGGTTTTAATTGCAGGGACGTGAAGCCAGAGAACCTGCTCCTGCAGCCTGGCAGGGAAGGGAGGGAGCCCAGCGTGCACCTGCGCCTGATAGATTTTGGCAGCGCCATTGATGCACACAGCGTGCGGCAGCTGTACGGGGCGCAGGGACCCTCCATCAATGAGCAGACCCAGGAATACGCGCCGCCAGAGGCGCTTCTGGGAAGGTGTGTGCATTTACTAATTACTGACTTCCCTTGCTTGTGGTGTTTATTGCTTTATATGAATGTGTGGGTAGCACACAGCGGACACGTGCGCTGCACAGGTACTGGTCTGGGCAGCCTGTGCTCAAGCGCACGTGGCCGTATGACATGTGGAGCCTGGCAGTCTCCTGGCTGGAGCTAGTTCTTGGCACACGCCATGTGTTCCAGGCAAGCTTTCTTACCCAATAGTCTGGTGCAAGAGCGGGTCCTTCTCAGCATCCTATCTTTCTGTGAGCACCTCTTCAATGTGCACATTGTTTCACTTCACACCAGGAATTTTGCACGAACAGGTTGATGCCAGAACGCGAGCGAGGCTGTACCAGAAAGTCAACCTGGATGCTATGTCTGATGTAGGTACCATTGCTCCTGGTAGCTACTTCATGATTTGGATATTTATTTTTGGACCCCTGTGCTTATCATCTTCGTCACCCCGCTGACTGTAGCAATAATTGCAGGAAGAAAAAAAACTGGCCTTCTGGCTTCGGGGACTGATGGAGCTTTGCATCTACCCTCCACGTCCAACCACACAGGCATCACCAGGTACAACTATCCATGCCAGACAAAACACTGCTCAGGATTTACCATCCACCGCATTGCAACGTTGGGGCAGTGGCGCAGCCTGCAGCCTGATACTTTGCCGGCTGATGCAGGCGGTGGAAAGAGCCTGCCACTGCCTTGGAGTTGCACAGACCAGGCACTGTTGGACGTGGTAAAGCAGCGAGACCCTTCAGGCAAAGGATTGCCAAGTGTTCAGGCACTGCGCCTCCTAATGTCTCTCCTGCACTGGAACCCTGCTTCCCGTCCCACTCCTCAGCAGGCATGTGCCTCCTCTTTTATCTCATACACTTTCGCACTATCTTGCATCTAGACTTTTGTGATTCAGGGTTCAAGACGCTGCAAACTCTGACTGCTGTTGTCTCTTGTGCAGGCACTCAGGCATGCTTTCTTCACCATGCCGCTCATCCAACAGGACGTGGGCGTGCCCACATGCAGCGATGATCGCTTGCAGCCTGGTTGGTGTTGAAGGGTATCTTTCTACCTCGAGCCTTGGCATCGAGAGCTTGACTTCCATGGTCAAGGTCTTTGATTGTGTGGGCGTTGGTTCACTCGGCAAGTTTTACATCATGTACTGTAAGTTGGATGGTGGATGGAGATACAGTCTAATGAAGGATCTTGATGTAAAGAGATGGACTTATGATCTCGGGGCATCTTCTTGGCAAAAATGCTTCAATGATCTTCTTACGCATATGCATTGCGCAACTTGAAGCATCATCATGGTGACTGGGATCCCTGGACGACACCGGGCGATTGAGAAGATCCGGTTGTATAATGAACCCCTTTTGTTCTCAAGAGACCTTACTCAGGTGATATAAATTCGCCGCTGAGACATCCGTACACACAAACAAAACACCCAGCTCAAGTTATCTCAGGCTAAACCAACTGATTGTTGATATTAACAGTACTGCAATGCTCTCTTGTCTTTGCGGCGCAATTCTGCAAACAAACAGTCACTCATGCTCTTCTTATGAGGCTGCCTTGAAGGCGCTAAGGTAACTCCATCTGAGTTTCTCCGCCAGCAGAATACTATCTGGCAGAAGAATGGTCACCAAAGAATTTATGCCTGCATGGCCAGTCTCTCATTGGGAGCGCTGCTGTCTCCGCAGCTTGATCCTCCACAGCTACCATTGCTTGATGCTGCCCCTGCTGAGTACGGCAGGAAGGCGGGCCGGGAGCGGAGGCCGAGCGTCTCGAACATTTGCAGGTCCTCGTTGCGCTCATTGTTGGGCGTGGTGAGCAGCTTGTCTCCATCGAAGATGCTATTGGCACCCGCCATGAAGCAAAATGCCTGTTGACATGAGCAGCCCAAAATGTCAACAGACGATTTGGGTGGGAAAAAACCAAAAAGCAAAGGCTGGTCGCGATGGGGATCGAACCCATGACCTGCTGCGTGTAAGGCAGACGTGATAACCACTACACCACGCAACCAGAGACGACTGACGAATGGTAATTTTCGATTTTCCGGAGGATAATACGCAATGCGGCACAATTCCTTTTCCGTGCATTCGGAATCGAAGTCGATAGGTGAAGCGGTGAACGTATGAAGGCATGAAGTGAATGTCTAGAATTTGCAGAGGACATGACGCCTAGGATTTCCATGCTCAACGACCGCAGGCCGAACACTGACTCCGATCGAGAAGTACAGACTCTGCGAGAAGACCAACCTGATCGCTGAGTGAGAAGTTGAGCCGTCCAGCACTGAGACGCACAACGCTGCGGGGCATTACAATCCGCGCAGTAGCTATGCAGCGGACGACCTCCATTGCAGAGGGTGGTGGCTGGTCCTGCATCGGGAAACAGCCAGAGAGCTTCAGGTGGACGGATCCTGATCCTAAGTGTATCTTTCCCAGCAACACCTTGCCCTTGTACCGATCAAAGATACCAGCAACCCAAGTTCAGGTCACAAGCCCGAATGGTATTTGCTGCTGGCAAGGCACAGGAGAGGAAGTGGGGCACAGATGAGCATGCCTGAAGGGGAGTGCCCTTGACGGCAACGAGGGCATTGATGGGTACAGATTCTGGGTGCTCTGGCAGCGTGGCCAGCTGGTGAAGCAGGCCCACGCGGTCCATGTTGCCCTCCCCCATGCCGATGATGCCCCCCGCACACACTGAGATGCCCGCATCCCGCACATTCGCCAGAGTCTCAAGCCGGTCCTGCACACAGCATCTGCCTTCTTCAGACATGCAGAACCTCCTGTATTTCTCTAGATGCAATGACTGAGCCTACCATCAACTGGGAATCTCCTCTGACAGCACAAGATGGACAAGTCCAACGGTATCCTTGGAGGCATCATATGAGCGCACTTGGCTTGGAAAAAGTGCTCACCTCGTATTTCCGGGAGCTGGTGATCTTGCTGTAGTACTCGGGGCTGGTATCCAGGTTGTGATTGTAGGCAGTGAGGCCGGCCTCTCGCAGCTGCTTCGCCTGCTCGGCCGTCAGCATGCCCAGCGTGGTGCACACCTGCATGCCATAGGGACTACATCATGAGGACTACATCATGGCATTCATACATAAATTTAAAATTGCGAGGCAGTCCTGCCTTTCTACATGGAGCTGAAACTGCCTTGTACTGCCCTTAGTCCCTCTGGGATCACATTCACCTGGTTCAAGAAAGCTAGACTAGCTACACCTGCTGGACAGAGGTCGAGCAACGGGACAACATTGCGTGACAACAGTTTCTGGCGTGTGAATAAATTTCTATTGTCATCCCTGCCTCTGCATGGTAAGTTAAAGCAAGGCACCTCCATGCCGAGGCCCCGGATCCGTGACACCATCTCAAGGACGCGCTCCCATTGGCCCTTGCCCACCTGTGAGGGGCCCCGCCATGCAGCACCCATGCAGAATCGGGTACTGCCAGATTCCCTCGCCCGCAGAGCAGCCTGTCACAAGCGGCCGTGACACATGATCAACGTACCTAATAATGAATGAAAATGATGGATGCATGATGCTAAAGAGCACTGGCAGGGGTCAGGCCTGTTGACAAGTTCCAGACAGAGGACTGAAGCACAAGAGTTCCACTGGGCAAGTGCATGATGCATGCCTGGTAAGTCTCTTCCAGGTCCATTAGCTTCTCTGCTTTGAGGCCTGTTTCCTTCCTCCAAGAGCTGCTCTGCGAGCAATAGGTGCAGGTCTCTGGACAGCCACCTGTCTTTATGCTGAGCAAAGTGCACCGTTGCACCTGTGACCCAACATCGAAATTTGTCAAAACGTCTTCGATGGTGCTGGTATCATTGCAATCTAATACAAGACAATGCAAACGTACCATTTGTGGGTCATTGTAGAGACGGTGAACCGAAGCTGCTTTGTAAACCAGCTCTAGCAGTGGTGTGCTATACACCTCGTTGACTTCCTCACGCCTGCAAGGAGGCAAGAACGCTCTCACATGGAAATTGGTAAGATTGAAAATACTAAATCCAGCGACCTTGTTCGAGAATTGGCCATGATCAGAGCTCAAAGTTCCAGTGCAAGTTAAGACTGAGGATAGGGATCTCACGTCCAATCTGTGCGAATGGCGCCCAGCTCGTGAGTGCGGTTTGAAACTTCCAGATTTTCATTATCTAACGGAAGGGGCTCTGCCTGCTGGCATGCATGTCCTGATACAATGCTTCTGCACTGCAGGGATGTTGCAATGCCTGCTCCATCGCAAAGTGTGCTTCTGATGCACGCGATTCGCGCGATGCGCAGCATCTTGATTCAAAGTGGGGCTCTTGCAACTAGGCAAGACAACAGATCACCGATCGTAAGTCGAGACATAATCTGAAGAGCTGACTCGAGGGCTGACTTTTGAGTAGTTTGACGCCCCTACTTGGTCATGGAAAATTTACGTTTCTTACTGGCAGGCAGATCCACACGCTTTTGATAGTGTTCACATCCTTCAATTGGAAGAATCTCACGACATATACCCCTCAGACCGATGGATAGTCTTCCGGTGTTTGATCTGTTGATGCCCCAGCACATGACCAGTGGTGCTACCTGAATTCTGAAAGTATCGAAGCAAATACTTAGCATTAATTTGCTGGCCTATTTGGTTAGATTACATTGATCAAGCATCAGGCTTCAAGAGAGCAAGTTGTCCCTGGGTAGGGTATGGCAGGAGGTGGATAAAAATTCTTCAGTGCTCTTTGTCCTTCGATGCTATCTTTGTATGGAGAAGGATTTCTGCAAGCAATTGTCCAAGTCAGCATTGTTTACTATGCTGCTTCTATAGCACTGCACTGGATAGGACCTTGGCTGTTGCCGGTCAAGAGCATCCAGGTGCAGCAGAGACAACAGGGCCAAGTGACTCGGGAAGCCCTCTATAGTCTTGGTAAGCTTGTAATCCCAATGGCTTGGCACTGCTGACATGAGATTTGACCTGATGCTGATGCCCATGGATCTCTCTGCAGGGCCAATAGCAGTGAAGGCAGCCGTGCTGACGGTGGTGGAAAAGCTTCATGCAGCGGGCGTCAGCAAGCTTTATAGTGGCTCTATTGACAGCTTTTCCAAGGTCTGATCTGCTGGGACGCTTTCACACACTTTGATCTAGACAATATCTGCACAAGTGACACGACCCTGAATGCTCACGGTCTTGCATGCGCAGGTCCTGTACGTTCTAGTGACAATCATAGTCCTCGATTACCTGCATGACGCGTGGTTCTATTGGACACACCGGGCGCTGCACAGCCGCTTCCTGTACAAACATGTGCACCACCTCCATCACAAGTGAGGCTCCCTGTAGCGCTGAAATTTCTTGAGGATGCATGTCTGATTGACTTTCTGAGAAAGGAAGGCAGAGATTGTTGTTATCTGACCGCCTGGGACGAAGCATGCAGCAGTGAACCTATTATGAGCATGTTTCTGGCAAGAGAGGCCATTGAGATTTGCTGCAATCTGAGTGCCCGACGCATGCATGCAGGTCTGTTGCGCCCACGGCATTCACAGGCTACAGCTTCCATGTGGTGGAGGCAGCCATTGTATTTGCAAATGAGGTCCTCGTCTGCTTCTTGTTCCCCATCCACATTGGAGTCCATCGCATATACCACCTCTTCACCACAGTCATCCATAATGGTGCAATCTTCACCTCCTCTTCAGCGCTGCTCCTTTGAAATATTAGTGTTTTCTGGCCTCCATCAGTCTTGATTCCCAGAAGAAGAACTTGAGGTCTGATGGACATGTGTGAGGTTGCAGGAGGCCATGCAGGCTATGAGATTGCGCCATTCATTCCTTCCATGGAGTCACTGATATTTGGAGTGCTGAGCTGGGTACAACCAGCATGGAATCTGCGCGGGGGCTTGAACACCGTGCGGCATCATGACATGCACCATAGATTTCCAACTAGGCACTTCTCGCTCTACTTCACGCATTGGGACCGCTGGTGTGGCACAGAGCATGTGGACTACAGAACTGCGGTAAGTGTCCATTATGTTCTGTTCTGGAATCGGCTTGCTTGGGGAGGTAGTGCACATGATTCTAGTGTCTGTACTCTGCCGCTCTCCTGGCATTGTGCTCTGATGGTCATACTCCAAGGGGTGGGTGTCTGCAAGTTTTGTCACTGCTGATTGCTGATGTCTGAGGTATATGAAGATTGCTGCCGATCAATTTTCTTCCTCTTTGCAGGTGCAGAGCATGTTCAAACAAGCAATGACTCCCCAACCGCACAGGACAGGGCTACGCAGCATAAATTTAGATGGAACTGAAGAGGACTTGCCATATGGATGGCCACCAAAATACCCATCCAGCTATTTGGCTCCGAAGTACCCAATGCGGACATGTGTCTCACACACTTAGCACTGTAGATTCGTAGTGCCTCAGATTCGTACTTCTTGTAAGCCAGCATGCAATTGCGCAATTGTGTAAACAACATTGTCACCTGAAGCGAAAGTGGATATGTGCATGCCCATTGGGACCTGAGAGCAGTTACATTTTAGTCACTCCAAGTGACTGGGAGTCCCGGGATATTTTAAATAATTGCTTTGGTGGCAATAATTGAGTTCAACATGGATATCCAATTCCGCTAAATGTCCATAGCTAAATGTACGGTCCAATTGAATATATATGAGGGTTCACGCATGCTACAGTACAGGATCAAATTACTATACACCCCACTTCACCATGATGGGCTAAAATATAGTCTGACTGTTCAAGGACCTTATCCTGCATATTGCAAGTGCCTGGTTTCTGTCATGACACACAGGCATAACCAGAACGTATTCAACTAAGGGCAGACATTCAGTGAATATAATCATACGACAACATAAACACTTACAAAGTTGCGGCACATGTGTTTTGCATCGTGCCTCAAAGGGTGACCTCATCGCTCAGCCAGTCAGGGTGCCCAATCTCTGTTGGCAGCCCTCATGAGTCCAAGGATATGGCGGGAATACATCACCCCTGTCTTGAAAAACCACCTCATCAGCGACACCTTGTAGGAATACTAGCCAGTCTCCATCCAGCTCCAAAGGATTGGCTGTAAGGCCCAAGGACCTGCAGCCTGCGATCAGGAAGAGACATTCTCCGGATACCATCGATTGAGGGAACTATTTGCATGCATGCGCGCAGCTCAAGCGTCACAGTCACTCCGCTGTGGTCACCCACCTGTAATGGTGTTTGCCACGATGCAGGCCTCCAGATATGTTCCAAAGGGACTGGGGTGTATGCCGTCTTTTGCATACATGGCAAAAAAGGTGTCCTTCCCTGCGCACCAAAACAATAAATTCAGGAAAGATGCGTCACTCTCCCATGCGCTCATGCCATGAAAGGTAGTTTTTCCTGCATTGCTTACTTGGACAACTGGTATGTTCGTCAGGGCAGGATGGTTCATACCTGCTGGCAGCTTTACAGCATTTCTTCCGTGCTGCAGTGTATGAATGTGCTGCCAAGCAAGTCCTGCTGGGGCGATGGACGATGAAATGTTGTGCTCCTCATGTATCCTTGCTGCCAGTGACAGATAGCCATTTGCTAGTCTTTCCTGCTTGGCAGACAAACCAGTCTCAGTTCCCCCTGCCAGATCACTGGACTGCTGCCTGATGGATTGACAAAGACAACTTTCATTCATGAGGAAATTGGACATCTGACGAGGAGTCAAGCAGAAGATATCACCTGCATGGCATGGTAGTCTGGAAAGATTGCTGGGTGTGCCCGCCTGTCGCCTTCCAAGTAGCCCCAAGTCATCAGCAGCACAGTGTGTGCATTGCGCTCCTTGGCAAATTGCACCAGCCCCGACAGCGCCTCGTAGCTTTCCAGTGTGTCCTTCCCTCCCAGTGCAGGCGCTTGACTTTGCTCCTGCAAGCACACATGCCGCCACGTCATTGTGCGGCCTTTTAAAGTCATTGCAGCACATTTGCTTGGGTGTTGTGATGGCACACAATGTCTATGGTGCTGACTAAAATGTGAAGGGTGCTTGCCTGGAATATGATGTAATCCCAAGGCTTGGTGCCGCCTGGTCCCAGCAGCTTGTAAAGGGAACTTGAGGGGTCCTTTGTGTCCGCCAGGTGCTGCGGCCATGTGTAGCCACCTGTATCCCATTTTTCTGCTCACTTTACTAATACTGAGCGATGTATACTTGATGATTTATGTGAAGGGGTGTATCATCTACGTCCCCATGGTCCCCTCACACACAATAACTAATGAGAAAGATGAGTTTCGTGCCTGGAGCGTATCTTCTGGCATAGACCTTTGCTCCCAAGTGCTCCTCCAGCAATTTGGCCACCACCTGCAATGCAAGACGGCTCAAGATATGAGATACGGCTGTTGAGACCAGAAGGCGATCCAGTTGACCAGCAGGTCTTGCTGTTTGCCCCTTGCAATTGAGAGAACATCATTCCAGGGGCACTGTGCACTGCTTGTGTAACTACTCGGCTGCTGCAGGAAGACAAATGACTGCACCTTTTCTGCTCCACCGTTGTAGTGTATAAAGCTGTTGCCCACAAATAGTATCCTCATGACAGCACCCTTGTCCGTGGGCTGATCAGTGCCCTCTGCAAGTGTCCAGTACTCAACCCTTTTGGCCACCAAGTGGCTGCGTAAGAGGAACACGAAAGCTAATAAGACTGGAGCGCAAAAAATGACCTTTGTAACCCACGTAGTAGGCATCAGCCACAAGTGTGATCCTCTTCGTTATGACATGTCATGGCTCCATTTTTTCGGCTGGACTTTCGGAGGTAACTAAGTCTTCAACGTGTTGCTCGTACGTGAAAAGGACAGATTCTGATGGTCTTCTCTTGGTTTGCTTAGCAGTAAAAACAAAGAAATATCATTACAGCACTATCAAGCACCAGGAAATTTCTAATATGCACAGGCACGTTCAGATCTCGAAAGACCAGGCTGTGATCTTGGTATATACCAGGGACTTCTGTGGCCGGGACATTCAGCTAAGGTGTGGGATAATGACTTTGCAATATCTATGAACATTTGATGTGTGCGGATGTGCGGACTGGCTTCAAACATTTGATCGCTTTCCTCCGAAACGAGCTTTCGGAAGCTCCTTAAGGGTGAATCCACTGAGGTAAGCTGATTAACCTCGATTGGCGCGCCAAGACTCCTGGCCCGAAAGCAGCCTACATTTGCACAATCGTAGGGCATAAAACCTTCTCTTTCACAGTAGGGATCGTTTAAAGTGTAATCAGTTGTGCTATTTGGGCGAGTCTTTTCAAATTTCTGCACTGCTTACTTAGGATGTGCTGACTATGGTGGATTGACCGTTATCAGTATCTTCGATCCGATGCGATCTTCACTGGGTGTCGAGATGCATTGTCTGAAAGGCATTAAAATGGGGGGAAGAAAGTTCCTGCCGATTACTGTTACGTGTGGTTCAAAACCGGTTTTGGGACGTCCAGGCACTTTCTCCGCACCTCCTGCAGTCAGAGTAGACCTCAGTGAGCACAGAAGGGGTGTAGGCATCACTCTAGTTAATAATGAGGGCCTAGTGTTCGCTGCAAGGTGAGCAAAGACCACAAATTTTGCACCTCTGGCAAGTTTCACAACATCCCTAGTTCAATCCATTGTCAGTGTCCTGATGGTCCTTTGATCCTGTAAGGAGGCCTTGCGCTAATCGAGTTGGAGGTCAGGCTTTGCATTAGCAGTGATTTGATTGCTGCAGGCGAGTGGACGACAAATTTGGGACTTGGCAGATGCCCCAGGTGAGCACTCTTACATAGACTCGTTGCCATTCAAGATCAAGTGTAGATCTGGAACATTCTGATGCCCTTCAGCCCTCGTGAGCTTTCCTGCCTGTGCAAGCAGGGAGGAATTGATGGCGGTGGCCTGGAGAACCCCATGAGCGCTGCTGTCAGGGAGCTGAAGGAGGAGACAGGGATCAGTAGCGCGCGCATCGTCGCCATTGTGAGCTTTTTCTGCCTTAATGGCCTCTTTTTTGCCTAAGAAACTGCACGCAATCGTGCACAGGCTATCTGTTCGCCGATTTGACAAGCTGTTCTGTGGCTCAGCTGGACGAGTGGCTGGACTATGACTTTCCCACAGACATCAGGTCAGGCATGACGGGCTCGTGGGTGAGGTATCGCGGCCAGACACAGAAATGGTGCGTGATAGATTCTGGGAGGACGTGCTGCAGTAGACTGTGTTGGAGTCCTATGCGTGATTCAACCTCTAAGGCTTTCTTATTCCGACACAAAGAGCAGAGAAACCAGGCTGCTGGAGACCTTCAAAGCAAAAAAGGATGCTTTGCAGGTGTCTGATGTACTTCTACGGAGATGAGTCAGAGATTGACTTGGAAAAGTTTGGCGAGAGGGAGTTCTCGGAATGGAAGTGGATGCCTTTGGAAGAACTACCTCTTGAGGTGATTTGACACCCAACACCCAATGTCGACGTGTGTTTCCTTTATGGGCCAAACCTGCACAATCGAGAGCGTGATTGTAATCATTTCTGCTTGTAAGCGTCACTTCCAGGAACCATGAAAAACTTGAATTTCGAATTTATTGTTCATGCAGGTGGTGGACTTCAAGAGGCAGGTGTACAAGAAGGTGGCAGAGCGGTTTGGGCCCATCATCAAGAGGAGGAGAGGGCAGGAACAGCTGAGTTGGTGGGGTGGCAAATAATTTACTGTACAATATATTCATCCATCATTTTTCAGCATTGCAAACCCTCCGCATACTGGGGCGGCCCCAGTGTCACTGGCGCAGCTTAGGATTGGTCATGAAAACTGCCATTTTTGCCTAGCCTGTGTGAATGCAGATCACTTTTTAGAGTCTCAAGTTCATTCTTCTTCTACATATTTTCGTACTGCTGAAAAATGCGGACTGTGCGTGGTCGCTCCTTGTATTTGTCTTCTGAGGCAGATGAATACACAGGGATGTTGTCAGCAAAATATTACTGTTGCAGCATTGTGCTAGATCTAGAACATTGTACAGACGAGGAGACCCCAACAACTTGGTCAAGGCTTACGAAGAATTAGGCTCAGAATACTGATTTGCTGGTTCTGAACTTCTTTCAGTAATTTTCCAAATTCTTCGGCTGCAGGATCTTTGTAATTTTGCAAGTCTTGAGCAATTTGCAGCACTGTTTAGTCATCATTGATATGTATCAGTATACTATAATTATCTCCGTAAGCCTATATTCTTCCATCTGTTCAAGCTTCTGCTGCTACTGAGTGCGGGCCTCCACTTGCATCAGCAGCATTGGGCCCGCCAGAGGCAAGGACTGCAGAGTCAGCGCTGTCACTGCTGGCATAGACATCTATGGCACGGATGAGTGTCTCCAGCAGCTGCCTTGACTGGCTGGGGTGCGTGGTGGGTGTGACCATGAGATACACCACGTTCCCCAATGGCCGTGCATACACCCCATGCCGCCTGAGCCACATGACTACAGACTTGGCCTCGTGAGAGCCGTAGCCAGCAGCCTGGCCTGCCTGCGGCTGGATCTCAGCTGCCACTACCGTGCCTGCACCACACATGTTGCACTATAATGACTGGCAGGCTTTAATGACTGTGGTTCACGTTGGCACACATGCTCCTCCTGGGACCTGTGCACTTTCTCCTCACAAGGGGTTACAGAGAGGTAACTGCAGGGGAATTAATTCCACCATTCCCCAAATCACGTCCTGATGGCCGAGGCCTTCCTGGGTAGCACATGCGCAAGATGGACAAGGAAGGACATGCGCAAGTGCAGGAGGAAGGAGATGAGATGCGCACCAAGAGCCACCACTCGCGCCACTCGTTCATGCATGGACAGCTCCTTCAGCAGCTGCTCATCCCACAGCTCCACCAGGCGACCACATGGCTCAGAACACGCCGGGCTGTTCCGACACCTGTTCATGCACGCTCTCTGTCAAGTGCCTCTCTGCATAAAGGTGGCTGCTGCCTTTCACATTCCTGGTCAAAACATCTAGTCCTTCCCCAGGACAAATCCAAGATTTGGATGCCAGACACTAGACTGCACTGTGACCCTACCTGCCCGCCTTGTCTGGGGTGCAGAGTGCGGGGTTGCACTCGGCATCAGTGTACAGCTTCAGGGCTTCGACGGCGACAGCGCATCCGATGGGATACCCCGAGTAGCTGTGCCCATGCAGCAGGGCATCAATTTTGTTGGGGCCCAGGAAGGCTTCAAACACTCGCTTGCTCGCCAGAGTTGCCGCGAGTGGCACCATCCCCCCTGCAAGCAGTTGGTCAGAGCACCGCTCCCAAAACAACAACAATAGCTGAGGCAACCTGGCATTGTGCAGAAGAGTGCTTAACAGCCCCGTGAGAACATGCAAGAGCTTGCAATGACCGCACAACATGTGGCAAAGTGTGAAATTGGACCCAATATTCCGTCCAGAGAAGCCAGAGATTTTCAAAGATGGACTGCAAAGGGCCGACCTGTGAGGAGCTTGGCGTAGCAGGAGATGTCGGGCATGACACCCAGGCGGGTCCAAGCGGCGGCGGTGCCGAGGCGCCAGAGGCCGGCGAAGATCTCGTCGAAGATGAGCAGCATGCCACGATCGCGACAGCGCCGGGCCAGCACCGACTGGAACAGCGGGTCGACCATCTGCATGCAGTTGGCGCCCTGCACCAGCGGCTCCACTATGCACGCCGTCAGCCGCGCCCCCGGGCCGCGCTCGGCCTCGTACCTGACAATGCAGCATTGCCTAGACTCTCACGTCTTCCATCACCTAAACATTGCATGAGATTGCGAGGCAGCCCTTTCCGGGGCCGCGCTCGGCCTCGAAGCTGGCTTGGCACCAGGTGGAAATGTCTTGGTGGCTCTTCTCTTCCCTAATGATGCTGCCGCCTTAATCCCTCCTGGGCCTCTTCCTGGGGGCTAGAGAGGGGGTTGCATTGCAAGGCAATGCACGGGCAGATGCCTTGCAGCATTGCTCAGACTCTCACGTCTTCGATCACTGCAAAAACACTGCAAAATTGTAAAGCAGCCCCTTTCTCCTTAAAATGGCGCTCGCACTGCCTTGTTCGCTTTGGCATGTTAAACAGTCCAGCGTTCTACAGGGGGGCATGATTTTTCCATGCCGATTATGCGAGAAACAGCTGAGGCTCGTCATTTGGGCAAGATGCCAGGGGATTCTTCAGCATGCAGAGCAGCAACAGCATGCCATTGTTTTGTCCAGATTTCTCCTGGTGGCTGAGGAGTGATGATTGAAAGGGTAATCACCTGTCAAGCTCCCCATCAATCAAATGCTCATAGTGGGTCGCCAAGTCACCGTCATCAGACCACCTCTTGCGGTCAAAGAGGTCCTCCAGGGAGTCAAACTCGCGGCTGAGGCCGGGTGCCTCCCCCAAGGAATGCACTTCACCGGAGGTGTGCTCGTCATAATTCACCCGCCACTTACCCCGAACCAGCGCTGCTCTCGCTGGGCACAGAAAGAGGCCCCTCCCCTTGTACCTGTGCAAATGTGCATCACCCTAAGGCCTCTACTACACAAAGTTGCTGCATTGTATCCAGAGTGCCACACAGTGGGAGAAGAAGCATCAAAGTTCATAATCCAGTAGCGGGTGGCATTGGGATCTGTACCAGGGTGTTTGGCGAGGGCCGTTATAGACAGAAGGGGCAACAGCATCCATGCAGCCGAGGGTGTCTCCATGATAACCATCCGTCAAGCCGACCACTTCCAGTGAGCATTCCTCGCTCCCCGGGTTATCGTGCATGTACGCTCGGAACGCCATCTTCAGGGCAATCTCCACAGCAGACGACCTGGAATGGGAATGGCACAGTTTCCTCAGCGCATGCATGGCTGCAGCCTATCACATCATGTCACCAAGCAAATGCTTCCCTTCTTTCCAGATCATTGTCGTACAATCATGTTTCAGCCTCCTTATTGACAGTATGGTTGGACGGGAGCCCAGGGCCTAGAGGTGTTCTACAGCAAAGTTCCCACAGGTTAGCGGCACAGCTGGAGAGGGGAGGCGCACCCATCGGCAGAAAAGAACACGCGATCAGCCCAGCCGTGGCCTACGCCGCCAAGGAGGGCCTCTGCGCACGCCACGGCCGGCTCATGCGCGTTCTCCGGGTGCATCACGTGCCCATAGCGCGCTGCTGCGTACGCCAGTGCCTGTGTCAGCCGCGGCTGCAGCTCCTTGTTCACGCCCTGAAAGACCCCAAAGCAGGTATACATAGGTCTGCTACGGCTGGCATTATACAGCTTGATTTGCTTCCTGACGAGATCCTTACCCAATTTGTCAGAACCCTCCCTAAATTTTGCAGCTCCTCCGGACCCAGTTGTTCCATCCACGTGGACGGCTTCAATGCAATGCCTCTTGGTGTGTCGGCGTACGTTGCTAACTGCGAAAATCCAGCAGGCATATCCACCTTCACTCTCCTATGACCGCTTGATGCGTGCGCAAGGCAATGGTGACAAGTCAGCGCTTACTGACCTGGGTCCACCAGCTGGCGCAGCCGTCGTAGCGCGCCTCAATGGAGCTTGCGCCGCTGCCGTCACTTGACAGGACGTGAAAGTGCTCGCCGCTGCGCGCATCGATGGTCTGCACGTCCTGGGACCGCACCAGTCCGTGCTGCGTGGTGGGCCACCATATTGCGGCCTCTGCCTTTGGACCAAGCTCCAGCAATCGAGCCACTGCACACACATCACACCCAATCAGGTCTCGAGATCATGCAACTCGGGGACATGCATTTCGACGCGCATTTCGACAGCATGCATGAACTGCGCACACCAAGGCTGAATGGTGTGAAGGATTGCAGACGTACCCCTGTTGTCGTGGTGCTGCTGCAAGAGTCCCCGGAGCTCGCTCATTGGCTGCCGGGTTTTATGAAGCCACTCTTGCAATGCTTCATCGATGCCATCCTCCCTTCTCCTGTGCACCATTTGCAGCAGACCGCTTGGATCTCAAACATCCGCAAGTTGACTTTATGTTTTTGTGTGTGTGTGTGGGTGCTGTGACTGTACAAACAAAAGCTTAAGGGAGCCCATGCATGACAGAGGATGGCGAGCTGGAGTGACCCACGATGGCTCAGGTGGTTGGCTGCAGGGGGGCAGGCCAATGACCGGCACCCTGCCCCCAAAGTGCTCCCTGAGGTATTTCCAGTTGGCCAATCCGCTGTCCATCAAAACGATGGCTGCGAGATCGTATCCCCGCAGCAGCAGACACTCCTGTGCCGCAATGGTAGTGGAAATGCCTCCCAGACGACCGTCCCCCACCAAAACCCCCGGCAGCCGCAAGGGTCTCCAAACATCACACTGCAGTGCAGCACAGCCACATGCATTATTGATTGTCACGTTCAACGAGACATGCGAGGCCTGTTGAGGTTATCAAGCCGAGAATAGCTGGCTATTGGGACAGTCTGTGACTTTCTAACATCTCAGAGCAAGCATGGCCATTTCTTATGTTACACGTGCCAAGAGCATGCGGGTGTGAGCACCTGCAATCGCCCTGAAGGAGAGGGGCTGGCGGGACCTCCAGCAGTCTCCAAGAGAGCCATTGCTGGTCGGTTGCAGCGGCCCTGATAGTCCAGCAGCTCCTTATAGACTGCTCCTCTTAATTGATCATCGCTGATGTGCCTGCCTGCACTACCATAAAAGCTGGCTGTCATCCTTGCTTTGCACCTGGTCACCTGAAGTCAAGCTAAGGGAATAGAATATCCAAGCTGTGGATCAGCCTCAGAGGCATCTCTAAAGAATCTCTCGCCTTCAGCAGCAGCTGCCAGGTGAGGGCTGGCAGGCATCTTCCAGGCATGCAACAGGCGTGCCTCCACGCTGCTGCTCTGGCCGTTGCTCGATGCGGCGCTTGCATGGACTCCTGAGATCTCGGCTGCATGCCTGCCATATGACACGGACGCGCCGCTGACAGAGGCCTGCGAAATGGGCATCTCATATATCACATCAGACCGAGCGGGAGGCATGAGCAAGCATTTGGATCTCTGAGTAAAACCAATGAAGGTATGTGCAAAGGCGCACCACAAGCGCTGTATCGCTGTCTTCAGGGAAGCCTGTCTGTACAGGCTTTAGATACAGCAACGGCTCCTGCACACAGCATTACTTGAGCCAAGCAAATTGACTACTGTCCAGCCAGCTGCCGGTCACTGATCTATCATTACAGCACTCACCTGGGCATCACTCGAAGATTTGGCTAGTCCTGCGCTCACAAGAGTCTTTCCAACCCCTGTATTTGAGCCCCATACTGTGTACGTTGGCAATGCCAAGCTCAACCCATGGGCTCCTGGTGTACTGTCAAGCGACGCTTCGCTTGAAGCATCGAAAGTACTAACACAACTAGAAAATGCTGCACATTCTGATTTCAGCAAGCCTCGGCGGTACAAGAAGGCGCATCCTCGGCTCAACGCTTGAGTTTGAATGGGCATGGTGTACTTTTATACCATTTCAAGAGAATTCAGGCGTGATGCAGATCTGAGAAATAGAATGCAGTCAGATCATCATCTGACTCACAGAGAGATTCGCAATTTACTGCACAAAATCTTCTCCGAGCAATCGCCATTCCACGTGCGTTTCAGAGTCATGGAACTCAGTTTCGTAATGACGACCTTCTCCGATCCTAACCATCACTAGACAATTGCACATTTAATGAAAGCTATCAAATAAAGTAGAAAGATTGAAAAATTGTATTGGTGTAGTTGGAACGTTAATATTTTGAAAGTCAGATCTGTGCATCTAGTCGGTGATCTGCAACATTAAAAGAAGTCCTCGAGGGCTTGTAGTCGAAGAGTGATCTTGAAATAACTTTTCTTTATCAAATGTCCTCGAGCGCAACCTCCACAGAGCTCTGGGAAGCATGGTTGATCTCATCTCTCGGCCATTTGAGGCAGGCAGACCTCTTGAGGACCCTCAGACCCATGCTGCCCACCCTTTCAGCAGTCGAGGTACAAGTAGAACAATGTCTTCAGTCATTTGCTGGTGATAGCAGTCGAAGTGCTGCAAAATCCTCAGACTGTACAAGAGGGGTACACCAAGCTTGCTTCAAATATTGGCAGGTTCTTGTTCCTGGGGATGTGCTGGCACCATGGATAGAAGATGGAGGCGGACACGCCTGTCAGGACGTCATCCAGCATGGTGGAGCTCTGAAACTGTTCAGCACAAACGACTATCTGGGCTTGTCCACCCATGTGGCTCTGCGACGCGCAGCAGCGGATGCTGCCATGCTGTATGGGCTGGGTGTGACACAGAATCCACTCCATCTTCTGCAAATTAGAGGCTCACAGTACGCTCCTCTCTACATGCATGCATTACCTGCTGTGATCAATCACTGAATCCGTGATCTGCTTGTCCGCTTCAGGGCCGAGGTCATCAGCACTGGTTGGGGGCTACACGCTTCTGCATCAGGAGCTTGAGAGGCGGCTGGCTGCTCTGAAAGGCACAGAAGAGTGTCTGCTGTTCCCCACGGGCTTTGCTGCGAATCTGGCGATTGTGTCTGCTCTGGGCAGCGGCGAGGATGCGGCGATCTTCTCAGATGAGCTCAATCATGCATCCATTGTGGACGGCGCTCGCTTGGCCTCCAGAAATAAGGTGTCTACATTGTAGAGGACCTAGAGCCTGCGTTCTGAGCATTTAGTTGTCATGCAATATCAAAATAAAGAAAATTGAATTGCAGAGCTCATCCACTGATGCCTCTATGTCTGGCAGGGGCGGTTGCACATTTACCGGCACAACGACATGAGACATTTAGAGGAACTCTTGAGCGCGTGCCCCTCCCACCACCGGAAGCTGGTGGTAGCAGACAGCCTCTTCAGCATGGACGGTGGGCAGTAGGAGCCTCTACCAGCAGAAATTCTCCTACACGCACCTAGTGTTTGCAGCTTCATCAAACACTTGCAGGTGCTGACCTGCAGTGCTGTTGCAAAAACAGGTGACTTCGCAGATTTCCAGGGGCTAACTAGTCTGCGAAGAAAGCACGGCTTCCTGTTGGCTGTGGACGAGGCCCATGCAACTCTTGTCTGCGGCTCGAGGTGCGCTCCCACAGTCTTCCCAACCCTCTGCCAGCAATCTGTTCATTGTATCTTGGAGCTTTGAATCCTTGGAAAGAAAGTAGGAACTGTGGTGCTGGCGTCCAGGGGTGGCGGTGCAGCGGAGGCCTTTGGGGTGGCCGGGGAGGTCGATGTGCACATTGGCACGCTTAGTAAGGCGGTTGGAGCTCATGGGGGATTCGTGGCCTGCCGAGCCGAGCTGAAGACCCTGCTACTTAACAAGGGCCGCCCTTATGTGTTTTCTACCGCTCTCCCCGCCCCTGTGGTGGCAGCTGCCATCGCTGCACTGCAGGTCAACGAACAGGTGAACATCTGACCCTCCCCTTGAAGATCCGCCATTTTTGTCGGTGTTGCAGCCGTGCATGCCATTCTGTGAGGTTGCCAGGTAGCACTACAAGGTGCCCTACAGCAAATGATGTAGTGGGGCATGTGCAGGAGCCTGACAGGCGGGAGCATCTTTGGAGGCTGGTGAGGCAACTTGGAGAGGGGTTGGGGGTGGATGCATGCAGCCCCATCGTGCCCCTCATAGTTGGCAGCGAAGCCGCTGCCGTGGCCGCCTCGGCCGCGCTGCTGGAGAAGGGCTTCTATGTGCCAGCCATCCGGCCGCCCACAGTTGCTCCTGGCACTTCCAGGTCAGAGCTTCAGACTTTCCAATAACCTGTGTGTCACCATGCTTTCATGCTGGCCAACGTACCTTTATGATGTGTTTGCGTTTAACAGTGTCTGACTTTTTAACCGCAGGCTGCGCATCAGCCTCTCAGCAGCACACACAACCGAGGACGTGGATGCTTTGCTTGTGGCCCTCAAGGAGTGCGGAATTCTTTCTGCAGCAGGATCGCCTTTGGCTGCTGCTGGCAGTATTGTAGAGCAGGATGTCGTGTACTTGGCTAAGCTCTGAGGAAATAATGTTGATAGGGGATCCTTTCGGGACAATATTCTGCATGGTAGGAGCATTAAACATCCATGCAAGATGCCAACTTTGGCAACAGCAACGTGGAGCTGTAAGATAAGCAATCTGCAAGGCCTGAATACTTCTAAAATCTGCAAATTTTGTGAAGATTAAGCAAGAAGAGTAGTTTCAAGGGCTTCGTTGGGGATATATGCAGCACCTTGTGCACGGTGGGGCCATGCTTTTGGACACATCCGTCACGAGTCTCAGTAGCTTTCGTCCTACATTCAGCCAGCAAGTCACATCTTTGCATTGCTGCTGGCATCCCAACTCTCGGATACAAACGCACAGGAATTCTAGTATCGTTCGGATCGAAGGACGTCTCAAAAGGCATGCAGTGGGGACCGAGGAACATAAGCAGCTCAGCTCAAGAATAGGCAGGAAATTTCTAGTATGCACTTCCGCATCAAATGGGAGTCCTTCAGGTAGCGCTCTACCTGGCCTTGTCATTTGGGCCATTTCTAGTCCCAGTAGTGAAGGCATGATTGGAGAGACAAGCACCCTTGTAAACCAGCCAATCTTGATGTGTGCGAGCTTTCTCACAGAATGTAGATCCCCCCACCACACTGGAGCTTTCCTAGATGGGGCATCTTGGGCATCAAGGGCAGAGTTCTGATTGTGAGCATGCCTTGCAGCAGAGGCAGATACCAGAGGAGGTGACAGGAAGCGGGTGATCATCCTTGGAGGCACTGGTCGTGTGGGCTCCTCCACAGCATCTGCTTTGCTGCGCAGCGATCCACGCCTGGACATAGCCCTGGCCAGCCGCAGCAGGCGCACTTATGAAGCTGCTGTGAAGAAGCGCCCCGAGCTGGCCAACACACGGGTAGGACTTCACAGCCACCTCATTTGCGCTGCATACCACAGAAACTACGTCACCTGGGCAGTGCAGGCTGCTTGCCCGACGACAGATTGACACCCAACCATGCATGTGCTAACAAGATGTCCCTTCCTTGGCATTGGGTCTGTGCATTGTTGGCGGAGGGGGTGTGCCATGATCTGTCACATAAGCTGTGCCTGGACAAGGAGGCTTCCATGCAATGGCCGGACAGACCAAGATTGAAAGGTTTCAGGAGAATTTGTTATCCTGATTGTTACTGCAATGAAGTTTGAACGGAATCCCAACGGTTTCTGCAGTTTGTGTCGGTGGACATTGAGGATGCAGCCTCGCTGGAGGCTGCGCTGCGAGGGGCGGATCTGGTGGTGCACACGGCGGGGCCATTCCAGCGCAAGATGACCTGCGATGTGTTGGAAGCAGCCATCGCCGCTCGTACACCTTACATGGACATCTGCGATGACGCCGATTACTCGCAGCGGGCCAGGGGTTACCATGAACGCGCTCAGGCCGCTGGCGTCCCCGCCATTACCACAGCAGGTCAGCATGGGCGCACCTGTTCTGGTGTGGATGGGAATGGTCATCCATGGCCTGCCCAGCTGTGCGGTTAAGAGGCATGCTTTGCACGAGCAAGCTCCGCCATGATAGATGCGCATCTCGCAGGCGCCCAGTGTAAGAGGGTACCTCGGGAGTTACAACTTGTGTGATTGAGCAGGGTGGGAAAGGGGGGAATTGATTTGATGGTGGAGGCTGGGTGCAGGTATTTATCCGGGAGTGTCCAATGTGATGGCAGCGCACATGATCTCCATCGCACGGCGAGAGTACACAGCAGACTGGAGCTACGCCACTGCACAAAGTGGCAGTGCCCAGAATGGCAGGCTTTCCAGCCCTGCAGGCAGCTCGAGCAGCAGCAGCAGCAGCAGCAGCGAAGCTGCCCAAGAGCTGCAAGCTGTGACGCTGCGCTCTGGCGTGGCCACAATGGAGCCAAATGAAGGTGTGGACCCTGTTGCACCCGCAATTGGTTATGTCCCTAAGAGAGTTGAAGATGAGAACTGCATGCAGGATACTCATAGTCACCCAGCTCTGTTTCTGTTTGTTTGAACATGCTGACAGGAGGTGATGGTATGGGGTGCAGGCAAGCCAGGAGCGACAATCAGTTACACAGAGAGCAACTCTATTGAGCCAGTGGAGCCGAGGAGAGTTCTGTATTCGTACTACACAGCAGGCAGCGGCGGAGTGGGGCCCACAATCCTCGAGACGAGCCTGCTCCTAGCTGGAGAGCCTGTCGTCGTCTACGCAAACGGGGAGAAGGTCCGATCATCATGCTCTGGCAGCAATCCAGCAATCCGGACTGTCAGCATGTTAGACCTGATTAAGTTCAAGGTTTACCTGCCAGGTGTTCTTTGTTTCAGCTGCGGAAAGGGTCAATTGGCATGCTTCTTTCAGAGAGCATGCACGATGCGCCTGTGGCAGTTTGCATTGTATAGTGTGCAAGCTTGTTGCTGCATAATTCAATTATGAGAAAGCCCTTCCTCTATATCTTGTGGCGCTCGCTCTGACTTTCCATTTGCAGGGTCCCTTTCTGTATTATGTATTAAGTATTAATACGATGATCATCTCGTTATAAATTTCTGGGTGTGGGGGTGAGTACAGTTGGTGGTGCCGCCGCTGAGCAGCCCGCGCTACGTGGACTTTGGGCCGCCCATCCGGGGGGTGACGACCTACCTGTACAACCTGCCCGAGGTGGCGTCCACGCATGAGTGCATGCGCGTCCCCACCGTCTCCGCGCGCTTTGCCACGGCGCCCGTCTTCTGGAACTGGGCCATGCTTGCCGTCGCCCGCCTCGCGCCCAAGGGCTTCCTTGAAGACCGCGCTAAGTGCGCCCCTCTGCCTCCTCATGTGTTTGGCGGCTCAAACTTATCATGAAAGCCGTGTGGCATCGACAGCTGCACCTCCCAGAAGAACGTGACAAGTGAACCTTTGCCCTCCCCACGCTCTGGGGGCTCCTGGTGGTCCCTAAATTGGCCGGCAAAGGCAAGAATACTTTGTTGAGGCTGTGAGAAATTGTGGATGCGCTTGCATCTCAATCTCTCCCAAGAGCATCATGGCGTCAGCCTGATGCAAGACCGACAATTTAAGCTGGGACAATCATTGGCCACACGATTGCCTATGGTTCCTCTGTCGATCTTCCGTCTGCTGACAACCACTGTGTGGGAGTCCTCAAAGGATCAAGTAGGCAGCCTGGTACGCAGGTCAAAGTGGCTTGCAACGCTGGCGGACCCTTGGGTGCGGCTGGTGGATCCATTCATAGGGGAGGCAGTGGGCATGCGGGTGGATGTGGACTTGGAAGATGGCACAACCGCTTCCGGCATCTTCGTGCACAAGCTTCTGTCCGACAGCGTGGGGTACGCCCTTGAGAAAGCTTGCAGGCATTGGTCTCGACCAAAGACTGTAGTACTTTGATTGGTATCTCTGAAACTAGGTTCTTCCAAATAGCGTGGTAATCAGAGCACAGATGGCAGGAACGTTGGCGTCTTTAAATGGGCCCTGGAAGTGTATTGATGAGGTGATCTTGTTGTGATGCAGAATCAGCACAGCAGCATTTGCACAGGCCATTCTAGCGGGTCAGACGCAGCCTGGTGTGTGGTTTCCAGAAGAGCGAGGCGCGGTCTCAGATCGCAGGAAGCTGTTGCAGGATGCTGCAGAGGGGACTGTCCGCTTTGAGCTCAACAGGCCTCCTTGGGCGCTGGAGTCCAACCCAATCCGAGTGGGGATGGGCATGTACTGGTAGATATGTGATTTGGAATAAAGCCAAACAATTAACCAATGAGAAGACCTTTTCTGCCAGTGAGACATGCAGGAAGTACTGGATGGTGACTCAAAATGATGGTTGTAGATGACGGCCGTTCAAGCTGCTCTTGACTGTACGCATAATTGTTTAAGAACAAGCGGCTTCTAGAAGATTGAAGGGAGCCGCTGTGGATATGTGTCCATGTTCCCAAATTTTATGTTCATCGGCCGCAGTGGCACCATAGACAGGCTTTTAGACTACAGCATGCAAGGCCCCTCAATCTGACCGTGATGTCACTGTGATCCATGCACATGCAGCATCATTCAGCCCAAAAACCTGAAGACTCTGCCTCGCTGTGAATCTTTAGACATCAAGGGTCTGGCAAGATACATTGACCATGGTGACAAAGGTGTCTTATGTCGATGAAGCTCAGCAACCTGTGCAAGACTCTTTTGGAAGTTCATATCACATATACACGATGTGTCCGCTCACACCCTTGCTTCAAGTCATGCTGCAGCCGCTACAAGTCAACACACGGCGGGCAGCTCAGGTGCGCTCTGCACGGGGAGCAGCAAACTCCACGCGCAGGATGAGGTTGTCGTAACCATGGCCATCCAGCTTCTGCACGGCGCGCGCGGCGTCCTCCCGGTGCACAAAGTTGACGAAGGCAAAGCCGCGGCTCTCGCCGGTCTCGCGGTCATACGCGATGTAGATGCGGGAAATGGGGCCAAAGGGGCTGAACAGCTCCTGCACGCAAAAACGATGCTGGTGGGTCAGAAAATAGTTCGGCAGGCGGGGAGTCGCAGCATTGTTGGACCAATACATTATAAGCTCTCCTTATGAGCAGAATGCTTGCAAAGTGCGCAGCCGCTCTGCCACCCAACACTAGGCTGGACAACTTAAGTCCATCTTGACATAGCGGCTGCAGCGCATGCCAACCACACACACACCGGCATGCTGTAATTCGCTTGCTTTAGGCAAGTAAGGGCTACAGCGCACAAAGAGAAGGGAAGAGCGGAGTAGCTCACCCTGAGATCGTCCTCGCGCGTGTCCTCTGACAGGTTTGTGACGCGCACAGAGTTTTCCTCGCGCCGCCGCATGCTGTCGCCGTCCGCCATAGTGGCACCCGCGCGCCTGCTGGGAGGCACGTAGCCCCCGGGCTTGCTGCCTGCCTGTGGCAAACCGCCAGCCTCCGACTGCATGCCACAGCCAGCGTTCAGATGCCAGCAATGCCCCCAAACCAAGCTGATGAGAATGACCTCAGACAGTCCTAAAAAATGGCAGAGCACGGGTCCTCAAAACAGAATTCTGTTAAATAACGGCAGTGCAAAGAGCTATGATTGTCAAATGGCATGTTGTCCTCTTGTCCTCGAGCAGCAAGGGTAAGAATATGTGCAACATCTTAGAGCTGAGAGCAGGAACATACGTCCTCATCAGGCGGCCTCTCTGGGGCAGCGATCTGGCCTCGGGCCAGCGCCAGCTGCCTCTCCATTCTCCTCCGGTACAGCATGTCCCTCAAACTGCAGCACAGCACAATTCCTCAGATGATGGAAGGATGAATATTTTGCCCACCAAGAATGCATGCACCAGCAACAAGTGACAAATGGGACGGTTGAGCAGAAATGGATCAACCAAGGGGCCTGCTGGGCGGGACGATGATCAGGAGCTTGCACCTGCCCACAACAGCGCTCTTGTCTGAGCCTTGGAGAGCTGACTTGAGGTCCTCCTTCTCTGCCCTCTTCTCCTCGGTCGTTTGCCTTGCCTTCTGCACCCTCTCAAAGGGGATGTCCTCAGCCTGCTGCACTGTCACACTGTCTCCAGCCTGCTCCTTGGTTGCCTCCCCAAAGCGTTTCAAGCGACTCCTCCGCTCTGCCGCTACCTGCAAACAGCCTCACCAATTTCAAATAAGAACTGTCTGTTGATTGGCAAGGCTGTCAATGAAACCCTGTGAATTCTGAGAACTCATCAACTCTCAACAGCTGATTTTTGTCAGGCTTGATGCCTGCACACTAAGTAACAGACAAGGAGAGGACTTCGTTGTTGAGTAAAATCCATTTCATAAGGATACCACATCCCCATGATATCAGCTCACCTCATAGATCTTCCTCTCCACTCGCGACACCCTGGTCTTTGTCACCACCTTTACGGTCTCGCCCTTGTCATTTTTCTTGTAGGTTGTGATAGTCTTGATTCCTTGCTTGTCTGGGCCAACCACTGTGTTGGTGGGCAACGAATCGTCCTCATCAAGAGTATCTCCCCATCTGATTTTCATCGCTGTCATTTTGCTGATCTTCTTCAAAATATATTTACTGATCCGTGATGAATCAACAAGTACCAATGCTTTGCCTGAATGATTAATCCACACCTTTCCTCAGAAAGAGGGAAGGCCAGAGAAGCAGACGGCGCTTTGCAGGAACGCCGCTTGTGCTCTGCAAAGTTCCATGCTGCAGGCACGTGCGAATGATCTTTTAATTGCAAAGCCTTCCCCAGTCGATCCTGCGCACCAGTGGGCAATACAGGCCAACTCAGCAAGAGATCTCTAAAGAGTTCATACCAAAACCCATGGCAACGATGACGGGAGCGTCGTGCATATCAGGCAGTGCTCACTGCCGGATTGCCCCTGTGCAGGCGTCCTATGTATCTGTCCGGATGCGACCTTCGCAAGCTTTCAGGACAAAGGCACCCATGCTTGAAAGGTGAGTGATATCCATTCCTCTGTGCTTTAAATGCTGGCAATCACATCCTGCACGAAATTGCAACTGCCTGCATGCCACAGAAGCTTGGATCTGCTTTTCAGATCATCCTTGATGCAGAATTGTCTGGTGTAGGTCTGGACGACGAGCTGTCCTGGAAGTGCAAAATTTCAAGTTCATGAAAGAGCTGGGGCTGAAAAAGCCTGCATTCCTTCCAGACTTTGGCAAGGTGCCCCCAAACAGCCCCTGCAGGATGTGATCCATCCATCGCGTCTTTGCAGTCTGATCCCACATGTGCCTCGAAGAACTTTTAGAAGGCACTGCTGCAGCGTTTGAGCAGGACATGCAATAACGCAGGACAAGAGGAAGGCTCTCCTGGACCGCTTCTACTCCAATTTTGACGTGCAGGTGAACATGCAGATTCTCGACTCCATATTTCTGTATCTGTCTATGTGCTCAAGCTGTATCTATTTCACTCTAAAGGTGGAATTTCTTATATGCAGACCTACGACGAGCTCCTGGCAGATGATTTTGAGATTGTGGAGGCTGGCGAGAGCCGAAAGTCATACAGCAAGAGCGGTGTGTTGCGTCTTCTTCACCCGTGTGAAGAACACCTCTCCTAAAATCCTGCTGAAGATGTTCAACAGTTGTGTATTTGCATGCATGCAATGAGATAACAAGCAATGATCCTGGTCTGTCGCAGAATGGATCACACTGGTGCTGGATCACACCATCCCAGCCATCCCAGACTTTGCATGGGGCCATGCAACAGGTACCCAGGCCCTTTTACATACCTTTTCACTGTGAAACACTTGTTAGCATATATTGAATTGGCCTGCCAGTCACCTTCAATTGTGGTGTGCTCGCTCCTCAAGAGCATTTTATGGGGAAGGCGATAAGCTACCGTGGCTGCAGATGGCGCAAAGGATGACGATGGATACAGCATTGTCATTGTACAGGCAACTGGCCACCACACAGGGACACCCTTCACTCTGGGTGGCACTCTCCCGCCGGTGTGGCCACATCCCTCATATATTTGCTGAGTGTGAGCCACCAAAATATTGCTGATGAGACGGCATGCTTTGCTCGATATTCATAGAAGCAATAATGCGAGCCCAACAGACCGGCTTCGTGGCTCTGTGCAGGTTGAGGCCAGCGGCAAACGCTTTGTTCTTGCGGAGGAAAAGGTCCGCGTGAAGGTGGGATCCTCTTGCTGTTGGTACTTAAAGCACTTTATTCTGTTAGCGCTTGCTGGGACGGCCTTAAGTGCATTTCTGTGATGGGGACGACAGGTGGAGGATGGACAGATCAAGCGGATGGAAGTGCTGCCGGTCAAGGGAGCAGGACCGCTTGCCCTGTACAAGGCCCTTGGTGGCAAGGCCTGATCCAAGGGTGCTGGTGACTTGCAGGGTTCCTACAGCTCTTTAATCAAGATCGCGCCCACTTATCTGTGCTTTTCTGTTTGGCTTTGAAATTAGAGAATTAGATGTGTGTCATGCTGGCCGTTATGGTGGGGTATCCCACCTGCAGTGCTACCATGCAGTATTTGTTCCGTCAAGGTATTCAACCCGTCTGGGTCCCAGGCAAGGTGTTGTTGGTTGCAATGCTTGAATGTGCAGCTGAAGACTGCGCAGTGAGTTCCAGCACTAGTGGGAACAAGATCAATGATCGTGATAATTATTATCCGGACTGTGTTTTTCATGTATACAGCTTTGTTTGCTATTGCCATATGCCTATACTCTAATGGACTTCATGGTAATCTTTCGGTTCAAGTTGAGGCCTGCAAGCTTGTCAGAATATACGCGGGCTGGCTGGCCCACCGTGGGTGCCACCAGTGGTGACCAGGCTGCCAGCCAGTGGCCCAGCAGCCGCTGGCAGCGCGGCAGTGTAATCTCATCATGCGGCCACTGGCACCTTTCATGGAAGACCATTTTGTGAAATAGCCTACTCACAATAATGACAATGAGAATTCCTGTGTAGGATGCCCAGTGCGCAGTTAAGCATGCTTCTTCTGGGAACGCCGAGGTGTTTAATGGGAAGCTGCAGGAATCTGGAAGATACGCCACGTCAATGCTCGAAACACAATAATTTTCCCTCAATTTGCTCCATTCCTCACATTCATCCTTGAAGAGCGAAAATAGAATACCTCGTATCATGCTCGTTGTGAGAGATCTTTGATCGGTTGAGAACAGCCTGAATATAGGAGAAATGTCTGAACCTTCTGCTGACGATCTGCTGAATAAACTAGGAGGTGTTACTGCTGTTGACACTTCCGAAGTTGAAAAGAATCTCTGGAGTGAGGTAGGGCCCTGAATTGGCTCTTATGTATGAGGGGTCCAAAATTGGGCACTTGAGATCTGCCATTTTAATATTATGGTGTTCACCTTCGTCTATTTCAATGTTGCTTCGAACAAATTCGCGATGTGCTGTATTATGTCTTGCAGGTCGAGGCAGCAACAGGGACATCCTCCAAAGGTGTTCCGCTGCTGCCTTGCTTGTGGTGTACAGAATACGAGAATTAAGGCAGGACAAAAAGCTCGACATTCTAAGTGGTACATGAGCTGTTCATTGCTTGAGTTCGCCATGCTGTTGCAGATGCCACCAAGCAAGAGAGGCTGGAAGGGAGTCTCCGAGCTGTTGCTCGTGAGATAACTGCAGTCGAGGCAGCCCTCAGTAGCCTGGATGCAGACGCAGAGGAGCAGCAGGCTGAAGAGGCCAATGATGGAGACGTCCTTGGGGTCAGGACAAATGAAGAAGGTGCAGCAATGCAGGACAGACCAGAGGATACTCCAGACTTGAAGCTCCAGCGGGCGGGACTCAACCAGCGACTCTATGACTTGCAAGCAACACAGCATCGTCTGCAGGTTTGCTTGCCTGCTTAACATCCAGCGAGAAAACTACAGCTGGTTGGCGCCGCTCTCAATTTGCTAAGCTGATTATTGCTTTCAGAGCCTGCGGCTCTCAGGTTGAGTGGGATGAAATATGCAGGAGGCATTGGAAGCGACACTGTCCTCTGCTGAGGACACCACTGCAGTGGCACCTGAAGAAGTCAGGGCCGCTGACGGGCCCGGGGCAGTGTTGCAAGAGGACAACACTCTTGATGAGGAGCTGGATGCAGCCAGCGGCAACCCCCTTGTGGAGACAGAGCGGGACAGGCTCATACGCTTGGTATGCTTCTTCTCGTGGACAGCTACGGAGCAAATTGGCAGGATGTCTAGCCTTGGCCGCCCAGTATCTACAGGGCACGCTCTGAGATGCAGAGGGTGTACTGTGCAGGGTGTCCTGACTCCCTTTGACCGCCTGGATGGGTTTGAGAGGAGGGTGCAGCCCCAGAGTGCTGCAGCACGCTCTGCCGGTCAAGCTTCCACATCTGGTGACTCCGTTCTCCTCAACTTTCCTTTCAAACAGGAAAGCTTTCCCTGACAGGCTTGTGCTATTGGCGCCTGCGCGTTAATTGACAACGGGCACAAAATGCCGAGTTGGATGTGGGTTGTGAGTACGGTGTGACCCGCTGCTAGGGAGGGCAAATGGCCGTACAGTGGAAGACCCCTTCCAGAGGCTTGCATCGCAGCTGACAAACATAGAGGCCACCAAGCACCGCTCCAAATTAGTGGACCCCAGCGAGCTACCGCCGCGCGAGCGCAAGGCGACCAAAGTGGGCGAGCTGTTTTGGCGCCAGGCCGCCTCCGGCAAGGACGTTGCGCCCAAGAAACGGCGGCGGCAAACGCTCACCCGCGAATGCCGGCGCCGGCCGAAAGTGTTTGGGGCCGGCAAAAGGTGCGCCTCACGCAAGTTTGTCTCCATTTTTGTTTACTTGTACCATGACCACCTGCGTGTGGAATCAGCAATCTTGCAGGAGTCTTGCTAGCTTCCAGTCCATCTAACCTGCCGTGCAGTACGCAGAATGTGTTGCACTACATCCAGAGGGTACTAGTCCATTCGCAGTGGTGTACTTGCAAATCCAGCGCAATCATGTAGTGGTGATGACTAACTTGCACCTGGTTCTCGCAGGAAGCGGATAAGGCGTGCTGGGGAGAGGGCGGATGGGGCCAGCGAGCTGGAGGAGGATGAGGGCGGAGCGAGCACGCCACTGCCCAGCAGCAGCCGCCGGCGCCTGTCGCGCTCTGACGCCAGCGGCAGCGAGTTTGAAGCCTCGAGCAACGACGAAGACGCCGGCTCACAGGAGGAGGTTTCCGAGGACGAGAGCCAAGGCATGGAGTACTCAGGCACGTCCTGCCATCACTCTGCTCATATGGGCGTGCTATATTTTTTGCTGAAGATGTGCTCGCTGCCTCATGTCACCTCGATGCTCGAGTCCCCACAGTGCAGGTGTCTGTCTGGTGTTCGAGTCCCATCAGAGAGCAGGTGGCTATGTGGAGGCATTTGGAGCAGTCATCCTGAGTGTGGATTGAAGCGGTGCTTGTTGTGTGGCAGGGATCGAGGATGGCAGCTCTGGGGCAGACGAGGATGTGCTGGGCGAGTGGGACGACGCAGAGGATGACATGTACAAGGCCCGGCTGGAGCTGTGGCAGGCGCGGCGCGGCGCTCTCCGCGCGGCCGACATCGCGCCCGGCCAGGCTCCCGGGGCGGCCGCGCCGGCGGCCGGCGGAGGGAACGCTGCGAACGGCGGTGCAACGTCGGGTGGCGCTGATGTGGCGGACCAGGAGGACGTCATGGCTGATGTGGCCTTCGATGGGGGCTTCAATGTCCCTGGCGACATCTACCACCGCCTCTTTGACTACCAGAAGACAGGCAAGACTTGCTGTCCCACCAGAATGAGTTGATGCACCTGGCATTTGCTAGACAGTCCTTATATGCAAATCTGGTCGTGCTGAGCTCTTCGTCAAGTGAGCCTTTTGCTGTATATTACTAAATGCTCTTAGTGGTAAGTGACCTTTGTGGTTGCCGTTTGTGGTTGCAAGGGATCTGCATGTTAGCCAAATTTGGTAAGAGGCCTCGCCCTGTGAAACGCTCAATACAAGCAAATCTTGACCTAAAACTGCCTTGTGTATTTTTCATAAAACGTGCAAGTACTGCATGGCTCGTAAAGCACACGCAGCGGTTTGTGGCTCACTTGGGGACTTTTCCAACTTGTTGCAAATCCTGTAAGGGGATTTTGCGTGTCATGCGCAGGCGTGAAGTGGCTGTGGGAGCTGCACACGCAGCGCGCGGGGGGCATCATTGGGGACGAGATGGGCCTGGGCAAGACGGTGCAGCTGGCGGTGTTTTTGGCGGGCCTGCACCACAGCGGCCGCTTCCGGCCCTCCATCATCGTGTGCCCTGCCACCGTGTTGCGCCAGTGGCTGCGTGAGCTGCGCCTGTGGTACCCGCCCTTCCGCGTCATAGTCCTGCATGAGTCCCAGCGCTCCGGCAACGCCCCCCGGCCCTCCCGCCAGTGCGCATCCCTCTCCCTTGTTCAACACCGGGCATACTGTTTCCAATGCGAACTTTGCCTTTATTCCGCTCTGCTTACAATGCTCGCATTTCCACCCTTCTGCTTGAAATTAGACGCATGCTGTGACCCTCGTTCTGCATATCACAGGAGGAGGTGAACAAACTCCACTCCTCCCTCCATTGGTCATTTGTCTTCCAGTGAGCATAGCTACAGGAGGAAGGAGAAGTGTATAGGGAGGCCAAGAAAATTATGGAGGTGTGGCATGTGATTTGCGCAGGAAGCTGGTGCAGCTGGTGAAGAACAGTCAGGCCGGCATCCTTCTGACGTCGTACGACCAGCTGCGGCTGCAGCGCTCAGAGCTGCTGGCCGTCAACTGGGGCTACGCCATTCTGGACGAAGGCCACAAGATCCGCAACCCAGACGCCGAGGTGTTCTTCCCCTTTACGCCCAAATGCGTAGCCTCGCATCCACCTGGTCATATCATTGCTTGTCATGACTAAGTGCTGCCGTCTTGTGATATGGGCGCTGATTTTTCATGGGAGAGCACTAGCACAAATTTGTTTCTGCACTTGTGCAGCCTCCTGTGAATGATACCATGCAACAAAAACAGACAGAGACAGATGAGTTTGAGAGCGGCCATTTGGCGCACATTACCATGCAACATGAATGACAAATGAGTGTGAGAGCGGCCTGGTGGGTGCAGATAACACTGGTGGCAAAGCAGCTGGCGACGGTGCACCGCATCATCATGTCGGGGTCGCCGATCCAGAATCACCTGACGGAGCTGTGGAGCCTGTTCGACTTTGTGTTCCCCGGCAAGCTGGGTACGCTGCCGGTCTTCCGCGCGCAGTTTGCACTGCCCATCCAGATTGGCGGCTACGCCAATGCCTCCGCCATGCAGGCGCGCACCGCATGACCTCGCCTGCTCAGTTGTGCACATGAGATGTTTTTCATTTGTGACATTTTGCGGGAAATTATCGCAATATAAACACAGTTTCCATGGAATGGAATGGGATTGCTTTGGCTGCAATTTGTCAGGGTATAAGCCAGTGTCCATAATGGGTACTGATCTCACCTCCTGACAAGTTTCATTATGGTGACTGTGGAAAGTGAAGTTTTGTGGTGCAATAGGTGTCGACGGCGTTCAAGTGCGCGGTGGTGCTGCGGGACTTGATCGCGCCATACCTGCTGCGGCGGCGCAAGGCTGATGTGGCGCAGCAGCTGCCCAAGAAGACGGAGCAGGTGCTGTTTTGCTCGCTGACCACCGACCAGCGCGACCTCTACCGCTCCTACCTCGCCTCCGACGAAGTCCAGGACATCCTCAATGTGCGCTCCCAACCCCTTGCCCTCTCAGCCGACCAGTGGACCGTATTCAGGAATGGCATATGCCAGGGTAGAGCAGTGTCTCAATGGTAGCGCAAGGGACTGTGACGGTCTCTCCGTGCGCCGTCCTGCGCAGGCATCATCTCAATTCACTTCCCTCTTGAATCACTGGTTTCTGAACGGCGGCGCAGATTTGTCAAGCCTGCTCTCTTAGCTGACATCGTAAACTTTAAACGGCTCCCTTCTTGCATACTGCAAATATGAAGGCTGGCGCATGTTCTTGAGTTTATATGAGGTACGCAATAAGTCAAGAAATGGCAGGGCTGAGGCGGTCTTGATGCATGGCACAGGACCGGCGCAATGCTCTGGCAGGCATCGACATCCTGCGCAAGATCTGCAACCACCCAGACCTGCTGCAGCGGCGCCAGTGGGAGAGTACTGAGAAGTATGGGGACCCCGTCCGCTCCGGCAAACTCGTTGTTGCCCTCAAGGTGCTCCCCACTGTCCTGCTTGCATTCCTCTTGCTGGATCCCACCGGGAATGACTCGTTAATCGAACAATCTGGATGTGGTTAGCTCTAACTCACCTTTGGCTCACCAACATGCATGAGTTGAGTGGCGCTTTTGCTGTCAGAGGACGGGTACTCGGAAAGGACTTCTGCTTGCCTTCCTCTTGTTGCTTGTATGTCATGAGCTTAGCTCACCTTGAGCTCACCAACATGCATGGATTGAGTGGTGTCTTGCTTTAGAGGACGGGTACTTACAGGACTTTTGTGAAGGCGAAATCGTATCTTATCAGCAGAGCAAGGGACCACCATTCGTCAAATTGCGTGCTCTTTTCAAGAAGTGTCCTTTGTCATCTCCATGGTGGCTTGTGCATGCCTTTATAGGCATGCATATCAGAATGAGCGCTGAGGGGTGGGGGTGTGCGAGGGGCAGGTGCTGCAGCACTGGAAGCAGCAGGGCCACAAGGCGCTGTTCTTCACGCAGACGCAGCAGATGCTGGACATCGTCGAGCGCGCTGTGCAGGCCGCAGGCTTCAGGTGCGCTGGCTGCCTGCTGCAGTTTTCTGAAGCGTTTTTGAGCGGATGGGGCATCCATGCCTCATTTCCAGTCTGGAGGGACGCTGCTGTAGGTATCCAAAGCTTGCGTGAGCACCTCGGGCAAATTTGCCTGAGTGCCAGCAGAACCCAGTTCAGAGGGGTGCCGGGGTTACTCCGCACCAATAGCTCTTCCTGGCATGCTGGAATGAATGACGCAGTGAAGGAATTTGGGCCTGTTTGCGTCCGGCAGGTATCACAGGATGGATGGCTCCACAGCGGTGGGGGCGCGTGCTCGGCTGGTGGACGATTTCAACGGCAACGAGCAGGTCTTTGTGTTCCTGCTGACCACCAAGGTCGGCGGCCTCGGCATCAACCTCACCGGCGCCGACAGGTGCCCTCCTACCCTCCCTTTAAACCCCTTGCACACCACTCATCTTGCAATCATCTCTCCCTTGTGCTTACATGGGCCCACTGTTTATTCATATGCATGCATATAATCGTCAGTCAGACACGCCCAAGACGGCCAGGATGGGCACCACTCGATGGTGTCCCTGCTGTAGAGCAAAGTGCGGGTAATGCTGAGGCACTTCATGCTTTAGAGGTCAGAGGCCTCCTGCAGAGCACTTCCTATGTCTGCAGCAACTGGCATTCGAAAGTATTGCCAGCATGGGATGCAATGGTAGCTGTGCTTGCCGGGGGTGCTGCTGGGAACCTGACTGTGTCTGTCTAGGAGTCTTCTGGCATGCATCGGGAGTCTTGGCGGCATGTGCAGCCCATTGATTTCGTGCATTCTGTGTTACATATGTGCTGTGAGTGTGACAGTGTCTCTCCTGTGCAGGGTGCTGCTGTATGACCCAGACTGGAACCCGAGCACGGACATGCAGGCGCGGGAGCGGGCGTGGCGCATCGGGCAGAAGCGCGAGGTGACCATCTACCGCCTGATCACCAGCGGCACCATCGAGGAGAAGGTCTACCACCGCCAGATCTACAAACAGTTCCTCACCGAAAAGGCGCGGCCCCTGCCTCTGCCTTTCTTTTCCAGCTTCAATAGAGCCCATTCTCTCATTTCCAGAGGGCGCTGTGCCCTGTGGCCAATGTTCCACAGCACAGTCTATGCTGCCCTGTCCTACGCTGCATTTCAAGATCCATGTGCCAAAGGCATCATGGTATTGTTACTGCACGGTGGTCACTGTAAGGCCGCGCCTCCTTTACTTCTGTCGCACGCTCTACTCTGCATCGCTACTTTTAGTTGACAGGAGTCTAATTGGGGAGGATGGCCATGTGCAGGTGCTGCAGGACCCAAAGCAGAAGCGCTTCTTCAAGAGCAAGGACATCCACGACCTCTTCACGCTGGGCGACCAGTACGCGGGCGCCTCTGAGACCGCCCACATCTTCTCCTCCCTCCACGGCGGCCTCGAAGTGCCCCTCGACCCCGATTCGGTCGCCGTCCCCGCTGAGGCAGCCGGCCCTGCAGGTATTCAACCCACATCCATGCTCCTCACTGTTGAATGCCGCGCTGCAAAGGCACAAACCTTTGCAGCGTTCCATCCATACAGTCATCTCTCTTGCAATTTGCTGCGCCATCTACCACCCTCAATCATACAGTCTTGTCTGCTGCAGACTGTTGCGCCATCCTCCCTTCCTCCTGATTGCACCTGCCTCATCTCGGAATTGTTGTGCCATGACTAGTCACGATGCCACAGACACCACTTGCACAGTAAAGTGGCTCTTAAGGGAAAAAGTGCTCATTCACAAAGTCATACACACTCCTCGGGGATGCTTGAGAGACTCTGGTTGCGCAGGGAATGGAGCAGGTCCGTCAGAGGCGGCACCGGCCAGCAGCAGCGGGGAGGAGGAGGAAGCGCGCGAGGCGGGGCCGTCCAACAGCGGCTCTACCAGGCGCAGGCGCAGACGGAGCGATGCTTCTGCGGGCGCCCCAAGCCACGCTGAACTTGCCACTGTGACTGGCGCACTCGCAACCTCCCAAGAACCTCCAGGTATGGACCCTGTTTTGGGAGTGCTTTCACAAAGCTCACATCGGCGCAGCTCGCCTGTTGCACACGAGCAGCTGCGATGGCAGGGGGTATCGCACCTTCTTGGCAGATCAGGGATTACGTTCCGTGCATCACCATCTGGCTCGTGTGCTGCTCAAGGAAAATCAAGAACGAAAGAAAAACGAAATAAAACAAAGAGAGGAATATGCGCGTGTGGCAGGCGAGGTGGATGACGCGAAGATACTGAGGGATTTGTTCGAGGGGACGGGAGTGATGAGCGCGCTGGACCACTCCAAGATCGAGGGCGCCAACAACCCCGAGGCTCTCAACATCGATGCACAGGCCGCCCGCATCGCCCGCCGCGCCGCTGCCGCGCTGCGCCAGTCACGCGCCGCCTGCGTGGTGCCTATCTACCTTTGGCCCATCCCAGACAGCTTCTAACATCTGCTTTGTGCAAAGCATCAAGTGCAGTGGGACACAGCTGTGATCACAGCTGCGCCAACGAGTACCTGAATATAGGGTATTTTCAGGTGCTATGCTGAGTGCAAAATCTGGATGAAGTGCCGCCCCAGATAGGCTGAGAATGTTCGTCATGGTGTCTCCTGCAGACTGCGCCGGTCAACCAGCCGACGTGGACAGGCAGGTCCGGCGGCAGCGGGGCGCCGCGCTTCGGGGCGACGTCCAACCAGCGGCTGGCGCGCGGCGCCTTGTCCGAGCCCGGCAGCTCGGAGGCGGCCCCGGCCGACGCTGGTGCCGGCGAGGTGCGTCGGGGCACCGCCGGGCTCGCCCGATTTGGCGGCGGCCAGGCCGGCACCACGGGCGGGCTCGCGCCGAGCAGCTCCGTGCTTCTGGCGCGGCTGCGCGAGCGGCAGGCGGCCGTCAGTGCAGCCGCCTCGTCCGCCGCGCGCAACGACCCTGAGGTCCGCTCAACAGCTATTTGCCAAATGACAATGATGCAAACGCCTGTTTTGACCACCCTCCTTGGAAGTGGACACCTTTCAGCAGATATGTGATGAGGCCGTGGTGGGTCCGTTTCCAGCTAGAACAGAAGCCCGAAGCGATGCACATGCTTTGTCACCCGCCTTCATCTTCCGGCAGTGACAGGCGTAATTTTGTGCGCTGGCATGCAAATAACAATTTGGGATATGAGCTGTGTGCTTTGCAGGTTGAGGAGGCGCACGAGCTGAGTCAGCGCATTGTGGCGTACCTGGAGGAGGCAGGCGGCCAGGCGGACAGCCATGCGGTCATTCAGCATTTCGCGCCGAGCCTGCCTGCAGCCAAAGCCCCGCTCTTCCGGCAGCTCCTGCAGCAGGTGGCCAGCCTGCGGCGCAATCCGTCTGCTGGCAAGATATGGGTGCTGCGTCCTGATTTTGTGACGGATCGGTGACTGTGTGTGCAGATTGAATGTGCACATGCATCAGAATCTCCTTGAATGCACCAGCAAAACCATGACTTGTTCTGTAACATCAGCGCCAACATCTGGTATCAAGATCTCTCAGTGTATCTTCTGACTTCTGATATTTTGTGGCATGTCTGCTGACCACGCCTTATTTTAAAGGAGCAATATAAAGAGTGGGTTAGGTTGCGACATGGAGGCTGTGCGAGGGTGCCATCATTAGACAATGTTGGACTTGATTTATGTCGGCAGACTGCCAGTGGCAGGGTGCATAATATTGCATGTGTACCATGGCCAATTCTGGATCGGCCTATGACTGGAGCAGCCCTGCTGCCCCTCCTGATTTCAATGACAGACTTGACATGTCTGCTTCACAACCCATCCAGACAGGGCAGATCTAGAGCTTGCTTGACTGCAAGATGTTGCTGATTCTCTTTCTGATCAAGAGTTACAATGGCATCACACAGTGCATGATCATTATCATACAATTGGCAAGACAGGGGAGCATTGCTGCACGCAGCAAGTTCTTATGGCAACACTTCGCAGCCTCTCAGGAATTAGCACAGGTATAGAGTAACTTACAGCACATCCAGCACATACCATCCGCAATGCGCACCTCATAAGATAATTGTGTCGCCTGATACTTTGACCGCACAGCTGACAAGCTCTGACATGCTGTCTGCCAAACGCTGTACTTTCGTGTTGGCTAAGACTAAAAAATTCTGGAGCAGTCAATAAGCCTTCACAAGCACCACTGAAACAAGAATTGCTACTGGTTTACATTGCACCCAGGAAGACGTTTTGCTCAAATGAAAACTCTGCCCGCACTGCCTGCACTCTGTCCAACTGCAGAGGCTACACTTGGTGCTGCCGGGGCAAATGCTGCCTGCCTGCCCATTTGGCCATGGGCACTTCAGGCGATGCTGAGGCCAAGCACTCGCTGGGGAGTACAGCCCCCCTTCTCTCTGAGAGCTTAAACTGAGGCAGTCTCCTTCTTCAGCAGCTGCTCTACCAGGCTCTCACGCAGCTTTGGGACCATGCGGTGCAGCAGCGCTGCAAACTGTCCAGGCTGGCACGATGCCACCTGCGCATAGTTACACGCTGCTCTGAGCCCATAAATGCACTGCAACATATAGGCCTCACAGAATCAAGCCCACACCATGCATGCCCTTCAAGAAGGCTTCATAGAACTTCCAAGCCCACGTAATGCACTAGAACTAGGCTCAAGAGATGGCCTGTGTCAAACCGAAATAGTGCAGGCAAAAGATGCAGGTCGGGAGTGTTCTAAGGGTGTATCAACAGGGTGGGGGCTGGTGCGCACCATGTCCTCGTAGTGCTCCAGGGAGTAGAGGACGCATCGGCGGGCCAGCTGGGGGGCGTTGTAGTTCTCGGACAGGTCGTGCACGGAGGCGAGGTTGTCGGTGCACAGGCCGGTGCTGATGGCGGCCTCGCACAGGCGCTTGAGCCCCTCCAGCATGTACTGGTCTGCCGCCTTCAGCAGCTCCTCTGCTATGTCCGGCGTCACTTCCACGCTGCCTGTGTGTCCAGGAAAGGCACACGTCACCACTCCTCCTTGACAGCTAACTCAATATATAACAATAATGTATAAAATACCGGCAGACTCTAGATTTGCAAATTCTGCTCCCAGCTTCACTTCAAATACTCCAACATGCCCCACATTATCTCTGACCATGGGAGTTCATTATTCGTGCAATTCACAGCGCATGCGTAAACTACTGGTGACCGGAGCAACGCAGGAGCACCAGAACACACGATTGAGAGGGCAGAGTGCGCACCGGTGTAGATGCAGCGCATCATGGACTCAAAGACGGTGAAGCGGATGTTGGGGATTGGGATGGTGGAGGCCTCCTTCTCCTTGTAGTGCCCATCAAACATGGCGCGGAAGGTGTCCGACGAGGCCAGCAGCGCAATGCGGTGCGCGTGGAACTTGCGGCCCTCCACCATGAAGGTCACGTCCGACAGCGTGGCGTTGTTCACGTACTGCTCCCCCAGGTACACCTGCGGTGTCGGCGGCGCCGGCGCGCAGTCGATTGGGGCCGTCGCGTTCGCCTTCTTCGCCAGCTCAAACAGCGCCCCTGTTCACCAGTGTATTCGCAAGAGTGAGAACACACGCGTTGATGCCGGTGCTGCATTGTGACACCAGCAGAATTTCAGCACTGATGCCGCTGTGGCGCCAGGATCAGCTTGCACAGCCCAAACTTCCGCATCAGAATATACATCTTGAGCTGTTGGCCCAAAATTGTCGATCCCACATCATGTCAAGTGCGTTTTCACATCCACAAAGACCATCAAGCTCTCGGCGCAAGGTGACTCAAAAGCTTGGATGCATGCAAAGGGATGAGAGTGCAGTGGGAGGGAACCTGCGGCCTCGCGGAGGGTGGTGGGGTCGCGGGTGGGGTCGGTGAGGATGGAGATGAGGATGTCGAGGCCCTTGCGGTCGATGAAGATGGTCTTGAGGTCGGCCTCGCGGCCCAGGCGCGCCAGAGCGGTCGTGGTGCGGTGCTGCATCACGCGGTCTGCCGTGTTCATGCTGTACATGATCTGGTTCAGCACCTTGCCCTGGATCTTGTCCTCCAGCCGCTTCAGCGTCTTCTGCACGCAGTCCTTCGACGGCTGCACAAGCACACCACCAGGCCAGCATCAGGGGCATGTTGGATTGATCTTGCTGCTCGCACAGAAGCACTGACAAGCACACCATCGCATGTCAGAAGCTGCTCAAGTCTGGCATGGTAACCTTCCTAAAGGATATTGATTGCAAAGCCTAACATTGTTGGTCGATAGTACTAGTGGTGGCAGGTGGATCTTTGCATTAGTATGCTGATTTGGAGGAAGGCCAAGGGGAGACTAATGGGCAGTTGCAGCACCTGCACAAGGAGCTCGCAGTCCTGGAGGCACTGCACGCCGCCTTCCCGCACTATAGCGGCTATGTTGTCCTCGTTGTCCGCCAGGCCGTACAGGGCAAAGGCTGCGTTGTGCTGCAGGTTGCCGTTGCGCGAGGCCATCAGCTCCAGCAGAGGAGGCAGACCACCGGCCTGACACACACATGGATGTCAGCATAAGGCTTGAACGACATGCAGGCTCATCAAATATATACAACCATCTCTTCCTCTGCTGCTTGACGTGACATGACTGGGAGAGTCTCTGGGACAGACTCTCACCTGCACGACGCCGGCCTGGTTGTCTGAGTTCTGCGCTAGTCGGCCCAGTGCAAAGGCGGCCATCTCCTTGAGCTGCACATCGCTGGAGCCCAGCATCTCTATGAGGGGCGGCACGGCCCCCCGCTGCACTATCTTTGCCTTGTAGTCCGGTTCTGTCGTGGCAAACTGGCCCAGCAACAGAGCTGACTCCCTCTGACTCTCCGTGCAAGACGATGACAGCAGCCCAATCACTGGCTGCAGAGCCCCCTCCTCCAGCACCTGCATAAGCACAGATAATGAGCAAGGTCTGCACACGTGACATGACAGGGTGAGAAGAAGATGCAGAACTTCTAAGAAGGCCAAAACAAAACATATAATATTCATCACAGTATTTTGCTGTGCGCACAGCCAACAATGTGGGAATGCTCATTGTGGGCAACGAGCACACACCGTGCGCTTGATGTGAATGGAAGAGTGCACAAGGTTGCCGATGACGCCCACAGCCTCATAGTGGATCCCCGCATCCTGGGCTCGCAGCATGTGGATGAGAGTGGGCAGCGCTCCACACTCCACGATCTGGTTCTTGTTGTCCTCATTCTTGAACGCCAGAGTGCGCAGAGCACCAGCTGCTGCCCTTTGCACCTGCAGCACCGCCACGCATTCGCATCCACAAACTTGTCCTGATGCAGGAAAGTGATTTGTGTATGCTGGCACTATGTCACACACCCACAGTCTCGGAAGCAGCCTGTCATATCTACAAGTGCCTGAGCCACACCTTGGGATCATAGGACTCCAGCAGAGCCACCAGGGGAGGGATGCCGCCCTCTGTCCGCACGCGGCTCTTGATGCTGACATTCTCATGCGCCAGGTTTGTGATGGCGTCCGCTGCTCGCCGCACCACTGAAGCCCCGGGGTTGGGCGGACCCATGAAGGGCACATACCGTTTCAGGAGTGCCACCAGCCCTGGCAATGCCTCCTGCACAGCATCGGACAAGGGACCATCAGAAAATGCCACATCTCAAGATTTGAAATCAAATTCAAATTAAAGCACAACATGTGTCAAAAAAAAAGTCTGCTGAATTGAGAGAACGCAACCGCAGACACACCCCTCACCTGATCTGCTATGGCATGCTGATGCTCTTGCTTAATTGCAAGCAATCCCAAGATGAAGCAAGCCTCCTTCTCCACTTCCTCCCCACTGCCAGGCCCACAGCAATATTTAAAATAAGAGCAATTCCTGAAGACCTCGACAGCTCACACACAAATATCAGCTTCAAAAATGTTGGTGCCATTCAGGGAATATACCTGGCTACTAATGGGTCTTGCTCCGGCCCGGGGAAATGTGTGAGAAGTGGCACCACTGCCTCCACAGCTCCTCCAGCCACCACTTGATCCACATTGCCCTCTGCATTCCAATACACCTTGTTGCGATTTTATGGAATGTCATGCAATAATTCATCAGGTGTGATATATTGAAGACCATTTATGTCAGCCGTCACTGCAAAATAGAGATGGGGCGTGCCGTGCACCATTGGCTTCAGACACTATGCCTGATGGCAACACAGGACCGAGACGCTGCTGAGACTCCCTCGGACTGAGATTCCCTCGGTAGACAGCAAGAGACACAGAAGATGGACAACTAACCTCACCCCTAGCCTCTTCCTGTCCCCTTCCAAGCTGTTACACACATTTTCCAATACCATCCTATACTCAACCATGTACGATGGTGGGTGCCATAGTCTAGCCATCTGTGCGCAACAAGTAAGATTAGATACGCAGAGGCAACTTTGGCCGCCTGCAAGAACCCAAACTGGTCAGATTCCAGATTGCTTACCTGTCTTTGAAAGCTCAGCCAGCCCGTGCGCGGCTCGTCGCAAGGTCAACCGGTCCACATTATCAGGTAGTCTGGAGGTAAAGCTCTTTATGATTTCCACCAGTCGGCACACCTGCATTGAATTAAGGGTCCGATTGGTTCAAGCCAAAGTCAGATTTCAAAACGCCAGCAGGGGTATAATTAGGGGCGGCCAGCGCTTCCCCACCTGGCAGAGGATTGATTCAGCATCCCCGGAAGGAGACACTTCCGTGTTGCAGCCTCCTGGTGGGGTGAGTGCGTCCGCCAGTTTGCGTTTGTGGCCCTTTCTTTCGCCGGTATCCGACCCGTTGCTCATCGCCCAGAGAAACCCAGGAAGAGCAGGCCAGAGAACCTGCCCTACAGGTCACCTGGGAAGGGACTCAGGAGCCACTCTGCGGGTTTGCGTCCCAGGTGAAGCCCTGCAGTGGTCAGGCAAATCTCGATTCACACCAGACTTAACCCTGGGCAGGACCGAGCAACTGCCGCCTCCTCCCTCACAAACATGCAGCGGTCAAGCTCTGAATATAAGTGGCACAGTGCAATCGAGGTGCGTCTCAGTGTGCTCCAAGATCTGACTCTCTCCTTGAGGTGGGGTTTATATTGATGGAGGTGACTAAGCGGTAACGAAATCCTCACGCGGCTCCGAAAGCCCGTCTCGGAGAAGCTTGGGATATTACAAGCTTATCAAGCATGTTCATAGAAACCTATTTAAAGTGTCATCCATCATGCTAGATACATCACACGTTGACGCTGGGAACTTTATGATCACATTGTTTTAGATTGATTCCACGGGATCTGCAGATGCATCGTTTGACGGGGTTGTTCAATCGTATTACCAGAGCTGCAAAGACAAGGACGATGAGCGTAGCATCGACATTGGAGGATATAAGAAGCAAAGAGCACGACATTGACAAATACTTGTACCTGCGAAATCTGCAGAGGTGTGCTGCAGAAAACCTCGGAATTGTTTTCCTGGATGCAATCGCGATGAAGTGATCCGTCATTTAAAGTGTTTGTCCACACCTTGAATTGGAGATCATCCTGCACTCGTGTCAGCGGTGATCTTGTGTTTCTGATGCTGCAGACAACGAGAACCAGAATTTTACAGTTTGCTCGTGCAACACACAGAGGAGATCCTTCCATATGTCTACACGCCAACGGTGGGAGAGGCGTGTCAGCGCTACCATCACCTTCCACTGGTGCCACGAGGCTTGTACCTAGATGCAGGCAGCAAAGACGATTTCCTTGCGCTCATGCGTGCCTGGCCACAGCAAGAAGTCAGGCATGCACACTTTGAGGACCACATGCAGATCCAAACCTGGTTTTCATTGCATTGGACAAAGAGTACGTAAGCATTTGTACTTTCAGCACCCCGAAAGAATGTATGCGTACAGGGTGGTGGTGGTGACTGATGGGGAGAGGATTTTGGGGCTGGGGGACTTGGGCACCGGGGGCATGGGCATAGCTGAGGGGAAGATCCTGCTGTACACTGCCGCAGCTGGGGTGGATCCTCGAGTGTGCCTGCCGGTGTTCCTGGATGTGGGCACCAACAATGAGAGCCTGCTTAAGGATCCCTTGTACAAGGTACTCTGCACGATTATTGTGAGGTCTTTTTGCTGCATCTGCTGCAAGGAAGTCATGTTTCAGGTAGACGGTGTGAAATTCAGAATTTGCCACTGCAATTAATTCCCCTGAATGCTGATTTTATAAGCTTGTATGGCTGCCTGCAGGGCATCAGAAAGCCACGCTTGAGAGGCGGCGCATACCACGAAGTTGTGGCAAATTTTATGGCAGCATTGAGGCAGTGGCAGCCGCATGTGCTTGTCCAGTTTGAGGACTTTGCCAACCACAATGCCTTCGAGCTGCTCAATGAGTATCGAGCAAACGCCTGTGTCTTCAACGATGACATTCAGGGCACAGCCTGCATTACACTGGCAGGTAAAGTAACCAAACTTCTTACCGTTCTTGCAGTCTCCCTTGTATTGGGTCTGCCAGTAGATCCCCTGTCCTCAATGGGGAGATGGCTGGCTTGCTACTGGAGCAGCAAGTGAAGGCTGTCACATCCTGTCTTGCTTGGCAAGGAGCCCTACCTTGATTTGATTTGCAATGCATCTGATAGGGATTTTGCAGCGTTTAATCGCATGAGCATGGTGCTCTCACAGGGCTACTATCCGCACTGCGAGCAACTGGGAAGTCCCTTACTGAGCAGCGCATCCTGTTCTATGGCGCTGGAGAGGCCGGCACAGGCATTGCAGAGCTGATCGCCATTGCACTTGAGCGACGACATGGACTCACAAGAGAAGAGGTATGTGAATCTCTGCTCCGACATGCATGCATCTCAGCCCAATAAACAATCATTCATGGGTGTCAATCAGGGCATCAGCTGCTGCACTTGTTGAAATAACCTCAATTGCGCTCACCATTTGGTGTGTTGCATCAATGCAGGCGCGGCAGCATTGTTTGTTCATGGACTCCAAGGGGCTTGTATGTGCATCGCGCACCGATCTGCAGCCGCACAAGCTGCCCTTTGCGCATGATCATCCATTCCAAAGGGGCCTCCTTGACGCAGTCAACACCTTCCGTCCCACTGCACTGATTGGCGTTTCGGCTGTGAAAAACGCCTTCACGCCAGATGTCGTTCAGGTGTGGCACCACATGCACAAAAGACTCTTGAAAGATTTACCAGCCTGACATATTGTTGCCATCATGGTAAGAACGGTGCCTTGAAAGGACGGTGCCATAGAAGTCTTTAAGTCACGCTCAAAAACTAGCATATTGTCATGACCATATTGGGACTATTGTGTGATTTGCTAATTGCCAGGCAATGTCCAGCATCAACGAGCGGCCCATCATATTCCCACTGTCTAACCCGACATCCAAAGCGGAGTGCACCTTTGAGGAGGCGTTCAAGGGCAGCGCAGGGTCAGTTTTGTTTGCTAGCGGCAGCCCCTTTCCTCCAATCAACACCGACGGAGTCACCCAGCATGCTGCACAGGTGTACTGTTTGCAGCTGCTCTTCCATAATGCACAATAACAGCCGTAAATGAGAGCACATCAAATCCTGCCCATTGAGCCGTTCTTCCTACGTCTTCCTTGTATCTTTGCTGCTGGACATTAGCAGCTGCTGTTTTGCTCACAGAAAATAACCCGGAGAGGTAGTCATGTTAGCTCTGACGTATAGGCAACTGAAAGTCCTGGTGGTGCTCAGGCCAACAATGCGTATGTCTTTCCCGCCATCGGCTTTGCTGCTGTGCTCACTCGAGCATCCACCATCTCCGATGAGGTCTTTCTTGCTGCTGCCGAGATGCTCTCCCACATGACAACCCTGGAGGTTAGCCCATGCACCCTCTGCTTACAATTCTGTACATCTGTCTAGAAAGGCGCTCAAAAGAGTGACAACAACTGTGGGACGGTCCCTTAATTCAAGGCATGGAGTTGCTTGGTCACTCTTTTTACATGCCTGTTATGATGCTTTGTTATTATTATTATTAGACACGTCTTCCAGTCCTTAAGGACTAGGTACATCGATGCTTTGTGCAGGAGCTTAGTAGAGGGATTATATTTCCTCGCTTCTCCGCTATCCAGACGGTCTCAGCGTCGCTCACTGCGGCTGTCGCCGAGCAGATGGTCAGGGCAGGGGAAGGAAGCCTGCCAGATGACTTTGATGCTGTGGTAGAAGGGCCGCCTCGGCCGGCTGGCCAGTCTGCATGGGAAGCATATGTGCGGTCAAAGATGTTCAAAGTTCCTCTGCAGTCTAAATTATGAGGCAAGCGTGTGGAAAATACGCGCTGCGGCGGCCAGTGCTGCCCGCTGCTTTTGCATGCGGAGCGGCATGTATCTTGTACTCACAATCTTGAATCCAAGAGAGAATGCAACAGAGGGAGCGCCAATGACGTGAGCAAGTACTTTTCTATGTACTCTGAGGCATTCTTCGACGTCTTGCCATCATTGCAATTTGTGTATGATTTTTTCAATTCTTTTTGGATCGCAGGGGTTTGTTGCACGGCATGCCTTGTGCCAGTGAGACCGTCTCAATTGTTTTGAAGGACTTGTGCAATGTATTTTAGCAGGATCTTCGAGCTCTAGGTGGCCTTGGGGTGTCTTCACAATGAAACTTATGTATGTGCCAAAAGGCACCAGGAAGTTGTGTAGGGTGTGCATGCAAAACAATGCATGCATGCCCATCCCTCTCATTTTGACTTGAGACAAACATTACATCTTTGCCAGCCAACCAGGCTGATTTGATGATCTGCAAATCTGCAGCTGCTCTGGCAACTAATTCTTGGATCACATGTGTGTAAGCGACGCACATTCACCGACTCTCTGGAAGGGATTGCCCTCACAAAATAGTTCCAAAGCAGAATTGCCAAGTTCCCTCATCAGACATCATTTTGAGCTTCTTGTCTGCATCTCCTAATGACATGTTCACAACATTATCATCTTTTTTGCTTCACCCTCCATCATTGTTTTAGCCGGAGGGCAACAAGCCTGGACATGTCTTGACATGCCAAAATCAGGGCAGAAAGTGGGAATGGGCAGCAAAGAGAGGACAATGCACATGCTGATGCCGTTTAAAGCTGACAATGCTATGAGGACTGGCGTGTATGTCCGCAATTGCTCACTGCACACTGGAGTCCAGTGTGGAGTCCACACAAGGGCAAAATTGCTGTTTCGCATGTCATGCGTGCTCTCTGAAGCATGTCCCGTATAAGTTGGCAATGTCCCAAACAACCATGCGGCAGATCAAAAATTCACTTGCCAGCCGAAATCGACTGCTGTCTGACCTCTGGGCTGGGATTTGCGGGCAGCTCTACTGTCCCCGCTGCAGGCGGCGTCGCACTCTTGACACTAGAGATTCCCGCTCCCAGCGTCGGAGGCGCTCCGGTTGTCTCGGCAGCGGGCGCAGCCGCAGCAATTGGCGGCGTTGCGGCCTGAGTACCGGTCAGCGCTGATGCGATGGTGCTGCTGGGGAGGACCCCTGCTGCGGGCGGTGGGGCACTCGGCGGCGGTGCGGTGGGCGGCGGTGGGGGACTCTTTGGGGGCTCCACTAGTGCAGGCTGCTGGCTTGCTGGTGCTGCATCCGGTGCCAGCCCTGCCAACCGTGACACTCCAACTTTTGAATCATCTCAGGTATAGGATGAGCTTGCATGATGCGCTTGGATGATGGATGAGAGCACGGCACCAAAGTCAGCAGTCTCAGCTGGAGGTTGTGGGGGGATGATGGCATTGCAGAGATGCGTCATAGCAGAGGACAGGGCTATCTTGCCGCAAAAGTAAGAGCAGCTTTTGCATTGCTTTTAAGAAGCTTCACAGGCACATCACTGTCCAATCAAGTGTTTCATGAGGGAGGTGAATGAGATGTAGAGGGAGTTGCGTCTGACCTGCCAGGGTGCCAGGCAGCGTTGACATGCTGGACACATTGTTGCCAGCGCCGGCTGAGTACTTGGGAATGACCTTGCTGTTTGGCGCCGGAGCCAGCATGACGTCCGGATTGTTCTGGACGAAGGTGCAAGCATAGTTGTACCTGCACAGCAGCATGCTTACATCAAGAGCCGTCCTAACTGCATGTCACGCAGAGCACTATTGCAAAATCATGCGCTGGACTTCTTGGGGTTCTGTAGCTCGCCTGCCTAACAGCTGCCATGTCGGCTTGGCGGGCCAATCAAAGCTTGCTTTGCTTGACAGGTGGCAGGACCTGAGAACAAGGGATTCCATTGCCACATCCTCTTCATGGCTGATCATTACATCCTTCATTTTTCAGTGTATTCTGCAGCGGTATTTCTGAGCGTGGGCGCGCCTCTGCTTGGAGTAGTAGTTGTAATAGGCAGCGGTGACCTGGGGGCACTGCCAGGGCTGCAGCGTGCACGGAGCGGCGGGGGGCGACGGTGGCGAGGGAGGGGCCTGGGTGGGCCCCCCAGGCCCACCGGGGGATCCCGACGTCGGCGGCACCTGCATGCATGCCCACCGATGACTCACCAGCACTTCACCGTAACATGCCCATTACTCATCATGACGCATGCAGGGGAACAAATGCACAGCGCATCAGAAAGCGGGGGAACTTTCTGCTCAGTATCGAGTACTGGAGCAGGGCTGCTCCTCAATGTGTCCCAGAAACCTTGTGGAGAATGTCTGGAGGCCAGTAGAAAGAGCGCGTACCGGGCAGCTGACTGCGTACTCGGAGGGGCACCCCTTGAGGAAGCAATTCTGGTCGTCAGGGCTGTACACGACCGCGCTGCAGCCGGGTGCGGATTCGCAGGCAATCAGGCACTGTGTCAGGCTCAGAATGGGAGCGCTGTTGCCCACACCGTCCTGCACACACATCGGCATATTCATGATCTTGAGTTCTCTCACACCGTGCCATGGTCAGACTGTGGTATGTTTTGTCACTCAGGAGAGCAGATGCCAGGCATGCTGATTCACAGCCTGCCTAGCATCAGAGCAGACGCTTGCCAAGCGGGAACTTGTGTGTGCAAAGAACAATCAGAGTCCATCGGAGGGGTTTCCGTGCCGTTGTTTCACACCAAAGTGGGGCAGTGCTGTCACCTGCTTGCCATTCTTGAAGGCGTTCTTCTGGATGGAGCCGGTGGGGTCGTACACAAAGCCGGGTGCAATCTGGGGGTACTTGATATCGCAGATGAGCGGCCCCTGGGTTGCTTCTGTGGAGTAGGCGCTCTCCAGCTGGGCCACTGCCGGCGTTGCATCGCACTTGGTACCGTCCCCTGTGCACACAGTGAAATGTGCATGCTCCTCAATGTTCATGCACATTGGGCATTTGTCAGTGGACCGCAACACACTTAGTAGCATCCCCTGCAGACAACCAGCAATTGCATGCTGACCCATTATCGGTGCACATCCGGCATTTGCAGTACAGCGCAATGATGCCTAATATCTGCAGAGCTGACATCCGGTGTTTTATTGATCGTCCGAGGAGCTCAGCTGACAGGATGAATTTACTGTGACTCGAGAGGGCAGTGTCTTTTGCACTAGGGGCTTGGTAACACCATTAGTACATGTTGTTCCTGCCAAGAAGGCGAGTATGTCTGCAGACAACCTGCAGGTAACAGCTGGCACTTATCCAACTCCTTGTTGGGCTAGGTACTGACCTGTGAACCCCCTCCAGCACTGGCAGGTGAACCCGCCATCAGTGTTGATGCAGGTGCTGTTGCCTGCACAGTCATGGGTCCCACGCACGCATTCATTGATGTCAACGTTGCACTGTGGGCCTTCGTATCTGCACCACATCCACCAGTCAATGGCACTGCAATCCTAGTCCCTCTTACCTTCTTACTTCTGAAAGCTCTGCATGTTGTCTGCATGCATGAAGGGTTGCTGACATGTGCATGGAAGATCTTAGTCACAATTCCCTGTAGGGAGGTTTTGGTGTGCAATTCCAAATTTGTCATGCTGACATCATGTCAGTGACATGTGCATGCAGGATCCCAGGGCTCACATTCTTTGACAACTTTTCCATCGGAATTTACAATGTAAACTGAGGGTTGGATCGCACCCAGTGCCAGGAAGGCCTTGGACAAGAGTTGAGGCACAACCAGTGCCAGGAACAGGCGGCGCAGTTTTGGGCTTGCAGCCATCAGGCGAGGGAGCGGATTTGCTGTTCAGGAACGCCACGTTCTGCTTGATGAGCTTGAAGGTGGCGTCTGACTCGTAGATACCATAGAGACCCTGGCCTCCCCCCTCGCTTGTCGGCCCCTGTTGACCCTCGGCAAACCATTCCCAGAAGCCCACTCCCTGCCAGAGAGAATCGAGGATATTTGTATATTCTTTGTCTTGTATGTACATGTGATCACTTTATTGTACAAGTCCACCAGCGACCAGATGCCTAGCTTGAAGCTACGTCAGCCTTCTCGTGACTCTCCAGTTCCGCTCTAACAGGTCCAACGATCACTCGTTTGTAATCCTATGTGTTCAATCCCACTGTGGAGCTACTGTGCAGGGGGGCCTATATCTCACTTTTGAATGTGAGATACAAATCCCCCTGTGCTGTGTGTGCCAATCAAAAGGTCTGGCAAGCGTGTGAAGCACCCTGCAAGTGATGTTTTTGGTTGAGCTTGGGTTATGATATGGCCGGAAGCAATGGGAGAGTGGGACTTGTTGTGAGCTCATCACCTTCAGTGAGGAGCCGGGAAGATCGATGTTGTTCTCACACTCATCGTAGACAATGCCAAAGTACTTGTCTCGCTGCTCCATTGTAGCATTCACAGTGCTGTTCAACCACTTGCCAAACTCCTCCAAGATGAGCTGCACACATAGACATGAATGGCCACTTTTATTCAGCGCCGAAAGAGAATTTTCTGACAGACATGCCTGTGATATGCAACTTGAAGCTTTGATCCTGAGCGCACCGGTTTCTTCAGGGTGGCCCATGCAACTTGAACATGAGTTCGAATCCACCAGCGTTGGAAGTCCTCATCCACATCCTGCAGCAGGACCATAACAGCTCAGCAAATTACTGATGACTTGCGAAGACGTGGGCCAGTGTTATTACTGTCAAAATGACTGCCCTTGTGTGCACCATGACACCCGGCAGCTGCATGCTGTGCTAAAACACCACATAACTGTCACTTCCAAAACTCCTGATTACAGAATGACACTCAGCAGCCGTGAGTCAACACCATGTACCTGCCAGTTGTCAATCCAGGAGTGGATGGTGGCAAAGTCAATGGAGGGCGAGGCGTGGTCAGCAATGAAATCCTGTCCCTCCTCGGAAGGCCAGGTTGCGCCATCTGCACCGAAAAAGTCTCAGTGTTTGATTGCAAAATTGTTCAAGTTTTTCATTATGAAGTCTGAGATTTTCACGGTGGCATGCGAATGAAGAATGTGTGCAGGCAGCTGGACGGCATTTACATCCAATTCTACCATATATTTTGCCATATACTCGGCCCATATATTCTGCCAAATACAGCAAAACTAGCTAAAATCAAAAAGTTGCAAAATGTGACTCCTACTCTCAGCTCCAGGGTTTGTGGAGAGCCGGCGGGTGGACGTGGAATAGAACCCTTCTTCTCCAAGGGTGAGGAGGTGGTTGGGATCCAGGCTCTTCACATAGGGAGCCATCTCCTCCACCCATTTCTGCACACCACAGCTTTTCGACTTTGTTTTTGACTTTGAATCACAAAAGAAAGTTCTCTTGCTGGACACAAACGGCTTGCATGGCATGCTGCTACTGTACAATACTGCGCACGCATGCATAATGCACGCACGCATAATGAGTTGAGGCAATTTTGCATGCTGAATCCAGACTATACAGAATCATCACTAGACATTCTAGTGATCTGCCTTTGAGCAATTCAGGCGTTTGCTCAGAAAAACTATCTGTGAGAGTGTCTCACTGAGAGAGGATTGGAATTGGGCAGGGTCCGTACCGCAATGGTGTTATTGGCACACTTCTGGCAGCGCGCTTCATTCAACAAGTCCCATGCAAAGATGGTGGGATCATTTCCATAGCTTCGCCCATTGATCGTGTTCACGCGATTGATGACAGTCTTCACATAGTCCTTGTACCTGCACCAACATTCTCACATGTTTAGTCTACTGTGTTGCCCAAGACCTCATCTGACAGCTGTCAATACAGTCAGATCCCGACTGAGCATTTTAAAAGTTGAACTTTTGAGTTCTCAAAGTGCATGCACTCAGGGACGCGCCAGCCCATGATGACGGGGTCAGTGTAGAAATCTTTATGGGTCTTTGTGGAGTCGCCTGTCCACTTAACATACTCATCCACACCCCCAGTGCTCTGCCAGTTGTCCACAAATGCCAGGAGGACCTGCCACATCACACTTTTCTTCAGACAGGGATTCGGATGTTCTCCTGGCGTTGATTTGACAACTTTCCTGCCAAGAACGAGCTGTTTTGCGGCTCAATCCTGTACACTTGAGGCCTGTCTGGTCCGCATGCTAGACAATTGTCTTGCGAATTATAAATGCATGCAGGCTGCATCAAGTGCCCACCTTGACATTGCGCTGGCGCGCCTCATCCAGCGCAAAGTCAAGCCCCCTGAACATGGCTTCATTGTAGACCCCCGGAGATGTCTGCAGGGCGTAGTTTTGGGTGACCCCATGGCTCCATGCGCGCATGACTGTGAACCCGGCCGCCACAGCCGCGTCCATCTGCTCCCTTATGAGCTGATGCATGCGCACACAAATGCATCAGCACCCTGAAGACATTTTTGGGTGTTTCTTGCACAGCAGAGGTGTAATGAGTGATCAGCCGTGTTGTTGATGTCAAGAGAATGTGGAGCTTGGATGTGTTGCTTGTAAGGAGAGGCACTCAAACCTGAGGGCCAGTCTTGCCGGGTGGCAGGCTTGCTCCTAGCAGCTGTGGTGCTCCTGCACCAGACTCTATGACTTCCCATCTGCAGCAGAACCAACAACTGTGAGAAGCACCTTCACACTCCCTGGCATCCATATGGAGTGTGCAAGGAAAGATCAGGAAGATCAGGAAGATCAGATGTCGGGATGGTGGGTGTTTGATTGAAAGGGGTTGCATACTGGTTCCAGATTGCTGGGTAAAAAGTTTTGCAGCCGATTTCAAAATTGCCGTCCTTGTTGATTGTGGCGAAGTAGTCCCCAACAGGAACAACCTGGGCACACACAGGTTAGAGTCCAAGGCGGCTCTTCAAACCTGGCATTGGCTGTCCATCGGCAAGAATCGGACTGATCAGACGATCGACAGAGAAAGAGTAGTTTGATGATTTCACCGTGCTCACGGCGGGCGCTGCTGCCCCAGATTGAATTAAGCAGAAGAGCACTGTGCACAGGGTGCCGGCGTTCCGACAGGCCACCCCTCTCTTCCCACTCCCCATCATGTCTTGCGTCACATCAATTACAAGACGAAAGGAGTTTCTCTTGGACTGAATATCAAAACCCAGCCTCAAAATTATTTCCTAGTGGAAAACGTTGTCAAAGTCTGTTCTGAACCTCATCTCAATGTTCGCTGTACCAGTCTGGGAATGCCAGATCACCGCGCACCTCGGCACATGCAGCATTGCATCAACGCATCGACGTCACGTCCAAGAAACTTTCCCCACAATGTTGACACGTGCATCTCTGCTCCTGTTTCGATCACACCATGCTTAAATCTTCCAGAGGTGCATGTCCTCATCAAATGAGTCTTGATCAGCAAGATCACTCGTTTTGTCTGGCCCAGCGGGTGACAATTTTGAACATGTTCCAGTAGGTTCGAGCTCTGCTGCTTTGCTTTATAGCTACCACTGGCACCGTGCCATGTGACATGGCCAGCAGACGACTGTGAGCTTCATATTTGAGTCTGGCATTCTTCACACCGTGTGACATTGGCAGCGCCCTACATCTGCAGGAATTTATCAGGGGGCCCTCTCTGCCCTGCACATTTTCACATGTGCCAGTGGTATTGATGTCTATAATGTTGTGGACTCACTGAGTGTTAATGGCACTAAATTAACTTACACCGACACAGCGCACTCAACCAAGCAGCCATTGTATGAGATTGCAATAACGGATGCACAAAGCGCATGATGCCTTCTGCAAAGTTGACAACGTCTGCAAGACATGTTCAATTCGACAGAGGGCATGGATCATGGCCATAATGGTGCCGCAAGTGTTCAACAGCACAGGCTGTATGCTCCACATTCTGAGCGATGACGACGGATCCTGGCAAGGCTTGCTGCAGGGCCTGCAGTGCAGGTGATTGCCAGTATCTGCTTGACTGCAATAGCCTTCCCTCATCTGCACTTCTCTAGATGTCCCTTCTTGTACGTGTCCTCCTGCGCGCTGGCGTTGCTGCCTGGGCGCCCGCGTCATCCCCATCATCCTATGCACAACAATGTGGTTGAATCAGTGGCGTTTGCAGTCCTTATAAATCACCCCAAGACTTTCTCAGCACTCCACCGTGTCCACCTGAGATTTAATCTCAACGTCGGCCGCGGCGCCAGCACTTGGCTCAAGGATAGGCACAGAATCTGCAACAATACTCTGCCGTGCAGGACAGATCCATGCATGCATTGGTCTCCCAGTAGGAGCTATCTGGTGATCAATAATTGCCTGATGCAAAGCCTATCTACGGAATGTCAAAGCCTGTTGGCTTACCTCATCCTCAATTTTAGGGACTGTGGCCTTCCTAACAGGGACCTCCTGCTTTGGAACCCCGAATCCCCACACGAATGTCATCACCGTCCTCACCAGGAAGACGACCCTGTTCAGCCCAGGGACATACACACGATCAGTCACCCTGCTTTGCACTCTTTTCAAGCCTATGCCATGCTTGCACAAATCAGAGAGCAGATTCCTGTTATTTCTGAGCAAGCAGGCGCTCTTGTTGTCAAGCAGACAAAGGAAAATCATTTCCTGACCACATACCAGAATACAAGCACGCAGGAGACGATCTGCTTCGTCTGACTGGATTTAATAGTGTCGCCATATTCCGCAAACAACCACACACCCCCGCTGGCCGCTGCGACTGCTGCAAAAGTCCAGGTCAGCTTCTGATTGTAGTCCATGCTGACAGGTCAAATTCTGCCAGCGCTTGCTAGGAAGCTCACTCTCCAATATACCCAATTTTTAAATCTATCAGTGGGCAAAATAAATGCGTTTCTGAGCTGCTGTTCGCAATCCTTTTAGAGTGGGATCTAGATCACCCAGTGATCTCTCTGAATAAATGACAGCGTGCTCGCCCCCAATTTGTGTGATAAATATCAACTGTTCATGAGGTACCACTTAATTGTCGATAGTTCTTGTGGCCTTCTCGTCCAGCCTCTTGCTTCTCAAGAAGGGGCACGTGACCTCACATGGTCGACCACGTGCTTCAAATCTCTTCAATTCCTGGTGATGCCGGCAATTGTGAGGATTCAATGCTCCCGAAGCAAGCACATAATAATGTGCAATCGTGCAGACCTTCATATGGATGCACCAGTTCATTGATTAGGATCAGATATAGGAATAGTAGAGCAGCTTCCAAGCGATGTGAATCTGTTAGTTCAGCACTGCCCCTGTGTCCAATACCGACTGGTCAGCAGATAGCATACGTCAGCAAGCCAGACGTTGCTTTCCTATATCGTGAGGTGTACGAAAAGCAGACATACCTTCAGCACGGGGTGACGATCTCGCCAGGCAACACTGTTCTTGATGTGGGTGCAAACATCGGGATCTTTGCTGCATATGCAGCCAAAAAGGTGGGAAAAAAGGGTCTTGTGATTGCTGTGGAGCCAGTCCCCCCAACATGGGAGGTCCTCCAGTACAATATGGACGTCTTGCAAGGTCCAGGTGAGTATGAAAGCTCAAAGCTCCCAGCCCCCAACCTGTCTCTAAACTGGCGAAGAGCAAGAAACCTGATGCTTGTGCTGCCTGTAGGCGACGGCCAGGTTTTGCTCATCAACAAAGGGGTTGGTGATGGGTCAAGGGAGGCCTTGGACTTCACATTCTATCCCGCTGCAGCCGGTGAGACTTTTGCATCTCAATAGCCGGTCAGAAGGAGCAAGTCATCTGATTGTGCATGTCATGATCTGTTGTGTGCGCCTCCGCAGGCTGGAGTACCATGTATCCAGATGCCTCTGAGGTATCGGATGCAATGCACATATTCCTGGAGCGTTCATTGCCTAGTCTTGAGGGCATGGACCTCTCACTGGTCAACAGAATAGGCAGCCTAGCTGCTCGCAGCGCACCCAAATGGCTTGTCGATCCTCTATCTCGCCTGGCCGTCAAGCGGATGCTGGCACAGAAGAAGGAGTACCGCTGCCAACTGACAACTGTGTCAGATATCATCCGAACACAGGTTAAAGCATCAAGTTTTGTTGATGTTATTTGCTGCATGCAGACGGGCAGGCTTGGTTCATTAATGACCTCGATCACTGTGCAGCAATTGTTGTCTGGCATCCTTAAATAGAAACTGTGATGCTTGCAGGGTCTCGAGGTCGTAAATCTCCTTAAAGTGGATGTGGAGCGAGCAGAGCTGGATGTGCTCAGGGGCATTGCAGATGGGGATTGGCCAAAAATACGCCAACTAGTGATGGAGGTGCATGATGTGAATGGGGCTCTGGGCGCTGTCAGAGAGCTGCTCATTGCCAAGGGAAGCTTCGCAACATGTGTCGTTGAGCAGGACACCCAACTGGAGGGCTCCACACTGTACAACCTCTATGCCACACAGCAGAGAACTCAGGCGGGGTAGCACCTCTGATTGTGGCCTTAAAGGCTTCTTAAGAGGTGTTTTTATTCGAGATTTGCAGGACAGAGAGATCCTGCTTCGCTACACATATTCACCTAACTGTCACCGATGTAGAAACATGGCCACCACTACTTTTTACAACACATTTATGCTGGGCAGGTGAAAAAAATGTTCTGCATCCAAATACTCAACATATTGTCTAGTGAAGCACAACATGCCAGCATTGGAGTAGGTCTAAAAAATGCGTTGATGACCAGAAGAGCTGCAAGAAACATGGCTATCCCATGCAACATGCAGCATTCTCAAGTAGGTGCCTAGAAAATGCATTCCATCTCTTGAAAGCCTGAAACTTGTTATTGTACATCGGACTGGACAAAATCCTGCACTGCATTCCAAATACGGGTTAATCAAAACGTCGTGCCTGTCTAACGAATCCTTGCGGTCTTACGTCAGTAGAAATCTAAGTTTATACAATTCCCCTCTGGGATCACATATGCCTTAGGCTGCTCCGGCAGGAGCGCCCAGAGCCTTCTGTGGCTTGTAGGATCCATTATTTGCGCCATTCTGGTGGCCTCCGTTCTGCGAATCCCCGCGGTATCCCAAGAGGTGCAGAGTCTTGATCTGATCGCGCACATGCTGCGGCACCTGCAGAAGAAGCACCAGACAGTGAGGCATTGTCTTAAATGTCTGCCTACATGTCAGGCAAACAACAAGATCAACCGATGCTACAGCGCAAAGGCAATTGTGCAGCCTTTGGGAGCCATTCCCAGCTACAATTGCGAGGATTGAAAGTTTAAAGAAGAATCACAGGACAAGGGAGGGTGAGAGGTAAGCTGACCAGGGACTCCCACTCGTCAGTGCCACAGCGGATGGACTCAGTGACGCGCTTGGACACATCGCCCACAGACAGCAGCTCTGCCGAGTAGTCCTCAATGGGAATGATGGTGCCCCTCTCATAAATGTAGTCATACAATTTCTGCACCTCCGGCTCCACCTGGCAAGAGAAAAGATACACACTCTCAGCCTACATACCGGGTCCATCATGGAGCACCTAGACAGACAGCTGGGTGCTCCTATGTCACAGCTTAGTTGGGCTGCAAAGATTGACAACATCAAAGATGCTGCAAGCCAACATTCCCATGTCCTATGGCTGCTACCAGTGATGCCAACTCAGCCGGCGGCATTCAGCGGGCACAGCGCGCGGATCCTGCATGCTGCACATATTGGCTTTGCATTTATATTGTGTCAGAGAGGGACACACCTTGACATTCTTTGCTGTGATGACCTCGCCAGTCTTGGTGTCCAGCGTGGGGTAGACGTAGATCTTCAGGTCGAACTTGAGCAGGCGGCCAAAACCCTCCAGGATGCCTCCATCCAAGTCATTATAGTGCTTCAGCTTGAACAGCTCCTGTGATAGCACAAGCCATGAGGGTTAGGCACGCTGACAATACCGCAGTCTGGCTATTCAGGATCTTCCTGCTCGGGCATCTAAAGGACCAACCGTGCCTCCAATTGCTGCGATGCACAGCCAACCGCATCACAAAGCTGTCTTGACATAAATTGCAGCCAGATTTTGCCTTGCATTTGTGAGCCAGGAGTTTGTGCATGCACACCCTCCAAGACATGTTCGAGTCAGGGCCATATGAAAGTCGATAGGGTCTTGCTTGGATCTGGCGAGTCCAACAAGGGTAGGGATTTTGGCATGCAGCTTGTCTGCATGTGCATCTTGCCTCCGGCAGGAATGGCATGCAATGATAACAATGATAGGGTTCGACACACATTTTTGAAAAAGGGCAAGAAACTTACAAAAATTTTTAATTTTCAAAAAAATTAAGAAGTTGAATAAAATTTTAGATGTTTGTATGAATTTAGATAAAAATGCGCACAATGAGGGAGGGGAGGCCGATGGCGATGACGATGGACTCGCGGGAGAAGGTGGCCAGGTAAGTGGCGAGCTTGAAGTAGCGGCGGTAGTTGGACAGCAGCACACTGTAACCCATCGTGGACAGCGCCTCAATGCGCTGTATGAACGCGTCCTCCTGAATGCCGTGGTCCGTTGTCCAGTCCAGCAGATCCCCGCCCTGCACGCCATGTGCTCTGTATTGTCCATCATGTTGCACAAAGGCTGAAGCTGTCTTGAACATGAAACCCATAAGTGGGCATGGAAGTGCTCTAGGCAGGCTCTTTACTTTTGCACCTTTGTATAGATGGAATTACCCATAGCTTGGGTCCATAATGGAGTTGGTTCTGCGTGTGCAGCAGATCTGTATGTACACAGCCAGTGCAAAACCAGAACAGATGTTGCAATCAACTTGATGAGTGCAAAGGAGAGCAGGGGGCCTGAGGGGTGCACACCTCCATCATGTCACGTGTGGTGAGCTCCAGGAGCACGAGGGTGTCCTCCCTGTACACGCACTCGTCATACGTATCGCTGGCCAAGTTGGTGTCTGTCGACGTGCCCGTCTTCGACGGGACCTCGCAAAAGAACTGCGCTGCTGCCCCTGCACAAACCACCCATACTCCATGCCTTCACGTCCTGGTTGCTCAGGGGTATCACTCTGAGCTCTCCAGCAGCAGCAGATTCAAGAAATCTCGGGCAATCTCCTTTACTCCCAGTCTTGAAAGGGTTTGCTTCACTGCGGTGCATGCTTGTCTCTCTGGCTCCAGTAGTGAGCAGCACTGGCTCGGAAGCCTGACTTTTTGCGCAAGCATCCTTTGACTTGAGCTGTGGCTCAAGCTTGAGGGCCACAAAAGGGCGTTCCTGTTGATAGTGAGTAGTGATCAGGTGCTCTCGCACCTTGCAGCATGTCGTTGTGGAGCAGTGTGTAGGGCCGGAAGCGGCCACGGACCACCAGCACGTTCTTCTTGTAGAGCGTCTCCTGGGGAATCTGCAGTTCGCCTGAAGAACACAGCATGCACATGTCACGTACTCGCCTCTCAAATTGCAGCGATGCTCGCAGACACAGAGGGCAAGTCACAACAGCAAACTTTGGATCCTGCTAGAATTTGCTCACCTGAAGGGTCAAAGAGGGCGGCATCGCACAAGCCCTTCTGCACCAGCCTCAGCGCTGCCACGCGGTTGTCAACGTGCTTGAATGATGGTCCCTGGAAGGAGATCAAGTCCACCTGCAGGGGCACAAACCACAGTGTCAACACATAGGTCAAGGAATCCTCTTGTTGCAGCTGCATCTTGCTCTCGGTCCACCCTTGTGGCAAGGCAGAGGCCACCGGCTCCCATCATGAACAAGCTTCCATCATTGTATTCATTTCACTTATACAGCCGCAATCATCCACTCAGTCAAAGTTGAATCAGAGTCATTTTCCCAGCCGAGTGGCTTAAAATGGGAGAGGTAAGCCACGATTCCGATAGGAAGGCCCCAATGATTCTATTGATAACACGAAGGCTTGCAGAGTGGATGGCCGGCCGACCTCAATACGCGTGCGGCTGAGTTCGCTGAGGAGGGATGAGATGATGGCGCCGGTGTTGCCGCCCATGTAGAAGGCGGCGTGGATGAGGTTGATGCCCAGCACTCCCACCGCCTCCTGCTGCAGCTGCGCAGACTTGTCCAGCATGCGGATGTGGATCACCACGCTGTTGGGCTCCGACCTGCACCACACAAAAGAATTGAGTAAAGTGAGATAACCTGAACTGAGCTGAACTGAACTCATAGGAACTGATTATCTGAACTGAACTGAGCCCAAAAGCACTCAAGTGAACTGAATTGAACTCAACTGAAGTGAGATGAGGTAAGCTGAACTGACTGCAGTGAAATGAAAAGGAGGGAATGTATCTTAAATTACTGTCATGTCTAGGTTTCGAAAATGAGCTTGTGAGTTGCAAAGGACCATATGCTGATGGCCAGCAGGACAGGCAGGAGGCAGTGCATACAGTGTTTGCAGTATTTCACTTTCAAATGTAGATGATAGGTTAAAGGTTCTGTAGGCTAGTACTCACATAGGCGCGGTCTGGTATTTGATGCCGAGCCAGCCGTGGCACTCGTTGTCCCGATTGAAGGCCTTGGTGGTGAGCGTGTCAGCAAACGCGAAGAAGTTTGTGTTGTCGCCGCGCTGATTGCGCAGAGTCAGCTTGCACTGCAGAAACTCATAGTCCAGCATGGCCTCCACTCGCTCACGAGTGACATACCTGCAGCATGGAATTTTACGGGCTCGATGCATGGGCATGCATGCACGCATGCAGATAGGTGCGATGTAAGGCAGTTCTTGTTGTTTCAGTGGGTGTTACTAGTGGGCCTACCTCCTGGCTGCGCCGTACATTGAATCGGAGATGGTCATGTCATACCTGCACAAGAGATGCGAAAATCGGTGCGGAGCAACCGTGCCATCATTTGCATAAGCATCAAAGTAGTAAGCAGATTGCCATTAAGAAGTAAGAAGTGTACTGGGTACGAGTGTGTGCACTCACGCTGACACCGATTTCGCAATGGTGCCCGCTGCTCCACCCACCCTGAACAACCACCTCGCCACCTCCTGACCTGCTCCAATCTCAGCAAAAGACCCATACCTGCATGTAAGCTCCGTTTAGTGTGTCCTGGCTTTCAATGCATGTGGAAGACTTGCAAAGCATGGGGATCAGACGCTAGGGCACACCACTTGGGGTCCAGGTTGATCTGCAAGGCCTGCAATCCACCATCAAAGTCAGGTGATATCACACACTTGTCCAACTAGGGGACAAGGAAGATTGAGCATGACATCTCCCACAAAGAGCACCAACACAACGTCTGACATCATACCTTTTTGGCGGCCTGCGAGAACTGTCTTTCGCTCGGACCCTCCTGCAACATTGGAAGTAGGGTCAGGACTTTCTTAAGAGCTACCATATGACTGCAATGACTCCCTCTCATACGTGCATAGGGACCCACCTCTGCTTTGACTTCAAAGATACCCAGACGTGATCGTCTGTCGTCTGAAGGTTTTCTGAACAGTCTCGAATTGCAATGCTTTTGCATCAAAGACCTCGTGGTCTTGAAAGGTACGGGCATGCCGCCTGTCAAAAGGTTCACAGGGCTTTTGGAGAACCTGCTTCCTCCGATCATCCGATCGCCCCTTCCACATAAATGTTCACTACTGATCTGAAGAGTGCTTGTCCTGCCCGAACAAATCATGGTGCCCGAGACTATCTCAGTCGATTGTTTTGCTCGCAGATTATAAAGACAGCTATGGCGGACCACCACGCTTGCAGGTCGACGATCGCATCAGAAGTTATTAAATTTCCCCAATCTCTAAAGTCCTTGCGCGAGGAGAGAGTCAACTTGAAGACTTCAAGAAAGTGCTCATGTGAGGTCCAGCTGGCTGCAGGCTGGCCGATGACATCATTGCCATGTTGGACAGGAAAATTTCCTTAAAACTGAAAGCAGGATCCAGAAAAATTCATTAGCGGTGCAAAATCATCCTGTGAGTGAAGAAATGCGCATGCTTAACGACAATTGTGTCGACTAAGCTCGGATGTGACAGGCAACAGCAACATCTCCATAAAGCAAGATGGGCAGAAGACCCAATTACGACAATAGAGGTCGACAATTTTTCTTGTGAAGATTCCATTTTTCATTTCTGCTGATGTTCTGTGCTTTACCGACTGGTGCTTGTCTCTGAAGAAGTGTCTGGTTTGTGCAGGCTTTCAGCAGAATATTAGTAGGAACACAGATCGGGTGAGAAAGACAGATTAATTACTGGCATTCTGTCTACTCTCATTGCCCAGTGCAGTACAATCCTGAAAGAGAATCTGTCCTGCCTACTCTCTGGCCTGAGAGCCTGTGTCAGGAGCGCTCTCTGAAGGTATGCAAGGTCATGGCAGGGCGTATTCGGACGATTGCAGCAGCAGCAGCAACCAGCCAATCAAGGAGGAGGCTGGGGATCTGGTCAGAGGAACAGCAATGCCCCACCTCAGCGCCAAGGTATGTTTCAGAAGTCCTGCTGATGAAAAATGTGCATGTGTCCGTTGTGATGAGGCACACTGACACCCTTGGGCCATGGTTTATAGGCCAACAGAGGGACAACAATCGTTTTGGAGCATTCAACCATCCTGCAGAGGATCAGGAACCGCAGAATAATCGGGGGTGAGTCATGGGGCTGGATTAGCTGTTTTGGCTGCGAGAATACTTGCGATTTTCTGTTCGACGCGCTTGGAGGCTTGGTTACCCCTGATTGGTGGTCATGTTGGTCTGATGCAGGAGCCAGAGGGGTGGAAGACAGCAGCCACAGCAGCAGCAGAATGTGGATTGGAGATCGGTGGTGAGGGATGACCTGAAGAATGAGAGGCCACCATGGCCTTTCTCCTGTTATGCCCACGAGCGCAGTAAGCAGAATGACTTGACTGGGGATTACTCATACGAGGAGGTGGGGTGTCTATTTTGCTGAGTGCGCTCAGACTCCTGTAAAAACCACATCTTTGTGATAACTTTAGATCTGAGAGATGTGCCAGCTGTGTTTCCTGTGGGCGAGCCAGGCAAGGTAATGATCAATATGGCGTATGCTGAGCAGGTCAGGTGGGCAGAGATGCAGGCCGTGAGGGCTGGCCGCTCGGCTGCTTCGGTGGTGGCTGACTTCAATGTGGCCAGAAAAGCGCTTGATCAGCAATGGCAGGTCAGAACCAAACCCCTACTTGGCCGCATAGCACCAGAGATTACTCTCACCTGTTGCACACCATAGGAAGCACATATCAGGATTAAGTGCATTGGGACATCCCAGAGATTACTCCAGCTTGTTGTACTTTATGGGAAGCGTATATCAGAATTATGTGCATTGGTACAATCAGCAACATGGTCTGGTCAATGCACCTGCATAGTAACATTTCCCGTGTCTGCATGGCAGGCTGTATCCAGGGCCAGCAGGCCTCCATCCATGGGGGGCCCTGCAATAGACCCACCAGCAAATTCGTTCTCGGCCCCCCAGCCTTTCCAGCCAGCTACTCCATTTGGGCAGGTGGTCAGAGCATTTGGGTCCCACCCTGCAGCTGCACCGACCACCCCCTCGCCTGCCTTTGGCACGCCCTTCCAACTGTCCCCGGCAGAATCCATGCCATCAGCCGGACCCTTTGCCGGTAATTTCTCCCACCCACGGAGTGATGCTTGGCCATAATTAGGAAATTTGACTGTTCAAGGCACATGTTCCTTCTGTCTTCTTTTGTCAAACTTGTGGAATACTGGATTTCTTGGTAGAAGTTTTTGGTATGCTGACATGGAGGAAGGTCCTGTGCAGGAACGCCAGCTGGCATTTCGAATGCTTTTGGCTCTGTTGGTGCTTTTGGCACGCCAGCACAGGCCAGCCCATTCCATTCGCAAGCCCAGCCACAGGCCATGAGCGCAGCAGGGTTTGGCCAGCAACAGACGCAGCAGCCAGTGACGTTTCAGCAGGCGATTGGATCCAGTCCTCTGTCCAATGCAGGCACGCTTGTCCTTGACCCCAAAGCACGATAATTACCATCCTCTGTCAATGTGATTTTGGCTTATGAGTTGGCTGATGAATATTGTGATGTATGTTGTTGTGCAAATGGCTTCTTGCACTTACCCTTGGTGTGAAGTTGGTATATTCTGTGAGTGCAGGTCAGGGTTCTGCGGCGGCTCACATGCCTCCAGTGAGTCATCCCGCCCTAAGCAACATTCCAGAGGATAGTCCCCTGAGGCCATGGCTTGCCACAGCTTTTGAGCGTGGGCACATACCCGAGACGCCACCTCCGCGTGAAGTTTGTTAATACCAAAGCCAAGACCGTGCCACATCAGAGCTTGCAGTCTTCCTGACATGTGGTTTTGCTCGATGCGAATGCCGGCAGCAGCTGTAGAGGTATAAGTGCAGGAGTTGTTCAAAATTCAACTTGAATGCATACATCTTTCAATATCTGAAGAAGATGAGACTCACGTGCACGAACAGCTGCAGTGCGCCTCATGACAACCTGTACTCAATATTTAAAGCGCCTGCACAGCACCCTCTGAGCTGTCGCCTGCTTCGAGCTATTCTAGCATGAGCATGTAAACATTGCGCATAGCGCCTGTGTAACGCATTTTTGCCATGTTATGAGGACCTGCCTGCATTTGGGATTCTCGCTTCAGTCATTGCTCGGCGCCGGCACAATGGACTTTCACTTGCGGCTGCCGCGCGGCGTGGCCCACGCGGCGGCGGCGGCATGCATCATGCATGCACGCATGCATGATGCCGCTGTGGGCTGGTTTGGGCTTGTCATGGCTCACCGGTTGGACAGTGGTGTCACCAGGGATGACAAGATGGCATATCAGATTGGCAAGGTTGCATGGTTGCATGCAGCGGCCACCCCTGGGATGTACCCCTTCTATTTCACGGCAGTGAACTACCGCAACCGCGAAGTCATGATGCATCACTGAAATAATGTATAGTCCCACCTAGTGCTAGCAATCAAAGCTGGTTTTCCGCGATTGAAAGTCACTGTTATAGTGGTATGATTGCTGCAAAGCCTCCTGATTGTGGAGGCTTTTTTGGTTCAGACTGCTACAGTCTTGTATAACTCCGAATTGACCTTATAATATCGAGTGAGAAAGAACTAGAGGCTGGGAAGTTGAACATTGGAATTGAGATGGGGTCTGTATGCTACCTATGGATCAGACTGGGAGGCACAATATGGTCAGAATAGTCAGTTCACATACAGCCCCATCAACTTGATGGAAGAAGGAGGCAGGCCTGCTCAGGAGGTACAATCTTGTCAAGAAAGACAAAGACATCTATGAGACGTATCGGGCTTGACTGATTCTTTCTGTCCCATATGAGAAGGAGCTATCTTTGTTTACCTTGGAGTTTGTGTGTTCTTCTCATGTAGGCTGGAGACAGGCGTGTCACCGACCTCGACCTCGAGGCGAACGTTAAAGAAGAAAAACTGAAGGTGCATCAATAATCACATCGCACAGCTCTTCTTACACAAGACAACACTATGCTGTTTCAGGCCAGAGGTGCCTTTGCCTTCTATAAGTAAGGTGTCTCTGACAGAGGATGTCCTGCATGCTTGCAGAATTCGAAAGGGCTGAGGCTCTGGGTGCTGATTTATCAATCCATCGGCGTGGTCTATGGAGGCCTTGGTACCTCTCCTCTCTATGTGTACCCCAACGTTTTCAGCTCCACGCCATCACCCGATGATGTCCTGGGGACAATGTCCCTCATCTTCTGGACTCTCACCATCGTGGTCATCTTCAAATACGTTTCACTGGTGCTGCACGCAAATGACAACGGCGAAGGTCCGCAGTCATTGCCTGGAAATAGTACTCTCCAATCCTTGACTGCACTTTGATGTGCAGCAGCTCCTCTTTACCCCTTAGTTGGAACACATTTGCCTATCTGCAAACTTGTGACATCGTCTTTGTCTGTGACTCTGCAGGTGGCACAATTGCGATGTACTCGCTGCTCTGCCGCCATGCGCGGATCAGCGCCTTCAATCAGGTTCCTGAAGGGGAGGATGCAGTTGGGGCAGATGGCATATTGGCTGAGCAACAGTGCGCACAGCCGAAGAGGGCACGGTGGCTGGAGCGGAGCAAGCCATTGCAGAAGGCTCTACTAGGCATTGTGCTGCTGGGCACGGCCTTCATGTTCTGCGACGGCATCCTCTCTCCAGCCGCTTCTGGTGTGCTCTTCCTGCTGAGCTGACTCTGAAGCACATCGACAGGAATTGCTCATCACCCTTGCATATCATGATCCTTGCATGTGCATCTATCGCTTGTCTGCACAAAATGTAATCATTTTCACTAATCTCCTCTGTGGGTGCAGTGGTTTCTGCTATGGCGGGGGTCCAGGTCATCAACCCACACATGAGCAATGGTGAGTCGAGATCTGCCACTGCAAACTGGGTCATGTACTACCATTATCTCAAAGGTTTTGACTCAATAAAATCAACATTTTGAGAGACTGTTGGTCAACAAAATGCCTGACTGATTGCAGAGGCGATTGCGGGCATCAGCTGCGCGATCCTGCTTGCTCTGTTCTCCATTCAGCGCTTTGGGACGGCCAAGCTGGGAATGGCCTTCTCTCCAGTGCTCCTCTTGTGGTTTCTGGCCAATGCTGCCCTCGGCGTTTACAACATCGCACGGTAATGCCTCGCTTGGTGACATCAGCTGACTTTTGTACCGCATTTAAATTTATCCACTCTTCCGTACATCTGCGGTACAGACCTGCTGGTCTACTGGCCTTGCCTGTCACGTTGTATACTCAGTTTGACAAAGCGCCTTTTTTGGTAATATGCAGGTACATGCCAGATGTGTTTAAGGCTGTCTCCCCGCACTACGCATTCAGATATTTCCTGAGCAGCGGCCGGGCGTCCTGGGTGTCTCTGACCGGCATTGTCCTCTGCATCAGCGGCAGTGAAGCCACCTACGCTGACATGGGCCATTTCTCCCACCGGGCCATCACTGTGCGCTACCTCCTAAGCCTTTTTCACCACATATCATCATCTTTTGATGTAAATATTCCCCGGCATCAGCGGTACCGATTTCAGTAGCGCGCGGGAGTGAGCATGTGTGTTCCGCGCACAGATTGGGACGCTAGGCCTGGTGTACCCCAGCCTGCTCTTGATTTATTTCGGTGAGACGGCGTACCTGGCAAACTTCCCAGAGTCCTACGCGCAGTCGTACTTCAAGTCCATTCCGGAGCCCCTCTTCTGGCCGTTCTTCATCATAGCCATGGCCAGTGCGCTTGTGGGCAGCCAGTCCCTCATCACCTCTGCCTTCTCGGTCGTCCGCCAGTCTGCAGTCCTCTCATGCTTTCCCTCTGTCAGGGTGAGCGCTCAGCACCATCCCTGCAGCTATTCCAGCGGTTGCCTGGCATCCCTGCTCACACATTTGTACTGTCGTATACATCATTGTACTCAGCTAAGATGCCCCACCGAGGAACCTTCTGAAGGACTATTCACAACCTCATTATTTCATCTGCTTTCCGTTGTAGCAAAAGGATCTTAAGGCTGGATTGGGGCTGTGCAGGTGGTGCACACTGGCAAAAAGGTGGAAGGGCAGATCTACATCCCAGAAGTGAACTGGGTCCTCTGTATTCTGGGCATAGCCCTCGTTGCTGGCTTTCGAGACACCACAGCCATCGGCAACGCCTTTGGTAAGCAATTAATCATAGAGAGCCCCTACCGGTAAATAGTTTAACCCCTGCAGATGCTTGCCTTGCAAATGTGCACGCATGCCTAAATTTGTATTGTAAATTGAACCCTGTGCCTTGTGCAGGTCTCGTGGTAGTAATGGTGATGGTCATCATCACCATCCTCATAACAGTGGTCATGCTGGTGGTTTGGGACTGGCACCCCATTCCTGTGTTTGCAATCTTTGCCTTCCTTATCGGCATGGAGGGCGTCTACCTCTCGGCGGTGCTCTACAAGGTGCCTTTGTCCTACTCCCTTCCTTCATTCCTTCTTTTACCTGCAGTGAACACAGAGTATGAGGGGTACTTAGTGAGAAGGGCGTTACATGCAACCTGCTCTTGCTTAACTTCTCAATCAGCAGTAGCTCTTCAGACAGAGCTAGCTGGGTCAAAAGGTGAGTGCTGCAGACATTTGATCAATCACACATTCCTGTCAGCAAGACTTACAGCTACATTTGGAGTCACTTGCAAGGAAGTTGCCCACCTATGGACTGAAAGATGTTGATGGGGCCCTTTTCCTGGGCATGTGAGCAGGTGCCGCAGGGGGGCTGGTTCCCCCTGGTGGTGGCGGTGGTGGTCCTGTGCATCGCTGCAACATGGCACTGGGGGTCTCTCTTGCGCCTGCGCCACAGCCGCGCGAGATCCCATGACCTCGTTGAGGAGCTTCTGCGCGAGTCAGAAACCCCCGACACCAACAGCACGTAAGGCTTGCCTTCATATCTCTAAAGTGCCACAAACTGCTTTTCTCTCATAGATGAAGTACTAAAAAGGAGTGCTGACATGGAGACAATCATGCAATCCTGTTCCTGTTGTACTCTCCTGTTATGAAGACAACACAGAGGCATAGAGGACACAACACCAGTGAAAACAGCATGACAAACGCGTGATGATGCTCGGCTCGGCCATAGACTGATGCAACACGGCATGCTTAACTGGATGAGCAGGGAGCTTGGAGCTCCACACGAGATGGTGCATGTTTAGGCTGACATCTGGTGGGTTGCAGGAGGGGCAAGCGGCTGGTGCTAGCGAGGGGCAATGTCTCGTCTCCAATGGCGTTGGATGTCTCGCTGCACTCGGGAAACTCCATCAGCCGCATTCCAGGCATTGCAGTGTATCTGGGCGAGCACGCGTTCGGACTGCCCTCCGGCTTTGTGCATGTCCTGGAGACCGTGGGCGTCGTGCACCACACCGTCGTCTTCCTGACTGTGCAGCAGGTGTGCCTCCCTCGTTCAAAGGGTCCAGAATCAAGCATTGCTTGTGATAAGCTTCCAACTCCAACTGTTGAAGCTGTCTTGAACATGAAACCCATAAATGGGTATGGAAGGGCTCTGGGCAGGCTGCTTACTTTTGCACCTTTGCATAGGGCTGCATGCATATTCTTGATAAAGAAGCCAGGCTCATTGTCTGTGCAGATGCATAATGCATCACATCGACAACATCATGTTGCGGCTGTTCTTGGTTTGTATCTTCATTTGCCACTTCCTGTTCAGACATGGACGTTCCTTATCCTGTGAGAGGGTTCACAGGATAAAGGATGGATGGAGCCAGCTGTCATGTAGGGTCAGTGTGGTGTTGCGTTTGTAGCTTCGTACATCTTTCTCTCGAGGCCGTCTTCTCGACATATATTAAGGAGTGAGGGCGGGCTGTGATTGGTGCAGGTGCCGCTGCCAACTGTGTCACAGGAGCAGCGATTCGAGGTGAGGCAGCTTGACATGCCGGGCTTCTACCGCGTGCTCTGCCGCACCGGCTACACGGATACACTTGTGCGCGACGCTGCCTTCCTGGACGGCCTCCTGCAGTCCATAGTGGAGGAGGCGCGCTACAAGGCCATGGCCGCCAAGTGAGCGCTCTCTCCTGCTCCTTTCCTGCATCATAACAAGCACAGTAGTCCTGCAATCCTTGGAAAGCCGTCATTCCTTGCTCCTTGAAGTGAGGACCGTCCTGCCAGAATGGTTCTTACTGTCATGGTTGAACAGACATATGCGCAGCCTTAGGATAGTGAACTTATCATCATTCCCGTTGCACTGACAAAGTCTCCATGTGGGAGAGTCTATCAAGGCTACAAGCACGTTGCGTATAAAGCGCCCAGTATGATTGGGGCGTGGCGCAGGTGGTCTGCGGCTGAGATCCACTCCGGGTCGCCGAGCAGAGGCTTTAGCCTGGATGGAGGCTACATCAGCTCAGCAGCGCTGCGCCGCAAGTCTGGGACCTGCCGCTCCATGCGCCACATCATCGTGCCCCCTGTCGAGCATCCAGAGGCGTCCCCTTCAGGGGCCGCCAGTCCGCCCTCCCCCGCTGCTCAGGGCCAGCCGGCTAGTGAGCGGTCCGCAGGATCCCAATTAGTACAGCAGCCACGGTCAGAAGGCTGCTCTGGTGCGGCCCGCAAAGCAGACAGCGCGATTGAGCTTTCTGAGATCTCCATGCAGTCAGCTGATGGGCAGCCGGAGCAGACAGGCTGCAGCAGCGCTTCAGCAGCAGAAGGGATCAGCTGTCCCGGGTCCAGCAATGGGCCGGGCGACTCCATACGGCCGAGCGCGATGGCCCGAGACGCAGAATCGTCCGGAGATGAAGCTGCGCCATTGTCGAGGATGGCTCCAGAAGATGAGAGCGGCCGCGCAGGAACGTCAGGGGTTGAGTATGCGCCGGACAGGCGCGGACCGGCGGCGCAGCTCTCGTTCAGGGGGGCCGGGGCGGCGCTTGGTGGCGACAGCGAGGCGGCCGCCATCCTGGCCTCGAGGACTCATGGCCTCACCTTTGTGATGGCGCGATTCGTACTCCGAGCCGCGCCCAAGTCGCACTGGCTGCGAAGGCTGCTGATTGAGAACCTGTATGGCGCCCTGCGCAACCTCAGCTATGATGTGAATGAGTCGTGGTGCGCCGTGCACGAGCGCGTGCTCGATGTCAGGATCACCTACCATGTGTAGATGATACGTACATTGGTAATGAGGGTAGTGAGGGAAGAGAGAGGAGACGTGAGAGTGAGAAGAGCAGGTTTTGGTAGCTTAGCAGCATTGAACACTGGAGCACTGTCAGCTCATAAGCTGCAGGCCCGCCACTTAGCGAGTAGGCCAGGGAATATTTGTGTTGCACTTGCAAATGCATTTGGTAAAGATGTAACGTCACGTTGATGCTTGAATCTCCTTAGCACTTGGAACCCATTCTATATAAGCTCGTCTCTCCTTCCTCTTCGATGACGTCATCCTAAGGGTGTGGGTTCTGGGGACCTTCCCCATCTCCTTCATCTTCCTCCAAAGAGGAGTCTTCATTCTTAACTGATGATGCATGCTTCGCCGAAGAAAATTGGCCTCGATTGGGCTTCACGGTCACTGAAATTTTCACACTGTAACTGTAACGCCATGTGAACATGCCAATTCGCTTATGATGTTCCTTCCTGAGCTCTCAACGAGCATGCGGATGGAATTCTAAATCTACATTCGAGCTTTCCGACACATCTATCACTAGAAAGGGGATTATCCCACGCCGAAACACGGCAGCAATCTTCTGGCAGCAACTAGTGATCTGGGTTGATCTGTTAAGGATTGGGGCAACACAAGTGACCCTGCTATATTAGATTCAGTGCACATGTGCCAGTGATGGGTGATGCGCAGCAATATGATGAGGACAAGCCCCTGTTGGCTGGAACCTTGCAGCAAATATCGAGAGCGCAAGATGACCCGGAGGCAGGCAGTCATGTGGCGCATGCAGCACCTTACAGCAGTGCTACAAATGGAGCTCTGGCACCAGGTAGCAATGGTGACCATCACGAAGATGTCATGAAAGAAGCATGCAGTACCAGCAGGGCTCACATGGCGCTCTACGGATCTCATTTCCTGTCAACCTGGGGCCAGGTGGGCATCACTCGCCAGTTACCGTGCATCGCATTTGTACACGTTTACAAGCTTTGAAGCTTTCAATCTAGCGATGATGCTGGCATGAGCATGTGAAGGCTAGAGAGGTCTAAAGAGGCACCGCATATATTCAAGTTGAAAATTATTCTGGTGGGTCGCAGCGTATGTGGGAGTTTGCAATCGGCCTGATCCTGCTGGAGCTGCGCCCCGGCTCCCTGGCACTGGTGTCAGCCTTTGGTCTCGTGGACAGCGGCGCGCAAGTCATTGCTGGGCCCCACATCGGCGCCTACATTGACCGGTCAGACTCTCACATGAAGCTTTCCTATATCGTGTGGGGGCTCGCATCATTTGGTATATGCGCATCAGTTTTTAGAGTTTGACATGAACTTGTCCTTGTTCCACCCTAAGCAGCTTCTTGCATGGTTACACATTTAGCTGGTCTTGGGTCTGGCCTGGCCTTTGCTTCTTCCTCTTCCACACAGCTTTCCATATGAAAATGCGCCTTGCTTTTTCAATGAGGTTGCCTGTTGAAACAGCTGGGGCTTGCAAAGTGAACCTGGCTGGGCCTGTGCTATGGCAGGACGCCGCGTCTGGCAGCAGCATGCAACATGTACATCCTGCAGAACTGCGGTGTGGCGCTGTCAGCGAGCAGCGCACTGGCCGCCTCACTCGTCGGGAGCAACGCGGCTCTGTTCTGGCCGTGCGCTGTCCTGACCATAGCCCTGGGCTCTGCCAGCAGCGTGGGCTGCCAGGGCAGCGCTCTGTCTGTTGAGAGGGAGTGGACCAAGGCCCTCTGCCCAGGAGACTCTACTGCGCTAACCATCCTCAATGCAGGTGCTGCTTCCAATGCATCATTTTGCTGGTAGCATCTCTGGTAGCTGGAACAAGCATGACGTCTGTGTTGTTCCGGGACGAAGATGCATGCATGATTGACTGCGCATGCATGATGCAGCGTCATTTTGTCGACAGAATTGCAAACCGCCGCCCTTGCAAATCCCGCAGAATCAACTGTATGCATGCATGCATGCTCATGTGGGACACGAGTTGGCATAATCATTGTGCAATGTGTCTGGTCTCAGGCTGCGAAAATTAGCGCACAGGGGTGTGCTTTGGAGGCTTCTCAAAGCAAATTAACTTTTGCAGGGATGAGGCGCATTGATCTGACCTGCCTGATAGCGTCCCCAATCATGGCAGGCCTGCTGCTGACTTATGGCAACCTGCAAGTAGCCATTCTCGCCGTTATGGTAATGCTTCAGCCCTGTGAAATTGACACCTTCTTATTGCAGGATAAATTCTTACAGAACCTGTTGCTGTCACATGTGCATAAGTGCCAAGCCTTCTGCTTAAGCTGTACTGCACTGATGTTGCAGGCTTGGAATATGTTTGCCTGGCTGCCAGAGTGTTGGTTCCTCAGAATGGCCCAGCAATTATCCCCGGCACTCAGGTGTGCCAAGAAATTTTCTATCTTATTGCTAAAATTTCTCTATTTGTGTCTCAAGCCTTGTTTGGACTCGTTACTGTGTTGCTGCATGCTCAAGCTTGAGCCATTTGTTGGTTGCAGGGAGCAGGAGCTTGTTGAATCATCAAGCATGGCGGCTGGTGGGAGCATTGAGAAACTGATTAAGAAGAGCACCACTGGCTGGAGGACATATGCGCGGCAGGAAGTCTTCCTAGCTGCAGTTGCTCTGGCCCTGCTGTACTTGACAGTCATGTCATTTGTGAGCCCCCTCCTCCACTCCACTTCGCACATCAAGATGCCATTTCTCCTGCTCCTTTCATCTCTGTCACGCGTGTATGCAGGACTTGCTAAGCAGAGTGGCGATGACACTGGGCAAGTATGGCCAGATGATGCAAAATGACATGATAATGACGTGAGACATGATGTGGTGATGTGGCCAGGGTCTGCTGATGACTGCATACATGAAGTGGCGAGGCCTGCCAGAGACAGTGCTGAGTCTCTACAGGGGTGCTGGGGCTGTCAGCGGCATTGCATCAACCTTTGTCTTCCCGATGCTCAAGGAAAGGATTGGTGCGCGTCTCTCCATGCTCTTTTAGAGGTCCCCTATTCAGAGAGGACCTTTGTGAGGTTACAAATGCATGTGATTCATGCAGCGCAAGGGACCATGATTTTCACAACGCATGCCATTTTAAAGAAAATGGAATGCTGACATGAAAGCAGAGCGAGCGGAAAAAGTAAGGGGAAGGGCTGCCTCGCAGTGTGAATAACATATGTGAAGCAAACAAGACACCTCCCGCCCAGGAGCATGGTTGACCTCATTGCATACATGCAGTTAAGTGTGGCTAGGTGATTTTGTACACCTGTCCTTTGTCAGCAGCTTATGCAGCTTGCATGCTTACCAATCATACCCTGTCAATCAGAGCGGATGCTGGCAAACCCAGGATGTCTTACAAGCACTGCAGGTACACATCAGCTAAGATGTGTCTTTTTATGTTGTTCAAGGGCTGGAGCGAGCTGGAGCGTTGGGGATCTGTTGCCAGCTGGTCAGTCTGTTGGCAGCGCTGGCAGTGAGTGCAGCTCTGCAGTCGAAGGCTGCTACGCATGCACTGGCACTAGGATTGGTGGCATCGCGATTTGGGCTGTGGACGTTCGACCTGTGTGTCTCTCAGCTGCTGCAGGAGCGCGTGGATTCGCTGGAGCTAGGTGGGCCCCCTCAAAACATGCATGGCCTGTGGAAATATTGCAGCTGTATGTAAGGTGAGTACTGTGCCCGCAGTTGACTGGGTCTTGCATGGATCTGGCGAGTCCATTAGGGGTGGCATCTGTGGCAGCCTTGACCTGCACCTTGCCTCTAGCAGGAACAGCATGCGTAACAATAATAATCTGCATGCAGTGAGGGCTGAGCACTCCACCTCTGTCTGGTGTGCCAGCCCTTTCTTATGTGACTTGAGGGTGTTTTTACTCTGCTTTTGGAGTTAGAACTGTGCTCCTGAGCAGGGACACTTTCTGCTGCGCAGGAGTTGTGAATGGGGTGCAGAGCAGCCTGCAGAGCTTGCTGCAGAGCTTCAGCTACCTGATGGGGCTCTTTGTGTGGCAGCCACAAAGGTTTGAGTGGCTCATGGCAGGGTCGGTTGGGGTGGTAGCCGTAGCAACAGCGCTATTCTGCTGGTTCCTTGCAACCCAGGTTGATTTTGCAGCTGCCTCTTCCATTACTAATAATGCACACGGGAGCCTCCAGCCGATGGCCTCAAACACTGAGCAGAGATAAACTCCCAGGTCAGCTTGATGACTGGACGACTGGAGATGACTAATATTCATTATGGAAATGTATTGGACAGTGCCTTTGCAATTCACTTTGACATCTCGGATATATATGGATGGCCAATGAGGCATCATGCTGCCTTTCCTGACAAGATCCCAAGTTAGGGAAAGAGAAACGCAGACATCAAGGTGATCCGAACGCAAATGCATGTAATAAAAGAAAACTATTACATCTGTCAGATTCTGCAGACGGCAGCTACTGACATACACGTATAGACATGTGAGCCTACCCCTCCAAGTTCCATTTGCAAACAGCAACAGTCTCTTTTACATTCAAAGCCACAGCTTTGCAATCTATAGATATCCATGTTGCCTTGAGCAGGGGCCTTAACCCACCGAGTGGCCAACAGGCGCTCTGCATGTAAGCACATGCACCATACCCCAACGACTCAGCACAATTCTTGACCCCATCCAAGAATCGCCTGCTTTAGTACAGCTGTCCTATTCATCGCATTGACATGAATATAAATATTGGAAATACCTTTGCTCAGCAGATGCAGGCAAATTCAATACCTACGAGGGCTGACGCCGACAGTGATCAAATGAAGAAATAATAAAAGTAGGGTCCCAAAGTGGCCTTCAAATGCAGACTTCATGCCGGGACAAATTTCAGGGGTAGAAACTCCCATGTCAGTGTTGGTTAGCTCTAATACACCACTTGAAATGGCACGGCCTGGGAAGCCACATAGGGGGCCTTCACGGCGGCATGCAACCTTTACTTGTCATACTTCACACCTCATCATAAATTTGTGTAAAGGCACTTGAAGGAAAATAGACTTGCGCATTTTAGTTTTTTAGTCATTGTGTTGCCAGTGGCAGCTGGGCTCAGGCTTCCACAGCATCCATCTTCTTCACTCTAGCTGACAGGGTCGCCAGCTCAGACTCCAGGCTGGCGATCTGCACATGCGCACACCACAACTATTTTCAGGGACGCGGTGTGTATCTATTGAGCACGTGTTATATGGTGCACCTGCACCCGAAGATCTTATGGAGGTCTCATCATGCACCATGTGCCACACAGCTGATGTCATTCTGCTCCATGCTTATGATTGCCGCAATAAAGTATTCACTCCCCGATGCATGCAACTGGCTCTTGGGCAGGTCACAGTACTGCTTAAGTGGCTGGGTGGCCCGTAGACTCAGCCAGGACTGTCCTCGGCTTTGCATGTACTGTGATAGCCCTATGGTGCTCCACTTAGGATATTTCTGGGGCCTTAGGGCCCAAGGACAAATGCAACTGAAGATGAGCCGCACGTTGGCATTTGCTAGATTAGATCTAGTTTTTTATCCTTCATTGATCTGTTTCCTGCTATTTCGAGTTCCCCGGCCCTTGTTTCTGCAGTTCTATTTGGTCTCGGGGAGGCCATATCCTGGCGCCCTGTCACTGGCAAGCACCTCCCCAGTATTGGGCGGACTAACCACAGCAAGAACGAGGGATTGAAGTTTTAGTAAGATGAAAGGGCTTGCCTTGTTGTTGAGGGAGCCGCCCTTGCCGTTCTCCACGGCCTTGTAGGCGTTGCCGTTCTTGGCGGATGACTCATAGTCGCCATAAGCATCCTCCAGGCCCGGGTAGGCCGAGCCGCCGTGGTGACTCGCGTCGGGGCCATCCTGCAGGGGGCGTTCCCACACTCAGCACCACCAAAATACCTTCTTCTCAACACTACATCAGGTCCGTATTACCAAACAAGTTTCCTAAAGTTTTGATGTCACGCTGGGCACTGACTCTGATAATTAGCTCAAATTTGGCTGGAAGTAATGTGATGTGACTGACTGGCGGATACTACAGGGGGTGCGAGGATGCTGCTCTTCAGAGCATCGTTCTGTGTGCACTTGTCTTTGGGCGTTGCGCCCAGGCTCTCAATATGACGGCCCAGCACCCGACATGCTGTTGAGCATCAAAAAAACTTGAAAGAACTGCCGCACTGGAGGGAGACAAATCTCAGAGCTCGAGGCAGAGTATGCTGCCAAGGCTGCTGCCTTTTCTTGGGGATTCAGAGACCTTCAGAGTTTCACACCTAACAAGCTGGAAGCAGACAACAGGTTAGGGGGCGTACCTCCTCGTCCTGGGGGCTCAGGCGCAGCAGGCCGGCGAGCTTGAGGATGTAGAAGAAGGGGACCATCATGCCCAGGGTCCAGCCAGCAATAAGCAGGACCCATATCAGGTTGGCCGCCAGCACAGTGCCATTGTCTCCCATGAAGCATCCCCAGTGGCGCTGGCTGCCGTCCGGCAGGAGACCTGCGCTCAAAGTTAGAACAAATAAGTAGATAAACAGGGGATGTGATATTTCACGCTCTATGCCCACTCACATTGGGATACAAGTCTGGCCAACGGAGACATGTAGAGCAACATGAACAGTAAGTTTCCCTGTCAACCCAGGACAGCACATGTTTTGTCATTCTTAGCATGGACGCAAACACGGCTGAGACTGATTTTGAAATAGGATACCGCGAACCAGCGGTGCGAGTGACATGCATGGCAGGAGCGAGGTGACATAAGGGATGAGAGCTCACCATAGAGCTCGGTCACCAGGTCCTTCTCAGCGAAGAGGGCGTAGAAGATTACACCAGCAGCACCACCGACGCCGTGAACCTGCAAGGGCAATAAGCTGCTCAGAAGGGGTGCAGACAAAAACGTGTGCAGAAGGGGCACAGCTGCCCCTTCCCTCACATGGCCTAGCGGTTATTATTATTTTTTATACTCACCCAAAATCCTGAATATAGGCTAAGCAGAAGGCATCACACATCTGAAGTTTTGCTCTAGATACGCGCAATACAAGTGTCTCTGCATCCGCAGCCGTGCAGGTGTGGAAGTTGGGGCAGAGCGCAAAGTTGCCTGGATCATGCTTGCTGCGTCTGTGTATCGGCAATGGATGAGAAATATGTTCATTGTCACGGAGTGTGAGCGCCAAGCAGGGAAGAAGGGCTGCCACCCGAGTTCATGCAATGTGACAAACAAGAAAACACCGGCCCAGGAGCACCATTGATCATAGTGCCTGCAAGCAGTCCAAGTGGACCCTTTGGAACTCGCAAGGCGCACCACTGCACCTTGCTCCTGGCAGGAAAAGCATGTAATACTAATAACAGTAGTAAAAACATGGTGATAGTGATTCGCACCACAAAGGCGTCAACTGGGTCGTCAATCTTCATGACGTGGAGCGTGAAGAGGGAGGAAGGCAGGTACATGAGACCGCCAACTATGCCACCGACGGCTGAGGCCCAGGGAGCGAACGTTGCACAGCCGCTGGTGATCACAATCGTCCCCATCAGGGACCCGTTGCCGGCTGAGAACAAGTCCCTGCACCACAGCCACATCAGTCATTGGACAATGACTTTGTGAGGACCAGTAATATCTCTGGATCCTGGATTGCAGCTCAATCCCATATCCTGCGGCATGCAAGACAGGGACACACAGGACAAGCCTCGCTTTCCTTTGCATAGCAGCCACGCGTTGAGTTGTCAGACATAGTACATGATCAAATGTACTGTGTCAGGCCTCTTCTGGTGCAGGTGTGGGCAAGGCTGAATCTGAAGCCGTGCCCACACACAGACCCAAAATACCGCCAAAAAATTATGCATGCATCCAAAATGCCATGCACTTGAAACTCATTGCAAGAAACTGCAGGTAGGTGTGTTGCAGACTGGCGGCAGTTGTCAGCCGACTCACCAGACGGCGTGGCCGGTGGTGTACTTGGAGTATGCCAGGTAGACAAGTACAGAGGTGATTCCACCGAAGCAGAGGCCCATTGTGGTGCTGATTGTGCAGCGAGCCACCACCTGATCACATCCAGTTCTTACATCAGTCACACAGAGCGCGCAGAATTTTGTGCGATCACAGCAGTAGCCTCGAATGAGGCTCCAGAGCACGCAACATTGCCGAGATTTACAGCAGTAGCGTCAAATGAGAGTGGTACACACATAAACCTTGCATCAAATTTAATACATTACTAGATCTCTTTTCTTCATTGATCCTTGAGGTTGTTCTCACTCTTAATCCCCAAGCCAGAAAGCCTACGTTTCTATTTGATCTGGGCAGGGTACAACCCAATGGACCCCCGCAGCGTTGGGCTATGTAGTACTGAGCGGACTAATGAGATGTCCAGTGGCAGGGGGGATAGGTGATGTGATCTCACCCCGCTAAAGCTGGTGCCATCCACAGCGATGATCTGAGCCATGGTGCCAGAGTTGAAGCAGAAGAAGCCCAGCGCCAGCAGCAGGTATCCTGTTGCAGAAGAACACACCAGATTCAACTTCAAACTCAAATCATGGTCCATCCTGTAACGCGCTGAGCAGCGTTTTCTCTGCATTCTTCTCTTGAGAGTACTAGCGCTCAGCTCAAGTGCATTGCTGCATGGCTTATCTCCACCACAACTGAGATCGACAGGCAGGTGAATGCTTGCAGATGACTCACATGCAGCAGCACATCCAAGGAACGGGCACATCCTATACACCCTAGATAGATCCCATGCGATAGACAAGGACATGCAGGAGATCAGCTGGTCCGCACCCAGCTTGGAAGGCTGGAAACGCGCATAGCACTAACAGAACAACTACTTTCTACCAGAGCAAAAGCTTATAATCAACAAGGATGTGGGTCTAGGTGCGCACCGATGGTGTAGTAGACAGCGTTGTGGCCGTGGATGGGCTGCGGCTTTCCAGTGGTCGGGTTGAAGCGGCCAAGGCGCGGGCCGGCAACCCACGCGCCTGCCAGCCCGGCAACGCCCCCCATCATGTGCACAGCACCTGTCGGGCACACATGCATCCTTCAGCACTGCACGATACAATCACACAAGCACACCACAGTTAGACATCCCTGTGCATGCATCCCTCAGCGCCAAAATGACCCTTGCAGAGCTTTTTATCTTCCTCTCACTTACAAAGATGCTTGCAAATTCTTGCTGCACCTCCATGTGCACAGCACTCATTGCACACCCCCATACATGCATCCTGAGCATCCTGATCACCACTGCACCCATTTCAACACTTTGATAGGGTGCGCAAGCAAATCCTAAGTGCCCTCATCGCCACCGCCCTTTTTCCCATTTGGCAGATAATTGTTGCACCTCCACCACTTGAAAGCATGCAGCTGTGGCTGGTCTGGAGGTAAAGTCGAACTTCAAAGTTTGTGGGCCGAACTCCTGGCACACCTAAGCCCTCCCATACTTGCACCCTCTCTGCAAAATTTTATTCCTTCTGGCTGGGACCAGCATATGACAATCACAAGAACAAATTCCTCCAAGAGTCAGCCTGGCAGGGCCTGAATCCTGTGCACGATGGCTTTTGTCAGAGAGCGCGCAGGAAGATGAGTCACCTGAGCCGACGGTATCATAGACGCCGGAGCCTAAGAGGAGGGGGCCGAGGCTGGCCAGCCTGGTGGGGGATGCAAAGCCAGAGGCAGTCCAGCACCAGTGGGACAGCACTGCACAGCACACAGAATCAAATCAGCGCTTCAGCAGTCGCCTGTACCTGTCTTTAATTAAAATTCGTAAATACAAGTGGATTTTTTCACGTGTTCTAGTCCTAAGGACCAGGTACGTCAAGCAACATCTGTATTATTGCTTTCCACTCTTCTCGGATGCAGTACCTACTTTTACCAATATGTACCATGGGGCTTCTAGCTTTCAGATTTTTCGTGTGCCATAGAGTTTAGTTCCCCTCAGTTCTAGAAAAACTGACTCGGAAGCCAGGACAAGTGCATGTACAGCAAGGCTCAATGCATGGCAACACCGGGCTGTTGGACATCTTGAAAGCTCTTTTTGAAGGCAGGCGGATGACACCAGTTCTGTGTGTTTCTGTGAGATCAGTGTTTGGGGACGAAGATAGCAGCCACGGAAACAATCTTGATTTGCTGTGCGCAGGCATTGCGAGGATTACTCACCGGGGTAGACCCAGGCGCAGATGAAGAAGGCGTAGAAGGCGTAGGCTATGAACTGGATTCGCTCTGCAATGGCTCCGGACACAATCGTGGCTGTGGAAATGGCAAACTGCACACCACAGACACATGCCAGCCGTCAGCGCACTCGTGATCAACGCATGTGTGACATTGCAACGATTCTGACATGGAACAAGGGATCTTTCAAGGTTTAACCAAACTTGCAAGAGCAGCATTGATGCACAAGAGCCGATTGGATAGGGTCTCCTTCAAGGACGGTCGAAGTTGCAAGAGCTGCAGTGATGAGCAAGGGCAGATCGAGCAAGGTCTCTTTGGAGATTTGGCAACGTTGCAAGAGCGGCACTGGTGCACAAGGACACATGCAGCATAGTATCTGTCAAGATGGCAGGTTGCATGCAAGTGCACGAGGGGCACTCGCAAGCACAAGGGAGGAAAACTGCCATAGCAGGGAGGGGAACACTTACCACATACTGGAAGTAGAATGTGTGAAAGGAGGTTGAGGGAGTGCCGGCCATGGCAAACTGCTCTGTGCCGATGAATGGGTTGCCCACACTCGAGCACACAGCGTCAGCATCGCACTCCTGCTTGTCTCCATAAGCAAAGGCCCATCCCAGCAGGTAGTAAGCAACGCCCCCAAACATCACATCCATCACGTTCTTGATGCACACCGACTTGGCGCTCTTGGCGCGCACCGAGCCGGCAGTGAGCTGCAAGCCGGACACAGAAACCTTGTCAGAGAAGAGTCCAAACACGAAGGACGTAGCGGGTGTTTGCTGGCCACACATTCTTGAAACAGGTCATGTTATTCAGAGGGTTGCAGAAATAGGAGGAAGAAAGGTGTCTCACCATGGCAAAGCCAAGCTGCATGATGAAGACGAAGTATCCATCAGCTGCACAGCACACCAGAGTGAGTTTCAGCAGATGTGAGCCAAGCTGGACATCTGGAATGGTGGTCAAGCTGCATATTGCCGACGGGGTCATGGTTGGGAGGACTCACTCAGCACGAAAGCAGCGTTGATGTTGGGAATCCAGCCGAAAGTCTCGTCCTGGATGCTCTTTGTGACGGTCGTGGTGAACTCCTCGGATGTCAAGAAATCTGTCGCGTTGAACGCCATGATGACGAATGACCTTTGCAAGCAAACCAAACGGAATATCAAGCGATTTTGTCCAATTCCAGTGAGATCACTCAATGCCTGGGCTAATAGCGCTGCGTGGGCGTGGTGTGATCGCCCTGATGCCGCCCTGACCCAACTCGGGTAAGTTGTGCCACTGCACGCGTACATTCAGCAAACTGACAGCTGATCAGCCTCCTTGATAAGGATTTACAGCACATTGCATCACTAGATGATAGGATTAGCCTGCAAGTTCCAGCCTAAGTTGACGCACATGGTAGGGCTTTCTGCACCGATGCTGAGCAAGTTTTTACTCAACGAGCCACTGTAACACCTACCAGAAATACTGGATATATCTTTGCTTGCCACTATCAACAAGCAATAAGTGATAGCCTGTCGAGTGCCGAGCTTGAGCAAACCTGGCTGAAGAGGCCGCCGCAACCTGTCGCTAGGTCAGAGTCACAACTTGACGCTTGTGCCGCCGAAAGTCTCGTACAAACCACGTCACACAACTGCAAGGTGCGACCCAATGAATTGAAGGATAGCAGGATGGGTTGCGCAGGAAGGAACACTTTGACGGTTCATGTGATAATCATGTGGGCCACATGGGCCAGTGGCACATACGTCAATGGCAAGGGTATGCAGGAAGGGTTCACCCTTTGATGGGATCACTAACAGGGGATCTGATCATCAACAGCTGGGGACTTCACCCCTCGTGCTTTTGCGAGGTAGACAAACATGCATTTTGGTACAATATTGTGTGACCATACATTGCTGTGACCGCCCACCAACATGATCACAGCCTGACAGCTGCATGGCATCGATGAAGAAGTTCTAAGATCTCTAGAGAATCAGGCCTGTCATATTTGTGGCTGTTACGACATCTCGAAACAGCCACAGATGATCTTGTTGAACGTTGAACGCACTGCGCACCATGCCATGATGGCATGGATGCAATTTCGAAGCCCTCTGAGTGCATCTGCGGCTAAGATCTGAACGCACAACCGTGCGACACTGGCACCCGGTGGGCCACTGGCATACTTTATTGTCAATCTGTCTGGGAGAAACACTAGAAAACACTCCACTGTGTGGGAAGCACTTTCCACTAAGAGGCCATGTCCTCTGCTGCGTCATCCTGGTCCCACCAGGACACCACTCCAAGCCCATCCTCATCGATTGCGCCGACAACCTGCGCAGCACAAGTGCTTCTTCACGCCACACATTCTTACCTCCTCTTTCAATCTTGTCCTCCCAAACTCGCCAAGCACTGTGGGTTTGGGACGGAGCCCGCGTTCTTCTCTATTAAGTGTGCCAGGTGCATAAAAATCCAAAAATGGCGGCTGCTGAATTTGCTTCACACGTCCTTCGCAGTCCCCACACGCTCGAGTCTTCCCTGAAGACCCTGTCTAAGAGGCCTCCATACAGCTGCTCCTAGGCCAAGGGTGTCCTGCGCTTCCAGGTACATTGCAAAACAGCCCTTTCTGATTCATCTGGCGCTCGCACTGCCTTTCATTTCTGCATCACTTTTTTCCAATGACCCCAAGCAGAGAGTGACAAGACTGACCTGCATGGGTGCGAATGGGTTGGCGGCGGTGCCGAGCATGTCGCCGCCGGGCTCGGAAGCGCTGCGCAGCTGCAGCGCGTTTGGCGCCTGCCGGAACTTGACGCCCTTCACTCGCAGCCGGATTGCGTCCTCCATCTCCAGCCACATCGGCTGATCCTCAAACTTCCAAAACCACAGCCCCTCCGCCTGCATTGGGCATTTGTCAATATTTGACATTGGGCATGCATATATACTTGACCATGTGCACTAACGGGTGAGACTGTCAAAGATTTCAATGCCCCAGCCCCCTCAGACCGTCCATGGCGCAGATCATCCAGAGTGGGGGGCACCCAGGGAGCTCTGACCTGACATCTATAAATGTGCTTAGTGTTTATCTTGCATGCAGCATTAGTAGATCACTGATTCCTGCATCGTCTGCAAGCCTTGCATGGACTGATTGTCTCACGCACTTGCACTGAGCATGTTGATGTCAATGGGGGAATGGTGCTAAGCTGATGGATGTGATTGGAAAGCAAAGGATGTTGTGGGCAGGAAAGAACCTCATCAAAGAATGATGGCGCTGGGAGAGCATGCTCCGGAACGAAGATATCCTCGAAGAAATCCAGGCTCAGGTGCAACCCAGTCCTGAGATCACAATGTATCACACAGGAGTTAGAAACCTGCACGTCAAGGGTCTAGCAGCTTTCCAAATCGCTGGCCCAATGACTCTGGTGCAGCTATTGCTCAAGCACAGGACTGTGCAGAGGTTCTGCGGGCGCACTTGTCACATTTGGTGAGTCGGCCGACCAGGACTTCGCCTATGAATGGCCGGAACACCACCAATCTGAATTTCACAGTGTAGTGGGCTGCCCCCTCACTGGCGTATATTGACCCCCCTTGAATGTCAAGGATGTCGTAAATCGTGACCACCAGGCCAAGGTCACTCACGACCTGCACACACAAAATTTCGTCTCGCGGATAATTGATCAGACAAGCAGAATACTTTGGATGCAGGTAGGCAGCATGGCGCAGATGGAAGTTGCAAGAATCCATGCCAACCTTGTCCAGATACAACTGTTCGATCACGGCTGTTACAGCGTCAACAGTGGGTCGACCTAGATCGGCTGGCTCTATTCGGACTTTATCTTCAAGTTCAGACAGGATGAACATGTATCATCAAGAAAATCAAGTACCTTCAGCCAATCAATGTCCAGTGCAGCAACCCCCAACAAATCTGTAATGAAGTAATTTAGTACAAATGCAGATTTTATGAGCTCTGCAGCATCGCTTCCATTCGGCTGTCACAAACTCTCCAGTTACTTACCAGGAACGCCTCCGAACACGGTGTCCACCGCTTCCCGATGACTTCTTCTCCTCAACACCAGTTCTCAGTTGATATCTTCTTTGATCGGAAGGATTATCTATTATTTAAAGAAGTGGTGAACATCATCACTTTATTTCGCAATATTGCATTTTCCGGATAAGTGAAAGACTGCCGCGATCGTCAGCGGTTGCCCAATGAATTCAAGACTGTAATATTGCAGGGTGCACTGCCATTCTTCCATATGGAAGTTCCAAAAATAATACCATTGCCACGCGAATGGCAACTATTGCCCGGAACCTATGAGCTCCCACAGAGTATTAACGTAGGCTTCAAAGGCGAAGGAGCTGAGGACGTGGCCCTCTATTTATCAGGTGGGCTAGTTATCTTGGAAACCTCCATAGTGTAATTTTGGTTCCTACATGCAGAGATCAGTCGTGCCTGGCACCATTACGACGTCCCATGCTTGGCTTGTAAGCTCGACCTGATTACGACCAGATCAAGCTGTGGGGCACCGCTACTTGCAGTTTATAACACGTCCATCACCTTTTGTTGCAACTAAATAATACATTGAAGCGCCTCACCCACTGACAAAGTTCGACGACACATCCCAGAATACTTGGATGCGATCGTGGCATCAGTGGAGTTGAAGCAAGTGGACAACCCAGACAGCAGCCTCCCAGATCTGCCCATCCTCCTGTCCGTGGAGAGCGAAGGGGTGACATCCCTGGAAGGCTTGCCACATGTTGAAGAGGCCTACAACCTACAGATCACAGACATGGGAATTGCGATCAGGGCTTCTGCTGCTCACGGCCTCTTCAATGGGGTCATAAGCCTCCTGCAGCTGCTGCCACCCTGCGCACCCATGAACGATGACATCAGACTGGAGTGCATGGAGGCACGCCTCTCCTCTGACAGCTTCGAGCCCCAACATGCGTTTTAAAACTTTCCACTTTAGCCTGCGCCGTCACATGTGGCTGACCTGGCACTCGATGGTGGCAGGTGGTTGACGCACCGAGGTTCGATTGGCGAGGCGTGCTGCTGGACGTGGGCAGACACTTCTTCCCAGTCCCCTTCATTCTGAAGATCTTGGACGTCTGCGCTCTCTACAAAATGAATCGCTTCCACTGGCACTTGACAGAGGATCAGGTGAACCCTCGTCCCAGATGTGGCATCCAAATTTTGGTATATCCATATGCAAATATGTAAGGTTGGGCAACAATGATTTTGTAGATTGGGTTTGCAACGTGCAAGCGTAGAGACTTCATCCTTGATAAGAATGTTTCATGAATGCTGGCTGCAGGGGTGGAGATTAGAGATAAAAATGTACCCAAAGCTGACAGAGTTTGGTGCATGGAGAGGGAAGGATGAGGCAAACATGTACGGTGGCTTCTACACACAGGAAGAGGTGCGCAGCACCGGAAATTCACCTGTTCCCCGCAACCTTTACCATCAAGTGATTTGCTGGAAAAGCCCTGCTTTCTGTAATGTCACTTTTGCTAAAAAGTGTATGGACTGGTGGATTCTAGGTGAGGGAAGTGGTGGCTTATGCGACGCGGCGATTCATCACAGTTGTGCCAGAGATCGAGCTGCCAGGCCACTGTGGCGCTGCCCTCGCTTGCTACCCACATCTGGCCTGTGAGCACTTCTCCTCTTTCCTTACTTCATCTAGCATGGATTGTGCTTCAAGATGACATAAGGACATGAGGGCTTGCACCACATGAAGTGCAGATCAAGTGCTGTGAAGGTGCTCAGGCAGGGTGTGTCCCGCAGGTACTGGTGACGTCGCAGCAGTGCCGAGGCAATGGGGTGTGCATGAAGACGTGTACTGTGCGGTGTGTTCCTTCTATTATTATCCTCTACATACATATCCTAACCGTCATTTTGAGGATTGGGCAATGGTCTAACAGCAGTGTTACTGATGTGTTGCTTGCCAGGGGAAGGAGAGCACATTCACCTTCCTGGAGGATGTCCTCAACGAGGTTCTGGAACTGTTCCCCAGCGAGTTCATCCACATAGGCGGCGACGAGGTGGGTAGTTTTTTCAATTTTTAATTCCCAGTGTCAATCTTGGAACACCCAATCCACCTGTTATTTGCAGCTCTTGCTGTGCCCTTGTGGGGTGACAGCCATGTCTTTGCATCCCTGTCTTCCATGTCATGCTTGTCCTCCAGGTGTCCTTCATGTGTTCTTGTTGGAATTCCGTGGTTGCGACTATTGTCGACATGCTGAATTGTGGGACGCAGTGCCCCAAAACAAGGTGGCGGGCATGCGAGGCGTGCCAGAGGCAGCTGCGCGAGGCGGACCTAGAGGACGAGTACGCGCTGCAGTCCTGGTTCGTGGGCCGCATCAACAAGTTCCTGCGTTCCAAGGGGCGCCAGCTCATCGGCTGGGATGAAATCCTGGAGGGGGGGCTCTCCCCGGGCGCCATCGTCATGTCTTGGCGGGTGCGCGCTATGCATGCAAGTGATCCCTACTCACACCTCTTTACAGCCCCTCTGTGCATTGCCGGGGGACTGCCGGCAGTGGCATGTCCTGGTGGGTGTGTCATGGTCCCTGAATGTCTCTTATGATGATCCCTTTTGAATTGCCGGGGAGCTGCTTTTGCCATGTCACGACGTCTTGGTGGGCGCGCGATGCACCTCAGCGCTCCCTGACCACCTCTTTTGGTGATCAGCCCGTTTTGTACGGCTTTGGAGCTGCTTTTTTCATCGTGTGGTACGCCAAGCGCCCTACGCTCTTGTGTCAGCCCCCTTTTGACCTGCTGCGGGGCTGTTTTAAGAGAGGCGTAGCTGCATGGTCTGCCGAGTCCCTGCCTGTGTTACCGTGATGCCAGGCTGTGTCATGTCGCTACATGTGGGGAGTCCATCAAGCCAGTATGCAAGATGAGTCTGTGCTGCGACAGGGAGTGAGTGGGGGCGTGAAGGCAGCCAAGGCTGGCCATGAGGTCATCATGTCCCCAACCAGCCACTGCTACTTTGACTACCGACAGTCGCTCAAGTATGGCCGCACATCACACACATTATTCCCTCTAAACAATAAAGTCACACGAGTTGGACACGCCATCCTTGCCTGCACGCGCAGCTAACAATTGAAATACCTTTAGTTCTTGCAGATGGACTTCTGTGTGTGTCTGATGCCTGTTTTAAGTGGAGCTGGTTTGCAGGTATGACGAGCCTGGTGCCTGGTATGCAATGCTGCCGCTGGAGATGGTCTACTCCTTTGACCCGGTGCCCCCGCCGCCGCCGGAGCAGGAGCTCATACAGGAGCACACGCACGACTTCGAGGACGCTGATGCGTCTGCCTCAGACAGGTGCTTTCACAGCCTGTTTCACTGCTCTCTTTTCAGCAAATGAGGTATCTTACAATCTAGTATTTAAGCAGGTATCTTCATGTCAACAGAAAATTGGGCAAGCTCGCCAAGGCCTGCCAGGTGCCACGACTGATGGGCGCACTCGCGAAGAGCTTGGAGGAACACAGGCAAACCATGCCTTCACTATTAAGATGCTTGAAGCACTGTGATCACGATGCTTCAGCTGTTGTGTGTGCAGGAACGGCATTGAGGAGGGGCCTGCAGATGGGCCGAGCTCGCGGGAAGAGGATGAGGATAAATTTGTGGGTCCGGTGCCTCCGCCGCCCGCCACACCGCCCCAGGACTCCGACTCCCTTGACATCGATGTGGGCCTGGACAGTGCCTCCACCGGCATCCAACCCATGTCTGTCAGCGGGCCAGGTAAGTTTGCCTCTCCAACCTGCTCCTGCAGCTCTCTATATACATGAATCGCTTGATCATGGCAGGGATACATCATGCAGGGTGCATTGTACCCTCCTCATCAACAGAAGGATACCAAAAACCAACTTGCATCCCCATTGTTGAAGGATCCTTCTGCTATGACCCTGGAAGGTTCTCTGAAGACGCTCCAGGGGTTTGTGCGGAGGGCCTCACTCTGATCCGGTCGTGGGCTAGAAACCATGACGAAGTCATGCATTGCAGTGAAAGAGGTGCTGGGTCCGAGTGCTGGGTGTTGGGTGCGCAGGGAGCCCGGTCAGGGCATGCGAGGATGATGAGGAAGCAGACATTGAGGAGGACAATGCCCTGGAGGAAGGCAGTGTGGCGCACTTGAACAGCAGAAGAGGTCCGGCACCCTACTTTCTACATGAGGAATCAATTCATTTGATTTCATGTATTTTGATTGGCCACCTGTGCCAGTAGTAATGCTACTTGTTCGTCCTGACTCTCCGGGAATTTATTTTTCATTACACGGTTGTTCCAGCACTCAGGGCTAGGTCTGTTGCAGCAACCTCTCAATAATCCAAGGCAATGCACCAACATCGACTTTTTCCTTCTGATGCGCACAGATGGCGCGATTGGGGAGTGCCCTGAGGAGTATCTGGCGGCCATGGATGAGAACGGCGGCATCGAGGATGCTGGCCGGCAGGGCAGCGCCCCCGTGCTGGTGGGCCTCCCTGTGCGCCCGCAGTGCCCCTGGACGCTTGATCCTGAGTATGCTGTCAACATCAAGGGCGGCCAGGTGTGACCTTTGAACGCTCCCACTGACCCCGTGAATTGGCTGCCTTACCCTCTGGGCGCTGCAATTTGAATTTTCTAGACGAGAATCCCAGTTCCTGCACCATTGCTTCTGCTGCCATTGGAGTCCTGTTTGTTGCACACACTGCATTGAAGCCGCGAAGCTGCCCCCTCTCCCTGGATGCCACTTGCTTTGTCTTTTATGTTTTACATCCTCCCCTGGCGTCACATTGATCTAGAAAACTACAAAGCTCATTGCAGCTCCTTCCAGGAAGCCCATTTCCAACATCATCCACATCCTTGAAAGTGTTGCACGCCTGAGGCAGCACTGCACGTGCAGGCAAACGTGTGGACGGAGTACATCTCCGACGAGGCAACGGTGGAGTACATGCTGCTGCCGCGGCTGACGGCGCTGGCCGAGGCCGTCTGGTCGCCCCCAGAGTCACGCGACTGGGGCAGCTACCTGCACCGGCTCAAGGCGCACCTGCCGCTCCTGGACGCGCGCTCCTTCAACTACCGCCCGCTCGGCTGATCAGCGCTGTGCAGGCTCCTCCATTTGAGCAGCCGTACCTCTTGATTCGCTGTTCGCTTGGCTGATGCTGCACCGGGGTGCTTCTCCATTTGAGCAGCCGCACCCCTTCATTTACTGCCCACTCGGCCGATGCTGCACCGTGCATGATGGTAGATCATGGACCTGGTGCACTGATTTGGCACAGTGAAAAATCGAGCTGTTTGAACAGCAGACGCACCCCTTGAGCTACTGCCCGCTTGGCTGATGCTGCACTGGGTAGCTTGCGCTGTTGAGCTGGCGGCACGCTGCTTGGCTTGAAGTGGGAGAGAGGGAGAGCAGCCGGCTAGCTGCATGGCTTGGACTGGGAGAGAGGCGCAGCAGTGACACTCAAGAATGTGTTGGACGGGTAGCCATAGCCAAGGAGTAAGCCTTGCTGCAGCCTTTGCATTCTGCATTTTTGTGACCTGGCTTCTGCAACAGGTAGACACAACATTTCTTGCACTGATCAGACTTTTCTAGGTGGACAGATGCCGTCAGTGGGGCATCGAATCAGCCATTAATCCCATATTTATATTTTGGGGCAGCCCGGTTTCAAGGCAAGGGGCTCAAAGAGTTGCCTTGCAACAGGGTCACAGAAGAAAGAAAGCTACTTCAAGCAATTGGCAGTCTCGACCTAGAGAGTTGTGATGCCAATGCTATTGCTTAAGAGCTTGAAGCCTAGTGGGGTGGAGCATTTGGAGTGAGGCTGTCTAGTATTGCAGAGCTCATATTGTAGATTCTTATTGATGGAAGCCATGCGTGGCAAAGAATTCATTATCATCACCAGAGACTACTTTTGGTAGTCAGCATCCAAGAGCATTGTTAGGCTCATGTGTTGCATGTGCTGTGCAACATCAGGCAGTAGCTTTGCTTGCTCCGACTGGTATGATGCGCATCTGATTGGAGTTGAGGTCTTGGGCAGAGTGCAGTTCCCATATTATCTGAGAGTGCTCTGCACAGACCACTGATCTAGACCTCAACGAGAGTCAGACTGACATGTATACACCGGTATCGTGACAGCTGCCAGTTGACAGTGTCACAGGTTATTCATGCGCCATTACTCAATGTACTCTACAATGTACTCTACTCGCCAATATTGAGACAGCTGTGGCAACCATTCACTAGTTTTACTTTTCAGTTGCGCCAAGTCGGCATGCGCTGCACATGCAGAAACTGCACACGCCTTACATGGACCTTTGGCAAGGACAGTATCTCACAGTCGATTGGCAGTGCCATATAGCAGTGCCACATCTCACAATCGATTGGCAATGCCAGGCATGCTCACTGCGCAGTGAGCATGCATGCAGCTGCTGATTTCAACCAGAGTCCTCATGGCATGAGACCTTTCCATGCAATTCTCAATTTCCAGCAATATCCACAGGATAAAGCCTCTGGGTCTCAAACATGAAAGATGCACGATATCAATGGATCTTCATTTATGATTTCTCAAGACATCTGCTAGCTTCCTCTAGCTTCCGCGTATTTCCAAATTCCACTTCGATTCGCGGCTGGTATACGACGTAATACGGCCGCAAGACATGTGTATATATATCATATTATTTGCATCGCATTAAACGTTGCGAAAGTGATGATGAAAATATCACATACACACGAACTCGTGGAGTGAGCACTGGGAGAGGTGTAAGACGCTGATCTGAGGTTTTGAGAGCAGACTCTCCAATGCCTGCGGCATCTGAAAAATCCGAGTCGCATGGGATGTCTTCGAGCTCTCCTTTTCAAAGGGGGACCGAGCAGGACGCAGAGCTTGGAGTCCCTCTGCTGGAAGATGAGCACTATGATGAGACGTCCTGGCCCAGCTTCCCAGACATCTGGCAGGTGGAGAGCTGCCTCGATTCACGTTCACACACCCTTTCCATTTCTAACATCTTCAACAGAAGTTAGCTGAAAATATGGAACAGGAAGGTTCATTCACAGTAGGAACACTCCTTTTACTGTTTGCAGGAAATACTCAAGCAGAGCAAGCTGGCGCTACCATTGGGCGTCAACCTGATAGTCAACTACTCAATCACCACCATATCCCTGACCTTCAACTCCCACCTGGGCACGCAAGCCGTGGCGGCTGCCTCACTCGCGAGTGCCACCTACTGGATGTTTGGCAAGCTCCTTGTCCAGAGCTTGTGCGGCGCGCTAGACACTCGAGCCTCTCAGGTGCACAGCAGCAGCCCATCTTGCCACCTCAGCTATGCAAGTGCTTCCTAGCCCACAGCAGTGCCATCTTCCTCCTGCTTATGCATCCTGTACTGTCCCAAACAGGTGTCCCCAAAAGGTGCCTTACCCCAGATGGAGTAAGTGTCTCTACGCTACTGAACAAGGATCCAATCAGCCATTGATGAGTCAAGCATGTGCATGCATGCAGGCGTATGGGTCCGGCGCGTACGATGCCATCGGGGTGATATTTCAGCGCTGCGTGCTGTTCATGCTCGCACACTGCATCCCCATCACGTTCGTGCAGCTGGCGGTCCCAGAGTTGCTGAAGCTGGCAGGCGAGGACGCAGAGCTGTGCAGACTGGCCTCTGCCTATGCACTCCGCCTGCTGCCCAGCCTCTACCTGGAAGCCCTCAGCAGGTGGCTTGCTAATCCCAGACCAGGCTTGCAGCAGCAGATAATGTTTCACTCGGCCCCTTGGCTCATGGCTGCTGCCACTGGGGCATGTTACCAACACCACACTAGCAAAAACCTGCAGATAACTTCCTCCAGCGCTGCTTTGCGCTGCCCATTTTGCGCATACTCTGCCGGAATACCATGGCAGCTCACGGTGCAATACCTGGGAGAACGGATGTCCTACAGATTGCCTGCATGCTCTCTGCTTGGAGCTTGCAGAAGTACACCTTGCTAAAAGGTGCAGGAGGTTGTCCTGCGGCCAGTCAGCGCAGCTGAACAATATATCGGCGACAGTAAGCCTCGTTGATAAGGACATTTGCGATGTGCTCTGCAGGCCGCTGAACAGGGTGCTCATAGCGCAGCGCATAGCAGCGCCACAGATGGCCATATCCATGGTGGTGGCGGGCGTGCATGTGTTTGCCAACATCTTCTTCATCCACACCCTGGGCTTTGGTTTCCTTGGAGCGGCGTACGCCATCTGCCTGGCCTCGTTGAATAACACGCTGCTGACTGCGGGTTACATCATCGTGGCCGGCATGCAGGACCGCGTATGGGGCCAGCCCACCTGGGATGCCTTCAAGGTGCAGTCACCCACTTCATCAATTAGTCACCCACACTGCATGACACATGGCAAGGCGGGGACGTTCTGCTGAGCATGAGTGTGCGGCTGGTTTCAGCCCGCCTCAGCCAACTTGATCCTGTTCTTTGTGTGGGAGGGGCTAAAATTTGTTGCGAGAAATTCTGCTCTTCATTTCTGACCCTTTCACGGATATGATGTGCTCTCCAAAAGGGGCCTGATCTGGGAGGACCACTTAGCGTGGAAAGCGATGTGAGCATACCGCAGGCTGCCCGCTGCAATACAGCCAACGTCTTCTTTGTCCCTTGTATTGAGAACAAGCTTGCATGTGTGTGGGGCGCAGCGGTTGGGGGATTTTGTCATCATGCGCATGAAAGGCCTGTGACAAGCTGTGCTTGAGTGTGATCTACAATTTCTGAATCTTTCAGGATTGTGTTGGTCGCTCGCATTCTGCCATGGAAAGTCTGGCCTCTCTAAATCTTGTAAGCGCATTGATTGACAGCCTGTAGACTGCCTGTCCTCCGCTGTCAGCCAATAACGAAGGGTGTGGGGTGCAGCGTTGGGGGGAGTTTGCGCGGTTGGCGTACAGCTCGTGCTTCATGAAGGTGGCGGAGTCCTGGGCGTTTGGCATGATCGTGCTCCTGGCAGGGCTTATGCCCGACCCAGACCGCTCTGTTGCGTCAGCATCCATTACCTTCAACGCCTACGGCATCACATACATGGTGTTCTTAGCGCAGAGCATTGCCGTCAGCACCAGGTGCTTGCTGCCTGCCTTGTGCGCTCCCCTTACAAGCTGATCATTCGTGCTCGCCGAGATCCCAACAAGGCAATCAACTGCCTCGGGAGCAAAAGGCCCAATTAGGTACTGCAGAGAGAGTGACAGATGGGATACTGAGAATTGCTTGTCTTTTCAGCCTGGCAATGGTGCCAGTTGATGACTTTGTAGGAGCAGCCGTTGCTTCTCAAAGATATGTAGCATACATTTGAGCATCCCCATTCTCGCAGTTGGCACTGCAACGCAGAGACCAATGAGCAAGGCCACTGGCAGTGACATCAGGGGAGAGGCTGCCTCCCATCCCAATTGCTGGAGGACAGCATTCAAAGCAGGACACTGCAAACTGGAGGGATATGCATTCTGCCAAGCTGCCAAACGCTGCAGCAAAATGCTTGAATTTATTTCCCCTTGACTGTGCTGCTGTGCAGGGTAGGAAACGAGCTGGGCGCGGGCCGGCCGAGGGCAGCGCGCACGGCGGCGGCGGCGGGAGTGACTGTGACGCCGCTGCTGTGGGCCGTGATTGCGGTGATTTTAGCGGAGCCGCACCTGCAGCGGTTGGTGCTGCTGCTGTATCTGGACGGCAGCGACCCCGTGCTGTGGCGCTCCCTCTCCCGCCTGCTGCTCATTGTGGCTGTTGTGGAGCTGTTTGATGGGCTGCAGACCACATTGGGCGGCGTCGTGCAGGTATGCCATTTTTGTCTTCCCTCTTTTTGACTTTGTTACCCTGTTCCCTGTTGTGAAGAGGCGGCACATTCATGCCGCTTTGTCTGTAGGGCAAATGGACCTGTGTCTGTCTAACTTGCGCAGTAATCATGATGCCCATTTTTTGCACCAAGGATTAGTATGAGGCTTTCCTGTGTTTGGAACTGCGAGCATTGTGCGGGGATGAACGTGTCATTGAGGAAGTGTTGGTGAGTAACAGGGGAGTGGGAAGCAGCAGAGGGGGGCGTTGATAAACGTGGTGGCGTTTTATATTTTTGCGCTGCCCTTAGCGGCGTTCTTGGGATTCTACTGTCAGTGGGATGTGACAGGACTATTTGCGGGGATGGGCATGGGTCCCTTTGTGCAAAGCATATTGTATGGCTTGCTGGTGCTGCGATTGGACTGGAAGAAGGAGTCCAACAAGGCGGCTGAGCTGGCAGGCAGGGAGGAGGCTGAGGTGTTGATCAGGCGGCTGTCAGAGTCGATGTCTGCCGCTGAGAGGCTGCTGACAAATGGGTCGCTGGATAACATGCAAGTTGGCTGCGTGAATGTCGCTGCAGCACGTGTGCTGCAGTCGAGTCCCGGGGAATGGCGGGAGTCCTCATCAGAGCAGGGCCAGTCATGAGTTATTTTTTTTGGTTTCACTCATTTTCATTCCCACAACACTGTGCCAAGTCCATATGGGAAGTCAATTTTCAATGCTGGATTTAGACTTGTACAACATATTGCTAGGCGCCCTCAGCAAAGCCTTCTGGAATGCATGGTTACCTGCAGTGACAATTGATGCAGTAAGGGAGGCCTGCAAGCATTGCAATGTGTGTGGCAACGCCAGTATTTTGGTATGAGTTGGATATAAGAAACCCCTGGAAGCCCAGAATTGCTTGTATGCATTCCAATTTCAGAAGCCAAACTTTGCTCACCAAATGAATACTGCGGAAGACACTTGACAATTTTTATTACTTGCATTTCCTATTGTTCAAGACATTCAGGTGTTGGCAATCATACGACCGATTAATAGATGAATAGACGAGGCCATGGCCATGTAAGCTATTTCAGACGAGCAGGAAGCTTTTTCAAGCGCTCTTTTAGGACAATTGCAGCGCTCTCCTCCGCAGTCTCCAGCCTCCACTTGTGCTCCACCTGCACCCATCAACTCATTTCATATCTCACAAATCTGCCCTGCCAATTTGTCCCCCTCTAGGCATCGCCCTCGACATCATAGCCATCCCAGCGCCAACCTAGCACCGATGCCACAGCAAGCCAGGATGGGGTCTCTGGGCATGCAACAGCTTACTTCTTTCCATTTCCTTTTGTTAGTGTAAGTTTGTTACTGTATTTGTCAGTCTATTGACCAAAGCCACCACAAATTGCGTACTCAAATGCCTGCACAGCACGGCTCGTGGACCGATTTGGACTTGTCTCTGCCTCAGAGAGCAGAGCATCCCAGTACACCTCTTAATCTGAGTCTTTTGCGCAACACAGCAAGAACACAGCATGGCTCATGAACCCAGCTGGGACTATTGTCCTGGCTTCGGAAAGCAAAGCAGCTGGCCGTCTTGCATTGCTGTAACAAATCATTCTGCAACCTTGCCAGGGTTTGAGGGGTATGATGTGGGTGGCGGGGGGCCTTCGCACCCCCCCGCACCTAGTCACAGCTGGGCTCCGGGGTACTTAATTCGTGCCTTCTGTCAGAATTACTGGGATTGCTTCCAAGATGCAGGGAGAGAAACGCACAACGTCAAAGGCTGCTTATCTCTGAATTAATGACTCACAATGTGAGGCTGCAAGTGCTGCACAGTGTCCAGGGCAAAAACTCTGAGCTAATGACACAGATACTAAAGCTGCAGTTGCTGCACAGTGCAGGGCAGCTACGCACTATGTAGGGGGCAATCAATTGACATACTGGGGCTGCAGGTTCTGCCAAGATGCAGGGGAGAGCAGCGCACCATATCGAGGGCGGCGCGCTCCGTCTCGAGGGCCTTGGTGGGGTCGCCGCCGGTCATGGCCGCCATGGGGTTGGCGCCGCCGCCCATGCCCATCTGCTGACGGTACATCTGCGTCTCGTCGATGGTGTTCTCGCGAAAGAACAGCATGAACACTCCGCGCAGTCCAAACAGCAGCAGGATGTAGTACGACAGCGACGTGAAGTAAGTCACGTCCAGGGAGGGCAGATCCACCCCTCGCTGCATGCACACCCGGACACCAGGTCAGATAATAGTGACAGCATAGTAAAATGCTTACTTTGGCGAGTAAATTTGACCCTAGGTTTGTAAGGGGTGGGGTGTGTGGAGTTTTCACCTGCAGCATGAGCCGGAAGGATGGGCTCAGAGGGAAGGGGATCTTCCCCAGGATGAAGCCAGAGAAGAAGTAGCTGACAAATGTGCCCATGGCAATCTGTGCAGCACACCAAAACAAGTCATGTAACTTGCACAATTGCACAACATAGTGGACAACACTGTAGTAAGCAAGAATCAGTGGTAGACGGATAGGTCAGTGGCGTGGACCGGGCACTTGCCTGAGGTATGATGCCAACCAAGTTCTGCTTCATCATGCCCGACATCATGTCTGGATTGGTCATCATCTGCTCCTGGGCTGACTTCTGCTCTGACTTCTGGCTGAATACTCCAGTTTCCTGCAAATCGCCGCACAGGACTGTGAGCCTTCCTGGCATATACAGAGGAACCGCACAGAGGTGAAATGGCACAGGATAAAGCAGATACTGAGCACCAAGAGTTCATTCAGGAGGCGTGGAAGGTGGAGCCGCTGAACAGAGGCTTGAGAATTCAGACCTTGGCCGCAAAGTACTTTACTCGCTGCTTGAAAGCGCCTTCTGGCAGGAAGGCATATCCCTGCCGGAGAAGCTGGGATCGCGCCAACGCCTGCTTCTCTTTGACCTCCTTCAGATCCACCTTTTGTTGAGAGGAGCCCCCCATCAGAGCCTGCATAAGCAGCACAAGTGTTTGACCTGACAGCTGGGAGCAAATAATTGCAGGGTATGATCATTTGTATGGTTTTATTCGGGAGCTACCTGGGTCGCATATTGCCTGATGAGCATCATCAGGAATATGGAGATAGTAAGAGGCACTAGCACCCAATCTCGCACATCCCGATCGAGTAGGATATCTTGTGCACCCATGATGCTGACGTCTTAGGGATCCGCTTCACAAATTACTATTGACACATAGACCTTGAAGGAGGATCGCTTGGGAACCTCTGGCAGTTGCAATGTTGCGAGAATTGCTTTAAGAGGTTAATCCGAGATGGTAGACTCCTTTACCAATTGAAAGGGCATGCGCAGAGGAGACGCTTTATAAGAACAATTTGCACGAAAGTAGGGGTAGTGGTGTGAAGTCTAAAATCAACAGAGGCAATGCACTTGTCTTGGCGACGCACGTGACACTGAATTAATCGCACGTGATCAATTGGGAAGATGTGGGACGAATATTGCCTGACTTTGAGGCTCAAGCGTGGTAGACTAAGCAGCAGATGTCATATGATAGCTGTCATAAATATTACACTCCACCAAGATGGCGTGAGGCAGTTGCACGCCCAATCCTGAGATTTCACGATGACGCTTTCAAGCTTTAGCACGATCAACACATTGAATGCTTTCACGTGGGAAAGTTCTCCATGAACTGTCTTAACTCTACAAAGAGGTCGCGCTTTGAGTTCATAGGCTTAGCTCTACACTTTTATGTTTACTAGTAGAACCCAACTAGTAAACATCCGTTCAGTTCAATCGTCTCTTGTTCCTGATGTTGTGATAGACTCAATACAGCATACTGATCAGGTAGTGTTGTGCCAATAATAGCTTTATACACCACCGTCATGCCTGTGCTGCTGATGATTCAACCCCAAACATCTTGGGAGTGTGCCAATTCAGATTTCTTTCTGCATCTCCGAACTCCACATTAACTTGAATAAGCGTCCTCTGCCTCCTTTTCTGCTTGGGTCGACCGCAAGCGCAGCCGTATGGGGCCTTTTGCAGTGGAAGGCTCCACGACCTGCCCTTTCTGAGTTATTTCCAGCAGACCCCTGGCTACCAGCCGCGCAGCGGCATCCCTAGTGGGCTGCATCAGCGGCCGCCAATCTGACGGCCTCACTCTGCGCGGCACCTCGCTGCCCACACAAGGATCATCAGCTGTCTTCCTTGCCACAGTGGTTCATGCTAATTGGGTGTGCCCCAACAGCAGCCTTGGATAGCAAATAGATGAGCAGATCCAGCATGTTCAGCATGACAGCAATGGCAGATTCAGGTCAAGAGGGAAAGATTTTTGCAGGTCTTGCGGTCCCCTGTGTCCACCACAGATACTTGTGCTCACCAGCGTCGCTCACCTTGGTCAGCAAGTAGATCCAGGTCTCCGGCCTTGCAGGATCTCCAAAATGCCCTCCTCCAGCTTCTGTGCAAGTACTGAAAAGTCATCTGGTTCATCCTCATCCTGTGCAGCCTCCTGGTCTGCCTCTTTGCGAGGCTCAGCAGGTTCACCAACCTGCGGACCTGCTTTCTCCAAGACACTTTTCCTTTTCGCGCCCATGAGCGCTGCAGTTGATAAGCACACAGCCTCGATAAGTCTCACAGATGATGAAGACAAAATACTCTGATGAATTTTGGAAGCAGTCCTGGCCTCCTTGCAGTCCTATTCAGGCCCCTGCTCCACACCTCAATGACGATGCACCACGCTGGACACAGACATTCCAATATCGATCCGCTCAATTCAATACTTGCTCAACATGTTGTCATAGTGCTTGCATAGTATTGGCCAAAGATGTCGTTCTTGACACCAAAGCACTTTCAGGACGCATCGAGAATACTTCGAGGCGTTGCTCTGGTAGCAGCAAGGGCTGCTGCGGACAGGTGTGTCGATCCAGTCATCACATCGATAACTGAAATTTTCTCTTGACGGGATTTCTTGTGAGATCGCTTATTTATCTGACGGTTCTGCAGATGTGATGGCATGTCGACAATGCTGTCTGTCACATGATTTCTGGACGAAGATCTGCAGAATGTTGTGTATAAGTACATCCTTGATGCAGAAGTTTTGATATAGTGAATTGCGTCCCTGGCAACCTTGATTGGTATATTGCAAAGCTGACCCTCCTCTGGTGCACTATGCAGCAAACTATGGAAGCAGGCCGGGAAGACAGACCACAGTAAGTCTTTGCAAAATGCGTTGGAGCAGGCCAGCAAGCAGAGTGCACAGCTCGCAGAGTCCCTGCAAGAAGCTGCACAGAGGGGCGGCAATCCCCCAGATGCTGTAGCGCGCGGCCTGCAGGAGAGCAGGCAGACTGCGCAGGCCATGGCAGAGCAGCTGCAGGGGCAATTGCAAGGTGTGCACAAGGCAACTGGATGCCGCATTGACCCCGTGTAGTCTGCCACTGAATATTAAAAACATGCTCTCTTGAAGCTCTGCAAATTCTTTAGTCAATGGCCTTGATCGCTTCATACAGGTGTCCTCAAGGACGGGGAGCGGTTATTTAATGATACTGTCCGTGGCACAGGGCCTCTGCAGGAGCGCTTGCAGCAGGTGCATGCTTGCTCCTCTCGTGAGCCTCAAATAGTGAGGCTGTCTAGTTTTAAGACATGAAATGGTACCGGTGCCACTTTAAAAAAGCATTGGTAGCAGCAAAAAATGTCTTGGTGTGGCGTCCATGCACCGCAGGTGGACAGCTGGATGCAGCAAGGCAGTGAGGCGGTTGCCAGCACAGCTGATGCCGCAGTGCAGAGCACCCAGGAGACTGTCTCGGCAGCTGCCTCTGCAGTGCCGTCCTCGGGCACTCCACACAGGGCTCTGGTGTTTGCCAGCAAGGGAGGCAGAGCAGTGGTGGAGCCTCCCTCAGAAACCAGCCTGCTACCCGAAACTGCTCTTGTACCAGATAGATCACTAAATCTCTCAGCACCACCTGCTACTGCTGTGCCTGCAGCAGTAGACAGCCCGATTAGCAGCTCCCCAGAAAGCCTGGCACCTCCAATAGAGGTAACGCAACATTCTCGAGGCAAAGACATGCACACCTGCACGCCTGCATGCGAAGTTCACTGTATCGCAAAAGAATTCCATGGTCAAGCTCATCTGCTGTGTCTCGATTAAATTTGCAGACGCTAGCTCAGATGAATTTGGAGTCTACCACTGGCCGGCTTTTTGAGGGCGGCAGTGCCTCACTTCTGGCGGAAAACCCAGGAGCGCAGGAGCGCATCCTCTCATCGGCGGACGCAGAAGCGAGCACAGTCCGCGCAGAGGAGCAGCTGGGCGCCATCAGGGCGCAGGGGCAGATGCTGGGCGCCAGAAAGGTGGGCTGCTCCCCCCCTGGCATCCCCAATGGCAACACCATAGACGCTGCAGTGCTGTCTGGTTCTGCTCAACTGTCTGGGACCATTGTGCACGAGTAGCCCTCTCATGACTTATTCATCTGGTACGCCACACACGCCTGGTAGCAGGTATTTTCTGTCTCAAAAGGACTTGAGAATAAAGGGTGGCATCGAGAAACAGCTGCAACAAAGAAGCTTGTGCCATCCCCACAGAGGTCCAAGTGCATGGAGAGCTTGAACATGCACCTGCTGCGGCGCAGGAGGACTCGGTGGCGAAGCAGAAGGCGGAGGTGCGGCGAAAGCTGCGCGAGCGGCGCGTGCCTAGCAGCCCCATCGGCCGTGCCATGGGATTCGCGCAGCTGGGCGCCAGCCTCGTCTACGGCACTGTCTCCGACTCCGTCTCTCAGTACTTCCGCGGCAGCCCCCCTGAGACCGCCGACAGACCCAGCAACAGGTGCCGATTTTGCACCCCTTATCGTTAAATTTATTTATTTCTCTGGCGGGTACTCACCAGATGACCTCTGGGTTGCAGCCGGGATGTGCAAAATACAAGCCTGGGTCGGGGAAAGGAGCACTGCAGACATCTGAGTGCTTCAAGTGCAATGGGATTCTTAGCGCCATCACGGGGCTTGCAGTTGAACAGCTTCAGGATTGTTCATGCCCAACAAGGTCTCTGCAAACATACACCTATAAATGTAAAGGATGTGACTGGCCATGGTGGACCAGGAAGGCAAGAGATGTCTCTTTACACAGGGCAGCAGGACACAAGCACATGCCTGTCGCAGAGTCCGTCTCTGCAATGACATGACTCAGGTGATTGTCTTTATTATTGGGGAGAGAGTTTAAATGGGGAGCAGGTATTTGACGGAGGCGAATGCGGAGCGGCTGGCGGACGCGCTGTGCCGCATGCGAGGCGCGGCGCTCAAGCTGGGCCAGATGCTGTCCATCCAGGACGAGAACGTGCTGCCGCCCGCGGTGCAAATCTGAACCAAACGCTGCAGTTGTAAAATTCTGCTGCCATGTGCTTGTGCATGTCATATTGCATACCGCCATTCAGGACTGACACGTGCACTTTACTGCCTCTAGCGCATTTACTGCCATGCAGAGGTGCAGGCAGAGCAAATCCTTGCAGGAAGCTCTTTGGTGCTCGTTCTCTCGGTAGAGGATAACATGAGGCGGGCAGGCCTTACGTACAATACGGTGTCAAGCATTGACGAGTGAAGCTGCATGCGCGCAGCTGTCGGCGGCGTTGGAGAGGGTGCGGGCAGGTGCGGACGTCATGCCCCGGAAGCAGCTGGAGAAGGTGATAGTGGCCGAGCTGGGCCCAGAGTGGCGCGCTAAGCTGGCCGACTTTGACTTTGAGCCCCTCGCTGCCGCCTCCATCGGCCAGGTCAGAGCCCAGCCTGTGCCTGGCAGAGGATCTTACACCTTGCTGGATTTCTATTCTTGCAGGCTGGACACTGGCTATTGCATACGTTTGGTTCAAAAGCGTGCTTGATTGCCTTTTTGGCGCCTATGGTTTTGTGCATACAACTTGTTGATGTGAAAACCAGTGAACACGATACCAGGAAGAGCTGCGCTGGAGAGAGGCAGTAGGCTGACCTAGCATTATACAGTAGATAGGAAATCTGCTTTTCGGGCAAAGCTGCAAATCCCGTTTTCAGTCAATACCTGAATGGTGAAGTCATGCAAAATCTCTGATGTCTGGAAGGTTGTCTTCAGGTGCACCGGGGGACGCTGCATGACGGGCGCCAGGTGGCGATGAAGATCCAGTACCCAGGGGTCGCGCGCAGCATCGAGAGCGACGTGGACAACCTCCTGCGCCTCATCTCGTACGCCAACGTGCTCCCCAAGGGTCTCTACGTCGAGGCCGCCGCCAAGGTCCGCCGCTGCCTGCCCCAACCGCAATCGGCAACATGTTGACTGTATCTCTCGGCTCTCCTGTGCCTAGGGAGGCATCATGTGGGCTCATCTGCATGCAGGCAATTGTGCGCCGGCCAGCATGCAAGGCCACAGGCTCTTCCAATGCACACACCTGCACAATGCTGAGACAGCCCAGAGGCAAATAGATCGTGTGCCCCCACAGGATGCTTGGATGCATGGACTGGTCAATCAAACCACTTGGTGTGACTCAGCACCAGGCTGTGATGGCCGCAAAGAAGCAGGTCATTGCACCAAAGCATGCAATCACAATAAGAGCTAGCAGCCAAGGCTGTGAAGTGGTCGTTCTTGCAAGCGCAGGTGGCCAAGCGGGAGCTGGCGCTGGAGTGTGACTACTCGTATGAAGCGCGCTGCCAGGAGCAGTTCAGGCAGCTGGTGGCGGCGGATGAGGGCTTCCACATCCACGTCAACGTACCGCAAGTCATCGCCGAGCTTTGCACGCCCCGCCTGCTCACCACCGAGCTTGTGCCTGGCGCCCACATTGACAAGGTGCATTTTCTCTGCTGGGCCATCTTTTTGTTATCTCAATTTAAATCAATATGGAAACCCTCCGGGGCACATCCATTTGAATCGGTGTGAAAATAAAAGCAGCCTGGTGAGCCCAACCGCACTTTGTACCCGTGGTGGTGTTTCCTTGCTTGCAGCAGAAGTCACTTTAAGCTCTCTCCTTAACTCACAGCCGCCCTTGCCAGCCCCTACACGCACCAGCCTGCATCCCTCTTTTGTATACTTCTCAAATGCGGGCAGAACAGCATGAATTTCTCGTAGACAGGTCTTTCGCCGTAAACGTATACGTGACTAAGTGATGCACAGATGAAAATTGGTGTGACATATGCATGTGGGGGTGCGCCAGGTGGCGCTGATGTCACAGGAGGTGAGGGATGCGGTGGGCACGCTGCTGCTGCAGCTGACGCTGAAGGAGCTGTTTGAGTGGCGCTTCATGCAGACGGATCCCAACTGGGGCAACTTCCTCTACGACGCCCCCTCCGGCGTACTCCACCTCATTGACTTTGGTGACCTCCCCTGCACCTCTCACAAACTCTGCTAGAGTCCGCCGAGGAGTCCGAGTAGTGAGCTCCCCTGCACCTTTCACAAAGACTGGTAGGCTTTGATGAGCAATCTCCCTGGTAGACTCTCCAGCGAGATGTAACAATTATCATTTTACGCTGATCCTGGCACACTCAAGGTGCGTCTGCAGACAAGCTGCAATTAAAGATAGTCACAGACAATGCCCTGTCAAGCAGACGAGATGGAAGCTCTTGGCCATGCATTGCACACAGAAATTCTGGCGTGCTTTTGAGAACGTTGTTGGTGCCTGTGCAGGTGCCGCGCGGGAGTTTCCTCAGGCGTTTGTAGACGACTATCTGCGCATGGTGAAAGCCTGCGCTGAGCAGGACAGGACCGAGGTCATCCTGCGGTCCACGCGCATGGGCTTCCTCACCGGTAACGCCACACGCTCCATTCTCCTCACACCCTACTCTGCCCCGTTTACTCTAGCGCCTCACATCCCTTATCACTTGCCTAGCTTGCATGCCTGCCTCCATGTAGCCAGACATTGCAGATTGCAAAGATGAATGGTCTACTGCCCATGCCACTCTTGCCCTCTGCTCTAGCACCCCCCTTCCAGCATGTCCTCCAGCATTTCTCACCTTGCCCAAATACCGGTATCCAGCAGCCTGCCTCTGGGCTTCGTCACCAAGCCGGCCATTTTTCTGCATGCATGCAGGCGACGAGTCTGCTGTGATGCTGGACGCGCATGCAGAGGCGGGGTATGTAGTGGGCACGCCCTTTGCGACAGAGGGCAAGTATGACTTTGCGCAGCACGGCGCGCTGACGCGGCGGGTGTCTGATTTGGGCGCGGTGATGCTGCGCCACCGGCTGACGGCTCCGCCGGAGGAGGCATACTCGCTGCACCGGAAGCTGAGCGGCGCCTACTTGGCCTGCATCAAGCTGCGCGCGCGCGTTCCCTGCCGCCAGCTCTTCTACGAGTCCTACAACAAGCATGTGTTCGGCACTGAGGCCCCCCCCGTGCCGCAGCAGCAGGCCGCCTGATTTAGAAGGGCCTATAGCATCTCTCCGCACTAGTGACAGGTCCTCATGTTTGCTTTTCGCTCGTGGATGGTCCTGGTCTAGCTAAATGCTGCTCAGGAGACGTGCCTGGCATATTTGCACCTACTGCCTTGTTGGTCTTTTCTCGAACTTGCAGCTGCCTATACCATCACCTATAGGCGATGTATGCCATTCTGTGTCCCTGAACTCATGACGAGCCTAGAGTACCGCTGATTATATACTCAGCATGCAATGCATGCCTTTTGTTGTCTTAAGAGCTTGTTGCGTTCAGTATTCAATTGGAAGGTCCTTAACGGATGTAGCTCACTGCAAGTAGCCATGCGTGTAGCTAGCCATAGCCACAGAGGTGATATAGATATTCACCGCGCTAGTTCAGATAAATTCAAATTGTAGCAAGCATAATATTTACATTGAGCACATTCCATCACACTCAACATTGAGGTGTAGTAATGGAGCACAGCCATAGATACACTCTTCACTGAGGCATCATTCATATAGTAAGTCTGCACCAGCCACTGAAATCCCTGATTTTAAGCTCATTTCAATTGATCTCTCTCTCATACTTGGCATCTTAGGCGAATAGTAATGCAAGCCAGCATGCTGACCCCTAAGCTTGCTCTGCCTATGCCTATGGATCTGCTAGGACAACCACGAGTACTCGTACTAGAGTCCTAAGGAGCACCGGTGCTGACGGGCGAACGGCAGCCAAGCCTTACTCAGGGGCCACCGTTACCAATCCCACACCTCCTAAGGGTCTTCTAGTTGACATGGTGCTGACGGGCGAACGGCAGCCAAGCCTTACTCAGGAGCCACCGTTACCAGTCCCACACCCCTAATATACCCTAGCCATACCAAACACTACCGGACAAGACCATGATGCTGATCAGCGAACGCCAGCCATGCCTTACTCAGGGGCCAGCGTTACTGATCCCACACCATTAGGGACAGAGGACAAGACTTGACCACTGTGACTCTCACCATTCTGGTCGCATCAGCTCACCTAGAAAGCCAGCATGCTGGTGTGGCTGGGCAGAAAGCATCACGTGGCTGTTTCAATTCACACTAGCAGAATCCAGTCTTCTGCGGCTGATCAACATCTCATTGCAGACTCTCATTCGTGCTCCATGTGCTCAATGACTGTACAAAGCATTGTCATACGTGTACTTGCAAGGATCCAGTCCTGCGAGACACACGGTCAGTGCACATGAAGTAAAGATTAGCAAAAGCAGCTGTCACATAAATGCAGGTCTGTAGCACATGTGAAAGGCAGTGACGGTAAATAATGCTCTGCTATACGGTACTTCCCTGAAATTTTGAAGTCCACTATCTCTGGATCTGGAAGCACTCACAGCAGGATTTTGTGGGCCAGGCAGGTCACAATTTCATGGGTGACACGTGGCAACACAAAACATGCTTGCTGACAGATCAAGATCACTACATCATGTAGCAAGCATAATATTTACCGCCAAAGCCTCAACTGCTCAGCAGGACATTACTTTTATCATAGTATTTTGACAGCAGACTTATGTGTCTCTCGAAGTCAAGCCTGTCCTTGAAGTCTGTCTCACCAGAGGTCACCACAACAGTGCCGTTGGGCTTGACAGCTTTGACGATGTATGGTCCACGCGCCTTGGCTCTCAGTGGTCCAGGAGTTGTGTCAAGCTCCAGCACCAAATCTCCAGGTTGGAGCTGCTGACGTTTACCTATTTTCTGTGCATGCCTCAGATGCCAGTCTAGAGCGTTACGCCGAAATTGACTCTCAATCTCAAGCAGGGCATGCTTGTCAAGATCATTCAGAAGAACTTGCAGATCAGCAATGTAAGTAGCGGCATCAACACTGTCAGGCTCAGCACAGTCAAATGCAGCAATCTTAGTAATATTTCCAACAGGCAAGGGCAGGCCAGGGCGGAATCCCATAAGCATTTCATGAGGGGACACACCAATGGCAGAATGCACTCTGTTCATATAAGACATTCGCACATAAGGCAGAGACTTCAACCAGGACATTGTGTGATTGTTCACATGCTTAGTCAAAATCTGTTTGAAGGACTTCACCAGCCTTTCAACGGCGCCATTGGCCGATGGGTGCCGGACAGCAGTGGTGATGTGATTAATCCCCAGACGCGCCAACATGTGGGAGAAGTCCGTAGCAAACTCCAGCCCATTATCTGTAGTCACATTAGCTGGCACACCATATCGGCACACCCAGTTGCTATAGAAAGCGTTAGCAATGTGGGCAGGCTCCTTAGAATACACAACAGCAAACTCTGCCACCTTGGTGAAGTAATCAACCATCAGTACGACCCATGCTTTCAGATCAGCTTTCCTCTTGGCCCTGACACCCAGCTCATCAAAACTTGGAGTCTTAAACGGGCCAGCCAAGTCAACATGCACATGCTGTAAGGGTCCATAAATGGCAGGTTGCTGCAGGTCAGGCAGATCAAGATGCACAAGCTTGCTTCTTTGGCAGCTGTCACAGCACTTGACATACAACTTTATATCATGTTTGATGCCATTCCAGTGAAAGTGCTGATGCAAAACTGTCAAGGTCTGCTCAACACCGGCATGTCCAAGCACTTCATGAAACAGGCGAATAACATCCCAGCGATACTGTATTGGGGGGCAATTGAGCCACCTGTAACCGTGGTTTCTCACCTTCTTGTAAACCACAAGCCAGTCTTGGAAGCGCTGGTGCAGCCGCGTGTTCACAGCTTTCTCAAGCAGGCTCCGCCGCTCAGTGGCATCAATGGGCAAATCTGCATCCTCTCTCCCCCCCCACAAATAAGCAAGTAGTGCATCATTGAGATGCGGATCAAGGGGAGAATTATACTGCAAGGGCGTGCCATCACCCACAAGCTCTTGCACCGATGCCTCAAAATGGACATCACAGGCAGGACATAAAAATGAGCCGGAAGGTGCCACTGTTTGAGGAGGCACCAGGCAGCGCAAATGCATGCAGCGCTCACAGCCATCACAAATCACCATGTTATCCCAGCCTTCTGCATCATGACATATAGCACAGGGCACATTGTCTAGCTCACTTTGAGACTGAGCTTGAGAAGGCCAGACAGATGCAACAGAGGCATGGCTGAACAAGCGTGACAGGCAATCTGCAACAACATTTTCTGAACCTTTCTTGTGCACAACAGTGAAGCTAAATTCCTGTAGCTTCAAAGCCCAGCGCTCTAGCTTCGCATTGTGAAAGCGAGCTGTGTTGAGCCAAACTAGGGCTTGATGATCAGTAATGCAGACAAAGTGATAGCCATGGAGATAACGTCTGAACTTTCCAACACCCCAGGTCAAAGCACAGCATTCACCTTCAGTTGGGGCATACTTGGCCTTAGCGGGTGTGAGAACCCTGCTGGCGTAGGCAATGGGACGGTCACTGCCATCCCCATCCGGCTGGCTGAGGACAGCGCTCATGGCGCTGGTGGACCAGTCCGTTGTCAGGTGGAATGGCCACCGCAGCTGAGTAGAGCCGCGCTCATCCTTCACTGTGCTCCAGTCTGGCAGGCGCAAAACCGCCGGAGAGGTGAGGGCGTGCTTGAGGGCCTTCAATGCCTGTTCACACTCTTGAGTCCACAGGAAAAATACACGTTTCTTTGTGAGAGCATGCAAAGGCCTCACAATCGCCGCAAAATTGTCAATGAACCGACAATAGTACGCAGACATGCCCACAACAGACTTAACTTCTTTGCTGTTGGTGGGCCGTGGCATACTCACAATACAGGCAATCTTGTCAGGATCAGGTGCAACTCCTTGCTCAGACACAATGTATCCAAGGCATTTGACAGAAGGAGCAGCAAAGACACACTTAGGCAACTTGAGTTTCAGACCTGCCATGCGCATGCGCTGGAAGACCTCACGCAGGTGGCTCAAGTGCTCTGTCCATGTGGCAGAGTATACAAAGACATCATCAATGTAAGGATAGCAGCAGTTGCACCCAGCCAGCACATGATCCATAAGGCGCTGAAATGTGCTGGATGCATTCACAAGACCAAAGGGCATTCGCACCCACTCAAAATTACCATAAGGGGTGCAGAACCCTGTCTTGTGCACATCTGCTTCTGCTACAGGGACTTGCCAAAAGGCAGAGACAACATCGAGTGAAGTGAAATATTTACTGCCAGCCATCTTGTCTATGCAAGTATTTATCAAGGGCAGAGGATAAGGATCCCTCAAAGTCACCTTGTTCAGGGCTCTGAAGTCTATGCAGAGGCGAAGCGACTGATCCTTCTTTTTGACGAGCACAACAGGGCTCATCCACGCGCTGGTGGAAGGGCGTATGCACCCTTGCTCCAGTAAGGAGTCCAGCTGTCCACGCAAAAACTCCTGCTCATATCTGCTGAGCTGATAGGGTGCCTGCGTTATGGGCTCAGCAAGACCTGTGTCTATGGAATGACAGATACCCGTGCTCTGGGAGACAAATCCCAAATTGGCACTATCATCACTGAAAATATCAGAATACTCATTGAGCAAATCCTGCAGATCAGCTGTCTGCTGAGCTGTCAGTCCTGCATCAGACATGGATGAGACAGCCAAGGAAAGAAGATTGGGAGTTTGAGTGCCCTGACAGTCAGGAACTTCAGCATTTCCAGCAAAATGCACATTTTCCCAGTCAGGCATGCGACAGAAGGCATTCACTGACAAGGCATCATGACGATCAATTGCTTTGTGCACAGAGGGAATGCGGCTTGCACATGGCTGATGGGTTAGAAAATCTTGTAATACATTACTGACCCTCTGATCAGGTTGCTCACTCCAAATGCACTCAGCATGCAAAGACATGTAACAATTCTTAGATTGTTGTTCTCACCGGTGGACAGCGCTGCTGCCGTGATATGTGAGCAGCAGCGTTGCCGCTCAGCCGAGAGATGAAGGGCCCTTCACAGCCAACCGCACTGTGCGGCCCGTGAAGAACATCCTGACGCGCTGGTAGGACGGCAGGCGCTTGTTGCTTGCCGACTTCGCGCATCCGAGCTCCAGCTGGTTCCTGTAATACAGTGGCTTCACAGCATAGCGCGCCATGAAGTCACTGCCAAGCAGGTAGTCGTACCCGACATCAGGGACAACAAACAGGTGGCTGGAGTACAAAGCATCACCAATCTGGAACTCAGCACCCATGACGATCTCTGTCACCACAGAGCCACTCTTGTTGAACATGTCCAGACGCATGGGTTCCTGCAGCTTCACCAGCTTAGCGCCTGCACCCTTGAGCAGGTCATGGTCGCGGTTGTACGCGGACTGGGAAATGCAGCTGATGCTAGCACCTGTGTCCACGTACATGTCGCGCGTCATGCTCCCCTTGCGCCCTGCATTGAACTTGCCATGCACGAAAGGCATGCTGACAGTGTATAGCTCAATCACAGGACTGATGGCATTCACAGCCTGCACAGCGGGGGTGACAGCAGCGCCAATGATGGCACCAGCACACTGCAGTGGTGCAGGATTCTCAATGGGGCGCGCAACATCACAGTATGAGGGCAGAATCTCATCCACAGTGACATTGTGCACAGCAGTGGAGGATGCCTGTGTGTCAGCTGACACCACTGCCTCGCCAGCTGCAGTCAGGTAGTCATGCAAGGGCTGGCATGCACTGCGGCAGGCAGGGTCACTGACCATGTCGACAAAAGATCTCAGTGGCATGCACACATTTGCAGAGGATAGGGCGTCTCTGCCTGTGCGCAGGTTTGTCATACCAAAGCGGGAGCGGAAGCGCTCAGTGGAGGACTGCTCTGAGGACCGCACTTCGGCCTCTGGCATGCGCGGTCGCTGCCGCAGGTTGCTGGCATTGACTGTCGCTGTGGAAGCAGGAAGCTGTACATGCTCCTTCCCTGCATTCCCACTCAAAGAAAGGTTATTGGCAGAGGGGCCAGGGCCCGTGCCCTGGCCACCCTGTGGGTAGCTCTCACGGAAGCCACCTCCTCTGCCACCACTACCGCGGCCGCGGCCACGGCGGCCACCCTGGCCACCGCCACGGCCCCTGTTCTGGCGCACACTGACAGAAGACATGGCATCGTCATGGTCATCAGATGCATCAAAGGCGTTAGCACTCTGAGATGCCTGAGAACGCAAATGCATGTGATGCTGCAGATTGTGCAAGCTTGTTTCTCGCCAGAGGCACGCCAGTTCCTCACCACGGAGCTGCGGCTCATCCTGGGCCCAAACAGTAACACACTCTCCATTTCTGACCTGGAGAATGTGGCTGAGGCCTGGGATGAGCACTCTCGTGCCATTCTCCACCAAATCAGTCTCAAGCTTCAATGCCGATTTATAGGGAATTTATTTTTTGCAATTGCGATAGGCTCAGAGTTCAGTCTCGAGTCCACATCTCTGGATCTGGAAGCACTCACAGCAGGATTTTGTGGGCCAGGCAGGTCACAATTTCATGGGTGACACGTGGCAACACAAAACATGCTTGCTGACAGATCAAGATCACTACAAAATGGCCTTCAATTATTCTTTAGATTCTGTAATTGATAGTGATCTTCTCACAAAGCATCCAAATATTATGAGATTTCATGATAACATTTACCCCTATGATAGTCTGAGCTCATAGAGCGTGATCATGCTCCTGGACAGAGTGTACCTTCCAAAAATACCCTTCAAGCAAGGTTAGCGCTGTGCATGAAATATCGTGAGAACTCGCAGAGATACATGCTGTCAAAGGAGCACAAATCCAACCAGTCTCGAGCAGACAACACAGCATGTCAATGAGAGTTGCAGAACACATGGCTACCATGCAGTGAGGGACCATTCTTGCATCAGGCATTATTGGTGACAACGCTGTGGAGGGCAAAGGCCAGGAAGAGCAGCCCCCCTGCAACAGCTACAGTGCGCTGGCTGATCCTCATGGCCAGCAGCTGGCCTCCAACCACTGCTGTGCCCGTGCACAGCATGTGACCCACAACCGCTCCAATGGTCACCCCTACAGGGTTGTACACCGCCGCCAACGAGACCGTGGCTATCTGTGACCGATCTCCCCACTCTGCACCAGGCAGTTATCCAGCTGTCAGCTTTGTTCAATGGCGCCACCAAACGCTAATTCCAAACAAATCAAGCCTTCTGTATTAGCACGCGAAGTGGTAAGCATGTTGAATGCCGGAGGTCGTCAGGTCATGGGCATGCAGAAAAGAACGACATGGATATGCGCACTTGGGTTCCTTCCACATTGCCACGAGCGGGGCCACTTGGATGATGCACCCAAAGCAGATGAGCAGCCAGATTTGTAATAAAAATGATTGAGAGAGAGAGATGTATGGGTGGAGTGCGGACCTGCCAGGAAGGTGAGCACGAAAGCTTCCAGGAACACGGGCGTGCAGAACTTTGTGAGAAACTGGCGAGCGTAGCTGCGCGAGTGCTCGGCTTCTGCCACCTTATGCTCCACCTCCTCAACCTCCTCCTGCACAGAGCTATCTGGTAATCTATTTTGTCTGTTCATTCTGAGCAGAGCGCTCTGGTAATATTTCTTGTCCATTCATTTGGGCAACTGTGGAGCCACATCAGCACCGGCAATGTGGATGCATCGTGCGCCAAAACTCTATGACAGCCTGGAATAGCAGGCTAAATTGGAAAACATCCGATCCTTGCTATATCTCAGGAAGTTGCTGTCTTGTAGAGCTCTGGTGGGGCATGCCTGGTTGGATTCCTGGGGCTTGGAGTGCCAGGCTATGTAGAGCAGCCGCAGCCCAAAAAAGGTGTACAGCACAGACGCTGCATGTTGCGTGGCCTTGCGCGAAATAAGGTTCGGCAGCACGTAGCCCAGGGCAGTCGAAATCACCTGCATTGTAGCAGTAACCAGCTCAGGCAAAAACAGAGCATGTACCGCCAATATGACAGATATGCATTTCCGGCCAAGCGATAGGGGGCTGCAGTGAGTGTGGCAGCGGTGACCGCAGATTTGGCAGGGCATGGTGGTATAGTCAGAGGTGACTGAGCGCACCGTCATCACGCCCAGTGCTGCCATGGCCCCTGCAAAAACTGTGAGGCGGGGGTGCCTCATGGCCATGATGGCTGCAATGATGAACGTCTCATCTCCCAATTCCGTCACAAGGATCTGTGCATGTGCGCATGAGTCAGCAGTCAGGCGCATCCCAATGTTTTCACGAATCGAAGGATGACCCAAGATAATGAACGGTGGCATGGAGAGCACCCAATAAGACAAGAAGGAGATCTAAAAAATTTGACACATGCTGACTCAAAGACTAGATAAATCATTCTCGTAGTCGAGTAGGAGATGCACCATGAAGAAGCTCTTGGCCAGAGCTGGGAAGAGGCCGCCCTCTGCATCCTGCCCATCGGACTGTGACACGCTCTGCAGAGCACAACGACTAGATGCTGAAGTGCGCGCAGAGATGACTAGGGGAACAAGATGAGTATCACATCATCTCAGTCTCGCTTGTAGACCCTACACCATGGCCGTTGCTACCTCTGACACAAAGGCAAGAAGGCGCGCTTTACCTGCCACAACCAGCTCAACCAGCCCTGCACACAAAGAATCTGGTCACTCGTAGTGCCTGGCAATGTGTGACAGGCATATCTAAGGCCTGATGCCCAATTTATTGAGACATTTCACCACACCAGGGAGCCTCTTTGGCCACCTTCTGCTCACCTCTTCCACAACGCCTGCCTTAGAACTGCCGTCACTTGGTAGGTTCCTTCCAAGCACGCATCTCAACATACTGCAGAATGCAAGTGACACTGCTGCTCTGCATATAAACGTCTTTTCCATCACCCTGCCGATGGTGGACACCAAAAGCGGTGAATCTGCCCAGATTTGGAGCCAGGGATCCCTTGCTGGATCAACGATGATATGTAGCGTGTCGAAGGTATTGGCATCAGAATCAGGGCCTCACATCTGCCGAGCAAAGCAAACTATTGAACCGATGGCATCTCAGTCACGTATTGCTTCAAACTGCAGAATGGGCCACCAATGCGCGCAAAGGTGCTCTGATTCAGTAGTCGCACAGCTTCCTCAGATTGACCACGATGCGTCCCAAACTTCTCGATTGCAGGGATGTCTTTCCTCCATTCAAACGGTGACTCATATGTTCTTACTAATGGATGCATGCACTTCCAAGTGCCTCTTGCTCTGGGTGCGGTGTCGAAGCAACACACCTGCATTGACTGGATATCTAGATGATGAGCACTCCTTGGGATCCCATACTGGCATTGGCATGAGTTACTATGCATACTATGTAGGCCTTTCCGGCCAGCGCCCGCCGCTGGCAGCTGGAGCCGGGCTGCCATTATGGCATGATGCACTCAACAATGGAAGTATTCAGCTGGTAAAAATCAACAACGTCTTACTTTCAAAGCTGCTGCGGCAAACATTGTCCTACGCATGTCCATGAAAAACTGTAATGTACTATTAATAATTTATTATGCGCATATTATGCGCATGCGTCATCCAGTCAAGACCAGATCTGGCGACCACCTCAATTTGTGGGCTGTGTGCATGATTGCACACGTGTGTCCCAGTGACATTGATGGCAGGTCAGCATCCAGATTACATGCCAGTGTCCATCCTAATGGCATCTAATGCAACTGTTCAATAGCAATGCTTTATAGCAACCCCTAGAGGCATAGCATTTGGATTGAACCTACGAGCTTGCTCTATAACCTATTCTCCCTACAAGCGATCACAGTGCACTCCTGACACATACGTTGCAATTCCTAAAGAAGAGAGAGGCGCATAAATACAGCCTGCCGTTCTTTCGCTAGTCTCAGAGAGGCTGCTGCTAGTGAAGATCTGCTTCATATTAGTCGTACACTGTACAATCCGACTGATCCCATTCGTTGAGATGATGTGTCGCAATTCATCGTCAAAGCAGCAATTTTTTTGGAAGCTAATGGCCTCCCCAGGGCAGCACCCCGAGGCGGCTCGAGAGGCTTCTCCTAAAATCGCAATCTCACATAGCAGTCCTGATCAACTCACTCACCATCTCAGTGCTCACGCATCCCCACTTCCTATGACACAAAGCTGCAGCCTCGCTGATCACCCAGCAGGCTACCAGCTGCAGAGAGGCAGCAACGTGGCCATCTATGCTGTGATGCAGCGCTGGTGCACAGCGACAACAGGCACCGTGCTGCAGGCCCCGCTGAGATCCAGGTCAAAGATGCAGTCATCGCAGGAGTGCCTCCGTGCTTTCAGTAGCGCGCACTCCAGCAACATTCTGTCATGCTCTTCTGCTGCCAGCCGCATGGAGTGCACCAGGGACACCATGTGCAGCTCATCGTCCCCCTGTCGAACATAGCAAACAATTCTCAGCGATCACATCACAGGTACCCGGCCTTGATCAGCCATGCCCACAAGCTTGTCACTACCAACATTCTTGACGCCATGTCTACTGCGACCCACTCAATTTTATGGGCCTAAGAAAGTTAGACTACCAAGGCAAATGCAATACTAGGCAGCCGATCAAGGATCTCATGCCCCTATGACAAAGTCAAACTTGCCAATCATGGTCAACGGCTGCTCAACAGCTCACCTGCTTTGCGTGACACTCCAGGCCCCGCAGCTGCAAAACAGCGATCGTCTCAAACTCTGATGTCACAGTGGTAGCGTCCGCATTGCGCGTAAGCGCCGAAGGGCCGCTTTCAGCAGGGTCATCGGACGACGCCCGGCTGGTTGCCGCCACTTCGGCTGGGGGCGACAAGCGCAGCATGCACAGTGCGTCGGCGTCCAGCGAAAGGTCTTCGTGGATCTGGCCTTGTACTGGGAGCGACCTGTGAGACCTGATCCACCAGACCTTCAAGGATCAGCATCTGCTCTGCCAACCTCAGGTAACAGCCTGGCACCGGTGGTGCAGCGCCAAGGATGTTGAACCGGCTCGAAGCCCAATGCACGTCCATGAAACCTTAAAAGAAGTCATTCTAAAATACATGATCGCGAAAGCGAGCCTCGTGGTGAACGGCTACCGGCGTTTCAAGTACCAGCAAATCATGACACGGTAGGAGGGAAAAGCGGCATCAACCGGTCGAGCCCCACCTGCACATCTCTGGAATGCTAATCGGATCCGAGCTCCTGCTCAGAGAAGAAGAGTGCGAGGCACGGCCGCTGCTGCAGTGTTCCTCTCGGGAAATTCCCACAATCTTCTGGCCGTTGGTGCAGGTGCTCTGCTCGCAAGGAGCCACCTTGGTGGCAATTCTCAGGCGGGGCAGCTGCTTGCTGTTCTGGGCTTTAAGAAGCTTGGCAAGAGGCGACTCTGGCAGCCGGGTCTGCGGAGAGCACGAAACGGAAGCTGCGCCACGCTCCTCGCTGAAACCAACTATCTGTACCGGCGCTGGCGCGCACGGTAACGCTTGGCTTTGCTGAGATTGGGAGTCAGGCATGGTCGACGGTCGGGTGGGGCACTCGTGTGATGGAGCAAGACAGTCGATCTTTTTTTGGAGGGATTAAAAGGCTTGGAGAGGCATTTAAGCATCGTGACGATCGTCGCAGTCGTCACGGATATTATGCGAAGATCGGTAATTAGGAGATTTGTAAGCGAAACGCAGGGTCCGAATTCAAAGGTTCACCTTAACTCCCCGATCTTAACGGATCCTAACTTCCTCACCGCCAGGAAAAGCGCATGCAAAATCCACGAGATACTTACACCCATGAGATCCAGCAAATCAGAGGCTAAAAATGCACTGACTGCATTGTTTGTTAGATCATCGATTTCTGCAGTATTTTTAGACCTCTGATTCGCTACCAAAAGGTAACATAGCAGGTTGCATCAGGATGCTGGCATGTGGCACTGCCCTGTCTGGCAGACTTCCCACCTTGGGATGACAAATGATTATATTCAAGAGGACCTCCTCCTTATGAGACAACAGCGACACTTGCGGCAGATGGCCGCGCAATATCCGCATGGATGTGATTGGTCAATCACTGCCATACTGATCGTGGAGGACCGTCCAATGTGACATGTTGCCTAAATATAGCAGAAACTCTGAAATATTGTGTTGATTATGGTGCTGTCTTTGGCCTTTGGCCACAGGCAGTGCCAGTCTGCGGCAATGGTGAAAGACTCAGATCCCTGCGGTGCTCTGGCAGGTATTCAAGATTGAAACCATGGCAGATTGTAAGTGCCATGGCCACTCAGGCTGGAGCATGCACCGCCCTCAGCGCATGCATAATTATATTGAACATCACAGTGATGTGCAGACTAGTCTTGACTCACAAAAGCAAGATTTTCTTTATAAGCTCAGTGCTGCAGAGTTGTCCTTCAGTTGGATTCAGGGACGAGCTGTCTGACTAAGCACTGCGGCTGTTGCCCCTTTTGGTATGGTGTAAAAAGGTACATCCTGTTAAATGGTACTATGTAGCTGCACTAGCTGTAAACTGATAGCCAAAACTTATGAAAGCTGCTCATTTTCTGAGATTTCTGCCTCCGGCGCCATTTCGGGTACTGGTGCTGGCACGTCTTCCTCCACAACAACAGCCACCAGCACTGTGATGTCATCGATCTTCCCTCCCTGTCAAATCACACCACATTTTATTAGAGCGCATCTGGGAAATCCACCTGCCTGCCTTTCTGACGTTTGCGCTAAGCTCACGAGAAAATACACAACAGATTCGAAAAAGCAGCCTTTGCTGGCTGCAGCAAGGTTCAACCTCACAGCACCTTCAATTGCATCCCTTGGACGAATTATTGCCCAAAGTTGCGCCGGCCCTTCGGCACTTTGAGCACCATTGAATGTGTGCATCATGCACGCAGGTGGTTGGTAACCACTCCGCATGCTGGTGCCAGCACAATGCAGAAAAGACACAGAGCTGCATACCCTGAGAGTCCCCAGCTTGAACTGGCCGTCCTCAAACGAGGCAGTGGTGATCTTCTCCCACCAAGGCAGGTCATACCCCTGCCGCATGGCCTCCTCTGTGTAGGGCGACCTGTATGTGTTGTCACTGGCGTGCTGCCTCGCCAGCGCTGCGATTGCTCCCGCAGCCTGCACCCACACAAACCGCCATCATATATGCATTCCTCTGGACCTGAGGCCTCAGATGACATCTTAATGGGGCACACACGGGCTTGCAAGGCAGGACTGCTTTAGTAACCAGTGCTGGCTCGGGTCTGTGGGGCACTCAGTCCTACACTGATGCCTGGATCCGTTCCTCAACACATACACAACAAACTACTTAACAAGCTGTGACTCTCTCAATCTTCTGCAGCATTGGTGAAGCCACTGACAACATACCTGATCCACGGCTTCGGCGCGGTCAGGGAGAAGCTGCAGCAGGTCGATGTCGTAGCAGTTGTCCCAGAGGCCGTCGCTGCCAGCCAGCAGCACATCGCCCGGCTGCACCGCCAGCTCAAACACGGCCGCGTCCTCCGCCGTATCGGTGGATTCGGAGTAGTCCGGGCACGCGCCGAACTGCAGCGGGCAGTCAAAAAAGTGCTGCAGCACGGGGGACTTGAACACCACCTCCCCGTCTCGCACGAGCATGAACCCGCTATCTCCCTGCGCATGCAGACGCGCTCACATCAGCCAGCATCCAGTTACATACTCCAGCTACAAGCTCCTCACCGGACAGTGAAAAGAAATACTAGATACCTCTATTGTCCCGCCTTGAGCTGGTGTCCGGCACAAAAATGATAGACAGGTCGCAATCGGCACCATATAATGTTTTCCTAAGCATATGAAGGGTAGCAAGGTAAGTACAAGCTCAGCACATGCATGGTCACCAGAAGTGATATCCTGGTTGCATGCAAACATGGCAATAAGTGGCTGGGGAGAATCACCAGGTTGGCAGCCTCTATGGTCCGGTGCGGTCTGTTGAGCCGCAGCACACATGCTGTGCTGGAGCCGGGCAGCCTGGTTCCGGCATGCGCCGCTGCTAGGGCCCCTCTGGCTGTCAGGATGTCGGCCACCTGACACAATTAAAGCACCCATTTGTATTTGAGTGAGCACCCACCTTCAGATATAAAGCAACAGGTGAGATCCTGTTTTTTTACGCGGTGAAATAGAATCTATATTTTGGCAGCCATTGACCGCACCTTGTCAGCATGGGCACCTTGTCCTTTGGCAGGAAAATCGTGTGCAAATAATAAAAGGTGCGCACCTGATCTGAGCCTACTGTCCTGACTTCCTCGGAGTCCTCTCCGGTGGTGGAGGATGCGTCGGATGCGCTGGCGTCCAGCGGCACAGAGCCGGCTTCCACCTCGCCCGGCGTCACCGGGTGGATGTCCTTGCCCTCCAAGTAGTGGCAGGCGATCCGCATGAAGGTCCGCGAGTACTCTGCGCACCAAGACAGCCTTTAGCTTCAATATTCCTCCAAGAGCACTGCAATCGTCACGCAATGGTTTCAGGTGCACTGCTGTGTTGCTTGCATGTCTGCTTGACAAAAGTCAAGTGCTGGTCACGGTAGGTTCGCTGCTGGTCCACCCTTGCTGCACGTGCTCAGGCAAGTTATGAAGTTTACACAATACTGTGTTTTGAATTAAACCTTTTGATAATAAAGAAGGGGAGTTAAAAGAGCAGGCAGGCACCTGCAGGGTTGATGCCGCTCTCCTGCCAGCCGCCCACTCCATCCGCCACTCCCAAAGCTCCACCCCCAGAGTTGCTTGTGAAGAATGCATCCTCGCCACCATACGATGCCTGCCACAAGGATGCAGATGTTGGAAAATCCAATACACACAACATAGGCTGACAACGTCTTGTTCTGGGTGGGAATGGATTTGCACCCCACCTTGTCTGGGTGAGGAATCACTTTGGATCCAATTTCAAGCCTCAGCTGCGTTGTTGCAGCTGGAGTCTCTGCTTGTACCTCCAACGCCTCTGCAACATCCGCAGAAACTGCTGCACAGGGCCTCACAATCGTTCAATCTCAATGTTGAAGAAGCTGTGCTGACATGCATGAGATTACGTCTGTGGGGGGCCCCAAAGCGAGGCCTAGTAAGGATTTTTGTGTTTCTAATGGAAGCCCTACCAGCGATGGATCGGTTCCGCGATTGTCTCGGACGCCTCAGGTTCTGTACATTGTGCTGCTGTTGAATTTTGTCGAACCGCAATTTCTTTGTGGACGACCTCGTTCCAGAAAGGAAGGGTACCAATGTATGGGAGTTCCAGTGCAGAGCAGGACCTGATGGGGCTATCATTGCCGTATTCAGCAGCAGAAGACCTATTTACTTTGATGAAACTAGAAGGGGCAGATTGTTGGGATCGATCTGAAAACCACATGTGTCATTTCGAGCAAGCCCATTTGAAGCGATTTGACCTTTTCAAGCTGAGTAGTCCCCAGTAATGTGACAATTATCTGTCTTATTAACAGGGGACTTTTCGGGCTAGAGCGCTACTTTATGTCCTCAAGACTATTCGATTTGCTTGCGTTCCTGGTCGAGATCCACCTCGCCTCTAGGGTTGGTTATTAGTGAAATAGCAAATTTGCGATCGAGGGATTTGGCAGTTGCAGAAGGGGGTTTCGTGTGAAAAACTTCCTGCTGTGCACTTTTCTCTTCCTTCAAATCTTCTTCAGAAAGTCCATAGCTCATGAATGGATTTTGTTCTTCTTCAATTTCACTAGGTGCCTGCATTCCAAATTTCTCTCTCGGATCGTTCTGACTTACTCTGACCTTGGATGTTCAACGCTATGAGACCATGATCGGAGATGGTGAAAGTCAAGATTGAACTGAGGTAGGAAATCTGCCTGATAAAGGAGAATTTGTATCGCCCTGCAGACTGTCACTAAGCGTACTGTGGAATTTGCAGTGGAGGCCTAGAAATACTCTTTGGCAATACCAGAGCGCACGATCTGGAGATCCACGAGATCAATGAAAAGGTGAGCTCCATGAATGTGTTCTGAGGTTGCTAGTGAATAGCTATCCGCAGCTGGATACTGCTTCTGTCCAGTCTGAAGTTCATGACCTTGCAGGTGACGGTGGGAGACGTGATAGTGAAAGCCCGGGATAATCTGCTCACTGACCGGCCAGAACTGTTCATGAAAGACAACAGTGTGTGAGTGCCCTACTCCTGTATGCGGTCGCGCGTACACCGTGGTTGCTTCAAGCTTGCAATCCCATGAATTTGACAGGGCGCATGTGGCACTGCAGCCGTCCTGGGATCTTGGTGCTGATCAACGACACTGACTGGGAGCTAACCGGCACATTGCAAACTCTGGTGGAAGACGGGGACACTGTGACCTTCATTTCCACATTGCATGGCGGGTGAGGCAGGCTCATGAGCAAAGCATGAAAGTCACCTTTTACAGAAGGGCCAGAGGATCTCTTGCAGCGCCGAGGTTGGTGGCAAATGGGGCCAGAGCATGAAGGCCGGCTGATGCATGCGTTGCACTGACTTCCATTCGGCCAGGCATTGAGATTTACAGCTGTGATCCGACTCGTAATCTACAGCTACTGCAGTATTTTGCAGAACAAGACATGGACAGTCTTGAGTGAGAACCTTAGCCCTGCGAGGCAGCGCTGCACCATACTCGCAGAGACGGTAGTACTCTTGTAGAAGTGGGCGAGTGATGGGTAGTCTTTTGCTCATTGTGCTATTTGGGACTCGTTAGATGCACTCAACTATACTGTGAATATTGACATATCTACAGAGGCATCCAATGCAATATGAGTCAACATGACGCATGACCACTGGTGCCGCAGTATTCTTTGTGAATTTTTGGTCAAATCATTGCCCAAATTTTGTTGTTGTTATTGTTGTGGCAAGGTAGTATTTGAGTCGTGCGCGGGCCAGCACTGTTGAGCATGAACCTCAGGGAACCTCAGGCAGGCCGCATCAAGTGTTTCACTTTTCAAAACATCAGTCCTCTGCCATCCGTGCAATCAATGAGGTGTCTTTACGCGCGGGCGCCCCCGGGCCTGGCGGGCAGGGCCTCCGATGAGTCATGAGCCTCAGGCTCACTGGCAGCCTCAGGCTCAGGCTGTACTACAAAGGTGTGCAGTAGCGGCCCTGTATCGGCGGCGGTGCCCACTGTGGCACACCCTGTCCATTTGGCGTGTGGTCTCATGGGATTATTCATAAATGATGATGATTGTCAGCCCTGTCCTGGTGCCAGCTGTGCTGGAAGCAGTACCCCAGCCATGGAACGCCACAAGACGAAGGTGTTGCCACGGGGCACATGCCTCTGCATGCATTCTGCTCTTCGTTCGCAAATCCTGCACAGCTTCTTCTTCACTGTACTAACATCCTCTCGGTGGGGTTGTCTCGTTCATCCACCCGGATTCGTCGCTGTCGGGACAGGGACATCTTCGGTTTGTAAGTCAACTTACTAGGAGAAGCTGGCAGATGCAGACACTGGCGAAGACATGGAGCTCACAAAGATATAGAAAGCTTACAGGATTCGGTGTTGTGGAAAGTTCCCAAAGACAAGAGGGGGGAATCGACGACGGTTCGCCTGACAACACTACAGGAACAGTAGAGGTGAGGAGAAGTTCGAGGTAGCCACCTTGGGGAAACCTGCTAGGACTGATGCGGCCCAACAAAACCAAATCTTTCGCTTTTAATTCCGCTGCCACACCCCCGTGACAAAGTCAGCAGGCCCATGTGAAGCTAGCCTGCTGGTCATCGCAAACTGCTTTTTGGCAAGAAACGTTGGACAACTTCTAAGGACCTTGCTGGGGGCAAGATACGTTCAGCTTGTCATAGATTGACGAATTACCATCCTTCGGAGTACTTCAGTGACGTTTGTTCATTTTATTTCGGTATGACGCCCCTGGCAGTCCAGTACTGTTAATCCTTCAACGGAATCTACTCATAAGGCAGAGTCAACATGCATTCGCATGCATCTTCGTACCCGCCAGACTCAACTTTATGTTTTCTTACCGACAACGGAAAGCATACTGAATCTTAGCTGAAGGCGAAGCCTCGGGTCACTGTGGTGTAATTCTCGTCTGCTTGCTCGTGCGAGTCTAATCCAGATTGTACCAATGCATGATGGCCTACTGAGGATTTATAGCCAACCTGTATCGCAGGCAAGCACTCGTGAGCCAGCAAGCTCTGCTGATGAAGCAGCTGTGACCAGCGCAGCGCAGTCCGGGGCTGAAACTCCCATGCAGTCTCCAAAACCCGCAGGAATGAAAATGGCCACACCTCCACCAAAGGTGCCCTTGCTGCGGCTGCAGCCACCTCAGGGTGCCGGGAAGGGAAGTCCTTTGCAGCGAGTCTCAGGGTCAGACAGCAACGAACATGCCATGGAGTCTGCAGTGGGTCCCTCTGTGGAGATGACGCCAGCTCAGCAGCCTGTCACATCTCGGCCTACCTCCAGTCACAGCTCCATGTCAGCAGAAGATGCAGGCATGGCTTTTGCGCATCTGCCTCTCACCGCTGGTGTATATTACAACGAGAATGTGGACTAAAAATAGCTTGGGAAGGTCCGTTGTTAGGAGTGCTGCTAATGTGGGCGGGTTTTGGTGCAGATATCTTTCAGCGGCTTGCAGATGCAGAGCAGCACATTCTGGAACTGCGCTCAAGGATCATAGGTCTGACAGCCCTGAATGCAGAGCTCACCCAGAAGCTGACACATGAGGTGACGGAGACAACGGCGCTGAAAGCACTGGACGCAAGGAATGACGAGCTGCAGGCCCAGCTCACTGCAGCCAACAAGGAGATCACTGGCCTGCAGGTGGGCCATGGACCAGGTTGCAAGGAGTGAATAGAATCCTAATAGAATCTGTCTTTGAATCCAATCAAATAAGAGAGATGCAAGAATGCCGTTGCATTTGCGCATATCAAGGCTAACAGATTTGAAAATTGGAAATTTACATTCATTGATGCTGCTTCCCGCTGAATGCATGTTACAAGAGATTGTAGCATGCAGTCAAGCTGACGGTGACATAATATTTGGTACAGGCTGATCTGGCGCTGGCAGAGAAGCTGGAGAAGAGGATGATGACTAAGGTGGCCACAGCCGAGAAGGTTCGAGAGGAGACAGAGATCAGCCTGCTGAATAGCGGCCCCATTGGCCGCGCGCAAGTGGAGCGAGTGGCCGCTCTCAATGCGCGCATCGAGGAACTTGAGGCCCAGCTGTCCGGCAGGCGCCCGGTGGGCGTCATTTCAGTGTGTCAAAGTGGCATGCATGCATGCACAAGCAGGAAATTGGGTGTTTGAGCCTCGTTGCTGTGGTCTATGTTGGATGCGCTGCATTTTTGAAATTGCAGTGTGTCAAAGTGGCATGCGTTCACAAGCCAGAGATTGGTGTTTGGCTGTACCGTAGTATGTGTTAAGCGCACCGCATTTTGAGATTGGGGACATGATGTGGGCAGGCACAGAAGCTCGGCACGCCACCTCCGCGCACACCTAAGATTGTGGCGGCAGACAAAGGCAGAGATGGCAGCGATCTGATTGGCAGCAGGGAGGACATGCAGCAGCAGATAAGGGCTTTGACAGAGGAGCTCAGCAGCCTCAGAGCAAACCTCATCGCAGCAGAGGAGAGGGTCTCAATCCAGACAGAAGCAGCCCAGGTGAGGGCGCTGTATGTGCATGCATGCAGTCCTTATACTCAATGCTGAGCCGATCGAACTAGGTATATATTTGGAGATGGCTTTAATGTTCATTCATGCCTTCAATTGAATTGGTCTATTTTGCTGGCCTCCTCTGATGAGTGTTTCTGTGTGACAATCTGTGCTGCGGGCAGGCTGCCAAGCAGAGTCTGGCAGAGGAGTCAGGGAAGAGGAGCGCTCTCCAAGAACAAGTGACTGCCCTGAACATCCGCCTGGAAGAAGCAAATGCAAATACTTCGCAGCAGGAGCCTGTGCCGAACAATGCAGCTGCAAAGGTGAGCACTTTCTCTGTCAAACGAGCATTTCTGCTAAATTATCGCAATCGTCAGAGCAGTTGATCGCTTTTTGTATGCCAGACAAAGGGAGATGTCTGCCTACTTGCAGGGTGGCGAGGAGGTCGCGCAGCTGATAGCTGAGAACAAGAGGCTGACATCGCTCCTGGCTGAGGCGGAGAGGGCAGTCGAGGAGGCTGCTCACCTTCAGGACGTGCTGGAAGCGGAGAGGGAGAGCCATGCTCTGCAGGTGCACCCCCTCAACAACGAGTGTTCAGACCTGTACAACCACCAATATGATACAACATATTCGATCGTGTATATTCTGCCCCTGTCTGCCAGCATCGATTCAGGGAGGATTTGGACGTTGCAAAATGACACCATTCTACTAGAGGATCCTCTATGCCCTTCAGTGTCTGCCGCTATCGACCCAACAAGACCTCAAATATTGCACAATCAAGCCATTCTCTACATCAACCCCTGTACTTTGAACATGTGTACCGGCTTCAGCTCAAGAAGAAACTTAATTTTGTGGGCAGGACGGCATCTTGGAGGATACACTGGCCAGGCAGAGGCGGGCGGAGCAGACAGCGGCGATGGCGCAGGAGCAGCTGGAGCAGGAGCGATCGGCCGCGGCCGCCGCGCGTGAGCGCTCGAGAAACGCCACGGCAGGCGGCCTGGCCGACCGCGAGGAAAAAGCCGCAGTCAAGGCGCAGCTCGCTGAGCTGCAGGCAGAAGTCGCCTCCCTGCGTGCCGCTGCCAAGGTGACCCGTTTCATTTCTGTGCATGCTCAGCGTGAACATGGTCATCAAGACTGTGGAAGAAACCCCTGCCAGAACCTATTTCACAAGGTATTCTTCTCGGGTTGTGGGGTTACATGGCTGGTACAACAGTCGAATGTTCGCACATGACTCTGTGCTTAATTTTCCAAAGGTGATACTGGCGAGGATGCCGTCTTATTGGTGCATGAGTGGTACATTGATAAAACTCTCATCTGTCCCCATGGTGCCGAGCAGAACGCGGGCCAGGAGTCAGAGCAGCGTGCATCGGAGCTGGCAGGGCTGCGGCTGCAGCACTCGTCGCTGGGCAGCACGCATGAGGCCACCCTGAAGGAGCTGGATGTCGTGCACAGCAGCCATTCAAACGCAGCCAAGCGTGCGGAGGAAGCCCTTGCTGAGCTGGCCCTTGTGCGGGATACGCAGCAAGCCCTCACAAAGCAGGTGCTGTTGCTCCCAAAGTGTCCCCTATCTTGTGAGACTGATGCAGCACCTCACCAGCAAGCAAGAAAGAATGCCTCCATCCTCTTTTCCAGTTTGTGTGCTCATCTTCTTTACAAGTTTCTTATCTTGCTTGTTTCTGTAAGCCACACCACAGGTATGCCACCTTTTGCCCGAGCCAAGCCCCGTCTTCTGCACAACTTTCCTGTGCATTTTGGGATAAGATGCCATGCTTAATATGCACGCTGTCATAGAGGCCTACAAGTGGGCAGGCCCTGACGCAGTTACCTGTCCTGTGCCTGTTCAGGCGCAGCAGCTGGCGTCGGTGCATGCGCAGCAGGCGGCGCAGGCGCGGGCGGAGCTGGAGGAGGTACGCCGCGCGGCAGCCGACAGCATCCGCTCCAGCTCCGTCTCCACCGAGCAGCTGCGCGAGCTGCAGGACCTGCGAGATCGCGTGGCTGATGCTGATCAGGAGAGGGCCCGCTGGGCTGCCGGCACTGCTGCCGGATCAGGTATGCGGTTTTACAGCACACACAGATCCTACTTTGGTGTATAGCGAATTGGCTCCAGCTGGCACTCATGCCGCATCAGTGTTGCGGCAGCAGAAGGTGTGCTTGCCTAAGGGTCTCCCAGCAGGTCCACTTCGGGTGTGATCAGTCTGTTGTCTCCAGCTGGCATGTCTGCCAACTTACGTCTGTGTTTTTAGGGAGGTCTGCATGTCTTTTTCTTGAAAGAGCACAGATCAGAGTTGCCCTATTTTGGATGCTGTCATCAACCCAAGGCGCTCCTGGCACACAAGGCATGTGTGAGATGCACGGCCTGCTCCTGCAAATCACTGGCAGGGTTGCAGGTTGAGGGGCGATGCACGCTGTTCAGTGCGTTGGGCGCTGTGCCGCAGGTGATGGCACGGAGCTGGAGAAGCTGCGCCTGCAGCTGAGGCATGTGGAGGGCGAATTGGCGGCAGCTGGCAGCACATCGGCCGGCTTTGACGTGGATCTTGCGAGCGTCGACGATGTGATTGCTCTGAAGACTCAGGTTGCCAACCTGATGGCTGAGATAGAAAGCGAGCGACACGCTGCCAGAGAAGTCGGTATGCATCTCTGCTTGATCAAATGATCTACTTCTCCCTGCTTCCCTCTTGCTTACGATCTGCATTCTCATGTCATGATCTATTGACACCTTTGTCGGAGCAACAAAAGCCTATCAGATCACCGGTCAATCTTGCATGCAAGCTTGTGTAGTTGTTGGCGCAACTGCCGCAACAAGAGAATGCGTTTGATTGTGGGGTGCCTCTGCAGCGGCGCTGGCAGCAGCCAAGGCAGAGGAGGTGGAGGAGCTGTCAGAGCAGCTGGCGCTGGCGCGTGAGATGCTGGGCAAGCAGGGGGTGCCGGTCTTCACAGCCCCCACGAGCCCTTCCTCCCAGAGCAGCGATGGCGGCTCGCGGCCGAACTCCCCACCTGACATTGGAACCTCCCAGCACAACCCGGGTCCTCACCGGCTGCCTCCCCGCTTCCATGGCCCCCAGGTGAGCTTGCCTAGCCTCCCTTCTGGCTGCATTGCCATTTGGTCCCATGTTGCTCGCATGTGGGCAGTATGAGGCGAGGAAGTCCTGAGAAAAGTGGTGAGGCGGAGATTCATTGGGGGTGAAATGTTGAATTTGACAGGTAGAGCAGCTGCCTCGGCGCAGCCCACGCATGGTCATCACCCCGAGGCAGATCGAGGACCGCTCTGAAGAAATCCAGAGCCTCAAGACAGAGCTGGCCGGTCTGCGAGACGAGGTTCGTGAACTCACACCCGCCCACCTTCATCTCTGGTGTCCCCTTTCTGTTGCACATGTTTTAGGCTGGCTATCGCTCGTTTGTATCTCTGACGTACATAGAAGCAATGCGAAGAGTTTTGCCAGTCATGTACAAGGTACTGATATTGGATGGGATGACATTGGCGTGCAGCTGCGCACGGTGCGGGGCCAGCTGGCGAGCGCGGTGTCGGCATCGGCGGCGGCGGAGGGGCGCGTCCGCCAGCTCAGCAGCCAGGTCAGCGTGCGGGACGCCGCGCTGGCCAAGATGCGCGAGGAGCACGACGCCGTCGTCAGCAGCCTCAAGCAGGTGATCTCTTGTGATTTGCCCTCTTGTTATTTGACCTGGTCTACATCACCACCTGTTCCACTGCTACAAGTTGTTTTGTGGACGCGGGCTCTCTAAATTGAGCAGTAAGTAGGCGTGAAGACTGTTCAATTCTGCCTGATCGATTTGCTTGTTAGCCTCATACACATCTTAATCACATTTTGTGCATGACAGCCAGCATCTTGAGCATGCATGCACAAACAACTTGTTTACGACGTTCCCAGGACCAGTCACATTCTTACTTTGCATGAAGGAGTGGGAACAAATCATGAAAATTGCTGAGTTGCTCAGCATTTCCCTTGCAGGTGACGGCTGAGGCGGCGCAGCTGCGGCGCAACAGCGTGGACCAGGAGGTGCCGGGGCAGGAGCTGGCGGCGCTGCAGGCCAAGTACGGCGCCGTGGCCGCCAAGCACGAGGAAGCCCTGGGGAAGTTGGCCGCTCTGCAGGCCGCCAAAGAGGCCGCCGAGTCTGTCAAGGCCTCTGCGCTCGCCGAGGCCGCCTCCCACCAGCAGACCGCTCGCTCCCATGCCATCAGGTGCGCGCGCTCTGTTTCCTCTCTTCGCACGGAGGCAGACCACCATGGTTTGCAGGTGGCAGGCTTTGATCACCGTGATAAGGTGCTGATACCTTGCAGCGTTTGAGGCTTCAATGGATTCCGGTCACTTGAAGAAGAAGCTCATGCTTGCTTGAAATTGTCATCCCCCAATGTCCAACAGCTCAGACTTCTGGTGAAGGACTGTGCCTGAGGCATGGAAGCCCTGAACAAGGACCACGCGTGCTGAATGCCAGATTGAGATAATTTTCTCCGACCTTATGTCAAGTGCTTACAAAAAAGCGTGTGGTCACCCGCAGGAGCGAGGAGAAGCAGGCGGAGATAGAGGAGCTGCGGGCCGAGGTGCGTAGGGGGGAGGCTCGGCTGCGCACGCTGCACCGCGACATGAAGGCGCAGCAGGACAAGGCCGAGCTGCACTCCAAATTCTCCACCCAGTACCTGACCGAGCTCGAAGACCTGCGCTCCAAGCACGCCGCCCTCCAGGTGCCTCCCCGCTTTTGGAAAAGAAACCAAAACGAAATTGTCAACCAGATGTTGTGTGAGAGGGTGTTTGGCTGAATCGGCATTGCATTGCTTTGCAAGCCTGGGCAGATGCTGTCTGATGCATATGCTGCAATCTGGTCGCATCTGTCTCAGCCATGTGCATTGACTGCCAGGATGCGCGGCTGTAATGATTGTGGTTTGGCCTATACTGACTATTAAGCGGGCTGGTGGATTCGTACGCAGGCACAAATGGCTCAGATGACAGCGCACAGCAATGGGAACATTGCTTAGAACCCCGAGGCTGCCAGCGCCCCTGTCAACTGGGCTGGCCAGCGTGAAGGCCGCTGATTGGAACAGAATGTAGTCAGAAATGCAGCAGTGAAATTTTTAGTGGGTTTCCTTCAAAGAACCTTGTAGTGGCATACAAAACGCATGCAAACTGAACTTGCCTCACGTGTTTTGGCATTTGAACTAAGATGAAGATGGTGGCTTGCACATGCATGTGAGATTGTGAGCAAATAGCATCTGCAATAGCGTAGTGTCTTTCAAGTACGGATACGTATGCGTATACGCATTCAAGAACCCCTAATCCCCAGAATTTATGAACTCGACTTGAAATTTTGTATACAAAGGGATGCGTGGATTTGCCAAATGGCATGGAATAGCATGACTTGGGTAATGTAATCTTGACCACAGTGTGGCGCGGATGAATTAGTGAGTATTGCTGTTAATGCGAGATGCACATACGATCAATGTGAGTTTGCGGCAGGGATGTGTTTTGAGCCTGCCTGTGTACAAGGAGCTTCATCTGTAATTACATGTAAGATGTGCTGTTTTGTAATGTTAAATGGGAAGCATGGGCCCAGTTTCAATGGGGTGACATTTTCTTTGATAGCATACAAGCAGCGACACTACCAGAGCACCTAGCAGAGCCACTCATCAGTGATCATCACCAGTTAATACAATTGTCATTGTAATGCAGATCTGTTGCAGTGTTCACTGGTGTTTACTTTGGCATCGGTATTGACTTGACACTGGCAAACAAAGAAGAAATCTTTCTTGTGTCCCTTGCGCCTACTGTCTTTGACATGAGGGCGATCTGCTCTGGAGTGACTGTGCGCTCCGGATAATTCACCTACAAAAGAAACAGCAACAGATGGTCACCCGCTGCCTTGCTCATAGAGAACAATCATGCTGTGCGTGGCGCAAAAGTCCCCATCTACCCGACACATCAATGCAGCAAGCAATGCTTTCAAAACAATTATATCGGGATTCAAATAGCATCATAATATTCTTGACAGCGGCGCCAGCAACACAGCATGATGGCATTATCTTGCACATGAGGGAGGAAGAACTCAAATTCAGTCACCAAAGTGCTGCAAAACAGGCTCACCTGCAGCATTGCGGTGTACTCCGTTGCTGTGAAGCGCGTCGGCCGCTCGGCAGCCGCGCGCAGCAGCGCGTCGGCCGGCACGGTGAGCAGGCCATAGTACGCGCGCGCCTTCTCGAACGCGCGCGCCGACTCCGGCCGGAACGCGCCGCCGGTCGCGCCCAGCGAGCTCAGCGCCGGCTGCAGCACTGCCAGCAGCCGGGACATGCGCGCAACCCCGTGCTGGTTTATGCCCTGCACAATAGTCACCGCACAGTGTCCTTCAGCTCCTCACCTTGCATATTTCCTTGGGTACCTAGCATCTCCTCTCATGTCCCTCTCTTACTCCCAAACGTCCTCCTCATATGCGACAGTCTTGCATTCTCAGCCAAAATGACCAGTCAAGTCATGCAGTCATAACCAATCATTTGCCATGTTAGCCATGCAAGGATGGTTTCCGAGCAGTCTTTAAGACTGGCGGGATAAAACGAATGCTTCGAAGACAGTGACAGGACTTAAAGTAGCGGGAAATTGTTGGTGTACTGAGATCTGATGTTGCAGTAGCATGCTTCAAAGAAGAGAAAAGGACCAAGAAGGAGCGGGGATCCTCACCCCAAGCTCGGGCAGCAGCCACATGATGGTGCGGGCGGCGGCAAAGCCAAGGGAGCCGAAGAGGTAGCCGCGCTTCTTCAGCGGAAGGCACGGCGCCAGATCCTCCTCTGCTCGCGACAGCGCCCTGATCAGCGCCCCAGCGCACTCGTCCACCTGCGTTACAAAGATGCTCTCTGTCAGGCCTCGCGGATGAGCTTGAAAGAAGTGCCAGGTCGCCAATGCAATAATTGAACAACACCGACTGGGGTCCATAATTGGGCTTCCATGGCACATTCTCACTGGAAAGGAGATGTTGAGCCTGTGAGGCACTGCCATGTGTGCATTGGCACCCATCACAGCTGGCAATCAATATTTTCTAGGGGAAACCTTTAGAAATAGAAATTGAGCAAGTAGCGGTCGAGAGGAGGCTTGTTCGGTGGTGTGCAGGGCAGGGGAGAAAGGGCGCACCTTGACATCGGACAGCAGTTATGATAGGGAGAAGCCTTTTGGGGTGAATATTGGGCAATGCAGCACTTGGGAGGAGATTGAGCCTGGGGTGCAGGGCAGGGAAAGAAAAGAAGGAAATAAAACCCTAAAACATAAAAGAAAATAACGAAGAAGAAATGAAAAGAAAATCCCCTGAAGCCTAAAGGGTGCACCTCGACGGCGTCCTCCTCCTTGCAGGCCCAACAGTTGCCAGGCAGCTCCTGGAGGTGGTGCATCACCATCAGCATCAGATCCAGCCGCAGCGCACGCAGCGCATGGCCCGCCAGTGCCCGGTACCTGGCCAGCCCAGAAAAATCTGAGTGTGTTTTGAATTCTGAACAGCTTCTCAGTCGGTCCCCTGGACCAGGCCCAAGCTGTGCTTTGGTGAACACCAGAGAAGGCGTGAAATGGCATCCAAATAATTGCAATCTCCCGGGAACAACCCCAGCTTGCGCTCAGGACCACAGCGGACATGCTTCGAAGACAAGGCACTGCCAGAGCACAATAAGCAGGATAAATACAATCAACCGTACCTAGAATACGCATCATGCTCAGCAATCAGCTTGTGCCCAGTTTGGATGAAAACATGCTTTGTTTCCCCTCGTTTCGAGGTGTGGAAAGGTACGTGAGCACTTTGCTGCCACGTCCTGCTGGCGCATGTTCGAAATCCTATGCGAGGGGAACCCTTTGCCGAGCAATGACGGCGCGGCCGCACCGGTCCATGAGGTGCGCCATGCCGACAGTGAGCGCGCCGCCGGGCTGGCCGTCCCGCGCGGCGCCCTTGACGGGAGACACCGAGCGCGGCCGCTCACCGCCGCCGCTGACGTCGACAGCGCCGCTGCGCGCGATGACATCAGCGAGGTAGTCAGCGCTGTCCGCCAGGGCCGCCAGGCCTGTGACCTTGTCGGTGGAGCCGAGCAGCGCGTCCGCCCTCACGGGCCGCTCCTGTGACCGGCACTTTGCTGTCAGAGGACAACCACTCTGAAAAGACTCCTTTGAGAGTGATAGCTTATGTGACTGGCAGTGCAAGGGGACCATAACTGTCAATAGCAAGCCATTCTAAATCGTCTTCCTGTGTCAGTCGGCCGCCATGAGTCTGGCAACAGTGACACCCATTGCTTGGCATTTGAAATGCTTGCAAGTGGGAGGGAGGCGCAAGACTGTCAGGTGGTGACAGGTGATGAATTACAGGGTGCAAAGGAAATGCTGAGCTGGAGGTACTGGGACTGCACCTGGGCTATCCTGTTGAGGACCTCGATCTCGGCCGCCTCACCGCCGGTGCCGAAACCGGCATTGAGCACGGAAGCCACCCAGGAATCGATGCCGTCGCTCGCGCCGTTCTTGCTCACAAAGAACGCCACCGGCTTCCCAGCCTGCTCCGGCAATAGAACCACAAATCATGCACACCATTGTCGGTTTTGACGGAAGCAGAACACAAGTCGGGCTTTGTCCAGGCAGCGCCATGCATTCCATTTTGCAGAACCAAGCTTCATATGCACTCATACAGCAGTACATCTGGGGGCCACGCCGCGAAGCTGAAGTGGCCTGTCAGCAGGAGGCTCAGTATTAAAGATACAGTACATGCGGTTGGCACCGCACCTGGGAGGCGCAGAGCTCTTTGGCCATGAGGGCGGCCAGCTGCGGGTTGTCGGCCAGGCTTCGGCAGGTGCAACGGCCCATCAGCCCAAACAGCCGCGACTGGAACGCGTCGAGCACCTGCCCCAGCACATTCTCCACCACGCCTGCATGCATGTGTTCTCGCATGCGTCATTGCATGCATGCGCTGGCGCTGTGCACATGGGAAAAGTGCCGCGAAAGAGTGGCTGCCCATGTGCCCTGAGGGCACTGCCCTTCGTACATACGCCATGAGGCAGGCTTGGACAAAGGCAACAAGGTGCACGGAGCAGCAAATGCCTTAGCCCCTGCCCCTGTCCATTGCAGCTACAGGAAGTGGACCTAACGGCGCGCTTGAGAGGGCAAAGCTTTTTTGTGACAACCACCTTTATGCGATCCTCCGATGAGAAGCACCTTCGTTTGGTCCTCCCTTACTTAGTAGGAGCCAGCAGGCCGGGCATCTTTTCCTGTGATGACAAGCATTTAGATTAGGAGTAAGCAGGCTGCGCGGGGGTGCGCACCGGTGAGGTGGGTGGCGAAGATGGGCATCTGAGAGGCCCAGCCGAGCAGCTCCTCAACCATGCCCTCCGTCGTACGCGCGGCCGGCAGCACCGGGCGGCTCTCTCCCTCCGTCACATAAACACTGCGCGTGCGCGCCCGCGCCCTGAACGCCTCCGCGTGCTGCAGCAGCTCCGTGCAACGGCCCCTGCATTATTTCGCAAGCATTTCCGTGAGCACGATCGCACAATGGCGAGAAAGCAGGACGCTGCCTCGAGCTGCTGAGTGGACGCTGCCCAGGTTGCCCAGAGCGGGCAGGATCTGGGCCACGTGCAGATATTTCTCGCCTCAGGCAAACGCAAACTCAAACGCGAACCCGTCCTGTGGCCCAGCACTACAATTGATGGTCAATTTGGGTTGGTGTGTGTGCGAAGATGAAGGCATAGAGTCGTCGAATGACTGGTGACATTACCCGATGCTGAGGAGCGTCCTGCAAAAGCATTCGCTGGCCGGTGGTGACCCACTACAATGCCGCAGAGAGCACTGTAGAAGAAAGCCTTTTGGGCATCAAATCTGTGTTGTGGCATCTCAGAGCAGCGGATCCGGCAAAAGAAAACCCCGAGCTAGAAGGCCAGGTGAAATTGCACTAAATCGACTCTGACACCTCTCTTTTTGGTTGTCAATTTCTATGCAAGACAAATGTCAAAACAATGAGTCGGGAAATTTTCTTAATTTTTGTTTCGTAACAGGAGTCTTTGAGGTCGAGAAAATCAACCCTCCTCCACAGTCCTTGGGCATACACCAGTTGCCGGTGGACACCCACAATGGAGACCAGATAACAGTGGAAGACGAGGTAGGTCCCATCACTGCGATCACTGTACTTAATACCATGCTAACGCCACAACAATCTTGGGTGCATGCCCTTAGGCCAAAGGGGCAGATGCTGACAGGAAAGCTTGTGCAGGACTTTGTGGTCACTGGATTGGTGCTAAAGTACAAGCTGGTGGGCGGGAGGTATCAGAGGGATCACAACAGACTGGAGGTTCAGCAGACCAGCAGATACTTTGTCAATTTGTACTATGACAGCCTACTGGAGAAGTCGGCATGAACAAATTCTTTTACTAGTCTCTTTTCTGTGACTAGTGTTGAAGGGCATGCTCAAGCAAAAAGCTGCCTGAAATTATATTGAAGTCCCCGATAAGCACTGTAAAAGGGGAGTAGAGGCGGAAAGAGAATTCAAGCATGTGCAGCAGAGAAGAGCGGAAGGTCAAAAGGTGCATGCCCACCTGAAATTCACGTAGACCTCTGGCAGGAACTCCTCGGAGATGAAGGTTTCCAGGAAGCTCCTGAGCACCTTGGCCGCCTGCTCCCTCTCCTTGGAGCCTGGCGTGCCCGGCTGGTCGCTGTCCCCCTCAGCCGTCTCCAATGCCCTTTTTCCCCCGTCTACAAACTGCACAGCGCCACAGCACTATCGAAAGGAAATTCTTTTGGCTAGTGAATAATGAAATCTGCTGTCCCACTCCACTGTTGGTGTGCACTACTGGCCAAATACCTGCAGAACTTACCTTTTCACAAAGAAGCACAACTGTCTGTATTCACAGCAGAGCAAATGCACTAGAGTCTTGCATGCTGGGCAGCCTCAGATGAAAGAATATTATGAGAGCTTCAAAATAAAACAGAAATGTGAGACAGGTGCCGAGGCAGCAGTGGAAAGGCAAACCTGCACGACGGGGCGGTAGAGGGCGGGGGCGAGGTAAGTGCCGCCAGTCTGGCCTCCGAGCGCCTGCTGCGCCATCGTCTCCGTCGGCCGCATGGGCGCCATGCTCTGCATCCTGTCCAACACCTGCTGCGGCGCCATCCCCGACACCTGCGCGCCGGCAGCATGACTCAGTCATTACTCATTGCATCTCCTCCACAAGACCTCCACAGACTGGGCACTTCCATGGTCCTTTCTTTGGAGAGGGAGGGACTGTGTAGGCGCACAAGGCAGCGGGATGATTGCATGCATAGGACCTTGACACGAAGAGCACACAGATAATCAATACCTGGACGTCAAATGAGAAGGTGTGTGCGCCGGACGCTGTAGGGAGGGAGCTGCTACCGTCTGCAGTGCCCCTGAGCCATCCAGCACCTGCAAATAGCTCCGGCCATCAGGCTCACAGCCGACACAGAACATTCCGTGAAATCGAAGTGCAGTGCAATGCATGCAAAGAAGTTGATAGTGCTTAGGCCCTTGTGAACTCACTGGACTGGTAGGCTTGGCTGATTGTGGTTGTCTGCAGCTGGGGAGCGCGCAACAGCTCCTGCAGAAGCCTTCTGCACTCCGCCTGCATTCCAAAATGTCCCTTGTCACCCACATCAAAGCCCAGTGTTGCACAGCCAACAATCACCCTTCCCCCTACTTTGAACTCTTACACTCTGTGCCATGGCAAAGCCCCTGCCACGACAGCACACAGCTGCGTGGCAGGTGTCCCTTGTGCGGTGCTTTCCAAGGATTCCAAACGGTCATTCTGAGCATTCCAACAGGTGCAGAACTTTCATTTGGAGCTCAAGGGTCTCGCAACACTACTGCAAATCGCAAGGAGAGCCGCGAGATACAGTACATTGATATCATGCATGCCTCCTTACTCATCGCAAGATGCCACCGGCCTGTCTAGAGCACGAGTTCCGGGAGGAGCAAGCCTGCACTTGGTATTTGCTGCTATCCTCAGGTGCAGATCCGATCATGATGACACATCATGCATGCCTTCTTACTCATCAAGTGACGCTAATACCCTTTCCAGATTAGGAACATTGGGTGGAGGCGCGCCTGCAGGCAGTCCCAGGCGGCGTCGGCCTCGTGGCGTACATAGCTGTGGGTGACGATTTTGGGCGGCAGCTGCGAGGCGACGTCTTCGGTGCTGCGCGCGGCGAGTAGCAGCTCCAGGCCGGCCGACGACGCCGACGGCCGCGCCCCGTTCAGGAGCTTCAGCACCTCTATCAGGTTGCGCAGCATCTGCCGCACCCCCACACTTCCGATGAGTCATCAGAGACATTTGATGCCTGTATGCGTGCCACACGCGTTCGAATAGGAACAGAACAATATATGCCACTGAACCCGACTCATGGCAATCTTGCACGCAGTGCGAACTGCATGCGACAGGGCCCTGCTGTGCTGCCAATACTGTCTGGAAATTTTGACCAGGCAATCTCTCTAAAATTCTGTTGTATAGATCGCAGTGGGTCTGAGAGGCAAGATATTCAAAATGCAGACTGTAGAGTGGAGCGCACCTGCAGGCAGTGGTCGAAGACGGCCTCCACAGCCAGCTGCGCGGCGCGGTCTGCGGCCGCATGCGCGCCTGCCCCCGCGGCCCCCTTGTCGATCTGCGACTGCTGCAGCGCCCGCAGAATCACATTGCGCACCTGCAACCCCATCACTCTCCCCTAGGCCTCTCATCCCTTTCAAAAAAATCAGTATAATATATATGGATCATAACACCTTTCTCTCTCTTGTCATTTACACTATTGTAGTCAGGATCTCCCTCTCCGCCATGATACGACTCTAATGAATGCATGGATGACATGTCACGGATGAAAAGAGCAAGGGTGCTGGCAAATGAGGCTCAGGCATGCATGCGCATGCATGCAGAGCACCTGTGTGGGCATGTGACGCCGAAGGGTGAGCTGAGCCTCAGCAATGCCTCCCAGCTTAACCAGGCAGTCCACAAGCTTGGCCATGGGCAGCGGCGGCAGCGGCTTGCTCTCCGCCAGCTTCAGCGCTGCAGTCCTGGACAGCAGCGAGGAGCTCCTGCAAAGGGCACAATCCCCCTTTTGTGCCCTTTTCATCCTCCTTGACATCTTCTCCGACCTTATCCTAATCAATGGGCTTGACTTGTTACACTGCAGATGTCACCCGTCATCCATGGCAAGCAGCACAGCATGCCAACTTCTTGCAAGGCGAGAAATGTAATCTCCATGCCTGTTGCTGATCAAATCTATGTGGGCATGATTGGGTGCAAATCTTTGCCTGCAGTCGGTGGCAAGCCAAACGAAATCCTTGCAAGGGGTATCAAGAAAGCATTTCGTGCATTCTGTGGCTCAAGAGAAGAAAGAGTGATAAGCGGCTGTGGGCGTACCGGTCAAGGCCAGACTTTGAGCTAATTGTGCCAGAGGTCAGGTTGCTGCCGCTGATGGACTGCAGCAGAACCTCCCTGCCTCTGGGAGTGGCCGCGGCATCCACCTTGCTCTTGCTCTGACTCGACAGCAGCGCCAGCAGCGAGTCACCTGCTCAGTCAGCGCACCCGCCCATCAGATTCTGCACATCACATTTGGTCATATACAGAGACTTCTGCTCTCTGGCGACCATCCGCAACCAGGAATGAAACGCCATGATTGTCTTGAAGAAGGCACACGCATAAAATCATGCTTTGTATATTGAATGATGTAAGGAAGTATGGCCAGCATGCAAAGGGGGCTTTGGACACTGTTCCTCACTGCGTATGAGGGAGTTGGAAATGCATTCAGGACGATGACAATGCTTTCCAGGCGTGTCTCGCCTATTCTAGGTGCTCATGAACACAGCACGAGGAGTTTTGCACATGGGTTTTGCATGGGAATCAAGTGGCCATGGTCACAATGGGGAATTTGCATTCTCACTGCGCATGATGGAGCTGGACATGCTGGTTTCATCCTCCTCGCCGTCTGGGTCGTCCGAGGTCCCTGAGACGCCTTTTGGATTGCTCACGGACACAAACACACGGTCCTCTAGTTCGTGCACCAGCAGCTTGTGCAGGCTGTTGCGCCGCAGCGCCATGTCCCGTTTTATATCCTTCAGCGCCCCCACCTGAGAGATCAACACATACCGCATGAGACAACAGCCAGACTCTGTCAAAGCACAAGGGACTGGCGCGCACAGACCCGATTTAAAATAAATAGTTAGGGGAACAGGGGATTCGTGTCACAGGGGCTCACATTGTCCAATTCGCGACGGGCCAATTTGTTGCAAGCCTCCAATAGCACATCCACTGCTGCCTCCCAGTCCTGCAGTCGTAAGAAACCTTGCTTGCATCACAGTACTTTGAATAACTATCAATCAGGTACATGTCTAGACAAATCACTCCGTACATCAAACAAATAAAAGAAATACTACACGCATGATCACAAGCTTGTCACTGCGTGGTTGACAAGTGAAGTGCACCGGAAGTGGAGAACCAGAAACACTAAGTGTTACTGTACACAGAGATATAGGGCATGCCTTGGCCTCTTCCAGCTTCTGCACGCGCTGTGGGGCATCGCTGATGGAGTTGACGTCCCCCAAGAGGCGCACTGTGTCACTGAGTGTGATGCCTCGCCGCCACTGCTGCTGCAGGCTACGCGACTGCGCCCCGAGCCGCCTCCTGGCCTCTTCCAGGCACACCTTCAACTTTTCCACCTGGAGCAACCACCAGCAGTATCATCATCTGTCAAATTTCTCCCAGAGGCTATATGTTTCAGAAATGTGCCAGCTAAAGCTTACAAGATAGTGTCGACTTGTCCCATGGCTTGCTTTTCATCAGACAGAGTCTCGTGCTCTGACTGTCACCTGCTCCTTGGACTCAGAAAAGAGGTGCAGGATGCGCGAGTAGTTGTGGATGGCCTTATTGAAGCCATTGTGGTAGGCTTGCACGACATCATCCACCAGATCCTCAACTCGTTCCCGCTGTGCCCGAAGCTGCAGTCAAACCAGTGTCTCAAATCCCAAAGTACGCGTGATGTTGTCAAGATGGCATTCGACTTGTCACGCATAAAGGCTGATCTGTCGTTTACATGCCTCTGTGCTTGAGCAAAGGTCCTCACCTCCTCGACTTTGGCCTCTGCATTCACGCTGCTCACAATGTTCAACACCAGCCTCAACGAGTCAAACCGTGGATCCTTGAACTCTGGTGCAACCTTGTACATTTCGTCATCGATGGCGTCCCAGTCCATGCGGACCGGTTGGCCAAAGGGTGCCCTCCCAGGTGACAACATCTTGATCTTTGCAGTTTCAATGATAGATCAGCATGGCTAAAGTTTCAAGGGGGTCCGAATGATGTGACACATGCCACAAATTAAGCTGTTGCTAGCAGACATGGACCTTCCCCTTCAATATATATCCGTCCTTTCTTCAGGCTCAACAGGATGTTTGACCCAACCATAAGTATTTTTAGGAAGAATGGTTGTCGAACACAAATGCGTCGTAGGTGCTCCAATTCTATCAAGAAATAACTAGGTCTAAGTGCCTGCAGAGCTACCCTTCTTGGATAAAGCGGTAAGGATGCCGAACGATTCCCAACTTTTATCGCGACACTTCCGACGCCTCTCGTCCAGGAACTTCACATTATTCCACTACTGTGGCAGATATAACACCCTTCTGTGAGGTACTTGAGGCGTCTTGGCCAAACCCAGGCCTGAAAGAAACGAAGGAAGGACGGCATGTCGGCACGTGATGAGTTATGATCTGCCCACCTTTCAAATCGCACTGCACCAGATCTTTGTCCGATCCAAGAGAAGCACATAGAATAGGCGTTGCCTTGATCTTGTCAAGGAGGCTGAAAGAGGTAAATTTTAAGATCTTACTGAGTTCTGAGATATTCGAATTGCAGAGGACAGGCCGAAGGGCTTGTCAACTTTATAACCTGCATAATCAATTTTCATTCTGATCCATTCCCGGTCTGATTATTTTGATTTAAAATGCACGATGTGAACGTGACAGTGATATGTCTCAGTGTGCTTCACAGGCTGCGGGAAAAAATATTTGCTGGAGGTCGCACTGAATGATCAAAAGGCTTGCCATTTATCAATATCAGCCTCTAGCGAAGCATCGATGGTCTAAAAAGGCAGAACGACAGCAGGACCTCAAGACTTTGGCGGTGGATCAACGTAAAGCGTTCTCGAGGATGAGCATTTGTAGGGAAGCGAGTTGTGATACCGCCTTCCAGAGCCCAATCCGCGAGGATTCACTGATAATGGGTGTCAGCGATGAGGGAGACGGTGCAGTAGATGCAGCATGGAATGAAGCAGTCATAAAGCCCCTACCATCCACTCCAACATCTGCTGAACGAGAGCCAGGACAGCATGTTCCTACTCACCAGGACAGCAGCGATAACTTTTTCAACCAAGGGAGGGCCTTCGAAAACGTGGAACCAGTCTCAGAGGACAGCGAAGGCTGGGAAAGTGAGGATGACTGTGGAAGCGTCCTGAGCAGCATTGCGTCCTTTGACCTGGACAAAGCTTTGGGAGAGCTTGAGCTGGATCAGCAGGCGTCTTCCAAGGCTGACAAGCCGTCCTCTGCGAAAAGCAAGTCACCCAGCATCTACTACAGCCCTGCGACTACCTTCGAGTCTTCACCGCCCGATACCTCAAGCCCCAGGATTGCGCAGCCAATTGATGTACCAGGTATGGCCAGGCCAAGGGAATTTCCCTGAGGCAATACACCTTTGGCAGAATCCCATGCGCTGCTGCTACAAAGCCAAGTGAGTGGCACTTGCTGTGTGTGTTTGCATGTGCTTACTAAATCCCTTTATCTGCACTTCCAGGTGTCTCAGACAGCCTTGAGTGCCTCGAGACATTGGCGAGCGATGGAGCTGACATTGGCATGTTGCCTCCGAGGATGCAGCACCCCGTTGTTTCCCAAGCAAGTCCCACAGATAGCGCCGCACAAAAAAGCCCTGACGGCTTGGCTGGCCATCAAACTCTGCTGGAGCGGTTAAACAGCCAGGTAGATCTCCACTAGCAGATTGTAAATCAACCCTCTTTTCTTTGAACACACAAATGTGGGTATCAGCTGATTGAATACATACGAAGGTTCCAGAGAACTTTACAGGTCTGTGTGTCCATTGTAGGGGAATCATATGGGCCACAGGGCCAGTGTTCAGAGTGCGCCAGTCAGCCCGGCTGCTTCCACTTCGGCCTCCAGTGGAGCAGCAGACTCTCCTGTGATCGGATGGACCAGTGGCCGCCATGTTCCACAGGTTAGCTGATCACCTCTTGTGCCTGCATACTTCCTTGCTTTTGAGCACTGTTAAAAGATCTCCCGACAACGCTTGTCCCACTTATTTTGCATGAGAGCATCAGTATCTCTTGCAGGCAATAAATCTCTATGTCTCACGTGCTAAATGGGTACGGTGGCTTGTGCAGGAGCAGGGTCTTTACAGCGTGGGCCGAGCAGGCAGAGCGCGGCTGCCGGTGTCGGTGCGGCCAAGGCAGCTGCGGCTGGGAGGCAGCTCAGAGGACGGGGGCACCTCCGGTAGTCAGCTGGCAGATCTGTACGGCTCCGCCTCTGGGGTGGCCTCCTGGCGGCCAGACACACGCCGCCTGGTGCTCAGCGACAGCGAGGCAGAGGAGTCGGCAGCCGCTGACATCAGCAAGACACCAGAGATGACTCCCGCGGTGCTGCGCTCTGCCGCGCAAGCCGATCAGGCAGCCGCCGGCAGTAGATCGGCGAGCAGCTCGGCGGAGTCAACGCCCCTGCAACTCATGCGCAGCATCCTTCGCGGCTCGGTCAGCCGGCGCCCCACGCGCCTCTCGGACGGCTTTGAGGATGAGTCAGCGCACGGTGCAACTCAGCCCGTGGCTGACGGCACGGATGACTCATCGGGTGACTCACCCCCGCTGACCGTCACGCGCACCCTCGCGTGCCGCCGCACCGTGCGCTTCCGCCTCAGCAGCCGCTTTGAGGGCCCCGACTCAGACTCGGGCAGCGATGCCGGCCACAGCGGAGGCTTCGGCAGCGCAGTGCAGCCAGCTGCGCCACTTGCAGGAGGGCAGGCAAGCGCGCAGAGCCCGGTGCAGGCGGGAGACGACCCGTATGTGTTTTCAAGTGGGGACGAATTGGTTGCCGCAGGCCGCAGCGGCATGCGCGCACGGCGCGCCTTGAGTGACGACAGCAGCAGCGCCATCGTCATCTCGGACAGTGACGCCGACAGCACGGCCGGCGGCGGGAGTACGCGCAACAACGAGTGAGCTGCAGAACGTTATTGCCATCAATGGTGTCAGAAGCATTCATCTTTGAAGCCGTGCTGATCTTCCTGTGCAATATCCATAGCATCAGGAATGTAACGAATTGTATTGCGAGAAAAATAAATGGTGCCAGAGCACTCCCAGTGCATGCTCCTGTGCTAACCATGACTGTCATGCATGCAGGTCTTCAGACGCGGCGGCGAGCGGCCAGGAGAACCTTTGCACGCCCAATTCCGACGCGTGGCCCTCCCACAGCTTTGCGACGCCTGCGCGGCGGCCGCTCGGTGAAGTGGACGACAATCAAAACGCGCAAGTTACCGATTTTTCTGCCACGCCGCGGCCGCCTGCGGGTCAGTGGGCTCCAGTGGGCAGCCAGACGCTGCCCGTGCTGCGCACAGGGCTGCCCACCGGGCAACAGGAGCTGCCTGTGACGCCCAAGACGGCGCCGCGCGCATTCGTGCCGTCGACGCCGACCAAGTCCGGCCGGCCGGCAGTCACGCCGATGTCTGTGGCCGCCTTCCGCCGCCGGCGGAGCGCCCTCGCCCGCTCCATGTTCCAAGAGTGCGCCTTTTACCATCGTGCTGAGGATTGCGGCTGCCAGAAAGCATTCATTTTCTGTGCTTTGCATTAGAAACCTCTATGCAATTAATTTCGTGAGGGTTGGGAGTAAAGAGTACAAATATGGCATGCATGTATTGGTTTGTGTGAGGATCTGCTGATGTCCTGCAGTCCAGGTTTGGAATGAGATCACTAAAAGCAAGAGGGCTACAGAAGCATAGAGATCTATTTAATGCTTGGGGCTTGCAGGTTTAACGCTTCAGTGTTTGGTAACCGGCTGCCAGAGGATCTGGAGATCTCCTGGAACGCCCACCTGAGGACCACAGCAGGCACCACGCACTACAAGCGAGAGCCGCCCACTACCCTGACAGATCCCCCCAGGTGACCCTTTATGACTCCCTTTCCTGGTGCAAAGAACACAGCTGTGGCACGATTTTGCTCCAGCGAAGATGACAGAAGTGCCAGTGCCACGTGCTGCAGGCCTTGAATGATCTACTGTCTCCAAGCAGATGTCACAAGCAAGTAGTGCAGATTGTCTGTCCACAGAGGCCTCCCCCTTGACCAACACAGGCCGCCAATGGGCGGCCTGGTTTTGAAAATAGAGAAATACTACTAACTCAGCAATCAAAATCCTATCACAGACTCTGGAATTCAGAGCAGAATAGGCCACCAAATTATGTGAGTGCGCGCAGGCACACATCCAGAGTGTCCCTTCGCTTATGCCTTCCATTACACCTGACAAGGATTGAACACTCACTCAGTGAGCAAAATGCCATCAAAGTACTGAGTACAATTCACTGGCGTGCGAAACTGCACGCAGGCACACAGCACGAGTGGAGCTGAGCAGCAAGGTGCTGGACAGCCGGGAGCGGCTGCGCGCGACGCTGCTGCACGAGCTGTGCCACGTGGCCGCCTGGGTGCTGCCGCCGCACGCCGCAAAACCGCCGCACGGGCCCGTCTTCAAGCGCTGGGCGGCCGCCGCGGCGGCCGCGCACCCGGACGTCCCCGTCACCACCTGCCACTCCTACAACATCCACGTCCCCTTCCAGTGGCAGTGCGAAAACCCCGAGTGCGCCCCTGGACCTTGCAATCTGGTTCTTGGCTGCACAACATCTGATTTATCGCACCCTAAGGTGCCTGCTTGACCTGCTAAACATGAAAGCACCTGGTAGAGAAGGCATGGAGGCAAAAACAGGCCTGGCTTGGTCATGGGGCCACTGGGTCTTTTTAGTATTGAGAGACAGGACATGGCCACAATTACCAACATGCCGTGCTTGCAGCTTCCCTCGCACAGTGCGCATTGCCGGGTAACAAGGTATCTGCAGCTGATTGTCGGGTGGCACTGCCCACTCTGCGTTGCTCAGTGGCATTGATCTGGTGACCTTCAATGCTGGCATTGATTCTTGTCATCTGGAAGCTGATGTGGCGGGCATGTGCGCGCAGGTGCGCGCAGGTGTACAAGCGCCACTCCAAGTCGATCAACGCGGCGAGGCAGGCGTGCGGGCTCTGCCGCAGCCGGCTGGCCTTCCTGGGCAAGTTCCGGCCGGACGGCACCCCCGCCAAAGCGCGCGCCCCGAGCGCCTTCTCGGCATTCGTGCGTGACAACTTTGCCGACGTGCGCTCGGCCTGCCCCCCCGGCACGCCCCAGCAGGGGGGGTCATGAGCGCGCTGTCGGCCAGATGGCGCCAGCACAAGGCCTCGGCCGAGGGCGGCCCCCCCGGCAATGACTCATCGGCCGCCGTCCGGTCCCTCGACAGCGCGCTTGCTGGCATGAGGCTCTGATTGGTGCCAGCACAGCACTGGATTCGTTGCTCGATGATCTGGAGTGGATTAGGATCAGCTTGCTGAAGCCTTGGAGTTGCAGAGTTAGTAAATGCAACACCATGCATTGCCTGTGCTGTGCGGCAAAGTGTCCGCATGAAGCGGACAAAAACACTCCACCTTGCCGTTCACTGACATGGTTTAGGGGTCGATCATTGTCTAGACACAACGCAGTTGCAACCCACTGTATCACAGTGCATTCACCCGCAATCAAGCTTAAGCTTTGTTGTGTTTGTCAGGAGGTTGGTATCAAACTCATCAGGGTGGTTTTTAGGATTCTGTGTACATTTAGAGTCTACATTGGCGGTGCAAGGCACGGATTATAGATAGGATGTCATTTTGGCAGATTATGTTGCTGTCAAGAAGGTCATGGAATGAAATTGAAGAACTGATTCACCTGGTCCATATTGTCGTTCCAGCAAGCGACTTGACAAATCTGAGGGTAAGTAATTGTGATTACACAGTTGAATCTTGCAGTCCTGGATTTTGCCCCCAACTTAATCGCAACAGAAGAGTCTCATGCATGCACCCATACTGGCAACCGGCCTGAAAATCCAGCAGGCATACATCACAGGTGCACATGCACAGACTATGGATCCTTACTCCAGACTTGACTAAGAAAATCGGTCAACAAAGAGTCCAGCGGTACCAGATGAAAAGAATAAGACTAATCGTACTTGACAACATACTTTGGAACTTCCCCCCCACCCCCGGGGAGAAAGCAAAGAAATCACAATGAATGACTGCCTGAATATATATAGCTGCTATATAGCAGGCTTACTATCATCTCCTAAATGTCCCTGGCAAGACCCCAATAAGCAATCCCACCCCAGAATTTCACCTAGTGCTTGATTCAGGGAGCTACTCTCGCGCATCATGACACACGGGTATTCTAATATCGTTAGTAAATTAAGGCAAGCAGTTCTGTTCAATCTGGTCTGCCATAATATCCCGAAGTGCTCTCACTCTTCTTCTGTTCTGACAGAACGGATGCACTTCAGCTGAAGTGCTCTTCCAAGAGAGCTGGCTTGAAGGTTCTTGTGTTTTCTGCTGCACATTCAGCATGTCTTCCCAGTGCAGAAGACCAGGAAGGTCTTTGCCTTCCAGAGCTTGCGCCCAAGCCACCCCTTCCCCTTTGGGCAGCGCGCCATTCTGAGCTGCAGCAGGTACCTATGGAACTCCACCTGCCATCAAGAAAGATATACAATCACCTTACTAGCCGTGTTCACACTGCATGGCAAATCTGTTCTATCCCTGTAAGCTACAGTATAGACTTGAAAGTGCAGCAACAGAATGGCAAACGCTTTCAAACTTGAAAGCCTGGTTATGTGGCAGGAAGCTCGAGCTGAGCTCACCATCAGGGCATGGCGCTTGACTTGAGTGAAGTTGCGCCGATTGAACTCATGCTGCTCTGCTATCTTGGCCGCCATCTCAGCCTCTCCTGGGAGCTCAGTGATCCCCTGCACACACTCAGAATTTGTTTTACACACCTGCACAGGGCACATGCACGGCAGCAGACACTGAGCGGTATCCCAGGCAGAACAAGTGCGGAAGCCCCTGCCAGTGATTTTGCTGGTCAAGAAACTGGGCGGAGAATCATGCACGGCCATAGATCTCAGCACAGACATGTAGAGCTTCAACAGAAGGCCCCGCGAATGTTCTTGGTGGCAAAAGTTAAGTTGGAAAATCATGCCTGTATGAGGTCTGCAACCCATGGCATCTGGCCTTCCACGCATGGGATCATGGGCCCGTGCGCTTGAACAAAGCCCAGGAAGAAGATGCCTGGTGCGCGCGGGTGAGCCACGTTCAGCAGCAGCTGCGGCTTGTCTCCCTTCAGGACCTCCACTTTTGGCGGCAGGAAAGGGCAGGACACATTGTACCCTGCAGCCACGTTTTTGAGCACTTTACTCATCTATTGTGTTCTCTCTTGTGCGAATGGAAGACGGGCAGTGATCAATCCCGACCTATTCATGCTGTCAAGGGCTTTCATTCAGTAGCCACAAGTGAGCTGGCCATGGTATGAAGCCTTCAAACCAAGGCTCACGGCTCAAGTTGTCTGTGTGGGCCCTAAGACAAATCCGAGCATATCTCCGCATGCCTGCTTTGCATGTTTTGGAATATATTTCCTAGAAGTAATCTGAAACCTCAGGCTTCTGAGCACAAAACACGAGGGACATAAGGCAAGGGCAAAGCAATCACCTGTTGCGCACACGATGATATCAATATCTTCCTTTGTGCCGTCTGTGAAGTGCACCGTGCGATCCTCGATCCGCTCAATGCCTGGCCGCACGGTGACCTTCCCGTCTTTGATGAGCTGCAGGATGTCCCCTGTACCTGGGCTGACTGTGGGGTGCACCTGTCATCCCCAGCACTCGCTTGACATCTTTCTGCAGATTGCTGGAGCATGCATGCTGCATTGCAAAGATAGCTACTGCTGGGCATGGAGATTTGGTGCACGCTGTCATCTGTGAAATTCACCAGAATCTAATGGGCATGCAGAAGCATGTGGACATCGAAGTGAGACCCAGGGTTGATTAATCTCATGGCTCTGACTGCAGCTCAAATAAAAAACTCAAGAACTTAAAGGAACTCCGCCTGGTTCTGGATTGTTCACAACACTGGGACAGTGCGGTGATCAGGCGCGCCGGCAGATTCATTTTGGATTGTTCACGTCACTGTGATCATGCTTGAAGGCAGCAGAGCGCACCCGCAGCAGGCCGAAGTCGGGCGGGGGAAATTTGAAGCTGGTCTGGGAGCCGCGCGAGATGTGAATCAGACATGTGACGCCCTTTTCCATCAGCCGCCGCGGCGCGGTGACGCCGAGCCAGGCCGGCAGGATGGAATCCGAGGGCGCGCCAAAAATATAGCGGGGCACAACATGCACACGCCGCCGGCAGGACAGGAACACCGCTGCAGCCCCGCACTGAGAAGCCTCGCTCGCTATGTCCATGCCTGCATGGGAACACACGAAATAACTTCGCGCTGCTCCTGTAGTGCATGTATCACCCGTTTCAGTACAGGCATGCATGAGGTCGTCCTTCCTGTGATGCCTGAGAGACCCAAGCTTAATCATCCTGACATGGACAAGATGCATGGTGAGATGCATAGAGTAATTCGCGGCTGCAGGGATTGAGTGGGCATGCATGCAAGCTCACCTGAGTTGCCAGCGCCGATGACCATGACTCGTTTGCCCTCCATGACTTTGGGGGTCCTGTACTCGTGGGAGTGCATTAGGGTGCCTGTGAAGCTGCCCGGCAGTTCGGGCCACGCAGCATGCCAGTGATGGCCGTTAGCAACAAGAACAGAAGTGTACAGTCTGGCAAGTGTGTGGCCTGTGGCTTTGTCCTGCACCATGCATGACCCATCCTCTTACTTGATGTTGTATTTTTGAAGTACAGCATGATAACCTCAGTCTTGAATGTGCAGATGCTTGCAAAGGGTTGATTGACAGGAGCCAGACCTCTGCAAAAACTCTGAAGCTGCCATCCGGGAGTTGCTCAACTTTTTTTACCTCTGTTCTGAATGTGATATGGCTCCGAAAGCCAAAGTGATCTGCGTAGGACTCCAGGTATTCCAGAATCTGCATGCACACAATTTTACAAGCTTGGTTGCTTGAGTTCTCAATCTCCAGTAACATTTTTTGGAATGCAATAAGAAAGGCGCTGTTAAGATCATGTGGATCTAGGCTGTCACCTCTTTCCGCGTGGGGTATGTCGGGTAGTGCTTGGGCATGGGAAAGTCATGAAAGCTAGTCATCTGTTTGGACGTGTTGATGCGAAGGGATTCATAGGAAGCTGACAACCCACTGTCGCTGTTGAGGACCCAAAGGCCGCCCACCTGTCACAGATCAAATCCTCAGTTGTTGCTCTCTGGACTGTACTGATAAGTTGAGCAGTGGTGTCCAGAACGTCTTGTCCAAAATGTCATTATTACCTGGGAGCTGGCCTCGAAACAATCGAAGGGGATGTTGCGTTCGTGCAGGACCTTGCAGGCAATCAGACCAGATTTTCCAGCTCCGATGACGCACGCGCGCTGTTTGAGAGCATCATTCCCCGCCTGCAAGGGTGTACCATTCTGTCTTGACAAGGGGTTCTAACACACAATCCTATATTGTAAGATGTGTGGAGGACAGAATCAAGGAGGCTCCAATGCGCAGCAATCTTGGCAGCTCCATGTTAGGCAAATTTTGCGTTCAATCTTATAAGCCAGCGAGATGAGGCTGCTTGGAACGCATTACAAATGCCCTGTGTCTGGCCACATGCAGTGCAAGGTCCAGCAGGTGCAGATGCGCAAGATGTGTGTGCTATACATTGGCACTTAATTACTGATTATCGTTTCTGGTATTTTATGTAGCAACTGCGTTACTAAAATATTGCTGCTTGCTTGCACATACCCTTGTCGTAATCTCGATGGTTATCTTGTGGTCTTTGCTTGGAAGCTTGGTATCACTGCACGAAGGTGTGGGACCATTACGACGCTCCTCGTCGCTCATTGTACACTATGTAGGATGACGACAAATGTTTGTTTATTCGACCGCGACCCAGTGCGAGATGCAATAACTCCAGTCCCACCGAAAGATGTTTGCACCCACAATTACTTGCGACTCAATGAACGCTTTTCTGTACGTCAGGCTTGTGAGGAATAGCCCAAAAGCGCAGGAGAAGGATGGATAATTTGTCACTGACAAATCGGAACTTTGAACAGGCCAAGGCCTCTCGATATTTCCTTCCCTTGGCAAGCAAGCCAACATGCGAAGAGAACTCAAGACATGAAGCGACGCGACTGTAAGTTGGGGGGGGGGCATCCGGGAATGAATTTTTTGCAGGCGTGCTGAACAATTATGCTGCCAGTTCCGCCAGCAATAGTGCAGTAATGCGCATGCGCAGCTGAAGTTCAGCTGCTGAACCAGTGACTGCGGCACCTGCGCAGGGCTGGGGCAGGCCCCGCGCGTTTGTAGGTCTCCAGCTTCCTCCCAAAGCTTGCACGCCACAGCTTTGGGAGGAAGCTGGAGACCTACAGGCAACTGAACTTCATTGGTGGTGATGAAGCCACCAATCTGCATGCATGCTGGCCTGTGGAGGAAACTGCAGTGCAGCTTCCAAGCATCTTTCCTGATTCGGTCAAAGTGTCAGAATGTCCAATAATAAAGTGCTGTGGAATGTCACTACCCTTCAGAAATACTTCTATTAAGAAATGGAGACAAGGCTGTGGAATATTATAGGCAGTTGACATTCGTCTAGAGCACACTTGCATCGGAGAGTATGACAATGGATGGTAGAGTGGACGACACCGTAAGGAAAAGGAGAACAACATCTAGGCAAGCTAGTAGAGAACTGCTGCATCCAGCGCTGGAAGACTTGGATCCCTCCACTAAGTTTCTGTACACACCGCACACTATCACTGGACTTCTGATCGGTAAGTCTGGCCTGAGGGAAACTATAAATGCAGTATTTATTTTTAATAATTTATTTTAAATGCAACACTACTGGTTGCAGTAGCAAGCATTGAGTAGTCGTGTGACGCCTTCTCTGCAGCATTCAATATTCGCTTGTGCAGCTCCATTTTGACAGTGTCCTGGTGGGATCCTGCAGGAGTTGTAGTGCTGATATACTTCAGCAGAGCGTTCAACCCTCCAGATACATCCCCAGATCCACTGCAAGCGGAGCGAGTGGCGTATTTCAACATCAAGCATGGCATCACTGCTGGCTGCCTGGTGTTCTTGGGTGACGTCAATCCCATGACACTTTATCAACGCACACCTGCTTGCACCCTTGGGAACTTGTCAGTCAGTTTCCTGCTCTCACAGTTGAATCGTTTTACTGACTGTCAGCACATCTACTGACGTCTATTGACAGCTGAATGCTGTGCACCAGGTTACTCCCTCATGCAGGGCCCCACTACAAGCATGGTGCGGCCGCACCCAGCACTCTGGCGAATCATCCATGGGATGATCGTCATCTACCTGCTGGCGCTGTCCTTCCTCCTCTTCCAGGATGTGGGCAATGCCCGGCATCTGCTGAAGGTCAGCAGAGCTGCCCTCGTTGCTCTCCTGCAGAGATCTGTTATGCTGCCTTGTCTATCAAGCAGGGGCTCTGCACTTCACTGCACAGCCAAGTGTTTCCCTTGTCTCTTGATGCATTCTCTTGTGCTGAGCTGTCATTTCTGTGCAGCGTCTCCGCTAGCATGAAGGGCTTGGGTTGTCTGAGCGCAATTTGTGTGCTCTGTCACAGCATCTGTATCCGGAGCTGGGAGTAGATCTTGCAGAGCGCGCGTACGGGGGGGACTGCAGGCTGTACATCGAGGGGCAGGGGATAAACTGGCCGGTCATCAAGGCCACGCTCTTTGATGAGTTTGTGGTGGCCCACACCGTGGGTTGGTGGTGCAAGGTGGGTGCAGCCTCCAATGCTGTGAGCACCAGGCTGTGTCCTCTGATAGTGCCCCCATACTATGTGTTTTGTCCATGCTTGTGATTGTGAAGGTCTGAAGAGAATGGTGTCATGATTGACAGGCGCTGGTGATCCGGGACTGGGCGCTGCTGTGGGTGCTGTCAATTGGGTTTGAGCTGATGGAGCTCACCTTCCAGCACATGCTGCCCAACTTCAACGAGTGCTGGTGGGACAGCTGGATCCTGGACGTGGCTGTCTGCAACTTGCTGGGTATCATCCTCTTCTACAGTGTGACATCATGTGTGCCTATGCATTCCCTTACTGTGCCTCAAACACCCACTTGAAGGTCATTCATGACAGCCCATCATCATTACTGCTGCACACACTGCCCCAACAGGGGCACACAGGACATTGCACTCCTGGCACCTGCTATGGACATGGCTGACATCAACGTGACACACTCATGGAGACCGAGCCAGGTCATTTGACAGTCATTTGCATCCTCGCCTGCATGTCTGCCTGCCTGCTTCTGGATGGCAGCTTTCCTGCTAGTCTCCTTCTTCTGCCTGCATGTTTGGCAAGTTGATCAGTTGCTCATGCTTCATGCAGGGATATATGCTGGGATGAAGACAGTGCGGTGGTTTGGGTCGCGTACATACGACTGGTCGGGGCTGAGCCAGCAGAAGACGGTGATGGACAAGGCGAAGCGCTCGCTGCTGCAGTTCTCGCCGCACTCCTGGGACGACTTTGACTGGCACCTGACCTCCTCGCCCCTGCGCTGCATCCAGTGCCTCTTCCCTGTAGCCCTCATCCTCCTCATGGAGGTGACACCTGATTCTCTCTGCACATGCCTGTCTGGAGTTTCTCATTCACTCCTCTGCACTTCCTTGCACCTCCAAAACAAAATGTAAGACCTGACAGCCACGAAAAATGCTGCCTGAAGCCCATGAGAGATCTACTCCATCTCTGAAGATGTACGCTGTTCTCTCTGTTTGCTCTGCCAGCCATTAATGCTTTCTGGGCAAATCTCACACTTTGTGGGGTTTGTAGGTGAACGCATTCTTCCTGAAGTATGTGCTGTGGATCCCGCCGCTGAACCCGCTGAACACCTACCGCCTGATCCTGCTCTTTCTGGGCGCGCTGCCGGCGACAAAGGAGTACTACGAGTTCATAGACAGCGAGGAGTCGGACATCTTCAACAAGCTGGGCCCCTTTGCTTGGCTGGCCACGGCCGTCGCCCTGGCGGAGACCCTGCTCTGCATCAAGTTTGGCGCTGGAATGTTCCCCGAGCCCCGGCCCCGGCGGGTGCTGTGGGCTTGGGGATGTAGTGGCGCCCTCTTTGTGTCATTCATGGCTGTGTGGGCTGTGAGGATCCGGCAGAGGGAACAGCGGAGAAAGGCCAAGTTGACCTAGCGCTGCGCTGTACAAAGTGGATTTTTGTTTGTGTGTAGTCAGGATCTTGGACAAGTGTGAACAGGAAACTGCGTTGGTATGGCAGCCTGATGCGAAGAAGTGCGACTGAGCCATACATCTGCTGCAAGATTGCAGACAGTTTTGGGATATGTGGATATTGGTTCCTTGACCTATCTATAGAAATGCGAGTGATCACGACAATCATCGAGTTGTGTCATGACAATCTTGGTCCAGAGATGACGCTCTAGAATTGTACTCCTTGGAACCATCAGATGCAGCAAGACACTCACCGATTGACTACAAAATAGTAACAACCAACCACCAGTCTGTGCACGCTTCAACCTTAAGCTAGCAATCATGCCACTGGCACATGCATGTGCTCAACAAATCTCAACTTGAAATTGCAATGGAAGGCTTTCCGCCCATCCAGGCACCCGGGGTGCGGCACACTGTGTAGACTTGGCTTGCAATTTATTGTGCACGTGCACATGCATGCATACACACTGGGACTTTTTTTCGGATTGATTTTCGGGTACATTCGGCGATGCGGCCGCTCCTGAGACACCCGCGTCATCGCTGTCAAAATCCGTCCCGAAGTTTTGAGCGGTTTGCTAGGGATGGCCCCTCAGCATTGGTGTAAAGAGGGGGTGTAGAGCTGGAGGCTGCAAGGGTGCATTTGCGAGTTGACAAGGCTGCAAGCCCGTACATATCGGCCCCGGGTTCCGGCTGCAGAGTCATAGCCTACTCATAGGGCATACACAGGTCCGTCTGCACTGCACTGCAGACGGACCTGTGTATGCCCTATGGCCCTCTGGGCTCTGGGTTCGCCACATATACAGATTATTATTATGCCATAAGCAGTGCTTATTATCATTGTTATTATGCACACATTGTGTGACAAAGGCAGATGATGGGCAGACTTGAAGAAAATGAAGAAGATTACACATCTGAAATTTCCAGCCGTCCAGCCTTGAAGGAAGGAAGGAAGGAAAATACGCATCAACTCCAGCCGCAACGGCTGATTGGATGTACTGACAGCATGCCACTAATCCTTCCTGATTTGGCAGCGCTCTAGGGTTAGGGTTTAAGGCAACGCATATGGAGCACCTCTGTCATGGCTGGAACGCCACTTGCCGACCAGCACCTCAGCGCACAAGCGGGAATGAGCATCTTTGCCGGCCTCAGACCTCCTTTGCACGAACGGCGGCACGAGCTACGCACCAGCATTGTCAAGGTGCTTTGATCGCCCACATTCTGTCTATTTATTATCAAGCTCACATTACAAAATTGCCGCTGCACGAGTTTTTCGGTGAGAGCCAAACCATCTTGTAAGACGCCCCTGATCGTTTAGTTCTTTGGAGTGTCTTGCAGATGGGCGACATTGAGACTTTCCTCTTCACTTCTGAGTCCGTCAACGAGGGTCACCCTGACAAGCTCGCCGATCAGGTATTGTCAAAGTTCCAGTTCACGTTGTGACAATTGTGAGTAGGAACGTGCCATGTCCAATACTTTGCTATGACAATTTTAAATCCCTGATCTGAGGTTGTACGAACTTATCTGCAGGTGTCAGATGCCGTACTGGATGCCTGCCTCGAGCAGGACCCCTATGCCAAGGTGTGCAGGACGTTTTCCCTCCCTAGAGATTTGATCTTCTGATAAGAAAGCTGCCTGAAGAAAGCGCGGCTGCACGTTGATTCCATGTAGACAATTAGTGGATGTTAATTGATTTTGATTCGTCGTGCCCGATCTTGGTGCTGGTGCAGAAGTCGAGTGCCGATTTACCTCTGACGGTTCAAAGGAGATGTCGCGCTCAGTGCTTGTGTTGTACCGTCGCAGGTGGCTTGCGAGACTGCCACCAAGACCAACATGGTCATGATCTTCGGTGAGATCACCACCAGCGCCAAGGTGGACTACGAGAAGGTTGTCAGGGACACCTGCCGAGAGGTTGGCTTCACCTCCGACGATGTGGGCCTGGACGCCGACAAGTGCAAGGTGCGCCTAGGCTTTCCCAATCACTTGACCAATGACCAAGCCCTCGCAGGGGTCTGCGGATGACTCGCTGCGATATTCTACCCGATATTCGTCGTTGCAATGTGTGTGATGCTTGTCTTGTCCCAGAGCAGTGCTTCCGTTGGGTCCAAATCCTTCTCAAGTCGCAGTCTTGCCTGCACACCTTATCTACTCCTGTGGCATTGTCCCAGGTGCTGGTCCACATTGAGGAGCAGTCACCAGACATTGGTCAGGGTGTGCATGGTCTGGGCACCAAGACCCTGGAGGAGATCGGTGCGGGAGACCAGGGCCACATGTTCGGCTACGCCACCGACGAGACCCCCGAGCTCATGCCCCTCACCCATGTCCTCGCCACCCAGCTGGGCTTCCGCCTGACCGAGGTGAGCCCTGTCCCCAGATTTCCTTTTGATGATCCATTTTGATGGTTGGACCTGCTTGACAAGGTCATTTCTCAGCAGTACAATTGGCCCCCTATTGCTCCACAGTCGCAAGTCTGTGGTACTGCTTGAATATATGACAACAATTTCCTTGCACCATTCACATATTGGCCTGCTCAGATCGCTTAGTATCCAGGAAATCTCCGTTGTGTTGCGCAATGCGTTGCCATGTCTCAAATGCTTCAATGCGCCTCCGGTCCGCACCACACAATTGTGCTCTCATTGCAATGCACCCTCCCCTGACATGGGATGCTGTCTGTGCACCAACCAATTGTCTCCTAATTTGCAATGTCCTGTCCCCTTGACATTGCGTTGCGCGCTTGCAGGTGCGCAAGAACGGCACAGTCGGCTGGCTGCGGCCGGACGGCAAGACGCAGGTGACGGTGGAGTACAAGAAGGAGGGCGGCGCGCTGACGCCCATCCGCGTGCACACCATCCTCATCTCCACCCAGCACTCCCCCGACGTCACCAACGACAAGATCCATGCTGACCTCATGGAGCATGTCATCAAGCCCGTCGTGCCAGAGAAGTACCTCGACGACAAGACCATCTTCCACCTCAACCCCTCCGGTGCGCCCCCTCTTTCTGTCCTACCATGCCAAATTGCTGGTCTTCGGTTTTGAGGTCCCTTGTTCTCTGTCCTACCATGCGCAATGAATTGTTCTCCCTGTAAGGTACCTTCCTCGACGATCGGAAGACTTGAAGGAACAACAGGTTCCTGCTTCACAAGCCCAAGTTGTTTTTAAATGGCTTGAAGCACACACTGCAGTAGTCGCCCATGCAGCAATACAGCGCATGCTGGTCAGAGGGAACTCCAAGCCAACAATACAGCCAAAGAGCTCGCCATGCGATGCCTGTATTAAGAAATGGATGCACACAGGCCGATTCGTGATTGGCGGGCCCCACGGCGACGCCGGTCTGACCGGGCGCAAGATCATCATCGACACGTACGGCGGCTGGGGCGCCCACGGAGGCGGTGCCTTCTCCGGCAAGGACCCCACCAAGGTCGACCGTTCCGGCGCCTACATCGCCCGCCAGGCCGCCAAGTCCATCGTCGGCTCTGGCCTCGCCCGCCGCGCCCTCGTCCAGGTTCACACCCTGCCCCCAGCCTCTTCCCTTTAACTCCCTCCTGCATCTTTGAGCCAGGTCATTTGTTGTCACTTGCACCCTTGTTTGCATGTCTGCTTTCCAGCTCGTACAGGCGCTGATGTCAGCGGTTACTATTGATCCCCTTTCTGCTGCACATGTTCTAGGCAGGCTATCACTCGTTTGTATCTTTCTGCCTGACTGCCAATCCCTTCCCTTTCTTTGAACCTTTGCTGCACAATCTGACTGGATGCATGCAAGGCTGCATATGCAAGCTTTACTGTCCATTCATTCAACAAGCAAGCATTGCAGTAAAGTGCATCCTGTGCAGATCAATGCAGTCTTGTGCAGGTCATGGTGTGGGATTGGCAGAGCCAGCAGTTTTTGAGGTGAATATTTACTGATGTTGACGGGTGTCTGGTGCTGTGCCAGGTGTCGTACGCCATTGGAGTGGCCCAGCCGCTCTCCGTGCACGTGGACACCTACGGCACCGGCACCATCGGCGACAAGGAGATCCTTGAAGCCGTCCTCAAGAACTTCGACTTCCGCCCAGGTGCCGCCCCCTACACCTCCCCTTTTTTGTGCACATGCCCTGGCTCTTGAACATCACCTGCTAGCTCAGCTCTTTAGCTGTTTGATTTTGATTGGGTGCTGACATACAAATCTGTGCGTCAACACCTGGGTAGCGCGCCCTTTTGACCTCGCCCTAGCGTTGCATCATGAAACTGAAAATACAGCCCGTTACTTGTAGTGGCATGGAGTTGCCCTCGCTTTGTATCTGAAACTGACAAAATACTGAAGCTCGTTAATTTTAGGGGCATCAAGTGGGTTGCTGATTTGGTTGTGTTGCATGTGCGTAGGCATGATTGCCCGCAACCTGGACCTGAACCGCGCTCGCTACAAGAGGACGGCCGCCTACGGCCACTTTGGCCGTGAGCCCACCTCCGACTTCACCTGGGAGAAGATTATCGACCTCAAGGCCAAGGTCTGAGCGCTGCATCACAGCCAAGCCCGCCCAGAGCGTTGTGGCGAAGGAGTAGCCCGACGGCACATGTTATAAGAGGCCGCTTGCTGCTCTCTGATGCTGCTAGGGGCTGCACAGTTGCAACGCAGTTTTGGGCCCACATTTGATTATTGTCATGTGTGGTTCAGCAGGCACAGCCAGCCAAGTTCTGAGCAATGGTGTGTCACCACGTTAACGCTGTAATATACTTGTCGTGATCGCATTCTAGGATGGACTCTAGTTAAAGACACGTGCTTGCTACAATCTGGGATGAGCACCCGGGTGGTGTCCATCCCACGTTGTAGCGGCCCATAAAAGGGTTGAACACTATGAATGCTGAACATGGGACATAGCTCTTCGCAATCTAAGAACCTCAATGGAATCAGGACTGTAAATTGATCACTGCAACCGTTGCAGCAACGTGAGGTTGAAGCAGTCTGCAGTTTGAAATGAAAAATCCTTTTGACCTGCAGTCTATACCTCAATGAAGAAGCAGCTAAGCACACTTCCTGTCAAAGTAATTCTAGAACAGTGAGTGACTCTCGCAGGTCTCTTCGGTCATAAGTTTAGGGACTCGTCATTTTGACTCTGATTCTCCCAGTATTGCAGCCGCTCCCTGAATGACTGCCACATCTGACCATCTCTGTCCAGGATTCTGTCCTGCACCGGTAGTGCTGGCATCAGCGCCTCCAGATCTCTCACTGCTCTCTCCACAGCGCGCACACCATGCTGCACATAAAAAATCTCATCAGCATGCATATCCACCAAGATATTTACTGCTTCTTTGAAACCTTTCCTGATGTCAACAGCAAGCTGCAAGTCAAGGCTGCCAAGTGTCCCACCTTGATGGACTTGCCAGATCCGAGCAAGACACGGCGCTCAGCATGTATTGTTTATTGCCTCCGGCCAACTTATTATCTTCAACAAATGGCAGGGTGTTCCAACAGACGCTGTGATAATGATGTCACCATCAGCACTGTTGTTCCTACCTTGTTCCTCAGGATCTGCGGCCTCCTCCTCACAAGCTCCTGGATGTTGAGACGCGGCGCGGCTGCCTTCAGGGCCATCAGGCGCACTGCAAGCTCTGTGTCTGACATGAGCAGGATGCCGGGCTCCCGGCTGCATGCAGGGAGCAACTTGCTCATTTACAGCCCCTTCTCTTCTTGCAAAGCGGATGTGGAAGCGGCAGAAGAGAAATCATGTATATTCGTGCTGCTGTGGAGTCGGCCAGCAAATGTGCATCTACAGCACGATAGCACCGAACCCACCTGACCATCTCTAGAAGAGCCGGTGGCTCCACACCAAGCACCGTGAGAAGGCCTTCAGACCTCTCGTTCAATGCATCTTCGTTCTCGTATTGCAGTGCAATTCCCTTCTCCTTCTCATTCCGTGCGGCTGTGCTTGCTCTATTCACCCAGTACTGCCTTGAGTCAAGCGCGCTCTTCCTTGTGATCCCAAGCGCCCTGCATGTCTTGGGACCGATGACTAGGCATGCTTATGCTTGCAGTCCACTATAGAAAATATTGGAGTATAGCACCGGACGAATAAGGAGACTTCTCATGTAGCGTACCAGTCCTCAAAGTGGAGCTTTGGCGCGTCACGTAGACCCCGAGGCCTCCACGCAGAGCTCTGGCAGCGTAATGCTAATCTTCTTTGTTTTCTAGATGGCAGATGGCTTTGTTCAAGACTATAATATGGACCTGTCACACATGTCCTCATCACTTGTCGACAGCATCAGCGTTCCCTTGCATACGCTAGCATTGGAGTCGTGCAGTCAGAGTGGCTGTGTGATATTTGATGATGCTGTGTGGCCAAACAATACTCGCATCAGATGAGAAGGCAGATTTCCGAGAGTCATCGGTGCTTGTGTTCTGCCTTTCCGACATGACGAAGCAAATGAGCTTGGAACAGCTTGCCTACCCACCAGATCGATCTTCCCGATCTGATGGGCTTTACTTTCTTGTCTTCAGCGCTGGAGAAGTTTTAAATCTGCAGCCACAATTGGGCATTTTCCTGACTGATGCTCAGGACAGCTGCTGGGTTGTCAGTCCACTTCAGACGACTGGACGGAATTTCCTTGTCCACAGGTGACACTTACGTGCCTGAAATATTAGTGTATTCAATGCTTGACCTCTGTTCATATACTCGGCATCTGACTCAAGAACAGCTGAGCATCCACCATCAGAGCGCCCTTCAATTCAAGTGGTGCTTCATTCAATTTGCCTTGGCGACATTCTTGTGGTCAAGCGTCCATCGTTTGCTTGAAGGTGTCAGAAGGACTTCTTTACCAGGCAGACAGCAGCTGGTAGTCAAGGGTGCCAGCCTTGCGACTTTGAAAAAACCATCAACAGAGACTGATATCATCGGTATCACTGCTGCCAAGTCAGGTGTGCGACGGATTTGTTGTATGGTGCAAGAATCGCAGCTCACGATGAACAAAAAATCCATCATAAAGGAGCTCTGGGGTGCAGGCGACTGTATTCTTCCTCAGCGCCCACCAGTGATCATTGGCATCGACCCAGACTCCAATGGAGCTCTAGCAGTCGTACATGTAAATGCCTACCCGCACCCAGGCGCTCAAGTCATAGAGGATGTAGTGGTGCAGCTGCATGACAATCCCTGTGAGGTCCTGCAGGCAACCAAACAGCGCAAGAGGAGGTATATATCCACGGCCAATCTGCTTTTAATAATGTTACATGACACCAGAACCACCAAAAGTTCAGAGGTGGAGCTAGCAGGACTGCCCATTGCTTTGCCGACAGAGTAATCATGAAGAGTCAATGTTCACACAACGGTAATTGCATATGTTGCAGGCAGGCCGACAGCACAGCGATAGCCAGCATTGTGAGGCAGCTAGCAGAGGAGCGCAGCAATGCGAGCGGGCCGCCTCCAAGGGTGGTCCTGGAGATGCCACAGCCCAATCGTCTGAATGGCAAGTGGAGCTGGTACGCCTGCGGCCACTCCTATGGAGTTTGGCACGGCGCACTCGCATCGCAAGGGTTCAAGGTGCGCGGCACTTCCGTAAATGCTGCTGATGGCTGGCATGCTTCCGCATACTGCTTTTAGATTAATAACCTCCTTGGCTCGCCTTGTTGTGCTAGTGGAGCCCCAGCAGCACATGCTTGGTTACCTTCCACCAGTGAGGCACGCATCATCGCTCTGGTGTAAATTGCAGGTCGAGACAGTAACGAGTCGGGCATGGAAGATAGACTTGCAGCTGAACGGCAAGGGGAAGGAGGGCAGCCGGCTGCTGGCCATTCGCCTGTTTCCCAGCGCAGCAGAACTCTTAAAGTGCGCTCCTTGCCCTCTGCATATTCCTGTTGGTCATGCCGCAGGTTCATACTCCACACATCCCCAGCTGGTCACGCTTTGTTCGGAATTTTTCTTTGGAAAAATGCTGCTTCAATTGGATTATGCCCTGTGTAGGCGGAAGAAGGACCACGGGCGCGCAGAGGCAATGCTGATTGCAGCGTGGGCGCTGGGGCTGCGCATTCAGGCAGACAGCGGCGATGTCATTGTTGCACCTCCGGTTGAACCACAGGAAGCCAGCCTGGACGACCTGCTGTCCGAGGAGGATGTCGGCGAGAGTGAAGGCATTGAAAGCTGATGTTTTGCTTAGATCCACTATTGGATTGCTTGAGGACACACATGTGGAATCATAATTGAACTTCAGATGGGAACAGAGAGTGGAGTGATAAATCTTGTTTTGTGTAATTAATTATTAACACCGCCAGCAGGACTCTTCACAGGTTTGCTGAAAGATAGTTCACCTGTTGCGATTCTTAATTAAGATTAGTCTCTCCATAAAAGGCTTCATTCCTTGCAAGACGCTACACGCCATTTGGCTTGTCTCAGTTATGGCTCATATCCATGCACCAAAGATACGGCATCGGATCATCTGTCACTCTGAAGAAGCCACCAACCATCACATCAGACTTTGCCGGAGAACTTCAGATTCCTCTCGTAATCCTGGCGCAGCTCTGTCATGGCAGTGCGGCGCGTGCCCCCTCCAGTCCTGTGCAGGACTGCAAACACATGCTGCACCTGCAGCACCATTCACATCTGAGATTCCCCATTCTCATAAAGAGTGATTCCAGACCAACCAGAGCTCCAAACGAGCAGATTACTTGAAGAAGATCCAAACAAAGTAGAGCTAGTTGCATACGCCCTGCAGCAGGTGGGAAACTCCGCTGGCAAAGCAATGGGACATCCCATGCTAGGACCCTCACCTGAGCTGCGCTGCAAGCGCCGTAGAGGGCGCATGCGCCGGGGCGCAGCGCGGCCGCCGCCGCGCCCGGCCATGGCCCGGAGCCCGGCCGGCTATCGGCCCAGTTGTCCTCTGACGCGCCTTGCGGCGTGGCCGGCGCCGCTGCCAGCGTGATGTAGTCTGCCAGTAGATGGTGGCAGTACATCCCCAGCATCTCCTGCAGATCAACCCCTTGTTGGAAACAGCTCTCAAAACAAGCAGGATAGCTTGAAGGATATCCTGAGCTGTTCACTCCCCAGAGTTGGTCTTGACTCTAGGAATAAGCTCTGTAGAAACGGATGGTAACCTGCCTAGACATGCAACAAGGGCAAATTGGCAGTGAATCTACCGTCAGCACTGGAAGCTAGCAAGCAACAAAGCCAGCATGGTAGAACCAGATGACAGACATAGGTGCGTAGCAGAAAAAGTGTACAACAGAGAAGGTGCAGGTCACCTTGCGCTCGGCAATGGCCTCATAGACGCTGGCGAGGTCCTCGGCGCACTGCTTTGCCATGTCAGCGCTGCCAGCAGCGCGCCAGCTCAGCAGCTCGGTCAGCAGCCCACGCGCGGCGGCCGCCGCCAACGCCATGCACCGCCGCACCTCGTTCGTGCGGTGGCGGACGGCTGCCACGAGGAGGTGGCAGCTCCCCGCAAACATGCCAGCCGCGCGAGAGGCGCTCCTGCACGCGACAATCCCTGCTTGTTATCTGTCCACCGTCATCACTGTAATCCGGTGGAGCATCGAAAGATGACTGACCAGCAACGCACCGGCAAGCTTGCCCGAAGCCAGTAACCTGTGGGCTGCAAGATTCTTGCATGAGCATTGCTTTGAAAAGACTGATGATTAGACGAGTGATGGAGTGCTTGCCTGGACGTCTTTGTCTGTGAAGCGGTGGTCGGTGGAAAGAGCAGTGCAGGGACCTGTAGAACTTGGCCCACCACATAGCCCGGCAGCTCGATGGCTGTGTCCCGTGCCACGATGGACTCCAGACAGCGCAGCGCCGTGCACACCAATGCTGGCGCCACATCTGCATTCCATGCACAGCAGACTCTCTCAGTGCTCGCAGGCATCAAATGCAACTTCACACTGCCACACACAGGTCATGCAGGCAGACACGGCAGCAGCAGCTTTGAGTGCAGGGAGGTATAAGCACGAGTCACAGTAGCAAGCAAAGATTTAGAGAGGCCGCACCAGAGTTTGTAGGAGCCGCCTGTATGCAGGACAAGACGGCAGCTGCCAGGTCCTCAGAGCTCTGCGACAAGACCCGCAGCGCTGCTGTCGAGTGCACAGACTCCATCGCCACCAGCAGTACCTACAAGGACATGCACACCACATCTATATTGTGTTCCAGTAGTAAGCACTCATTGCAACCCCTTTAAAGACCAAGGGCAACCATCAAATAATTGCCCTGGTTGCATGGCAGTATTTACAAGCCACACAAGAGGAAGGGGACCCATTGTCATGCTCATTGATGACTGTTTGTGAACCAGAAGCATGGGAAATAAAGGCGCACCTCTAGGACAGGCAGGGCTGCATCTATGCCCCTTTCCTGGTCAAGCAGCATATCACGGATGCTCTGGTAAAAGTGCTCCTGCTCCGACAGGCTGGATGCATGCACTATCTCTCGTACCTGCAGCGCGCACAAGAATTTACCCTCACCAACTGCATGAGTTGGTGCTGCGAGCCCAACTTTCTTCGGCGCATATTTTGACGCTTAATTCAAATGTCTCCATTAACATGAAGAGAGTGCGGAACGCACAGACACCAGGAGGGCCTCTCTGAGGGTGCTCCGCCCTCGAGCAGAAGGGCTGTCGCTGTCTGCGTCGGCCAAAGTCGGAACGCTCATCAGGAGACCCATATTCAGCCGCCGCTTGGGCCCCGGCACCTGCATAGAATTCATGCCTTTCACAATCTATGGAAAGCCATGCTTGAACATGAACTTCCAGCCATGACCCTTGCGCGTGCCTGAGTTAGTGAGAAAAGTTACATGCATTGGCTTGGGATTTCAGCAGAAAGGGGCAGCACCGGTGGCAGGAGCAGCAAGTGGCGCAGCAGATGGGTGTGCAGCGCCAGCATGCGCGCGATGATGTCACTGGGCATGATGTCATCGGGCAGGCTCTGACGGGCAGCATGCAGAGCCCTGCCAGCCGCTGTCAGGTATGCCACCACATCCAAAGCCACCTCGAGCGGTAGTGCACTTGTAGAATTATCCCTGCCAGAATCTTCCTCCTGCACAGCATGCAAACCAAGGCATTGTGCACAAGGAAGACTACTTCCACCCAAACGGACACTTGTGATAGCAGCTGGACGTCCCGTACCAGCATCAGGCGGCTCTGCTGCTTATATCATGAACGGAAAAAGGAAGGGCAGTCTACCTGGTCCTGCAGATGCCATGGGGCGAGCAGGAATCTGGAGGCCAGCTGCAAGTGGCGTCTGAGATTATGAACAAGGGCAGGCTGTGAGCGTTTATCTGCTGCCTCTACCGGTCCCTCAGCCTGAGCAACAGAACTGTCTCTGCTGCTACTTGCACCACGGCTGTGTGCATCCAGAAGCAATGCAGCCGCAGCCAGGAGGCTGGCCACTGCTGCGGCATCCTCTAGTTGCTGCCAGTCGTCTTGGACGCTGGCATTTGCTGGCTGCTCCACATAATCGGGCATGCCTGCCAAGCTAGGTATTCCTGCAGTAGTAAACATCAGTGAGCTGCTGGCTATTATAATCACACCCTATTTTTCGGTACTCATGACCTGCCAAGCTGGATCAGATGGAGGACAAGCACCAAAGCGTTTGTAGTAAATTTACTACAAAGGCACTGGAGGATACCTCCAAGTAAATGCTTGTTGGCCGCTTCCAAGCCATGCACGCAGAGAACCTCAAGGCTCTCCAGCAGTTCACGCAGTTCTGCTGCTTCCAGGGGCGCTCTCACATGCACTGCTGGACCTGCATGCATCTCTTTGCATCAAATAACCTCTCTATTGCCATATTTTTGGTGCCACACTGATCATGACTATCGTGCAGCCTTGCTCTCTAAAGCAATGAAAGATTAACACGTTGGAAACATAGCAGCACTCACCGGCAACGATATTGCTGGCAGCCCGGCGTTTTGTTTCTGACCGACCACCTGCCACGGAGGCTACCACAGATGCAGCAAGCGTTTTGATCTGCAGCGCTATCTGCGGCTTCACAATTCCTGATACTTCATCCTCAGACTTTGCTGTCATATCAGCTGCCAAGCTCTCCAAAATCTTCTCAACCCGACTGACGGTCTCCAGAGCTGTGGATCTCTCAGCTGGAACCTCTCCTGCAGGTGCGCTGATTCCTGCAGGCTCCAGGTCTCCCCCGCTCAAGCTATGCGTGACAACGCTGCCCATGATGGCGGCAGAGCTCCGCAGCATGCTGCGCGCTGAGCTGTCCTGCCAGCTGGCACCATCTGTCCCAACCACGCATGCAGCAATCGCAAACGGCCAGTCCAGCCGCGCTTTGTCGAGCCGGCCGAGCAATTGCAGCACATGCCGGCTCCCGCTGCACGCCGCGGCCGCCACAAAGGCATGCGCAGCCTGCAGCGCCGCGCAGCAATCTTCCCTGCCAAGCAGCCCGGCGTCGTTGCCTGCACTGGCATCCGCGCTCGACTCGGCCACGGGAGTGCTGCTGTAGAGGAGTGTGAGGAGCGCTGCCTGGACGAGCAGGGCGAGGTCCACGAGCTGCGAAGACGCGCAGCCTCTGGCTGCAAACCACTGCGGCGGCATGGCCGCCAGTCGACTGAAGAGCCGCGCCGCCTGCTGCAGAGCTGTGGCCGCCTCGCTGCCAACATTCACCACCCCAGCCGCTACAGGAGAGGCATGCCCTCCGTGACTGGTGTGTGCCTGTAACACCTCCAGCAGGGCCTCACAGCCGAAGGCACCTCCTGAGTCTCCATCACTCTGCGCGGGGGCTGCGTCAACCAGGATGCCAATGCTGCGGATCAAGCTCTTTAGCTTGTCCACTTCTTGGCTGCCCTGCCGCGCCTGTGCGCCCTTCCCCTTCTTTTTTGGCCGGCCGGCCGCTGCGGGCGCAGTCTGCTCCATGTCATTGCCAAGCAGGGGAGCGCAGGCAGCGGCAAGGGAAGCGTGAAGGATAGAGGCTGCAGCGTGGACCCATTCAGTGTCCAGATCAGCCTCCTCTAGGAGCCCTCTGGGGTCCGCTGGATGTCCGCTGGCCTGATTAGCCTCATTCAGGTCACTCGCAATTGATGGCTGATCAATTTTGCTTGGCTGTGTGGCTGCGGGGGACATTAGCAGCAGCAGCCGCAGCAGGCAGGCACGCTGCGTACTTGAGGCATGCTGCAGGAGCAGCCCTGCTGACAGCAGCACCTGCCCAAGCACACCACTCTGCCCTGGAGGATGCGCGTCTGTGCCAGCATCATCGGTGTGCTGCTGTTCTCTGTCAGCATCCTTCTCAGCAGAGGCAGCCGTTCCCACGAGGCTGTCGGCCAGTGCTCTGAGCTCGGCAGCCGTGGCTGCTTCCAATTCGCTGGCATCCGGCAGTGGGCCGCAGCTGGGTTCAGCCGGGGCCGCAGATTTGGCAATTGCTGCCGGTGCCACCTGCTGGATAGGGCAGGAAAATCGCAGGTGCAGCAGCCGTTCCTGCAGCACATCAATGCGCTGCAGCATGCACGTCACCAGCGCCTCTTGCAGCTGATCCCCATCGCCACCTGCATAGGGCCCACAGCCTCATCAGGGCAACCGCACCAGGTCGTGCTGCTCGTTTATTTTTCTGCAAGCAAATCAAAGGGACACTGATGGCTGCAAAGAGGCCGTCATGCTCAGACTCAAGGTTGCAGAGGACCAAAATGCTAGAGATTGGGTACCTGGGCCTGCACACTCCGACAAGGAGAGAAGTGTGGGTAAGGCCAGCTTGGACTCCTGCATCCCAGCAGCGGAGGCCACGCGTAGGGCGTCAAAGTAGCCCAGCGTTGGAAGTCTGTCCCTTTCGAGCTGGGCTGCATGCGCTTCCAGTACAGTCGCCTGCCCAGACAGGGCCGATATCTGGGGCTGCAGCGCCGCGCAAGCCGCATGAGCCCCTATTGCCAGCGCATACAGCTGTAGCAGAGCGGCCAGCCGCGGCCGGCTGACGGCTGGGCCACCGGTGCCGGTCACCTGGAAAGCACATTCTCACATTATTATCCAGCTCTTTACAGGTCCAACACATGCAAGGTTGGAGGCTAACACACACATGCTAAAAAACACGCACATCTTCCACTTGTTGTGAGAAGGCGCAAAACACGTGCAAATGGTGCAGGCCGCGAATCTGTACGACATTGGACTGCCGGTAGATCTTGGCATGGAATGCAATGGGACAGAGTGGGGCTAACCCACCATGCGCAGCTCAGAGGTGAGGGGCGGAGCAAGGGAGCGTGAGATGAGGAGCTCGAGGGCAGAGGCAACGGCGGGGGCCGTGGTGAGGTCGATGCGCAGTCCCGCCAGGCAGCCGCGCAGCAGCACCGCCAGCGCGGGGGCGATGCCTCCCTCAGCCGCCAGCAGCCGCTTCATGCCGGCCGCCGCAAACGCCACGATCTTCGGCTTCTGGCCGGGAGGCGCCTCGTAGATCGTCTGCACGCCGCCAGGACACAGTCAATTGCTTGTGCTTCAAATTCCGCCAAGACAGCTCATTTTGGTAAGCTGCACACTCGCGCAAATGAGCGCGCTTGAAGGAGGGACACGAGACCTTTTGAAGACATGGTTATCCCCAAGGAGGGTGCGATTGATGTACTCGCAAGCTACGTGCATGTCCAGGACAGATTATTGGCTCGGCGAGTCACGAGACAGTGAAATGAGGGGCCAAGGACTCACCTGGTGCAGGGCGGCCTTGAAGGCGGTGCTGTCGATGACGCGGGTGGCGGCCGGCGCGCATGCGCTGGAGCCAAGCGCGGCCGCCAGGGAGTGCAGCAGGAGCTCCACCTGGCGCAGCTCCCCATACGCTCGCACCAGCCGCCCTGCCACCTCCGCCGCCTTCGCCACATCTCTGGCGCCTGCATTGCCCAACAGAACTCCCCTTATTGCGTGGCATGTGGCCTCACGTACATGAGTGCTTGTAGAGCATGTCAAGGGCATTCAAGGCTATTAGAGTCTGCACCTTTTCACCTCGGGCCTACACGGCAATGCTCATGCACAGGAACGTAAATAGGCACGGCTGCATGTACACAGAATCATTGCCTATCCTGCCAGAGAGATTAGGTGGTATGAGTGTGTTCGAAAAGAGGAACAAAGGTGAGTTTCGCACCGGTATGAGTGGCCTGGGATGCGGATGCCCAAAGCACCTCCCACAGGGTCTCCAGCCTGGCATGCAGCGCGCGGTGCTCCACATCCATTATCGCCCCCAGAACTCCAGTGGCTGCCACAGCTCTTTGAGTGAGAATCTCACTGGCGGGCGCCCGCTCTTTGCCTAAGTCGCTCTGATCTGCTGCTTGGAATGGCATTAGCACAGCAGTGCCCAAACGGCCCAGCAGCTCCTTATGGGACCCCGTCACATCTTCCGTCGCCCTGTACACCCCTAAAACAGTGCACATCACCGCGTTGGCAGCTTTGATGGATGCACAAGACAGTCCATTCTATAGTGCTCATTCCTCCTCACCACCAAAACAAGAGCGCAATAAAGTGCCTCAAATGCAAGTGAAGCTGACAGCAAGCAAGGATGCCAACCTGCAGACTTCAGGATGCCTACAAGCATTCCTGCTCCCTCGGCCAACACCGGCCATGCTGCCTCCTCTGATCTGTGTGTGAATTGCATGCCATCCACCAACTTCCTCTTCTGTGCTGCTTTCTTTGCCTGCTCAGGTGGCCTTCTCTTCTTGGCAGGCTTGCTGCTGAGCCCCTCCTGCTGCTCCTCGTTGCCATCGGCCTCAGAGCTCTGCACATAATCGCAGCGCATGTGATCAGCCACGGTGCAATTTGGACCCTTGTCCACAAGGAGCTAGAGTGAAGCTTGTGCCAGACGCATGGAGCACCTGATGTGTCGTGAGGCTGTACAGGGATGTGGAGCAAGGAGGTGCCGCCTACCTGTGTAGCAGACTCAAGGCCCGCCAAAACAGGCTCCAGCAGGAGCACAAAGAAGTCAAAGTCTGCCGAGGCAGCAATGCCCCCCTTTTGCGCGCCGTCTCGCACATCTGCGGCCGCTGCCCTCGCGTAGCGCTTGAGGGCAGCCTTGAACCTGACTAGCAGCCAGGGCAGGCCAGCCAGCAGGACTGTCAGCTTCTCTGCGTCCGCACTCCTCACTTCGCGCGACAGCACCTGCAGTACACACATGCAGCCCCTAATGATGCGGTACCTTCCAGTCAGACCTACATGCTTCAGGCCTTCTACTTAGTTATTGTAGTCTTGCACACTATGCAGATGGTGCATGACATGCACAGGCAGCAAAACAAATTAGGGAAAGTGGGAATGCAGACCTCATAGCAGTGCGAGCGCCAAGAAGTGAGGAGAAAGGGCTGCCTCGCAGTACAAATGCAATGCATGCAGCAGGTGAGCAGCAGCATCAAAGGCTACCTTGAAGAGCAGGGATAGGTAGGTGGGGGCCTGAGAGTGGCCCTTATCCCCTTCTGGCATGTCATCATCACCGCTCTGCTCCATGACTTCCAACTCCTTTGTACTGTCTGGGCCTTTGCCACCCGTGTAACTGCTGGCTATCGCTGCAAGGCCCTCTACATGGGCCCTGTGGAAGATCACTGCATCCAGCAGCTGGCGGCTCGCTGTCACCAGCCTCTTCTGGCTGTGTGAGCCCTCAGACCCTGCACGCATGCAAGTGCTCCTCTTTTGCACAATCACCCACAATCTGGCGCAAGCCAACAGGTGACACATCAGCGTCTGTTTGCCCTCTCAGACCAACACCCCAACAATGACCCTGACTGACCTCAACATGTCAATGAAACAATGCACACATACATGTAGTGCATGGTGCAGTTGATAGTGCCTGCAGTGCAGCTCGGTATCCTGCGCTTCCCAGTATCCATTCAGTAAAATATCTGTACTGTGAACAGCAGGTTGGCAATCTAATAAGGCCTAGCCATTGCTTCGAAGGGCTTTTGAGAAGATGCAATTTTACACGTCCTTGACAATTTGCACAACATCAGACGGCAGGACGAGGCTGACTCACCTGGTTGCCCACAGGAGGTTTGCAGGGGGACGAGCAGCCGCTCCACAACAGAGACATACACCTTACGCTGGTTGGGGTGTGACAGGGCCACCGAGCGCAGCATAGCCAAGCTCTGCGCGCACACCTCAGCCCAAGGATCCTGCCCTGCCGCCGATGCTGCATGGTTCCTCATGGCCGCTTGAGCCTCCACCGCTGCCTCTGCAAACGCGACACTGCGCGAGAGACAATTTCAGTATTTTTCCACGGGATGCCCTGTCCTTCTGCCCTCCTGTACTCCAGGAGACCGTAAGGCACCTGCTTGACCTGAAGGTGGTGGTGAGATTTCATTATCAGAGGATGACATCAATCGCTTTATCATAGTAAGATGGATGGAGTCTCATGACCATCAACTGACCCCTACTGCAAGTCTGAGAGTATTACTAATCCTGGGTGGCGGCAATGATGCAGAAAACTGAGCACACCTGTGCTCCAGGCTGGGGCTGAAGTGCAGGCGGTCCTTGGCAGCCAGCAGCCGGAGGGCGTCCAGCAGGGCGTCCGCCAGGTCAGCGCTGATGTCAGCGCCCAGCGTGCGAAGCGCGCCCCCCGCGGCCGAGCGGCAGGCGTGCGCGGCCGCGCTTACTAATGCCGGATTGGCCGCCGCCGCCGGGCCCACCTCGCGCATTCGCAGCAGCGCTGCCAGCAGGGCCCACAGCCGCGCAGCAATTTGTGTTGGGGTCGCCTCAGGTGATAAAATGCTGTCTGCAGCTTTTCCTTGCCCCCCTGCATTGCATGGTGTCCAGGTAAACATTGTGAAGCATGTCGCTGTACTGTTTGGTCAAGACAGTTTGCTGCAGCAATCATGCTGATCCCCTGACTCACGGTGCTTCCTGGCTACACTAGCAGACTCATAAAGTACCTGATTGACCGATCCACGCCTGCGTCTAGAGCTGCAGCAATGACAACCTAATAATGCTGGTGAGAAGTTCTGACTGAGTGGGTTGGTCTCACGATTTTGGATTTGTACCTTTTCCTGAGCTTTGCTGGACAGATGCGCTCTTCAGGAGTGTGGACACTGCCCAATCCAGCAGCCCCTTGAGATAGTGCCTGCGTACGCGCTGTGGCGTGGTCTCCAGGTCTGCCCTTATGTCCTCCAAGTCATGCTCCTGTGTTGACAGCATCCGGCTGTCAATGCGGCTGGCATTGAGTGGGTGTCAGTGTGTGAGGTGCAGTGCCCTGATGAGACGCAATCAACATGACGAATCTGGTCAATAGCAATCCTTTGAATTCACCTGTGAAGCCTTGACGGGGTAACCGCCTCCTGACGACACGGCCATAGCCACCTGCAGCCGATGACCCAAAGCGACCCTCCTGTTGGGCCACAGGAAACGCCTTAAACGCAAGGTTCTTGCTTCAATGGCATACGCTTGTAATTCTGATTGCTTACAGAGACCTGAAGATAATGCAACTGATGGCATGGCTCCACCTGTGCAATGGCAGCTCTTGGGCATGAAGTTGTCTGAGGGCAGATGCTGCGTCTCGGATCTCCATGCCGCCACCTTATATTGTCCCAGATGATAATTTGTGTCGTATGCTGCTCGCAAGGCTTAGCATCGCACACCCCCCAGGCAACAATTCGTTCCGGAAGTCAAACACACCCCAGTACCAGACGGGATAAATCTTGATGCTGTATCAATCTGAAGACCTATCACACAATCCAGTAATGCCAACTAAACGCCAACAGGCTGGACCTCCAATCTGTGTAGATCTGATGAGGAGCAATGCGCCCAACTCCTGAGATCTGCCTCAGTTCGGCAGGGAACGCCTCTTTTGATCGGCACCTGGTTGGCCGTTCCGAAAATTGAAGAAAGTCAGACACGGGACAGCTTTGGAAAGTCTTTCCATCTCTGATCAAGCAAATAAATTGATCAGTACGTCGTTGTACTGCCAAATTTGTTCCTCCTAATCCTTATCTACCAGAATCGGAGGAATTGAGCGAAGACCATGCATGTTGCCGAAGGTGCACGGGTTTTAGGGCTTATTAAGTATCTTCAATAGCGAGCATTTCATGGATTGCACCCGCACGATTCATTCCATCGCGTCTGATCTTGAGGCTAACGCATGGTCGAGCACAGGAACAGCAGCTTAACAGCTGACTTGCACTTGCAGCCGATCTAGCGCTCAATAAGAAGAACGAATGCTTGACGACGAAGTGAAATAAGGAGGAGAGTCAATACAAAATATATGGCTCGAGTGCGTCAGCTCATTCTGGGGTTATCGAGTGTGCTGATCATCTCACTTGTAGCAGCTGCTGCTTGGGCAGCAAGAAAACCTAGCCCTTCCAATGCACCCATCGTGGTGAACACATGGGCATTCACAAAGGCGACGGAGAAGGCTTGGGACGTCCTGACCACTTCACAGTCTGGCAGTGCTGCACTGGACAGTGTGGAACATGTGGGTTTCCCACTTTTAATTACTGTTCTTTGAATGTGGCACATGTGTTACCTGCCCGTTGAATTTGTTGTGATCAATGTCACCTTGGCATCATTCTGGAGCATCCTTTCATCTCCGGAAAGTCTTGAAACACTCAATCGAACGTTCCTGCAGGGCTGTGGGGAATGTGAGCGCCTCCAGTGCGATCTCACAGTGGGCTATGGGGGATCTCCCGATGAGGAGGGCGAGACCACCTTGGATGCTTTGATCATGGACGGGGTAATAGCACCATCCCCCAATTCTCCATTGCTTTTCCTTCACTCCATGTTAGCCCGAATCCCTTTTTCACTCTGGTAAAAGCAAGCCCACTGAAGGAGCAAAGTGGCTGTGCAACAGACAGCCATGGACACGGGATCTGTGACAGACTTGAGGTACATCAACAATGCGATCAGCACAGCCAAAAAGGTGATGCTGTACAGCACACACTCGAGCTTGGGTGGACTGCAGGCCACAACCTTTGCAATGGACATGGGAGCCACCCTTAGCAACCTCAGCACCAAGGCCTCCAGTGACATGTACTATGACTGGTGGGTCCCACTTCTGCTCACTTGCAGTCATGGCAAAGCAACTGCTTACAAACTTGTCCTGCAACTTTGCCTGGCTGTGCAAGCAAGAAAATTTGAAGGTTGCTATGAAAGACTGGAGGGGTCTTTGTTGGTGATGTGCAGGAAGGGCAAAAACTGCCAACCTAATTTCCGGAAGAATGTGCACCCGGATCCCTCGAAAAGCTGCGGTCCATACAAGCCTCTCACACAAGATGTTCTGGCTGCTGGGACAGCTTCACGAGAAGCCAGCAAAATCAATGAGAGCTTGCTCATGAAGGTTTCTCGGGACTCCAGGGAGCTGGCAGAGCAAGTCAAAACCGGTGAGCAGCATATGGCTTCCACCGGTATTTTTAGACACCCACAATCTTTAATCAAGCCAGCTGATTGCATGGCTTGCGTTGAGGGCCAAATAAGGTGTTGAGCATGGGCTTTATTGAATCTGAAAATGAATTGGATGCAGGGACAGCTTCCAGGCAGGAGAGCAGGGTCACCCGGAACAATCACGACACCATTTCAATGATAGCTTTGGACTCGGATGGCAACATCGCTGCAGGCTCCTCCACGAATGGGGCAAACCACAAGGTATCCCAACTAATGCCTTGTTGGGTTTACGGATCCCCAACACCAGGCGCACCTCTGCTGGTCATCACCTATCTAGAGAACAGTGTGGCCTCTGCATCAAAGTTAAGAGATTTTTTGCCAAGCGGCGGTGTGCTGCCTAACAGATTCCTGGGCGCATGAGTGATAGCGCAGTTGCGGGCGCGGGAGCATACGCAGACAGCCGGGTCGGCGGCTGCGGCAGCACTGGGGACGGAGACGTTCACCTGCGCTTCCTTCCCTGCTACCAGGTCCTTCCATATCCAAATCCCCACAGCACTGTCCAGCGATCCAATCTCTCTGATTTTTGGTTGTTTTCAAGCCAGCAACGTGGCTGCATGCGACCATTGCATGCATGAAATTCACATGGAGGCCCATAGCAGCAATGAAGCACAGCTTTGGAACTTTTGCAGCCTGGTAATGTAACGAAAAAGGGAGCAATTGCCATAGAGGCCTTACTCTCCTATATGACCCCTCTTATGGCCTCCATGCACACGCTACAGCTAAGCTTCTGATGTTCTTTTGGCAATCCCATTAGATGTTGTGCAGGCAGTGGAGAGCATGCGGCAGGGGCTCTCGCCAAAAAAGGCGGCAGAGGACGCGATTCGGCGAATCGCCGAGGTGTACCCGGGCTACGTCGGCGCTTTAGTCACGCTTAGTAACGCCGGGGAGCACGGCGCGGCCGCCCACGGGTGGACATTTGAGTACTCGGTGCGCGACACATCCATGACAGATGTCAAGGTCTTCAAGGTCACCCCCCTTGATACGCCCCTTCCATTGCGCAGCAGAGCAGGTACTCGCTGGTTTTGGGGCATGTGACTGAGATTACAGGAGGGAGCATTCAATGGCATGCAAGTTGCAATAGAACATGCAACTTGCAGTAGTATTCATATGGAAAAGCGTTTGGGCGCACCGTTTTGGTAGATGGACCGGCGCTTGCAATTTTGGGACACTTGAATTTGCTGGACTGTTCCTTCTGCCGCCATCGAAACAAGCATGGGGAGCACGTTGTTTGCCCGCAGCTTTTTGGTACGACTCTTGATCCGGCCATCAAGCGCATGTATCAGCATACATTGCAAGCTGAATAGCTTAGAATTTCTTCCTGGACTCGGGATGTGTCAGCCATTGACTGCCTGCATATCAGTGGTCAGCTGATATTTAGGTGGTGCATATTTGTATCCGGCTGGCGGGGGGCGGTACAAATACTGAGCACCGTGCCCACGGTTGATTGGGTCTTGCTTGGATCTGGCGAGTCCAACAAAGGGTAGGAATTCGGCAGCCTTTACATGCGGCTTGTCTGCAGACGCACCTTGCCTTCGGCAGGAAAAGCGTGTAATAGTAATAATAATATTTGTATCTGGCATGCCTTCCGGCTTGCAAGGTGTGGCACAATTTCTTTGTCATGCTGTGTGGAGAGGGATGACTCTGTGCTGGAAGTTATGAAGTCCTGTGACAAGGTGTGGATCCTAAGGGTCTGTCAAGGTAGAACAGTAGTTCAGACAGTGGTGTAGCAGGGAAGGACGTGTGTCATTAGAATAGTATATACTTGTGTGCTGTGGCAGTGTACTGGGGCAGAAGTCCAAAGTATTATATCAGATATAATTTCGGGGAGGTGCAGCTCCTGCTGCATTTGGGGAAAGATCAGTAGAGGCTGCACAGGATCCAGACTGGTTGAAGACTGCTTCATTGTTATTTCTTGGACACAGGTGCACTAGACAGTGTGCCTAGTGCTAGTCTCTCAATTGAAAGGGGATAATCACCTCAGAATTGTTTTTTTGCAATTCCCGGAATGGCAAGCTAGAATAAGTCACCTTGCTAGCTGTAGCCTACCGAGCGTCTTGATGTTGCTGAGTAATAAGTCCGTAGGTAGTACTTATTCACTAGAGCCTGCCATCATGATGATGCCACTTGAGGTTGAGATTTGAAGCTCAAAGATTTGAGACTTGCATTGGGCTGTGTAAGCCAAAATTAAAGGGGATTAAGCAAAGTCCACTTTCAGTGGACTGGCAGGTGCATGATTACAAGAAGATGGCCCGGCCAAGCGTTCAATTCCAGTTGTTGTGATCATGAGTGCAGCTGCGATAATGGTATTGTGACTAACAGCGACAGCATCATCATGATCGCCATATTGCCGCAAGATGCATGCGGCATGGCAACAAGACGATAGTGATCGCATGCATCCGGACCCGGAGCTCCGAGCTTGAGGGTGGCTGGCGGCACGGGGAGTTCTCCAAGGGTTACTCCCCTGCCGGCGCCGGTCCTGCCCATCGTGATGCAGTAACTAGGAAATTCTCCTAGGTCACTCCCCATGCTACTATTGTCCCTTCGTTCCTCCGTTGCATTGCCCAGAGCGCGTATCCCACACGCCGCCTTGTCACAATTTAGCTCATCCTTCAGCTAATCCAGCCAGCGAGGTCCAATGTTTTGAACGGGCCGTGTAGCATCCGTTTCCGGTGATCATGGCACAATAGAGCAGCCCTGATAACATTTATTTCTTATTTGAGGTAGATTGGCCGCACGACTACTAGCTAGGCTCTTGTTATGGCTTTACCTGTAACTTCTCTGTATGGGTCCTTGACTGGCATCCTGTATATCGCGCTGACGTTCGGTGTCGTATTTAAGAGGCGCGAACTCAAGATCCCTTACGGAGATGGGGGCCAACGCATGCTCGTTAAGAGGATATCGGTAGGCGATCATCGCCTGGCGGGATGTCTGGGCCTCCATCGAAAGCACTTGATTAAATGCGCAGGATTTTATTATTTTTGGGACAAAAGATTGACTTCTTGTACGGAAAGAGCTACAGAGTTGGCGTTGCCTGATATCAAACAATCATTGAACAAAGGGTTTCCTTGGATTGCGATGTTGCGATATACCGTTTGTGGACGCAGGCACACAACAATGCGAGCCAATACATCCCCTTGTCTCTCATCTTGCTGGCTTTGATAGAAGCAGGAGGCTTCGCACACACTGCTTGGATGCATGGGCTAGGTGCTCACCTTCCTGACTTGCATCACCTTGCATTTCATCCCTGCTAGTTGACCTTCCTGCCACCATCATGCTTACTTGTGCTGGTTGCTGCAGGCCTGGCGTTGCTCATTGGCCGCAGCTCCCACGCCTATGCCATAGCTCTCGATGGGACCCCACACAAGTTCAGACTCTATGGAATGCTCGCCACCCTCAACGGAATCCTTCTCTCCTGCTGTACTCTTTTGGGCCACGGTCTTGGCCTGTACTGATGGCTGCAGTGCAACCACTGTCAATGGTGAGCTCTTAGTGGAATACAGCAGTGTCACTTGCGGGTACCATGTGAGGTCACACTGCAGGCTGTTGGCTGCTATGCCGGCATGGCCACATGGATACAATCATGTCCTGTATGAACTTGAAAATGCACAACATTGTGCCATATGGCATGTTGCATGAACAGATTGCAATTGCAAGCACAGCTGTGGCCTCCTTGGACACAGAAATCTGATTTAGAAGTTTACTACTGCAAATGTGATTGTGACTGGCATCCTTGCAATTGCTTTTCAAATCCATTCAATTGCAGTTGGAGCCCAATTGCACTGCTATGCTGCTGTCAAGTATGAAGCTATATTCATTGCCAGCCTGGGCGCAGCGCACCCTGATTCAGGCTGGAAGAAGGGAAGAATTTCTCAAAGGGAAGAATTTTATATTCTGCTAGTGAGGACCGTCCTCAGTGTCACTAGTATTTAATATATACTTATGATGACTGCACTTTCAGATGTCTAGTATTTGCAGCCTGTGGGCTCAGCATCCACATGTCAGTTTTGGTTGAACCGTTAGGCTAAAGATTTAGCAGTCTATCGAATGCATTGCATGCCGCCACAGCGGCGATCAAGTCCGATCATCATTTGATTTGATTCTGCTCGAGTTGAAGTCCAAGCTGGTGCACAGATACTGAGTGCCACTGAGGTCAACACCATGACTCCAGGTTGCCTCGATGAGCGATCACTTCCACAAATGCACTCCATGTGCATGCAGAGTCTCAGACGGTCTGCAATCATCATGATATCAGATCAGGCTGCAGCTGATGCATAATGCTAGCGCTTGTCACAGCCTTACTGTGAAGTTCAGGGGGCTTTAGCGTAACGCATCAGGATGTGTAGAACATGAATGCCGAATTGGGTGGCGCAGATCGATCCGATCCGGGAGTCCCCGCATTTGCAATAACTCCTGCAGGTCCCAATACACCCAGCGCATGCAGGCCAATGCTGGAGGTCGTCGCCAGGGTGGAGGGAGCTTGATGAACTTCACGGATCGTCGGTCACTCACCTGTCCTGACTCGATGGCAACGTTGCCCCATCGGATGGAAGCTTCTAGGCAGCTTCCCCACGCGCCTCAATCTCGATCCCCTCTTCTCATCTCAGATCCTGCATGTGGAGCAAAGTCTCATGCACTGACCTCTCGAACAGTGAATCTGGGAACTTTTCTCGAAATATCAAGGAGGCTGCCCTGTGATAAGTGTGCTGTTTGCGATCCCAATGGGCACGGTCTGACCTGGGAGAATCCAGTAAGTCTGCAGCTAAAAGCACAGCAAAGAGTTAATTTCGAAAGTCTTTGTAAGTCTGAAAGGCAGCATGCCTCAATCCTCATGTCCCGCCGAGCAGCAAGAGACGAAGGCATCGTTGGCCGTGGAGCTTGCAAAACAGACTGTGGCCTTTGGAGCCTTGTTGAACCTTCAGGCGTCTTGGGCAGCATCTTTGGCACTTCCATGGGGACTTGCAGCAGCTGGAGCTGCGGCCACACGAACGTTTGTCGATGGTGGTGATGTGCAAGGTGAATAACCACTTCCATCTGGAAAAGTGTATCTTTGGATCTGAGGAATGAGGCTACTGCGCCTAGGTCTTATGTAGTGAGCGCGTTTCTCATCATTTTATAGCTTCTATAGAGAGGTGTCTATGCCAACCCTTTTTCCTGTGTCCCAACTCTCCTGTACCTGACCCAGGGCTTCCTTGCAGGCACTGCGAAATCCACTGCCCTGATGGTCAAGATAGGGATGCTGAACCTTGTGCGGGACATTGTAGCCAACCTCTCCCATCAAGGCAGAGCAGACGTTGTGGCAAAGGTGCATTACTGCCCCTTTTCTTGGGTACAAGTGGACTCCAGGATGCTGTTGCAGGCATGGCATACTTCGAGGACACCAGCAATGTGGATGTTGTGGTCAGATCAGCTGTCTTGCAGGTCACCATGGCCCTCCTGGAGCAGCAGGAATTCCTGGTGGTGTCACAGATCAACAACGCCCTCGTCGGTGCTGGGTACCTGAAAGAGTCTGCTGACATTGCAGGTAAACATCATCTGCACTTACTGCCAACGACATGCCTGACATTTGCGTGTCACATGACCCAGCACCTGTCATGGGTTTATCACATGACTACATACTTGGGGGCCCCGGCTGGCGGGGGGCGATATAAATACTGAGTACCGTGCCCACGGTTGATTGGGTCTTTCTTGGATCTGGCGAGTCCAACAAGGGGTAGTATTATGGCAGCCTTCAACTGCAGCTTGTCTGCAGGACGCACCTTGCCTCTTGGCAGGGAAAAGCGTGTAATTATAATAATAAATAACAACATACTTGGGTGCAGGGGTGATGGGCTCGCAGATGAGCAACAACTTCTTCCAGTCCCTGAAAGAGGCTGGCGCAAACTTGCTGCCTGACATTTGGCCCAACAACAAATCTCCAGCCAGCAGCACAACTGGGAGTATGGGGGGCCTGGATGACCTGGCTGTCGACAGCGACAAGAGCGTGCTGCAGAGCCTCAAGGATGGCGAGTTTGGCTTCTCGCGTGCAGACTGATATCCTCCTGCTGTGGTGATGGGGAGTGAAAATTGTCCAGAATCGAGCATCAAGGATGGTCGAGAGAGTTGGTCCCAACATGTTTGAGCAGCTGCACAACATCAGGACGATTGCAGGCAGCTCCATCCTGCCGTCTTGCTTGCATAAGCAAAAGAGATACTCGATTACTTGTTTGATTCCTCTATCCAAAGTGTGCCATAGTGTCTGTGTGAGAGTCTCTGATGGGGATGGTGCTGGTTAGGTGGTGGTGCTGTTTTATCTTGAGTGCAGTTGAGGTGTGGCCTGGTGTGGCCTGGTGTGCAACTTGCATCGCTGTCCTAAGGACGGGCACTTTTGCTCGTGAGCTATACATTCTCACAAAGTTTGTAATGCAGACAAGATTTGTAATGCAGAAAGAGCCATGCTGCTGCAGACGCCGTGGTCCTCGGCCCATGGGACCAAGGCTTGGGTTGATCTTCTGTTGATGTTCTTCTCCATCGTTGTGCAGTGGTATTTGAGACAGTCTCTGGATCATAATTTCCGACCTTGCAGTGGATTTACTTCATTCTCTGATTATAGAAGTGTCTCTAGCAGAAGCATTTTCTCGCAGCCTGCATGCGTGGGCTATCAATAGCATGCAAGGAACATTGTGCGGATCTATTGAGGCCCAGGCAGCGCACACTGCTCAGCGCCAGGCTGGCGCTGCGAACTGTCCACGGTAAGGGACGGCGGCCGCGGCCGCCGCATGCATACGCGGGTCCGGGCGCAAGTATAATGATCACACAGTATCCTATGACATCCTAAGAGGCAGTTGTTAATCTGTCAAATGTTGCTGGGGCGATTCGGCATGGCCCAGCTGGCCACAAGCCTCCAACGCTGGGCCCGTGTGGGTGCATGGCTTCAAACAGCTTCCACATAGCTTTCGGGGGAGATGCCGAGGGAGCACACCACCAATTGTCGTGATTTGGGATGCCGTCTGGCCCCACCATGATTCGATCAGGCGAGCGACCCAGCTCGATAGAAACGTCTTGAAACATCGATGCACTCGTGTTTTGTCGTCCTGGTTACACAACAGCCGCGGTAGACGGCCCGAGACTATAGATCCTCTAGCGTATGTGGCCGACTCACTGCCCAAGCAGGATCCATGGCTTCCCTGCTGCTGGGCCCCAATAACACTTTTCCGTTCTTCCAAGACGGCCAACGGACGAGGGAAGACGAGGTGCGTTGTGGAGCTTGTGCTGAAGCTGTGGTGGTATTTCGGAGGCACCACCTACTGATACACGGCTGCCCACTGTGGCGTAGTGTATGCGTTTGATAGTAATATAATTCATATTGGATGGCCTCGAAGGTGTCAAACCTGGGCGCTGACCGATCCTCAACCGCCAGCAACAATCACCAAGCGCCAGAGGGTGCGCAGTCTCAACCTCTCTCGTACAATGCGTTGGGCTGCACGCGAGGTGCTGTGCTAGGGGCGTAGAAGGAAAAATGAGCTTGGAATGTCTGTGATGTGCAATCCGATTTGCCGAGGCTGTAATATGTTTGAGGCAGAAACCATCTTCAAGGACATCTGTGGCACTTTGCAGTGATGCTTCAAAACCGGCACGACCCTTTAGGAGGTGCTTGGATGTCATTATTGGCCATTAAACTTGTCAGGCCCTTGGCACAAGCCGTCCTGGCATGCATGAATGCCAAAGTTGGACATTCTACAGCCGGGAACATTTTTCAGTATTCATGAACTTTGCTTTGGCATCCTTGTCCGGTGGCGAATACCTCGCTGGCCAAAGCATTATTTAGATTCCAGCTCTGGATCAGTACTGCACCTCAGTGAGAGCTGTCCTCACTATGGGCCACTTTAAGGGGTGTTGACGGCCTTCCTTTCGATGCTGCATCGCAGGGCACGAGCTGCAGCTGCAGCAGCAGGCGATGCTGATGCAGAGGGTGCTCTCCTCGGGTATGGCAGGACCCTCAGGGCATGATCACCAAGCGCTGGTGAACAGCAACCTGCAGCCGGGCATGTACTCTGGGCAGCAGCTGCATGGCAGGCCGCTGGGCACAATGAGCCATGGGCAGGCCCTGGTGCCCAGCCATGGGCAGGCGCTGCAGCCCAGCGGGTCGCAGGGCTACATGGGGATCTCAGCCAAGGTGGAGAGCGTCCTAAAGGATGCCCATGAAGCCTACAGGAATGGCGAGTTCACGCAGGCGCTGCAGCTGTGTCACGCGGTGCGTAGCCGTGCCCCATCAACCTGAAGATGCAGCATTATTAACCCCACCAGTGATTGGTTGGAGGTAGGGTTTTGTTGTGGCAAGCAGAAACTCTCAGTAGTGCGCACGATGTGCTTGTTTGCAACGATGGCAAGTTGCAATGGCTTTGTGGTGAAGGGTGCTTCTGAATCCTGATGAATCTGAATGAAAATTGTGTTTGTGTGGTTGCAGATATATCCCCAGAACGCACACCGGACAGACTTGCTGCTGCTCATCGGCGCGGTGTACTACCAGCTGGGGCAGTACGAGCAGTGCATTGCCTTTAACGACCGCTGCATCCTGCTGGACGCCCAGATGGCCGAGGCGCATGCCAACTTGGCAAATGCCCTGCAGCAGCTCGGCAACTTTGACATGGCCATTGTTTACTATCAGGTGTGGAGCAGTAACAGCATTGTTGCGCCATTGCTGTCAACACACTATTGGCAGCCTTGTACATGTAATTCAGCTTTATATTGAGGCCAGTCTGACCTCCAGGAGGTACAAACCATTACTTGCTATGCACCAGGTATACCAAGAGAGGCCTGGCTCGGCCTAAGGGAGCATTCGGTTACTTCGATTTGTACGTAAGTAATTGTGCGTTAGTTTGAATTTAAGGAGAGGGGTGGTTGTGACTGGGTTGCCTTTATTGCTGTCGCAGTCTGCCCTACGCCTGAAGCCCACATTCACGGACGCCTACAACAACATGGCGAGCGCACTCGTGCAGAAGGGCCTGGTCCCTGCTGCGCTGCAGTGCTACCAGACAGCGCTCGCCGTCAACCCCAACCTGGTGAGGCTGGGCACCCCTTCTTAAAGGACCGAAGTGAAATTTGTCGCGTATCCCCTACTCCATGCTGCACTTGCACCCCTGTTATGTCAGATGGACAGTCCTAGCCACTCCAGCCACAGATGCAATGCGTCACAGCTGAAGTTGAGCTGGCTGGAAAGGCTGCCGCATGCGCCAGGAACGGTCCAGGCCTGCAACAGGACTAGAACCTCTTGCTCGGCTGGTACTCCAGAGAGTGACCTTCAGCAGCCAAGCTACAATGTGCAGCTCGCTCATGACTGTACGCTATGTAGACTTGAAATTATGAAGTTTAAGTACTCGCTCTGAGCATGGAGGGTGGCTGACAGGTGGACGTGCACACAAACCTGGGGGACCTGTGGAGGGCGCAGGGTCCCAGCGGCCAGTCAGAGGCGCAGAGGTGCTACGCAGAAGCGCTGCGCGTGGATGTGAGGCATGCCCCCGCCTGGCGCGGACTGGGAGACCTCATGCGCGAGCGTGGAGAGCACCAGTCAGCAGTTGCATGCTACCAGGTGTGCAGCAAATGTCACCTTGCAGCTGCATGGATGCATAAGGATCGAGTGGGATCTACAGCTTAACTTGCGGTAATATATAGCAATAGATCATCTGTTCTAGGTAGAGTAGATCCTCTTAATGGATCTGTGTCCGGGGCCGATGATGACAACACACGCACGTATTGCCAGAGATTATCGATGAAGAAACTGCAAGCTCTAGAACATGTCAAGAGGCCCTTTTTCGAAGTATTCTTTGACCTTTCCAGTAATTAAGGGTGCAGGTGCAGACATGTGCTCTATTTCACTGTCAGTAGAGCGGCATGATGATGTTCCTGTGCTTGGGCACATAAGTCATGCCGTGCTTCAAGCATGGAAACAGGGCATGCATCTTACAGAAAGGTTCTCAATTGTGATGAAACATGTGGTGAATGCAGGAAGCGGTGCGGGCCAGGCCGGGATACGCGGATGCATTTACGGGCATGGGCATCTCGCTGAAGGAGCTGAAGCGGCGGGAGGAGGCGGAGGCGTGCTTCCAGCAGGTCGTGCGGCTGCGCCCCGGCTGCTCGCTCTCCCTCGGCAACCTTGCAGGTGCGCCAGTGATACTTCAAAATGGAGACGCTCTTCTTCATACTCATCCTGGTACAGGGACTCCTAATATTTCTTGCAGAAGATGGGGTTAAGAGCAGATGCCACCCCGTAACACAAGAGAGGCATTCAGTGATGTGTAGACTCGAAGGATATCTGCTCTCTGCTGTCAATTTAAGCAAGTAGTCCTTGGAGTCGCTGGAGCCTGCTCGTGCTGGTTTCCTTGTAAGACAGTGTCTGGCAATTGTGCTGTGCACAGCATATTTATTAGAGAAATCCAATCATGCTCAAGACCTTGTGGCTCCACTTGTGCAGGGGTCTACTACGAGCAGGGGAAGCTGGAGCAAGCGATAGCGACATACCGGGAGGCGCTGGTGCACGAGCCGAATTTCCCGGAGGCCTACAACAACCTGGGCAACGCGCTGCGCGAGGCCGGCCGCGCGGACGAGGCCATCCAGTGCTACACGCTGTGCATCCAGCTGCAGCTCGCACGTCCCCCCGCGGCCACCCCCTCCGGCCGCAACATCTCCCCTCTGCCGGCGGTGGCCGCGCAGGCGCAGTCGCAGCGCCTCAGCGTCGCCTACAACAATCTCGGGGGCATCCTCAAGATGCAGGTGCGTTTCACCTATGTGTCCCCTGTTCCCCCTCCTGATGCAAATTTTGTTGGAGCATTAATGTGAAGCAGCTTGTGGGCGCAAGATAATGCTCGCCGGTATCTTGTATCTACTTGCAAGCTGTGCAGCAATGACCGGACATCAATGCCTCTTGTACAGATAGAAGCGTTTAAGGGGGTCAGAGGACATCTGGGCACAACTGCTGTGGTGAGACACTGCAAATATTCTTGCCTCCTGCTGAGCACGCTCAGAAGATGTGAATTCTCATTGGCTGACAGACTGTTGGGTTGCCAGGGCCGGGCCGCGGAGGCGATAGCCTGCTACGAGCACGTGGCGCTGCTGCAGCCGGAGTCGGCAGAAGCGCATGCGAATCTGGCGTCCTGCTACAAGGATGCGGCGCGCCAGGACGCCGCCATAACCAGCTACCGGCGCGCGCTGACGCTGCGGCCGGACTTCCCTGAGGCATTCGCCAACTTAGTGCACAGCCTGCAGTGCGTCTGCGAGTGGCGCGACCGGCCCGCGCTCTTCCAACGCATGGAAGTCGAGGTGCGGATCTTTGAGTCTTGGGCTTCACACAGGGATCACTACTGGTGGCCTGTTAAGGTCTGCCAAAATTTCTGTCATGGTTACTTCCATTGCTATTTTTGGCCTCCTCTAAAGCACTACTTTTATCTTTTCTCCATCTTGTGTCTCTGTGACACGCTGTGCATTTGTAGCTTACAGAGCGCGGAAGTCTCACCTTACCCAAGCTTGCAGCAGAGGCATGTTGAGGTAGGGAAGGTTCTTGCAGTCTAAACTTATCACCTTATTTTTGTTCGTGCAATTGCTCATATCGAGGTTTCTGTGCTGGCGCAGGTGCGCAACGACCTGCAGATGGGCCGTCTGCCGCCGGTGCAGCCCTTCCATGCGATGGCCTACCCCTTCAACGCTGACCTGGCGCTGGCCATCTCCCAGAAGTACGCGCAGTTCTGCGCCATCACCGCCAGCCGCATGCGCGCCCCGCAGCTGGCGCACCCGGCCGCCCGGCCACTCGCGCCCGGCGAGCGGCTGCGCATCGCTTACGTGTCGTCGGACTTCGGCAACCATCCGCTCTCGCACCTAATGGGCTCCGTCTTCGGCCTCCACGACCGCTCCAGGGTGCAGAACCCCCCTTTACACCCCTCTGGAAACCCCTGCATGCATGCGCGCATCATTCTGCCCCCCCTCGGTGTGGGTTTAAATGCAACACACCAGGCTTGTTGCTAGTGTTTTCTGCGGAAGGTCTCTCTGGATCACTTTGCTCAGGACTATTGGAAGTGTGGGGTTGCACTGCCAGCAGTGTGAATGTGTTGGGAAGGCGCTCTTTTTGGAAGTGGCCTCATGAAGTTGTGTAACATCTGCAGGTGGAGATCTTCTGCTACGCGCTGAGCGCGTCGGACAACTCGGAGTGGCGGCAGCGCATCGAGATGGAGGCGGAGCACTTCCTGGACGTGTCGGCCTGGTCGGTGCCGGACATTGCTGGCAAGATGTCCGCCGACGGCATCCACATCGGTGTCAACCTGAATGGCTACACAAAGGTAACTGTTGCTGCCTCTACCTTCTTGTTTGCCCTTTTCTCCTTGCACTGCAGCGCGCACTGGCTATCTGTGGCTTCTTTTGTGTAGGAGCATGGTGGTTCCCTCAATGCATGGTTATTGTTGTTCCTGCCTGTGAGTGCCATGACTGCACTTCTCCAAATCCTGTGCCGGCATTGTGATGGGGTTTCCTCAGCACACCACACCTTGACACTTCCGACTCCGAGGATTGCACTTCTACTCTGGATTATGGAGGCATTAACTGTGGCTGGCTGTGTGTGCAGGGGGCGCGCAACGAGATATTTGCGCTGCAGCCGGCGCCGGTGCAGACGAGCTACATGGGCTTCCCGGCAACTATGGGCGCCAGCTTCCTGCCCTACCTCATCACCGACAAGGTCGTCGCGCCGGACTCGTGCCGCCCCTGCTACTCAGAGAACCTGGCCCTCATGCCCAACTGCTACTTTGTCAACGACTACAAGCATGCCCACATGGTAAATAATTCTTTCCCTCTTACTCAGTGACCAATGAACTGTCCCTTTCCTCGGAAGTTCACCTGACAGGGGCTGTTGGTGCCCAGTCCATGAGTTTGTTAGATGACTCTTCTTGGTTTCACCCGAAAGATCAATCACTTTAGCAAGGAACGATCACATGGGTGGGTTAAGGATATTTTCAAGGACCCTTTGTAAATGCATACAAGCCATCACTTTGACAGCCCGATTAAGCTGGTCATGACATTTGGATTGCCTGTGTAGCACCACCCATTTCTGGCTTGCATGATGCAAGGCAACGTGGTCTGCAGCGCCACTTATACCACTTTGAGCTTTCCTGCAGGACGTGTTGGACGAGGCAAATCTGCCCTCGCGAACAGAGGTGGGCCTGCCGGAGGACCGGATAGTCTACTCCTGCTCCAACCAGCTGTACAAGTACGACCCCGAGACCTTCACGACGTGGTGCAACATCCTGCGCCGCGTGCCAAACTCCGTGCTCTGGCTACTGCGCTTCCCGCCCTACGGCGAGCCGCGCATCCGCGCCGAGGCGGCCGCGCGCGGCGTCGACCCGGCCCGCATAATATTCACCGACGTGGCCGCCAAGCCGCTGCACATCCGCCGCTCCGGCATCGCCGACGTGTTCCTCGACACCCCGCTCTGCAACGCCCACACCACCGGTGTGCCCTCTTTGGCTCCTTACTCACCATGCTTGACACCCAATTTCAATGCCCCCAACCCACCGGTGCACTTTTTGGCCTATTTTTCCAAAATCCTGCATCTTCCTCGTGTTTCTTTGGAGGAGCCTTAATCAAAACAACAATGTCACCCAAGCTTTCTGCTCTGCCTTTGCGGCTTCCAGAATGACGAGTTCTGCGGTGCTTGCTTGAGTGTTTCAGCTGAGCATGAAAGCAACCACATCAGCAAATGTGAGGCACGGCTTGAACAGCAGCTGCATGCAGGGCGTGACAGGACCATGCCGACTTCTCCACGCCATCTGCTGAAGAGGATATGTAAAAATTTGGCAGAACGCTGAGGCTGCATGGATTTGTGGGTGCAGGCTGCGACGTGCTGTGGGGCGGCTGTCCGATGGTGACGCTGCCGCTGGAGCGCATGGCTTCGCGCGTGGCCGCATCGCTGTGCTATGCCACCGGCCTTGGCCACGAAATGGTCGTGTCCTCGCAGCATGAGTACGAGGTGGGCCTTCCCCCGAGTGAAAATGACTCCCAGATGCAGACCGGCACACATACTTCATTTGTAGGGTGTCCAGTAGCAGCTTGCTTGTGTGGTGCAGTCCTCTTTGCAAGTTGGTGCTTGGTGGTATCACAGCGCGTATTTTCAAGGATTCCACCAAGCAACGTCTCAATATGGGGCTGCACTGTGCAAGTCTCCATCGCTGCATGCTGGCACCTTGCACGTGCAGGGTTGCTGTAATGCACTATGCAGAAAGAGCGCAGGTATAAAAGTGGAGTGCATGGCTTGCAGGATCGGGCGGTTGAGCTGGGTCTGAACCATGCGATGCGGCTGAGCCTGCGGGAGCGGCTGAAGCGCGCCCGGCTCACGTGCCCGCTGTTCGACACGGCCGGCTGGGTGCCCGACCTGGAAAAGGTCTTCTTCCGCATGTGGGACGTGCACTGCGAAGGCCGCGGCCCTCGCCCCTTTGAGGTCCAGTGACAGGGAACTCTGAAAGAAGCTCTAACCTAAAGAGCCCCCGCCAGTGAGTGGCTGGGGTCCTGTCACATCTATGCCCTTTCAAGTTTGAACGAGGGGCTGGGAGTGAGTGCCCCTTCGAGGTCCAGTGACAGGGGACTCTAAATTAACAGATTGATAGAGGTAAAGAGTCCCCTGCCGATGAGCGGTTGGGGGCTTGTGAGATCTATGCCCCTTCAATCTTCAGTGAGCGGGCTGGGATCCTGTCAGAGAGAGTGGATCCTTTGAGGTCAGAAAGCAGTTGCAGTGGTGTTAGAGGAGGAAATGCCCGCAACGCTGCTGTGAGGGAGCATGGGATCACATAAAAAGGGTGCTTCCACGAGGAGCTGGCTAGTTGACCCCCCCCTGGATGGTGAACATTCACCTGGCTTATGTCATGGTCCTATGCTTTGTGTTGGATTTGCTGCTGGGAGCGCTGGGCAGGCGTCTGACGACTGAAAGTGCAGAGAGATTTGCAGTGCATGACACCCTTCCGGCTGAACAGACAAAAGGGGAATTTGAACATTGGGAATCAAATGTTGCAAGAGTTTTGGAAACTGCAGCTGAAGCTTTGAATACACGGAAAACCTTAAACTCACATTGGTGGGTGATGTAGATGTGTTCTTGACTGACCTAAATTCCTCTGAGGACGCTGTTGTTTGTCTGTTTTAGCAATGTCTTCAGCTGTTGTGAATATCCTGCTTGTGAAGTGCTAGACAGATTGTCAGTGTGTTGTTTGCTTTGTTCCTCAATTGCTAGCATAGCGCTCGTGTCATATTCTTGCAGTGGAACCTGACCTTTGTAGAGATCTGATGTATCAGTTCATGTAAGAAATAGCTGCAGTGCAGTCGTAGTAGGACATGTGCTGGAACGCATCATGTTCAAACTTTTATCTCAAATCAATATTGACAATTCTGAAAAGTACTAGCTATAGCTTGATATCCATACACTCAAATTAGAAGCTCGACACTGGATACAGTAGCCGCCTCCTTTGTGCCACAGAGCCATGGACAACACTGACCATGTTACAGTGCGTACATGAAATTTCAACGTTCTGAAAACAAATTCTTGCATCCACCGCCCAGCATGGCAGTTTCGCAGTTGGTTCCAGTTTGTGTTCTTTCTACAAGTGTGTCTCGCCAGAACTCTGCATTATCGTGCAGGAACAGCGAGTGCTGCCAGGGCAGAGCAGGCACGCCTGCTGATGGCCATGAAAGGCACAACAGAGATCGCAACGAGACCGGAGGGGTGTATTCTGCCCAGCAGACTCCTGAAAGGCCACAGGGCTTCTGGATCCAGCAGGACGGCTGGCCTCCCCCAGAATGACACCAGCAGTGTCAGGCTGACAGCTGTCTTGGTGTACTGCGCCGCCTTCACCCACCTTCCACTGCTGATAGCCTCCTACGAGAACAAATAGGCGCGAATTGTGAGAGTGGTGTCTTCACACCAGACTCCAAGAAAGTGCATGCTACCGGCCCTGGCAAATATTGAACGGGACTGTGAAGGATGAGTGCAGTACTTCCTGAGTCTGCAGGGCAGCTGCCTCTTTCTCCTTTGCCACGGCCTTTCGAGTCAGTTTGGCACTCTGAGCGAAGCTGGCTGGGCTAGACAGCCGCTCTGCCTGCTTGTTAAGCTGGGCAGCCTCCGCCTTCAGCTGTGATTGCTGACTTCGAAGCCTATTGACCTGCGTATCATTATTTATTTGTTCATGGGTCCTAAGGCAAGCAGCGGGCATACAGTGGGCGCAAGAAGGGTGGTTGTTTGTGATTGCCATGACGTGAGAATTGCGATGTCCTGATCTTCTGCATATGCAATGGGCACAAAATGAGAAATATTGGGGAGAAGACTTGTGTTTTAAGAAATGATCACCTTAGCATCTCCAGCAAACCTCTGGATCAGTTCACAGATCAGGACAATAACCACAGCAAGGATCGCAAACATATGTACCTATAGCACCTATTGCATAGGTTTCAGTACTTTCTTCCAACAGCTTTGAATAATTCAAATCGAATGGGTGCATTGACTTGAAATGTCCTGCCATCGACTGCTCAGCAGGCCACGTCATGGAGCAGCTCCCGGGAGCTTCCGTTGGCCAGCGCACCTAGTTCTCTATACAATTCTGGGGCGGTCTTCCACGATCGAGACTCGTTCAATTAGACAGCTTTGCAAAAGCAGATTGCTTGCCCTCACGACTGAAGTTCTGAGGTGTTACGGGCGAGATCACGTCATGCAAGCTATTCCAACGTGCCTCCCGCAGGTGAGCAGGGGTGGTATCATGCTCCATCCTGGTCGTCATAACGACACCGGAACTAATACACCGATAGCGTGCTTCATTTTGGCCGCCTTTCCTCGTCCTCTCAGTTCTTGTTTAATGCACATTGTCACTTTATTACATGTCAAGATTTATAAAGCGTCGACCTCTCTATTGCAGGTGCACGTGGGTACGTTTCGCCCGTTTTCTATTTTATCGCTCCACAGATGCGCAGCATCCAAGACAAGGTGCGCAATGGAGCCTACAACCCAAGCTTGCAGTGTTTCAGAGCAGCAAGAGCATCAGTGCAATTCAACTATTAAGCATCAAGGTGATCTCGCCCTCACGAAAGCAATCCTGTGTGCAGATTTGCGCACGCTGGCCGCAGCATAAGGTGCAGCGCAGCAGACGGCTCGAGCAGCAGGGGGAGGGCGAAGTCCGGCAGGAGGCAGCAGCGTGACGCGGCGGACTCGGCAAAGCGCGGCGTCGATGACGCGGCCGACAGCCTCAAGTCCGGCATCCGCTCGGCAGAGGACGCGGTAAATGACGCAGCGGAGAGCGTTAAGGACGCCGCAAACAGTGCACGCAGCAGTCCGCGCAGTGCCGCCTATGACACAACAACAAGCACCCGGAGAAATGCTGACGCCGCCGCTGCGGATGCTAAGGGCGCGGTGCGCGACGCGGCCGACACGGCCGGCCCGCAGCGCCGCAGCGTGGCGGGCACGGCGCGCACAGCGCGCAGCGGCATCGACTCAGCGGCTGACGCCGTCGATGACGCCAGCCGCACCGCCGAGCGCTACGCGGCCGTCCCGGAGGCAGCGGCGGACGACGCGGCCGACGCGGTGACCGAGGGGATTGGCGCGGCGGCTGAGAATGTCGAGGAGGGCATTGATCAGGCTCGCGAGTACGCCGAGGACCCGAAGCTGGCGGTGTCGGACGCGGCCGGCGCGGCGGAGGAGGGCGTGGACAGCCTGGCCGACAATGTGAAGGCCGGCGTGCGCGCTGTGCGCCAGGGCCTGGCTGATGGCGCGGACGCCGCCGAGGAAGCTGCCCAAGACGCTCAGACGCAGAGTGAGGCTCGCCCTTGCTGTTATCTCTTGCCCGTCAGTTAGAGTGCCGATTCATGCACACCGGCATGCTTCATAGGAGTTCAAAATGCTATCAGTGCTTTGCAATTGTGCTGATGCTGAGATGGGGCATATTATGTGTGTAGGTCAGCCGCGCATCGGCGCGCGCCCTGTGACCGTGACATACACATCAGGCGCAGGCGCAGTACAGACCGACACCAGCACCAGCAGCAGCACCGGAACTGCGCAGACTGCAGCCGCCGAGGACACAGGTGAAATCCCAATCCACCATTTCATTTCTGTACCACCCAGCAGTTATTTCCTCTGCTGTCTACAAAGAGCAAGCGCAGATCATGCTGGCATGCACATAGACATCCTGTTCGCAGTAATTGCGGAGACTACCACTTTCTTGTATTACACCCCTTATGGAAAGGGGTGTAATGATGCTTTCCTGAGAATCAAGAACATCAGGTGCATTTGCAGCAGTGATTTTGTGACGCCTTCCCACCTGGACCATCTCGGGCTTCCCTTGACCAGATCAAAGACAAATCAAGAGACTGCAGAAGTTTTCACCGTAATCGCACCAAAATATGACTCGCTGGCGCTGTGTGCCTGCAGCCGACACTGCGCGCGAGGTGGGCGCCCAGGTGGATGACGTGGCGGATGACCTCGAGCGCAACATTGATGAGGCGGCTGAGCAGGTCGAGGGCGCCATTGAGGCGGCCGGAGAGCGCCTTGAGGGAGCCATTGACGACGCGCCGCGCCAGACTGCCGCCGTGCTCCAGCAGGTGATACAAACAACCAAATGATTGTCTACGACGTTGGGTCTTGCACAGCCTGTTCTGCTGAGGTGCCCCCCCAATTTTCAGGATGACATGCACTACGACATGACTTGTTCTTTGGGGGTGGAAGACAGCTTGCATGGATCTGTATCTAGCGATCAGGCCTTCCTGGAAGGACAGAAAGAAAGAAAGAAAGAGCGGTGAGTAGATGAACGCTAGTACAATCCAGCGTTTTGGGTTGGCACCGGCTCTTCCTGGGAGCCGGGACCTGTTGCCCTGCTCAGCAGCCACGTGCCTCGGCATGACATCTGACAGTTGCTGGTGCATCCTCAGGTGGTGGACTCGACTGCGGACAGCATAAAGAGCGCGCGCAGCACGGCGGAGGCCGTCAACGAGGACTTTGAGGAGCTGCAGGCCCCCGGGCCGGCCGCGCCCTTTGCCGCCACTCCGCTCACCTCCCTGCCCTCTGTTGCCCCCGAGCAGGACGACGTGCGCTCCTCTCTCCCTCATTCTCACTTTGATTATGTGCACATTGGCCCTGCATCCCCTACAGCGCAGTCATTGTTGACATGTGCACATTGCCCTCTGCATGGCTAGTCTTTGTGGGTCACGGCAGAGAAGCAGACTTGCATTCCTCACAGCATAGCCATGCTTCGCCCGATCACAGAGCCCAGATGGCAACGCTGTTATCTGTCAGTGATGCTGGCAGAAGGCTGTGCATAGTCACACCCTAACGAGCCCTGTTGCCATGAGCGGATCAAACCTTTATTGTCTACTGCACAAGCAATGTACAGTGTAGTAGTGATGTCTGCAAGCAACGCAAAGCTGAGGAGTGCGCTATGTGTGCAGGTGTCGTACCAGAAGAAGCGGCTGCTGTTCAGCGTGGCCGGCTTGGACCGCGGCTTTGCGGCCAACGCCGCCGCTGAGCTGGCGGTTGAGACCGCCATCTACTCGCTCGTCGGCGCTGCCGGCGGCTCGCCACCCCTGACGTGGACGTCCAGTGCGCTTATTTCCCCCGCCTCCGCAGAAATTGATTTTGTGTTTCCTTGGACTCTTTAGGCCTCGCCTGGATTCTAACTGGGGCAGCCCATTGCATGACACCCAGAATGGGGATGCTTTGAGGAATGATTGAGGCATAGAACATGGCAAGAAAATACCACCTATCCAGAATGCTGCATGAGTTCTGGCGTGGTGCAAGAAGCTTGAGTTGGTTCAAGAAGCTTGGGAAGATGCCTACCCTGATGCTATCTAGCACCTGCCCGAAAGTGCCCTGTCAGGACATCAAACACAGTCAGCACATCCCCGTGACTACGCAAGTACTGTGTAATTGAGCGATTGTTGGCTGCGCGCAGAGGATGGGGGCAGCGGCGGCAGCACGCTGGGCATGCTGAGCGGCACGTGGCGCCTGGTCTACTCCAGCGGATTTGCCAGCGGCAGCCTTGGCGGCCAGCGCCCGGGGCCGCCGGCTGCCTTGGTCCCCGTCACCATCGGCCAGGTGCGCCCCCTTGCTCTTGTTACCTCGTTCTTGAATGAGGAAGTTCAGAGTCCCCCTGAACTGTTTTGGCATGGATGCTGGTCACTTGGCAATCGTATCAGGGAGGCTGCATCCCTGGTGCAGCCGCTATGTGGGCCTTTTTTGAGAGTCTGCATCTTTGGAGCTACAGCGCAATGTCTGTGTCTGATCGACTGGTTCCGTCGCCCTGGCATGCCCTTTAAGATTACTTCTGATACCAGAATCTGCGCTGTGCAGCAAGACACGTCCGGCAGACAGTGTGGCAGCCAGAGCTCCTGTATAGGCCGAGGAATCTTGTCAAAGGCTCCAAGCAGGAAGGAGAACTCAGCGGGGCTGTGCGCGCGCCGACGCGAAATCCGTATATGTGAATCCCCAAGCTGAAGTACAAAAAGCTTCAGGAACATGGGAGTGAGTCTTTGGGGCGAATTATGGCGCAGGTGTACCAGGTCATTTCCACTGCCACAGCGACGCTGGACAACGTGGTTGAGTTCTATGTGCGCTACCAGCTGCCTTCGCTGCCCGGCCTGCCGCCCGCCGAGCCCATCGTGTCCACGCTGCGCCTGCGCCACAGCCTGGAGATCCTGCCCGGCAGCAATGTCCAGATCACCTTTGAGGACACCCAGCTCAGCGTTACCGGTGCGCCCCCCCTGCCCCCCTGCTGGCAGTATTTCTAATGTTCTCATCCCCCTGTGCCCCTTGTGTCCACTTCAGCAGGCCCAGGCCCCACAGGAAGGGAAGCTTGTCTCTCAGATCACGAGCCAGACAAAGTCAGGCCATCAGATTTTGATTTTTGATTTCGAATTTGTGGTGGGCAGGCGGGCTGGGCGGCGTGCTGGGGAAGCTGCCAGAGCTGACGGTGCCGCAGCTGCCGGAGCCGCTCAAGCCGTCGCGCTCGATGCGCAGCTCCACCTTCGAGGTCCTCTTCCTTGACAATGATCTTCGCGTCACCCGCGGCGACCGCGGCGAGCTCCGCGTCTTCGTGCGCACCTGATCGGCAGCTGATATTTCCCTGCTAACGTTGCCCCGGGCGCATCGGACTTACGTGCAGCTAGTCACCGCTCGCTGATGTCAGCAGCCGTGTGCGCGCCGGATCAGGCGGCTTGATTAGCGTCGGTGATGTCATTGGCAGGTGCAAGGTAGTTGGGAGTTGGGAGTCATTGAAGGAAGCAGGCCTGCTCCTGGGATGGCAGAGGGGTGCTGTTGTTCCTAGGAAGCATTGCATTGGTATGTGTCTGTTCTGATGAACAGCGGCTCTCTGATTTTGCCATGGTTCTTTTCAATAGAAGGAACACAACTTATCTGCTTCCGAATTTCTGATAGAGAGCTCCTGCAGCAGTTATCCGGAGTAGAATTGTGTAGAGAAGGTCTGCAGCTGCGGCTTCATTTTGCATAGGTTCTATTCTTTAGTGTGGTTTAAAACTCAGGTCGTGTGGGCATGCACACCACAGACTCTGTCAGTCTGTTGATCTATTTGATGGCAGCTACTAGGGTCTGGGCGTCATGACTGTAAGACAATGGGAAACGAATTTAAATGCGAGTATCGGCCAAGGATGCATGTGATGCAAGGTAGCTGGACCATGGGGAGCGTGCCTTGCAAATCAATTGCAGACCAAATTGCAGCTTCTCATTCATAATATCCACAAACAAAATCGCAGGCCGAGCGGCCGACCCCAGCCAGCACTTGGCTGCATAATATTAGTAATATACAGTCCAAGACGCTGCCAGTCTTTCTGACTGGGGTGTCCAGGGCTCAAGCATGCCAGGTCATCACTTGAGGCAATTCTTTGGATCTGGCGCACAGCAAATCTCTCGGACTAGTGTTTTTTCTTTATCTTCTCAAGCAATGCCGGCCCGGAGGCAAATCCTCCGAGCACAACAGAGCGTCTGACTTCTTCGGTCTTCTCCTGATCATCACCATGACTTAGCAGACACTCGAAACCTGTCTCGTCAGATCTCCATATCAGGGGCGACGTCATTTCCATCACCCGCTCTGTTCAATACACATCACTGACACCACGGCTATCAGCGACCCAAAGAATATACCAAAATTTTTCCTGTCGACTCCGACGAATGTTCACCATTTACTGTCCAGGCTGGAAAGAGATGTCTGTTCTAGTAGCATGCGCCGCTAGGAGAGCACTCTCACTCTAGATCACGACAGCAAAGGATGGAACGAAAAGAAAGCAGTGCCGGCAGTCAGAACCCAAAATTGCGGTCTTGTCTCCCTGGCTAGCCAGCAAGAACCTGCACAAGTGCTCACGGACCCACCAGCAACAATGTTGAGACCCCCCTAACCCCCAGCAGACCATCTGTACACATTTGCTGCACGGCTGTTCTACGCCCGCAAGTGGGAATCAAGCAAAGCTCATCAAGCAAAGCGATCAATGCGAACAGTTACGGTTCGGCCGCCCAGCTCCGCGCCGTTCATTATCTGCGCCGAGGCCTGCGCATCCTCTGGCGTGGAGTACCGCACAATCCCAAAGCCCCTGCAGCCGCCGGCCACGACGTTAAGACATTTTAAGCATTGGAGCTGACATCAGCTTGTGATCCCCCTGACATGCGAAGGGAGCCTCAAGCCAGGGCACAGGTGCTTGTGCTAGTGCATGATGCTGGTATGCATCAAAGGCAGGTCACATTACTTTTCTTCATGCATGACGACGGCATGCGTGACAAATGCATGAGGCTGGCATGCAACACAAGTGCAAGTGCATGATGCGGGCAGGCAGCAGAGCCAGGCCCGACAGTTACTCGGGGCATATGGATGATGCTGGCATGCACCAAAGGTTCATGGCTGGATGGTGGGGTTCGTGAATGCCTGGACAGGGGCAAAGCAAAACGGAGCCCACCTTGATCGCCCGCTGCCATCGATGATGACATCTGCTCGCTCGATGTTCTGTGTGTTGGCAGCAAAGGCGTCTTTCAGGTTCTGCCACGTGCAGCTCCAGGGCAGGTTGTGCACCACCACCTGCATTTAAATCAGAAGCTTTCAAATCACCCTCTGCAGATACTTCGAGGACATGTGCCCATACGCCTTGGCCTTGCCTGCGTTAGGTCTTTGCTATGATCACAAAAGCCTAGCTAGCTCTACATATGTTGAAAGCCTACGTTTAGTCTCCAGACACAAGCTCTCTCTGTGAGGCACAGTTAAATTCATGCTCACAGTTTCCTCGCGTATGTGCTCTGACGTTTGATCTTGCCACGTGTGTGATGTATAATCAGCATCAAGCATGCTCCTGACTGACGCATTCACTGCGCACTGGCCGCCGTGTTCTGCCAAGTCAGCGAGGGCGCACCTGCACGCCGCTGGACACGCCGGGCGTGCCGGGGGGTGGTCGGCGCTCGCCGCGGCCGCCGCGCCCCGGGAACATTCCCCGCCCCCCCCTGCCCGGCCTGCCGCCCCCTCTATATCCCATCGGGCCGGCGCCCATGTACCCTCCACGCGGCATGTACTGGGGTTGCATGCCCGGCTGCATCCCTGGCTGCATGCCCCCGTAGAACACCCTCCTCAAGGCACCCTGCACAGGAAATGACACACACCCATTATATATCGACCAGACAGCACGCCTCAGCCTCATTTGATCAATGTTAAGCCTGCAATGAAATTCTGATCGCACAAGATTCATGTTTTACAACGATGCAGGACGTCTGGCACAGAAGAATCAGCAGTGCCTGTCGATTTCACCCAATTGCACCAGCAGGGTATAAGGCCTCTGTCTTGAGAAGGAATCCCGGGGCTATATTGCGCGAGGAAAACTGTGCGCAATCTTCATCGCATGAGAGACCCTTCCTCACGGAGAGCGCTGCAATTGAAAAGACCTTCACTAGGGCGAAGTCTAGGACATGACTGGCACGTATCGCATGGATAGGTTGTCCGCATCCCCTTGTTGCAGCCCTGAATTATCGTATAATATCCCAAAGTAAAGCACCACGTTCCTACACATTGCAAATTACCTGTGGAGGTGCACCGTCAGGGCCTGTCACGTTGACGGCCTTTGTGCGACCGTCCTCGCTCTCCTCGACAAAGAACTCCACCGGCTCGTTTTCCCGAAGACTTCGAAAGCCTTCTGCATCGATGCTGCTCTGCAAGCACGCACATATACGGCGTGAGCGATGTGGGGGCGTGGCAAGGTACGGTCACCAAGCACCAAGCACACTCATCAGTTCACGGACACCCGCCATTAGGCGTCGTCCAGTGTGCTCCACCCCAGTAATGGAAACATGGCTGGTATTATGCTTGACTGAGATTGACTCCCAGCATGTGAGTGGCCTTTCACATTTAATACCAGGCAGGCATTGAAGCCAACCTGATGGACAAATAGATCAGTGCCACCGTCCTCCGGTGTGATGAAGCCGAAACCCTTGCTTGAGTTGAACCACTTCACCGTCCCTGTGCTCTTTGTAGGCTGCTCCTCAGCGTTCTCAGCAGCCATTGTGAGAAGCAGGAGTCAATGCGTCGGCCTGCGGTCGACCTATCCAGGCACTGCCGCCTCCCGGGAACCCAGTCCCCACTCTAGAAATTACTGGTTCTTCAAAGCATCATGTTGGCCAGCATCATCCATTAAAGGGGGTAGCTGGTTGGGGGAAGGGAGATAGACCAGAGGTTCCGTGACCAAATCTTTCCTCAATCCTCTTTCACCGGGTGAGGTGGACCCTTTCCAGGGTTTCCCCGATTTGAAAAATTTCAACCCATCGTCTGGCGTGGTGGCCCCCACATCGTGCCATCTCAGCCGGTGACGTGACCAATACTCTCGCTTTTGGCTTCCTGTAGAGTAGAATAGGAAGACCTTGCCTGGTAAATGTGCAGCAAGCCGTAAATAGAGTCTAGCTGCTGATCATGTTTCGCAACGCACCGGAACATTTCCAATAAGCAGCACCCATTGCTGTGGGGAACGAGGTTGCTTTTAACTTGTTGTATCCGAGGGACTGACGGTTGATGAAGCTATGCAGTCGATAGACAGAAATCATCGAAAAAGAGTAGCCGTGATGCATTTTGAGACAAGATGGAAGTCTGCACTGGCAGGGCAGGGATTGGACTAGTTGAGCTTTTCCAGTTTCTGGAGCGATCCCACTCATCTTTAAACATATACAGCACATCGTGTTATTCGCGCACAATGTTGCGCATTTTAGCACTGTCGGGCGGCCTCTTTCGACACAGCTCTCTGTGTCAAGGGCATCGCAGCTTCAGTGCCATCGCCGCTCTTCGTAAGTTTTCCGGCCAGCATGCAACACTCTCCTGGACGTGAACAAACGATATGTGGTATCCAGCAAGCAGCGTGTCCTATCAAACTTTGAAAGACAAGCAACAGAATATGCCACATCCCGGATGTTACAAAAATCTAATCAAATATCAGACAAATCCAACCAAGTCTACAGAACATAATGGACAGGAGGAGACGAGCTGCGGAGCGAGGAGGCAGCAGGCTCAAATTCCAGAGACTGAGGGACTCCCATCCCCCCATCGCAGGCAGTCCGCTGGAGGCCATTGCGCCGCCGCCAGAGGCGGAGGAGGAAGGTATCGAGGCGGCTGCCCACCTGACAGACCTGACCTGCCCAGCCTCATGGTACCCGGCAGCGCGCATGATGCGGCGCAGGATCATCGCGCACATGGGCCCCACCAATTCTGGCAAAACACACGCTGCACTGTTGGAGCTCAAGGCCGCTGCCTCCGGCGTGTACTGCGGCCCGCTGCGGCTGCTCGCCTGGGAGGTGCGCCGCATGCTTCTGTGTTCTGGTTGGAGGCAAGACTGCCTGATGCATGCAGCTGTTCCCTTGCTGAATCTGGTATGGCCTACCTGTGAGCCATGTGGATGTGTCCATTGGTGTCAGGTGTGCTCAGACTGCTTGTGCAATTTGATCGATAATATCTGCATGCCTGACCAATGCCCGTCTCAATGGCAAAGGGAGAGAGGTAAAGGGAGTTGGGATTACTATTTTGAATTAAAAGGCTCAAGAGTGTATGCCTTGCGTGCAGGTGGCCGAGAAGCTCAACGCAGACAACGTGCCCTGCAACCTCATCACTGGTAAATCTCTTGCTTTTCACAAGCCTTCTTCTGCCCTCTGCTGCGCCCACCTTGGCGTCTGTCGACTCGCAAAGCCTGCACTTGCATCTCGACACTGCCCAGCGCACACCGGCCCAATTGGCAGCAGCATGCATGCCTCACCCAGCGCTACTGTGCACGGCTTTTCCCTGCGCTTGCCGCATGGATTATGGAGATCTCAAAGAGGACTTGAGCCCTGTGCTCGTGAAACCTGGATGTCTCCCATCAATAGGCACTGGGCACGCTTCCACATCAATGCATTCAACCCAGCAACTATCCTCTACGGACCATGGGCGATTGGGTGAGCGCAGGGCAGGAGCGGCGGACGGTGCCGGGCGCGTCTCACGCGGCATGCACGGTGGAGATGGCGAGCGTGACGCGCGGCGTCGAGGTTGCGGTGGTGGACGAGGTGCAGATGCTGGGGGACGGCAGCCGCGGCCACGCCTTCACGCGCGCGCTGCTGGGACTCCCCGCCGCCACGCTGCACCTCTGCGGCGACGCCGCCGCGCTGCCCCTCCTGCGCCAGCTCGTCGCCGACGCAGGTGCCGCCACCTGCCGCCCACCTCAATCAGGGGTCACGGAGCGTCAAGTTCCTCATCCTCTGGAATGCAGAGAGAACCCATTTAACCACCTCAGCAGGCGTGGACCTCAGCATGCACATGAGGGCTGGCAGCCATGCAGCAATTGGCAAACACGCACAAGGATCCATCAGAGCCCTCCAAGGCATCAGGAGACCCATCAACAATGCTGTAGGACTCACATTCCAGAACCTGACAGTTGGTGCAAGGGCTTGTCTGCCAGCGAGGAGTTTTGGGACCCTCGGTGCAGGTGACACGCTGGAGGTGCGCACGTACGAGCGGCTGCTGCCGCTAGTGCCGCAGTCGGCCGCGCTGACCAGCCTGAAGAGCGTGCGGCGGGGGGACTGCGTCGTGGCATTCTCGCGGCGCGACGTGCACGCCATCAAACGCGTCATCGACACCCACGGCGCCCACCAGGCCTGCATCGTCTATGGCGCCCTCCCTGCCGAAGCCCGCACCCAGCAGGTGCCTGGTCTTTGACAGCGCCTTTCTGCAACGTTCCTACCAAATTACATGCATTCACTTCAGAGATCCACTTGAAAGAACATTGCAGGGAGTAGAGTGGCAGCGGGTTAGTAGTGTTTTTGCACAAGTACAGGTACACACAAGAGAAGCGTGCAAAGTGGGCGCATACAGCATGAGTGATGGGATTGCCTCTCTTCTGAGAGCGGCATTGTAATGCAAGAGCTGCCGCTATCCTGACCCCTGCGGCAAGGGTCACAGGCATGCATGCATCAGAGGCATAGGGCACAAGAAGCAAGAAAGTAAGCATGCATGCATGCGTGTCTGTGATACCTGCCATAGGGGCCCAGATATGCGCATGTTTTGAAGCGCTGAGGACAAGCCCATCACAGCAGCGGTGTCTCAAGGCCTCGTAGAAGTAAAATTAAGCGTTGTCTTGTGTGCGTACATCTTGTGAGCCTGGTGCATGGTGCGGACTGGTGAGCATGGTGCATGCCTGCTGCAGGCGACACTGTTCAACGCGCCGCGCACCGGCTTCAATGTGATGGCGGCCAGCGACGCTGTCGGCATGGGCCTCAACCTGAATATCAGGTAGGCCTTTCTCAGCCCAGCACATGCATGCAGCTGGCATGTTCGAGTTGCCCCACTTCCATCCGTCATGCTGCCTGACTGCATATAATTGGTGGATTCATTTCAATAATTGCCAAGAGTTGACATAATGACGTTTCACTCAAATGATCATGTTGCTTGCAGTACCTATTCTTTAGCACTTATCAAAGGGAAGTCCTCAATAGTGTTATTCTTCATCCTGAGGGAATGATGCCCCCGCACCCAGGCGCGTCATATTCAGTTCGATGGAGAAGTTTGACGGCACCAGCTTCCGGCCGCTCACGCCACCAGAAGTCAAGCAGATCGCCGGCCGGGCGGGGCGCTTCGGCTCTCGATACTCCTGCGGCCAGGTCACCTGCCTCAACGACGTGCGCCGCTCCCTTGTCTTGATATCACATCTATATTATCTCAAGCAGTTACATGTTCCATATTCTGTAAAACTGCGCTTCCAGCCTGCTGGAGAATGCATCCGAGAGCACGCCAGGCATGTTGCTAGAGGATGCCAAAGCATCACTTTGGCTGCTGAATATCGCCCCCACATGGGATTTTGTTATGCGCAAGGAGTGTTGCACAGATTCCAATGCAGCCCTGCTCTATCTGACCGCTTGCATTTGGGTTCTGTGTGCCACACCTGCACATTCTCATCACTGTGTTTTCGTTGTTATGAATCATATTCATGCGCAGGCTGACATGGCGTACTTGCATGCTTGCTTGGGCGCGGAGAACCCGGCGCTGGAGCGTGCATGCCTCTTCCCACGCTACCAGCAGCTGGCGCTCTTCGCAGAGCAGCACCCGGACCTCAACCTCCCAGATGCTCTGGAGCAGTTTGCTGATAGGTGGCGCCCTTGCCCACGTTCCTCGCTGCCTTTCAATCTAGAGGAATTTGTACAGGAGATCGTTTGTTGCAACGCCCAGCTGCCTATCAGTTTTGAGCAAACCCAGAGCCTAGTGGCGCAACCCAATTGTTAAAAGCCTAGCAGTGCATCTGTGTTGAGAGGGCTAGTAAGAGTCAAACTCTACAGTACCTGTGCAGTCATGCCAGGGTTCTGACTTCAGTGCTACTAGCGCCCCTGGCTTCACGCTGGCTCTTGCCAATACCCTGTCCCTACGCTGTCCACCATTCTGGGCGCCATTCAAGGATACACCTGACGGCTTGACTGCTGGAGAAGGCAGAGAGGGCATGGTGGAAGTAAATCTCAGGTTAAAACTATCGCGGTGAATAGTGTGGGGAGAGGACAGCACAAGATCATTCCTTGAATTTTGAGCTCCCTGCATGTCATGGAAGCTTGGCTGGGAGGAAAAAGATACTGACAAGTATGTGCGCAGGGCGACATTGAGCGATCACTTTTTCTTCAGCGACTACGAGGCAATGCACAAACTGGCGCTGATGCTGCGGCACCTGCCGCTGCCGCTGCGCGATGCGTACACGTTCGCCATTTCCCCTGCCGACCCGGACGACCCCATCGTGTCCTCCGCCCTCCTCTCCTTCGCCACCGCCTACTCCCAAAGGTGCGCCGTCTGCTGCTGCCACTTGAGTGGCATTGGTCCTGCGCATTTCATGGCTGGATTTACGCGTACAAGTTTCTCATAAGAGCAGGAGTTTTACGATAATATCACCAGCCTGAAGCATGGATTTTGACATATGCAAGTGGGAGTCAAAACCTTGCCCCCTTGTAGCTTGAGGAGTGTCCTGTTTCCGCCATCGCAGCTCGCCGCTCGCATGGCGAAACATGATGCTAATGCGACAAGTGGGTGAATTCTGGAGGCCCAATTCTGGCAGATAGATCCTTGCTGCCGGGCCTCACAGTGGCGCTCAAATGAGAGATGGTGCTCCCGCGTTCTTGCAGGGGCACGGTGAGCGCGGCGCTGGCGCAGAGCGTGCCGGTGCGGCCGGCGCGCAACGAGGCGGAGCTGGCGTCGCTGGAGGCGGCGTACGCGGTGCTGGACCTCTACGTCTGGCTGAGCCACCGCCTGGAGGACGGCTTCCCCGGCCGCACAGCCGCCATGCAGCAGCGCGCGGCCGTCGCCGGGCTCGTCGAGGAGGCGCTCCCGCGCATCCTGGCCGACCCCGAGGCCATCTCCAAACGGTGCGCATCTGACACTGTTGCCTCATACTTTCATCATTGTAAATTTTTGCTCTGCAGCTTAGCTGTAGACATACTTGCCTCTGGCAGGAACAACAATTAATTGAAAAAATGTCTCTTATACATTCTCTCGCCCTCAATCTGTGCTTCCCAATCTTGCCCTCCTGGGTCCATGGTGCCGTGCTTCATCAGCAGCAGGTTGATCACCTCCTAGAGAAAGTATATTGTTCTGTTTGTTCTGGGCCCTCTTAAGTAGATGTGTGAAGAGGCACGCCAGGTGTCTTGCAGAAGATTCTCTCAGTGCTTCCCACACTAGATTTAGCTGGGGTGCTATGCGCATAGTCAGTGTTGGGGTGCAATGTTGGAGCGATTTTGGGGAGGGAGGGCTGAAGTGCAACAAAACGTCTGGTTCTGTCTTCCCCCTCCTCCCCCTTCTGTTCTTCTTTGTCTCTTCTTTCTTGTTGGCAGAAAGCAACGGGGCTGGGCGCGGGTCTGTGCAGGCAGCGGTCGAGGGAGCGGCGGGCGCTGATGGAAACGACGCGGGCGATGCAGGAGCACTTCAACGGCGCCTCTTGGGACCGCAAACTCGGCCTCACGCTCGCGCCCCCCGTCTACGACCACGTCGTCCCGGGCGCCCCCGTCCCCGTCAAGCGCAAAAGGAAAAAATACTCCGCCTAGATCTCCGCCGCAGCCGCAGCTGTGAATGTGCATTGCCATGGCGGTGAAGTTTGACACCCCTGGAGGGGGTCCGGAGGGGTCCCGGAGAATTTGGGTTGCAGGCTCGGGGACCGGGGCCACATTCTAGGGATGCCCTGGCATTTTCAAACCTGCTGTCGATCCATGATGGCGGTGAGAAGTCGCTTGGTAGGGACAGGGGAGAGAGGGAAGCTTGGCGGGAGATTAATAGAGAAGAGGTAATGCAAGACATGAAAGCATAGCGAGTGTAGCAGAAGGGCCTGCCTCCGAGGAGGGGTTTGTGGCAGACTGGGTTGTACGGTACAACTTGTACCAGTGTGGATGTGACCTGTCATGGAAAGCAGAAAAATAGAAAGGGAGGTCACCTTTGTATCATATGTTTTCAATTCAGCATGCTGACCACATGGACAGATGTGGGTTGGGTGAGATCTCTAAGAGATTTACTCAATGATCAGGTGCAACAGTGTACATATAAGCATGTCTTCGATTGACAGTCGTGCCAGACGCTGGTGCACTTGCTACTAAGAACAAGATTGAGTTGTGTCAGCTACACAGAAAGCGGGCTGCAGAATAATCCAATCCTGCAAGAGAGTACATTGACATGTTAGTACAGTGACTTGCGTGCTGTAGTGTATACATGTACGTAACTGATGTAGCCTTCTGCTAAGCATTGTCACGAGAACAAGGGACCTCATTGACCGATTACAAATATGGTCAGGCATACAGCTCTGTCACAGAAATACAATGCCTGTAAAGCAGGCCAAGTAAGCGCTTTAGCCAGCTGACTGCAAAAATCCAGGCCAGCCCATTTGCTAGTTCAAGTACAGGACGTTGGACACTCTTTCCTTGGAGTTGCGCAAAATGCATCTACAAAATTCACTTGCTCAGTGGCACTCTCTAGCGAAGAAGCAAAAACTTTGCGCCACTCATGTTTCTTCACGTGGTCACTGATCATTCATGTGCATAGATGCATGCAGCATGCCCAAATCCTCCTCAGGAGTGGGCGCCCGCATACTCTTGCAATGCAACATGGCATGCAGCAGACCCTCCAAAATATACAATCCATAATTTCATGGGCACATCTCAATCTGCGCTAAGAGTGCATTTGCTTGTCGCCCAATAATATATGTTGGAACAAGGCACCCACAATACAAGAGTACAAGAGATCCCGTGCTACACTGCCTTATGTTTATATTCTTTCAGCTCTCCACTTGCGCTCCGTCGCAGCCAGGCAGCCAGCGGCGTGTCAGCATAGATCTCCTCAGCCTGCAACACCCGGGCCCCTTATTCTCAGCTCTTCTCGGCCCATCACCGATCATTTGCTGCTCGCAACAGCATCAAGGAGACTGCTTGAGCCGACAGCCCTGTAAGTTCTCTGCACACATCTCTGCAGCCACTAAGACAACAATCACATCACACAGCTACAACCCCATGCAGGAGCGCCCATGGCATGGGGGAAAACTATCTCACATGCCCCCGGCTGTAATGAAGCAAGGGCACGAAAGACACATGGAATAGGAGAGGGCAGGGGAGTGGCACAATCACCAAGCCTCTGCACCTTTTATGTCCTCCTTCCAACGAAGCAATATGTCTTTCTGGCTGTCCTCAATCTTCTGCCATTGCATTACCTCAAGGACACGACCTGTGCAGTGCTGAAGTGAGTACTTTTGCCATGTAAATTCCCTTGAGAACCTGACGTCGGCGGTGCTAATATTATCTCATGTGCGTTTCCTGGGAAGCCCCACCTCGGCAATGTTGATGAACTGGTCGAGTGTCAGGCGGCCATGGATGTCCATGGCCTCCAGCACTTTGGAGACCACGTCTCCCGGCAGCTCGCGCTTGGCCGCGCGCATCGCCGCCCGAAACTCCTCAACATCCAGCATGCCATTCAGATCGCTGTCCATCGCATAGAATAGATCCACCAGTTGCTTCCGCGCCGCCTCCTCCACGCTTGTCTCAGCCTCCGGCCCTGCGCAGAAACGGCCCCTGATAAATAGTTATTGACATGGTCGTACCTCTAGCTCCTCTTGTTGTTCATGTGCTTGTGAATGTGGTGAACAACAATGTTCGGTTCGCGCACTCCTCTGTCTTGCCAACTTGCCCAGGGTGGGGTATGCCCTAAGACAGCTCTTGCAGGAGAGCATAATCTGTTTCTTGTCTTGTATCGGGCCTAGTCCTGCCGCGCATGTTCCCTCACTTTTGTTGAGCTAAAATGCTGAACAAGCTTCACAGGGCAGCAGCTCTGTGCAGAGCATGGGAGATCTAACTCAACTGTGGACAAGCCACATGCAAAAGTACGGCAAAGGCAAAAAACAAGGGCGAGTGCGGCTCACGTGGGGTGTCCTGTCGCTCCTTGGCATGGCGGTCGGCGCTCTCCAGGACGAGCAGCGTCTGCACAAACATGTGGGTGGGCGCCTGGCCAACAAACTGGCGCACAAAGTCCTCCAGGCGCTCCGCCGCTGTGCAGGCCCCGGCCTCGGCCGAGCGGCCGCCCTCCGGCAGCACGCAGCCCTCCTGTGCCTCCGCCACGCGCTCCTCAAAGTAGCGCACCGCGCGCCAGCACCGCTCCGCGCTCTCGTCCCCTGGCAGGGCGCTGCAGTAATCTGTGCGCACGGCCCCGCCACATCAGCTTGGGACATTACTACCACTTGTCTAACTCTGCGCACATGTGCATTTGGACACCTCCAGACCGTCTGTAACCGCGCAAGCTGCACCATGCATGCACTCCTAAACATGCATGCTGCACCAGGCAATGCATGCGACTCTTTGTTGATAAGGATACAAGTGTAGGTGTGCAAATGTGCAGCGCTCACCAATCAGGGCATGGTCAGCCTTCTCAAGGACCGTCTGCTGCGGCTCGTCGCTCTGCCTGAGGGAGTGGAAGGGGATGTGGATCTGCGCCTTCTGCTGCTCGGCCAGCTGCCTCAGGCGCTCAACATCGATCTCCTTGTTCTGCAGCATGGGTGAGGTGTCGTTTGTGACAGTACATCGTGCACGTTCAGCTTCAGTCTCACGTAACAAATTACAAGAACGACAGATGGTAGTCTTAAGATGCCGGTGCAAGCTCTTATGCTAGCGATAGGATTGCAAGTTGTGTAATCCTGCACAGTCAGCACAGGACACCACCAAGGTCCTCAATATCAGCTGGACTAGAAGAAATGGCCACTCACAAAAGTCAAAACAATTTCGAAAGTGCGGAATCCCCACATGTCAACTAGGAACGGCAAAATTTACCACGATAGCTGTTGTCCATTTCTGCTACTAGCACGAAGCGCACCTTCTTACTCTTCATTCGCCGCTTTGTGCGCGTCTCGCTGGTTGCTTGAATACTACATTTCGCTGCTGAGGAAGTGCATCTCGTGCACGGAATTGCTTTGAAAGCCTCCTGCGGTATTAACACACGCATTACAACTATCCGCAGTGTGACAAAGGAAGCGAGAGGTCGCCTTTTGAGTGCAGACTCGATAAGCACGATCTTAAGTAATGCTTTCTTCACACGATCCGCCTTCAGCTTGTATTTTGGACAGTGTTCCAATGACTTTCCTGTCGATCATCACGCATGCAAAGGGCAGGGGATGATCCCATGCGATCCAAGAAGCCAAAACTTTCCAGTCCACATTCATGCGTGTGCCTCACCTCACCTTTTACGGTGAAAAGATTGTCTTGGAACCACACAAAGCCTGTTGTATTGCGCAACGTTGTGGGCTCTTGCCTTTTTAAATTTGCACTAACAGCATGACATCATGACATCATGAAGAAGTACTCTTACGTCGCACATGATCGTAGCAATGCTTGTGACCAGAAAAGCAATATTTCAAATCCATCTGCTTGACCCTTCAAGGATCAGCTTCTTTGCGGTCGCCTACAGAACGCTGTAGTCCTGATGGAGAATTTCACTACCTTGCAAGTCCACGAAAGACCGGTTGTCGTCATGGACAATGGGTCAGGCTACACCAAGATGGGATTTCATGGAAATGCTTTGGTAAGCCCATTCCAACAGACAGCCGTTTGTCCGATGAAGTCAGCAACCATGTATGCAACAAGATGTGTGCAGATATTTGCCCTCATACCACGGTGCAATTTTTCCTGCAGCCAAATTTCGTCATACCCACGGCCATCAGCTTTGGTGGCTCAGAGAGGAGGGCAGCAGGCCCAGTATCCTGCTCAGATGACAGCCAGGTCTACATTGGTGATGAAGCCTTGTCACAACACGATCACAGCGTCCACTATCCCATTCGCCATGGTGTGGTATGTGGCATCCACCTACCTTTTGGCACATGGTTTGCGAGTAGTGCGGTTGCTCCAGGGACAAAGACCTGTGAGCCCGAATGCAGGTGAAATGCTGGGATCACATGGAGCGTTTCTGGCAGCAGAGCATCCACAGGCAAGAAACCCATAAATAGCGCATGTGTCATCAACTCACATCTGACATGCCACGAGCAATATTAGCCCAGCGCAATCTTGATCTGCACAGGTACTTGACGTTGTGTTAATTGGTTTGCACAGGTACTTGAGGGTCAACAGTGAGGATCACAATTTCATCCTGACAGAGCCACCCATGAACCCTCCAGAGAATAGGGAGACGGCCGCAGAGATCATGTTTGAGACCTTCAACGTGCCCGGACTCTGCATCGGTGTCCAGGCTGTGCTCTCGCTGTATGCAGCATTCGCAGTCGCCGAGAAGGGAAGCAAGGTAGAGATGTACCTCACACCCATGTCTCATGCAGAGTCCCATCCCCATTCACAGCTTGTACCTACTCAGCCGTTTCTATTCTGAACGCCAGATATGGATGTTAGGCAGTTGTGACTTATTGGTGATTGTGCGCCATACAGACACATCGGTCCTCCCTGACCGGCTGTGTGATAGACATCGGGGACGGCTGCACGCACATCATACCAGTCTCAGACGGCTATGTGATTGCCTCTGCCATCAAATCTGTCCCCATTGCTGGCCGAGATGTGACCTCCTTCGTGCAGCAGCTGATGAGGTGAGCACTCTTGCCCTGTTGCACACAAGCAACATACACTCCCAAATGTTCTCGGTCATTGAGAAGGTGCATGCATGCACAATTGTCTTTGGTGCAGCCGTTCACAAAAAGAGTAATGCAGGGACCGGAAGGAGCCTGTGCCTGTTGACATGTCCATGGATGTTGCGCGGCGCATCAAGGAGACTCTCTGCTACACTGCGTCCGATGTTGTCAAGGTGTGCTGTTCTCACCTGCAGCTCTCTACTCCCCTTTTATTCATGCCCCTGTCCTGTTAGGTGGTGGCGAAAAAGGAAGAGATTTGAAAATTGCTTGCTGACTTTTGAAAAGGGGAAGACCCTTACAAAAAGGAAACATGCATGCAAAAACTGAGAATGACATTGCTGAAATGAATCAAGAAGGTGTGTGCACACGCTGAGCTGCTGAGACCTGTTGCAGGAGTTTGCAAAGCACGACGCGCATCCCGACAAGCACAGCAGGGTGTACACCTGCGCAGACCCTCGCACTGGCGCCGAGCATGCATGCAACGTCCGCCATGAGGCGTTCCTGGCCCCAGAAGTCTTCTTCCGCCCAGACTTCATCTCGGACGAGTACACCACCCCGCTCCCGCAGGTGCTCCAATACATAGATCTCTGCTAATTTTAATTGCTCTTGTCCATTGAAAATATCAATAGGAAACTCACACGCTGAGGTTTTGTGGCTAATTTTCCCTTGTGCATGCGCAGCTGGTGGACAGGGTGATCCAAAGCTGCCCAATCGACACGAGGAGAGCTCTGTACGGCAACATAGTGCTCAGCGTGAGTCCTTATCGAATATGAATTCGCCCTTTGCTGGGCAATTAAACAGTGCCACTTATGCAGCTGCCTGCAACAGTGGTTCAAGCCTTGAACTTCAAGCCTGCCTACAAGCTCGTAAGTGTACGCTGAAGCTTCTGTATTGGATCTAGCTTCTGTATTGGATCTCTATCAACTGTCTGCTCGATGCAATACTGGGGTCTGAAGCAGGTTCCTCAATTGCGCAACAGGGGGGCTCCACGATGTTCAAGGACTTTGGGCGGCGGCTGCAGCGGGACCTGCAGAAGGCAGTAGCTGCGCGGCAGCCGTTGGGCGGCCGGCCGGTGGATGTGCGCGTGGCCGGCGCGCAGCGATTTGGCGTCTGGTTTGGCGGCTCCGTGCTGGGCATGATGCCGCATTTTGGCAGCATGTGCTGCAGCCGCGCCGAGTACCAGGAGCGCGGCTTCCGCGCCAGCGTCGCGAACAACGACGGCGCCGCCTGAGTCTAGCGCAAGCCTGCCATTTTATATTTACGAATGCACTTATTCATGGACTTGAGGATTTCTGACTTTCTGACGTTGAGAGTGTTGCATGCAACGACGGAGCCGCCTGAGAGTCCTGCGGAACTGCCGCCTCTGTTCTCGCAAAGGGCTAGTCAAAAGGGCTCGGATGAGAGACCAGTTCGAAGAAGAACAAACAGGATCAATCAACTTTATCGTGTTGTTGGGAGACTTGCCACGCAGAAAAGTCCTGCCATAAGCAGCGCACATGAATTGAGGAGAATATTGGCTGGCTCTGGTCAATGAGTAAATGAGCTTGGGGAATTGGTGTCTCAATGAGATACTATAATTTTGAAGCACAATCAGCATCTGCGGTGCAAGCGCGCACACGTGGACTCCGTGTGGTCCCATATACATGTCAACATCATTACAAAAGATCTGGCTAAATGAGGCTTAAATCTACCCAGCCATGCATGACTATGACTATGACATGTGTTGCACACCCTCAGGCAAGATTCTGCTAGTGCAATTCCACCACTTCTGCACACCACACCAAAACAAAGAAAAGCATGCCACCAGCTATACGCAGAGTTTCACTCCACAACGCAGTTCCACCTCAGCAAGCCAAGCGCTGCAAGAAATGCTTACCGAGCATGAATACGCATCAGTTGCCACCAAAGACTACAATGACATGAAGAAGCATTCCAAATCAAGAAGGTCTCCCACATGGTGTATACAATTATACGTACATACACAATTATGTTATTCTCGAAGCCTATTCTACTAGAGCTCCCAATTGGCTGCAGGCCCAACAGCATTCATAACTTATCGAGAATCAAAGAAGCTCCTGCAGCAGCATGGTCTTGTTGCGACGCAAGCTAGGAGATCTGCTCGATTGCCCTGGGTTCAAGTCTTGGCATGAAAACGGCTAGTAATACAACAGAGATCAGATACAACCACCACTTCGCCGCATTTTGCTCCCAGATGAGCTGACAGCACAATACTTTCCAACCTGAGAACCTTCATCAAGCAATCCATGCATCCAAGATAAATAGAACCAAATAACATCAACTTCTACGCATTGCACATGAGCCTTCGCCAACAACATTGTCAAGCAAGTACCACTAGAACAAGAAAACCCAACAAGCATTCATGCAACAAGAACACGCCAGCCTCAAACCGAGGTATGGGGTCATAAGCAATGGCCACCTTTGACCCTCTAGACCATCAATCTCTCCAGAAACCCTCACTGTCTGCAGTGCTTCAGCCCCATTTGCACACCCCCCCAGGGTTCAACCGATCTGGAGTGAAAAGTGCGCCTTGCATGTTCTATATGGATCACTGCGGGATAGTGTGATACTCCGTATGTTATAGGACACCCAATATGCTCTTTTCAAGAAGACCCCAGCCCTGTTCAGATTCATGAGGCAGGAACCGCGCAGATCTCCTCAGCACACTCCTCGCCGGCTGTCTGCGGGGAAGAAGGGCTGCTCTGTGACTGGACAGTGGCTGGAGCGGCAGCCGGCTTGGGCTGCAGAGGCTTGCGGAAGGACAACACCTTGCTGCTGCTGGCCAGCAGCTTTGTGTCGCACTCCAGACCCACGTCCTTGAACAGCTTGCCTGAAAGCACCAAGCGCAACACCCCAATTCAAATACCACTGGAATCCCTGAGCAGCTGTGCCAGTATTGTCTCCCTCACAAAGTTGCAAGAGGGCAGAGGGGCGCTATACTGTAAAGGCTGAGAACCTGCTGACCTCACAAGAAAGACCTGCTACACGTGAATCTTGCAATCAGATAAGTCCCAGGATGACACTCCTTCAACATGGACTCCAAAAAGAGGTGGCTGTAATATCAGGGGACAACACCACAGCCTGCTTTTGATGAAGCGCAGCTTGAGGAAGTGCCTCCTCATCCCAAACAAGACCAAGCTTCAGCTGACGCCCAGACATGATCAGGTTTCAGCCGATGCTCACCGAAGTCCTCGGAGATGTAGGTGAGGTAGTAGGGCTCGTTGAAGTCCCCGAAGCGGCCCAGGTTGGGGTCCAGCTGCTCGCGGTCCCCCAGCTGGATGCTGTCGGTGAACACCAGCAGGCCCCCCGGCCGCAGCACGCGCGCCATCTCAGCCGCGGCCGCGCGCCGTACCTCCGGGGGCAGCTCGTGAAAGAGGTACACGCACGTCACCTGGGCAGCGATGAACAATCTCGAGTGGGATCATGTGACCAAATATTCTGCAGAGCGAGGAAGAGGTACCAGGAATTAGAAGTTCACATATCCCTGGCCAAATTTTTTGGCAGATAGCTTAATTAGTGTTTATGGCAGGCCCTCTCACATCATGGCATCACCTGCCATTCAAATTGGGGCCGATTATCGTGAACAAGAGCATAAAACACTGCATTTCCTGGGTATGGCTTGGAGGGACTAAAAGGCCCCGTGCAGCCGACTAAATATGACATCATTCTATTGATTGTGATTCCTTAAGTACGGTCTTGGCAGGGAGCGCACCACATCGTAGGAATTGTCGGGCTGGGAGATGGCCTCAGCGGGGGCTTGCAGGTAGGAGACGCCGGCGCCATCGGCTCCGCCGAGGGCCTGTCCCGGGGCGCGCATGTCGGCCCAGTAGCGCATGTTCTTGCGCGCCTCCTGGAGGTAGTAGGGCGACAGGTCCGCCAGCGTCACGTCCATGCGCGGGTAGTTGTCCTAGGCACACAGAGCAGAGCCAGGTCAATTGATGTTTCGAAAGGAGTCGAGCTTGACCCGGCCGCCAAATCTACCAATCTGTGAGTGCACTTACGGTAGCCACACCACACCGGGAACTCAGAAACGGGGCCAAGGGCGCCCAAACATGTGCTGCCCACGAACAATCCTAATGAGGAGCTGATGGCAAGCAGGATGTAGCATGCAAAGAAGTGCCACCTAAGGAACCTTCCAGACCGCATAGGATACCCAATAGCTTTCTACTAGCCTCCAAGGCTACCATTTGCTGCTTCGCATACAGGCAAATGCGAAGGTTGAGACAGTGTGTGTGCCTCCAAAGCCATCTGCTCCTCAATAAAAGCCCAGGCGGACCTTGAGGAAGGTGGCGAAACGGCCGGTGCCGGAGGCGACCTCAAGCAGGCGAGTGCCGGCGCCGTCGCGCGGACGGGCGGCCATGAATGCGCGCAGGGGCACCAGGCTCTGGCGCTGCATCGCGTCCTGGCGGCCCAGGAAGAGCGTCTCCGTCGACACCTCGTACACTCGCGCGCTGCGCTCCGACAGCCACCCGTCCGTCTGCGCGCACATGCCGCCACATGCTCATCACTTGAAACAGTGCTGGGCGACTCACAAACCCAGATCCCCTAGCCCCGCCCAGAATAGCAGGAGCCACAGCGCTGCAAGAGTGTGACAATCATGCAATCTAGATCTCCATTGGACCACCAAGTGCTGAGAACCAACTGATGCTTGTGATGATCAGCTGTTCCCACCCATTGCCCTCCCTAGATAGCAGATCTTAGCCAAGCAGTCATGGCAGGCCGTGTGGCTATACAGCATTCCTCCAAAACATGCGATTGTTGAGGGCATGACCTGCTGACAGACTGTCCAGCCATAAGAAAAATGCTAGGCGGTTGTGAAATGTCACCTGGTAGTGAAATGTGTTGAGGTAGTAGTCGGGATACATGGGAGACTTGAGCCAAACATCCTCTGGTTTGCCATGGTCCCTTCGCCCCAGCGCAGCAGACGCCTCCGCCACAAACTACACCCACGCCAGCCATGTTCAGGATCGCACATATTTCTGCAATCTGCGCGAATCTGATTGTGCAATCTGTGCGAATCAAACAGTATCATTCTGGAGTCTGACTGCAGGGCAGGGCCAGGACCTATGCACTCATCACCACTGATTGTTGATGCAATCAGCGCTGGATGAGGGTAGGACTGGTCAGAGGAATGCTGCAAAATGCTCGGCGTCCACCCCCGTTTCTTTGCTCATGAGGAGCCGTGAGAACATTGTTAATTGTCAACTTACAAAAGGGTTGGGAAGGAGAAGTGCACCTGTGCAGATCGGCGGGCAATCCAGAAGGGACTCCACTGGCGGTGGCCGCGCGTAGTCATGTCCCAAGGCAGCTTGTACACGCCCTCCTCAATGTTCTTGTAATCCTGCAGCCGCCAGAGCACATTTGTGATTTCATTGACTGAGTCAGATTGGTATGCCACAGTCCCTGTCCTCCTAATCCCGATCAACACTGACTATACCTCACTTTTACTTGGGGACCTGGCAGGACAGGTGGCTGTAATAATCTTCATCCGTTGGCGAACCAACTGCATTGCTTTTTTGAAGTAGCGCTTTTGCCAAGGAATATGGAGCTTTACCTGGTAGTACATAGCCAGAGCCTCTCCAATGGGTCCGGTCAGGCCAGCGCGGATCATGCTCTCCATGCGGATGCCCACCTCATTCGTCTCAGTGCCGGTCACGCTGCTGGCGGCCCGCGCTGCCAGCACGCCTGCGATGCCCTGAAGGGCAAAGAAGCTGGAGCGCGTGATGTGGTAGCCCCAGTATGCGGCTGCCTTGGAAGAAGAAAAGACCCCCATGCTGCTCGCTGCCTCTGTCAGCGTCTGCAAGATTGCCTGGAGCCTGCGCAAAGACATGAAATATGTCATATTTCAGCAAGTCCTTGATAATTAGACTGCAGATTTTCAACAATACTGTGTTCCTGAAGTGAAAATGTTCCAAAGTTTCAAGCAACTCGGTCCTCCTCTCACAAGTCCTTGACAAATTTTTCCACTTGCAAGTCCGTCGCATCTGCCAGTCCGTCACATCTGCCAAATGATCTCTTATGTAAGAGGGCTATGTCGGTGAAGCACCTGCTTGGGATGGGAGTGCTGGGGTCTGAGATGCTGGGCGGCACAGAGAAATCCTTCCAGAAGTCCACACTCCAGTGCTGCTTGAAGTTCAGCCTGTCCTGCAGCCCAGGTTTGCTCCGGCTGAATGTGTCATCCTGCTAGCAAACACCATCATAGTGTCAACATTGCAAATCCCCACAACCTGCTCCATCTCCACTCTGTTCATGCTTCCGCCTTGAACCTCCAGCTCTGTGCATATGTCATGCTCAAAGATGTGCACGCTTACCTCATACGCTCCAGTATCTGCTGCCTCCCACACAACAGGGTCTGCAACTCCACCTCCCAACACTGCTCTGCCGGAGTCCAGAGCAGCAGCGACGGGTGCTGCAGTCTGCATCACTGCGGCAGTCCTGACATGCATCGCTCTACCAGGCCTCCTCCCTGTGCTGACCGCATGGCTGAGCACCCTTGTCCTGTGGCATGGCAGCCGCAAGAAGCCGCCAGCGCCTCTCAGCAAAGCATGCGAGGCAGGCATCCTCCCCTCTACAGAGGCAAAGCATATGAGTCAGCTATGGCCTAAGCGCGACTACAGCAGGAAACTACCTGGCATCCGATACGGATCCCCTTAGGCGGTTGAGGCCGAACAGAGCTCGACCGCACAAGACGCTACAAGGCAGTAATGTGGCTGATCACATACATCACAGTAGCTTCTTGGACAAGCCCTGTGCAAATTAAAGGTCCATGAGCTCGGTGACAGTCGTGCAATAAGCTGCAAGAATGGCTTGGAGATGCTACAATGTCTAGAACGGGCGTAGCCAACAAAGGAAAGAAAATGTCCAAGGCATGCCAGAAGGCTGACAGATGCGGTAAGTTGACCTCGGACGTGACGTGATGCCGACACCCTGGACTTATTTCTAGAAACTTATAAGTACGACAATAGTGGTCTACAGCTCAGACAGTAAGTACTCCGAATTCCCCACTAGGCACTCCACATTTCGTTGTGAGCTCGGCGACCTCAGCTAATCATAAGACTACTGGAAAAGACACAACCCAAATCCAATGAGATAGACAAACTTGCGCCGCTCATTGCCCCGGCAGATCAATCCCAAAAATAAAGAAAGGACACATAATGCTAAGACGTACCAGACGTCTGCGCGTCCTTAGATCAAGTTCGCCTCTTTGTGGGACCGGATTCCTCGCGATCTTTGTCTCAAAGCGTTGTTTATTGACGTGGGACCCTCTTAGCGTGGGCTTTTGTCACGTCCTCTACTCCTCGGTCTGGGACGCAGACGTGGAGACGTGCTTTGGCTGCTCTGCCAGGAAGCCGACTGAGAAGCTGATCTCTGGAGCGCAGATGCGTGCATGTTTCCATGAAGTCTACAATTGCTACTTGAAGCACTTTATTGGTGCCAGAGGCCATCAGTATTACTCCTAGAGAACCAAATGAGAGCTTAATTTGCCACATTGTACTGTATGCATATGCATGCATGCACATGCACATGGCCATATATTATTATTATTATTATTATTATTATTATTATTATTATTATTATTATTATTATTATTATTATTATTATTACATATATATGGCCATGCCACTGGCATCATGATGACACTGCTTATAAGCTTGCAAGGGAAGCTGCAAGTTGCAGATTGAACCCTCGTGGCATTCAGATGCCCGGCTTGGGCCCTCAATGATCAGTGATCTTGCCATTCGTTTGTGATTCGAACACTTCCAATATTGGTTCAACTTGCCACAACTCCCAGGATGGCCACACTGCACCTTGTTTATGCAACAGCAACCTCAAAGTCGGCCACGGCGCTAACACTCGGCTCAGCAACATGCACAGTTGGCTGCTCCATTGCCTCAGTGGCCCCCTCTGCATTCGCATCCATGTCTGTTGCTTCGTGCTCAGCATTTGCTTGCCCTTCATCTCCCCCCTCATCTTCATCTTCCTCTTCTTCTTCTTCTTCTTCCTCTTCGCTGTCTTCCTCCTCTTCTGGTGTGCTCTCTGCCTCACTGCCACCCGCATTTGGTGCCGCCACATCAGCTGTAGCAGGTTTGTCACCAAGCCCAAGCGCCTCAGTGTCATCATCGGACTCTGTGTGCAGCAGCTCTGCAGGAAGCTCTACACAATCCATTCAGACACAGTCAGGATCGAGACAAGTGTTTCACAGTCAAAACGGCAGACATTTTTGAGATCATCTCATTGCAATCCTCAGATGCAATCATCAGCGGGCAGCTGTGCGTGCCAACCTTTGCGCATGCGCCGTGGCATGGATCAGGGAAAAGCACACCATGGGTCATACTCCATATCATTGAGGATCTCAGTCAAAATCGCAGAAGTCAGAACGTTCTTGATTCGCTTGTGATGTCCTCTGCAACAATGAAACCCATTGTGGGGGTCACGATACCTGGGAGGACGGTGCTTGGGATGGCGGGCTCGGGAGGGAAGATGAGAGGTGCGCGGCCGAAGTCGAGCAGGAAGTTATTGGTGACCAGGAAGCGCAGGCACTGCAGCAGCCGGCTGTGCTCCGCACGGATGTCTGGCGCGAGCAGCTTCTGCAGCAGCGTCGGCTGCCGCTGCTGCACGGGAGACTGCATCCTGCCCCCTGCAGCCATGCCCGCCAGCTGTCAACGCCCACTTTAAAGCTCCTCTGTGTTCCTCAGATCATTAGTACTTAGATGACATCCAGATGGTCTAGATGATCAACTCTACGCTGCCACTCTCCCACAGAGCAATTAAGAGAAAGAAGTAGGGTTGCAGACATCAAGGCAGAGCGAGTGCCAGGAATAAGTGGAACGGCCGCTGTGCAAGTGAAAACCTATGCAACAACATTGCAATGATCCCCCGGCCCAGGAGCACTGAAAGGCCACATTGCATACGTGCATACAAGTGTGGTTGGCTCCTTATAATCCCCTTACACAGGGAGCACTGCTCTCTGAGGAGGGCATTTGTCAGTGGCATGCTGCTGGCTATTGTACCTGGTGGATGTCTGCCTCTCTGGCTGTGCCTCCCCCTGCCGCGCCCCCTGCCCTGCTCAAAGTGGCCGTTGGCGCGTGCCTTTGGCGCTGGGCGCTCTGCCGGTGCCGGTGCACCCCCCTGCTTCGCCTCTGCGGCTTCACCCTCGCTGTCGCTCCCATACGCCATCAACCCCTGGCCATCAGGAAAGAATAATGCCATTTGGTATTTGCTAGAGGGAGCTGTGAATGTTGCGCCTAGCCCTTCAAAGATCAAGCTGGGAGTGTATTGATTGGTGCGGAGAGGAGGGCACCTCCAGGCCCTCTGTATGAGGTGGATCTTCCGCGCCCTCGACCTTTGCCCGCTTCTGTGAGGGCAGCGCTCCGCTCGCAGGTGGCGGCTGTCCATCCTCTGCCCACCTCTTCCTGCCCCCATCGAAGCTGCTCCGGCCTCTGCCGCGCCCCCCTCTCCCCGGACCTGCATCCATCACGCCACCCGTCTGATACAAAAATAAAAAGGCCGACGGCGATGAACCATAATGGTATTCTTTTTTTCCAGCATAATATATTCCCCTGTTTCACAGCCTTGGCTTGCAGGGCCAACAGAGAACACTGCCACTGCCTGCACCGACTCAATATAGGTGCTCGTCAGCAAGTGGGCGCACCAGGCTCCCGACCGAAGCGGCCGCGGCGGCCGCGGCCGCCCCGGAAGCCGCCGCCGGCCGCTCCGCCGGGATCGAGGCCGGCCTCGGCGAGCAGGTCGGCGGTGCCGGCCTCGCGTAGCAGCCCCAGGTCGCGCTGGCGGGCAATCACCTCGCGCAGGCGCATCCGCGAGGCCTCACGCACCGGGTCGAGCTCCCCGCGTGCCTGCCGCTCGGCCGCTTCCGCGCGCCGCGCCGCCACATTTTCGTCCGATGGAAAGTTTCTGCGCCGCTCCTCCCTCCACCTACATGGCTCTGAACGTCACCTCCCATCTTGTACTTTACCGCATTTGCTGGAAGCGCCTCAGTTGCGTCAGATCCTAAGCGGCAAAGGAGTGGAAATGGAGCTTGCCTGGCGCCGTCAAGCACCTCCTGCTCGTTCAGCGGCCGCCACGGCCTGACAGGGGTGTCTGGCACCTCCTTCTGCTTCTTCGCCTTAGGCTGCCTGGGTTGCTGCTGCAGTTGTTGCATTCCACGACCAGGCATGCCCTCCCTGCCCCCATTGCGACCCTGCCCAACATTCACATGCCCTCTTAATCCACAAGAAGGAGCAGCAATGACACCCCTGGATACCTGCATTCCCCCATATTCCTGGGATCCTAGGTACCCAGCTAAGCAGATTGTGGCATACCTGGGACGAGCTGCCTCTGCCGCCAAATCCTCTGCCGGGGCCTGAAGGTGGGCTGCCATTTTGTGTAGGAAAGCCGCGCCCTCCGGGGATGCGCCCCCCCTGGCGACCACCGCTCCTGCCTGATGGTGGGCCCCCACGCGGCGGTGGCCTCGGGCCCCCCGGTCCAGGACCCATTGGCCTGTGCAAAGAGCAGGCTCTGTCAGCTGGAAATTGGCCACCTACTGAATCACAATCATGAGTTCTACTTGCCCTCAAAGCGATGATGAGCATGCAAACGGGCCTCCAAAAACGCACCAGGGTGGTCCTGCCTGGCTGGGATGGTTTATCCATGGCGGCTGCTGAAAGTCATAGGCCGGCTGCATGTGCACAGCCGGGGGACCTGCAAAAGGCATCCCTGGCGGCCCATACGGCGGAGGGTAGGCTTGCGCTGGAAAGTCTGGGGCCCCTCCATTCCATCCCTGCATATGTCATGGGGTACTTGTAGCTCGAAAAATACTTGTTGATTGAGGATCACATTCAGTCCCTTTCTCAGAATTCAAAATTTGCTCTGCGAAGCACACAGGTGAAAGCATAGAAACACAGGAGCAATCATCCATGAGGATAAGCTAGATTTCTCAAGCGCCCTAGCATATGTTCAGAGTATCTAAATAACTTGAATACTGCAAGCCGAACTGTGTTGTGCCAGAGAACAGTCGAGTTTGGTACCTGTTGTATTCCGGGATGATAGGGAGGTCTCGCCCCAAACGATTGGCGGCCCCCTCTATACATTGTTCACGAGGTCTAGATACTGAATATTGAAAGAGGCATTGCAGAACTAGCCTCTCCGCAAAGTATTGGCTGTGATTCCTGAGGAAATCTGCACGTGCCGTGTTTGACTTTTTGACTGATGTCACTATCAATCCGCACTTTTCAAAGCCTCATTCCGCCTCCTGAAACACGTTTTGAAAGGTCTTGTGATCTGATTTCACTCAGAAGAATACAAACTCGACCTCTAGCAACAATATAGGCACTCAGATCGCGTGAGAAGAAGGGATGATCTGAAAGGCTATCACAGTAATATGAACGTCCAAGCACATCGTAAAGGCCATTGTTGCATCGCAGATGCCGTAAATATCGCAACACGGCATCAATTGGGCCCGTCCTCACGGCGAGTCTTGAGATATAGTACTATAAAGCAGCGGTGGCCAGCAACAGGACGAGGACTTGATGTGGGGCAAGCTTTCAGAAGATGTCGCTTGCATCACAGAAGCAAACCATTACGTACGCTGCTGGATTCCTAGTGTACTTACAATAACACTGCTCTCCACAGGATTCGCTTGTTGCACTGCCGATTAGAAGACGGTGCCGGGCATAAGTAGGAAGTTCCATCTGTGCTGCAGGTGTCAGTGCAAGAGCCACAAGGGGAGGAGGCAGCTCGCAGACGTCCAAGACTGCGCAGACGCTGCTGACTCTGGAGAATGTGGGGCGCACACATGACGGGCAGACACAGCTGTTTGCAGATGTCACCCTCACCATCAAGAAGGGGCAAAGACTGGCGGTGGTGGGACCCAACGGCTGTGGAAAGACCTCGCTTCTTCGCGTCCTTGCAGGTGAGCAAAACGCCTGGCTTCTAGCCAGCTAAATTGCTGCCAGCAATAATGACACGGCCCAAGAGGTTGTGAAGGTGCCGTAGTGTGTAGGGGCTGAGGTAGTACTGAATTACTACTGAAATTTCACAATTTTACTGGATTGAGGCTTCCCTGCGCTGGTGTGATCAGGGGTGGATGAGCCGGACTCCGGGGTGGTGAGGAATCGGGGCATCAAGATCGGCTACCTACCACAGATGCCGCAGCTGGAAGAGGGCCTTTCAGCCATCGATGCCGTGATGGCCTCTGAATCTCTCCTTGCGCGTTGCCTCCGCACATACGACCAGGCGATGACCAGCGGCAACAAGAAGGCATGCATGCAGCCTCCCTGCTCTTGGCCATCGTGCCTCATCCCCCAGTCAATCATCTTCCCATTTGGGGCCTTGTACACATAACCATTCTAGCTACTTAATTGCTAGATTGGAAATGGAGTTGAGCCAGAACAGACTACATACATGAAAGTGCAGTATACTGGAAGCAGTCATCTGTATGACGCTGAGAGAGGAAAGATATTGAGGACGCGCTCCTGTGAGGATATCATTGCATTTAATCGGCTAGGGACGATGATTGTCGAGCCGTGTGCCGTTCTCGACACTCGTCTCCTGACATCCAGTAGCCAGAGTGGGCTCCTGAAGGCTTCTGAGAGGGGCAGCGCTGTGTGGGGCAGGAGATCGACAGCGCCATAGCCCAGATGGATGCGCTGGGGGGCTGGGAAGCGAGGGAGAGGGCGCTGCAGATGCTGGAGCAGGTGGGCGTGGCCGACAGCGCGCAGAGCGTGGGCAGCATGAGCGGCGGGCAGCAGCGACGCGTGGCGCTGGCGGCCGCTCTGCTAGCGCAGCCGGACCTGCTTATCGCGGACGAGCCCACCAACGCCATGGACTACAAGGCATACCTGCCTCTATATAAATCTCTGGCAGCTTTCTAGACCTGATCACTGCATTGCCCCCCCAAAAACAACTCCATCGCTCCAAAACAAGAGCCTCTGATTACGCTTGGCAGGGAAAGCAAAGCAGAGGGAGTGTGAACCAGCGCATGACCATGCTGGATCATTAGGTTGAAATTTAAAGGTCGGTGGCTCTAATTTACATCCCACTAATACCTATGCTGATGTGAAAACGGTACAGATCGAAGTTATTTTGCACACCAATGCCAAGCAGAGGGCTTCGGACAGTCACATAGCACAGAAACTTGGCAGGTCAGGCATCCACAGTTCAGCTGCGCAGTCCCATGCAATTGTGCTTGGTTCGCGCGGAGCTACCCTAGTCCTTGTGAAGGGGGTTTTAAATGCCAGAGAATCCAGTCTATGCCGGACAAGAACATGAAGAGCGGGTGAGCTTGGTGTGGGCAGGCCATTAAATGGATGGAGGAGAGCTTCTGCGCGCGTGGGATGTCACTGGTGGTGGTGACTCACGACCGTGCATTCATGGAGAGTGTGTGCACGTCCGTGCTGGAGATGGAGGCGGGCGAGGTCCACCTGCACTCCTTCGGCGGTTCCGGCAGCTACGCGCGCTTCCGCGAGGTGGCCACCCGATTGCTTGACATGCGCTCATACTTGTCTATTAAGCACAATCCGACACGCCTGCATAGCAGTTGTAATGTGTTTGAAGACCTGTACCAGGGGAAACTGGGCAACCCTGTGTCGTCTTGAGAGATGAAGGATGTCTCCGACTGCTTACAGCAGCCATGCGAGGTGTGTCATAAGAGATTAGGAAGGATGCTTGTCAACAATAGCTACCTCAAGAGTAATCACCAATAGCACGGGGTATGAAAGACTACAGAGGGTCGCTAGAACCCCTGACAGTGGGCGTGAGGGAGTTTAATTCAATGGGACTGTCATGTGCCAACAGCTTCGGGAGGAGCGGCGGGCGGCCAAGGCGGCGGCGGCGGCGAGCGCGAAGAACGTGCTGCGCAAGGAGACGGAGTGGATGCGTCGGCAGCCCAAGGCGCGCTCGGTCAAGGCGGCTGCGCGCGTGCGCCAGTTCTATGAGCTCACGGCGGCCGCGCGCGATGTGCCACAGGCCGAGACGCACGTTGCATTCGATGGCGGCGTCGGCATGCGCCGGCAGGTGCGCACATGTGCACGACGGCCTCTGCTTCTGCTGCTCACCTTTGCAGCTTTGGTGTATGTCTGGACATCTTGTTGCTGTCTTAATGTATTGCATGGCATTCTGAACGGGCTTCTTGAGGATGGCAAGGAAGGGGCTCGTCAGCAGGTTGTCCAGAGCTGTTTTGCTCTTTCAGTTTTCTGAAAGACCAGTGATGGACGGCTGCTCTGCTGTCACCTGCTATCAGGATGAAAATGATGTGCCACACGTGATCAGGAGGAAGCCTTGTCAGGAAGAGTCCAGCAATGCTGTGTGCGCTTGGCTGGCCGCAGGGGCGGAAGGTCTTGGAACTGAAGGGAGCATCCTGCCATGTGGGGGAGAAGGAGATCATCAGGTTGGCTTCCTCTGTCCCTTTAGATATCCACAAGCCAAGCGCGCACGTAATTGCCCAATCTTTCATGGATGATGGGGACCTCACAAGTGGTGTGGTGGCTGGCAGGGATTTCTGGTACGAGTTCTTCCCGGGGGAGAGGCTGGGGGTTGTCGGCGCGAATGGAGCCGGCAAGAGCAGCCTGCTGCGCATGGTTGCCGGCCAGCTGTCGCTCAGCGCAGGTAATGTTACTAACACGTTACTAATCACCAACCAATGTGTTATGTCATCTGCATGGAGACACTTACAAGCTACAGCTTCAATGTCCATAAACTTGACATCATCATATGTCTGAAGAAGAGTTTGATACATCCTAGCAGGTGAGAGAGACATGGGGGAGACTACGCAGCTGGGCTTCTTCACTCAAGAGCCGCTGGACATCCCTGAGACCATGACCATGAACGCCTACCTCAGGTGTGCAAGTCATTTTTCAAAATAATGCTGTTTCTTGCAAACAGAGCGCAGTGTGCTGCGCCCTTCTTTGCATACCAAGAAATGCAGCTCTCTGCCCCACAACACACGAGGCGCTGCCACATCCCGTGTGTGCAGGGACTAGTGAGGGTTCTTACTGGCAGCAACGCCAGTTTTGTGCCTACTGCCAAGAGTGGAGACAGGCGGGTTTGCATAGAAGCCTGGGTGGATCAAGGATAGGCTGGGAAATATCGCATGTTGTGGTGCTGTGCAGAGACATCGGCAGCCGGCAAGCGTCCCTGACAGGCAGTACAGAGGAGGACATTTCGGATACGCCGGTGCATGTTCTGGAGCGAGTTGGGTTCCCACGCTCCAGGCACTACACGCAGGTGAGCAAAGAAATTGGTCCCAAGATCAAAAGTGTTCCTGTTCACATATGCGGTATGTCATGTATTCCGGTCATGCCAGCCCAGTAGCTCTCTAAAGTCATAAGGCACACGCAGTCTCAGCAAGATGCCTTTGCTACAAAGCTGAGACTGGACACCTGAAGGCTTCCGTAGCTTCAGCAGGCTGCCTTTGATGTACAGCTGAGGTTGGGTCTGTATTTTTTGTGCCGCAGGTAAAGTACTTGAGTGGAGGTGAGAAGAGGAGGCTGCAGCTGGCAGCTGTGCTCATGGCCAAACCAAACCTGCTCATCCTTGACGAGGTGTGCTGCCCTGCTTGTCTGCTCACTCCGTTCTGAAAGTGCACGGCAAAACGTCCAAAGACACAAATGGGTCTTTTAGTGTCTTGCCAAGCAATCTGCCAAGCGTGTGCCCAAGCAATGTTAAAGTCCAGACTCCAACACTGGAGGTTTCCACCTCTACAGTATGTGGTATTACTGTACTGGAATATCAGTTTGGCCAGCTTTTAAAAGCTGGCCCATCATCTCTACGGGTGAGATAATGGACCCGCAGTGGTTGGCAATGGATTAGTCACATACAGCAAGCTGAAAGGAGCGAGCCTCTGTGTGGCAGCCGACAAATGACTTGGACCTGGCAACGGTGGAGAGTTTGGAGGGCTTTCTGGCGAGCTATGGCGGCTGCCTGCTGGTGGCATCCCACGACCGGGCCTTTATGGAGGGCCTGGACCGCATGTTTGTGCTGCGTGGCGACGGCGTCGTGCGCCTCTTTGAGGGCTCCTACTCGGAGGTGCGTCCACATCTAACATGACAGGGGACGCGACAGGACGCCACCAGGAATTTTTCTTGTGCTTATTTGTGTATGCAAAGCTCACAATTGTTCACCGCTTGCATGCTGTTCCTGCCAATTTGGTGTTGAGGAAGGCGAGGTATGTTTCCAGACTAGCTGCGGGTAAAGGCTGCCACATGACCTAACCCTTGTTGGTGCAAAGACCCAACCAACCGTGGACAGGGTGCTCAGTAATCATATTGCCAGCCAAGGCCGATAATTTGTAGGAGGGCGCATGTATTACTGTCGCACTGCTGGCATTTGCCAGAGGATTTGCTTATGACTTTGCGTAAGGTGTTCTCTCACCACAGCTGTGTGCAATTTGGGATGCAGCTGCCTGCATGTCTCAAATCTGCCACCTATCCTGCTAATGGTGCAATGAGTGCATGCTACAGCAGTACAGTGTTACCAGTAGTCAACGGCGATGAGCGCCCAACATCTGCTTTGAGAGGTCAGGATTGAAGAGGCAATGGCCATGAGGAGAGCTGTTGGGGCATTTTGTGGTGAGAGGATCGTTCTGGCTAATCCATAGGCACATGAAGCCAAGGTGCTGCTTAATTGATACTGAGACGGAGCGCTGACATGCTGTGCAGTATCTGGACATAGTGCAAGCTGAGGAGGAAGAGCGCGCCGCAGCTAAAGCAGCCGCCCGAGCACAGCAGGCTGCCAGCAGCTCAGCATCCAGCAGCGGCGCTGGGCAGATAGGGGCAAAAGATGCAGCTTCTGGCATTGCCAGCAAGCCCCAGAAAAGGCTGCAGCTGGGATACAGGTGCGAGACTGACTCTTTTAGGTCTACTCAGCGAAGCTCTCATTATGCAGTCTGCCCTGCTCCTGTGAGAGGGCAAATCTGCTGGTTTCAGCTTTCGATTGCAATCCAAGGATCCGATGCGAACCGAAATGCTAGGTTTCTGTAAATGTAAATGAACCTTGTGTTGCCACAGGGAGAAGCTGGAGTACGAATCGTTGGAAGTGCAGATCGAGGACCTGAGCGAGCTGAAGCAACAACTAGAGAGGGAGCTCGATGGTGCAGGCGGGGACTATGAACTGGTGCAACAGCTCAGCGAAAAGCTTGCGCGAACCGAAGGCGAGCTGGATCGCAAAAGCGATAGGTGGATGGAGCTTGCAGAGATTGCTGAGCTTGCCAACGCCTAGTTAGCCATTTGCCCAAAATTCGTATCTTCGTGACCAAGTTCCTGTCGGTCAGCAAGCACGTCAGAGCTGAAAGACGCTTCGGTCATTCTGCCGTCACAGCTTTCAATGCGATAGAGACCACGTAAGAGATCGATGCAAACACACTGCTTGGTGGGAATCAGGATGGTGCCTTACGGACGGGCGCGTTTCGCGCCCGGCCAAGCTTTTCAGAAGTTCCAATCGAGAAGCTGCCGTGGAAGCCGGTGTCCCTAGGTCCACACTCGTCTCTGCTCTCCCCGTGTGCCATCACCTAACATCAAGTAGGCCTTGCGCAAGCTTCCTTCAAGCTTATATCTTTACATTCCGTCGTCATGGACGCAAGAATCGGGCACAGTGGGGAGCTGTTACTAAAACGTGACTAATTTGGCTTAAGCCAACAAAGTCGCAGCCCGACACAGCGAGGCTCAACGTGTACGACAGCTCCTATATCGAGGGAGAACAAAAACCGCATCACGGAGGAGCTGTAGATCGGCTATTTGATAAGAGAAAGCCAGGCGGGGTGTCGACTGCAAAGTGGGAAGGCATGACGGGAGAATACTTGCGGTGCGTTGCAGCAGGGCACCTGTTACCCTCTGTGTTGCCGCCCAGGTTGCGGACACAGTGTGCGGGATGATCGTCGCATGGTTTCGTTTCACCGCCATAGTTGCATATTGCTGGACTCGGCCTTGAACGGATGGATGGATTGCGGTCATAGAAAGCAAAACCGTGCAGCTTCCCATCATTTACGGGTCCAAACTGCAAGGGTGTGATTGCATGGAGAGGTCTGGGCTGTTCCAAGCCTTTGAGTGACCCTGGAGATTCCCTTTGCACGTTGGAAACTCTCGGTGGCCACCCAAGCCCTGGCTGCTGAGATGGCCCAAGTTTTGCCTATTAGGTCTAGGCTCGGTTTTGCTCCGTTGACAGCACCGGCCGACCAGTGATTCAGGCAGCGAACAAGATCGAAATGGAGTGCAGGTGTTTGTGCCGTATTTTTTTACCATTCCAGTGCCATCGTTTCACGGCCGGAACATATAGGGAATTGGGAATAGTGATCATTTGAGCCTGTACACGTTTGTTTCACATATTCAATGGTACCGGAACACATCGGGAGCCATGCACAGGGGCTCTGCTGCGGCTCTATGAAGAACTTGGGAGGCATGCCCCTCGTGGGGCGTGTTCCCAGGCTCCTCATAAATACCTACTGTTTGGTGTTTGCAATTCTCAACTACCGGCGGTGTGAGTGCCTTAGATACATTTCAAATGGCTGATTGTGCTGGACCCAACTTGCACATTTTAGTTTCAGCATGGGTGATCGAGAGCTGCTGCTTCAGCTCCGTTATTTCAGTTTAGAGGCTGCTGTTGCAAGAAACCATGCTTAGGATTTCTTGAAATTTGTTGAAAGGAGAACTGGGTTCCTGAAAGCCTGGCTCACATCATTCTGGTGCAGAGGATCCCTCCCCTGTTCCTGAGGCTTGGTGCTGCTGGGGAACCTGAGTCTATGACGTGCATTTATGCAACAGGCTGCCTCAAGTCTGACGCCAGCGGATGGGCGACCCGCCCTTTGAGTACGGCGCGCCGCGCCACGACTGGAACATCGAGGACATCGACTGGGACCCGAATGAGGTCCAAGGGGAGCTGCGCGCATCTGGCAGCCAGGACGCCTCGGCCGAAGCTTCCAGCGCTGGTGCCGCGCAGCAGGTCTCCCTCTCTCCCATCCGCTGCCATGCGCATGACTCAGCAGCTCGCATGCCCCTGCATGCATCTCCTGTGGCGGAACAACCTAGTAAACCCACTTCTTGGGACTGAAAAGGATAATGCCATCAAATGGCCATCATCGTGAGGAGACAGGAGAGGCAGAGCAAGCTTGAAGCGATGCTGTCTACAAAGTGAGGAGGAATGAAGAAGGGAGCAAATGGCAAGATCAGATGGGTGTATCGGCAGCGCCGCTGCGCTGATGCTCGTGGGGTGTCATGGCGCAGGTGGCCAGCTCCAGCGGGCCGACACATGAGAGCGGCGGGGACGTGCCGGTGGTGCTGGACACTCTGCAGAGCATGGGCTCCACCAAACGCCGCGTCCCCATGCAGTGCCAGGTGCTGCTCTCCAACCCCACTGGCTGAAATGTTCGCCACCGCATGGCTCGCAATCACACAAGGCACAATGGCACATACTTGGAGGCTAGAGGCCAATTGCAGGGCATGCTAGGCCCAGATGGAACGGGTGGTTGGGTCTGATGAAGATAAAGGCAAAGAGGGGAATACAGCTGGGGGAGACTGGGTGGGCGAGTGGTGCTGTTGTCTGGCTTTGAAGTGTTTCTTAAACGGAAGGGCGTTCCTACCGAGCTCAGGGGATTTATGTATTCTGGAATTTCAGGTGGACGGCTGCAACAAGGACCTGTCGGTGGAGAAGGAGTACTACCAGCGCTACAGGATTTGCGAGGAGCACCTCAAGCTGTCCTCACTGCTCAAGGACGGCGTGCAGCAGCGCTTCTGCCAGCAGTGCGGCCGCTTTCACCTCCTCGCTGACTTCGATGGCGACAAGAGGTGCCGCCACCTCCCATTGATCATGCCACCACCAAGTGACCTCCATATGGCCCCTGCAGCTCACCTGGCCCATCAGACAGTGGAGATAAATCCATCTGACCATGCTGCCGGGGATCACTTGTCTGCTCTGCCTCGGTTTGCAGTGCCGCTCGGATGCATTCCAGGTATTTCGTTGTGTATGAGGGGGTGACTTTGATGCACAAGTGCAACTTACCGCGTCTGAGAGGTGTCAGCTGTTGTGCTGATCTCAGGAGCATGCATGCAGCTCTTTTGTTGTGTTAAGGGGTGCTACTGATTCATTAAATTCAGCTTCTTCAAAGCATCCAAGGTGTTTAATCGGATTGTGCCGATGTGCCGACGACAGGAGCTGCCGGGCGCGGCTGGACCTGCACAACAACCGCCGTCGCAAGCGCGGCGAGGCCGGCGACGGCAGCTTCCGCAGCAGCGCGCGCCTCGAGCGGCGGCTGGGCGAAGCGTTGCATTCTAGAGTCTCCCCGCGCACACGCACCCGCCGCGTCGCCTCCCGCTCGCGCCGATCACCGCTCCCCTCCACTGACGTGAGCATGCTTACACCCATACCCTCGCTTGATGCATGCCCACGGCTCTATTGTTGGGCGCTACAACGGTCTCGGCCCCTTCTAAGGTCTGCAAGGAGCCTCTGCTATGCATAATGCCAAGCAAGTGCAAAGCTGGTATCTTCTGGGCTCCTCTTCATGTCCACTGCTGCGTAGTGGGCTGTCCCGTCTCCAACCAGAATCTGACGGGGAACTTGACAGCTTGGAAAAGTCGCTTGGGGCTTCAACATGCTATCCCTGAGCACAAAGGTGACATAACTATGCATGGGTGCAGGATGAGATGACGGAGGACAATTCGGAGGTGGAGCAGGCGGCGCGGCCTCGGCAGGCAGCCAGCTCGGCGGCGGAAGCCGAGGAGGGAACTCCTGCGCGCGAGCGCCGCTACGCCACGCGGCAGGCCACCGCAGCGGCAATGCGCAAGCACTCCTACAACCCCGCCCTCGACTTTGAAAAGGTTCCCCGCCCACTCTTGCCAGTGCCATCTTCCCAGGAGAAATCACAGCAATGAGAGCATGCAGAGCTGTCAGAGCTGCATAGGAACATGCTCAGGAACCTGACTTGGGGGAGAGCGCCACATCCATGCAAGAGTGGTGCCACAAAAAATGTCTCTGTTGTTATGCCTCATGCACCCGCACTTGCGCTTGATATCAATGAAGTGATTCTGATCACAAACGAATCAGATTTCCTCTGCAGACACTGCTATGAAGGAATGCTGATGGTGTGAGTGTGTGTGGCCAGCAGTTGTACCCCCCCAATATAGCGGAGACACTGGCTGCGCTGCAAAGAGGGGCCGGCCCCCACGAGCCCTCCCAGGCAGCACACTCCAGAATGTCCCTCCAGGTGTGCGCACCTGCAGATATATGCCTTCACTGGACTATATTCACTGAAGTGTACCCCTGTGCCCTCCTCATAACTATAAAAAACGTCCACTTCTGTCCGGGCTCTAGGCAGAAGGCAACTTGCAGATCTTCATAGGCTGCATGCGCATGTGGGGCTGAAAGACAGAAGCATGTTGTGCGGAGGGGTCTGGACATGGTATTTCTAGGGCAAGGTAGCCGCACATCTGGGGCTCTACAAGCTGAACTCTGAAGGTAATGTTTGTGCGTTGAGCAGGAGGGGTCGAGTTGGGACTCGAGCATGTTGTCAGCCGAGGGCCGGCAGCGCTTTGTGGCGGAGCACATGCTGCGCCACCTGTCAGACCCGGTGCAGTCCATGCGCGACACTCTGCGGCAGCACTCCGAGTCCGGCCTCGACCTACGCAGGTGTGTGTGACTCGCGGCATTGACGCCAGACAAACTTCTAGCATGCCTGCCTTCAAGCGAATCCTTTGTCGAGCCCTTCTGAAAAGCCTGCGGCAAGCACACACAGGACCTACGAGTGGCATATATTATCAAGTGGGCGGATGCAGAGATTGTCTGGGAACCTGTGATCTTGCCACCCGCCTCGCCATGCTTCTTTCTGCATTTCCTGGCAGCTGCAGAGGCAGAGTATTTCTCGCAGGATGTGCTCTCAGTGTTGCTCTTTACAATGGCACTATAAAGGAGATTTCTGCAAGGAGAGCGTGCTTGAAACTGGTTCTGCTGCAAGGATATTGATCAAAAAGGAGATGGTGCGTTGCAGGAACGTGCTGCTGATGAACTCGCTGTCGAGCCCCACCTACATGCCATCCAACATTGAGCGTTCAGCGGAGAGGTCTGCCGCGCACGGCAGCCTGGAGCAAGACTTCCGGGAAAGCCTTGAACGCAGCTCCGACATCTACCAGCAGCAGGTGACTCACCCTCCCCTAACGCATGAAGCAAGCCGGCTGTGCCCCCCATGCATGCGTTGGTAATATGGCTGGCACCTTGCTTCTCTGGAGATCACCAGACGCTGCCTGATACCATGAGAGAGATCCCCAGTATGCATAGGAAGCCTGGGGACCCCCAAACGAGCCATGTCAGGATTACTTATTGGCCTTTCAAGTGTAAGCGTCTGTCTGGTCCTGGAGAGGGCACTTGGAAAATTGTGTGGCTCCGTAACGGACTGCTGGTGTACGGCAGGGCGCCGCCCCGTTACCCTATGGCGGCCCGTTTTCCGAGGCGTTGGGCGCGACAGGCCTAAGCCACTACGCTGCGCAGCTGCTCTACAAATGCGCCAGCGATCCCGTCGCGCAGGACACCTTCGGCCGGCCGAACCTCCCGCCGGCCGCCATTGCCGGTGTGCACATCGCGCCCGGCTCGGCCGGCGGCGCGGCCGGCGGCGGCGGGGGGTCTGGGGAGGCACGGCGGATAATATCGTACTCCAGCGAGCCCACCAGCATCTCCAGCTCGGGCCTGGCCAAGTTTCCAAGCGAGCCGTTCATCCGGCCGCGCACGGTGTACCCGCAGTACTCCGCCTTTGACCTGCCGCCCGGCGAATTCCACGACGTCGCCTGGGTGAGCCGCTCTGCCCACACCCACTCTGCATTACCCTCATGTTGCCTGTCATCCTCCAGGAACGGCGCGCTCTTGGAGCCCGTGCTCTATTTGTTCAATTGTACAATAGCTGTTCAGCCGACGAGTTGCATACAAGCCTGCTGCAGGGATTGAGAGGCATGCAGTACTTGGTTCAACCCTGCATGCGCCGGGTACTTGGTGCATGCATGTTTCCTATATGCGGCATTAATTCCTTCCATTAGGATGCTCTGCAAGTGTGTAATGGGAGTGTGGAACTGACTTGCATGCGGGTGTCGCTACTGCAGCCGGGTCCGCCCAACGCGCCTAGCGCGGAGGAGGTGAAGCACGAGCAGCTGAGCTTTCGGCAGGGCCCCACCAAGCGCTTCTTCGAGACCGCCGAAGGATCCACCCAGGGCGCCCGGTGCGCTCACCCTCCTGTCCCTCATGTACTGTCAAGATAACCTGATTGTGCACTGGTCATGACTCTGGCCAACTACTTGTGGCAGATTTCTTTCATGCTGCTGAATCGCCACAGCAATTAACGCGATGGCCAGTGCGCTGCTTGTCGTCCTCTTGCGAACTCCATGCGCAAATGCATATGTTGAGACTTGCACACGCCGTCTTGGCCGTCGTAGTTTCTTCACATGGCTCTATTTTGTCCTATTGCACCAAAATGCAACGCAGGCAGTCGGGGGCGCATTTGCTCCCCACCCCAGAGCGGCCCCAGCATGGGACAAATGACCGAGGATGTCATGTGCTGCGCAGGGCGAGGAGCAGGGCGCAGCAGCAGCGGGGGGAGCAGCCGCGGCGGGGGAGCATGGATGCAGGCGCGGCCAGCCAAACGGCCGGCAGCGTGCTGCCCTTTACACTGCCCGGGGGAATGGCGTTCTCTATGGGCCCGCTGTCGTCGCTGGGGCAGAGCAGCGGTAGCGGCGGCCTGTCGCGCATGCCGAGCGCTGAGGAGGTGGTTGCCTCGATGCAGCGCGAGCCCAGCACCGAGCGCCGCATGGGCCGCATCTCCCTCGCCCACTCCCTCGACATCATGCAGCAGTGAGTCTTACCAAATTATATCATTACTGTTCATGTTTGCAATAGGATCAGGTGCATGTTACTCATGGAAATGTGTGATTGTTCATTTGTCTGCAGCATCATGCATCAGTGCGCCCCTCACCCCTGCCGCTACCCCGTTGTCTTTGATGTCCCTGCATGAGGTGCAACCCCAAAGGCCAGGGAAATTGCTTGAATTCTCTGGTGTCCATGAGGTGCTCGGATGAGGAAACCCCCTGTTGGGCAAGGTCCCTATCGCTATTTCTCCAAAGATCACAACTCAGCTTGCCCGCTGCGCGTTAAGTGTGCGTGCCCAACTCTTGAAGAGGGGTCTCTGTGTTGCCCTCTGGCAACCGCCGGGGCCTCCGCGGAACACAGTGGGAAATATTGTGGAAGAAATTACGTAGTTCCGGCCTGGACATATCCATGTGCAAATATACACTGGCTGAAGGTCTGGGTGCTGTCATGTGATCCCCGTCAGCATGCCGCTGCTTGCAGCACAGCAGCCGCTCAGCATGGAAGATAGCCCAGGTCCAAAGGACTTACAAATCTCAAATTCTGGCTGAAAGTACTGTGATCATGCCATCCACAGGCGGATGACGAGCGAGCGGCAGGCTCTGGCGGCGGGAGAGCGGTCGGGGTCGGGGGGTGACGTGAGCGCGCGTCAGCGGTCGGCGGAGGGGGCGCCGCAGCAGCTGCGCAGGTCCACCAGCTCGCGCCTGGAGCGGCTTCCCAGCGCCTTCCTCGAGCGCATCCCCGAGCACGCCGCCGCCCTCGAAGCCCCGCTCACCGCCCAAGACCTCCTGCCCGGTGCGCTCGAAATCCCAGTTGCTCCACAATTTGCACCCACGGCACATATGGAGCATTCACATGAGCTGTGTCTCCTGAAAACATAGGGAGCCGGCATCTGAACGCCAATCCCTCCCCAAATTCTGTGATGTGTCTTTCCTGCCGGGCTGTTGAGACTGCAGCCTGGGCTGCATGTGGCATCTGCTGGAGCAAAAGACACTTGCTCTGGGGAACTCTACGGTGTGTTATATGCATGAGATAAGTAAGTCCCGACCAGGCTGTTGGCTGTCTTTGATTGTCTGCTAGCAATGCAACGTGACGCTGACTGAGCGAGATTATGTGGTGCAGCGGGCGGGCAGGCGGGCAGCGCGCTTCTGAGCGACATATACACGGGCTTCAACTTCCAGTCGGCGGGGGTGAGCGCGGGCTTTGCCGCGGCCGTCGGCAGCCCCCCGGGCGCGCGGCTGGCTGAGGGCGCCTCCCACTTCGCTGGCTTCCAGGGCCTACGCGACGCCTCCCTGCAGCCCTGGCACCAGGTCAGCGCCCCCCCTCACATTTGTCCACAGACTTGACTGTTCAGTGGTTGGAGCCCAGCAGTGTAGGGTTGCTGCACCGTACATTGCTGGGGCACTGAACTGCGTCCATGCATCATGCTGAGCAGAAATACATGCGCCAATTGGAAGGCAGCCAAGGCTGATCTCACAGTTGGCCTCCCAACCTTTGTAGCGAACGTCCCTGCAGCCCTGGCACTCGGTCATACCCCTTTTTTACATCTATCCACAGACTTGGCTGCACAGGTTTTTTGCATCTTACAATGGTGACTTCTGAATTCGCTCTCCTCCCTAAGGATCCCTCTCTTTCCTGCACCCTGCACTGCTGGACCTCCAAACATGGCCTACCATTTTGCTGAGGCAAAAAATTACTGCCGAACAGGCTGCACAAGTGATTTTGCCTGCCGATTTTGTGGGCAGTCAAAGAACGCACACGGAGCTTGAATGAGCGTGGATGGTGTGCGCAGGTGGCGTCGCCGTCGCAGGGCGTGCTGGCGCCGCTGGTGGGAACGCCGGCGCAGACGGGACGGGCAGGCGCGCATCCCGAGGGCACCGCGTGGGCGGCCAGCCTCTTCGCGTCCCCCAGCAGCACCGCCATGAGCTCCACGCCCTCCAAGGACGGTACCACGCCCTCCTCCTGGCTCAGCCCCCTCCTGCAGCAGGTGCGCTCAGATTCTGCTTTGCAGATTCTCCGGTCCCCCAGATGCTGCAGTGAAGACCACCCTGGAAGCTTCCCTTCATAGCTGCAGGAATGCCTGTCTGGCGTTGCCAGTCTAGTGGCAAGCCAAGGTAGGCTGCAACAGAATAAGCGCCAGTCCAATAAGTCTGGATTTGCAATATCTGCTCGTAAATTTATTCTCCTTGCACGAGTAGGGGATGTTGGATCCCTGACGGGAGTGTTGATGTGTAGCAGGTGGCCGGTGGATCCATGTCAGCACCGGCGCTGTCGTCCGGCGACACGGCCGGGACGGGCCCCAGTGACACGGCGCAGCTGCTATCCACCTGGCGCGCCGACTCAGGCGCCAGCTTTTCCACACTGCCGCTGCCCTTCACCGCGCCCGCGTGCGCAGAGGAGCGTCCCGGCGAGGAGCGCACGCCGAGCCCCGCCGCACTGGTCTTGGCCGCCGCGCGGCTGGCCGGGGACGCCGCTCTGCCGGAGCTACCGGCCGCGCCGCTCGGCGCGCTGCCGGCAGAGATGCCGCCGGCGAGCGTTGCAGCGGCGCAGGCCGCCTGGGCCGAGGACACGAGCTCGCCGGCGGCTGCCGCCGCCGCGGTTGTCTCGGCCGGGGTGCAGACCGCGCGCGTGTCGGCCAAGCTGGAGAGCGCGGGCCCCCGGGACGTCGGCGGCCGCAGCCTGCGCCCCGACCTGGAAGACGTGCTCGGCGGCGAGGGCAACGTGCCCCGCCTGGAGGCCGCCATCCGCCCTGGCTGCGTCCACCTCGTCGTCGACGCTCTCGTGCTCCAGGTGTGCTGCACCCTGTTGATGTCCATACCTCTTATGCCATCTGCAGTGCTAGAATCATCTGCAGTCTTAGGATCATCTTGTAGAATGTGCAGAGTGTGCGGAAGTACGCAAGGTCTGAGAGTGTGTGTTGGTGGTGCAGGAGTGCCCGACGGACACGCTGGACGGCATCAGGAAGGCAGCGACGGCTCTGGCGGCCCGGGACTCGCTGTGGCGCCGCGGCCGCGTGCTGCTGCAGACCGGCAGTGCCGCCGCGCTGCTGCAGGACGGAGTCGTACGCCGCATCTGGGTCGGACAGGTGCTCCCTCCCCTCCTTCTTGCAGCTGTTGCGCCACCACTTGTGCTTGTCTGAAATGCTGGTTTTCTGACTCCTTCAGGTGCAGAAGAGTCTTGTGAACCGCTGATTGCCTGTGGGAATACTCATCTTGGTTGCTGACGCCTTGAACGAGTCCTGTCTCTGAGTCCTCTCAGGCTCTTCTCTGGTAAACAGACTTTCCAGCCCCAAACAATGCCTGCAGAAAGGTCCAGTGCTGCCCGCATGATACCTGACAACGTGGCTTGCCAACTTCTGCAGGACCTGCAGAGGCGGCAGCCGGAGATGCCGTGCGCCGCGCCGTTTGCGGCGGCGGTCCCGGGCAGCCTGGTGCTGCGGCTGCACCGCAGCTTCTTCCACTGCGCGCGCTCCGGCCTCTCCTGCGCGCGGACCTGGCGGCTGCTTGCGCGCTACCGCGGCCGCTTCCTCGCCGACGTCGACCTCTCCGCCATGCAGGCCGCCCACACCAAGGTGCTGTGCCTGCGTGACTGGCAGTCACATTTTCTGTCCGTTGCTCACTGCCAAGGTGCTCAGTACCCGCCATCTCAGTTTGCGTGTTTTCCTTGCGGTAGTGGCCAGCCTTTTGAGGGCAAAAAGACGCCGGGCGCAAACCGCAGCGAAGAAGCGCGCACGCTGGAGCGGCGGAAGCCCGGTGTTTAGACACCCTTGGCAAGGGTAATATTGCATTATATACAGGGTCAATAAATATCGAATGTGGGGGTTTCAAAAGCTTTGCTTGGTCATAATCCCTGCCACTCGTGCTTGCATCCTTCAAGTTAGTGCCTTAACCCGGTCGTGAAGCCGCAAAGAGTGCCGGTGCTGCTGAGCCCGACCATTTCTTTGCGCTCTCCTGCCCGAGGAAATCCGCAGGTTCAAGTTTTGCAAGCCGGAGCGGCAAAACCTGGTGTTTGGACACTTGTAGCAAAGCTCACTGTAATGTTCCAACCCCCAGCATTGATGGAACATTGTTTGTGACTTGCTTTTTCCTCCAGGTATCTCCACAGTACTTTTATTGTCCTACACACACACAAATGTAAACACCGGAGGGGGACCTGCAGGAGGTGGTGGTGGAGCTGGGGGCCGCCGGGGGGACCGCGGGGCTGGCCTGGCTGGAGGCGGAGTGCGACGGCTTCATGAGCGCACCGCTGCCCGTGGTGCTGTCGCCCAACCCCGACATCGTTGACGAAGTTCGCTCCCTTGAAGCTGATGTGGCCGCCGGCAGGTGCGCGCATACCCCCTGCACCTGCCTGCATAAGTCAGAACTCCGTGTCATCTCCGTTGGCACGTGTGTGTAAGATCCATCACCTGACTGCACGCACATGCCAAAGGTCACCATGGCATGGAGCTCTGGCATATGAACTGTTGATTTTTGCCGTGCCCCAAAGTCTTATCACCATATTGCAGCTGCCATGGCTCAATGGTTGCTCGGTTTTGCCACTGTATGCTGCTGCCCTGAGGGCATTTGAGGCGGGTGAGGGCTGGTGTTAAAAGGTGTTGAGGGTGTTTCTGCAGGCGGTCGTGGGAGGAGACATCAGTGCTGCTGGCGGACGTCGGCCTCATTCTGGAGTATGCAGCGCTGCTGGGCAACAAGGAGAGCTCGGCTGTGCCCGACCTGCAACACAGCATGTGCCTGCAGCATGTGGCGCGCCTCGCTCAGCGGCGACTAATCGACTTCTGCGAGCTCGGCTGGCCAGCGCTCACCGCCCAGGTGACCCTTCACTCTTGGCCCTCCACTATCGTACAGTTGCAATCCTTTTATGCTACGATGCGCTGTGTTGCGCTATTAAAACCTTTGATTGGAGTTGAGTCCGATTGACTATTCTGGTACACACACATGGAATTGGGTGCCTCTATGAGACCAGCACCTGGTGTGTATCTCAGCAGCATTTCTAACTGGCTCACCTCAAAACTTTGTCTACACAATGCTCTGCCTGGTGTCTTACGCAGCATGCATCTGAAGTGTGGAAGTACGTATGCAAAGGGCAACACAGTGACTCTTGGAAGGTTGATTAAGGGCCTCTGCTGTAGATCTATCCCTTGAAAAATACCAACGCTCTTGAGAAACATCGACTAAGTCGACACCATTGGTGCAGGCGTTGCCTGTGGCTGCGCTGGGCTGCACATCGCTGCGGCAGCTGCTGTCGGAGGTGGCGGCTGTGCCGGAGGGCGCTGGGACGCTGCTGCACGCGGCCGTGCGCTCGGAGAGCCTCTCCATGGTCTCCCTCCTGCTCGACCTCGGCCGCTACGGGTGAGCCGCCCTCCCCAGCCGCCCTGCACTCCCTCCCCCCAAGTCATTCTCAAGACGCGTTTTCTCTGAAGATGAACACAAAGATCCCCCCTCCCCCCGAGTCTTTCTTAAGACGCATTTTATCTAAAGATGAACACAAAGAGAAGCCTCTGCTTGCTGATGTTTCAGCCTTGCATTCGCATGCATTCTTAGAAGCTCGAGAACATCGGCTCTTGCGGGACAGCTTGCTGGAGGGTCTTTTTTTCCCCCAGTTGCTCTTGTATTCTCCAGCAGCAAAGATTGTAGGACAGACTAAGTGGGGAGCAATCTTCCCAATTGTGGCGTTGTGGCACATATCGTTACCTGCTCCGGATCAGTAGTGCTGACCCACTGTGGTGACAAATTGCAGGTTCAAGTGGGACCTGAGCGCGCGGTGTGAGCGGCTGGCGCAGACGGCGCTGCACCTGGCGGCCAACATGGACGACGAGGGGCGCATGGCCGGCCTGCTGCTGCGCCACCCCTCCTGCCCCGAGGCCGGCATGCTCTGGTCCGTCCTCAAAAACGCCGCCGGACAAACCGCCGCAGACATCGCCTTCAGGTGCGCGGCCTCCTCGGCGCAGGGACCCATCTCTTTTCATCACCCCTGGAGAAGGGTCCTTACCAGAACTCAACAATAGGATGCACAAGCAGGGGGTACTGTATCCAACTGTAGATATCCAGCGAGATATATCCAGCTAGATATAGAACGATCTGTTGTGAGGGCACTCACTCGCCGCGCCGTTTGACAGTGAACAGCACGGAGTCCAGCCTGGGGAATGCACCCATCTTCAGGTAGCCCCTGGGTTGATTAGTTGTTGGGTCCACCCGCTTCATTGCCTCAAAGAGCTCCGTCAGTGGTACCCAATGCTGCAAAAACATCCGCAATATTTTACTGCAGAAACTTGAATGAGTAAACTGATAGGCAAAGCAACAGAAGTATCCAGGACTCAGCAAAATTCCATTGCAAAAACTGTATCAAGAACTCTCCAAGCAAGCGAAGCAGACATGCAGCGATGAAACCCTGTACTTCTAGGCAGCTTGAACCAAATGAAGAGTTAGGGAGCCAAAACTGTGAAAAGCTGGATGGATATGTGCAGTGCGTCCAAGGCGCGGCCGGGGCGCATCTTCCTGCTGCTGTCCCCCGAGGAGAGGGCGGCCATCGGCCCGTACCACAGCTGCACCGAGCGGGACGCCGACGGCAGCGCGACCGACGGCGACGATGAGCTCAGCCCCGAGAGCTCCATCAGCGCCTCGGACTCTCCACCGCTCAGCACCCAGCCCAGCGGCGCCATATGCGGGGATGCCCTTGCTGTCATGATGGCGGACACGCTGTCGCGGGAGGGCAGCCTCCCGGCGACGCCCTTCCTGGATGTTGTGCTGCCTTCAAAAAAGGAGGAGGAAGCGGCGGTGGTCGGCCAGGCGGTGCAGATGCGTACGGTCGAGAGTGCGCCGCTGGCCGTCGGCGACCTGGCAGCCGCCGCGCGCTCATGCATCACTGCCGACGACCGCATCATCCGCAAGTCGTTGTCGGCCGACACCGACGCGCACGCCAGGCGCGAGCAGCTGCGCGCCGCACTGCTGCCGGCTCTGGCCGGCGCGGCGGTGCAGCCGCCGCTGTCGGAGGGCCTCAGCCCGCCGCGGCTGAGCCTGGACGGCGACCGCACCGCGCTGCGCTTCGGCGCGGAGCTCGGCGCCTCGCCGAGCATGGGCGAGCTCCGGCGGCTGCGCCGCGCGATCGCGGCCTTCCCGGCCGCTGCCGCAGCCGGCGCGCCCGACGGCTCGGCGGCGGAGATGCAGCGGCTCAGCGTGGTCATGCGCGACATGGGCGCCGTGCGGAGCGCGTCGGCCAGCGCGGTGCATACCACGGCCGACGACCGCTTGCCCGGCGACCTGCCGCTGTGCCTCTCGTCCCCCAGCAAGTTCCTGGAAGGAGCTTCGGCAGACCTGGCGCAGCCGTCCTCGGTCCATGCTGGCCGCGAAGAATCGCCGCTGCTACTTTTGGCGCCCGCATCGTCTGGTGGTCAGCCATCGGGGGCCGATCCCAATGCCTTGGCCCCCGCGCCGGGCGCGGCAAGGCGGATCCGCGCCGGTTCTTTGACAGCGCTGCAGCAGCTGTCGGGGCGGCAGGTGTCACTCGTGCTGATGCTGCTCGCGAGCTGCCTGATGCTGCCTCGCGCGGCGTTCTTGTGCATGCTGGTCGCTGCGGCACTCTTCCTGCTATCCAGCCAGCCGGGTCAAGAGGTCTGGGCGAGCGGCTCACCCTCCTTCAGAGGTGAGTCATCCGCGTGTTCTGTCGCCCCGCTTATCTGCTGCCAGGGGACCGTCTGCTTTATTTGTATGTGAAGTTTTTGTGTGACTTGCAATATCGTAGTGATCTTGAGGCAGTTCGGTTTGAGGACACTGGCCTCAGAAAGGGTGCTCTTCACTGCAGGCCCGGATGCAAACGTTGACAAGCTGGAGGCTCAGGCTTCCTACTCTGGGTGGCGGCGGCACCTGCTCTGCTTCAAGAGCGGGCAAATGGAGACCGACTTCCTGACATTCTTTGCAGGTCTGCCCCGCCTACCTAGAATGCAGAACGCACTTTACATGAGATTGCTTTCTCTGTTATTATCATGGATGTCAATATGCACCAGCACTTGCTCTGGGAAGTACTGACGTGTGTTGTGGAATGCACAAGACATGAGTGGTGTGTGGCTGGGTGCAGGGGCTCGGTATCAGCTGGATGTGCTATTTTCAGTCTTGTTCACAATCCTGTCGGTTCTGCTCCTCTGCTCTGGCGCCCCTTCCCTCTCCAGCTGGGCTGCTGCTGGCCCCTGGCTGGCGCATGCCTCCTTTGCCGCACTGCCTGCAGCCCTGGCCCTGAATAAGCGCTCCTGGTGAGTCACCGCCCATCCGAGCCGTGCTGTGTGCTTATCCTTGCGCAGGCAGAGAACTCTTGTGTGGCAGGAAAGTTTTGCAGCTCAGTGAATTTTAGGTTGATTGCTTTCCAGCTGCAGAAAACTCCTGCAGCACAAGAGTTGGCTGTGTAATCTGTTGGCCTGCTGATGTTGTAAGCAATCATTGCCGTTTTCAGCATAGATCATGTTGCGGAATGGTGTGATCAGCTTGGTAAAGTTGAGTGACGTGCCTACTGTTTGAATTGGATATAAGCATTGAATTTGAATTTGAATTTGCAGGTATGTGCGCAACCGTGAGGTGGTGATGATGGTGGCCAGAATTGGCTGCCAGCTGGCGGCTCTGTTCTGCAGCGCTAGAGCGGCCGGCGGCTGCAGCGGCCACAGCCACTGGGCCACTGCGCTCTTCGGCGACCTCCTGGCAGCTGCCCTGCAGCTCCTACACCTTCCCATCGGCTTCCAGGTGCGCCATCCTCTACGGCAAATTTTTTAACCAGGTCTGAAGGAAACATTTGCCAACCTGAGGCAAATCTTCCTCTGGGCTGGTGTGCATGGGTCTGCTCATACAGTCCCTGTCACAAGGTCAATCTATCTCATTGTGTTTATCCCCTGAGATTCATATGAGTCAATTGGCAAACGCGATGCTGACTGTGTCATTATGCATGCGCGCAGATCCGCACCTTCCTGCACCTTCCGCTGACACTGCTGGCGCTGCGGCTGCGCCTGCGCGTGCGGCCGCAGCCGTCGTGGCACCAAGCGGCCGCCGTCTGCGTGCTCATGCTGCTGCCCACGCGCTTCGTGGCGGCCCTTGAGCACCGCGCGCGCCGCAGCTTCCTCGCAACTCTCCAGCAGCCGCCCATCTCCGCCGGCGTCCCCTCCGGCCGCCGCTAGCCGGGCCCCCCGCACACATGGGGGGAAATCTTTTTCAGTTAGAAGTGAAGCCCCTTGACAGCCGGCTACATGCCTGTGCGCACGCCTTTGCAAGATCGCTGTGCTTCTTCTAAAGGAGGAGGGAGCAGATGTCTGTGGGAATAAGAGGAGCAGAGCGGCTGTCGCTGCCGAAGCTCCGCTAAGTGCCCCGAAGACAGCGCAGAAGAGCCAGCCACCTGCCGGTGTCTTTCTTGTCACGAGTTTGCCGGGGCTGTTTGGGGCAGACAGGATGTGATTGTTCAGGCTCATGTTTGGGCTGCGCGCTCTACCCGGCCACCGGCACTTTTGCAGTCCTGAGAAATGTGGTGCGGCGCTCTCGGCACAGAGTGGCAAGCGGGCCGACCGGTGTTTGCCGGCCCGGCCTTCTGAGCTGAGAGCGCGCGGCACGCTGCGGAGACGACATCCTTTTGTGGTCACCCAGCGGTTTTGGTCGGGCCTTGCAGGCTCGGCGGCAGTCGGATTCCCAGGCACTGCAATTTTCGCAAGAACTCCGATTCACCTCTTTCCCTGGGGCGCTTTTGTTGTGGAGGGCACCTAGAGGACATCTGGGGTCTGCTGCAAATTTACGCCCGGGGAAAGTTTCACCAAGACACGCGAGTCTCGCTTTGAACTTCTGCGTATTGCTCCTGCAGCGGTGATGTCAGTCCACCTTGCCTATGGCCCTGGGTATTCTCACACGTTCTCTGGCGAGAGATATTCTTTCCAGAGCATCTTCAAGGCAGATTTTTGTTTCACTGTTGTGCTGGCAGTCGACACACTGCCCACGAGACCAACCTCAGGATTGCTCACTCCTTTCCGGGAACAGTTGCAGTTTTGTGAGTGTGCTGTTGCATGCATGTGGCATGCATGACATGCCTAGCAGCAGGCATCACACGACTCTTCAAGACACACTGATTGCGAGCTTCAGTCATGCGACTGATCTGATTCTTTCTTAAGGCCCAGGCATGGGACTGAGACGTGCTGTATTGAGGGATTGCTCTTATTTTGTTTGTATGGATCGGGGTGATGATGGCAGCACGTTCAGGTGGCAATCAGGAGCTTCTCTGCGTATTGGTTTGAAGGGCTAGCGACCAACCTAACTGAAGCACATCCGCGTATATACGGCCAGAATTACAAGCACCCCGAGCCGGACAGGTGCAAACAGGCATGAGCTCTGAAATGGTGTTGCTCTTTCGTGCAGATGCGCCAAATTTACTTTTTCTTCTGGGGACAAACTGATAATTTGGCACACAAGGGGGCCAGTAATTTGGGCAGAATGTGAACCATGTGGATCCGTGGCCGCCTTGTGTAGGATGCACTGTGTCCCCAGAGAAGGCGCGAAGCTTAGGCCTCTGGATGGTTCTCTGTGTAGTTACATATACACTCTGTATGAGTCTGCTGCTTCATGGCCAAAGTATGAGTGCACTGGGTTTGTTCACACTCAGCTGCGTTGCGAAGATGGAGGTAAAATCTCTGCGCTTGGGACGATAAGATTTGGATCTAATAAGGCTCGGGGCACACCTACATCCGATCCTGTGCTCCTTGTGAGTCTTGGCTGCAGGCCATGCTATTGGTTGTTTTTCTTATGAGTTGGGGGCTGTATCAGAGCCCTTGCTTGGTCAGGGCTGCCAGAGACGGTTTTGGTGATTGGCAGGTAATTGCTGCATATAACATTAGATAATTCATCGCGGTGAAAATCTCGTTTGAAGTGCCAGTGGTGCTGTTTGAGAGGGTGAGCACAGTCAGGGAGTGGAATTAATCCAAGATCAAGTGGTTAGCATTTGCGGCTGAGCTGCAGCACTGATGTATCATAAATTCACTTTCACTTCTTGCTGCTTGCGGCTGTGCAGTCCTTGATTTCTGATGATGTCATATGGCACCTTGGGCTAGGGCTTCAACTGTCAGATGATCCGTGAGGTGCTGTGAGCCTGGTTCTGCAAATTTAGCACGTATGTGCGATTTATTGTGACTCTTGTGGTTGCCATTATCCATGCTTATCCATTTGCGACCTGACCGTGAGCCAATACCTGTAGGTGTTTGCCTGTGTATGATGGCAACTGCTCAAGCAAGGGGCGTTCTGATGCAAGCTTGTAGCACATTATGACGTTGTTATTGTTGTGCAGGGTGCTCTATATCTTTCTTAGAAAGATATAGAGCCCCCTGTGTTGTGTCAATGAAGGGTCACATGTTGGTACGTAGGATTGTTTGCCGTGGCTACCCGTTGAGTCCGGGTCTATGCTTTGTAAGTACGCCTGCGCGATCTTGTCACGGCATACCACGAGTTACACAGCCTTGCCTGAAGCAAAACTGCCTGAATCAAAATACCCTGCTTCCCGCTTCGAAGACCCCCAGAACTTACTTGCATGAAATTATGAAGGTCATAGGTGGCATGTCAGCATGTGCATGCCCCAACATTTGTGACTTTCTGGTGACTGCCAGATAAATTAGCTAGCTGGCAGCTGCAGCCAACCACCCTGGCATGGCAAGCTCACAAGCTAAATCACAGAGGCTTACGCTCTCAAACCGCAGAACCTTCCACAAATGTCTCCAGTCCTCGTCAGTGTGCTTTGTGAGCTGTGCAAGTGGCGTGTCTCCTCGAACTCATGAGAGAGGGCCACCATGGGATTGGGCACCAAAGAGATTCCACAGCTATCCAGCCCATCACTGCTCTCTCTTTCGTTTTCTCTCCCTCTCAGGCTGCCAGCTGGGACATCTGCTGGACCTTTTCCAGGATGGCGGCCACCTTCTGCTCGGCTTCCTCCTTCTGGCGCAGAGTGTCGGCAACCACGGCCGGCGGCGCGTTGTCCATGAACTTTCTGTTTGCCATGCGCCCCGCCACGCCGGCCAGGTCCTTCTCCAGTTTCTCCCGCTGCTTGTTCAGGCGCGCCACCTCCTTGGTCACGTCAAAAAGCCCTGCACAGAGCATTATCCCACGGTTTTGTGGGAAGCATGCAACCTGTTGTATTTAGCCGGTGATAAGGCATATTGCTCGCACGCGCTCCCACCCCCATGATGCACCCGTCAGCCCTGCTATGCCTACTGCAATAGGGTGTCCCACCTCAAGCTCACTACTAATTCAGACAAGAATATTACAGATTCAGTCATTACTACAGTCATTGTTCCCTCTTTCCCTTGCCCTCCACCAATTGGGGGCAACTTTAAACTGCATCGAGAGAAATACTTCCGGGTTGCCCCAACTGCGGCAGCCTTTGAAGAGTGTGCATTGGCCCCAAGTTTAGCTATGGCAAGTTCCCGGCAGCCACATGTATCATAAACTTGGCAGGACTGGGAGGAGCAAGAGGATGGCGGCTGCGGCGCACCTGCCATGGGCAGCAGCACCTCCAGGCCCTCACCCACCACCAGCACTATCGTGCCGCTCCCGGACGGCGCCTCTGCCAGCGGCTCAGACACCATCACCTGCAAACAATATCAGACCCCGTCATTTCCTCCTGCTGTAATCATTTGACAGATGTTGTCACAACAGGAGTATGCAAGTGAGTTTCGGGATGATCGAAGAGTATGGAACGGAGCTGCGGCCCCTCGCGCATGGCTGAGCATGCACGTTGTGAGGATGTCGAGTGATCAACAGCATGTGGTGCGGCAACGCACACGATTGTTTGTATATTGGATTCACGACTACACGCTTGTCCTGCCAGAGGCAAGATGTCATGCAGGCAAGATGTGTGAAAGGCTGCCAGGATCATACCACACAAAATTGAACACAGTGAATACGTGTGGACAGCTGATGATTTGAATTTGAAAATGGGGGGCTGGAGGGAACGTCCTGGGGCGGAGACATGCCTGCGCGCGGTCCAGCTTGGCGAGCGAGCACAGCACGTCCAGTTCAGCGTCCAGCGCCGCTCGGAGGTCAGCCGATGCGACGGTGACGCGCGCAGCGATGCGGCGGCCGAGCTCCACGTTGTACTCCGCTCGCGCATTGCGGATCGCGCCCACCGTCGCCTGAAGCGCCTGCGCGGTTGCACATGTGTGTAACTTGCGCATGCTCAACCACGAGCCATCTGACACGCACATATGGTGTGTGGAATTTGTGCTTGCTGGAGTAGTCAATCACAAGATCTTGAATTCCTGCTGATTTGGGTGGTAGATAGTCTTTCCATGCAGCTGAGCAGCAGGGCCTCACTTGCTCCCAGACACACGAGCTGCTGCATTTGAGGCTTTCATGACATACCCACCAAAGGGAGAGCATATCTTTCATGATATTTGCATGAGCTTGCATTGGACCACAGCTTTGGATCCATGCTCCTTCTGTGGAGCTTGGCACTAAATCCAGGATGTCAGGGATGGTTTGAGGTCGTTTGAGACAAGGGATTTGTGTGGGTCAAGCCATGCCAGTCGTGCCTGGTATTGTGTAATGGCGGTCTCGTCAATGGCGCCGGCGTGGGACGGCCAGGGGGCGCCGATGAGCTGTTGGCGCTCAGCGCCCTGCGCCAACGGCAGCGTTTGCCAAAGGCGCTCAGTCACAAAGGGCATGATCGGGTGCGCCAGCGCCAGAAGTGTCCGGAACGTGTACACCAAAACCTGCACAGCCACCATAATCCTTACACCTTTTCGAAATCAAGTTTCTGCCGAGCCATTTACTTTCAACTTTTGAGTGCTTTCCGCCGAGTCAGTGCTCGTACGGGGTCTAAGAGCCTGCTTGTCCTGGGAATATAAAGTTCAGCATAATTGCCTCAGCAAGTCTCAGACAAGGAAAGCACTGAGGACGGCAGAGACTCAAATGGAAAGGACTATTGTTATACATTTGCAATGGTTCTAATGCAGGCAAGGACAGTGACGCTTCAAGGGAATGTCTTGGAATGGGTGCAGGAGGCTGTGTGGACAGTAACATGGATCTCTAAACCAACTTTATCCACAGTCCCCTGGAAGGGGGGAGGGAGGGTGGGACAGCGCACAGCTCGGGTGCTGGCGGCGGCGTCAGCATCGGCGCCGTAGAGGCGGGTCTTGGCGGATTCGATGTACCAGTCGGCGTACTGCGACCAGAAGAAGTCGTAGAACGCGCGGCCCGTCTCCCCAAACTCCAGCCGCTCGTGCGCCGCCGTCACCCTGTCCACCACCTGACAGCACACAGCCACACCATTCGGTCACAATGCCTTCTCCTTATAACTTGCCTCCTTTCTCTTGTATAGAACTTTTGACCGTCTATTTACCATACCCCTGAAAGCGTTACTGCATGCCCCGGGCTTACCCAAAGGCCCCCTTTCCTCAACCCTGGGGTGAAAGAGGGTGAGGAATAAGACCAAGGGTCACAGGGCCGCCAGCATGCCTGGCTCATCATACGGCGTTATAGGACTATCAGGCATTGTGAAACCTGCTTCGTTCTGCTACGCATGTGGGCAACAAATCCCCCCATGGATGAGAGAGGCAGCAACCAGCAGGAAGCAGAGTCCATCCTTGGATAGAAGAAATTCTGTACAGCAGCATTGCGGCAATATCCGACAGTGCTTGGTTGCTTGAGAAGTAATAAAGCACAGGAGCAGGTGCAGGGCAGTAAGTCACCTGGTGAAGGGAGGACAGGATCCAGCGCTCAGAGAGGGACAGCTCGGCGAGGGACTCGGGCCGGGAGAAATCGGCGGCGGCGGCCGCCTCGGCATAGGCGGGGCCGGCCTGGCCGAGCGCCATCTGCAGGAACTTGCCGGCGTTCCAAAGCTTGTTGGTCAGGTTGCGCGAACCCACCACTCTATCCATGGACAGGTTCAGATCCTGCCCGGCCGTCGTGCCTGCGCAGCCCGGCGCACAACTCTCATATTACCAGTATCATTCTGCCACGCTGTTCCTGCCAGGAAGCGAGGTGCGGCTGCAGATAAGATGCAGGTAAAGGCTGCCACATATTCTACCTCTTATTGGACTCCCTGGATCTGAGCAAGCAAGACCCATCACTCTCAGAACAATGCACAATAAAGGCAGAAGCAGGCTCCTATACAGGGATGGACTTTGTTGACTGGCTGCTGCCGCCAAGCAAGCATGGTCAGGTGCACGGGGCAGCAGTGCAAGATGCTCTCTGGCGCATGAGAGCCCTCATGTCTTGCTGGTCAAGAAAGAAAACAATGCCCAAGCGAGTGGCGAGGTAGGGCAGAGCAAACGACAGGGCCTGCATGGAACGCCATTGGTAGGGGTTTACAGGGGGAAGAGGCACTAGGAGGGCGTTGCGGCTGCACACCTGTGGCGAGCGTGAAGCGCAGGGCATCCGTCCCGTACTCGCCGATGACCTCGACGGGGTCCACCACATTCCCCAGTGACTTGCTCATCTTGCGCCCCTGCCCGTCGCGCACCTGTGGCCACACATGCATTTATGACCCCGTTTCCTACGCGCTTTGCATGATGCAATGCTTGATGGTCAGCTTGGTCTCCTCTGGTGCTTCCCTCGGTGCAATGTTGGTGTTCACAAAGCTCAAGGTCGCCTTCAGGACATGTAATGGATTGTGCAACGCTTGCAGGTCTTTGGGTGTGTAAGGAGGGCGCCCCTGGCAAAAACGAGCAAACGAGCATGCTGTGGAGAGCACTGCTCACGCAAGCACGACTCAGCAACATTGCCAATCAGAGCTGTTTCACCATGAATTTATATAAGTATGAAACAACGAAGGAAAATCAAGGGAAGTAGGAGAGATGGAGTGCTAGCACGCACCAGGCCGTGCAGGAAGACGGTGGAGAAGGGAGCGCGGCCGGTGAACTCGATGCCCATCATGATCATGCGCGCGACCCAGAAGAACAGAATATCGTGCCCGGTCTCCATCACCGTTGTGGGGTAGAAGCGCGCCAGATCAGGCGCGGCCTCGTCCGGCCAGCCCAGCGTGGAGAAAGGCCAGAGCCCCGACGAGAACCAGGTGTCCAGCACGTCCGTTTCCTGCCTCAGCGCCACTCCCTCCCCGTGCCTGAACAGGACAGAGAAATGCCTTCCTTAAAGGATAGCCACGCAGAAGCTCTGGCAATTTCTGCCTCAGTGCTGCTCCCTCCCCGTGCCTGGCTGCGGCCCCCTTCTTCGAAATGTGACATGCACGGATCTTCATGCACAAATCCTGGAAGTTTCTCAGTTGCAGGATCGCCCCTTCTGCAATGGGCACTAGGGGTAGGTGAGGCACCGTGAATCGTGCAATAGGCACCCCATCACAACAGGCCATGCTCTTGCAGCGACACCCTCTCCTATTTTGGATGCTTTTGAGCATAAAAGGTAAGCATGACAGCAGCTGATCAAGGTGGGATGAAGGAGGCGAGAAGGGGCGCACTGTTGCCTGGCCTGTACAAGTGCCTCATCGTCGCTGCGCGCAACTACAAAGTCGCCGCTGCGGCCGTCAAGGGACGCCTCTGCACTAGCCTCATCCGGAAATACATACCTGCCCCGATGCCATGCCCCTTCAGATCCCACAGAAGGCTTGCATGGGCTGATACGCAGTTTTGTGTCATGTGCAACAAGGATAAGATGCAGGAGCAATTCCAATTGTACAGATGCAGGAGCGAGGGCATGTGTAGAGGAGCAAAGAGGTGGTCAGGACGCACCAGACGGGTATCCGGTGGCCCCACCAGAGCTGCCGGGATATGCACCAGTCCCTGATGTTCTCAAGCCACATGTTGTACGTCTTCTGAAACCGCTCCGGCAGAATCCTGATCGTCCCGTTTGCAACCGCCTGCGCACATACAAAGCCCCGGCCTCACTCTCAGCTGTTCTAAGTGATACCTGCCACTGCAGGACAATGCTCTACTGCTGCATTGCGCATGTGGAACCCTTATTGCCGGATTTGCCACGCTACATAACAGCAGACAAGCCAGCTAACCTCGCAAGAGAAGAGGAAGCCTCAAAAGTGCCTTGCCATCCAAAGCACTGCAAAGCATGGGCTGCAGGCGCACCTCGAGGGCGGGCTCTGCCAGGGGCTGCATGCGAACAAACCACTGCTCGCGCACCAGCGGCTCCACTACCTCGCCGCCCCTCTGAGACCGGGGGACGCGCATCGTGTACGGCTCCTGCTTTATCACCAACCCCGCTTCCTGCACAGCGCTCTGGCCACTTTACTACCTGGACCTCTTTCTCATCCCTGCTCTCCTGGCAATTTCTGCCTTGTCCTCTGACTTGTCTGCATGCGTCTTGAGATCTCACTGATGTATGGAGGATAGTCTGAGTGCTTATCAGAGAGGTATGAAAGCAGGGAAGGAGATTTGATTCATGTACAGGATGTTGCTGCAGGTGGAGTGAGCAGGCTTGCCTCCATGTCTGCCCAGAGCCGCTTGCGGGCTTCAAAGCGGTCTAAGCCGCAGTACGCGCCTGCTGCCGCATTCAGGGTGGCATCGTTGTTCATGATGTTGATGATCTCGAGGCCAACCCGCTGCAAATCACTAACTTGTCAATCCTTGAAGAGTACTATTCAAGCCAAACCCAAGAGGCTCATTGCCATCTCTTAGCCACATGGAAGACTGTGCAGGAAAGGCTCGGCCAGAACATGGTGGAAATTCTGATGCTAGGACAGAGGCTTTGATGGTGAGACTGCTGGAGGGGGGGTGTGACACATTCGCGGCTGACAGGAGACAGTTTGTCTGTACCTTGCCAATCTCATAGTCGTTAGGGTCATGGCCTGGCGTGATTTTGAGGGCGCCTGTGCCAAACTCCCTGTCCACGTATGTGTCAGCGATGATTGGTATCCGCCTGCAAGCACCCAGGACAATATATGCTACAGGATCAATTATAGCAAGGACCAAGGAAGCAAGAAAAACTTCAACTAGCACCATAGTCAGGCACTCTGCTTAAGCTACCATTGATTAGCAGACCCTTTCGCCTATCCGCAGCATTCAGGAGGCAGACGAAGGATGGCAAAAAATCCCACTGCATACCCATGACCCTCACCAACCATGGAAGCGAAGCCGCCGCCGACGACAATCAAGCTGGTACCTCAGTGTCCAGCAGATTGAATTCGGAAAATTGAAATTCATTTATAACTCGAACTTGAATTTCGAATGCAGCGCACCTGCCGCCGCTCATGGGGACTTCGCACTCTCGCCCGACCAGGTGCTTGTACCGCTCATCCTCGGGGTGAACTGCGACAGCCGTGTCCCCCAGGATGGTCTCCGGCCGAGTGGTCGCCACCGGCAGGTGCTCGCCGCCGCCGCCCGCCACCGGGTACCTGAAGAAGTACAGCGTGCCAGGATCCTCCGTGTAGTCCACCTGCATTGTCCAAGCTTAGCTCAGCGCATACTCGACTGGTTTGCATGGGCCATTTATATTGCAGTGGCAGCCCAATTGTGAGCAGAGGTGCTGTCTGCTGCCAAGCTAGCAAGCCTGCTTGCTGGTCAGAAAATTTTACCCCCAGATTTCCCAGGTCTGGACGGACTAGCAAAATCCCACCGCTCAGGGTGAGCCCTCAAGTCATGATGTATGCCGCGATTCCTTCTCTTTTGTTATTGTATCACTATACTTTATCACCATTGTAGAGTCAAGTGATTTCTCTCCTGCACTGCAGCAGCGCAAGAAAAGAGTGTTCAATGTGTTGTGGGCATGGCATTCAGGCAATCAAGTGGTTCACCTCGAGGTCGGAGACCGCGGTCTGCAGGTTGGGCGACCAATTGACCATGTAGCTGCCGCGGTAGACCAGCCCCTTCTCATGCAGCCGCACAAACGCCTCCCTTACTGCCGCTGCATACCACCCCAGAACCCGTCAGCCGTCACACATGAGTTCCTTTTTCCAGCTTGCCTGACCAAATTTTTTGCTGTAGCGGACTTGCAAGAATTCCTTCTCTGCACTGTAGTAGTACTGGAGTCCATACACAGAAGAAGCCGAGATCGTGCTCCTCCCAAACTGCCAGCTCCTTCCCCTGGCACTGCTGCAAGGATGTAGCTCGCAGCAGGTCTGTCCTAGTGACTTGATGAGGGAAATGTGGGGTCAACGATCCGCACAGAAGTGGTTTTGCTGTCCTCCCAAACACAACCCTGGATGACACAAGAGGCCCTCCACCCAAGGAGTACCCAAATAAGATTATATATAGCAACCCCTGTGCCCCCTGAGCAGGGGACTCTATGCTGACTTGTGTTTCTCTGGCCTGTAGTAACCAGATGACCTCTAGGTGGGGTTACCCATTACAGCATGTGTAGCAGGTATGTGTAAAAGTCAGGCCTGGCTCGGTCAAAGTGACTTAGAGTCCCCTGCCCTGAGGGGAGGGAACAGTGAACAGACAGACCTGAGAGCTGGGAGTCGAGGGTGAAGCGTTCGCGTGACCAGTCGCAGGAGGCTCCCAGGCGGCGCATCTGGCCGGTGATGAAGTCGCCGTACTCACGCTTCCAGGCCCACACCCGCTCCTCAAACGCCGCCCGCCCCAGCCCCAGCCGCGACTGCCCCTCCGCCGCCAGCATCTTCTCCACCACCATCTGCATAAGCAGGGGGTGCCAAGACATATCAGTCGTGTAAGGTAACGGGTAAACTCGGACCCATGTGCACGCAGTTTAGTTTATTTTCCATCTCAAGCCGGGCCACGCTCGCAGTCGCCGTCAGCCCCGGCACCCAAAAAATATCGAGTGCCACGTCAAGGCCGCAGCAGCAGAAGCAGTGACGAGACGGTTGCGCTGGCACAAATTGATGACAACAATGATGCTATTGTAATATGCACATGAAATGCCATCACATGTAGAAGCACAACCATGCGCTTCTACTCAGATCTTGGTGATCTGAGCAGAAAGTTGGCAAATTACACATGTGGGTCTTTGTTGACGTTTGTCCAATTGCAGTGGCATGGCTGAGGAATCCGGGGCAATAAGCAAATCAGCCTGGCTTAAAGCGCCAGTCCAAATTAGGGGCTCCTCTTTTGTGTGGACAGTTTTTATTGCAGTGTGGGATAAGTGTGTAGGGGCGTGCGCGCACGCACCTGTGTGGCGATGCCGGCGTGGTCGGTGCCGGGCAGCCAGAGGGTGGGGCGGCCGCGCATGCGGTTGAAGCGCGCCATGATGTCCTGCAGCGTCACAAACATGGCATGCCCCATGTGCAGCCGCCCCGTCACGTTCGGCGGCGGCATGGCTGCACATGCCGGCACACCCCTCAGCGCCCGTGTGGCGTGCCAGGTCAGCTTGATGCAGGATGATCAGATGCTCGCATGGCGCAAAAGAAAAGGAGATGTTGCTTACAGATGGTGAAAGGCTCCCCCGTCCCGCTTTCGGCTGGCTGGAAGCAGCCTTCCCGCTCCCACCTGACAATTCAAACAGGCACCACTTGCTTAGGTGGGGATCGATTTACAGGACACCAAAAGCGCACAGCAGCTCAGCATATGCACTATGATGCTGGTTGAAGCGTGCCTGTCATAGATCTCCTGCTCCTCCCCCACAAAATCGAATGTCTTGGGCAAGTCTGCCAGTGGCGCCGAGGGACCTGCATGCAGCATGCAGCGTCAGCAGCAAACCAAGAGGAATCTTATCAGGCAGGAAGGAAGATCAAAGAAGAGGCGTCCTGTCTGCAGCCCATTCAGCTTGGGTCATGAGGGGGCTCAGGGTAGCACCACCTGCCCCATTGGTGGCACACTGGCTGATTACTCGGGACTTGTCGTGAAATCGCTGTCTCTGGAACGACGAGTATCGCGGTGCGCATTTTATGCTGGACGCTCTCGTCACGCTAGATTTGCATGTAGTACATATCAACCTGCATTTGCTCTGAAGCCTAGCCTGAGCTTGCAGTGGGTGACAAGATCTCGAAAGGCATCGTACTCTGCACAGAGACAGTATTTTGCATTCTAGACCCAGATGAGCGGGCATGCTGGGGGTGCCAATCAGCATTGCCCTCCTGCAAAAGCCTAACAGAGAAAGCATGCACCGAGTCGGTCGTCACATCCACATCAATTTGCTGTCAAACACCCATTTATATGTTTTAAGACTACATAAGACTTTTGCAATATTACAGAGAATCAATGCTGCCCTCTCAAGGAAGGTAAGGCAAAGAAATGAGCCGTGGCCCAAGGCTTGGCTGAAACCTAGCTAGACCAGCGAGAAAGGGTCAAACCCTGAGGGAGGTGCTTCATGAAACAGGCCAGCTTCTTACCACTTCTTCTTATCACACTTTGTCCTAGGAAGAGTCAAGGTTCGTGGATCGGGAAGCTCATTTCTATATTTCTCAGAGTTGATGATCAAAGAGACGCAGGAAAACATGTCAACGGCAAACCTCGAGACATTAGCTGAGACATCGGGGCAGGGCCGCAAAGACTTCAATGCCCAGCGAGCTGAAGTTGAAGCGTTCTTGGCTCCAACATTCGGACGACCACTGCCAATAGCAAACGTACGGTATTTGTAAGAGATTTGCGTATCATGTCCACCCGATCCTGGACAATCTCTTTCAAACCAGTGGTCAAGGGAGCCATCAAACTCAACCATGATTTGTGCACTCACCTTTTGACAATCAATATTTACGTCAAAGTGGTTCAAAACAATCATTTGTTTGGTTTGAAACGTCGCAGGTCACTGATCGGGAGGTCCCAGGAGAGCATGGCGCCATCCCTGTGCGGGTGTACCAGCCCGAGAGCAAAACTCTCTTGCCGATCATGGTGTACTTCCACGGAGGTGGCTGGTGCTATGGGAGTGTCAACTCGCACGACTCCCTCTGCAGAGCATACGCGACCGCCTGCAATGCTGTGGTGGTCTCTGTGGAATACAGACTTGCACCAGAGCATCCCTTCCCTGCTGGCTTCAACGACTGCTACTCCGCCACAGCTTGGGTACGACCATGCTGCTCCATCCAAGCTTTGTGATTCAGCTCATAATGGTCAATGCATATGTCTGCGGTGCTCACATGCGCATGTATGACAGGTGAGCAAACATGCTGAAGAGCTGCGTGGAGATGCCACCACCCTGGCCGTTGCAGGAGACTCGGCTGGCGGCAACCTGGCAGCGGCTGTGGCGCTGAAGGCTCGCGGCCACAGCATTGATGGCCCTAACATCCGCTTCGAATGCCTCATCTGCCCGGTAATTGTCGTGCGTGTATATAAGAATAGCTCCTGCCAGGGGCGGAGGACTCATTGTATTGTCACTGCACAGTGTTGAGCTGTGAGACAGCTCTTCCTCTTATCTCTGCCGCTTGTTCTGCCCTGATGTCTGCATTTCTGTCCTTAGAAACTGCTGCCTGTTTGTCTGCAGATATGGCACGGGAACATGGGGGAACATGCGCTGTTGGGAAAAACGATGTTGTCATGTGCGCTGTGCGTATGACAGGTGTTGGACTACCACAGCCCAGGAACGCCGTCTTACGCAGAGCATGGGGGCGAGGGCGCCTTTGTTTCGCGCAAGAATATGGAGGAAGTATTCCGGCACTACGCGCCGAAGCCGGAGGACTTGACCAGCCCGCTGGTGTGCCCCCTCAAGGCGCAGGATCTTTCAGGGCTGCCGCCTGCGCTGATACTCACTGGCGAGAGGGACCTGCTGAGAGATGAGGGGGAGGCTTATGCTGCCAAGCTCCTAGATGCCGGGTAAGGCTCTTCCCCAGTGCAGCCCCTTCACTGCATTGACCTGCAGTCTGGCAGAAGCTCAGAATGGCGCTGCACATTACATCTATCTGTCCTGTCCTGTGTCTTTGAGGTATCATGAGTGACCGCACTCTTGCAGAAGCTCAGAATGGCGCTGCACATTACATCTATCTGTCCTGTCCTGTTGTCTTTGAGGTATCATGAGTGCCTTACAGTCTGGCAGGAGCTCAGATTGGCGCTGTAGGACATCACTCTGATCTTTTCTGTTGTCTTCAAACATCTTCATGGGCAAGGTGCCATTATGAAAATGATGCATCATCTTGGGCCAAGCACAGAAATTCCAAGAGGGAGCCACGCCCATGGTAGAAAATGACTGACACTTGCAAGGCAGCCCTTCCTCTTATATCTGGCGCTCGCGCTGCCTTGATGCCTATGTATCTCTATCACTAAAATGACTTTGTCAACAAGCATGCTGTGCTGCAGGGTGGACGTGTCACTGAAGAGGTTCAAGGGCGCTGTGCATTTTGGCATGTGTTCCCCGATACTGGCCCCGGCAGATTTCAGTCTGTCCCTCGCCCTCATGAAGGCGCACTGGCAGCATGCCCTGGACGCCTCAGCGACCCCGTCAGAGACTTTTCACTCAACGCTGTGATGATCGATGATTGGTGAGAGCTGCATGCCTCCGGCAAGGCTCAGAGTATACAGCTACAAAGCTGATCGCAGGTGTACACTTATACAGAAGTAGGCTATGTAGCAGATAAAGCATAAGCAAGTGACAACATCATATTGGCAGTGACTTGTAGATCGGTGGAGCTGTTAAATAGCTAGCTGATCTCTCGCCCCTGCGGGTGCTATTGTTGTACTATATACTGGCTGGATTGCAGTAGACTTGAGGTTAAGCTAGCCTATTTTTGTACTGCACAGGAACATAGGTGACAGTGCTGGAGCATCTTGCGCGCAGTATCATGTATACATGATACTGCTACGTAGCATGCACATATAGCGCTACGGGTCCCTGCATGGCATTAATCGTGTGACAAAGGACGCCATGCCCGGAACCTGCCAGACAGGTTTGTTGATGCCTAACCAAGCAAAATATATATGTTTTTCGGTCTTCTGTGGTCTGGTGAACACATTGAGCGAGGGCTGAGGAGGTAGAAAGGACACATAAAATCTGGCACGTGCTTCAAAAGGGGGGTTCCGTGAGATTCCGTTGACCGGGTCAAAAGTGTTTCGTATGTTCGACTTGCTGCTTGAAATCTTCAGACTTTTTGCTGATTGCGGAGGTTTATTGAGGATGTGATGAATTTGCAGTCCCCTTTCAGCCCTGGATGCAGCGGTCTGCTGCTCCTGCCTGAAGCACTGTCGACGATTAAAGTCGGACTCGACAAGTATCTCGAAGCGTAGTGTATCAATTGCGTTGATGAAGACCCTCGCATTGTCATATATCATCTGTGTCGCTGCCATCGTCTGCGGCGTTAAGACACCGCTGCCAGGCCCAGACAACTGGGATCATCTGCCCGAAGCAGAACACAAGGCAGGACACCTTGCATGGGGATGGATCGAACACAGCTTCCAGTAACGCAGTGGATTCTATTAAAAAGGCTTCATGACTAATTATTAATGACCAACCCGACTTCTTGCATTTTTATTAGATATAGTTCGTCTGCCTTTGCTTCGGGGGCACAGCCAAGTTGCTGACTCTTCCTTTTTCTTCAGATCGTATTGGAGCGGGAGACGGTGTCAACGATTCCAAGAAAAGAAATTCGCGGAATCATCTTCGCGTTTCATGGGTGCCTCCAATACGTGACCCAGTTTGGCTTTGCATCGTCAGCCTGCCCAACATGCCACGGTAAGCGCCTCTTACCTTGCACGGTATGAAGAAAGCGCTGTGTGTGATATATTATCATGATTTCCCAGACACCATTTTCTGTGATCAGGCTTTGCAGTGAAACCGTCTAAGATGGCAATACTTTGTGTAGGATCACCCGAGGTGATGACTCTTGTGTACAAGGCGGTGCAGAGGGGGTATGCTGTCGTGGCAGTGGGCGCGCACCGCGGCGGCGACAAGTGGCGCTGCTATCAGACCCACTGGCCCCCCGAGGAATATCATGAGATCTCAGGGGTGAGCACCAGCTTCCCCCTCATTTCCATGGGTTTTTCTTACATTAACCCATTTCTTTCACCCATAGTAATGCTTCCTGGCTTTCAGTAGTCCACCCAGTACTGGAGAAGTGATCCCCAATGTCAGGGCGACAGAATGAGGCCTGCCCACATCCAACTTTAGCTGCAGAACAAGGGCTGGGGAGAACCAGCAGCAATATGCAAAGCTTGATGGGAAAATAGAGAACGGCATTGATCAAGCAAGTGCCTACCTGCGGAGGACCTTCTCTAGATGCTTGCTAGACACTGTGCTGACAGGGCAGCCATGTATTGGACGCATAATAAACTGCATGCATGCTGGCGCAGATAATCAAGGTTATGAAGCACCTCATGACGGAGCGGAAGTGGTGGCATCTACCCCGCTATGCCTTTGGCTCTTCCTCTGGCGGCTGCATTGCTCTGGAGCTCGCCCTGCGCTTCCCCCTGCAGGCAAGCCTCTCCTCTCAACTCCAATATTTTCCGCCCATCTCTCGTTTTCTAGATTTTGCCGTGACTGGGTGCCCTGCAGACAAAGCCAGGACTATCTCACAACATCCCTGTTATGCATGGCAGTAAACCATGGGCTGCCCCATGTTGAGGTCACTTGAGGCCATTAGGGTGCAGAAGGAGCCATATGGTGTTTACTCCAGATATCCTTCGGTGTGCGCTTACACCAGCAGGAGACAATTACACGCCTGTGAGTACCCAAGTGCTGTGCAAGCATCTAGTGTATGGTCTGTCTCAATAGTCAGCAACACTATGCGCGGTGGCATCTTTACTCCTGTGTATGTCAACACATCTATCAGGCTGGGCCACGCTACCACAAATTTGCTGCGGTAGGCTTCATGCATGCGATGCAAATGGATTTGATGTAATGAAATTTGCATAGGGGGTGGCCAGTATGCTGATGGGCTTCCAGATGAACACACTGGAGGAGGCTCTGCAGCCTAGGAACCCCCGCAATGGTCACACCTGGGCCTACCCTCCAGTCATCATATTGAGGACCCTTCTGGACGAGGGAAGCGTCATCGAACGCGTCAATCGGACCCTCAACGCCCTGCAAGCCCAGGCAAGATACTCTCTACTGCTTGCTCCATGTCGCTTTCCTCGCTGCAATCTGTAACGAACCTGCATTGTCACACAATTGTCACATGATTTCCAGTCTTGAGGACTAGGTACATCAGGCATATCATGCATTCCTGTTTTTACCCCCTGTCCGGCGGTGTTAGATTCTCTCGACCAGTGACAGTCACAAGTGTGGTCCAGAGCATCATTTTTGTCCTCTCACACAGACATTCCAGCTCTTCAAAACGTCAACAATAAATGCAGAAGCACTGCTGCACCCTCCTTCTTGCATGCAGCTGACATTGCTGCCTGGGGTGTGGGCAGGGGACAGTGACAAGGAAGATTGAGTTGAAGCCATACGCGCTGACGCCGCAATTCTTTGCCGGCCGCATGCGCGGAGTGAGCGCAGAGATCTCGCAGCAAATCTTTGCCCGGCTGCAAGCCATCCATGTCATCGATGAGAATGGGTTGTGCATCTGGGAGAAGTGTGAGAACTGCTGGTAAGATTCTCTCAATGACTCAACCACTGCCCAGTGCTCAAAGCCATATCCTAGAAAAGACCATGACATTTACAGAGCATCTCTGCTCCTGGGCAGAAGGTGTCCTAGTTGATGCATGCTTTGCAAATACATTGCAGGGGCTGCCGAATATTTGGTAGGCTTGCAGTGCCTTGCATCTATATTTGTAAAATATTGCAGTGCAGATCAAAGGGAATATGCTGGGGGAGATCTCCTAGCTAGGGATGAGTGGAAAGCAATAATTCTGGGTGTTGCTTGACGTACCTAGTCCTTAATTTTGGAAAATGTGTGATGTTAATAACAATGACTCCTAGCTTTGGTGCATGCTCAGGGATCCGCTCTATGAGACGGTGAAGAGTTCGCTGTGGGACCTCTTTCCACAGTGGGAAGACCTGCACTATGATGCAGCCTTCAAGGAGATGCTGTGGGCAAGCGAGGGAGGTGAGTGCCGTGTGCTTCTTCCATCGAAATGACACCAAATCCAACAGAAACTCTGAAGACTGGTTGCACATTGCAGCTCCCTCTGTGTCTGAACTAATTTTGCTCGGCCATGCCGCTATGCATCGCATGCAGACACATGCACTTTTGCACTTTAATTCTTATCTTTCCTGTTCAAAACGTGCGCTGCATGCAGTTGGCGCTGAGAGGCTGATGTGTCTGGGGGCTGCAGAGCATGTGACGACCTTACACTGAATCAACTGCTTCTCATTCATTACTTTTCGTGCATGTAGACAGAGGCAGTGGATTTTGCTGCATGCACTTACAGGCACTGAACAGCAGTTGTCTGGTGCACAGTGCATGAGACGACATCAGAGTACACGGATGACATCATCGACTTCTTTGAGGACACGGTGTCGGCCGCTCCGAGTATGGCGGCCGATCACCCGGCGCTTCACGGCGGCAGCGCAGCGCATGAGAGCCTGGCTGCAGCGGCGTTCCTGGACGGCCGCAAGTCTATCCTGCCTGACATGCAGCGGCCCAACCATCGCAGGATGAAAGCTCTGCACGACTGAATTGATGATGTTTCCACGTAAGGCTGTGGAACACTAACATACAGCGGCCTAACCACTGCAAGATGAAAGCTCTGCACAAGTGAACCTGAGGAGTAGCCTTTCAAATGATAATGATTTGACAGGCAGTCCTAGAGCACTGACATGCAGGGGCCAAATCACCGCAGGTTGAAAGCTCTGCACAACTGAACTGATGATGCATCCACGTGCGGCTCGAGAACACTAAATCAGCGGCCAAACAATGACAGGATGACAGCTGTGCACAAGCAGTTCTGGAACGCTGATATGCAGCGGCCACAACCATACATCTTAAATGCTATGCGCAACTGAAGACACTTGAAAATGGTGATATTTTCCCGTGCGGTCATGGGTGTTAAGGTATGAAAAGTCTGGCAGGAAAGTAGAGAGGTTTTGGTCCCTTCAGGGCTGTCAAATTGTCAGGCCCTGGAGATGATTACTGCTCAGCACTGTTGACATCAGCACTGTGGGGACTTTTTCCTTTGATAGTGCCTTTGATAGTAAAGAAGCGATTTTAGTAGGCGTGAATAACGTGCGTCCCTGTCAGTCAGGTTTGGAAGAAAGCACTGGCTGAAAGGTCTTTTCTTGAAGTATGAAGTATGCCTGGGTATTAAATAGATTTGAGAGGTTCAAAGACTGCTCTTGTTTACCCAAAGACGGGTGTTCTTTTCATATTGTAGAGGGCAAGAATGATTGTGTCTGTGTCTGGACTGTTGGCAGGAACTGTGAACGAGGGATTATATATAATATATGTACCTTGCTGGGCCCTAAGTTGCCCTCGTTCGCCAATTGCTCATCATAGGACCACAGATCCTAGGAGCCGCTTCCTGAACTTCCAAATATTTGAGATACCACCAACTTCCAAATATCTGAGATACCTATTTCACATACATTATTTACAGCGTAATCTTGTACAGTTGGCTAGCTAGTCAGAAGGGTATGTGAAGGTCGGGTCCAGAAGAGTGCACTTGAAGAGAGTGACCAGGTATTTGGCGGATGCTTTGTAGTAGCGCTGCTGCGTGGTAAAATCCACATGCACCACGCCGAAGCGCTTCTTGTAACCGGATCCCCATTCAAAATTATCAAGCAGGCTCCAGGCAAAATATCCCGTCATTGGCACCTGCGCAATGTTTAATGCATGTGTAAGTCATCTGCACAGGTGCTATAATTCCATGCCAGTCCTGCAAGAAGGCAAGCTGCAGGTAAAGGCTGTCACACATCCTACACCTTGTCGAAATTGCCAGAGCAAGATGCCACATCGCAAATGTGCAGAGCAGGTATCCATCCCGCCTGAATTCACATGTTGTCACATCCGTGGGTGCACACTCGGCAAGCATGCATGCCATGAGTCAGCAATGAGTCACCCGTCCATTACAGCTCAAGAGGTGCACCTTGTCGATGGTGACAGCTTCGGTGGCCGCTGCGATGTAGTCTCGGTAGAAGTTGACGCGCTGTGTGTCCTGCAGAGCCTGTGGCATTGGCATGGCGTCCTCGCCCTTCATGCTCATGCCGTTCTCTGTCACGATGATCTCCTTGGGCTGGTACCTGACCGGGCAATGCAAACCACGTTGGTGACTCACCGGCGCTTGCCGATGCCGGCATGCACATTTGCAAATCACAGTGCATGGCGCATTGAAAAGATTGTAGGCAGCAGCAGAAGTAGTGCTATCTGCCACAACGTCTGCACATCATTAGCAGGGCTGATTACCGCCCCACCATTTCCAACCACGACTTGCCACAATATCTCCTTGCATGGTCGAGAGCACACAACAGGAAGGAAGGCTGCAGAGTCACATGTTGACGCGAGCAAAACAAAGGTGCTGTGCATGACGCACAAACACACGAGCCCTTTTGCAATGCACCAGAGGCCCACAGGACAGCGGGAACACACCTGTCGTTAACCCAGTTGAGCATGAGCCGGAAGCCCCAGGGCGTCACTTTGAGCCAATCGCTCTCGGCCTCGGCGCCGATCAGCTTGCCGGCCAAATCCACCTGTGTTTCAGAATAGTCACACGGCCCCTGCAGACCTATGGCGCCCTCCTTGTCTGCCACATACCTGCGGCCCAAGAGGAAAGCTGAGTGCGTCCTTTGACTCTGCAATGCACAGCATGAGAATGTGGTAGTGGGCAAGGACTGATAAACATGTTGAAAATGCAACTTTTGGTGCAAAGAAGATAAGGTCAGTGCGAAATGCGTACGTGGAAGTGTAGTGGTTGAGAGCGAAGTAGTCCACAGATCCCTTCAGGTCAGCTGCCTGCGCACAGCACCACTCACTGTCAATGCCTTTCTCATTTCACAGCAAGCAGACTTTGGTGCTCCTCAGCATCCCAAGCAACACCTTGAATCCAGCCTCTTGATATTGCCGATGCCAACATGGCAAATTAGTAGTAGTAGTATTAAGGGGTGTACTTTCAACCTTTTTATTTCGCACTTCCTCCTCCAGTCGCATGCGTGCCAATAGCGTCAAGGTCATCTCTCAAGACTGAACAGCACTAGTCCAGGTGCTGCTTGATGTACCCAGTCCTCAAGACAAGAAAATCTTGAAAACAGATTGAATATAAATAAGGTCCCCTGGGGTGGATCTTCTATAGGGATGTGAAGTTATATGTTGGGCAGGGCCGCACCATCTGGGCCGTGATCTGGGGCAGGAAGGAGATACGCTGCTTGACGGATGCGGGGTAGTCACCCTTGAAGATGGGGTCTGCAAACGCTGCCAGCATGTATTCCATCTTGCGCTCGGCTGCAGCCTGCATGCACAAAATAATATCTCGACCTCCAGTTCTATCAGGCTTTGCTAATTTTGCGGTAATGTCTGTGTCGCACAGTACTTGAACATCTGTAGTGCCCCTTTGCCCAGACAAGTGTCTGTCTTTTATGCATTCCTGCTATGCATGCTGTGATTGGTGCCCACACCAAGCAGTCATTAGTCTACTAATCAGTATCCTAATGTATATGCCAACAGGACTTCCAGCTGGACACCAGTCTGTCAGCGATATCAAGGTGCTATGTATAGTTAGGTGGCCGTTTTGAACAGCAGACACATTTATGGTGGCAGTTGTTTCTACGTTAGAACCAAGTCACCAATACTAAGTAAATACTAGGAAGTAAGATTTACCTTGTCAGGTGGAGAAGCGGTCAGCGGCTGGGCCCAGTCGCAGTTGAGGTTCATGCTGATCTTGCCGTTGGGTACGAGCGCGCGGAACTGCTTCACTGCCGCTGCATGCGCCTTCAGCACATTGTGCACGCAATTCCACGCCTGGACCTGCACAGCCAAAATAGAAATCAAGGTACATGAAACGCACGCGGCCCTTATACAGAGACTCTATGCACAGTGGCTGCAGCTGGCGGGGGCCGGTGTAACTACCGAGCCCCGCGCCCATGGTTGATTGAGCTTTGCTCCAATCTGGCAAGGCCATCAAGGGTAGACATATCTGGCTTCTTTTGCATGCAGCTTGAACGCAGATGATCCTTTTCTCCGGCAAGCACAGCTTGTAATGATAAGAGTGATCTTTTTGCACACCAGGAGTATCTGCGCTCAATGCTCCTCATGCCTCTCAGGCCCTATACATTTGGCAGATGTAGTCAATGAAACTCCAAGGGATAGTAGTTGCCAGCAGCTCCTAGACCAGTCTACTCAAACTTCTTTGAAGTGAAACAGACAGCAAATTTTGCGGCGCAGATATGTGGCAAGCAGTGCAGAAACTCCAGGTTTGTTCCAGTACAGTACGACAGCAAGCTAGGGCGTAGAAGTGTGTAGAGTCAGGAGTGGCACCTTATCGTTGAGGCCGGGGGCACCAGAGCCCTGGCCATAGCCGAGGAAGCAGAAGGTCCAGGGCTCGTTGAAGGTAGTCCAGTGGACCACTGCGTCCCCAAACGCCTTGAAGGCTGTGGCCGCATACTCTGCAAAAATCGGCACAATCTGGTCGCTGTTCCAGCCCCCAAACCGATCTTGCAGCGCCTGTAAACAGTAGTGTGATCCACTTTTCAGGGGCGGAGTCTTGTCATTGCTCCTCGAGACTCCTCTCCTGCATGAGCGCTTCTGGAAGACTTTAATGCAGCTAGATTATTAGGGAGTGCAGCCACTCGCTTCACTCATGCAGAAGGCTGCGCATGTTTCAGCCATATTTTAAGTTTGACTCGGCACTGTGCATGCCACTGAGATTCGTGGTCTACTGTCCAGAGGGAGAGTTTTGCCATGACTTTGCATGCAGGCTTTGCACGCCATGCATTGCAGCTGCATCCCTAAGCATGCAGCAACTTAGATATGAACTTCAAGTTAGGATTATGTGGAGAAGGCTGCGCGTGTGGCACGACGCAGGATTTTGATGTAAAACATTGATTTTGACGTTGTAATCTGCAAAATAATGAGATTGGAGTAGTTGTTGCATGGGGATGAGCCAGTGAGTCACCTGAGGGAGGTCCCAGTGGTACAGAGTCACATGCGGCTCAATCTCAGCCACCAGGAGCGCTTCAATCACCCTGTTGTGACAGTTCACACATCTACTTTCAGCTATCACAATTTGCTGCAGAGCCTTACAGCATGCACTGACACAGGCATCGGCATGCGAACAGGAATTGCAGATGACTGTACACTATTTGTGGGACGGCCCACTTAAGCTCAGCCAGGCGAAACTAATGCCAGCACAAGTAGGCTAGCTGCCCACAAGCACTAAACCCACACAGTGCAAATCACTAGGCAAGCACAAGCACTTGCAATAGCACATGGAGTCACAGCTGACTGCTGAATCTGTGGTGCGGCCCAGACGGCTTAGCCGGTTAAGAATAACGCCAGCAAAAGTGCAGGCTCCCCATATCCACTACACCCAACTAGACTGGTCAGCATGTGGCGCTTGCTTGAGGGCGTCCTCGTCTCTACTCTTCATCTGTCTATGAACTTTCTGGTGTTTCGAGCTACAGAGTCCCGGTATTTATTTTGAATTTGGACAGGCCATAATAATGATGTCCCCCTCTGCTCTGGCGCTGCCCTAGATTGGGCTGTTTGTACAGTGCAGAGTTTAGTCATACCTGCCGTAGAAGTTGATCCCCTTGTCATTGACCTGGCCATCTCCGCCCGGCAGGATGCGCGGCCAGGCCAGGGACATGCGAAATTTCTTTACCCCCAGCAGGTGCATCGCGGCGATATCATTCAGGTACCGGTGGTAAAAGTCGTCCGCCACCGCGCCTGCGCTCGGTTACTAATCAATAAGTCGATTACTAATTATTATGTAAACATTGCATTCACAGGCCCCGGCTGGCGGGGGGCGGTACAAATACCGAGCACCGTGCCCACGGTTGATTGGGTCTTGCTTGGATCTGGCGAGTCCAACAAGGGGTAGGAATTTGGCAGCCTTTACATGCAGCTTGTCTGCAGACGCACTTTGCCTTCGGCAGGAAAAGCGTGTAATGATAATAATAATTGCATTCAGTGAGAAAGGAAAACCCGGCTGGCTGGGGCCGGAACACGTGCTGAGCATCGTTTCCACTATTCTTTGGGTCTTGCTTGACCTGGGTTAGCTGGGTTATCCTCCGAATTGCATTCTGCTTGCCCCTTTAAGAATTCTGATGTTGACTGCTTCTCAGTGATGTTTATCATTGCCAGAAGCAAAGGTCGCATGCAGACAAGCTGCATGCACAGGCTGCCAAACCTCTACCCATGTTGCACTTGCCAGATTAAGCCATGAATGGTGCCATCAACAGGAGATGCTTCGGCCAAGCATGCAGGAGGCATGCAGATTGGTGAAGTTGGTCACTTGTGTCGCCGCTGTCGATGTTTCCTGGGATGGCAGCATATGTGTCCCAGATGGAAGGGCCACGGCCGTCTGTTGCGTTGGCGCCTTCAATCTGCAGCCCACAGCAGATTGCCTTAGTCAAGGAAGGCAGTCACGATGCAATGGGGCCTACAGTCGATTGATTCTGGATCTGGCGAGTCCATCAAGAGTAGGATCTGCGGCAGCCTCTAAATGCAGGTTGTCTGCAGGCGGATCTTGCCTCTCTGGCAGGAACAGCGTGCAATAACAGTATTGATAAGTCAAAAGTGCTGGACAGCTGTCATCACCTGAGGAGCAGCTGTGGCAAAGCCAAGGTAGAAAGGAGGTTTTGTCTGCGCCCCCTCCACCTACAGCAGCACAAGTCACAGATCACCACGCAATGACGCAGCACGATATTTCAGTATTATCTCAGGATATGAGGACTGCATTTCAGCAGAACATTTCATGTGCTGCAGTGTGGAAGCGTCACCTGGACTTCTGGAGCCACGAGGCTTCCGTTGTCGACGAAAGATTTCCCTCGACCTAAGGTGCCAGCGACTGCATACATGAAATGACTTTTGCAAGCACTGGGGTCTCCTTCAATCGGTGACTGGTGGGTGAGTGAGGCAGCAAAGCTTGCGGAAATCTTCCCGAGCGTTTGATACGAGTGCACGCAGAACAGTACAATGGTAAATTTGAGGCCAGCAATATTTTACCTTGGGTGTCAGAGGCCAGGCAGATCAACAAGGCAATGACAACAGCGCCTTGGACTACTAGTAGTGATGGCCCCATCTGCACAACAACGGAAGTTTGAAGACACGGGCTAGAATCGCCGTCAAATTGAAAAACAAATCACAATTTGAACCAATATGCTTCCTGAGTTAGGTTTTGATCGCTGCAGCCTTCACTTTAGAGTCTGAGCGTTGTGACGGGGTCAATCTCGTTCGACATATATTTTGTAGGACGGCTGCTTCCGTTGAAAAGCAACGACAAATAATGAACCAAGAAAAAGTGAGACATTGTTTCCAAAACAAAGGCGCGAACTCTTTGCAAGAAAGCACCTGCAACCTTTTCGCTTCCTGATGACATGCACTTTTGGCAGTGCCTCTTTTGAGTCTATTCGTCGCAAGTGTCAGGCCACGCTCTGGACTTATTAAAAATTCAGATTATTGTTCTTGCAACTTCGGTCTATTTTAATGGTGGAGCTGTCCGTTTCGTTTTCACAGATGAAATGAGCCAGGATGCTGACGTGGACGGGACCCCCTTGGCCGATTGAGGTTTCCCCCCTTTCCTTGTCAGGGGAAGGAAGCCACTTCTACATGTAAGCGGCAATAGATTTATTCCAGCTTCCGCAACTGAAGCAGCTTCCCCTCACAAGGAAGCTGCTCTCCCTGTGTTGGGCCAGCGTCCATGAATCCTCTCCTATGGAAGTCCCTTATGTGTTTCGTATCATGCATTTTGGGAACGCAAGCCATGCTGCACTTCAAATTACTGGGAGATTGGATCAGGTCCCACTGCTTGCAGTGACTGGCGGTCATGCCATGTCAGTGACCCCGGGATTATCATATATGTATATACTACCCATGATGGTTGCAATTGCAACACAGTGGCTGCGCAGCATGCACGCAGTACCATGGTGGCAATAACAGCATCAGACTGGATGGTACACTAAACAAATTTATACCACTATCTCACCGTTTTCCCCTGAATTGTCAACGTCCTTCAACTGGGTAAAGCGTTTTCATAGAAGGTTTGCATCAATTGTCCCTTACGTCAAACTGAATAGGAGTGTAATGCTGCTTTGCACTGAATGCCGTGGTGTCTAATACTTGCTGCCCAATCCCCAACGCTGTTTTAAGAGCGCTTCAGATCTTCTTCACTGAGAACTCAATGGGCGTGTACTGCTCCTTTGCATTAAAGGTCATGGTGTCCAAGACTTGCTGACTGTACCTTCCCCCAACCACCTGCGCAGCATGGCATCGGTGTGAGATCACCATACTTGGAAATAATCAGTCACTGAGGATATGCACACCTCAGCAGCTTGCGGTTGTGGCTTGCGCAGTTGCTCGGTATGTTTGGTTTGCACCCCAGGAGTATGACTGTTCTCACCTTTCCCGGTGCAAAGATGTCTTCCAAGTGCGCCTTCTCTTCAGGCGACAGCTCCACAAAAAAGGCTGCAGCATTTTCCTGCATCACAGACGATTGCACTGAATGCCTGTCACACTCATTCAACATGCTGGTCAAAAGAGGGTTGAGCATCTTTAGCATCTTCAAAGTTTCCAAACCATAAGTCGTACAAGATGAAACTTGTGCTGTGATGCCATGCCGGTCTGACCTGTCCCACAGAGGGATTTATGCACACTGTCTCTAAGGTGCATTTCAATATCAGAACTGCACCTCCAGGTATTTGATGCGCTTGGTGCCTGGGATGGGGAAGACATCCGGTCCTTGTGCATGCACCCACGCCAGCGCCAGCTGCCCCCCCGGTGTCACACCCTTCCTGGCAGCCAGCTCTTTCACTCGCTGCACCAGTGCAAGATTGGCCTCCAGTGCACCCTCCTTGAAGCGAGGCTGCGCCTCCAGCCGCCAGTCGTCCTTGCTGCCTCACCACTAGAAGGTATCAAGGAAAAGCTACCAATTGCCTGTTAGAAATCTCAGCCCGAACAAGGCATGCCGACATGCATGTTTGGGGAAATTCGAGGGTAATGTCTACATTCAGAGTCGCTGTCTATGTGCAAAGGCAAAAGTTTGATCTGACATATCAGCCTGCAGACTCAATAATTAATCTGAGGCCAGACATTTGCAAGACGAAAGCACGCAGCACTGCTTGGAACAACAGGCAGGGGAGGTGGCAGCAGAAGAAAGGCTCACTGCAGGTCATCAGCGGAAGCGATGGCGCCAGTGAGTAAGCCCCGGCCCAAGGGGCTGTATGCGACTATGCCAATGCCCAGCTCTCTCAAGACAGGGATGATTTCCTCCTGCAGGAAGTCAATTGCATCCTAAATAGCAGCCCCTACATACTCAGCGTTCACTAGGTCAGAGCAGACATATTTGACAGCCGGAAACAAGGGCGATTATTGACGCAGGGCAATTAAAATGGCTTGCCTCTGCGTCTCGCGACCAAAGGCTCCATTCCAACTGGCAGGCAGTGATCGGGTGGATCTTGTGCGCGCGCCTGATCTCATCGGCCGACGCCTCTGAAATGCCCAGGTACTTCACTTTCCCCTCTTCCACAAGCTCCTGCACCCCACATGCAGCCATTTGGTCACCCTGAGCCTCAGCCTGCCATATGACATGAAGGGTGTTGAGCAGATGGAGTTGACCAGGATGCACTCGCTGCTCTGGGGTCCGCAGACATGACTGGTGAGATCACTGCATTCAGGGGGAACAGAGTCGAAGCAAAAGTGACAGAGACTGAATGAGCATTAGTCTGTCATGACAGAGGGGTCTCACCTTCAGGGCCTTCCAGGTCTCCTCAATGGGCACTGTCCTGTCCACACGGTGCTGGTAGTACAGGTCAATCTGAACAATGCCCAGCCGCTTCAAAGACCCCTCCACCGCTGAGCGCACATACTCGGGGCTGCCGTGCACTGCGAACTTCTGCGCCCCGCATTTGGAAAGGAGTCAGCACACCATTGTAAGATCGTCCCACATTAGTCTTGTATGGCTGTCCTTTGCTTCTCTGCTACTGTGTCCCACCTCAGTCGTTGCAACGCTCGAGATCGATAAATATGGCAGGAACAAATTTATGGGTGCAGATTCATACACGGCAGTCAGGACATGTGGGCAAAGCTGGGAGCGCTCAATCGCACCCCTGTGCTGAAGGAGATACCGAACTTCGTGGCGACCGTGAAGTTACTCCTGCGTCCGTGGATTGCTTTGCCTGGTCACAACTTGCTTATTAAGAAGTGTGCTAACGTGTAACAGATGTACACCTTGTTCTCACGGGCCAAGTGACACATAAGACAGGGATGCAGTGCTCACCAACAAGGTTCTCATTTTTATGTGGCCCGTACACATCACTCGTGTCAAGGTGGGTTACGCCCAGCTCCTGTGCCCTGCAGTACCGGTGAGGGGACGTCACATGCCCGCAGAGCAGAAATGGATGAGGGCTTAAGGCTTGAGCAAAGCAAAGGAGAAAGCAACACTTGTGTACAACAGCGATGCTCTCTGATTCGGAACCAAATGCCCCATCTGCATTTTTGTATGCAACGCTCATTCCCATACAACCCTGCACACCGGTTGCAACAGAATGAGAGCAGACGCGAGTAAGAACGATCTTTTTGGACTCTTCGACTACAACTAAGGCCCAAATACACAAAAAAATAGTCATCGTACCAATCCTTGGGCGCTTGAGAGCAGACCCTGGCTCCCCAGTGGTCGGATTGGTACTTTAGTGGTGGTCATCTTCGGATAAATGCCGAACGGATTTTTAAGTATCAAATGCTTTCTGATGGCTTTCCTATGCACAGAAACCAACCTCTTGAACGGTGCAGGAACGATGTATTTGCCTAGGGATGAGTCCAATGTTGCCTCTCTCATGCTATATGCCATAAGAGTTACAGCTTCCGTGACGAAGGCAGCTTCCCCACATGAGGAAGCTCAAGGGTTCTTCGTTCTTCGGAATGTACGCGATTAAATGGTTGCTCCGGTTGTATCTGAAGATGTATTCCTCTTGAACAATTCCAATCTGTATGAGCACCACCTTTCCACCGTCCCTCACTGGATGGTCCTAGGAGGCCTCCAATTACAATTATTCTTCACAGAATATTCCCACCTCAATTGTCCTTCACGTCCTATTCAATCTGAATAGGAGTGTACTGCTCCTTTGTGCTGAACGTCATAGTGTCCATGACTTCCTGACTGTACCTTCCCCCAACCACCTGCACAAGACAGCACCACCATGAAACCTCAAATACCCAGCAATGGGAAATGAGACAATGCATGTCGCATCTGAGAAAATTGCTCAAGAAGCAGCTGGAAGCAGTCTGTTGTGCTGCGCTTCCCACCTTATCTGGAGCAAAGATCTCTTCCAAGTGCGCCTTGTCTTCGGACGACAGCTCGATGAAGAAGGCTGCAGCATTTTCCTGGGCATCAGATCGACATCTGAGACGCTATGAAAGTCCAATCACATTGCCAAGAACGCAGCATGCCTCCTTCTTCTCCCCCTTGAGATTGCGCTAGTCAGGTGAGACGGAACCTTCCAAAGAGGGCCAAACGCAAGGTGCCAAGGGAGTTGTTCACATTCAAGCTAGCTTTAACAACACTATTGTTACAATTACCACAGCAAGTGGGGAAGTCATCTCCTGGTGCTCATCTGGTGTCTGTGGCTTCAAGGGGGCCCGTAAGGGCACCCCCTTTACCGCCAAAACTGCGGCAACGACAGCAGCGAAGCAATCCATCGCCCGAAACAGCGAGCAAGGAAAGTCACTCTTGATCCTGATGATCAACCAAGAGAAAGCAATCAAGTTGCATGCTGGGGCAGAAGTAGCGCACCTCAAGATACTTCATGCGCTTGGTACCTGGGATGGGGAAGACATCCGGCCCTTGCGCATGCACCCAAGCAAGCGCCAGCTGCCCCGGTGTCACACCCTTTCTGGCAGCAAGCTCCTTCACGCGCTGCACCAGTGCAAAGTTGGCCTCCAGTGCACCCTCCTGGAAGCGCGGCTGGCCCTCTAACCGCCAGTCATCCTTGCTGCGGATTTACAGCTTCTGATTCAGCACAGCTAGATCTGCAGGCCATTTCCAAGGAAACGAGCAGACAGCGAACGCCAAGGCAGCATTTTCGTGCAGGAATTCCTGTCGTTGAGACCTGTCCAGAATTGATACTTCAGAATTGGCATGTGCTTTCTTCCACAAAAGAACGCATCCGATTTTTGTGGAAAGCAGTGCCATGGCAGGAGATGTAAAGGGAGGGCGTCAGGACGAGGAACTCACTGCAGATCATCAGCGGAAGTGATGGCCCCTGTGAGGAAGCCGCGGCCCAAGGGGCTGTATGCCACTATGCCGATGCCCAGCTCTCTCAGCAGAGGAATGATCTCCTCCTGCATTAGCAAAATGACAAGATCAGCCACCTCTGCCAACCCAGCAGTAAGTCTTTGCGAGACAATGCAAAGCCCACAACAAGGGATGTTTAGCAGTGCTCAAAATATGAGAAACCCACCTCTGCATCTCGGGTCCAGAGGCTCCACTCCAGCTGGCAGGCTGAGATCGGGTGGATCTTGTGCGCGCGCCTGATCTCATCGGCCGACGCCTCTGAGATGCCCAGGTACTTCACCTTGCCCTCCTCCACAAGCTCCTGCATCAGAGATATATTTCTTGCCCCTTCACCATCCCTTTGCCCTCACCCCGCAGCGTCTGCTCAATCATCCCACCACAGAGACGCTGGGACAGCATGCAAGCCTTGCTCACATGTCAGCTGGTGACTGCTTGTCCAGCTGCAATAATGAGATACCCACGGAATCATGCGCAGACAGTTGAATGCCCGACAAGGTGCAGCTGCTTGTAGCTACTATAGGGGCTAGCCTGGATGGTGCACCTTCAGGGCCTTCCAGGTCTCCTCGATGGGGACAGTTCTGTCCACTCGGTGCTGGTAGTACAGATCAATCTGATCAATGCGCAGCCGCTTCAAAGACCCCTCCACTGCAGAGCGCACATACTCCGGGCTGCCATGCACCCCCCACACCTGCAGAAGGCCTAGAAAATTAAAGTGTTATGCGACTCTTTCATATGTATCACAGTCACAGGGGTCTGCTGGCCTTTTTGCAGCAGGCCTTGCCATGACAAAGAAAACAAATACCAGAATAATGCTGATCATGTAGACTTTCAGATCCCATGTCAGCAGTTGACAGAAGCAGGGGCCTTGCTGTGGACATTACCCCATCGGTGTAGGAGATGCCAAACTTGGTTGCCACGGTGAATTTATCTCTTCGCCCGTGCACCGCCTTCCCTGATGACAAAGGTCTCAAGCATTCAGGGGGGTAGAAATAGACATGACAGCTGCATCTGGCTTCTCATTGGTGATGGTGGCACATGTCAGGAACTGAGCGGCAAGAAGCTCACCAACAAACTGCTCGTTGGTGTGTGGTCCATACATATCGCTGGTGTCAAGGTGCGTTATACCCAGCTCCAACGCCCTGGAATGCATTGAGAGATCAGCAAAGAGAAGGAACACCATTGGATTGAAGGTTCTGCACTTGTTTGGGCTTCACCTGCTGACAACTGCAACGCCTGCAGCATCGTCGGGAGGCTGCTCATCTTTGCTGAGGTATAGGAAGGAAGAGATGCCCATGCACCCCTGCAGGCATATTTGCAAGATCGATTGAGAAATGATAAAAACAAAACTCATCGTCAAATGCAATCTTTAACATAGAGGAATAGGACACTGAAGGAAGCGTACCAAGCCCTGTGCACTCAGTTGAAGACCCTGGGATCCGCAGGGTCTGGAAGGCACGCGCTTTTCCGCCATGCTTTACAAAACACAAAGGCTCTCGAGTCAATGAACAGCTTTAAAACTCCTTGATACAAAATATGCAGGGAAAACAACAACACCCAGCGAGAAACGATCTTGCAAATTACGTTGGACGAATTTACGTAAACGCAGCTTCCTTCAGCTTCCCTTGTAAAATGCCACACAAATGGACTGAGCATAAAATGATCCAGTGGCTGTCTAGGTCCCAGGCGTTGATGCATGCTGCATGCATCGCAATAGGACCATATTGTACCTTGAAGAAATGAGAGCATAAATTTTTAAATGCCCGGACGCTCAAGGCCGCTGCGCGGCGACGGCCACTGCCAGTCTCGAGGCCAGCATGCATGCAGTGATGCGCAGTCAATACAGCAGCCATGCATGAGTCCAATTTGACAAAAAATGTTCCGGAAGATGGTGAGAAATCAGCCGCACATGGCCTGCAATGTACTTGGGGCAGCCAATCTATTTCACGCATGCGCAAATCTGATCAGAGATCCATAATGACATACGATAAATGCATATGGCTTTTGAGGACTTGCCCATTCGCATGGTCCTGCCAGTACTGTATGTCTCATCAGCCCAAGGCAGCTGTACAGGAATGCTTTGAATGATAATTCCACACTCATATCGTGTGACAAGGATCTATGCCTGGCATAACACGAATTACATGAATTACTTGCCGGCATGAGACAGTCATCACCTTCAACGGACAGAACAGGCCAGCCGCAGGAGTGCCATCATGCGATGGATGTTACTAGACAACTTGGTTGCACAATAAGGCTCCTCAAGATCTCCATACTATCCAAAGGCTGACAGCTGCCAGCAACAGATTGCATGAATGCTCAAGTGCAAGGACTGGAAAGATAGGAATTCCAGGCTCAAGAAGAATCCTTTCCTCCTTCATAACCCATTGCCAAATTTGCAGGATGGTACCGCGAGCCAACCACCTGCAAGACCACACTTGGTTTTCAGGACACTGGCGCAGTGCAGAACTCATCATGCCATTGATGTTTGGCCTTTGCCCAATGTGCAGGGTGCTGGAATAGCCACCAATTACCAAGACCACAAGCTCTTTAAACTAATTTAACCTACAGCACATGCTCGGGCAAATGTCTCATAGCAACTCATTTGATCAACCCGAGCTGCATCAAGGGCTGTGTAGCAAGTGCCGCGAAGACAGAAGGCCCACCTTTTCAGGGTTGAAGATCTCCTCAAGGTACGCCTTCTCATCGCTGTTCAGCTGAATGTGGAAAGCTGCTGCATTCTCCTGGATAATGTCGCCACATCACTCTCAGCATCACTCACCAGTGTTACACTGCTGCACTGCTATCTCCTGCCTACTATCATCGCTGCCCATTGCCTACATCCAGGATCTGCAGTAATTGATCTGAAGAGATGCCGAGGGGGAATAACACACCTCCAGGTATTTGATGCGCTTGGTGCCTGGGATGGGGAAGACATCAGGGCCTTGTGCATGCACCCACGCAAGCGCCAGCTGTCCGGCTGTCACACCCTTCTTGGCTGCAAGCTCCTTCACCCGCTCCACCAGTGCAAAGTTGGACTCAAACGCCCCCTTCTGGAAGCGCGGTATCTTAGACCGCGTGTCTCCCTCCCTGCATCCATTGCAACAAGTGCATCCTATCAGCAACCTGATGCCTCATTTAGCACTTGGACAGACAGAGACCCTGAACCCCAGTTGGGGCTTCTTGCAGTGGAACCTTGGATGGAGGTATCTGCTTCAAACACATGGCAGAGCCATGCAGAAAGATTGGCCTGGGCATGCTGAACTGAGGCCTGAATCGGTTAAGGGGGGCTCACCCCAGATCCTCGATCTTGGTGATGGCGCCTGTGAGGAAGCCGCGGCCCAAGGGGCTGTATGCAACTATGCCAATGCCCAGCTCCCGCAGTGTGGGAATAATCTCGTCCTGCACAGACACTAAATTCAAGATCACGTTCTTGAACCAACAGCCAGGTCGCATTACTCCATCTCTAAGGAAGGTGTCAAAAAGCAACAATGAGTCCCCTGAACAAGAAATCTATTGCAAAGCACTGCTCAAAACAGAGACTTCCAACTCATTTCGTGGGCTCTCCATGCACAGAGAATCCTCCTTGTTGACTGGTGGCTGTAAAATGCCCTTAAAAACCCCTTTTGAATACTTGATACCTCCAGCTGCATGATTAAGTTTCCCACCTCCACGCCGCGAGTCCAGAGGCTCCATTCCAGCTGGCAAGCCGTGATTGGGTGAACAGCATGCGCGCGCCTGATCTCATCGGCCGTCGCCTCTGAGATGCCCAGGTACTTCACCTTGCCCTCCTCCACAAGCTCCTGTTTTCCATCAAGCAACATTTCCACTAATTGCCTGGCACGTTGCATCTGGCAAGCTTCGAAGCAAAGGCTGGCAAATGGACCAAAGTAAAAGAAATATCCTGCAAGGCTGGTCACCTTCAGGGCCTTCCAGGTCTCCTCAATGGGGACAGTTCTGTCCACACGGTGCTGGTAGTACAGGTCGATCTGATCAATGCCCAGCCGCTTCAAAGACCCCTCCACCGCTGAGCGCACATACTCGGGGCTGCCATGCACTTCAGCTCCCTGCAGCAAATGCCCTCACAGCTTGAGATTTAGGCTATCGGCAAAAGAAGTATATTTACATGATTGCATGCCGTAAATTCTGACAGGTGGTATGGTGGCAGGCAATCCCAGAGTCAGCGCACCTTTTCCGAAAAGACCGCGCCAAACTTGGTGGCAATGGTGTACTGGTCTCGCCTGCCCGCTATTGCCTGGCCTGCACATGCAGATTGGGCCGTTTAAGTTGGGAGCTGGGACAGCAGCATTACGTCACTGTGTAATACTGTCAGATATTTTGCTCGAGCAGCCGGACTGAGATGCTCACCAACAAGCTGCTCATTGGTGTGGGGGCCATAGACATCGCTTGTGTCAAGGTGAGTGATGCCCAACTCCTGAGCCCTGGGTTACAAATCTAACGTTAGCATGGATCAATGCGGGTGCTCGCAACGCAACGAGGGGACACTGGCGTGTAACATCTCGACGTGCAAGGAGGTGGAGCACACCTGTGAATAACGGCGATGCTCTCGGGTTCCGATCCAGAAGCTCTATCTGCATTCGTGTAGCCCCAACTCATTCCCATACATCCCAGTCCTTGAGCGCTTGACAACATGCCGTGGCTGCCCAGTGGGCGGACTGGCACCTTAGCACTGGTCATTGTGAGAGAATGCCGAACGGATCCCAACTGCTGAGGAGCTCGTTTCGTGCGTACGGGGTGACAAGATGTTGAATATGTATTCTATAAGAAATTGTCACAGATGTGGGCTTCGAGGTTCGGTTGCACAATCACAATATCTTCTGACGTAAAGCCAAGATCGGGAACCTCAAGGAAGCTTCCGCTCATGAGGAAGCTACGACTTTGATAATAGCGACAAAAGGGCATGCCATATAGATAAGGCATTCTTCTAGATTTACAGACATATAGTCGAGGATTTGCGATACATGCGAGTTCAGGATGCTGCCTACAAGGCAGCGTCATGTCTCTTGAGTACTATGGATCTCCTGCTTTTCTCAACTGGGCGGCAAGCTTTTAATCAAGCAACCCCTTCAACGCTGAGGAATCTGCCCGTCTCGACATCTCGTACGACCTCATGTTCCATCGTTACTGCATCAAAGTCGATTGTGCCGTACAGATGTGGGAAGACAGGCGCATCTGCTGCTCCATCTTTCCAGCCATCTGGTGGTGCTGTATCGCCCACAGGCGCGGCGGCCTCATACCGTACCTGTGTTCTTGCAAAGAGTCAGATAGAGAGAGCTTCTCGGGCGGCATGTGAAAATCCTTGCCCTGGACAGCAACCTGCCCTGACTCGAAGCAAGGCACAATCAATAATTAGGGGCAAATGGGGTCACCTCGGAAGTCAGTTTTCCTGGATCTATGCGAAGACAGATCCAATCCCACGGATCCTTTGACATGTAGAAGTTGTTTGCTACGCCAATGAGGAACTTTGCATCCTTCGTCAGATGGATGAACCCATCCTGTAGCAAGAAGCCAGGACAACGGTGCATTTTCAAATCCCAGGCAAAATATTATTGCAAATGCATCAAAATAAGATTTAGGAGCGCGCCTGTTCGTAGGTGGGGGGAAAGTATGGGGTCTGTGTTTGCTTATGCGAGAGCCAACTATCTCTTGGGATCAGGTGATACAAAGGTTCTGCCATCACAAGGATTTTAGAAATATAACGATGTGGAGTATACAAGTGTGCGATTGCTTATCCTTATACACAGCGCCGGGGAGCAGGAAGGCAAGATATTAGTAATTTGACTGATCATGACGAAGCTTCCAAGCACACGTCAGCGCAACTGCAGCTTAGCGTTTCCAGAGGCAATAGACGATGAACTCCGCTTGAACGATGGATAAGACGATGTTCAGGAAGCATCCAAGCACTGGACATGTCAGCCCTGCACTGCCGCAGCGCCTGAAGTAGAAATACTCCTCTGACATCCGTACTGACATGGAGAGAAAAATCGCCCTCTGCGTGTCCCAGTGGTCCGCGGACTCAACCTTGTATGCATGGTCTTACGCCAAGCAATATTTTTTGAGGGTGCGCTTCCATCGCTTGGCCGTTGCGGCCGTGTTTCAGAATATACTATTCGGAGACTAGCTAGATACTTCACTTTGCAGTTAGACAAAGCAACGCCTGGAGTGTCCTGGCATCGGGCCTTCAGGATATTTGCAGGACTTAATTTGCTCTTTCAGTACCATTCCCGGGCGCTTTCCTGCGGTCTTGCAACACCTCAATTGTTTGTTGAAAATTCACATCTATTGCTTGGTGTCTTTCTGCCTTTACTTGCCTGTATAATGTGGATGACGATGCAGCATCATTATGATTTGTACGCAACTGGAGCATATCAGACTTGTGATTATTAAGGGCTGAGTACAGTGCCATCGACGCTGATTTGTGAAGCATAAAGAGGCTTCTGACTTTTGTCCCTGCATTGCCGCAGAAACAGCGAGATGCCAGCGGCGCTGAGGTGCTGAGCAGCTTGGACAAGCTCTACATTGTGCACGTGTGGAAAGATGGCAAGAAGGAAAAGGAGAAAGACAAGGACAAGTGGTGCGGCGGAGGACCTCTCCTGCCCAGCATGCGGGTGGCACTCGCCAAATTCCCTCACCAGATTGTCGACCTGGAGGTAAGGGGCCACATTTGTCTCCCATGCCCCAATTACAGCTGATTACTGGGATGGGTGCTTGCACACGCTGAATTCTTCCCACTGCTACCACGTCATGCTGCAGCTTTTATGGGAGGCTAGTGTCAGGGCACGGTGCTCTGATGATTGGAAGCTTGCAAGATCCAAAGGAAAATTGTCAAGGGCTGCATGCTTATGGGGAGCAGGGTCAGTCAGTGCATTCGACACTGCTGGACTTTGCAGCTCGGGAGGGGATGACATCATGATTCTGGGCAGCAAGGAGAGCAAGGGCACCGTGCAGAAGCTGGTGCAGCCTGGAGGCATGGGCGCCTCCACAAGTGACACTGTCAAGAGCAAATCCAAGTGCCCCTGCCTCATTGTCCGCCCTGCGGTGCGTTTTCTTGACACCCTAAGGACGACGTGCCAGGCTTGTTCTTGTTCTTGCAAGTTCATGAGTTCATGAAGGAAGCTGGCAATGCACTGTCTGCAACTACGTGTGTTGCCTTTATAATTCAGAATAGCGGTTTGCATGCTCATTTCATGCCGAAACATCCCTGAGCTGCTCTGATTTTGTGTCTCTGTGCTTCCTGCAGTCGGCCAGGAATGAGAAGATGCGCATCAAGTCCAACGCCAACCTGGGCACCCTCCTGGATGCAGAGGTAAATTTTCACCCCTGCTGCTGCACTGCTGCAGTCCTTGTTTTTCACACGTTACGCTGCACTTCAACAGCCTGTTGAGCATTCATGATAGCGCAAGTGAATAGAGATGCCATGGAGTATGCCCCGGCTGGCGGGGGCGGTATACATACTGAGCACCGTGCCCACGGTTGATTGGGTGTTGCTTGGATCTGGCGAGTCCAATAAGGGTTGGGATTTTGGCAGCCTTCACATTCAGCTTGTCTGCAGACGCACCTTGCCTCTGGCAGGAAAAGCGCGTTATAATAACAAGCACAATAATAATAACCATAATAATGTAATAATACTAATAATATCAACAATAACCATGAGGTGTGGTGATGAGTCACAGGCGCGGGGCCGGCACATGGACGGGGCGCTGGCTGCGCGGCTGAAGACAACATCGATGGTGCTGCCGGGGACTGACGAGCTGCGCAAGGTGTGCCTGGCGTTTGAGAGCGTGGAGGTGGGGCAGCACATGCTGGCCTGGGCCACCAAGTACTGCCTCTTCCCCGACGACGAAGTCTACATCGTGCACTGCCTCAGCAAGGTGCCCCCCACCCGCCCTTTTGGCCCCTGTCTCGAGAGCCGATGCCAGTCAAGCGCTGACGGGGGCTACCCTGTTGAATCAAGCCCCCTTCTTTAGCAATGTTCTGCAATCATTCATCTGAGCACTCCATCCATCTGTCTAATGGTAATGGAGATTGATGCAGCTTTAGATAGATGCGCCTCTGACCTCAGCAGATTACTGATAGCCCAGGTTCATAAAGTGTGCTATATGGCTTCTCACTGCAAGGCAGACAGACCTCTTGATGCTGATTATGAACCTGTCAAGCATGCCTGGGCTGCTCAATTTGCCATTAAATTTGTTCTGCACTCTCCATTCCGTTGACAAGCAAATTCCGGCATGTTGCGCTGTGTTTAGCTGTCTTGCGGCCCAGTCGTGAGCTGTTTCTCATGATCCATGTCCCTTGGCGCCTGCTAGCAGTCGTGCGGTGGACAAGTCTGCCTTTTTCTCTTCCATCCCCCTGCCTCGCGGCCCAGTTGCAAGCTGTCTTCTCGTTTCGTACATCCATGTGCCTGGCAGCGCACTTGCTGACTTGCCATGCATGCATCTGCTTGAGGGCCCATTTGCAAGCTGAGTTTCCACGCATGCATCTGCCCACCCTGATAGCTGTCGTGTACACAACTGCAGTCGCTCATGAAGCTGGCCAACAAGCGCGGCAACGAGGTGGGGCCCGAGGTTGTGGAAGAAGTGGATGGCGACGCAGTCAACGTCGTGTCAAACACTCAGCTCAAGGTGACTTGCGCCCGCTAGCTCAGCCTTGTGCTTTGTGTGTATTTGCCACTCATCTGCCATTCCCGCCAACATCATTCCTGGAACTCTTGCCATACACTCAGCTCAAGGTGGCGTGGGCCGGATAGCTCGGCCTTGTGCTGAACCTCTGCTGTGATACAGCTGTTCTCGAAATCTGTGTTCCTGGAACCCACAGATTGCCTCCTGGAATGCATTCCAAGCAGGGACAAATTGCACGTGCTGAAGTGCGCATGCAAATATAAAGCGCACGTGATAGAGTGCGCATACATTTTCAAAGGAGGGTTGCAATTACAAAATTAGGCGTGGTCGATTGCGTATTTATTGTGCAGGATGAGCCAAAGTCGGGGCTGTGTGACTTCCTGGAGGAGAACAGCATTGACCTGGTCATTGTGGGCTATGTCTCAACGTCCCGGCTGCGCAAGACGCTGAATGTGCGCTCCTCCACACACACGTTCATCATGACATCATGAGGCTTCTTAGCTTTTAAGACTACTCCTGCGAGTCTTCCCTTCAGAGTATACAGGGCTTTATGAATGGTGGCACGTGCTTGTAGCAGCGGCAAGAAAGGCAGGAATTGGGGCCCTGAGGATCAACATTTTCACACACCATTAACTCGGCAGCCCTGTACAATAATTGCTTGTGGGCCTTCTCCTTTGAGCATGCGGGCCTGCAATTTCTACCTTTCAGGGTGCCCGGGCGGGAAGTGGTGGTCATGAACAGTAGGCTAAGGGTGACCACTTCCTTTATTTGGTGCCTGGGTGTGATCTAATCATCACTAATAGGGTGAGGCTGAGCGCGGTGTCATGCATGCGTGCAGCTGGGCCAGGCCAGCCTGTCATCACACCTGTTGCACCATGCCCCCTGCCCAACCCTGGTCATCCCCTTCAAGAGCCTGAGCTCCGAGGGCTCCGTCCCCGAGGCGCTGCCAGCACCGGCGGCCATCGGAGAGCATGTGGCGGCGGCTGAGACCAGCCCGCGCGATGCCGGCCCCGACGCGTCCCCAGCCGCCCGCCCCAGCAGCGCCGGCGGCGACCGGCCACGGCGTCCCTCCATCGGTGCGCGCGGCTTATACATATCTGCAGATTAATTACCAGTATTTGTCGACCCGTCTGTTGATGGTAATTTCCTTCAACAATTTCACACGCAAGGGGTTGGAGGTACCGCAGCATGCACCGAATGGCCCAGCAAAGCTTGCGGAAGCCTGGCCCCATCTGTGCGGTGGAGGAACCCATGGCGCCGCACAGGCCGTGTCACCTGCTTGCACCCCACCACTTGCTGTACAGAAGAAAGGCTCACAAGCACACAACACGGCTGTAAGGTGGGGAAGTGGCTGCGCAGGGAGCCCGGGTGCGTCGGGCACGTACCCGCTGGCGATAGTATCGGACGAGGAGACGGAGGCCGGCAGCGCGGGGCGGCCGACGCGCGCACACTCTCTGCGCAACGCGCTGCAGTCCTGGCGCTCCATCCGCACCGCCCTCGGCGACCGCCACAGCGCGCACGCATCTGCCTTCGCCGCAGCCGCCGGTACCAGCGGCGACGCCGACGATGACGGGAACGCCCCGGCACAGGTCCGCGCCGCTCCTTAGGGGTCATAATTTGAACAAAATATTATTTTTGTTGTTCACCCTTGCGATGTTATAGGCAGGGGACACGGGAACGCCCCTGCACAGGTCTGCGCGCTGCTCGCCACTGGTTAGGGGTTTCTAATAACACATCATTCTATAATGTTGTTTACCCTCCCCTACACCCTTGTAGGCAAGGGGTACCATAACAACTGGATCGTAGCAGATATATCTATTTCTGTTATAGGCTGGAAACTTATAGAATGTTGCGCTTGGTACCCCACTGTTGCCTGGGGGTGTGCAGCATATCAGGGGTTGGAGACGCCCTATGGCATGTGGTTGGTTCTTGTCATGACATGACTGATCAGGTATGGAAGCTGCGGCAAGATAAGTTGCAGTGCCGGTGGCCTCGCTGAGGTGGCTATTTTTCCCGGGTGGTGGTTGTCTCTGATGCATTGCATGCAGAGGTGTCGCGTAAGGGCGACAGCTGGCAAGCGCGTAAGATTGAGTGGCAGGGCTTCCCGTTGCGCAGAATGGAGGAAGGCGGGGCAGCAGGGGGGCGTTGCCTCCGCCGGAAACAGACTCCGGAGCCGCAGCGCAGTACAAACGACGCATTGAAGAGCAGGAACACGAGATTGCAACACTGCGGGTGCGATCACTGATCTCACACGCAGTTTGACCCATCCATGCAAATCCATCTCGATGATGCCCTTCAAGTTTCTTGCTTGGGAGCTCGGACCGCCACAGCGAGGCTATGTTCTTATATGCAGCATGATGCAGGTCTTGGATCTGGAGATTCTAAGAAGGAGTAGGATTGTGACTGCCTTTAGCTGCAGCTTGTCTGCAGGACGCACCTTGCCTCTTGGCAGGAAAAGTGAGATAATAGTATAGTGAGGCAGGAATGAATGACTGCCGCTGTGTGCAGGAGAAAGTACAGGAGCTGGGAGAGGCACTGGCGCGTGCAAAGGTGGGCCAGTACGGCTCTGAGACATGACAGCGTCATGTGGGAAGTGCTACAACTGTACCCATCCGAAATTTGTCGCACACTTGCAGAGATGATATCTAATTGACGTTATCTGTGATACTTTAGACCAATGTCTTGCTCGTTACGTGTGTGCTCCTGTTACAGGAGTCCTGTACATAAGGATCCACAGCATGTACAGAATTGCAGATTTTGGGCCTGCGTTCAGAGAAGGACGTGCACGTGATGTTTGCTACAGATAGAACCGGCAATGATCCTGCACATCTCAAAAGCTTCAGAAATGAAAAGCTCTGTTTGGCTCTCTAGAAAGACTTTTCTCCAGCACCGAAAGCATTCTGCAAGCTTTTGGGCATGGGTCTTTCCTAGCCTTGTCATGCTTAAGCCCTGTACGGATATTCTGTTGGTGACACTTGTTCTTGAGACACTCTGAATCCTCTGGTAATCTAGGATTTTGGGTGGATATATACTCCCCACATGACCATGCAGGTTTGTAATGCAAGGAAGTATGCAAGCTAAAACCGACAGGATGGCAAATTTGTCCCAAAATTGAAATCATCATGTCCACCTTCAGATTACAGCAGTATTTAGATGCCTACAACGCATGCATGGCATGAAAATAGGGAGCACAACGCACATATGGCATCTGATAATGTCATGCATCAAACTTAGACATGGAAGATGCTATATATCAGATTAGCCACGTGGAGTGCACTGGCCATCATTACATTTCTCAAGTCATGATTAGACATGCACTATGCACTCTGGCTATAGGTGTGCCAGACTCATTTCCTTTCATTGATTGAACATTTCTGTCGATGATAGATCTCATTTTTTGGCGTCAGCTGGATTATCTGCCAGCCGAAGTCTGCAAGATACCGACGCTATATCCTGCCAACAATCTTAACAGCAAAATCGCCAGACCCATCAGCCAAATGGGAGGCGTGACACCATGCGCATATCTCCCTGCTGCTCGGCTTTTTTAAGCTGTGGCGGCCCTCTCTGGTTGGATGAAAACGTGGCTGTATACTGCCTGCTTTGGGGACGCGCCTGAGGCTCCTGGCAAGGCACATGCAGCATACTTGTCAAACACAGGAGCCCAGCATCCTCAGCACTGTTGCATGGACCTCAGCGCCTGATGGCATCTGCGTGAAAACGAGACAATGCCCTCACCTCCGTTGACAGTCTCATCGTGCCTCATACTGCACCACGCGGCGAGTCCTCTTCTTGTAGAGGATGCGGTAGCCGCATTCTCTGCACCTGATCACATCTCCTGGCTTCAGTGTGTTCTCGTGGCCGCAGTCGCCGCAAGTGTAGGCTACACCACTGTTTGGTGCATACTGCTGCTGCTGGGGCTGTCCTGGCAGCATGACTGCCTGCACACCAAGTTGGTCAGAAACTGCAGCACTCGCAAGCACAATCAAGTGTTTTAGACGCACTGGTGGGACCAACCGTTATGAATATACGATGCGATTCTTGCAGAATTGTCTCACAAGGAGAGGCATTTAGTGGTTAGCTAAAGATGATGATCTCCACTGAGATCATTGCGATCATCCTCTTTTTCTTAACACAAACAAAATGAGTGCACAATGACGACCCACCTGCCAACAGTGAGCGTGCAGACCCCGACTAAAAGCTCAAGGAGGAAAAGGCAACTATGGGACGATCTTCGACACGACAAACAATGCTATCGAGGCCTAAGTGGCCTGTAGCAGATGGAAGCACTGGGTTATCTGTGTTCGTGGTATAATTCGATGCGATTTCTCCAGATCAAGACCCATTATAGAAGCTCCAGCATTGAGGTGCCCAAGCGTATCTCTTATAATTACGCCGAGGGGGAAACTCTCGCTCCGCCTGGCTGTCGCGCTGACTTTTGAAATGCAAAGCAATTAGCGCAGGTTGGGGAGCCCCCATGAGATCAAGGACACGAGAATAGCCGCGGAAGAAACTTTGAAGCGCATGCTCGAGCTTTGCGTCTCTTTGCTGGGACCTGGCGCGGGATGCTACACAACTAGCCGTTGAAGTTTCTCCTTGCCCTTTGAGGGCTTACAGGTGCTGCTTCCGTCACTTTGCAGGTCTCAGTGGTACGGTGGAAACGTTCAAGCCGTTGAGGTTCCCCACCTGATTCTGTTTGCCAGTAAACAAGATTGAGACGGTTCTGTAGGAAGAGTACTTTGTTTTGGAGTTTGAGACAAGAGGGTCAAACAAGGGAGAAGATATCTTCCATAAGGACTCGCTGTTGCATGCCCTTGACTTCGTGCACAGAAGTACAGCCACCCATCCACAATTGAATCATGTTTAGTGGGTCACTCACTTGAATGGATGTCACCACCTCTTGCGTGAGGTCCAAGCAACGACCTTCCTCTTCTATTTTCGCTGCCTGAACAATTTCCCATGAACGATGTAGCCCAGAGAATCACATGAATAAGTGCTGGCTTCTCAGCACGACATGCCTTGGCTGCTGACATGGGTGGGTCTTGTCCTGTCGCAGGTAAGGGATCAACGACCACCACCATGACCGAAGTACTAGCACAGTCTTTGGAGACCGCACAAGAGTACGGCAAATTGGTGTTCCTGGACAAGGATGGTGAGCGAGCACAGGAGTACCCCATCAACAAGAACCTGGTGGTCCTTGGAAGGTAAGTGCCCTTCCTCGCTGAGCGTAACCATCATGCAATCTATTAGTTGCATTTAATTCATCCTTATGCCCTTGCAACAGAAGAGAAGGATGTACAAACATCACAAGAGCCAACGCCACCTCTGACTGGTACTGTGAGTAACATTTAGCCAATCTGGTGTGCAGAGACAAGGCATGTGACATTGTCATCACTCGGAGGGAGGTGTCAAGACATCATGCACAGCTGGCAGTGGATGACGCGGGCGCTGTCTGGCTCTCAAGTCTGGGCCGGGAGCCTGTCAGCGTGAATGGAAAGCCTGCCACAGAAGCTGTGGAGCTATTCACAGGCGACCAGATTGAGGTCTGTTCCTCTCTCAGGGTGCACTGGAAGCTGCCACCTAAGATATGATCCACTTCGCAGAAGCTGTTAGATTGTGACGGGGAGGCACATTTGTTTCTGAGAATAGAGATGGTCATGAAGGCTGAAGAAAGATGAGGTATGCGTGCAGATTTTCCTGGAGGGCAGGGTCAAAGTGCTCTGCTTTGAGGCCGAGGATGCCACCATCAAGGTGACTTCAACCTGCTGCTTCTCTGACAGTTGCACGATGGCAGAGGAGCTTTCCCCGACCTTGTGTATGCTGCATCTCCGTTCCTTTCGGACATATATATTTCACATGGGCATTCTTTTCTCATGCCTTTACACTGGAGACGGGGCGGTGAAAGAGGTACATCAACATGCAGATCAACAAGGCGGGCCCCACACCACGCAAGCCGCTGGGGGACGCCAATCAGAACACAGGTGTGCTTGCGCCGGTCCCGGCCGCCGCTGCAGTGAAGCCGTCGCCGGCCAGCGCCAGCCGGGGCCGCCGCACGCCTGCCAAGCGCGCCGCCGGGCCGGCCCCGCCGCCGCCGGCTCCGCCGATGCCTCCAAAGGGCTCCCTCCTGCCAGGTGACTTACCCGTGCACAGCTTTTCCTGACGTTTACTTGAGTCTGTCTGCATTTCTGATTTTCTTCTAAATTTTGGCACTAAGCAGGATGGAACAGTGTTCAATTGCCTTCAGCTCCACAAGGCAAATCACACTGCGTTTGTGATGTTTTGCTTGCTGCATATGGGGGAAGAGTAATCATCGCCTGGGTGCTCACTTGGCATTTGCTTGAGAAGGTCTAGAGAGTCGTCGTGATTTGTTTGTATTTTTCGAGATTGAGCAGGGTGAGGTGGCGCTCAAGACGTTGTGAATAGGTCTGGAGGTCGATGTGACTTGAATGTGTGTCCCCAACTTGTGCAGATGGGATGCCACGTGTGAGGGCTGTTGTATTGTGTGCCAGGTTGCAAGGCAGCGAATGCAGGGAGCAGGATCCCCAAGCCGCCGCCTCTTCCCAAGCCTGCAGACCTCAGAAATGGGCTCAAGATGGCTGCAGCAGCAGAGGTGAGAGTTCCCTGCTTGAGGCCAGGTGTTCATACATTCTGATACCGATGCAGAGCTTGAGATTTACATTGCTTGGCTAGGAGATCCCGGTCCTTGTTAGATTGCCAAACTGCTGTTCACAGTAGAGATATTTAACTGATTGGATAATGGGAAGCGCAGGATATCGGCCGCCAGACACAGCAGGCAGTGAGCAAGGCGGAGGCGCCTCAGCCTCAGAAACCGACAGCGCCAGGCACCTTCCTCCCAAGCGCCAATGAGCTGCTGGCCCTTCGCGCAGGTTTGCCACTCATTCATGCTTGCCTTGCAGCTCAGCAGCCCCCAGAATGTTGCCCAATGATATACTGTATTTTCAACACACTGGAACCTCAGGCACCAGCCTAATTTTTTGTGGGGCGATCTATTACATTACATTCATAGCAGGGATGCGTGAAGACAGTCCTACCTCGGTTTTTGGGGCACGCGGTCAAATTGTGGTCTGAAAGGAGATCAAAACCTGTTAGCATAAGAAGCGTGTTGACACCATTTACTGGGCTGCTGAGCAGGCCTGCGCAAGACCGGAGCTGCGGCAGGTCCAGAGGCAGCTGCCGGCGAGCAAGCAGCTGCCCCTGCTGCGCCACCGGCCGGCGGAAGAGACGGCACCGCCAAGAAGCGCAAGAGCGTGCGATTCAACATCCCCGCCAAGGGTGCGAATCTTACCCACACTCCTTGCTACCCCCTACCTAAATTGTCAGCAGGGGACTTTAAATCAACCTACAACCTAAATCAATCAAAACCAGTTGATTAAGACTCCTCTGATAGCAGCAGAATTTTTGAATGGCCTTGCCCAAGCAGTGCTTCCTACACCCTGTTCATGAGTCATTGGAGCTGGCTGATCTGTGCTGGCAGCTCTTCCATGTGCAGAAATCTCAATCTTTTCAGCTGGGTGTATAGAGTATCGCCGTAGAGCAAAAGACAGCCTTGGGGGAAAAAATGGCGCATACTGACGCGGGCATTTGTGTGGTTATGTCAGCAGAGCCGACCTCGCCAGAGGGGGTGCCCACCGACGCGACAGTGGCGCTGGACTTCGGATCGCCGTCAAGCCCCGACGTGATCATCAATGTGAACGCGGACTCTACGGCCGCCTTCTCTGCGTGGGCCATGGGATCGAGCGCGCTGTCCGGCGGCGGCCGCCGCTCCCTGGGAGACACCCTCACCGGCGGCCTGCCCAGCATCCTGGAAGAGGCCCCCGAGGACTGCGCCGCCTCGCCGCCCCCTGCCACGCAGGCGCGCACCCCTGTCATGATGTTTTTTTATTTGAAAGTTTAAGCTCCGGCCCTCATCAGGACATCAGTACCTTGATTTATTTCCTTGAAGAGGCTGTGCCGCCTCGCCGCCCCCTGCCATGCAGACGCGCACCCTGTCATTTATTTCTGACTCTGACTTTGACAGGCACTCGTGGTGCTGTCATGATGCAGGCCCTCCCAACTGGTGCACCACCCCTTTTAATCTCGCTCACGGCCCCCACATGGCGAGGAAGTCAAAGTGCAACATGTTGGTGCTAGCCTGTGGGGCGGGCATGGATCAGCTGCATGGAGATGTGAAGGTTTTGTCAATCCCAAGGCCTGCTTGCTGACGAGGAAGTGTCTGGAAGTGGAGCGCTTCTGCAATGTATGGGTGAGCGTGTGATTCTGTGGTGCAGGTGACGCCCAGCCGAGAGATCACGCCGATGCTGCGCCGCCGCTCCGGCCGCACCTCATCGATCACATGCTCCAGCCCGGTGCGTGTCTGACTTCATTGGAAGTCCAACATAGAAAACATTTGGTTTTCTGCTGTCGAGAGGCAGGTTTACCTGCAGTCAAGCTTCAGTCACATGCTGCCAAAAATCCTGCCCCTTGTTGTGTTTGCCAGATCCAAGCAAGACTCAATCAACCGTGGGCATGGTGCTCAGTGTTTTTGTGGACCCCTGCCAGCCAGAGCTTCATTGAATAAATGGTACTGCTGCATTGGCGGAACAGAGCAGCCCAGAGCTGCTCATGCCTTGACTGGGCAGGCGAGAAGTTGCCGGGCTTTCTGACGCTGTCGTTTTAAATTTTGAAACAGGAATCGGTGGGCCGCAAGAGACGTTCCTGCAGCGGCTCGCGCAACGGCACGCCGGCGTCCAAGGGCTGCCCCATGACGGCCGACCCTGAAGTCGCCGCGGCAGCCGCCGAGGAAGCTGCGCTTGATGCGTCCCTGGCCGCCGCAGAAGCCGTCGCTGCCGGCAACGGCCAATCTCAGGTGCGCAGAATCTTCCGTCGAGCGAAACACATTCATTGTTGTGTACGGCACACAGTCTGCAGCAAGTGCACCTGAGCAATGAAGACTACCGTCCGGTTGGATACAGAAATGAGTCATCTTTGATTTGTGTCTACAGGAGGACAGCACGGTGGCCACGCTGGCGGCGGCTGCAGCGCAGCTGGAGGGAGTGTCCGAGGAGGCAGTGGCGAAAGATGTGACAGAGCAGCAGGAGCTGCTGCCAGAGGGGGAGGCCCCAGAGGGAACACCTCAGACCGCCGCACCGGCAAAACTGCAGCGGCTGGACTCCCCGGCAACGCCGTGGGTGCCGCAGATCGGCCTGGAGGCGGCCGCCGTCGCCGCGGCGCTGGCCGCCTCGCGCAGCGCGACCCCGGCCAGCGTGCCCGGCTCCCCCGCCGCCGCGCGCGCCACCCCCGGCCGCAGGTGCTCGCGCCGTGACCAAAGCATTTACGCAGTGAACAGTGTTGAACTTGTATTGTTCAGTTCATATTATTGAATCTGTAGTCGTGGGCAGCAACCCTAAAGAGGAGTTGCTGGCAGGACCCAGGAGCAAACATGGCCTATTGAAGTGAGGGCTCTTTTCTGACTTTGATGGCCAGACACAAATGTGCTCTCTGCAATGGCCATGCACAAATGCACGCTCATTGTGAGGCTCCCAGGGATGAATACTAAGAGGCAAGCTCGCAACAGGCAATTGCAAATTCCTGACATGGCATGGTCTGGTGTGCAGGGGCAGAAGCAGTGCCTCGGGCAGGAAATCGCGCATGTCACTGGTGGCGACGGCAGTGCAGCCGGACGGCACTCCAACAGGGCCTCTGCCGGAGGACACATCAGCCGCGATCGACGTGACAGAGGTGCTGACTCAGCAGCTGTCCGCCGCCAAGACTGGCACCAAGGCCCCCATCAACACCCCTGTCGACGCTACAGGTCAGTCCATGCTCCCTGCGGCCGACACTCGGATGAAACTCCAAACCCCGTTAAGCCAGTACATGTGGAGGCATGAGACCAGTAACAGTGCTGGTCTCTTCTCTGCTTCTCTGCAAGAGATGCATACCCTGCTAGCTGCCATGTTCATGCTGCTTGAAATGCAATCAAGCACAGTTGAGCACCACTGTCCTGTGGGAAATGAGCGGCTTGACTGCAAGTGCGATACTTGACAAGTATTCCTTCAGCATCAGCATCTCTTCAGGTGTCTCGTCAACGCTAGTATCTACCTCAGTAGAGGCTAAAGAGATGACAGCGTTTTTTTGCAGGCATGCCATCCTTTGCCACACTGGACATGGAGGGCGTTGCGCTGCGTCTGGCCGGCATCGAGGCGACCCGCAAGGCGCCGGTGTGCGCACTTGACAGCCCTGCTCCCCAGGCAGCGCCCGATACAGCCACACCCGCCCACCCAACCCCCCTGCCGGTGGCAGAAGCTGCCGGGGCAGTTGCGGCGGCGGCGGCGGCTGACGTGGTCATGCAGCACCGCGGCTTGCAGGCGGATGCTGCCGACATGGCCGCCATGAAGGAGGAGCTGGAGGCAGCTATCATTCGTGCACACGCCCAACAAGTCAGGGTGCGCTGCTCTTACTCTTAGCGCCTTCTCTGCCCTCGTTGCAGCTCGACAATTTTTTGGGGTGGCCCATCGCTCTTGTCTGCTTGCAGCACTAGCCTTGGCTAATTAGTTGAAGGACGGGCCTCGTTTGCCAACCTTTCCAGAATTTCTGGTGCGGCCTGGCAAGCTATAGGGTGCTCTTAAAAAACGTCAATTGCAATGCAAGGCAAATCCTGACAGTCGATCTGTGGCAGCGGGCATGTCAAATGCCCGCTGCCGAATTGTCTGAATCGATGTTGAATCAAAATCCCGCTGTTGAATTTTTGTGTTGTTGCAATAGGCTCAGGCGCTGGAGGCACAGCTGGCAGAGGCGACAGCGCTGGCGGCCAGGCTGCACCAGACCAACGAGGAATTGTCGGCGCGCCTGCAGTTGCTGGAGCAGCAGCAGGCAGCACTTGTTATTGCACCCCAGGAGACTGCCGCCCAGGCCATGGAGATCGATGTTCCTGAGCAAGCTGCCCCAAATGCTGACGAAGACGATACTACCATGGTACAGCTCCATGCTGAAGTCTTTGTGGACGCCATTGATCAACTTGCAAGGCTGTAAGTCAATGTATCGGGTTACTGCCGGTTATCTGCTCCATGCACTGCAGAGGTCTCAGTTGCTGAGCTTTCTGCAGGTGAAGGAGGCGGAGCCCACGGAGGTTCCAGCTATCTTGAGCCCTCAGGCCGCCACACCGGTGGCAGTGGCAGCACCTGCAGAGCTGCAGCCCTCCGCAGCCAAGACCGCCACGAAGACCGTCAACACACCCTCCGCAGCAGCCGGCACGCCTCTCACCGGCAGCGCAGTTGCCGTCACCGCCAACCTTGGCAGCCAATCGGTGGACGATAAGACGCCAGCTGGCACCGCTACATTACCTGCTGACGTCATCGTCGGCCGGACACCGACGGGCGCACCCTCCGCAGCCGCCACCAGTGCCTACGGCAGCGCGCCAAGTGTCCGGGCCGGCCGGCCGAGCATCGCCGGCTCCTTGGCACAGCTGGAGTTTGAGGGGCTGAGCCAGGCGCTGAGCCAGGGGTCGCTGGAGTGGGTGGATGGCCTCATCCTGCCGCCAGGCAGCTCCCAGGAGGCAGCACCCGCCCCTGCCGCGGAAACGCCCGCTGAAGGTGCGACTCGATCCCGCTTTCAACACAATCAGTGCCTGCCTGGCGGCGCCTGCCTAATTGCCGTCATGCCTGTTTCTTGAGAGAAGGAATGCATCTGAATAATTGCCTGTGGCGCAGGTCAAGACAAAGCAGCACCGGTGGCACCAGCCCCGGACATGCCGCACGGCCCACTTCTGCCGCAGCGCGCAGCCGTCGACCAGGCACCTGTGCAGGAAGTCCAGCCAGCTGCTGCGGAGCCAGAAGCGCCGAGCGCTGACGTCGAGACAGCGGAACCCGAGGAGGAAGCGAATGGAGATGTGGCAGAAGAGGCCACGGAGGCACTTGCGGAGGCCGCGCAGCAGGAGCCAGACGCACAGGAGGCGCCCGAAGAGTCAATTCCCGAGCCAGCTTCCAAAAATGCAGATGCCGCCGAGCCTGCAGCTGACGAAGATCTCTCACCGGTGTCCGGCGGCCGCGGGGCCGCCGCGGCCGAGAAAGCTCCCGCGGCGTCTGCCGAGAAGGTGCAGGACGCGGCTGCCGAGGCGGCGGAGGGAGATGAAGAGGCACAAGCAGATGAAGAAGACGACGATGATATCTGCCACGTGTGCGGTGAGGCGGATGAGGGCGATGTGCTGCTGCTGTGTGACGGCTGCGACAACGCCTGCCACCTCGGCTGCGCGCGGCCCGTGCTGCGCCGCATCCCCAAGAGTGCGCCCGCTCGCCGCCTTCATGCTAATCTGTTCTCTGCTTGCTCTCTCGAGCGTTAAGCGCCCTCTTTTTGCCAGGCATCGGTGGCGCCTTTGCGACCTGATATCATGCATGCTGCATGTGCCTTGCATGTCATGTGATACAGTGCCCCACCTTCCGGGCACCGCCTTAAGGCGTTAAGGTCCAGAACAATGCATATGTGGCTGTTTGGTCTGCCATTGTCGTCATAGGAGTAGTGCAGCCATGCTCCATGAATATTCCTGTGCAAGCGTTGATGCAAGGCTGGTGGCCTGTTGTGTGCACTGGCTGCACAGGACAGTGGGACAAGCAGGGCAAGTATGGTGGCTGATTGATGGGATTCGGTGTGCGCAGACGACTGGTTCTGCTCGGAGTGCAAAGCGGCTCGCGGCGCATCCAAAACAGCCAAGCGCAAGGCCCAGCAAGCTGAGGAGGAGGACGCCGTTGCCGAGGCCGCGAAGCCATCCAAGACCCCCCGCAGGCACGCCCTGCCTCCCTTGTGATTCTGCTCCAAACTCGCATGGACAGCCAGGATGCTCGGGAGAATTAGCTGCCTGTGACTCAGGATATCCCTCTCCACATTCTTGTCGAGCAGCGTGTCTGCATGCATGCACGAGACTCAAGGCCTCATTTGAGAATCAAAGGGAAACACTGTCTGTTGGTAAGTCCACCAGATCAATAATGGCATGATAAATTGTGGTCCAAATTAGAAAGTCCCAGGGTGCGCAAATGCAGGTCTGAGACCAAGGAGGAGCCGGCGGCTGAGGAGGCCATGGACGGCGGCAAGGATGACAGATCTGCCGCGCCTGAAGAGGCACAGTCGCAGTCTGGCAGGAGCACGCGGCGCTCCTCTGTTGCCGTGCAGCCCGCTCTAGAGCCGGCGGCGTCCCGGCCGGCGCGCGGCCGCAGGGCGTCCCTCGCTGGTGCCGCAGAAGACAACACAGCCAATGAGGTGCTTGTTGGACCCAAATTTTGTGCTCCTGTACCTTGAACTAGAGTGAATGGCACATCAAGGAGCCTGCCAGAGCTGCTTTGAAAGAAGGCAACCGTGAATATTGGTACTTGCTGCCCGATAGATGATCAATGTCGTTGGAATCTTGCTGGAAAGCTTCACTCACTTTTGTCTTTTCCAATCCTTGTTACAGATCTTTGGCTGTCGACTATCTAGCAGATCAATGAATTGGAAGTGAGCCTGAAACACCAAGCGCCTGCACAGGTACAGGCCAGCGCTGCGGTGGCAGATGTCAAAGCGCCAGGCTCGGCAGTGACTCAGGCGCGCACGACACGGCGGCGCGCATCGCTGGCGCAGACACCGGCCGCCGCGCAGCCGGCCGAGGCGGCCGCCGCGCCCCGGACGGCCGCCTCCACCCGCGGCGCGCGCCGCAACTCGGTGTCACCCGCGATCGACGCCGCTCCGCAGCAGGTGCATTGGCAGTGTCTGTTGCAATGTGCCCGAAGCCTGCAGTCTTCCTGACATCAACCTTTTAACCATCCAGCTGTAATCGGGCTCATGAAAAAGTATATGGACCAGACAATGTGGAGGCATGCACATCTTCAGACCTATATACCAGTGGTCTTCCCTGCTATCCTTCAGATTGTTCACCTGCCTTGTACTAGAGACTCATGTAGCAATGTGACGATGAGCTATTGTGCTACGAGCAGGAGTTGGCGGCCGCGGTGCCGCGCATGGGCCCGGCCAAACGGATGACACTGGCGTCGGTGGAGGCGTCGTTGGGCCCTGCTCTGGGCTCGCTGGGCGTCATTGAGGAGGCCGACGAGGAGATGGGCTCCGACGCGGACGAGGGCGAATCCGCGCCCGCTCCCCTGCCCAAAGCCAAGCCCGCCCCTGCCCGGGCCGCCAGGTCAGTATGGGAGGCACCACCGATCTAACTCTTCATCCATATGGATTCAGGGTTGGCGGCCGGAATGCATATCAGTGAAAGCTAGTGAAAATTAATGGATTGCTGGTGGCGCCACGCACATACACTGCCAGCTTGGCACCTGCTCATGGTTCTGTAAAATTCATGCATATAAGGAGGTGATACTATAATAGGAATGCTTGGGTATTTATGTAGGCCTGTCTGATGGTATGGGCACTTCTAATTCCTGACACTGCTTTTTTTCTCTGGTGGTTCAGGAGCAGGAAGGCGCTGCAGGACAAGACCAACCAGGAGGCGCCCCAACCTGCCACCCGCCGCACCAGGTAACTCAGCCAGACATCCACTGCAACCTTCTTGCTGCCTCTTGGTTATATTTGTGTGTGTGTCTCAGTTGTAGTGGTCACGGGACTGTGCGGGAGCTGCCAATTGGCCGGTGACAGAAATCTTAGATTGCGATGGGAATGGGTGTATGGTAAGCTAGTCACAATTGCTGTTTGCAGGGCTGCCGCCGCAGGGCCTGCCAAGAAAGCGAGGACTGCGTCGCCCGCCGCCAGTCCCCCCAAGACCAGACGCTCCACCCGAGCTCGAAGCTGAGATGGACCAAGATGCATGACAAGTCGAGACTGCTGATGAGGAATTACACACCAGTCTTTGCTTTGAGGGAGAGCTGCTGACGCACCCAAGACAGCCAAGCACTCCATGTTTGAGAAGACGGACCCCAAGATGACCTGACTCTGGCTGTGCAGCAATTGTTGCGTGCTGCTGAATAACGAAGCGGCCGAAAGCATGCTGAACATTGAACCATTGAGGGGTTATAAAGTTCACGTCAAGACTGCAAGACACGTGCAAAGCTATGCCTTAACCAAGCATGGCATTGAGACATTTGAGAACAGTCATCCAAGACTGCAGGGTAAATAGGGTTCTGAAAAGCCTGGCTACAGTGTCAGCCTGGAGCCTGATAGAAAGTGTACACATGTGCATGGCTTTCAAAAGTCAGAATTATATCTGTTCAGAGCTGTCACTTCGATCTAAGTCGGTCCGGACATTTGAACAACTGCGTGCAGACTTAGGTGAAACGTGTAAGTCAAGCGTTTACAGCACGAATGTGACACATACTGCAAGGCGAATGCATTTGATATATGGTCCCTGAATTCCAGAAGACAAAGTCCAGCTGTCACTTTGCATGTTTGAAGTCCAGGTGGACACCATGTGACTCATCACATGCAATTCCTTGATTTCTCGGAAAATCATTCATGAGATCCTACCCCGTCGCTAGAAGATACGGGCAAATATTGTAGAGATTGTTCACCGTGTCGTCTTCGAGGGCTTGGGGGAAGGCATATGCAAGCACTTCAAGGATGCCAAGGACAGTGTAATTTTCGGCCCGTGCCTCGCTAGAGTGCCAGCAATGCGAAAAGATGTTATGTTAATGTTGCTCCAAGAAGCTCCCATACATCACGTTGATAGGTTTCTGAGCTGTTGAATATCACTGACCAACATCCCAGAGCAGTGGCCTTCTGACGCGGTGAAAAGAGACACTGAGGCCTACGACCATTGTCCCACAGTCATTTTAAGTAGTTGAGTACCACTAAGGTCTCTTAAAGTTGAGCACATGCCGACAGAAACCTTCGAAAGCGGGTCCAGATGGCCAAATACATTCAGTCAGTCTCCCAAAGGGCCTGAGAGGGCCTGTCACGGGACAGATAACGGCAGCGTTTATTTGCAATCGGACCTGTTCAGGACAGTCCCAGTGAACGGTGGAGGCCAGGCAGCAGCCGTGCAAGAGCAAGAACCACTTTCAGCCCCTGATCAGAGAGGCAGCGGCATGGAATCAGAACGTCGCCCCAGCCCCTTTTTGCAGCATCAGGCAGTATCAAGAAGTGCACAGTCTGCACAAGCCGATGGGAAGCAGAATGGCGCTGAAAACCACCAGGAGGCTCTAGCGCCCCTCAGCAAGGACGCACTCAAGATGCTGTCTTGCACCACCAAGGAGGAAACCATCGCCAGCCTGACAGCCAAGGTACCCCCTTTGCCCCCTTTTGTCATTCGTATGACGTTATTCCTGCTCGCAGCACTATGAAACCCCACCCTAGCTGATGAGACGCTCAATGTGGCCCAGAAGGGAATTGCTGCGCCTCGGCAGGTGGCAAAATTGGAGGAGCAGCTGAGCAAGCTGCTGCAGGCGACGCCCACAGCCACAGTCACATCGGGGACCTCTCCTCTTTCCCCGCCTGCCACACAGCGCTCTGCCTCACTCGGTCAGCGCCGCAGGAGCGCCTTCGAGCTGGTAACCACCGATAGTCCCCACCCCCTGCTTAGCCTGCCTCCTCGCCTGTGATAAGCTTTCCTCTTACCCAGCCACCCCGCTGATCCTACCCAACACGCATGGGAGACAATGCGCCTCCTAAGCTTTGAACACGGTGAACTGTGTGCCACGTCAAATCATGCAGGCAGCTGCACGGCAGCTTCTGCTTCCTGGTGGAGAAGTGACGGGCGTGAGATTTTCTGTTTGACTGGCACTGCATATACACCGCAAGACAGCCCGTTCTCTGTACCTGGCGCTCGCCCTGCCTTGCATGTCTTGCATCTCTCTTCTCTCAAATTCTGTGGCATGGTGTAGAGCGGGCTGGACCTGGGCAGCCTGTACCTTGAGGACCAAGCACAGAGGGAGGACACTGTCTCAATGGCTGCCACGCGCGTGGTCATGCACCAGATCGTGCTGCCCTCCGAAGTCGACTCCCTCGGCATCTGCTTTGGCGGACAGGTGCCATCCTGCTGCACACCTGCTGCACACCGCTGCCATCCCCAGGCACTGTCAGTTGTCCTGAGCATCCCTACAGTCTCAGTGGCATTTTTTCCTTGGTGCAAGGCAGAACTCTGAAGATGCTGTGCCCTGAAGGAAATAGCAAAAGCCCTGAGCCTAGCCACTGACCCACACTAGAAGCTGCTGCCAAGAAAAGATGCTCAGTCCCAAAAAAACTGCCTGAAAATTAGTCGGATTGGCTGTCAGATGCTGAGGTGGATCGACATATGCGCCATGAAGATGAGGAGATGCATGCTGGTGTCCACAGGTGCTGAGCTGGATCGACATATGCGCGGGGCTGGCGGCCAAGACCGTGGCGCGCGGGCCGGTGGTGACGGCCAGTGTGGACAGCGTGCACTTCCTGCGCCCCTGCCGCCTCGGATCCGTCGCCATCGTCGCCGCCCAAGTCAACCGCGCATTCAAGTCCTCCATGGAGGTCCGACCCATCTTCCCCTATTCTCCCTTTCACACACACCTTTGCCAGGCCTGGCCGCTTGCCAATTCCTTGCCCTGTACAAAACAGCTTTCGTCCCGTGTCTTACCTTGAATTTTACAGTGACCTTTCACACCTTAGCCGGGCTAGCCGCTGGACAGTATTTTGCCCTGCTTGCCACTATTCCTGGCGCATTGTCTTTCACAGCAGAGACGTTGTAAGAAATATCATACCAAAAGCAGTGCTGATCACAAGCATACGATCAGCTCAAGGATGCAGATCGCTCTGCCATGCGATGCACATTGTTTTTGGAGAAGCAGGGAGGGGCAGGCGGCCCTGGGCGGCAGAGGCGATGCTAGCACAAGGTCTGCAGAGGGAATCTGGGAGGCCTGCGTAATGATGAGTCAGTAACGTTGAGTCATGTATTGCGTGGCGACAGGTGGGCGTGCGAGTGGAGGAGGAGGACATGAGAACGGGCGCGCGGCACCACTGCTGCTCCGCCTACCTCACCTTTGTGTCGGTGCTGGCGCGGCCGGGCGCCAACGGCCGCCCCGCGCGCCTAATGAAGCGCGTCGCCCCCACGCTGACCACCCACCACGAAATCTTCGAGGCCGCCGAGCGGTGCGCGTTGCCTTCACCGCCTTTGTGGCACTGTGCAGAGTTGACCCTTCATTAAGGCGTGCGGAGTTTGCCGCTACGCCGTGAGCAGTTGGCTCGAAGAGGAGGGTGCTCGAGCTTTTCAAGAATGGGCCTCCATAAGGGAACGACCAAGAGCTGGTCCCTGAAAGTCATCAGACCGTGTGAAATTTTGTTTGGAAGTGGAATCACGGTCTGGGCGCTGTGTGCGCTGAGAGCATTGCTATGACTGTGCAGGCCAATAAGTGCATGCAGGTGAGTCTCAGCACGCAGCAAAGTTGCGCTGTGCTGATGCAGGCGGCGGCAGGAGCGTCTGGAGCGGCGGGCGCGGCTGCAGAACACGCCGGAGATGGCCGTGCCGCGCCTGCAGCCCATCACCCACCGCGAGGGCTCCGCCACACTCGCCCCCGCCGTGCAGGCACGCCCTCTCACAGCTATCACAAATGCACCATTCAAACCTTTTGTGCTGGTTCAGACCGATGCCTGCTGCATGAGAGAGATCTCAAAACCAGTTCTGGAAACTTCCTGTCTGAGAATTTTCACCTCTGTCATATCCCGTCTGGAAAGTTGCCTCGTTAAGTGCTTGTCCTTTTCGTCACACACATGGTGCCATACGCTTGTCAAGTGAGAAGTGTCTGCCGGGGGATGAAAGTCTGTGGTTGCTGTGTGAGTGCAGGCTGCTGAGGCGGGCGTGCGGGAGAAGGTGCGTGTGACACCCGGGATGACGCTGGCGCACATGACGCAGCTCATAATGCCCCAACATGCCAACTCCCTTGGCATCACATTTGGCGGCCAGGTGGGGGCCCCTCAATTCTGTGCACTCCCCACTTCACCTCACTGCTGCTCCAGTAGAGTCCTCCAGTCAGGAATCTCAAGCTCCATTTGGACGAACTCTGACGGCAACTTGCAGCAACCCTGGCCATTAACAGCACCCCTAGAGCAGTTTCTGCGATGTGGACAGGCCAACCGAATGACTATCTCCTCACAGCAGTCGCCTCAGGGGCCCAAATCACTGCTGTTGTCCAGGCGTTGCTGGCGCGCCCCTGCAGGCATCGAAATCAAAATAAATGCGGCACTGATGAAGCAAATAGGATCAAAGAAGGGGTCATGTTTGTGCGGCGCAGGTGATGCGTTGGATGGAGCAGTGTTCGTACATAGCGGGCAGCCGCATCGGGCGCAGCGGGCACCTGCTGACGGGCAGCCTGGACAGCCTCGCCTTTGCGCAGCCCACGCGCGTCGGCGACATCATGTACATCACAGCCCAGGCGCGTGCCTATTAATTATGTATCTGGTGTTTCTGCCGACCTGTGCTTTCTGCCGCCTGTGCTTTCAACCGCCCTGTATTTCCAGCATGTGCATCACCCGGCATGTGCAGCTGCATTTGAAAATATTGTGTCTTCTTGATGCAAGTCGAGCAATAGTGCGTTTGAAAAATTGGAGCTCGCAATTTTGAGAGCGAGTACATATAAAGAATTAGCAGAAGAGGGGGACTTGCGCCGGCACGTTTCTGGGAGGACAGCAAACTTCTGAGACCCGTTCTGTGATGTACATCAGGCGTCCAAGCGGGCTCATTATGCACTACCCTTAGATAAACAGTACAAAAGCACGACGTGCCCCTTAATGCGCTACACTGTCCCCTGCGGCAGGTGACGGGTGTGTTTGGGAGCAGCATGGAAGTCATGATCAGCGTCTGCGGCGAGACGCCGACGCAGGGAGAGGTGTTCCACTGCGGCGACGCCTACGCGACCATCGTGTCGGTTGACCCGCGCGGCAATCCGGTGGACCTGCCCATTGACCTCGCCCCAGAATCTGCAGCCGACCTGCTGCGCTGCCGCGCTGCCGCCGACCGGTGCGGCCGGCGCCAGCCACTGCGTGATAGTATCTTTGGGAAATGATATATGATATTATTAACATTGGATGGAGTTTACCTGAGCAGCACGATGCCAGAACAATCAGGCCTCAAAACTTTTCGTCATCCAAAGTTTTATGAGAAGGTTGCAAGAACTCCTGGAGTCACTCGGCCTGTGCCAGCGGGGTTTTTTCTCCCAGGAGGTACCTCGATAGGAGTTCAAGACAGTGGTTCAACACGCTGCTTCTTGCCTGCATGCATCTCTTGTGAGAGATTTGAGGTTTTTATTATTATTGCAGTATTTTCTTCGATCCGTGCCCGACAAAGGGTGGACGCATGTGCAGGCGGTACGAGCGGCTGGCGATGCGCAGATCCCTTCTGGCCAACGAGGCCAGACGGCCGTCACTCGATGGCACACTCGCCGGCTCCCTGCGATCCAGGAATGCTTTTGGTGGCACCTGAGCACCCACAGCAAAGGCCACAATCTTCAGTGTCCCAACGTTGGTCGTTGCAGTGTACTTGATCAAGGAATGTTTGCCCTCGTGCGGCTGTAGTACCCAGCGGCTGGAGAGATAAGTCTTATTTGGTGTTAAGCTCTGGACGACAGGTTACCTCATTTGTGGCATGACGCATGCAGCTAGTTTGACCAGAAAAGTGTGAGTTTGTTGTGTACCTATAGGAGTGTACTATTATGATTTGGTCCTCAGGTTGGCTACAGCCTCCAGGTTTGCATGAGATGGAGTTTGCTTTGTGCAATGCAATCCTGCAATTTTTTGCAGTTAGGTTAGGATTATGGGGCGATTGCCAGGGTGTCCCTAGGAATGTCCTTTGCTATTGCTATTACATTGTATAGGTTAGGAAGCACTTTCTGCCGATCCATAATCATGCTAATTGAAAGCATCAGTATGATGTAGCAGAGTCTATTGTCAGTCACTTGGTCAGCATCCCTCATCAACGCGTAATTTTTAGAACCTCAGTTCCAAACGATAGGCTAAGCCGTTGGGTCCCGTAAGTTTTGGTGGTTGCAGGACTCAAGTGTACAGTATCTTCATAGCATTAGGAGGTTGTCAGTCCAGGTGGCGTCACTCACATCCTGATTGGCATAATGCTGTTGCTGTTCAGGATTTGTAACACATGCACTTTTATATACACTCAACCGTTACTTGACCATCAGTCTCACACCCTTCAGGTGCACACATGCCCTCTGCCATGCGGCAAGGCAGTTCTGCTTGCAATCAACTGTTCCATCTAATCCGTCTCCAGGCGCTGCAACTGCTCATGTGTCAGACTCAGTGGTGCTGGCGAGTGCCTGGCCCAAGCCCAGCCAGCTGCAATGTGCTCCTCCACAGAGCAGCTTTCTCTCTGACCCCATACATCTGCTGCTGCTGCCCTGCATCCGCAGAATCCCCCACTTTCTTCAGTCAGCACAATTGCCAGAGTCCTGCACCTACATATGGCTGTGTTGACACTCACAAGCCCCACTCGTGCATTGCAAGCTTGACTCGCATTGATTTTCTGCACACAAACCTGCAGATTGCACAGCAGAAAGCGCACAATAATGGTACACAACGTCGGCCATACCCAACGGTGACAAGACAAATAGGCTGCTGTGCCTTTTGCAATTTGCCTCAGCAACTGAACAACCATCACTGCATGCATAGTTGTGCATGCAGGACTGTAAGTGCCGACGCACCTCGAACGGATGACAAGATGAAGTCAGAAGATGCCGCCACGAGCCACCAGTGGCCGCGCGCAATCTCCCGCTGCAGCTCACCCCAGGGCCAGTGCGCGTATCCCGCCAGCAACTTGAATTCGCTCGCTGCCGCGCGGCCACTCGCCACCAGCTCGTTTGCATGCGCCAGGCCCCCCGTGTAAATCCCCTGAAAGTTATTGCACCGAGAACCCTCGTCATAAGCCCTCCTTCAGGGTCCCTGTTGCTATGCTTTGCTGAAACCGTTATGCCATCACTTCGGGGTCAAAGTTCACAAAGTAAGCGTTGGCAGAATGAGGGTTCCTTTTAGGGGAAATTCCTGATATCAAGCTGGTGCCTAAACACTTCTCTGCAGTGCTTGACGGTCAAGGCATAAGGCTTAGGAGGGTGTATTGCGCACATCTATGACTTCAAAGGTGTCTGCCACTGCGGGGTTGCCGTGCAGCAGATGCAGCCGCTCTGTGGCCACCGAGCCGCCCTGGTACAGCAGCTGCTGCTTGAAAGCCCCTGCGTTTTAGAGAACACCCAACTCACCAAACTTCGGGGGTACAAAAATTCCTGTAGCTGCCCGAATGCTCAATGACGTATGTAGTCACCGTGCCTGAAGTTGCATCCGCCTGAAAGTTAGCAATCTGACCACAGTGAACACCAGTGTTGAAGGTCACCAGAAGTCACACCTGCAATGTCTGGCAGGCATGTGCAGCTCCGCACGCGTGCGTTCGCAGAAGGGCAGTTCAAGATGAGTCCAGCGCTCCCTTGCAAGTCTGCACAGCCACCGCCCCTTTCAGCTCTTGGTAACACATACGGATGTGAATGTGACATGCAACAAGCCACCATTATGTGATGTACACCCAGGCTAGCTGTGGGTATTGCAGAAGGATTTACAAACACCAAAGGACTCTGGTTTCACCATGGGTGCTGTCAACTCTTGACTCCCAGTGGTTTAGTCCTCTTTTTCCCTTATCGTTGCAATCAAAGCGATTGGGAGCCCCATTTACCGGGCCAAGGGTGTCTTTCCTTATGCCTGCTTTGCATGTCATTTAATGCGGTGCCCCAGATACAGCTCAACTGAGGGCCTGGGATCCAGGAGTATCCACTCTGGCAGGGGGGGCTGAAGGGTTGCACCATGCTCGAGCAGAAGCACAACTGACTGTGTGTGCAGCGGTCCCATGTCAGGCCTGCGAGCCACGAGCAGGCAACCGCGTTCGGGCGCGCCCAGCTCGTGAGCCCAGTGCCGGGGCAGCACCAGCCGCCCGCGCAGCTGCTGTGTTGATGGAAGGCCGTCTGAGAACAGCCCCGCCCGCTCCTGCTGCACCAGAGACGCCCGATACAGCCGCCAATTCGCCGGCCCCTGCTTTGGGCATGACATTTGTTGCAATCATTATTTTCCCTCCCTGTCCTCTCCTCACTGTCGAAGCCTGGGTGAGTGGCTGCTCAACAGTGTAAGGTTGTTCTATCAAGAAGTGACATGTACTGCAAATGTCATTGTGTCTTAGGTGCACGGGACCAAATCGTACAGCTGAACTCTGGGCGCCCACAGAGGCCTCCTCGCCCTCGCCTGCACTGCTGTGCTGGGCGCTGGCTGCAGCACTCTGCCTCCTGCTGAGCACAATCAGACCATTTTTGTCACTACTATTGCTCCAGATACTGAACCCCGCCTGAGGCACTGAGGTGCCCCATATGAACAAGGTCCATATCAACCTAGTCAACTACTTCTGCAAGGGTGTAAACTCAGCTCAATATGCAAGCAATAAACAGTAACAGTCAAAGAACAATTTTATGATCGCCTGTTAGAAGTGTACGTGCGAGTGTGGCAGGCTAAAGGACGAGGTAGTAAGTATAAAAAGTGCCCGTTATGGCTAGGACAAGGTTGCCCACCTTGGTCTTGCGTGCTGAGACTCGCTTCGAACGCAACCTTTGTTGAACAAGAATAAGCCTGTCTCCCTATGACATATCAGAGGAGGGCCCAGCAACGAAGAAGATAGGAACAACGGTTGCATTGCGTTTTGTGGGCCGCAGGTCCGTATCTAGATCGTCCGCGCAGAAGACTATGGCTAATTCCAACTTCAGAACACTTTGTTAGAAAGGGATATGAGGGAGTTCAGCTCGGTTGCACGCGCGCAGCAGAATTTTATGGGCCAGCTGTCGACTAGTCAGCTTGAACAAGTCGTTTGCCATATCGACCCCCCTATCTAGCCTCACGGAAGAGAAACGCATCACATCCTGCACGGTGTTCTGCTAAAATGTTGTCAGGTCTCTTGTCAACTATATTTCTGACACAGTGCAGGAGCCAAAGCCCTATTCTGCGCTTCATGAAACTTCAAATGAACTAACCGATCTGAACTAAAACCTTACGACTGTGGACACGCGTGTATCTTGGCTTCCTCTTATGTCCACTTATATTAGATATAAGCGATACTAAGCTGCAGATTTACAGGGTACGCAGACATGTAAGCAATTTGTTGATGGAGCATGGAAGTGCACATTTGCACACTTGCCAAACCTCAGACGCAGCCCTGACACTCAATCTAGACATGTCAAAGAGTATGTGGTCCAATATTTTATTAGATCATCAGTGCTGGTGCAGGTGGTCCAGTACAGCAGCTGAGCTGCAGGCTGCATGGGCCCAGAGCAAGGCTCAGATGGCACCGGCTCCTGGGGCTACTTAACCGGCTTTGCCGACAGATACAAAGTGGCCGGTCAGGTGGGGAAGGGAGGCAATGGCATTGTCAACAAAGTCGTGCAGAAGGCCACAGGCCGCGAGTATGCATGCAAGGTGCTGCCAAAACAGCTGGCCGATGCTCGCGCATCGGAACAGAAGAAAGCAGCTCACCCCGAGAGCGTCCGGCACGAGGTGACTCACTGTTATTCTGTCGTGACAGCCGTGCATGCAGGCAGTCTGCATCTTGTGCCTGCATTAGCATGTGCCCTGACCAATGTGGGCATTCGACGGTGAAACACAAGTATGCAAGCTTGATTGACACTTGATGCTTGCATTGCTGGAGGTTATCTGGTGTGTTTGTGCAGGTGGAGGCACTTTTGCTGCTGCGTGGCACGCTGAATGTGGCCGGCTTGGAGGCAGCATATGAGGATGATCGCAGTGTCTACATTGTCATGGAGCTCTGTCGGGGCGGCGACATCATCAAGGCCATGAAGAGCAACCCTTCCAACGAGAGCATGGTGCGCGCTTCGCATGCAGCATGCTCACCGCCACAGAATTCATGCGCAAACTTCCTTCTTACTCCGCCCAATACTGGGGAGGTGCTCGCCAATGTAAAGGCGCCAGGATTGCCTGCCCTAACCGAAATCGAGCTGCAGAAATGGACGAAATTCACAGATGCAGTAATTAAACAACAGAAGTTTACATATGACCAGGCAGGTACCTACATGCGGTCCATCTCTACTTGGGAAAAAGATGTGTGCACATGTGAGGCTTTGAGATGACTTTGTGGCACAGCTCGCATCCATCATCCGAGCGGTGCTGCAAGTGGTGGCGCATTGCCACGCAGTCAAGTTCCTGCACAGAGACATCAAGCCAGGTGGGCATCCAGACTCCTTCTGGCACCCATGCAATGTGGGGTGATACAAACCAAATAGACTGCCAAGTGCCTCCTGCCACATCTCATGCCTTGGTTGGGTGTTGAGTCTCCCTTTACATGAGCGTAGAGGGATTTGAGGCTGTGATCCTGATATAAGTCTGCTGCCCTGCAGAGAACTTCCTGCTGTCGGAGGCTGGGGAGAAGGGCCACCTGAAGGCCATAGACTTTGGGCTGGCGCTGCCCTTTGACCCGGCGAACCTGCCCCTCTCAGTGTCTGTACTGGAAGGCACTCCCTGGTGCGCACCTTCTATCATGCTCCCACTGAACACTGTTACCCCACTTCAAGATATGGTAATGATCTTTAAAAAACTGATAACGATGATAATGACACTTTAGGGACCTGTTTGGAGCCAACCTAGGCCCAATAATACTATGGGCAATCTCTCACAAGGGGCAGCAGGTGTTACCTTGGTCCTGTACTTGAAAACTCATTGCTTGTTGCCTTTGAAGGCATGTAAGCTTGTGTAGTGAGAGTCTGATGTTTCATTGCACACGATCTTGCAGGTATTTGGCGCCCGAGGCTTGCAGGGGCAAGTTTGAGCCGGCGACGGATGTGTGGGCGGTGGGGGCCATGACAGCGCAGTTGCTGACTGGGGAACTTCCCTTCAACGACCCTGTATCACCCAAAATGCCCTCCATGCAGCGAGTGCTCAGGTGCAGTTCGGCCTCAGCCCTCCATCTACCTCTGCATGGTGCAGTACTTCTATGATTCAAGGAGCACTGGTCAATTGTAATTTCGTAGTGAACACTGTGGATCAAAAGTTCTTTTTGGATCACCTGCTTCCTGCTAAGGTAACAATCACAGGAAAGAGTTTGCAGGTGGGAATTATAAAGCTAATATGAACAGCAATTATGTTCTTTCAATACGAACGAAAAACAAGGAGGGTGTGAACGGGGCAACAATGAAGTAGAAGGAAGTAATGTTCTTCTGATCACACCCCTATGATAATATATGTGTGCAAGGGCTTCAGTAACTCTGGGCACAGGCGCGCAGATCCATCATACGGGATGAGGTGGACTATGGGAAGAAGGGCTGGAGCCGAGTGAGCCCGCTGGCCAGGGAGTTTGTGGCCAGCCTCCTGCGAAAGGAACCTGCCTCACGGCCGTCAGCTGCACAGGTGGCGCCATTTTACAGACTTTGACGGCAGGCACAAGAACTCAAAAGAAACTGGCATTTGGCTCTTTAATATCAGGTTGCATGGGCAGATACCAAGTCTGGGTGTGCGTCAGCATTCTGTGGAAGTTTGGTGAGTTTTGTCATGTGCTTGCTCAGGCTCTGAAGCATCCGTGGATCCAGGAGGAAGAGGCAGCCGAGCAAGTTGGGGTCCGAAAGATCGACAAGTCTGTCGTCCAGAGACTCCAGGTGGGCCATCATTGCTGCTCATCACAGTACAGAATCCACCTCGGCACATGCTTCAGGGTCGTCATTAGTCAAGCAAGCGGTCCACATCACAGCATGACACCTTCTCTGTTAGCCGGCAAGCATGCCCCTTTCAGGGAATGAGTTTGTCTGTTGTGTGCTGCGCAGCGCTTTGCGAACGCCAGCTACTTCAAGAGGAGCGTGCTGGAGCACATAGCTGCAGACATGCTCACGCTGCGCGCGCGAGATCAGCAGCCGCTGGACGCGCGGCTGGGCTCCTTCCTGCGGCTTCCGCCGTCCTCTGCCGCCGCCGACAACGAACGGTGCGCGCAGCCCCCTTCCCCCCTTCACCTTGTCCGATCTGACGTTCCAAATCAGCACTTGTGTTGCTATACGTGATTAGAGGAGCCCATCGTGCTGTGAGTCTGAGGTGTCGGCAAGCCCCACTTGGTGGGTCCATTTGGGGTGATCAATTGAGGGCAGGCTTTGTGAGAAGTCCCCTGTTCAAGCTCAACAGGGACATGGTTTTTAAAGATCCTGAAGAGAGTTGATAACTGTTGAAAAGCAAGGTCTGAGGGTACCCGGTTAAATCTTACAGGAACAGGTCGGTGAGGGGCGGGTCGCAGTTTTCTTACGGCCGCTCGGTGCGCGCCGGGCTGGCGTTCTTTACTAATCGCAGCGTCCGCGCCGGTGCGGCGTTCCCTCCCTCGGCCAAACCAGGCAACGTCGCCATGTCATCCGCCACCACAGCGCTGCCGCCGCGATCCGCGGCGGATGCGTCGGCACGGGCCGGCCGCTCGCTGCATGGCCGATCGCTGCACGGCACGCGGATCGACGAGGGTTCCGCAGACCCCGGAACAGGGGATGTGAGCGAGGGGGGTTCACGGCGTTGGGGCGCTGGGGCGGAGCTTGACAGCGGGGAGTGTGCACCGGACCCCATAGCGACGCCGTATGCGGAACGGTTGCAGAGCCTGCTGAAAGTGCTAGAGCTGAATCAGGTGCGCTGCCCAACCCTTTCTTCAAATACGCTTTCTCAAGTTTTGAAAATCCATGTTCAAAATCTGACACATCCGTAATTAGATGGTTTTCTCACTCATGAGTGAGCAGAAACGCAGCTGATCCTGCAGTCATGTCAGAAAGGGCAATGACATCACGCAAGTGACACACTTACAAGGAAGGAGCGCTGCATGTGCAGGAGGGTTCAGTCATAGACCGGGACGGCTTGAACGCGGGGCTGAGGCGGCTGGGCTATGACTTGGATCCGGACGAGGTGGATGCTCTGATGCGGCAGCTGGATATTGCCGGCACTGGCCGCCTCCAAAGCGCAGAGGTGGCTGCCAGCATCATAGACTGGCACGCCCTGCAGGTGCGCCTGATATGAGATGACTACAGCTGAGTCCCAGGAACAGTCTTGCCCAGTTGTGCAGCTCACAGCTGATGCACTCCAGAAGAGCAGTCATGGCAGCAGCGGAAAGTTTTGTAAGTACCCTCCGCAACTGCTATGTTTGCTTTCTGGATACTGTGTCTGTGTAAGCTGTTAATTGCCCCCACAAAGGACTCAGTAAAGGACTCAACAACCAGCTGCCAGGATGTGCATTGGCCTTGTCTCACATCGAGTAAGAACGTGTAAGAATTATCATCAGGGCCTTGGCAAGGGGCTCATCAATCTAGTGCATGGGCGGGTGCCAGCTGGTAGATGCTTAATGCTCAGATTTTAGATGCCTGAGTCCCCGCCCCGAGGTGCCGTGGGTGCTTGGCTGCAGGGCAGGTACAGGGACCTGTGGCAGGAGTGTGCGCGGAGGGCATTTGAGCAGATAGACACTGATGGCAGCGGCTACATAGAGCGCGAGGAGCTGGTGGCCTACCTCAGCAACAAGCTGTCACCCTACGAGGTGTGCCCCTTGTTTTGTAACATCCACTACCCCGCTGCCTGGTTGCCCTTGTGCCTCCTTAGACACATGCCAAGCTGTGGACCTGCGTAACTTCTGTGAAATTGCCTCATGAGCAAATGGGTCGGTAGCCACCTCTGTGCAGCTATTGATTTGGAGTTGCAAACAGAAGATTCTGTGAGGGGATTGTCTGTGTCTGCCTGCCACTGTCGCCCCATACGTTGCCTCTGTCTAGGAGTAGTAAAGCAAATTCTCATCAATTTTTTCAATCTCAAAAGAGTTCAAGAAAAGTTGGTGCACGATTGGCGCGCACAGGTGGAACCACTGGTGAGGCTGACATTGGCTGAAGCGATGGGGGAGGCAGAGGGGGGTCCAGGGAGGGGCCTGAGCCTGAGCCAGTTCTCAGCGCTGCTCACTTCTGGGGACACCGGCCTCGCGCTGTATGATCCCAGAACGGGCAGGCAACGATCAGCCAGGATACTTCCGCCGCCTGAGATTGCTGAGAAGCCTGCAGGCGCCTGTGCAGCGTGCCTGGTCTGCTAGATATGAGTGTTATTAAATCACCCGGTATGCTTACTCAGTACTGACATATGTTGCCCGGGCCATTAGCATGCATGCCTAGAAGTAGATGTGGCCTTTGTCTATGCCTATGAGATGTAGTCTTGAGTCTGTTGGAAAATACGATTTAGCTGTCACGCATGCATGGCGTGCACGTGAAGACTGTCTATGATGAGTGCTATGCATCTGAGCACTGTTTTGATGTGTACATGCACTGTTGGTTGGCTTGCTGTAGGTCAATCACAATTATGTTCATTACAGGCACAATTGATAATGTTGTCAGGCACAATTGATAATGTTGTCTGCCCAACCCTCAATGATTATTGCGACCAACAGACATGCTCATGCATGCGTCACAACCTTTTGCGTCACGAGCATCTGAAACAACGAGACAAGAAGAACAAGAAATCGAGCTGCAGAGCTGCAGAATATTGGCGGCATGCCTGCTCTTGCAGCAGGTCATAAGTGATTTCAACTCAGGTATCGACACCGCCTCAATATTCAAGAGACTGGCAATCTCTTTTGTCGCACACCCATGCCGACCGACAGGCCACCATTGCGGCCCAGTCAGCATCAAGAGGCACACAAGCGCAAAAGCTGTTTGCCACACCCCAGTGCCAGATGGAAATCATGCCTCCGATCAATGAAGAACACGGAAAAGAAGATTGTGGCATTCGCTGCACACGCTACTGCAGCCAATGTAGCGGCAACAGTGCACAAAGCCGACACATGGGCCAGTGCTGTCACACATGGAGCGACTGTGATCATGTCTTGTTGCATTTGTGACATGTGCTGCATGTCTCTGAAATGTCAATGCACACTACCCGTCCTGATGGGCAGCCGATGGTTCAGTCAACAAAAGTACCCCTCAAGGTGGTTCAGTCAAGGGACAACAGGGTACAAATATGCGCACACCCCCTCAAAGAATGCCCCGCGGGGCAAAATGCTCCTCCCAAACACCCAGAAAATGAAGAAGAATGGTTTGAGCGGCCCACTTAGAGCAGCACTGGGGCCCAACAAGTGTATCTGGGTTAAAGATCGTCAAGTTTTGATGAATGGCATTCTGTAAATGCTGTCTGATTCCTGGTGCCAAAGGGGCGTAGCACTGCCCTATGGGATGCTCAAAAATAGTTTTGGCCAGCAGAATCTACGTTTCCACATGTCCCCTTTGGGACACACCCTCAGGGGGTACTGAAGTGTAGTCTTCAGTACCCCCTGACACCCTCTGTGGATTGCCCATGATAAACACGAGCAGGCCTCCACAAAATGGTGCTGCAAGAAAGATGCCTCCTGTTGAAGTGCTTGATTTTGGCGCGCCCAATTTTTGCGCTTCCCCCAACTGCACACACCTCATAGACTCCATGCAGCCAGAGTCCCCCCCTATCCTACCACTCATGATCAATTTTTCCTACAATCTACCTTGTACAGGTCAATCCTCCTTGTTCCAGCCAGACAAGGGAAACACCCACAGCCCAAATCCATGCATTTGCCAACAGAGAGCGTGGAGGAGCGTGCTTTTATATTCGCCGGACGCTGCTCTGGGCCGAGCGCAGTATGTCCCAAGGACCTGCCTGCGTTGCTTCGTGGCCCAGACATCCTAGCGAGCTTCCTTGGACAGTCCAAGGACACCATGCTACTTAGTGACCACCTCCCTGGCATGCAAGAAGACCCACTTGTTTGGGACCCTTTAGCTCTCCCAAAGACCCTTTCTCTTCCATGCTTGTCAGCTTGAGTGCACTGCGCACAGCGGTCTGTGCTGGGGTCGCCTTCGGCATCCCCCTCCATTGCTGCAACACATGAAGAGGGTGGATTCCTTGCAGCGAGGGGGTTGGCCGAACTGATATGCAACTGCGCGTGGGACACCACGGCAAGGAAATCGCAATGTTGTCGGTTGTTTCGTGCGAGCGGGGAAAAACATGACTGCATGCCTTGGCACGTGCTGAGCTCCTTGCATCAGCAGGCCTCTATCTCTCGGCATAACTCCAGATTATGCTCTCGAGCAGCTGAGAGTTTCTTGACATTGAAAAGCGTGTCGGCACAATTTTATTGGTGTCGTGGCGGGCCCCTAAGAATCCTGGGAGGAGCCGCTGACGGCGACTGCCGCGGCCGGGACCGGCCGGCCGCCGCCGCTCACCTCGCTGCTGATGGAACCCCCATTTGCAAGCCTGCCTGCACACCCACACCGGGCGCAACCTCAACACCTGCTCGATCACCCGCCAGCCGCATCGGCAGCGCCGGTGCATGCCACATGCAAGGTGCAAACAAGCAGCGTGCTTCTGATTTCCTTTCTTATCTACCTGTAACTGGGCACGGCAGGCGGCAACAAGCTGTCTTCCTCAGGAAGAAGTGTCCTCTGGCATGTCACGAACATGCTGCATGCAGGGCGCAACCAACATAATAAACATGGGGTATGGATCACAAAGATGTAGGCGGCTGGACAAGAATGGATGGGAGACGGAGACTGCGGCTGCGCGCACCTTGCTCAGCGGCGACGGCGAGGTTGAGGAGGCGGCTGTTGGCGGCGCCGCGGCCGTTTCTTGCGGCGCGGCCGGCCGGGGAGCCGCTGGGGTCGCTGGAGTGGCGAGAGCCCAGAGACCCGGAGGGGTACTCGATCGTGTTGTGGGAGCCCGTCGAGCGCTCCGACGAGGGACCGCCGCCGTTCGCGAACGGCAGCGGCTGCACCACCGGCGTGTGCCCCACAGCCTGCGTCCAGGAATGTCTTTGAGACATTTTTCTTGGGTTGATTTGCCAACACCCAGCAACTGGTACATCTCTGTGTGAGATGGAGCATGACTTCACATGGAGCCCTAAGCCTGAAGAGTGCTACGCTTGGTTCCCGGATCCCTTGTACATGGCTGTCTGATCGGGGCGCAGAGACGTAATTAATGATGCTGCAGCTGTGCATCAGGATGAGAGAGATAGACTCTTACACATTTGATGTCCACAGAGTGTCACAACTAGAGTCCGCACATTAGGCACTTGCATAAAATGCCTAGTCTCTACCATTCATCTATCTGTGAATTTGCTGTTAACAACGTTGTTTCAAGCTCCCCAGTCCCTGTTTTTGCAGCTCACTTTGCATTTGGGCAGGCCATTACAATGAAGGCCCCAAATCCTCAGGTGCGCTAGATTGGGCAATAAACTAAAACTAAAACTACAAACCCCGCAGTGGGCTGATTAAGGGCGCACCGAGTTGGGATCGAGGGTCTGCAGGACGATGGCGGGGCCGGCGCCGTCGGCGTCGGGGGGGCCGGCGCGGAAGGGGTGGCGCTGCTGCAGGCGGCAGTTGATGAAGGAGAGGTCCTTGGAGGGCGACTGGTACGCCGCCGTGCTCTCGCCCATGCGCGCGCTGAACAGCGAGTGCGAACGGGACCCCAAGAACACCTGCAATGTGCGCAGCAAATATTCCTGAGTGTCATGGCCCATTGCTACTGCATGTGCAAGGGAGCTGACCGCACACCTACCACCCTTGCCCATCAGAATTATATTTTCTGCCTGTGAGAGTCAACTGCCCGCATAGGTAACCCGCCAGGCAAAACGGCGCACTGGTGGCCAGCGTGCTGCATGAGCTTCAAAAGATTGGGCACCTCTGATCATCATACTCCTTGCTCGTCAGCCCTTCATTTTTGACGACACCCTAAGCGCTGTGAAGAACAAAATGATGCACAAAGGTATCTTGGGGCAAACATGGAGGAGGAGGGCAGCACCTGCTGGCTGGGGGACTGGCGCATGGGGGACACGAGCACTTTGCCGCCCGGGGTGCCCAGGAGGGCGGGGGACGCGCCCCCCAGAAAGGCGCCGGGAGCGCCGAGGCGGTCGTGGGCGGGGGGCGTTGAGAAGCTGCGCGGGCCCAGGGGGGTGCCCAGGCGCAGGGGCGTTGCTGTTCCCAGCCCAGGCAAACCTTATATTACAATATAAGTTCGAATGTCTGAGGTTGCACTCAACATCCCTACAACCAAAGTGGCTTGCCCTGCTCCTAAGCGATGGGTGGACCGCCAAAAGATCTCTTCAGGCAACAGGGCAGGGCCTGCAGACGCCTCCTGTATTGTATCAGCTTCTCTGTGCTTTGGTGAGTGTTGGGTCTAACCTTTCAGGGTAGAAGTGCCATGCATGTGGTGGTTTGTCCAAACGAAGCAAGCAATCAAGCCAGTGTGCGTTACCTGGCACGGACAGCGTCGGCAGCGTGGCGAGGGGTGCCGTCTTGTTGCCGAGCTGCAGCAGGAAGGATTTTGTGGCCGGGATGAAGACCGCGTTGTAGAATTCTATCACGTCCCCCGTCTTCACCACCTGCAAGCCATTCCTCCAGGCCTCAGACACTGTAATACTTGCCATCCTGGGTACTATTTATGTATCCATTTTTTCTCTTTGTAAGGCCATTGTACTTGAAATAAGCAAATGCATGGGGGTGCAGGCCAGCACTTCTGTGTACAGACACACTGTACAGCCCTGCTTGGCAACTCATAAAATAAAATAGGAATTAGAAATTATATTTTGTTTTTGGTTTCAAAAGATAGAATTTGAATTTGAGAGTGCAGTCAAAAAGTGTGGTTTTAAAAAAGGGTGCGCCTCACCTGGAGGTCTGGCGTCAGCTGAATGGAGACGGTACGGAAGATGGAATTTTTTGCCTGGGCCTGCTTCTTGTAGTGCGTGATGATGTCCTTGAAGGTGATGTTCTTCAGCTGGTTGACCTTGCACACGCCGTAGAGCGCGCACAGGATCACCTGGTCCAGGTGGCGCCCATACAGCAGCCCCGTGTGGTCAGTCACCACATGTGACACCATCGTGAACACCTGCAACACACCACCGTCATTATTACGTGTCCCTGCTGCCGCCAACCACTTGGAAACATTGCACAATAATGTACAGCTGCTGCTTCCTCCAAACAACATGAGTCAGGCACAGAGTGCCTGAACCTGCCTGCCTGTTTGTGTGGCTTACATTGGCGGCAGGTGAGGAGCCGTGAAGGAGCCCGGAGTCCCTTCTCAGTAAGACCTTCGTACATGCAGATGAAAAGCCTCGGGCAAGAACAATGGCTGGTCTCACAGGGGCACATTGGCAGCTGTGATGTGAGAAAAGGGCGCCACCTGACTGACGATCTGGCTGCGGTCCAGGGGCTCGAAATCGAGGCGGTCGCAGATGTCATTGATGCGCAGCGCGGCCAGCTTGAGCACCTTGTTCAGAAAGTCGGACACCACCGCGCGTCCCGGCCGCTCCAGCCCCTCGCCCGGCCGCCCAAACGCCGCCGGCAGCATCCCTGGCACGCCCAGCAGCTCCGCGGCTGCAGCAACTCACACAGCAGACTCTCAGCAACCCGCCATCCTCCAGCCAACCTCCCCCTGTTCCTTCTTCATTCAACTTGCAATAGTGCTTCCCGGCAGCTTGCACCGAGCGTTAACCTGGCAATGTCCACCACCAATTCAAGATACAGGCGGCCAAGGCAAATGAGAATAGAAAAGACAAGGCAGGGGATGAGCATTGGACACCCACCTGGCTTCCGGAGCGGGGACATGAAAGAGGAGAAGGCTGAGGTGTCGCTCTTGCGGCGCGGGGACAGCAGCCCCTTGAACGGCTCCCCTCGGGGGGACTGCAGGCCGCCGGACGACGCCGACACGAGCGCCGCGGCCGCCTCAGCCACCTCAGCCGAGACGTCCGGCCGCGACGGCGAGCACGGCTCGGCGGCAGCCGGCGGCGGCCCGGCCTCTGCCGCAGCGCGCGCTGGGCCGCCGGCGCCGTCGGCCGGCTTGGCTGCCTTGGTCGGTGTGCTGCCGTCTGCAGCCGCCTCCGCTCGCCTCTTTGTCGGCGTGCTGTGCGCGCTGCCGCCCTGCTTGATAAAGCACAGAGCATGTCAAGCACTCACCCTTTCTAGCTTCACAGGCCGGCATGCACAATGGCGATCCCAATACACTGGCAAAACAAGCCGTCCTTGCTCTGACTGCAAGGGTCCTGAAGGCATGAATGCATGTCACAGTGCTTGCAATCGCTGGGCGAGAAACGCCGCAAGAGGCGCACCTTGCGGGAGGTGACGGGCGGCGACTCGTCCATGACGGCGTCGGCCTCGAGGCGGGGGGACTCGGAGTCGGCGGGGGGCGCGGAGCAGGCGGAGGTAAGGAGCGGGTAGAGGGAGGAGCCCCGCTCCCAGGCCTGCTGCTCCAGAATCTTCTCCTCGATGGAGAATAGGTGGCGCTTAAGCTCGCGCGGCACCTGGTCGGCCGGGGATATGTGCCGCACAAATGTGCCCACCAGCTTGGACATGTCGAAGGCCGACAGCTGCAGCCGCTCCAGCACCGCCGGGAATGCGTGCGTCACCTGCCAGAAAGCACAAGCAGCCGTTCGAATATCTAATTGTTTACACGAAGCACACCGTACCTGCAGCTGATGGTGCCAGACATTTCTAAGCCCGCAATTGGTATTGAAATTGGGCTTTTTGTGGCATTTTGCATTTGGGTTTTCAAGACCTGTTAAAACCCAAATATTGCGTTTTGGAGAAGTTCCAAAACTGAATTGCAGAGATCCTGATGGTGTGTCTCAGGACAAGCTCAGATGCTGAACAAGTTTTGATTAAACCTGACTGCCGCCACCTTCGATGATGGATGTTTGAATTGCTAAATTGTGAGCTGATGGCTACAGCCAGTAGAGGGAGTATTGGGCATGCGGGGAAAGGTCCGATTTCTTGCGTGGATTGAGGAATGTGTTGTGTTAGGGGACCAGATCCCAGCTGGACCAGGCGTGGATTACAACATCAATTGTGGACTTCAGTGTGCGCGCACCATTCTGTAGGAGGCTATGACAACCTCGAAGGCGCAGCCGGCCAGGCACTTGTTGAATTGCGTGGAGGCCAGCAGCGAGGTGAAGTTAGTGCGACCCGTGCGGTCCTGCTCCGCCTTCAGCATCCCCTCCAGCACCCGGAAGTACAGCTTCACCCCCTGTCGTCGCACACACCCTCGAGCTCGGGTTATATCCCTTCGTGACATGACGCTTTCAACAAAAGCCTGCAAGCTCGAAATCCAGGCTGCAGCACAAACAAACTTGGGAGCAGAAGCACATCCACAGCAAAAAAGAGTTGCCTGAGATTTGAGAGCTTCTCGGGGCTATGTGTGAGAAGTTCATGTGCACCACTCTGCAGATTATGTCATCCTTCAATGATTTGGGTTTTCTACGCACCTCAGCTCCCCTGGGGGACACGTGTGCGCCGTTGAGGACGCCAAGGGTCACGGTGTCCTGGTCTGGCTGCGGAGGGAACACTGCATCCGCCATCTGCGCCACGCGCGCGGCCACCGCCGCGCCGACCTCCGGCCCCGCCGTCTCAAAGAACTGCTTAACCTCCGGCGTCAGCTGCACACACCACCAGTAATTTTGAGCTTCTCAGCTCTCCTATATGCAATTCACAAACCCCTTGCCATTTGATGTCTCCCGAATCAAGGCACCCACTGTCCCCAATGGCAGCATCCCAGGTGAGCATTAAATCTTCTTGAGCTGCATCACGGCTGCTCAAGAACACATTGCAGCATGCAATACCCCGTATTCTGCGACAGCAGCACTTGCTGGGGACAAAGTACTTCACAATGTGAGGAATCAGCTTCGTCAGAGAAGCTAGACACTCAAGCAGAGCGGAGAGGGGCAAGTGCTTGTGCACATGAAATTCCTGATGATATCGCAGGTTGGGTAGATGTCCCCATCATTGGAGGCGACAAACCCAGCAATTTCACTCGGCATTAAAGCTCCAGCATTGGATAAGGTTGCCGCAATTTAAAGGCAAGGATGCCCCCCCCACCTCGGATGGGCTGCGCGCAGTGAGGTCCTGGAGCCAGCTGGCGGCTGCCATGGCTTCGGTGACGGGGGTCCCCGGGTATACACCAGGGGTGGCGAAGAAGCTGGAGGCCCCCAGGCGCACTGGCGAGGGCGTCTGCAGCATGTGCTGGTTCGCCGGCCGCAGCGGCGACGGCAGCAGCCGCACCGGCGTGCCCGGTACGCCGCCCCCGAGACTGCACCACAACAACCACAGCAGCCCATAAGGATCATGCTAATGCAGCACATCGGAGGACTAGATGCCCATTATCCATTGACTGATCTGGATTGCCTGGCACGCCGCCCCCAAGAGTGCACCACAACAAGCACAGCAGCCGATGAAGATCATGTTTTCCACCGTTGATACCCTTCTCCTGAGCTTCATTACGAAGCCCTCAGCATGCTATTGCCTCAAAAGATCGACATGAGCGACAGGGTGCTCAGCAGGTCAACATGCGCATTTTCTAGGCTGACACTGCATTGCAAGCCTGTTTATCTTGGACGCGAGCAAATGAGCTTGATGCATGCAGGTGATGTGCCCACCTTCTGTTTCTGACGGGCGTGCCCACTTGGCACTTGGTCATGGAGGGGGGCGTGGCCGCGCCCCTGGCGATGTCAGGCACATCCCTCGGCTGCCGGCCGTCCACGAAGGGCCGCTCGTCGATCTCGCTAATGCTGCTGTACATCTGTTCCCCACCCCCGGCATACTTCAGACGCCCAGTAGGATGAGAAATTCTTCAGCTGAACCATGCAGAGCACAGTGCTAATCCATCCAAGTTCGCTTCTACTCACAGAAATGTCCTGCTGTAAATAATATTAGGAAAGCGTGACCGAAGAGATCTCTTCTGTGCTTGCCTGCTCATAGGTGCGGTTCAGTTCGTCCTGCGCTCGTGCCAGGCTCTCCCTGCTGCTGAGCACTCCAGGGAAGAACTTGGACACAAGGACCAGATTGTCTGCCTCGGGATGGCTCACATTCTCCTCTCCTTCTGCGCAGATGCAGCACAGAATGTCAATGCCCATGTCATGTCACAGCATCAGAAGCACGTATGTTCACTGTGAACAGCACAAAAGCAGATAGCATGATCATGGTCTCTGCAGGCCTCTTGTCAGTCATGGGGGCACTGAAAACTGGTCACGCAATTTGCCACGCACCTGCTTTGTCACTGGCAAAGTCGGCAAGAAGGCTGCGCAGCACAGTGTCCAGCCGAGCCATCAGTGGCTTCAGCTCTTTGATGTTTGCCTTATTCACCAGGCCCAACGACTGCACACAGCATGACACCTTCTCAGCCGCCATGCCAAGTTTGCAACCAACTTGAACCTTCCTTGTGGCTTCATCAGCTGGCACTGATCAAGCTGCTTAGCTTGGTGGTCTCACCTCTAGGACATCGACTGAGCCCTGCTCTGTGCGTCTGGGCAGCCTCTCGGTGTCTGTGAGTTGCACGGAGCGCTGCTCGGCTGGCACGTGGCAGAAGGCAAACGCCAGGACGCAGATGAGCAGGTTGAAGGAGGCAACCAGGTCTGGGAAGGGGGGGAATAGTTTGGCCTTGGCCACTATGAAGAGCTGCCAGACGAGGTGGAACACCGAGGGCTCGCTGTAGCAGCCGCTGGTAGGCAGCTTGAAGTACTGCTGGAAGAGATCCTGAACCGAAAGCACAAGCTTGTGGGCGCAAGGCATGCTTGTGGGCCAGTACACTAGTAAGCTCAGGTGGCACTGTCAGGAAGCGATCCGTTGGAATATGATGATCGATTGCAGAAGAATGCTTGCAGGAGCGACCAATCATGCAGAAGAGAGGACCCGGGGACGCACCCTGCACTTCTTTGCGAGAACGGTGGTGTAGACAAAGCTGGTCTGTAGCTCGCGCAATCTGAGGCGCCGCTCCATAGGGGAGATTGGGCCCAGCAGCTTGGAGAGGCTGGGCTCCGCTTTCTTAACGACCACCGGTAGCTCCTTGAGGAAGTCGGCGAGGCTGCACCCAGACAACCAACGTTGATGGGGAAGGATTGCTGGGACTCTCGGGAGGGTCGTTTGCAAGCGATGATCGCCGGACCCAATTCCAACAGCAGCCTTCGAATAGCACAACCTAATCCCCAACAAGCCAGACAACCTCCGGTTCTACAAGCGCAGGCGTGCCAGGTCAGGCGCCTTTTCCCGCCAACGACAGTCCCTGGAGCATCCTCAGATCGTGGGCGGCGACCACCGTTCGGTCCTCGAGCCAATTGGAAGGCAGATTACCTGATACCAAAGCTGTCCAGTATCTTAGTGAGGGTGATCCCGGGCGCATCGCCTGGGCCGCCTGCTGCATCTCTCCTGAGGCTTTTGGCTATGAACAGGATGCTGGCGTACCAAAGGCGCTTGGTGTCCTCCTCCTGCGCACAAATGCAATCATGGGTCATCTGATTGAGAAGCGTATAGCTACAGCTGATTCTACAAGGCACCCGCATCCCTCCGTTTCTCATATGCTCCTAGCTGGCCACAGCAATCCAGGAGCTGCTCCTGATGTCTTGCAGACCTCAGCCCAGGACACATTACAGTTTAGACTCCCAATTGGCTGGACATTGACACTCACATGAATTGCATGGCATCCATGAAGGCTGGCAAAGCAGAGTTGTAGCCTGAATACCTGGGAGCTCTGTCCCCCAACTTGGGAACAAGAATCGCTGATGGCAGCCTGACAGCAGTCGAAGATCTTCTGCGCCAGGTCCGCAAGGGATCTCTCTAGGCGAAGGGTGGCGACGGCTTCGGAGAAGCCAGACTGCACGCTGATCGTGGGCTCGTTTTCGGTGCTCATGCTGCCACAAAGGGTTTCCCGCGCTGGATTGTACGTCTACTAATGGTATTCCCGATCTTGTATCTGGTGCATGCGCCACATCCCTTCGCACCAGTCTGATCAACCTTGCGCACTCTGATCAACCTGCTGGAGTAGTGCGCTCTTGAAAGACGAAGCGCGAAGGCCAAACGGGGTGTCCGTTTTTGGGAGGCCTCGTTGCAGACGGCGTTCCTACGGAATCCTCCTCCTCTGACTCGGATGGGCTGAAGCTGCCCACCTTCAGATTTCTGGGCAGAATTTGTCACTCTCACGCCAGTCTCAGCCGCCGCAGCCTTGCATGTCGGTCCTGGTGCTGGCAGCATCAATTTAAACTGCTGGGCAGGATTCCCGGATGCATGCACATGCCAGCTGCAGCGTCAACGGACGTCCGCAAGGACCCCGCAATGATCACTGGTACCATTGGACCGATCTGGCAGACTGCAATAACGGACTCATTAAATTACCGAGGCCGACACCCGGCCCTGGATCCGCCTGCGGTCGGGTCCGGGGGGTGGCCCCACGGTGGTGTCAGCGTCATGATCATGTATGCAACGCCGAAGTACCTTAGCTACAGCTAGTGCCTCAAATGCACCCACGTGACACTAACAGCCTATGCTATCAACTTGAATGTGCGCGCCAATTCCAATGCATTGCAAACACATGAGCTTGAAGGCAGATCCTGGCCACGGCTGATATGTCCGCTGTGCACATGTGGTGTACACCTTGACACCAACATGATAGCGGCTATCATTGATAGCAGGTGGGTGGAAAGCGGAATAAGAGGGGGTGGACACGTGGGTGACACGCGTGTCGGACGAGTAATTGCTGACACGTTGGACACGCTGGCTGGGAGGTAATGACAAAGTGGGTGAGCGTGTCTGACGTGTATTTGCTCTCAGCCGCCCTGTCACATCATATCGCGTAAATGTAAGCATTCTCAATGGATTAGGCTAGATGTTTATCTGTGAAACCACTGGTGGCAGGCATTCTGCATCCAGAACATGTCGTTCAGCAAGTCCTGTAGGAGTGTCACCATGAATGTCGCTCGATTCAGCGCCAGGAATGGCATTCCTATTTAAGTTACATTTTATCAGAATGCTGTGACACCATTTGATCACTTCCAGTCATTGCCAGTTTGGCAGCACCACAGCAAAGTCCTCCCTGGAAGAGCAGCCTTTGCAAAACAGCGCTTCATGGCGAATGCAATCCATCGTGATGCAAACATGAGTCCTTGCTAGCCCGCATTCAATACGATGCCATATTCTGTTGGCAGGATTCAATGTCTACCATGTGCTGCCACACGTAGTCAGTCAACAGTCAATACTCTGAACTAAGTGATGTCCTCCCTTCTATTGAACAATCCAAGCCTTAGGAGCCCTGCCAGCATTATTTTTTCTGAGGGACGTCTTGTAATGTTCTCTTGGCAACACAAGAAGGGCATCAGTCTCTCCAATCAGCAGTGCCCTCTATGACTCTCCTAATGGTGTCAGTATAAAAACAGCAGCACAGAGATTGAGGTATGTTCAGTGTCTGTGCTGCACTCCAGCATCTGTGGGCTGGCCCCAAGGTGTGTTTATTGTGGTACACCCCATGTACAGAGTAACAGTAACAGTTCGGAATCTGCTCGTTTCTACACAGGAAGGAACCTGCTCGTCTCACCAGAAGACATCGTTGCAAGACCCTGACATTATCAAGAGTATTCAGAGCTGCTGTCTGCATTCGCCAGACACCACAGACTAGAGGCCTATATCACATGTCAATCATACGGCCACAAGCCAATCGCAGATGATAACTCGAGAGGGAAACCAAACACAGGGGCCTCCAGACAGAAGGCAAAAACAGCCCCCCTTTCAGCAGCTGAATATGCAAGGGGGTCATCAAGTATACTACTTTTGATGAATCCCCTTTGGACAACGGAAAATGCAAGGGGTGATCAAGGATAATACTCTTGATCACCCCGAAATTTTCGAGGGATTTTGCCGCTATACAATCGTGACAGAGCCTGCGCCGTGGATGAAACGCGGCTTGTCAAGGGTGAAGATGTGCTGCTCCTCTGCCAGTGCTGTGCGAACCACCTTGTTCAGAAACTGCACTGCCTGCACCGTGCCGCCATCCAAGAACTGCACGCAGCACATGCAACCACCCATCAGCCCCTGTCAGAGAACTGTTAGCAGAACGGGCACGCACTTTGATACTCATGGTCCCTTGCGCTGACGATCAGAAACAATTTCAACCCCACAAAAGCCTTTCTGTATACTATCCCCTGTATGACAGCCTGCCAGGTGCTAAGAGCGTGCTTTGGGAAACAGCGCAGAGCAGACATTCCAGAACCCAGGATTATCACTGTTGCTGGCATCCTGTAGGGGTCCTGTATATGACAGCAGGTAGATGAGACATTTGTCATGACACCACAAGTTATTAAGATTAAGGAGTATAATCTGCACCTTCAGGTTGCCGTTTATCCTCTGCTTTATGAGGGCGTCGATGTCCTCTGCCCGCTCTGGGAAGTGCAGCTGCGCATTTTTCAGTGCCATGTTCCACCCCTGCATGCATACATCACTCGTCCCTCGCCACAAATCCAGTGGCACGTGATTACCAGTGCTTAAATGCTCCGGCCTTGATACACAGATGACCCCTAGGAAGGCCACTGTTCCACAGCATGGAGGGCAGTAATGTGCAGGACACATGCCTGCTCAGGCAAAGGCGCACCAGAGACATTGAGAATTGCCAGACAGGATATGAGCAGAAATACCATCAGCTGCGCCCAAGCAGTGGTGCACAGATGGGACACTACCGCAAGGGAGGATCATCGGACCCTGCCCTGACTAGAGCCACGCTGGCAAAAGGGGTAACAGCAAAGGGTATGTGCTAGAGTGTGCACACACCCAAATGAACAAGTAACTGATGTATGCCTGGGACCGGAGCAGCAAAGGGGAATCAGCAGGAGACCCACCCAGGTGTCGACGTAGGAGGGAATGTGCTGCAGGTAGGGGACAACACGGGGGAAGACAGAGTTGAGGGTGTGATTTATTGGCGAGAAGACTTCGCTGCAGGTGAGGACGCCGGCCGGGCCGCTCTGTGTCACAAAGATGCCATCTGGCGCCAGCTTTGGCTCCACCACTGTCCTGTAGAAGTCCTGCGTGTACAGCTGCAATGCCACAAGAGAACCCAATCAGCCACAGCTTGATCTGCCAAGAAGTACTTGCTATGCTGTCTCACTCCCTCTCCCTGAGACAGTAGGGCATGCGACAAGTAAAACTGCATCTATTCAACAAGCACAACAGCACAAACTCTCAACCTCCTCACTGTCTACTTGCCTGCTTTCCCCATAATTCCCTGCAAGAAAAGCTGCTATCCATGTTATCAAAATCTGCATTATCAGGAGTTGACCCCTTTGGGGCTGCCTTACACGCTGTGCAAAATATCTCTGGCAGAGGATACTAGCTATAGCTTTGCCGAGTAACTCTGTCCCAGGACTGCCTCTAGGTAATCATGACCTGGGACTGCCAAGGGGTGTGTTCATATTGAGGGGTGACTACAAAGCCAACCTGGTAGCACGGGCCGCCGAAGACGGGGTCGGCCAGGTCGCCGATGATGACATCGAAGGTGCCGTCGTAGCGCTCCAGCTCAGCGCGCGCATCGTTGATGATCAGGTGCATGCGCGGGTCCGCGAAGGCCGCCTTGTTCGCCTCCAGGTGCTCCTCGCAGAAGTCGCACACCACCTGCACATGCGCAACATGCCCCCATCAGCGCCCGTCTGGCGGTGTTGCCTCCCCATCCACCAATGGGCAGTTCTCTCATCACATCCTTCTACGAGAGTAATGAGGAGATGGTGGGGGAGAAGTAATATTTCTCGAGCTTGATGTGATCTCCCAAGGTTGGACAACAGGAGATTTAAGCTCAGTACTTCTGATACCTGAGAGGGTGTAACAATACACCCTCTCAAACTGAGAGGAAGCGTGGTATCAAGGAGGCCAATAACATGCATCGAATTTTAGAATCTGACTATCATTGGTCACCATACGTCAGACTATGCGGCGCACCTTGTCAATGTCGACCATGACAACCTTCTCGACAGATTTGTGACGCAGTGCCTCGCGCGCTGTGGCGCCCTCGCCGCCACCGGCGATGAAGATTGTGCGGGGGTTGGGGTGCAGCAGCAGCGCCAGGTGCACCAGCAGCTCGTGGTACACAAACTCGTCGGCCTCCGCGCTCTGGGACTTACCGTCTAGCAGCAGCACCTGCGCGCACATGCGCATGCGGGGTGACTAACCCGACCCAGCAAAACACGTTGTGTTTTGCATGCCGCGGCGGGAGGCCAAGCATGCAGGCCTTCTCAGCATGCATCTAAAATATTTGAAGCCGCCGTCCGAGCGGCTTCAAATGGCAGATGTAGAAATGCAAAGCTGGGCGGCGAGCATCTGCGGTGGTGGCATGCATGCGGAGCATATTCCAAAGGGGACAAAAGGTTGCGCTGCACGTCAGCACATGCAGCAAGTGCTGCATCATTGTGTGCTTGCAATCAGTTCTTGAAGCTGAAAGCCATTAGTTCGAGCAGCGTTCCTGACCAAAGCTGTGCCCTATTGGCCGCATGTGCCTTGGACAGAAGATCTGCAGCTCACCTTGCCGAATGGGCCGCTCTCAACGAGTTCCACGCTCTGGAAGTCGCTTTTGCCTGAGTACAGCTTCTTTTTGACGAGGATGGACCATCTCAGATCTTCTTGGATCTCCTCCTCAAGCTGCAATCACAGCACCCAGATCACATTTACTGAAAGCGCTATACCCCAATCGAACGATACAATTCTAACGAATTCTAGCGATACTCAATATCATATTCATAGAAGCGTTGCTCCTGGCTGCTCCAACCTCACATGCGCCAGTACTAAGGAAAGGCTATGAAGGGCACACTAACTCTGCACTTGGCTTTCCTGTGGTAAACTCAATCCTAATAACCTACACAAAAAAATTCAAGGAAGGAACACGAGATGTGCGCTGCTTACCCATTCGCTGCGGACGCCGTTCTGAGTCACTGAGTAGGACATCGCGGCGCGATTGCAAATGTGCGGTCACTCAGATCGATGGTTGATCAACAAAGACACCCCTTTGTCAGATTTTCCCAATTGCTGCCAGTTGATTTGCCTCCAGCGCGCTTTGCGGAGCGAGTTCCGACAGCCTGATGCGGCCGCCTCCTCCTCGGGCGTTGCCGTCGCTGTAATCAAGGCACGTGGTTGTCACTTGCCGAATTCGAAACAATTGCCTAAAATAGATTACGAAGTGCGAAGGCCTGCTGTACTTTCGGGACAGCTGCCTGTGTGCACCACATTCTGCACGGTGAGCAAACACGCATCCATCGGTCGTAAGGTTGTGGATGCGAGGGAGCGGGTGTCGCTCATCGTGCGGACGAAGAGCGAATAGAGAGTGCAGGCAGCGTGAAGGGAGGAAGTAGGTCCTGTATGTGCACAGCTGTAGAAGGACTTAAGTTGAGCAATCCATTCCATATCCGAGGAAGAGCTTTACTTTGTCGCAATCGAAGACATTCAACAGCCACAGGTGCGCTGAATAGGCGCATGGGGTCTACTTCTTAAGAGAGCATGCACACAGTGCCATGGTCACACAGGCTTTGAGTGACACTGTCTATGACACTGGAACATCGGTACACCTCTAAGTAGTGTTTTTACTGAGTGCTTGCATCGTATCGTTGGTCAATCAGTGAAACTGTTTGCTGTAGTACTGTAGTAGAGACCTGTGCCTTGTGGAAAAAGTGCACCTCCAGAATGCCTTTAGATATGATCATATCACACATAACAATAGGACTATATCCAGTCAAGCAGCCTTAATCGTTATATTTTCTTCCAAGAGCCTCGTGCTGGGGACAAGCATCAACATCAAGTCTGTTGCAGGAAGGCGGATATCATCCATTGGACAGCCACTGCGGCAGAGCAGGCGCAGCATGCACACGCCTGTGACAGCTTCCCCGGATCACAGCAGGCGCAGCTTTGACTCCGATGAAGAGCTTGGCAGGAACACTGTGGGCGGTCAGGACTGGGAGTTTCTGGTGGGGACAGCCATCAGCGTGTACCAGAATTCAGGCGGTGGGGGCAACAACTGGTCGGAGTTTGAGAATCAGACCACCCGCTTTGGCCAGCCCACCATCGAGGTGGGTCACCACCTGCTTTTGCAACTCTCAAGTGGATGTCTGGCAGGCTGTGAGTGTTCTCAACTTGTTGTGGGAGGATAATAAGCCACCATCACCATTACTCTTTGTCTGGCCATTTCTGCTCGTTTTCTTTTTGACTTGTAATGTGCATGCTGGAGCACTGATGCATGAAAGGGCTGTGCTGTCAGGGCGGTCAGAAGTGTGGGAAGAGCAACAACTTCTGGGATTTCTATGAGGATGACATCAAACGCGTTGTGAGCCTGCAGTCAACCTGTTTTCGTCTGTCACTGGGTAGGTGTCTCATCTCTTCCCGGCAAGTCTCACACGCCCGCAAGTTCAAGATACTCTCATCTGCATTACAGTATATGCATGGAAAGGATGCATATGAGTGTTCTTCCTTCATGCAGAGTGGAGCAGGATTGAGCCAGAGGAGGGGAAGATCGACATGGAGGCAGTAAAGCATTACCACGACATCTTTGACTGTCTCCTGAGGTGCGCTGCTGGATGGGTATGCTGAGCAACCAGTCTCTGCAACCCGCTTTGCTGGCCTGAACTCTTCACTGCTCCTGCAATTCATCCATTTGTACTGAAGTTTGTTGGGGTGCAGGAACAACCTGAAGCCGATTGTGACGCTGCATCACTTCGTGCACCCTTTGTGGTTTGACAAGAAGGGAGGTTTCACAAACGAGGCCAACATTCCCTACTTTGTCAACTTCTGCCAGACAGCATTCAAGTGAGGAAACCCGCGTCCTCCTTCAGCATGCCACCCTAGGATCAAGAGATTCATAAAGAATTGACAATTGTTTAAATCAAGTGCACGGATATCTGAAAACCCAACAATCCCTTGGTTGTAATGCAGGGAATACCATGAGAAGGTTCACCTGTGGATCACCTTCAACGAGGCAAATGTCATGGTGTGCTGCTGCACCAACCCACCATGTGCAGAATTATCAATGCACCCTCTCCGTGTGCGATTATTCAACGATTCTGTCCTTTTCTGTTTTTATAATTTTCATGCCTTTGCCAACTAGGATGTGGAGTGTTCTACGTGTGCTGAAGGTGTGTTTCTGCGGCAGGCCTTCTGTGGGTGGCTGTATGGCCAATTTCCGCCCGCCCTCTTTGGCAATTTCAAGCTGGCCGGTCGCCATCTGCTCACCCAGTACCGCTCGCACTCTGCTGCCTACAAAGCCATGAAGGCTCTGCCAGGTGCACACTTTCCTAATACACCCGCACTGAAAGGGTGCTGTGTTTCTAGTTCCCTGAAACAGTCCATCTAGCCCCTTCCTGCTTTGGAAGGTTCAGCCTGTGAATTGATGAACAGCTGTCTGGTGAGCTCCATGACAGTATCAAAAGGTTTGGCCTTCAACCACTGTCGAGCTATGGCAGCAGCTGGGAAGCATAGGGTGGTTCACTCTGGTAGGGCATGTGGGCGGGTGGCCAGCTACGGAGAGGAAGTCACCTCGCCATTTTCTTAGCACACACTAACGGCTGTGTCATCGGGTTCCAGGTGGCGCCAAGTCGCGCATCGGCATCGTGCACAATGTGATGCGCTACGAGGTGCTGCGTCCAGAGGCGTTCTCTGCGCGCTGGGTCATTCCCGTAGTGGAGTGGCTCAACCGGGTGTGGGCTACGGATCTAACTCTCGATTATTTCCGCACCGGCCACTTCTGCTGGCAGTCGCCGTGGGCGGCCCCTTACACGGCGCAGGACGAGGTCCCCGGCCTGGACTTTGTCGGGATGAATTACTACGGCAAGTGAGTGCGCGCTGTTCCCTCTTTTGCCTGAAGCACTGTGTAAGGTGTCCCTAATTATTGGGCTGCTGCTGCTGTTGCTTTGTCCAGGACTTCTTTATGATGAGTGCAATCGATTGCAGTCATGAAGGCGCTGCCTGCAACTTTTCTGCCAATCACATGAATGCAGGCAACGCCTGGAAGACTGCGTTTGCTCGCTCCGTTCACATGAATAAGTCCTGGACAGAGCATGTTCGGTAGTCTGTTTACATTGTGGAGTTCAGCATGTCAGCTGGGTGTAGAATGGCATTGCTGATGAAATATACTGTCAAACAGGTCTGCATTGCCTACAAGTGATGTGGGGTATTCAGGGGGTGAATATTAATGCTGTAGGGTGTCCATTGATTGGAGGTACCAGTCTGCAGCGCTGCCTCCAGGTGTCATGACTGACATGCCCTTCCAGCTCGATGCTGTGGGCATCTATGAGGTGCGTCTGCCTTCATTTATCTTCCGTCCTTTTTGCTGACAAGGCCAAATGGGGTCTCTCACATGCCATTCACAGCAGAAGGGCACTGACTGCACGACGCTACAGGACATGTTGTTGAATCAAGGCCACAAGTCTCACGCACGTTGTATGGATTTTGTGGTGCAGGGCCTGAAGCTGATGAGCACGTTGAACATGCCGGTCTACATCACGGAGACGGGCATAGCGGACGCCAAAGGCGACCGCCGGCCCCTCTGGCTACAGACCTACATCCCCGAGGTACCAGCTCTTCCTCCAGTCCCTGCCAAGCCCATTTCCTGTATCCCGGTCGCTCCTCTTGCATGCTGCTTGACATGCTCATATCCAACAGCAGGGCTGGTATTTGTTTGAAGGTCATTCTGTTGCAATTGCAGTTGGAAGGTGTTCTAAGAATGAGTCCGGGCACGCAGGTTGAGAGGGCGGTGCGCGACGGCTATGACGTGCGCGGGTTGATGTACTGGACGCTGGTCGACAACTTTGAGGTGTGACCCAAGATCACTGCCTTGAAACCTGGTCAAGTATGCATGCTCTCCCTGCATGCTTGTGTCCTTGCCTCAAGCCCTGTACAAGCATCCAGCACTGGATCAACGGGGGTTGTGTGTCTTGCTGAGTGGATATTCATGTATCCTGAGCTGTGCAACTTTTGGATATGGGAACGTGGAGGCACCCATGGCGGGCTCAGCAGCATTGGTGGGCTACTGCCGAAGGTCAAGGGGTTTGTGGTAGAAAAGCAAGTCCCCAACTTTTCCAGAGTTTCATACTCAGGGGTCTGAATCTATGTGCGTGCATGCGTAGTGGGCGCACGGCTTCAGCATCAAGTTCGGGCTGTACGAGTGGGCGCCGGGTGACGGCAGCAAGCGCGTGCCGCGCGCGGCCACGCCGCTGCTGGCCGGCATCTTCCGCGAGCTGCCGGCCCAAATGCGCCGCGCCCACGCGCGCGCCATCAAGGAGCGCCCTTTCAAGAAGCCCGCCGCCCCTCAGCCGTCGCCTCAGTCCGTGCTGGACGTCCGGCCTCTCGACGCCAGCCACAACGTTTGAAGGCTGTTGCGGCAGCCCAGACACAACCGATCAAGAGTTGAGAAAACATGGAGTTTTTTCCTTGTTCTTAACGATGGCGGCCCTTCTGAAGCCTGCCGCCCCTCGACTGTCGCCCCAGTCCGTGCTCGATGTCCCGCCTCTGAGAGTTGTCGAGGCATCCTCCCAAGACACGACCGGTCAAGGGCTGAAAAGCGTGGGAGGTTGTTCCTCCTAATTCCTGACGATGGGGTGGCGTTTACTAGTTGGTTCATTCCTGGGCTGGTGAGGTCCTCCAAGCTAATAATGTGCAGCCCGCGGCTGCACTGGTGCAAGTGTGGTCAAGAATTAGTTTGAAATGGAACTCAGTGGATAGTCGGAGCATTGTCAGTATGAGTGCCGCAGCAATGCAGTGAAGGTCACATGTTTGACGGGTCTGCTGCATAAGTACAGCCCCGCTCTTTGTGTGGAACTGGCCTCTGCTAAATTTGTTGTGTGTTGTCAGCTTTGTGTTGTGTGGATCAGCAGATGAGGGATGATTCTGTGGGGATTTTGCACATCATCGGTCGAGGGGGCGTGCGATGTCACGAATAAATTCTGGAGCGGTGATCCAGTTGCAAGGCTTCCACCTAATGTGGTCTATTGCATTAATGTGGTCTATTGCATTAATGCATAAATATTTATTGAATTCAAGAAGACTCAACTGTGGCTTTCCTTTGGGATCGTTGTCTATCTGTGCAAAGGGGATCATGTTGGTTTGTGCTTGGGAAGATATGGGTTCCAGGAGGTGTAGCATAGGAGAAAATGGGAGTTCTTCTATTGTGGCTCCCCCTGATGGTTCTGAATGTGGTCAAATCAACCTGCCCGAAGTGCCCAAAATTGGGCACTGTCCATATATATATATATATGTGTGTACCTCTTGAGACAGATGGTTCCTTGGTTTGCTCCTTCTTGCTCGCTTTCGATTTGCTGTTCTGTGAAATTTGAATCGATTCGAAGTGGCAGTCACAAAATAACAATTCAACTTTCAGCAGATCGAGACACTTTGGGCATTCTAACCTGACGAGTTCTGCTGAAACACGTCAGTAGCGTTGGAGATACACAGCTCACTAAAGCCCAAAACAACACATGATGAATAGTTTGACTTAATTTGCCATAGTAGTCGTCACCTCAACTGGGGCACCGCTGAATGGTTGTCAGATGTCCACAGTGCTCCCAGTCGATTTCACCCAAACGGCGATCGATGCTAATACACTAGATATCCTTAAAGACCATCCAATCCGTTTCAAATGCAGAAGGCATACCATGCTAAGCGAGGAAAGGAAATTGTATCAGCCTGCCCTCCCAGCAAGCAGTCTATCCCCAAGCGTTCTAGCATCCAACAGTCTAGGAGCGAGGAAGTACCATCTCTTCAGTCTATGTGTCTAGGTACGGACGCCTCTCGACCCTGTATTCCTGCTTGTTTGATCCTCCAGCCGACTGTCTCCCAGAAGTATCCCACATGTACCAATGGACACAAAGAAGGAGCGTTTGCTGAGGCTGGCACAAGCTGGAGTCGATCAGCGCACAAGCATTTCTACCATGATGCTGGTGCACTGGCAAACAGGCTGTCTGGCAGAGCACCTGGAAGAACTGTTGGAAGCTGGGGAGGAGCTGCTCTCACAGCTACCCTGGACCTGGAAAGCTCCCCTGCTGGCTGTCGCGCGCCGCACGGTGCACAGCCCTTGCAACCATCCAATGCATGAGACATTTTCTTGACCTGCACCTTCGTCTGCTTGCCTGGCATCCATGTGGACTTTGTACTCTCCCTTCAACAACGCCACTGGCACGAAGTTTGGCTCACAATGTTGAAGTGCTCGAGAAGCTGCTTTTGGGACAGGAGTCCTTTGATGACACAGCCATGCTCGTGAACATGCAAGAGCACTCTTTTTTTGCAAGTTACAGAGCGCATGTGGCCTGTGACATGCGCAGGGGGCTATGACAGACGAGGCGCTGGCCCTGCTGGCGGACGAGGATTTAGTCAGCCTGGATCTGGCGCGCGCGAGGGCGCTGACTCACAGCGGCATCGCCGCCGCCGTCAGCGGCTTGCCGCTGCTTCGCGCCCTGGACCTGTCTTACACGGCGTTCCAGCCGGCTGCGCTGCCTACTTTGGCCGAGGCCTGCCCCTTGCTGGAAGTGCTGCGCCTGGGCGGGCTGGGCCCGAAGCCGGCGCGTGCCGCCGCCGCCGCGCTGCTGCGGTGCCTGCCGCGCCTGCAGCAGGCCGACGTGGCCGACTCCTGGGAGGATCTTGCTGAGACCTCCGCTGTGCAGGTGCTGCCCTCACACTGGAGTTGTTGCTTAATGCACATGCACACATGTGTCTGACATGTTACAGTATGTGACCTGGTGGAATGCAGCTGAAGGTGGCCCCTTGCTGTAGTGCAGCAGAGAATTGTGCTTGCAATGTATGAGCTCCATACGGCAAAAATGTGCAACATTGAGCCTGGCTAAGAACTGAGAGGTGACACAAATTTGGTGATTTGTGCAGGCAGGCCACGGCTTCACAAGCCTGCAGTACGTTGTGTGGCCGGATGTGACGCCGGAAGCTCTAGCCCACCTGCACGCGCACCAGCCGCAGCTCAAAGTCATCAGCGCGCCGGACCACCCGCTACTGCGAGCCTCCAGGCGCCACCGGCTGCCGGCTGCGGCCGACCCTGGTGTCCCCCTAGATCAGCCGTACGCCGAAGCTGTCGCGCAATATGACTGGGAGGCGGCGGCGGCGGCTGTAAGGGCGCGCTGCGGTGACGAAGCGGCCGGCTCGGAAGGCGCCAAAAGCACCGTGGCCGGCTTGCGGGAGCTCACACTAGCGGAGCGATTCAGGTGCTCAAATTTAGTTCCAAGATTATGCCTTCTCCCTATGATAGCGCCCTAGTAAATATCCGATTTGGAGCATTGCACCGGCTTCATGCAGTGCTGGCGGCTTTTGATCCACCACAAACGATACTACCGACAGGGCATGTGAGGTCAGCGTGTGTTGTGAAATGTTGTAAGTTTATAGCAATGGGGCTGTGATTCCCGGTCTTTGTGCAGGCTCGCGTACGAGTCGCGAGCAGCGCGGGTGGCAGTGGTGAGGGCGAGAAATGCCAAGAAGGAGCAGCGGAGAGCGCTGCGCGCGATGGGGGGCGCGGAGCGCGCTTTGGCCTTGGCAGAGCACGGCGTGCCGCTCGTTCACACTCGCAGCCCGGGCCGGCCCAGATGACATGGGCGGCCCTGCTGCCGCCGCATGTCAGTTCTCTAATTGACTTATCATCTTTGTAATGAATGAGCATGAGTGTGTTCAGTGCTGCCAAACATGGCAAATGAGGGGCTGATGTAGAAGGTACCAGCGGCCTAGCTGTTGGCAGGTTAGCATGTTTCATACATTTTTCAATGCAGCCTGAAGTTTGTATTTGTCCAGGAACCTGGCCCAGGTGTGGCTTTTTAGCAAGTGTTGCGCTGTTGTTGGAGATAGAGAGGGCCATCTTGTGCAAAAGATAAGGCACTATGGCTCTATAAGGCGCTCTGCATCAGATCGGCTAGGCCAAGGTGATTTGTACCATCTAATTTGTACCATATCGTAGAGTAGAATGGGAAGCATGTGCAGATTATATGGATGATGCTGAAGCAAATGGCCCCAACAGAGAACGTGACTGCCTTTTCATCAAGCTATTAGTCTGAATCGCGAAAGAAGAAAATGATGCGATCATAAGAACAAGACAACAAGGAACTTCAGAAACTACCTTTTGCAGGAGTTGCGAGAGCACAACAAATATTTCATGGCACCTAGAGCACCAATGTGACCGTGACCACTGAACATTGTATACAGTGCTGCAATGCTATCTCCTGTTCCTCTTCATTGACGTTGCCTCGTACCACATGATCCCGCTCTTGATGAGGTCATAGGTCACAAACTGCGGCACACCACACGTCGTGATCAAATTCAAAACGGCGGATACAGCTCCCAACCCACATGATGCTTAAAGAGCACCAGTTTTCGCAGGCATGCCTGAGCAGGCAACAAATTAGGAGCTCGCATCTCAGATCCTCCCATGCACAAGCTTAGCGAGGAGTATTGCTTAATTGACCGAGTCAGCCCACACACTGCGAGGCAGCCCTTTCTCTTACTTCTGGCGCTCGCTCTGCTCTGCTGTCTGCATTCCATTTCTCTAATCAAGTCCTCAGGACTGGCAATTTCTGCAATAGTGATAAGCAAAAGAAGAGGCGTGCATGCTGACCTGGATTGCAGCGGCGGGGGCAGTCCTGAGGATGCTGACACCGATGCCCCTGTAGAAGGAAGAGGGCCCCTCTGTGGCCGCCATGCGGCGTACGCAATCCCAGTAGCCGGTGTAAACTACGCTCTGCCCCAGAGATCCGCTCAGCTGCATCCTTCGCCGCACCGTGTCTGCTGGGTAGGCCACTCCCTGCATGTAGCCATCTCATTAGGCCTCATCCTGATTAGCCTCCAGGCGTGCAGCCTCCGCGGGAGCCAGAGCCCAAAGCCCCACCAAAGCCTGATGTTCTACAGGCATGCCTTCCAAAAATTCGGCGCCATCTTCCAACCCGGGAAGATCGCACCAAACCCCTTACTCACACAGGCTAGAGATCAAGACCTAGCTCTCGGCGAGCACGTACAACAGGACGCATTTGAAGGAAAGCCTGCCACACTTCCAAGCTGACTCAGCTCAGCTCCTCTGCAGCCGCGGGTGGGCACCGGCTGAAGAACACAACAGTACATGGTGTCAATCTCATCGAGTAAATTGGCGCCTCGCACCTGCGCCACGACGCCGGCCGTCGCGCCCATGGCGACCTTGGCGGCCGGGTGCCACCAGGTGGCTCGCGATGCGCGGTCGTCCGGCAGCTGCGCCTTCAAATGGTCATACACCGCAAATGACACCGCCAAGTACGGGACCACCGTTGCTCCCGACAGCACCGCTCCCTTGTACAGCCCTGCAAATACTCATTCGTCTTGATATTTGCAAAACAACACTGCATGTGATCTTTCAGTGCCTGCGCCTGTACTTTTAGCTGATCAGGCCGAAGCACAATACGGTAAGAGCTTTGGACGATTCCTAGTCATGCGTACAAAAAGCCATTGGCGTATACCCTGCAGCTAGCAGGGATGCTCTGTGGTCTCTGGTCTAGCTCTCAGGTGTACAGCACTTCATTAGAGGGCACAGGAAGCCTCCTTTGCGTCAGCAATGGTGGCAGAGAGGGATCAAGGTGAAGATACAAACAGATTATCCTCGTTGGCAGGGGTGATGGGTCGAAGAGTCAATATTTGTGTGGTCTGCGCACCTCTCAAGTGCTCGTAGTGGTAGGTCTGGGATACGCAGTGCAGCAGGCCGGTGTACAGCCGCCGGTCGGTCTTGGCGGCTGTGTCTGCGGCCAGCCGGGTCCACGCGAGGTCCAGCGGATAGAACAGCGCCGTCTGTTTCACAGCACATTACGGAAGTGTTAGATCACTTGCACACTGCATGAGTGTGTGGTGTTGAGGGCCATTACATGCTCAATGAGGGGTGGAGGGCTGGCTAGCTTGTGGTGGTCTGCATGGCCCATCACACTTTGGGTGACTGCAGCGTCTGCATCATGCATGCAGACCATCTCTATGCTGACAAACATGCGCCCAGATGCGAGTGCTGCATTCCGATGAGCAGCACCTTCAGGACCCCTGTTGCAGCTCCGGCCGCCAGGCGACCCTCAAATCCAATGGGCCGCCCATCGGACGGCGTGAACATGGTCCTGAACTGGTCGTTCAGCGCAAACTTCAGGCCCACTTCTGGCACCAGCCTCAGCACATTCGCTCCATTTCCGCGATACAGAGCCTGCAATGCACACTCGTGTAGATTGCGCATTTGTACGTATAGTAGAGTCAGCTTATGGCACTGATGGGTATCCCCGTCAATATCTTTTGACCTCAGGCCGTTCAAACTTAGCCAGGCCCAGCAAGCATTGCTGACAGCCATGGCACGAGATAGTGTGATTGGAGGGGAGATATATCGTACCAGGAAGCCCTCACGTTGAGGAATGCGCCTCAAGGCATCAATGAGGCCCTTGTACTTGTCCTGCTGGGGCACCGCTGACATGGGCTGGACCTGTAAGAGGATCTGTACCAAACGAAGAGGGTCTCACTGATGGTGTTTAGGGCCTTCATACATTGCAAAGTGACACTTCGTTATGCCTACACGCTATGTTGAGAGAATAAAATGGCCTGGGGAGACGGCAGACGCACTTTGATCCGCTCTAATGGGGCAACAGCTGTCTTTGCCAGGGCTCCACTGCCTCCAGCACTGGCCAGCTGCACACTAAAGCGCAGTAGGCCATCCCAAAGGGAGGCTGTCCAGGGCTCCTTATATGATGCGATGATGAGCCCTGGACAGGGATTGCTCTGTCGCACATATTTGCTTCCATCCCTTTCAGGCATGGCACTTCAGTACAGATTTGTCTCTCTAGAGGAGTGCGTCTGACAATATTGTGCATCTACATCTGATGAGGCATATTTCATTCTCCTGCTTCCATGTATTTCAGTCCTATAGTGTGAGCTTGTCTACGTGCACAGCAAGGTTGAAGGTACAATCGTAATTGACTGATCAGCAACTAGCATAGCATACACACATGCTATCTCGGATCTAATCGAATTTGTGAAATTTCACGTTGTGTTAAGCTAAATGCTTAGACCAAGAAATTCATGGGCAATGTGCATCATGTCTGCTGGAGTGGGAAGCTGCCTGGCAGTTGACTCCTCCTCCCTTGATGGATCCTTCCAAGGAGAAGAAGACAGATGCGCTTCGAGCCTGACGTTCCTGTACATGATGATCTGATGAAGGCAACTGTGAAGTACAAACATGCATGCACAGTTCTCCCCGAATCGAGCAGCTTTACACCGCTTGCATGCGATGCATGTGCCGAGGGGCATGCCATCCCATTGATGCCATCAATAATGGAAAATATTAATGCAAAGATTACATTGACCCCAAGAGCCCATGGGCTGATTCTGCCGTGCAGGATGTAAAGTGGTCACTTGAGGTTATGGAATGGAGATACAATACTCCTACATAAGCTGTACAGAATTGTTGCAAAAGACATGTCTGCACAGCTCAGTTGACCCTCAACACTCCAAGCATACGCTATAGTGCAGAACCACAGAAGACAGAAAAGCAATCTTTGGTTGCTAGTGGTCCACCTCAGCTTGGGAAAGCTATGCAGCACTGCCAACAAAAAATTATTGGGGCCTAGGATCCCGCAGTAAAATGTATGTCAGCCGTTTGCATGAGCACGACAAAAGCAGGCTGCTACAAGCGTACACAGCAAGCTCATCTACAAAAATGAAGAAAAGAAATACTTGACTGCAAAGAATGAGCGAAAAAATACATGTACTACCTACCTATCCCTCCCGACTACAATCATTCTCCCTGATGCCCTCACAGATAATGGTCCAGAGCATTGCAGCACCAAAAAGACTGCTGAGCCAATTGGTTGCAACTGTACAGAAGCACTTCTTGGTCCCAAGTGGCCCATGTTTCTGTCAAAAATGGCACATTTGTTGCTATGCAGTGCAACGAAGCCTCGAGACGTTGTGTGACTCTGGGCAATCATCCCCTTGACAAATCTGACGAAGCAGAGCCCGCGAACCTTTAAAGGTTCCCGCATGTCCGCTCATAATTGATCAAAGGGCCATGTTGCACAGTACTTCTAGTGCAGTACCAAGCGTTTGCATCATACGGGCATTGCAATTTTGGCCGGCGCTGCAACGATGTTGTTGTTCTCCGACGAGCTGTGGCTGGTCTGCAGGGCGAAGCTCTTAAGAGCGGCTGCGGCGCTCGTTATCTCAGCTGGACTGATGTCATTGACAAAGACCGCCTCTCCAATGCCGCACATGAGAGGTACGCGCTGCAGACCGTCCCTCGCCTTAGTCGTGTCCCTCAGACCCTGCACAGGCGCACGATGACAGCCTCTTGCATAATTTTCAAGAAGTCCAGCCTTCCTGACGCACAGAGCCAGCCCACATGTGCATCCCATGCATTGAAGGTTGTTATCAGTGTCCATCGACAGTAATCTTACAACCATCTACTTCGGACAGACATATCCAGTCCTTGAAGTGCCTCTAATAAGGCACATTAAATAACCTTTGCATCAGTATATGGGTGACATTCATGCACAGTAGGCGCGCACCTTCAGCAGCAGGTCAGGGTTGCAGACGGGGTGCCACATGGGCAGCCGGAAGCGCTGCATGATGTCCATAACCCGCGCCTGCTCCTCGCGGCTGATCAGACCCCTCGCGTACGAAATCTGTCGCATACACATCCCAACCCTCAGCACTAGCACTCACAGATTGACTGCCAGACACCCAAGATTTGGACATGTTCTTCTTGACTTCAAAACGAAATGCTCTGGTTGCTCTGTCACTGCAGGACTGCGTGGTCAACACTCAGCGTGAGCAGCTGCCAAATCCAATCGGCAGGGTGAATGCCCATATAAGGTGTTGCTGCAGTTTACACGCGCAGATTTCGTTTTCCAGACCATATTGGACTACATCTTTAGTAGCCTGAACATGCAGCTTGTCTGCAGGCGTGCCTTGCTGCCTTGCAGGCAACGCATGTGATGGGTGGTAATCAATAATTTCTATTGCTGTCAGCTAGAGCAGGTCACCTTGCAGGCTGCTATTCCTTATTACATTATCAGCAAAAGCATATGTAGCGGGTCACCTGGGTTGTGAGTGCCATGTCGATGTTGACGGCCTCGCCATGCAGCAGCTCGTCTCCGTACTGCAGTGCGGCCATCTCAATCTCTGGCGAGAAGGTGTGCCCGTAGTCCACCAGGCGGCACAGAATGTGCTCCCACAGGTTGGGCTCCAGCTCCTCCAGCATCCCCTGAATGCTGCGCCGCATGGCCACGCTTGCCGCCTTGTCCTGCACAAAACCCACATGCAAAATTCAATTTGACTGGTTATTGCTTGAAGAGCTGGCATGCTGCGCTGCGCATGCTGTGCTACCTTGTTCGGCACTCGGCAGACCACTCAGCATGTAAGAAATTGCTGCCAGCCTGTAGGCAAGGACTGTCCACATTGTCCTGCCCAGCAGATCATGGAGGCCGTGCAATGGCTGCCATGTCACAGGGTGCATGCATGCCAGTGCAGAGCACGCCAGCAATGTGCTGTCTGGGTCTCCCAAAAGACATTTACTGCACAGCATGCTGTATAGCCATTTGGGTTAAACGCAATATGTTAGCAAAGTGTAGCTGCCCAGTAGCTGCACATCTCTGACATCAAGGCTCAGGCTGTTGTGCACCCACACTTGACTGCACAGCCGCAAAAGAATGTCAAGCAGTCGCTCATAGCATCGGGCTTTCTGTCATGCTGTGCTGCGCTATGCTAGGCATGGTGTGCCACCAGCAGCGCGTATATCCGTCGGCTAGTGACAGCAGGACGAGTGTCCCAAACAAACTTTCAGGAGCCCACCTCAATAATTGACCTGTTGCCATACCCCACAAGGAATGGACTATCTAAGCAGGAGTGATGCATCACCTGGAAGCTGGTGGCCCTGAGCTGCTCGGCGTGCTGCTCCAACAGGTAGAACAGCTGTGCGTCTTTAATGCACGCCATCTTCAGCATCTCGGCCGCTCCGTTGCTGATGTTGCGCTGGTCCAGAGTGCGAAGGAATGTCCTGCAACACCATCACATTGTTAGAATCCTACGAAGTAAGATTATCACAGGATCGGCTATCCTGGTCCAGAGGCCATCTGCAGCCACATCTGCAAGGCATGAATTGTGTGCAGCCTAGAAATAGATTGCGTACAGCAGATCCCAATATACAAACACCCATGCAATTCCTGCCTTGGGTCACGATGCAAATATATTTCCTGCGTGCATGTAGGTGCAAGCATGCAATCATAGATACAGATGACTAAACAGGGACACAGGGTGCAAGACTGCAAGATATACATACAGAGTGCACCTGGGCACAACAAAGGGATCAAGTTGGGTTGCGCACCTATCTATGAAAACACCGAGGGGCGGGCAGTATGTGCCCAGCTTGTTCTTGCGGTTGTCAAAATTGACGGCAGTCTTGATGCCGATGGACGCATCTATGGCAGCCATCAAGGTGGTGGGCACCTGTCACCAGCAGCCAACACCTTCACATAAACCCCTCTGCTTAAATTTGAATTTGTGCCTCGATGCATGAACAATCCGAATTTGTGCATTGATGATGCATGATCCAGGGTGATTTCTCAACACAGCGGCAGGTACACATGGAACTCTGCTGTGGGCTGACTGGGGCACATACCTTGATGACTGGGGTGTTTCTGCGGTACAGGTTTGCAACAAGGCCAGCAACATCGAGGCACACTCCGCCACCAATTGCAATGATGGGCTCCTTTCGTCTGCATGCCACATGGAATGTGGGATTCATTTCTGGGTTGCAAAGTAGGATAGGTTCCAGCTGGCAGGGAGCAACACAAATATTGAGCACCATGCCCACGGTCGACCGGATCTTGCTTATAGATCTGGTGAGTCAAGGAAAGGGTGAGAATTTAGCAGCGTTAATATGCAACTTGCCTGCAGACGCACCCTGCCTCTGGCAAGATTGTCATGTGCCGCTATATTTGGAAAATGAGCAAAATGCATGATCAACTCAGCACAGAGAGGACCACACGCATGCAAGTATATGCGGATGTGGCATGAAGAGATTGGCAGGACCAGCACCTGTTCAACTTGAAGATCTCAGCCCTGCGGGCTACTTCATAGACAAGGTCAAAGCTCTTGTTGGCCTCCATTGTTGGCAGGGGCACTATCGTCGCCTCCACCCCATTCAAGCTGAAGTACTGCAGCAACAGATTTTGAAATTTGAGTGGAGCGATGCTTTCGAGTCTACTGGAAGTTTGCCACATGATTTAACCTCTTGCAGACAAGCAAGCTTGCCAGATCACAAGCATGCCACCCTAAAGAAGGAGATTCCTGCTTTATCCTTGCATTGGTGAATTTTCCCCAAATTAGTAAAGGTCTACTGGCATTAGTAATTGTCCTTTACACTGGAATCGGTGATGTTCTACCATATTAATAATGGTGCATTGGCACTAGTAATTAATGCTGCCTCCGGACCCACCTGGCGCAGTTGGGCACCGTAGATACGGTACACATTGTCATCGATGACAACCAGCCGCCGCTCGCCCGGCTGCGCAGGATTCAGGCTCAGCCCCAGCGGGAAAGAGTCCGGCACTACTCCGCGCAGCAGCGTCTGCACCAGAAATATAGGTTTTTAGAACATTGTCAGAAGATCTTTGGTGTTGCTTAACTGCAAGGGACATAAGGATACACCATGCAGAAGGTGGCCCTTCCAAAAATTGTCCTGCCAGAACATGCAATGCGCAGAACATGCTACAGGCCAATGCAGGCGAAATGGTGATTGCCGAAGCTGCAAGTTACAATTTGCACTGGCTGAGGGGCAGACCTTGTTGTCAGGGTCAAGCAGCCCCTCCACCTCCTCTATCACATAGCTGATGGGCTGCACCGCGCTGACGTGGAAGGTACCCTGCATGGCCACCCACAGAAGCACTTAAAAAAGGGAATTCACTTGAAAATTGATGTGAAATTACATGCTTGCACATGCAGATGGCAATACTATCAGGAATAAGGTAGTATAGCTCCTTGAAGTACACTGCTTACCGTGGTGAGCCCAAGAGTGCCACACTGTGACAGGCCGTTGATGCCTGTTCTGTTCACTGCTCCAGAGCAGAACTCAGTGCCAGTAGGCAGTGCATGTGCGTTCAATCCTGCAGGAGATGCTGATATGTGGTGGGCGTCCAGCTGCATTGTAGATCTTGGCTTGTGTGGGCGAGAGCCCGGACTGATCCGCCTCTTCATCTTCTGCCTGCAGTGGACCAGGATAATAACAGATAAGCATCTGCTCCGACAGCTCGTGCAAAGATAACCCTGAAGGTCATCCTGAAGGCCACATGTACCTCAAGACGATTTTATGAGTCCAAAATGGGCACTGATCGAATCGTGCTAGAGTGGTGAGGCACCATTCCTCCCGAGAATATTTGATAAGCCATCGGCGGCATGGTCGAGTCCCGAACATCCAGTGCCCGGAAAGATGCATGCAAATATCGAATAGACAAGCTTTCAACTACTAGAAACCTATCTGTGCAGGTGCAAGCATCAAGCATTCGAGCGAGAATCAACACGCAGCAGTCCAAGATCTGCCGAAAGGGGCCACGTCAAGGCGCATACAATATCCGACCCAGCTTTACTCAGCAATGGCTCAATGCTTAAGATTGGAAATTTTTCTGGCATGTATGCTCGCGAACAGTATCGTCCTTTTCTAGATCCGAAGCACGCAGATCAACTCCGTTGCATGCCGCGAGCATTCAATCCAAGAAGAGCGCAGTCCGCGCATCTGCTATTGAATCGCACCTAGGATACTGTTGCAGATTCAAAGGTTGTCCTGTCGAGTGCCTGTTATCAAGCGATGCATTGGGCGCGAACCCTTTCACCTTCGCGGCCATGCTGAGGTTCCAAAACTCGCTCAGCTGCCGCCTAAGAATTAACTGTTGGAAGTTCCCGCTCAATAATATGGCAAAAATGAATTAATGACAGCGTTTCTCGAAAGCGCACAATTAGATAAGGTATTCGGAGGGTGTCGAGCTGCAGGTGCCTCGCGTGATGACAATGTGGACTCTCGCATGAAAGGAATTTTGCCCGTAAAAGCCCGTATATTCAGCCGTGGACGAACTCCGAAAGAGCATCCGACATTGCAATCCTTCACGCCTTTAAAACAGCAGTACAAGTCAATAAAACCGTTCTGTCATCTTCTTCCTGCGCCTTTCACAGTGAAAGATGGGTGCTTCAATGGAAAATGGAGTCCACAAAACCGGCCAGCCCGACACACCTGTAGAAGTCCTGGTAGATGTGCTGGGCAAAGCCTTGCAGTCATCAGATATACATGAAGTCAAAGGGTTATTGGAGAATGCGTACAAGCTTGCGCACGGCCTGGATCCCTATCTCGATGCCATCTCGACGCCACCCTCGGAGGTGCATGCCGTGCATCGCCTTTGAAGAGCCTGTCATTTTTTATGATTATACATGCAGATGATGGAGATTGTGTCCATAAAACAAAAGTAGAGTATGAAGGGAGACCGTATCAAGCTACTTGCTGATTCGCTTGCTGATAAGCTGGCCAAAGGACTCATTACTCCACGATCCTACCTATCCAGAACTGTCGTGGATGGCACTTTACCCCTTGAAAGGTCTTTATAAATAAGAGGAACAACACTGATGGGGAGAGTTTTGCACAGGTGTGCCAGGAGCTCATCCACGCCTCTCTGGATCACGATTGGGCTGAGGCCCACAACCAGGTGAACTGCATCCTAATGACCTGTACTCTAACAATCTCACTGTCCTTGCACGCTTTGATGTAACACGAGGTTGACATCATCCAGACTTTCGAGCTAGCATTCTGAAGTAGCCTGGCGTTTGGCTGACTTGGCAGGGCAAGACACAGTTCCTGCAGAAGAGGGAGTGCTGTGCTGGGGCGCTGGAGGGCCAGCTCATAGCCACGCTGTGCAAGCTGGCCAGCGCCAAGACAGTGCTGGAAGTTGGCATGTTCACTGGGACAACAACTCTGGCTGTAGCACAGGCTCTGCCTCACGACGGAAAGGTAACTTGCACAACTTCATTACTCCACACTTTTCCTGCCAGAGGGAAGATGCGGTGCAGACAAGCTGCATGAATAGGCTGCCACATGTCCTGCCCTTTGATGGACTCGCCAGAGATGCAAGCAAGACCCACCGAACACTGGGCACGGTGCTAATTCCTGTACTGTCCCATTGCAGCCGGGGGCGATGCATGCGCCCGTTTGATTTGGTGTTCCTGCAGATCAAGTGTTTCACCTGCAGAATGGTGTTGAAGAGCCGGTGGTGAGTGTTTGAACAGCTTGGCTGTTTTTTATTTTTGCAGGTGTATGCTTTGGAGATTGAAGATTACATGCGCGAATTTGCACAGCCGTATTTCCAGCGAGCGGGCGTCTCTGACAGGGTAAAATATTGGTCCATTCTCATGTCACCTGCTGCTCACAAGCCTGCTTGACAGCCACCATCTTTTGCCCTTGCAGCAAAGACTGCAGGCTGTGCACCGCTCATTTTTTAATGCCAGTTTTCAATAATATACCTGCACAGGATGTTTTTGTATCTGTTGACAGGTGGAAGTGGTGGTGGGTCCTGCCAGCAAGGGCATTGCACAACTAGCTGCACGGGGCAATCGCTTCGATCTGGCATTCCTGGATGCGGACAAAACCGGCTATCTCGGTTACTACAACCAGGTGCTCTTCACAAGGTTGTCAGATATATTTGAGATCCCAAAAGGACAGCTGAAGAGGTGTCCATGGCTGGTTGGACTGCATGCGATCGCTTGCATGTCTACAAATGGATCTCTGGATCTGCTGCAAGTCTTGTCGACGCCCTTTAGCACCGTTTGTGTCTGCCCTTTGTTGGAAGCCACTCAGTGTCTGATCCTGATTGTCCGCTTCTGTTCCGCGCAGCTGATGGACCTGAACCTCATCGTGCCTGGAGGAGCCATCATTGTGGACAACACACTCATGAAGGTACGGATCATCTATGTTTCAACTTGGAATATCCTTCCCCCTGAGCTGCAGAAAAGTTATTCTGCACTTTCCCAGCTTGTATCACTTCTTATGCACGCGCTATGCATTCAACACTTTTACTGATTGCAGGAATGTGCAGATCGTTGAATAAAAGACCAGCACCCGACAGTTTGACACCTGTCACCACTGGGCTTACTGTGGTATCGCTCCAGCTGCCAGCAAAGTGTGAAGCCAGTCTTCATAGTGGGTGCCTGCTGCAGGGGCGGACATATTACCCAGGAGGGGTGAAGGATGAGCTGGCGGATGCCATAAGGGAGTTCAACGAGGTTGTGCGCAAGGATGCACGAGTGGACGTGGTGGCTCTGCCTTTCAGGGACGGCGTCAGCATTATCACCCGGCGGTGCGCACTATTTCCCTTTTGCCACTTTACAGTGGGGATGCATTGAAGCACCGCTGGACTGAACCTAGCTTTCGCGGGCTAAAATGCGTGAAGCTATGACGAAATTGTTGTCAGTGTGATGAAGACCGTACAGCCCTGTGCTCTGTCTGATATGCAAGACGCCCCGCCCCTTGGGCTGACAGATTATTGTTTAACGTGGTTGCGGGGAATGCATGTCCTGGTGAGAATCGGCTTTCTTTGTATCCATACTCATATTTGTTACTGAAACAGCCGGTGGATGTGCACAGGCGGGACGCCTCAGCAGAAGCGGATGATGTCATCACCGGCACAGCTCACAGCCGCATCCTGCAGCGCCTGAAGCTGAATGGCAAAGTAGCCCTCATCACAGGTGGGCGCACGCTGAATCGTCGCACTCCCATGCAGCTCTTGTCAACATGTGACACTCTCATGTAGATGATTCCATTAAGACCGCTGTTTGCTTTGCCAGGGCATGTGTTTGACGGTCTCGAGTGCAGAGCTGATACCAACATGACATTAGCACTACAAGCTGTTCTTGCAAAGCCGTTTTAGACATAGGGACGGCAATTGCTGCAAGTGAAAGGGTTCAGATCAGTGTGGGGAATCATACAGGGGCCGGGTAGGGCAAAGGGCAATCACGTGGATTTTGTGAGCCACAAGAATGCACCATTCATGCCAAGAAGCAACATGGGAACTTCATTACTGCAAGCAAAAGGGCTTAGAGGAGTATGTGGGGTTGAAACAGGGGCCGGGCAGGGCATAGGGAGGGCATTTGCGCATGCGTTGGGAGAGGCTGGGGCGGCGGTGGCGGTGGCTGACATAAATGGGGACGCCGCAGAACGCGTGGCTGCTGAGCTGGCTGCCAAGGGTGTGCGCGCGATTGCCATCACTGCTGATGTCACTCAGGCCAAAGAATGCCAAAGGTGTGTGGCCTTTGCTTGAAGCTGGATCATGAAGCATTGCGTAAGCGGGTCGTGGTGATCATTCCAAAGGAGATATCCCTTTGATCTTCCCCGCTGTGCACGAGCAGGGTTGGGTATGCAAACGCACTCACCTGGAACGCTGTTAGGCAGAGATGAAACACCTGTTAGACGAAGCAAGGGCTGCAGCTACACTGAGGATCATGCTCTCAGGCGCAACAAGTTGCGGGAGTACATTTTCCGGTGATTTGGGGGTGGTGCATGCAGCTTGCTACCTAGTAAAGGCTGTGTCTCCTCTGCATGAACTGCATATTATAGTTTGGAAGATGGGCTCAAACTTGCCGGCTTGCCAATGCTCAGGATGGTGGACACAGTAGTGGAGAGGCTAGGAGCGCTGGACATAGCGGTGAACAACGCTGGCGTGAACTTCAACAATGCAGCAGAGGACACGCCTGAGAACGAGTGGGACACCACCTTCAGCCTCAACACCAAAGGCCTCTTCCTCTGCTGCCAGGTGCCCCAACTTCATCCAGTAAAATCAACACCAGAGCAAGCGACACAAGACTAGAATATTTTATTGCCAAGCGCTCACACCCATTCCAATGACTCGAGCTAACCCCTTGAATTGACCTGCGCGGACGTTCTGCCATGCCTGCATGCAATGACACCAATCCTCATAAAAGTATTCAGAGTCTTTGGGAAAAAACAGGGGATTTCCAGCGGCAATGAGCACTCTGTGCCAATTTCACTTCTGTAGCAAGGCATTTTGGGATCCCACATAGATTTAGCCGTGTCAAGTGTTTGCTTGACTCTGTGGCCCAACAATGCGGCGCTTTGACTTGTGGAATATTTCGCGCAGGCGGAGGGACGGCACATGCTGGCGCGCGGCCGCGGCCGCATAATAAACACGGCGAGCATGGCGAGTCTGCTCGTGCCGCATCCGCAGAAGCAGGTCTTGACAATCTCACATAACAGAGTCCATGCAAACCGGCTATTATGTCGTAAGAGCAGAATTCGATTGGGGCGAGCAGAGCTTACACCCAGGAGCCACGTGGCAAGCTGTAGCACACCCTGCAAAGCATGCCCGATAGGGACACGTACCGATGTGAATGAGCTGCCTTCTAGCAAACTGCATGCAGGGGCGGAGCCAGTCTCTTAGTACCATTTGTGTTACATTTCCTGCAGCTCTAGAGGTGTAGGATATGTCCAGCAAGACGTGATGTGTCTTACTCCAGCCTGTACTGATGCAATGATGGTGAGATGATCGAACTTGCTGCAGATTGCGTACAACGCGAGCAAGGCGGCGGTGGTGAAGATCACGCAGACGCTGGGCGCGGAGTGGGCCGGCCGCGGCCTCACCGTCAACTGCATGTCCCCCGGCATAGTCAACACCGCCCTCATACAGGTGTCACATTCAATGCAAAAATTGAGTTTCAACTGAAATGCATGGTCCTGCTTGCTTTGCCCTGCCTCCTCTGCACCGGGTCCGTTGAAGCACCCTGCCTGTAATATCCCATATCCTTTGCGCAGACTCCATCACAGGACCTAATTAGGATGGTTGCTCTTAGGTAGTGCAAATGCCTTCCTTTGCTGCTGAAAGGAGAAGATTGCATGTGGAAATGCTCAGCAGCGTGCTGCAGCTCACAGTATGATTGGCCTCCAGTCGCCATGACATGTTGTCTGGCATGACAAGTTGACTATCAGGCTGCCAGAAGGGTTGCATGGAATTGAGCTGGCGTATCAGGAATGACTGGCTGATGTGGCTGTGGGTGCATGTACAGTCTGAGGCGCTGCGGCCGCTGGCGAAGGAGTGGTTGCAGCAGATTCCCATGGGGCGCCTGGCAGAGGTGTCCGACCTCCAGGCAAGTCCCTCACACCTCGCTGAAAAAAGAAAACAGCGATGCCCTCGAGTGCAGGGTTTTACTGTGCCTCAGCAGGATTTACAGGGCTGCCAAGACAGCAATTTCCAAGGTTTCTTAGCAATCCCAGGGATAGCTGACCTGCCTAGTAATTTCTGGCAGTTATGTGTGGCAAAATCTTCTGGGCGGACCATAATCGTCGCAGAACCCAGAAGCATGAGGATCCCCCTTGGATGGCAAATTCTGCTGAGTGATTACGCCACTTTGGCCTGTGGCTGTTCACAACCTGGGCTCAGTGGAAAGAAGTACGCCTGATGATGCCGCACTGAGCCTTGATGAATGGGAGATAATGGGAAACAACACGCAAAAGGTATGGTGTGTGTGCAGGCGGCGATTGTGTTCATGGCTTCGGATGCCAGCAGCTACATGACGGGGCACAACCTTGTGCTGGATGGAGGCCACACTCTCTGGTAGATAGCATTGATGCAGCGACTTAATGAGTATAAATTATGCCTCCCTGCTTTCTGGGTGTCTTTGGCATGAGCGACATGACGGCCTTTGGGTAGAGAACACCTTCACCGAAGTAGATTGTTTGTGGTTCTCACTTCATCTAGGAGTATTAAGATTGTTAAGTTAACAATGTAGCTTAGGATGGCTGAACTCTGCTGCAATGCTCATCTTGAGATTGACCTAGACAAACGGCCATATTCATACCTAAGATGATCAGTACTGTCAACCAGTATACAATTTAATACTGTAAGAATCTTAACCCTTCACGGCTCTTGATACATGATCCGCCCGTTGCACCCATGTTGGGCTCTGCCACTCTAATAATCCCTGACAAAATCAGCTGCTAATCTTCACTGCGCGCATAAAAGCTTGCCAAGATACATGCACCCATGAGAGTGGCGCCACCCACCCAGCCAAGCGGCCCCATCTGCGTCTCCTCTCTGTTCACCAGCAATCCTAACAGAATAGAGATGACTGGGTCCATCGCCAGAATCACCTGCCCGGCAGACGCACTGATCCTGCACCAGCATCCCATATCTGCAATCAGCCAGATCTCACAATTCTGAAACACTCTAGGGCTGCAAGCTGTTGTATGGGCCATGCCAACAGCGCTGTGTAGATCATAAATAATGTTTTCTTTTGGCGCCTCAGGAAATCCCACATGAGCAGCCTTGATGCGCAGCAGGTCATAAGTCAAGAGGTGAACACTGGTCAGTCAACATATGTCAACAAAAAATTTGAATTCAATTTCGAAATTTTGCCAGAACAGGTGCACGCACCTGGCCTGCCCGGCCACCTGGGCGGCCTCGCCGGTGCTGTACTGCCCCACGGCAGGCCACAACAGCACCAGCCATGCAATCGGATCTCTGTAACCTTCCCACAGTGTCACTATTGGTTCGCCCTGCTGCACTTCAGACACTGCTGCCGCCCCCAGCCACCCCAAAGACAGCACTGCCATTGTCATCACCTGCAACATTACTTTTCAAGTTTGAATTTCAAATTTGAAAACACAGGAATGATTGCTTCTGAGGTATAATGTGCGCAACCTGCTGCCTGAAGGGTCCAGTGTCAAATATTCAGGGTGTCAAGAATGACTTGTAAAAAGCAACCCGGTTGGGGCCCGCTAGAAAGGCAGGAGCACGAATGAGGCTACAGCACATTGACTGGATTTGTCACCTTCAATTAGATTGAAAAAAATTTGCCATCCAGAAAAGCAGTACAAAAGAAAGATTCCAGAGTAAGCCGGTTGTGAGAGGGAGGAGCACGACAGAATGTGCCACGCAGCAGCGTGCCCACACAACCAGATTACAGGATAGTTCACTGGAATGGCAAATGCATGGGGAATGTATTGCGCAGCAGGAGATGCACAAGGAGGGCACGTGCCTTGAAGGTGCCGAGAGGGAACGCCGCGTAGTTTGGGGCATGCCTGCTTTGGCGCACCATGACTATGGACCACAGGCACGCTGACATCAGCAGCACCAGGTCCCCCCACACCTCCGGCTGGAATCCAAAGGGGCCTGCACATGCACCAAAAGTTTACCCTCCATTTCCTTTTACTGTAGTCTGTGTGAAAAGCCCTGACAACCTCAGGAGAGATTCCTTCTGCAGCTTGGCATGTGCATGAATGGGGCATGATCTTAGGAAGCTCAGAAGCTGCGGAAAAGTTACAAACACTGCTGAATGAGCTGCCATGCATTTGCTGATCAAAATGACAGCACGTCCTTTCCAAAGAAAATTTTGATGAATGAGCAAGCGCCCTCACATTGAGGAGCGCCTCCTGTGAGCAAAAATATTGAAGATAGAAGATAATTGATATACCTGCAGCTGCCGAGGCGCCAGGTGCTCCAGAGGAGGTGTGGGAGGGGTCAAGGCTGATCATAACAGAGCCGGCAAAGCCGAGCAGCGATCCGGCCCACAGCCCAGCCGGCACGGCCTCGCCGGCCACGGTGCACAGAAGCGGAGTGAAGATTATTGAAGCGCGGATCAGAAAGGCTCCCTTCGCGATCGTTGTGAACATGAAGCCGTAGATCTGCGCCAGAATGCGGCAATTCAGCCTCCTTGTTGCTATCAGACACAAGCCAGCCTGATCTGTTTTATGTGCTTTATGAAGGACCCGCACTAGATGGCGAACCATACAATGCCATTCCACCCCTCACAGCCTTGCATGCAACGTTGTCAAGGCCTCTATCCTTTATACTATCAATATAAGGCCTCGATCACTCTTTGGGGCTGATCAATCGTACACTAGAGGTGCTCAGAATGGTGCATTGTCAATAATGTGTCAGCAGGCAAATGCATGGGACCCACCATGACAGAGTTGGCCAGGAACGCCAGCAGACCAAGCTCAGCCCCGGCCCAGCGCAGATTCTTGGCGCGCGAATTGAGCGCCCTGGCCAGAGGCCTGCCTATTCTGGCCCCCAGCCTCAAGAAGGGCTGCACAGCCGGCTCGGCTCTTGACAACGCTCTCCTCACCCCGGCCCCCACCCCTCTCCTGCCCTACACACCCCTGTCTCATCTATAGCCAGATTTGAAGTTGCTCTGCAATGTACAGTTGGAATTGAGGATTAATTCCCCATGAGGGGCTTAATGATGATACTGTAGCCAGTGGACTCCGCATCACATGCTTGCTGCTGACAAAGAGCACTAAGTTTTGTTACGCAGAAGCCTCTCCACATACTTCACTTCAGGTATGGCCCAAGACAGACAGTGCAGAAGACTTCTGACACAAGATTCACACCTCGCTGGAGCTTTCTTGCAGGACAGCGCTCTCAAGGGAGAAGGAGCTGCCGTTCCTCTCAAGCAGCCCGTGAGTGTCTGACCCCCTGCGGCGCATGCCACCCTGCGAAGCACACCCCTGAATTTGGTCTATAAATCTTCACTTGCAGTGTTACTCAGCAGCATGCTGGGTTCTGCTTTTTCGCACAGGTGTGTTTGTGAGTGTGAGCGGTGTGCTTTGATTGTGCGTGTATGTGCATGATTGTGCTTGCGTGTGATTGAAGCAAGCTGCATAGAGGTGTGGGCATGCAAAACTCCATGCCTGTTCCAAGCCCTTCTTCCTGCGGCACCTTCTTTTGGCAAACATTACTGAAACGAGGTGCATGGAGATATGTGCAGATAGACTGCGTGCCTGTTCTGAGTCCTCTTTGCTGCTGCCTGGCCCCCCGCCCTGCCATTCCTCATCGTCGCTCGTCCCTGCCAACTCGTGGCTTCCTTCCTGATTCGCTCCCTTCCAAAAGCTTAAGCCCCCTGGCCAGAGCACCCTCTTCAACGAGGCCTGCCTGGATTCGTGAGGGGACAACGTCTTCAACCAGACAGCAAACCAGGAAGTTGATACCTATAAAGTCCTGGAAGACATGAACACCCATGTCTTGTAATGCGCTATCAAAAACTGCACAAGCCAAGCATGTCCCAGTCTTGGGAAAATAGTTAACAATATGAAGTGCTTGTTGCAAAAGACATGCGCCGGGCTGGTCGGCAGACCGCACCAGAGATTACACACATGATGACGGCTGCAAAGCCGGTCTGCGCAGCCGCCAGCACGGGCGACGCAGGAGGGTGCGGCTGCAGGTAGAGGTATCGCAGCGCCACCGGCGTGGATGCGCATGTCAGCGCTGAGTATAAAATCAGCACCTGATCAATCATAATATTGATCATGTTCACTCGCCTTTCCTCTAAGTTGTGTGGATGCAAATAAGATGCAGGTGAAGGCTGCTCGGATGCAAACTCTTGTTGCACTCGCCAGATTCAAGCAAGACTCATCAATTGTGGGCACGGTGCTCGGTGTTTAGACCGCCCCCCGCCAGCCCGAGCCATGAATAAGCATGCCCGAGTGATAGAAAGCCCCGCAGCTGCAGAGTGCAACCTCACTTTGCATGCACACGCCATCCTAGCGACGCGGTCATGCGGGAGCTTCTTGTTCGACTGCTGCACAGAGCAAGATGCATCAAACACAAATGCGGTACAAAGTGTGGCACCTGTCCGGTGATGGCCGCACTGCGGTCAGGTCCCATGTCGTTGGAGCCTGCCTCAGCAGCCACATGCAGCTGCCTGTGCCAGCAGTTGGTGCCTCCTCTGGTCGAGGAGCTGTGTAGAGGAGCCTTCCTGCAAAGGTCCAGGTCATTCGATCCAGAGTACCCCAGGATGTAAGGTTGCTGCACAGGCCTGCACAGGTCCAAGGATATGACGAATCTCTTGTTCAACAAGTGGAAGGGAGATGAGGAGAAGCCGGAGAGAAATTTTCGTTGTTTTTGGTTCATGAGTTGATAAAACACCCAGCTTATGCTTTATTAGTGTCCAAGATGCCGCGCACTTGTGACCGGTTCACATCACATTACGCATTGGCAATGCATACTCTACAGAAAGACAGATGCGCACCTTTTTCTAAATGCGAATGATATCCGGTTTCTGGGGCGCCGAGAAAGATAGTTGCAAGTGTGAGACACAAGCACCGGCTGGATCTGCGGAACTGCGAGTCTGCGAGTCTGCGGAACCTTCAGGCGGTGCACATGCTCCGCTACATACAGATCGCAATGCATGAGACTGTAAGAAGAGCCATGTGATAGGTTGTAGTGCTTCTAATCTGACTCGAGACCAGGACACACAATGAAGAAAGCGGTCCAGTCACTCCAAATTGCACCACGACAGCCAGGATAAAGCAGACAACTCCGGTACGGCCTGATCGAGCCCGTTAATACGTGGGTGAGATTTCAGCGCAAGAGAAGGATAGCCGAAGGTTGTACATCCAATTGTACTTATTCTGTGCATTTTTACACAAGCTCTCCTGGGAACTAGCCGATCATAACTGTGATGGCAAATATTCCGAGACAACTTCTGGTGCCTGGAAAGCCGGAATCTGCGAAAGTATCAATTTTAGGGATGGGAACTAGTCCTTTAGGTCATGCTTACGGGGTGTGTAATACAATCGCCAATCTTTTTCTTTCTCAATCAGTGTGCCTCAGCGGCGGCATGCCATGTCCTGAAAATTCCCATACGTCACAGTACATCACATTGCTGGGACAAAGAGTCCCAATGCCATACGTTGAAACCGAATGTCTGGCGTGGCCCATCCGCTGCTCGATTGCTTTAAGGTGCAGCAGAACTAAAACGGGATCGCTGGCACAGCCACTGACACACATTTCTGTGGCCTGCAGACCCCAAATGAGGATGCAGGTATAGCTGCTGTGAAGGAGGCGTATCGATTGGGGATCAATTTCTTCGACACAGCACCGTTCTATGGTTCTGGCTCAGCAGAGCGGGTCAGTCTCTGAACCCATCCCTCTCCCATTTTACCATGTACGCAATTCCCCTGCTGTGTCATCTTTCATCTGCACAATAGTAGATAACTTAATCTCATGTTATGACTTCGCAGTTGCTTGGTAGAGCTATCAAGGGACTGCCTAGAGAAGACATCATCATTTCGACAAAGGTCTGACCCGGCCCCTCAGCTAAGCGCTGTCATGTGCCGGCATGCTCCTTTTACCAGACACGCAGAAGCACCAGAAGGTATATATCTAAGCTTACGATCTCTCACTTTTGGGAGCAGGTGGGCAAGTATGGGCCAGGGCAGCCGGTGGACTTTGGCGCTGACCGAGTGACTCGTAGCGTGTCAGAGTCCCTAGAGCGCCTGGATGTGGATTACATCGATGTCATTCTGGTGCATGATGTGGAGTATGCTGACGATCTCCAACAGGTGATAGATCAGCACTTGGTTTCTTCCACAATGGCATTGCCAATGCTCATCATGTACAGTGCTTTTGATGCGCTCCAAGTGAAGCACCGCTCACCTTGAGGGCATGATGCCAGGATGAAGGCCCACAAGCAGACCATTTATTTATCAGCATTTTAAAGCTGTTTGCTCACACTGGGAAGCATGGTCATCTTCAGAAATGAAGCCGATTTTCTGTGTGTGCAGATGATCAAAGACACGTTTCCGGCGCTTGCAAAGCTGAGGGATGCGGGCAAGGTACATTCCTCCTCATCTCACTGGTACACAAGTTTTCCTTCCGGCCTATAGAGAGCAAGCATTGAAGAGGGGTGCTTACTGTGCTAGCGCTGGTGGTGCGCAGATCAAGTACATCGGGTTCTCAGGCCTGCCGCTTGATGCTTTCACCTACATCCTGGACAAGTGCCGATCTCTTTCCCTCCCCAAACCTCAAATTGCACCCAAGAGCACTTTCTTCATGCATGGTTGAGAGAGCCGATGTGCCCCAGTGCACTTTCTTCTTCATGCATACTTGAGAGTCGTTGTGCTCATATCATATGCGGTATCTTCTTGAATCATAGTCCACGGCAGAGAGTGCTGTGATGTCATGAATATGTGTGTGCATACAGGGTGCCAAAGGGTACAGTGGATTTGATTCTGTCATACTGCCACAAATGCCTCAATGACGACACCCTCGAAGACCTGCTGCCCTACTTCAAGGAGAAGGGTGTGGGTGTCATCAGCGCATCAGTCACCTCCATGGGCCTCTTCACCAAACAGGTCTTCCCCAGAGATCTTATACATTTATATGACGTAATTACTTCACGCTTATCCTGCCAAGAGGCAAGCTGCGTCTGCCGACAAGCTGCAGCTAAAGGCTGCCCAAATCCTACCCCTTGTTGATCAATGGATCATGATGCGCCAGGATCCAGCCAGCCAGGGCCAGATATTATATAATAGACTCCATTTGACTCGATTGGAAAAATTCAAATAAGATGTTTATTTCTGCCAAATTGTATCAATTCAAGTTTGAGTTTATTGCTCGACCTAACTGCCAGATTGTGCAGGATTCTGCAAAGGGCCATCGCTGTTCAAAATTAAGCGAGTCAACTATGCTGGGAGTGTGAGGTTTTTGTTGCATGCATGCCAGGGAGCGCTAGACTGGCATCCGGCGCCCAAGCCAGTGCTGGAGGCAGCGATAGAGGCCAGGCAGCGAGCTGCAAAACACGGCGTCGACATTGGAACTCTGGCCATCAAGCATGCTGTGAAGGCGGACGGCGTCATCACACTTGTCGGCATGAGGACACCCGAAGAGGTGAGGGCTTCTGGGCGAGTTCCTTTCAATTGTTTACTACGTTGGAATCCCTTGCCTAAGTGGTATCATGACATTACATCGTTGCATGATCCCGGAAACCTGCTATATTTAGTTCACGAATCATTCCCACATTGCCAATGGCCTATATTGCCAATAGCCGTCTGAGACGTCCGGGCAGCTTGGGGATTTTGGAATTTAGTGTCTTCCAGACAGTTGGTGGGCTGCATACGGCATTACTCAGATGACATGCATGTGAAATGACAGGGAGTTTTGTGTTGGTTCAGGCGCAGGCGGATGCGCAGATTGTGCTGGAGGGGCTGGGGTTAGTCAAGAGCAACAATGCTGATGCTGAGGAAGCTGCCATGAAGGAGGTCACTGAAATTCTGAAGCCTCACATGGGTGTCACATGGCAGACTGGCAACCCCAACAATCGGACGTGATCATTGCAGCAATTGAATTTGCAAGAGGACCTTGCTGACATTGAATAGATCAATTTTAATTGTAGCTCCCTGGGGATCACGGCTGCAGGCTGCTGTGTAAAGCAACTGTAAGAACCTGTGCAACTCGACCTGCAAGTATCTTGCCCCTAGAAAACTTCAGTTTTCAAACCTACTCATTTGACGCTATCAAAAATTTAATTTTATTCATTCTGGCAATGCCGATGCCTTCGTGGCAAACCCGGTGATGGCAATACCACCGTGGCAAGACCAGCAAGTTCTTTCGTGATAATAAACAAAGCGGCCCCAATTTATAAGCTCCAATCATAATACAGCTTTGAACTACCGCAAGACTGCAGAAATGGCAGCAGAGGAGGGGAGGCTCGCTGTGGTCGTGGGGGCGAACCGAGGCATCGGCCTGGAGGTGATGATCTACGGCATGTCTCTGCTCCAAGAAGCCAATCAGTGGAGGCAATGTCACATCAAAGCCACATTTGAAATCAATACAACCCATGATTTGGATTGCTGAACATCACGGCCAAGTTCCCTTAGCCCTCCAGTTGAAGCAAAAGGCAGGCATGGAACAGAGCTCTTGCAAAAGAGGAGTGGGTAGGTCCTGGGTCACTCACCCGAAGGTTTAGGAATATATAAATACGTACTACCAATTGATTAGCATCTGAATCCGATTTTGCCACAGATTTCCAGGGAGCTCCAGCAGCGGGGCTTCCAGGTGGTTGCAGCATGTCGCAAGTCCAGCAGCGAGCTTTCAGCGCTGCCCTCTGTCACTGTGGTAGAAGGTGAGATATATCCAGCTGAGTACCATATTATGGCTCGCAAAGAGCAGCCTGCTGCGATACAGTGCTCAATATACCTCGTGTGTGGGAGCAGGAGTGGATATTGCTTCCCAGGCTGGGTGTCAGACTCTAGTAAGTGCGTTGCATGGCCGCAAGGTGAGCCTCAAATGATACCCTCATGCATCAGCATGTCTCTGTCGACGGCATGCATGCTTTGATCAATTCAGAAATATAAGGCTGCTTTGAGGTCAGAAGGGAGAGTCTGACTCACTTGAACGCTCCACAGGTGGCTTTACTATTGGTGGTTGCGGGGTACCAACACTATGAGAAACTTGGGGACTTAATTGCAGACGGCCTGCGTATCCATTTTGAGATCAACGCCATCGGGCCCATTTTGATGGCCCAAGCGCTGCGCCAAAACTTGGAAGCTGGCTCAAAGGTTGGGCCTTGACCATTGCTGCTGTCACATGCTCTTCTTGCTGAGCAGATCAATCCTGTCTTTAGTATTTTACCTGTTAAGGACAGAAGCCGATCTGACTGGGCTGTTTTTATTTGGCACAGGTTGTTTTCCTGGCTAGCAAGATGGGGTCAATTGGGGATGGTCGCACTGGAGGCGGCCTGGTGCGGTCCTTCTGCCTGTCAGCACCCATATTTTATTTCTCCCCTTCATGCACCTATTACCGCCTGGAAGAGCTCTGCTTTCTGGGGATAATTATCCCCTGCATGACACAGTCCCTTGAGCAGAGCTGTAGGCTGACAGCTGGGTTGCTCTTCTGCAGTACGGGTACCGGATGAGCAAGGCAGCGCTCAATTGCGGCGGTGCCACGATGGCCAGGGACCTGAAAGGGGACAACATCGCCGTGGGCCTCATACACCCTGGAGCGGTGTGTCATTCCCCCTTGACTCCCCTGCCTTAGCGTATGAGATACAAAAACAGAAGAGGACTTCACAATATCAGTCCAGAGCAGTCCTGCTTGCGGCGGCTGTAGCAAGATAGTAAGATGCGAGAAGTAGAACCAGGATACTCTGATTAACTTCAGAGGCTTTTGAGGACACAGCCTGAAAATTGTCCTGATCCAGCCACGCTTGTATGCATGTCACAATGTGGCCATTTAGGTCTCCTGGGCTTGGGGGATCATTGCATGGTGCTGTATAACGTGCACTAGCGAGGCAGCCCTTTCTCGTATCGCTGGCGCTTGCTGTGCCTTTCTTCGTGCATTCCTAATGCTGAAGTGGTCTGTGGTCCATAGTGGTCCGTGTTGCATCTGTGGCTGAGAGGTGTGAAGTTGGCGTGACACGAGCATGTGCGGGCATGTGCACAGGTGGACACAGACATGTGCCGGTCAGTGCGCGCAGCCATGGGCGTGCCGGAGAAGGACCGCAGCAAGGGGCTGCTTAAGGCGGATGACAGCGCCCAGAGATTGCTGAAACTTGTGGATGGTCTGGATATGACCAACACTGGCACGTTCTGGGCTGCAGACACCGGCGAAGTGCTGGCCTGGTAGACCAGTGTAGAGGGGTTCAGAAGCAGTCAATTGTTTCACAGGGGTTGTGACATAAGCAACCCTTTCAATGCCGTTTCATTTCTCCTCTCGGACATTTAGCAACACAGGATGCAGAAACAAACTGGCTTGTTTGTAGAACTGCATCTGGTAATTATTTCCGACAAATTGATGAAGGCATTGGATCAGCCCTCAGAAGACTGGAAGTTATCTGACTGATTGGGATGTATACGGACTTCTGATTAAAAGTGCTGCTAGGATTTACATGCCTATTCCAATGCCTGTGAATAATTCTATTATTATTGTTACACGCTTTTCCTGCCAGAAGCAAGGTGCGTCTGCAAACAAGCTGCAGTAAAGGCTGCCAAAATCCTACTCCTGGATGGACTCGCCAGATGTAAGCAAGACCCAATTAACCGTGGGCACGGTGCTCAGTATTATATCGCCTCCCGCCAGCCGGGGCCTGAGAATTTACTATTAATAAATGTCCTGTGAGCTGCATCTTTCAGGCTCTAATGCTGTGGTGGCCTAATACAAGAGCAAATCTTTGTCAACAAATGCAACACAGCCCGCTCTGATCAAATTCAAGGCTGCTCAATCTCCTCCCAACTCCACCAGCTTGCCAGTGCACAGGTCCACTTTCTTCCATGGGTTTCCCCTCCTCAGGTTCCTCAGCAGCAGCGCCGGAACCTGCAAGCAAACAGACGGTAAGCATATCTGCTCAAAGACACAACCTGCCCTTTTTATAAGCATGTCTGGATCTATCCCTGATATCACATTCCACAAAATCCCAAATATCCAGCTCCTGGCCACCAATCATATCAACGCTTGAGAATTCCCTGCGAGCTAGTATAGTAGAAGATAATTCCTTAGAAAAAAAAAACAAGAACCCATCTGTCTTGTTTTAATATGAATTTTAGAATGCAACGAAACACATCAGAGGAATGGAGAATCCACCTGCATGTAGTGCAGTCCCAGGAAGGGCAGCGGGTCACACGCATCCAGCACAGCATCGGTGCAAGTCACAAGCTCACGGCAGTGTTCCGCCACAGTGCGTGCAGCTTCCCTGAAGCTGCGGCAGCTGGGCAGGCGCACAAACAGCAGCTCTCCAACCTCGTTCCAGATCCAGACCACGCGGCGCGCGCTGTTGTGCGGAGCGAATGGCGCCTTGCCGTGAGCAATCACCGCCTGCAGTGCATTTTGAAAGCACATTTGACAGCCTGGCAAGAGAGATGTGCATGCACAATTGGAATGGAGCAAGTATGCATTCGCTATGCAGGCTGTCAGATGGTCTGTTGCTACACAAGAAACAAATAACATGGCGGACAAGAGCTGCGTGTATTTAGGTGGTCTGCGTGAAGGAGTCTCACAACGGCGTGTCTAGTACAATATCAGAACGGGCCAGCAGTGTTATCATGCATCCCTTCTTTGCAAGTCATGTAATGTTGTGTCTGACTTGCAGAGATCAAGCAAGTGCTGTGGGTTCCAGCGGGATCCATAAAATCTCCAGGGGAATATGGGGCGTGCCTGGGGGTTGAAGAAGGCTTCAGCCACGTGGACGTGGTCGTAAAAGTTGAGGAGGATTGTGGAGCAGCGGGGGTTGCACTCGAACGCGTACAGCTGCCCGTCACTGTCGTCCTTCATGAAGTCAAAGCACAGCTGTCCACTCACCTTGGTCTTCTTGCAGAAGTCCCTCACCCAATCCCAGATCTGGCGCCCACAGCAGCACATTTCATTTCTTTGATCTTTGTCGTTCCATGCATAGCTTTTTGCATGCATGCATGCTGGGTGCCCCCGGGGGTCCTAGCCCGTGCATTCCATCTTCATTTGTGCACTTGCTCAACTCTCCTCACGGGATGAGCCAAAGCTGCCAAGAGCAATCTCAGAGCAAGCATCGCCAGCATGCTTGGTTGCAACCAACTCCCTGACAGCACAGCATCTCCCTTGCAGCGGGGTCAATTGTGCCTGCAGCATAACTTGCGGCAATCCCTTGCCCCTGGCAGGCACTTGACCTGGAGTACATAACCTGCCTGCGTTTCTTTGCATATTCGTGAAGAAGCATCTTCAATCATTCTTAGGAGATACTGGTGAGCTTCATACCTGCTGGCTGTTGATGTGGGCATAGTCTAGGCAGGAGAGGCAGGCCTCGTTATCAGAATGCATGACCAGCCGGCCCTCGTGCGCGACGCTGTAGCTGCTGTACTCGCGCCCGCTCAGCAGCTGCTGCAGCTGCCACGGCCTCGCCTCTGATATCTCTCCCATTGTCTTGATGTAATCCACCAGAGCCTGCAAAAATTTTGGCACCCTGAGACTTGATTCACTGCAGCAAGGGCCGCTTCTGGAGACCTAAAGAGTGCTGCTGGCGTGATACTTGTTTCACTGCACCAATAGGCACTTCTGACATGCTGCAAGTGCATGTAAATGGACAGTCTGGACGCAGCAGCACTGAAGCATCACATTATTGACATGCAGTGGGCAGCCACGCCAAAGTTTAGAAACATCAGACAGCTGAGCTTCACGCAAACAGATGCCAGGGTGTAAATGGTGATGTCCTGCACATGTCGGAAGCTGACAGTCGAAGAACTGAGAGCAGGATACGACTGGAAAGAACCTGTGGCTCGCAGGGGAGCGTGAACATGTCGCCTCGGTGGGTGGCTGCATAGTGGATGCTCTTCAGCAGGAACCTCTTGCCCCCAAACACCTCCGGCCTGCTCACACAAACCCCAACGAACATCATCCACCTGGGAATATCCTGAATCATGCACGGCAACGACATCAGCTGCAATTTAAGCAATGTGCACACACAAGGGCTGCCAAAAAATTGAAAAAATTGATTTACGCTTGCTTGAGACTAAACGCTCTGCAGGGAGCATCTGTTAGTGCCTGGTCTACAGCCTGTCCAAAATGCAGGCGGCGTTCCCCTCATTCCCAGCACTTGCTTTGCCTATGCTGCATGGCCTGTCCGCATTGCTCTTTGTCTGAAGTCTATTATTTGCATGTGTACCTTGCAGTCCTCTCCCTATCACTGGCGCTCGTCTTGCTTGCAATGCACGGCATGTCTCCATTTCTCTTTGTCTGGAGTCACTTATATGCAAATGAGGCTTGCCTTGAGTTGAGCTCCATCAGCTGCTGGGGAGAGGTGACAGGGAAGGCTTTGGGCACAGACGCCCCGATGCGCTGACAGAGATCACTAAACTTGATCTTGTCATTGAGAGCCGCCACTGTCGGCGCATCTGCAGTGCAGTAGCGGATTCCCAGAGTCCTGCTGAGCCGCTGCGATGCCAATGCCTCGTACACACTGTACTGTGCAATTGAGACCGGCACAAATAGCTTCGCCTTCTCTTCCACTGCTATCTTCTCCATTGCCTGCACACATCAATATTGTCCATTGTCACCCTGTGGCAAGTGCAGGAAGGCTCATCAGCTGGAGCACTGCAGGAATCACAATTGGAATTGTTACACCATGAGGCAGCCCTTCCTCCCTCCTTGGCGCTCGAACTGCGTTGGAAATTTCCCCCATATTCTTGGTTTGACTAACAAAGTATGTGCTGATTGGAAGCGTCACCTTCAGGTAGCCAACAGGGTCCATGTTGGGCAGTGGATAAGTTCTGAAGGCGGCCACGCAGCTGGACCATCGGGATCCTGCTGCCCAGTTCCTGCATGCAGTCAGCATACTTCAGCACCCTCAACACCCAGTGAACACAGATCTTAGCAAGCATAGAGAGCTGGGCTCGCTGCTTTGTCTTTATAGCTGTGCACATTCATGTGCACAGAATGAGAGGGCGCAAAATGAGAGGTGCACAGAAAAAGAAGCTCACTTGTGAACATCCACGAGCACCACTCGCCAGCCGGCTCTGTGCAGGTGCCGGCACATGTGCAGCCCCTTTGAGCTCTTTGCCCCTGCGCGCACACACACACCATGCATTGACAGTGTGCATTTTGCATTTCTGCCCAGTTTTCCCTGCAGTGAAAGTCCGATACAGAAACATTGAGTCATCTTGGCCCTTGCAAGAAAGATAGAGGAAGGGATGCACACCACTGACAATGGCAGTGCCTCTCCATGCACTTGTCGAAGCGCCTCGTGCAACCCTCAGCCGCCGTTTCAGCTCATCCCCCTTTCTAGCCGCCAACAGGCATGCCCAGTCATAGGCAATACCCCCCGCCACAAGTGCCAGGGAGATGGGCAGGCTCCATGCAATCAGGACCAGCAGCACGAGTGAGCGCACGCGTGCCCACATGCGAGCTGTGAGGGGAAAGGAGTGTACTGCTGAGCGAGTCTTTGCCGCCTGTGCTGCAGCTCTGTCCTGCTGCAGGGCTTCCAGGACGTCCTGCACCCCTTGCAGATGTGAGTCCATGGGCTTGTAGGATGTGCTTGGCAGAAACGAGCATGCAATTCTATAAGTGGGAGATGAATATAGGGCAAAATGTGGCACATGTGTTGAACAAGAGACGGAGCTGTTGAATCAAGTGACAGAATGTAACAAACCTTTTGATTGTTTGCCTCAGGGCACATGCGTAGAACCTCGGCGAGGACATCGTCCTGTAAAGCGTGAGCCCCATCCCTCGACTCCATCGTCAAGCCGAACAAGCGGTTCAAGTGCGCTGAAAGGTCCTAATTCCTGGCTTACCAACGTCTATGGGGCTAAACAATAGAGTCTAAAGGGCTTCAAGATTGTTTCCGACCAGAAATAACAATGAGGACATCAAATCAGCACTTCCGGCATTTGATCTGACGACTGACAGCGGTGCGGTAGAATTATATCCTTCCTTAAAGAAAACATGAATTACATGACGAAATTAACACATGAAATATGTACACCCAAGAAGTGCAATATCACTCAGGGCACGCTCCACAATATAAGGCAGAGAGACACGTCGACTGTCGAGAATTGTACTGTGGTACAGGATGTAGGCTTTCTGGGTGCCGATTTCTAATTCTGAAATAATGTTGAAGATTAGGAGAAAGGAACTGAAGTCCCAAAGTCTCAGTAGAGCGAAATGATACCCACAGCTGCATATTTCGGATGCAAGCGGGGCGACTTTCAACGACCCTTTCGGATAAAGTTCAACGGGAGCCAGCAGGAACCTGCCTTTTAAATTGCAGAAGGACAGCCAGGTGATTATGTTTGCTGTGCTGGCCATTGTGTTGTGTCTCGGAATCCCATATATTGCAGCCCTCCACTCTAGGATACAAGAAAAGAAACAGCGATAAAGTTACGGTCTTTACACCGCCAACACTTTCTCGATGGAAGCTTCCTGTACCTTGTAACACTTCAGCACATCATCATGAAGCAGGCCTAGACACTGCTGCCATTCCTTCAGTGGCACCCAATCGTCTCAACGTCGACATTGTGGCTCTTCTGTAGTTGTTTGTAACCTCAGCTTTGCCTATAAGAAACATAGATGCTATCTCTAGCCGCATTTGTTTCGCACCCTTGTTGGCAGAACCAAATCCAACTCCCTTTTCTTCCCAAGCCTTCATGACGCTCCTCATCTGTGCTTCGCTGACATTAAGTCTCTGTATGAGGCTCTGCAGGCCGGCCTGTTCATTTTGTGAGCGTGCATTGAGCCTTGTTGTATTGGCGCACCTACAATGCCAGCAGCAAATAACACCCACCAGTTGAGATTCAAGTTCACAGCACAGCATGACTGGCCAAGAACACAAAAGGGCACAGGGACGGGCATACAATAATCAGGACAAAAAGCAGAGTCTTGGAGCCACAGAGTTGCATGAAAGTAGCTTACTTGCGTTGCGCCTGTTGCTCCTCGGAAAGCATGTGCAGCTTGATGTATGGATCTGACAGCGCCAAGTCTTGCGCCACTGATCTAGGAACACTCTGACCACCAGTAGAGCTGCCTGCAGTAACGTTTCTATTCATAGAAATAACTTCAAGGGTTGTTCAGCACTTTTAGAGCACCAAGACACCATGGTATGGTGACTGTGCAACACGCACAGGAGTGCCTTGGTTTAATCCAGGGCCGCTGGGCAATACAGACAGTCAACTCGCAGTCTTGCGTCCTCTGGGTACTTTGACAAAATCCAGAATTGAAGCGCCAGCCCCGGAAAAATTATGTTGATGGTACGCAGCCCACCTTCGTGAATTTGCCTGTGCACGTTCTGCTCCTGATGCTTTGCTCTCAACCTGTGGCACTTTTGAGCCCCGGGTTGTTAACCGTGTGGCGTGGCACTGTGATCTCGGCGAAGCAATACCTCTTTGTTAAAACCGGCTGTAGTGCTACTGGCTGCTGTGGCACAGTAAAGTTGATGTGAAGTAATTTACCTTCCAATATCTTCTCTCAAAAGTCTCAGATCATCCCGGGTTGCAGCATCAGATAGGACGCATCCAAGCAGCCTCTTGCGCTGCTGGGTTATGTCATCCAGCTGTTCAAGGACGATTGACATGTCTGGGAGCTGCGCAAACCCCTCTGAGCTGTCCTTGCTCTGTCCTTCATCCTGTACCTGAAGCACAGGATCTTCCTTAGTAAAGTTGTCTGAGTCTGAGGAGGGTTGCCAAGAAAGTGATCTGACTAGAAGTATCATGATTCTGCATTTTTTTGTTCGCTAGCTACTCTTCGGATGAAACAGTTCGTGTTTTTGTCAACACACCTTCGAGCTGCGACCTCTCTGCAGCCAGAGCTGGATGTCTTGATTCACTCTGACTGGGACGTTATGAAGCCCTACGAACTTCGCATGCCCACTTGTTCCTTGACAGTGACCGCAAGGATTTCGAACCAACGGGGACATAAATCGCTTGCTTCTACGGTTGGCCGCCATCGTGTCTCCAAAGAGCTGTCTTGGACCACCGGCATCACATGCCGTCCGTGGAAAATGAGTGCAGCACGTCAGATTCGACACTTACAGCTTCAGGATGGATGAATATTCGAAATTAAATTCTTTCTCTTTTGATTATTGATCGAGCTTCCCTCAAATGCGTAGTGATGTGTTCCATGTTGGCGAACCTTTGAGCCAACTTTGGCGCATCTGGTGCAATTTGTCCCCAACCTCATGCGGTTGCAAATCTTTGTCAGGCAGAAGATATTGAAGTAGAGAGTAGCATCATCAACTTATGCAAGCTGAAAGTCTAGAATTTAAAAGCAGTTTTCGGATCTAATATCATCATGTGATGAGAGCCATCGCTGGTAGTTGTACAAGCAGGGAAGTGAAATGTGGTCTCATGGTGGTTTAAAATCACTTGACAGAGTGCACTGTATTGATCCATCACTGACCAGGGCGTCGGTAAAGGTGCAGATGTTTGCTAAATCCCCATACACAGATCTCGCTTCCGTACTGTATATGCATCTGCTGGCTCTGAAGAACCTCTAAAAAAAACCAAATCATGCAGGGCCTCCGTTCGCAATCTCTACAAAGGCGTTGTCGCAAGGCATCCATGGTCCTAGCTGGCCAGGGTGCGCCTGACATCAGGTTGATCACCAGCGACGTGGATGGGACCCTGCTGAACAGCAAGCAAGAGCTGACAGCAGGCGTGGAGCACGCTGTCAGGCTTGCGAGATCCGTAGGCGTGCCGGTGAGCGTATGGTTCTGTATCCTTATCCATGCACACTTTTGCCTTGCATGCGCATTCCTACATCAGACTTAGTCCCAGAAAATGCATTAGCAAATTCTTGAGATAGTTTTCTGTGTTGTAGCTGGTCGTAGCTACCGGGAAGGCGCCCGGGTGCGCATGGACGAAGAGCGTGCTGCCCCGGCTAGGGCCCCCCTCTCCAGGGGTCTTCATGCAGGGCCTGCTGGTCTACAACGCCCAGGGCGACCTCATCCACAGCCGCTGTCTGGAGCGCGCTGTCATCGACACATGCATCGAGTTTGCAGCGCAGCACGGTGCGCCTGCCGTCGCCTGCCCATACACCCAGGCACTACACCAGACCACGCCCAGAATTCGCAAATTGTCTGCACTGTATCTATCGGCACTGCTCCTGCAGTGGGCTGGGTTGCACATGGGCATGGCACACCAAAGTGCTCCCAGCACTTTTTTGAGCTTTTGGCTGAGCCAGGGACGGAGAGTTGCACTCATCATCAATCGTGGGGATTTAAGCAAAGTCTTCATTTGTGACAGCGTCTTCAATGCAATGGCCAATGCATGTGCAGGTCTGACACTGGCGGCGTACAGCACGAGCCGCATAGTTACGGAGCGTACGGACGAGCACACAGACCGGCTCCTCTTCTACGGCGAGCCGACGCCGGAGTCCGTAGGCCCGCTGCACGTCTTCCTAGACGCGCCCGGCAGCGCAGGCTTCCAAAAAATCATCCTCATGGCAACGGAAGCGCGCATTCAGGAGATCCGGCCGTCCGCCATCACCGCTCTGGGGGATTCTGCCACTCTAACGACAGCGCTGCCCGGCATGCTGGAGGTGCGCCTGCCTGGTTGAGGTATAGTGCCTTGGCTTTTCTGCACTTCGCAGGAGTGTTCAATATGGAGAATCCTTCTCTTATACTCCCTTTACTATCGGGGGTCATCATGGCAATGCTGCGATGGCTGTCCCTGCTTGGATATGACATGCGCGATAGCTGTTTCAAGGTAATGAGCACAGGAGGGCTGGGTGACCAATGCGAGGCTCTGCAAAGGGTGCTTGCAGAAATACAATTCAGAATCCACGAGGGGGTCTTTGGTTATAATAGGTGCTGCCACCTGGAGCCTCAAAGGGGGCTGGAGTGGCCTGCCTGCTGAAGGAGCTGGGTCTGGAGCCGCAGCACCTGATGGCCATCGGCGACGGGGAGAACGATGTGGAGATGCTGCAGGCACGCACACTGCCCCTCGCAATCTTTGCCTTGTATGTCTTGCATTTTGTCTCGGTAATGTCTTTGCAGGCTCTGCACTGAATCCCCTTGATTCTGCACAAACAAGATTGCAAGCACTAGAACTTGCTGATTCTCTGCTGCACCAGAAAACTAGTGCACGATGCTGACAAAGTGACTGCAAAGTCAAAGGGATAGGTTGGCAGGCGCAGCAACACAAGTAGTCAAGCTTGACAGCTTTCTTCAGGGCGCTGTCAGACCAATGCTCCCTGGGAGCCCTGTTGTCGGTTGAATGGTTAGTGTACTGTCACGCAGATGGCTGCCATTGGCGTGGCTGTGGCAAACGGTGGGGCGCCGGCCAAGGCGGCCGCAGATGTCGCTCTGGAAGTGAGCAACGATGAGGACGCCGTTGCGCATGCTATTGAACGCTTTGTGCTGGCGCCACGAGGGCTGTCGCTGCAATCTCAGCTATGAACATAGATGGTGTATGGATGCGAATATATATAGCAGCTTTCTCCCAGTAATGAGATAGTTCAGTGTATCACTGCAAAGATCAATATGATTAGACGAGAGGGAATTTCTAACAAGGTCATTCGTATCAGCTGAAGAGTACGGCATGAATTTTGCGGCAAGAAGGGTTTTCAGGATTGGTCTCACACGAAGGACATAATTGGGGTCTCATGCATACAGCGTGAGCAATATATACTGTGCACTAAATATTGTGTTTTGGTACATAGATGACTGTCTGTCAGATTCCAGGCATCATACGCCATTCAGCCAAGCAACATGGTCGGCAAAATAAGACAGTCTTGGCAAATGCTAGCAACTCATGAGCTGTTCAGCTGTTGAGTGTCCTCGTTCCAAGGAACTGTAACAGTTACTCCATAATCAGCTCAGGAGCTGGACACCTTGCAAATGTCCTCATAGTCAAACCAAACCTTCTCACCCTTGCCATCGCCGCTTTTGAGCTGCACCTGCGCCCTGTACTTGTCAACATCAATCTCCAGCATCTCTGCACGGGCCCCCCTTTGCGCCCCCCTGACCACCACCACCGATCCCCCCGCTGCAGGCAGCACTGTCTCCAGCTGTGCCTGGTCCACCTGCAGTGCCAATACAGCTGTCAGCAAGTCAACCGACCCAGTTAAGTGTAAGAAAAGAGCTCATGCAATGTTCGCTTCATAAAAGGCTGGATATCAAATAGTGATTCATGCCACACCCACGGTCCTGTTCAGATGGGAGCCTCCATAGATGGGCTGTCTTGAGTAATGGAAGAAACGGAATTTTCCAGTGCAGTCTGTCAGATTACTCACCTGAAGAACATCGCCAGAGTCCAGCATTTTTATCTGACCCACATACTTCGATGGCAGCTTCTCAACAATGCCCTTCTTCTTGTAGTACCCATGTTCCTTCAGCTCCTTGCTCAACACCTTCAGCACACAGCCCAAGCTGATCACACCCTTTCCAAGATGGCACCTGCTGCTTCACGTCTCTCTTCTGCAGCGCTGCAAAGCACCATAGCAAGCAGCTGCAAAGGCGGCCTGCACAGTTTTCTCGCAAGCAATCCGGGCAGTAAGAGATGGAGCCCTCCACAGCCCCAGCATTAATGTATGAGATGTACCAAGCAGCAGTTAGAGTTGCGAATCTGGCAAAAGGTGGCACGGGCGGAATGCATGCTGTACTAGCATGCGTGCCCTAGTAGCAAGAGATGGGGCCACCCACAATGCCACCATGAAATTGAAAGGTGTACGAGACAGCATTGTGCATCATGACCTCCGGCACACCACTCCGAAAACAGCAGAAATACTCCATATCCCTGGGAAGTTGCAGGGAATTACTCCGATGTTCTGGAGAAAAAGAACAGGGCACAAACCTTGACGGTGATACCGGGCTGCAGCCAGGGCGCGTCGGGGCGGCCGCTCGGCCCCGCGCCGGCTCCGGCCTTTTCCCGTTCAATCTTGGCCTTTTTGAACGCCTGCTCCCTCTCCATCAGCTCCTCCAATTTGCTGCGCTTCTTCGGCGCTGCTGCGCCGCCACCACCCGCCTGCACAAACACAAGCAATTGTCATGTGCTGTGACCTTTCTGCGCCTATCAGCTGTCCTGCTTTCACCTGCCTATGCATGGATCCCTGCTCAACAATGATGAACATCAGCATTTGCTATTAGCCAAGTGATGCTCTGTGAGAGGCTCTGTAAATCTTGTGGGTGGCTCTTCAGTGCTTCGCCAGGGAATATCCTTGTGCAAGCTAGTCATACTTCAGGCGCCCGATTTTCCTGAAGATGCCAGCAGCAGCAGCAGCAGCAACGATCTCTAGATGGTCCACACAGCCTACGGCACCCCATCATGTGATCCTGATCCTCAATTTCTCCAAAGCGCGATGCAAGTCCCCCGATGCTTTACTCACCTTGCCGCCCCTGTCGTCCGCGCCGAATCCCTGCGCAACCCCCGGCATGGCGGCCTCGTGCGCGGCCGGCTTGGGCGGCGCGGCCAGCGCGATCTGCAGCGGCTGCCCGTCCTCGTCCCGTCTCAGCTCCGTTCCCTCCGCGGCGCCCCCCTTTTCCTCCAAGCCGGCCTGTGCCCGCGCCCGCGCGATCTGTGCTTCCAGTATCTCCCGCTGCCTCTCGTCCTCCTCCTGTGAAAAATTTCAAATTTGGTCTTTTAATCGATCTCAAATTTGTATTTGGAATTCTGCCCGCCTCATAGGATGCAGATTGTCTCTGGCCACACAGTCACCACGTGACCAGCGACAGCAAACGCAACAGTAGAGAGAGCGGCGGGCATTTCAGCTGCACTGCCACCAATTCACTGGCTTGGAAGACCATCTTCAAAAGACAGCTATCATCCACAGCCATAGCAGGGAGCACGCTCCCATCCGGGCTCACCTCAGCAGAACACCTTCCTCGAGGAATTAAGATAGAGAGGAAGAAGGGACGCACCTTCTCTGCGCGCTCGCGCTTGGATTTCTTGTCATCAGCCAGCGCCTGGCTGGGGTCTGGCTGAATGACAGAGATGTACCAGCCCTTTTCAGTCTCGTCCACGCGGCACTGCCCGGTCTTCCCCAGGTGCTTCACAAACTCTGTCAGCGTCAACCAGGATGTGGAGTTCATGTGGACGTGGTGCCGGTCTGCAATGTACTCATTGTACACCATCTTGGCTTGTACGCGCGAGTGGGGGTGGCTTCGCCGCAGGTGCTCCATGAACGTCTTCTCAAACTCCTCGGTGTATCCCTCCACGACTGCAAGCATCCCAAGATGGTTTCTTGGCTCTAACAAGCACATCACAGCTTTTGGGAAGTGGCACTTCTGAGGTCTGCAGTGAGCAGGTGCAAGAGTTCTGTCGATTGTGACGGGAGCATCCCTGAGTTTTATAAACAATATGGGACAATAGAGCATCTCACCTCGCATGGGATTTACTCCAAACACTATCATCTGACGCTTGTGAGACTCGCTGGTCAAGTGACACTTGAAACCATTTTCGTCTCGGCATTGCTTCTGGCACATCTGGCAGTACCATCGCAGCTTCTGCAAGCCCTTGGATTTGATGCGGTTTGCAATCTGCACACCAGAAAGGTCTTCAGATACTCACAACACGTCAATAAACAAAGTCAGCAAAACGTGTAGCCCTCTTTCTCACCGCCTTGGGAGTCAAAAAATCGTTCTTTCCCATCTGATGCGATCAAAGGGCCTTCCAACGCTCACAAAAAGATGTTCCAGACCAAAGCTTTGGTAGGATCCAAGCTGAGGTAGGTACAGATGCTGCAGCACAGCTCGCACGAGTTGATCGGAAGGCACAGAATACACTCACTTCGGACAGTATCCTTTTGCCTGGCCTTTTGTACGCAGCAAAATTTTATGAAAGAGATGTTGAGCCCCATTATGTCATGTGTGACTTCGTGCCACCTCAGCACTATTCATGTTTTGCCTGTTGTTTTGGGACCCCAAGTTTTGGGTGATACGGAAAGCCTCGAGGGAAATACCTCCTCAGGCAAGTAGCAGAGCTGGCTCTTGTGCAACCGGTCAAGCAATTCTGTTGATGTCAGCCTGCTCTTGTCAATCCTCACAGTTGCGCATGCATGCATCAGCTGAGTAATCGCAGAGTGGAACTTGTTGTAAACGCTGGCAACAGTGTCAGGTCCACGGCGCTGCTGTCTTTGGGTATCATGAGCATTAGCACTCCTGATTCTGAGCCACTGTGTCAAATTGCATTCTTATCTGGGAGTTTTTCATTCATACCCTCATATGAATGCATGCATGCATGATCTGTGAAGATTGGCATCTGTGAAGATTGGCATCATCTGGTAATTACATGCATGCCTGCAACCACCGAAGGAGATATGATACACCCTGCCATTAACATTGGACCCTGACAACAGGGTCAGCATGCCACTTGATACCCAGAATGGTATATATACTAAGTCTACATTGCCGTCGCACCACTTTCTTACCCTTGCTGCTGGCAGTCCTGTATAGAACTGATTGCAAGAGCAAGACCAAGGCTCAAGCTAAAATACAAGCACGGCTCAATGAGGTGGCATGGTACTACTGGTTTCACACCTGCTGCACATATACAAGAGCACCTAAGAAGTGCACTCCTTCCCAGAAAGATGAATACAAGCATATGCCTTTGAGACACCATACAGAAGTCACATTGATAGGCCCAACAAAAGACAAAAAAAATCCGATGTTGAGGCATATTTGCACAAAGCTCCCCAATATGGGCATGTACAGAACATGAATAAAATTGCCTAGCCCCCGGAAGATGACTGCACTACCGTGCTATGCTACTAAACACGTCCTGCAATTGTCATGACCATGTTCATGTACACCAGGTACACTGTTGCTACACTCAGGGACACCGCCTTGAGACTCCACCAACTTCTGGCCCTCCGTTTACAATCCCTCCAAGACCACCTCCAAAAACCTACACTATGCATGTCCACCAGATTCGTGTTTCACCACAGTGTGTGATGCTTGCATCTGCACCTCACGCCCAGCAGTGAGAGGCAGCCCCCAATGATGACTGTGCGCTGGAAGCTGCGGCATGTGTGCAGCCCTGGATTCGCATCTACCACTTCCTGCACACAGACATACAAAAGGTCAAGTTGAGAGACACCAGTTGGTGTTTCTTCTTCATTTTCTCCTACTGCTCAAACTGCAAGGCTCTCAGCAACCAGAATTGAGCCTGCATCAGCAAATGTGACAGCCTGGCATTGCATGGCTTCAGAACGGCAGCAGCAAGCAACCAAGAGTACCATGTATCTCATTCATCTGTTGTCCCAGGAATGTCATGTTATCACTCTTCAGTGACCTGCTTGCGCACCCTGACATCAAGGTCTTGTCGCTGGGAGTCTCATTGCGAGATGTGTGTGCGTGCCAGACCCTTTACACTATATGTAATAGGCTGCCTTAATGTTGTCCTCACCTGGACAGCCTTGCAGCTCATGGGCAGGCAACCACTGACGTTGAGGCTGGTGAGGCGGTGCAGCCGGGCGGCCACGACCGCCATAGAGGCGTCCGTCAGGCGGCGGCAGCAGTGCAGGCCCAGCGAGGTCAGCCCAGTGCAGCGCTCCGCCAGCGCAATCAGCCCCACATCGCGCACCTGCACCCATGCAATTCCTCCCAAGTAACAAGAGTGCTGCGAATTATTGGTCAGATAATCATTTGCAATTGTTGTACACTACACAACAGTCGAGGGAGACAATTTGCTAAAGATTAAAGTTGACCCCGAGTTATAATCGCTAGATGCTCATGTAGGACAGGAAATGTCCTCAGATATCCACTGTACCGTGGAATGACCGTTCCTTGCTGCTCACCTTGTTGCAGCCGCACAGGTCCAGCATTTCCAGGTCAGGGCAGCACTCTGCAACTGCCTGCAAGCCGGTCTCGGTGATTTCTTCGCACCAGCCCAGATTGAGCTCCCGCAGCTGCCTGCCCAGCCCCACACCAAATTGTCACCCATGCCTTCTATAATGAATTGCCTCCCTTCCCCTGAACCAGACATGGCTTCCAATGGTCTGTCCTTGAGACAAGCTTGCAAGTCCACAGATGGCTGACTGACGAGCAATCCATAGGACAAGCTATCCCCATGACTAAACGCCTTCTCTAGAAAGGCTTCTTGCATATGTGGGTAGATTTCAATGAAAGCACACCGCCTGCAGCAAACAAGCCTTCCAACACACCTCCTAGATCGACACTCCTTAGTATGAGCTCAGCTCAGAACACGTGGTACCTGCAACATGCAAGGTGAAGCATGCAAGCACACCTGGCGCCGTGCACGAGGGCGGAGAGGCCGGTGTCAGTGAGCCGGTCGCATCCGCATGCATTCACAGAGCGCAGCTTGCGGCAGGCGGCTAGAGCAGTGAACGCCGCGTCCGTGAGCTCGAAGCCACTGCTGACATCAATGGCGCGCAGATAGGGGCTGCAGCGCGCCAGGCTGGCAATCCCCGCGTCTGTCAGGCACTGGCAGCCCGACAGATCCACCTCCTGACACCGCAGCAGATGCACATTTGTCGATTTCCAGTGGAGTCCCTCATAAGAAGAGGCGACATATCATCGCTCTACTACCCCACGATGGGTCTCATAATGAAGAAGAAGGACATGCCCATATTGTCTTTCTCTTTGAATGAAGGTGCAGCTTGATGATCTCCCACAGGAGAAAGACATGCCCCCTTATCCGGTGATAATATAATTTTAAGAGCTAATCCCAATGCCATCGCTTGCAGGATAATGAGGTGGGCCATGCACTGTCGCAAGTAACGGGGAAGGATTAGGGTGTGCGATGGTGCTGTCGAGGTGAGGAAGTCTGTGGCAAGCACCTTCAGATGCGCGCCGCAGGACATTGCCAGGCAGCCGAGTGCGCTGTCGCTTAGGTGGCTGGCCCGTCGCAAGCTCACAAACTCCAGCTGCCTGAAGAGCAGCGCTGCTCCGCGCACCACCCCATCAACCTACACATCACGTCAAGTCAGACGCCTGTCAAAGCAACACCTCGGCGGTGTGATGAGCACAAGAACACCAGCTCTGTGGTCCCTTGGCATCAGCAAGGCCAAACAGCAAGAGGAACGCCACAAAAAGTGGTAATCGGCTACCCTGGAGCCGAGCATTACTGGGTTTTATAATGGGGGGTTTAGTGTCAAAGTTAATAAGGATTGGTTGGGGGGTCTGTTCCCCGACATCCCCATAGGGTAGCCAATTACCACTCAGTTCTGCGTTCCTGTTGCTCAAACGCAACAGCAGATGTCGACCAAAAAACACAGCAATGCTGGCAACCTGCCTCATGTGTGTCCCACAGGTGATCTCCTGTCTGCAGAGCAACACAACAAAAACAAGGTGGGAAGGTGCAATCTCTGTCGAGATATTGTGGCTGAGTGGTAGCCAGAGCAGCAAACTTACATAGCCGGGCACTGTGTGGTGGCCTGCCCAGGTGAAGCACATGCGCACGATGCTCCTGTTTAGCACATCGCGCCATCCGGCACATGCGCAGCCCATGACTTGGATGTCCCTGTCATCCAACGTCTCTGCCACCTGTACCACACATCCAGATTTGGCTGGAGGGCTGACCAAACATTTGTAATAGTAAGGGGTGCAAGACACGGGAGTAGAGCAGTACACAATCTGCACGAGTGAGATCTGCACAGCTGAGACATGATGGCACATAAACAATTGTGGGATAGGCAGCAGCGAAGTAAGAATGACAAGGTCGATGTGCAGCATGAGAAGGAGAATGGGAGACAAACCTTTAGGACTAAGTCTGGTGTGAGACACGCCCAGCCGCAAGAGATGGGTCGCTTGGCTGAAGCAGCCTCTCCCTTTCCCTGGACCCCTTTGCTCAGCGGCCAACGCCCAAATGCAATCTGCACGCAGACCAAACACGCATATCACATGCCAAAAAGCGAGAGTCCAAAGAGGTACATGTGGCAATTACCTGTTATGGGGCAGTGCTGCAGAGCCTCACAGTAAGACTACGCAAGAGCTGTGACAATGACATGCATGCAACATGCCGTGCAAGCCATGACAATAGGGGAAAGGCACCTGCTGTCGGCACTGATGCTCTTTGCGCCGCTGCAGAGCCACTTTGGGTTTCATGACGAGCTGATTGCACGAAGCTCTGATGCCCAATGCCCTCATCTTTGACACCAACGCAATTGCTGTGTGCAGGTTGCACGCTGCAAAAAATGCTCTCAGTCACTCAGTAATCTCATTCAACCTGACACTGACTTCGTGATGCTAGTAATTACACTAACAAGTGGAAGCACCACACAAGCACATATGGGTGGAAGGAATTTTAAGCGCACAGGCTGAATAAAGGAGGGCCTGATACATGTGGCATCCCAGCTTACCTGAGCATTCCCCTAGAAGCTGGTCTACAGCTGCGGGCAGCGCATCTGAGGCATCAGCTTCCGGGTACACTTTGGAGCAGAGGCTCCTAGCGTGTCTGCCATCATCTATGCTGCCGTTCTTGAGCCTGTCTCTCAAAGTCAGGGCGTGCTCCAAACTTTCCTCGACATCTGCACAGAGCATCATGTGAGTATTTCAATTCGTCAACAAAGAGTGGTAGGTAGGAGGGAGGAAAGGTGTACTAGAGGCAAAACCCGTGATGAAGACCCTCCAAGGTGCATTGAAGGCAATTTCTCAGCATCATGAGGAGGAATGAAACATTATTACACAGGTTTCACCCTCTTTGACACGATAATCTATGAAATTTCTTCAAGGGGAACTCCAGGTGTTGTTAACCCTGTTGCAGTGAAGTCGTGCAGGGGAGACAGGGGATCGCAAAATCCAAAATGCATACGGGAGAGCAGATCAAGAATATGCATAGATAGCGTGCGCTTTTGGCAGACCTGAGCCGAAGGACGTCATATGAGGAGGATCTGGTTACGGGCAGTGCTTCCTCAGCTTCCGGAACCCCACGCAGCGCTTCACTGCTGCTGCCCTAAGTCAGGCTACAAACAATTGGAAATTGGGTGCAATTTCTACCCCACTAGAGATCCACAGCTTATTTTGAGAGCTATGAGGGAGTGGCAAAGTCTGAGCGATGTCACGAACAAGGCACTAGGGAACCCACAACAGGAAATTAGTGAGAGACCCTTTTTGCACAGATTCTAACACATCTACAGATACAAGACACCGCTCGAAACGATTTTAGTTGCCCGTTGGTGTGATCCTTTCTTGGACCGCGATCAAGCCAGCTCACCATCATTTTCGCACACGTGGGCACAAAGTCGATGGCGTTCCTGCCGAAGCTGTGTCATCATCCGGATCGGCCTCGCCCTGGCAACATTCAGATTACCTTATTAGAAAGAGAGCCCAGGAATGCCGAAGAGTTCTGTAAGTGCTGCGGTATGTGTGACAATGCCAAGTCATGGCTCTCATCAGCTCTTTTTGACATATTCGCATTGACTTTGTTCAAACATTGGACGTGGTTGAGGACTATTAATGCAGGAATTCCAATGTGAAAACTTTCCGCAAATATTTGTAAGGTTACAAGAGTAAGAAGGTGTACTTGTGTGTCCCTCGCATACTAAATCCAAAAGATCAGCTGCCTCGATGCAGCAAGTTGACAGGAAGGAGGAGTTACGCCTTGCAGGCTTGAAGAAGGTGAGACTTGTCATGTATGCATGTGATGTTTCACAAGTTGCTTGAAACATTTGGAACGTAGCTTTACATCCTTGCGCAGTCCTGTACTGTCTAGCTCTTGCTTAAAAAAGACTTGTAAGACCTGTCGAATGCAATCTTTCTCCTCATCGGATAGGCGCCATAATGGCATAAATATTTGTTTCTAATTCTTTCTCTGTTTGTGAAGCTGGAGCAATTTAAAAAGAAAAGAGCTGCTCAAGGATCGAGGAATAAGGCGGCAGCTCCCGTAGTGAGTGCACCTTCCTTACAACAGCGTAGTCAATGCATGCGCATGTCCAGGTTTTCAATTGTTATATACACGTGTCCACCACTTGTGATTCTCTTATTACAAATTCTTGGCTGAAGTCATTGCTTGTGACAGGCTGTGACCCTTGAAGAGGAATTTCTCTCAGTAGCAGGGCTGTCAGGTACGTCAAGTGCATTTCCTGATTATTCTCACCCCTGATGCAACCGTTTTGCATGCATACATATGCATGCAGGATGCTTGATCTCACTACCCTGCACAGGAGGAGAACAGGATGGGCTCGACGAATCTCCAAGCCCTGGCCTGGAGAACCACGACCCTCAAACACCCAAAGTGGACACAATAATGCCAAAGAAACTCAGTGCCGGTCATGGTCTGGGTGACCTTGCAAGCCGGGATGGAGAGCAGCAGGGAGGACAGCTACAGGTAGCAGGAATGGACACCCAAGAGGATGGGTTCCATGATGCCCTCGAAATCATGGCCAACAGCAGTGTCTCAGGTTTGCCCCATCCACTCGACTTCAGACCGAATGTCTTTCATGCAAGCATGCATACTGAATCTTGTCCTGGCATACCTTGATCCGGCAGGAGCAGCAGTGCACACATGCGGAGCGGCACATGTCAAGAGGGTGTTACTGTGCGTGCAGAAGAGGGCCCCTCAGCCCTAGAAGATGTGGTGGAGCGGCTGCAGGCTCAGCTGGATGCAGCGCTGGCAGCCAGGGAGCAGGAAGAGCAGGAGCTGGCAGTGTCCCAGCGCCAGACTGAGAGTGCAGTGGGTCAATTGCGAGAGGCTCACCTCCGCATGGATGAGATGGAGGTACATGATGGAATTCCCTTGCACCCACATGCATGCTGTTGCAATCTTCAATTTGACTGGTGTCTGCATGGGAAGCTGTGCTCTCTCTACCTGTTCCTCAAGCCAATTTTGGGTTCGAAAATCACCTGAGAATAATAAATTTCAATATGATGATCGGTGGCTGCAGGAGGCAAATGAAAAGCTGGTGACTGAGCTGGCTGAGACAAAAGCAAAGGGTAGCGGCGACGCAGAAGCGCTGGGCCGGGCCAAGCAGCAGCTTGCGGAGCTGTCCGAGGACCTGGAAGCAGCCAATAGGGAGCTAGAGGTCTGCCACAAATCCCCAGCACCACACCGCACGTCACTGCTTTCATGTGCATGTGATGGACACTGCTCACTGTGCATGCATGTATTTCTGAGCATCTGCTAGACACTGCTCCCTGTGCATGCATGCATTCATTTGATTGCAAACTTCTCCTGCCAAGGTGTGCACGCAGACACGCTGTCAGCCCGTTTCCCTGCTCAGCGTATCTGCATGCATGTATGCAGCTCAAGTTTTCACACAAAAGGGGCTTGGTATGGCTTTTCGACTCATTTCAAACTTATTCTGCGGCAGGATGTGGGCGACTTCCGCCGGGAGATTGCGCAGATGCGGCAGCGCGAGATCACGCGCGAGGAGGAGCTGGTGGACGCGCAGGAACGCCTGAAACATATGCAGGCCGAGCTCACCGCCGTCAAGGCCGCTGCGCGCACTAACGTGGCCGAACTCGAGCGCCTGCGCGCCGTAATGCTGCCAATGCCAGCGGTGTGCTTCCTGCTCCTGCTGCATAGAATATTCGCCTCCTGATGGCGTGAAGTTCCTAGGTGTTCGCGTGAGAGAGGCCACCATTCTTTGTAAGGATGCTTTCTTTGCTTTTCCAAGCGGCAACGCAGTGAAGAGAAGGTGAGAACATTGCTTACCATGCTTCTTGTTACCAAATTGAATGTCACTCACGTGCCGAGTATCACTTCATGCTAAATACTTAATATAAAGAAGTATTAAAATGACAATTGATAAGTGCTACCCTCTAGAATTGGTCATGAGAACGCAACTGCATGTATGGAAAGAATCAGCAGTGGGGCTTATGTTTGGTGTGCACGCATGCAGGACGGCGAAGGCGAGCCGTCAGTGGTTTCTCTAAAGGAGGAGCTGACGGCTGCGCGCGAGCGCATTGCTGAGCTGGAGGCTGTGCTGCAGAGCAGCTCCCCAGGCGATCCCTCCGACAAGGAGGCCAGGAAGGTCATGCTCTGCCCCTCTAAATTTATGTCCCTACACATTGCTTTTCTCTTACTGGCGCAAATTGTGTCAGCATTCCTGCGAGAAAAACCAGTCAGCATGCGTGTGCGTTCAATTGTGGCGCGATTTGTGTCAAGCACTCTGTGGGTGATGAGCATTAGAACACCTAACCTCAAAAGTAGCAGTGGCCAGCAGAAGAGCAGCATGAAGACGCAGGACATTTCATTGTGGACTGCAATCTTTCGCTTGTACTGAGCGCAGCGTAAACCCAGAGAGGTTGTACGCTGAATTGCATGTTCCGCCAGTAGTAGTAGCCACCAGAAATAGCTTTGCAGCTTAGAGTCACTGTATACTTGCTCTCAATTGTGTAATTGCAATGTTGAGTGCAGCATCTTCCCAGCTGAACTGCTGCATGTGCTTGAGCAGGCTGAGAGGGCGGCAAAGCGGTGGCAGCTGCGGCTGAAGGAGGCGGAGGAGCGCGTGGCCGACCTGAATGCTCGCGCTGGGCTGGCCAAGCAGCGCATCACCATCCTGGAGCAGGAACTCGAGGCCGCGCAGGGCACCGCCAAAGACCTGCAGGCGCAACTCGCCGCCCAGAAGTCTGCTGCTGCAGCTCAGCATGCCGAGCTCCAGGTGCCCAAACAGCGCCACATAGTATCTCTGGCACCCTGGCGACTGCGACAAATTTGTCAAACAATCGATAGCGTTTCTACATGAGAGACTGTCTTGCGTGCGCTTCACCTTGCCGACTCATGCTAAATATCCGGGGCAAGTGAATCATGAAATTAGCAAGCCTTCCTGCGCGTCTGTGCAGCGGAAGCTCAAGAAGACGTCCGAGTCGCTGGCGAGGTCTCAGCAGCAGGCCAAGCAGGCGGATGGGGAAGCCGAGCAGATGGAGAAAGCCTTCCGCGTGCTCCAGCATGAGGTGCTTGCCACCTTCCTCCTTCCATGCCAAGCAATGTCCATTTTGTACAGAGTGTACAGCCCTGTAATTTTCGTGGCACCACCAGCCACCAGACGGGAAATTGTGGGCTTCGTTGAATGGAACCAATTCTAAAAGATATCATGGAATTCCCTCAATCGAGCGTGTCTTCGTGACGACAACACAAGGCCTGGCCCGGCAGATGGCGGAGATGGGCCGCAAGATGGCAGTGGATGCGAGCGCGGAGGGCAAGGGATCACGCGCATCGGCCGAGGCGCAGGCGTCGGCCGCGGCCGAGCGTGCCCGTCTGGAGCACCAGGTCGGGCAGCTCAGGAGCGAGCTGGCATCCGCGCACAGCGCCGCGGCCGCCGACTGCAGCTCCCTCGAGCAGCGCCTTGCTGAGATGGACGGCCGGCTGCACAGCATGCGCGGCGCGGCCGCCGATGCGGACGCACGATTTGAGCGGAAGATCGAGGTGCGGTGGATGCCTCCGATGCCTCGAGCATTTATCATACATAAACATTGTTCGCATCCAGTCTGCTCTATTGATTGGTCCTGGACTAGACTAGACTAATGCCCAGCACTAAGCCCTCTTTCGCTGAGTACGGGCCATACTTTAAGAAGCATGCAATTTTGCATAGCGTCCTCTAGAATGCACATACTCTGATGGCAGAGGCTCAAAAGGTAACGCTGTTGTGGCAGGAGGTGAGGCAGCTGGAGGCAACGCTGGCGGAGACGCGCGCCATGGCGGACGGTCGCCTGTCGAAGATCCGCGCGGAGCTGTCAGCGGTGCGTTCGGAGGCGGCCGCACGGGCGCGCGACCTGGAGGGCCAGCTGGCGGAGGCCCGCGTCTCCAGGAGCCACTCGCCGCGCCTGGAATCTCTGGCTAAGGTGCACCGCGATGAGAGGCCGGAGGCTGCACAGGAGTTTTCTGCAACGAATGCATCCATAGAGGCTGTCTTGCTCGCTGACATGGCGGAGTTTGAGCGCCTGTGCCTGACATGTCATAGCAGTGCGCTGTGCAAAGCAAAGCAAGCGCCAGTCGCCCTCTTTCCAGGCATTGTGCGCAGTTTCCCTGCTTGCATGACGGTCTGTCTGTCGGGAGAGTGCCCCAATGCACAACATAATACTGACAGTGATGGGTGCTACAGGCTGATGCTGCGGAGAGGCGCACCCTGGAGCTGGAAGCGCAGCTGGATGCGGCGCGCGAGGGCAACTGGAAGGCGCAGGCGAGAGCAGCAGAGCTGGAGTCAGAGCTGATAGGTGCCCAGAAGCGCCTGCAGGAGCTTGAGGCCACGCAGGCGTCGCATGCTGACCTGTCAGCGCAGCTCGCTGCCTCAGAAGACGCTTGCCACGCTTCCGAAAGCCAGCTCAGCGCTGCATTGGAAGCAGCGCAAGGGAAGGATCAACAGGTGGTGCAGCTGGAGGCAGATCTGGCTGCAGCCAGGGCTGATCTGCAGGAAAGTGCTGCCGCGTCTAATCAGGAGAAGCAATACCTGACTGAGCAGATTATGGAGCGCGAGGCTCAGCTAGCCTCAGCAGCAAATAACACAACTAACCTTCATGAACAGCTTCAGGACGCCAATGAAGCTGTCGCTGCGGCAGAGCAGGCGAGAGCAACTTTTGCAGATGAGTTAGCAGCTGCAAAAGAGGAAAATGAAGCGGCGAATGCGGAGGTTGCCAAGGCCAGAGCTTCAGCGGATGAGCACGCCTGCAAGGTCGCTGAGCTGGCGGCTGAGCTGGCGGCGGCTCGGCAGGCCATGGAGGAGATGGAGGCGGCCGCGGCCGCGGCGCAGCACCGCTCGGATCAGAACATCGCTGACCTGGCTGCTGAGGTGGCCGCCGGCCGCGCACATGCGCAAGTACAGCTGGACGGCATGACCGCTGAGCTGGCAGCCCTGCAGGCCGCCACAGATGACTCCCTGGCGCAGGTGCGCACCGAGACGGCTGAGGTGGCAGAGCTAGCCCGCTCTGCCACAGCCGCTCTGGCCGCAGCGCAGACCCGTGTGAGCCAGCTGGAGTCAGAAGCCGGCGTGTCTGCTGCGAAGCTTGCCGACGCAGAGGCCGCCAGCCAAGAGGCGTCTGCACATCTTGCAGAGGCCAACACCCGGGCGGACGCTCTCGAGGCCTCTCGGCAGGAGGTGGCGGGAGAGCTGGCAGAGGCAAAGTCCAGGGTGACAGCGCTCGAACAGGAGCATGGGGAGGGCAGCGCCAAGCTGGCTGAGGCGCTGGAGAGGGAGGCCGGGCTGCAGGCGCAGCTGGCCAAGGCGAGGGATGAAGCCTGGGAGAGCTGCAACAAGGCTGCTGAGCTGGCCGATGAGCTCGCAGCAGCGCGCAAGGCTCAGGAAGAGCTGCAGACTCAGCTCGAGGGAGCCGCTGCAGGCAGCAAGGAGCGGCTTGTGCAGCTGGAGACAGAGGCTGCTGATGCACGTGAGCAGCTGGAGCAACTCAGTGCTGCTGTGCAGCAGAAGGAGAGTGAGCGCCTGCAAGTCGCAGAGGTGCATACCACTACGCTCATACAGCCATGCAATATGGCTGCTAGAGACCCTCCTGCAATTGCATTTCTGCATTTCAACATTTCAAGCGTTTTATAAAGACATTCACAATGCCTGGACTCTAAAATTGCTTGCACATGAATGATGGCATTCTATGCTTCTGTCTGCAGGAGGCTGCAGCAGCAAAGAGGACGCTGTCAGACATGGAGTCGCAGGCCAGCATTACGCAGGGCACATCTCAAACGCTGCAGACCGAGCTGCAGAAGCTGGTGCTGCAGCTGGCCGCAGAGCAGGCCGATCACAGGAAGGCCACAGCACGCGCACAGGAGCTGCAGGGCTCGCTCTCGGCAGCCGAGTCAGCCGCAGCCGCCGTCCATCATGACCTGGTGACCGCGGTGGCGGCAAGGGACTCCCTGCAAGCCTCCCTGTCTGACAACAGCGCCAGCGTGGACGCCGCCGAGGCTGACCTGGCCGCCACCAGGAATAAGCTGGCGTCCGCACACGCGGCTCTGGCTGCTAAGGAGAGTGAAATCGACGCGGTGTTGCAGCAGAGGGCGGTCGACACGCAGGCGGCACAGCAGAGTATGGTAGACAAAGAAGCCGCACTTGCCGCCACAAGGGACGAGCTTGTGGCGGCACAAGCGTCACTGGTTGCAAAGGAGAGTGAACTTGAGGCGGCTCTGCAACAGAGGACGGTCGAGGCGCAGGCTGCACAGCAGAGCATGGCGGACAAAGAAGCCGCGCTCGCAGCGGCGCAGGCCAAAGTGCAGGCTGGAGAGGAGAGCACAACGGACAAGGACGCTGCGCTAGCTTCGGCGGAGGCCAGGATGCAGGCTCTGCAGGAGCAGCTCGACACGGCCGCGGCGGAGGCTGCGGATGCGCAACAACAAACTGCACAGGTGCAGCGTCTGCTGGAGGACGCTCAAGCCACCCAATTGCAAGCCGCCGGCAACTTGGTAACAATGCAAGCGCGCCTGGACAGCACTGTCGAGGAAAGCAGTGCAGCCCAGGCGCAGATCAAGGCGCTTGAGGAGAGGCTGCGGGGTGAGTCAGATATTGCTGGGAGGGTGGCCCAACTTGCGGATGAGGTGGCGGAGGGGACCCGGCGAGCCACTGAGCTGGAGGCTGAGCTGGCGCACGCCCGGGAAGCCACCGCGCAGCTGCAGGAGACCCTGGCCAGCACCACCGGCGAGCTGGCTGCGAAACTGGCCGCACTGCAGGTATTCATCCACATGACAACCTCATTTATCTTAAGTGAAGCCATATGCCAATGCATGGGTGCACTAAAACAAGGTGAACATCAGGTACCATTGCTGAGATATTTGCGAACATAAATAACAAACTCAGGAGGTGTGAATCTGCATGGAAATGTAGAAAAAGGTTCTCAGGAAAAAGTGAAAGTAACTCAACATTGCTGCGACGCTGTGCAGGACAAGGCAGGGAGGGTGCAGGAGCTGGAGGGCAGCCTGGCCATCCTGGAGGCCCAGCACACCAGCCTGGCAGAGGAGGCCGACTCGCGCGAGGCACAGGCATGCTACTTTCCTCTTTCCTTTTTGTTCTTTAGTCATTCATGGAAGCTCAGTGAGCACTGTATCGCTATTCAAGATGCAAAGAGGAAGAAAGGTTCTTGATGGCAAACCTTCACAGCTCATAGCGAAGCTTCAGCTGATCTTGTCATTCGTATATACAGCGATGGAAACCCAAGGCACATGATAGCCGTTGCAAGAGAGTGGAGTTGCGCTTAATGTCTCCCCGCCACACACACGCCTTTGTGTCCAGGGAAGTAAACGTGAGAAATGGTATTGTGTGGCAGGCGGAGGAGGCACAGGCGCAGGCACGCAGGATGGGTGCGGAGTTGGAGGAGGCCAGACGGCTGCTTGGAGAGAAGGAGGCAGAGTCAGAGACGCTGAGAGAAATGGTGGCCGGCTGGGAGGAGGCCTTTGCGCAGGCCCAAAAGGAGATCGAGCAGCTCAAGGCCACCGCCGCCGCTGCCGCCCCGCGGGAGGTGCGCATGCATGCTGCCCACATGTGAAGAACATGTGTTCTTCAATACATGTTGCCGCATTGGTGATGGACCGAATCTCGATTACTCATTGGGACGTGAGGAGACTGATATACCCAAGTAGCTCGTATTGGTGTTCCAAGGGTGAGCAGCTCATATTTGACTTGCTCTTCATAGGCACCCGTGTGACTGCTGTCATGCACAGTGCTGGTGTACAGAGCAGCTGCATAAGACTAGTTAGCCCATCTGCCGGGCACCGCTGCTGCATTTTGTCAAGAAAAGTCTGAGCTCAAAGGTCCTAGTACCGGACTTCAAGTGCAATGTGAGAGATACAGAGCCCTTTGAGCTTGGCATTGATGAGTCACTCCCCACCACAAGCGCCATGAGGAGAGCTCGCCACACCGAGTAACCCTTTAGTCAACGGGTGACTCAATGGGTGCAAGTACCCCCGCGACCTTCATGGTTGTGCATTGATCTGTAGGTGGAGGCAGGGGATGCTGCGAGGGAGGAGAGCTTGGAGGGCCTGCGTTCAAAGCTGCGCGGCGCCGTCAAGAAGGGCAAGGCCATTGACAAAGCGCGCGCTGAGCTGGAGGAGACTGTCGCCACACTGCGTTCTGACCTGGAGGTACTCGTCTGCTGCGCGTTCCTAATGTCTTGGACGTGTGCATCTCTGTCCAAGTGCACTACATGCCAGACTTGCCTCAAGGGACTTAGCACTGAACGGAAGATGCACCCTTAATAGGATGTAGACAAGGGCTTGCTTATAACTACATGTAGTTTGTGGTAACCCCTGATATCGAGGAGAAGAAGGCCTTCATGTGTTGATATAGGATCTGCCTGAATATACCTCTGTCATGCGAGAAACATAACGTGGCACTGTGCTGACTGTGTTCCGTGGGTGTTTTTTCACAGGCATCTGCAGCTGCCACAGCATCTGCTGAGACTCGAGCAAATGCCCTGGAGGGTGACCTGGCCGCAAGAGATGAGGCACTGTCCAAGGTTTGGGCTGATTTTGCCGCGCTGGAGGTCAGCTTCCAAGGGGCTCAAGAGACAACAGGACGGCTGGAAAAGGACTTGGCTGCTGCGACGGTGCGTAAGTGCTTGCACTGCCCATCTGCTGGCATGGCAAGAACTCCCATACAATGCCTAGTGTGACTTTTGCTTACGGCGTTTTGGAAAATACATATTTACAATGTTGCCAATGTGTGCACAGGTGGAGCTGCAAAGGGTGCAGAGCGAGGCGGAGTCCCATAAGGTGTTAGCCAAAACGGCTCTCCAGGCGAAGGAGGCGGATCTCGCGGAGACGAGTGGCCAGCTTGCAGAGACCCTAAATAAGGTCAGTTGCAACAACCATGCAGCTGCCTGAGACGGCCATAACCATCACGCCAAATTAACTCTCTTGGTGCAAGACTACTCAGCCCCTGATGATGTCAGGTTGATGTATACAGCATGTAAAAGTTGCAATGTGGCGCACCCACCTGTGCAGGTGGAGAGTCTGCAGGAGGTCATCAGCGGGGCGAGGGCTGCGGAGGAGCAGGGCCGTGCCACGCTGGCTGCTGAGCTGGCAGAAGCGCGGCGCCAGCTGGACGATGTGACTCGCCAGCTCACCGACGCGCGGCAGCGGCAGACGTGCGCGGCCGCCAAGGCCGAGGAGCAGGCAGACCGCGCAGACAAGTGGGAGAGCCAGTGCATTGGTGAGTGCAACCACACCATTCAATTGCAGCATCAAATATATATATCGTCACCTACGAGATTGGCAAATATGAAGCCGGGCAACATACGATAATACATGGAGGGGCGTCTGCAGCGACATCTGCGGGGCCTACAATGGACTGCCGCTTGGCAGTACTGAATCTCAATGAGGAGCTGCAACCCTGGTGGGAAGTGGAGTCTCACACTGCTCTGTCTGTGCTATGTGCTTGCATGGAATGTATTGCTGGCTTCAATCTGTGCTGTGCCGGTGCAGGTGCTACGGTGCGGGCGGAGAGCGCAGAAGCCAAGCTGGACAGGCTCCGTGCTGAGCTGGCGGACGCGCAGGCGGCTGCCGGGCAGCTGAGCGGCGCCCTCGCGCAGCTGGAGGAGGCCAGGCGGCAGCTGCACACGCAGGAGGAAGCTGCCACGGCCCTGGAATATGTGCTGGCGCAAAAGGACGAGCGGCTGTCTCAGCAGGGCGACGCAGCCGACAGGCTGACAGAGGCTCTTGCGCAGATAGATGAAATGCAAGCTGAGGCGCAAACCGTGCAAGATCAATTGGCAGCATTGCAAGCCGAGGCCGCTCAGTTGGCAGCCAGAGCACAGGAGGCGGAAAGTTCAAAGGCACAGCTGAATGCAAGGTGCACTGCTGCAGAGGTAGAGCTGGATGCGAAGGCCAGCGCCCTCTCGCAGCTTGAGGGCCGGCTCGCCGACGCAGCAGCAGCCAGGAAAACTGCAGACGAGCTGCGGCAGAAGAACATGCAGCTGGCCCTGCAGCTGGAGCGCACCTCGCAGCAGCTGGCCGCCTCAGAAGAGTCCAGGTGCGCGTCCCTTGCCCTCTGGCATGCTTCTGTCACAACGTTTCTTCAAGTAGTATTTCGTGAGTGCAAGCCATCAATGATTTAGGAGGTCTGAGGTGCAGCAGCTGCGCATGTATGCCGTGGGTCTGTGCAGCGCTGTATTTTTGAAATGCTTGTATGAAAGGTGTGGGTTTTCAGCACTGCTTGGCGGTGCAGGATTGAGTCCGATGCGCTGTACGAGGAGGCAATGGCGCAGCTGCAGCAGCAGGAGGACCGAGCCGAGGACGCTGAGCAGAATCTTGCGCGCCTCCACCAGCTGCAGGTGACCCAAGCACCTCCATTACATCTCCATGCCATAATATTTTGCATGCTTCCATGCAGCAGACACTGTGTACGGACCCATAATATGCCGAGTCTCCAGCAGCACTAACTGGCTCCTGTGCATCCAGGGCAAACGGCCTGGACAGAGTGGGGAGTCGCCGCCGCAAACCACGCAGCCCAGCTCGAATCCAGCGCAGGACAATGCCGTTCCCTCCGACAGTGAATCTGAGCAGCAGAATGAGCAGCGGAGCAATGGGGAGCTAGCGGCGATGGTGGCGACAGACGCCGGAACGGCGCTTGCCATGCTGGCGCGAGCAGAGGCCCGGGCCGGGGACGTGGCGCAGCGCATCGGCCGCTCTCACAGCCTGGTCGCTGCCCTGGAGGGGCAGGCTGCCAACATCACAGCACAGCTGCCTCAGATGCAGGCAAGACTGCCCCAAATGCTGTTTGCTGGAATCTATACTTGCTGGTGATGATATGGAAAAATCATCGGAAAAATCCGTGTACTCCCTGGAGATGTGCTGGCGTTTGCTGCTTCCCAGCGTTGGCGAAGTGGCACTTGACGTGCAGCAGATGCCACTCAGTCAGGGCCTGGTTGCGGCAGGTGGTGGCACATGTGCTCTGGCGACTTGCATTTGCACTTGCATCAAATGTTTTCGATTACCAAAAGGATGTGTGGTTTACCTTAGCAAGTCTCTTGATGGGGACGTTGCTTGCAGGAGGTGGTTGCGTGTGCAGCCAAGCTGGATGCCCAAGTGGGGGTCCTTGCACTGGCGCTGGAGGAGCAGCAGGCAGACTTGGAGCACAAGGCACAGCAGCTGGCCTGCGCGGTATGTATCCTCCCTCCCTTTTTCAACCCATGGGCAGAACTTACTCTTTCATTCAGGCTTAAGATGCATCATGCTTCCTGCTCGCAATATCATGCACTCGCATGCTAGCACTCCCATGGCACAGCATAAACGGCTGCGGTCTCCTGTGCCGAGGTTGTATATAAATCTTAAGCTGAGTTTCACACAGAAGACCAGCAGGGTTGCTGTCAGTATGGGTTGGGGACACTGTGCGCAAGTGAAGGAGTTCAAGAGGGTGGTTGATGCGCTGCAGGCGGAAGAGCAGGTACAGGTGTTAGAGCAGGAGAGGTCGCAGCTGAGCGGCGCGCTGGAGGCTGCCACTGCAGACAGGGATGACCTGCAGCAGCGCTTGAGCCTCATGCAAGCCGCCACCCCCAGGTGACCACCACAGACCTCCTCACACAGGACATCCTTATGAGTTCTGCATCAATCATCAATGCATGAGGTTGATCACGCTAGGCGTCGATGAGTTCAATCAGGCTTGCTGGGGCTGGAGGACTTTGTCCCAATGGAAGATGTGCATGTCGTGTCTGATCCAGTGAGATCAAAGGAAGCTCGTGATCTGGGAATATTGTGGAGTGAATGAGCTGTTGAGATGAATAGATTCCTGGGCCGTGCAGCCGCAGCAGCTACCGAGCGTCCGCAGACGACTCGCCGGAGCAACCCATGACCCAGCTGCTGCAGCGCTCGCACGCCAGCTCAGCCGCCTCCGCACTGCCACCAAATCCCGCTGTGAGCGCCCTCAACTGCCTCACCTGCTTACCCAATGCGACTCAGCAGGCAATGGCAAAGTAAATCTCCCTGTCCTTACTTTGCCACTGTCTGCTGAGTCGCGGATCAAGTGGTTACAGTGTCCGCGACCGGAATGTGTAAATTTTTAATTGTTTGTGTTCGTGCTTGCAGCATTCGCGCAAGGCTGCCGGCGCTCGGCGGCCGGATGACTACGACCCGGAGGCTGCCTTGCTGGAAGATGACGAGGACGGAGGCCCCAGCACTTCCGGTGAGCAAGCTCACAAATGCACAATTCCATGGTATGAATATGTGACACTTGTTGCTGCTCGCTGCCATGTCTTTGCTGCATCATCGCCCTACACATGTGAGAAGAGCCAGAGTGCCACAGAAAGGATCAGCTGAGCAGTCTCGGCATCCAAAACCTGGACTGTCTTGAGCTCTCCAATTTCCTAGTCCTATCACGTGTTCATTTTGGTAGATCATGATCAGCAGGACCTGCCTTTGCTTGGCATTTTCGGTGAGAATGGTGCGGGTGGTGAATGCTACTGTTTAGTACCCCCTGAAACGCAGCATTTAAAGGTAGTAATGCGAACGGTGCAGGGGGCGCGTACACGCCGCACCCGAGCCGGCTGGCGTCGGAATTCCGGCCCCTCACGAGCGTGGCTCTGCTGCAACGCGCGCCCGCGCAGGCCGCCACGGCAGCGCAGCAGTTTGACCGCGTGACCTCCTCCAGCCTGCGCTGGCTGCAGGTAAGCTCTGCTTGCTTGCTTATCAAACTAGTTCTTGATGCTTTCTGCTTGGAGGGCCTGCAACAGAGTAATGTCTCCTGTTCCGCTGGTGCATGTACTTCAGCACTGTTTGCTAATCAAAGGCTACTGTTGCCCACGCTGAGGAGCGGTGTCTCTTTATTCCCCTTTGTTCATGTTTAGAAGGACTTGAAAAAAGTATCACCTCTGCGTGGGCTGTCACAGCAGCTGAGGGCATGTTGCTTGCACTGCTGCCAGCGCTGTTGTGAGCAGGCTGCTGTGTGATGCAGGGCCAGCCATATGGGCGCGTGGGTCTGCTGCTCTACTTCTTCGCTGTGCATATCCTCCTCATCTTCTGCCAGTTTTCCACACATGCGGCCGGCATGCCATAATGAGGCAGCGCGGTGGAGATCAGCAGATCTGCTAAAGCTGAAGGTCTTGTCCAATCTGTCAAACATGGGCATATGTACATCAACCATAATTTTTGTGAGGTGTAGCACGATTTGCATTCAGTAGTGAGGACTGTTGTTTCCATCGCTTCAGCTTCCATGTGTTCGCAGAGGCCGTTTTCAGATGGCAAAGATGCAGAAAAGAGATTTTAGCAGTCAACATGCGTGTTTCTTATTATTCTGATGCCAGCAGTAGCATCCAGTACTCTGCTGCACAGCAGTGGGTGAGAGTGATAGACTTACATATTATCATGATAGGGACCATGCATGCAAATCACCTTGTCAGTGGCGACGTGAATATAGCTCCCAAATATTACAACCTTTTTGTGTAAGCAAAATGCAATCTGGCGCACTCTGCTTCAAGTGTCCAGATCAATACGCATACTCTGTATCCATGCAAGCTTAAGTTTCCTGAACCTCTCATCATTCTTCTTGGTATCGTAAGATAACGGCCAAGAACTCAAAGCCATGTAAACGCGATTTCCAAGACACAGAGAAGAACAGAAATCCTGACATAGCAAGATGGCAACCCATAACCTAGAACACAAGATCCTGGCATGCGCATCCATGCACTGAAATCTCAAACGCAGGCAGTCCCTGGCAAGCACGAAATATCTTCCTGATCAGGAGAAGCCTCCGACATACATTTATCAATTTATACCCTCAGCCTCAGGGCCTGGGAAAATGCAAAGAATTGCTGTAAAAGGGCTGTAATCCCTGGTACATGCCCTCATCATTGCCATAAAAAATTCTTTGCACGCCTAGCAAGCCTGATCTTGGCCATGGCCGGCTTTAGCCGGAGGTCCCTTCAAAGGTTGCATTCTGAAATCCAACACCAGCACGGTGTGACCTTTCCTGACTGTCTGACCACACCCAATCATGGATACCTGAGTGCATGTGAATTTACCAACCATACCACACCCAGCATCACAGTACAAGTGACGCGCGACACGAACTCTTGATCCTTGTAAACAATTCTTTGTCCACCACCAAAGTTGCCACTCTCATGGAGAAGCCACAATGAAAGCATGGAGTACCGATAGATTGGACTCCCATCAAGACACACGCAACAATTTTTTGAGCATCCGCATGGAAGCCACAATTTCAGCACAGGCTGCGCTCCAGCCAGAAAGATCCTCAAGTCTGCCATCCAATTGTGACAAAGCTGCTGCGTACTCCTGATCAGATTGTGCTGGAAAATAAATTCACCACCTTGCCAGGTTTTTTGGAATTGCCAGGTGTTTTTTGCTTCTCAGTGCTTCCGCTTCTTCCCCTGCATGCACCCCAAACTGTTCAGCCACACCCATGTGACCAATAACTGCCAGCAAGGGGTACTCATTCATCAACATTGATATAATGACGATTGACTGTTAATAGCCCAGTCAATGATGCAGAGAGAAGCATAAAAGCAAAGGAAGACAATGCACACCCGGTTATCAACGGAGCTTGTGGCCTCGTCTCCGGCCGATGCAGTGCCATCCTCTTGCATGGACGACGCTGCATTGGATTCGCCGTGAGAAGACTCGCGAGCGCTGCCCTGGCTTGCAGCGCTCTTGCCATCCTGTTGCTGCCTCTCCTGAGCTGCCTGGTGCATGCTGTGGCCGTCAAACATCCCGCCGCCCTGTGCACACACCCTTTTCCTCGGTCCATGTCCTATGACAACAGCTGGGGCTGACGCCCACATGGCTTTCTTGGATGCTACTGTCCGAGCACAGAGATCCCACTTTTCTCAACCGGACGCCACCCTAAACCATCTTAGGAAGCACAGGAAACTTCCAGGAGGATACCTGCGTGGTGGGCTTGGCAGAATTTGTCTGCACGTTGAAGTCGCCGTTGTTGAATCTCATTCCAAGCATGCTGGGCATCATGGCTTGCAGCCACATGCCGCCTGCAAGCAACAACATAACATAAGATGATTAACTTGGCAGCACGCCCTGTAAATTGGACAGCCAGTAAGGTGCGGTAATTAATCTCATGCACAAGTTGTGCTGAACTGATCGTAATTATGTGAACGGGCAGTGCGCACCTGCTGGGTTGAAGCCGTTGAAGCCACCAGCATTCATGGCGGACATATTAGATTGGTATAACCAGGGAAAGAACCGGGGGTCGAACGCAGCCATGCAGCTCTGCTGCTGCATCTGCATCATCGCCTCCCCATACCAGGCCGACCCTGAACAGGCAAATCTTGCATTAGTCACATCCCCTCATCCTTAGCAAAGAACAAAACGCCGGCGATCGTTCAGCGCAGAACATATTCAATGGAAGAGGACAGAGGTGCAGTCACGGAATGGCAAAGTATGAGATAAGTCCACAGCCACAAACGAATTTGCAATTGGGCGCACCAGGTTGCTGGGCCCCAGCAGAGAACATAAGCTGGTCTTGGAATTGGCGCTGCCCGGCAGCCGCCATGAAGCTCTGCTGCGCAAACGCTGCCTGCTGCTGCATGGAGGCGTCGTCAAAGCTCCCCTGCTGTAGGAACCTGTCGACACCCGAGGCCCGAGAGGACAGCCCCTGCGCCGCCCGCGGCGTCTGCTGCTGCTGTTCAAGGCTGCGCAGCGCAGCCCTGACAAGGGACCCCCCGCTGAGGGCCGCCGCCAGGGGGGACCCGCCATCGATGGGCCCCCCGGCGGCGCCCTGCTGCGACAGCTCCAGGGAGGCCGAGCGCAGACGAGCGTCCGCCTCCTGCAGCTGCTGGCAGGTGACGTTGCTGCCGCCGCACATGCCGGCAGGTGCCGCACCACGCATGCTGCCCAAGTCCAGCTGCTCGGAGGCGTTGCTGTCCAGAGACGGCCGCTGCGGCTTGCCGTCGTGCGCAGCCGCGCGGGCGGCCGGCGCCGGGGCCACGGTCGCGCTGCCTTTGCGCAGCTGCTGCGAGCGCTGCGCAAGCGCTGTCACGCGCAGTGTCTCGCGCGACACTGCGCCCTCGTCACTGGTGGCCGCAGCGCCCCCAGACAGATTGGCATTGCTGCTGGGCATGCTGCCGCTGCCGCCGTCTCCCAGGCTGCTCACCAACACCGTCTGCGGGTCCTGGTTGTCGCCCGGCCAGCCACCCGGCTTCTGCCGCTTGCCTGGTGCGCCGGCGGCGGCAGCCGCTACCGCTGCCGCGGCCGCCTGCGCTGCTGCTGCCTCCTCCATCAGCGACGTCTGCCGCTTCACTAGCCGGTGCAGATCCGCCACCTGTGCACAGCAATCCACCAAAGGTCAGCGCCTCCCAATCTTCGCTCGAATGACCGTCACATCAACATGCCCGTTGCCATGGGAACACATGATGAGTGATATGAGAGGGCATGGCACCTGCTGCTGGAAGGTATCCTGCTGGGAGAGCATGGTTGCGCCAAGCTTGGCAATTCCGGCTTCCCCGATGCGCGCATGCAGCCACCGCGCGGAGGAAGGCTGTTCCGGCTCCTGCGGCTGCTGCTGCCGCTGCTGCGGCGCTGCGCTCAGCGTCTTGGGCCACTTCTGCTGCGACTCTCCAGCGCTGACGCCCTCCCCAATGCCACCCTCACTCACTGCTCCGCCGCAGCTTGACTCCCCGCGCACCTGAGTCGCCTGTTTCATCACACAGAATAATTTTTAGCCGTCTGCTACAGGACACCAGCCACCAATACTCAACAGGACTGAGTCCTAGCAGCATGCACCATGTCCCTTCCATCGCCACCAGCTATCGTACCACAACAGAGAGCATTGGTGCATTCTGCCAAGAAACACAGGGCAAGTAAGGGGTGTAAGGGCGCACGTCATCGAGGTGCGGGTTTGACGGCGGGAAGGGGCCCATGGGAGGGAGGGGACCGAGACGGCTGCCCTGCCAGGGCTGAGCAGGGAACGCAGGCGGTGGCATGGCCGGCCGCACGCCAGCTTGGCCGGCACCGCCGCTGCCACTCCCGCCGCTGCCGCCGGCGCGCGCGGCCGCCTGCTGCTGCCCCGCCGTCTCAAACCACGGCCGCGCATTGTTCCAGCCGGCAGGGAACGCCAACGACGTGGGCGCTTGCTGATCGGGCACCTGTACAAAGTTCCATTCAAAGACTAGTTAGAATATTTGGGGTGAAGCATACGAACAACACTGCAACAGTGATGGGCTTCAAACTCCTCAACAGTTGCATCATGGAATCATGATGTGCATATGCAGTCTTCTCATTCCCTTAGTCTGCTTCTTGCCATGGAACAGAGGGAAGACTGACCTCGTTCTGGTAGAAGGCGGCCTCTGAGGCGGTGACGGACCCGGCGTGCAGCAGGCGCATGAGGTACTCGTCAATCTCCCTCCCGCTGCTGCGCAGGTCGGGGCCGGCCCCGCGGCGCGGCACGAGGCGCGGGTGGTCCTCGTCGGACGTCGCGCTGCCCTCGCAGTTCTTGGCGCTCAGCGAGTTGCGGCGCCAGTCCGACGCTGCCGTCCCCGTGCCGCCCGAGCCCGGCTCTCCCGCCCTGATCGACTTCGCCTGCGCTCGACACACGCAGTAGCAGTTTTAAGCGCTTGAATACCCCGTTCCGTACAGGCTGCCGTATGCAATGTTGATCACCCTTCCACGCCCTTAGGCCATTCTCATTAAATGCCGAAGTAACTGCAGCACTGATGCAAAATGCAGAGACGTCTATTCGCAAGGGGTGCACAGACCACAGGCAGAGTGGCACACCTGTGGGCGGATGGGTTCCGGGCGGTCGCTGTCGCTGTTGAGCATCCTGGAGGGCTCATCTGCATGGGCCAGCGAGGCAGTGGCCCCACCGCCGCTGCCCAAGCGCCGCCCAGCACTCAAGCTGTCTTCTCCCGTCCCCTGCCGCGGCCTGGCGTCTCCTGCAGGTTGAAGACTTGCGTCAGTGCCAATATATATCATAAGGCGAATGAGCCTACGAGCCGCAAGTAGGAGAGGCAGACGGGAAATCGAATAGGAGCCGGTGCTGTACCAGAATTGGCGGCTGCCTGCTTGTGTGCGAGAGCAGCCGCTTGCCTGAAGGCCGCCTGCCCCAGGTCTTCAAGGCTGGGACTACAGATGTCCTTAGTTTGGCAGGGAGGCCCAACCTGTCATATGACAGACAAAGTGAAAGGGCTGCACTGTGTCAATTCAACAATCCCACAACTGTTCAATAACGTTCACCAGTGGACATTGCCGTCCTCGCAGTCTTAAAGATTGGTTATTGACATTACCCTGAGATGCCTTCCTTGCTCAAGGTTATTCTGCTGTGCCATTACAGCAGTGCCATCGAACTCCATCTATTAATCAAAACCTGCACCACAACGAAAAAGGTGATAAGACGCACGTTAACGCGTTCTTGTCGAGCACAACTAGCAAGAAATCTTTCCATATGTTCACAGCCTTCGGCTCGATGTGCTTCCACCGGTCACTGTCACTCTGGACTGCTGAAGGTAACTCTTTAAGTCCATCCACTGGAAGGTCAGCCAGCTGCAGCCGGCCTCGGCGTTTCGGCGGCGGCACCGACGGTTCGAAAGTAAGGCAGACCATTGCGGTCCGAAAGAACGTCGGACAACTACTGCTGCGCACGGAAGCATGTGACCGCAAAAGCTGCGTGCTAAGTACTGGAGGGTTGTCCCAAAGCGCGTAATTTCTTCAGACAGAATCCAACCTTAAACTGTGGACATCATGTCCTTCGCAGGCTTCATGCCAGCCCTATATCGCGAACTCTCCCGTCCGCGTTCCACACCGTCGACGAGGAGGTGCCTGTGAGGTCCTTTGGGAAGACACCAGTGCCTCCTGGTCACGGCTTCACAAGTGCAAGCTTTCGCCTCCCGATCGCGTACTACTCCAAGGGCTGCTGAACGCACTCTTGCTGTCTGCGTGAAAAGTGCAGGGTCGAAGCTTTAGTGCGGGATTTTCTGATGCCGAGATACTCGAGAAGTATCTGAGGATCCCTGGGATATTTTCTGAGAGGGGAGCCAAATCTGGCGCTTCCCAGGACTTGGTCCAAATCTTTCTCTCCCATTCAGAAAATGTCCCATGCGGACCAAAGGGGGGACCGCTGCACTCCTGATCAGAAAGGGGAGCAGGCTGATCGTGGCACACTGGCAGGGGAAGCTAGGAGCCTCCGCTGAGTGACAAAACTGTGCCCTTCTGTCCCGCTGGCTGCGCGCCGGCTGCCAGCAGTCACGGTGCGACTCTGCCACTGGCAGTGGCTGCAGCGTGCAGATGATTTGCTGATTTAATGACTGATCACCTCTGGAAGCTTGTCTTGACCATCATGACTCATAGAATATCCGTCACAGCTGATAGGCCTAGGCTGACATCGCACCCGCGGGAACAACGTGCCTAGTGCCACGTGGGGAGCCCAACCGTGGGCGCCTATCATAGTGGGCGGCCAGGAGACTGTGTCTGTGAAAGGTTCAGCGAAGTTGCGCAAGTTGCGGAGAGATCAGAACTTTCCACTGGAAAACATTTGGCAAAATTTTGGCAAACACACAGAGAATAGAAAGGATAACTGATCATCATGATCAAATTGATGTAGGCAACAGATCAGCATGATACATGGCAGCTACAGACTGCGGTGAAGCATTGGGTGATGATACTTGTGGACTGAATGGCCAAGTGGACACACTTCAAGTTGGTGCAATCCGATCCAATTTGGATGCGCTTCAGCTTCAGCCAACATGCCAACAATGCATGTCCGGAGTATTGATAGTACCGGTACTTGGAATCATCACACCCCAAGTGAGTTCTCCATCCAACAACTTCACGTTCTTCATTCTTCCCAACCAGCATCTGGCATGCCATGCGGAGTCACCCGCGTCCACTGCAATTCCAGCACCGTCTCCTTTCCAGCACAGTACGTTTAACTTCGGAGCCTGCGATTCTGACTCATGTGCATCCCGAATTCCATGCACCACGCCCAATTGACTGAAAAACACAGCTGCATAAGTTCCTCTCTCCCCTCGGACCTTCGCTGAATGCAATGCGCTCCTCGGTCTCCAACCATCTTTGACAGAAGCCGAGGTAGATAGGGACCTCTAAGCCGCCTCGATCTCTGTGGATGCCTGCACATGCAAGACAATCTTTAACAACAGAGCAACATCGTCGAGGGCATGCAGTACACGTGATCAATGGATCCAGAGCTCATGACAGAACGACTGTCCGTACCAAATGGGCGATGAGCTTAACATCCTTGCTGCCCTCCACTGGAATCATGAATTCCACCTTGTATGGGAGATTTGCCGACAACTTTTCCCCCTTGTACTGCTGCACAATCTGCACCAGCAAAAGCCCTTATCACACATGAGAGTAATATCCAGTCATCTCTGCAAAGACAGACCACAAGGATAGGCAATAGGCAATAGCAGTGGGATTGGGCCCGCACATCCAATACAGTTCCCTCCTTTCCCTCAAGATTGAAGCTTGCTCCAAGCTTAGGGGAGTGGTAGATGATGAGCTCCCCCTTCACACGAACCCTCGATCCTTTGTCGATCCCTTGAGCAAGCTCCTCTGTTCCAAGGGCCAAAACCCGCAACCGCTGGCCCCTTGTCTGCACTGGAGACCTGCGCAGGACAAAGCAATTGAGCAGGGAGGTTTATCGCCACGTTCTGCAGGATGAGTTTAGTCTCGTGAGGAATCCTAGACGCAAAGTTTGCCTTGCAATTATTCAGTGCTGTAAACCAAGTTAATCACAAGAGCCCATCAAGTTGTTGACATCAATGATCGAGGCATGGAACAGTCCCAGTGACCGCATTCCTGCCATTGGTATCAATGAAGGATTGAGTTTTGGAGGTAAAGAGCATCTATCAAAATTCGTGCCCCGCCAACAGCACACCTGCTCGTTAGGTTCTGTGGGGATGGGCGCCTCCTTGTGCGAGCACAAAGCTGCCATCTCTGTTGCTGGAAGCTGCATGTGAATGTCAGGCTGGTTCTACGCGCAGTAAATGGCTTTGCACTCTGTCTGCTGGAACAGTGGCACTGAGTCGGTAGAGTGCAGGCCATCTGGTGCCGACAGTCTGCTGTCTTCTCTTTCTGCAGAAGCTAGATATCGAGGATCAAAGCAAGGAATATGAATCCCTGTGTCTGGAATCTACCTTTCGATGCTGATGAGAACATGCATCGCAAATTCCACTCTCCAATCCTGCATTGCCATCCAAAGGGATGACTAACAGATTGTGCGATTCTTCTGCAAGGGATAACCCAAATCTGGATCCAAGAAAGGTGGTGATTCGCAGTACGGCCCTGCACGCTCTGTCGAGACAATTTTCCCTTCAAAGTCAAGCAAGTGCACGAAAATGTCGCTCCTGGCATCATCTCCAAGCATTCCCCTCGCGTCGACATTTTCCGTCGGTGTTCAGCGTGCACCGAGGTGATGCATCCCGTATCGCGTTTCTAGACATTGGTTGCAGTATACACTTTTGTTTGGGCACCAGCTAGAGAACACTTACAACCTGTTTCATTCATCTGGCCGTTTCCGTATTATTCAAAGACGCTCGCTAAGAGTAATTTACAATCCTTCCGCTGCGCAACGCGGCTGCGTACGCGTGGGCGAAATGCCATTCATTCCCAGAGCTCAAACTAAAAAGGGAGCAGAACGATATGCATCAAAAAGTGTTGTGTCTGCGCATCAGGCGTTCGAGGAAGATTTCTGTGCCTCGCAGGACCAACCAGCGCGGTCCTCCTGCTGGACCGGACTTCCTGCCGGGAGCATTCCTTGCAGCTCAAACGGCAGCTGCAATTGCAGCAGCCGCTCTAGTTTCGTCTGGAGTGGGTTTCTGCGAGACATTTTCTATGTATCAAAGGACCGAAATAGACCTGATCTTTCGAACGTCCAAAGGAAAGAAACCTAGACTGTCTTGCGTGCTGTGGACAGGCAGCGAGCGCCATCACGTACGACCAGCTGCAGAATATGAGCTACAACGAGGTGAGAGGTACCGGCCTGGCCGCCGTGTGCCCGCTGATCGAGGAGGGCTCCACCAACCTGGCCGACCTCAAGCCTGGTACCTATAAGCTGAAGAACCTGTGCTTGGAGCCCACAAAGATACAGGTGGGTCATATCCATCTTGAATTTTCTATGATTTGCACGAGACTGCGCTCAAGTGTGCATCTGTGCGAAATTTGTGTCGGTATTGGCATCTGTCCGATCTGCGTGATCAGGTCTTTCTTAGCTGGGATTGGTTTCTCCCTGACCTGTGCATACACCTGCATTGCACAGGTCCAGGAGGAAGGACTGACGAAGGGGTCAGGCCCCCAGTGGTCTAACACCAAACTGCTCACCCGTCAGACCACCAACCTGAGCGATGTAAGTGACTCCTTGTGAACGGATGATCAGTGCTTGTGCTGTTTTCTCTGCACATTTTCTCTGCACAAAATAGTCATCGGACATGGCTCCAGGCAGAAATCTCTGCGTAGATAGACCATCCATGGCTGTTTCTCGCAACTGCAACCAGACATAGTTGTCAAGCAGAGCGTATCATCTCAGCATTGCTTTACTTGCGACCCTTGCCCTTTTTAGGGGCTGGCTTGAAAAATTCTTGGACCCCCTGTCACACCTTGCGCAGCAAACAGCAGTGTATCACATCTGACTAATAGATTAACCCATGTGGCTGTTCAGATCGAGGCGGATCTGAAGGTGGGCCCCAACGGCGCAGTTGTGCTGAAGGAGAGTGACTCCTACTCCCTGAATTTGGCCCCCATCACTGTGCAGCTGCCCGGCGGCGAGCGCGTTCCCTTCCTCTTCACCATCAAGGCACGCCCACACCACAACACTTTCGGATATTATAGTTCCTCTTCTCACATGCCACTTGTGCCAAAGGCAAGGTGCGTCTGCAGACACTTTGCAATAGCTGCAGCCAAGCCGCATGTCAAGGTTGACAGAAAGGCTGCAAGTGACAGACATTGCTTGCTGCGCAGGAGCTGGAGGCGTCTGGGGACCTCAGCAGCTTTGGCGGCCAGATCCGGGTGCCCTCCTATCGCGGCTCCACCTTCCTGGACCCCAAGGTGAACGCCCCTTTCACACCTGCCACAGCCATTCAAAGGCAACATAACCTCAGATATCACGTGCGAAACGATTATTGATATCATTATTGTTATGACTACATGCTTCTCCTGCCAGAGGCAAGGTGTGTCTGCAGGCAAGCTGCAGGTAAAGGCTACCCCTCGATGGCATCGCCAGATCCAAGCAAGGCCCAGTCACCGTGGGCACGGTGCTCAGTGTTTATACCGCCCCCGCCACTAAACAGTCTTCATCTATAAAACACACATGCATGCTCTTGTGATAATTCGATGCACCCCCCTCCCAGTAAGCATGGCCGGGCGCAGGCAAATATGGGGCATTGACCCAGCAGCAACAAAAGCAGGACCTGTGAAACACCAGTCCAAGACTGCGAACATCTGCTGCTAAGCTGCAGAATCCAACCCGCTTGCCAAGATGTCACAGGTCTTCTGACAGGAAAATATTCTGCTTACTTTATCTGTGGCTTTGCGCAAGGGGCGCGGCGGCTCGACCGGCTACGACACCGCCCATGCGCTGCACACTCGCGCGGACGACGAAGCGCTGGAGAGTGAGAATCTGAAGAAATTCGACTCTGGCATTGGCCAGGTCGTCTTCAGCGTTGCCAAGGTGTGTCCGCTTTCTGATGAGCATTTAGTCTAGCTGTATCTTCGTTCTTGGAGACAAAGGATGCTCATCCCCACATCTGTCCGGCATGCAACTTTTGAAGCAACCGTGGTACCAGAGTGAGTAAAGAAGAAAGAATGTCCTTCTTGATCTGCTCCCCTGATGGCATCCTCCAGCTGTCTTTGCTTGGGGGTGCACCAAGCATATGCCTTGCACACACAGCCCTGCTGCAAGACTGTGACAGCAGTCTTGAAAGAGTGCAGCTCAGGATACTGTGCTGTGACTACACATGCATACAGATCACTCAAGGAGATAGCCCCGTGATGCTGCAATGTTCAAGTCAAACGTTAGGCTCCCCGCGCACCATGCAAGTCGTGCATGAGACAAAGGGTCAGCTTCTTCACAGGATAATGTTTCTTGAAAGCAGGTGGGCTCCTGCTGCCACTCCGGCCGGGATTCCCTGAACAAGTAGCCTCCGTGCACTAAGGATGTGGGCAGCGGAAATTGGCAAACATGCAAACAAGCTTTTGACAAACCCCACAAACAGCTTGCTCTGTCCGTATGTTGGGCACTGCATGCTATCATTCTCAATATATAATGCGAAAAAAATGCTGGCATTATTGGCGAAAAATGAAGTTCGAAGTTCAATCTTCACTGGCAGGCTCTCAGAGCAGCATGCGTGAAATAATGGTCAATTTTGTCACAGGTGGATCCTGGCACCGGGGAGGTGGCTGGTGTCTTTGAGTCGGTGCAGCCGTCAGACACTGATATGGGCGCCAAGGTTCCCAAGCAGGTCAAGGTGCAGGGCCTGTGGTATGGCCAGCTCGGCTGAGCACCAAAAGGGCTATTTCGGTTTGAAATCAAAAACAAATGGGCGGGAATGTGATTGAATTTGGTGAGGAAATGGCCCCGGGCCGTCAGGACCTCAATTAGATGAACGAATATGCATGTGTCATTCAAGGTACAGGGCCTGTGGTACGGCCAGCTTGGCCGAGCGCCGCTGCAATTACCTACAGGGGCTGTTTTGGCTCTAATATGATCACATTTCGGCTCAAAAGGTGGTTAATTTGGCTGGGACTGGGCCCAGCAAGACCTCAATTGGATCACCAAACTCGCATATATATTATCCAGAGTGCTGGGTCCTGCTGTGAGCATGGCAAGGCGTCACAATCTTCTCAAGTCTGGTCCCAACAACCCGTTTCTGCAGAGAGATTCTGCAGTCAAGCAGCTCGCCTTTGAGGCCCCACCAGGGGGATACAGAATATAACAGCTGTATATAGTATCCCCTTGGCCCGACATGGGCAGGGGCAGACAGTGCTCCTGATGGTGATAGCAGCATTAGAATTGTGATATGCTGTAATTGTATTTGGGGATCCATTCAGGCGTTACCGACAGTTCAGCCAAAGGGCACGTTTAAACAATGCAATTTCTGTGCAACGTCAAGTGCTGCTGCAGCAATGCTATTTTCTGTTACTTTCTGAAAAATATGTAGGTCTGAAGGCACGCATATATGCTCTCGAGCCTCAGCGCTTGGTGCATATATGTTTCTTGTTTATTCAAACAATTATAAGCATTGCATCTTGATTCAAGATTGCATCTTGAAGCCACTCTGCAGTGGTAGGCCAGCTGGGCAGCTGTGTAGTCATTAGCACTGTAGACTGGTTTGACTCTGACTTGAGGGACAGGCTCAGATGTGTACAACAATGTTGCCTGTCAGAGTGCAATCAAGCTTTGGAACTGCACGCTTGGAGTTGTGGTACACAAGCTGCACTGATCGTGTTGATATTTACCTGAGACTGAAATGTACCAAATGCTTCCAGAGTTTGCCAATTGGGCAGTCCAAGGTGAGCGATGGCCTGCAGTAAACAAGACATGCAATGGTGGACTGCCATCGCTGCGGTGATTTATCGGATTGAGCTGAGCAAGTTATCTGCATACTCATATCTTACGCTCCTTGCATGCATGTGCGCACTTTTGCTTGTATACCGTATCATCTTCTTTACCTGCCTGCTTTATGGCATGTGTCTGGATTATGTGCAAGTTGTAATGAGATCGATGAGACGGTGAGACAAATCATTGGATGTCCGAGACATAAATATTACATCATGGATTCAGATGCAGTACCGCGCACACTCTATCATGGCCTGATCTGTTCCATCGCAACAAATATCTTGTTTGTGACTGAATCACCCGTGGGTGGCACGTGCACTGGCAACAATCGCAACCCAACATTGCCCAAGCCTGCGAAAACCAATAACATGGTGCATGGCACGAATTCTCTACCGCAAGACCCAATGCTTTCAAGAGTTGTTTGCGTCCGCCAGCAGCTGTGGTAGGAGGCCCAACCGGCCAATGTGGGCCAAGCACAGCCTGATCTGGCCATATCTCACACTTTCTGGTAAATGCTCCTTCAGCATCTTCACTGTTACACCACGTTCCTGCAGCTGCTCCACCAGATCCTGGCCAGGCTCCTGCAATGGCCCCAACTGGCACAATCTCTCGACCAAGCCCGGCTGTGAGGTAGGGCCGGCAATGCGTGCTTGTCCACCTTCCAACACTGCCTCGCTATCTCCATGTATTGATGCACTGGCGCACGGACTGTGCTGCTGCAGCCCCGCATGGCGTGCAGCAGCCAGGGCTCCTGCATCTTTTGCCCCATCCAGGGCTCCTGCATCGTTTGCCCCAGCCAGCCCAGAGCTGCTGCGCTCCTGTAGTGCAGGCGCCCCCGGCAGGTGGGCGGCTGGGCAGATCGCATGGGTGGGGCCGGGCTGTTGGGCAGGCAGGCATTGACTCCGGGCAGGCAAGCAGGAGATCTGGGCAGGCGGGCATGGATTCTGGGCAGCTGGGCACGAAGTCTGGGCAGGTGGGCACGGATTCTGGGCAGGCAGGCAGAGGTAACGGGTGGCCGCGCCGGCCACGGCGGCGAGGGTGGCGCGCGGCACATGCGCGTGGTGCCACGCGTACGCGGCCCCGGCAGTGATGGCCTCGGCGATGTACCCCTCCACGCTGTCGCGCTGGATATTGCGCTGTCTCGCGATCGCGCGGATTGACGCCCCCTGTCGTGCAAATGCAAGGGGTTTTATGTCACCACACAACGAAGTACCGCACATGCAACAGAAACCAGTTCGTACGCAGGAGCAATGCATAAGTGACCCGCTCACTGCTTAAGGCATAATTGACCCGCCTGCTCCACGAAGAATCGCCAGACGGCCATCTTGGCCGGCTGCAGGTGCGCCACAATCGGCGCTGCCGGGACGTCCAGGGGGCTCTGCTCCTCATCGGACGCATCGCCCTCGGGCTCTTGGGGCTGTGACGGTAGCTGCGGCAGGGGAAGCACCGTGATCCGCTGCAGGAGCACACATCATGATCATTTTTTTCCTCCCTACGTCAGTGATGTTGCTCCTTGTAAGTACTCACCATGCCCTCTTTTTGGGCAGATCATGAACTGAGAAAATATAGCAGATACAGGGACATTCCTGTGCTCACTCCTGGTCTGCCCAGCAGAGAGGGTGGCGCACTGCCAGGGTGATTTAGGAAGGGGCTGAATGACATTTAGGGGTAGATAAGATGGGATGCAGAATGGAGAGGAAAGGAGGTGGGGTGGAAGAGGCAGACATGAAGAGGCACCTGGTAGAGGATTAGGGAGGCGTAGGCGTCCAGGGCGGCGTACTGCTGCTGCTCCAGAGACAGCGGCCAGGTCTCCCAGTTGCATGTGCGCACCCCCGGGTCCTTGCGCAGCTCCGCGCTCAGCATCGCCGCTGCCAGCCCTGCCCACTCCAGTCGCTTCCATCATAAATATGAACAGATATGTACCCCTATTGTCAGGAATGCAAGGCACCATGCAGAGGCGGATTGGTAACGGCAGTGACTTTGCAGCTGATGAATCCTGGTCAAGTACAATCATTCGGGCTAAACTCCGTTTATGAGGGATTTATAGCAGGGGTAAGGCAGTCACGTGCGAGGCTCCACTTCTCGGGCTGGCGGGCAGAGCTGGGGCCGCATAGGCGCAGGTTCGCCTCCTCAGACAGGTCCACCATCCCCTCACATGCCACGCTAAAGTCCCTCATCAGCTTCTGCGCATCCCCGCAGCACCCCACGCCCGCCTTCTTCAATTCCTGATTCAACAGCCACAAATGTGTTCTCATGCCATTGTGCTGTCCCTCAGGAGTGACTGCAGAACAATCGAGATGTGGGTCTTATTACATCCAGGAAGGCCAGCATGTGCGCCGGTGGGTTGTCATGTATCACGGCAGTGTGTAATTTTGCTTCAAAATACCTCGCTATGATGCTAGTGCTAAAATCTGAAAGAAAGGGTTAGGAAGCAGCATTTCTGGCCGGGGTGGCCAGGCCTCACCGGGCTGCGCAGGAGTGTGAGCAGGGCGGGAGTCAGGCCGCTATGGTACACATGCAGCAGGAACACGCGGTAGGCCCCGCCTGGCGGCCGCAGCGCCAACTGAATCACCGCCACTGGCCGCGGCGTCTCACCCGTCCTGCAGACATCCCTCTTTTCACACTGCGCCACTCTCCCTGAGTCTGCTTCCACTGTTGCAAGGAGGATGGCTTTTCTAGAGCACGGATCTCTGTGAGATTGCAGTCCTGCTTTTCAGGAACACGAATCACTGGTGGGGCGGCAAATGGCGTGCCTGTAGGTGACACGCCACTCAATATCAAAGCCGACTGCTTCGACGCCGCAGGACAGCGCCAGCTGGCACAGGTGCTCCACTTCTGCCGGCAGCGATGCATATGTGATGCAGCCCTGCCACACATGGGACTCTTTATAGACTTCCAATCCACTTTCTTTTTCAAATATACTGAAGATCACAAGCCCCATACATGGTCATGCCACACAGACGAGGTGTCCCCATCCCCTCATCTTATTTACAAATTGAAAGAAGGGCAATTGGCGATGCTCTTATACATCATTGGAGCAGCTTCTTCAGCGAGTAGTGGTGCGGGAGAGTCACCTTGGGCAAGCAGAGCGGCCGAAGCGTGCTCAGCGCAGCAGGCTGCCCAGGCTGCTGCCCGCTGAAGGAACTGGGCAGCTTCCTCTTGCCCAAAACAGCTGGCGCTGCATTGTTCTCTGCTGGAGGCAAATACCCTCTGTGACCTGGACCGTCTGATTGCGCATTGGGTCCTCCCTGCAGCTGATCCCATTTGGGCTGGCCTCTCCCCTCATTCAGATGTCCGCTGCATTCGGGCTGTCGCGGCTGAATTTGAACTGTGCATGTGGTCTGATGGTGACTGGATGGTGCAGCGCTAGATTGCTGATCTGCAAGCCTGTTGGGATCGAATCCAGGATTGCTTGCATGCGAGGATGGCGGGCTGCCTGTGCTTACAATCTCTCCAGGCCCCACCCTTCTGCTCTGTTTGGTATCCCCTGTGCAGCGGAAATCTGAGGAAACCGTTCAGTGAATCGTGCACACAAGTTTTGGAATTGGTGCCTTTTTGCACTAAGCAGATATTAATGACGTAAGCAGAGAGCGCACTTGTATTTTTCTGCTCAGCTGCTAGCACGAGGTTCACTAAGTCGGCATCCTCTTGGGTGGACACCTGCATTCAAAATCTCATTATAGAGCTCTACAGTGACGAGAAGTGCCGATGCAATGCAGTAAGTATTTATATTGGTTGGTCACCTGCCCAAAGTCGAATGGGCCACTGTCTAGGAGTCCCATTCCGTTTTAAGTGTCCAAAGCTGCTAGCTTTAGATTTGAGTAATAAAATTGCATAACTTCAACAATCTAGCCAACGAATGGCCACTCTACCACAGTTGCATTGTGCAAGTTCAGAGCAATGCAAGTACTTTCGATCTTCCAGCAGAGAAAGAACTCCAGGGCGTCAATGCTCCGATAGCTCAGTAACAGAGCCGCATAAGATTATGCTGGATCGAATATTGAAGGAAGATCTTGCCAGAGCAGTCAGTAACTGATGTGCATATCTGTGCATGTCCTGCCAAGTTGTTATATGACTCATCAATGCCCGCTCAGCTTAAGACATCAGGAAACGGTTTGCTCAGCAAACTTTGCTGCAAACCAATAGATCCTCCTCCATAATAACTTACATATGAACCTCGTGTTGGAAGCCTCATGGAGACGTACCCGCCCCAATCTATGAGACTTGACAATCCAGTCCAGTAAAGGCATGCCCCATGATGGACCAAGGTAGAAGAAGAGCTGCGCGAGCCAGAGGCAAGGTCGATTATGCAAAGCTTCACGGAGCGGAAGTGCAATCGGATGGTATGAATAAAAAACATCTTGTTTACGGAATGTGCGACTGGATTTTGCCATCCTTGTAACAACAGCGTTTCATTGGCTATTTATTGAATGGTAAAATTTGCTAGAAGAATATTGTGTCTTTGTTCCTAGCCGCATGTTTATCGTTTGCAATGTTTGAGGATTGAGTTTTGGTCGCAGACGAGCATCAAGTGGATCTTGGCCACCTTGCCCAAAGGCTTCTGTCGCACGAGGCCTACACCTCGGAAACCTGCTGCAGAGCTACTCCCGGTGAATTCACTAGCGATTTTATCCACAGCCGCTTTACAGAGCCAGTCATCATCCCACCAAGCTCAGCTGCAGTGCAGCAACTTGGCATGGTGCTGCCACCTGCAGCAGGCCTGACTGTGCCTGAGGTCGCCAAGGTGGTCGGCTACGACAAGGAGGTGCATTCTCATCCAAAAATTTCGACGGCAGCTTTCTTTCCTCTCATGGCCTGCACCTCTTGGAGGCATGCTTGGTGGGGAGGGACCTGCGCACTCACACAAAGCAATAATCTCAACATTCATCCTGTTCATTTGTGCATCTACGAGATATCTCCGTGCTTGCATGCACATGACTCATGCGATTGAGGTGCAGCGCATGCTTTGGACAGGTGGCCACATTCAACGTGGGCAGCCAGGGAGAGGGGCCCAAGTGGAACCTGCTGCAGTGGCTGCAGTACTGGTGCACGCGGCAGGGCTCCCAGGAGCGCAAGATTTGCGAGCGCAGAAATTCTGTCACCTCTCTCGATGACGAGGCTGACAGCCGCGATGCCAAGCGCAGGTAGCACTCACGATGCTCCAGTCCCCTGTCTCTAATGAAAGCATATGCGCATGTGAAGTGAATGTGGACACTTTGAGAGCTGCATTTTGGGGAGGCAGGGGACACCTGTTCCTGCTTACCTTGACTGGCATAATGCCCCAGTGAAGCTCTATATGCTTATGCTGCCTCCTGCTTGCAGCCTGGTGTGGAAGTGTATGAGTGCAGTATTGGCGCCAATTCAGATGCCGAGAGAGTGTGCTGTGTTTGCTGGCAATTGCTGAGCAGGGAGTGGGAAGCGAAGGCGAGGAACATCAAGGTGGGAGCGTGGGTGCAGCGGGGCATCAGCGCAGAGTCTCGAAGGCGCCTGTTCCAAGCCTCTTTCCCTGTGTCCGGTACCTCCCTGGAAGTGAGCCCACCATCATCCATCTCTTCAACAAACTGTGCAATTGCTTTTGCAGTCATGGACGTACCGCGCAAGAACACACCTGCCTTCATAAGATTTGCCAGCTGTGAATGAAACATGAAGCTTCACTCCAATAAGCAGGAATGAGCTTTGGGTGATTACTGGTAGACCATCGGCCAAAGAGGACTGTGGGAGTCTGCGCTTGATTGAAGAGATCGAAGAGATACCTTTGAGTAGGTCGTTCTGTGTGGCTGCAGGATGCGGTGCTCTCGCCAAGGGCAGTGCGAGAGAGCGACTTGGTGCAGCGGTTCTGGCCGCCGCATGCGACGGAAGAGGTGCAGCAGCAGAGGCCGCACATCGCCCTGCAGCTGTCCGTGGCACCTTCCGGCAGCTTCCGCAACTTCCGGCTCGGTCCTGGCGGCGCCAGCACCTGGGTGCATGTCATCTCCGGCAAAAAGGTGACCCACTGGGTCCCTCTTGATCATGCTGAAAGTGCTCTGCTAAAAGTCATTCCTTGCGAGGAGGAGGGCTTGCAGGCTTGCTGCCCTGCTCTATGCACTCTTCTCCTTTGCCACAAGTAATTTATGCAGTAGCATGTGATGCATCGCTGCAGCTTGTCTCCAGACTTACCTTGCCCCTGCACAGAAACATGTGCAATAGAGGAATACTTTATTACAGTACGATGCAAGGATTTTGGTGAGTTCTGACAAGTGGTGTCTCTGCAGGTGTTTGCACTGCTACCGCCAAGCCGTGACAACCTGGCGGCATATGTGAGCTGGTTCGGGGCTGCGCGTCAGGCTGGAGTGTTTCTGCCGGAGCATGCGCAGGGCTGTGTGAAGGTGGAGGTGCCTGCTGGAGCCACTTTCTTCATCCCTGGTACACACAAATTCTACCACTCGCTTGCTTTTGCCCCTGGCCTTTTGCTAGACTGCTGTGCTGTATGTTGCAATTTCCCCAGTACTATGTGATAGACCTATCTCACAAAGACCCTGCATTGCATGAGCCCCTGCATAGCAAATGCATAGCACTTGCCCTCCGGCCTCAAGTCCCAGTGGCTTTTCCTGAGCTTGACGCCAGGCTTGAAGTCTGCAGCTGTCTGGTGGGCATGGTAGGATGCAGATGGTTTGATGCTGATGTGGATAAACTCCTTGATGGTCAGATACATTGCTGTGTGCTGTGCTTATTTTCTTGCGTAACCTTCCTTGGAAAGTGAACGAATTGTATGAGCTTCTGTGCAGGTGGGTGGATGTTTGCGGAGGCAATGCCGTCGGACTGCGTGGCAGTGGGCGGCCAATTTCTGCATGCTGGTGCAATGACTACGCAGCTGCAGGTCGGCCTCATTGAAGAGCACCTCGCACTGCGGCGCCAGCACCGCTTCCCACAAAACTATCAGGTGCGCTGGTGACAGTTTCTTCAATTTTTCTGGAGATGCACATTTTCATGCACGCATTGAAATGATGTGCAGGTCCTTCCTGCTCTTCATCATCCACGCATGCAATTGTGCATGAAAGGATTGACAAGTGGTGGGCAAATCTGCACATCTAGCGACTGACCTGTTGCTTGCTCATGCTCAATTTTCCCAGATGAAATGTTCTCTCAGATTGTCTAGCCGCACATGACCGTTGTACGGCGACAATTGACTCTTTCATTGTGCCAGAATAGGTGTTGTGGTACACTGCGGCCCACTATGCGCGACGTCTGGTGGAGCTCTGCCCGCTGGGCCCAGAAGAAGTGCGAGAGAGGGCAGCCCAGAAATCGGGCGTCAGGCGGGCGGCCGATGAAGCCGCCGTGGCCGAGCAGGCAACCAAAGCAGCAGCCAGTCGCGCAATGTCGGCAGGTGCGCATGTTCCCAATGACTGGTGCAATTCTCTAAACGAACCTCATTTCAGATGGGTTTCGTGTGCCGTCACTGTACTGTCCTGTGTGGAGAGAGTGCGAATCTATTCAATCTCAGTAAAAGTTCTTCAAACCTTAAGCGGATGGGCTTGGAAATACACATGCACATGATGACACTGTGCATGTCTTTCAATGCAGATCGGAAGGCCAGGCAGCACATAGCAGCCTTGGCGCGTCCAGCGGAGAAAGAGCAGCAGCCGGTACCCAGCGGGAGGAGGAAGCCGACTGCGGACGCAGGCGGCAGCCGCCGCGCTGCGAGACAGGCGCAGAAAGATGTAGCGCCGCAGAAGCGGCAGCGGCGCGTCACCCAGAAGGTGCAGGAAGCCATGGATGACCCGGACCTGGACTTTGGCACTGCTCCAGAAAGCGGTGCGGAAACACACCCATCTGCCCGCCTCACCTGCGGAACAAAATAACTTATTTGTGTGGCCATTGCAACCGAGGAAAACTCTTCATGCTGAGTCACTTATTGCAGTATGACATTAGTGCGATTGTCTGACAGAGGTCTTCCTCGCAATGGTGCAGGCGATGAAGATGCACCACCCGTGAGAACAAGGCGGCGGCAGTCTGGGAGGTTGCAGGATGACTCAGGGCTCGGCAGCGATGACACATCAGAGGAGGCGATGGAGGAGGAAGAGAGCAGCGACGAGGAGTTGCGAGCGATGGCAAACATCCGGCGGCGGCGGCAGCGACAGATTGCTCCGGCGGCCGGGCCCAAGGTACGCCTCCGCACAGGCGCCGGGCCGGCCACGGCTGCGCAGCAGGCAACGCCGCCGAAGTTGCGCCTCAAGTACTCAGCTTCCGGCGCAGCTGCCGCACAGCCGACGCCCGCGGAGAGAGCCGGCAGGGGGCGCGCCAGGTGGCAGCTGGAGGATGATTCGGACGATGACGTGGCAGCAGTGGAAGCTGTCGCGCAGCTGGCGCGGCAGCCGGCCCGAGCAACCTCGCTGAAGCTGAAGCTGAAGTTTGGGGAGGGAGGGAACAGCATCCCACAGGTGGATGGCGCAGACGACTCAGACGGGGATGAGGCTCTGCATGCTGAACCACCGAGAGCGGAGACGACTGATCTGCAGGCTGCGGCAGATGAGAGTGCGCATCAGACAGTGCACGCCGATGCGAGCGCCGCCGCGGTTGGCACCCAGGACACGGCTCCCCTGGATGCGCATTGCAGCGATGTGAAAAATGAAGCTCCTGAAGCTGGCGGTGTTGACGAGCCTGCTGAGGATGCTGCCGCAGCACCCAGCCTGCAGCAAGGAGCAGACTCAGCGCCTGAAGGCCTGCTTAAAGAAGAGGCTAAAGCAGCAAAGCTGCAGCTCCAAGCTTCTGACAAAGCTGAAGGTCACCCTGACGTGCAAGCCGTTGGAGCAGAATTGCAAGCTGGTGGCATTGGCGTTGAGCCAAAGGAGACAGCCGCAGCTGGGCAGGCATCACAAGTTCTGGATCTGATACTCACTGAGGGACCGGCTGCAGTGGAGGCACCTTCTGCTCCAGAGGCTGCCGCTGGTTCGGGGCCCCTCCCGGCCGCAGCAGCACCGTCTGCTGATGCAGAGAAGCTGCCAGCTGAGCAGCCGCAGGGAGCGGATAATGCTAGCTTGCCGCAAATGACTGCAACGGGACAAAACGGGCATGCGGACCATGGGAATGAGGCCAAGCAGCGAGCGCCAAGGCCTCTGTCAGCGGAAGAGAAGGCGGGCGTCCCTGCCCTGGTGCATGCCCTGAGGAGGTGGCTGCGAGAATTGGGAGGCCACCCTTTCAGTCAGATGGAAGACCCAGAGGTGACCTTCCTAAGCATCAACCCCTTTCAGTAGTTTGCACCTTTCGTCTCGCATCAATTAAGTCTCGCATGAGGTAAAATATTGGCTCTCAATGCTCCCAATCCTGTGGCAGATACCAAGGAAGTGGTGGGGGATCATTGGATGGGTGACGAGAGAAATGTAGTGGGCAATTAAATAGCAGCGATCTTACTCATTAAATTTTGTGGCTGATGCAGAGGATGCTGGATGAGCTGGAGGTGTGCCTGGCAGCCATGGGAATGCCTGTGGCCAGCGTGGCACCGCCGGTGGACTTTGACGATCTACCCAGCGTGAAGCTGCCAGGCAGCTCCCTGGCACCTGCACAGGACCTGCCGGAGGATTCTGCTGGCGAGGGGACTGGGCTGCAAGGGGCCAGCGAGGATGAACCGCTGGAGGAGGATCCCCAAGAAGAGCTGGGGGACTCCACCCTGGAAGCCCAGGCCAGAGGTGCACCGCAAACGTTTTCGAATTTGAATGTTTTGGATACCCTCGCCTATACAGGAGAAAGGAATTAGCTGCCTCTGCATGCACCCATTGCATGCAGAGGCCGTTGGCATGTTGTTGTGCTTGCAAATTCTCTTAGGATGCTGGAACGTATAATTTGGTGCTCTTTGGCCGGGGGATTCTGTAGTGTTGCTACATAATCTCCAATTGCGCGGCAGCCCTTCCTCTTATCTCCCTGGCCCTCGCACTGCTCTGATTTCTGCAAACCTCTTTGCCAAAATTACAGAGGTTGACCCAGTGGTGTTGAGGATAGCTGCATGCTGTGGGGCAGGCAGCAAGCGCCAGAAGGGACCCAGTCTGGGTGGACGAGGCGGAGTCAGGAAGAAGCCATCTGTGAGGGACCGCCTCACCAAGAAGCTGCGGATCAGATAGGCTTATGATCATCAAATACTTGGCCCTGAAATGGAAGGTTGATGTTGCAAGATGTTGTATCTGTTAACCTGTCCTTGCCAAGTCACTTACGGTATGTTCCGTTGTATTGTTCGGTTCTACTCATGCCACAATGAGAACTAGTACTGCAAGGAAGGTATTGCGCAAGAATTGGAGAATCTGCTGAGATCGTGCCGATCTGTCCATGGTGTCTAGAGACTGATGAAAAGGATTGCTGCTTGAGATCTGCTGATGTAATTAAAAGACTTCATAAGCTGAGTGCATGCACCTCTTGCCAAGTCAGGCTCTCTTTGCATGGTCTAATCTTCAGTGCTCTTCGTACCATATCTCTACTGCATTGAAAACTTAAATTGCTGTACGCCTTTTCTGTCCTTATCAAGCCCACTGACCGATGTCTCTGCGCTTGGTCAAGCAACAGCTTGCTGCACTCTCAAAAGACCAAAGTACCCCTGAAAATCTGAAAGAGCAGCCTCAAGCTGACAAAAAGAAATCGGAAACAAGAAAGTTAAAGGATAAGATTAAGAAAAAGCTACACAAGAGGGAGAAAGCCAAAGCGCAGAAAGCCTTGAGCGAAGAGGACATCAGAAAAAGGAACCTTGAATACTACATAAAAACGGCTGGAACATCAAAAAGCTCGGAGGCTATGGTGCAGGTGAGACATCGCAGCCTGGTTTCCTCGTATGGGGAACCGCACACTGTAGGAAAACTTCACAGATCATCATTGACTTACTGGCGATCTGAATACTATGCACAGATATGTGGCCCTACTTTCGCTGTGTTTAGACCCACATAATAATTAAATCTGTGTTGTGGACTTAGTGAAGCAATCTGTCGTTGCAGGCTCTCGCTTTGCTCCCAAGCGCAGCTGGGAGCTCAAAAGGTCAGTAAGCTGTGAGCAGCTATGACATTGGGCCTGTGGCATGGTTGCCCGTGCAATCATTCTGAACGGATGCAAAAAGCTTGCATCGAACCTCAAACGCCAGCGCACAGATGCAGATCCATGCAGAAAGAGGCTACGCTGGCCCATACCAGCGAAGTCGGCCGCCATAGGAGGAGACATATGCCTTGCAATGAGAGAAGCCGTCACATTGCAGCAGCGGCAGGGAATGCGGGGACTGGCACTGCGTCGGGCAGTCCATTTGCAGATCTGATGCAAGCCATTCAAGCTCAGATGCAAGGGCAGGCTGTAGACAGGGGACCGCCCTCTGCTGACATCGAGGTCCAGAACTTGAGTTTCCACCCAGCAGGTACACCACCGTACTATACCTCTGCAGACTAGCTCGCAGGAAGTAATGTCTTGTGTCCATACTTTGCACCTGCCCTCTGCAAGAGTGCACAGCAAGGGCAGTGCACCGATGCATGAATAAGTGTCTTGTTCCCTGACAGGTAGCGAGGCGCCTCTACTGACAGATGTGAGCCTGAAAGTTCCAGCAAAGCAGATGGGATTGGTCTATGGGCGCAGCGGGGCCGGCAAAACCACTCTCCTGCAGCTCATAGCTGGGCTGACACAGCCCACCACTGGCCGCATCGCAGTCATTGAGCATGCAGGTCTGTCCTAATACCATTAACAGCCTGTCGCTTCCGCAACAAGTCTTTGATGCAGCTTTCTTAGCTTTGTGTTGCTGAACCATCCAGCAATGACGGACCACCATTCATGATCTTGATCGTCTTCCAAGCGCGTTAATTATTAATGCGGTAATGGTAATAACCAATGTCGCCCTACATCTGTGGTATGTGGCTGCAGGCGGCATCGGCGCCGCAGCAGTGACGTCATCAGAGCGCCTGGCTCGAATAGGGCTCGTGTTCCAATTTCCCGAGCGGCACTTCCTGGCCGCAACGCTTCAGCAGGTGAGTCACGATGCAAAGAGTCATTGTGCAATCAGTGCTCAGGACACTCTCTGAACTGCGGTGCACTAGCCACCATGTATATGGTATCCCATGGTCTCAAACGCAATGCGATGTGAAATCCCCCGTGTTCGGATTTGCAACTTGTGGTACACATCCATCCTAGGAATTTGCTGCGGACCTGTCCAATCCCTGCTTGCCGGGCAAGTGCAATTTCTGTGCTCAGAGTATCAATTTGGGCCACAGGTGGAGTCCAGAGGCCCCATCACATCCTATGATGATGCCAATGATGTGTCACAGCAGCGCTGATTCAAGGAGCTGCTCTGTGATGCAGGAGCTCAAATTTCACATGAAACAGTCATCATCATCAGCGCTATATAGCGAGCTAGGCAGCTAGTCATAGTCACAAGACTCTCAAAGCAGTGTGCGCGCAGGAGCTGGCGTTTGCGTGGCCGCAGGACATGGTCTCGCTGCAGCAGCTGTCGTCGCGTGCGGGGGTGGTGCTGGACGCGCTAGGGCTGGACCATATTCCCCTCGACACCCCCCTGCGCCAGCTCAGCGATGGCTACAAGCGCCGATGCGCGCTCGCTGTGGCCCTCGTGCGCAGGCAAGGACCCCTCACCTGCATCTAAACAGCGGTGTTGGCTGGCTAAGATGTATCGATTCTCTCTCTCTCTCCCTCTCCCTCTCTCTCTCTCTCTCATGCACTATCCCCTTTGGGTATCTCCTCCGCTCCATGACGGCAGGGAAATACTGCTGATCACAGTCCAATGTTTGAGCTCAGAAGGGTGACAAGTAGTGTGCTCTTTGGTGCAGGCCGTCGGTATTGCTGCTGGATGAGCCACTGGCCGGTCTGGACTGGCAGTCTCGCGCCGACATCGCCTCAGTGCTAGGTGTGGCCGCCTTATTGGAAGTATCTGTCAGATTGAAGATGCGAAAAGTTGGTGGGAATTTCCTATTAGACCTTTGTTACAGCCTGGGCCCGGTGGGGAGTGACACTCCCGTGGAGAAGAGTTGGCTGGCAATACCGTGAGAGGGAGGCTTTTGCCGGGGCATGCAGGCAAGCTGAAGCAGGAGTGCACGGTGCTGGTGGTGTCACATGATCTGCGCGAGTTGGAGCCCCTGATAGATGTGGCATGGGAGATGGAAGCTGGCGGCAAGCTGAAGTCCGTGCAGTGGCCCCCTGCACAGTGATGATATTAACGCCTCAGGCATGGCCAGCGCGTATCCGGAATCGTCCCTTAGGAAACCTTGACTCTGAAGCTCCAACAGCCAACATTGGCTGCAGATTGGACGCTTCGCTTAGTGAGACGGAAAATGGTGGTTGTTCCGTTTTATCAAGCACTGGAAGTCAGTTGAGACAAGCACTGCGCATGTTTTGTGAGTAAGTATTGAAGATAGCAGTTCTAACATTCTTGCGGCCGCTTGTACTGTGCCTGTCTTATGCTGCAGTCCAGAGCATGCACTGGAAATGGAAAGCAACGTAAAGCAGTTGTTAACGAGGTGAATGTGGGGAATATTGTAAGGCATGCATATCTCCATCACATGCACAAGGAGGCAGCTTCCTCCACCGTAGAAGCTATAAATCACAGTCCCATCTCTTATCTTCAAATGCTGCGCTTCTTCCTTCTGAATGTAGTAAAAAAACTCCAATTTAGAAACATTCTAAATATTAGATACCCGGTGTAGCAGGTTCCGGGTGACACAGACGCTATATCAGCCGCATGAGGATTGGACGATCTGCACTGACAAGGAATCAGCTACAGCTTCATAATGACGCTTCACGTGGCAATAGAAGCATTAAATTTGTAATAAAAAAGAGAATAAATGGTAAGGGCCAGCACTTTAGGGTACATTTTCCTGTTCATTTCCATCTCCATGCTTTGTCACTCTTACCACGTTACCAAATCTTGTGTGACCTTTGTCCTGTTCCTTTCATGATCAGGGATCCGCACTAAACCTCCTTTAAAAACAAAGGTCCTGCAAGCTCAGGCATCGGGCAACGGGTAGGCTCCCTGCTGGGGGAGATACCCTCTGTCTGGCATCTTGTACTGGATTCAGATTTTGCTCAGCTCCTGGCATCGCACCATGCATTTCTCATCTAGCGACATTAAATATTCATACAGACCGAGAAAAACACGTTGTGCCACAACAGGGAACATCAGAGCGAGGAGGCTGCTGAGCTTCACCACCAGCAGGAGGAGCTTGAGAAGACATTGGCAGAGCTCGCAAAGGTCGCCAATCGCCTCAGCAAGGAGGACCAGCAGAAGCTTTCAGCCGTTATTGCTGGTCTTGGGCCTCTAGAGAGTGAAGAGGAAGGAAGGTTTCCACTAGAGGAAGGAAACAGCGATGTGCGCCCCTCTTCCCACGCTGCATGTCATGATAAAATGTCATCGTCTCGACCTCAGAGATTGGTCTGGCTGATATGGTCTCTGAAAATGCTTGGCCGACCATGCCTGTCGCAGGAAGGCCATGAAGAATATCCCGAGTCTGTGCGGCACCTGTTCAATATGGCAGGAGTGCTGGATGCAGTACCTTATGATGGTACACCTGTGATAAAGGATGGCAGGGAGTCCCCTCTCATGCCTGAGCTCTCACGCTACCAGTGGAGCAAGGAAGGTGGATACTTCCCTGTGTCCCCTGCTCATGCAGCTGTACTCTTGATTGCAATTGCTTGATAAAGTCACCATGCTTATGGTGCTTTCTGTTGCAGCTCTGATCGACATTGTTTTGACACAGATGAAGGAAACTGTATGGGTGTTCCCTGCAGATGTCAGGGACACAGGGAGGGAGCTAACAGATGAGGAGTGGGCCCAATTCTTTGCAAACGAGCTGGGTGAAGATCCTGACGATGTCAGTGGGGATGGGGGGGATGGGGAAGATGACTCACCACTCAGTCAGTCCAAGGAGGACCTGGATCTGCCACCATCATTTGCGGATGATGAAGTCAAACCTGGGGTAAGAACCTTGGTCAGAGACACCAGATCAAGGTCCTGCCATGCACATGCAATTCTCTTAATTGCGGAGGGCAACTAAACCGCAAGGTGACTTTATAGCACCACCCAGCTCATGTCTGCTGATTCAAACCCTGCGCAATGTCTGCTTTCGTGCTGCTTGCTTTGTCTCGCTGTGTCTGAGCCACGACAGTCACTCCTTGAAGGGTGCCTGGCTGCACATCTGCCCACATGCATCTTCAAGTCCATTTTTCAATCAAACTGGGTTGTGGTACATTTAAGTCCTCCAGGAAGCCCATCGTATACGTGAAGCGCCACGAGTGATGAGTCATGTATCATGAGTCATGCGACTGAAACCACGTCAATTCGCAGGACACGGTGGCGATCGAGCCGAGCGGCGACGTGGAGGCGATGCTGGCGCTGCTGGAGTCCGGTCAGCCGCTGCCGCCGGATCCGCGCGAGGCCGGCACGACGCGCGAAGACGCCGCGGCCTTCACCGCCCGCCTCGACAAGATCGTCGCGCGCTACGAGTCCCAGTTCCTCAAACGGCACGAGTGGCGGGTGGGCATGGCTTGTTGACCATCCTGCGCACCACTTAACAAATATTCTTGAGGAGGATTTCCTTAGTGTCGTTATGTGCGAATTGTGTGTGAGATGGTTTGCCGCCATGCCCTGGAGAAGTGCAGAGCGGCCACGTCAGGAAGTGTTGCAGTGTCTGATTAAGCCAAAGGACACTGTTCCTGTCCTCTAGTAAAAGAGAATGTCCTGCTATGGGGAATTGTTCTCGGCATAGCTTGCCGGCAGCCTCTACAGCTGTGCAGATTGCCCACCCCAGCAATTGGTGCCCCACTTAAGAGGTCATCTGAGGCCTCAGGTGCCAGAGGATACAGCGGTGCTGCATGTAGATGGTCTGCAGATTTGGTGATCAATGATGGGAATGTGCAGATCACCACGAAGGAGATCCGGGAGATGGAGGAGAGGTGGAACGCTCTGGCCCTGCGGTCCGAGCACCCGGCAGTCCTAAACGACATCACAGAGGTGCCCAACTCATCTTGTCTCTACCATGTGCTTTGCACTCGCACCCTTGCGGCCACTTTTGAGCAAGCATGGTGAAAATTTGCCTCTGACATGCGCTCTGGCCAGCGTTCTAAAGCGTATGGGGCATGCGCCAATTTGCTACTGGAGACACATCACCTGCCAGGTCTTCTGTAGGATTCTGTAAGTGGATGCATGCTTCTAAGTAGGCAGTCACGGAAATGGACCAAAAAGCGCTAGGAAGATGCAATTTTCTGTGCATGTCAGGTGGTGCCAGCGCCCGATTTCCCTCCCGAGGTGCAGCAGCAATGGGACCGGTGCCAGTGGATGCTGTATCGGCTGCGTCGCGCGCATCTGGACGGCCCGCCAGCTCAGCCGGCACATGCGCTTGCATCAGCAGGTGAATCAGTCACAGAGATCACCCATGCACCCTTTGTCATGGTTAAGGTGTGTTTGCTATGTAGCATGCAGGTGGCCAAGAGTGACAAAGTTGACTAAGCTTTGTCGAGTGGAACTCGTTTGAGTGGATTGAGTGAATTTGCGGGTTGAGTGAATGAGAGATTGAATACCATTTGAAGAAAAATGGGGCGATGCTGCAGGTTTGGTGGCAGAGGATGTCATCTTCAGGGATGCTTTGCTGGAGTGCAAGGGCCTCCCTGCTTGGCTGGAATATGCCCAGGTCTGTCTCAGTCCAGCATCCCCTTTGGACACATGCTGCTTACAGGTGCCATAGAGCGGCAGAGAATCATCTTGTCCATGAAAAACCAATATGATTGCTAATATTATGCCCCCTGCACATTTTTATTTAGCTTACTGTGCTGCAGCGGGTGGAGCAGACTGGTGGCTACATTGAGCTTTCCAACATCTGGGGCAGCGCATCTGAGGACAGGTGCGCTGCTTTTACAATGCATGAGTTTTGCATTGTTTGGGAACTTTGCAAGAACTTTGGATCGTGCTTGAGAGCCGGTTTTGGCTCATGTTCTCATGCAAGGAAGACTAGAAATCTTCTGCATACGGGAACACTGAAGATGACAGGATTGCAGGCCGGACCCCCAGTGGCACATCGTGGTGGATTCCTGGCTGAACATCCCCTACCCAGACTGGTACCTGGACTACTTCTCAACCCACTTCAACGCCGCAGACAACCCCAAGCAGTTCCTGGCTGCCTTTGCAGCCGCCATGGCCGACACCGGCGCGGTGAGGCTCCTTGCATGCAAGCCCAGCAGAATGCACCCCGTCAGCTCTTCAGAGATCATGCATGCGTGTTGTATTTGCCACCAACGGCATTGTGTCCCTGGCCTCAAAGCAGTCCAGTCACCAGAACGCCTTGTGTGCGCTCGACATGAGCCGCTGTGTTTCTCTACTGAGCAAGCCGCTTGACTGTGAGTATCTCTTCTAAACAAGGGAGAAAACAAGACATACGTGCCAGAGCGAGCGCCACACAGCTTGTTGCACTGGTCATCCAGAAGGCTGTTGTGCTTCACAGCTTCTGCCACAAGGCTACTGCCATGGCTCTCAGGACCAGACAAGGCTGCCTCAGATTTTATACGTAAAGTGTAAAGAAGAGACACCTGCGGCTCAGAAGCATGGATTTGCACTGCACAGGGAACGCCAGAGGGCCTGGCGCCGTACGCGGAGTGGGGGGACCGGCTGCTGCGGCCGCACAAGCGCGAGAAGAAGGTTGGGCTGCTGTCTCGGGACGCCTATGAGGGGCGGCCGCTCAGCCTGCAGCAGCGCCTGCGCACCGGCAGCGTTCCTGTTGTTGAAGCCAACCCCAACCTATCAATCGACGATGCAGGCACGCATCACTCTGAATGTCCGTTGACTCACAACATGACATAGCACGCTGAACAGACACACTTCGCAGACTTTTTCTCAATCACGGGTCGAGAAAGTCTGTATTCAGGGGAAAATGACATGCCATTGGGCATATGACAGATTGTGGTGCGTGTTTGGTCTCATGGCATGCGGATTGTGACACACACAAGCACTGGAGCAGAGGCACTCAGTATCTTCGCGTGCTGGCAAGAACTCAAGCTGCTGCTACACAAAAAGAGCCAGTCGCTCCAATGAGGATTGAAATTTAGACTGACCCATTTACTCTCAGACGTTTCTTCTGACAGGTGTGTTGTTGCACGCAGCAGATGCAGAGGGCAGGCCGCTGCCCGGCACAGAGGGGCCATCCTTTGAAGACCCCTACCGCTC